TCCATCGGTACCGGCGGCGGTGGCGGCGGCGGCGTGTCTTCCTCCATGTCTGTCAGTGCCTGTCTAGCAGCAGGGAAGACCTGTGCACTTCGCGGAGGGGTGCAGTCCATCGGAGTAAGCGGCTGCGTGTCTCCAGCGGGGCGAAAACGCGGGCCTAATCGCGCTACACTGATGGAGCCAGACGCACCCAGGCCAGAGCGGTCGCCACCGGGCGCGCGGCTGGCTTGTACGCGGGCCTCCAGCTGCTGCAACTGGGCACTGGGTGCTGGCTGTGTCCGCTGCGCCGCGGCTGCGGTGCGCGTGTGGGCCTGCGCAGCGCGCTGCCGCTGACGGATCGGTCGAGGCCCTGAGCGGCGCGACGGCTCCGGAGCTAAGCGCTGCGACTGGAAGGAGGATGGCTGGCTGGGCTGCCGCAGCTGCCCCGGCCGCGTGATATTGATCCGGGTGTCACCGTCGATGAAGAACCGCTTTGGTAAGCGGCCCAAGTGCCGGTCCTCATCCGGCGTCTGGATGTATGCAAGGCACGCATTCCCGTTGCCGACGCCATGGGTGCCCACTGCCAACGGTCCTGGCAGGTCGCCGAGGAATTCGCCGCGAACAACGTATGTGTCCCTGGGGCAGCCAGCACAGTCCAGAAGGGTCTGAGTGAGACCCTTTCTGCAGTACTCGTACGGCAGCCCGTGGATGATGATGCAGGTGTGCTGGCAGTGGAACCGCCCAGCAGTGAGTTGCACCGGCACCGCTACGTCTCCGCTGCCCGGCACTGCACGCAGCCGGACAAGCTGGTCCTCCGCTGCCGCATGCCGCGCCGCAGCTGCTGCCGGGACCGTGTCAAACCAGAGCTCCACGCAGCTGTCAGCTGCGCCGGGCGATCCTCGCTGCTTGACTCCCCCGACATGCGGCGCGAAGTGAGCAATTACTCCTCTGGTGACCTTTAGCTCCAGCTGCATGCGCTCCGGGCTGCCATAAGGAACCTCCTCCTGCAGCTCAAGCTGGCCCAAGGCAGCCAGTAGGAGTGGCTCGCTGTCCCCCCACCGGTCTGGCCGCGGCCGGAGAAGCCTTGGCCGGGGAGTGCTCAATGCATGGGCATCCAGGGCTCTCTGAGGCTCCAACTGCCATGACTTGACAGTCTGCATCGTGCTGATCAGGCTGGCCAGGTGGGGGACCCAAGTTGCTGGGCAACTGCTGCTGCTGCTGCTGTGCTCCTCTCTACTACCTTGTGCTCCCCTGTGCTGATTGCTCCTGCTGATTAGCTCTTTAGGGCGTCCACCGTCCGCCGAGGAGGTCTTGGGGCCTTGTTCAAGAGCTGTGGCAGCTCCCTACTAAAGGCCTTGAAAACCCCTCGGGAAGCCTACAAAAGAGGCTCGTGTGACCTTTCCCCTGCCCCTATTTCCTCCCCGCACTCTTCCTCCCTTGTGACACTTCCCTCCTGCCCCTGAACCCTGTTTAGCTACCACTGGTTGTCAGTATGTGGAATGGTTTGGTGGTTGAAATGCATAAAGTACAGGCACAACTGTTTCAAGAATTCAGGAGAACAACATCGAATCCCATAATATATGTCCCGCAGCGAGTAACCATGGGGATAGTGGAAAAGTGTTAGTCGCTAGTGTAGAGTGAGGAAGGTGGCTGTGCGCATCTGGTCCAGTGGAGACGGGTAACATTCGCGTAAAATATGTATATATATTGTCGATGATGATAGTGGCTGAAAATAAGCTACATTGGAGGCTATCCGGACGTGTGAGCTCGCGGGATGGCAACAGTGTCGTGGTCGAAATGAGTAAATACGCACAAAAGTAGGCAAGTGGGGTATCGATCGAAAGCTGTGAACATTCTCTACACAATGCAAGTGAGAAACTTGAAGATGCTGGTGTATCGGTGGAGAAATCGTGTGAAATCGATGTGATGCAATCTTTCCCGTAGCAGTGACTCTCTGTGACTGTGTGCAATTTGGGGCAAGAAGGAAAGAGTGCATAGTGATACAGTCCTACCGGTACAGTGTTGGAGCACTAATCAGACTATGCTTGTGCTCAGGTTTCCAGCTTAGTCAAATCCCCAGCATTAGAGATAAATTGTATTTCTCTCTGGATGGCATCAGAATAACGTCACCAACACCCAAATTGATGACATGCTGGCGCACCATTACTTTGAATATGCTACAGTCTGCTGGAGCTTAATTCCCAATGAACGGGAGCATGCTGGTCCACAGGAATGGACCAATAGTCTTTTTCTGCAGATAGAGAAGGTGATGGCCTGATGTTCAGGCCCTAATCAGCGGCCTCATGTGTTCACTGGCTTGAATGAAGTAGCAGGCTGGATGAGCAGGTGGTAATTGTTGGACAAGGACGTATCGGATCAGGGTACCAATCTGTCTCTAAATGAGAGCGCAGCGGTCATTGATTCATAGCAAAAATTTTATTTGTGCAGCAAAGCTTTCTGATCCTTGTCCTCTTTGAAGCACTCAGGTCGTCTATAGACAGAGGAAGTGACAGGCGGGCAGTCTGCAAATTTGTCCGAGATGCCCAGCAGCCTTATCTAGTTGCACTGCCTTGAAAATTACAATGCCGCACCCTTGAAAGTTACATCGCCGCACCTCTACCTGGACCTCCCACCATATATTCCTCACCACAAGTAGCCTGCGATCTGCCGTCCTACTAGGCTTAAAAAAGTACAAAGGGACTTTTCCTTTGGCTTGAACATGAGATCAGGGGGCCAACTGCATGGCATTACCTGTTAAATGCGCATGGCAAATCAGTAAAGAGTATATTGGCCGTCTTTCATCTGCATCCAAAGTATTCGATAATCAGCAACGCATTTGCATGTTTGTCAAAGTGTCTGTGGAAATGCACTACCTGGGCTTTGTGAGATGTCTAAATGCGGCAAAAAAAAAATTGCACTGGATGCTTTCCCTTGTCGAGTAGGACACAATTGATCACCTAGCGTCCTTGACCTTTGGCAGCCTTCCACTGCATCAGTAGGTTTCATCTTGATTCGCATCACCTGATCTCATGTAGTCAAATTTTTTGCGGTATCATCAAGCATGGAGCTGCTATTACAGCCTCTGCAGATTTTTCTGCAGATGCAGAGTGTTGTTATCAGTCTATAATATTACTGTGTTTGCCATAATTCCCTCGATGCTAACCCTTGCCATACATTTTCAGGGGCAACGAAAGCGAGTAATACCATACCAGGTGAACAAAAACAGTTGTTTTACATATAAGGGAAGCATGCAGCTTGGGAATGTACTGTAGCACTCTGAATGCACAATGTAACAATGAGAAAATTTTGACTTTTAGCTGAAGAATCGTGTCGTCTTCTCAAAAGCCCAATCATAAAGAAAGAAAGACAAAGATGAATGGAAGAAAATACCTGTGCTGCAGGTGCTGCGATGGTCTTGTCGCCAAATCAACCCAGAACTTTGCAAATTGGATGCAGAACGGACTGGGCATTGGAGACGCTCAAGGCCATTCTGACCGCTGAGGACAATCACCTGAGGTACCGGCCGCAGTCACTTGCAGGTGCAGGACTGGACGTCATCCCCCCTACAGCACAGCACAACTATGATGTGACATCTGAAATTTAAATGACTGCCCACCAGATTGAGGGCGGCCTCTCGATTGATCAATCGAGGGACCGTCAGTATTTGGCCAGCAGCCGCGGTAATTCCAGCTCCAATAAAGCTTTCTTGCAGGATCTTTTCAGGGCTGCTGCACCCAAGACAATCCAGAAAATCTGCATGCTCGTCAGCAAAGCTGGCTCAGCATCATCTGCAGGCGCCTGCGGGAGCCTCCCTGAGGGCACTGTGGTCATAAAAATTACCAACACAATAATGCCTTGACAGACATCCATTACTCGTAAAGCCATGAAGATGGTCAACACTTTCTCTGCGCTCTCACCTTACAGAATAGGGTGATGCTGGTACTACCATTCTGAGCGACAAGGTAGCGGTGCAAGAGATCCCGAGGCCGTGTTCCTGCACAGGTGTGATACAATGGCAGGGGGTGCTCCCGGATGCCAATTTGTACCTAACGATATCAATGTGGTGATCACAGTTGAAGAATGCCCCAACATGTGCGCGACACTTTCAGCAAGTGACCAGCAGAGACAGCAGCGCGTCTGATGATGATGCTATGGTTTGACACTGCTTCTCTCCAGGAGGCTATAATCGTTTACGAGTTGAGGTCTCCAAGAGAACGAAGTGCGAGTCTTTGAGGTGCACGTCGCTTGCCCAAGAGTTCCTACCTCTGCAGATCTCCCATGCAGATCAGAACTGTGAATTTGAAAGGTCAATGTACTCCAGTGCATTTGACTTCTAGAACCTCATTACTGTCCAACCTGCATCGAAAGCGTTGTCCAAGAGCTCTTGCTCAGTGTACCGTTGAATGGCATCTATGTGGGTATTCCGGCTGTGCTCGGCAGTATCACTTCATCGGTAATGGCATGGTGCGCCTATCTCTGCTTGCATTGCTCACAAGTCTAAGAGGATCCCTTCATTAGGGACAATCTTCGAGATCTTAGTGCAGGACACCAAGATCATCATACACCCCTCTCATTTTGGGATGCTAGCGGAAGTATTTGGAAGATTACAGCGCTGTAAGGAGAAAAATGTGTGTTTCCGCCTGTATTGTTGACTGAATGTTGAAAGGATCTGTACTTCCCAACACAGCACTCCAAGAAAGAAGCTTCCTTCAGCTTCCTACGAAGGAGCCTTAACGTTCCTAGGAATGTTCCTAAATAGGATCTATTCTCCAGAGCAGTCGACAAGCAGTCGACCTACCAGCCGTCTCGCCTAAACTGCATCATGCTTCATGACCGTCTGCGAGTTCCACTAACCAAGCGAATATTTCGGGAGGGATTGGAGAAAGCGATCATCAGACATGGGTAGAAGAAAGCCCTTCATTGACAAGAGGAATGCAACAACATATAGTCTCCTCTACGGCGACGAGGATCAACAGCCTCAAGCAAGCAATCAAGAACAATCAAAGGATGCGATTCCACCGCAGATGGGAAGGGGCTTTTTCCCCTTTCCACCCGAAGAAGTCACTTGGGACTTGTCAGAGAATAAAAGGAAGGAGATTGTAGAGCTGGGCCTGCCAGACGATGGCTATGATTACCTTCAACACTTGAAGGATCCGGCTGCAAACGTTTCCTCGTCCGATAACGCAAGCGCCCCAGCGGCAGAGGGTGAGCTCCTCTGCAAGCCAACCTCTTTCGTACTTGCCTTATTCTTCAGGAAAGGTCACAAAGTGAAGACCCGTGCTGTCTTCAGGTCCCAGAGTGTTTCTGCCAGCGCCCTTTGTGGAGCCTCCACCCGAGGACGTAAAGTATGTGGACGCCCGCACGCTACCACAGCAGACAGCGACAGCTGATGTAAGCCAGTGCATATCCTGGGCTGGATGAGCATTACCAAAGTATGCGGCCAACTGCAGATTAGAAAGTACCCATGCTGAAAGCTACTGCCAAAGGATTGCTTGCTGTGCAGGTTGATATTCTGCAGGTGCTTGGAGGGGTGGCCCCGTTTGCGCGAGACCTTGATGAGCAACCTTCCAATAGTGAGCTTTCTTGCTTCCCTCGGCACTACCATTGTTGTGAAGGTTGTTGTCGTTCTGGATGCTGGACTCCTCCGGAAAATCAGTGAGGCAATTTCTCACATACATCTGCTGCTCAGGGGCCAATGACGTAGATGCTCTCAATGAGATCATGAGGGAGTTGGAGAACGCGGATGATGATGCAGATGATGGCGGCTCTGGTGATCTATTGGATGACTTTGTCTCCACAGCTGCAGCCCAAGTATGGTTTGCTGGTCAGAAATGCACTAGTTTTCAGTTTCCTGCACACATATTGCAGACTTGCAGGCAATCCCCAAACAGAAACGGGGGCAGCTAACTCTCACTCCTCCCTTTGTGCATCAAGGCCCTTTCATGCCTTCTCAGCCGTATCAGTAGTGCTCAAAAGTGGGTGTAGTCATGACAGGGACATGCTCCGTGCCAGGTGACTTCCAGCAACCTTAGCACAGCCAGGGGCTCGGGTCATGGAGCTCTTTCCTTCATCGAGGAGGAAGAAGAGCTGTCAGGACAGTCCGAGGGCAGTCAGGGCACAGATGATGATGAGCTCGAAAGCAGGCTGGGACGGGGGTATGTTGGATCGATTGCCTCCACCTACTGGCGACCTGAGCGCACAGATCGTGGAGGCCTTGCCACCCTGGATGAAAGGTTGCTGCTCCCTTTCTTGTTGATTCCACGTCCTGGCTGCCCAAAGATGTTCAACCTTCACTTCAGTATTTCCACAGCCCCACTCATGCTTTGACCGTTTATAACAGCTGTGCATGTGCTTCTGTGATCTCTGTTGGGCAATGCACCTGGATGACAAATTTGTCTGATGCAGGTTTGAACAGCTTGCGCTGGAGTATGATTCAGACGAGCTTGGGGAACTAGATGATATTGAGGGCGGCGGAGCTGGACTTGAGGTCTTTGGAAGTCTTCTGGAGAAGAGTATGGGAGAGCAGGCCTCCAGGGTGCCGGTCATTGATGGCGCTCATCCTGCCCAAGGTCCTACGCATGCTGCCAAGGCCCTGGACCGGCATGATGATGATGCAAGGATTGCAGTGGAAAAGGTGAAGGGGGAGATTTTGTTGTTCTTGATTGTCTGCATTACTTTCCAATCTCCAACCAACTCCATTAAGGTCACACTTTTCGATGCAGGCACGGGAGCTGCTCCACGCCAACATGCTTGATGAACAAACCGTCGTCCCTGTTGCTCATGGAAGCAGTGAGGGGATGCTGAACACCCGTGCGTGGGATTGCGAGAGCGTCTTGACCACGCACACCAATTTGGACAACCACCCCAGCATCCTTGGGGAGCCTGTAACATCCAGGTAAGTTCAGGTCTCACTGCATGTCGTTGTGCCTTGGCTGCTCCTTCCTACTCACTGTAGCCTGGCATCCACCTTGCCCTGATCTGGATTTCATGAGCCTTTCACTACGCAGGAGACGCTCGCACAGAACATCTGCCGCAGAAGAGACAGCGGTGCCTCTGCGGGGTCCTGAACGCTCTTCTTCAAGAGAGGAAGAGGGCACTGGCCAGGTTGAGGCTCCCGTAGCAGGTGGACAAAGCATGCAGAGAAGGAAAGGGGAAACTCCTGAAGAGAAAAAGCAGCGGAAGGAACAGGTGAAGCTGGCAAAGGTGTGTACAGACATCTCCTCTTGGTGACTGCCATGCTCACTGTTTGCGCGGTTTTATTTTCTTTTCAGCCTTTGACCTTGACAGTTGCTCCAGGAGGACAGTCCTTGCTCGTGTTATTATTGGTCATTATGACAGACTCTCACATCGCGTATTTTGTCACGCAGAAAGAAGCCAGAGTGATCAAGAAAGACACAAAGACCATGCACAAAATCAGCAGATGTAGGGCCGCTGCAAATGTCGGTCCATCCCAGCGGATTGTGCCTTTGTCTTCATGATCATGCAGATTTCGAAGAAACTGTCAGATTCAAGTGCACAACACAAGGTTGGGCAGCAGCAATGCATGTATTGTGTGTATTCAAGGCAAATTTACCTCTCAAGACATGCTGGATGTCTTTTTCTCTAGAGATCTCTCATGTCAGGGACACATCCGATAGTTGCCTTACATCTCAGTGAGGTTTCAAGAGTGCTAGCTAGCAGTCTTGCAATTTGCTTGCAGTTGCAATGTAGAAACTGCAGGACCTTTGTGAGTGTAGATGAGCACATTTGTGTGCAGAGGTGAAAGCAGCGCATTAATTGTCAAATCTCAAATAATAGTTTAGCGGCCTCAGCTGTCTAGCAGATCTGAGAAGGTACAATATCAGGCAGAATTGGAGAAAAGAAAGTTGAAAAGGTCGAATGTGCAAGGTCTTTGCATATGCACATTGTTGCAAATACAGATTTTGGCCGCAGTGGTGCTGAACAGTTGTTGAGTTGCAGGTCATCCACCACTGTCAGGAGCACCTAAAATTTTCACTGTCACACAGTGAACCTTTCTGACCTGTGCAGCTATATATAGTTCGTCAGATCATCCTGGTAGCTGCAGCAATCATAGTGCCTGGAAGCATTTCAGCAGTCCTCTGCTGCTTTCTTCTTCTTCTTCTTCTTTTTCAAGTCCTGCACATACATCACAGCAAATCTCCCAGAGCTAGCATGCAGATGTGTCTGAAGCTCTCAGAGCAAGAAGAACGAACGGGACCTCTCCAAAGTCAAGACCTACTTTGTTCTCAGGGGATCTGGAGCTGTGCCGCTTTTTTGACTTCTTGATTTTGTCCTTGTCCTTCTTCTTCTTCTTCTTTTTCACCTTCTCCTCAACCTCCCGCGACTCCTGTGCGTCCTTTGCTGCCTGCCAGGGCGCGCACCCCACAAGAGCAAGCACAAAGCCAGTCAGCACATCTCCATTCACATTGCGTAACAATATGTAGGTAATGCCATACACTCTGACCATCAGAAAGAGTCCCCAGGTTAACAGCTCTCAGTGTGCATCCAAAGGGCCTTGACAAACCCCCAATTTTGCTGCTTGTTCTAGTCTCTCTGCCCAATCAACTCTCTTTGAACTCCGTTCGACTTTCTTTTGAACCTGCGGTGCTGGCAAGAAGGCTCAGGCGACTAGATAGGCACTCACAAGCCAATCAGCACGGGGTTCTGGCCAAGTAATTCTAGCATTTCAGAAATGATTGCAGGTGCTACTGCACATTGAAACATCTCACCTTTTGTGCTATTTCCTTCGCCCACTCCTGTTTGGTCTCCTCTGAGACCTGTATCATGAAGTACGCATTGGACCTAGTCAGCAAATAAATTGGTGCAAGGCCGACATCATATCCATGCTTTGTTTCACGCCAATAGAACCTGTACCTTGGGAACGTTGGCGCCCTGCATTCTGCAATAATCGAACTTCGCGATTCAACAGATTCTAGTAACCAGTTCCTGTGCTGAGAAAGTGACCGAACGTACATGGAAATATTCTGTTAAAGAGATTGATATTACGGATTCCCAAAGAAGTCTTGGAAATGAAACTCATAACATGAGTTGAACTTATTGAGTTCCATTGTGAATGACTCGAAATGCAAACCCCCAGGTATCCTATGTAGGGTTATAACATGCAAAGGGTGTTGTGTGTCAGGGCTGACCTAAGAGCCGCCAAGATATGCCAAGTCCCACACAAAAAGTGGAGGCCTAGCCAGGACGTGTGAGCCAAGATGCAGGCAAGCGTAGAATGTGATGCTGTTCATATCTGTTCAGAACGCTGTGTCTGATCAAGGACAGCACTGAAGTGCTATTGTTCTGTGCAGGTCTTCATCAAGGGTGTGACGGCCCTTGAGGTCAATGCGAGGTGAGAAGTTGATAAGATGATTAGGCAGAACGTGGACAGAACGTGACACCGCTTAATCAGTATTCTGTGGAGTGTTGGCGACCCCGTTAACAACTCTTCCCCTGACATCCCTGTGCCTGTCGCAGTGACACTGTTGAGAGCGTGAAGACGCAGATCGCGGGCAAGGAAGGTGCGTTGAGTTGATAAACACGTGTTATTGAGCAACCCATGTGCAGTTTACTCCTCGAGAACGAGCTGCAGGGTGTGCAGGGTGTCACTCCTGGGGGCGATCAGAAAGCTGGATGGGTTCAGTTCTGGAGTTGTGACACTATGCATTGAGTGGTGCAATGGTTGTCGCAGGCATTCCAGCTGAGGTGCAGAGGCTGATCTATGCTGGGAGGCAATTAGAAGATGAGCAGACTCTGGCTCATTACGCGGTTGAGAGGGGTATGCAGCTTGATTACTTGTCTCCACCCAGTGAAAGTCACCTGATCAAAACGACCACATTGACTTTGCTGTATAGCAACGTCTTGTGCATCAAATTGCAGCTGAACCTCATCTAGGAAGGAAGCTAGTGGTTGTCAGCAGAGAGTATCTACTGATTTTGGTCTTTTTTTGCAGATTCCACGCTGCACCTTGTCATGCGGCTGCGTGGAGGCATCATCGAGCCCTCTCTGCAAATTTTGGCCCGCAAGTACAACCAGGACAAGATGATATGCAGGAAGTATGTGGATTTCTCGAGGAACCAGTGCTGTGTTCTTTTATGCAATGCGCTGTGTCTGGAAGAGTAATGTCGTGACATGGGGAGCAAGCTCCAGGGAGAGGAAAACGTTGGGGGTATCTGACCTTTGTTTCCCGGGTGCTGTAGGTGCTACGCTCGTCTGCACCCTCGCGCAGTGAACTGCAGGAAGAAGAAGTGTGGACACACAAACCAGCTGCGTGTCAAGAAGAAGCTGAAGTAAAGCATGCAGAGAGTGTGACGTGTGCAGATGGTACCTCTGAAGGGAGATACTGTGATGCATCAGATCAATGTTGGGTCAATAAGGTTGTTGTCAATCAGAAAGCGTGCACCTGCATATAATACCTTCTCAGTCCCTGCAGGGAATTACTCTTCTGTAAATTAGCTTTTTCCTACATGTATACAGTATCAGAACGAGCTCTATGAGAGCTCTATTTTCATACAGCAGTCCCCACTCGGCATGGCAATAGTAAGGACACATCTGTGGCAGCCATTTTTGTCCTTGCAAGAGGCGACCATCATATGCATGTGGTGGCGCCACCTTGGATATGATAACCCCTCTGAAATTACCAGTTCACACATATATTTCTGCTGATGTCAACACCACAACAATAGTACAAGGAACCCCATCAGATCACATTGGCACAACCTACTGGGCTGCCCAAACCTCTCTTGTCTGTTTTTTTACTTCGTTCCTTTCAATATTGAGTATCTGAAGGAGCGCCCATGCACATGCACGCCTCTGCAACGCGCCATTTGAAGTTGCAAGCTTGGGGGATTGTTGTCCAAGTCTTGGAGCCCGAGTCTGGTAGCAAAGGATCCATTAATAACGATATCAACAGTTGTGTTATTAGCATCAAAATTTGCACAGGATGATGTCTGAAATGCTGCCAGCATCAAATGCTCTTTCGGGTGATACTCCCCACGCATCCAGAAGAGCTTTCTGTGGTCGAGCGGTGTCATATTTGATCAAGTAGCTTCCCCTGCAATACCGCACTTATCAGTGCCCTTCTGCAAGAAATGACTGCTTTGTGAAGCAGTGTCCATCAAAAGAGCAATTTAACAATCAAGGATGGCGCGCAAAAAAGCAGTCATCACCTTGAAGACACATAAATCGCATGCAGGCCGATGTTGAGGCATGTGAATCCTTCCCCGTCAACACATCCAAGCCTCTGCAACCCCAGAGACATGGTGATGGGCACTGGCCCTCCACCAGTATCATTGATTGGAGAATCTCCAGCTGGCCAAACACATGCTCCTGTCCATATTGCTGTGTCATGGCCGCCACTGGGAAGAACCTGACAAGAGGGCACAGCAGGGTGTAAGACTCCCTCTCCAACAGTTGCCCTGCTGTCTTCCAATATTGTCCATGATGGACTAGATGGAGATTTGCGAAAGCTCAAGCAAGTGGTGGGTTCCAGACCGACCTGCAATTCACTTGCTTCCCGGCCCTGAGCAGCCATGCGCACCCAATTGATTTGGTAAGTAACGTTTGCCAATTTGGTCCTTGGCGACTGTAATAGTTGCATTGCAATGTGATATTCAGCCCCAGAACGCAGTAGCAGTGCTGGATGTGTTCCCTCATCAGCACACACCAATTCAACCTCCACAATCCGCAGCATCCTCTTCAGCAAGCCCTCTTTGGGACGGGGCATGAGCTCCCCAAACTTCACGAGGACACAAATTTCGGCCTGTAATGAAAGGCCTCTTTTAGGCATGAGGAAGGAATGTAGCATGCAAGGCAGATGACATATCACGGTTCACACAGAGATGAAATGTAGCACACCATTCATCCATCAGACCGCATCCAGTCATATGTATTGTCGTGGATGGTGCCTCACCTGCCTAATGGACTCCTGCCAGTGTTCCTCTTTGGCTGCGGTGAGGGTTGACACAGTGGAACCGGCACTCAGCGTGCCGGAACTGTGATCCTGCAGCAACGCATTCCAAGGAATCAGGCATGCATGTCATGGTGAGCTTCCTTAATAGGACCTTTTCCCAGCTCAACAATAACATACCCCGTATGATGAGGGCACATCATCGAGCGGTATGTCAGACAGCTGGTGTGCTCCGGATGTGCTGGTGGTGCTCGCAGGAGGAGGTTCGGCTGGCACTCTGCACATTGTGAACATTTCCCTGGACGAGTCAATGCCCTCCATGGAGCCATTTGCAGTCCTGCTGGATGGTTCTTCACCCAGACTGCTGCTCCGCCACACCTTCGATTCAAGTTCACAAGACATCGTTGGCCACATGCTGTACAGGTCAGACATGCGCAGGGCTATTTACATGCTGTTGCAGCACATCCTGAGTATTAGACTGACAAACGCTAATGCCCTACGTTTGTGCTCACACTCAGGGATTGCCATCCAGACAATAACGCGATCAGGCGTCACCATGATTCGTTGGCTGCCTTCTGCCTTGGGAAGAGACATTGAGGGCATCACACTGCTTGTTGAGCTTCTTCCTTTCTTATTCTCCAAAGCGGCCCCCTTGTAGTCGTAGTAGTTTGCCTGCTGCTAACCCCAACACACTTCAATCTGACGCCTTAATCTCACTACACTGGGCATTAGGCATGAAAGCTTGTGCCATGCAAGGAAATCAGAACTTGCTAGGTGAGTGGCTTATGAGACCTTGGATTCTCCACTGACCTCATCTGTGTCTGACTCATCGATTGCAAATTCCACAGCAACTCTGCATGCAGCAAAATTTCCTCACGTCATAAATACCGGTTGGTCGGTCGGTAATGTAATGCCGGTCGTGATTGGGATCTTGCTATCACGGGCATCATCAATCCGGTGATACAGGAATATCTCAAATAAGCTTTTCTCACCTCTCAAAGGAGTCAGGGCTTGAAAGTGTTGCGGCTAGCTCAGCAGATGTCAACGTGCGCTTCAAAGGAGCTCCAGAGTTCACATCCGGTGTGTGTTGACGGCTGCGCAGATCAAAGCCAGCACTGGAGGTCGAAATCGTTGTACGAAGAAAGACCTGGCATTGATCCCAGCAGCAAAGCTACTGTGCATCGTACCCTTCTATGTGCACGGAATTTTTGTGATGGATGGCATTGATTTCCCAGGATGGTCCGGCGTGCTCCAAAGACCACGCCAAGAATTTGCCTGCTAGAAACATCACAGCGGTCCCTTGCTCACAGAGCGATCTGATAAGCATGCCGGACAGCATGTAGTCTGGTGTTTGACATTTTGCCATGCAAGGCCAAAAGCCCAAAAATCATGGTTATCATGACAAGAGTTGCTTACCATAGTAGCTTGTCTGCCTTATAGGTGCTGTGACGTTTCCCAATGCAGTCACTACCGCAGGTTTGGACTGATCCCCCTCTTCAACCACTTTCCTCTTTGTGTTTGGAGGTCTGGGCTCCTTCAAGGAATACTCTGCCACATAAGCCTGCTGTACCTCGCTGAGCGTGGGTGCCAAAACATTAGCCGATGCTGGTGCAGCACGAGGGCCAGCCAGCCTCTTTTGTCCTTCCACACCTGTCAGTCATGGGTTGAAACTGTTTGGTGTAGTCGTGAGAACCTGATCCAGTCATACTATAGTGCAAGGCGAAGCCCAAGCCCTCTTCCTCAGGCAGTGGGTGACGTTTCTCAGCAGGAGCTGCCAGCTGCCAGCTAAACTGAACGGCCACAACACAAACGGGAGGGGGCTACCTGTAGGTTCAGCGTGAGTGTGGAAATATGCGGCACCTAGGATGCCCAACGCCAGCCCCAGAACCAGGCCCAACAAAATGTAAATCCAGTCCAACCCGGTGTCCATTCCAAATGTGCACTTTGTAGGCCAACCTTGTGTGCTCTTATGTCCAAGTATATTTAGATTCTTAAAAATTTTTATGATGAAAAGGCATTACATATTGTATTGCAGTATGTAAGCCTCATCGGGCGCTGCAGACTTGCGGCATGTGCGCAGAAAGAGCAGGAGAGGTTGATTATTTGTAGCAAAGACTTGCTGCCGTCTGCCTTACACAGCCCAAGAAAATTGAAGATCACGAAACACTGCGATGAGGGTCCCTTCAGAGGTTCGCGCCCAGAATCAGACTTGGATTGTGCGTTGTCCAAGAAAGGGATCACAACTATCGATCTGGGGTGCTTGAGAAATCTGTATGGGTCACATGCAGGGATTGACTCCTTGCAATGCAAGGCTTGAATTTCTTGATTGAGTCTGATAACTGTTGTAAGATTACATGGCTATCGTGTGTTGGTTGGCAGCACGCAATGACAACACGGATGGACAACCGAACTAGCCGATAACTGTCCCTTTTGAGTCCAATTCAAGACAGCGCTCGATGACCTTCTGGAATGAAGCCGTCGAAGCCATCGTATATTGCAAGGAGGTGAGGGCATCCTCAGCTGCAAAAACATCTCCGCCATATGCTCTGTCCAGAACATCATCCAGATGCCTGTATGACCTGGGACAACAATGTGATTGTTATGAAGTATCAATGCTTGCAGGGGATGAATTCCAGGTCATCAGACGGTCTCGTATGCATGACTGTCAGTGCCAGTGCTATCATAAGATGGCCACCACCCATAACAATTCATATGCCACAAGCAAGGGCTGCCGCAGCGCGGATATTAAGGTGCAGCAGTGTTTCCAAGGCCAGCAGCAGATCATCTCACCTGATCAAGTCTGTGAGGGCGTTGGCAGCATCTTTTCGAAGCTCATCCTTTGTTGGTGGCAGGAGGGACACAACATTCTTCTCAATCAGCCTGTATGTGCATGCATCACCAATGCCGAGCTGACCCTGTAGGAGCGACATCTTCGTTTCTAACGTGTCTCCTTCTGACGCCTGCGAGAACAACTTTTACTTAATACTTTTAGCACAGTGAAGACCCGATAAGCAACACATCTTGCATGGCTGTGTGCTGTCATGTAGCAACAATAGGACGATTCCCACCGGGAAGATGTAACAGTTGAGACTCGCACTCCGAACCATTGAAAGGGCAGTTTTGTATATCAAGGGATCAGGATTGTACACATTCTGAGCTTCCAGAGCCTTCATGGCGGTCTCAAGTCGCTGTTTTGAAGCCTGTTGCATCAGATCAATATCAGTGCTGGGCACATTGTCGCCTGGCAGGGAGAAGACAAAAAGTGCACCAGCACTCAGGATGCTGTGTAACCTTTATTGGGGAAAGTATGAATTTCCCAGCGTTTGATCTTTGGCGGTCCCTCAGAAAGCGAACTGGCCCATGTAGCAGGCCCTTTCCTGTATCAACCAACAGCAGTGCATTGAGGAATTAAGATAAAGCCAACCCTAATTTCACAACCTGAGTGTGATGCATGTGGACAGACGGACTGTGGACATCACTGTTCCGATGTATCACTAAGAGCAGGTGCAGAGTGAAGCGAAATCAAATCGGTAATGAGCTACTAGGCGTACTAAGTTGAGTCTGGGGGTCTTCGGCAGCGTTTGCCTGTAGAAGAGAGCTTTGCAATCCCAAAATGCCTCCCAAGGCCAGTAGTGCTGATCTTCTGCCTGTCTCTCCTGACGATGTAAAAGGACTTTGCGCACAGGATATCGCACACTTCATTTCTCTCGTGGAAAAATTGGATCTCCGTCGCAGAAGATAGCACGAATAGTACGGTGGCAACCTTGGAAAGGGATATCCACACCCAGCATGCCCATGGAAAGGATGACAGTCAGTGAAGAAGCCTGCTGCTGTTGTTCTGAAGCTATGCATACTGTATGATACTTTGATTGCCAACCTGATTAAATAGGAGGGTGGAATAGATCCTACTTTGAAGTGAAATCTCGGATGAGGTGTTGTGATCTATTGACATCAAATGTCTGCCCGACAGGGCCACAGGGCATGGGGTTCCGTTGGGCTTTAGGCAATCACATGTGGCTTGGCAGTGCAGCAAGTGCAGGATGCATGGCGGCCAGAAAGCCTGCAATTCAGTAGCTAGTCATTGGGGATGAGCTGAAGATCGGAGACCCCATTCATGAGAGGCAACAACATTGCTTTGTCAGGCGCGGAGTTGTCTAGACAGCAGATCTGTAGACAGTGCCATTTGCTTCCGAAGCAAACCGAGAGTCTCAACTTAATTTTAAAGCTTGTGCAGGTGCACGCCCGACCCATGCCTGATAGGTCTAGACAGTGTCACCGTGACCGTTATGGCAAGACTTGTTTGGTTAGGCATCCAGCAATCCAAGCAGGGCTGTGGCGGTACTGTCGCACCTTGAGGTGAGCTTAGCCTGAGGATTTGTCATGACCTAATCAGCAGGATGCACCGCTCGGGATGCACAAACTTCTTGAGTCAATTGGATACTCCTGGTATGACTAAGCAGACTGGGGCCGCCGGGCTGTGCATGACACGGACATGTAGTCTTCCTTCAGGAAATATTATGCACCAACAAGAAAGTCTGAAAAGAGTCCTTAATTACTTTGAGAGTCTGGGATGCCCGGCCGCCACAGCGTGCCTTCAGATCCATCCATGATCATGATCCCCCGCTCAGCAAGGAAAGCTCGTTCCTTGTCTGCTGATGCATAGTCCTTTGCCGCCCTGGCGACTGCTCGCCTCTCTATACTCAACTCGACATCCTGCTCCTTCAACCCAGCCCTGCACGAAACACCCCTGACACTGTGAAGGCGTAAATTGCAGGAGATCCCATCAGCAAGCATAGTTCATTTGCTCATACCGCTCATCTAGGAAAGACACTCACCTGTGGAGCGCCCGCTGGCGCATTTCCACCAAGACAGCTCCAATATCTCCAGCGCCAAGTCCCAAAAGCTCCAACACGGAGTTCAGGGCCTGTTGTAAAGTTGCTATTGTCTGCAGTCTGCCTCCAGCCTTCTTCCCCTACAGATGAGCAACGGCCGATTCCTGAAGCACCAATTGTCCAAAGTATAGGATGAAAACAAGATTTTTTCCAAAGTCACTGTATCCATTGAGGGGCACCGACCTTCTTGGTATGGAGAAGGTCATTCATTGTTTTGAGTGGCTCTGACAGGGCTGCAAATGCCTGTGGTGTGTTCAAATCATCGCATAGACTGGCTTCCACTGACTTGAGTAGCTTTGTGCCGTTACTGTGCTGTTCTGTTGCCACAGACACCTGTTCCCCAGCTGCAGCAGCTGCTGTCAGGGCAGCTTCTGCATCCTGCAGGGTCTGGTAGATGTAATAGAGCCGGTCCGATGCCTGCGCACATGCATAGAATGATGCTGCTGAAAACCAACACCAGCTCAAATGGACACAAAAGGCAGGAGTGGAGGAAACCTGGAGTACCTCCTGAAGGCTGCGTTCTGTGTAGTTTATGGCTTGGCGGTACTGTGTATTGATCAGAAACCATCGCAGCGCCATTGGATGGTACATTTGCAGGACATCCCGGATTGTAAAGAAATTTCCCAATGACTTGGACATTTTCTCGCTGTCCACTGTGAAGATAGCACACTGACTATCACAATGCGTCCTTGGGCAGAGGCACATGTATGCTAAATATTGCAAAAAGACACACAAATCGCAATTAAAGGCATGCTCAGAGCTGGGCAAGACACTGCGGGGTGTGATGCATGTTCCCTGAAGACGAAAAGGGGCGGACCATTGACGAAGCCGAGGTGCATCCACCACCGCACGAAGTCGCGATGGTCAAGCATGTTCTCTCTATCACATTCGCAGGCAGCAGCCTGTGACTGGACCAGCTCATTGTCATGGTGTGGATGAATGAGGTCCCTGCAATGTCAGCCAAAATGTCAAAAAAAGGGGAGTACAGGCGGTAGGGGCTCTTCCAGCAGCCAGGAAGAAGGCAAATTTTGAAGCTCACCTGCCGCCCCCGTGGATGTCGATGATGGGCCCCATGAGTTCACGTATCATGGCGCTGCATTCGATGTGCCACCCTGGGCGGCCTGGCCCCCAGGGGCTGTCCCATTTCGGCTCTCCCACTTTCGCTGCTTTCCACAGGACAAAGTCTGCTGGATTCCGCTTTGTCGTATTTACAGCGACGCGCTCTCCCGCTCGATTGTCATCCTGCGCACACTCAATGCTGAAGCCAGGCACCATGAATTTCCATTCAGCACATATAATGTGGTAAATCCTGAAGCTCAGGAAGCACAAAGCATATTGACGTGGGAAGCCTACCAAAGAGCGCCCCGATAGGCGGCCATAGCCAGGCACACTTTCGACGGAAAACCACACGCTCCCATCAGCCTCATAGCCATGCCCGGCTTTGACAATGCGCCCAATCATGTCCACCATCTGAGAGATGAAGTCGGTCGCCTTTGGCTCGCTGGTGGGCGCTAGGCAATTCAAGGCGTCCATGTCCGTGTGAAATTCGTGTATGAACCTACATGTCTGGCATGATCAGCACAGGGGCAACAATCCCACACCATGCATTCACCAACTACCATGAGGGTCTTACCTCTGGCTCAGCTGCAAAGGATCCTCTCCTGTTTCTGAAGCTCTCTTGATGATTTTATCATCGATGTCAGTGAAGTTTCGGACGTAATCGACCTCATAGCCAAGGTGTCGGAGGTACCGGAAGAGCACATCAAATGCGCAGTAGACGCGAGCATGACCTGCAAGGACAAATAATTACCCCACGAGCAGGAGTCGCCATCTGAGCTTTCATCACAGAGGGTCACGTGACCAAGACAATGCCAGAATGCATCATTACCCACCGACATGACTGTAATCATACACAGTGACACCGCAGCAGTACATGCTGACTTTGTTGCCCTGGCCTGGCCGTGGCTGAAAAAGCTCCTTCCTGCCTGACATCGTGTTGTGCAGCCAGAGATCTTTGGGGTGCTCTTGCAGTGCATCATCTGAGGTGGTTGATGACAGTTCTCTGCTTGGCTTGACACAGTTTAGCACCTGCAGTCCACAGAATCGTTCAATACTGCGCCTGGACCATGTCATGGACTTCCAGCATGACTACAAGCGACAAGAAAAGAGGAGCATGACACCTTCTCGCAGCGCTTCAGGGGTGTGAAAGGACCACAGCGGTCTCTACTGCTTGGCAGCGGCCACCACCTCCAGCGCCTTGGAAGCGGTATGTGATTCAAATGGAGGTGGAAACCGAGCAGGGGTGACGCGATCGAGACTCTACTCATTGAGTGAAATCTGCAGAACAATCTGCACACACTGGATGACCAGGGTGGATCACCTGGCCCGATGTACTGGTCTGGTGAAATCGAAGCACTAGACAGCGCTACGGATATGTGGCATTGGAGACATTTTTTCTACTCTGAGACAATAACGCAGCTGTTATAGTGGTAGATTCGTGAACAGTATCCCCTGCATCTGGTGCCAGCAGTGTCGTCAGCAATGCCATCGATTGAGCCCACTGGCCTCTGGGCAGCTGCTCTGCAGCCCAGCTGGGCAGCCCATTCCACATGGGACACCAGACACACAATCTTGTCTTTGAGACAGGAGCTTGTAAACAGATATTCGGGGCGATCGTCCCGAGCTGCGACTTAATTTTGGACCCAAGCCTTACTGTGCATGCAATGAACGCCGGGACAGCCAACTTCACGCATATTTGCCAGCTGACATCTCCCCAGGAGCAGAGAGTTGCGTGCCTGCCTAAAAGGCTTTTCAAGCCTTTTCGAAATGACTGGCAGGGACAGTGTAATTCGAACTTGCGTTTTACGGGATCGCGCAACAAATCTGCGGGATCAAGAAGGCCAGCGACAGGCATTAGGATGGTGCACACTGGTGCTGGATCGTCAGCGTCGCAACCATCAGGCGCTCCAAAAGACCCTGGGGGAGGGTGCGATTCTGAAGGAATGCGATGTCCATTAATTCAGGTCACATGTCCATATCACTAGGCAACTCAGTGAAGGTGAGCAGCTTCGGTGAGGCTTCAGATGCTGAGGGAACACTTTTTGTTACAGGACGATATTCAAGGGAGTCTCTTGGGGAGCGGGAGCATTGATTCTTGTGGCTGCAGGTTGGGCTATTGCCCACAATGCGGGCTACACCCCTCTTTTGAAGGTAAACCTGGAGTTGCACTGCGCAGTGCTGCTTGCTTGCACAGATGAAAAATACCCAGTCAAAAGGCGAGCAGCATTCGTTATCACGCTTGCAGAGCATCTTCTCAAGGAAGATAAGAACCCCCATTGATGTCTGGCGGACCTGCAGCTGCCTGCTGTTACACCAAGTCCGCCAGGCGTTTCAACACCCTTGGCTGATGGCATGCGTTGTGCAGGACTGGGCGGCAAATTCAGCTTTGGGGAAATCAGGATTTTTAGCTGCGTTCACACTGATATTCTTGTCAGAAATTGGAGATAAGACATTCTTCCTGGCAGGGCTCCTGGCTATGAAGGTATGCAGCTCTTGACTGCTTACAAAAGGCAGCACTCAACTTGCATAGAATTACATACGGTCTATCACGATTTATCACTGAAAAATGCTCAGCGCTCATATTGGCTTCCAATGATTGTCATGCAGGTTGGACGTGCCATAAGTTTTATTGGCTCAACGCTTGCGTTGGCCCTGATGACTGTCATCTCAGTTCTCATAGGTTATGGATTCAAGAGTGTGCCTGATGCCCTCAAGAGCAGTGTGCCCGTTGGCCGCTACTTGTCCGTAGCTTGCATGGTGTACTTTGGCGTGCGAACCCTGCAGGTAAGTGACTCATGTGATAAGTACCGATCAGCAGAATCCAAAGAGTGAACACAGGTTGTGAAGTGTCTGTTGAGTGTGAGGCCTTGCATGGCTACTCCAGGAAGCATGGCAGACACCGGATGAACCAGATGATGGAGGCGAGTTTGCATCTGCACAACTAAGTCTGGACGAGGCGGAAAAGAGCGGAGGACTAAAAAGCCAGACAGCTTGGCAGGCGGTGCTGCAGGTGCGCACCACACATTTGGCTTTTGACTATGTTCTAATAATTCCTTGATTGAGGTGCTTCAATAGCAAAGCAATCAGCCAGTACATTATGAGACTGACAGAATGCTGTGACTTGCAGGTTGGCTCCATTATTTTCTTAGCTGAGTGGGGCGACCGTTCTATGCTGGCCACAGTGGCGTTGGGTGTCTCACATTCACCCCTTGGTATGTCCTACTTAAACGTTACCTCTCAACATGTGCCTCTTTGTGGTCCTATGGAACGCTTGTGAGGGCAAAGATAAATGAATGCAGGTGTTGGTGTCGGCGCCATACTTGGCCACGGGCTTGCCACGCTGCTGGCCGTCACGGGGGGTGCTCTTGCATCTCAGTACGTCTCGGAAAAAACATTGGGATTCATTGGCGGAACACTCTTCCTCGTTTTTGCCGTAGCAACTCTTCTTGGTGCGTTCTGAGATGCCATCATGGAATGTGCTGTGGACCATTATGAGCGTTGAAAGGGTCTGCATCCATTGCTCGAGCCAGCCTTCGGCAAAAAATGTCGCAATGATGCGCATGGCCGATATCAACAAATTTCTGAGATATTAATTCTTTGGATTGTGTCAGTTTCCTGGCACAGTACGCATTGTGAAGAAGTCTCTGTGCGAGAGAGTCCTTACCGCTTGCACTCTTGTAGAAGATACTGCGGAACTGTGCTTATACAAAGAGTAGGCTCCATCTGTAGGAGTTTGTTGACTTTGAGGGTTGGGATTCCCACTCCATGACGAATGCCACTCGCCCAGCCAGCTTATTAAGTGCTGAAGTACTTGATCGTGATCATGATCACATATTATCGAGCCCTGAGGGCTGTCTTTAAATTTAACTTCTTACAAAGTAGTACTATAGAGTCAACAGGCACTACAACAGTGGCACTTCTCAAGTGCAATTCCCCTTGTCCGACTAGGAGTCCGACTCAGAGTAGACCTTGCAGCTGCAGCCTGCAGGCTCAACTGCCTAGGTCTGCCGTAGTGACTGCCAGTGGGCTATAGCTGGTGCTGCAGCTGCAGCCTATTAAGATATTGCACGCATGTGCACAAGGCTGCATTCGAACTGACTACAGACCTGCAGAGTGTGTGAACACAGCCGTCTATTCCGTTGCTTTTTCACCAACTTTAATTTCTGTAAAAATCAGCATATGTTTCTCTGAGAGCCTGTGCCTGGAGCTACGCATGCATGGCTTAAAATGGCAACGTGACTCAACATCATCTGGTGCTGAGGTGGCTCAGCCGCTCTTCGCCTTTCATCGCGCGATTTATCCCCTTCTCATTACTAGAGGAAGCCGGCAATGGTCACATGTTGAAATCTTGTATGTGCAACGGTGTTGGCTCGGAGGCTTTCCAGCAGCCTAAGATCTCAATTTCAGTGCGGCAAAGGAGCCTCTTGTCTTCAGTCAATTGTCGTGTGCTATCTGGGAGATCAATTTGTAAGGCGGTACCAAAAGATAGACGTCCTCAGGTGACAAAATGCGCTGCAGCTGCAAGCCGACCAGATAAGTCGTTTGCGAAGCAGACAAGTGTGGGATGTCGTGGAAAGCCTGCATTTGCCCAATCAGGAAGCAGTTCGACGCCCATCAGGAATGCTAACTCCTTGAAACGTCAGTATGCAAGTGATGTGGGGGTGGAGGAGCAGCAGAGCGGGTAAATCTCTCACCCAAAGGCCTGTGGGGTTCTTGTCCAGTAAGTAGAGGATTGTGGCATTCTGAAGCACTCCTCAATCTTGTCTAGGCATTCAAGTGACGCTGTGTTGCCTCACAGGTTGGAAAATCCGCCAGAAGCAGGCATTCTCCCAGAGGCTGTGGTGAAGTCTCTTGATGGGGAATACCAGGACAGTTATGCCGACCGTCGAGCATCTGCATCCGCAGCATCCACCAGCAGTTCTTCCACATCTGCATTTCCTGCAAATGGCAGTGGCCTCTTGTACCCTCCATCGGAGCGCGGTCACATCCGTGACTCCTGGAGGCACCTAATGCGGTGGTCCCGCGCATGGCGGACAGCTGGCGACAACAGCGCCAGCTTGATTGGTCGGTTGGACAAGGTGTGGCCTCATCATTTCCACATGCATGCCGCATGCTGAGCAAAGGTAGAATCTGGTCGTTCATCTTGCATGCATGTGCAGGTTGTCGTGTTTGGTGGAGGCTCCTTTGGGACTGCCATGGCATGTGCATTGGCTAGCCAGAAGTCTCAGCTCAACGTCACTCTTCTGTTGAGAGACCCCTATGTCTGCAAGGGCATCAATGAGCAGCATGTCAATACCCGCTACCTGAAGGTGCAGATCGTGCCAGAAGCCCTGCAAGCCCTCACGCACCCACATGCTTTATTGCTCAGGCACTTCTGCAAGGTATTGGCCTGATGAATAGCGCTGACAAGCATAAGGCGGTGTGATGTTACAGGAGTACGTGCTCCCCAGCAATGTTGTGGCAACAACAAGCGCCACAGAAGCCATACAAGGGGCTCAGTATGCCATACATGCAGTTCCCGTCCAGCACAGTCGTGCCTTTCTGAAGAGCATTGCGGTAGGCGCTTCTCAAACTTCTGTGAGACTTCTGCTTCCAATGCTTTTCAATGAATTACCTCCACTGAATGGGTAATTGAAGTGTGGAACTGGCATTCCTATGTGCTGCAGGATATTCTCCCACCAGATGTGCCAATCATATCTGTGAGCAAGGGGTTGGAGATGGGTACGGGCAAGATGATGAGCGAGGTCATCCCAGATGCGCTCGGTCGTAGGCAGCCAGCTGCCTTCTTGTCAGGCCCCTCCTTCGCAAAGGAGATGATGGATTTGCGTCCCACCGGAGTGGTTGCTGCCTCTAAGGTGATCAACACAGTCAGCATTGCCTGAATTTCTGCCTCTTGGGGACAGCTGAAGGCTGATTAAGAGCTGAGAATATGTCCTGCACTCTGTGATGTATGCCAAATTTGACATGGTAGGCCAATTCTCCGGCAGACATCTGTGGTGTTTGGAGTTGAGAACATGCTTTGTGCTCTGCAGGACAAGAAGCTGGCCAGGGAGATGCAGTGCCTTTTTGCCAGCCCATATCTCCGTGTCAACATCACAACAGATGTCACTGGTGTGGAGATTTGTGGAGCGCTGAAAAATGTACTGGCCTTGGCGGCTGGAATTGTGGAGGGCCTGGATCTGGGCAACAATGCCATGGCGGCCTTGGTGGCGCAGGGCTGTGCAGAGATCCGCTGGCTGGCTGAAAAGATGGGAGCCAAGTCCGCCACAGTGTCAGGCCTTTCGGGGCTGGGAGATATCATGCTTACGTGCTATGGCTCGCTCTCCCGTAACAGGTAGCCAGTCATCAAATTTGTTTGCAGTTTTTAATTAAATTGATAGGTTGTATCGTGGTAGATGTTGAGCAATGAGAATTTCTATGCATGCAGGTCCGTTGGAGTGCGCTTGGGCAGAGGGGACGCTCTGGCAGACATTCTGGCAAGCAGCAGTCAAGTGGCAGAAGGAGTTGCTACTGCGGGTGTTGTTGTCAGTCTGGCACGCACCTATCGTGTCTCCTTGCCTGTCCTTACTGCAGTCGCCCAGGTACTTGGTGCTCTTGCTTTGCTGTGTCCATTGTCCAAACATCACTCATGCTCACTTCTTTAATCAGTGTGACATGTACACTTTGGAATATCCGAACAACATCACCTGTAACTCTCTCCCCTCATCTGTTTGCAGGTGCTTGATGGAGCGTTGAGTCCAAAAGAAGCTGTTTTTGAGATAATGAACCTTCCTCAAATTGAAGAGTCATAAGGGAGTGGTGGGTTGAGCTCATTGCTGGGTAAAGATTTCTACGGTATGGATCTGAGAGAATTGCAGCATCATCAGAGCTCATGCTCTGCAATTTTGGATTGACTTCAGCTGAAGATTTACATTGACTGTCTTACGGTATACTTTGTTGATATTTTGCAAGTCTGGGTTGGTGTGCCATAGTTTGCGGAGTATTGATATTGCGGTCTATTCTAAGAAGAGACCTCCTGCAAGATTAGAGAGGCGCTGAAGCTCTTTAGTTTACAAAAGGTTGCCTGGGGCAAATTCTAAGTGACCTGATAGCCACAGCTTCCAGGATGTTTGACATCACAATAAGGACAATTTTGTTGCAGCGTTCCTCACTCTATTGTCTTCAATGTATCAAAAGCCTGAATTGCTAGTAAGGACCATTAGGCTCATGCCTAGGATAACTTGGCATTTAAAGCCCATACCAGCAGATTCCTTCCAAGAAAAGCAGCAGGCAAGTCACCGAGCTGTGCGAAAGGTTGAAGTATTCCATACTTGTGCAAGAAAGTCTGCAAGACAACCTGGGGCCGACCTCCGGCTTTCTCCTGCTTGAACAATCCTTGAACGAGGACACCTCATCATTTTTTGACATACACCAAAGGCCACATATATGAGCTTTTGAATGCGTCTGGTTTGCAGCAGCCTGCGAATGTACACTGTTGCCATAATGGAAGCTGTAGTAGCTTGCTAGCCATCTCAGCGCTGATCGCTCACAGCAGTTCCTGACACATAATCCTGCCTGTTCATTGGCAATGCTAAATGTACAGCTCTAGATATATTGTCTGTCAGGCATGTGCCTCATTGCTTGGCCAGGTGCAGAGCCTCATTTAATAGACTGTGTCGAAGCCCCCAGCCAGTGCAGAAATTGGTCGGCAGTGAGTGAAGCAAGCTGCCCGAACATGACAGGTTCATCCCTTAGCAATGATGGCTTCAAGTTGCTGGAAGGAACCTCATCAGCTATTGCACCCCCCCTACTTTTGACTTGGTCACACCAAGAGCAAAATTCTGTACCTGTGCAATCAGCAAAGAAGTACATTCAGCCCTGGGTTTAACGTTTGAAAGAGAGAAACATTGCATCTTTGCCATCCAGCAAGGCTGATGGGAAGAACTGCAGGATTAAGCACACGGCACAAAGTGAAGGTTGGGAAGACGGCACACCTCATTCCCATCCTTGTCTAAGCTAGGCGGGTTCTCAACTACGACTGACTGCGTCAAGGTCCCAGAGCCGCTGCCTCCAGCACCCGTCGCTGCACTGTTGCTACTGGGGTCTGGCAAACTGGGCAGATCCAAAATTGATCAAGACGTGGATACACAAGATCTTGTTTTCAAGAAATTTGAAGCACATATTTCACGCGGGTAGTGTGTCACACCTCTGCGCTGACTGGGCCTGCATGAGTGAGCTGCCTGTCACAGCCGTGACATTATTGCAGACAGCACACTTCACTGACTGGGCTCCATGCGCAAACATGAGCGTCATGTTGCAGAAAGCACATACCAGATGACTGATCTGGTTTGCCTGCACCCGCACAGCACGTGGCACGTGTGTCAAGTCACTTGAACCGTGATTCCCTTGCCAACCACCTCAGCTTTAGCCCCTTGCGGCATCATGCACATTCCGATGGCTTCCTGGCTGCGGGGTGAATGCAGAGCCGCACCGCATGCGCACAGTTGACCGTGCTGCACATGGAGCACTGCACTTGGCTTGCACCTCGCGGATACATTAGTACCACTCTGCAAGACGTGTTGCTACAGACGAGCTGGGCCATGTCCCCCCCTGCTTGCATCCAAAACCTTCAGGCAGGGGTCATCTGAGAGATCCAGACGCGTTGTTGCAAGAAGCACCAAATCACACCCCAAATTTATTAGATATTGTGTGCCCACCTCCTGCTGGAGGAACAGCGGTGATATGGCCACAGCGGGCACAACGCACGTTCTGGGCCCCCTACGCAAAGCCAGATGTCGATGAGCCCGACAATAGCAGTGCAGCACAAATACTTCCAGGCAGTCTGAAAAAGGGATCTTGCCTGGGGATACATGAGAAGTGTTCTGCAGCCTGCGCAAACAACTTGGCTCTGCGCGTCTTGACCTGCAGCCAGTTGAACAGGCGATCAGGTGAGAGCGGAAGCAAGACCTTGACAGCCATCTTTGATTTTATGCAGCAATGTTATTGTACCTGGCCCCGGAGGCGGTCTGTAGTAAGGTGGTGCAATGCTAGGCAGCATCTGATTTGCAGTAGAATTCATTTCTGACAGTCCCTGGACCCTCTATGATAGATCTCTACCACTCTGCAATTTCTTTCGGGGTGCTCCACCGCATTTTCCGCAAATGAGAGGGCAAAGAAATCCCTGTTTCATGCCATGAGCAGTGCTCATTGAGCACCACCTGGCTCTGCAGATGTTAGGTTTTGGGAAGGGTCAATCATGATAACGAAAGCCCACTCTTCCTTCTTTCCAGGGCAAATTTTTGGTGGAAAGCATTGCTTCTTGGTGGAACCTCAGTGTCTTAGAGTGAGACTTATCAGTATGGCTGACTCCCGTCCTGTGATGCAGCGTAGTGCAATTTCTGCCCCACTGCGCCCCTGTCACATCAACCGGGCCTTCAAATCAGGGACGGGCTGCAAAAACGGGCTGCAAAAATCAAAAGTGGTGCTTGTTTGCCAGGCCACAGCAGCTGCTCGCAGGGAAGTTCTCCTGTCAACAGGTTTGCATCTCATGATCACGTTGGCATGCAGTCGCTGTCAGCGTATTTGCTTGGTACTGTCATGCCATTTGTGGTCTTCTTATGCATGGTTAACGTTTTGTTGTGATGACCAGGAGGTGCTGTGGTGCTGGCGGGACTGCAAGCTGTCCTGAGTCGGCCAGCCTTTGCTGATGGCTTGGAAAAGAAGACGATCGCTGTTCAGTACCTCAGCGCTTTCCAAAGAAGTGATCAGAAGGAGGCTTTTCGCGTGAGGAAACCGCTTCTAATTCCGTTTCAGACGTCTGCATCATGGGTGCTCTATCAGTGGCAACTCCCAATATTTGGTACAAGTACTATGTGAGCTCTGACATGGGATTGGTGGCTCTTGGCCCAGGTGCGGGCCGAGAGTGAGCTGAAAAAGGTCCTGACTGCAGAAGATGCCCCGCTTGCTCTGCGCGTGGTCCTCCATGATGCAGCAACATATGATCTAGCTAGTGGGACTGGGGGCCTCAACGGCTCAATTGCTAAGAGGTCTGACTGATGTTCTGCTGCTGCTATGTGCACAATCACTGTTGCAAAGAATTTCAGTGTCACAATGAATGGCAACTTGGATCAGATTGTGCCAATGATGTTGCAGCGATGAGTTGAATAGGAAGGAGAATGAGAGTCTGAAGTCGATCGTACAGAAGCTCCAGACCGCCAAGGATAGCATAGACGCAGGGAATGTCAAAAGAGGTGCGATGAGTGCTCAGAGGCCTCTGTGTGTGCATGATATGGTCCAACGTGCCCATTGTGCTGATGCATTCAGGCATGCATGCAACATCTCCCCCTCTGATGCACAGGAATGCCACCCATCACCTGGGCCGATCTGTCAGTTCTGGCAGCAAAGGTGGCAGTACAGAAGTCTTGGTTTGTTGCCAAGGCGGCGCGCCTGGGACCAGGTGCTGACGTCAACACCATCTCTTCAGCTTTTGGAGCTGACTGGCCAGTCGTCCTCGGGCGCATGGACAGCGCTGCTGCAGACCCTGCCGGCCGCATACCTGACCCCGCAACTGCCAGCCCCCTGGAGATCAGGGTGAGAGCCTGTCAAGACTTTCATTTCACCAACAGTGTTGTCACAAATAGGAAAATTAACAGGGGCTTGGCTTTGTGATCCCAGTTTGTCACAGCGGTTCAGTCAATGCCTTACATTGTGCAATTCCCAGGCCTTCCTTCGCACGCTCGGCACCCCAAGCCAAGGGGGAGGAGGCCCGTTTGCTCCGAAGCCACTGTTCTGGGAACGTCCAGCTTTTGTGCTCTGGACTGCTGCCCAAGATGATACCCAGAAGACTGAGGAAGACTTTGCCGCCGCTGATCCGGAGTTTGCCCAAATCAAGCAAAAGTATGACAGGAGCAGGAAGACAGTGACAAGAACTGGTAGCCTTCTACTCATGCTCTCTCTGCCTGCTGCTTGCCAAATACTTGCTCGCGTTTGAGTGTCATCCAAGCCACTGCAAAAGCGTGCTCTTCTAATGAAAGTATGCCAACTGCAGATTATGAGGTAGATTTTATCGACTTCTTCACTCGTCTCACCAGCAGCAAAGTTGGAGCAAAGTTCAATCTAGAATATTATCTGACTCCTATTGATTTAGAGCTTCCAAAGCTCTGAATCAAGGCAGCGCTGTCGGGTAGGGTAATGGACTATGCCCACTGAGTTCACTTCAAAGTTCTGCATTTTGCAGAGTGTTAAAGAGTCTGACGAGAGTGTGATGTTTGTGTGAGACTAGGTTATCTGCGCTGTGAACTAGCAAGCATGTTGCCCCCATGGGTTGTCATATAACACACATTACAACGTTTTTGAGATGCTGTAAGCAAGTGTTGGCCAGTAATGCTCATGACAACCGGTAGCGGCCATTACATAGTGCACTGTATGGCATATACCAGCTAGCCAGCTACCAGGCCAGGCCAGTGGCATATACCGTACGGTGGTATCACGCGTGGTATCAATTCAAATAGCTTGTATGCAAAATAGAGGAGGAGCTGCCTTTCCCTCAGGGAAAAGGATTCCTGCTTACCTAGTAGGTGACACCTCGTGAGTTCTACTTGTACTGCTTCCTGGTTATTAGTGCGCGCGCGCCGCTGCGGGGGTACCGGTCTTAGACCTCCGATCTACACCTCAGGGCAGGCGGATAACATACCATGATAGCGAACTTAGTGCTTTCTGATTGCTAAGAACTTGTCACAACTCTCTCAGCGAGAGATGGTACTGCATGAGTATTTACTAAATGCCATTGTTCCAGCAGTGCTCCTGAACTTGCATGCACATATACGCACAGGCCGTGGCCGGCCAGGGGATAATTGTACTGTGCTGTTGCTGCACCATCTTCAGTTGCAAGGCCGCCCTCCTTCATACCTGGCGCTCAGCCTGCATATCGTCCTCGAGCTTGACCTCAGGCTGCCAACCGGTGGATTCCATGATAATGTGAAAACTGGCAAATATGGCCTGGTTAGGCACACTCCCAAGTGCCCTGCATCCAGTGGCCGTAACATCTCCTGAAAGCTCGAGGATTCCACACTGTCGTGGTACAGGATGGAGACATTATGTAGTACGGGATTGAGCAATGCCCCTCAATGTATGCGGACGTGCCTCCTGCAGTATTCATCCTCCAGGTTTTCCAGGTGTGTCAACCCACATTAGTGCAATCAATGTCCGTTACCGTAGCCTTTCAAAAAAATTTATGGCCAAAGGCTCAGCTTTCTAAGCCAAATGTGCTTTGTTCAGGCCTGCTCGTCTCACTTCCGGCACGTCTAGACTGCCATGTCGAAAGAGTGGTCATGCGAGAAGAATGAAATCCATATATCGCAGCCTGCAAGTCAGATCGATGAACGACGATATTTGTAGAGGTAAATAATAATTCAATCTTGAGACCAGTCCTTTAAAGACCTTTTCAACCTTGATCATGCCTTTGACTGATTGGGCATTTTTCAGGAAGCGACACGGTCCGAGACGATGGCCTCCTGTGTGAAGAGGACGGTACAGTGACAGTACGAGACTCTCTTGATGCGCTGCTGCAGGTAACGAGCTGCTTGAAAGAGACAATGTTCAGAGGTTATGTACACGTTTGAAGAGGCCCGATCCTAAGCAGAAGTGCCTGATCCCCGGTTTTGATCACGTAGGTACTGCCAGAAGACATACGTGAGCCGCTAGTCCAGCACCAGAATCGTGCCTCACTATTGGAGGTGGGAAGACGCATCCCCTATACTACCGGAAAGGTCCTGTTGCATCCAAGGGATTGCCTCATATAAGTAATCAAACTCCAAGTTGTGATATGTCTTCTGCCTGCTTCGTGATGATCAAGCTGTCACGGGTGCTTTGCCCACAGGTGGTGCTTGACCTGGGCCGCAGGCCAGAGGCTCGGTTTCTTGGTGTAGGAGGTGGCGAGTATCTCCGTGATGCTGAGGTGGATTGAGTCGATTTTTTGCTATTGCTCTTGTCTGCATGCAAGGCACTATTGCTTGGATCTGTCCATTTAGGCATAACATTGCACTTCATGTAGATCACCTGGGATGACCTGAAAGCCGCAGAGGATGCTGTTGGCGACTTTGGCAGTGACAACAGAGCAGGGGTCCAGGGCACCCTGCACCGGATCAGTGCTATGAGGAATCGCAAGGGCACAATTGTTGGTCTGACTTGTCGAGTTGGTCGCGCTGTCACTGGCCATGTCGACATGATCCGTGACATTCTTGATGGTACCTCCTTTCTCTTCAACCTGCTGCTTTGTATGGATTGCCATGAGAAGACTCCTACAGCAAGCTGCAGTTGACACTGAGAAACGTGAGCATTTGCCCTGTGCAGTTCCCAACTCTGTCCTGTTCCTTGGACGTCCTGGCGTGGGCAAGACCACCGTCATTCGAGAGATGGCCCGCATCTTATCCGACGACTTGAAGAAGCGCGTGGTACGGAGCCATCTGGCCCACGCAGCGGTTTCTGATCCTTTGTATGTTTTGAATAGATTCTGCAGCTTGTTCGCATCTGATTGCGCGGCTTGATTGTGGGCAAGTCCTGCAGGTTATTTGTTTGTCGAGTGCGGTTTGATTGTGCAGGTAATTGTGGACACTTCGAACGAGATTGGTGGAGATGGCGATGTTCCCCACCCTGCCATTGGAGGGGCGCGGCGAATGCAAGTCCCCGACCCATCCCAGCAGCACAAAGTCATGGTAAGAATTAGAGGTGTTGAATGAATTCTACACATAGCTGCGCGCCCATGAAACTCACATCTCTGCTGCCACTGCATCAGGTTGAAGCAGTGGAGAATCACATGCCAGAGATTGTGATCGTGGATGAGATTGGCACTGAGGCAGAGGCCTTGGCGTGCCGCACAATTGCAGAGCGTGGCGTGCAGCTCATTGCCACAGCACATGGGCAGCTGCTGGAGAATCTCCTGAAGAACCCGACTCTCTCGGACCTCGTGGGAGGCATCCAGTCAGTCACTCTGGGTGATCCTCTCGACTTGCTGAACAAATTTTGTTGTTTCTTATCTTTGCCGAAGTGCTCAATTGAGCCTTTCGTACATGCACTTTGCAGGTGACGAGGAGGCAAGGGCAAGGGGGACACAGAAGAGTGTGCTGGAGCGCAAGGCTCCTCCGACATTCCCACTTGTGATTGAGATGCGCGAGCGGGCTTACTGGGTGACACATTGGGTGGAGGACTCCGTGGACTGTCTGCTGCATGGCAAGGTTCCTGTCGTGCAGGTAGGCCTGCACACTTTGAGAGTATGCTATTTGAGGCTGCTCCCATTATTGTAAGGAAGTAATATATTCAACTTGGTACATTGAGGAAGGGCGCATGATTGATTTCAAAGCTGCTGGTTCAGGTCCGTCAACGCGATAAAGAGACTCGGGAAGTGAAGATTGAGGAGCGTAGGTATGATAAGGCTGGGCAGGATGCAGTGCTAAGCAGCTGGGAGGACAAGAGTACCGGCAGTGGTGCCGAGTCCATGAGTGGCCTTGACGATGTCTTGTCAGCTTCTGTGCAAGCTGGGTTTGGAAGTAGCTACATCACCGACGATGCTGACAGCGACAACCCATATGCATGGGCGCAGCGCCTGAGGGAGATCCCAGACAAGGTGAGCACCCTGCTTTCCTTCCTCTGCAGCTTGCTGAATGGGACTCTTTCAGGACCTTATCAGGACCATTGCATATCATTAGCCTTATCAGAGTAGACTAACTGGCGCTCATGGCCAATGTTATTCCGTGTTCAGGATGCGCTGCATGAACTTGCACTGATGGGGTACACATCCGGGGACGCCCTGGCATCGTCTTCGCGCCGCACTGACAAATTTGCATTTGCAAACGGAACTGGCACTGGCCGCAAGAACAACAAGCGCAGGCCTGACAAGAGCGCTCATGCCAGACGCGAGTGAGATGCCTGGAAATACACTATCAGGCTTTTAGCCTGTGAGCCATCTTACATTGTAGCACTGCTTGTACGACTGGAATTGAGATTTGCCTTGGTATATGTTTTTTCTTTCTAGTGACCTGATGATAATGCCAGTTGCAGCCAGCCTCACAAATTTGGGATTCCGTGACAGCAGTGCCGCAGTACCAGGATGAAGAAGGTGGTCTAACATTGTATCTAGAATGGCCTCACTGATATCAGTGTACTGATCAGTGTACGAAAGGATGCTGTTATGCGCTTCACTGTGGAGTAACCGTGTTTAAGACTGAATAGCAGCTGATTATAATTTCCGCCACAAATATGCATACTGTATGTAGGTCACCTACGGTTGCTTGCATAGCAGAAACACTCAAATGCAGTGTAGTCTGTAATAGTACCATTGACTCAACCCTCGGAGGGGCGGATGCCAGCAATGTTTGGTCACTGTCACTAAATTTGGTGGTACCCTGACCTCGAGGCTGCGCCATGCATGGCCCACCCGGTGCACTGGCAGCGGCCCGCCGGGCCCCGCATGGCCCATGGCGCCAGCGGCCGGCCGGGCCGCCAGCGACCGTCGCAGTGACTGCAATTCATGCTGTGATTAATATATTGAAACCTGGTTTGTGTAGATGGATATCGCTTGTTTTATTCATGCACAGCAGGTGCACTTTCACATGCCCAAATCTCTGACCTCGCTGTGTGATGATCACACTATGATCCCCCTGCCTTGCATGCCCAGCTCTTGCATGCACAAGTAGGCGCCTAAACAGGTAAGTGTGTGCTCTCGCACAAGACAGCAGGAAAAGGAAGACTTTATACTTCAGAAAGAAATCTCAACAGGAAAATTGCAGAATTGCTGAAGCCGAAGCTATTAGTCTCTGGTGATTTTTCTCAGGCCTAGTTATGGCAGCACAATGGGCCTCATGTTAGTACTGAAGCTGGTTTCTCTCAGCAAGGCTGTCGAGCAGCATCTTAGCGCAGGGCGAGTGGGAACATTATTTCCTTTCCCGCCGCATTGTGTAGCTCGGTCCGCGCATTCAGGATCTCGGCGATCATCAAGAAGGCACTTGCATGCAGGTTAGCCTCAATCTTCTGTCAGAGGAGGGCCCAGATCGCAAGGACTGGAGCTGAATAATCGCTTGCTGTGCAGATAAAAATCGCTGGAGAGTCTCATCAACACACAAGACAACAAACAACTTTCCTTATCACTTGAGTCCACCTTTGAGCAGCGAGACCTCAAACGGACGTCAGATAGACAGTCCCACATCCCAGACGGCATATGGACAGGGTGACAGCAGATTTGCCGCAGATGAACCGCAGACTCCACAGGCACCTTTCAAGGGGCCTCGCCAGACCACCCAGCCTGCAGCAAACAGGCCAGAGGTGCAGAGCGTGGGAGAGCAGCCTGCAACCGGTTCAAAATCCACCATACGTGACAACTTAGTTTCTGCAGGCATAATTTTAAAGCAGTATGCACCTGGTCAGCACAGTGGTCTTACTTGCCCAAAATGTAACGGCGGCCCCAGTGCAGAGAAGAGCTTCAGCTTGCATATCTCAGACGACAGCCAAAGCGCAACCTGGATCTGCCATCGGGGCACCTGTGGCTGGGCAGGTGGATGTAATGTATCCGGGCAAACAAGCACAGCAGGTGGGTCGATTATACTGGGCTGGTTGTACTCCCGTTTCCTTCCTGAGATTATATTGCACATGATATTCGTTTTGTAGATGCTTATATTAGGAACCAACTCTGCTTACTTTCAGGGATTGGTGGAATGGTGCGAGAGCGCAAGGTGGAGGCAGCCAAGAGGCCAGACTGCTCCCGGCTCCAGCCGCTATCCAGAGAAGTTGTGGAGTACTTTGCGCAGCGCGGAATATCACGAGCGACCCTTGAAAGGAACGGAGTACAGCAAGAGTACAGCTCGAAGCACAACACAAATGCGATAGCGTTCCCCTACTACCGTGACGGTGAAATCATCAACATCAAGTATCGCACCCTGGACAAGAAGTTCTGGCAGGCAAGCATCTTCACACCAATTGTTCACCCGACAGCATCAAACATATGGAGCCATAACATGTCTTAGCGAAACCATATGCATGGCTGGAGTGGCCCTAGTATCGATGCAGCTCACATTTGTGTTAATTTGTCCAGACACCCGGCACAGAGCGGATCCTGTACGGTCTGGATGATGTAAAGAGCTCGGCGGAGATCATCATTGTGGAGGGGGAGATGGACAAGCTGGCGCTGGACGAGGCTGGCATCCGCAACGTGATCAGCGTGCCGGACGGGGCGCCGCGCGCGGTCAAGGAAGGCGACCTGCCCCCACCCGAGGCGGACACCAAGTTCCAGTACCTGTGGAACTGCCGCGCCGTGCTCGACCAGGCCGTGCGCATCGTCCTGGCCACCGACAGCGACGCCCCCGGCCAGGTGCCTCCCCTTCCTGACCCGCGCTCTGCACTGCGGCCTTGCTTCCCGGCCCGTGCAGGGTTGCAAAGATCTTGCACCACAGTGAAGCGTGCTTGTCCTCCATCCAAAGCATGCAGGAGACACTGTCACTGTCTTCCTTCGCCAGCTTTGAAGAGGTTGAATTTGAGAGAAATTGTGATGCACGTGCAGGCTCTGGCTGAAGAGCTGGCACGGCGGTTGGGGCGCGACCGCTGCTGGCGAGTGCGCTGGCCCTCAGAGCCGTCGTCGACGCCTCCGGATGCCGGCGACCAGGGCGCGGCCTCTGTGGCGCGCAAGGATGCAAACGAAGTGCTGCTGAAGGATGGCCCCGAGCCGCTGCAGGCCCTGATTCGGGGAGCGGACCCTTACCCCATCAGGGGTTTGTTCAAGTGTGTGGCACACCCCCGAGCAACCTTGCCAATTCTGTGCTTACTGTGTTCTAATTCACAGGTAGTATACTCAAGCCAGACATGAACGAGCAAAGGACCATCTGTGCAGGTTCTCTGACTTCCTTGATGAGATCTGGAGCATGTACGATGAGCAGGATGCCATGGGCCAGGGTGTCTCGACAGGCTGGTCAGGGCTGGACAACTACTACAGGGTATGCCACCAGGCAGTTGAATTTTGCTCTGAGCGCTAATTGGAAGAGATGGTCCAAATTTGCTTGCATGCTTTAGTACGACTTATGGCATGAAATGCGACAGTGACGTTATTGTTGGGGCCCAGGTTGTGCCAGGAGAGCTATCGATAGTGACTGGCGTGCCAAATTCTGGCAAGTCAGAGTGGATTGATGCTCTGCTGTGCAATCTGGCGACCCAGCATGGCTGGAGCTTTGCTATGTGCTCCATGGAAAAGAAGGTGCAGGAGCAACTCAAGTTCTGTTGAGGACTTCACACTTTGCGCTTTCATGCAGCACATCTTTGACCCTTGCTGAATTGCCTGAGTCATACCTGAGGGTTCATGTCTCACTGGCAACTTGCCTGATGCAGGTTAAGGACCATGCGCGGCAGCTCCTTGAAAAGTACATTGGGAAGCCATTCCTGGATGCCAAGTATGCTGGAAAGGCTGCACGCATGGAAGCACAGGATGTGGAGGAGGGGTTGCAGTGGCTGGAAGAAAGATTCCATGTGGTTCGCTGTGAGGATGACGAGCTTCCATCCGTTGACTGGGTGCTGGGTCTTGCGCGAGCTGCTGTCCTCAGGTGCTTCTGCTGAAATATGTCTTAGCAAGTTCTGGTTCATTGATGCGGTGCGAGCCATTCCTTGGCTCGGTCACCAGTCATAAAGCAGTTGTCATTCAATGCCTTCCGCAGCAGGCACAGTCTGATAGGTTGCACAAATTCCGTGCAGATATGGCATCAGGGGCTTGGTGATTGACCCCTACAATGAATTGGACCACCAGCGGCCAGTGCACATGAACGAGACAGAGTACGTCAGTCAGATGCTCACCAAGATCAAGCGCTTCGCTCAGCACAACGATGTGCATGTCTGGTTTGTGGCGCATCCGAGGCAGCTGCAGGGCTGGAAGGGCGAGCCCCCTAACCTGTATGACATCAGCGGCAGCGCGCACTTCATCAACAAGGCAGACAACGGCATTGTCATCCACCGCAACCGGGATCCTGAGCAAGGGGCGCTCAATCATGTAAGCTCTCGTCATCATTGTGTCTTGCGGTGTCCCAGGCATGAGCTTGTTTTGCTAATGGGACAATTGTGTGCAGGTCAAGGTTCTTGTGAGGAAAGTGCGCAACAAGGCGGCTGGCACCATTGGTGCGCTCTCTTCTGCACCATGAAAATTTCAGGTTTTGTCGCTCTGGAAATTATCCTAATTTAAACGGGGCTCTGTAGCACCCCCTAGACATTGGTGTGAGCATTTTTGTGGGCGCAGGAGACTGCATTCTGGACTACGATCGCACGACAGGTCGTTACAAAGATGTGTTGTGAAGCGTGCTTAGCAACTTCTCTGATGCCAGTCTTCTGTGAGAGTAGTAGCGGGTCATGAATGGTTTTTCTAGCTGTTTAAGCAGCATCATTGCTTACACAGTGTCCTTCCAGGGAAGTAATTATCTGTCATATCAAAATGGTAAAAACTTCACAAGCGAGCTTGAGAGCAATGATTGCCATACTATCCAAATATTACTCTCAAAAGCAATAAGCCCTTTGTGCAGACTTAGACCGGGTACTAGAGACATCTACACTTCTTGATCTTCTCTTGATCTACACGGGATTCTCAATCCAAGCCTCATCAGAACCGAGCTTGTGGGAGGGCCCCTTGAAGAGGGGCAGCTCACCAGCTTCATTGACTGTGGGCGATGCGCAAATGGGGTCTGTATGCAGCTTGTGCATACACTTCAACCCAGCTTCATCACGTTCTGATGCGCTTTCACACTGACCATCTTCGCAGCACACGGTTGACAACCTGTACTCGGGATCTTGGAAGTCTCTGACTGCATGATCCCACTGAAATGCGATGATTGTCTCATCGCATGTCCTCTTGAAGCAGAGCCGTCTGTCATCATAGTGGCTCACATTGAAAGCCTTCATCACCCATCCTGTCATCATGTCTGCACAAGCAGCAGAGAGTGCATTAGTTTCTGTGAAACTTGGCTGCAATTCCCCGCTGGTACACTATCCCCTCTCTCTTGTGGACACCTACGCATTGCTGCTCTGTTTGCATTCAACTGTTGTAACTACAGAGCTGATTGTTTTGAACAATTACCTTCATTGGGCCCACCCATCCGCAATGTCAAACCAGACCGGACAATTCCATCTATCAGATGGCCCTCTATCACATAGAAAGGTCCTTCTGCATATCTGCTGCCGTCCCCATCGAACAGTTCATGGTGTGGGTCATACCACCGATGAGTCCTCAACCGCAACCGGTTATCCGCATTATCGCGCACTTTGAAGCACCCAACATACTCTGCATTGACACAATGAATGTCACCGTGGCATGTGACAGATTGCAAGGAGACCATAGTGTGTGATGCCCTTCAGCATCAATGCAGAACTCGGCAGATCCGCACCTGCTCCCATTTGTGTCCACTGGGACATTGCAATGCTCAGACGATCCAGCCGCACATAGCTGTCATCATCTACCTTGACCACATAATTTACATGATACAGCTTGCTTACAATCTCCCAAAACGCCACTGTCTTGAATGTGAGCCTCTGGTAGATGTCCTGGAAAGCACACAAAGACATCAACCATGCAGCTGCGGACGCATTGCGCATTGCCTTGGGTACACCAATGATTAGAAATGAAATCTGTGGCAAGGCCGCTCACCCTTTCAATTGGGATCCTAAGAAATGACCCGTGTGCGCTTTCCTCCTGCTGTATGGCTGCCTCATACTCTGCTGGAACTTCCCCGATGGCAAATTTTAGAATCATGCCCGTCTCTTCGTAGATCCTGTACAAACATGCACACAGATCTTGATTTCCTTCGTTGATGAAAGGAAACAAGGATACTTCCTTTTGGGGCTGTCTCACCTGTCAAGCTCCACCTGAGAAGCAGGAAACCAGGTCTCTCGAGCGTGCTTTCGCCGCTGCTGGTATTTGTGATCAAAACCTGTCTGCGAAGGCAGGGCACAGGTGTCAGATGATCACGCAAATGAGACTGACTTGGTGTCCAAGGATTATAAAACTCAAAATCTCACCATCACAGCAACTAAAGCCGTGCCATCCTGCCGATTTTGCTGCGCAGCTTGGTTCAGAGACCTCGCTCCTCTCTCTCGGCGCCATACTCTGTCCGCTGATCCAGTAGGATAGAATCCAGTGGCTAGTACAAGAAGGAGACAAAGCCGAATGCAGGTCTGGCCAAGTTTCCGTGGAGCGCGTTTCCCACCAGACAAGAGCATCCTGGATAGGGGTACAAAGTTTAGAGTGCTAAATCACTGAATTCACCAATTTAAGCTGCTGTTTTGTCCACAGGATGTCTAGGAGTTGGCAAGGGGAACGAGTGCGTATCGACCGACTCTGATCTGTTCGTCCTAGCGCAGTGCAGGCCATAAGGCGGACTTAACACATCGAACTTATTGTGTAGGGATCATTGCCGCCCTGTAATACATCCGCACACTATGCCTTCACGACAATTTCGAATTTGCCTTCATAGGTTTTACCCTGACCAGCAGATGTAATGGGGGGTTTGGGAAATCAGTGCTTCTGCTATCCAATCCTACTGGTCCGTAGGCGGCCACACAAAGAGCAAAAGCAATATAGCTGGACGGACACAGCACAGTTCCATCGACGGAGAAACATGCAGGCAGGGCCTAGCACCGTCGTGGGGCCATCCACATTCAGGACTGGCACCACCCTTGGGTTCCAGAAGCAATCCAGCACATTGAAAGCAGGTGAACCAGGAATTTGAATCGGAGACCAGGGTTCCACTGTTGTCATCTGAGTGATGCAAATTTGAGATTAATCAAGCTAACATTTGCTTTTTCTGTAGGCCTTCGTCGGTCGTTGTGGTGTGAGGCAGCTCAGGCAACCAGGAAAGAGAGAACCCAGAGAAGACACCAAAGTGTGAGGAATAAGGTAATTGTCCCTCAGCTTTTGACTTGGGACAAAAGACGTGTACTTGGCAAATTGCAAGCGGGAACGCGTTGGAGTTTGCATTCAATATTCATGGCAGTCATTTTATTGAGCCTGGCGCTCAAGTGGTTTAATTATTTGGACTCTCTGATCTGATCAATGACATGAATGCCTATCTGTTCAGGTCGAGGGTCGATCCGACAGGCCGCGCTTAGCTGTCTACAGGTCCAACAATCACATATATGCACAGGTGTGGCTGCCATGCGACTTGTTCAATTGTATGCCCTGCAGCAGCCTGTGCTCACTCCCTTTGAATGGCTCCCAATGCCTCTGATGGGGTGTGCGGAGGAAATGAGAACGCTCTATGTGCAGTCTGGCAACCCTTCTTGTTCATGTGCTGCAGGTCATTGATGACAGCATTGGCGACACCCTTGTTGCTGCCTCCAGTCTGACACCTGAGATCAGGGAGAAGCTGAACGGGGGTGGTGGTGGGAACAAGGTGAGAAGCTACCGTGCTTTGGTTCCCCCGGCAGTGGTTTGCAACTCCACTCAAGCTGAAATAATCATCCAAATTATTGTGCTTTCCAGTACTAATTTCTTGCCGCTCAGGCCAGCTCAACATGCACACCCTCTCAATGCCAAGTGTGATACTGCTCAGGGAGCTGCTGAGCTTGTCGGGCGGAAGATTGGAGAGTTGTGCTTGGAACAAAACATCAGCACGGTGTCTTTTGACCGGGGCGGCAATGTCTACCACGGCCGTGTCAAGGTGTGTGGTTGGCATATCTTGCACTGATGTCAATGCCTAAATATTGTGTTAGTCACTTCCCCTGACTCTGTATCGCACTCTTTGCAGGCTCTGGCAGACGCAGCCCGCGAGGCTGGCTTGGGTTTCTGAAGGGCTTGGCTCTTCAGCAGCGCTTGTGATCCTGGGATATGAGACCATCAGAGCCTGTTAATATGAGATATCCGACACACTCGTGAAGTGAGGGACACCGGAGGCAGACATGTCTCAAAAGGAGGCATTCAGCTGACTATCTGAGTACCGCACACATCAGGCGTCAGATGTCGCTGGCGCACAGATCTGCTGTGGCAGATACGTTGGGTCATTTCACAGGCTTAATACTGCTTGTACCAATATCTAAGCATTGCCATCACACGATGCTACAGCTGAAAGCTACAGCTCGTCACAACGCACTTTGCAGGCACTGTGGTTGGAGAGAGGAATTAGGTTTAGAATGAGGCTATCTCAAGACAGGCCACGCCCCAGAATACGACAAATGCTTCCACTTCCAGTAGTGTTGTTTGGACTCATTGGGGAATCTTGCCATGATGGGGTGCTTCTGATGTGTGTGGTCGTGCAAAACCGCGAGGAAATACTTTGTAAACGTGGCCCTTACATTTTGCAGAGATTGCACATTTTGCTTTGTCCGTTACAACAATTGCTGCAGCGAGCAGAACACAGCATGTTCCCATCAGCAAACTGCGTGTTTCGTCACGGAGCGCATGATCGCAACTTGTACAGGGCTCTGTCACTGACAACTCTGGCCGGTTCATGCATGTATACATGTGGGAGAAATTTAATGCGCACACAGATGCTACCTGCTACTGCAGCTCATCTGGCAGCCGGGCAGTGCAGCTGGAGGAAGGCTTACACACTTGCATTGCAGACGTTGTTGTTGAGAACCCGTCTTGCAATGTCTATGCATACCAACTGATTGCAACACTTCACACTGATGATCTAGGTCTGGTGCAGTCCTGAAGCGCTGGCAACTTTTAGCAGCTATCTTTAATTTAGTTCAACGCATGAACATTTAGCTAAAACCTACTCTCCTAAATCACTCCTATATTACTAGACCTACAACTACCTTGAGCCAATACAGCTCATTCTCCCTGGGCTTAAAATATTGACCCGCCAGTGCACAGTCCTGCAGGGCAAATGATACCATGTGGTCAGTCAACAGACGTCACGTTGGTGTTAGTGATATGTTCAGCACAGGCCACGTGGGTTAATGCAAGGCATTGCCCAGCACAATGCTGGGCAGCTTACCCAATGCAAGGGCACTTTGTTCCTCCGCTTTCTCTTTCTCTTTCGTCAGGAGAGTCCGGAGCTTCTTCTCCAACTCCAGCTGCAATCACAACACCCTTTTAGAGATGTCCCTCAGCTGCTTGACCAGGATGCCAGAATATTCAATCACCAGAAGAACATCATTGGGAATGGGAAGGTGAACGCAATCAAAGCCTGACCTCTTCGCGCAGCACATTCACTGTCTGATCCCTCTCCAACAATTCCTGCTCCTTGCTCAGAAGAACCAATTCCTTCTCAGCGAGCTCTGCTCTGATCTCTTCCAACTCACGAATGCGCCCTTTCTTTCGGCGCCGCAGCTTCCGCCGCTCTTCCTCCTCATCAAGGAGCCGTTTTGCTTCCTTCTCACCATCCTCAGCACTTGCAGTCTTCGGCTGCCTGGGAATGGCCGTTTCCCTGGGAGGGCCTCTCTCTGGAGGCTTTGAGGTGGACTCTGGTGGGGCTGTGCCGTCGATCGGCTTCCCCGCAGCTTCTGGATTTGTCTGACTATCCTGGATAGAGCGCATGGTGCTGCTGGATGGCCCTTCGCTAGACTGGACCAGCAGGGGTTTGCCTGGTCGCACTCCTCTGGGAACAGCTCTGTCATCTTCAGGTGACACAGCCGGGATAGGCGCCTCCGAACGCGCTTCACCACCTGCAATGCAGCAAGATACAGAAAAACACATTCATAGGAATTATATCTTGCAAGCCCCTAGTTCAGACTGTTGCTTTGTCTTGATTAGATGGATGGGGGCATGCATGAAGGTCACCTTGTGAAAAGGCACTAGCCTGCTCAATAGCGAATACAGGCTGTCCCAGCTGCAGGATCCCTGCATCGGTGTCACATGCATATGAGACCTTTCTCCAATGAAAATTACGTCAGTATATCAGTGCACTCTTCTCGAAAGCATTGGCCTTTCTTTACACAAGGCTGCGAACCTATCAAGGATAGCACAAAAGCACGTCGGGAAAGCCCATCTCCAAAGACGATGTGGCGTTCGTCGTGATCATCATAAATCTTCTGCTGACAATGCACGATGCATGGCACAAGCCTTTTATGGCTTGGGGCACTCGCATGTCCAGCGACAGCTGGACCACACAGTTTGTGACGGGGTCTTGGAAACCACAGGGGCTTCGAACATGGTGAGCTGTGCCAGCAAATTTGCATTGCTGATGTGTGCCTGATCACCAATTCAATATTCGCACCACGGACAGCCAGGCATTCATGATTGATCGTCCCAAACCAAGAGGGCATCGGGACAGCGGCGTCCCAACCACAGACTAGTTTCTTCCTGCTGCGTCGTCCTTATCGATCTTCTAAACTCATGGTGTACATACTCTCAAAGCTCTATATTATATAGTATCATCTGTACTTTTCAAGTGCACAGAAAGCATGTCGTCAGATGAAGAGGCAGAGCAATTTGTGGGAGACGAACAAACTCTGCACGGCGACAGCCAAGTTGTAGCAGACCTTGCAGGCGGGGATGAGGCTCCAATTGATGATGAGGACAGCGACGATGATACGTCAATGCCTGAAGAAGATCATAATGCCCAGGATGAGTCAGTGCACGCTTTCGAAGGACACACAGGTAGGAAATGTGGCAAGCAGATCCAATCTCACCTTGCCGATGATCATGATGGGATTAGCGTGACAATCCTTGTGGGGCCTGCAGGCGCTGTATTTGCTGTAGCATGGCACCCGAACTCTGACCTCGTGGCAACTGGCGGTGCGGATGACAGAGTGTTCCTTTGGCAGGTATGCACAGCAGCAAAGGACATTGTTGTTGCCTAAGGATGTATTTTCTATCCAAAGTAGTTTTGACACAGAGACAAAAAGCCATGCAGACCAAATGCTAGGCACACTTAAGTATGTTTATTGTGCAGGTTGGAGATGATACAGGGGCCTCAACAGCAGAGCTGAGTGGCCATACAGACACGGTGCGGCTTCACATCTTGCAGATATGCTACACATGAGGCAGTCAGCACCAATTAAAGGTGCTTTGTAAGTCTTGACGTTGCGAGATCATTGGAAAGTGCCCGCTCTAACTGAGGCAGGGACTGAATTCAGAGTGCTCTATAGGTGGCCTCACTCCGCTTCAATATGAGTGGCAGTCTCCTAGCTTCCGGAGGCCTGGACGGTGCGACTCTCGTTTGTAGCAAGGCATGCTCAACTTTATGTGACAACAGAAATGCAACGTGGGTGAGCATGGTTGGTTGAGTCGGATTTTTTCATTCCGCAATAAGGTGTGTCTGCTCTGCAGGGCATGTTGGAATCTGGGATACGGCATCAGGCAGGTGCAAGCACAGCCTGGAAGGGCCCGGTGGAGCCATTGACTGGGTGGACTGGCACCCTCGTGGGGACATTGTTGTGGCAGGATCAGATGACTTCACAGCTTGGCTGTGGAATGCCCAGACAGCAGCATGCATGCAGGTGGACTCTCGCTTTCACCATGACATTTCAGAAGCGATGTGATATGAGATCGTTTGTTCTGGAACAAACTCATGTGCGGGGCATTCTGGCCGTCTAAGCCTTGTGAGCCGATGGTCCCACAGGTGTTCACAGGGCACAGCGGGCCGGTGAGATGTGGTCGTTTCACACCAGATGGGAAGCTGGTCGTGACAGGGGGAGGTGAATATGATGCAAGTCTTCGCGTCTGGGACCCCAAGAGTGGAACATGCCTCAAGACCATGCAGGGGCAGCAGTTCCATCCAGTCGGTATGCTGCTTGTGTCTCTCGCTTCGTTGAATTTTCTGAGACACTTATTTTTAGGCTGGTCAATGCCATGTCCTGAATTTTGGGCACATATATGCAGGGCTCACTGCGCTGGATGTCCATGCAGACTCCACAACTGCCATCACTGGAGCAGAAGACGGCTCTGCCTGTCTGACCAACATCCAGTCTGGCCGCATTCTTGGCAGGCTGACAGGTGCAGACCCTGGATATCTATGACAAGATTTCTACGGTCTGACACCCATTGGATCGCTTTGCATTCAGTGTGACATGTGCTTGACGAGCACATCCTGGCTTCAGGTCACACGGACTCCATTGAGGCGGCCCACATGTCAGCAGTGATGCCATACAGTGCGACGGGGAGCGTAGATGGCAACCTTATAATATGGGACACTGCTACTCTGTCCGTGCGATCAACTTGCCAACACCCAGAGGTCAGCCTTGAGATTCCTCACCCACACCTTGAATGAAAGTGTTCTTTCTTGCGCATTCTGATATTTGCTGTCTGTTGGGGACAAGATGTTTGTGTCTGAAGTGTCCTGCTTACCCCTTGCAGGCTGTTGTGAAGCTGGTGCTCCACCCCAGCCAGCCCCTTGTGTACACTGCTTGCCTGGACGGAGTGGCGCGCTGCTGGGATGCAAGAACAGGTCAACAATTGTCCCTTGTGCGCAGATGTGGCTTCTTTATATTTGAGCATGCGTCGATTGGTTTGTGATAGTGAAGAAAGGAGTGATTGACTCCCACAAGCTCGTGGTGGTCACGGTTGTGCCGCTTGATGACAGGCACATGCACGCAACAGTGGACCGGGCATCAAGAGGGCATTCAAGACATTGCTGTCAGCAGGGACGGTAATTCTGTTATCACAGGAAGCGACGACAACACTGCTCGTGTGTTTACACTACGCTGATGCACAAAGGGCCGTTGAGCGGCTTGAGAGAATTTGGGCACATTGTCCATGAAGTGTTTGTCTCAAACAATGCATGTACCTCAGTCTTCACTGGCTGTTGAGAACATCCTGTAATACGTCTGCTTGTCACTCGTCCTTCCTTTTCGCTTCATCCTTAGCATCATGAGTTGCACCTGCTCGATCATCTCATTGCCAGGATCCAGTCTGCGTGCCTCCACCAAATCTTTTGCAGCTTCCTGAAGTGGCACAGAGAAATGTCTGTTCTGCGCTTTCATGGTTCTTGCATAATGGGATAACTTTTTCCTATGGAGAGTGCTCTATTCTTATTTGAATGAAAGTGCTCACCTGATATTCATGCATGAAGCAGTGGCATTTGGCTCGGCGTATGAACCCCTTGACATTGTTTGGCTGGCTAGAAATCGCTGCACTGCAAGACTGGGCAGCAGCTGCGCATTGTTTCAAGCCCAGCTGAACGGCGGCAATATTTAGCTGCACTGTTGCTGTGTTCTGGTCGATTTCCCCTTGGTCAGCCTGACTTATTGCTGAGATGACACTGACAATTGAGAGTGCCTGCTTGTAGTGCCAGATTGCTATTTCCAAGTCCCCCTTCCTGAAGAAATCGTTCCCTCTTCGTCGCTGGTCAAGCTGCATGTGCAAAAGCTCCAGTCACTGGATAGCAGGAAGCTGCATCATGACGACTGAATCAATGCCAGGGTATACCGCTGGACAGCTCAGGTGTATGAGCCGCACATGCTCATTCAACGCAGGCACAAGCTGATCTGATGCCAGCCGCGCAGGCTGCTCTCCTGATGCGAGAGCGGCAGGCAGAGAGTCATTTTTGGCACCCTGTGCCTGCAATGCAAAATTGACACGGTGTCTACATGCACACAGCCAAAGAATATAACAAAACCGGGAAACAGGAACCGGTGTCTTAGGTGGTGAGCGGCCAAGACTACCTCCAGGTAGGCGGCGAAGGTACTCCCCATTTCTTCATCTGTCATGGCGCCTTCATCCAACAACTGCTTGGCTCGAGTCAGCATTTGGATGACCGAGGGATTTGCAGCCCACTTTCCAAAGTCACCATCATCATCATTCACAAAGGTTTGAATGATACTCCTTAAGGATGGGATCTTCAAGAAAGGGGCAAGCAGCTTTTGCACTTCGTAGTCCGTCTCCAACACCTGTGTGGATGGAAACTAGTAGTCTGAAAGCAACTTCTTTGAACGCATCCGAACAATGAATGAGTGACAGAATCTTACCCTGTCCCGAAAATCATGTGCCCTTTGATTTTCTTTTTGAAGTAAAGCCCGTTTCAGCTGCTTCCGTTGCTGTGTCTGCAGAAGCCTTTGGTTTTCTGGTCGCTGGATGAACTGTTGAAAACTGTGCTCCTGGTCGGAGAGCATTATGGACTGTCGTACTATTAATCTCCTCTTGACTAAGAACCAATCTTTAAGTTTATGAGTCACTCTCGCCGATCGATAATTTCGAACTGCAGAATGTACCGAGTAACAGTCCGTAACGCTTGCAGGCGCTTTCGGAAGAGGTGTCGGAAGAGGTGACTCATCCCAAACATCCATCTTGGATAGACAAACATCATCCGGACTTTAAGATTTCTTTGAAAATTGAGCTGACATTCTCATGCCTGATCAGCATCTAATTCATGCTTCAAATCTGAGCTAGAGCTATTGTCCTGGCTTGGAGTCCATGGCCATTTCATATGGCCATGGATGATGCAAGTTGCATATTACTTATGATCATCACTGATGACAGCATCAAGATGATCAATCGATCGCATCAAGATGATATCATGAAGATATTAATGTAACCATTACAATTTGTACAGGTGGCAATGGTGCAGGGTTACATGTAGCAGAGGCCATCATCCTCACCACAGCTGACTCAACTTCCGGCGAAGCTGGAACAAATGGTGCTCATCAACTTAGGTGCATTAGACTCAGCAGAGTTCTAGAGTACGCAGATGACGAATGTCACTGGACAGCAGCCACGCAGAGACATCCTCATGCATTCTGCGGGGCCTGCTCCTGATCTGGCGCAGGCCCTGCAGCGCGCCTGAAGCGACCGAACGACTGCCAGAATCTGGGCGCGGCACTGCTTTTGACGCTGGTGCGCTTCCTGAGCGCAGCAATCAGGGTCTCTTTCTCAAAGAGCAGGGACTCCTTCAGGGCCAGGTGGGCCTTGGCGCCTGTCAAGAGGGCATCGGCCGAGGACAGGTTGGCCTCCGCCCCCGCCAGCTCAGCAGCCACTGCATCATAGCGGGTGTTCAGGTCTGCCAGCAGCCCCCGCTTCTCTGCAATCTCTTCATCTGCCGCCGTGAGCTTGCCGCGCAGCTCGTTCTCTGTCACTACCAGGGCATCTGCAGCCACCTGCATGCAGGATGCAACATTTACATCATGCCATTCCCAGCCACAATACCCTCTATCACAAAAGCGCCTGAGTCTAAATTTTTCATGTTAAGAGCTTATTATAGCACTTGGAAGGAGCTGAGGAAGCTGGGGGTGGGGCGTGCCTCGGTATCATAGCGCCGTGCCTCTGCTGCAAAGAGCTCCTCTTCAAGTAAGTCGACCAGGTTCAGCATCTGCTGTGCAGCTGCACTCCGACCAGGTCCTTCCTGTGGGCATCACAGAAACCAATATCAGTCAATACAATGCACTATACAATTGATCATCATGAACAGTGCATTTCTTCATGACATGCTGATGTCCTGCTCCTGGCAATGCTGCACAATGCAACATCTTTCAGAGGGAACGCATGATGACGGAGCTGTAGCAGATGGAAGCTCGCACCGAGCTAGCTTTTGGTTGGTCCTGCACACTTGTGTGACGCGAAGGAAGGCCTTCTCCTGCAGGACTGCTTTCAAGCGAAGGTGCCTCTGCGCTGAAGGACTGATCCTGGTCCTCTGGGTCGGCCCCCTGTTGCTGCTGGTTCCTGGTGGCCCTCAATTTGCCGGTGAGTGCAGAGGTTGAAGCCACTGCGGCACTGCTTGTCTGCTGCTGTCTGCTTTTGCCTGCAGGATCATCTGCCTTGCTGCTGTCTGTGCTGGGCATCCCACCTGCGTCTCTTTCCCCTGCCTCGACAGTGACCGAAGGGGTAGCTGCAATCTCAAATAGAGCTGCCGCTGCTTGGGACTGGCCCTGCTGCTGTGAGGCCTCCGGTCTCTGCATGGCTGCTTTGCTGCAAGCTTGTTCAGGGTGCGCTGGCTGTGGGTCGGACACACTCTGGTGGCCGACGCTGCCAGCAGTCTCCTCCCCTGTGCACAAGTAGTTGGTGTCAAATCACAATTTGGAGGCAAAAAAGGCTTGAAATCTCACGTGAGGCGTAAATTGCCAAGAAATTGTCTGTAAGCAACGATATTCATGCATTGCCAGGTTGGCTGGCTGAGGACAGGACTTCAGAGCGTTCAGCAATACAACGCGTGATAGAGGTGGCAAATAGGCTGTGTGCCAAAAGCGTTCAACCGTTTATGAATTGATCAGGATTTTAGAGCGAGCAGGGAGAGCAAGGGTTGAAACGAGCGTCGGCACCTGTTGGAGGCTGCCGACGGCGGGCGGCTGCCAGGTTGAGGCGCGGCAGGCGGGCGGCCAGGTCGCTGCTCAGGGCGGCCACCTGCTCGTACTCTGCGCCCTGCAGCGGCGCCTCGCACGGCACCGCCGCTACCTCCTGCCGCGCTGCCTCCCCACTAACGTGCCCCCCGGCGAGGCCCGCGCAGGCGTCCTCCGTCAGCAGGGTGTTGGACAGGCGCGACAGGTGGCGCAGTGTGTGCTGCACAACCACACCAGCCCAGATCGCTCAGGCAGCCCTTTCACTTAATGACCAGCACAGCGCCCCACATTAGCAAATCAGTCTGCTGGGCTGAGTTGTGGCAGGGTGGTGACTGAGCAGACAGACCTGCGAGAAGGTGGTGATGTCGTTCCAGGTGGGCGTGGCGTGCCAGGAGGACGTCGAAGCGGCGCTGGTGGGCGATGCAGTCTCAGCGTCAGAGTCACTGCGCGGCGTGCTGCACGGGCTCGGCTCCGGGGACTTGGCCGCCACTTGCTCTGGCGCTGCCTCCTTCACCGGTTCTGGAACCACCTCCTGTTGCGCACAGTCCAGCCCACAGCTTACGGCGGGCTGTTGCATATTCTTAACACCTCCCAGAAGGAAGATGAAGCTGAGAAAAAATTACTCTGGCAGACAGCGCTCGAAGGCATGCATTCAGGGACGCCTTTCACCTCAGCGCACACGAGCTGATCCGAGCTTGGCTCGTCTGCCTCGGGCCGCAGGCTGCCCATGAGCGGGAGGTAGCTCCTCCCCTGCTCACCGCCCTCCTCCACAAGCGGCTGCCCGGCTGGCAGCGTTGCAGGCGCCCAGGTGAAGCTCAGGCCCTCATCCTCGTCTGATTTTGAGCGCATCACCTCTGGAGGCTTTCCAAAGCAATCCTGGACGCCACAAATCACATACAGTCTACAACCGCCAAGGGGTGAAGGTCATTGCCTTTAAATTGCCATCCTGCTCTGGATTATTTCTTGAGATTGCACTGCAAACTTGCTAGCCATCCACAGCCTGGATTGGATTGGTTCCTGACCTGGAACTGCTTCTGAACGGTGGAGAAGAACTTTTCTCGCAACCCTTTGATGCACACCGAGTCGATGTGAGCATACGCGATGCAGGCAACATCGACCAGGCGCGAGCTGTCGTACGACATGGGCGCCATGTTTTGCAACAGCGAGAAGGCGTCAATGCTGTCAACCGTTGCCACGAGCGCCTGCCAGCAGATAAACAACCTCACATCATTTGAAACTTGGTGGCAACTCCATATAATTTGATCCATCTCAAGGACAACATGCATGCAGCACATGCTAAGTAAACGGTGCACATGCGCATCAGTACCTGGGCATAGATGTCCACCAGAGCCATGGCCACTCTGAAGAGGACGGAGGAGCACTGCTCAAAGAAAAAGATGTCCCACACGCGCAGGCAGGTCTCCAGCGGCAGCGAGTTGACGAAGAGGCAGAGGAACCACTGCGTGGAGACGCCGGCCACATGCGCTCCCAGGGAATCCAGGTGCGAGGACAGGCGCGGGAAGCCAGCGTCCACCAGATGCCTGAACACCAGTTGATCCACCTGCCAGGGCCAACCAGCCCAGTGATGCAACTTACTGTGCTAGAAAAAGCATGAAGCTATAGCTGACACTCCTAAAGGGAGTGCTTTCATTGCGAGGTGGCGCTGTCAAGGTAGTGGGCCACCTGTGGCTCCACCATGGCGGTTGAGAAGTAGCCTGGCAGCAGGTCCTCAATGACACACGCCAGCGACCAGAACGCATCCTCCTCATCCATGAATAGCAGCAGGCACCCAGCGACAAAGTTCATGCCCTGCACGAAGACAGCGCACTTTTTCTGACATCCTTCCTTGGCACCCAGGTTCAGAACCACAGTGCATCTGCAGTGACCTTTGTGAACATATGAGGACACCGTCCAGGAGCGGGGCACATGTTAGGGGCAAGAGAAGTTCTGCACCTGGCAGTAGCCGACAGATGGGTTGCGGCGTGCGTACGCGGCCAGCAAGCGTCGCAGCGCATTGCGGCCGCTGCTGTCCATGACAGGGTGGCCTGGGAAGGTCCTGTGCAGATCCTTCTCAATCTGCATGTTACAGTCGGTGTTGTGCCATGATGCCGGCCGCCTCTCTGCCTTGCCAGGCCCTGACGATGGCCCAGCTTGCTGCGCAATTCCTGCCCTGGCTGTAGCTGCAGCCGCGATGCTCCTTTTCTGGGACTCGAGAAGAGCGATCTGTGCAAATTTGGCTATGTCCAAGTTGAAGGGGCTCTCCGATGCTTGCGCTGTTGCATCTGCTGCAGAGTGCGCATCGTTGCTCATGGGTGCTTCAGACTGGAGAGGCGCTGCCGCTTCAGCGTGCTGTGACTCCACACCATCTCCCTCAGGCTGGTGGCTGGTGGTCTGTGCTGTCTCATCTTTGCTTTGTTTCTGCACATGGCAGTCACGTCATTACAAGCTCCCCTTAAATACATGGCGGGGTCCTTTCCAAATCGAGTCGGACATGTGAATACACTCCTGTGAAGCGCGGGTCTACCTTTCCATGGAAGCGCTTCCCAAGTGCCTTGGAGACGAGCTTGTCATAGGCACCGGGAATCCTCTTCTTCCCTATATTCAAGAATCCCTTCCACAGCTGCCCGCGCATGGACTGCAGCATGCACCCCCACAGAACTCAGCCATGACAAGAGGACAGACTTAAGGTCACTTGCTCCTCAAGAATAGCAGAAGACAATTTAGCCCTGCAGCCTCACCATTGGAATGCCTGCCTGCACCAGGGATCGCAGGGGCTGGTACCAAGGTGGTGGGTCAGCTGCATCATGTCCGCATGCAGCGCGCCAATCAAGCAGTGCTGTCACCAGGGCCTCTACACTTGCCTTTTCCTTCTCCTCCCTTCACCAGTTCCATCTCTGTGATGAGAAGTGATCGAGAAATTTGTACTAATGGGGAGACATCTCAGGGGCAAAGGAGAGCTCAAGCAGACCTGATTGGATCCTGCGGTGTGTTTTCTCCAAAGTTCGTTTCTAGCAACACCGACCACCTCTGCGTGCGCTCGGTTTCCTCCTTTTCCCAGAGTGGGGCATATCTTCTGTACAACTCCAAGAATTCCTTCTTGACCTGTGATGACAATCATCTTCGTTAGATGTCAATCAATATACACTGCGAGTAGATGCATCACAGCAATTGTGTCACACGCTCACCTCGAAACCATAGGCATCACGATGACCAGAAGGCATTTCTATTACGATCCGTTTGTTTGAAAGTGTTGAGATGAACGATCAGGCAGTGTCAATGAAGGATTGCTACAATACTTATAGAAGATTTCAACGATCCATATCTAGAAATTCTAGACTAGGAGATGCGAGGATGATCAAGAGCATTGCACGCATGAGTCATCATGCTGCAGCTGCATGCTGGAAGGGGAGAGCGCTTGAATTCACAGACGAAATTCGAATATTCTTCGCACATTCATGTGTTTTTGAAAAATGACGTGCAGATAGTGTGATGCTGCTAATGATCCCATCAAGCATGTAATGTTCGTGGCTTACACTGGCTTTCAGCAACAGTGGACCGCAAGCGTGCCCTACAGCCTATCTGAGATACTGCAGTGACAGTCATACATGCACGGTACCGGTCTGGAAGAGAACCAGGCTTGGTTGTTTTAAACATCCCCTCAGCCAGACAAAGGCAAACAAATCCAAAAACACTATGTGGTCGCATGCCAATTATTTAGCAAGTTCAGTATCTGTTGAGCTCGATAAGGCTGCAGCTACACTCCCTAATTCGCACCACTCGCCCACATTTCAGTCATTATTCAAGACCGCTGTCTGGCAATTTTATCGCTCGTGCATCCCCAAGCGGAGTTATTTGGCAGTTAAACCTCAGTCATAGAGGAGGTCACAGTTCACACAAGCAAAGCAGAGCGCTCAGGAGGGATGCCATTACCTTCGGGAACACTTTGTGAGAGGAGAGTCATGAGACCGACTTGAGGAAGTCATCAATCGCCAGGTTGGCATCTCCATGCGCCACTGCAACAGGAGCAGGCAGGAACAGCCGATTGGCACTATTTTTGCAGTCTAGAACTGCATCTGTAGATTTCCCTCCTGTAAGCACAACACACAAGGCTGTAATTGCCACCGAGGACTTTATGAGGCAAAATGTTCAAAATCAAGCAAGCAGAGCAGAATAAATTCCAATGGAGGGCTTGGATGACAATTGCAGAAGCATACCTGCGGCCAATGTCACCACTGCCCCATGATCTTCGAGCCATTTTATGCACTGCTCTGTGGCAAGCTCAGGATCGTCCTGCCACAGGAGCCAAGCAGACATGTCAGCTGTCTACCTTCACTCTTGTTCTGTGGCAATCCTGCTGAGAATACACCATCATGGGTTGCAGGGCCAGATCAACTTGCAATGGTAGAGTTTGCAGTAGCACCTGTGGTGCGTGCTTGCCAACAAATTCTGGCAGTCTGGATCCAGGCAGGGGTATGCCAGCAGCCACAGCAGATGGCGCTGTCCTCTCGTTGTTGTCTGCTGCCGCCAGAAAGCCCAGGATGCGGGTCAAGAACGGCAGCTGCACGTGCGGCTTGTGCGCCCTCACAACCATGTTCAGCCCAGCATATCTGAACCGTTCAATGAAGATGTCCATCAGCGCCCGGCCCATGCTGGGAGCGGTCCCGTAGAGCCTGAACAGTGCCTTGTAATTGCTGCAAAACACTGCTTCTCGAACCTGCACATGCCACAGCATCATCCCTTAGCACCCTGCACTGCTCAAGGTCCCTCTTCCCAGTAAGAAGGGAACGTCCACAGACATCATAATCAATATGTGAGTAGCAAGGAAAAGCTGCTTACCTCCAAGGCATGCTGCACGGCCGGGTGACTGCCTTCCTGCAGCATTAACTATGAATCAGTGAGCAGCAGCGAAATCATCAAGCACTTGCTTAAGAGAAAGCGAACAGAAGAGCGCGCGGAGGCCGTACTCTGGCCACGGCAGAGCGCAGGGTGTGGAGCAGTGCGCCGCTCTCCCCCTGCTTGGCGTGGGCGGTCTGGTAGAGGATGCGGTAGGCCAGGAACTCTTCGCGGCAGCCAGGAAGGCTGCTGTCCCTGTACAGGAAGTCCAGCTGCGTCTGGCACTGGTTGTATTCTGCATGATCGCCATACTCCAGAGCAGCTCGAGCATGCGCCTCATAGATGAGCACCTGTGCCAAAGCAGCGCACGCAATTGTAATCAGATGACAGCAATTCTCTTGTTGACATTCCCTGGATCATTCAGGCTGATATGCAACCTTTACGGCTGAAAAACAGCAAGCTGCCGCACCGTGAGATCGTTGCGCAGATGCTGCACGGTGCAGTCCTGGCGCATGCCCTTGAACTGGTCCAGAGCATAGAAGTAATTCTCCTTGCCCTGCCTCAGGAGGTGCACCAGGCGGTCGCATGCGCGCCGCAGCACGGCCTCCGGCCGCACAGTGGACGGCGCCGGCGCAGACGTCAGCCGGAAGTAGCTCTTCTCCAGCTCCTCCATTGTACCCTTCACCACAAACTGCTCCCAATCCACCTGCTCCACATCCTCTGCCAGCGCCGCCAGCTTCTCCTTCTGGCTCATTTGATCCTGCAGGAACGCGCAAAGCTTACAGACCCGGCTTTGTGTGTGCACGATGCAATTGGCAATTGCGTTGCTCTGGGATGCATGCAGTGTGAACGCTGAAGGTTGACTCACCCGGGGGTACACTTGCGCGTCTGGTGCTGCACCGGTCCTGAAGCGGTTGGCTCTGCTGGCGCGGCGCGCGCGCTCTCCGTCCCTGGGCAGCCTGTTTCTGTCAGCCTCGTCCTCACTCCCGCTGCTGGACGAAGATGCCGCCCGCCACGAGCGCTTCCGCTTTGAGTATAATGGAGATGGTGGCCTTCGCCTGCACAATCATTCCTCACCTTGCTTAACCTCTGCTGTACAATGCCGCCAAGTATCAGCAAATGGCTAGTGCTCTAACAAATAGAAGCAAGGAAGAAATGCAGCATGCTTCAAACCTCTCTTCCCGTGACCTTGCAAGTGACTCTGAGACTGACTGTCTGCTGAGGGTGCTAGCCCTGGCCGCCTGCAGCCATGAGGCAGGCTCTGGGGCGCTCTCCTGCATGCCAGCGCTGTTGGGTAATGGCATGCTGTCCCAGCTCCTAGTCCACAACTCTCCCTTTGCCTTGGCGTCATTGATGATCTGCTTCAGCTTCTCCTGCAGTTCGGCCCGGTCCCCACCGCGCGTGCCCTGTGCAAATGCCCGCTCTACATATGCTTTGAGTGAAGCAGGCCAGCTGTTCCCGCCGCTCCCTGCTGCAGGTCCGCTTGCCGCCTTGGCATCTGGCGCCTTGTCTGCCACACTCACATATGCCGGTGCAGCAGCGGTGCTAACAGCGACGCTCCTTCCATTCTGCAGCTTTGCCTTGGGCATCTGCGGCCGGATGAAGAACCCCGGGTACTGTCCATTGGGCACCTGAGACTGCCTGCTTTTGGGGGTGCCAACAGTGGCTGTGGTTGCTGCCTGAGAAGTGCTGGGCCTTTGTGAGACGGACCAGGGGGGAGGGCTCGCTGCTGCAGGAGCAACGCTCGCACCTGCAAACCCAAGAGAGTATTGAGCTCGTGTCAATTCAGCAGCATGCGCATTCAGGCAGGCGCGATGTGCATGCACACCTGTGGGAGTTCCTGGAGGCTGGAGAGTTACAGGCGCTGCCAGTGGCGTCGCTGATGCGGAATGGGCAAGAGCTTGTCCGTTCGGCACGTAACTGCAGGCCAAACTTGCACAGATCATTCCCAAGAAGTTTTGTGTGACAGGCACCATAAGTTCGCGTAAGGAGAATTGAGCAGCAAGGACTCTGTACCTTTGACCAGATGGGTACTGATATTGAGGTTGCGGTTGACCGGCATAGCCAGGCCACTGCTGATTCCATTGCCCTGCAGCTGTGCACTCAGCTCTCAACTTAAATAGATGGAAACAGCAAGAAACAACAATCAAAGCTTGACGGTTTCGTACCTTGCTGATAATACTGCTGCTGCTGGTAGTATGCAGCCCACGCGGCGTTTGGGTCTGCTCCATACTGGTAGCTGTTTTGTGCCGGGTAAGGGGCATAGGCTGGCGCTGGGGTCACCTGCACAATCAAGTTTCTCATATGTTGCATGTATCAGAGGAGCTACTTTGGTGAGTTGCAGTGCTTTTCTTTCGACATACCACGTTTGTGCTTGTGCTGGCAGGGACAGCCGGATGAGCGGATTGCGAAACGCCTTCTCCTGGAGGAGGCGGCTCGGATGGAAGCGGGGGAGGAGGCACTTGTCCATCGGGGGCTGGAGGAGCTGGGACCTCCTGCTGAGGATTGCCATAGTATTGTTGTGGATACTCATAGGCCTGAGGGTACGAGTGGTCTGAATTGTATGCCATTATATTTATAGGACCTACACATCGACTTCTGCAGAACAACCTCGATGCACACAGGTGTTCATGGTACACTGGTGGTTACATGTAAGGGAGATCTCAACATGAGAGCAGAATGCCGTGATCAAAAGGCGTCGAGAGATAATCTGCCTCATGCGTTTTGCGGTCAAACAGATGCATGAAATTGTTTGTGACAATTACACTAATTACTTGCCTTGGAATGCAAGAAATTTCCGCTTAGTCGATAGGAACGCCCTCGAGCGCAGGCAACAAAATTTGCATGCCGTACCGTTGGCATGGAGTCAGACTGAGTATTTTCTGCACATCAATCCTCAATCGAAGATGCTTTCATTTATCTTGCGATGATTACTTAGGACTGTGCTGATGCTTGTTGGTGTGACAATTGACACAAGACAAGTTGCTTTTATTCGCGTCGGGTTGTGTTCGGGCTCCCATTCTGTCTTCGATCATATTGAAATGACCATCATATCGCAATCAATATGACGGCCAGCTTGTACTAAACGAACAGAAATATTTCTCAGCTCGACGATCTCGCTCAACAAGATGAGGTTTGCAAGTGAAACCTCGTTCGCAGAGCTGTGCAGACAGGCAACTAACAAATCACTGCCGGGGCCGGATCCAACCTTGAATGGGATGGTAGGACGACTTGTTATGCTTCTTTGTGCAGACAATTCTGCTTTTGTCAACTAATCCGACACGAACGAAAGGGCAACCCACGATGACATCTCTTTGTGGGCACAGATAATATCACGGATAAAGAGTGGAAAGGTGCATAGCCAGGTGAGAGGTCGATGCAACATCATATCTCTGCATATTATTAGTTTCCTCCCAGCAGCTAAGAGCCGTTTTAGCAATTGCTCCCATCGTGTGAATGTCATGGAGCACAGGTGCAAGAATTTACTATGCACAGCATAAAAAAGCCATTGGTACGATTGCAGGAGGTGGTGAATGTTCTGATATCCCGGTTACAGCAGAAACGTCCGCACAAGGTTGGTATCACTGCTTGTTCATGCACCTATCGACTCTCTCCTTGCTTGAGGACCTGCTGCTGTTCTGGGGATTGCTCTGCACACCTGAACAGCCTCTCATGATTGACTGCAAGGTGCACCTGGCCCTTAACATCGTTCAGCTGGTAAGTTTCCACGTCTGACTCTGTTATCTCACATAGTGGTGCGGCTCCGGTTTCTGAGACAAAGCATTAGTCTGACAGTGCAATCAAATGCCCTCAGGTCTTCTGCGAATGCCCCAACATCTTCGAACGGCAGCAGCAGGTTTTCCTCCTCTTCAAAGCGATTCTTAGGCTGCTACACGTTACATTTTCTGGTGACTGTGAGTCCATGCTTGATATGGTGGCCAACAATGGCATGCAGGGGCAACTCTTGGGGGAGGTTTCCAGGTTCGCCCAGAGTCCCATGGATCGTTTCTCGAAGGATTTGAGGAGCGGTCAGCAGGCAAAAGTGTTGGCCTTTGAGATCCTGGGAAACATGCAAGGCGCAGCTCAGTCTCCCCGCCCGAGGTTTGGCCCCATGCCATTCGAGGAGAGATGCAAATCACTAGTCGCCAACAGGCTGCCCTTCCCATCTGCTGACCTTCTATGTCATGCCTTTCAGAGGTGCTGAGACTGGCGCTGCAGACACAGCGCATAATGAGCAGCCAGTGGAGGTGACAGAGAGCAGTGTTCGCGCTCTTATAGCAAGAGCTGAATCGCAGATCGAGCTAGTCCAGGCGGGTCACAAGTATCTGTTCCCTTTGCGGAGAGTTTCTGGTTCAAGTCACTGCCATTTGTTAAATGTTTTTGTGTTGTTCTTGTCAATATCTCTTTTTAGACGGCACACTGCTGAGTTGGCCTTAATACCTCCAGTGGTGCAGGAAGCTGTGTTGCCCCTCTGTGGAAGCGACGCCAGCACTGTCAGCGATGGTGACGCCAAGTTCCTGGATGCATCAGTTGCAGCGCTGCGAGCCTATCAGAATGATCTGGAAGGGGCCGTGAATGTGCTTGCCAGCCACAGCTCAGAGGCAACTTCAAGACTGATGTCTGAGTGCCTGAAATCAGTGGACGCTCTGCACACTACCATGGCACTTCACGATGAGGTGATGGTGCATTTCAACAAGTTGCTGCCCCCATTTGCCAAGGAACCTTAGTTGACAGCGCTCTGCATCTTTTTGGCCTTGCTGAGTAGCTTCATGTTGTGCCTTGATACTGCATGCATGCCAGCGCCAGACATGCAGAGTGCACACCGCTGCAGGTGATGCAAGCCAGGCAAATCCCACCTACAGAGACCCCACCCATGCATACCTCACCCACCCCTACCCAGCCCACAGTGCCGCCGCAGCAACAACCAGAGTCTCAAACCCTGTTGCCAGGCTTTGACTCTCACGAGTCTGGCCCATCTGCTCGGTGAGTAGACACCACTCAGATCTTGAGCACAGGTGTTGTGCAACATGGCCTCTTGCATCGCAGACGTTAATAGCTGGTCTTATTCAGCAAGATTCGTCTCGTTTATGTGGGGAAATGCACCAGCAGGGCGGAGGCAGGACAGGGGCTTCAAGCTCCAGCAACAACAACTACAGATCAGAGCGTCCTCAAGCAGATGGGCTGGCTTTGATGGAAGTGGTTGTGCCTGGCCCGTTGATGTAATGTCACAGGAACATTGAAGATCCATCAGTACAGAGTCTAATGATATCGACGTTCTGGCTTGGTCCCAATGTATTGTCGCAGAATGTTCTGGCAGGGATATTGAGGTTGTGTGAGAGCATGCCTGCACAGCATCAATTGTCGCTATCTGAAGCCCAGACATGCAAAGCATGAATGCCATCCAATGCAAGATGCCTGCAGTATCGGGATAATGAATCCCTGGGACTCCTGAGAATTCGAAGGCTAGATGGTCTCTTGGGTGAGGTCAATGTCTGAACACATCACTGATGGCATAATCATAACAACCCGTACAATCAGCCTCTGGGTTTCTGATTGCAGTGTGTGAGCTTAATTATTTCATGTAACACTGCCAGAGGCTACCATAGTCTGTATATATGATACTGTCACAATTGCAAGCTTGCAAGATACTTGCAAGGGACTCTGCATGACGCACCGCTGCGATATTGATGGTGACACATGACTGTATGTGACAATTCAGGCTCTCAAACACACGTGCTCAGCAGCTTATGCACTGCATCATGTTCCGCAATCATAGCTACTACGAATGCCATCAGGTCAAGAAGGCCATTCGCTCCACAGGGGTGTGATTGGCATATGTTGGTGCCTGACTCCAATTTCTAAGACTACAGTAGTCACATCCAGCATACCCCAAAACTGTAATGTAGATGGTGCTAAAGGAGATGGCTCACTGAACATGCTCGAATTATCTGGACCTCCTGCAACTGGGTCACTTTGCACAGCCACTCGCAGCCTGATACCGGCAGTGCACGCTTGGCGCCAGCACCACTCATTGCACTGCTTTGGTTGGAAGTGCTACGCATAGAGCACTCTTCCTCTGGGTTGGACTGTCACCTAATGCTTGCTTGTTCTTCTCAGTACAAGCGAACCTTGAAGACCAGGGCTGACACGATGTTGCCGATGATGATTGTTGCGGCAATGATGCTCACAAAGTCAGATATCTGCACAGCACCACACGACCAAGTTTCTTTGGAGATTCCCGACCCAGGGAATTTAAAGGCTTTGGATATAGCATGAATACAGATTGTGAGGGTCAGAAAACAAGGAAGGTGAGGATGATGTCAGCTCTTTAATTAGTACCTTTGCTTGGTTGTTGACCTTGGAGCGATACAGGCTGAATATACCGTACAGCAGAGGCGGAGCTGAAAGAAGTATTAACTCTGCTGGATTTAGCCCAAACCCTTGTGAAGTGCTTGCTGCGACGTCTGCAAAATCCTCAGCCGAAGCACTGTTACCCATCAAGAGGGCTGATAGTGGGAGCTGCAAAGCATTTTGCGAAGATTAGCAGCAGGTAATGGGTAGATCTGCATGAAACAACAGGCAATTTACAAATGAAGCTGATTGAATCCAAAAGCATGAGCTGTACTGCTTTTACCGTGCATGGAAGGATTGCTCTTGATGTTGAAGTCTGTGCTGGCGTCTGGACTTCCCGATGCAAAGCAGCAACCTGCAGACATTTTTCTTCATTTCAAAAATTTGTACAGAACTGAGCTTTGAGGGTATCACTGCTGGCCAGCAATAAAGTGATCAACCTTCTGTGGAAGATGACGTCTGGATGATCTGGGTTTTCGCGATCCAAATCCTGGAGGCGCAAGTCCCACAAGAGTCCCGGAAACACCTTTAAGCGCCATTTTTTTCAGAAGTCTTTCCTTAGAAATTCGATATTTTAATCAAGGTCCTTGCATAAAGGAAATCAATCTAGCTGACGGTGTGCTGAATCGTATCTGGATGAGGCCTGTTTTGGCCGACCTGTCATTGCCAGCATGCCAGGAAGGGACAGGTGTTCCTAGCTCGGGATCTTTTCATGCAAGGTGCAAAGAATGTGCAAACTCTTACGCCAAGTGACATCACGATCCAATGAAGCCAACCATATTCATAGGTTGCATCTTTAAAGATTTGTGCAGCCGGCTTGCTGCCGCCACGGCGCCGCGCCGGCGGCCGGGCCGGGCCGGCCATGCCAAGTGGTGACCAAGCTCGTGGCATGCCTTCCATTCATTTTCTCAATCAGCCAACTAACCATGCTTCTTGTGGCTGAATAGCAAAGAGGGCCTCCACAGTAATGCTGCTGTGCATCCCTCCTCTCAAGTCTACTAGGTCTCAACGGTGCATCTTATAGTCATCTCATCGCCACAGCAACCTTTCTACAACAGTCCTCCACTTCAGACCACTCAGATACCAGAATTCGCCTGCGATGTTTATTCCTACTTCTTCTTAGCCTTCTTGTCCTTCTTCTTGGCCGCTTGCTGCCCAACAGGTTTCTGGGGGGCCTCTGCCTGGCCCCCGAAAACAGTGTTGGCCCAGCTCTCAATGGCAGCGCCATCCTTCATCACAGTCAGGAGCTCCCTCCTCACGCTGTCCCTGGTCTCGGCCTCCGCGAAAAGGAACACCGCAGCCAGGACCTGCACACATGTAGCTATCGTTAATTTGCCACGCCTTTTTTTGCATCCTGTCTTTCTCAACAGGTGCTCTCATGCTTAGCAGGTCAAGTGGGGTCCAGTGGAATACATTTTGACATGAAGAGGGTACAAAGGTGTCAAACCCACAAAGAGTGAAAGTTGCAAAAAAGAGTCACTTGCCTTTGCCGCATGGCTGCTTGAAAGATCTTTGCATCGGCCCTTCATGCTGGACTCCCACAGCTTGGAAGCAACCTTGCGCGCATCAACCGCTCCGCTGTCTGAGCCCTGGCCTCTTCCGATCAGCTTCTTCAGCGCACGACTGCCAAAGTAGTTCTCCATCACCCGCTCTGCTCATCAGAAGGAAATGTCAACATTGTACCAGGGCTCTAGCGAATGCAGTATCTTATGAGTACAAATCCTGCAGATGCTTCAAGAAAGTAAAGGTGATTTGAGGCACAGGGAGAGCACACACCTGTCAACCCCTCGCCTGAGGTGCTGGGCTCTTCTGCAGTTGCTGCCACAATTGCATCCTGCACAGCTGCAACGCCCTCTGGGCAGGCAACCGTGAGAAGACCTGCAATATATGGCATGGCGTGAGCTGAAGTCAACTGAAGCTTTTCGAATGGACTCTCCTTGCATTCAAACAGTTGGAAAGGCCAATATGTTTAATTTGGTTATAGAATAAATACAGTAATGATAAATATAATTCGGTAATACGGTGACTTTGGTAAGAGATTGAGCTATGACTGTAAACCTCCTTCGGCCCCACATGCGGCCTCCACCAGCAAGTCAGATCCTTTCGGATTGAGCAGCAGCTTTGTCGCATTGGCTGCGCATACTGTCGTCAACTCTGTGGCCAGGGATCCCTTGCCGCTGCCAAGAAGCTCCTGCCGCCTCAACCCTGCATCCTTCTTGCTGAACCCAGGCACCCCTGATGGGCTTTCCTGCACAAAGTCAATCAATCGCCTACATCAGAGGCGGCGGTCCTTGTTGTCTGACAAGACACCTCAACCTGAGGTACTTGAGGGGCTGTACTTCCGTCCTGAAAACTTTCAAGATTGGGCTCAGCAAAATTGAATGAGACCCACCTCGCTGGGTTCATCGGTAGTCGCTGCTGTGGCTTCCGAAGCAGGCTTGCTGGCGGTCACGGCAGCGTGGTGAGGAGCGAGGAGGGCAGAAACATGTGGTGGCACATATGCACGACTGCTGGGGGCAAGGAGGTGCAGAAATATCTGGCACGCAACCTTGTGCTGGCAAAGCTCTTCCAAATCCCCCTGTCAAGCGCTCAGCCTGTTCAGCATCTTTTGACCAACACAGCTAGAAAGAGCGAAGGCGCGCAATGCAACAACCCCTGGGTAACTCAAATGGATGAAGAAAGACATGGACCGTAGGAGCAACTTACCAGCAATTCAGGGACCAAAGTCTTGCGGAGGAGGGCTGTGTCATCCGTGTGCTCCAGCGCAGCCATGACAACAATGTGCGCCCATTCATCACATGCCATGACCTTCACATGCCCTGGTCACCACAAAGATACTGCATGAGCTGCGTATTTTAAGTTCATTTGACGGTCTACAAAAAGCTGTATAAAGGCTTGCTCGAGATCACTACCTTTCATGGCCTTGACGACCTTTTTGCGCTGCTTGGCGGTGGCCATGGCTAGCACTTGGCATGCAGCAGTGGCGCCGTGGTGCGAGTGCACCATGTGCAGCAGATTGGGCCCAGCCAGCATCTCCACAGCATCTGCCACAGCACTGGCTGGGGCCGCTTCCATGTACTCTGCCACAAGCCTGTAGCACAAGATCGTTTTGGACACTGTAAGGGACACAAAACGACGCAATTGAATTGGGTGCTCGCGGCGAATTTGGCCGTTCATTGAGATTGCATGCCGCCGCACCCGTGCACTATGACGGGGTCAAGCAGCCCCTTCTCCATGATTGGAATAAGGTTGATGCTCATCTGCTGCATCACTTTGTACTTGGCCGTGTCATCCATGCTGCTCAGGGTCTCCGCAAGATTTTTGGGAGCAGCATCCTGCACCACAGCTTGCCCATCAGGTCCTGTTACAAAGTTTTTCTCATTAAAGCAAACTGAGCAGATCTTCCAACGCAAGCGCTTGGGGAGAGCGAAAAGGAAGCAGCACCTGGCTGAAAAGGATCATCTCCCTGCCATAGAACTCAGCTGCCAGGACTGTGCGCTGCTTGCCTGAAGCGCGTAGGTACAGCTCGTTGATGACCCTCGAGCCGCATGGGTGGCGCAACAGTTTGACCACCTGGCCCTTGAAGGCCTTGAGAAAGCCTGCGGCATCATGTGAACCTTCATGGGACAAGGGAGTGGGCTTCTGGAAGGTATCTCATCATCATCTTCCCTGATCATCTATGCTATGAACAGACATGAAGGCATGTACAGGCAGGCCTCAGAATGGTTGGTTGTCATCCTTGGAATCAGGTAGATAACGCAGTATTGAACATCATAGGCCTGCCTTATACAGATACGGATCACCTTTGAGGGCTGATAAAGAAATGGTACTTCACCTTCGGTTGCTGATTTTGGCGCTGTGTCAATCAGCTTACACACCAAGTGATGGGCATAGGGGCTCTTTGACAGCTCTAGAAAAGAGGGCTGGAGCTCTTCCAGGATCTGGGCTCTCTGGTTAGGGTTGCCATGCTTCACACAAGCTTGCAGGACGCGCGAACCAGTCTTGGAGGCCGCCATGCGCGTGAGATCTCCCTTGAGCTAGAACAGACAGCGATGTCAACGTCACTACTATTCTCATTCAAGAATATTTTGTGAGAAAGCATACAAAAGAAGCTCTGCAACCATAGGCGCCCTTTTTTTCGAGGGTCCTCACCTCCTTGAGGAGAGTGCTGATCAATTCCTCTCGCTGCTTTGATTCCGTGTCATGCCGCCGCAAAGTTTCCCACTTCATGATCGCATCCTGTGAATGCCACCTCGTTTTAAATATGTGCAAGTGTTGGTCACACTGACGCCTCACAGCATACTTCAAAAACATCTATGCTACCTGGACATTCTGGGGGCGATGTTTACGCTGCCTTTCCTGGTGTTGTCCAGATGCAGGAACATCTCTGCGAAGCACAAAGAACACCTTATAGTTGGCCTCAATAACCCACGAGGTGCTTTGTGCCAGCAGCAAGCAGGGTTTATAGAAATAGTATTCACGCACTTGGCATCGTGGGCTGGTTCAGGAGCTTTTCGCACGTCCCTTTTCGCGTCGGTACTCGCTTTTAATCTCTTTGCAGGACTCTCCTCTTTTTGGCCACCGACTTTGCGTTTGGCCTTCTGCTCTTTCATCTTTTTAAAGCTTTGCGGAAACAAAGTATCACCTCTTTACTTTTTGACGTCGACAAAATTGTACTTGCAGATGTTCGTCTCAATTGTTCGGGCATCGGGCAAATGCCGCCAGCAAAGAAATCCTCGCTCTGTGCACGTGCACGCAGGTGCTCGCAGCAGGCCCAGCACTTCCGTTCTTTGTGGGCTTTCTGCGCTCTGGTCAGATCGATCCAAAACCAATTTTCGTTACGAGGTACGATGGATGCTCAAGAAGAGTCTGCTCGGAAGCGTCAACGATTGAGCGAGGAAGAATCCAACATCTTCCTCACACTGGTATAATCCTTCTCTCGTTTAGTATTGTGCGATCGGACTGCTGAATTGTGCGCTTCGTCAGATCCCGAATAATTGCTTTGAGCTTTGCAGATCGAGAATGGGGGATGCATGGATTGGGCCAGCGATACCGAAGCTGGAGTTAGAGTACAAGATGCAAGAAAGTTGCGACAATACTTGACGACAAAGCTCCTACTGAAACCACGGCAATACGAGGGTAGCCAGGATCTTTGCAGAGATTTTCTTGCGGGCCTTGAAGCGGCCATCCATAATAATGCGATACTGCGCCACACACTGCTCCCCATGGTGTCCAAGGTGCAGAGGCCTTCCAATCACCATTGCTTCTTAATTTAATTGTGATCAAGGTCTCTGAGGCTTAATCGCATTCTATTGCAGGAGACAACTGTGTCTGGGGATAGCTTCATGCGTGTCCTGTTGACAGTGGAACCTATCCAGACCGCAACGGCAGAGTTCTTGCTGCTGAAGCTCACAGATGAGGGCTTGCAACATGAGAGAATCGATCGGCTCATATTGTCACAATTCCGATGGTATGCCTGACACTCTGAAGATATGAGTTTCTGTTGGCTTGCGTAACAGAACTTTACTTTGAGCTTGCTTGCAGGCTGGATAGTCTGGCAAATCAAAATGCCATCACTGAGCTGTTTCTACAAGCGATTGATGCTTGTCCAGAGGAGCTACAGAAAGACATCCTTAGCATCCTCTCAGAGTTGGTTGGTGAGGATGAGCACGAGGTGGGGTGTATATTTGTGGAGCGTTTTCTTGATTTTGATGGTTAGAGCCCCGATGTGCTAACATGGATTTCCATGCAGGCCCTTGTGGCAAAGGTGAAGGAATTGTGCGACGGGAACGGCTCGTTTCTGCTCTCTGCCCTTGATGCATTCTCCACTCTTTGCCTTGCCGAAGATCTGCAGGTATGGACCTGGCATCTCTGGTGGGGTCCATCACGCCATCTGAGAACAGCTGTGAAACGCCATTTGCTTTGCCAGAAACACATCCTGATGCTTTTGGTGTGTGTGTCTCCAAGATGCAAGTTCTGGAGATGGTTATGGAGCGCATGGCTTCGGCAGCTGTCTCAGATTTGCCAGATATGTTGGCTTACCTTGTCAGGAGCATGACCACCGCAACAAAAGGACAGGTCTGTTACTGTACCCCCCATCCATGTCTTCATTCTGCACATGCACAGTGCTGTGTTGGTGAGCATTTCACCACTGGTGCAGGTTGCACAGATGATACGGGAGGCATTGCATTTTGTTGAGAGTGCTGATCCTCGCTATACAGGTGCGATTCAACACTTTCATAGCCAGGTGCTGTCTTTTGTTTGTTGTGTCTTCCAAGCAGGTGGTAAAATGAGTCCCTTGCTGCTTGCACCGCAGTGCCAAACCTTTTTGACAGAGGGAAAGGCCTTGCCAGTGCCCAGAGCCCATCGCTGCAGGCCTTGCTAGCATTGAAGACTGGACTGCAAGCATCAGCCATTGCATGCGATGCGTTTCATCGCGAGATCCAGTCCATCTCTGGTAACAATGTTATTGTGGCCTGCATCATGTATCATTTGTGTCAACCTGTAGTAACCCTGGGTATTCATACAGTTTGGTCTGCAGAAGCGGACCAGCATAAGAACACCGATGTGCTGCTGCTCGTACTGCTACACTCTCTTGACAACTCGTGGCGCAAGAACGCTGAGTCCCTCGTCAAGAAAAAGTTCGCTTCAGGCCTTTTTGATGGGTCCTCTGTGACGAGGGTGATCAAAGGTCATCAGGTCTGGTCCTCAGACCTTAAGCATGTGCAAAATGGGTCGGCCATTTCGTTGCTCTTTCTGAACTGCTTGGTCAAGGCATTTCATCTGCTCAGGCTGACTTGAAGGAGCTCTTCCCAAGCTTCCTAATGCTGGCTGGAGTCCTGGTCGCTTCTGCCTCTGAGGCCGCCCAACAGGGGGGGCGCCAGATGTATACCGAGCTGTTCTTGGAATTTGAGGATGCATATGCTCGGCAGGTGAGGAAAGTTTTGCTAAGTCATTGAACCTTTGGCAGAGTTCGCGCATGCGCAGGTGGCATTCAGGACTGAGAAGTTTTTAATAACTGATTTGCTTTCTCCAGGAAGTGTTGCGGTGCCTTCACACGCATCTGGGCTCCAGAATAGCAGCACAGACAAGCGCAGCCATCGAGACTCTGCTGCAGCTTGCTTCCAGCAATGTTGAAGCCTTGCTGAGCTATGCTGCATTCCTGACCAGCATCATGGAGTACTTGGAGGACTATGATTCCAAGCAACTCCATCAGGTAATGCTGGCCAACAGCGACCCTGCTCACAATTGCGCACACACCCCTCAGGAATTGCATCAGAGTTTTCATGAGCGTGCTCACAACTGCGCATGTTGAGGTCTATCAAGCAACTGAACTTGCATGCATGCAGCTGCAGGTGTGTCAGCTCTTCAGTGCACTGGTGGTGCATGCGGTGCGAGGCCAGCACGATAGCAGGCAGACCTCAAGTCTGGAGAACGAGTACCAGATCATGCTGAGGAAGTACATAAGGAGCATGTCGATTCAGACCTGCCGCATTGGGATTATTGGCACAGTGTCTCTGATCGAGCAGCTGGCTGCAGCCGTCGAGACCGGAGATGATGCCTTTCAGCAGCGCTGCATCTCAAGCGCAACAGAGATCCTTGACCATGCTCTGAATGCCTGCAAGGCTTCATCTGACCAGCCTGCCTCTGTCTTTGCGCTTCTGTGCGATGAACTCGCCAGCATTGTTGCCAAGGTTAGCATTTCCTTTTGGCGTTGTTGTCAACATGGTCTATTGAATCAAATTTGTTGTCGATCTCCAGTTCTGCAGGCCTCTTCGATTGGTGGGGTACGCAGGGACATGTGGGCAGTGCCCTGCTGGAGCACATGCGCTGCCTTGCCACTGATGAGCTTCAGGCGATGCTGTGCGACGTCGTAGATGGCAACATTGAGGCTTCAGCCAACCTACCTGTAAGCGTCAGGTCCTTTGGGCATCTTGCATGATGGTTGCCTTGTCATCTCTCATGGGTGGTGCCCTGCTTGTCAGGGCATATGTAAAGGATGTCTGAAATGAGGCCACAAGGACAGCACGTGTGGGTGATGAGACTGTGGTGTGTGAGCAGGATGTACAAAACAGTAGTGCTGAGGCGAGCCAGTGGTTGAACTTGAATGGCATCGATAATCCAATCACCCTGCCTGTGCTGCAAATCCTGCTGGCTACAAGAACTTCTGTCCGGTATGCACACATCTGATCTGTGTCTGGTGCGCTGCTCTGCTCCAATTGTGAGTAGCAAGAGTTCAGTGATATATTATGACCCATGCATGCACTGGGGACAGGGGCATGATGGTGTGTGCCACTGCTGTGCTGGGCCTGACACAGACACTGGAGCTCAGGGCCACAAATAGCTTGGATGGCTTGACGGCCATTCTTGGCTGCAGCCTGTGCCTCCCTCTGCCTTCCTCTCTGGCAGTTAAGCAGCTCTCTGCATCAAGCGCAGAGCAGCGGCAAATGGCGTGCCTGAGTCTCTGGCATGCTGTGAACTGGCTGCGAGAGGTTGTCAATGCCTTCTCTTGCGACAACACTGGGTATGCCCTTCCAAACATGACTGTATTCCTCTGATAGTATGCATGGATGTATGTATGGTAATGCCCAGATTCATAGGCCCCTTTGAGGTCATCAGGAGAACAGGAGAGTGGCTGTTCCTAATAATCATGGTTTCCATATGTCATGCATGCCTACACTCATGTGCAGGAGGGCGGAGGATCCAGACTTGGAGCAGAAGTTGGTGCTGCGGCTGCAACACCTCTGTCAATTGGAAGCCCTGTTAAATGTTGTGCTCAATTACGCGCCTGCCACGCTTGAACTCCCTACCTGCCAAGGCACCACCGCCTCCCTACCTGCTGCCACAACAAGTACAAAGGTAGGCCGCTTGCCAGAGTCCAATGCATTCTGTTTGACTGTCATTACAGAGATGTGCTGAAGGCCATTGCGGTGAGCAGGCCAAGAAGAAGGGTCAGGGCAAAGGCACGCAACAGGAGTCTGAGAGGCATGGCGAAGACCACACAGACATTGAGGAGCAGTCGCTGGAACACAAGGAAAACGCCCCCAGCAATGTCCACCAGCCTTCGCAGACACATGTCGATAGGCAGGAAGACAGGTGAGGAACGCACAGGAAGGCCTCAATTGAGCTGACGTGTTTCTTTACTGGCCTTGCTGCATGAATTTAATGGACAGCTTGCATACCACTGATACCGACAAAGCCCTGATGCCGACAAGTTGACTGGAGCAGGCTGGCGCTTGTCCGGAGGCACCTGCGCCCCCTGTGCTCCTCAGCTCTGCGGCTCATGAGCGTGCTGACGGATGTGACACCTGCCAGCATGGCACTTGCGCCCCAGGTCTACTTGATCTCTGAGCTGCTGCGCGCCGTGGAGGTGCACCTGCCAACAGCGAACAAGAACCCCTTTGCTAAGCCAGTCACCCATGCATGCGCACCCGGTGAGTGCACATTACCCGTCTAGTACTGTCCTCCTAGCATACTGATGACTCATCTCGTAAGCAGTGATGCATTGGAGTTCTCTCATGCTATGCCGCTCATGATGACAGTGATGTTAATTATTTCTTGCACCACTGTTGTGCAGGCCTGGGTATATCGTCCCGAAAGGAACTTGTGCAGCTGTTGGAGTCATGCATGCCCGCCATTCAGAAGATGCAGCAGGCCGCCCACAGCTTCCTCCAGGACACAGGTGAACCTGATCCCGCAAAGGCCTCAGCTTCAAGTTCTCCCTTTCTAGCATCAATTTAAAACACCATAACGACTGGGCTGCATCATGCAGAGGGAGCAGGAGATGCAGCAGAGGTTGCCAGACTGCCTGGCTCTGAAATGGCCATGGAGGACAGCTTGCTGCTGGATCAGGACATCGCGCTGGATACCCTCAACGCATTCGCTGCAGCAAGCCGGCTGTCGACGCTCACCTTGCAGCTCATGCAGACCATCACAGCCTGCAAGGAATTGCACTTGGCGACTCACCAGCGCCTTCTGGTGGCCTTCCTGTCTGCTTTCTCAGAGGAGCCATCACCGGCTCGAGGGGCCTCACCTGCACCCTCCAGTGAGCAGGTATTCATGCAGAGTGACAACGCTGCTTTCTTGTTGTCTACACATGCGCAATGTGTTCGCTTTGTTCCCTTCAGCAACTTTCTTGTTGCATAACCCAGGTGCTGGAACTACTACAAGGCACATTCAGATACACCGAAGGCTTATCAAGGGGCAGCGAGGGCGAGTTTGATAAGGAACTGCTCATCGTGGAGGTGCTGCACAATCTCGTGCTCCTCAGCAGCAAACTCAAGGAGACTGACGCAGACCTGGAAGGTACTCGTCTCTGGCGCACTACATGCACCTCACGCTTGTATAGATTAATTCTGTTGAGTACAGGGCACACATTGGCATGCATGCCGCAAGTTTTGCCTCCAAGCAACAAAAATCAGATTTGGCGAGAAATAATGAACATCCTGCAGGGAGGGTGAGCGGTGCAGCTGAGGCAGTGCTGCAGAATGACTGGGAGCACTGCCCAGCAGCGGCCCCCGGCAGACACAAGCCTCGGCAGGGCGCTGGCTGTGGCTGGAAGGGCCGCACCGCAGCCATTGCCACTCTGCTCAGATTCCATGTCGTGCACCACAACAGCCCTCTGGCCACGCTGCTGAAGTTGGCAGAGGACCTGATGCCATCCATGCTCAGCGACTCGGATCATGCTGGTGAGTTTGATACCTTTTACTAGCAACCTTCTGCTGTTCAGGAAATGAGACTGTGTTTTTTCAGCAGAAGCAGGATTGATTGGCCAAAGTGATTGAGGAATTTTTCTGCCTTCACGCAGCCCTGAGTCCATCAAGCCTGGGCACATGGTACAAGGCCCTCTTCGAGGTGCTTCTGCAGAAGTGGGAGAGCATAGCAAAGGAGCTGACCGCCAGCAATGCAGCCGATGATGTGGAGGCAACTGTTGAGCAGGCTTGCCAGTGTGCAAAAGTCTTTGCTGCCCTGAATCAGGTCACAAAGACTCACACAGACAAGCAGGTGCGAAATCGCCCTTAAGATGCCAATGGACAACTATAATAAACAAGTCATAATATAGTCCCAGGCTTGCGTTTGTGGCGTCATCCTTTTGCAGCAAGATGCATACATGCATTAACATGCGGCTGTGACATCACAGGTGCACCTGCAAGCAGTCAGGTGCGGGGGGCGATTTCTGGAGCTCTTCATGAAGCTGGCCAAGTTCTGGAAGGGGCTGGTGAACGGCGACGACCACGGCATAGAGCAGTTCACGGAACTGGCTCATGACATGCAGAAAGGCACGCGCATCATGCAGATACTCTGCTCCGAGGCCAAGTGCAGGAAAGAGCTGGGCATCGTTGCCAAGGTCAGCCTCTGCCAGGACACTAACACCATGTGCTATGATTTCAATTTTCTAGTCAAGTGAAGTCCCGCATGGAGCTTCTAAAGGACAAATCGTGCCTTTGATGAGCTGGCCTGCCACTGCAGGTGCCGCAAGTGAAAAAGAGGCTGGAGCAGAGCATTTTCCTGGTGAAAGGCCTGCTGCAGGCTTCAGGGGTGGTACAGACTGTCCAGGTGGGCAACCTCAAGCACAAGGACCTCTCAGGGAGGGTCGTGGCATCGCAAGCGTATGTTGAGAGCTCCTCTGAGGATAGCGAGGAGGACGGGGAGGGCGAGGATGGGAGAGACGGTGCTGAGGAGGCCGACCAAGATGAGCAGGATGGTGCAGAATCGGGCGAAGAACTGGATGACTGATGTGTCCATCACAAAAGGGACTTCAGGACAGGAGTAGAGAGGCTGCAAGACGTGTTACAGCAGGAGAGCTGCATACATGGGACTCAGAGCGAGGGCCAAAGTAGGTACCTACCTGGCCTGTAGGGAGAAAGGGCTGCCTTGCTTTTTATAAAGGAGTGCATCGACTATCGTAATAATGCTTCAAGCTGTGGCACAGACCTCATACAACCCAAGGAGAAAGCCGCATAACAAAGTCAGGACACGCCGCATGCCCATCATGCTTCGAGTTCAATGTCAATAGCGCTCAGTCTCACTGTCACACTCGCTCAAGTCCTCATCTGCGCCCTGTGAGTCCGCTTCATCCGGATATTCATGTGTGTAATGCCTCTCAGCATTTGAGTCTTCGCTGTCATCCTCATGAACCTCTTCCTCAGATTCTTCCCAGAAGTCATTGCTGTCGTACAACATCTGCAGACAATGCCACTTCTCACACTTTTGCATCATTTGCAGATTTGTATATCAATGCTGAAGCAGACTGCAATGCTGTCATTACACAAATTAGAGAGGCAGATTCACCTGGACTTCAGGGGTGTGATCCTGCGCACTGTGTGTATCTTGGTCTTCTCTCAATGCATATAGGTCAAAAACGTATTCGCCAACAGGACCCTGCTCAGCGTCTACAAGACTTCCATGTCCATCGTCAGGGCTCACTCGCCTGGCAGTCCAAGGAGAAGCGGCGGACCTGCAGGGACAAGCTGTTGCTTATTGTTTGCATACTGTCGCATCTGAGGCAAACAGTGGGTGACATATTGAGAGGTGCTCACCCGGCAGCATTGTCCTCGGCAGCAGGGCGCAAAATGTCAAACGTCATGGTTTCCCCCAAAGTTCCTGGGCCTCCTGCAAGTCCCCCGGATGCTGCTTGGGAGACAGCTTCCTCTTGATACTCATCCTCCATGCTGGACTGTACCCTTGACCACCAAAGAGGACCAACACTTCATAGGATTGTGAGTGGCCTGAGCAAGTGCGGTCCTTTGATTCTGGAGCATCCAAAGATTCAAACAGCTCTCAATCAAGTGACTAGATCACTCATCACCTGCTATCCCTGGCAGGTGCTCGCAGGCCTGGGCCTTGTTGATTTTGAGTGCAAAATTCTGAGGACGGGAGCGTCGTCAGGTGAGTGAAGTACTGCCCTTGGGGCTCAATGGGATCGACGCCCAAACCAGCAAACACTGCACTCAGCTCCCTTCGCTGTCTCTTGTCATCGATGAGGCCCTTCACCACTGCAGAAGCAGAAGCTTTTACCGAATGCTCCTCCTTCAGTACCTAAGTTTGGTTGGACACAACTGCACGCAAAAAGGCAAGCACGGAGCTCACAAAGATTCTTTTCTGCAGGTTCTTCCGCATTCCTCTTCAGACGCAGGATTGTAGTTACCATTTTCGGCATCGACTGATTGATCTGAGTTTATTTTCTGAACAACCAACAGATATACGAAAGGAAGATGAACGATTATGTCAACATAACTGTTTTGAAGGTACAAGAATACATATTAGAAATCGCCAGCTTCAATCCTTGGATGTCGGGCGGTTCCGGAAATTCTCACATCGAGACAAGTAGGGTTTGGGGGAAATTCATCATCGCCCTTACTTAGTATATACTCCAGGGGCAGTACAGGGTCAAAACTCTCATGACCTGGAAGCGAAGGTATGAGAGGATGCAATTTTGTGCTGGAAGAAAGGCATCCATATTCACGGATACCTTGTGGAATATCAGTTAAAATTTCTGCACCAGCTGAGAGCAATGTGTTTCAAAATGGTGTAACGTCTGCGCATTCTGGGTCCTGGAGGTAGCTTCCAGTTATGGGCGCCCCGGTGACTGTAAATGTGTACGATCTACATGATAATTCGTGGATATACTGGTGTGGCATAGGTATGATCTATTTTCATGGCCCTTCGACCAAAACCCTTGGCACCTGGTCTGTTGGGAACCTACTTCGCACCTGTTTAAGAGCAAGTGTCTCTGTCAAATAATAATTGTGAGCTATATTAACATTATCTTTCCTCGCTTTCAGGTATATTTCACAGTGGTATCGAAGTACATGGAGTCGAATATGCTTATGGAGGTACTGCCTTCTCTGGGATTTCCAACCTCAGGCGTAGTCGCTCTTGTTTTCTGGTGGTGGAGGTGATCCTGATTGCTCAGTATATGGCAAGTACGAGCGCACTTCCTCAAGGTTACTTCATATCATTCTGACATCTTGACAGCTTGGAGCTGCTCCCTGCAGGGCACGAGTATGACATGTCTGGGGTGTTTGCAACCAACCCCCGCGATGCTCCAGGGCCTGGTAAGGCTTGATTGCACATTGTTTGTAGTCTCTGCTAGAGATGAGCTGTGATGCAGTTCAGCAGCTTAAGTTCCATCCACTGTCTGACCCTGCAGTGGTGTGGCGAGAGAGCGTCGTGGTTGGAGAGACAGACATGGACGCACATGAAGTCCAGGAGGTTGTGCAGCAGTTGGGCAACGAGTATCGGGGGAATGCATATCATCTTCTGGAACGCAACTGCAATCACTTTTCAGACGAGCTTGCATTCAAGCTCACTGGCAATCATGCGCCACCGTGGGTAAGATCATCCTGATATATCTACCTGTGGCAGCTGGCCATGCACCTGTATTGCATCATGCAGGATTGTCTGCGGTAAGTGCAACATGGAAAGCATTAGTATGCATGGCACGTCCAATGTCCGAGAGAGTGATCAGCCCTTGATGCATCTGACATCTGGTGCAATCTGTTTGCAGGTAAACAGATTAGCGGGTCTTGCAATAATGCTGCACTGCCTTCTGCCGCCCTCATGGGTTCCTCCTCTGACGCCTCCAAATGCCAAAATGCTAGAAGGTGAGGACAATCTGAAATCGCATGTCAAGTCCAAAGTGATCTTTGAGCAAGTCTCTCGTGAGCTGGACTCTGTGCACAAGTCCAAGGTCTGGCCATGCAGCATTTCTTGTGCCATTGCATGTCTGCCCTTTCAAGTCAAGGGAGATCATTGCATTGTTGTTGCATTGCGTGCACTTGCGAGGCAGCCCTTTCTTCTATCGCCCTGCCTTCGCTCTGCCTTGATGTCTGCATTCCTTTTTCCTCGATCAGCATCTCAGCAGCAGGCCTGGATGTTGCAGCGGAGCGGGGCGTGGACGAGCGGCAGAATTTGTTGCAAGACAGCACCATGAGGGAAAGGTCCTCCGGATCTGTGCACTAGCTCTGCATTGAGCTCTGTGCGAGTCGCATTTCATTGGAGGCGGGTTGGCGCCCGTGCCCATGTCAAAATCCTCTCTGTTGTTTATAAACAACTGTCATCGAAACAAAGAACAATCAAAATATCATGTTGTGGTGCATTTGCACTGAAACGGTTGTCGAGATGATGATCATTGGGGCATGCGAGGCGTGCCAGTTGACTTGATACCTTATCCTTTAAGTTTAGATCATAGCTCTGTACAAGTATGCGTTTCACATGCGTGTTTTCATGTTTAATTGTCAGCCCACGTAGTATTTGTGCTGTAGACAATGTCCACAATTGCTTTAGATCTAGACATGTAAGAGGATATCTTGTGAGAAGGTTGGTCTGGGGAACCCAATTGGGAAGACCTTTTGTTAAAACGTGGCTGCAAGAAGTCATTGGTTTGAGCATCCTTGTCCGTCAAAAGCACATACCGTGCAATACGCTGTCATAGCAAAGTAAGGTCAAGTGTGTCCGCTGTACAACAATCACCACCAACAACTGACATGTGTTCAATACACAACTCAACGAAATTTGGGTGCTGTCAACGTCATTCGCCCTGCTTCAACATTGCACGCCTTTTTTGGCGCCACAGGTTTTTGCGCTGGGCCTTTGTCAGCTGCACCCCCTCGGGCATGGCAGGCGCCGGTTGCTGCGCCTCCTTCCTCTTCTTGGCCTTGCCTTTGTCCGGCTTGGCCAGCGTGGGCTTTGCAAACGAGGCCAGCCTGGATTGCTGCTTTGCGGCTGCTGCCTGCTCGTCCTTCTGCACGCCAGGCTGAAGCTCCTCGCTGTCCAGTGCATCGTCAGCAGGGAGTGACTCTGACTGCTGCTGCTGCTTCTTGCTCTCTGTGCGCCCAACATCTGGAGCCACTTGCTGTGCCTCTCCCACGCGCGCTTTCTTGCCGGGTTTGTGCGGTTTGGCAGGGGCAGTAGCCTCTTCCACGGCGGCCTTTCTCTTCTTCTTTGGCTGCTGGGCAGGCTCTGTTGCTGCAATTGCCTGTTTGCCACCAGCAATTGCCGCGGCTGGCGCCTGACCGCCACTTCGAGGAAACTCTGCCTTAAGCTTCACTGAGCTCTTCGCCTTCTCCATCCGCTGCTGCTTGCGCTGCGCTGCCGCCTCAGTCTCCTCCTGTGTTTCCACACAACTTTCAATGCGGCATCCCCTTGAGGCTCAATACTGAAAGGCAAACTCGGCAGGATGGCTGACCCCAACAGCAAATGCAGCGAGTATTGCGGGAGGAGCATCACAGTTATAGCATTCGTCGCTTCGGGCCAGAGATGCACAGCCAGCCCCCGTCTCTCGAGGTGCCGCTTTCACGGAAGGACAGCAGAACTGAGAGCATGTGCTGTGCGATCAGAAGGAGTAGCACCTGCATCTGGCGCAGCTTGGCGTAGTTGGGTCTGACGAGGCCGCCGTCCTCGCGGTAGGGCGCCAGCTTCTTCATGCCCACCACCTGGTTCAGGTCCTTCTCCGGCGCCCGCAGCACCTCCAGAATGTTCAGCCCATACGACGCCGCCGGCACCTGCGCCGCGTAGGCACACTTAGCGCTTGCATGTAAGTTATCGCGGCACAGTCAAGAGGCTGCAAACATGCAGGCTTTTGACACCCCAAGTCGGTGTCTTGGGTGACAACTGGACTGTCCCCATATGTGAGTACCAGCTACAGGATGTGCAGTTTAGACCCTTGGTGGACGCTTGATGTTGGGGAGAGTAGGCGCATGTGTGCAAGCCCGGCTTCGCATCTGCAGCATATCAACTGGATATATGCCTGGAGGGGTGAGATGCACACCTCACGGTAGCGGAAGCGGGTCGGCATGCCCCCCACAAAGTCCTCAGCATCCAGCTTCTCATACTCCTCCACCATCTGGGTCAGCTCCACCCTCTCCTCCTCCAGCGCCGGCAGCCCCCTTGCAGCCTCCTCCTCATCCTGCAGCATAATTGTCCAATCACAGCTGCATACAGTATAATGGTCCTCAAAAAAATCATAATACCGTTTCCCTGCTCGATATTTCAAGCTCCAGGCGGCAACAGATTCCATCTCATCATTTGCATGGCGTAAGATTGCGCACCTCATCCCGGTCGATCTCAGGCAGATCTGCCAGGGCGGGCTCGTCAGCAGCATCGCTGCCACTCTCGTCTGCTGCCACAGCCAGCTCCTCATCCTCAGCCTGCAGCAGCAAGCTTTCTCATGCATTATTAGTGACACCTGTCGCGTCATCTGGAAATTCACAAACCCAACTGAATGCAGGTGTTGATCAGCTGCTGTAAGGCCACATTGAGGTGAAGCCCACCTCATAGTAGGAGTCGTCAAAGGCGGCTGCCATGGCCCTGTCATACTCCTCCATGTCAAAGTCCTGCTTGCCCAGCATCTTCAGCAGCATCTTGTTCGTGACAGTGCCCCCAGACGCATCCTTGATCCTGTCCAGCCTGTGAACCACAAGGAGTCCACCTGTTGAGCTACACACAACATTCCCACCATACCTACGCCATTCAACAAATGTCCTGCTCGGGTGCAGGTGATGGTATTCCTGCCCATGTCCTCTCCTTCACTACTCAAATGACTGTGGTGCCCCTTCAACCAAGCCAGGCTTGCCTTCTGCACAAACCTGCTATGCATGCTGTAATAGGTAACCCCACCTAAAGGTCGTCTGGTCACTACAGGCCAGAGAATTACAAGCTCCCAAATTCTGCAGGCAGCCGGCTGGGCCGTCAGCGCACCGTTGGTCGAGCTCGCGTCGTTTCTCGGCCTTGCGGCGCTTGACTTCCTCCTCAAGGGCGGTGACTTCCGCGGCCTTGCGCTCGGCGCGCGCCTCCCGGGCTGTGCGCCGTCGGTCATCCTTCTTGCGCACGACGCCCTCCAGGTTGCGCGGATACGTTATCACGCTCCCTGCGCCCGGCTCCTGCACCGCACCCCACCCTTCAGCGGACGTATCAAGAGCCTTTTCACTAACACCTTCATTGTGCCATGGCAATCCAGTTAATCAAAACTGGATAAAGTGAGCAGGCCTGATTGGGCCCACTGATCATGGAAGGAGAGGCATGCATGCAGTCAAAGGGGAGTGTATCCCAGCAGGTAAGCCAACCTCAAAGCGATGGTTGTAGCGCGCTTCAAATCGCTCGGCCTGCTCCAGGTACTCCGCGTCCTCCCCTATGTCTTCATCGTCTAGCGGCTCGTCCTCCTTGTCAATCCATCCCTGCGCGCCCGCCACAGCCAGTCACTGCCCGCTCCGCAATGTGACAACACTGAACTTGTGTGTGAAAAGGAATGTGACAGAAAGGAGTGTGGCCATCAAGGATGAAGTCAGGGGGTCGACCTTGTTGAGCATGTAGTGCTTCAGGAAGCGCTCATCCTCTGCCAGCTGGTCATCCTTGCCAAAGTAGGCGTCCAGCAGCTCCTGCGTCTTCTCTGGTGCTTCCTTGGGATCCCCACTCGTGCCCAAGTCCTCAGCCACATCACTCCTCCGCTTCTGCTTCTTCAGAACGCCTCCGAATTCCTTGTCCCCATCTCCCTCAGCTGCCAGAGCCTTGGATGCTTCCTGCGTGCACCGCAGCCTTCCGTGAGCCCTGGACAGGGGCTGACCACTGTGCAACGCAAAGCGTATGCGAGAGCACGGTGTACAGTCAATTCACCTCAAGGAAGGACCTTCGGAACTGCTCCTGCTCCTCCACATAGGTTGGCCCTCTGGGCTCAATCCGAGTGTCTTCCTCATCACTGGTGCTCTCCTCTCCCATCAATGCCTGCAGCACCATGTGGGGTCAACAATTTCTGGACCAGAACTTCTCCGCCAGCATTGGAGAGATTACACAGCTGCTGCCATCCAAATACAAAGTGAAGGAGGCCACACCTGTCGAGCCAGGACATCCTTAAGGAGGGCTGGCCTCTCCTTCGCTGCAGGGGCGTCCTTGTCTGAGCCCTCCTCGTCCGAGAGCTCGTCTGGAAACAGCTTTGTGCTGCCATCATACAGGGCTTGATCACGGCTTTTGATCTTTGAGAGCACACTGAGGAACGTCTGGTTGTCCTGCAGGGCCGCGTCCCCGTCGTCCTGGTAAGGACAAGTAGCACTGCTTAGGACTCTCAGCTCTTCGCACAAATAGGATAGTGTCACTGGGGTTGACTTCACAATCTAGTCACCTCGTCTTCATCATCAGATGACGATTCAGATTCCTCTGGGTCTCCAGCTTCTAAGACATCTTTACTAGCCTTGGCCTCTATCTTGGCAGCTAGGCGTGGGTTGGTAGACTTCAGACGGTCCCATCTTGCCCTTTCCATGTTATGCTGTACCACATCAGGAATTGATCAGGTCGGTGCATTCATGATCCACTGAAGTGGCAACGAGGTTGGTGTGCTAGGACCAGCAAACCGATTACACCTCCTTTAATTAAAATGCAGAAAAATGCAATCTACAGAACTTGTTGTTCCATACCTCAAAGCGAGATGCATATTCTTTGTTTACTGCTATTTCCAAGTTACTAGTATCTTCCTCCTCGTCATCGACAAGCAGCGTTTTCTTTGCTTTCCCGCTCCCCATCAAGCTTCCTTTCAAAACAATACCTCACAACGACTTCATCAGTAATTTTATGATCGACTACGAAAGGAAATGCACAAAGAAATATACACTTACACTCAGTCCAGCACTGGCAGCTCAGCTGCAGGGTTTTTCAAGCCCTAACGATTGCAGGGATTGCTTCCAATGAGCAATTTCTTTCAGATGATGCAGGAGAAGTCCTAGCAAATGATCCATTTGTGAAGTGTCCCTTTCTTCGTAATGAAGAAGTGCGTTGGTCACATGTTTTACCTGCCAGTACATATCCATGCACGGGCATTGGACCGGCCAGCTTGTTGCAAGAAAGCATTAGATCATACGCGATGACACAATTTTATACCCATATTAAAATCTAATAACAAAGCTGTCCTACTAAGTAAAGCTTTAGTGTGCTGCTCTGTTCCTAGCTGGAGCTGTCCTTCTGTACTTGCTTCACTTCTGCATAACTAACAGAGATAAGAACAGATGAATAATCCAGTACGACTCAAGAAATAAAGGACCCCCAACATAGGGCTCCTTGGCCAGGCATGGGCCTTACAAATTGGCAAAACAAGATATCAAGATTGGGGCATGCTTGAGTAGAAAAGATGGCATTCACGCAGTTGCTAGACAGAGGCTTGGCATCAGATGTCGTCCTGGCAAGCTGGTGTCCCACCATGGATCTCCTGGCCCTGGTCATGAGCGACAGTCAGCTGAGCGTGAACCGGCTCAACAAGCAGCGGCTGTGGGCGCTGGCTCCCGACAGCAAGATCACAGCGATCACTTGGCAGCCTGATGGCAAAATCCTTGCCATCGCAATGCAGGTGGGATGACATGTACCTTCCCTGCATACCAAATGCTGTTCAGGGGGAGCTCGTGCTGCTCTTCACAGTCATGATAACCCCTTGCAATGCGGTTCACAGAGGGGAGGGATCTGGCTCTTGGACGTTGAGAACGGTGAGGCTCGGGTGAAGGACTGGGAGCAGGAGCCCCCGGTCGTGCACTTGTCATGGACGGAGGAGGATGGGGCAGCCGCAAGGCCAGCCAGGACTCCCCTGGTTGCCGCAGGATCCGAGCCGCGATGCTGTCACAGTGCTCACGCGGGCCCGGCAGACAGAGCGCAGGGCGCCTTTTCGCAGGAGGGCCACCCTCCAGACCTACCTGACATGCCCTCCCGCCTCAGCATGCTGTGTGCGGCCGATGAGAGCGCAGCCGTGCGGCTGCTGGCCTTTGGCTCATTCTCGCTGGGCTGCGCTGCACTGCCCGGCACGGATCCAAATCGCGCCACAGTGCAGCAGCAGCCAGCGCCGCGCATTCTTCATGTGAGCGCCTGCCTTCTCTGGCTGGTGTCAGTGAGCCAGCTGCTGCAGCGGATTGTAAGGCCTGAATGGAGATGCCAGCTGACCATAATGTTGTGCTGCATCGCGCAGGCTGAGATGACGCGCGACCTGTCCCGGCTATGCACCATTTCTGTCCAGAAGGCCTCAGGTAACAGATGCCACCTCACTTCCCGCGTCAGCTTATGTTGGCAGGTGCGCTGACGCACATGCTCACCAAAAAGAATTGGTAAGTTGCAGGTCAGATTGGCTGCGTGATCCATGACACAAGCTGCATTGGGCAGCGCACTGCAGAGCTGAGGCGGATCGCTGTCCTGGCTTCTCACGTCACTGCCTTGCTAAAATGTAAGGGCCCCTCCTTCTGCTGTCCGCCCAATTCACATGTTGTGCAGACTTGACATTTGCAGGTAAAGGAAAGTCATGCACCTGTCAAGGCAGTGTGTGCGTTGATCCAGGGTGCAGTGACGCGGTGGCAGCAGCGCAGAAGGAGTGGCAGGGTGCAATGGCGTTGGTGGATGCAAAGATGGAGGAGTTTCGCGGGCTGCTGGTCAGCTACGGCAGAGAGTGCAGCCCAGAGGATCAGCTGCTGGCAGCGCTGGCCGCCGGCGCCCTCACCCCTGCCATGCAGCACTTCCTCACTGCCATCCTAGGTGTGCCTTTGCCCTTTCTGCCCCTTTTGGATGAACGTGATGCCTCACTCAGCGCGGCCTTGCCATGCGATCTGCTCATCATCGCTCTGTCTTGAAGCCTGCATTCTCTCTTGGCTTAATGATCGAGCTGGAGGGAACAAAGGAAAGAAATAACAATGAAATGCGCTACAGGGGAAGCATGTCGGGGGCCCAAGAGACGCCTAGGCAGAGCCAAGCATGGCTAAGCAAGAAAGAACAGAACAATGCGCAATGGAAGGGCCCTAATGCGAACCTGTATTGGCTGCCAGGTGAGGCGAATCTGAAGCGGCTGGCGAGGGCGGTGGATGGCGCGGTGGCGTCGGTGGCGCGCATGCTGGTGGACCAGGTGCAGTGCAGCCTGGAGGCGGTCGCCCTGCAGCTGGGTGATGCGCTCGGCCTCGCGCGCTGCTCCCCCTGGATGGCCCCCCTCACCCTGCAGGTCACACGCCTCCCAGCCTCTTTGTTTTTCTTTGCACGTCACAAGGGCGTGGCCCCGGCTGGAGGGGGGCAGTACAAATACTGTGCGCAGTGCCCATGGTCGGTTGGGTCGTGCTTGGATGTGGCGAGTCCTACAAAGGGTAGGATTATGGCAGCCTTACATGGAGCTTGTCTGCATATGCACCTTGCCTCTGGCAGGAAAAGCGTGCAGTTATAACAAGTGCTTCGCCAAGCTTGAGTGTATAACATGCCAGACAATGTTCAACTCAAGAAGACAAATTGCTTCAGGACCTGAGATATGTATGGGGAGCCAGGACTGACAGTGGTTGGGCACAGGAGTCGGCGGTGGCGGAGGCGGCCGCGGCGGCGCATGCGCTGGTGCTGCGCTCGGATGCGCTGCGGCGCGCGGTCGTGGGCGTGGGCGCGCACTACCGCACGCTGTTTGCGTGGCTGCTCACGCTGTGCCGGCACGTCAACGATGACGCCTTGCCGGCCGGCCCGTCTGGCGCGGCGTACCGGGCCGACCCTCACGCGCTGGCCGCCTTCATCCGCGGGCCCTTCCGGCGCGACGCCATCGGCCCCCAGCTCAGCTGCGAGGTCGCCCCTCGCCTTCGTCATGCCGGGACCCATGTTGCAGTTCCCACCATTGCTGTATGCAGAATTCATTGCTGTTTTGTTGTGCTGAGATGGCGTCATTCATTTGGAAATTCCCCATGACTTCCCCAACTCAAGATGCTTCTCCTGTGCAATAGAAGGCAAATGTGGGTCTATCCGCTAAGGCACGGCCAATGTTTTCTGTGGCATGAAAGCAGCTATGGTATGAAAGCAGCTTGTTGCATAGCAAAGGTGGCCAGCTGGAACATTGTGGACCAGTGAGATCGCTGGTGCAGGGGCCGGAGGCGGTGCCGCCGCTGCAGGCGGGAGAGCGGCCGGGCATGCGCGCGCTGCTGGGGCTGTTCGGCTGCGCGGCAGCGGAGGGAACATCGCTGCGACACGGGCTGGGCGCGCTGACGCAGCAGTGCCGGGGAGTGCTGGAGTGCGCACAGCACAGCCTGGCGCCCAGCATGCAGCCCCTGCTCAGCGTCTGCCTCGCCACCCTGCCCCAGCCCTCCCACCGCCTTGCCTTCACTCTGCCGCAGGTGCCTCATAGCCCATCTCTGACGTCCCACGCTGCCTGTCCGCATGATGAGCTGAACCATTTTCTATACAGCCCTGTGGGACTTGTTCATGGGACCAATAGTGAGGTGGGTCAAGGGTGTGAGTGCTGAGAGCAAGCACTGTATTGCTGCATGCAGGGTGGACGCTCTGTGGCGAGGATGTGCTTCCTGTCGGAGCCAGGTGGGGGCGGCCCAGCGCAGAGCCTCCTGTTTATAGACATTTGCATGGGAAACAGCGAGGAGCCCAGTCCGCTGCAGGTCGCTCCTTACTCAACTCCTAAATGCCCGTCAGCCCTGGGAAGAGTGCATGAACGTCCAGCTCGTATGATGGAACCTGGCATTGTCTGTTTCCTTGCTTCTGAGCATACAGCAGGAAGATATGAGGAGACCGTTTCACATGGGTCATGTGGTGGCTGCACAGGTGGTCCCCACGGTGGCTGAGGTTGAGGGGCTGGGGCACATTGCGGATATTGCCTTCTACAAGGAGAACCACCTGGCAGTCCTGGCCGGCAGCGGCGATGACATGGAGGAGGCCCACTTTGTGCTCCTACCAATAGATGCAATGCAACATGCGGAAAACCAACCAGGCAGTGACAGCGCACAGGTATCCTTGGCTCTCTGCTCCTCACTGCATTTCCTGCTCCTATAAAGCAAGATTGCAGAACATTTGTATCAGACATCACTCATGCGGTACATGGGATGTCACACCCCAGCTACTGCTGAAGTACAGCTTCAGAGTGATATCAAATGCAGCGCTGTGCGAGTGCAGGCCGGCAAGGAGGCGGGACGGGTGCGGCTAGGGGTTGAGGCGCTTGCCAAGCGGGGCCTGGGCCACGCGCAGGCGGCTGCACCGCTGGCCGTCAGCGGGCCGCGCGGCGTCGCATGCGCACCCGTAGGTCTACAACGCATCGTGCTTCTGGACCTGGTCTGCCCCTGTCTCCCAGGCCCTTTGAGCTTCCTTGGCACAATGCATGTCAGTCAAAACCACCTGGCCATCTTTGCTTGATGTCCGTTTTGGTGGGTGGAGCAATTGTGAGCGTGCCTGTGATGCAGGAGGAAGAGGAGGATGATGAAGCTGAGGGATCTGAAGGAGGCCAGAGCAAAGCTGGCGAATGAGAAAGCAGACGAGAGTCAGACTGTACTCGTTTTCAACTGAGAATGCTTGACATGCCCTGCTTGCGTAGGCAGCCATGCACATTTTTTGTCAGCCAGCTGCATTGTCCGTCTACTTGTTATGATTACTCTTTTGTGTCTTGTTTTCATAAAGCGTTACTGACACACAATGACCAGCACCGGATCAGCTTGTGAGTTTGTTAGATCATTCCATTACATTGACACTTCCTTGGGATCCCAATATGGTACAGCAGCCAAGGTAAGCACCAATGTCCTTGAAGGCTTCTAGCTGATTTATCACTCATGCAAGACGGCACCTAGCAATCATCTTATCATGGCCTCCCTTTATCATTCACAGTAGCGGGAGTATATATAGCTGATAAAGTGCAGCAACAGAAAATCAAGAGTCACATAAAAAGCATCACACAAAGTCGATTCAGGCCAAGTCAAGTCGGCAGGCTCAAATGACCAGTCGTGCCACCAGTTCATACTCATGCAATGCAGTTGCTTCCACTTGTGTGTCATGTTAAAGAGACCAAGAGAGAGGCCTATCATGAACCAGTGTTGCCAGAAAGGAAAAGATGACCTCGCATGCAGGACCTCAGCGCCTTTTCTTGTGCTCCAAAAGCACAGGATGAGGCAGCCTCATCGTATTTAAACACTGCATGCTCCAAAGACCAGGAACAAATTTTGAGGCTTCCGGGGCTATACTCATCCGAGAAGGGCCTGCGATCATAATGGTGCAGCTGGATCTATGAGTTCTTTCACGCGGCCTTGTGTTCCAGACTCGAACAAGAATTGGAGCGAGACAAAATCTGGGAAACTTGTACAGTGCAGCAACAAAAACCAACTCATCAATGTGACACATCAGTGTTCATCAGTCTTGCGGACAAGTATCTCTTGCTGCTGTCTTGAAACGTCTGGTGCAACCTCCTCTTCCCGCTCTGCGCTCAGCCCCTAGCCGGCAGTGTCAATGGAGTGCGTCTGGTGATGCAGCCGTTTGGGCGCCAGCTCGCCCTGGCCCACTGTGTGGGCGCTGCTGCCGCTGTTCCCGCTGAGCAGGCTGCTGTTGGCGCCGTGCAGGAAGGGCATTCCTGACGGTGTGAAGCGCTGATCATCCTGCTGCTGCTTGACACCGTTGTGGTGCTGGTGATGCTGGTGTTGCTGCTGCTGCTGCTGGTGCTGCGCCTTGGACTGCTGGCTTGCGGCCGGCTGCCCCTCGCCGCCGGACATCTCGCTGCCCTGGCCGGGCCACACCTGCCAGCCCCCGATCTGGCCTCCGCCGCCGGCCCCGATCTGCTGATTGCTGGCGCCATTGCCCCAGCCCTGCGCCTGGCCGCCACCCCAGACCTGCTGCCCAGACTGCAGCGATGGCGCGGGGGCTCCCCCGGTCCCAACATTGCCGTGCACGGGCGCCTGCGCTGCCGCCACGTCCATGGGGTTCCACTGCGGGCCGCCCAGGCTGCAGTGCAACAGACACACATCTCAGCTGCATGCCCATTTCAATTGCAATTTGGCACTCTTCAGCTTCCTGCCTCACATCAGCAGGCCGACACACGATGCAAAACTGGATGTTGTCTGTGAGATGGGCGTGCAGCTGACCTGGCGTATGCGGCGGCAAGCTGGGGGTTGGCGCTGTAGAAGTTGTAGGGAAAGCAGAGGCCGGACATGTAAGGGTTGCTGCCCTGGCTCCAGCCGGCTGCGGCCGCCTGCAGGGCCTGCGCCTGCATCGCTGCCGCTGCCTGGTACTGTAGCTGCTGCTGGGCCGCGGCCTGCTGCTGCCCAGCAGCCGCCGCCATGCTGTACCAGTCCGCCGTCATGGGGCTGCTCATCGCCGGCTGACCATAACCGCCGCTGGCGCCAGCGAAGCTCGGGCCCTGGAATGGCTGGAAGCTCAACAGGCCGCCAGCGCCTCCCGAAGCGTCCCCCATCCCGCCGCTCATGCACTGCTCGCCGCCTCCTACTCCCCTGATCCTTGCCATGCCGCCCGCCGCCGCGCACGGCATCTCGGTCGCGGTGCTGGCGCTGCCGTGCTGCGAGCTGTCGGCCGGGCGCGCGGCCTCGCCGTCGTTCTTGCGCATGCGCACGCGCCGGCCATTGCGGCTGCCGTCCTCGGCGGCCGCCTGACTGCTGCGTTGGCTGGTCGACGGCTGCGCACAGAACTGCGCCGGGTTCATGCCGGTCGCCAGCCGGGACGGCAGCGCGGCGGCCGCGGCGGCCGCCATGGAGGGGTCCACCGGCGGGTACGCCAGCGCGCCGAGCTGCGGCAGCGTGGGCATGAACGGGCCGAGCGCGCCCTTGCCGGCCGCGCCGACCGAGCCGGGGTAGCCCAGGCCCTGGTCCAGGCCGAGCAGAGGCCCGAAGGGCACATACCCGCTGGTGTCCAGCCCCTCGCTGATCGCCACCTTGCCCTTCTGCTTCTCCCCTGCCGCCGCGTTCTTGTTCTTGCGCCGCCCGGCTCCCACAGGCACGTTGCGCAGCGTGCCCCCCGCCGTCCAGTACCGCTGGCACGCCTGCGAGAAACATTATGCGCGGCTTCAGTTCCTGTGCCCCGATCATGTCCTTCCAGAAACCATCCACAGAGCAGGCACACTAGATTATATCCTTGCACACATTCAGGAGGCTGCGCCAGGATATTAAACGACTGTCTGGCACATCGATCGAACAGCATGCATCCAGCTGAGGCAGAGTCTCTGTCTACCCAGTCCATGTGTGGATTACAGATGTGGGAAGGGCCTGCCGCCTGGGTGGGGGGGCTGTACCTTGCAGAAGTATCTGGGCTGCTTGACGTTGTAGTTGTTGTAGTAGCAGAACTTGGTGTCCTCGCTGTCGCAGCGCGGGCAGCGGGCGATGCCCTCCGGCCTCGGCAGCTTCATCGACTTGTCTCCCTTGCCCTCCCTGCTGCCCAGGTGGGCGTTCTCGCCGGCTCCCCCATCGCCCGCGTGCGCCAGGCTGCTTGGGTCCGTCGTGAGCGCCGTGCTGGCCACTTTGCTGCCGGGCTGCTTGTTGCCGAGCCCGTCCGCTGCCTTTTCAGTGTTGCTCTCGCCAGAAGATGCGCCCGCGTCCGCATCCCTCGCCTCAGGGCTTCCGCTCTCGTTGCAGGCCGTCGCCTGCGAGTCAGAGCTCATCATCCACCCCTGTTACATGGCCTCGCTGCACCCGCCTAGCTAAAGGCCGCAGCAGGCGCCCCCGGGTTCGGGCCCGCTTTTTGCAGCGGAGCCAAAAAGGCGAAAAAGGTAGGTGGGAGGCCGCCCGCAACAGCTGTCCCCGCGGCCAACCCGACCCCAAAAAGCTCGATTTGCTTCTCCGTCCCAGAAACAGCGCTCACCTTGTCTCCCTGCGCCTCGGGCGAGCTGCTGCAGAAGTTCTTTCTCATCGCCATTGTGTCCACATCCGCGCAAGCCTCCCGCTCCGGGGCAGGAGCCGGTGCCAGCGTCGCCGCTGTGCACGCCATGAGGGTCTGAGGCTCCAAGCGCGGCTCTAGACTGGCTGCATGATCGAGCTGGGCGAAGATTTTCCCGAAAGACATCTAGTGGTCAGAGGACCTCACAGAGCGGACCGCAATAATCCCACAAGTGAATCGCAGGGTGATTCGCCGTTCCGAACTTTATCATGCTGACATGGCCGGATCATGCGGTCCTCAAGAAAAGCGAGTGTTCGTGGTAGTGGCTCAGAGCCAGCCAAGCCCCTGGTGACTGATTCAATAAAGCCTGCAGATTCAGATCACTTGCATGCAACCTACCTTAGCTACAACCGGGCATGCACCACCATGGCAGACTAGCACCGCCCCGGGGGTGTGATCATGACAAAACTTCCAATGTCAAGACTAGATCTAACTTCCGGGCCCCAGGCTTCCAAAAGTTGGAAAAAGATGTGGTGACCGTCACTCAATTGAGGGTCCAAGCAGATTTCTTGACTCGGCCTGCGGCCACTATTAGCTAATTCTCAGATGTGAACAAGCCATTAATGCATGTGAACACGTCTGCCAATATTGGCAGACGTAATGTAAGAATTTGCACGGTGCAGTACCTGACTCAGATCGGATACCCCATCGGCTCCGGGCGCCGGCCCGCCCTGGCGGCCATCATGGATGATTCTGGAATGTATCGTTTGAAATTCACCTCTTTCACAAGTGAAAATCACTGTAAAGCTTTAAGGTCATGCCAGCCTTCAATTCCGACATGATGTAAAGTGCCTCCTGCACTTTAGATAAGTAATGTATAACCAACACCGTGTGACACTACAGGCTTGCAGCTGTGACCTCAAATTCAGCCACACATGTAACCAAGACTGATTTTTCCAGCATGCATGCCCCTCACTGTGTGGCACCAGGACTGATACATCCCGAGCATGTCCACAAAAGCATGTCATTCAAGTCCTTTCTGCATTTTCGAAATGAATTCAGGAGCAATACTTCACAGGCCTGCTGCCAGGAGTTCCAGACGCCTGCGCTGGTGGGCCACGACCAGATGGCCATCGCCATAATTTGACCTGACGATGTCCAGGGCCTTTTGAGCGTGCAGCATAGCATTCTCCGTATCTCCACGCGGTCCATATGCCCTGGCAAGAGCATCATGCGTGCGCCCGAGCACTTGGTTGCTGGTCACCAGCAAGACCTCCTGCACCTGAGACAAGTCATTCATAGCGCCGTCAGAAAAAAGGCCAATGCTTATCAGCAGCGAACGGTACTCGAGACAACTCAATGGTGTGACACTCAGAATTGCTATCAAATTCAAACTGTCCCTGCTGACTCTCAAAGCCATATTGACACCTTGGATCAGGCAAGACCTTTCATGGGCAACCAGTCTAGTTGGATCTTGAAAGAGTCGCACAGCCGTGAGTGACAATGACAGAGTCACCATTTTAATCGCAAAGGGGGGAGGAGGCACCTCCAGGCAGAAGTGCATCGACTGGAGGGTCTCAGCGGAAACAGCGCTGTGCTGCGCCAGCGACAAGCAAGCGCTGGCAAATGCGGCGTCGGCCTGGGAGAGTCGTGCCATCCGCTCGATTTGCTCTTCAGAACTCATCTCTGCACCGCACCTGCCCAAAGACAACCACATTCCCAGCTCAGTTTGGAGCCCTCCTTGCTGCAAAAGTGCCGCAGCATGGCATGGCATCTGTCACTGCACAACTCGGTGGGGAAACCAGGAACTATTTCTGCATAGATCTAAGTATCACAGATCATGACAAGGACCCACCTGTAACACCTGCCTGACTCAGCAAGGCCACTCGGTAGCTCTTGCAGGCTGCAAAGCCCAGCAGAGCACCCAATGGACGGCACCACCGGCCCATTGCACAGCCTGCACTTCATGCCGATCATTGCGGCTTCTTGGACGCCTGAGTAGCTGGCCTCACAGGCGCTGCAGCGGCACCAGAAGTGATACTGCTCCTTCAGCTGCCTCAGCCGCACCTCCCTGATGCTTTCCCCAGCCTGTCAGCACCAGGCACACTAGCTGTCACTTCGTTGGCCTCCTATGTCCTTGCACAGTGTGAACACCTCATCATGCCCTCGTTCAGATTGAAAGATTGGGCCTTGATCCCTTGTTCACACAGATTTGATAGCTGGGGACCATGTCCATCAAGGAGACTTGTCTACCTGGGGCCCATAACAGAAGCGCAAGGTGGTGCCAGGCGGGAGGTCTGACGTGGCGCAGATGTGGAGGCGAGTGCCTGCAAAGGCAGCTGCCACATTTGGCGAGCATGCGTGGTTCAGCATGGCTGCCCGCGGGTAGATCGCAAGGCCCATGCGGTCCTCTGCGCTCGCGTGCTCCGCAGGCGTTATCGCTATCGCATTGATGACCACCTGTTTATACACATTTGCACCATATTGCTGACATGCCCAAATCTAAATCCGCAAGCAAAAGAACCTTCATTGAGCAGGAGCGCAGCAAAAGATGCACATGGTGAAAGTGCCTCGGCGGTCACCTGTCGATACGCCTTGAGTACAAGCTGTGGCTCCAGGCCGGCGCAGGCAGCCGCGATGAAACACATCACAGCCTCCTGGAACAATTGATGACTGGGTACATCACCCACATGCGTCTCCAGGCCTGCTACAAGGTCCCGGCTTGTGACCTACAGCAAGCAATGGATGACTTGCTGATTGATCGCCTCATCACTGTTCATGAGGCAGTTGCTGAGCATGTGCGGAAGAAATCGGAATATATGCATGGGGGTGCATCAAGATGCTCAGAATAAAATGCTAGCGAGGGGTCCACCTGCGCAACAACAGCAAGCCTTGTGGCCAGCACCAGCTGCTCTGGCAGCAGGACCGGCCAGGGCACACCACAGGACGCCCCTCCATGATGTGCATCCAGTGCCCTGTGCTGCGCACAGCAGTACCACGCCAGCGGACATGCCTGACATGGGATGCCTGCGTACGGCGGCAGGGCTTCCAGGCAGTAGTGGCACACCTGCGGTCATCAGTGCCGCATGAAGAGGCGTATGCAAGCTATGAAGGCTTCGGCATGCATGCATCAGGAGTGATAATTTGCTGCGACATAGACATGCATGCCTGTCTTCGGTGCGACTTGCATACTGTGAATACACAAGCCTCCTCCGCCAACAACAGTGCCCCCGCCTCGGCCCTTTGCTGGTCAGCTAAAGCCAATGCGCGCCCCTCTGAAGCAGTCTCCCTGACCTCGAGCATGGGATTCCTCGCGCTGAATTGTGGCTGTTTTGGTGTGGATCCCTGAAAAACCGATGATGCAACCCTCTGCTCCAGATCATGCATGAAGCGTGCTGCGTCCTGGCCAACATTGTGTGCCCCAGAAGACTGGCTGATGTCGTGTGCACTCCTGGCATGCTGCACGGCTTCATGCAATCTGCCTAGCTTGCTCAGGGCAACCGCCTTCCGAAAATGGGCTGTGTCACTGTCTGGCTTGTGATTGAGGGCCAGGTCGCAGTCCTGCACAGCATGTGCTTGACGCTCCAGCCATATCAGGCACAGAGCGCGGCTGCTGTAGAGCTCAGCTGCTACTGTGCTGAACTGGGCCTTGCTCTCGTCTAGGAATGCAAGCGACCTTGTGAAGCACTCAGCCGCTGTGGTGATATTGTGCTCCCTGAATGCATGTAGTCCTTTCAATTGTTCAACACGCACAGTATCGACGCAACAGCGTGCTCCAGACACTGCTCGATTCGTCAGATCGTTTAAGATCTCTGAGCACTCCTCATTCCTGGATAGATCAAGACTAGGATAGATATGACTGAAAGAGTTGTTCACGTTGAGTTTGCCCTTTCTGTCAGAATTCCTTGCCCAATCGGCGTACAAAGTATCAGCTGATGTCAAAACCTGCTGCAGTGTAAGTAGCATCACACAGAACGGTGCAGCAAATGTGCACCTGCAATGAAAGCATCCTATGCGATGATCGAAATGAAGACAGGATCGCCCTCTTCCTTCTAAGATTTGGAATTCTGCCTCTTCGATATTGAAGGTCTTGATTGACGTCACATATCCTGCTCCTCAAGGGAGAAGCTGTGATGCAGCTTCCTTGTGCGGGTCTGCTGGACCTGAATGTAGTGCTGCTGTTGACATCAACAAAGGTGTGCCCTGCTGGGTAATGAAAATGCCACGTCGCACTGAGGTCTTATCAGCCATTGGTCTATACCGCAGTGCCAGTCCCTGGTGGGGACGTCCTAGGGAAAGGCTTTGCTAGTGCCACTACAGTGTTGAGTCTGATTTGTATAAATATTCGGTCAACATGGCTGGTGTTTCAAGAAATTGAGACCCAATCCCAGTATTGGACAACACACAAAACCTGCTGACCATGGGTGCTAGACATCCAATCCTGAGCCAGGAGCAATGCGCAACGCCCAATATTCAATTCTCAAAACTTTCAGTGCTTCCTGCTTTCAGCGCTACCTGCTGTCTGCGTTGGACAATAATCTGGAAGCAAACACATCCGTGTACATGGAAGCAAACCCAAGTCAATGATGGCTGCCACTGGCTAGACATCATAATATTGTCAAAGACAGACCCTGCTATAAATTCCAGCATTGCTGTGCCAGGCAAGCCAAGAACACAATCCTGAGAGGCTGATGCTAAACAACAATTGCATTTATTTGATGAATGCTGAATGCGCTGCGGGCCCAATCCCCTAGACTGCTCCCCTACACTGCCAGCACCTTGCGCGCCATTTCCAGAACATCTGCTTCTGAGTATGAGGCATAGGACAGCAGACGCCACACGGCGTCCTGGCTGACATGCTCATAGTCCTGGCTGCGCTTGTAGATGATGTGACCGCTGATCTCAAACGCAGCTGGGTCAACCTGCACCAAAACAAGCCAGATGAGAGATGCAGCTTTAACTGCCTCCTCACAACACTTGAAGCATGGTTCTTTTTTGATATTTCACATTTGGTAATACGGGTGTACGAGATGTTGCACCTGGCTGTCCAACAAATCCTCGGGCACCAGGCCTTTTGCCTTGGCGCGGGCGAATGCGTTGGGGAAGAGGAAGATGCGCTGGCCGCAGTCCACCACAAACAGGTTGTGAGGGATGTTGGCTGCGCTCAGCCGCTGGCACGCCTCTCCCACCACCGACGCCAGCTCATCGATCGAGTCGCTCGCCTCAAACACCAACCCGCACACCTGCAGGCATGTGCACCCATCAGGGCACTGCTTGCATGCGCATGAGCCTCATTATCACACTTTAGACCAGAAACAACATAGGATCATTGACAAAAAGCCCAGCAGTCTTACCGGGTAGTCTGCGAGCATGGCCACGCGCACGTGGCGGTACTTCCTCAGGCAGCACAAGTCAACGGTCGGCGCACGCTCTACAGCGAATGGTGCAGCCATGTAGTACGCCTGCACATATTCACCAGAAAACTGTCAGCAAACGCGTATCAAGAGGAAGACCATACCTTACAGAGGTAGTATCAGATTGAACCAGTTCAGAGTTTCAGCACACTTCAAGTGTTTGCCTGCAGATTAGTATTATTTGCGTCTGCAGTGCTGGGCTTGCTGGCTGCTTGGTCATGGACTCGTCAGTACACCACTACAGAAACAATCCCTCATTACCTGCAGACTGGCGTAAATATGCCACACCCAGTCTCGCAGGAGTAAGGAGCGCCGGCGCACCTGGAAGTGGAGGTGGTTGACGGTGCCGTAGGCCCCCAGGGAGTTGAAGGCGAGGCGAAAGTACGGGTTGGCCGCCTCGTGCGCGAACTGCAGCGCCAGCTTGAGCGTGTCCGGCTGCACCAGCTGGTTCAGGCGGTCTAGAGCGCGCGGGACGAGCAGCACATGCCCGTACTCGATGGGGCTCACGTTGATGAAGACCAGGTTGGGCGACCCCGACACCGGCGCCAGGGGCAGGAAGGCCGACCCCTTGGAGGACATGTCCGCCGCCTCAAACTGGAACAGCACCTCCTTCTGCAGCGCCTTGGTGAAATTGAACTTGCCGTTGTCGAAGCGCTGCACCACCTGCGGAGCACGCCACAGAAGTCGGATCAAATTGTGAATTGGGCAGGCCATATCCTGGCATGTTACTTTTGCGGGGACCTCCTCACAAGTGGGTGGACTCCTGGCTCTCCCTGGCCCTCGGGTAGTCAATTCCATTTGGCCATGCATAGTTGACGTACGGATGCATATGAATGAGAGGACCAATGCAGGAGCGCCACCTGATTCAACTTTCTCTCACCAGGCACTGGTGGCACTGAAAGGCTTGCAAGAACTGAAAGGCTTGCAAGAAAAAGGGCCATTGAAGGAGCGCACCTGGTCAACGCAGAACTCGGTGGGGCGCTTCTTGGAGCCGCGGCCCTCGTTGAACTGGGCGACAAAGCCGTAGGCGCCGGGCACGACTTTGGTGGGGCACGCGGTGACATCGTAGCGGAAAAGGCCCTGCTCCGCGCGGTCCTCCCACTCCGCCAGCAGCACCGTGTCCAGCAGGCTGGTGGCGCCGCTGTCCGAGGAGGGCGCAGAGGGGACACGCCCCTCCGACAGGCTCCCCTCCTCGTCGCTGGAGCCTGACAGCCAGCTCCTGCGCAGAACCACAATATGATACATAAGACCACCTTGCTCCAGCTGTGGCTGCTCTTGTATTCTTTATTTGGCAACAGATCAATATCCTCTGGGGTGCTCAGACAGTGCTGTACAACATTGTTTCAGCACTGAGGCAAGCATACAAGGTGACAGTTCCTGTAAACATAGCAGAACGTTGGTGCTGCAGATCAGCATCATAATAACTCAGGATCAAGTTTCATCAGCTGCATGCTGGTTTGCGGGGGAAGCTTCCGGCCACACGCTCACCCCAGATCGTCCACGTCTGGGACCACTTGCATATCCCCGAAGGAGCGCACACGCTTCGATCCGAAGCCGTGGCCCGACGAGAAGCTCACGAGGGCAAGGGACCCGCCATTGGCCACATCGGCCACGGGGCAGTCGGGACACGGGTCCCTCCCATCCATGGGGAGCAACTGCTGCAGAGAGAGTACGGTCTCCACGCGGGAGACGCACAGGGCCATCGCGGGAATCCTAAATGCTGGAAAAAAGGATAACTGATGCAAAAGAAGCGGCTTGCTAGAGTGAACCGCCCCCCGCCAAGTGTAGCGAGTCCTGCAAGGGAGCATGTGGTGGGTCAGACACCGCTGCACACTGCAAAGGTGCTCACACATTACCATGACATTTTACGGTGCATTTTGTGATCGATTCACACAAAAAGCCATTTAATGTTTTAAAATAAATGTCAGGCGCGCCCAGGTTGAGCAAAGCGGCAACGAGGATATTCTCGAGGAAGTGCAGAAGGCGGGCGATGTAACTCACGCTAGGACAACCTCCCTCGCTTGGCCTCAGCCCTCTTCCGCCAGCCTTGTGTAGTTGGCCCTTCGAAGGTTGCCGTGCACAATCTAGAGCGCGGCACACGGCCGCTGCAACCTTAAAGCTCTCCGTGGTGACAACTTGACAGACAGGGGTTGGGAGGTTTCAGCACTGTGCGTCGCTGGACTGCGTTCGTCCTCTCACGGCAAGCGATCAATTGATGGGCCTGCAGTGATCAGGGCTGATCTCTGGTGTTGGAATTATTCTGGAGGAAGTATGTGGAATTATGCAGGGCCACGAGAGGCATGGGGCGATCGCTACGTAACCTGGCCATCGCTCGTAATCCGAGGGAGTTGGACCAGGTTTGGCCACGGGTGGACTGGGGTGGATGCGGCAGTTATTGTGTAACAGCTGGTCGGCCCACCAGGCAGAAGCTCCTCTTGTGCATGTGCGTCGGCTAAATGGAGGATATGAGACCGAACGATTCCCGGACCATGCTGCAGGCAGTCCAGGTTCGTTGCTGTTCTCCCATCCGTGGTGCACCCGAGTTCGTTCCTATTGCGAGAAGATATGAATGCGCAACATCGAAGCTTTGGACCTTCCTGCTGAAATTCTTATGCACTTTCGCAGGCACGCCTTCAGGACACAATCACAGGCGTGGTCCAGGTATGGTGCCGCTTTTCAATGTATAGTTGCAGGCAAGATGTCGGGGCGTGTGTCAATTATGTAAGTATTTGGGCGATTCACTTTGCCACACAGGTGGTGTGCCAGCTCGATAGAAAGGATGAAGCACCTATCCACGACGTGGAAGATCTAGCCCTCCAAACGCAGCTGCAGATGGGCGACATCCTTGCAGCAGTCACGGAAAATCTCCAAATTATGGATCGTCAGATGCAAGCAGAGGAAGGCAAAGGTTTACTGAACGATATCTGCAAGGTGAAAAGGAAATGTATAATGTGTTGCCTGGTTGTATAGCAGCACAGTTGTGGCAGCACAGAACCTCTTAAGACTGGAAATCCGCCTGCAGGAGGTTGCAGATGAGATCACGATAGCGAGGACACATGGACTCCAACTTTCGGATCTCATCCAGGAAGGTTGGGGGAACTCTGGGACAGAAGCGCTGGCTGCAGCAATAAGTGATGTCAGGAGCATGCGCGCAGAGGTGTGTGCCCATTTCCCATCATTTGCTTATGCAGACTATTGAGTGCGTGATCATTATACATGATATCAACCTGAGCATCCTGTGTGAGAATTCTATCAGGTACAAACTGTCTGGAAGGAGCTTGCACAGCATGCAACGAGGTTATCAGCGGTCCTGGAATCAGAGGGCAGGGCTGATATACAGTGCAGCGAGCAGCGGGACATACTTCAGGCCAGAGAAATCACTCTTGAAGATTATATGCATTTCCACGCGGACATTTTTGCAGCGCTAGAGCAAGGCATCCGGAAAACCTTTGAGGAGCTGGAAGAAGACTGGGACTCAGTTTGTACAAAAGAGCGAGACAGGTCCGCTATCACTCACAGCATTTCTGCTATCTGAGAGATAGTCACCGCCACGGAATCAGTGCAACTTGCTGCCTTTCATTTGTTCTCTCTGTGAGGCTCATTGTTGCGCATGCAGCTTCAAAGGGCTCCTTGAAGCGCAACTGTCTCAAAGACAGATGCTAAATGAGCTGAGATGGGCAGTGGCAGATGAGCTCAGCAGTTGCCACCTGAAAATCTGCTCTTTGCAAGCTGAACTTCACCAGCAACGCCAGAGAGCAGAAGCTGATGAAGAGGCGCACGCAGAACATACAAAGTGCGCCTCAAACCGGCAGATGGGTGGTTTGCATTGCAAATAATGGAAATCCTCAATGGGGCAGATCTGTCATTAGCAATGTTTTGCAGGACTATGTTGGCGGATGAGCTACAACACAAACAAGAATTGCAAGAATGCAGACAGGAGCTGCTAGCTGCCAATGGCAGGGTCACCACCCTTCAGGAGGAACTTGCCATGGTCAACAGCCCAGCTGGCATCCTCATGAAGCACAAGCAGCAAGCCGAGGCATCTCTGAAGGTTGTGCCAATCCTCGCTGTGTCCAGGACACATCGATGCTGTGGATTTTCTTTTTATTGACACTGTCACTTGGCAAGGGCACATATATCACCTAACCATTGTGCATGCAGGCGTGCATGCAGGACATCGCTTGCCTTCAAAGAGAAGCAGCAGAGAAAGAATCTCAACTAGAATTGCAGAGGCAGGTTCTGGAGGATTCTGAGTGCCAAAAACGACACTTGCAAGCTGATTTTGAGGTCAGTTTTTTACAAATCATCGTCTGAAACTTTCACAACGAGGATCTATTTATGTACTGTTCCGATTCAACCTGTAATTGCAAAACATACTGGCCAGCCCCCTGACTGTCATGCATGTGCAGGCTAGTGATCTCGAATTGCAGTCAGCAAGACAACAGATTGCAACTCTTACGGGGAAAGAGGCCGCCACATTAGCAGAGCAGAGGGAACTTACAGCTGTGATCAGACAGCAGAGCAATTGGATGAAGCTGCAGGCAGACCAGTCAGAGGAAGACAGGGGGACAATTGTGAGCCATGAAGCATGCATGCAAGGGGCCATTGAGGAGATGGATATGATGTGTTCGTCATCAAGGAGCGCTACTCAGGCCATCAGGTGATGGGACAATCTATAGCCGAATACTGTCCTACAAGTGCTGGAGTCATGAGTGGTGCCTGATGTGCTGGTTCGTGGCAGTAGTAATGCTGACCCCCTCCGTGAACTGGCATGACATGTAGGGATAGTTTGGCGCACATGGAGGCCACCATATTGGTGGACATGAGGTTGTCACGGCAGGAGTTTGCTGAGTTGAGGGATTTCGTGGAAAGGATATTTGTCCATATGCAACACATGAACCACCCACACTCTATGAAGAGCGATGAAGGGAGCGAGCTGAGTCTCCGGGAGGAATGTCAGATGTTATCAGCTGAGTTGTTTCAAAGCCAGCAAGCATGCAAAAAATGGCAGAAAAGGTGTCATAAGCAGGTGCACAATTGACATTGATGTTATTGATAAACATCTGCATGAAGATTCATTGTTAGATCTGTCACTCATTTGACAGTGGATTGCTCTCAAAATTGAGCAGGAGAAAGAGGCAGAGAGGATGAAGAGGGAATACGAGGATCAATTGGAAGCCCAATCCTCAGCCAATCAGGCTTTGGAGGAAGAAGCGCACAACTTGAAATTGGCGATTGCAAATGCTGAACAGCAGCATAAGAGACTCGTGTCCCAAACAATTTCGAAGGCAAGTCCCAATGTACATCTTGGCTCAAAAGTGCATGCCATGCAAGATGTCATTTGCTGCTTCTGGTCTCTGTTTTGAAACTTTTGCCATATTGGAAATTCATGTGGCCAGAGTCTTGTAGTGCCAAGTACCGAGCAGTGCAAATGTTCACTAGGCTGAGGAGGACATGGCGACAGCTCTGAAAACAGCGCATGACAAGTCCGAGTTCAGGATGAGCCAAGCCATTCAGGACTTAACAGCAGAAATGCAAAAAGACAAGGAGCAGGAAATACAGAGATGCCAGGCCTCACTGCAAGAGAAGCACGGTGCAGAGCTTGACCAAATGGAGGCAGCCTTGACCAGAGAGCAGCAGCGCCACTCAGATATACTCCTTGACTTGTCAGCCAGGCATGAACTTGAGTGTTCAGCTGTGAGGCAGCAAGCTCAGCATGAGCTCCAGGTCCTTGAGCAGGAGCATGCGGATGCTCTTGCAACCATTGCTCTGCAGCAAAAGGAGAGATTGTCAGCCCGAGAAGCCGCTGCTGAAAAGCGCTTGCAGTCTCTCCTGCAACAGGCAAGGCCCTACTGCCTCAGTCTTACCCTTTCCGTCATCAAATGTCCCACCTTCTTTGCATGGCTTCAATGCATGGATTCCAATTTCCTTGCCTGACTGTCCTTGCAGGCAGAAGAGACATCCACGCACATGATGACTGTGCAGAGAGCCCAGTATGAAGAGCAACTCACAGCTCTGCAAGAAGGGGCTGAGCGCCGGCTTCTGGATTCAAATATGAGATGGCAGCAACTGTGCCATGCGGACAGGGAGGCAGCACATGCGGCCAAACTAGACGAGTTGGCGCAGCTCAGCACATCTCACGCTGCAACCATGGCTGACTGCCAAGCTCGACACTGTCAGGAGGTGTGTCCAATTATGCTTAGACAATGGTGATGTCAACAGCAATTGGCGGGAAGGAGTGGGTCACATTATAAACAATGCAAGGCTGCCAATTGTATATGATGCCCCAGCTGGTGGCAATGCCTGAACCCATGCAACTTGTCAGGTGTCTGAATTGGAGGACACCATCAAGATCTTAAAGGAGCATTTGGAACAACAGCGCAATTCAGAGGCAGCTCGCCAAGCAACACATGAGAGCATGATGGAACAGGCGCAGAGTGCCCTAGCTTCCAAGGAGTCAGCCATGCAAGCGGCAGCTGAGCGTCACGCAGTTGAATTGATGGAACAGTCAGCCGAAACAGCAAGGCAGCGGCAGAGCTTAGCAAACGAGCATGCCCGAGAGATAGAGCACATTGAAGCACGGAGCAGAGCCTCTGCCTTGGAGAAGGAGATCCATGCAGAAGCCCAGATGGAAGATCTGGAGGACCAACTAGCTGCCTTGAAGCAGCGCTTCGAAGCCAGGCATGACCCTGTCCTATGCTTTGAGTGTGCTGTCTTTAAAATTTTGCTGATGGACATCACCGTACCGTATGCTTGAAGGTGGCATGCACTGAAACTTACTTTCAAGTCAGGACAGAGTGCATACATGAAAGTCAGTGCGAGCGCCAAATGGGGAGGAAGGGCTACCTCGCCATGTACACTTCTTTAATGTCTTGGATGCACTTAGCTAGACTGTTATACTGTTTTGATATATTTCTGTTTGTGGGAAGCAGGGAGTCGCGGAGGGAAGATGCTGAGGCGATGAAGCGCCTGGCACAAGTGGTTGCGGACAGAGATGCGGCCGTCCTACAGCTGCAGGCAGAGCTGGACAAGCAGGATTCCGTGCTGCAGCAGCTGCACAGAGAGATGGTGCTGAGAGAGGACAACTACAACAGGAAATTTGCCGGGGGTGGTGCTGGCATGCGCGCGCTAGACGAGCGCCAGCCCTTGAATGCTCAGCAAAGTGTTGTGGACTGGATGCTGAAGACCCCAGCCTCTCACAGCCAGAAGGGTAGGCGGAAATAATTGAGACAATGTCAAGTGACCTCGTCTCCCGTTGTTAATCTCCATGCAATCGTTGATATGCAAGGAACGGTCAGTGAAAGCATCCTGGTTTAGAGCAGACACCATCATTTGCCGGCAGAGCTGTACTGCAACTCTTCAGCTTGTCTGCAACTGTTAGTCCAAGTCGCTAAATCTCTCGGCATCGCTTGTTCTGCAGTGCAATGTGCACCACATGGGAATGATATGGTGCCCTCTCACAGTGACAAGCTAGTGTCCTGAAAAAAATAAATCGGGTTGCACTTTGATCCCACTGATGCATCACGCAACCCCACTCCTTCATTTCTTCACAGTCTTTGTCTTTGTCTTTTCTCTCTTCTTCAGCGCATCCATGTGAGCCTGCATGAGTTATGATTTGGTGAGAAACACCCTTTGATGAGTGGTGACAAATATAAAAATTCATGCCATACACCAGAAGGTTCAGAATATACCTTGAGGATTGTTCCGTATGACTCTTGGAAGCGTGCATACTCCTTTGTATTGAGCTGCACAGACCAAGCATGATCAGGAAACTGCCAAACACGTTTGGGAGCAGACACTGCTCTGCAGGAATGTTCTTGGTATTGATAAGGTAATGGAAGGATATCATCCTACCGTTGTACTGATTTTCCTTTTCCCATCGGTAGCTCGGACCAGACAGACAAATTCTGCTGCCTGTGAACAAGAACGACCTTCAGCCTCAAAAAGTCATGCTGTGAGAGCTAGAAGACACAAAAGGACACGAAATACATAAACGTACCGGATCAGGATTTCTGGCTTTCTTTGGCTTCAAGTTGCCTGTGTAATCAAACAGAAGAGCATGTGATTGATCTGGACCAGAGGTGCCTGACTATATGCAGTCAAATCGGTGGGGTCGGCAAATGGAACGTACTTCGCTTCATTGTCACGCTCACTGTATTATTTCTGGCTTTTGCCCTCTCAAAGAGCCTCCCCAGCTCATTAAGGAAACGGTCTGGGTCAAGTTGCAGCATGACTAACTCAAATGCAACTCAGACTGCAGGACGATCGAGTATCACCAACATAGAGCAAATGTCCCGGACTTTAAAAGCTTGATTTGTTGCACCGAAGAGACTGCTTAATGTTAAACAAACAGCGCAAAAAGATGGCAATCTCTTGAGGCCTCAGATGACGATTTGTTGGGAACGATGATAGTTTGCACACAATCTGTACATGTGATCAGCATTTGCTGTGAATGCACTGCATCCAAGAGTCTTGGACCAAGGACAATCGTTGAAAGGCAGACCTTTCCGAGAAACCCTGGGACGCCAAGGGAGAAATTCATCTACGCTCCAGCTAGGGTTATCTGGTGCACCGCCATCGAGTGGCCATCCAAACCTGTTCTCGAGATCAAATTGGGATTCAAAATACATATATCAACTTTCATTTGAGTTACCTTCTCATCCGTGCGTCTTCTGTATCTGTATAATGTCCAAGACTATGTCTTCTCAAAGAATCTTTCGGAGTTGTGGTCCGCCCCTGACCAATCTGAGAGCGTTTCGTCCTTCTAAGTCACAACAGTGTCTTAGACAACTCCAAACTAGACGACAGTTGACATGCATGGCTTTGGTACGGCTCCAATGCTGTGCTCAGTTGTCTTGATCTGGGGTGCTTTCACACGTTGACAACAAGTTATACAAAATTGATGAGCTTATATATGCAAGTTCTGAAGAGTAATTCACCGATCCCTACATCCTCACTTGGACAATCCATGCAGGAACCCCTGATGCTGGAGAAACTGGAACGCACAGACGAGGCCTACAAGTCCCTATCGGTACAGCCCAATGCATCCGTATCTCCCCTTTAAGAGAGGATGGCATGCTTTATATAATACTCCACGTGTGCACGCCCTGACTGCGACAGCCATGCAGGGACGCATGGCAGACCCGACCGTGGCAGGGAACCCCACAGAATTCCAGCGCGTGGCCAAGGCAGCAGCTGCCTTGGAGGACCAGGTGACGGCGTTCAGCAAGTACAAGGACCTTGTGACAGCCCTTCAGGAGGCCAAGCAGCTGCTGCGTGAGTGTGATGGTAAGCGCATGTCTGCATGCATGCTCCTCTGGCTGTTTCCATGTTGTATGACCGACATTTGTGGACTGTCATGCTTGAGACTTTGAGCAGGGTGTGACAAGTGTGGGTGTGGGGCTGCAGGAGACCAGGAGATGGCAGAGCTAGCACGAGAGGAGATAGAGTCCGTATCAAATGAGCTCAACAGCCTCACAAAGGAACTGAAGATTCTGCTCCTGCCAAAGGACCCGCTGGATGAAAAGAATGTCATGCTCGAAGTAGGTTCCTCCGAATCCACGAGCACGTACTGTTTGCAATTTTCAAGGGGCTTCAAGTCCGGTCAAACTCAGTGAAAATTGGTTGCTGAGATGGCACTGAAGCTTCTGTTGGGTACCCTGCAGATCAGAGCAGGCACTGGTGGGGAGGAGGCCGCCCTGTTTGCAGCAGAGCTGCTGCGCATGTACCAGAAGTACGCAGACCTGCAGAACTGGAAGCTTTCGCGCGTCAGTGAGAGTGAGGCGGACAATGGCGGCTTGAAGGAAGCGTTCATTGAGGTGACGCCCCCCGCAGGCCTCTGCTTGTAACTGCTTTTCTGATATCACTTTGTGGACAAAGGGAGCAGGACACAATGCCTCATGGTCAAGCCGGTGGGTTTGGCATATGTTCTCCACAGAAGACACATCTTCCGGAAGGCCGTCTGCAAGGGCAGGATTTCATCTCATCAGCAGGGCGAGGAACCGTACTAGCGAGAGTGTCGCGTGCTATTGTGAGTAGCAAACTGACACTGCTATACATCAAAGCTTCAGAGTCTCACGCTGAGAGTCTGCTGATGGGGGCCTGTGCAGGTGAGCGGCACGGCGGTGTACAGCAAGCTCAAGTACGAGAGCGGCGTGCACCGCGTGCAGCGAGTGCCGGCCACGGAGTCGTCCGGGCGCGTGCACACATCCACCGCCACGGTCGCCGTCATGCCGGAGGCCGATGACGTGGACGTCAAGATTGACCCCAAGGACATTGAATTGACCACCGCGCGCTCCGGCGGCGCTGGCGGCCAGAATGTGAACAAGGTGGAGACGGCTGTCGACCTCATCCACAAACCCACTGGTGAGGCTGCTGCCCGCTCCCCGCTCCCTCCACACGTGACATTCTCCCTCCGCCGCCTCTGCTCTGCCTTTGGACTCTTGCAGCGAGCGAGCTCGCTGCGAAAGCAGGCTGCTCTTTGCCTTTTGTAAGACCAAGCCCCTGTGTGGGAAGGGCTGTGCATGGTTTTTTTTTTGTGGATTGTAATGGTGTGCGTGGAGATGCCATTGCTGCTGCATCCCTCCTGATCGGGGTTTCAAATGGATGCAGGCATCAGAATTTTCTGCACGGAGCAGCGGTCACAGGGGCAGAACAGGGAGCGGGCAATGCAGATTTTGCGTGCGCGGCTGTTTGAAATAGAGTTAGAGAAGCAGCGAGCTGCAGAGGCAGCCAGGAGGAAGAGCCAGGTAAAGCCTACTCTTCCTACAAGGTCGGACAGATTTAAGGAGCTTGTGGATTCCTTGCCACTCACGTAAGGCTCACATTTTTGTGGCATGCATGCAGGTTGGCACTGGGTCAAGGTCAGAGAAGATCAAGACCTACAATTTTAAGGACTCGCGCGTTTCAGATCACCGTACGAAATTGAACTTTGACCTCAACAAGGTTCTGGACGGTGAATTGGACACCTGTATCCAAGCGCTCATCAATCTTGATCAACAAGAGCAGATGGAGGCCTTCGCAGAGGCATCTGAGTGATTTGCAGTTGAGGGTAATAGCCTTAGGCTGAGATACAGACAAGTGAACTTGATATTATGTTGCAGTTGAATTGAAAGCATTGCAGTTTTAAAATCAAGAAATAATCCAAATGTTGAGGGCATGCTCAAATGGTCGCTTCACGTTATCAGCCTTTACAGAGTTGTAGGGCCATCCATGCAATAAACTTCAAACATCCAATTAAACGATCCCATGTCAGTGCATCACTCAGAAAAGATGGCCAATATCCCTTAGAATGCATGACAAGGACGGTAGCACTCAAGAGTCATCATGCATTATACTGGCACATGCACAATCTGACATTGTCCTCTTTCAGAGTTACTGAGCACAATCTGAACAGCTCTTCACAGCTTGGAAACGTCCCAGAATTTTAAAGCACCGTGCGAGTCTGCTGTGACCAGCATCTTTCCATCTGGGCTGAACACACAGCGCCGCACTTCCCCCGTGTGTCCATATCCAACAGCAAAGCAGACGCCCTCATCATAGCGCCAGAGCCTGACAAGATGGTCTGCGCCCCCACTGGCCAGAATGCTGCCAGCTGGGTGCACTGCAGCGCTGAGCATGGGCTCAGTGCGTGAGCCCTCCAGCTCCCGAATGGACTCTCCAGTGTAACAGTCCCAATACACCAGTTTGCGGTCAGTACCTGCATGAGCACCGCAGATTCTCATGGAAACTTCTTGGCCTCATTCTCATTGCCCATTGTCAAGCATCAAGCATGTAAAGCGCATGTGATGCTTGACAATACCGAATCAGCAGGTCTGGAACAGGAGCATCATGAAAAATTGACACTGGCTTGCATGAAAGATGTGCATGACCAGCAGGCGACTCCACACCTGCAGTGACCAGCTGGCTCTCATCAGAGGACCACGCAGCATCCTTGAAGAAAGCATTGGCGCTCATCATGCACTTTCTCTTGAGAGTGGTCAGGTCCCAGATTATGCAGGAGCCATCGGAACTTGCGGTCACACAGTCTTGCGGATGCAAGCGCCCAACACTTATTCTGTTGATGGCACCCTGCATGATACAGACATAGAAAGGCTCAAATCCACAAGATTAGAGACGCAAGGAGAACAGACACATGGAAGGTGCACTCCAAATCAGGGGTGATGCTCATTTGCCTGCTTGATCTGGGGTCTGTTGCAGCTGCTGCCTTACCTTGTGCTCTTTGAGGGACATAAGCAAGGTCTGTGAGCCGGGACCAATGCGCCAAACGCGCAGGTAGCCTTGGTTGTCCCCGCTGATAAGAGTGGTCCCATTCGATGTGACTTCCAGTGCGAGTACTGCTGTGTGATGTGCATCGTGTATGATGTACTGCTGTGAGCCTGTCTGAGGCGCATGTGCGCGTATGGTGCCATCAGAGCACCCAACAATAATGCTCTTTCCATCCTGCCAATCCAAACTTGCGTTTAGACTCCATGCACGCAAGAGTTTGAATACATACAAGGAGGCCTTCCCATAACTTTGGCGCTCCTCATTCTGAGGCTGCTGAGCGACGCAAGGACCTGCACACAATTGTCTCACCTGAGTGATTGCAAGACAAAGGCAGTCCAGGCCAGGCAGACGGATGCGCAGCAGCTCTGTGCATGATGTGATGTTCCAAACTCTGATCTCCTCATACGAACATGATGCAATCAAGTCTGAAGACCCATGCGGAAATACCACATCGTTGACCGCGCTGCAGTGTGCCGTGTGTCTCAACTGTTGGATCAACTTGTTTGCCTGCAAGAGAACAGACTGAACCCTTTGGCGCTCATGGTATCATACACACCATTCAGTTGGCAGGGAGCCCATGTCTGCACGTAATCTCCGGCAACCCTGGACCCTCAACCCTGATCATACATGCTGCAGGCTTTGCGTTGCGATGCCCACCTGTCGGTCAAGCGTGACCCCAAACATGTCACTCTTTCTGGTGCCCACCACAACCTCTCCGCTGGAGGGGTGCACAGCAATGCCGGTGACGCCGTCTGGCAGACGCGCTTCAGCCATAATTGACAGAGGGCCCCTCCCTGCCGCCTGCTGCTGCTGCTCTGACTGGGCTGTGTCCATTGCAATGAGGCGGCCCTCGCCACCACCCACGAGCAGAATGCCTCCCGGCAAGCATCGTAAAGCTGACACTGTGCTGAGCGCGCCTTTGCGCGCCGGTCCGCTCCTGCACAGCCGCTTGTGCTCTGTGCTCACCTGCTTGCAGGAAATTGTGCATTTGTATCTGTCTCGCTGCCACCAGCTTTGGCTTTGGTTGGCTGCCAATGTCACTTTTGAATATATATTGACATGCAACAAGGACTAGATAGTGTGGCCATTGTCTCTGCTCTCGTCTTGTGCGCACCTCGGCAACATCCCCTGATGTGCTCCCTACATACAGGTAGCGGTCGTCCTCAGAGATGTCAAGTATTGTGAAGTTGCGCCGGCACAGGCCCAGCTGCACGCTGATCGCTGTCAGTTTGCGGGCAGCCCGGTCCAGCTGCCAGATGTGCATGCTGCTGTCAATGCCACAGGTTGCCAGCCGCTCAGAGTCTCTGTTGAAAAATGCAACCGCCGAGGCTGACATTGGCGAACCACACAGTGCCTTCCCTGTGCCTATCTCCCAAATGACCTGCACAATCAATGGTCCCTGAGGGTGTGCTGAGGGCCGACAAGACTGGTTTGGTGCAACATGTAGAGCAGGATTGCGCAGCTGAAGTGTCACCACGCACCAAAGAGTTGTCGTCTGGCCCTCCGATGGAGGCCAATAATGACGCGCAAGGGGAGAAGGAAAGCGCCTGAATTCTTCCCTGGCAGGTGCACCAGATTGTCAGCATGCCACAGTGCATAATGGTCGAATTGTAGAGAGAGCAGTTTCGTTGCAACTCCATTTTAAGATTCTGCCATTGAACATTAGCAGTCACTGACCTTGTGCAAGAGGCAACGCTGAGTCAACTTTTTAGATGCCAGATCCCATATGCAGAGCTCGGCTTCAAGACCCATAGAGGTAATTTTCCCTGCAGCAAGATTCTTGCCGTCTTTGGAGACAGCCAAGCATGAGACCTGCATCACATACTCACTTTAAAACTTGACACACAGTGGGCAACCTATTAGGCCTTACAGCTCACGCGAAACGAACTGTCACCTTGGCATCTCCAAATCTGAGAGTATCCATTGTTGTGGTGGATTTTGCCACCACCGCAGATCCTACAGGGTATAATATCAAGTCACCCTGCAGTTCGATGCCTCCGATGACATCCCCAGAAAAGCTGACTTCACAGCTGTCTAGCTGATCCTGTGCCTCCTCCATTTTACACATTTTCGGCAGGACGGGTTTGGCAATCGTATGTTGCCTATCTGTGGTCCGGCGAAGCGCGATCTGTCCCTTGGACATCACCCGGGAAAAAGTTCTAAAAATACATCGAGCCGGTCCTAATCAGGCGGAGAAGCTGCAACATAGGGACCAAGTAGGAAGTGGGAGGGAGATGTTTGACCGCGGTCAAAAGTAGTGTGAGGCATCCATCGCTGACTGTACTGTCTTGAAGAAGAGGACAAGCAAGGGGTTCTGGGTCGCGTGGCTTGTAAGGAAGCAAGATACCAAAAGTGCTATACCCAAGAAAAGGAGCTTGATCAGAACTTCGCTGTCAGCATCCTTGGCATTTAATACCCCATTCTGCAATCCCATCTACTACTTCAGCTTGCACATCGATGAAGAGAAAGAGGAGAGGGCCTCGGACGAGAGGTCCTGAAAGGAGAAAGACTTGCAGCACTGATGCCTCGGCAAGCAATAGGAAAGCGATGATTACTGTGTGATCGTCATGCAAATCTAGTGGCTTGAGAAGTGTTTCTATTCGTGCGGCAGCAATCTGGGGGACCAAATCTTTCACAGCTGCAGAAAAACCCATCTTGCTGGTCAAGAGCCTCAGAACCAGCTGCTGAGAGTATACCAATGCTCAAGTAGGATCTGATTATTCTAAGGAACTCTGAGGCTGTCTCATACCAGCTGATAGCTGCAAGATGGGGAACAGTAACAGCAACAACAACTCGCGGCCTGGTGATGGAGATGGTGCAGCAGAAACACCAGGGGTGACAGGAAGGCTGGGGGGCATCCCACGCGCCCAGGCCATTACAGAAGGTGGCAGGAGAAACAGAGCGTCTGTGAAGCTTCCACTTAAAGCTGTGAAATCATCACAGGAGGACTGGCCTTTCATTGAGGTGCGGTCCATGCAGTCCACTGTTGCATTGGCATCGAATGTTGATGAAGAGGTGATGAGGAAAGCATGAGTGGCGATAGGGAAAGCATGAATGTTATCTCCAGACTCAAGTGTGTTGACAGGATGCATGCAATGGGACACTGATCTGATAAATTCAACGCGCAGAGTTGTCTGGCCAAGCTGCTCCTCTTCGGGAAGGTAGACTTTGGAGGGCAGCGCCGCATAGCTGCCGAGATGTATGAGCGCTCGGTCACAGCCGGCGAGATCCTCATAAAGGAGGGCGATACAGGTCTGCCGCACCCCTTTGCTTGTCTTCTGTCCCGCTTGTCTTGGTGTCTGCTTCCCGGGACATGGGCTTTCCTAGATGCTGCCATGACGGGAGAGCAGACAGCCAAGAGGCGGTGCTCGGGTGCAGGCCTGGGCGCGAGCGAGCTGTACGTGGTTAAGAGCGGGGAGTTTGAGGTTCTGGAGCGGCGGCAGGGCATAAACATGCGGGTGAACCGCAAGGCGCGCGGCGACTGCTTTGGGGAGGTGTCCCTCATGTACTCCTGCCCGCGCTCCGCAACCGTCGCCGCGCTGCAGGACTCCGTCGTCTGGGTCCTCGAACGCCAGGTCTTCAGGTGCGGCCCTGCGTGCAACAATGCTCATGGCAATTAGCAATGCATTCATCCAGGGTGCTCCAAGACTGAGAATGCTGACTTTGATGTGAAACTGCAGTGCTTGCATGCCATTCAAGGTGCTTTGATAGAAGCCATGCAGGACTCTCTTCGGTAGAGGTTGCAGGTCACTATCTGATGGCCGCCATATGCGCAGTGTTCATGGCATCTGACAATGTCGTGGTGGCTGCTGCCGTTAGGAAGGTGTCAGAAGTTGACAAGTAATGGGTTGCGGGGCACAGGCAGTACATGCAGGAGGTGAAGGAGACGGAGGCGTCGCAGGTGGAGCTCTTCCTGAACAGCGTGCCGCTGCTGGCGTCGCTGTCGCGCGAGGAGAAGCTGATGCTCGTGGACGCCCTGGAGGAGCAAGTCTTCCCGGCCGGCACCTGCATCGTCCGCCAGGCATGATCCATGCATTCTTGATGAGCTTTGACCGCTATTGGATTGTCCAGCATGGCCAGCGGATGACGTGCATGCACGCGATGCATGGGAGATTGACATTCTCGCATGTCACGATGAAATCAGCGTCAGGATGGGGGCTGCACGCTTGCCTGGTTGTCCTGATAGGGTATTGACTGGGCCGGGCATCTGATATTTCTGCTGTGTTGCAGGGTGACCCTGGGGACCAGTTCTACATCATTAAAGAGGGGGAGGCGGTGGTGTACCAGCAGACGCCGCAGGGCATGCGCACCGTCAACCGCCTCTTCAAGGCCGACTTCTTCGGCGAGCGCGCACTGCTCACTGAGGAACCCAGGCGCGCTTCCCTTGACCGTGTTTGTGATGCCACCATGTGTGGACAGGGGGTGCTTGTTTAATGGATAGCTGACTCTTCTGATCCCTGACGGCTTGCTCTCCTGTGAGCGCAACGGCATGACAGTGCGGCTGCCCTGCGCAGGGCTGCGAGCGTGGAGGCGACCACTAAGCTGAAGGTGTTTGTGCTGGCGCGCAATCGCTTCGTGGAGATCCTGGGGCCCCTGTACTCGCTCATGGCGCGTGAGAAGAGCCCCGCCGTCGTCACACAGCGCCTCATGAAGCTGCAGACCAAGGTTTGCTTCTCCCCTCAATAATATTTGTCGTTTACCATTGCCAATTGCCATGCTGGCCAGATATGTGGGTAAGGTCCAAGAGAAAGACTCATTGATGGTATAACATGTGCAATGATAATTGTGTGTGTGGTGGGCGCAGGGAACGCCGACACATCTGCCGGCGGAGGTGCTGGTGAAGCGGAAGAAGCGGCTGCGCGGGGGCGGGGAGACTTGGGAGGTGGTGCGCGCGCGAGGCCACCTTGACGAGGTCCAGGAGCTCAGAGCCTCCGTGCCGCCAGGTCAGACCATAGCCTGCCGCCGGCATGCGCTAAATCCTGCATGCATGGTGTCCAATGTCTCTCTATCATTCTGCACGAAGACTTGATCAGAGCAGCGTGTGCCGAGGAGCAAAGCAGGTCCTGAGCTGACACGTGGTGGGGCAGGTGAGAAGCAGCCGGCGCAGGTGGTCTTGACGGAGGGCGCCATTCTGGGCGGGGGCGCCTTCAGCCGAGTCTCCATCGTCACAGGTGCGCATGAGCGCTGGAACCTTGCGGTCGATTCTGCTGCCGTCACGGATGCATGCATGCTGTTCCTCTCTGCTCACAGTCACATGCATGCATGCCGCTTACTTCTGCTCCATAATCTGATTAGGGAGCGAGGGGTGTGCATGCATGCGCGCAGAGGAGACGTCTGGGCGGCAGTATGCGATGAAGCGCATGCGCAAGAGCGCAGTGGTGCAGTGCCCGGAGCACGTGTTCTGCGAGCAGGCCATCACGCGCAACACGGCGCACCCCTTCTGCCTGCGCCAGTACGCCAGCTTCCAGGACAAGCTTCATCTCTACTTCCTGTTCGACCTCATGCCGGGGGGCGATCTCATGGATGTGCTCGTGGCCGAGGCGCGCGTCATCAAGCGCCGCATCGCCCAGGGCGCCTGGAAACGCGCCTGCCTTGCCCCCAAGGTGACCCCGCAGCACCCCTGTCCCCAGCCATGCCTCCCTGGCAAAGCCATACCAACCGCATGTGCTGTCCTGCACCTTGCAGAATCTAGCAAAATAGAGCTCACAGACCTTGCTTAACAGTGAGCAGTGCATGCGGTTGGGTATGGCCCTGCATGAAAGGTACAGTATTGCCAGAAAGTGGAGCTATCACTGTCGAAATTGCACCGCTAGTTGCCAAGTAGCCGACTTGCGGGGCATGCTACGCCATGCTCTCGACACAGCGTATGAGGGGAAATCGCTTGTGCCATGGTTCAGGTGAAGATGCTGAAAGGGATGGACGAGGGCCTGGCGCGCTTCTACATCGCGAGCATAGTGCTGGCGCTGGAGTACCTGCACGACAACTCCATCGTGTACCGCGACCTGAAGCCCGAGAACGTCTTCATCGACAGCCAGGGCTTCGTCAAGCTCGGCGACTTCGGCTTCGCCAAGGCACGCCCACTTCTCCTCCCTAACTCTCATCCTCTGACCTGCACTCCCACAGGCATGCACCTCAGTCACTACATCTGCCGAGAGCTGTGCCCTGGCCGGCCCTGTTAGAAAAAGCATGGTATCCATGCATGCACAATGTGCCAGAGTTCTAGTCATGCTGCATCAGACAGCAGCATGCCGACTGCCGCAGCTGATTGGGCGTTATGTGGACGGGAATGATCATCGTTGGTTTCTGTAGAGGCTGCATGCAGCTGCACTGTGTATCACTGTTTGAATGAAAGGCGCTGATTTTTATGCAAATGGCGGCAGGTGCTGGAGAGCGGGAAGCGCACGTACACGTTCTGCGGGACGCCCGGGTACGTGGCGCCAGAGAATGTGTTGGCACACGGCTACAACACAAGCGTGGACTGGTGGGGCCTGGGCGTGCTGCTCTACGTGCTGCTGACGGGGCGCCAGCCATTCTCCTCCCCCAAGACCGACGACCCCATGGTCGTCATGCGCCGCATCGTCGACGACAACTGGCGCGTCAAGTACCCGCCCTACCTCTCCGGCCAGGCCAAGGCGCGCGCCGCCTCTCACTCTCTCGCTCGCTCTCTCTCTCTCCACACCCTTTCCTCTGCCTCTGTAATGGGGTGGAGATATGGCGTATATTGTGAGGGTATTGTGAATGCATCCGATGCTCGCTTCAGCGAAGCCCCCCGGCCTCGCTTGCATACCAAAAGGGAGTGAGAAGAGAGGGGCAGTCCTCTGCTTGAGGACTCACACCAGTGCTTTAGGGGGTTTTCTGCACAAAAGCATGATAAGTACAGCGAGGGGCACAGTAAGGGATGAGCACAATATGGGTGTTGGGAGTGAAATGAAGGTGATGGGGCTGTGATGGGCAGGACCTGATATCGCGGCTGCTGGAGCGCAAGCCGACGCGGCGGCTGGGGATGCTAAACGGGCGCGCGGCCGACATCAAGCGCCACAAGTGGTTTGAGGGGCTCGACTGGGAGGCCCTGGAAGCGCGCAAGGTCGAGCCGCCCCGCCGCCCCCGCGACGACTCTGCCAAACGCCTGCGCGAGCTCACAGTACGCACCCGCCATGACACTACGAGGACTGTGACGTCGTAAAACCATGTTGTTATTGTGCTTCAATGACGTTTCAAACTTATAACATATAATCATGCTACCTTGTAGTGTCCTCGTAGTAGCCTATGTCTTTGAAACGTGATGGAGCCCCAGAGCATTGATGAACATCATTAGAACGTCATGACATCTTTTAAAAAAAATCTTGAATCTTAAATCTTACATCTTAAATCTTTGCCAACTTTTTGTAGTTAAATCAGGGAGCGTGCAAAACATACCATACAGGCAGTGCGAGCGCCAAGTAGGGAGGAATGGTTGCATCCCTCATTGCTGCTAGCATGGGGTCTTACTTTGCTTGTATTGGATTGCTCTGGACCCTAGGAACCTGCTGCCCAGTGTCAAGCATGTGCTGGTATGGTGCAGGACAATGAGAGGAAGCAGAAGCGGGAGCCGAAGGAGACGCCGGAAGAACTGCAGGAATGCGAAATGGTCTTTGCGGATTTCTGAGCGATTATTTTCTTCTCCCTGTCATGGCTGCCCAATTCCATGCAGAGGCTGTCTGGGCATCACTCTGGGCCGCACTTGTGCAAGAACCAATGCAAATGCAATTCCTGTCGTATATAGAACTTGGCTGGAATTGAGAATGCCATTGGTGCAGTGGTAGCTGAAATTGTGAAGTCAGCATTTGTACTGTAGACTACGAGCAACGAATGGTGTCTGTCACAACAATGCCGTCTTCAGGCTGGGTTGACTACTCCAAACCATTTGGACCAAATGGGTCCGAACATGATACCTGGTACTTGCTAGAACATGACATCAATAGCAATCTGATTGGTTAAATTTGCAATTGCTCTATGATCATATTTAATGCCCGTCCTTAGGTGATGTGTCCTCCTCCGTGATGTCCTGTGACTTCCAAGTTGTAAGAAGCAAGGCACAAAGTTTGTTCTCTCTGTCATGATTACAGCGCGCAGGCATGCTGCAGATTGAAAATTCAGAGGGTGGTGCTATCAGTTGCCACTTCTCCCTTGCAAGGCGAAGCAAGAGGCCTTGAATCATGTTTTAGAAAGATACAATAACCTTTCCAACAGCCTGCCCGGTGAGCATGTACTCGATGGCGTCAGACACCTGCTCAACCCCATGAAAGCGCCTGCTGTCCACCCAGGCCTGCAATCTGCCCTCCTCATGCAGATCAAACAGTTCCCTCCTGAATGCTGGAATGTCCTGCCTTTTGGCCTGCAAATGTCGCCACACAAGTGTCAAAATCTCTACAGTTGTACTAGAGCCCTTCCTGAACTATAGCTTTATTCGTGTCATGTGATTGTCAAAAGCAAAATGAAATATCCATGACCGTTCAAACAGTATACTGCGCATCAGCAGCTGAGTAGAAACTGCTCACCCCGGACCACACATTGCCGTAGACGGTCTGGTCACCGATGTGCACAGTCTTGCCCTGCCAGAACAATTCCTGAGCTGGCGGCAGCCCTCTCCGGCCCTCAGCCTCGCCGTCATCCGGCTTCACATGGGGGTACTCAGAGATGTAGCCCACGACCAGCATGCGGCCGCGCTTGCTCAGATTGTCGAGCACCGCGTCCCTCAGCGGCCCGCCCACCCCCTCATACGCCACATCTATGCCCTCCGGATACTCACTCCTCAACACCTCACCAACATCCTGCCGCATGCAGAAATCCCCTGTTCTCTTGAGACAATGAAGAAACCGACCTGCTGCACACAGCACTGCTTGGCTGTGGTTGTGGAGCTGCCTGTATTGGGAAATTGGTGAGGTCCAGCATCTCCTACTGTCAATAATTCTGAATATGGTTGTTGAGCTGCCTGGAGTGGGCATCACCTCTTCTCGGTAATTTATGACGCGGTGCACGCCCAGATCGCGCAGCCGCTTGGCTTTGGCCTCGCTGCCGCATACGGCGACAACATGACAGCCGGCCAGCAGCGCCAGCTGGACACCCATGTGGCCAGTGGCGCCCCCAGCAGCCGTCACCAGCGCTCGCTCACCCGCCTTCAACGGCCCTCCGGTCGCCTACATCATAAGAAAGGTCAGACATGGCCAGCTTGAGCAACTCCCAAGAGCGGTCCTTTGGGTGCAGCAAATGTTGTAGTCCCGGCTGGCGGGGGGCGGTATGAATTCTGAGCACCGTGCCCACAGTTTTTTGGGTCTCGTTTGGATCTCGCGACTCCAACAAGGGGTAGCACTGTGGCGGCCTTTAATTGCAGCTTGTCTGCAGGACCTAGCTTGCCTTTTGGCAGACTTACTGAGAAATAATAATAACAATAATAAATGTTGTAGTACTTAATGGGAGATCACACCTTGAGGGCCACTGCAGCTGTGAGGCCGGAGAGTGTCAGCACGACAGCTTCCGCTGATGCTTCCTTGACTGGGAAGCAGGACCGCTGACTGGTCGTGATGTACTCCGCTGCATCGCAGAGTCACTCTGCTCAAATTCCAATAAAATTCCTCAGATGAGTTTACAACATCAACAGCATGTATGAGTCCTATGGCTTGTGGATGCATTTGACTGCAGGGCAGGATCCTCACCGAACCCTCCTGACCCACTGCATGTCACAGCATCTCCCACCTGAGACACATGTGCGGCATTCAGTACTGATGTCTCTGATTGAGTCCTTGTCATGGCTGTGGGCGTTCACAATGTGGGGCAGGAGGCACCTTCAATGTCTCAACACCTTCGCCGACAGCAACAACAGTGCCTGATGCTTCAGCTCCAAGCACAAACTTCTCCGCCTTCTGATTTGCTGCAAACCTGGGGGTGTCACTGGCTCTTGAAGCTAGGGGATGGACCGTTCACATTAGAGTAGAACAGAAATTGGACATTGGAAGTTCAGTGCTCGGCGGATATCACTCACGGCGTATAGCTGCTTCCTCGACACCGAAAGGTTTCGCATCCGCCATTTACACCCGCATAGGCGATTCTCAGGAGCACCTGCACGCACGGTGAACAATAAGCCCATGATTTCCAATGGAGCCAATGCATGGCAGGCACTTGTCAAGAAAATATGGCAATACCTGATCATGGCCTGGTTGTTCCAGGGGTACCTCCTCAATCTCTGCCACTGAACGAAATGAAGGTCCCACTTTGCGACCAATCAGTCGTCTTAGCGTGGCCGGGAGACATGTCTCAGTGCTATTTGCCATCACAACACACCGATGTGGATATGAAAAAGAAAGATGAGTTGTCTTTACCCAGCCATTCAACCCCAGAATGGGTCGTGGTGAGTACAACATGCTCAGGCAAGGCTATCTCTGAACAACTACATGCTGATGCTTTGTTCTTGGATTGCAGCTGCACCTCCACTTCTAGAACGGTATGATACAATCTCCGATAATTGCAATAACAGACAATACAGACTAGGACAGCACGCGAGGGCGAGGAGCCCACTTGCTTGGGGAGGTATTTCGTAGCTTCCTAGCTACAGGAAGCTGCCACATCCTCATCTCCATCTCATGTACACGGAACAATAAGTGAGCCTGCAATGTCTTATCGCAGCCTCGACAAGAGAGCATGGAAATCCTAAGACATAGGAGCAACTCGCTGTGATGAAATTTCTGGTAGACAGAAGGCTTCTAGCCCAAGCTGTGAATCCTTTTCCTGCCTGTCGATCGAGAAAGAGATTCCACTTTCGTCCACGAGGTGCGTTCTGCTAATTCGTATTCTCAGAAGCAATTTACATTGCAAACGTCAGGTGGAAGGATCGTTAGCAGACAGCGTGCAGGAACTGCCTCTCCACTGAGAGACTTTTGGTTTGTGATGCAGCTGCACCACTAGATGTAGCAACTTCACAGGAGAGGCAACAGTGCAGCATCGTAGCTGAGGCCCATAAGAGGGGAACACTAGGCTTTGGCTTCTCAGCTGGCGGGCTTCTTTTCCCGTACTACTTGGGCATTGTGCAGACCCTTCGTGAGCTGAATATCATCACAGGTGAGAGCCATATTTCATCTGTTCGTGATATCCTGCTGGTCTTCAACAGGGTGATGCAGATAATCCCAATTAAAGTCCTACAACTGCTGCTGCAGATACGACACCTTTGGCAGGGGCAAGCGCCGGTTCTCTGATAGCAGCTTGCCATCACAGCGGGCTTCCCCCAGAGCAGGTCAAGGAGGCCTGCTTTGTGCTGGCTGACAACTGCCGCAGGAAGGGGACACGAGGCCGCCTGGGATCAGTGCTGAGCCAGTTCCTGCATGATCTGCTGCCCCAAGACGTGCACGAGCGCTGCAACAACAAAGCATTCGTGAGTGGCACCCTGCTGCAGCTGCAAGTCACTGCTGCTCCATCAAGTGTTGCTGTCTGATACTGCCATTGTAAAGTTTGAGAGTGGTCTGAATGCCATGCACACAGGTTGCCGTGACAAGAGCATGGCCGAGACCACAGGGGGAGCTCATATCTCAGTTCCACTCGAGGGAGGATCTCATAGAAGCTCTACTCACCAGCTGCCACATTCCTTGGTGATTATTTTCAATGCACATGTTTGGTAGCTTCATTGTGTTCATGCAAAATGGCTGCAATGTGCCATGCAAGCAGAATGGCCATGCATGCTGAGACTCTTTCATGTGGCGGTTCAGGTGGTTTGAAGGGACGCTGGGGCGCAATTTCAGAGGGGCATTGCACTTTGACGGAGGCCTGACCAATTTCTGCCCAGCCGTAACTGCGCCTGGCATTCTCACTCAGAGAGTGACCTGCTTCCCTGCTGCGCGCCTTCGCAGAGCCATCAACATTGCCATCAGCCCACCAGAGCAGTATGATCTGAATGTGCTGCTGGGGTGGGCTTTCCAGCCTGCAGAGGAGGCTGTGCTGGAAGCCTTTCTGGAGCAGGGCCGCAGAGATGCTCTGGCCTGGGCTGAGGCCAATGGGGTGGCTAGCAAAGCTGTAGAGTAACAGCCAGATTGGAGCAACGCTGATAGGGTAGTCTGACACCACTCACAAGGTAGCTGACATTCTGGATCCTGTACAATACATGCCATAGCTCAATCTCCTGGTTCTGCTGGGCAGAAGCGGATCTGTCAAGACACAAAATGCACACAGGTGCATGATTCTTCTCATTGAGCATTGCAACGGATGTGCAACGCAATGCCTTGCGGCCAAACCTTCAAGAACCAAACTATTCCCATATGTGCCGCCAAACTGTAGCGCCATTTTAAGCCATAGAGATCATACAGCACATGTGCAATGTTACATTAATGTTATTCCATTACAAGTAGGTAAACCCCTTGACTGAAGTCGCTTTCTTGTATTCTGTGCTCTAATTATGAAGGAAAACCTAAATGTTGTATATGGTCCGGAAAATAAGATCATTCATGGACATTGGGCTTGTGAAATGTTCCATGGGAATTTGCTTGTAATTGCTTAGTGGGCCGGCAGCGTTGACCACAGCATCTTCTGTTGTGGACTTGATACACATGCATGAGACTTCAATGTTCATGTTTCTCAAGTGAGCAAGGCCTGTAGCTTAATCAGTGTCATGGCAAGTCTGGAGCGCGCTTCACATGTGCCGTTAATACTGGGCCATTTACTCTTAGAGGCACCCCATGTAATGGCTTATTCCTGACTTCGATCATGGAAACTTCAATCCTCAGCATCACAGTTTGCAGCTGTGAATCCCAGCATTGTCCAAGCTGGCTGATATTCAATACTCAGATGTGCGTACTAGACACTAGAATGTCCTCAGGACAAGCTGAATGCGAAAAGTCCATATAAAATCAGGATCAATTAATTGCTGAACAGTCTGAGGTGCAAGGCACTGCACCAAGACAGCTTGTACAAGTACAACCCAGCAAGGATAGCCTGCAGGCTGAATCCTCCTCGCACCTAGAAGGTGACGGTTCCTGCTGAGCGGAAGAGGCTGTCTGTGCCGATGGCTGAGGCATTCACGAGGACAGAGGATGCGCGCGAGATGCCCTTCAGGGCCCTGTACTCACGCAGGTAGAAGCTGAAGGTGGAGGATCCAAAGCCAACAAAGCCCTGTCCTCCCGCCAGCACTATGAAATCCACGAGCGCCTTCTGCTCTGAGCTCAGGGCTGCAGCAGACACATGGCAGAAATTCTCAATGGGCAAATTCAAAGAAACTAAGTCGAAACGTGATTGATATGGACAATGCTACTGCAGAAGAGTGTGTTATGTTGCCATATCAGTGCAACAAATGGAGACAGTCACCTTCCAGGACTTCTGCATCCAAAAATATCTCCTTGTAGAAGAGCTCGCTGCAGCTTTGGAACGCGGTGAGAATGCCTTCAATGTTTGCCAGCTCTGCAAGACACGCCAGTATTAGATTGTGACACTTTTCACAGGGGTCCAGTCCAAGTCACAGAAACAAGGATTTGCGATCAGCTCCCTCATAACAAAAGGTAAGAATGGGACGTACCTTCATTTGCGCCATATGTCAGAAGGCCAGAGGCGATGTACAGGGGCGTTGAGGCATTGAAGTTGGCCTCCCTCATTGCCTGCTTGTACAGATGCCAGATGACCTGCGCAGGAATGTGCAGACCTTTGTCAGAGCCATGCATGTGTCATGCCAGACTCATGGCATGTGTGCAAACACAATGTAGCCAGTGACATGCAATTGCTCCAAGACAGGCAATAACCATGACCCACCCCATCACCGCCCATGATGATTGACCAGTCTCGAGCATCCTTCTCAATGCGGAGGTGAGCTGCATTGTACGACAGCTGCCCATCCCTTGTCAGCCTGGAGATGATCTGATTGGCCAGGTCGTGCAGGGCAGGCGCAAAGTCCAGGCTCCTCGCCACCTCACTGACGAGCGGCAGATTGCTGCAACCAAAGACCAGATGTGAGCAAGCATGCGTGCGAAGTACATCACTCACTGGTGCCTTGGGGCAGTGCCTTTCAGAAGGCCAAGCATAGATTGCATGGCAAAGAGGGGTCAATCACCTCAGTGTTTCCAGCATGAAGAATGTGCAGGGCAAGTCCAACACAATGTAGTCGATGGTCACATTCGGGTCCTGCCTCAGCAGCTTCCGAGCATGCTGCATGGTCGTGCTGCGCACCCTCTCGACCATGTCATCCAGGTGAAGGCTCTGCAAAGCACCCATGCAACATGATCATCACAGCAATAGCTGCAGAACGTGAATTGCGCAACATGTAGCCAGCCACTCTCAAAAAACCGTGCAGTAGATCAGCACAATGCAGCTCATCGCACCTGCAGGTAGACATTGTCCAGTTGCGCGATGAAGCGCTCATCCAACCCTTCCTGGCTGTACAGGGGGTATGCTGTCTGCGGCTCTGTCAAGTCTGGGAAGGGCAGCAAGGCTGGCGTCTGACATGACACAAGGCATTCTTAGAATGGCTGTGTTCGGTTGAAAACCACTCCTTTTGCTAGTCAGGAGCACGACACAATCAAGCCGCATGCGCACCTCGTGCACTGTCATCCCTCGGATGTGCCAAGCTTCAATGATCTTCTCCACGTCCAGCAGAGAGACCAGCGGCACAGGTGTCCAGCTGATCTCATTCTCGTCCTTCCTGGTGCTGAAGTACTTCCCAAAGGAGTCACGCTGCACTGCTGGCGGGAGCACGATCTCGGATCGGAGGGCATAGGAGAGGACAAAGGCTGCAATGTGGCTGTAGTGCTGGTTGATGAGCCCTGTGCAGGCTGTGTAGCGCAGGATGACCCTCAACCGCTTGTGCACCCGCCCCTCAGCGCGGCCCCATGCTGTATAGTGCTGCCTGGCCTTTGCTTCTGTGTCTATGCCTGCCTTTTTGAGGTCTGGATAGTATATAAGGTACGTCTGCCAATCGAATTCTGCGAGGAGCTCAGCCATCTGGTCATCCACAGGCTGCACAACCACTGTCCTGCTTGGCTGTATTGACTCCTCAACGGCTTGCAAGACACCGTCTGAGAAGGTTTTCTGAATTCTGTGAGTAAAGTCGTTGTCCCTCCGGATTTCCAAGCGCTGTATGCGTCTGTCTTCCTGTCCGATGTTGTCTATCATCCCACTGGCTCCCTCCTGCAAGAGGTGCTCCCAGGCCCTGGCCGCTGTTCGGGTGTAGTCGGAAGCATCAAGATATGATGAGGAGAGACTCAGCGGCCAGTTGGCAGGTGTGCGCAAGCGACTGAGGACGTCTTTGCCGTGCTTCCTGCTGAAACGCTCCCCCTTGGCCCTGACCAGCTCTAGCTCGGTGGTGGGATCCAGTGCTCCATTGGGATCCCTCAGAACCTGCGCTCTGAATATGGTGGTGACGATGCGCGTCTGTGATGGCGTGTCGTGAGACGTTGCCAAGAGCCATAGGCCGATGGCTAGGAGGGCCAGCAGAGTGAGCACAAAGGCGTCTTTCCGCCTGGTCCTTCTCTGTGTTTCTCCCGGCATCGACCTACACCGCTGAGGCATCTCAAACAAGGCAGTAAAAACAAAGATCGGACTTGTCTTGCTGCGCGCAATCGATCGATCGAGTGCACATTCACCAGCAACCCGAGTGGTCCACCCCGACAGGACACAAGAAGATGCCTCTGACATCACAATACTTGCTTGTTAGAAGATTGCTGAAGTTCTCATAGAACGGTATCGTCAACTTCTGCCCTTGACGACTAATTATTGTCAACATCCCTCCAAATAAACGGGCAAATAAATTCTGTCCAGATCCATCAGATCACCTGGTTTCATTGAGGCGTTTTTCAGAGCGAGCTTGCTTCCCTGTGTTTCTAATTTGAGATGCCGCCAATGCTGACCTCACACTTAGAGCAGCAGATCACATTTTGCAGCTTGTGTGGTGCACTTCGGAGGAGAGGTGTCACCAGCACCAGTGGGAGGCATATTGGCAGCAGGCTTGTGATGAGAAGGAGGTGTGCATTCTCTCCAGACATTGCACAGACAGCCAGCTGCAAAGGAGTGTCCACAGCGCTCAATGCCCTCAGCTTTGACCTGGACATCCCTGAGATTGACTGCGATTTGCGGACCGCACAGGAAGACCAGGGTGCCATATTTGAGGTGTGCTGACTTGCTGTTGTCTGGGTACTTGAAAGTGAAGGTGTGCGCGCTGCAACAGAGGCATGCGTGCTGACCATTCCTTGTCTGCAGGGTACCAGCATCCCGGTCAGCTTTGGCAATGATGAAGCAGCAGGGGCTGCATTGGAGAATGGGGTTGTGATTGTGGACCGTACTCACTGGGGACGGCTCCGTGTGTCTGGCGACGATCGGTTGAAATTCTTGCATGGGCAGTCAACAGCGGACTTCCTTGCTTTGCAACCAGGGACTGGCTGCCGGACGGTGAGCTTCATGCAAAATGATTCCTCAATGTGCTAGATTCACTCAAGTGTTTCGCATGGCCCTTAAGCGGAGGCTGCATGCAGGTATTTGTGAACAGGAATGGCCGCACAATCGACTTGGCGAGCTGTCTGGTGCAAGGCAGCAGCATCATGGTCATTGTCTCGCCATTGAAGAGGACAGCGATCAAAGACAGACTTGAGCAGTACATCTTCTTTGGAGACAAGGTGACTCCTGGTGCACAAGTCCTACCTGTGCGTATTTGTGCAACTCTGATCGTCAACATCTCTTTAGGCGTTTCTTCCAAGTAATTGGTCATTTACATTGCCACACTCAACAATGAGTGACTGCCACACTGCAGGTGGAGGTGCAGGACATTTCGAGCAGCACAGTCCTCTTCACGCTGGCTGGGCCAGGTTCAGATGAGCTGATGACCAAGCTGGGTGCGGGTTCTCTGGTGGACCGCGAAGAGGGGAGCCATGCAGTGTTTGGCGCAGCTGGCCAGCCTGTGGTGGTGAGCGTTGCAGCAGAGCTCGGAGTGGCAGGCTACTCCATCGTAGCCTCAGAGGGCATTGGCGGGGACTTGTGGCAGCGCATTGTGGGCCAGGTATGCGCTGCGCATGCATGGCGTCGTCTGCCTCACCAGTCGCATGCATCACCGTGCAATCTTAGTGATAAATGAGGCTACTTCACGGCATGCATGTGTGAATGAAGTGCATGAACGGAAGACGCCTTTTCAGTGGTTTGGCTGGGATTGTCGGACATGTTTGTGCATGTGATGCTGATACATGATCACCAGGAGGAGCTGATGGGGCGCATGCTGTTTCAGGGCGCAGTCCCGATGGGGGAGGCTGGGTGGGAGCGGGCGCGGGTGCTTGCTGGCCGCCCTGCGGTGGACCATGAGTTGACAGACCTCTACAATCCTTTGGAGGCCGGCCTGTGCTCTGCTGTGTCAATCACCAAGGTTGTTTCACCTCTCTGAAGGGACTTCTGCATCTCAATGTCTTGCTCGAGCTGCACAGGCTTGCAGACTCACCGTGAACGACAGAGTCCCAGTACTCAGATCTAGTTTGGTGTCTGATGATGCTGTCTGTGGTGCAGGGCTGCTACATCGGCCAGGAGACACTGTCAAAACTCACAAACCTTGACGCATTGAAGCAACAGCTTTGGGGATTGGATCTCTCTGCTCCTGCGAGCGTGGGGGATGAGATCTCAGGTATGATTCCTCAGGCGCTGTCCCAAACAGAATAATGATAAGCTTTCTGTCCTCAGAGAATAATGTGCATGACTATTGTTGGAAGTAAGACAGCTCTTGTTTTTGCAGATGGCTCGACAAAGGTTGGGGTCTTGACAAGCACTGGCCAGAGATGGGATGGCAGCCCCTTTGCCTTGGGCTACATCCGGTGCAGGAGCAAGGGAGCGCAAGTGTCCCTAGAAGGGAGAGAGGTGGTTGTGGCAGGGGCGAAAGCCACTGTTGTAGGCGTTCCATTTGCATCTCGGATTGTTGGTGCCAGTGCTGAGACCAAACAGGCTGTATCTGCTTAGCTCTAAGAAGGCCACTGTCATCCTGTGTGAATAGTGTGCACCCTTTGTTGAGGACAAAACTACATTGACATCCATATAGTCATGCCATGCAGTGCATGCTATGCGAGAACATAACCCATCGATTAGTGCCGCACTAATGGCGGCTTCAACATTTATTAAAGCAAGGCTGAATTTATTGCATCATTCAAATTAGATTCTAAGTCACACAACTACATGTACAAAGCAATAGGGACATTGCGCTTGTGACAAAGAACACACACCCACAGGCACCCTCTCTAGTCCTTGAATAATTAAAGCAGAAGTAAAAGTCAAAGTGCATAGCACTCCTCAGCTAGGGGTGCATAGAGAAAACCCGACACCATGCATGGTGGCGACATATTTTATACAGATGATCAACCTAGTTCTGGACCATGCCCCTGCATAGTCCCCGCTTCCAGCTCTCACTCTCACCATTATGCTACTCTCATCACCTACTGGGCTGCTGCCATCTTGGGGACTTGGTTGTAGAACACCAGCGACACGTACGCGCACCACAGAATCTGCAACATCACAGAAACTCGCTCAACATTGGTGTGCATTTTTATTGTAAGATTTCTTAGTATGGAAAACATTATGTTCAGAGCAAACATCCTGGCAGGGTTCTGGACATGACAATTGCTCACCCCGATGAAATTCGCGTAGAGGATGCGCATGTCCTGATGGAGGAATCGGAAAGCAATGAAATTGGCGAGCGGCCACACCACCCAGTTCGCCTTCAGGGTCGGCCACAGTTTTGTCTGCACAGCAGCATCGAATGTCAGAGGGGCAGCACAGACAATGCTAGACATCTTTTGATTGATAGGAATGATCAGACATCGCATGTGACCATCATAGGCACAAGGAAATTCTTGCAACACGAACAAGGTCTTTCTGTGAAACAATGAAGGATAGAAGTGCGCAGCACCCACCTGAATGATGAGGCCGATCTGATCTGGCGTCCCCTTGATGCTCTCCAGGTAGACGAATAGCAAAATGGTTGAGAGCGGCGCAAACACCAGTTGGTCCACAAGCAGCTTGAGCACAATGGCTGGGCGGCTGGTGGGGCGCTTGGGCATTATGTTGGCCTCCAAGAACTGCACAAGACACCATGCTTGCAGTCAGCGTGCTGGATTGTTGTTAGAAAAGAGTGGCTGCTATTGTCCCGCTTCAGGTGGGAGGCTTGTTTCTGACTCACCTGATGCCAGTAGTGCCCAGAAGGTCCACCCACAACGAAGCCATACACAGACATCCTGAGGTTGCGTGCAACGTCAAAGGGGGCGCCCGTGAACCATTGTGCCAATGCGTCGCCAATGACAGCACCTAGTCAGAGTGATGCACAGAAAAGCATCAGCTCAGGGGTCCAACTCTGAACCCTGATTTCCATGTTCATGTGCCTTCTAATATTGATTATAGGTACAGGGCGCAGGATCGATTATCATTTGCAACATAATCACAAGGAGGTCAGAACTTTCCAGAAACCAGCAGTGACAACGCAATGTAGGAATATTATCATAACGCTTAACCAGGATTCACAAATGGGGCAAAGATAGTGCGTCACATACCGAAGAAACAGGTGAAGGCCTTTGTGAGGACAGGTGCTGTCTGCAGGCTGTAGTTATAGTAATTCCATAATCCGAATCCACGCTGCGGCTTTTGTTTCTGTGTGCGTGCCGCCTCTGCATGGATGGGGAGCCGAAGTGCTGCAGGCAAATCGTTCGATGTTGCTCTACGCATTGGCATTATACTGGGGCGGAACGCCCACAAATTTTTCGAGGAAATTGAAGGAGCACAAAGCGCGTTGCTTCTACGCCTTATAATTATAAGTCTCTGGCACGCATTGAGATTTCTCAACATTTTCCAGGTCGACAATTCTTGATTGCATCGTGAAAAGGAGCGGAGAGGGCGAAGATTCTTCGCCGAAGAAGAAAGCAGCAATACAACGCCGAGACCTTTAGGGTACAACTTAGCCTATATATAGGGTAAATTGGCTGAGTCACGCCGAGACCTGCACCGAGAGAGAGAAGATCTAAGTGATCAAAGTTCCACTGAGCACATCCAAACACCGAATTCCTGGATCAAGAGAACCACGGTCCCGTCTGACACTTGGCGATCCTCGTGTCAGAAGGGACCGTTCACAATTAGTATCGAGAATTAAGATACTTCTTGTTTCAAGTATTCCTGAGAATTCTAATTACTTGTCAACGAAATATTGCGAATTGGAGACTTCCAGATGAAGGCGGATCGGGGCAAGGAGTATCATCCTCCCGTTAAGCAAGAAAAGCAGCTAAAGCAGAAGCAGACGCAACACCTGTCTACAGACATGCACAGCAAGATGAATTTGATATCACCAGCAGCGATGCATCACACAGTGGCATCAGGAGCGTTTCAGGAAAGCAAGCTGATCAAGCACAGGCACACCGACGCAAGAGACTTTTCTCATGAGAAGCCGTTCGAGCGCGTTTTGGTGAGGATCTGGATTTCAAACTCATGTTTGAACATAGTTGTATTCTTCCTGACCCATCAGCAACCTTGATCTGTGCTCATCTGACTGATCGTCTGAGTACTGCCTGAGCACTTCACTCTTGTGTAGGTTGCCAGCTACTTCATCGAAAAGCAAGCAAAGGCTGAGGCCATGCGATGTCTGCAGGGACCTTGATCCCTTCGACATAGGATTTACTTTCTGGGAGGAACCTTTTTGGATTGGATTGGTATGTCCACAGGCACAAGGTCCATTTTATTTGAGGAACACTGATTTGCCCATCTGAGAGAATAGGTACAGTAGAGCAAGTGCTACATCAACTCTTTCCTTGTGCCTGCAGCAGGCAAAATTTTGCAACGCCTGCTTCCATGCCCTCTTCACATTGTGTGGTGATTGATCATCCACGACTTTCACGGCGAGTGGAGGCTGCAACTGAATATCTTCGCAAGGTTGTGCGGAGGCCTGATCTGCATTTGAAGACCTGCGATGCTTGCAACTCAAGCGAGTCATTTTGCGACTATGAAGCTGCACACTGCGAGGAGCCTGGTCACGAAGGAAGGGTGCGCTACAAGAATGCATCTGTAGCTTTGCGATTTTTAAACTTTGCGATTTACCGATGATAAGTTCAGCCAGAGACAAGGCTCTCAGCCGTGTTATTGCTTGCAGGAAAGAAAACTGTGCGAATCGTGCTTCTGTGCAGAGTTTCCCGACCTTAAGATCAACAGCGATGGACAGGTGAGACTTCTGCCTGAAGGCACACTTGCTTTGCGTGGTCTTGAGTGTCTGCAGGGCCGCGCAGAATCATCATTTTTTGTGCTCCACAAAGTTCGATGCGAGCATCAATGATCGGCTTTTTGACTGTGCACAGGAATTTGGACAAGAGTCCAAAGAAAAGACGTAAAACGATAGACGAGTCTGATGGACCCATTGAGGCAACAGAAGTGAAGATCGAGCCCAGCGCTCAGACCGCCTGAGTCATGCAAGGGGTGCAACTCCTCCTATGCTGACCATCGACTCCACGTATGTTTCAAAAGACTTCCTGTTCATGTATCTTATTGTAACAAGCAACTAGCTAGATCTTCTCACTGAGAACTCATGGCATGGTGTTGAAAACATGTGTGAAATTTTGGAGCGGGTCACTTGGTGCCCTTCAGTCACTGTAGATGTTGAGAATAGCAAAACCCTGAACTTGTAGTCAGATTTCAGAAGTGCTCAATTTTGTCGATGGTTGCCAAGCTTTGATGGCAGCAAACTCTTCCATGAGTTGTGCGCCTGTTTTTGACTATCCAGCTTGATCTTGATCTTGCTTGGGAAGCAGTTGAAGCTTGAAGGAGTCTGGGAAAGCATTATCATGATCACTGGGAGTTTCAGTATTTCACCTCTTGCTGCTACTCTGCTGATGGTTGATATGAACAAAGTATTGGGTTTACTAGCCTGCTCTTATTTTGAACACCTCAAGTTCAAGTTAATAGGAGGCAGAAGAGAGTTGTGTGTCATTTGAAGGATATCAAGCAGGCAGAGAGAAAGAATGTGTGTCCAATGCGCTCATGTATGCCTTTGCACAACATCTGAAGAATTGGTGGCACTGGTAGCCTATAGGGGCATGAACATGCTCGGTAAACACCGTGATGCAACGCAGCGGTTTGCAGATACTATTGGTCTAGTAAAAGGTTTAGATCAACAATTTAAGCACACTTGTAATTGGTTGCAACTTGTAGTCAAAGCTCTGATCATCTTGATACCCCTTAGAAATCAGATAGTTCAGAGCGCTGTGCCTTCATGCCAAGACAAGTGCAGCATACATGTCTCCCCAACTGGTGTGCATATATTTAACTAATGGAGGCAGCCAGGTGGAAAATAGGCCATATGTGTATTTTTTCACAGCCAATCCCACTCAAGAACATATCAGGGTCTCCCTTGTGTCCTGGCCAGTGATGGGATTCGTTCCAGAAGCTATCTTGCACAACTGCTGCTGCACATCTCTCCGCAGCACCACATCAGTCCCTGCAGGCACGTCTTACCCATCAAATAGGTCCATGGTAATCAGCATGCAGAAGCAGCAACAGAATCTGTAGACCAGGATAGGAGAGATATGGCAACTTACAGTCGCTGCCCGCAATATTCACGTTTTTGAACTTTGCATTGGTGACCTGCACAAACAACATTCCAGGGTGAGTCATCACTTCCATGCAGCCAAGAAAGGAAGCAACGGAAGAATCATGCGGCCGTATGCTTACCTGTGCCCCCTCCAGAATTGCCTCTGACAAATCTGCATTCTCAAAATCTACGCTCTCCAGATCTGCATTGTTGAGGTGTGCACCGACAAACTTGGCATCCTTGCAGAACGCTCCAAACAAGGAAGCGCCCTCCATGTTCGCCTTGGAGAAGTTTGTGCCCCTCAGATCTGCTTTGTACAGCTTCTGCCCTCTGAAATCCTTGGAAGACAGGTCTTGGAATGCCAAGGGTACCCCCGTCCCGGTACCTGAATGAAAATTTCAGGTTGCAGTTCCAAGCACTGTACCACATTCGTTATGCAGCAACACTAACATAACCTGAGTGGTTTCTCACCTCCTCCACCAGAGACAGCATGCGCATTAATGGGAGTCAAGGCAGCTAGTGCAGCTAGAGCTGCAGCAGCAACAAGTGCTGGCCCATGCGACTCTGTTGTCTGCTGGGCCTGGGCCACAGTGGGCAATATGACCCTGTGATTCCTCGAGTCGCAACATTTTCTGTTTGATCCAAAGATGGCGATCTGTACCCATCACACGAAGGAGTGAGCACTGTGAGCCTGCTTGCATCTAGTCCTGAGAAAATCCAGGAAGAATCGGTGAATACATACATGAAGATTATTACGAAAGAGCACCACATAAGTTTCTGCTATGCAGCAAGAGCTCTGCTTGTTTTTATATCAAAAACATGGTCGATTTCTACGTGCATGTGGGCAACACAACAGCTCTCAGACCTTCTGTGTCGCGAACTGACGGCAGAGCATGGTACCTTGCATCGTAATCAATGCACTTTGGTAGCTGTGCGATCACGATTATAGCTCAGATTGTAGAAGATTTATGATATTTCTTGGGCTCCTGATGCTGCTGACGTGGATCAAGATTGCTTTCCCTTGAATTCAATTCTTTCGAAATAATCTTTGATGTCTGCATTCCATTTTCTCTAATTTTCTCTAAAATCTCCTTTGCCACTTACTGGCTCACCCAGTGTCAATACTGCAATATCATCAAGGAAGGGGGAATGCTAGATGTGAGATGCTCAGTACTGACTAGTCTGCCAGAATGTACCAGAATGCAATTGCAAGCCATCACTGGTAGTCCCGATGGCCGGCCATCAGCATGCATGGCACGTGGCCCCCGGTCATCATGATCACACATCCATGCCAGCGCAGCATTATCCATGAGTCTTGTTAAACAGGGTCCTATAGCAATTTTAAAGTATCTTCAACGTAACCATAGACAATTGTCCAAATAATTCTTTGAAATTGTTCAGCGAGGATCAGAATCAATCCTGTATGACAACAAATGAGACCACCTTTTCAAACAGCACTGGCATTGACCAGAGGTGCACGCTGGTGACCTGTCATGCAGGCAGCGCGAATGTGCGCAGACGCGTCACGCATAACTCACCCTGACAGAGGGAGAAACCCAACTCATTTATCTCAAGAGCGCATCTTCATTTAAACAGAACATACTTCGGTGAGTAAAATTCACTGGTAGCCTGCCACGGTCCTGACCCACATGTCCAGGGTGTCAGCATCGCGGGTCTCTGAAGGGTACTTGATGTAGCCGGCTTGGCCAGCCGGCAAGATCACGATGGTAGGGAATGTGCGCAGCCCAAACTTCTCAGACGAGAAGTCGCGCTCAATGTCGGCCTGGAACTTTGCCACGCGCACATGCGAGCCCGCATAGCGCTCTGCCAGCTCACTGTACGACGCCTCCATAGCCTGCGCGCAGCAAAACGAACCTGTGGGCTTGCAGACAGCTTGCATGCTGGTGCAGATCGCACAGGCAGCACTGCTTCTATTCTGGCCCTCATGCCATCCTTTAGGCCCAACACCTTGCTAGTCCATGCACTGCATTGCTGCAGGGCTGCGGCTTTCAGGGACAGCACACCAGAGGTTGCCTTGGGCGGGCAGATCGGTCAAAGGAGAAGAGGGGAAACAACAAAATATTCCACAGAATCTGATCAGTTGATGCCTATAGATGTAAGCCTTGCACCAGATGCCAAGAGATGCAAACCTAACATGAGGACGCTCAGAGGAGGCAGAGGGTGGAGCACACCTGGGAGTAGGGGCACCAGGGGGCGTAGAGGACGACGAGGGTGGATTTGTCGCGGGGGCCGTCGGCCAGCGCGGCCAGCTGCTCGCGGGAGAGCGCCTCTACGTGGGCGTCTGTGTCCCACAGATCGCGCTCCGCCTCTCGTTTGGCCTGCTCCGCCGCGCTCTGCACCACGTTGCCCGAGTGCAGCCCGCACTCCTTGCCCGTCGCCTCCTGCGCGCACACAAATACGGTGTTGAACATACATCGTGCGATCTCTCTTTACCTTGATGCTATAATGCCAATTCTGACATGACTTCAAGCAGCATCTTTGGGTATGACAAGGTTGACTTTTGGCAAACTCATGACCGTCTGCATGGTAGCCTCGACAGTGAAGCATCCTGTTCATGAGCCATGCAGAGAATTAGACAGGGGTGATAGAATAAGGTAGAGTTGGGCAGTGGGTGCGCACCTCCCACCACCAGCGGCCCTCGCGCTCGTGCTGGTTCGGCAGCACCGCCCGCGTGCATGGCTCGCAGCCGATGGAGATGTAGCCGCATGCATGCAGCTCATTCGTGGGCACACCCTGCATGCCACATTATGCCATCACACCAAGCTAGACGAAATATTGTCTCAGAACTATCCAGCACCGCTGTGGAGCTAGATGGGCATTTGCAGAGCACACAATCTTGATTGGTCCGCAATCTGGCTAGATAAAGTTTCAAGTAAACAAGGCTGCGAGAAGCTTCCACCCCATAGATCTCAGTGCGTGGCCTCACCATGACTCGGAGGAAGTTCCAGACTTCGGCGGAGGTGACGTTGGAGAGCGGGTTGTACTTGACGAGCGAGCCGGCGCCGCCGTCCTTGCCCTCAAAGGCCGGGTCGACCTGGATGACAGGGACTGCCTGCCGCGTGCCGGGGCTCTGGTCTTTCCTCTGCCCTGTGATCCACGCCTTGAGGCCCGTCAGCTGCCTCCTCAGCGGCCGCACCTGCCCACAACACCACCATGCATTTGAACACCCATACATGGGGTTCTTACCAGTCGAATTGGAGTACTGGCTCTTCATCAAAGCTGATGCTCCATGATTCCACTGAACATGCACCGTCTATGTTGCACTTACAATATCGGCTTAGAAATAGATGAAAAAATGGCCCCAAGGATTTAGCAGCAGGCCGCATGCATGCAGTGGGATGCAAAGGGAGGCCCACCTTCCTGACGCGGCAGCACTCCTGGTGGCCGTCCTCGTAGAAGGAGAACATGCCCTTCTCGCGCACCAGGTCCATCGTCTCCCGGGCGTCCGGGAACGTGTACTCGATGCGGATCCCGTAGTGCTTCTCCACCTTGTCAAACAGGCGGTACGTCTCTGGGTTGAGCCTGCCAGTGTCCAGGCTGCAGCCACCATGGCCCACTGTCAGCACGATGCATGAGAGGCGCTCTCTCTGCAGCATGATTGCTGAATCTCAGATTTTCTCGATGAAGCATTCAGCCCCACCTGAAGACCCTGTAGGGACGGCCTGTCAAGTGTGCATACTCGATCAGCGCCACGTCCTCTGCACCGCTGAAGGCAATGGCTGCATCAGTGCCAAAGGTCGCCAGCGCCTGTGGCGCCACAGGGAAAGTGTAAGGATAGAGGAGGTACTAAGCAGCCTGAAAGATGATTCCTGTGCAAAGGGGCCCTGCACTTAGCAGGGCCCCTAGGTGAAAGACAGGCTTAGGGCGAGGAGAGGAGTTACATGGTCCATGATCTCCAGTGGGGACTTTCTGTCGAGATCCTTCGCCAGCGCATCGAAGTCGAGCTCAGCTGCGCCTGGAGCAGCTGTGGCAACGTCCGCCTGCACCCACAGCTTGTCAGTCGACGCACTAGGCAAGGAGGACCCAACGCACACAGTGGCGCGCCATAGGATCGTGATTCTCACCTCGGGTGCTGCGATCGCGCGTAGGACAGCAGATCGCTTGGCGTCATGGCGTAATACAGGGAAGCCGGCCACCTTCGGCACCTTGTGCACCGAAGTGCCAAGTGGTGCCGGCGATGCTGAAGGCCGCCGCCATGTACCCAAGTTCGCAGAAGCCAACAAGCTCTGCGCTGCCATGATGGAGGTCGTGATTCCTTTGGAATCCGGCTCCAGGCAACAGAAGCTTTTGTGTGGACCTCTCTTGTAAGGCGGTGAGTGAGGGTTAGGAGATGGATCTGGTCAGGTGCCGACATCACCTAATCATGACAAAGGCTCCGACACGGACAAGTTGGTCTCGATAATTTTGGAGATTGTTGGCTGCTTCTTGATCTCTGTAAACAAATTTACTGAAACTTTTGCTTTGGGCAGGATGTCACAACTGGGGATCGGTGCCATTGACCCACAAGGGCTTTTGTTTCACAGACATGCGCAGTCTTTGCAAGCACGGTTGGGTGCACATCACACTTGCACAGACACATCGTTAAGAATTCACAGAAATAAGCCCAGACCGCGCCGAGATGCCTTGACAAGGTGCAAATGCCTCGCTTTGGTCCTGCCAAGTGATCTATCCTGCGTCAGCTTTGAGATAAGCTCCATCGGAGAACACATTGGAAGCATCATGAATGCTTAAATTCTGGAAGTTAGAGTTAGATTTCATGTAGCAAGCCGGGATGTAAATCCTCTGCCCAAAAACTCACCGCAGAAGGGTTGTCCACAGGGGCCGTCCCTTGGCGCTGTCAGGCAGAGAGGTGGCCCGCCAGTCCGAGCTCATGCGGCTGCCGCCTGCGCCGCCACCAGCCTCAGCGCCGCCCCCACCTCCTCCTCCCCCTCCCCCACAGCCCCCCTCAACGGTGCGCCCCCCACTCTGTTGTTCATGCTGTATAGCCATAGTGCTACCTTGCAGCAGGTACCTTCCAGAAGTGGATAAGATTGCGTATGACGCATGCATCCCAGTCTCCCAAAAAGTGTATCCGACGGTGGCACGGCTGTCACAGGACGAAGGCGGCATCGGGAGACGGCTGCTTCTGGGGGCCGCCATGGTCGGCGGGGCCACTGCTTGGTGGAGCTTCCTCAATAGTGAGCCTCCAAAAGTCCCATGATGCTTTCTCTGCCTGAGTGTTCTGTGTTCCCGCTGTTTGCAGGAGGACCTTAGAAGACCCTCTTGTTTCCTTCTCGCTGACGGTTTTGACAGGGGGACTTCTGTCCTTCCGAGCATATGGGCATTCCCGTACATTAAATGTGAATGGTGCAGGCCAGATGCCGGACATGCGCAAGGGGAAGAAGGGGGCGGTTTACCTGAAGACCAAGGGGGGGAACACGGTGGGAGCCAGGGTGGACGAGAACGGGCGCACCTACATGTTCGACCGTGCCGGCAACCTCTACTACGACACCGGCGACAAGCGGCTCGGCTTCTACATTGTGAGGCCTGCAGTCCCCTTCCTGTAGCCATGCAGTTCGTTGATGTGACACTGGGGGTCTTGGAAGCAGCTGAACATTCTTCCTTAACATGGTGCAGAAATTTAATACTTTATTGGTGTCTTATGGGGTCATAAAGCCTCATTTACAGCTCTTACTGTATCGAAAAGGAGCAGTGGGAGGTCCTGATGAGGGTGGGATGGCCTGCAGGTGACGTGGGACAACAAGGTGTATAATGTGTTCCTGGACAAGAATGGCGAGGAGCAGCGGAGGTACGTGGGGGACATCCGCGATGTGCGCAGCTTCCGGGTGAAGGATCTGGGGGGCATCAGCGTGGATCGCCTGCAGCGCGCCAGCAAGGGGCGCTTCGACGGCACCGTCACCGCCTTCCCAGATGACAACAATGACATCCCCCTGCCGCCAAACACCCCGCTCTACAAGAACAAGGTCTGCCCCTCTCGGTGGCGCACTATTTAAGTGCAACGAGGCAGGCCCTGCAAATGTGTATGTCACTAGCACTGCATATACACCGCGAGCTAGCCCTTTCTCTCTACTTCGCAATCGCTGGGCCCTGTATGTCTAGTATCTCTCTTCTCTTAAGTGTCTCGTTACCTCGACCTCAGGGTCGCATCTCTCTTGGACATCGGATCCTTGCACTAACAATAGCAATTGTTGTTGCATTTGGTGTGGAGAGTAAGGAGTGGCTTGGTATTGCAGAATGGGGAGGTGCAAGGTCCCCCAGAGTTGGAGGAGGGCATCATACAGCTGCAGAGGAAGAAGAAGTTCTGGCCTTTTGCGGGCGACAAAAATGACTTTGGCGGGCCCCTCCAACGCGGAAATGGTTGATGCAGAGCGATGGCATGCACGTTGTCTGCTGACACCGATGGCTTCCAGCAGGTCTCTGTGTACAGTTTTGATCTCGAAAATTGATGTACACCATGTATAACATCAGTTTCTTGGCCCCTGGCGTTTCTTGGCCACAGGATTTGAGTGCAGACATTATGCCATTAATGGCATATTTTTCCTGTCAACTGGTGAGGACTTCGAAAATTGATAGCATGCTGTGTCTCAGATCGAAATCAAGGGTACGGAACTCAATCTTCAGAGCTCATTCAAAATGCGGTGATTAATGCGTCAAAATTGCTGGGCACCGCAATTAAAAGCCTTTATGCTCAATGTTCTCAAAGTCGTGATGGCCTGGAGGCAACACGATGCCCTTATATAGTGTCAGGAAATAATTCTCCTAACATGTGCAATCTCAGCATAAATATACAGCGGATATGGTACAACGTGGTCCCCATCGCATGCATGGTCTAATCGGACGCCCCACCCTGGAGCATGGTGGTGCACCCAATTGCAATGTTCAAGTCAAGTCCTGGGCCGCCCCCTGTACATCTGGACGATCCCGTCAGGGCCGGCCGAACTTGGGCGGCGGGGTGGGGTTGGAGAGGGGCCGGGTGCCCAGCGGCTGCACGTCGGCTAGCGGCCCGCTGCGCACGAGGCGCGTCCAGCGCTCGGGGAACTGCTCTGCCAGCGTGATGGCCTCCAGCTCACCATCCGCAAGCGCCACCTTCGCCGCAGCAGCCGGGCCCCCATCAGCCGTGCAGCTAAGGGTCGTCGTCTATGCACCTACTCCCTGCCAGGCCGCTGCCTGAAGGGCGGTGCGGATGGCTGGGGAGGCGTCGCGCGCGCATGGCGGGCTCAGGCGCTCTGGGAGTTGCGCAGGAAGGCGGCCCAGCGCTGGGGCAGCAGTGCAACCAGGTCCAGGGTTTCCGGGGGCGTGTCCGACGATAGCGCCACCTTGGGAGCGCCGCAATGCATCGTGTGAAGCCAGGGCCAAACCTCTGTCAAATTCATCTCCATGCTGCCCCTCATACACAGGCAGACAACGCAACCGCAACAATGCCCAAAAATATACCACCCTTGCATTGCTGTAGAAAAAAAGAGCTGTAAATTATAGAGATAGGCACACCTCGAGAGCGACGACCTCGAAGAGCAGGGCCTCGGTGGTTTTGCGCGCGCTCTGCAGCTTGGGCCGCAGCGCGGTCGCGGCAGCCTCGGCCTCGTCGGCGCCCAGCCACAGCTCGTTGCCGCGCGCCCCGGCTGACGGCTGCGCGCCGGACGCCGCCGCGATGGCCGCCAGCTCGCCCTCCAGCGCCTTGCGCAGCTCTGCCACATCCTTGGCCAGCTCCGGCACGGCCACCCCCTTGGCCGACGTTGCCTGGCACGCCCGCATGAACATCCCTGCAAGACACACCGCTCATCCAGGCTACTCCATCCCCCAACCCATTCCATGTGAACAATCCAGGCAATTGCCGTCATGCAGGGATGTATTGCTACAGCATAGAGTGACTGGTGCACTTTGCGTCAGGGGCTGCATTGGAGGGGTTTGCAGGCAGCCCCCTCTGCGCCTTCCCTCCTGCAAGGGCTCCAGTAGGGGAAGCAGACTACATAAAACAGTGTGCGTACCGTTGAAGAGGTAGTCGGTCTGTTGGGTGCTGCTGTCGGCGGCAAGGCGGTCGATGAGGAAATCGTTGATGCGCTGCGCCTCGTCCGGGCGCTGCCACAGGATGTGCTGCAGCAGCAGGCAATCAAACTTGTTCACCGCCCGCCGCCCGCTCGTGTACGCCGCCACCTGCCACACCACACCCCAGCAATCAACAATCTTCACGTTCACTGCTGCAAGTCCAGCTTCGATACCATCTGAAGAGCCAAGTCAGAGTGAAGTAAACATTGGAGTGTGCAGAGCCACCGAGATGACAGGTGGTTGGTCAAACAAGAACGCACCTGCAAGAGGGCAAGTGCCTTCACAAGGCGGCGGTCTGACACATAGACTGGCGGCTCGCACTTCTCCTGCAGGAAGCTGCGCACGTCCGACAGCAGATTCACAATCTCCTCCGGTACTGCCACCTTCGCCCTTGCCTCAGATCTGGGCACAGAAATTAGCAGTACTTCAGCAGCGCAGCAATAGGCCCCAAGCCATGACAAAGGTGAGGGTTCTCCCACAGGGCCAGAGACAGCACAGCAACATGCCCGTTGAAATCTGCAGATGCAGCTAAAGTGTCTGATAAGATCGCTGCAAAGCTCTCTATGGCTGCAGAGCTACTCAAAAACAATCAAAGCACGCATGAGCTGCGTTGCACACCTGGTGGTCTGGATCTCTTCCTCTGACAGAGCGATGCTGTCGATAGAGCCGGGCCCGGCGCCATTGGATGCGCTGTCTGTATCGCTCGCCGGGGATCCGCTGAGCAGGGCAGGGAGGCCTGCCAGGCTGACCTGGTTCACCCGCCGCCGGATCAGGAACCGATCATACAGGGCATCCAGCTCCTCACTCTCTGGCAGCTCGTTGGATGCTCCCACCTGCAGCACGCAAAGCTGTCACGCCACATCCTGATATCCGTGCGACAGTCACCATACAAACTGCATTGAGAATGTGGCGCATGCATGGGACCTCAACAAGAAGGATCAAGCATTGGCCCTTTGTTGACAAATGAAAATGCAGAGAACAGCGGTGCTTCTCGCGCAGGTGACGGGGAAACTCACCAAGCAGATGAGTGGGACTTGGATGCGCGCAGAGCCGTTGTCAAAGAGGCGCTCGTTAAGGATGGTAAGCAGCGTGTTGAGGATAGCGGAGTTGGCCTTGAACACCTCGTCAATGAAGGCCACCTTGGCGCTGGGCAGGTACCCATCTATCTGCCGGATGTACTTGTCCTCTTCCAGGGCCCGCATGCTCAGAGGCCCAAACAGTTCCTGCAACGAGACACAAAGTTGGCACCCAGGCAGCTTGGTTGGTAAAAGGATTCTTGCTGCTGCTGTTGTGATGAACCAGCAACGAGCTAACCTCAGGGACGGAGAAGCGTGTCAAGAGGCGCTCAAAGAATTGACCATCGTATAGGCGGGCCAAGCGACGGCCCAGTTCGCTCTTGGCAGTGCCTGGAGGCCCGATAAAGAGGATGTGCTCCCCCGCCAACGCTGCCAACAGCAGCAAACGAACCTGCAAGAGCAAGTCCATCGGTTATACTGCACGCCAAGGTGGACATCTGCAACGCCCATGGTGTTGTCAAGATGATCTAGGAAGGCTTGCCTCTGTATCCCTCTCCACAAGCCCTTCCTGCAAGGACGTGATGGCCTTTTCCAGGCGTTGCTGCAGGGCTGTGTTGGAGCCATCCTTGCCATCATCGCTCGCCCCTTCAGATGTACCGCTCTCAATGGATACCAAGATGGAATTGAAGCGGGTCTGTGCAGCTTCTCGTAGCTTCTGCACCTGCACCTCCTGCCTTTGATCCTTTATTTCATCGCCTGATGTGATTGCACTTACCCTCTCGACTCGCCTCCTGCATGTCACAAAAATGCGCTGTTGCAAGGTTACCTCCGTGGAGGGGGATTGGGGTTTCATGTCTAAAAGGATGAGCAGCGCATTCCTGTCTAAATCACCTGGAGAGGTGTCCATGGGGATGCGTCCCTTCTCTAAGACGCTGCCGCAATGTGCAGGGCGCTCGAGAGCTCACAAATTTTGTGGTAGAAACAAATGGACAATAATGATATTGCAGTGTACAATGTTGATCTCGGCACCCTCCCCTAGGTAGGCACACACGCAACTGCATTGCCCTAGATGATTGAGAGAACGCAAGCTGCCTTGGATGTGTAGATCAGGCTAACATGAGATCTATGCACGTATTATTCTGCATCTCTGTCAAAGCATAATTTACGTAAAATGGATTTACATTTGATGATCTCCAGCGGCATCGGTGCTACCCAGAAGGCAGGTACACCGTCATCCGACACGCGTTTCCACGTGGGTTCCGGAAGGTCTTTTATATTTAGATTAGACCAGCAACTCTGTCTGAACAATCTGTAAACGTGTTTCTATGGGCATGTACGTGCAGTGTTTGTAATTTGTTCTCTGTGACACAGTGCAATTGTCGGCTTGAATGATTGCAGCTAAGACATCCTCTCTGGCCGATGTTTCAGATCATTAAGACCAGATCACCTGTCTCTTGGTCCCATTCTGTCTGCTTAGCACATCATACCTTCTACGTGAAGGCTCGTGCACAATTGAGGCCACAAATTTGTCAGAGAGGTGAGAAAATCAATCAATTTCCCATGGCTTCTGTATCGGTGTAGAGCTCATACAGAGCTCACAAGCTTGAGTTCTTACAGGACCAGCAGCGTCTTTAGGAGCGCACGCACGAGAAGCATACGGTGAAGAGCCCTCCGAGGCCTGTACAGCGCATAGCAACGACTTCAAGGAGCTTTGTTACAGCGAGACAGAGCTGCTCCTGGAGATTATAGGGTACATGACTCCACGTGCTCCTACGGCTTCTTGCTAGCAGACCTTGCATTTTATGGGTGGCATGAAGTGGTGGCTCCTTTGCTCTGCAGGCAGCCCTTCTGGAATGTCACTGTCCATGCCAGAGTCCCACATAGTTTCAACTCTGGCTCGCTGGAGTTTCAGCGAGTTGCAGCTGTTGGAGCCTCGTTAATTGAGGCACAAGAGAGCGTCCTCACATTGGGAAACAGCAATGCCGCAGAGGAGTCTCTCATAAAGGCAGAGCTTGTGGATTTGCCTGAGGGGGGCGTAGTGCTCCCGCTTGCGCACCAGCAATTCCTAGTGGGGCTTCTGTTCCTGGAGGAAGCTTCTGCGCCCTCCCAGAGCGCCCTTTCAGACCTGACAAGGCAGACGCTGGGAGACAGCAGCTCATTGGTCAGGTGGGCTGTTGTCATGTGAATCATCGTTGGCCTGTTCTCAACCATGCTAGCACCCAGACACCAGAGCACTGACACCACAGACAGATGCCGCAATGACTGCAGAATAGAGCTTGACTCCTCCTGGGTGTTGATTGTGCAGGAGTGGGCGGCATGGCGCATCTCAGATGCTGGGGCCCGAGGCGCTGAGGCGCCTGAAGAAGGTGGCCCGGGTCCTGTCGCTCGCATGCAGCCTGGAGCAGCGAGCGGCCCTGGAGAGAGCGCGCGACGCCGCGCGGAGCCGGCACATTGGCGGACTCGTCGAACAGGTGCACAAATGATCCTCACAAGATAACATCTTATATTTGCTCTGCTCAAGCTTGCCCTGCCCTTACTGCAGCTTTCTGAGCGTTGTGGCCTGAGGTGTATTTGGTGTGGACAGGTGCGGGGGCCCCTGTCAGCTTTACGGACCCTGGGAGCGATGCTGGTGCCGCGTACGGAGGACGTCACTCGTGACGTTGCCGACGGCATTGTAGTCCAGGTGATCCATTGTTACTTGCAACTCACATTGCTGGAAAGACCAAGGTCTCAACAAAGGACAGGACAAGCAAGATTGCAACGTTACATGCATGTTCTGGTGCATGCAGGGGAACAGATTGCAGGACCTTGTTTTGGAGCTACAGAAGGTCTTGAGGCCTGCACATCTGCCTCCATCCTCTGCGGTGCGCCGTTACAGCGCACCTTTAAATTTATTCAACAAACAGGTGTGCATGCGCTCAAATCCTCTCATTGCAATCGCATGGAAAGTTTGACAGGAGTATGTGTTGCAGCCCCTGGCTCCCATCCCCGCTTCGAGCCAGCTGGAGCAGTGCTTTGTCCCTGCGGTGCTGGAGAGGGTGGCGGATGACATGACCAGTGCCTGTGAGAATGTGGGCGTCCGAGTCAGAATGGACCCGCTTATTGCGACGCTCGCCCACGAAGGCGGTCAGGCCCAGAACAGCAGCAGCAGCAGCAGCAGCAGCAGCCCCAACAGCTTGATGGACAATGTCAGCAGCTGCAGCAGCAGAGATCTAGATGCCTATGTGGCAGCAGGGATGAGTGGCAGGGCGGCCACTGCTAGCAAAGTGGATGCAGGCTTCGGCCAGTCGCGCACAGCTACTGGGCGAGGCAGCAGATACAGCGCCCAAGTTCAAAGGCAGGGAGCTCAGGGTCAGCCAGTGCTTTTGCCGCCGCCATCGCGCGGCCTGCTGCTGGGGGGCCCAGTGCTGCCTGACAGGCGCCAGTTCTATGCGCAAGTCCCTCCCGAGGTAGGGGTCCGTATTCTGTGCTGCTACACAGCCATCCGTAGCCTTTGTTCCTTTGCGGACACAGTGCAGGACACAATCTGTTCATTGTAAATTTGTTCATGCACAACTGCATTAATCTTGCAGCAATATTGCTTGTGCTTTCATAATCCAACCGTGTGTGCCGCAGCTGTGAGTCTTTACAAGTCAAGGAATGTGTGCAGGCGCTGAGTGGTATTGTGAGCTGCTTGATTGACTCCGCTCTCCAGAGAACTCCTCGGGGCGGACATGTGGACATTAGCTTGATGGCCAGAGAGGGCGGCATAAACATACATATTGTGGACTCTGGCACCCAAATGGCTGAGCGCTTGCGAGGCCTCCTTGAAGCGGGTTTCTCCCAAAGCCAGGTAATCTCTTATAAGATGTAATTACATGGGCGCACTTGTCATAGCACGTCACACTGTGGCAGCTGCTAGTAATTAATCAGTTGATTATTGTAATTTTTCACGGGCAACAACAATACTGCCTGCTTCTTTGCTTGCCAAACCGGCTAATCCCTCATTCGACTGTCCTCTGAGGGTACGACATCTGACAAGACACGGTGATAGACCATGGAGAAGAATCAAGAATGACACTGATTTCGTCCAGGTACCGGCTGGCAATGAAGATCTATCAGCGGAGGCTGCCATGCAAAGAATATGGTCAGGAGAGGCGTCAGGCTCAGGCTTCATTGCGTTGGCCTTGGCCCAGAATCAGGCTCGTGCTATTGGTGCTCGAATAGAATTTGAACCACAACAGAGACCCTTTCATGGCACCAGGACATCTCTGTGGGTGCCCGCTAAGAGATGAGTTTCATAAGTGGTTCTAGATTTCTGCCGTTGACTTTGCTGCCTCTCATGACTTTGATCTTCAACTAGAGTTGAATCAGAATTCTATGTGATACTGTGGCTTATGATTGTCCTGCTTCCCATCTGCATCTGTCTTTTGTATCCGCCAAACGCACGCAGAGATCTCATCCGCCTCACCCACATTGCACACGCCAGTCATGCTGACGCCAGAAGCACTGCGTAAGACACCCAGGTGGACCGTCAGATCTGAGCTGCCCCAATGTATATTGGTTGTCGAACAGTCTTCAGGTATGCCTGAATTCGAGCGCACTGCCTGAGCAGACTTCATCCTCACCTTCCAAATTCAAACACTGCAGGATCCCTTCTGGGTACGATCATCGGGATCTGGCGAGCAGAAGCTCCATTGGGCTCATCTGACACCTTTTCTTCCGCTTTGCTGCAAGTTAGCACACCAGAACTTATGCCTGGACACTGAGAAGGCGTCCCCCGGTCCCTGTGATCTTGCATCCAGCTCTTAAACCATAGAAAGGACATCCAATATATGTAGTTGTAGCGGACCTTTGTGCTCTAGGCTTCTTTTTCCTCCAAAATAGCAGCCCCATGCTGTCTGCTGATCTGTGCTGGTACCTGGTGCTCGGAGTCTGTAAGTCAAAGCAAAAACGAGAATACCCGGGTGATTAGAAAGGTTCTTCTTAGCTCATATGCAGAAGACGTGACAATTCCATGGGTATCTGGGGAGATCAATGCCCAGTCTGAGGCCTAGCTAGGGTTCCTTGAGGGTTCTGACTTGAGCATCGGAAGCGATTCGGCAGGAATCCTCGTCTTGATATCATTCTACCACATTTCATCGTCGTGATTTCTTTTAAATATGAGCATTTCGATTTAGCCTCTGAAGAGCTTGATACTTACAAAATGGTCTGTCCCATCCCTGTTCTGATCACTCTCTTTTCTTGCCCAAGATAAACATTATATCCTTTCATAGAATCTGACTATTACTCACGGTACTAACTGGATTGGTGGGAAGCTGGTATCGCAGAGATATTGAGAAGTTGTGACTGATCTGTGCCTGCAACGTGTCAATCAAGCGAGTGATACCCACGCTCATTGATCTGAAGGGACACCTGGCAAGTTTCATGTCTTGGTTGAAAGCGTACGCCGTGGCAATAACTTCGCTATTGGCAGGCGCAGCCGTGGTGCACAACGTCTACAAACCAGACTTGGTGAGCACGAGTCACAGGCACCTCAATTCACAGGCCTTAAACTTACAAAGTTCCTTCCATGTCCCAGCAAGCACACGAGTCTGATCATGCGCCTTGCAGACCATCCCCCTCTCTGACGACCAGCTGGGGAAGAAGCAGAGCAGCGGTCAAGCCGAAAGCGTTGAGGCGGGAGGGGTCGATAGTGCCAGATAACTAAGCAGGAGGTCCACACTTTTGCTGCTATGGCGCCAGCACTGCCAGGCGCAGACCTGGAAAGCAAGCCCATGCAAGCGGCAGCGGAGGACATCTTGAGGGACTACACCGCTCGTCTCGGTGCGGCTCCGCCAACAATGCTTGTAAAATATAGTCCAACAAGGCACGCCAATACCACTATGACGATCGTCGGGCAGTCAGAATTGTCTTGGCCCTCCCCCGAAGCGCCAGAGGTGGTGCAGGCGATGCGGCGGTGGCGCTGGAGGGGCCCGGGGGGGAGGTCTATAGCGTGGGCCTCAGCCGGCTGCGCGAGCAGATCAGCTCGACGCAGGCGTGTGCGGACGTATGCCTGGTGTGCCTCGAGAATATCGCGCCGGACGCGGCCGTGTGGACCTGCCGCAGGTCCTGCCACGTGCTGCTGCACCTCATCTGCGCGCAGGCCTGGGGACACCAGCAGCTGCAGCAAGCAGCCGCAGCCGCGCGCGCCTCCGCCGAGCACCCCGACCTGTGCGCCCCACTCCTGCCGTCGTGACCGAGATTGCAACACATACTTGGCTTCTGGCTGGCGCTCTTTGCTCTGGTGCTCAGCCTGAATTTAGCCAGAACGAGAAAGAGCACCGGCATTAGCCATGCAGTGATTCGTGCACATCTATTCCTCTCTGGCGATTGGTGCTATCGTGTGTGTGCTCGCCTTTTTTGCAGCACTAAGGGGTCGAGCTGCAAAATTTTGACAAGTGGGTGGGCGCGAAGGGTTCCTCTGGTCTGCGATGGCAGGTCACTTGGTCCGGTGGCCTTGCAGCCCAAGGCGGCGCAGCATGTGTGGGGATGCCCCAAGTGCCGTGAGGAGTACACCGCAGCGGAGGCGCCCAGCGAGTACCGCTGCATGTGCAGCGCGGAGCTGGACCCGGTCTTCAACCCCTGGCTGCTGCCCCACACCTGCGGCTCCATTTGCCGGCGGCCCCTGCACAACCCGCCCTGCGGCCACTCCTGCTTCCTGCTCTGCCACCCCGGGCCCTGCCCACCCTGCGCTGCCAAGGCAAGCCACAAGTCATTAAAATCACCCTCTTCCTTGTGTCTTGCTCACTGAGTAGGACATTGTGTGGCCCACATGTCCAACAACCAGTGGCAGGGGCCAATATCTGTTCAAGGGCACCTCCTGACTTGTTTATTTCGCGTATATAGATCTGTAGACCATACACAATAGGTGAAACGTCCGGTGCGGTTGGTGAGCAGGTGATGGCTGCATGCTTCTGTGGCAAGGCAAGCGCCGAGCGGCGGTGCGCCGCGTCGGGCTGGTCCTGCAAGAAGCTCTGCGGCAAGCGCCTGCCCTGCGGCCACCGTTGCCCCGCGATCTGCCACCTGGGCGACTGCAAATCCTGTAGCCTGACAGGTGTCCTCCGCTTACACCTTCATATTGCACCAGCAGCGTGTCTGACTTATACAAGACCTTGAATTGGTATCATCCCCTTCAGCAATAAGCAAGGCTGAGGCGGGCGGCGGTGGTGCCCCTGCAGGCGAGTATGCGTGTGCGTGCGGCGCGGTGACAGAGAGGAGGCGCTGCGAGGAGCGCGTCTTCAACTGCGGGCGCGTGTGCGGCAAGACGCTGGGCTGCGATCGGTGTAACTGCGATCGCGTGTGCCACTCGGGCTCATGTGGAGAATGCCCCAGAGCCGGCGTCCGCACCTGCCCCTGCGGCAAGGTCAGACTTTCATTCTTTGATCCCTCCCTGCCTTAATATATCCCGCTCACAGCTTGTCTTTATGTTTGGCACCACTTGAGCACGGCCGTCCAAGTGTTGCGGCACTGAAAGGCATGGGGCCATGGCAGGTGGCGCACAGCAACCTGCCCTGTGACGAGGCTGCTCCGCCGTGTGGAGCCACCTGTGGGAAGCTGCTGTCCTGCGGGCGCCACCATTGTGCGGACCGGTGCCACCCGGGCGAGTGCTCATCCACCTGCCGAGCGATTTCCGAGAAGAGCTGCGCCTGCGGCAAGATGCAGAAGTTGGTGCCCTGCGCCGAGCCATTCAGGTGGGCTTTCGCCCCAGATCAACCAGTCACCTTGTTGCATGCACTGCTGCCCTGTTCAGGATGACAATCATCTATGCATGTTGTATAGGTCAATCTTGCGATGGACGTCTTGATGTGGGGCATTTTGTGGGCAGGTGCGAGAGGCGATGCACAGGCATGCGCGCATGCGGCAGGCATGCATGCAAGAAGCGGTGCTGTGACGGCAATCACCCGCCATGTGATCAGGTGCCCATCACACAGCTGCTGTTGGAATTTTTGGGATTTATACAATCATCCCATTTGGTTTTATGCAGGTGTTGCATGCAATGCTCAGCAGAATTGTCGGGGCCGCAACAATATAAGTGGGGTGGAAAATGCGACAGGTGTGCGGTCGGCGGCTGCGCTGCGACAATCACACCGACCCATCGCCGTGCCATGCGGGCGCTTGCCTGCCCTGCCCGCTGACTGCCAGCGTGTCGTGCGCCTGTGGGAGGACGACGTACTCACTGCCCTGCGGCTCCGAGGGGGGCGCCAAGGAGCCCACCTGCGACCAGGTGAGTTCTCTCAGCACATACGCCGTTGCCTGATATTAACTATAGCCATGCAGTGCTGTTTGTGCAACATGGCAGTGGTGTTCTTGGTGTGATGTTGGTCTGCTGTGTGACAGGCGTGCCCTGTTCCTCGCACCTGCCAGCATGCTGGGCAGGAGCCTCCGCACCGCTGCCATTTTGGCGCATGCCCACCTTGCCAACTTCCGTGTGGTAGATCCCAGGTCAGCCCGGCTTGCCCTGCCTTTTGCCTTGGACCTTTTTGCGACAGATCTTGTACCATTTACCAATTAGTCCCCTGATTGGACCTGATGGCCACCTTTCGAATCAACATTGTCTGCATTGGACGCATACGCAGCATTGACTGGGCTGAGAAGAGGACCGCGGTGTGCAGGCATGTGGGCATGTGTGTTCCAGCAGCAGCTGCCACCATCCTCCAGTGCCACCCGTGCGCGCATTCCAGCCGCCGCCAGCCCCCACATCAGAGGGCATTCCCTCCGCTCGCTCGCACAAGAAAGTCTTCGTCGATTACACGCCCCCGGCACAACAGGTGATCAGTTGTCTCCTGCAATCACATGTCAGAGAGGCCACAAGTTCCCAGCTCGGCGGTGCACTGTTTTGAGCACAGAGGCAAGAATCGCGTGGGCTGATTTAAAAAATTAATGGACAGGTGGCGCTTGCTGTGAGGGCTGCGCCGGCAGTGGACAGCCAGTGCCCGCCCTGCACTGTGCCGGTAACCGTACACTGCTTCGGCATCCACTCCTCTGCGCAGTGCCCATGCTCTTCCGCCGCGCCGTTCTCCTGCAGCATTCCCTGCGGCCGGCCACTGCCCTGCGGCAACCATACCTGCTCCCGCCCCTGCCACCTGCTGGGCGTGAGACTCCCACAGTTTGGAAATCTGTTATTCTCCAAACAAGGGCTTGTGTCTGCAACCCACCCCACACTTTCAAGGTGGCATGCATTGCAGTTGTTACCTTAGCTCTATGAAAGTTGGGGACGAGCATCTAAGGACAGTCTTGATCCAATGAGGGGTACATTAGGGGAGATGGTTGTGTGCAGGAGAGGCAGGCTGATGGCTTGATTGAGGGGTGCCTGCCGTGCGGGCTGACATGCCAGCGACACCGGCCCTGCGGCCATGCCTGCCTCCTCGAGTGCCACACCTCGGACTGCCCCCCCTGTGAAGTGGAGGTGCTGGAGTCCTGCCATTGTGGCCGCTCCAATGTCAGCACCACTTGCTGTATGCTGGAACAGGTATACATATACACTGGCATCCGCTGCAATATACTGCCAGCTGACATCTGCCTTTTGTCTCTATGATGCTGTGTATGCAGAGAGTTGTCAGGAGACTTGTTGCTGAAAAACGCACGTTGGTTTTGTTGCATTCAAGATGTCTCGAGACCTTAGGACATTTTGTCGGTGTTGCAGGCTAGGAGGCAGCCGGGAGCAGAGCTGCAGTCTCTGCTGTCCTGCGGCAAGCCCTGCTACAGGAAGCTTCCAGAGTGCCCCCACCATTGCGAGGCTATCTGCCATCTGAGTGAATGCCCTGCATCATCCAGCTGCCAGAAGGAAGTCACGGTGAGCTTCCACCCAGCAAAATATCAGAGCACTGCTCTTGCCCATGAGAAAGCATCCCCATATTCTATTGCCCCACAAGAGTGTGCCTTGCCATACCTTCCTTTCGATTATGTGAGGTGAGAAACTGTGTTGTGCACAGGTGCGATGCGCGTGTCGGCGCATGCGGGAGAAGAGGGCATGCAGCGCCGTCAGGCAGCAGCTGGCTGCTCGGCACCTGCCTGCAGACTTTGACGCCAGCACCGCCGTGCAGCTGCTGGAGTGTGATGCCAAGTGCCATCAGATCAAGGTCAGGATGCCTATCTTTGGCATTCTGGTCAGGGCCGTCCTGCATGCTAGGCTGTGGAAATGTTCAATCTTTACTGTATTTATAAACATGGTAAAGCTGCATGGCAGTAAAGACCACCATGTCTGACAGCTGAAATTGGGTTGCAGGAGGGAAAGAAACAGAAGGCAGAGCAGTCAAATGCAGCGAAAGCAGTTGCTTCCCCCGAGAAGGACACCCCTCCGTCGCCGGCACCAAACAGCCCGGAGGCCCTCTCAATCGACAAGGCCAGCAAAGACAAGCCAGGGAAGAAGCTGTCGCGTGAGGAACGGGTGCGCCAACGAGAGGTGGCTGCCTTGGAGCGAGAGCGCGCGGAGAGGAGGCGAGCCATTCAGAGGTAAGATGACTGGCCTCTGCACGGATCATCTGCTCCCTGCTGTGAGGGATCACCCTCCTTTGTTTTTGCGGTGCATGAAAAGAGCACCTGAGCATATTGCTTGTTGAGCATGAGTCTTGCTCTGTCCATCTTGAGCTGACATGTAAATGTGGTTATGGATGGTAATGTCCAATGGACTTCCTGTGCTGCAGGAAGCTGGTGGAGTATGGGCCGGTTGCCCTGGTGCTCGCCCTCTTTCTGTGCCTCATCCTGGGTGTCACGTCCTGGATGTTGCAGCCTGATGAGCTCTCTGAGGAGCGCGTCCAAGAAATGGCTGCTGAAAGGCTCCGACGCATGGGCCTGGATTTGTAGGTGTCCTTTTTTTTTAATTTAGGCATGCATTTGACCTTGATTTCTTCTGCACTTTACCTGATGATCATGAAACACATCTGTCTATGGTAGGGACTCTTTGGGTGATACACACGTATCAAATATTGCTCCATTGGAATTGCATTCTGACTCAGAATTTCTGACCCTTTGAAGAAGAATGTAACTTCTGGCAGGTACTCAGCAAAGTTTGCTTTCTGGTGAAGTCTGTTGCAGACGTGCAATCTGGCTTGCATGCATGTACATGTGCACATTTCCAGATGTGCATCACGTGATTAAAAGCGCTTGTGAGCACGCCACGTCCGCGGGCACCATTAATGCAGATTCATTTTTTCTTGTCGAATCACTTCATGATAAATATATTCAAGTTTGACAACTGATAGAGTGTTCCCAGGTCTTGGTTTTCTGAGCTGGCTTCTATGTGCCGGGCACTTTCTCCCCGGTCTGCATCAGGAAATCTGGGTTCCTTCTGAACTTGTCATCAAACTTCATGAACCAGCGCTCCAAGCAGTTTGTCGGGAGAACCAGCATGTCGCCTGACACGCCCTTATTGAAGCTCTCCATGTATCGGAAGAGGTCCATTGCAACTCGCTTGGCAAATTCTTGCCGGCTGGCCAGCTTTGTGCCCTCCCTCTGAAGAACTTCCGCTGCAGCCATCAAACACAACAAATGAGCATGTGCCTGTCACAAGGCTCTGGATCGTAAGCAGCTGCGCATCACATCCTCCAATGCACATATTGTTCTGGTTGTGGATTTCTGCAGCAGAGCTTTACCCAGGGGCTCTACTGACACACCCAGCTGGATGGATGTGCCTCTGCCGGTGATACTGCCTCCGGGGATTTCTGGCCATTGCAGGGGGAGCACCTCTGAAGGGTGACTGTTGCTGACATAGCCCCGCCACTGGAAAACACATACAAGCATGCCTTGAGAACACAACCAGATCACGTAAAAGAAAGACACGTCCTGTTCAAAATGATCTTCAACAATGCATTGGATCGCTCAGCAGCCCTTTGCAAAGCTCTAAGAGGCTACCTGCCATTCGTTGCCAATGGAGATATAGAGTCCAAGAGCACTGTCAGCCGGCAGAACTTGCGCCTGTGTCAGGAAGAGCGCCACTTCTTTCAAACTAGTGTGGTCAGGAGTGACTGCCGCTCCGATATCGAGGACCTGTAATCAGAAAGTCTCCGACGTATTGACTAGAGACAAATCTGCAGATTCTAGAAAGGGTACATTGCTTTTTGGATGCATACACTCAAGCACAGACATTGGATGTACCCAGTGCGTTGGATCGACTCTAGTGAAGCTGCTGTCTGGAATAGGAAATGAGTTGCCCACAAAGAAGATCCCGAAGATCGATGACATCGATGCCGGGAATTATCCGACTATTTGGGACGAAGGCACATTGCTTCTTATCGAAGTGGTATCTACTTGTGTTCTTGAGGGACAATCACGCTAACAGCGATAGTGAATGCGGAGAACACCGGCAGAATGGCCTCCCGTCCTCCAGCTGCCACATGCTTGGAAGCTGGCTAGGGTACTGAATTATAATCAATTCGGCGGGTGTGGGTTTGAAATTTACGAGCAATTCGCCGGAAGAAGATCCCGGTGTTGGGCGCCCACGACTGAATAAATGTGCAGCTTGGTAATATTGAGCAGAGCTGGTCTTTTAGACTATTGTCTTGCACACAAGCCTTGTTGCTTTCGTAACTATTCACCCTGTTCAGCCTCAGCTTTGACCGCGTCGGTATCAAGAAGTCTGGCCATGGGCGGCAGAGATCGCTAGGTATAGATCTTTCTGGTGTGCAGTGGATATATATCAAGTGAGGGCTATCGAACGAGGACGACTGGAGCTGCGTACATCGTAGGTGTGCAACCCTACATAAATGAGCTGCAAGGATTACTCAGAACTTATAATTTCTCAGTCATTGCGGTCGTCTATATTTATAACATTTCAGAGGGTTGTTTGCTCATCTTTTCCTAAACACTGCGTCTGCTTAAGAGTAGCTTACAATATTTCTGTAGAAGATATAACAAGATGCTGGCAGGGCAAGAGAACTGTGACAGCGCAATATGAGATTCTCTTTCTTCTCCTTCAGGCTTCTTACTGTGCAGGTGCTTGCAGGTTGAAAAGGGGACCAGGGCAACGCAAATGTAGGCAGAACAGCATGGAAGTTCAGCGCTTGAGTGAGCCCCCGCAAGCTGGCCCATCTGTCCGCTGGCACCCTGCGCTTTTGCAGCAGGATGAACACTCGAGCTTACACAGCCAAGCCAGGCCGGGACCAGCCGCCTGGCCCGGTCGCATTGTGGGAGTTCATAGGATGCAGCCGCATGCAACAACAGGGCCCTTTGCAGATGCTCGACGAGCGCCTCCTGATAGCGCAGACTCTGAGTCAGCCTGGGGTGCAGCCGCTTCCACCAGCGGCAGGTTCCATGCGGGTGCAGAGCCGCAGCGCTGCTACTCTGCACCGGTACCAAGCGCAGAGGACATCATCAGGCCTCATGCCCACCACGCCTCTACATGCTCCAGAGGGGGTGAGTCCCTTCACCAGTTGTATTGGGATCCAAAGGCTGTCGCATCCATGCATGCTGAAATGTCTCTAACCTGGCCTGTGGTGAAGAACGGTCGTCTTCTGGTATCCAAGCCTTCTCTAATGAGGCGGTCTGCACTCCTGCTGTAGGCATGCATGGTGGGCCGCTCCACCACAGCAGGCCGCATCCAGGCACCGCCGCCGATGCGGCGGCAGATCGTGCCATCCTGCGCTACGACTCAGCCTCCTCCGAGCTGGCCTACCTGCAGCAAGACCGCGCATGGCACGCCGCCGGCAGCCTCGCATGCAGTGGCCAGCCGCACAGCGGGCCCCCGGACCTGGGAGTCGAGCGCGGCAGCTGGGGCTCCGACGGCTCCGGCAGCAGCACCGGGACGCGCACGCACGGGGACGGCCACGCTGGCGGCCTGCTGGCCGAGCGCTGGGACAGCGCGCAGTCAGAAATCTTCGAGGCCGCGTTCAGCGCGCAGCAGGAGGCTGGCCTCCAGGAGCACCCCTTGCGCCAGCGGGAGCACCTGCGGCGGCTGCAGCAGCGGCGCCTGGCCGCCGCGCACGGCAGTGCAGCAGAGGCCGGCGGCTGGCACCAGGAGGGGCAGCATCGTGAGAATAGCGCCATGTCCGCAGCAGAGGAAGGGGACTACGAGGGTGCGCCGTGGGGGCAAGGGGTGCGGAGAGCGGCCGGGCCGCACGAGCTGGCGACGGAGGACCGCGTGCGGCAGCCGCGGCGGCGGCACGCCAGCGGGAAGCCGCCCCCGCGCGCGCGGCGCTGCCTGAGCGCGGCCTTCGCCGCGGCGGCCGATGCACAGCGGCTGCAGCGGCTGGACGAGGCCCCTACGCAGTACGCATGCCCCTCGCTGCCCGGCTGTTGTGCCGTTGGTGGCGACGTGCGCATGGGTGGCGGCGATCAGGGGTCCCCCAATCAGGGGAGGTGGCGGCCGGGAGGCCTCTGGGAGGTGATGCGGGGGGCGCCGGCCGGCCTGTCGGATGAGGCGGCGCGGTCAGTGGTGGCGAACGTGGCGTACGCTCTGCTGCGCATGCATGAGGACGGCCTGGTGCACCGCCACGTCAGCGTCTGCACCGTCGTGCTCGGGGAGCACCCCTGCTTTGACACTGCCAGGCACGGCTCTGGGCACCTGTCCGAGCTTCTGTGCTCGCGCATGCAATCTTTGACATGAGCACGAACTGTGCTTTGTGTGCTGATGTGCATGGGTTCTTGCAGGCTGGCAGAGGGAGGGTGTACAGCGGTGCTGGACTGCACGGGCTCCTTCTTTGATGCGGCCAAAGTAGGAGACCCCCACTACCAGGCTCCGGAAATTCTGCGCGCTTTTCCCAACGTCAAGATCCCGTACACTCCCTCGGGTGAGTCTCACTCTCCCACGCTGTTGTTCTTCAATCTGGTCAGGTTCCCTCCCATGACAGCTGGCCTTCTGAGTCAGATGCATGTGCATGATGCATGTGCTGACACAGTGTGGCTGTGCCAGGCGACATGTGGAGCCTGGGCGTGCTATTATTTGTGCTGCTGACGGGAGCCGCGCCGCCGTTTGAGCGGCTGCTGGGGCAGGGCGGCTGGGTGGGGCTCAGCGTCGACGCACAGCAGCATCGCGTGACTGCCTGCCTCTGCGCCGTTCTCGACGCGCACCAGGCCTCCTCGCCCATCCCCCGCTCTGCCCAGGTGTGCAGCTTTCCCACACCCCCCAGCGTCATCGATGATATCACAGCTCATCTATATGTGCTTTTTCATCGCCACTCATTACCTACAAGCTAAGAAGTTTAGCAGATGTCATGTGCTGTCTTTGCATGGGTGTGGCTCAGCTTAGCTGGCTCAGCTGGCTGGACTGCCTTGACCAAAAGGTGCAAAAAGTACCTTCACTGCCTCGTTGAGCAGTCATGATGCATTGCTCATCATGTTACCATTCTCAATTCCGAGCAGCATGTCATGGCTGCCGTGCAGATGCTGCTGCAAGCGCTGCTGAGGGTAGATCCGGCGCAGCGGGCGACGGCGGCGGACGTGTGCGGCCACCCCTGGGTGCTGGGCCTGCAGCCCATCACCTTCTCCATCACCGTCGACGGCCGCGGCGGCTTTCGCGCGCCATCGGACGCCGGCGGCGCTGCCGTCGAGGGCACCCTCCAGGCCATGCAGCGCTTGTGGCTGCAGCAGCCGGCTCCCTTCCAAGGTACCCCATCCCCCACCGAATTTGCTTTTGCTAAACCAGGGATGTAAGTATGCTACAAACATATCTTGGCTAAACACTGAGCACCGTGCCCATGATTGATTGGGTCTTGCTTGGACGTGGCGAGTCCATCAAGGAGTAGGATATGTTGCAGCCCCGGTCCTGACAGTCTGTATACCGACGCACCTTGGCAGGCAAAAGGTGTAAGCATGATAATGATTTATAATGACAAATTATGATCATTCATATGTGCCGCAAGGCAATGCCTGCAGAGTCTGGCACCAAGGCATCTAATGGGCAATACAGCAGAATTAGTACTGAGACAGTGAGTGTGTTGCGCCGACAGGCAACTATGGGACTCAGGTGGAGGCTCTGGGGTCAGCAAGTGACGTCAGGCGGACCGATGCGGCAGAGCAGGGGCGGGCTGGCGAGAAGGCTGCATCGAGCGCCGTCGTGAGCTGGCTGCAGAGGTTCCTCGGCCGCTGCAAGCGCCCCAGCGGCAAGGAGCTGATGGCATCGGATGACATGACCGCTCTCATCCTGCACCACTACTAGTTTAGAACTCACCGGGTTGGCGGTCAGTACGTCGTTCTGAACTTCTTCAAGACATCTCCACCCTTTCTTTAGAGAAAATACTTGTGTCAGTACGAGGCCGCGCATGACCCACAGATGATCAAGACTGCACACCTGTGGAACCTGCGTGCCCAAGATATAGCTTAAGTTGGTTTGTCTTCCTGCAAGATGGCTGGCAGTTTGTCAGCAGCATTCGAGTCTCTGGCGCCGGCAGTGTGGCTGCCAAAGATGTGTCTTTGGTGTGTCCGTGGAGCACCGACTTGGTGAGAGAAGAGATGATAAGTTTGCAGTATCTTAGGACTCTGATGAATGAAGCTTGTGTGGTTGTTGCGCTGACCGCAATCACTAATTGATGACAGAGGCGCATGAAAGAATATTCTTGGGTTGGCTTTATTGTTGGTCCCCTTTTAAATAGAAATCTATAGCCAGTTATGTCAAGCCATGACTCTGATTGGCATAGACGATGCTAGTTTGATATCAGAGGTGTCCGAGGCTACTGTCTGGCAAATTGGCACATCTGGTGTAGTGCTGTTGTTGAGCCTCCAGTTAGAATTGTTGGTGTCTCAATATTCGCCTTGATTGTCATGAAGGCCATGCCCAATATTTGCTGCCCGTTAAAGGGTCAGACCTCAAGAGACTGATCTCAAAATCCAAAACACTTACATTCGTAGTACCGTAGATGTGTTTTTATCCAACATTCTGAAGACAGTTAAATGTTGGAAAACTTCGTTATCAATTCTGAGCAGTACATGTTGCTGCAGCAATTTGAACAAATGTGCTCCTTTAGAAGCTGAACCACGCACGGGTGTTGGCTATGTATATGTAAGGACTATATTGGACAACACAGAACGCACAAGTCTCCTGCAGGTGGATATCATTGCTCATACGCTGGACGGATAGCTTGGGTCACTATGTGATTATCTACAATTGTATACAGTTTCTCTTTGCCGGGAAGAGTCATGCCACTGACAGCCGCCGCGCTGGAAAATTGCCTTCGTTCATGTCGGATTAGGTCTGCCCAGCCTGGACAAATCTCTTGCTACTGTCTAGCATCTCATGATCACGATTGTCATGACCATGCCTGCCCAGCTGGCTCATGGCCAGCAGCGCACTAGTATTATATGATATATGCCAGTGGCAACAGTAACATATGATGCCTCATGCTCCAAGTCATGTCCTGTCATACGATATCGATTGTTATTTGGCATGCATGACAATGGGGCACCAGTACTGCTCCTACTGGTCATTATTGTTCAGGTTTCCAAGGTTGAAGGGCAATGTACATATAAGACTTTGCAAGCCCTCCAGAGCAAACGAGCAAATTTGCACGCGCGACTTGACTTAGGGCTGGAAGCAGCTTGCTCAGGGTGCAGCATGCATATGCCAGCAGGGCCGAGGCATGCTTCAAGTCCTAGAGACTCTTTTGTCTGCCACCTGCACAGTGCAGGGACAATTCTCTCAGTAAATACGTTGACAAACCTGCTCCTCATGACCTGTTTTCCACTCCATTCTTGCATTGTACTACTGTCATGCATAGAGAACAGCTCGCACAGGACGCCACCTTCATCTTCCTTGGCGCCCTCAATCACAGGCTGCTCCATCTCTAAAGCATTGTTGTGCATGGCTGCCAGCACCGCTGTTGCCACTGCTGATATCCTCCCATTTACGCTGGCTAGCTTACGGAGTGTATCTTTGGCTCCTGCATGCTTGGCCTCCCCCACTGGGTTCTGACAGCGACCTGCAAAGGCACCTACATCTTGTGTACGCACACGGGCTGACAAAAGCACCTTGATCATTGCGAACAAAGAAATGCCACAGAAATATAAATGTGAATAGAATAAAAGAAAGGTGTATCTGTGCAAGATTGGGAAGTTGAAGGGGAAGAAGAGAAGAGGCAAGGGCTGCCACATGAATCTGACCTGGAGATACATCAGCACACCATCAACTAGGATGACTACTACATGGTAAAGTAAAGCAATAGCATGCAATGGCACGTGATGTGGATCTCAGCAAACATTTGAGTGGGTAGCAGAGAACATCACCCCTGGTCTTCTGCAAGAAAAATGCTCCAAAATTGACGCCAGCAATCGCAGTGTGTTTAGCTAACTTGACTCTGCGATCCGATGTCAGATTGACGAGCGCAGCGATCCCCTCATTTGCCTGCAGAAAAGCTTGCCAAACTGAGCTTGTGATGTAGACGCAAGGAAGTCACGGACCAAAGTTCAATGAATAATGTTTAATAGGAAGTCAGGACAGCATCTTCAAGCAATTGCACAGGTTTGTGACCACGCCAGGTATCTCGGACACAACCTCCAAACCGTATGGGCCTGTTGCGAGGACCCATAAGGCATTGGCTGCAAATCGGTTGCCGGGAATGTTTGAAGAGCATCTGTCAGCTGCCCTGGACCATCAAGCCTCACAAACTCTGTGTGAATGGATTGGACGCAGCTTTCCAGCAGGACAAAGATAAGGATTGCAGCTGCACTGCTGGGGCTTGGAAGGCGTTGAATCTCTCGGAGCTCAGTTCTTTGCAGTAGCTGTAACAGCGGCTGCATGATCTTCCACTCGTGCACAAGTAGAGTAGCCAAAGGATAATGACCACCACGGTTCTTCTGCGTTTCAGCCTGTGCACACATCAGGAACAGGGTTGGTGCACTTATGAGTGATTCCCACGATATGGTAGGAGTCACCCTTATTTGACTCACTCAAACTTACCCTCAGAAGACAGGATAGAACGAGTGCCGCTGCACCAGCCTCCCAAAGTCCTGCTCAACCGTATCCATTATCGACGATAGCGGTCTGGAGCACAGGGATCAACAAGTCGAGATTTAGGAATTCTGCGGCAAGCCCGTTTGCAACACAACGTTTTGGCGAGCTGACAGAACGCTGTCGATCTTTGCGCTCATGTGGCTTCTCATACAACACGCTCCTTGAATCAGATAGAATCGAGTATTCTATGGTATAGCGTACAGTTGCCGTCCCTGCAGCGTTTGTGGATGTCATGGCAATGCGGCATTGATGCGTCAAACCGCGTCCACGCCCTGGACTCTCAATGGCTGTCGGTCGTCTCAACTAGGAGAACGCCAAGGGCATCGATCACCAGCGTTCCCTTCCAGCTAAGAGCAGTGACAGAGGAGAAGCCATCACAGGATGAGTGACCAAAGCAAGTCGTGGCAGTGTTGCGTAATAGTGTGTGCAATGTCCACCCCGGCATACATTTCCTGGAAATTGGGGCACTTTCCCCACACAAGCTGTCCGGACTTTTGGGGAGATAGCAGTATCACCACCTGCAGTTTTTGCCTGATTGCAATTAACCCCTGAACACCTGCCAGTCCAGGTGTGCCTATTTGGAACATGCATTCTTTGAGAGTATCTTGGTGCAGAAATATGGTGTAGTCTAAAATTCAATACTCAACTTTAGTGTCAACGCATGGCAGCCCACCAGCTGACATGGTAAGCATGCACAAGATTGCGAGCACATTCGCCCTTACGCCTACCAGCATGCAGGGCTTTCTGTGTCAAACGATGCTTGCAACATGCGCTTGTAGCTGCTTGTTTGCAATTCACAAGAGAAAGTCTAGCAGATCTGGTGAGTGCTGCTTCAGTCGTCCAGAAGACACCTTCAATACCATGACAAATCTCTGATGCTGCAAAAAGAGACGTTTGCGGGGCAGGGCAACCTTCACATCATGTCCTGTCCCATTGAGTCATAGACAGGACCATCAGTTCGAACTCTGTTTGAAGAATTCTCATGGGAGGCAGAATGCGAAATCAAAAACATGAAATGCCATTGCTTGAGGTCTTGATCAGATCTCTCTTGAGAGAACATCAACAGCACAAAGAGTCTTCGCGGTCGTCACCCCTCATGCACACGGATGGCCTCATTCTCAAGCTTGTCCACCTCCGCCTTGTCCAGGTCATCGAAGTAAGGGTGCTCCAGCGCATCCCTTGCCTGCACCCACAAATAGCATGTACATCTTCAGCTCCTATTTACTGACAGTGATTCAAGTCTGCCTAGCCTGGCTATGATGCAGGCATGCCTGCCATGTAAGAGGGCCCAACCGCACTGCCGGCACCTTGGGGGCAAGATCCCCAACCCATCTGTGACATAGCCCATCAACCATAAGCATGGATGTAGGAGCGCAAAGCTCTACAGATGAGCAGCGAAATGGGTTACCCGAATGGACTCACGCAGGCAGGCAGTGAATAGGGTTGCAGCTGCGTTGAACTTTCCTGAATGATTCAGCATGTGCAATGCATGCAACAGGACAGGATGGCCGCGGACTCTGATGCGCTGGAAGGGTTGCATTAGAATTGATATGCTTGCCATTTGAAGGCGCGGTCTTTTTTATCCTTAGCAAGACATGATGGTAATTGAGTATGTGCAATGCATGTAAAACCAACAGAAGTGGGTGGTCGCGGACCGTGATGCGCTGGGAGGGGGTGTAGGCGAACATGAGCTCCATGAGGTCAATGCCGTCAGCGCCGAGCGTGGGGAAGTGCTTGGACAGGTCCTGCTTCTTCCAGTTGGGGAACTCGTGCCAGTCGCGCAGCTTGGACACGCCCGCCCACTCCGCCTCCGTCGGCGTCCCCAGCAGCTTGAAGATGTGTAGCAGCTGCTGCAGCTCGCTGTCACCAGGGAACAGCGGCACCTGACCCCACCCCCGCACATCTCATGTAATGTGCCCCTCCACTGCGTACTCCCCAGCATGGCGGTGACTTCAAGGACCTCTCACCGTCCCACATCTGACTGCAACAATCAATGAATGGTAGGATGAAGCCTTTTGACAACAGGAGCCAGCGGAGATATTTGCGGCATGCTGCGGATATAGGAGGGGATTGCTTGGATGAATAGGGCAGCTTAAAGCTTGCCACAGCATGTTGAGGGAGATTGCACACCTTGCGCACGAGCTCGGCGAAGATGCAGGCCACGCTCCACATGTCCACTGCGGGCGAGTAGTGCGTCGTGCCGAGCAGCACCTCTGGCGCTCTGTACCACAGCGTCACAATCTGCATACCAAAATTTTTTAGTCATGCAGTGAGACATGGACCACACAGCTGCCCTGGGTGGGGAACCTTTGAGGAGCAGAAAGTGTGAATTTCAGTGACATATAAGATCAAGGGCGGACCTCATGTGTGTAGCTCTTGATGGGTACACTGAAGGCGCGGCCAAGTCCCAGGTCTGCAATCTTGAGGCAGTCCTGGCTGTCGTCCACCAGCAGGTTTTGTGGCTTCAGATCCCGGTGCATGACACCATGCTTATGGCAGTGTGCCACGCCCTTGATCAACTGGTACATGAAGCTCTGCGCACAGAGACACCTACTTACTATCAGAAATACAAGGGGATCCACCCACAGCACTCTGTAAGAAACTTTAAGCAGATTGTAGCAATTGGGTTCTCGCCTTGACGAGAGCTGGGGGTAGAGGGTTTTCTGGGCCTTTCCCTGTTCGCTCCATGTACTTTTTCAAGTCTGTGCTCAGAAATTCGAACACCTGTTGCACGAAGAGCACTCTCAGGTTATCCAAAATCCCAATCACCGGCAGATTTTTTTGTCAATCAAGGCAGTGCTTCACAGGCCAACCGAGCACCAATGGTCTCTCTTACCAGGTAGAGAACTGGCTTTTTGTGCTCTTCCACGTGCTGAACACACAAGAGCCTGCAGACATAAACAGAACCGTTTCAGATTCCATGCAATAGTGGGCGAGGAACTCTTGGGGTTTCGGGCCGATTGTCCCTGGAGATGGAACCTTAAGATGCCCTACATATGAAAAAACGGCTCTTTTCTGCAGCATTCTCGGGACATGTACTCACTTCACCACGTGATTGCTCTCGCTCAGCATTTGAAGCAGCGACACCTCGCGCAAGGCTGTAGAAGGCACGCCTTCTTCCTCCATCTGTGACATGACTTCATCCTTCAGCATGGTCGCTTAATGGGAATGCCTCAATATCCGCTCCTTCCGGAGGTTTTCATTCACAGCAAAAGACCTCTTGACTCACTTCTAGCCGCGTTTTCTTCAATGCCACCAGTCTGCCTGTGTTCCTCTCCCTGGCTTTGTATACCTTTCCATAGGTCCCTTCGCCAATCTTTTCCAGCTTCTCGTATTGCTCCATTGCTTCAGTAACTTTGCGTTGAGAGCTTTCTGAAGTGGCAGAAAAGACCGGGGCACGTCGATTGTAGTGGCTTTCTTTATGGACGGGTTGAGACCTTCGTCAGCTGCTTTGGCCCGACTTCAAAATTTGGACCATGCCACCTGGCACAGCCGGACACGTGGCAGAACCAAAGCATTGTGACAAGGATGTGACCCAGAATAGGGCTGCAATAGTCTTCAATTTCCTTTGGAGGATTTGCATACAGAGAACATCAATTGCCCTTTTCTGCCAGCTGGGAGCTAATTGCACCTGGGAGCATGAACTACCTACTACTGCATGCCACGCAGTGCGCATGCATGCACATGTCACATGCCACGGTGGCACACCGTGTGAGTGAACACTGCACAGTGCCGCCGCGGCTGCCCTGACTCAGAGGCCCTCATGCCATGAGGGTCTCAGTGAGGGCTGAGGGTACTGCAGCTATAGCTGGCTACCGCAGCAGTGCTGCAACAACTTATTGAATTTACTGATATTTAATGGACATGGACATTGATAACATAGAACTTGAAGTCATTTACACATACTTTCCTTGACCATCATGATGAGTGGTAGCTATAGCTGGCCAGCTGTCCGACTAAGTCAGACGTGCTTCAGTAGGCTTGTGCCAGAATGTTACTTCCAAATAATACACTCCTTGCGCTCCACCGTAGTTTACTGTTGAACAGCAGACTCTGTTCTGTTCGGAACCCACCAATGTGTAGCTGACAGCCTGGCTGTCAAACAATTATCATTGTGCACTGCGATCAGAAGTTCGTCAGGATAAAGTCCTTCTTGACGCCCTTCTTCTCAACAATAGCAGTGATGGCCTCGGCCATTTCTTTTTGGCCACAGAGGATCACCGCTGTGTGCTCTCCATCTGAAACGCCGCCATCCTGCATCACACAGCCCCATCAACTGTCATACTTCATCATCTGCTGGTTGCCTGCTACCAAAGCCTTGCTGCCAGTTTTTGCAAGCTCAGAGCAGAAGACAGCTGCCACGCAAGACTGTAGGCCACGCTTGTCAACAGTCTGCTATTGTGTGGGGTGTCCCCTGTTGGCTGGGGGGCATTGGCCCAGTGCCATCCCTGCTGCAATTGAGCCTCCCCGGCCTCTCATAGAGCAGTCATGTTTGCTACAAATTAAAATTCGCATGACTGCACCTTCTCAAACACGTGCTGTACGTAGCCGTCCCCAAATCCAGAGTAGACATTGATGACCTGTGGGTGCACCCCAACTTTTGTGAATCCTGCTGGCTCTGGGAACTCCTTGCTCACTCTCCTGAAAACACCAGTTTGTGCACACAACACCAGCTCGTCCCACACCTTGACACCAGTCTCCTCCCACTGCGCGAAAAGCTCCCTGTATGCTGTGCTGTCTGGGTTGAAGGTCCCGTAGTATAGGCGGACGGATTTCCTTTTGTCCGTCTGCAACCATGCAGTACTTTCAGCTATCTGTGCTGAGTGATATGACAGAAGTCCAGCTGATCGCGGATATCAGGAATCTACCTGGAGCTCGCCAGACTCTATGAGGGCCTTCACTGGACTAATTCCTGTCCCAGTAGCAAAAATGAAAAGGTCCGGAGCCTGCTCCGGCGCCGCCCTATCCAAGGAAAAGCCCTTGCCCATCACAGGGCTCACGTCGACCTCATCACCTGCACCATGAAGAGAAAGAGGATCAGCATCACGTGCGAAAGTGGGATATGAATTAAGCGCTCATGAGTCCCTGACGTAGAATGGACAGACCTGGCTTGCTGTCACAGAGGATCTCAGCTGTGGATCCCTGATTCTTCACCAGCAGCTCAATTGGGCGCTCTGGCGATGGTGCTGATGCTATTGCGAAATAGCCAGGCTTGCTGTCACCCACTTTCAGCTGTAAATACTGGCCACCCTTCGTGTACCCTTTTGCTAGCTGACCAATATCTACCGTCAACCGCACAAGCCCTTCTGCAGCTTTGCTGGTCTCCACAATAGTGCCTCTGCTCCACTCAATCTCAGCTCCCCAGCCAGCGCACACCTTCATCTGTTGCTGTCTGCCGTGTTTTCTGCACGATCACGCCAGCTTTCAGCTCAAAAGAATCTCTGACAGCCATATCTAGAACAGTAGTCGATCGATAGATCATGGATCATTGCAACTTGGTGCATCAATTTGCTGACCCTGTCTTGTCTGCAACTCCATGATGAAGGTAATCGTGCGGCAACCTGCTAAGACTGTGCTGCTTTGAGGAACGCGCCATGTTAGTCCAACATAATCCTCTCTGTTGTGTAATCGAACGGCATGCTCGCAGAGACGAGCTTGGTGCAAGCCAGCTCCTGCATGGGCCCACCAGAGACCCTGCACACGGTCCTCTGTGGACATATGAGGTTGCCATGATGCAAATCAGTCAATTTATGGCCTCAAAATGACATTACACAGGTTCGCAAATGAGACTTTAGTGCATACATTATTGACGCCGAAAGAAGGAGAGGCGGGGCCGAGATCGCAGGGCGTTTCATTTCAACTTCCACTTTTCCTTTCAATTCAATCAGTTCTATTGGCAAGAAGCCCTCAGGCATCCTAACTACAACTCCCGAAGGCGATACGGAAGCTCTCCATACAGGATCTTTCCTTTGCAGCCTCTGATCTGACTATTGATCAAAGTCATGGAAGCGAAGGCAGAGGAGTCTGGCAGTACGGAAGATTCAATTGCGCCAGCAACTAGTAGCAGCGAGATGGTTCATGTCCCAAAGGCAGTATTTATTGAGGATGTGGCGGCCTTCCTTGAAGGTGTTTAGTGGATGCTATGTCGACGTTCTTCAGAAGTTCTCATCATGTAACGGACCTCGCAGCTGCTAGCAATATAAATCAATATAGTGCACTTTTTGTGGCTCAGGTCGGACAGCTGATGAGGCCATCAAAGGGCTGAATGACAACTATCAAAATTACAAGTTGATAGAGCAAGAGCTGCAGCAGAGCAGACTTCGACTAACAGCGAAAATACCCGAAATACAGAAAGCTCTGTCAGCCGTTGAGATGCTGATTGAAAAGCAGGAAGAAGACCAGGAGGTACCTGGGTCTTCCGGCCTTATAGCACTTTCACTATATAGCTACTTGGGAGGATGTGTCCTGACAAGGATCTGAAGATCCCATTATATTTCATGGACGGATTGCATAATGTTGGCAAGGGTGTCAGTAGGTGTCGCCTTGTTGCTGAAAGTTCCTACATGGGCAGGTCGTTCTGGACTTTGCTCTTTCAGAGCAGATCTTTGCGAAAGCCAAGGTCAAGGATGTCTCAAGCGTTGGGTTGTGGCTGGGCGCGGATGTCATGCTGGAATACCCTTTGGAGGAAGCCAGGCAGCTGCTGGTGCGCAACTCTGAAGCAGCACTTGGACCCTTGTCAACGCTGGACCCATATTCCCTGTTGGCGTTCCAGTCTTGATCCTTCATTGCTCTGCGATATTACCTTGATACAATGCGGCTGCGCGCAGACAACGAACCTAGAGAATGCCAAGAACAGTCTGAAAGCCAACTCCAAAGACTTGGACATTATGAAGGACTTCTCAACCACAACTGAGGTCAGTGAGCAAGCTTTGCTCTTGCATGGGAATCTACACAGAAGCCTTGATTCAAATCATTCGAAGCTTAATTGATACTTGACAATTTGCATGTCATTTTGCAGGTCAGTATTGCGCGAGTTTACAACTTTGACGTTACCAGGAAACGTGGCACGAAGGAAAAGAAAGCGATTGGGTAGATAAAGGATGTCTTTCGGCAACTTTTGAACAAGGCGTAGTTAGTGCCTGAGCTATACACAGCTGCGCTTGTGCTGTGTTGCTCCAAACCCTCCAGCCAGACCAGAGCAGTGCGTTTAAGTATACCAGCACACAAGAAGTAGAAGGATTGCTTGGCAGTGCAGCAATACAGGCAGCTGCTGTTGTCGCCGAGGACCTGTCATCTGCTAGAGACCCATGTAATTGAAGTGGGGTCAGGGCCTTGAACGTTTTACTTCCTACAATGAGAGTATATGGTTTGTTTTTCTGTTGCAATGTCTCTGACAATGCATAGGGCAGGGCTACATTCAATGATGTTGCAAAATCCGCGCAGGCCCTCGGGATTCATGAGTGGCGTTGGTGTATTGCAAGGCACCAATGTTGGGGCCGGCACTTGATCCCTGAACATTCTCATATTATATGGCATGCACGCATGTGTGGGTTCAACGCACCAGTAGCGGACTTGCCAAGGTGCACCAGTGACTATGTCCGACTAGTCCGACAGAGTCTGAGGTTCTGCTGCATTGCAATACTAAGCATGGGTGCATCACGAGCAGCACACATATCAGTCATTACCTCTGCTGGCATCTGGTGCGGGTAGCTACAATCAGCGCTGTCGCCTTCCAAACGAATGATGGCCAGGCGCCGGCGGCCGTCAAAGTTCCTAACACCATGTGTTTTGCACTGCTGGCGGCCATAGTGATGTCGACATCAACATGTAGTTGGTCCCTCAGATTCAGTAGTCAGCAACACCACTGATTAGTAATGGCATATGCCAACGCCAAAACCTCGAGCGCATGAGCTCACAGTGGCCGTCACAAGGACGGTGCAAGCGGTGCAGCGCGCTAGCGTGCAGCGTGCAGCGTGCGGGCCCACGTGGGCGCAGCGGCGGCAGCTGCCGCACTATCATCATCATGCAGCGCGCGCGCAGCATGCCGGATGCATCTAGATCAAAACATGTTGAAAGAAGGGTGCTGTCGTATCGATATATGAACCAAGCAGGTGGCACTGGCTTCCGAGGGTTGCCAAAATAAGAACTAGCCCAGCGTTGCACTACTGCCAAGCCATTCAAGGATTAGGAACCCTCTTCTCACCAACCCTCTTCTTCCCACCGTCGCTCTCACCGCTGCGCTGTGCCCCCCTTGCTCCTCCCACGCCCGCCCCCGGGGCCTTCTCCTCCGCGGATCCTGCAGGTGCTTCTTCCCCGGGCCCCGGCCCGGGCCCGGTTGGCGCTCCTCTCGCGCCAGCCGGCCCTCCTTGCGCTCCGCTCCTGCCTCCTTCTCGCTGCCCTCCCACTTCCAGTTTGATGACGGGGGCTAAGCTCAGAGTGATGTTCCCTGCAGAGCCTCCTTTGGCTCTGCCCGTATGCATGCTGGGTCTCCCACGGAGTTCCCAGGTCGTGCTTTGTCTCTTTCTTTCTTTCAAGGATTAGGAACAATTCAGCCAAGTGCCTTGCACGTTAAGTAATACTTCAAGGCACGATGATGTCTTACAAGACAAACAAGGATAGTTTTGGGGGCCTCCTGAGTGAGGTCTCTAGTATTGACACATCCTTGTTCGACAAGAAGTCCCTGAAGGAGAGTCAAATGTCGAAATCGGATAAATCATCATCGCAGAGAACGACCAGTTCTCCAGTGCAGAGCGCCTCAAATAAGACACGGGGTCTTTCTACGCAATCGAGTCCACAAAACCGACCAACCCCTAGTTCTTCTGGGCCAGTGGGTTTCATGCAGAAGTCGTCCACCAACTCAGAAATGTATGGCAGCGCAGCGACAGGAAATACGCGAGCCTCTGCTGGATTTGATGTACTCATCGGAGATTTTCCCAGCTCGAGACACAATAGGTAGAGTGCTACTACTATTGCTGTGGAGGGTCTCGCTGGATGTGATCCCTTTGCTACTTTCTTCAAGCCCTCACAAGATTTTGTAATGGTTCTTTATGCTTGGTTCAGGCCCATGCGACCGACGGTGAAGTCTCCAGGGGTTGCAAACACCAGTATATTAGACCCTCAGTCAGCTTCCGTTTCACCGAGTGATCATGCAGGTGCGCAGTCAGTAGCATCTTGGCAGTATATTAGAGTGAAAATTTCTGGTATAGTGCCCTGGTATGAGGAAAGCGGAATCACAGAGACCCTGACTGACTTCCCAAGGGTGGCATGTGTCGAAGCTATTGGGACCTGCAGAGACTTCTTTTCTAACAGGTGTGTGTCATCATGTCCGCACAGGTCGCGGGCATGATGATTTGGATGATATCTTCCATAGCTCACAGACACAGGCTCCAGGTGCAGACAACGCCCGTGGAGGATCCAGCATTGACTTTCTGGAAGGCTTTGGGTCAGCTACTCACAAACCTTCTGGTGGAAGCGACCCATTCGATGTTTTCAACTCTGCGCCACAAAAGCAACGAGTGCCACTAGCAGCAGGATCTGATGATCTACTTGGAGGCTTTGAGGGCACGCTTGGTGAGCTACCTGGTCACTTTTTTTGCGCAGTCATGTTTTTGGGGGTCAAATCTCCTCGAGTCTCCAACGCAATTGCATTCATCGAATTGCTGATCTAAGGATTGCTGATGTGATGGGCAGGTGTGGAGGATCACAGCTCACCCAGAGAGCCAGTCAAGTCCACTCCATCCGCACGTGTCACACCTGCCAACAATGAACAGGAGGATGAGGAGGATGAATTTAACATCTTTGCTCCAACACCTTCGCCAAGCACAAAGGTATATTTTCCTATAATGTGCGTCAGCATGTGTTGCACTTGTCCTCTTCTGTAGGCGCTGTGGAAACTCACTGTCCCTTGGTATTTGCAGGCCGCTTCTGTTACAAAGCAGGATCGGTCGTCTGTCTTCCCGCCAGAACATACCCAACACAGCCCTGATCGCCCAGAAGCTGAAGTGCGCGATTCCAGGGGAGAGGATGAGATGCCTGCTCCAGGTCACAAAAGTAGGATGCCAAGCACCGGTATGTAACGGATCTACTCTGACGTTGTGAGGCAGCTAATATGACATACTGCCGCCTGATGCAGCCAGCTAAGAATGCCAATGAATGCTCTGCAGGAGATCTTGAGGATCTTGCGTCAAGAGGCCGCCCTTATGCTGAATACAGCAGGCGCACTGCCGAAAGGGACAGGCCTACTGCTGCAGAAGAGAGCAGTGAAGCAGGCAGGATGCCACAGAGGGCAACGCCTTCAAGGTTCCCCAGAGACAGGGACGAAAGGCCTGAAACGGCTTCTCAATGGCAGGTGTATTTCTGCAACGATCTTTATTGGTGCTGCATCCAATCTCATTTTTGCGTAATAAAACAAGGCCACTTCAGCAAGGTATCTGACCGAGATTTGTGCATGCGCAGAGCCAGGATGAGGGCACGAGTAATTGGCAGGCTGTGGGGGCTGGTGGGAAGGACAGCGCCAAGGAATGGTTGGACAAAGGCCAGAAGTGGCTTTTCACCGCCGGCAAAAAGGTAGCAGCTGCCGCCAAAGAAGCCTCCAGCACCATCCAGAACAAGCTAGACGAGATGGAAGTCTTCAAGGCCTCAGGTGGGTCATTCTGCTGCATGTGGGATGTTGGTGCATCCAAGACATCCAGTCCTCACAAGTGCCACAAGCCTTGATTGCAGCTCCCACTGCTGGCGTATATCAAGCAAAGTGCCAGAAAGGCTGACTTGAAATCTGTGTCTGCAGGCAAGGGGCCGCGGACATGGAGTCCAGACGACGATGACATGATGCCGGAGTACTACAGGCAATGGGCGTCCACCATCGAGCGGCTGGCGCCGGAGGAGCAAGCGCGCACGCTGGGTGCCATGAGCGAGGACGACCGCCTCGTTGTGCAGCGCATCATCGACCAGTCCTCCGTCCGCCGCTCCACCGCCAAGCGCGCCTCCCCGCCCCCCCGCACCCCCGCGCAGCCGCACCGCAGCGGCGGCTCCGAGACGGCCCCCGTCGCGGTACCGAGACAGGTATGACAGCGGACACTGTTCGATGAGTGTGTGGCAGTGAACTGGTGCTGGGCAGTGCAATTTGGATTTTTAAGTGGCTACAGGAGTGATTTTCAACAGAGGTGCGGGGTGGTGAGTTGTGGGTTCGTCCCAGCAGGCCCCGCCGCGGCCGCCGCAGCGCACGCGCAGCGCCGAGACGCTGCCGCAGCCGTCCCCGGCCGGCCGCGCGGCGTCCGGCGGCTTGGAGCGGCCGCAGCGCAGCTCCAGCTACAACCTGGGCACGGCCTCCAATGCTGCTGACGACGACACTCCCCTGAGCGGGAGCGCGGCTGCATCCCCGGACAGGGCGGCGCCTGTGGGAACGCCCTCTCGGCCGCCTGCGCGAGGCAGCCCCTCACCCCAGCGGCCGGCCCCCGCCGCGCAGAAGCAGGCCGACCTGCTGGGGCTGTTTGGGGGCGAGGCGCAGCAGGAAGAGGTTTCCTCGCTTTCGCCCCAGCCTGCAGCCAGCAGCAGAGCAGGTAGCGCCGGTGACCTCTTCGACATGAGCGATATCGACAGCAGCCCTGCACAGCACAGCAGTGCGGCACAGAGGGATGACGTGGACATCTTGGGCATATTTGCCTCTGCGGCGCCGGCAGCCGCCTGTGCCGAGCCCAAGGCAGCGCAGAGCCAGGCTGCCAGCACGCCTGCAAAAGCGAGCAAGCCGGCAGCCAGCGGACTGGACGAGCTGTTCGGAGCGCACAAGGCGGGGGCTTCCATGATCGACTTTGGTGACGAGGCATCCGACATCAGTGCTGCCTCGGCCGTGAAGTTCACAGCCCCTGGCGATGTCGAAGTGGAAGGCGAGCCAGAGGTGCTTTGCTGACTCCACCCTCTTGTTCTGCCTGTCTTCACTCTCTTTTTACTGCCCAGGATGGGAAGCACATGCTGTGTTTTCCAATCTCACTCTGGCTATCCTCACTTTTCGTGACACTGGAGATGGACAGCTTGTCTGTGCCTCTTCATCTGCCATGTGGGTGAGTCCTGTATGTGCGTGGTATTGTATGTGTGTTGCTGGACGTTCCCAGATCTCTTAGTAATGATATGCGTGGTGGCAGATTCGGAGGCAGGCGCGCGCCAGGCGCATGGCGGAGAAGCAGGCGCAGATTCAGGCTGCGCTTGCGGAGAAACAGGCGCGGGACAGCGCAGAGGCGTCCGAGAAGGAGCGCAAGGTGCAGCTGCGTGAGCAATACAAGGAGCGCATGCACGCCTGGCAGCAGGTGCCCTCCAACACCCTCCTGGGATAGTTGTCACCTCAGCAGGGGAAGATATCTTCTGATGAGCAAGGCAGCCGTCAATGCTCAAATGGACTTCTCGTTGATGTGTAAACGAGTGCCTAGAACATGTGCAGCAGAAAGGGGATTAGTAGTGATCTCTACCATCAGTGCCTGTAGAACCGGCAAGGCAAACTTATGTGCATTTGCCCTGCCATGCCAGAGGATATGAGCAGGCTGATTCACGGACCATTGGGGATATCTGTTTGACGAGACACAGCGCCATTTTTGTCCATTTTTGTGTACTGAGCAGCCGTGGGTGTGCAGGGCAAGGATGGAAACATCCGGGCGCTGCTGGCGAGCCTGGACACGGTGCTGTGGGAGAACAGCGGCTGGAAGAAGCCGCCCATGACAGACCTGCTGGAGCCGGCGCGCGTCAAGCGGGCATACATGAAGGCCAACCTGGTGATCCACCCCGACAAGGTCAAGCAGAAGGGGGGCACCGTGGAGCAGATAGTCATCGCTGACATCGCCTTTGACGCCCTCAAGAACGCCTGGGGCAAGTTCGAGGCGGCTGAGATGCGCTGAATTGCGGCGCACGCGGTTTGGCTTGGCCTCCATGCGCTGTGTGCCTGCTGAATGTTAAGCCAGGTTGTGAGAGTCCGCCCATCAGCAGCTGTAGGGTGCATGTGCTCGGTAATCATTAGAATTGTGCACACGTGTCGCTGAAAAATCACAGTGCTTGTGAGTAGGATTCTAAGCAACGACTATCTGTGCTGGCCTTGGGTCTGCATGCATTCACAGTGTGATGAACTTGGCGAAACACGATGGGATGGCACAACATTTCTGTAATGGTGACAAAGTCTGCTGGCTTTGACAACATTAAAAACAGTCCTCTGAAGTAAGATACTTGTGCATGGGTGCATTCTCTGATGTTATATCTCTGATCATTTCTCTTCTACATCACCTAAAGTTGGAATAGATAACAGCCCATCAGGCACAACAGGTTGGATGCAGCAACAAGCTAGACCACCAGTGGAATACCTTTGCAACCCGTAACAGGCAGACGGAAGAAAACATGTGCCGTATGTCCAGCTACAACACTCCAAGATTCCCCATTTCCAGAGGATTTCTCTCTAGAATAGCTACTAGCTTGGGGAACTACCATCCATGAACCAAAACGTTCTCTCAGACCAACTCTTGCCACCCTGAAGCAACCCTCAGGAGTTCTGGAACAAAGTCCTGTCATGACCTTCAATGGTCGCCTCTCAAAGCATAGCTGCAGTTGCACTCATTGTGCGCTCTCGCTTGTGGTTTCTCGGGCTTTTGCATCTCGTTGACGATCAGGGCTCTCAATCACAGAGGAGGTTCAAGCATTTCAGAGCTTGGCACAGGGTGATAATGACGTTCTGGTCATTCATCATGGCAGATCTGCTTCCTGCAGGCAAAACGGACTCCCCTAACTCTGGTGCTTGACATCAGCGTGTCACCCAAAATCACATGCGAAGCTTCCACTCGTGAGCTCTGCGAATACAATGTTGCAAATACTGCAAAAATTACCGCCATGCATGCATGTGGCCTTGACTGATAGCACATAGTATACATGGCCTTCAGTGGTAGTCCCTGCTGCACTGTGCCTGGGCGTCCTCGTCCCCTCGGTCCTGGCCCCCAGCAAGGTAGTGCTCTCCCTCTCTGTCCGGCCCATCCAGGACATTGCTGTCATCCAGGCAGCTCTGCTGCACCGCCGCATCATAGTTGTCGGGGTACTCGTACTGAAGGCGAGAGTTCGGCACATACCTACGCAGCAGAATGCCATGATCACATTCCAGTCATTGCTCCACCACCTCAAGCGTGAGAGATGCACAAGGGGCACCGCAAGTGACCACGGGTCCCAATTCAGCTCTCAGGGCAATTATTTCCAGTCATTGCTTCACCACCCCACAAGCCTGAGACACCACAAGGGGCACAGTAGAAGCTGATGCGGCCCCATATAAGCTCTCAAGGTTGAGTAGCAAAAGCTCACCGGAGGAGGTCAGGGGAGTAGCTGTCAAAATAGTGCGCGATCGCACGGTGATTCACGCGGTGAGGCACCAGCAGGGGCTCCATGTTGTCCTGGGCAACATACTTGGAGATGCGCACCGCTCCAAAGATCCTCTGGCAGTCGTCTGCAGACAGTGTTGGTGATCAACGGAAGTAAACGTGCAGCCATCAAAGCAAATATGCAGCACAGACAACAGAGGCAAACAGTGAACCCATGCCGAGTCGATGATCCCATACCTTCGTCAGGAAGGACATGATAGAATGGCTGCGTGGGGTCGGCGTGCACTGCTGCAGCCCAAGCGGGGTCCCTCTCACACTCCTGGTCCCATCCATAAACAACACCTGTGCACACGACAAAACATACTTGTCACAATGCACAAAGCCATGTCGACTTGTCATCAATTCATGGAACACTGACAGTGAGGCAAGTAGCATTGGCTTGGGGTCCGCAGGGTGTCGCTATGTGCATACCTTTGTATCCGAACTTCTTGTGGATGAAGACGGTGCCAAGGGAGAATGCCACGCGACTGCGGTCTGTTCGGACCTCCCTTGAAGTGCGCAACCTGGAGAGCAGGTCAGCATACTCTGTGTGCAGCAGCTGCACAGCTTCCAAGCCCTGGTCGAAGGCGTTGCTCAACTCCTCTCCACTCTGCCAAGCAACAAATGGCTCGATGCTTGAACTGACGAGGGGTTGTGCACTTTGATCTGTCAAGATGCCAAAATACGCTGCAGCACGCTCCCCTGGTGGAAACATTGTGGCATCAGGTTTTATGCTCGTCTACTACATAAAAGGGGCGCACCTGCAGATTTTTGTTCAGCTGAAAGCTCTGTCTAGCAATGCCCCTGATAACTCCTGCCTTGTTGACTTGGCTGTCAAGAGCATCCAGGCTTGAGAACACAGCCGGTGGAGTGCATTTGAGGACATCCGTGTGTCGCAGTTGGAATGGAATTCCCTCTGCTTTCGCGCACCAACGCAGTACGGCACGGTATAATAGTATAGGCAGACGCTTCTGATGTGCACTGGACATGGTCTTCAAGACCCGGTCCTAGTTGACATGCTTGCAACGAATCCAGTGGAACATCAATGACCTTGAGAATGATAAACCTTTACATTTCTGGTCCAAATCTCTGCTGAATCGGAAGCTGACTCGGATCACGTGCACATGGCCACGTGGCATGTAGTGATTCTGGCGGGAGGCGCAACGCACGCAAGCAGCAAGCGAGAGCGTGCAACAACTACTCCTTGTGTGCAAGCAATAATCTTCTTGGATAAAACTTGTCCTATCCGTCCTGCATTGGTGCATTTCGAGACCAGCCAGCCCACGTTTACTGATCCTGGAAAAGTATCTGTTGAGCACATTTGAGGCACTGTTTCGCAGCTATTGCATCGAGGTTGTTACTCGTGGTATTGATTTGGATCAAAGGATCTGACATGTGTGATGATGCCGAACCACCCAGTAATTAGCTCAAATCGGAAACATCCACATTGACGATGTCGTGGCTGTCACGTTCAGGTCGATCATCTACCTTGCAGAAGACTTGACCAAACACATCTGACCGCTTGCCCTGACGCGCATCATCATTGACACAGTCCTGATCGCTGTCAATGTAGCAGGTGGGGATCTGCCCGAAACCCAGGATAAAGCAGGCCTCATCAACCGAGCTCTGGGAGCATCTGGGGCGCTTGACATATACAATGACGCGGGTGAGTCTGTCATGCCTGTGGATCTCTGCTTATAAATATCCTGTGTTGCATGTCAGCTTTGGCATTGTAGAATATAACGGGGCTCATAACTGCGCGCTCTCGTCCCAGATCAAGCGCTCGAGGAGGCAGCGTCTGTCCTGCAAAGGTTCACAGATGAGGCTCTGCAGCGGACGTTGAGCAGGACTGGCAGCCAATCCCACAGCACAGCAACTTCCCTGAGCGCAGCATCAGGGGGCCTCATAACATCCTTGCTGCGCACGGAGCAAGTCCAGGCAGTAGAGTCTCCTGGCAGAAGCACAGATGCGAGCTGGGGCTTGCTAGGGCAGCTGACAGAGCTCCTGCAGGACGCTGAGGAAGCTGCAGCGGATACAGGAGCCGGTCTCGGGCCCAACATCCTTTCGCCAGAGGCCTTGGAAGATCTGGCTCGCTGCAGCAGCAGTCCTCTTTCGGCGCGTTCAGCTTCACCAGAGGCCCCTGGCGCTCAGCAGTCCCAGGCTTCCCCTCTCGCCCCACCGTCCCCGCCGCTGGGACACCTGTGGCGCTTGGGAGAGGCTGCTGCTGCGGACATCTGGACTTCCAGTCAGTCGGGCTCAGATGCGCACTCCGCTGCAAGCCTGGACATGGAGCAGCCAGCAGAGGAATGCGGTCCTGATCTGCCAGCCTGTGAGCGCAGTCAGTCCCCGCTTTTCTTTCCAGCAGTGCAGAGATCACCAGCCTCTCCTATGCCAGAGGCCGCCTCTCCACAGTGTGTGCGTTGTGAGGAGCAGACTGTACCGTCACCAGCAGAGCTCTCGCCCCGGTTGGACGCGCTGGCTGACATGGACATGCTCAGCCGCTGGACTGAACCAATAGAGGTGCCAAGCTTGAGTCCACCCAGCCCCCTTCTGCCGCGGATGGAGCCGTCGCAGCCAATCCCGCAGCAGTCATCCCTTGGAGAGCAGCCTGCAGGTCTGGCCTCTGACCCAAACTCACAGAGGCAAATGCCTGCAGCAGCACTTTGATGCTTGCTGCGCTGACGACCTGCTGGTGATGCTGCATGGCTGCATGGTGATTACTGATGCAAGCCATTGAGAGAGCAGTAGTGTTGGTTGCGCAGGAGAGGACGAGGAAGCAACAGTTACCCAACCATCCCATCCTGACGCCAGTGTTGAAAGATCCACAGGACACCACGCAGACACCAAGGCTGCTGCCACTCCTGATCGGGTCCCAGGTGAGTCGGCGTTTATGTGTCATTTGTGCGCATCATGCTCTGGAATTTTCTAATAGGCCCAACACTGCAAAGATGATATGTCTCCTGGTGGCATCTTGGATAAGCTGAGGTTCTTGTTTGCGGTGCAGATATCGTGAATGAATGGATCTGCTCCACAAACTCCTCTATTGCAGAGCCACTTGATGCAGATTCTCACCTTGGGGCGGAGCAGCAGACAGAGGGGAGCTTGTCCGAGGAAGCTTGCAGCACATCAGAGTCCGACAATCCCTCCTCGTTGGCTGAGCCACTGGTGACCTGCATTCCACCTCAGATTGCAGCAGCTGTGGTGCATCTCTCTGCCTGCCATGCACCAAAGATTGAGAGGCAACGCTGTGACACGGGTGCCTGACATGAGATCCAAATTGGTCTGAGCGACACTGACTTCCTGTTGTGTTTCACATTAGGCTGGAAATCCAAAAATATGTCAAAATCCATGCAGGAGCAGTATCAGCTGGCGAGCGGCCCTGTGGTGAAAGGGGCCAAAGTATCAGTGGGCCTGCCAGAGGGGCTGGCCACCATGCAGGACATTGCAGAGGGCCTCCAGCTGTCGCAGCAGTTCAACACGACTTCGCAGATGCTGATGCGCGAGATAATTGCCATGCGCGACACCCTTGCCGTCTTCAACAGCGGTATGTCCGATATATCATTCTTTCCCACACAATGCTGCCAGACAGTCCAATTTCAGTCACATTCTGACCTTTGATAAAATGCGAGCCCACTGGACTTTTTTGAACAAACCTCATGTGGGGGGCGACAGGCAGCGCGCCTGACGCAACAAGGCTGCCGCCAGGTGAACAGCAGAAGCAGCGCAGTGCAGAGGAACCGGAGGCACTGCAGGATCTCTCAAGCTTCCTGAACGGTGAGCCCGACAAGCCTGTCATAGCTGCCGTCAATGGAAGCACCCTTCTAATTTCTTAAACTAAATATATATATATATAATATTCCATCCGCATGCAATAATGCAATTGATCAAATGAGGAGGCATGTGGTTCAGGACGTTAAGTAAATCATATCAATCTGCGCTGCAGGTCTCAGGGCAAAGTACGGCCTGGCAGAGAGCAAGCCACTGCTACTGAGCGCTGCAGCGGCATCTGTCTCGCTGGCCATTCATGCAGATGCATCCTGCATCGTCAAGCAGGCTCTGAATGAGCTCAGTGTGGAGCCAAAGGAGGCTGTCAAGCAGAGCCTTCAGCTCTCAGGCAACGCTGTGCAAGCATCGCTGCTGGCCGAGCAGTCAGTGCACGGCCTTCAACATGACGCCCCAGCTGAAGCAGACGTGCGTGCTTTGACAGACACTGGAGCCAGCAGCCCCATAGAACAGCAGCCCTTGACAGCAGCACTGGCACATACGGCTGCCCAGCCAAGCAGGCTAGCAGAGGGAGCTTCAGCTGACGATGCCACGGACGTGTCAGAGAACCCTGCAGACAACGGACTGCCACATCCGCCATCTGGCGCTCCACATTGGCGCCAACTCAGCCAAACGCTGTCGCGCAATGGGTTCCTGCCTATCCCTACAGAGGTGTGCGCCCATATTTTTCCCTGCATGCAGCTGTGCAAGCATGGTACATGGGAGTAGGTTGCTTCAACAAGTGTGAACAGAGGAGTCACGGCGGCATATCGTGCGACTGCAGGATGTTGCCTACGGCCATCTCCCAGCCTTGCTGTCCAACGCTCTGGCGGTAGTTCTCCGGGAGTATGAGCGGAGGTCCAAGCTTGCAGAGGAGCTGCTGGCGGTGGTCGAGCACAGCCGAGCGCGCGACAAGGATAAATACAGCGATCTACAGCGCCTGAAGCAGTGAGCTGCGCATAGTGCTACCGCCTCTTGACTATCGATGTGTCAAGTTGCATGCTCACAGTTCTGTGCAGGGCTCGCCATTGTACACCAAGCCGAGGGGATTGTTGAGGGTGGTGGTGTGTATATTGCAGAGAGCATGCAGCTGAGATGAGGCGCACAGAGACTTCCATACGCAGCTTGAGGCAGCAGGTGCAAGAGCAGCAGAGAGCAGCTGCTCAGTCAGAGGCCGCTGTCCAAAGGCTGGAGAACGACATGCTGCGCTTGAGCAGGGAGCTGGCAGCTGCAGAGCATGAGACCAGGCAAGCATTCACACCAGTGTCCAGTGGATGCTTCCAAGGTGGCAAGATGGTGAGAAGATGATTGAGATTCTGCCCCAGCATTCACTCCACATCCCCAATAATGCTTACAAGTTTCCACCTGTCAGAGAATCTGCGCTGCTTGCAGGGATTTGAGGGCAGCCAGGGGTGACTGGGCGGACAGGGCTGCCCAGTACGAAGCAGAGCAGCGAGCGACCCAGCAACGCGTGGCACAGGTACACCTTATGCTGTGTGCATATACCTGGTTCCCTCTCCCTTATTGAGCATCCATTCTCAACCGTGTCATTTGCAGAATGTCAGTAGAGCAAACAGCCGCTGACGAAAGCAGATAGGGAAACCGAGTGCTTCACGTGCTGTAGTGATCAAAAATCTTGGTGGCGGTCTCTGCAAGAAGGGCTGGTGGGGGCAATATTTTGTCTGGACAGCCATTTTTTAGAATTGAGCTGTGGGCTTTCCGGACTCGTTTCCAGGCGGAGGAGAGGGTGCGAGGGGCTGAGTTACGCGCGGCGCGGGCGCGGCAAGCATTGACGCAGGCGGAGCACGGCTCGCGCGCGCACGAGGCGGCCGCCCAGAAGCTGCGCGAGCGGCTGGCAGCCCGGGTGCGCGCGGAGGAGCGGCGGCTGCAGCGCGACGCCGATGCGCACGCCCGCATCAAGCGCGCCCTCAACTCCCACAAGGGTGCCTCCCCCTGCCCTTCCCCTTCCCTGCTGCCTTGTCCTGGCTGCCCGTGAGAGGCTCCTCCCACCCCGGTGAACTTGAGGCTGACAGACGTCTCCTCCCACTCTACCCATGCATGATTTTGGTTGTCTAGCACATATGCGCCACCGCTGTTGCAGTAGAGAAAACATGATGTGCTTTGGCGCTGGCAGGCGACCCCAAAGGCGGCAGTGCAGCGGGGGCGGTGTCGGCTGCCGTGCGGGAGGTGCGGCCTCTGGAGATTGTGGGGCTCTATGAGAGTCAGCAGGAGGCCCTCCAGGTAATCCTGCCTACTAGCATCAATGCAAAGGCCACTTAAACATTTGTGTAGCTTTGATATGCAAAGCTGAAGATTTGCCTTGGCATCTGGGGTGAGACAGTTTGCATGTGTGCCGCAGACGGAGGTGGCAGTGTTGAGGGCTGAGACTCGCACTCTACTGGAGCAGCTTCGAGACGCCCAAAATCAGCTCGCAATACAGGTGTGCCTTCACAGTGTTTGAACATGAGAAACCCGACCCTGGATGACATGTACTGGCAAACCTGTGCTGTCAGTATGGAGATCTGATGAAAGGATGCGGTTGCAGGCGTCTGGACAGCCCAGAGGGCTGTCGGACAATGCACCGCGACGCATCGCAACCATGAGCAAGGCGGTCAGCGAGGCGCAGACGGCCCTCGCACAGGAGCGCGCCTCGGCCGCAGAAGCTGCGCGGTGCGCCCTTGAAACCACTGCACAATTTCAGCATCACTCCTATCTCCCCAATCATGCATTTTCTTGGGTCACATCTGGTAGGGAGCGCAGTTCATTGAATCGACGTCACACACGAGAGGCTTGCCCACGATCAGGTCTTCCTTGCATTTGGCAAAGCTGACAAGGGCTGGGAGATCATGGCGGCCCCTTCCTGCAGCTTGTATGAAGGCGCATCTTGTCTCACTTACAATGAATACATTCAGTACAGTAATGATACAGGTGACACCTAACCACAGGAGAGTGGCAAAACGGTGAATTGCGCTGACGACTGGGTATTTGTGCGCGCGGCAGGTCTGCGGCGAGAAGGGTGGCAGAGGCGGAGAGGCGGGCGGAGGCGCTGGCGGAGGAGAGCGAGAGCCTGCGCCTGCAGCTCAACGCGCGGCCCACCGTCAAGGCCTTCGGCGCCCTCAAGCGCCAGCTGGAGTCCCTGGAGCGCCAGCTGGCGCGCTCGCATGCCGGCCCCGACTCCGCACAGCCTAGCCTCGGTGCGCGCACCCAAATTGGGAGAATCCAGCACCGCATGCCACGGCTTCACAAGAGATCGCAGGCGCTGTGCCTCATGCAAGATGCTCTGCACCATGTGATAGTGCAATCCACTGCCTGAGGTCTTTGATGAATGCCCCAACATCTCTGATCGGCAACAGTAGGTTCTCTTCTCGTCAGATCTGCCTTATCCACTCTGTTGGGCTTCGGTCGATGCTTGCGGTGCGCGTCTGACACCATGGGCTGCTGCATAGGGGCAGCCCGAGCGCGTAAGGACCGGGAGGTGCACCGCGCGGGGCTGGAGGCTGTGGGAGAGCTGGCACAGGGCGAGCTGGCAGACATTTTGCAGCAGCTGTGCCTGGCTCTGGGCATGGCCGACGCCGCGGAGCTGCCGGCAGCTGTCGCCCGGCTTCAGCGCGCCGTCACCACCCTGCCACGCCTCGAGCGCTTCGTCACCGACGTCTGTGAGGTGTGCTTGCTCACACATCGATTGCTGGCCCCTGCACACCTTCTATATTGAAAATTTGCAGTAATCATGGTGTCTGATGGCTCCCATACGCTGCAAGCCACTGAGCTACGATGACTAACCCATGGCCTTCAAGGGACCGGATAAGGAGACCAGCAGACGACACTGCCTTGTTGGGATGCATGGAGGGTTGCTGAGTGGAAATGTCTGGCTCTGGCTGGCAGGTGGTGTTCCGCCGGGGCGGGCACCTGACGCAGGAGGCGCAGGAGGACCCGGCAGCGGTGCCGCGTATTCTGGAGCGCTGGGTGGATGCGCAGGACAGCAGCAGCGAGGCCGAGCAGCTCAGAGATGCCCTGGAACACCTCCTGCTGCAGCGCCCTGGCAACGGCAGCGGCACATCTCTGGTGACCTTTCCCACGATACACTTCCTTGTGTGATTAAGCTGCCATTGCTGATGGCTACACAAAAATTCTGAGCACTCATCCATTCGAGCAGTAAATATGTTTTCAAAAGGACAATATGAGAAGGACATATTTGTGGTGCAATTCATCAAGTACTGGTGGGCACAGGGGTATGAGGGGATCATGGCGCAAGTGGCCGACATGGTGGAGAGGGAGCAGGGCAGGTCACAGGCAGAAGAGACTGCTGAGGCTGCCGAAGGCCTCGTCCATGCAAATGCTGAAGCGCTGCTGCGCCGTATCGTGGCGCACTTCCAGCACCTGTTTGCCGTGGATGCATTAGAGGGCGTCCTACCTGCCATGAACCAGGTGACCCCTCTCTCAGCTGTCCTGCTATGGTCTGTTTGCTGCTGCATGGACAGGTTGACGAGTTGCTTGCTAAGAGTGAGCCTGTCTGCAAATCACTGGTGACTGGTGGTCGTTTCCAAGGCATTCACGATGATCTGGTTCTGTCCAGGTCTACGTGGCATACACTGAAGGCCAGAATGTTCGGCGAGCCATGGCAGACGTTCTGGGCCTTGAAGCCACGGCCAGCATTGCTTCATGCTTGCAATGCCTCACCCAGCTGATGAGCAGTCAGACTATCGCGCTGGGCAGAGAGGGACCTGCTGAGACGATGCTGGATGGGCCGGGAGCGGCTCCTGTACAAAAGGATGAAGAGAGAGAACGTGCGAAATCCGAGGAAGCCATGATGGCTGTGGCAACTCCTGCTTTTGAATCAGTGTGATGGAGAACCGTGTTGAGTAAATGCTCAGAGTACTTCTCCTTCCTGTGAATCTTTTCAGATTTTGTTGAGTCTTTGCCAAAGACTCAACAGTGTTGAAGAAAGTGTTGCCAGTCCTGCAGCTTTCCTTGTTGAGTCAGTTGAGAGCTGTGCGGCGCATACTATGCATGTAACTGCGGGTCGCTGAATGGACATGCATGGTCATACTGATCATGAGTCTTATCGCTGATCTGCATGCCCCCTTCAATGACAATCATGATTATCCATTTTTGGCTGCTGCCAAAAAAAGGAAAACGGGAAAAAAGAGAGGTTTTAGGAGTACTTTATTATGCCTGCCTACAGCCGAAAAAGTCCATTAAGCCTGGTCCAGATGCCAAGAGGTCTTCATTCCAATAGAATTACATTTCAAAAGCCGCAAAGGAACAATTTGTAACGCAGTGAAGTGCGCAAATTTCGCAGTGTAAAGACTATCCTCAGCTAGTTCCCCTAAAGCATGGAGACACTTGGCAGAGATGAGCTAGAAAGGTGACCCTCAATGCTACTTCATTAACTTCGACACAAAGCCATGATCATTCCATTCGTACTGAGGTCACTGTGGGCAATCTTATGGGGCTGCACAAGTTGAAAGGTTGCCACCATGAAGCTAGGCGATCCTGTGTCTTTGTGCAGGTTGATGTTCTTTGAGCAAGCACGGGAGCAAGAAGAGCAAAAGTATAAGCAGAACAACCAGGATGTCGTGGTATGCATGTCTTCTGCCCATACTTTATTGTCCACGTCACAGCCATTGTGGGCCCTCGCCACAGCCATCATCAAACGCGTCAGGGAAGATTTGACGCGCTAATCTCACCTATTGATGCTCAGGCGCTGACGAGATGGGGTGGAGCTTTGTTGGAACTCGCTCATTTCAGACAGGGAGTCGAGGCATATGGGATGATCCAGGAGGTAAATGTCTGCAGTGCCCTTCATCATCTTGATCAGCATCAGAACTTCAAGCGAATGGAATGTGAGGCCCTGTATTGCTGTCTTGTTGCCGTGCAGGCAGCAGAGAAGTTCAAAATGGCACTAACTATTGAACCTGGAAAGCATGACGCACTCTGGTGCCTTGGGAATGCGTACACATCCCAGGTACGTGGCCTTCAAGAGGAATACATGTTTCAGCAGCTCCATCTGTCAAGTATTGATCGACCTCAATCATTGCGATGTGCAAGCACATATTCACAACTCTCTGTGGTGTTAGGGCTTCTTGACAACCGAAACTGCCCAGGCCCTGGAATTCTTCGAGCAGGCAACTGACTGCTTCAAGAAAGCTCTGCACGAGGTGAGACGTTGCTCATTTTCCCCTTACAGTGACGAACTTGCACCTGGAGTCCAATGCCTGATATTCAGATGGACTGCTGCTGCAGGAACCAAACAACGATGTGTACAAGAAGGCGCTTGAGATGACGCACCAGGCGCCCCAGCTGCATGCAGAGCTGCAGAAGCAGATACATGCATCCCAGGTGCAGATGTTCCGCATATCAATAATCAACATGTCAGCTTGATCTCGTTCACGGGCACTGCAGGGCATGCAGGCCTGTTGAGATCCCTGTTGCATGCCTGCATGAGGTCTGAGGTTGTGTGCCTGGGCTGATGTGCAGTTTGCCAGTGGTGAGGGCAGCGCTGCAACGCGCCCCAAGAGCAGCAGCGACTTCTGGTATGACGTGGCGGGATGGGTGCTGCTGGGCGGCATCATTGTTGGCTGGGTGGCTCTGGCACGGAACTCAGCACCACCTCAGGCTCCCAAGTGAATCGATCAAGCGGCCATTCTGGGGGCTGGAAACTCGATGTATTCATAACCCTCAATTATATGGTCAGTGTGAAGCCAGAAAACCCTAGCACCTGCTTTCCATGCCTATTGAAGGCTCATCCAAAGAGGGCAGGTTGTAAGCAGAACTGGCATGCAAGAGCTTATCCGTGATACCTACTTACAGGTGAGTTGAGGGCAGTAAGAACCCGGCCTTTGCAAGGTCTCGATGAGGCATGTGAGCAGAGATCTCTAGAGGGCTACATGAAAGGAGGCTTCGCTGTTGGAATGCAATCCGGAGGAGTCCTTTTTAGCAGCATGCCTCTGTTGGGAGTTGCTGCCTGTTGTAGCAGCACTGCAAACTTTGCATTTACTATAGTAGCTACGAAGTTTAATGATATATGTAGTGACTGCTTGTGACCACTGGCATGTCCAATCATTGAGACCATTTAAAGGTTTTGAATTGTTTTTGCATCACTTCCATTGAAAGGGAGGACTTGCAACCCGGTACGATTACACAGGCTGCTTGCAGAGACCAGTGACACACCCTGCAGCAAAGCTGGTCGCCCTGGAAAGAGCTCCCAGGCGCCGGTTGCCGCACCCTAGCAATCTCCGTGTGGGCGGAGCGCAAGACAGGGCTGTACTGTGGCAGCAGCTCGACACTTGGTACATTCAATGCAGCGGCATTTCACACAGGATGCCCTCATCCCACACGAGGTACCCAACAGTCTCCAACACAACTCTCATGTCCACACCGCCTACACTGGTCCTTTCGAAAAGAACAGCAGCAAAAGTATTAAGCAGCCAATGATGTTGCTTCCAGATCTTTCAGGCACCCAACCTGCCTGAGATTTGTCCATCCACTGCAGATCTGAGCAGGTTGCTCAGTACAGCCTGTAGGGCTTGCCCATGCTGGACTTGATGTAGAGGCAGCGGACGTTCTGCCAGTTCTTCTTCAGAAGGGACACCAGGAAGTTGACGCTCATCTGGGAGTTAACGTAGATCTCCTTCTCCTCCATGCCAACGTTGCCGATGGCGACACCCAGGCACAGCACCTTCTTCAGCTGGAACTTCACAGATGCCTTGATCTCGTTCACCTGCCACAGAGGAACAGCTTCATGTCAGTCGGGATTTTTCTCTTGTGATCTCTCACAAGGAGGATGACAGGCAGGTAGCAGCTCAAGTGCCCCTGTCGGTTAAGGGGAGCGTCCAAAACTAGCCAGGCAAGGCATGGTGCTCATGAGCACGGCACTTCTGTACCTTGTCTTCCAGCTTGTCGTTGTGCGACACCAGGGTAGGGAACTTGCCGGCCTTGTTCAGGCCAGGGCCGAGCAGACGAGGGATCTGCTTGATGACCGCCTCGGACGCCAGGAATGCTGCATACTTCTTGGCTGCACAGCAACACATGTCTGTTGGTTAAATCTGGACATTCAGATATGACACAGTGCTCGGACAGCTGAACAAATGCCTGCCAACATATCAGAGAGTGCTGTCCTAGAGAAGGCGTTCTGATAAGCTCACCCAGCTTCTTGACCAGCTTCTTATTCTTCTGCAGCTTCTTCAAGTCCTCCACGCTCATCTGGTCCACGCCGATCTCCTTGGCCTCCTCGCAATGCTTGTGGTCTCCAAGCACGCACACCTTCATCTGAGGCCGTGGGGTGTAGGGCAGCTTCACAGTGCCGCTGAAACGCTTGTCCTTCTGCGGGTCATAGTTCTTGAGCCCGATCTGGAGCTCAATCGTCTCCGTGAACTTGCGCTGCTTGGTCTTGGAGCCTTCAAGAACTCCTATAGAAAGCAGCAGGCATTATTATGCGAGAAGCAACCCAGCCTGAGCACAAATATTCAATGGGCAAAAATGGATACAGATATCATACAGCATTTTCACAACGATACCAAAGCAGGAGTGATCAGGAGAAGTACAGCTTCAACAGCAATAAGTGTCATCTCAATCACAATTTTCTGGCAACCAGGCTTGTGAGGCTACTCACCCGAGATCCCCTCGCGCAGCACTTCTCCTGAAAGCTTGCTCATGATTGCAACCTTCACTAGCAGCCCACACTACCGTGAAAGAGGACAAGTTCGATCGAAGCAGCCGCCCTAGACTCAGTTGCAGGGCAGTTCATAATCACAGCTATCGATCCAGTCATTGACGGTCATTTGCAACTTTCCTATTGCAAACTCACCCGTGAATAGCGATCAAAGCCTCATCGAAAAGTGATAACACACGTGTGTTGTTCGTGTTATTTACATGCTCGGTAGGAGACCAACGTGTGCTGAGCAGTGATTTCAGGGGGTGGGATGTAATCCCTTTTCTGTATTCACCTCTTTCAGTCGTCGCACAATGTCAAAGAAAGTCAAGACTGTGGCAGCGACGATAAAGTTGGTCATCAAAGCTGGTCAAGCCAAACCAGCCCCCCCAGTGGGCCCAGCCTTGGGACAAGCTGGTCTGAACATCATGAATTTCTGCAAAGATTTTAATGCAAAAACTGCAGACATGAAGGTATTCATTTTACTTCAGCTACTTTACCAACATCCTCTGTTCAGTCATGCGTCTGCTGATGACACTGTGCCTTCCCTTGAAGAACTTACTAGTCAAAATGGTTGTGCAGGACGACGCGCCAATCCCTGTACTACTAACCGCCTACAGTGACAAGACCTTTGAGTATGTAAGTATGCTCGTCTTTACTGTGAGAATTTCAATCCAGGCTGCTTGCTTGCTCGAGGATATGACCCTGTTTATCCACTGCGTTGAGCGTTCACACATGCTGTGCGCAGGTCATGCGCACACCACCTGCAATGTATTTCATAAAGAAGGCAGCAGGCCTGGACAGTGCCAGTCAGCGGCCTGGTCATCAGACAGCGGCCACAATCTCAGCGAAGCACATCTACGAGATTGCCCAGATCAAGCACAGGGACCTCGAGAAAAACATCCCCCTGGAGTCTGTTTGCAGAAGCATTGTGGGCACATGCAAAAGCATGGGCATCAAAGTCATCCCAAAGCCAGAGCAAACGTTGTGATGCCTACAGTGGGTTCCCTGCAACATGCGCCCAGCATAGCTGAGGGAGCTTATATGCCATTTTTCTGTTGATGTGTGCTGTTTCAGACCAATACAACTAGTGATTGCGAAGTTAAGCACAGGGAGGGGAATTGATCAGCGCTTGCTTTTAACCACATCGCTGATGCTGTGGTGCAGCCAAATTTCTATGTACTTTTACAACCTGAGTCTTCAAAGCATGCATGGACGAATAGACTGTCACAGGCTGTCAGTAGCCTAGATTGGTCAATGCTTCCTCATTCTTCCGCCACTTTTCCTTGACCTTGACGGTGATGTCAAGGTAGACTGGTCGTCCTGTGCAGCAGTGTTCACAAAGGATGTCAGCAAAGCAGTTGAAACAGTCTAAGATCTGCTAAGGCCAAAGGCAGGCAATCAAATGTCGAGCAAACAACGGCACTTATTTGTAATACTTCTAAACACGTGTCTGTTGTATGTCCACCTTGCCAACAGACAAAGGCTACCAATACTGCTGATGCATGAGAGGAGTATTTTGGCAGATCAGGAGGAACCAATTGTGATGGAGGACCTCTGTTGAGCTCACCTACAAAAGCTTCAATGTCGGCTCGTGCAGCTGTAGCCATGGCTTTCAGTGCGCTGCCGCCCCTGCCTACCATGATGCCTTTCTGGGACTCGTGCTCCACATACACAGCAACCTGCACAAGATCCTTGCCCACGGCCCGCTCTTTGTAATCCAGGACTTGCACCTGTTAGCATACCCGTCGACTTGAAGTTGCGGCGGAGGTCGGGTACTTGATGGAATCAATTAAACAATGTCTACACTGCAACGACTCAATCGGATCGAATTCAGGCGCACACCGTGCTGCAATATGGAATCTCTTCCCTGTAGAGCTGGAAGATTTTCTCCCGGACAATCTCCCCCACAAAGAACCTCTCTGGATGGTCGCTCACTGCATCCTGATGGCACCATCTCAAGGATCTCAGCACCTCAAGAGACCTTCCAAATCGCAAACCTACCAGCACTTTTGTGGCATTCTGAGGGCAGGCACAAAACTACAAGTGCATACCTTGGGATACAAGGCTGGCCCCTCTGGAAGGTGGGACACCGCCCACTCCTCAACATCCTTCAAGTTTCTGCCTTTTAGAGCCGACACAGGAATGACGGCATCAATTCCTGGCTGCAACTCAAAGTACTCGACGAGCTGCCGTAGTCTCAGGGCGGTGAGCAAATCGACCTGCAGCAGTCCATTGACAAGCTGTTGATTGAGAAAGAGATGACTCGTTAAGCAAAGGCATGTGTGCCAGCAAAAATTGTTTTGCAATGTTTTCAAAGGCCAGCGTCAACACCTTGTTCAAGACAACCGCAAGCGGCACAGATCCCTTGCGGCAGTAAGGCGCCAGCAGAGGCAGAGCTTCCTCCGCTCTGTCATTGCCATCCACTATCGCCAGCACTGCATCTGCGTCTTTCGTGGCCTGTCGAACGTTCTGCATCATTCTTTGATCCAGCATGTTCAACGGCTCCTGCTCGCACCACACTTTCCACACTCAGAATCACACTCTGCTCAAGAAAGCGTCTTGGCCTTTTGAGAAGCCAAAGATGCAAATATGGGCTGATTGGGACTCACAGCGATGCTGGGCTCTCGCAGGACACCGGGAGTGTCCAGGAAGATGATTTGGAAGCTCTCCTCAGAATGGAGGCCGATGATGCGATGGCGCGTCGTCTGTGCCTTTGGTGTCACAATGGACAGCTTCTGTCCCAAGATACCATTGAGCAGGGTGCTTTTCCCAGCGTTTGGTTTCCCGATTATTGCCACAAAACCTGCATGCAGATCCATGCATTATGTCACGTTTAGAAGGGGTCCACCAGGCAGCAAAGAAGAGCTAGGTCTATGAAGTTTAATATGGTGAGCATCTGACCAGCTCGGTGACCAGGAGGACATTCTTCAAGAAATGGATCTTCGCCAGCACTCTTCAGCAAATCGTCTGCGTCAATAATAGAACCTTCATTGGGATGTGCGGAGCGGCCCAAGCGTTTCTTCTTCTGGCGAGCACAGGTGCTGATTTGCCTTCCACTGTGGGATCCTAGATGGATATGCAGGGGTTTCTGGAGAACTGGCAGGTGTCTGAGTGGCAACGTTTCTTGGTGAGTGTGTTGCGCAAATCCTGGCACACTTATGCGTGATGTCATGAATAACAACAAAATCAATGAGTCCTTATAAGACGACGTATATTAACTTCCCATCCTTACACAGCCGATCTTGCTCGATCTGTCGTTCCGGAGCCTCCGAAAGCGTGTTGCTGAGCGTTCCCTGCAGCTTCCAAGGAGGCGGAAGCTATCTCGGGAAGGGGAAGAACATGATAGAGGAATACATCTGGTTTGAGAAAGTGCTTGAGACTCATACTTAGCAAGCTTGAAGTTAAAGGTTGCTTCGTGCCTAAATTCAAATGAACCCCTGAAGCTCCGACTAAGTTTATCGACTGCCAATCTCAGAATGCTTTTGGGGGGGCGTGAACAGATGTGCTTCAGAGGTTGAACAGCTGCATCTGCGTATATGGGACGCAAACGCGCACAACAAAGACCTGAATTTGTTGTGCCTGCTTCACTAGATGCCAACGGGTGGCAACTTGCACAACTGATCCAGCAGCAGGAGGGAGGAGAATGCTTTTACGGGGAAGCACTTTACCCTCCTGCAAAGAGATCACGCAGCTGCGGAGTGCAGTCCGCTCTCGCGTATGCAGTCGCTCAACAGCGCAGTAAGCACATGCACCATCCTTTAACAAATCTGCACCTGCCTGCACAAAAGTGTTCAACGAATGTAAACGACACCTCTAGATTTCATAGCGGCGCATGATTGCTTCAGGTGCAACAGTTCAGAGGGTGTCAATCCTGGATTCTCGCCTGTTTGTGCCAAAACGCCAGACGGTCCAGGAGGCACAAGTACCTGCATCAAGAATCACGGACACCCATGTTCCCAGGCCCCAAGTCCTTCCAGCAACCGGCACCAGCTACCTACCCGAAGAAGATGACCTCATACTGCAAGCAAGGGAGCTCAACAAGTCCTGGGCAGAGATTGCCAGCATGTTGCCTGGCCGATCCAGCACAGCCATTCGGAAGCATTACACCAACACCCTCCGGCCAAAGGTGTGTGCCTCTGCCTCTTTTGCTGTCCCAGCAACGCACTCTCCATTGCACAGTAGAAGAAGCAGTGCTTCTCATTTTCTGAGGTCATGCTGAAAAGTGCCTCTGCCGGTGCTGCAGCCGACCCCAGCTCCCAGGCAAAGGGCAGAGGATGCCTGGGAGGACAATGGCAGGCAGTCCTCGCCAGGACCTTCAGCTGGGCCTCCTGGCAGAGCAGCCACGCCTCAGAGCAGCAAGAAGCGACCCCCTGCAGACACATCCAGGCTGGCATCCTTGGAGCGTAGCATCGACAGCAGAGCTGCTGCCCGCGCCTCTTCAGCCGCTCCCGAGAAGCAGGCTGGCAATGGGGGCGCTGACAAGGGGCACGTGGGAGTTGTGGAGGTTGACGGGCGCTGCACAGATCGCACCGGAGGAGATGCTCGCGTGAAACTGCTGCAACCATTCAAGCAGCCGCCTCCAGGCAACACTGTGCAGGAAGCGCACAAGCTGCCATCCCTGCAAGGTGAGGCTTTGGGATCTTGCGTCACATGTTTAAGAAGTTTTCTGATGGCTTTTGACATGTATTGGGGTGCATGCGCTTCTGCAGGTGTCCGATTTTACCAGGCAGTGACAGTCCAGGATCCGGACGACGGTCAGAAGGAGTACAGTTTAGATTTGGCAGATACAGCGCACGGGGCCTGCTTCAACATCGGCATGGGCCCCGATGGTTCCCCTCTCATCTCTTGGTCCGACCTGCATGCTCTGTACGAGCTGCCGGATGGGACCAAGTGGGCAGAGCATGGGTTCTTCCATGATGTTGAAGACATGGTGTGCTCCCCTTCCTCATGGCCCTGCAAGCCACTGACACCTATGCTCTTTCAGCAAGCAGTGGGAATCAACTCACCCTGCATGTTCATGAGTGCATGCAGGCACATAAACAATCACACAATCCCCGTTGGTTGTGATGACCATTCTATTAATATCCCTCACCATTCTAATGACTGCACCACAGGAAGAGCTGGCTCGGGACAAAGGGCGCGCCTCTGTCAGCCTGGCAGCGAAGGGTGCAGAGAAGCAGGAGCTTTTCAGAAAAGCTGGCCGGTATCACAGCCGGCTGCAGAACATCGAGTACGAGTGCTGGGTATTCAAGGGAAGTCTGCCTTCCCAGGAAGAGCTGGCTGCCAAAGATTTGGAGCCCACAGACGCCTACTTCTGGCGTATTACCTTCCATCCCAAGACCCTGGAAACATTGTGAAAACAATGCTTCACCCACTTGTGTTGTTATAAAGTTCATTGAAATACGCTAGTGCCAGAATCCAATTCTGCAGGCTCTGCATTGAACAAGGGCTTTTTGAATTAAGACAGTAATGACCATGTCCAGAATTTGTTGAATGCCGTTTTTGAACCAAGGCATCTTGTTATCCTGTCTCCTGGTAAAAGGAAAGTGATGTACATCAGCTGTTTCTTAAAGGAACATTTTGCTAATGAAGCTCTGTTACAAACCTCACATTGCTATACTGTAAGTTCATGATATAAAGTTCTATAATACAAATGGGTTTGTTCTGACGACATGCCTCAGAAGCAGGTTCTGTGGAATTCCCAACAATGCCATCCATACATTTTCGCCTGTGCACTCACAAACAACGCGCAGGCCTTCTGTGTTTCTCAGAAGAGTTCTAGAAGACGTTCTGAGACATCAGTCAAGCCTATTGTCTCTGGAACGCAACATCTCCTTGTTGACAGCATCTGCTCAGATCTGGTCTGCTCAAATCTATCGGATAGAAATACATCTTATGAAGTCTATTCAACTACAATCACACGATTCAAGCCACAGTCATCTGCTCTGGGGCGCTGACAATGTCGAGCAAGTCCTTTGAGACTGAAGCTGGAATGGAGTGCAGCGCAAGGATCTCCTTCGTAGCTGCATGGGCATTCTTCGTCTCCAAGATGACCACCTCCTGCACAACCATGAATCTAATGAGATCCGCTGAAAGGTGGCCATGACAAGGTCCCCCATACTCCTATATATTATAGCGTGACAAATAAAAAGAATGTTTCTGGGCGTCTAACACGATGGCTCTAAAATATTCGAGAGCACAGGGGCGGTGTGCGGCGCACATTGTACTCCAGGTCAAAGCGCATGAAGGGGTCGGAGCAGGCAGTGGCCAGCTGCGCCAGGTGCCTCAAGTTGCGCACGGGCGTCTCGTTGAACTTGAGCACCTGCGTGTTGAACAGATCCTCGTACCCCAGAGTCGCGTCGCAGGCCAGCACCTGAGACAGGATCACCACCTGCAGCCCAAGAACCCACAGAACTTGTCAGGAAGTTTGCAGGTTACGCTGTCATCAGAAGGCATTGGTTTGCATTGCAAGGAGCAGCGACGAAGGAGGTAACAAATGACACTGGCGGCGCATAGGCGGCGGAGGGAGACAGGAGATGCCGATGAGTCACCTCTTCATCGATGTGCTCGCGCTGGCCATAGAGCAGGCGGTCCAGCAGCTTCACGGGCGTCTCGCTGATGTAATCCGCACCGTACTCGCTCTCCAGGTACGGCTCGCAGCACACCGTGAACACAATGCCTGCGCGGGCGAGCGCCCTCAGTTTTCAGCTTCTCCATAAAGAGAAACACCCTTATTGTATGCCAGAGGGTGTGCCTGCGCCTGCAATTGGCCTGCCAGCGCGACCACATGCAGCGCAAAGAAGTACCAGAGTATTATCATAGAATAAAAAATGTGCAAGGAAGGATACGTACAATATAACGCACTGTACTGCATAAGAAACATGCAGGTGCTGATATGAAGAGGAGCAGGAAGCACCTGCGACGACGAGGTAGCTGGGCTGGTGGCCGCCCAGGTGGAGAGGAACAAGGGCATGAGGCCGGTCCAGGGGCACTCGCAGAGACACCTCCTGCCCCTTCCTGAGCAGGTCCAGCTGCGCATGCTCCCCAGTGTACTTTTGGGATATCAAGTAGTTGAAGTGGATGCGCTCCCCCGTCCTGCAGCAGTAGTCCAAACACGTCACAACCCTTCAGTCACAGCAGATGCTGAACAGCCTCATCATGTATGAGGCCAAAACATTGGGGCCCAATGATTGCATTGACCTGCTAGTGCCGGATGTGCCACGTCTGCAGGGGTAAAAAGGCACACCTGAAGGGGACGGTGCCGTCGCATGCGACCTGGATGCCATCAAAACGCATGATGATGTCATCGGGGCCGGCAACTGCCGCCAGCGGGGAGGTGGGCCAAATGCTGCGCACAAGCACCCCCTTCAAAGGGGGCATCAGCCCATAGGACGCCCTCAGCCCAGCACTCTCCATGCGCTGCCACTTCACTCCCAGCACTGGAAACCCGGTGAATCGGCCATTCCGCCTGCAACACAAGCAGTCCCCGGTAAGCCCCAAGTGTCTCTTGACAAATTTAAGGTACAAAATAGAGCAAAGATGGCCGATGCACTTAAAAGTGGGATTGTGGCGCACTGGTAGTCTGTGAGGAAGTGATTTATGACTGGGGTTGGAATGACATAGCCGATGTTCTCGGCATCAGATCCAGCCATGGACTGGAACGCAATCCCGACGCATTGCCCAATCTCATTGAAGACGGGCCCGCCTGCATGGCCACATAAAAGCTTTTGCACCAATCTATAAGGCACAGCACCCATATGATAAGTACGTTTACAAGTGCAAGGAACTCGCATCCCACGCATGGAACTTATTACCTACCTGAGTTGCCAGAATTGATGGCAGCATCAATCTGGACGCCCAAAAGCTCTGTGCTGCCGTGCACATAGCTGGTCACCTCAATGCGACTGACCACGCCACTGGTAACACTGATTGTGTCTCCTCCTATTGGGTAGCCGACCACTGCCACGGCGTCCTGCACACCACCAACCGCTCTATCATGCAAGCACATGCTCACGATTGCGGTAAAATACAGTCACCAGGACATAGTCGAGAGGACACATGTTGATGGGTGCACGGTGAGCAACCTGCGAAATGAAAAGCTGCAACTGCTCTCACCTGTAATCGTGGCAGGGGCCCCAATTCTAAAGGCACAACTCCCTCCCAGAATGCCTCGTCCGCCACTGTCAACAAAGCTATGTCACACTCTGTCCCAATGGCCAACACCTCGGCCAAAAACTTCTGATCATCCCCTCGCCGCTTCACCTTCACCTGGGCACAGAACGGATGCATGTGTTCAATAAAGCGTCACGTCCCCGAAATTCTCATTGCCAGGCAACAGCTCCACCCCGCAGCCCACCTGTGAGTGGTACTCCACGGAGTGTGCATTGGTGAGCAGCCACTTCTGCCCCTTGGCGCCCTGCACCATGAATCCAGAGGATGTGCTGGCGTACTGGCGCTTGCGCTGCCACGGGAGCGAGAAGTTGGGCTCTGTGTGGACGCAGTACACTTTGACCACCGCATCCATGAAGTGCGCCTGCAAAACATGACCCCCTACTTCAGCCCATACCCGGATAAGCATGGCAGACACACAGTGACGGGCGCACAAGTGATCTTGGAAATCAGCTTATTCTTGCATGCTCTTATCTTTTGGACAGGCTCACACCCCCTCAGCCGCCAGCTCCTCTGCTTCCCTGTCATGATGGAGAAAGTCCCGCTGTGGCAACAGGTCGCCCTCCACCACTTCCAAAAGCCCTCGTCCTGCCCCTGTGCGTCCAGGGCATGTCAGAGAGTGGGATACCTGCTGTATATCTCTGTTGATCTCGAAAGTCCAGATCGTTATAGTCATAATTCTGTTGCGCACCATTCAAGTCGTTGCCTGGAAGGGGCGTCCTTGGCTTACTTGGTTTCCTTCCAGATAGAGCACGAACAGATAGCCCATCCCCTGATTTCAACAAGATTGCACATGTCAATTTTGGTGGGTAATGATACATTGAGATGTTGCTTGCACACCCTACAGGTTGCAAGATCAAAGCATCCACAAACCCAAACAGCATATCTTATCGGGCACGAAGGCTGCGTCTTGCATTCTTCCTTACCTTTACTACGATCGCTGCTTGCTATTAATCTGTTTGAGGATTTTGAGCAGCTCCTATGCCTCCCGAACAGGGCCTGCCCTTTGTGATGGTATTCGTTCCTGGTAATTGCAAAGATCCAGCCTGTCAAAAATAGATTAAAAAATCGTATGACAACAAGAATAAAGTTGAAGTCGACGCACCTCGAGTAAGAGTAAGACGAAGAAGTCTCCTGTGAAGTCCTGCTACTAGGTGAAGACCAGTTTATTTGGGAGCACGGCAAAGCCATTTCCTGTATAAGCTGGGAGATGGTAGATGCCTCGCAATTGCCCTAGCATCTGCGCACCCATTTATCTCCCCACATCAATGTGCCCAAAGTCTTAGGTGCCTTTCCTGCGGCCGCTGGATCACGCCGCCAATTTAGGCAACGCAACCTTGGAATACCATGCAGGGCTACAGAATGCTTTCAAAGAAGGACATGAAGAGAGAACAGGACTGCCAGAAGGTCCCAGCTTCAGGAGTCATATGCATGCCAGTAATGATCTGGCATCATTAGATGACAGTCAGACTCAATCAAGGTTAATCATGCCATGAGTCAGTGACCTGATCAGCGACTGCTGCCAGCGACTGCAGTGCATGCACATGCGCATGTGCAATTGCCAGTACGTGCAATTGGTATACCGTACCAATTACCACTGGCAGTGACTGCGCAGTGCGGCAATGTACCTCAGGGGCTTAACTCACTGTGTCATGACAGACAATTATTGACAACCGACAAATGATTTCAGACAGCCTGAGACAGACAGACATCACAAGGATTACTGAATAGTATGTTGAAATCCTTTGGGACTATGAAGGCTTGCAGGTGATTTGAACACTAATACGATAGTGCCGTTAGCAGCTGTTGTGGTACTTTGCAAAGACTCCAAGTCTTCCAAATTGCAGACCACGCAGGATGCCACATCATGACCAGTGACAACCCACAACTACAGAGGGCTGGAGCTTAATTGTATGTCGATATTGGCTACTTGCATTTCTACATCTGACCTTGAAGGCTATTAGAGTGAAGCCTGGGGCCAGCCGTGTACAAGAACGTAATCCACAGATCTGACACAGAAGCCTAGTCAATCTCTACTGGTGCCTCCTTCTCCACACCCCCATCTGCAGCAAACTCCCCTGCATCCTCCGGGGCATCTTCAGCTTCCTCAATGATCACGCCGTTGTCAGCATCCTGCCGCCCTCCCCCACCGTCCTGCTGCCCATGCTCTGATCCTGCACCCTCCCGCCACGGCAAGCACTTGGGTGCACCATCCTCCTCCGGCGCCAACCCCAGCCGCATGCGCAGCTCTGCATTGTCCCTCTGCAGCTCCGCAATGCGCGCTTCTGCCTGACCATTCCTCCTCCTCAGCTCCCCCACCTCCAACTGCGCCGCCCTGTCCAAGACGACAACAGTATTCGAAACCCAACATTTCTTGCTAGAGAAGATACGGTAATCGAGGCAAAATATGGTAGCAGTACTCCTGCCTGATTAGTGCAACCCATCCACACAAAGGGGCCAAGAGCCCACATGAGCAGGGTGGCAGAGTGGCAATCAGAGAGGCAAATACCTCAAAGCCTGGGTCAGTGCTGGGTTGTCGCCGATGAGGGTGTTGGCGAGCTTGTCAAATGCGGGCATGAGAGTCCTGCCCGCATCTGTCACGTGCTGCAGCGGTCCCAGACTGCTCCGCCGGTGTGCCACCAACTCTCCTCCCTGCGCACATGCACAAGCTCTGAAGAGTGCTGTATTTTCTGTCGTGTAACATGTGCCTGGAAAGCTGGACCAAGGACCCAATCGGGCAGCTGCACAAGCTGGGAGAACATCCTCAGTGCACCCACCCTTCCCTGAGGATCCGCCAGCTGTCTTGGCGTCCCCAAACCCATCCTCATCAGTGGCTGCTGCTGCTTCCGCGGTGTCGGCGGCACATAATCAGGATCAAACTTCTCGAGAAGCTTGAGGGTCTGCTCATAGTGTGTTGAATCCTGGCAGAGCAGAACAATCTCAGCATCAAGGCGTTGGCCTCTCCCTGCACTTCTACAGTTTTCGGGAAGAATGAGGTCTGAAGGACCAACCTTCAGTTCTGTGACCATCTTGCGCAGCTTCTTGTTCAGGGAATCCAATTTCAATCTATCGCGCCTGTGGTACAGGCTCAGGCAGCCAAGCACAATGTAGTACAGTAGGTACGCCAGCAGAGGTTCCAAGAACAGGGGAGCCACTCGCAGAGAGTGCTGCTGTGGTGTGTATGTCCCAGCTGGCTGCCGTACAACCTACAGAGCCAATCCGCAGTCTTGATAGCTGTGACAAGTGCATCTTTTCAATCGTGATGCATCCTTTTCTGCAAAAGGTGTCCTTGGTTCATTGGACAGGTTGGCACCGCACCCAGGCAGCTCCTGCAACAGCCAAGGCAAACCCTGCTGCGCCATAGAAGAAGATTGTGTTGCCCACGTTCTGCTGTCTATTTTTTCGTCTGTACAAGGACACCTGCAAAAGTCTCATGAAGGCTCTTAGAAGCTGGCCTGTTGAAAGTATCAACCTTGGACGAAACATTTTCAGGCACAGCAATTTGCACCGCTCCTGGAGCTCACCTTCAATCTGTCAGTCTCCGATTTGATGCTCTCGAGAGACCTTTCATAGCTCGCATAGTAAGGGTCAGAACCGACTTTTCTGGAAAAGAGCCCGCCCATGCAGTTTTGCTTGTGCTTTAGCCTCGGCTGTGATCTAAGATACTAGTCTATGTTCTAGATGTAGATCGATCTGCCACCTTGGAAATTGAAAAAATCATGGCGTCTGCAGGACATGCATATTAATTTCTGGCATGACCACAACCAGCCAAAGAGTCAGCAATGCATCTGCAGACAACAAATACTGCGCGCTATGTGCTAAATATTTTGAAAATTGATCATCGAAATGAGACATTTGATATGCTGGTTCTTTAGTACGCCCAATACTGAAGGGGTGCAGACGGAAGGGTGCCCCAATGTGTTATGGCCTGCCCAAATTCCAAATCGATGAACATAGATAGAGATTTTGAGCTGACAATAAACTTGAACTGCCATTGCCCTCCCAATCCCCATGTGCGTACCACACTAGTTTGGACCCATCCCAAGTTGACATCTTGTGACGCCCCATGATGACTCAGCATGAGAATATGACAGGTTCTCTGGCATTTTTTTAGGCCTTGGAAAGCTGGAACTCTTGAGTGTGCTTCATCGAACTTGCCATGCATCGGAATACCCCTGTATCAGTACCCGCATGAGGCATGATGCACATGCTCAGAATTTTTGAGACTCCCACTGTGGCGGCCGCACGGTGGTTGGCAAGCTGAAGCAGTGCTGCGGCAGTGGTCTTGCGATTGCTTGCCAAGTAGACTCGAGTAGAGCTCTGTACGGAGGCGGTAAGCACAGTTTTGCATTGTGGTTGCCTCCAGGCACCCCTGGTCTGTCTGAATCAGTAAGAATATCTAAACGGCAGTGTGAGGCCCCAAATTCCATGCATACTGCAGTGGTCATACTTTTGTTGCTCATGGACGCCGCTAACAGGTTTTGCAGTATATCTGGAACAGCCAACATGCATACTGTTGAAGTGCTCCGAGCTAATCAAAGCTGGCTACATCTCTAAAGTTATTCAGGCTGCTTCAGACTGACATAGCCATCCTGCACACAGAACCGGCTGCGGGACTTGTGCCATCGCTGCAGCATGGCATCCCCATGGCTGCCTATGACATCAGCGCTCAGCCCAGCCGCTGCAAGAACCTTCAGCTGCAGCTTGCGGACCTTCATCTTCTTGTTTTCACCCCTGGCCTGCAGCACCTTCTCCGCCAGCTTCTTCCACTTGTACCCCTTCTCTGTTTTGCTGCCGGATGCGACCCCGTTGGTCTGCTCCGCTGTAGAGCCCTGCTGGGCCCCCGAGGTGCTGGGCGAGTCCCCCTTTGGCATCTTAGAGTCGCTGGGCAAGCTCTGTGCGACCGCCTCATGCTTCCGCTTCTTTCCTGCTGCCTTGCCATTGGTGACAGTTTGCACGCTGGGTGCCCCCTGGCTGCTCGGTGCAGGAGCTTCATCTCCCGTTGCAGCTGCACCCGCCTGCTCCTCACTGCCACCACTCCCTCCCTGGCCCTTGCTGGCAGCCCTCGCCTAAGATGTGCATGCCAGCGTGTCACAACACATGTGGGCCCCTACACTGTGAACATTTACAAAGATGCCAGATGACTGAGGCCTTCTTCCAACCTTCCTGACATCATGGTGAAAGAGGTATTTGGTCAGCTCACCCTGCGCTTGTGCTTTGCGCCTGCGGCATGCCCCATGAGGGTCTCGCTGCTGGTGCATGTCACATTGCACACGCTGCACCTCCAGGGAGCACGGGTCGCCAGGAATTCCAGCCCGGATGGCCCCGCCGGCGCTTCTGGCTTTGCTTTCTCACTGCTGCCATAGAAGCCTTGCGCGGCAAAGCCTCCGGGTTTTGTAGCGCCCTTTGCATACTTGTCATGCTCTGTCACACATGTGGTGTGTTCCTGCGCGTCCCATGTGCAGTGTTTGAGCATCATAGCAGCCCATAACCGTGGCCCGTGACCGCTTGGCTTCAGGCCGTCGTACTGCCTTAATCATGATAATGCCACTGTCTGGTGAAGGTACGCAAGCACATGAAATAATCACTGCCGCACCTTCACGGAATGGCGGTCAAATGTGCGACCGCAGTCGATGCAATTGAAGGCAGACGCCGAGCAGGAGTATGTGTGATTCTGCACCTTTGGCTGCAGGCAGAAAGACATGTTTCTCCATACCCGCCTAGAGCAATTTTCTCAACACTGCATCAGAGAGTTACTACATTGATGCATGTAGTAAAACTAGGGGAGGAAGGGGCACACCTTCTTCAATGACTCTCCACAATCTGCCGGACATCAAGCAAACACACACGTCACTTCATCATTTCAATATGCCACTCAACTTATGCACTGGAAAGCAGCAGAAACTAAGCAGTCAACACAGTTGAGTCACAACACCGCCACTTAGGAGGAGGATGATCGACCTGTGCACTCGAACCACACCTACGATGCAGGAAAATGCATGTAAGTCATCAGATATCTTGTAGCACAGATATTCAGAGATGTAACACAATAAGAAACATCAGACAGAGCAGAGGAGTGGCCCACCATCAAAAGTTTTGCAGCAGTGGACGTAAAAAAAGACTTTTAACTAGTACTAAGATCAACTAGTAATATTTGTAGGTATCTGGAAAGTGCCACCCTTGAATTTCTGCAAGAATTGTTCCTGTCGCTTGCCTGTCGGCGACGGTAAGTTTGTGCAGGAGTTGCCTGTTTTGGTAAGCTCTGAGCATCTCATACACTGAGGTCCACTCACACTGAGGACATTTTCAACGAATCCACAAGAACAACTGCTCAAGTGTTCTTCCACAATGGCTTTGGTTCCCAAGGTGCAGTGGGCACAGCGAGCAGACAGACTATACCTTACAATCGATCTGCAGGATGCCAAGGAGCCAAAGGTAGACATTAGCAACGACGCAGAAGGAAAATTTGGTAAGGTGACGTTCAAGGGAGAGGGCAGGTCGCATGCCACCGGAGCAGAGAAGCACCAGTACTCGCTGGACCTTGATCTGTACAAGGTGATCGTCATGCCTATGCGTACGGGCGAGAGAAGCGCAATGTTCAGCATACCTTGTCACTCTTCAATTCCAAAGTATTGTAAACAATTCCGATGTGCTTCGAACTCCGGCGCATCATCTGTATTTACTGCCCCATTTCGAGGAATCAAAACTGTCATCGGGAGGCGGCCTTCCTTTCTGTCCCTTTATGTGTTGCAGAGAATGTAAATAGCTTTTTTACAACACTCTAGACCAATGTTTGGTGGTCTGCTCTGACGTAATTGGATGTGTGCAGGGTGTGGACCCAGATCAAAGCAAGATCAGTATCAGTGATCGCAGCATCTTCCTAGTTGTCATGAAAGCTGAAGACGCCAGCGAGCACTGGCCACGCCTTCTTCACAACAAGGGCAAAGTTACCAACATCACGGTGTGTTTCTAATCTTATGATCCCATTGCTGATGTTCATGTGGCTGGTCCAGTGATTTGTGCCTTGAAGGACATCAATATTGCTAACAAAAAATTTCTCATGGAAGCCTGATTCCTGCGCAGGTGGACTGGGACAAGTGGGTGGATGAGGATGAAGAAGAGGAAGGGGGAAAGAAGGAGGACTTTGACATGAGCGACCTGCAGAACTTCCAGAACTTTGGAGGTGGAGCGTTCGGAGGCGGCATGGGTGGAGGCCTCAGCGGCATTGGCAATGTGGAGGCTGTGGAAGATGATGGCGATGACAGTGATGATGATGATGATGATGAGATGCCGCCGCTCGAAGCAGAAAAGTAGAGAGTGCACCCTGCCTCATGCCCAGTCTCATCTGGGGACACCGTCTGGCAGCCTAGGAGTGTCAACTAGCTACATGATGTGGGTGGAATGCATCGCGGTGCTTCTCACTGTGGCATCAAGGCAGCCATCTGGCACTGTGGAGTTGTCAATTTGCAGCTTTCATATAAAAAAACACTTTTGAACCTGCTTAATCAGTGATTTGTCATTTGGAGTGTCACGTATAGCCCAGCAACTCCAGTTGTTTGCATCTGCATGGAACGGCGGCAATCTATAGGTAGCAGGCTGCCTTATATTTCCAAAATCAATGCTGTAATGTCATAGTTGTAAGAATGGGACTCACTCATATACTGCTTGGTATGGATGGGACCTGAATAAATATATATATATATATATATATATGCGCATGCCATCAGGTGCTTCAAGTTGCAGGTGCCAGGTACAACCAGAGTCGCCAGAGGTAAACTTGTCTTTTCGTTTTAGTCATTGGCTGTTTTGGGCTCATCTTGAATGGCCTGTTACTCTTCAAGGTGGACCTGAACTGACATGCTTGCTACACTGCATCCTATATATACTGGCCTCTCCACTGTCATGGAAGACAGAGGACAGTATCCTGCTGCTGCTTTGTATCAGCTCTAGAACTGCGTCGCTGCACAATGTATGGCTTAGTCCGTCAAACATCAGCAGCATATGGTCATGCGAGCTCTCAATTTTGATCAGGCAAGGGGCCAGCAATACAGAAACCACTTCCTGCATGTGATTTTCTGGCTTGCAGGAACTTATCTGATATGTCATGTACATGGCATGCCAAACAATCACATGTTGGCTAATGCAGACTAAAAAAGGACACCAGAGCCCAACACAACATGATGAAACGGTGAAAACTGAATTCTCACGGGTTGCGCACACGCGACACAAGCTTGAACATCTCCTCTGCTTCCACCTGAGCGCGGAGCCCAACATTCTGCACAAACACGAAATGGTCAAGCCCTCTGTTAAACTTCTGAATGAGCGCAGTCAAGTTCCCATCTGGGGCAGGATTTCCCAGGCTGTCCCACCATCAGCAGCGAATTGAGGATAGATCCAGCGACCCAAACAAAAGCACAGCGCACCTGGTAGCGATCAGGATGGTAGAAGCGGAGCGAGCTGCGTACAGCCTTGCTGATGTTGGGCAGCCGAGTGACTGGGTCGTACTCCAGGGGGATGTTGAGCGCGCGAAGCTTGCTCTCCGCTGACCTGGCATATCTGACGCGCAGCTCCAGCTGCGCCCGGATCTCCATGCGCAGCCGCTCACGCTCGTCAGCCTCCGACTCCTGAGCCGCCAGCAGCCGCCAGTGATCCTCCAGCCGCGCCTGCATGCCCACAGGCAACAATGCTCTTGTCCTTATGCATCTCTGATAGTGAGGGGCCAAGGTAAATGCGCCGATGCCCTAACCCTGTGTCGTGCCTGCCCCTGGGTAGCGTAAGGTCCCTATAGAGGACGAGGGGCACACACCTCTTATCACGTAGCCACCCGGCTGAACTAAAAGTGTCTTTCATTCAACCAATGATCTCCGGCTTAGTGCTCTGAACAGGTCAGACACCATGACTAGCTGCATAGAAGTGATGGGCCAAAGTTGAGGAAGCACCTGGGAACGGACGGCAAGCTCTGACTCAGCACGGCGGCGCTTCTTCTCTCGCCGTGCCTCCTCAGCCTGCCTCTCAATCTCCACCCGCCGCAGCTCCCACTCTTTGGCTTCCACTGCCGCCATTGCAGCTCTATCCCGCTCAATGACAAGCCTGCGAGCGCCCAACAGTCTGAGTCAAGAGGCATCAGCCACATGGGCTATTCCTTATTACAGACTTGACGGGGAAAACCATGGTGTCACACCCTGATCCGATCACAGAGCTTAGCAATTGTGACGTTTCCCCAATCAGGAATCCTTGCACATGCAGGCAGGTATGTCCACATCCTGGTTGCATAGCTTTGGGCATTCACAGCTACTTCTGCTGCAAGCTGCAAAGTGCGTATTTTTTACCATGGAGGCATGTGCAGGCAAGAGTCAGGGCAGCACCCGGTAGTGTCGTTGGGCCCTGGAGCCAGCACCGGGGCTTGAGGCATTTCAGGTGGTCCCTGTGCATGGGCAGCACGGTCAGGTGGAGTGGGCTGCTGGTGGGACTTTGCAGACTGGGGCTCTGGGCCATCCTCTGGTGCTGACTCTGCATCTGCCCCGCCATCCTCACGCCAGCTGACACCCTCGCCCTCCCCACTACTGCTGTCCAGGTCAACAAATTCAAAGCTGCCCGACGGCTGCCAGGGGCGCCTTACTGCGGCAGCCTCAGCATGGAGCGTCTGCTGCGGAGGCCTGCTGCTCTGGGCTCTTGAGGCCCACGGCGCAGAAGCACCTGCAGGCGCCTGCCTGAAAGCACTGAAGGGCATGCCCGAAAATGGTGTAGCTCCTGGAGGCCGCGACTGCTGCTGGCTGCCAGCTGATGCAAACGGTCTGTGCGGCATGGCCGGTGTGGCAGGCGATGCATAGGCCTGCTGGCCTGCATACCTCGGCACCTGCCCCGCCTGAGATCGCAGGCCAGACATGGGCGCTGGTGAAGGAGCAACATGGGCCCGCCACACAGGAGCCTGCTGTCTTGAGTCTGCAATGCCCTGCTCAAATTGAAGGGCAGCGCCATCCCCGCCCACCTGCAAAGACAGAAGCTGTGTGTTGCAGCATGCTTGCTTATCATGTATTCATCACCTTCCAATGGAATGACAGGATGCGCACAACCACATGCAATGGTCATGCATGCCGCATGGCTGTTATTACATGCGGGGAATTCAAGGAGAGATGAGGGAATGCTCGTACCCCCGGAGGTGGCCTCCGCAGAGACTCAAACAATGGCATACTGGGCCGGCGCAGGCTGCCAGGCCGCCCTTGTGCGCCACTGCGGGGATCCCTGTATAGATGCAACAAGTCGGCGAGGGTGGGCTGCTGCTTTGGGACAGGCTTCTCTGGCTTGACTACTCCGGGTGAGGCAAAGGTCTCTGTTCGCCTGCGCTTCAATGCCTGCACACCACAGTTTCCTTCTTGTCAGGCCATAATTTGAATGTTACTGGCGGTGCTTCAACGTCTGCTTCGCCCCTTGCCACGCAACCCTTGCCCATCCTCATTGCAGGCAACCAGAACAGACTGGCATGTGACAGAGAACACACCTGGTCCTCGTCCTCTTCCTCCTCTTCTTCCTCTTCATCCGAGTCTGATGAGAGCACCACTGGATCTGCCTCAGTTCCAGTCCCACGGCCTCCCCTCACATGCCCGCTGCGAGCTCCCCAGCTCGACTGCGCCTCGCTGTCATGGGCCGCCTGACCTTCCCTGTTGCGCAGCCCTGAGTCACTGCTGCCGGTGCTGAAGGACCCTGAGGAGGTGCTCGGATCCGATGTGGTGGACGGCTGCCCTGAAGCTTCTGGCTGCTCAAGAGGCACAACATCGGGCGCCGCGCTTTCAGAGGCTGCTTCCTCCAAACCCTCCTCCATATCACCACCACCTTGGTCTGGCTCTGGCTCTGGCATTGCATTGCCATGAGCCTGCAAGGGGTCCTCATCCAGCAGAGAGGCAGATGGTGGTGGCGGAGGAGGTGGCCCAGTCCTTGGCTGAGCCGCCTCTGCCTGTAACTGGGAGGAGCTTTGCTGATTTGGCTGCATTGACGCTTCCACAGCCGCCTCCGCCAGCCTTTCAAGCACGTTCGCCTGATCCTCAGCTTGCGGCGTTTCTGAATCTGCGGCGCAGGATGCACCATCATCTCTGTCGTCCTGCGGGGCGCTGCTCGTATCATGCCAGTCATTGCTGCTAGCAGTGATGTCTGGGTCCCTGTCAGCCTCTGGACGTGCATCGCTTGGCCCTTCACCACCCCCCTGAATATCCTGCTCGGTGAACATTGGTTCATCCGCAGACATGCTTGGGGTTGAAGAGCCATGGCCAGCTGCTGCTCCATCTCTGTTGTGAGTTGATGCAGGCTCCTGCTGCCCTGTCTGCCCCTGCTCTCTCGTGGGCTGAGCCCTCCTCGGACTGCAGCTGCCTCGCTGTGTCTCTGCTGCCTTGATGACCCCATCTGGGAGGTCTGAGAAACCTGATGAGTGATCAGAATCCTGCTGTGCTGCTGCATCTGCAAGACTGCCTGCCAACCCATTCCGAGGGTGCACAATATTGCAGAGGTCGGGGGGTCCGGCCGCACGGCCGCCTCTGCTCGCTGCATCACGCTTGGCGCGCAGGGCGATGTATGCATCAACGACCCTTTGCCCATTCCTGGGTGAGAGCTTTGGCAGCCGCAGCAAGCCATCCAGCAGCCCCACTGCAGTCGCCTCCTCTTCGATCGTTCCGAACGCGACGTAATGCGCCAACGGGAAGCTCAGCATGCCAATGAGTTCGATTGCCCTGTCCGGCTGTGCAAGGGCGAATCGCATGATGGCCAGGTCAGCTGCCTGCGCCGCCTCTGTCTCTGCAATGACAGCAGTACTGATAGTCTGATGTATGCTCGTTGGAGCAGGATTGGGGGGACTTGCATGCCTGCCAACTAGAACAGACAAAGCTATTACATAGTTTACCTGTTGGGAAGTAGAGCCATTCCGAATGGGGATCCCAGCTTCTTTTCCCGGGAAAAGTAGTTTGAGTGCGCCACATAGTCCTCCCCTCCTGATTGCGGATGCCCGAGACCCGTAGGTACTTTGACTTTAGGAGCTGTGTTTCCCACTTCTGATCCCTGGCCTCTGCCTGACCAATCTTGAAAGACTTGCGGCCTTCGCGCTTAGGACTTCGCTGTGCAAATGCTGGCTCCCGTCCTGCTGTCAGGCCTGAATCCGCAAATTGCTCAGAGTTGTGCTTTGCCTCGATCTGGCCCTGTGCTTTCAAGAGCTGCTCCAGGGGAGGCTGTCCCAAGACAGTTCCGAGGTGCTTCAACACTCCCTCAAGCTGGCTGAAGAGCAGATTAACATCGTTATGTTCCTCTGCCTGTGAAATCAGGAACCAATAAGAAAAATAGCTCAGCAATTCCATCATAGACTAGCGTGAATTGCTCATCTGTTTCCACTTCCACCCATTTGTTAAAATGTACGATGGTTTGATGAAACATCACAATTTTTAAATATAGCATACCTGTGTCTTGAGACGATCGGACATCTAGCAAAGAGTATTCGTCCGTCAGGAATACAACAGAATACTGCATGTGTCCTTCACGTCATGTACCGAACTTTAGCGGTTTTTGAAGATGTTTTCAGAGAAGTTAACCTCTTTCAACTCTATGCTACTGACTGTGTCGAGGAAGGTGCTTTGCCCCCATGGCCATGGCCCATGGGCGCAGCTGCTGTATCCTAACTTGGCGCCATCTTGCTGTGGCTCAACTCAGGCTCATCTACATCGCTTGCTGCGCAATGCTTCCAGCAACATTGTGTAATATATGCAAAGCCCAACGTGCTTTGAGGACTGCACAGTATGATTTCTTAGGTATTTTTTGGGCCTCCTAAATTTTGGGAGAGCTGATGGTGTCCTTCACAGCGTCATGGAGTTCTGGCAATACAAGCCTGGTCAGCAGTCTGCCTAATTGCAACAGAAACAGATGTCTATCTTCTCGAAATAGTTCGAGGAAGTGAGTACTGCGCGTTCCACTTGTAGCCACGCTGGCTAGGAAGGGCATATCTGGTTCATTGAGTAGCTAAAATGTGAGATTCCTATCATCAGAAGCTTGTTCTGCCCTTGGATGTCTCTCAAATAGCTTCCATGCCTGTCATGCAGATGCTCTGCGGGTCTTTCTGTCCCTTTAGCCGCTGTCAGCACCACTACCAACAGGGACGGCACAGTAACATATCACTTCGGCGGGGAGGCTGTTCAACAAGGCACCCTCTTTGGCAACGCATCCGGTCAGGCAGAGGTGTCGGGAGGCTCGCAAGGAGCGTTTGGAGCGTCAGAATCGGGAGACCAGGAACGTACAAGTGAAGATGTTTCAGGCGGAGAGGTGCAGCTCCCCAAGGGAGCTGTGCTGCCTGGGCGAAAGGCTAGGTCTTTCTTGAATGAGTTGCACAGTACCCCACGACAGCAGCGTGCAGACAGAGCGCACAATGGTGCCCGTCCCCCAAGCAGCCCAGCCTCCCGAAATGGGTACTCAGCCAACAGCCTCCTCCGCATAGATGTCCCCAATCTGCTGGCGCCCAGACCAGAGGAGGATCGATCAAGGCAGCACCACCGGGCAGGCTTCTCTGGACGCTCTGCTGAGGTAATTTTCGTTTTGGTGATACTCTCGATTTGATGTGGAGCGGCCATTGTTTCTCTTCTCAGGTGCCCACCTTCACCAGCTGTTGTCATGCATCAGGGGAGCGAAAGAAGGGAGTGGCACCAGCTGTCTCATGGCAACGTTGAGTCTGGCAAGGGCCGTCTCAGCGTGGCAGAGGCGCAAGAGAAGATTGCAGATGTGGATGCCATTCCAGTCTTGAACCTCTACAGCGACCTTGCACATGAAGGACGCCTCGAGGCTGCTCTAGAAATCGTGGAGGCTGCAGTCCGCGCAAAGAGGGATGACATCCTTGGAAGGTAATGTCACATGCCTAGCTGTATACTGCTGACTCGCCGTTGCGCGCTGATGCAGTCTTGCCACTGAGTTGCTGGCTGGTGCGCATATGATGCTTGTTCCAATGTTGTCTGTGTGAATCTCGCAGGGTTCGGCACAACCACTTCCTCAGAATGGCAGCTGATCAAGCGTGCGGCCCCAACAAGCAGCAGGCTACAAAGCTTGCCATGCGCTTCGTCCAGGTTTGCCCTGCTGACCCAAAAGATTGGGTGTCGACTTGGCATGTGGTGTCTGCATGCAAACAGTCGAGCTGACGCCTCAGCACGACTGTGCAATCTGAGGATTCTGTTGCATCACAGGTGCTGCCTCGGAAGTTCACCGACGCGCGCACGTACAATATGCTTGTGAGCGTGTGCGTGAAGGCAAAGGACCTCACTCAGGCGTTGCACGCGGCCGACATGCTGAAGTCCACCGGACGCAAGCTGGACACCATCCTGTACACCAACCTCATCAGCGGTAAGCCTTACACGTGGAGTTTGTCAAGGTCTATACTTTTTATTACATTGTCACAGGAGCTGAAATCTGCTCTCTGGCCTGCAGTGTGTGCTGCTGTGGGGAACGCGGATGCAGCCTTCGAGCTGTATGCGGCCATGAAAGCGGAGGCCGTGAAGACTGAGGCTCAGGTGACGAATCTGCGAATCCCTGCGAGCTCTTGATGAAGGCACTCGATCCAATTCTTGGAAATCGGCCACCTACTATTTCTCAGGCCCCTGCCATCTCACAGCGTTCGATCAGTGCAAGCATCCATCAAAAGCGATGTGGGTGCAATGTATGTTTTGCTGCAGGTGTACACGGCGCTCATATCGGCGTGCAGCCGGGAGATCCTGGACACTCCGCCGGCCAACAGGCGCGTGCAGCTGGTGCTGCTGGAGCGCGCCCGCGGCGTGCTTGGCGAGGTGCGTGCCAACGGGCTGCGGCCGGACGCCATTCTGTGGAACGCGCTCATCACCGCCGCCGGCCGGGCCGGGCAGGTGCAGGGCGCCTTCCAGACCCTGGAGGACATGCAGGCGCGATCCCTTTTCTCAACCACTCCTGAGGCCACTTCTCAGCATCAGCCCATCTTATGCGACGGCAGCGTGCTATTTCTGCCAAAAGGATCCTATGGAAAATATACGGTCGATCTCCTGTCTGCAGCATTTGTGTGGCACAACTGTAGTACGTGCACAGCTGGCTGCCAGGAGCAGGCACCGTCACACCATGTCAGTGCTGACCCGCTTAGGGGCCTTCCTGGTGCGACAGGGGAGCGGCTGCAAGGCGGACGCGCACACATACGCGTCCCTAGTGGACGCATGCGCTCGGGCGGGCCGCGCTGATCTGGCGATCCGGGTGTACCACAAGGCCCTGCGCGAGCGCTGCGACGCATCCCTGCTCGTCTACGCGTCCGCCATCGCTGCCTGCCGCACCGCTAAACCGGTGGACCTCACCACCGCCATGGACATCTACGGCGACATGCAGCGGTGAGCCATCACTTGTGCTCAAGCAGCTAATGCCGGTGCCAACGGCGAATTTGCAAAGCAAATCATGCCAGCAGCAGTTGTATGTCCCTGTGGCGCCCATGAGCAGCCTCTGTGACGGTGCCACAGAAATGGCAGGCTGCATGCTGCGTGCTGTGCTGCTAATGTGAGAGCCTGGTCTGAGGGGAGTACGGTGGGGGGCCATCCAGGAATGGCGTGGATCCGGACGAGCGGCTGTATGCGACGCTGATGGGCGTGGCGGGCGCTGCTGGCAACCTGGAGCTGGCATTCAGCCTGCAGGACGAGATGGTCATGGACGGCCTGCGCCCCTCCAAGGTGCGCTTCCCACTCTCTTATGCCAGCCCCTGCTCAGCCCTTGACTATCTATTTCCTAACTCTGCACACCTAACTCGCTTGCTACCGCCCTCAGAGTGCATTACGACCTGTTGCGCTAAGATTACGGAGAGCATGGAGATTTTTCAGTCCACATCGGCAAATGACGGGTGGCGTGCTGGGTGTTGTTGCAGCTGACGCAGTCGGCGCTGATCCAAGCCTGCATAGACTGCGGGGCGCTGGAGCGCGCGCGGCAGCTGTACGCGGCGATGCAGGAGCAGGGCCGCGCGCCGTCGCTGCAGGCGCTCAACAACCTGATCAACGCGCACGGCCGCGCCTGCCGCCTGGGGGACGTGGTGTCCCTCGTGCAGGACCTGGCGGCCGCGGGCATGCGCCCCGACGCGTTCACCTTCGCCGCCATCCTCAACGCATGCCAGCGTGCAAACGAGGCCGAGCTCGCCTTCGATGTCTATAGGCGAGCGCCTCCCCTTCACATTCTTAATCGCTCATGCGTTGCATGCCTCTCTTACGGGTAACTGATGCCTGTACGTCTGTCTGAAGCTTGATGTTGGCATGTCCCTGCAGCCAAGCATGTGCATGCTCCTGTTCTTTTGTTGCATCGACCCCGAACATGTCCTCTTCTGTCCAGCTGGATGTGATGCAAGACTCGCTTGAAGGTGATGCGTAGATTGTGATCTGAGGCCTGCCTGAAACATGAAACAATCAGAGCTGATCATGATTTTTGCATGTGTTGTGGCAGGATCCTGAAGCAGCGGGGGCACCTGGTGGACGAGGCGGTGTGCTTCATCCTGGTGCGCCTCTGCTACAACCGCCTGCGCGACGCCTGGTACCCGGGCGGCTACCCACCCAAGAAGTCCAGCGTGACCGTGCGCTGCCTCCACCATTCAAACACACGTGCTTTTGCTCCTGTTCATGATTTCTTGAGGCATTGACCCTGTCTCGTGTATGTATTCCTGGGAAAGTAGTAATATCAGGTGGCGCTATGGTCCTACAGCAAGATGAGGTCCAGCAGGTCACAAAGCAGGAAACCACTTTCAAGCTAGAGACTAGGTCTCCTACATGACAGCAGCATGAGGACATTGCTGGGATTGTCATAATATCTGACAGATGTTTTCTGGAAACTGCAGGCCAGCAGGCTGGGCCGCAACCCGGCGGGGCCGGCGCTGCTGCGAGCGCTGGGCAGCGTTGGGAACGAGCACGTAGGCGGCTCGGTCGGGGAGGCGGTGTGGGCGCAGCGTGCAGTGGACGTGTACCGTGAGGCGCTGTCGGCCGGCTACCGGCCGCGCCACCACGTGCTGGAGCGCGTTCTGGCCTGCCTGCGCCAGCCCCAGGCCCCCAAGGGCGCCGCCCCTGCCGCCTTTGCCGCCCCCTTCCAGGTGCCCTTTCTCTCTCTTGACTTCCACCCCTTCCAAGGCCTATACTACTATTATCCCTGCCATCCCAAGAAAGGGCCATGCCAAGTTGCACCCGCATCTATGTGGGCTTGATTTGATTTGGCCCTGACAATGGATGACCGCACTGACCCTGCGCTGGCATTACATGCAATTCTAGATTATAAGGAGGGGCATTGCTGACTCGCTCTTTACTTCTTGACAGAGTGGAGATTTTATAAGACAGAGATTTTATCACACAATGATGAATTCTCCAATTGTCCATGAATGTGCACGGGCTTGTGTATTCCTGATGTATAAGGGGGCGGGGATTTGGGTGTGGTGGGAGCAGGCGGGCAGCTATGCGGCGGCGGAGGGCCACGCAGCGGAGGCAATGCTGCAGAGCAACAGCCGCAACCCGGCCAAAATATTTGATGCGCGCGCGGTGGCCATCCTGGAGGAGGCCATCAGTCTGGGCGCCCTGCCGCAGTTCAGCCTCGCCAATGCGCAGCCCCTCGACCTGCGCTATGTGCCCCCCTGCACCGCTGAGGTGGGCGGCCTTTCCCAACGATTCTTTGATGCGCCCTAAGAAGCGCCTGTCTGGCTTGAATGAGCGGCTTTATCTCCCTGCTCTGCCTTGTCCTTTGTCGTTCATAAACCTTGAAGATTACAAGAGTTGTGTCGTGTATTGAGCTGGTACAAGGATAGTCACTGGGCTATCTTAATTCTTGAATAGGGACTCGTCGTCACATACGATGGGTCGGGCATTGCTGCACCAGAACTGAAGCATGCAATCATACTTGCCTGGAACTTCCTCTTGCCGTCGTCTTCTTCTGCAACATGCTGCTACTCCTTCATTACTACTGCAGTTGCGTAGAATGGAGGATGCCATATCCCCATTCCAAACTGTGGATCACTGCACTATCTTGTTTTTGTGCGGCCACTGTAGAAATCATTACCAGTGCCTGATGTGAAGATACTTTGCAGTATGGGTAGTCTGTTGTGCAGTTTGGAGATGTTAGAATCTGACTGTCCCAGGTGTATGTGCTGGCGATTGTGGCGGCCATGCAACGTGGTGCCGAGCCCAACAAAGAGAGCGATCTGATCATCATGGTACCCTCCTATGACCCGGCCGAGATCTTCTCGCCTTCCTATGGCCACGACGAGCCGGAGCCGGCCAGGGAGTCGGCCAGCTTCCCATCCCTCAGGTGCGTGCCCAGCTCAGGCCCTTGTGCAGATTGTTGGCTGCCCCGGGAAATGACAGGATATGTGCTGCGGAATACCGTTTTCCTCGTGCATGTTTGGAGGCTCGATGGGATAGGGGTGGCAGGAAAGCACAGGGTTGCCATGAAAGCGGTGTCGTGCCAGGGAAAAGCAGAGGGGCGGTGCAGCAAGGCAGGGGTGTGTGTGGCGCAGGTCAGCGCGGGGCAAGGAGCAGAGGCGGATGGCGGAGGAGACAGGAGGGGAGTCGGAGCAGAGGGCGCTGAGTGAGACGGGGTTGGGCGTGGCCGGCATGCTGCGCCGCATCGGCCTGTGGGCGGTGGAGGACGCCATCAAGGGCCGCATCACCGTGCCCGGCAAGGAGCTCGTCCGCTGGCTGCGCGCTGCCGACAGGTGGGTCCTGCTCTCAATGGCATGGACTAGACTGCCCGAGCTTAGTGTCCAGTGGGGTCTGTAGCTGCCTATCGCGGCAGGTGTATGCCTCTGGGTGGCCAGCATGTGTATAAGGTCCAAGCCTTTGAGCAAAGACTTCTTGTTGGGTGCTGCAGGGCGGCGTCCAGTGTAAGGAACGCGTCGCTGTCAATGTCAGCGCTGCAGGAGCAGAAGTGGATTGGTGGCTCAATCGCAAAACAGCAGAAGAACATCCGATTGGGGCTCGGCGGGAGTGGGACAAGGGGCAGGCCTGGGCGCTTTGGCGTGACCAACCCCCAGACACCTAACCTGTCTCAAGACTGACCAGCGCATCTCTCGAGGGCATTCTAGAAGTAATGTAGCTGATCATTTCAGCGAGAGAAGAGAAGAATTGGAGGCGAGCGAGCATATGCAGCACTTGCAAAGAGCACGCACCGTATTGTTTTGAGTATTGTGTGGGAAATGGGACATTGCAATCAGTTGATGTTGGCACTCTGCGACGGAGAGCAACGGAAAGTTGCAATTATATGGTATTGAAACGTTGAAAAGCAGCAGCAGAGTTGTGCGCAACTTTGTTGAACTCTCTTTTGACGACGCGCGCAGCAAGCTTGGACATGTCAAGTGTTGTATGTACTTACAAGGTCCACATGCACATGCAGGAAGGTTCAATACCATGGCACCTGCTCCGCACTCATCACAAGTGTTGCAACAGTGATGCGACCTCCACCTATGGTGCATCATATTGCATATCTGCCACTTCTACACATCTAGTATTACTAGCTATAGCGCTTGCAGATCAAATGATGATCAAACATCATCTATGATTGCAATAGCAATAAATGTAAGCCTATCCTATATCTATGAAATATGGCGCCACATCAGTGATGCCTTTCATACTTTGAGTCCAATGTTGGGTTCCGGGGGAGTTCAAATTCTTGGTTGCTGCAGGCCTATATGTATGAATCTGCACCAGCCTTGCGCAGCAACTCTTCTCTTTTCATGAAGGCTCAGGGCAAAAACACACCACAAAGGTTTAAGTGATCATGATCAATGCTGCACAGGTTTCATCAAGGTTTGCATCAGTCCATCATATACTCAGGAGCCGCCCAGCCGTCAAAGATGATGAAGAAGTCCAACATCATTCATCTGCCTCCTGCTGTTCACAGCTGGCTGCCGCCTCAAACTAAAGATTTGGGTGTGGGCATGGAGGCAGCTCAGAAGGCAGGGACGGCGGATTCCGGCGCGACGGCTGGCATGACGGACACGCGCGCGTACTGCTGATGGCTGTACTTCTTGTAGATGGTCCGCAGCGTTGCTGCAGCACACAGCGTACAGAGTCAAGGCAGGCATACCTCCTGCAACCTGGCAGGTCCTACCCAGAACACCTAACATCATGGACCAGCATGTGTTCCTGTGTATGCTGTATACCAGATTATGATGTCAAGCTCATGCGGACTGTGCACAGAAGAAGTCTCAAAAAAGCAAGGGTGAGGACTTAGATGCACAGGGGATTTATACCCACCTGAGGGCGCACTTCGGAACAGTTCACCCAGAGCGATGGCGCAGGGCAGCACGCCTTCTTCGGTGAAGCCTGCGTGGCGCTTGAGGCTGTGCGGGAACTCGGGGCTGCGCGCCAGTGCCGTGTTTGCGGTGAAGACCGAGGCGGCAGCGAGCATGGAGTAGGAGTATTTGAGCATGCTGTAGTCCAGCATGGCCAACTCGATCAGGTATGTGGAATACGCAACCACCTGCACCACAGCAGCCCAACCCCTCAGATGACCAGGTTCTTTGCTGAGAACGCATATTGTCAGTGCAATTGCTAAACTTCTTATCACCTGATGGCTGTCTTACCTCGGCAACATGTGAAGCTTGCAGTGCAACAGCCTTTTTCTTAAGGTGTAGCGTGAAGACCTGCTTTCCAGACATGCATAATGTTTCTCCCCTGGAGCCGGCGTATGCTGTTTTCACAGCAGGTCACTGGGAGATGGACAGCAGCCCCACCAGGGTGTCCTTGCTGGCGCCGGCTGCCTTGAGGAAGCGCGAGAGGAAGTTGAAGGGCGTGGGGACTGTGAGGTTGAAGCGCAGCGTGTTGAGCATGATCTTCTCCATCTCCAGGATCTGCTCGCGCGAGTAGGCCTCGTCGCTGATGTACACAAAGTCCTTCACCTCAGGCGCCCAGATCTCCTCATACTTTGATGCCACCAGCATGGCTGTGACGCCCACCTGCAGGTTTTGCATGCAAGGCCATGTCAGTGTCGTGTCTCTACAGCATAAGGTGTGCACGCCCAGCTTCCTAAAAAAGTACGACGAAAAAGACAGAAGAGGAGATCTCACAAGCTGCAGGTTGCGCCGTGAGACGCGCTTGCACTCCAGGAAGCGGTCGATGATGTTTGTTGTGAGGAAGAGAGTCTCGGGCATCAGCTGCGAGACAGCACAATCAGGCCTCAGACACGATGATACCGGATCCAAGCATCAGCACAAAACAGACATGCAAGGGTGAGACGGTGCTCACTCTGAACTTGTAGTGCACTTCCACAAGCCAGTCGATGAGGATGGCCCTCATGTTATCGTTGATATCCGTCTGCGACAGCCAAACACAGTATAAGCAAGCAAGAAGAGGCGAGCAACATGTTCCATTTGTCAGAAAAGGGCAGGGACTGAAGGCTCCTGGTGGGCACATGCGGTGGGCACATGCATTCTTGCTGATTGTGCCCTGCAGAACGGCAGGACACAACACATATTTCTTGTGTCAATCTTTCTGGCATTATTGTCACTCACCTGCCGCGACATGTATGTGGGTGACACACGGAATTGTGGTTCCACCCTCTTGTAGTAGCTGAAGATGTCAGCTACGTAATCAACTGCCGCAAGCTCATTGCCTTTGTCCTCTGAGTCTATGTCGGGCATTGGCGACTGAGGCTGCTGCTGCTGCTTGCTCTCTGTGATCGCCGCTGCTGCCTCACTCCTACTCTGGAGCAGGGCACTCATGCTCCTGCCAGTGGGGATCTTTGATACTCGAGGGGCCGCCTGATCTGCTGCTGCAGATGCTGCAGGGTCCGCATCCCGTCCACGGGGCCCAGTCGTGCGCACTTTTGGGGCTGCCCATCCTCCCTGCACAGTACGCGCAAAACCGTCAGCTATGCCCAAGACCCAGCAGATTCAGGCCGGCAGTCAAAGCAGCGCAAGTGTTTGGGGCAGATCAACGAATGCAGAGGTCTGCTGCACTGTGGGACAAGCGCAAACAGCTCATCCGCAGCAGAAGTAAGTCAATCCCTTCTTACCCCTTGTTGACATGGTAACAGAGAATTCTTGTGGGATAACCACAAAAGGCACTTTGGCCGATCAGTGCTGGGAAATAATTGTAATCTCTAGCATGGAGGAAATACGGGAAAAGAACATCGCACTGGCTTGAGGTGTGGCTAGGGCTGAGAGAAATTACCTTGCCATCAACAACCACACCAGCTGCGGCAGCAGCCCTCCTTGTCAGCGGCCCTGCGTGGTTCTGGACCTACATGCAAAAGGATATGATCAAGCATACTGGTGAGGCTCATGATTTCTGTGAAGCAAGTCTCTATTCCTATGACCAGGTAAATCGCATGGGGTCCTTTACAAGGAGCCTTGGTGCCGCAGCGGTCGTGACGTAACAACCCAGAGTGAAAGCACATGCTACAGAAACCACACGGCTCGGCTGAGGCGGTGCAGAAGCAGTGTTCAACAAGTAGACGTCCGCCCAACCTGGACACGCTCAGGCTTCTCTGCGGCCGGCTTCTTGCCGTTCTCCTTGCCGACGTTGCATCTACTGTTGAAGGGCCCCACGAGATTGCCGATGTCGCCCAGTGCTCTGCAGGACCCCCCAGCAAACGTTCACCCATGCTCGTTTCTGCACAACCGTTTTCATGGGGAACCCAGCTGCGTGTGCTTTGGCAATTTAACACTTCATCATGGCAGCCAGTAGCGGCAAGGGAGGACACAAACCGTCTCTGAGCGGGCTGCTGCGGCGCCTGGACGCCTTTGGCCGGTGCGGCTGCCCGCACTTCGCGGGCATTCTCATCTGAGACCAGTGCAGGCCTTGCAAATGCCATATTGACTCGCTGCTCTGCCTCTACAACCGACCAGCCGCTCCTGTTGTACGTCTCTTAATCTGAGGAGACGGCTGCGGGGTTCAACTGTGGCTGCAGAAAACCAGCTGTTGGCAAATTTGTGCTTTGGAGCTGTTGCGCTGAGCTGTCTCACCCCTCATGCCCAGAATCGCCCCCTCCCCGGTGCGCTTTCAAATTTCCTCCCAACTGCCGGTCGTTCTTTCATGGATGATCTTGAGGGATATAACTATGTAGCGATGTTCAATGTCGGACAAGGAGCCGTCCACAGACAAGATCGCACCAGAAACAGACATAGTTTGCTTCTCTAGGTCACCCAATTTAGGTCACCCAATTTAAGGTCAATGAATGCTTGAGATGGGCCCAGGGCTCAGCAGGCTGCTGTGCAACACCAGCAGAGCTTGTATTTGTGCATAATATAACGATACGTGACCATCCTCTTCCTGACACCGCACCCCAGATACGTCCAATGATGCAGTGCAACATGCCTTGCCCAATGGTGCCGACCATGAGGCAACCCTCAACTTCTATCCAGCATATTACCAGAGGATTGTTGAGGCCACAACAGGTACGTGATGGAGATGCCAGAGCACACCACCCTTGCTATCAGCCCCCACAGAGTCCCCCAGGATACAGCAGCAAGCATGCTGAACGCACACCTTAGAGCAGGCTTCATGGTATGGATTTTCAACCTACACCATGCCCACGCAAGTCACCACAAGATCAGGCAACCGCGGGCACTTTGTGGCCCACAGCTTCAAGGATCTTGTCGTCTGTGCTGAAGTCCACATCAGCATCCAGGAGTCCAGAGCTCTTGTATGCCTCTACCAGCCCAGGGACATCCTCCAATATTTTGTGGGTAGGCGTCCACCCCAGCTCCCTCTTTGCCTTGTCGACGGATGCGATGAAGTGCTCAGTCCGGAAGGGAAACCCCTGTCCCTTCTTCAGCGCCACTGCCTTTGGGTCGTAGTGCACGATGTTGGCCTCAACTCCAGCTGCGTCGGCCAGCGCCTTCACGAGGCCATCAAAAGTGATGTACCTGTCCGACGCTACATTGTAATGTTGCCCGATGGCTGCCGCGTTCCCAGGGACCTACGACGCACACCAGGGTGTCAAGATGACGTGCAAGAGATAGGATTCGCACACCTGCGGATGCATGACTCAGCACATAGCATGTGCCAGGTGCAGACCGCGCACCTTGGCAAGCAGGGAGGCCACATCCTCCACGTGTGACAGCGAGGTGAGCTGGATGCCTGGGGCCGGGATGGGCACTGGGCGGTTGCGCAGCAGGCGATCCAGGAAGAAAGGCATGTAGTCCTTGCCAGTGTAGGGGCCATAGATGTACAGAGGCTGGAAGATCGTGTAGGGCAGATCCTGCAGCACAGAGCTGCTTGACGAACTTGCCCCTTCCCATGAGAAGTCAACTGCCACTGGACATTGTCCAACACATCTCATGGGATGAAGGCAATGCATGGTCAGTGTAGCGCACCTGCTCAACCAGGTAATTCTCTACAGCCACGTGACCGGCAGCCTCCTTCCGTGCATCGCCCTCAACCAGAGCCGGCTCAATCTTGTTGGTTTTGTAGGCTCCAGCTGAAGCCACAAACACGTAGTGCGCCACATTACCCTGCGCACATTGGTGGAGAGCGTCAAGCAGATCCAAGATCCTGATCACTGCCACGTTTGGGTTGCATTGAAGTGACTGAGCTACACAATTTGCCACCAGGGAAAACAAGATTGCTCAGGGCTACCTTGAAATGGTCGATGGCCGGCTTGCAGGTGTCCAAATCCTTCCCATTGTTGTCATATATCACATCGAATTTCTCTAAAGGATAGGTGGCTGTGTCAGTGGGGTTACTCCAAACAACCGTGGCCTTCTCTAGCGATTTATACTGGTTGAAGGGGGTCTTCTTCTCCAGCTTCCCCTGAGCCACACATGTGAAGTCAGTTGAATAATACCAACTTGTCTCCCACACAAGGTTGCAGATCCCTTGGCGACCTATCAGAATACAAGGCAATCACGGATCTGTACCTGCTCTCCGTCATTGAGAATGGTGACTGAATGTCCTGCGCTTAACAGCTGCTTGGCTAGGTGCAGGCCGATTTCAGCGTGGCCTCCTCCTGCATACCGTGATTTGCATGCTTAGACATGCCTTAGAGCTATCAAATGTTGGATGTTGGTGCAAAGGGGGCCTCCTCAATGGACGGAGGAGATCGAGCACGTGTTTGCACACAGACTTCAAAGTTACTACAGTACATGCTCAAGAGTTTGCCAAGATGGGGGTCCAGGATGAAGCTGCCTACCCTTTGTGTTGATGATAAGGACATTTTCAGCTCTCACGAGAAGACAAGACGATCGCTCCCTCCTGCTGGTCAGTCTGAGTCCATGTGATCTCACTGTACTATTCGTGAAAGCACGGGTCCCACGCGCTGACGAAAGCAGAGATGCCTTGCTCTGCATTGTTGGTCCGAGATCACGTCAGCTTCCTGAGGTTTACCCACTAGATAAGTGCTTCTTTTTGGGTATAGATTGAATGGCCAAAGTGAATGCACAGGGATTATTCCCTGCCCATAGGCATGCCAAATAATCTTGGGGGAAAAGCCCTCTATTAAAAATTGGACTCCTCCTCCTCGGTTGAGCTCTCTCTTGAATTCCGCATTTTGTTGTGCCTTCTTTAGGTATCTAGGAACGATACGTTTGTTGCATCGTGCATTTCGCATCGGCATGAAGATGGCGGTGAGATGTACGTTGCCTTCACTGAGGACCTGGAGTCGGTCGAATAGTTCCCCTTCGAATTGTTTGCACGTTACTCATTGCAATGAGATCATCATGATGCGCCGAACTGCTATCAAGACAACACAAGTCTGCTCACAAAGGGACGTCGACAGATTGATGGCTCCTTTAGTATCCAGCTCAATCGACGGATCCACTCCAGATTCCGAAACCTTCTTAGAACAGGTGACAATATTTCGCAATGTATTCTCATCTGTTTACGCTTACACTGTTTGGTTCATCAGCTCGCTGGATGCATCTGTAAAATTTACTTCTAATGTGGGCAAGTAGGGCAGCACTTTGAGCGTTCGTTGATGGGTTTCCAGGAACTTGTTGGGCAGTATTTCTTCAGTGAAAAGCAACAGGAGCGCTTTCACAAATTGCACACAACCATGAGAAAGTGCGGTGTCGCTTTTGTTGTTGTTTCAGCAGCTACAGTTGCAGGCCTCATACAGGTGCTTGCCTGGCCGACCAAAGCCCTTCTTGCATGCATTCCAGGCCAATGCGTGTGACTCTTAAATGCAATAACAAAAATTGTAAGTGAACTCACATTTTCTATCAGTTGGATTGCAAAATTGCATCTCACCAATGTACAGACGGAGTTTGAGAGCGGGGAAGAGGCTTCTGGGGTTTGGGGAGTGATTGCATCATTCTTCAACCACCTCACCGTCGGGGGCGTGGCGAGACCTGTTGACACCCTGCTCATGGCCGGTCTCATAGTCTACAGTGCCATCCCCTTTGAGAAAGCGGTCAAGTCAAAGACCCGCCAGCTGGCCTTTGTCTTCCAGGTAGTGCCCGCCTGCTGCTGCGTTTCTTGTGTTTCTTGATCAAGTATGTACTTTATCATGATATCGTATAGGCCTGACGTTGTTCATTTTCCCGTTCTGCAATTCAGGGGATTGACAGGCTCACACTGGTCTTCAATCAGCTGGTGATTGCCTCGCTGGCAGTCAGCACCATTGCCACGCTGGAAGCCGCTGTCAAGTGGCCGGAGAGTGTGACATACGTGTCTGCCATATTCTTTGCCGCGGCAGTCATCAGATCCGCGGCGATGTGGTATGTGCTGAACACACATGCGGCCCACCTCGATGATATCGAGGCCACCCTGACAGCATACAGGGGCTGCGAGAACTCGCCCCTCGCAGAAATCTGCACGCCTGAGATGCCCTGGTGGGACCGCTTTGCTGTCAGCATCTCGCTCGGCCATTTGCTGCAGTTTGAGCCTGGCGGAGTGGAGCCCACCGAGCTGGTGAGGCCCACAACTGCTGCAATGGGGTGTTGACATCACTGTGACTGGCATGTTCTACCAAGCTCAATGCATACCTCCTTTCAGCATCAATGTCTTATCCTAGCACAATAAATGCCTGCCAATAATCAATGGCTCACGTCATGACTGCACTCCCGCATATAAAATTGGGTACTCCTGCAGACAAAGTTGATCGCGGAAGATCGAGTTGAAGGTGTGCTGCGCACAGGATCTGCAGCAGTACATGGCAGCAAAGCTGAGCACGAACCATGCGGACGAGCCGCTGGACTGCAGCTTCCCCCAGTACGCCTTCACCAAGTCAGAGAGGTACCTGCTACGCACCTGCATGAACGCTGCCACCACCGCTGGCATGGCTCTGGCGCTCCAGGGCGCCACCACCGGCTTGCTTGGTGCGCTTCTTACTCTCTAATCAGGGCTGCAGAACAATCACACCGTCCGTTGGTCATCCCTGTGTGGAAGAGGCGATCCGGACGAGGTGATGTGAGCAGTCATGGACTATAATGGTAATTGCGACTGCTGCACAAACTCTGTTCAAAGCATGCCAAAAGTTCAAGGTGTGAATTAATTTGAGAAATATGCAAAGCAAAACGGGGTTCTTTGTGTGACGCAGCTCTGGCGAATCTGTGCTCTGGTGACTCTGGCGATGCGGTGTCGGAGGCCATCAACGCCGGGCACAAGCTGCTGGCTGCCACATTCGTGTATGGCGCATCACACAGCTTTGACCAGATCATCTACACAGGTTTGCAATCTTCTACCTCAGAACCCTGAGATGCCCATATCACTAACCCTACAGCTTCGACGTTTGCAGGCCTGCCACATACACTTGTGATGCGTCACTTGGCAAGACAAAGTCAACCTTGATCATGTCTGCATGCAGAGGGCTGCGACATTGGGTACCTTGTTCAGGGGGTGGGCAGAAAGGGTCTCACCTCGCTGTTCTCCAATCTGGGCATCCTGGCAGGGACAGTCGCCCTCGCAGACACAGTGGCAATGGCTGCTCCCTGGATTGAGCACTCGCCTGTCTTCACATATATTGCGGAGCGCTCCTCACATGAGGTCGCACATGCGCTCATCAGCGCTCAGAGGCTGCTTGTGAGGCTGCTGCCATAGCAGCCCCGCTAGGCATGCAGCATGTCTTCCTGTAGATGTCCACCGCCGTTCTTTGGCAGCATCCAGACATTCTTTGTACTGTATTGTACACTAGACTGACATTCTTTGGCCAGTGCCACTGTGCCTGGCCGCTGCGCTTGCTAGTCTTGATTAGCTGTCGACCTGAACTGCACCACTGATAGCCCTGACATGGCAGCACCCTGTGTGTGCGTGCTCGGTAGACAACTGACAACAAGTGAAGCAAGACAATATGCAAGATTTTGTTCTGGTAGCAATATTGGTTCCATGCTGCCTGTGCCATAGATATACAGGATATGCAGGCAGCCCCTGCAGCTTCTGCTTGTGCCATCTGCACCTCGAGATCACAGATTGTCACAGGCTTTGTAGGCATGATATTATCATAATATCACGCTGAGCGCCCAGGAGCCCTCCATTTCTAGGTACTGTATTTCATGCTACCCACTGGTGTGTGGCATCAACCACCTTTATTTCTTGTTGCACCGTGCAGATGGTAAAAGGTTTACAAGCACACGTCATCTGGGGAATTAGTAATTGCCAATATTGCAAGGCCCCGGCTGGCGGGGGGCGGTACAAATACTGAGCACCGTGCCCACGTTTGATTGGGTCTTGCTTGGATCTGGCGAGTCCAACAAGGGGTAGGATTGTGGCAGCCTTCAAATGCAGCTTGTCTGCAGGACGCACCTTGCCTCTTGGCAGGGAAAACGTGTAATCATAATCATAATCATATTGCAAGGTTGCAGCAGCGGCAGCCCATGACCATGGCGGCAGCCCATGGCCATGCATGCACATGCACGCACATGCACGCATGCGCCCATCACCACAAAGAACTTGCAATGTCCTTTGCATCGCTATATCATCCTTTTCCGATCGGCCTTCTGCCCTTTTGTTCTGTTATGGGATGTCTCACTCAATCGTCTTCTGTATGACGCATGAGTCCCACGTGCACCTTCCCTGATAGACGCACCTAATCTACGATGAGCACTGCACCAGTCAGCGTAGAAAGGAGCTTTGCCATCTTCACGTTCTATTCACGAAATATACATTGCATACAAGACCATAATCTCGTCCGCGAGAGTGTTTTAGTGGTTCAGAAGTGGGTCGTTCTAAGAGCCCTGGCTATCTCCTGTCCAGGCTAGACTTGCTAGATCTTATTCAATTTAATAATATGGGGAACATAGGTTGCCTTCATCATTGCCCGCATCACCTATCTGCAGCCCGAATGACTGCCTCCAAATCCTTGCATTCTCAGCAATCTAGAGCCATCAGAGTATCAGCCAAGCGGAAAAAGGGCCAGAATAAAAACCGAAAAGGAAAACATCAAGCAGGAGATGCAGCAGGCAGATCTGATGTTGATGCACTCGGAGGAGGAAAAGAGTCTCAAGGTCACAGGGAGTCCAACGTAGTAGTGGGAGAAGAACAGGACACAGAGGTCCGATTGTCAAGGAGCGGCAAACCAGTTGGATGGAAGCTTTTTCCGAGGGACGAGGGAAGCGGTGCTAGTACCACCGATGCCATGCATGATGCTCAGCAGGAGGTAAGTTCTGGATGGGGAATTGGGCACACTCCTGCCACGAGGATCAAATCCAGTGCAGATGCTGAGCAACCATGACTGTCTTCCTGCAGGTGCTGTATCCTTTTCAGGAAGCTGCTGATGTAGCCCGTGACCAAGAGGAGCTGCCTCCAGTCAGCAGGGGAAGGGTCTTTGGAGCATGCTTCCAGACCTCAGCTGTGCTGGTGGCTTTTGCCTTTCTGTTGAGGACGAGAGCTGGTGCATTGAGCGCTGCAGTGCTCCATACTGATCCTGCAGAAGTCAATCGCCTGCTCGCATGTGAGCTTGCACGCACCGGAATCTGGGCACACAATGTTCTCATTGCCATCTCCCTTTTGTTCATTTAAGTGGCTCAAAGTATCAATCTATTCATGTATACTCACATATTCATGTGTGATTGCAGTCAATTTCGATTTCAAGGTCAGCCACCTTGCTGTTGCACTGGGATGCGCTGCGTGTGTAAGCGGTGCGCGCCTCCTGCTGCTACAGAGGTGGCAGGCCTTTGCAGAGGCCACAGACAAGTCAAATCAGCAAGTGCTTCAGAACCTGGCGCCCTTCGATCTGCTATGGGTGTCTTTCCTGCCGGGCATAAGCGAGGAATTGCTCTTTCGTGGAGCACTCATTCCATCTCTGTACCCAGACTGGTGCGAGGTCGTCCCAAGCTAGATTGACCATTGTGCAATGCGCTTGACACTTTATTGCCTTCAAGATGATTAGGTTGCAGAGATTTCTGATAAAGTTATGATCACTGATGCACATGGCTGCAGGCGAGGTGTCGTGATAGCTGGGATGGGCTTTGGGATACTGCACAACAGCGGCGGCAGGAATTGGTCTTTTGCAGGTTGGGCATCGGTTGTGGGGATTGTGTATGGGTTTGCCTTTGTCCAGACACATGATATATTGGTCCCAATGGCTGCTCACTCGCTCGCAAATTTGGCGTCGGCATCCCTCTGGCTGAATTCCCGTGGAAGACGGGGGTGATTATATCATTCTGAGTGAGGGCTATTTAAACTTGTAGTCAGCTTGAAATTGACAGTATTGATGCTATACATGTTATCAGGAATATTTTCATCTAAAAAGGGTTTGCAAGGAAAAGATCCTGGCTATTCCCTTCTGCAGAGTCTGTGAACATATGTGGCGTCGCAGCGCGCCGTCCATATCCAGCCACCACCGGCGTCGCCTTGATCAAGGCCCCCAATTGCGAGCTCAGAGCCACCATAACAACGGCATCATGCTGTGGGCAAAGGTGCTTTAGGATCAGTTGTAATGCACTGGGCCCGTGATGTAACTGAAAACATGTGAAGTGACGCAGATGGTGACTCCATGTGACTGCTTCACAACTTGGAGTTGCGGCATCTGATTATTTTAAGCCCACAGCAGGGAGTCAGGTATAGGTTTTATTCACACCGCGAGGCAACCTTTCCCCCTTCTTGGCGCTCGAGCTCGCACTGCTTTTTATGTACTGCATTTCACATTGGTTTGGGTTGTATTATTGATTTCCACAATCAATGTTTATATTTAATCAGTCAATACATATTATTAGTATTACACGCCTTTCCAGTCTGAGGATCAGGTGCGTCGCAGCAGTGTTTCTATGACAGCCTTCCAGGTTGGAAGTTCCAACCTTCTCTATCTTGGGCTTTCCATCAGGTCGTACATATTTGAATGTTAAAAATCATGCAGAAGCTTCACAAAGCAGCAAACTCAACAAGAGGCTCAATCATGAACCTCCCCGCATCATGCCACTAATGGTAGTGGCAGCGTCGCTCTTCTGGGTGGAGTTTTGGCTTCCAGAGGAGGTATCCTGAGAAGGGCATCAGCTCAGCCTGGACCATCCTAGAAGTTGCTTGCTGGCATCATATACTGTACTGAACCATATACTGCCAACTAGGTCTGACTCAGTCACACCGTGGATAATAGGGGCTTACTTGGGAGTCCATAGTATGGGGGCTAGAAGGGGCCGATCAAGCCGAAAAACCACATTCACTGCCGGGATTGCGATCGAAACAAGCCAGAAAGGCCCCTGGTATTGGTAGTGTCATGGCAGTGCATCATCAAGACAACAAAAAAACTTGAGACCATATCCCAAAAATCCCCAGGTGGCAGCGCTGCAGCGCTAGCGTCCTTGTCGTAAGTAGAAAGTATTTATAGTCACAGCATTTCACATTGCCCAAACTAGAGATAAATGTTTGCAGACGTGGAGGCAGAGCAAGCGCCAAAGGTAGGGCCAAAGTAGAGAAAGGGCTGCCTCCATAGAAAGAGCCTTATTGTGCTTGCTTCTCAGCAATGCATGCAAATGCGAATCCCTTGGTTTCCCTTTTAGATTTCTCACAATCCCGGTGACTACACAGCACATTCATAGGGTTGTATCCATCAGTGCCAGCAGCCATCTCCACAAATACGCACAGGTCAGCTCAAGACCTGCTGCCTTTTCCCTGCTTGCACGAGTATCCGCTGTTGACCACAAAGTCAGGTGGCAGACATACATCACAGCAGCTGCAGGTGTCTGCCAGATTCACAGGGACCCCAAGACATCACTTTTGGACTCTGTGCCTGGCCATCAAGCCATATACGTGCTGCCACAAGCATGCGAACCTCACAGAAACCCAAACATAGACTAGAAATCTGCGGCCGGACCCAGACTTATTGCGCTGTCACAACAGATTGGTTTCCTTGGACAGAATCTCCAACTGCGTCCGCCTTGAAGCTTCTCCTCAGCCGCAAAGTTTGTGTACTTTCACTCTTGGGAGGCTGCAATAGAACCCCAGACTATCAGCTTCCTTTGTTCCAACTCTTGTTGCCGCTGCATGTTATGTCCGGAAAACATTGCAACAAGAACTTGAGTTGAAACGCACCGTCTTGATGACAGTGTCTGAATCAGTTCCTTCAGAATTCGCAGAGCTTGCTTCAGAATGCTAGAATGCTCTACCATGCTCTGTTCAGGAACATGACTTTGTGTCAGCTGAAACCTTTTATATATAATAAATACCCAAGTGCACCTATTCGTGCCGACGTGTCAAAGAGTAGTAGCTATACCTTTTATAGTAATTGTTTATTCAAGTGTTTCCACACCTAGGAAAAGGACCTCACCTTTCTCCATTACCCGGAGCCATATGCTTTCAGCGTCTAGCAACCTCATAGGCAATGCAGCTGTATTGCACCTCGTGACGATTGCATTCGCAGCATCCTGCTTTGTTTGCCCTGCCGATATGATGGCATCCTTGGTTGTGTACCCGCCTATTGCCAAATCCTTGACATACAAGGTCAAACGTCCCCGCAGGGTTGAGATGTACTTGTCCAAGTGGCGAAGGGTATCTCTGCTTACTCCCTTCAGTTCAGCTGCAATACAGCAGCACGAAAAACTCATTTAAAGGGTAAAAGTCTTTTAGCAGTGCATATTTTTCGACCAGACAACTCACCTTCACACACTGCCTGCAGCCACATTTCTTCAGCGTGATCGAAGGCGATAGATACATCCTTGGTGCGCGGAGATGATACAATTCGTGATGCAGCGGTCCTCTTGCTCTGTGCGACAGCAGCTATGCGTGCAACAGTGTCAAGACCACCTTGTACTAAGCCTTTTTCATAATTAGCGAACTCCCGTCCTAAGTCGAGAAGGAATTGTCGCAAGCCATTACATGGCATTTCTCGCGGTCTGAATTGTATATGAAGGCTGTGCCAAAAACACCACAACCCTTTGGTCCTTTTCCATTTTCATTGAAGATTGTCGAGGTGAGCAAGAAAATGGGTGTTCCCTACTCCCAAAACAGATTTAAGACCCTAAGACCCTGAAGCCTTAAGTGCTCTTCTTATGTCATTGTTGGATATGTACCAGGGTCGGGGGGGTGCTGAGCACCGGTGCTCCCTGCCTCATGTTGTGTTGCACCAGCATACCATGCCGTAGGCGCTAAAGAACTGATGCATGGCCTATCTGCAAGCGTTGTGATTGGAAACAGGTGCTTCTCCTGCATTACGTGATTCTTTTACGCATGCATTAATGCAGAATTTTCGGCCCTGCACTTGAGGTGTACTCCTGGCCTTGTTTGGACCCGTTGTGTCTTTGGCATGGCAAGCACTGCGCGTGCAGCTTCATTGAGAAGCGGTTAATGTGCGGGGGCAAGCGCCTCGCCGGGGCGGCCGCAGATGCCGGCGGCGCTGCTGCCAGCGAGACCCGAGGACGAGCCGATCGGGTGCCGCACGCCTCTTTGATGTTCCACGTTGCAAATCGCATTAAGTACCTTGGCAGAGTAGCAGCAACGAACAGATATTCTGAACAGGCAAATGATCAGGCAGTCCCACACTCTCAAAGGCTGCCAAGCCAGTTCGCAACAGGAGACTCTCATGCTCCCTTCAGAGCCGCCAAGTTTGTCTCCTTCATTGTGCATGTGCGGTTCAGCACCAGCTTGCCAATCCTGGTGTCCGGGTCCACGCAGAAGTACCCCAACCTCTCCAGCTGGAACCTGCATCCAAAGCAAGCGTCAATCGCAATGCATTTTGCCAGTGTCCACTGTCCATGGCTTTGTCTCTCATGCAAGACAACATGTAAAGGGAGCATTCTCTCTTGACTTGATGAGCAAAGTGCCTGTTGCGTAATAAGAAAGAAGAAGCCCTGCAGCTTACCTGGAGCCTGGCGCGGCCTGGGTGATCCTGGGAGTGGAGATGGCGCCGGTTTTGAGGGTAAGCGAGTTGGGGTTGAGGTCCTGCAGCCACTCGTCCCCGGTGTCCGCCACGGAGGACGTCTTAAAAAGAACGTCGTACAGCCGCGCCTCGAACATCGTGGGCTCCTGGCCCGCCATCGGCTGCCCCACCCAGCTCAGCACACCCTGCCCACCCACACTCTCTCCACCTCACAATCGCCATGCTAGTCACCAGGTGCATAACACGTCAATGCAAGAGCAAACACCAGGGTTATTTTTAGCTCTTGAGATTGCAGTCACAGCTCAAGAGCAGAAGGGGGAGGGGCTGGGAGAAGAGAGGCACCTTGGGAGGCTTCTCCCCTTTCTCCAGCAGCCTGAACTCGGCATGCACCTCTGTGACCTTGCCGCCGGACTTCTCAAACCCGGTGCACCGCACAATCCCGGCATACCTGCATCAGACATGCGCATCCGAGCTTCAGGAATGAGTGCCACTGACATGAATATCTCAGTAAAACTGATAGACTAGCAGCTTTCAAGTTCAGCTGGCAGGCACACCTACTAAATCATTCAGGCGTCGTTAAAATTTTGTGGCGCACTTGAGCATGCACTCCTTCTGCGGCGCCAGGGCGAAGTAGCCCTTGGAATCCACTTCCCTGAAGTCCTCCGCAGCGACGTAGACTACGCGCGTCAGCGTCACCGGGTATGTCTCCTCCGTCCTGCCAGGGAACACCTGCCAAAACACCAGACACCATTTTTGGTGTCTGATCCACACAACCAAATACACGGACATGCATGAATCAGTGACCCAACGCTGCATCAGCCCTCTCTCTCTATCCAGAGCATGGTCAAAGCAAGTCTCACGGCCTCATCCAGCATCACGGAATGGTGCATGGAAATAACAATCACCTTGGCGTCAAAGGTCTGCAGGTGGTCGGCGGGGAGGTTGGTGAGCACGAGGCGCAGCGGGTCGAGGACGGCAAGGGCGCGCGGTGACGTGGCGTCCAGGTCAGTGCGGATGTGGTGGTCCAGCTTGTGCAGGTGGATCTCGCTGTCGTTGCGCGTGATGCCGATCTCCTGGCACAGTTCCTTTATCGCCTGTGCGCAGCCGCCCCCATGTGTCAGCTCACGCATCTTTGGCTGGCTCTGGGAGGTGCACCAGCACGATTATTGCAAGGCCCCCAACAGCAGCCGCAATGTCTTCCAGCCTCAGGAAGCAGGCTCTCAAGGAAGCCTCCATTGGATGCGGTGGAGCGCTAGCAATTACTTAATAATCCGCACCATGAAATTTGCGACATGTGCAAAGCAAGCAAATTCTCTGCACCACCTTACTGGAAGGCGACTCGGCATGACCTGAAGAGAGCTCTTGCATGGGTTGCACAGAGGGGTGGATCAGAGTTGCAGGGGCACAAGACCTGGGGAGTGACACCGCGGCGGCGCAGGCCGGCGAGGGTGAGGAGGCGCGGGTCGTCCCAGCCGTCCACGTAGCCGTCGGTGACCAGGCGGTTGAGCTTGCGCTTGGACAGCACATTGTGCGTGATATTGAGCCGCCCGTACTCCCACACCACTGGCTTGTACGTGTCCAGCACCTGTCACACCAGTAACACATCATCTGTCATCTCAGTCAAACCATGCCTGCAGATCAGCCTGCAGTCGTGCACAGAGTCTCAATGGCCCACAGGAGGACAGAATACCTGCCACACAAGTGGGTACCCTCTCTGCGCTTGATATTTGTTCGGCTGTGGCAAAGGCACCGTGGCATGTCAGATAGTGCTGCAATGGATCAGGCGGCTCACGTGCAGTAGCCAGTAGTAGGAGGCGCGGCGAGACTCGAACTCGAGCGTGCAGAGGGAGTGGGTGATGTTCTCCAGAGCGTCCACCAGGCAGTGGGTGTAGTCGTAGGACGGGTAGATGCACCAGTCCCTGCCGGCGTGCGGGTGCGGGGTGAATTTTATCCGGTAGGCTATCAGGTCAAACATGTTGTAGTTGGCATTTTTGGGGTCCATCCGCATCCTGCACAGTGGCAATCATGAGTTTCAACAGTCAGAAACGAGGTGCTCCACGCCAACGCTTTTTCTCACGCTGCCTAAGCACTCACAACACATTCTGGAACAATGCAGTGCTCCGTCTGTCCAGAATCATTGTAGCTTCATGATCCATTGGATATGGTGTGTGACAGGTGATGGCATGCGCAGCTGCACGTACCGCAGGGTGGCTTTGCCCTCGTCGATGAGCCCGCGTCGCATGTCCTCAAAGAGCTGCAGAGACTCCTCCACAGGGCGGTCCCGCCAGGGGCTCGGCCTCCGCTCTTCCCTGGCACCATCACAGCTACTGTCAGCACCCTCTTTAAGGCAGGGCTGTGATTCTGGTGAATTTCTTACACATGACAGCGTGTACAAAAAGAAATATGGCAGCACGGGGTGAGACCCTGCTCACCGGTAGGCCTTGATCTCCTCTGCTGTCTGGTGGTCTACGTACGCGTTCCCTGATCTGATGAGCTGGATGGCAAAATTGTACAGCTCCGTGAAGTAGTCTGAGCTGTATGTCACCTGCAGCGCCACAGTCACACAGAGTCAGGGCATTCCTCAGCAGCAGTGCGGCCTTCATCCAGCTGGATTGCATGGTGGCATGAGCTGAGAGCACAGTCCTGACCTTCCAGGGCTTGTAGCCCAGCCAGGCAACGATGTCCTGGATGTGGTCTATGTACTCTTGCTTTTCAGCCTCGGGGTTGGTGTCATCAAAGCGCAAATAGCAGTCCCCGCTGTACCTCTCCGCAAAGCCAAAGTCAACAAACATAGCCTGTGCAGCACAGCTAGCACATCAGCGCAACGGATATAGGAGCAAACACCCTTCCTTGCCATGAAGGGTGTCAAAGTTTGATGCTGAGAGGGAGTACGGAGACCTCCGTGCCTACCTTGGCGTGGCCAATGTGTAGGTATCCATTTGGCTCAGGCGGGAAACGCGTCACCACCTTCCCGCCTGTGATCTTCAGGTGCTCTGCCAGCTTCTCTGCGTTGTTTGCAATGCACAGCTGGCTGCCATCGCTGAAATCCACAATCGTGTGCACCTGAGCATCAACACGAGCAGAAAATAATGGGAAGGACTCCTCTGAAGCAAAAGACATATCAAATGTACCCAGAGACAGGTGAACAGAGTCAGCGTTGCTCGGTAAATTTGCTTTGAAACAAAATAGCGCTGACCTCGTTGTTGTCTGCTGGATGCTTGAAGTGAGCATAGGGGTCTGCATGGCGCCAGGCTTCCGTGTCCTCAGCCTTTGTATCCGCATTCTTAGCAGAAACAGCACCGTTCTCCTTTGCAGGCTTCTTCTCCTGCACAGCAAGAAAGCCTGGTAGTCACAATTGATGGTTATGTTCAGCACCATCTTCCTTTTCGAGGCAGTCCTTGACTTTTCAAGGCATTCGTTGACGGAGACTATCAGGCTCTGTACCTTGCTCTTCTTCTTGTCGGGCTTGACAAGATCCTGTTCTGTCTTTGGCCCTAGCAGGTTCAGGATCTGGCCATCAAGCTCCTGCTTCACCTTGGATCCATCCGCCCACTTCAAGGAGGCTTTTACGCTCGCCAGGAGTTTGCCGACAGGAGTGTGATACCTGGCATCAGACGGAGAGCATGTCAGTTGTCACTTGTCGTTACTCACCCCAGGTTTCTGTATCAGCAAGTGGTGTGCCTACCGCTCTGTCAGTAGCTGATTCTCATTGGCTTTGACCACACTGGCCACGGCTGCAGCAATCTCCTCAGGAGTCACCTGCGTGTTGCACAGATTATTTGAACATGGCAACATGAAAAATGCACAAAGCTCAATAGATGTCACTCAAATGATACTCACCACAACACCAACGCCAGCTGCTTCCTCAAGCTTCTGCCAGTCCACAGGCTCGCTCCCATAGCTGCTCAAAACCTTGAACGCAGCCTCCAGCTGCTCACTCGACTGCAAGCATGGAACTGGAGCCATTAGGCTGGCGGCGGATGAGTTTTCTGATGAAGGCCTACACAAGGGTGAGACATTAAGCCAATGCATATGCACAATATGGCCTGATGCCATACCTTCAACTTCCCACTGCTGATGTACTCGCGCAGGAAATGAGACCTGTGTGCCCGTGCATTGTCTGGATACTGCACACACACACACATCTTGTCAAGCCATCGATCGTCGCCACAATAGTCGCAGATCCCTACATTGCTTACCACAAGTGGAGTAGGAAACCCCCAAAGCCGTACCGTGCTGGCTGATGAATACAGGAGAGTTCCCCGAGTCTTATCACATCCATTTTCAAGACCTGCCTCCTTGATTATCTCTAGTAGTATTCCTCGAAACTTCTTTTTCGATACAGCAGTCCTGCAGCATTGGCCAGAATCAGCACTCAGCAAAATAGAAACTGAATCGAAAAATGACTTCAACACAAACCACTTATGCAAGTCTTTGTTGGGAGAGTTTTGGTTGCAAAGTCCAGTCAACTTACTCTGCAGTTTTCTCTGCCAACCCGATGCCTAGAAAAATTCTCTCCGCTTCCTTCTCCTGTTCCTCTCGTGATGCCATGCTAATTAAGATATAATGTTGAATTCTACTTGTACATTTCACGATCAATCCTACCCTTCAGGAGGAATGATCAATGTGCCAGGGAACCTGGCCGACAACATGAGAAGCCAGAGGCAGTCACCGTAGTGGGTCCGTGAACTATAGGCCAATATTGGCAGGGCTGGGAAGCCAGGATCAAGGAAAATTTGATCTGGTGATTTAGAGGCGTGACATTGATCATTGAATTTTCGGATGGCGCGAACGCGCAGCGCACCGCGCATCGATACATCATTGATGGCCGGTCATGAGTACATAGTATGCCTGTCGGCAGTGCCAAACAAGGCGGCCCTGCCGGCTTTGGCACGGACACGGTGCCAGCTAGGTAGCCTGCGTCCTGTACTATGCTCTAGGGATCGCCTAGTGGGAGGAGAGTGAGACAAAGGCCTCGCGCATGTTGACCTCCACAACCACGGCTGGCTTTCATGACGCTACAATTGGAAAGGTGAAAGAGTCCACGGCCCGGCCCCTAGTGACTGCATGCATGTCGCATGCATTTCCACGGTGTGCAATCTTTGCTCTTGGTGACGCAACTTTCCATCAACATTCCTTGAAAATTTCAAAGCATCTACATGGGATTACTTGTTGGTATCACATCACATGACTGGCATGTGTTGCAATTGCGGCTTGGCACATGCAGCATCATGATGACATCAGGGCTGCATCATGCATGCCACCTGGGAACCAGCATGACAGTAGAACATGCCACTGGCATGCAGTGCGTTCACACTGTCCACTATTAGGCTTCATCAGAATTCTGATGAAGCCTAATAGTGCCAACAAGTGTTGCCATGCCGCATTACAGTATGCCGTTTTGCTAGAAATAGGATTCTGTCAAGTCGGAATCCCTTCAAGGAGTTCTCAACTTTGTTTTATTTTGAAGTACACTCAAACATAAGAAATCCAAATGACAACATCAGTAACCAGCTGGAGCACCGTCCTTCCGAGGGTCTGAAACAGCAGTTAGGGTGCCATCACTGGGGTCTACGAGAATGCCCTGAATAACTGCGCTCCAAGACGTGGGTTGTACATCATGCCCACGTGATCTCAAGGCCTGCATGCACGCATCACATCACAGTAACGCTGTAACCGTGGTTTAAACGCCAGTGCTTAAACACAGTGCAGCAGTCAGGCACAGAATCTGTTTGAGCTTACCTCAACCTCCTGTTGGGAGACAACAAAGTTGACAGCACCAGCGCTCCAATTCTCCACATAGGTGCTGTTTGGCACAACCTGATTGTGCACCCGCGGTTGCGCAATGGCTGTCAGCAGATCCTCGCCCAAGTCTATGAGCCTGCAGGGTCACACAGACATCTGTCAGCCAAGCAAAACAGCCTATAACTGCGCTTTTGCTAACCAACAAGAATTAAAGGCCCACCACGGTAGACAGGCCTGTGCATGCATATGCTGCAACCCCAGCCCCTAACTTATGTTGCTGGCAACCACACCCCTTACAGGGCTCTTGGCGGTGTGCAACAATCCACATATCCCAACACTTACAATGGAATGAGGTGCCACCTGAAGAGGGTCTGGATGAGGGCGGAGATAATCCGCGGCCCCCCGCTTGCGCCGATGACTGCCCTGAGGCGGCCGTCAGAGGTGACGACGATCATGGGCGACATGGATGACTGCGGCTTCTTGAGAGGCCGGATGAAGTTGGGCCTGGATGGCGGCAGGCCATAGCCGTTGTGCTGATCCGGCGTCGAGAAATCGTCCATCTGATTGTTCAAGATCAGCCCTGCGCATGGAGCAGCTCCTCTCAGCACTTGGCTGTGGTATATCCTGACCTGTCACTAGCAAATTCTGTTCGTGCGCTACTCAATCAATGCTGCGAATGATGTGCAAAACCCTGAATCCATCGACCCATTAGAATTGATGGTTGGAAATGTACACACAGATTGGATGGAAGCAGCATGCCTGTGCTCTCTGACAGCAGCTTGGCCCCAAAAGACGTGTTGATAGTTGTGGTGAAGGACACCGCGTTGCGCTCAGCATCTACCACAGTCAGGTGGCTGGTCCCATGGTCCTCCACAGCGCCAGCCACCGTCCACTCTCCCCCATACTCCGTGTAGGGCTGTGTGCCATTGTCCATTATGTGACTCCTGCTCAGTAGCAATCACCAAACTCTGTGACGGGTACTCCCACTTTTTTCTTCTTGTGTGTACGCTTTGTCCAACCTGGCAACAGCTGCCATCCGGACATCCCCTGTGGATATATGCAGGTGAGATGCCTTGCATGACTCACTTCAGCGTGTCAGCGTATGCTGGAGACAGCATGGCTGTCAGCAGCTCCTCCAAGTCCTGGAAGCAAGTGCCACCTGCATCCCCTGGCACATGTCCTGGCTTGCACACGCCCGGGTCCCCAAGGTTTGACCTCATGGCAAATGCATTCTTCATCACCTGCAGACCCAACACAACATGTGCTCAGCGCATTGACTGCTGTCAGTGCTCCTTGTCCACACATTGAGGTCCCAGCGTGTGTGCCCCTTTCCCCAGAGGATGGTTGGAGGTCTGATGCCACTAGGGCAGCAACATGGCTGTGCAAAGATCTACCTCTACCACCCGGTGTGTCCTTGAGCGGCCAGAAAAGGCCAGCGGCGCCTGCACGAGCTTGCTCAGACTGCCATTACTCGCATAGCCTGCAAAGGTGATGGGTGCCTGCAACAGGAAAATATACATCAACAATGTACTGTGTGACAGTAGGCATCATTATTGGACCAGGTGCAAAATAGGACCAGATACATGTTTCATGCTGGTGGGCAAATGAAATGTGAGCTGCTGCACCTGGTAAGCAGCCAGCATCTGAATAGCTGCTAGAACAGCTGCTGCGCCACTCGGTGGTGGAGGAGTGAAGAAGTGCAGTCCACGGGCCTGCCAAAATGAAAATGGCAAACCACAGCATGAAGGTATGTTTCAACAAGATTCTACACAGAATGGCCACCTACTCGCGTCCTGCAGGCCAATCAGCAGGCTACAAGGAGCAGCGTCTGGCAAAGGTCGTGCAACAAGTGTTGCATGCTCACACCTGGGTGCTTAGTGCATCCTTGACAAGAGGCATTGCGCTCCTCAGATCATCTGCTGTCATGATGCCGCCGGCCGCCCTTATCTCCGCCGCCAAATCCTCACTGTGCCGCTGATACAGCGCATCAGGGCCCTGCTCAGCACCATGCACTGTCAGGAAGACATGATTATTTGGAGAATTAGCGGTATGCATGAAGCTGCAATCATGCTGCAAGCCATTAGCAAGCAAGCTACATGCCAACAACCACAGCAATGACAAGAAGAAGTGCTACCTGAGCTCCAACAGCGTCCAAGAGGTTGGCAAATGCAGGTCGAGCACAGCATGTCTCATTGATGGCTGGCACCCGCCATCCCCCACTCCCGTCCGGCTTGAAGAAAATATCTCTGAAGCCAGGCCTTGCTATGAGCCTGGTTGAGTAGAATGCTGCAGGTCAGCTCTGTCAATTACTGGCTGGCTGAGCAAGAGCAGGACAAATGTGTGCGGCCCTCTTTAATACTGGCCAGCATTCCGATTTATGGAGCATTCTACTGTTTGTGTGATAAGATTTAGTAGTTGAGTTGCAGGCATGAAGCAGGAAAGAGGTCTTACTGTGCTCGAACAGATGTGTCGTTGAGAGCGTTGATGAGGTAGGGGTGCGCTGGGAAGCCGTTGCGTGCCAGGCTGGCAGCTGGAGCGACAAGGTTGCCCCATGCATGCCGCCCATAGCGCTGGTGGGCCATCCACAGCCCCTTCAATTCAAGAGGCACTGCCACCGCCAGTCCGCCCTCCAAAGATGCATTCTTATTTCCTATTGCACGGAGCACATGTGAAGGTGTCACTTGTGGAAAGAGGTCACAGGCAAAACTGACATTTATCATGGTGCAGGAGGTGAGGCGTGCATGTTCAATGGCGATCCCTCAGCTCCAAGGCAACTCTGAGAGGAATTGTTAGGAGGCTCTCAGGAGAAGCACACCTTGGAACATTCCCTCGGATGCAGCGGCTGGTGCCACCTCACGCGCATCTATCACCTCCGTGTCACCATTTGCTGTCCTTATGAGAATGAAGCCTCCCCCTCCCATGCCGCTGGCCATGGGATTCATCACCCCCTGGCACAGTGTTGTTGCAACAGCAGCATCGACTGCGTTCCCTCCATCTTGTAGGACCCGCATCCCTGCATAGGACCAAACACGATACTTTGCCAGCACTTGTAAGTTTCCAAGGCAGTGACCAGTTCTTTGCGGCGCAAATGTACCACAGGAAGACCTGACTCTCTGCCGCGATCGACTGCTCACCGATGTCTGAACACCGCCCGTGATCGGCTGCAACTGTCCCTGACGCTGCGAACACCTCGCGTGCATGACCTCGCCAATCCTGTGTCAACCCCAGGTTGCCTCTAATAGCACCTGCGCCCACGTGGCACATGTCGGGCACCTCACCTTCGGCAGTGCAAGGGGATGAGAAGCATCTCATTGCAACAAACCTTACCCTCAGGTGACGAAGAACTATCATCCACAGAAGCGAGAGGCTCTGCAGACTTGAAGGAACCCCAGCTCCCAAGACCTGAGGCGTCATAGTGCTCAACTAGCAGCACGATCGCCAAAGATATTGTCGCTAGAGAGAGGCCTGCATGTCCCACCGCGTTCAGCTAAGAGCTACAGCTTGACCTTCACTTGTCAAGAAAAATAACGATGACGCCTCATGCCAGGCACTCAATATATTGTACCACTCACCAAGAGTCAGGAAGTTGCAAATTGGGTGTGGATAGTCAGCCCAGAATGTGAAGCATCGGTTTCTTCTCCTGCAATTCCAATGCAATATTATTGATCTTCCAAGGTTTAGATCTCCTTCTTGGAGCTTATTATCGCGCCTGGCAAGACTGCAGATCGCAATCAAGGTCTTAGCCGAAGCATATGTAAGTCGTGCGATGCTTGTTCTTGCCGCACCGTGAAACAAGGGCATCTCTCAGAACTGAGTGCGACCCGCTGTAGTTGTGCATCTCTCCGTTCGAATGGGACTGTCTCCCATCAACAAGATCGACGTGCATGTCATCGCTGTGAGGATCTGATACTGTGCGAGGAGCAATTCGAGCTAGTTCCTGCTCTGAACCCATCTCAAAGAATCGGGCAACCTGTCACCGGAGTCACATCCTGCACCACATTGTGAGCTGGACATGCACTGTGAGGGCCAAATCCTTGCAATCTCACGAAGTAAACCTCTCCAGGATAGCTTCCGTTCCGAAGGAAGCTATTACCTAAGAGTTACGTTGGAACCGGTTCCAGAAGTTGCTGTGCTTCTGTCTTTGCGAAAAAACTCTTCTCAGATAGTATCAAATAGAATCTAAGCTGTATGGCGAGCACAGACCTTGTATCCCAACTGCAGGATCAGCTAAGTGCCCTGTGTGCCTTGTTTTTCAATTTCACCGGCGCTCTTCAGGTGTGTTGACGACAAAGGAGAATGATCCTACCTCTTAAATAACGTACTTGAAACACAAACCACCTGATTGCGATCCAGAGCATGCTTAGCACTGTTGAGAAGTTTGTGGTGCATGCAACAGCGTGATGCTCCTCCAGTGAGCGTGCGTGGAGAGCCTGTCGATCCGGTTGTTGGTACACAAAACACAGCCTCGCAAGTGGGTGCCATGGCAGAGCAAATCGTCAGTGCTTCTAAAGCGCTCGACGATCTTATCGCTCATCTGCCAGACATCAGTACAAGTGAGGAGGAGCAGCTGGAAGCCATCGTCGATCTTCAAATAGAAAACGAAAGCTTGGGGGCTGAGCTGAGGGAAATGCAAAGAGCAGCACAGGGCGAACTGCAGAGTGTGCAGGCAGTGTTTGGGGTGCTTGCAGATGATGCTCTGCAGAGACAGTCACAGGAGGCACAGAGACCATCATAGCCTGCAGAGAATCAGTCAACAGCGATGATTGAGAGTGGAGATGTACGTCAAAATAGCTACCAATGGGCGCATGATGTCAGCAAGGATGTACCCACAATCACTCGTTTTAAAAGCCTTCTGTAGGCCTTGCGCAAGAAGTGCAGTTCTGATACCAAAATCAACAGAAACATCCCGCACACTGGAACAGATATTTCCCATGGAACAGCAACAATATATCATTGATTGCATTTCCTGGTCCTGGCACGCAGGCCAATTCCTATGTGCAACTTGTCAGGTTGATTCAAATTAGCGAGCAAATAATTCCACAGCTTCCAGCATCAAGGTGCACCACATTTGTGCACTTTGGCAAGTAGAAGCATTTTCCTGGGCAGGAGACTAAAAAATATCAGACGCCTGCCAGAGGGGATCCGCCCTTGCGAGCACCCTGGCCGCCACCACCGCCGCTACCGCCGTCCCCGCTGGGTGGAGTCAGCAGCGCATACTCTGTGTCCACATGCGTCTCCACATCGCGCAGGAAGGTGCCAAACGCCACGGCCTCCAGCACTGCGCGGCGCTGCGTGCCGACTGTGATTGTTACAGACTCCACAGCACCGCTGTTCACAGCCGACTGCACGCGCTCCATCAGCTCCTCCATAGAGTTGGCATCCGTGCCCACCGCTTCCTGCCCAGTTGCAAATCAACTTAGTGCCCCTGGACCCGGGCATCATTGTATTGTTGATGCATGACTTGCACTTACGAGGCAGCCCTTCCTCCTGACTTCAACGCTTGCTCTGCCTTGAAGTCCATTCCTCTTTCTGTGAACAAATCTAACTTCTAGAAGCTCAGGGAAGGTATCTCTGTTGCAAGAGAACACATCCTGCGCAGCTGTGCAGAACTGGGCTGCAAAGGCAGGAGGAAAGGTGCACCTGCATCTGCCGCTGCAACGATTTGAGGTCGCCAAACAGCGCACTGGTCTGAGCTTCCACAAGGGCTGCCCCCTCCGCACTGACCACCCGAGTCATCTCCAGCATTGTCTCCTGATCAAAGGCTTCTACATACCTGCCATACGAACAAAACAAGAAGTTCAAGGTGTCACCCTTCTTAGTGCTGATTGCCATCAGTGCTTCTCTTAACAGCAGGTCGTGAACTTCGCTAAATTTGGATTGTAGCGTGGCACACTCACTCTCTCAGAGCGCTCTTCTTTTTTGCTTTCTCCGCGCCAAGGCTTTGGAAGTCGCCGGTTGCTTCTGCCTGTGAGACACCGGATCCACCCAAAGGGCCTCCAGATGGGATGTCAGCTGGGCCAGCCGACGATGATGACTCTGAGCTTGGAGATGATGGGGCTGAGTCTGGATCCTCAGCAGCATCCACATTCTCAGCCTGCAAACAGGTACACAGCCCATGATGTCAGTCATGGCGCTTCAGATGCATTCAAAGCCAGCCATCCAAAACAAACCTTGTTCTTCAAGAGAAAGAGGTGTCTCCCACCTGTGAGAAGAGCCGCTCTAACCGCGCGACTGCCTCCTCAGTGTTCTGGGGGAGCAGGCCGAGGGAGCGCTCCAGCTGGAATCGCTTGTCCACACGCCTCACAAAGTACCCAAACATGATGCTTGCTGCATACACCTGCCACACAGCATCAGACTGTTATTGTTTGTACGAAGAAGATGAAGGAAGGAGGAAGGCTCCTAGCTTGATCACTGCAATGTCAGTGTGAACCTCATCGATCCTGCATTTTCACCTGGGCAGCTTGGAGCCTGGACATCTTGATCATGGCGTTGGAAAACGCGACAGCTGCTGGGCCCATGATGCCGCGCACATGCTCCCTCACAAGATCCAGCGCCTCCTTGGTGTGGATGCCCTCTGTCAGGGCCTGCAATGCTCCGTAGCATCAGTATCCATCCTCTGTTCTGCTGCAAAGGCTGACACATGCGGTCATGCAAAGCAGGGGAAGCAAAAAATGCACGATCACGCACCTTGAGGTTTGCAGGTGACTCGATGATGTTCTCCAAGCGGGGCAGCATGTCCACTCCAACGTCCACAAACTTCTCCAGGACACTCGCATACATGAGATCCTCCACGGTTGCGCGCTGCTCGCTCCTCTTCACCTCCTCCATCCGCCTGAAGACCAAATACTTTTTGCTCTGAGTTGAGTGCTGTATAATATTTTCCAACAAAGTGCAATCTTGTCCCCACCACAATACAGTATGCACCTTGGTGACCTTGATCAAAGCAAGTGCAGGACCGACCTGTACAAGACAAGGTCGCTCTTGTCGCTTCCAGAGGCAGCATCATTGCCCTTTGCCTTGGCAGCTGCAGCAGCAGCCTCCCGTTCCTGAACAATCCTCTCAAACTGACCATGCACTGCCTCCCTGAATAAGTGCGGCTCCATCTTGAGGTAGTAGTTGACCATCTCGCCATGGGAGGTGCGCGGTTTCACAGGTGCCTGCACAATGTCACCATGTAAGCGCCAGGGAGATGATGATCAAGGTATGGTATTGTACAGTATGCATCGGTGCGTTCAGTATAGTAAAATCTCCAGGCCTGCATCTGCTGGATGTGCCAGGAATCAGAGAAGCCGTTGCTAATGCCCACAATGTATCTTTTGAAAGTTTGGATGCGCAAATGCTTTCTGGTAGGCAAGGCACCGTACCAGTTGTGTGTTCAACTTATCGGAGTTGTCAGCTTCAGCCCTCACGACAAGCCGATGAGCACTGCGGCTCTTTCTAGGCAGACACACAAGTCCAAATTGCGAAGAAACTTGGACGAAACCATTGCGAGGGGTGACCTTCTGTGCAGGCCTAGTATGCAGTTGAGGCCCCAAAGCGTTTGCAGCTAAGCAATCCATCTTATCGAGCTCTATTCGACAAGAAGCAGCAGAATTTAAAATGAGTCGGTCACAAAAAAGTCTGGATCGAAGTTGGCAAGACACGATGTCAGGAATGGCTGGAGGACCAGACAGCTCAGCAGCAGCCAGGGTTCACCAGAATTATTCGAAGATGACTAAGCCCTACAGATTCACCCCTCGGGTTAGGGTGGATCAATAGGTCACTTCGAAGGTGATGAATGGCATGTTGTGCCTGCAAACACCAGTGTTGCGACGATCACATCGGTATCTTCATTGCAATGCATAATAAAGGCTGCATCAAAATTTTGTGGCAGGGGGACGTCGACGAAGACAAGTGAGAAGCAATGGCCAGATCAGCCTCCACTTGTACTTGAGCAGAGGCAGAGAAAGGATGGCAGAGGCATCCATAGACAGTCAGCTGGAATCTTTGTTCACCCGGCTGGATGTTCAGCTGAAGAAGTCTCAGTTTAAGAAAGCTCTGAAGTTGGTGGATGAGAGTGAGGACAGAACCCATCATTCGGTTGACTTGCTCAGCATACATACTGTGAAATACCCGATTCGTCCGTTAATCTAACAATTTAGGTGTCGATGCAGTTCTTGCTATCAGCCCTGGTGACAAAGATGCAGTCCAGTCGAAAGTGGTAGCACTCATCGAGCTATCGAGGTTTGAGGAGGCTGTGGATGCCATTGACAGCAGCAATGCAGCAGGAGATTTCGATTTTGAGAAGGTTTGTCCTGCCTAACCTCTTAGCCTGCTTTCCTCGTCGTATTTTTTCTCAAGACAAGTCTGACTGCTTTCTGCCAAACAACAGGCGTACTCCTTGTTCCGTCTGGGAAATTTCACAGATGCCCTGGCTGCCTTGCAAGCTGGCAGCACGAACCAGCTGGTCGCAAGGCTACAGCTTGAAGCCCAGCTGTACTATCGGATGGGTCGCAACGGCGATGCCATACGCATCTACCATCAGCTGTTCAAGGATCACAAGGTGAGCGGATGCCATGCAATAATGTCACGTGCACATGCAGTGTCTCTCTTATGCTGGACTTATCACATTTCTTAACATCACGCCATGCAGATTTCTTCCCTGGAGCTTCGGACAAATGTGCTAGCAGCTTATGTCAGCGGAGGCCGTGCACATGAGGTGCCTGCCGTCATGGAGGCTATGAAGATCAGCTCAAAGGACAGCTTTGAGATTGCATTCAACACAGCCTGCGGGCTTGTCGCTGCTGGCGACTTTGCGCTCGCTCAAAAGGAGCTTGAACATGCAAGCCGGCTCGGTACGTGATCTTCCAACCATTGTAATGGTGTCTTTTGACAGCTTGGTCCGCTTGGCTAATTAGACTTTTCCCTTCACAACCTTGGAGGGTCACTTGCTTGCACACAACAATCACCCTGAGATGAAGGCTTGATAAAGATTTGAGCAGAAAGGCAAGCTTGCACTGAGGGATCTCATCTGTGATTGCCTCAGGACGAGAGACTCTATTAGATGAGGAGCTGACAGAGGAGCAAGTGGAGGAGGAGCTGGCACCAGTCACAGTGCAGCTAGCATACACAGCAGCGCAGCTGGGCCGGACTGCAGAGGCCCTATCAACATATGAGGTCTCTGCTCTCCTGAGGCTCTTGACCTGCAGTGAGGCGCTGGCCTGGAATTGCAGCTGAATAAGCCCCAAAAAGGTGGTGAAGGTGTTGTGCTAAGCAGGGAATTGTGAAGGACGGGGTGGAAGATGATGCAGTCACTGCTGTTGCAAGCAACAACTGGGTGGCTGAACGCCTGGCTTCAGAGGGAGATGCAGCTCCGAAGAAGCTCGCTGCAGAGCTGCTCAAAAAGTTTGAGGGCTTCTTCGAAAAGGTAAATAGTGTGCTGAAACGTTTCCATTTCTTTTGCTGCTTGATGGATGGGAAACCTTGCAGTGGTTCTGGGGATCATCGGCGTATCACAGATTTCCTCGTCGTGCAATGCACGCAGGGCCGCGAACTGCGCATGAAAGCGACATTGGAGAGGCGACTATCACAAGCCCAGAAGGAGGTCATGTATGCAAATTATGCCCTGCTGCTGATGTTGGCCGGCCGAAACGATGCAGCGCGCGAATGCACTACCTTCCTGCAGACCTGGTGCGTTCTGTGGCAGCGAAAGGCTAACATTATATGAGCGGCAGAGTGCAGTGCTGTGTTGTTACAAGAATCTGCCTCAGGACAAACCCATGCGCTGCATGGAGTCATGCGATGGCTGTCAGACTGCCTTTTGAATCTGCACCTCTTTCTTCAGGGCTCCCGAGTCAGAGCACGTGCTGCTGGCTGTGGCGGCCATGCTGGCTCGTGATGGGAAGGTGGAGGACGCAACTTCTCTGCTGGCCTCATCATCTGCAACTGCCTGTGCAGTGACAAGGGCACAGCTGGCAATTGGAGCTGGCGACACGCAGCAGGTGACTCATCATGCTGTCGGCTTGATGACTAATTGCATTGTTTGGACACAACTGTCCTTGGCATGGCTGATGTGGCAAGGTGCATCCTAGGAATAGTCTGAGAGTGTGACTTTAGTGAGCTAGTCCATGTCATGTCGCAGGCATCACAGGCCCTGCAACAAGTGGGAGATGCGGCATGGCTCAAGCGGCCCGCTGTTGTGGCCACGCAAGTTGACTTCCTGGAGGCAACGGATGACGTCGACAGTGCGCGCAAGCTTCTGCAGGACGCCATCGCTGCGCAAGGAGCCAGCAAGGCCAAGCCTGGCAAGGAGGGAGCGGGTGCAGAGGCATATTTGTTCCAGAGCCTGGCTAAGCTCCAGCTGAAGGTGCTCACCTGGCACCTGCTTCTTGAGCTGAACACTTTGACTCGCAGCTTGACATGAGGCAGTGCTCAAGGCACCACACGTCTGCTCAACTGAATATCTTACCTCCAGGACTGAGAACTTGGTGCCGGGTGTGGCTGTAGTCGCGAGAAAGCAGTGCTGTGGCATGTGAGCAGGCAGGGGAGATTGCGGAGGCGGTGAAGAGCTATGAGCAGGCGGTAAAGCTGTCTGGCAAGAGCGCGCCGGGCGTGTACAAGCTGATGGGGCAGCTGGCGCGGCGCAGTGCGGCCGGCACCGGAGTGGAAGTGGCGCAGCTGGAGAGCAGCCTGCCCCCTGTCGACAGCCTGCCTGCCCACAAGATCGACGAGCTTGAGGACGCAGCTGCAGGTGACGTGTCATCCCTACTGGCTGCGTAACTGCTTCAGGGCTCTGCATACATGGCAAGCTGCATGTCTTTGCGCTGTAGTGCAGCAATCATGCGCTGTGTCGTGTGTCAAAGAGAGAGCATCAGGACAGAGGTATAATGCTGGTGAATGCAGGCAGCTGGGCGGCCAGGCGCAGAGCAGCAGAGGGGACAGCCCAGAAGGCGGGCGAGGATGATGCGCAGCGGCAAAAGAAGAAGCGCAAGCGCCGCGTGCGCCTGCCCAAGGACTTTGACACGGCCAACCCCGGGCCGATGCCCAACCCCGAGCGCTGGATGCCCAAGTGGCAGCGCTCCGACTTCAAGAAGAAGCGCACTCGCCGGAAGGACAAGGTATATCCTCTGAACACCCTCAGTCCTGATGTGCGAATGCGGCGCTCTTAACCTCGCTAGAATGGATGTTGCTCCCTTCGTGTTCGCCCCCGCTGGATCTATCTTGCAATCTGGCGGGGAAGGACATGTTACCGAGATGTGGGTTATGCACTGCAGGAGGCAGTCAAGGGCAGCCAGGGAGCCGGCAAGGTCGATGAGGCCTTGGACAGGTCGAATATCATGGCAGATGCAGATGTTGCTGAGAGCTCTGCTGCAGCGCCACGCGGAGGAGGCCCTCAGCGGAATAAGAAGAAGGGCCGCCGGTAGAATAGCACTCCCGCATTTGGATTTGTCAATCCTAGTGGTCATGGATGGTCAGAGAAAAGCCAAAGTGCAGGGGATCTGTGACATCATAGCACTACACCACTCGCTAGTTCACTCGCGTTTAATGTTTATAGTGAGTCACAGTATACTTGGCGTGTGGAACACATAGGAGGAATAAAAGTTCTATGACAAAACTGATTTTATCGTTGTGATCGTGCAAGGCTTTTGTAAGGCAGCTATATCCGCCTTAGCTGGGTAGCAAAATGTTGTACGCACATTGTTTTGGCTGACTGGACTCGTGCATGCGTGGCATGTCACTGTTGCTGGCACCAATCAAGCTTTTGTGAGTAATCAAGAATGTCACCAAGCTATGATGCTTGCAAGAATGCGAAGGGCCCAGTCTGCAATCCACTGACAAAGTTTGCGCATGACGGGAGCTTGAGCTGATAACGCCGCTGCCAAAATTCAGGGATTTCAGTCAAAATATCCAATAAAAATTTCTGAATCGCATGTGGCGCATACTCAACACGGAATCGGTGCAACTATCCTATCTCCTACAACATAAAAAACATGGATATTTTTGCATCTCACGCACAGCATGCAAGCAGCTGCAGGCAATTCTCATCATCATTTAGGTTTCAGCCTCTCTGACTATCAAGGAAGCCCATATGGTGCGTCATGGAATCCTTCTTGGGTCAAAGAGACAACTGATATGAACAGGATGATGAATGATGTCTGCTGCTGCCTCAGTTGCACTCTTCCTTATCGTCCATATCAAGTGCGATCAGCACTGTCTGCACTGGTTGGCAGCCAATGTCTGCTGCTGCCTCAGTAGCCCTCTTCCTTTCTGATGCCTTGTCGGACTTGCCATATCTTGAACCCAAGTGCAGTCGACTGACGTCACGGCCGGCCTAGTGGGGCTGTATGGGCGCCCATACAGCCCTACTAGGGTAAGGCACTAGGGTATCACGATGACTCTCTGACTCGGAGCCTCGGAGGCTCGGACCCAAGAAACAGTACGGCACGCATGTTCAGTGAATGTGCAGCCAGCTGGGCGGCCAGGCGCATGCGCAGAGCGGCAGAGGGGACAGCCCAGAAGGCGGGCGCGAGGATGACGTCGACGCGCAGCGGCAGAAGAAGAAGCGCAATCGGCGCATGCGCTTGCCCAAGGACTTTGACTGGTCAACCCTGGGCCGATACCCAACCCCGAGCACTGGATGCTCAAGTACTTGTGGCAGTAGTGGCAGCGGTCTGACTCCAAGCAGAAGGCACGGGGCCGCCGGTAGAACGACAATAACGCTGTGATTGACTGTCATGCTAATTGATGCATGCGACATTTTTCCTGTATGATGATACTTGTTGCAGACAGTCTTCCACCTCCATTGAGTCCATTGACCTTTGTAAAACTGGCCCTCGCATGCGTTTCTCCGATGCTTATTTCATTTGGATGATGACTTTCAAGTCACTCTGGCTGTCGCATGGCCCCTATATAACCGATCCAATCTACAAAGGCTGTGCACTGTGTATCATGATGACAGCCCTGAATCAATGGTACATTTCACTGGCACATCGTTCAGGCAAAATTGAGCACAAGCACTGCAAGCTATGCACGCCTTGATTGCCTGCTTTATCGCTGCATTTTGTGATGTACATTACTGTGCACTGTTGTATTATTGCATTTCCTTGCTTGTTTTCTGTGGACCATTTGTGCGCCGTTTGCGAAATTCAATGCTGCTGCAGCAAGAGCGGCTCATCTCAATGTATGAAGCCATACCCCTCGTCTCCCGTCCTGAAGCCCCATAGTAAGAGGGCAGCCACCAAGATCAGCCCGCTCTGCACCAACCCACCCTGCAAGAACACATTCATACATAGCTGCCATAGCTGAAAGCTCGATATAAAACTTTTTGTGATGCACAGCACCTCCGGAATGCGAAGCACTGCAGGCGAAAATCTGGTCTTTTGGTGTGTTGACTCACCACTCCAATCTCCACATTCTTCCCGTTCTGGACACATGTGACCAGGACCGCAATGCTGCACAGAAGGACAGGCCGTAAGAGCGCATTCCATTACAAGGAGATGCTGTCATGTGGCAGGAACGATGTGTAGGGGAGAAGGTCCGAATGCGTACCTTCCTGCAACGGCCCCAAATGCAACGCAGTATGATATGAAAAGCCATAGCTTGGCTCGTCCCTGCACATCAAGACATTTCTTCAGGCAACCAGTCAAACTCAGCAGCATCAACTGTGGCTGTAGTGTGTGTCTCATGTCCCACATGCGTGCAGTCGCACAGTCTGCGCTCGAAAAGGATCTCACACACCTCAGAGCCTTCATCACTATTGTACATGTCTCCCATTGCTGAGAGATCATCTCTGCTGACAAGGTTCATCATTATCAAAGCCAGTGTAGCAACAATTCCGGGGAGATTGTATGTGAAAGGATAGCTCTCATGCAGCACGGTCTTTGTGTACACAAGTGCATCTATCCAGAAGGCCCAAGCAGTTCCAAACCTGCAAATAGCAGCAAATATGCCTAGATGCATTGTGTGGAATTCGATATACAACGAAGAATGAAGATGCATTCCTGCACTTTCAAGATCTTGAGTGACTTACAAGGCTCCAGAAAGGAATGGGGATATGTTCCTTAGCTTCGATTGCAAATTTTCCCAGTCAACCTCGCCATGAATAAACCAATGCGCAAGGTTGAACATCGTTTCTGTTTCGAACTCAACCAATTAAAGATTGCTAGGCTCTTTTATTTACTAATGGCCTGCACAGAGGAATAAGTATTTTTTAAGCTCTGAAGAATTCTCCTGATGGCATCCTCTTGGCAGCTTCCTCATGTATGATTAACCCATGCATGTGCAGGGTTAATCATGCATGGAAACTTAGTGCGGCTTCCTTTTCTGCATTCCCTTCGCACTTTCAGTATATCAAGACAGCATTAAGTACTTGTTTCAGTAGCTTATCGTAGGAGCACCATAATGGACTGCTGAATTCGTATGCCAACGCTGAATCCGCATGGGGTCCAGTTCACAACTTAACACTTGCAAAGCATGGGGCTGAAATTTCTCTTCCGTTCTGATCACCGTCAGCATGGGTGTCCCTCTCTGATCCGTCAGGTTCACAGCAGATTAGTGCAGGCAAGACCACATCGAGCATTCCCACCCCTTTGGTTGTCCATTTCGAAGAATGGAGCCCAGCGATCAGCGTGTTCAGCGGCGTTAAAAAAGGACAATGTTTCCCAAAACCAAAAGGGGAAGCCATCATTAGGCAACATATTGCAGGGTGTCCAGAAAGCAATTGGGATCACGTTCCCTGAAGACAAGGAGGTACCCACCAGGACTTCACAGTTCTCAAATTTTGCCATCACTTGCCATTGACACAATGTCCTTAATGAGATCATTCATACACAGGCATGCTTTTCTGGCAATGGAATCCACATGGGGATGGGAGTGTCCTGGCAGCTCCGCTGCCGGGGTGTTGATGGAGCATTCATTGAGGAGATAAGAGGCCGTCATCTCAGCTTCAAATATGGGCATCCAGGCGTGTCGACAGGCACAAGGACGGCACAGACCTGGGGGGTGAGTGAGGGGATGCAATACATGACCACACACCTAATTAAATGCAATGCTCAGCAATTGAGCCCTGTCATGACTGCTGCTTCATATGGTGCAGATGGAGTGGGATGATCTGCCAAAGGAGTTGCAGCTTGATGACAATGAGGTGAATATAACGGTTGCAACGCCCTCACAATTTGACCGCCATGCATGCATGCACCTGAAGTGATAGCGTCTTGCTCCTGCTGCAGGCGCTTCTCATCCAAGCCTGGGTCCGCACGGGATTTTGGGTGACTGAACAGGCTCTTGACCATCTTGCAATAAGCGTCAACTCAGAGGCCGAGGTGCTGCACACGGCCATCGAGAAAAATGACACCTGTTACGTCTGCTCCAGCCAGTGCAACACCAATCTGCTGTTTGAGGGTGGTAAGAGGGAGAGTGCCTGCAGAGGGAAGAGCTCAGGGCGCCAGAGGCGTCTGAAAGCCGGCTGTCATCAGTGCATGTGCCAGAGGATGGGCCCTCAACCTCTGACTTGGGCGCCCAGGACACAGAAGAGAGTGTTGTTTTGAGCTTGCGCTTGAGGAGAGGCAAGGTGAGGCCTGATGGGTGCACACTGCTTGCTTGCAGCGCTCACCATGTCCAGACTTCCCAGCTTGAATTTTGGCTGGCACAGTGCTGAGCAAGGATGGTGGCATCGATCAGGTGAAGGCATTGTTGTGGGTGTGCACAAGAACCTGGCAGCCACTGCGCCTGGCATGCCCACTGTGCGGCCAGATCGACATGAGCACCTATGAGCACTGGACTGATTGGCAGACATCCGGCCCAAGGTACTACATCAAAACAAGCCCCGTATGCTTTATGGGACTGCAAGTCGTTCTGCTGCACGAAATGGATAGCTCTGAACATGCAAGGTGTTGGGGATGCTGTGCAGCATCAGGCATCCAAAATTGGTAGTTCAGAGGGGAGGTACAGGAGGCAACAACTCTTTCGCTACTGTGAACGTCTCTTGGCAGCCACGCAGCGCTCCGCAGTCTTACCTGATGCCCCCCTGCCCTGTGCGGCCGCCAGATGCACATTATGAGGAATCAGCCCCGCCAGTCACCCAGGCGTGGTGGACGGTGCGCGTAGCAATATCTTCTTATCATTTGTCATCATATGAAGATAAGAATTGCTTGATGATGCTTTGATGAAGGCCCACGACTGAGATTGTGAAGCATGTGCTGTCAGGCCAGCGGGCATGTGCTTGTGCGGCCATGCATCAATGGGTCAGATGCCCATGGCTTCTTCATCCTTGACACAGGTGAAACTCACCTGCGGATAAACTCAATTGTGTATATGAACATTCCAATTGATAGAGGTATCAGTCATGTCCTGTGATACTTGCCCCTAATCACTTTGACAATGTGCTTGTCCAACAGGAGCCAGCGGCTGTGTTATTGAGAGGGCAGCCGCAGACAAATTGGGCTTGGAGGGGTTTGGCCAGCTGTTTGTGGCAGGAATGGCGGGGCGAATACAGAGCAGGTTCCGAAGAGCAAGGACGCTGTCTCTGGGGCCTCTCACCATTGAAAGACCCCTTTTCATGTGCGTATGTTGGGCCTGCCTGTGCCCCCCCTGAGAGAACATGCCAGGTGTTTTTGCATGCTATTTTTCTGGTCATGCCAATGTTGCCACATGGGTGTTTTCACACGTACAGTTGCTCACAGGGAGATGGGAATTGGCGGGCTGATCCGCGGGGCGCCTGGGCCGGTGATTGGGATAGTCGGGTGCGAATTACTTTCAAGTCTTCTGTCTTTCTAATCACACGCGCAGTGTCGAATGTGGGAGTCATGCAGGCTGTCTTGCTGCGCAGGTATGATGTGTTCCGAAGGGCAGTCATTGAGCTGCCGCCGCCCAGCAGGCAGACAATGCGGGAGTCAGTCAGGATGCTGATGCATGACCCAGAGACATATCAGCCGGACTCCAGAGCAACCCAGCACTGGCAGGTGGATCCTCCTAAACCAACTCGTGCATTTAGAACTTCTCCTGGCTCCCATGTGGAACCTTGATCTTGATCCTGAGCGCATATTGTAGGAGCTGCAAATGCTGGCCAATCTGCCGCATGTCTCGGCGGAGTTTGAGAGGCCACGGCATCAGCAGAAGGAGCAGCAGAAGCAGGAGGAAACAACACCATCGTCAGCACTGTTCCTGCTGGACTCAGGGGCTGGCGGCGTGGAAGTCATGCTGCATGCGCGAGCAGCCCAAGAGCTCCAAATACACTCTGCGCCCCATGTCAGAACTCACACGCTCAAGGTATGCGCAATCCCAGTCACACTTGTCTCCTGGGCAATGAGATTGACATGCCATACAAAAGGTCAACCCAAATGTGCATGTCGCTTTTGCCGAGCACAGAGCGAAGGAGCCAGTAACGCGTGGCATACAAGGACCTTTGCGCAATAAGTCTTCTCCGAGCCAGGATAGCTGATGCAGCTGACAAAAGAAATGGGCATGGTGATGCCGGCAGGGCGTTGGCGGGTCTCACAAGAAGGCGTTGAACATGCACAGCACGCGGCTGCCCTGGCTGCGATTGTCAGGGACCATGTTCGATGAGGTGCTGTGCCTAGCGGCCAGCGCTTCTGGCGGCCCGGATTTCAGCTGCTACACCCAGGGCGCGATCTGTGCAGGCCTGCTCAGCCGCTGCACTACGCTCTTTGACTACCCACACCGCCGCATTGCATTTCTGCCGACCAGGACAGAACCGCGCTTTCCACAGCGGAATAAGGCTAGGTGATCAGGTTGAATCGTTTCGTGATCTTTGGGCCCGGGGGATGTGAAAGAGAATGATATCCCTTGTAGAGACAGACCAGTATTAAAATTATTCCACGTCATAATGTTGGCTTAGAAGCCCGAAAGAAGTACTGCCTCCAAACGTCTGTATGAATGCGCATAGGATCCAATAGATTAATGCGACTTCGAGATTATGAGCCTTGGTGCTTGAGACTGCGTCCAACCAAAATTGTGGTGGCGACATCTTCACTGGTGTTTGTTCCCAGTGAGGGTCAATGGCTGAATGTAAGAAGCTGCTGTCTTTCCAAGATCACAAACCATTGTTCACCACCTTTGCCAACATGATGTCTTCCCAAATAATGATGATGGCTGATGAGTATTGCATGTCCAGTGCATTTGTCACTTTCGCAATTCAGCAGATTCTTTACACAGCATGACACTGTACACACAGGACTGCAATAGGCACCTTTGTATCGCAGATAGCTCGCATTTACACATCAGCAGAGCAGTAATTTTGTCTTCCCCTCCTTTTTATGATACTCTCGTGTACTTTCTTTGGTTTTTTTCTTTTACTTTTTCTTGATTGCACCCACTTTTTTGCAACATTCCAGTCACACCAAGCAGGAGCAACTCTGGCAGCCCAGTCCATCAGCACATGTTCACGGCCGGATGAATCGAGGACAGCATGATTAAAGCACTGTGCGTCATGCACAGCAACCCTTCTCTGCAATGTCTCCCGCTCAGGCTGCGACGGGCTCGTTGTTGACTGCAATGCCCTCCGGCAGGGCGTTGTGCTGCTTGAGCACGGTGATGGCCTCGTCCACCTTGGCGACCAGGGCGTCGGGCGACTCCAGCAGCAGCAGCAGCTCGCTGTTGTCCATCTCCAGCAGCATGCCGGTGATCTTGCCGGCCAGCTCAGGCTGCAGGCGCTGCACCAGCGGGAACAGGCGCTCGCCCAGCATCTGCTTCTGCTGCTCGGGCGCGGCGGCCGCCAGCATGGCAGTGGTCAGATTGCCGCCCTCCTGGCCGGGCACGACGGCCGACGGCGTGGGGACAGGCTGGGGCTGAGCCGGCTGGGGCGGCGGCGGAGGAGGGGCGTGGTTGGGGCCGTTGGGGACAGCGTGCGGGCCACCGCGCGGGCCGCGGCCGCCGTGCATTGGGCCCGGGCCGCGAGGGCCGCGGCCCTGGGGGCCTCCGTGCATGGGGCCGTTCATGCGAGGGCCGCGCGGGCCACGGCCAGGGTGCGGGCGGCCGCCGGGGCCGACCATGACGACATTCTGCGGGCCGCCGTACGGGCCGGGGCCCGGGCCGTAGCCCCCGCGAGGGCCACGCGGGCCGGCACCCTGAGGGCCGCGCGCGAAGGGCGGCATGTGCTGGTACATGGCGCCGCCAGGGCCGCCGTAGGGGCCCTGGGGGCCTCCACGCTGCTGGGGGCCGGGGCCGTAGGCGTTGGTGGGCGGGGCAAAGTACTGTTGCGGAAAGGAGACGGCGTTTGGCGGGAAGACGCCAGGCATGGGCACTGGGCCGGGAGCGTTGGGGCGGCCAGACATGGGAGCCACGCGCTGCTGGGTGTACTGCTGCTCCAGCTGCTGGCGGCGCACCTCCCTGCGCTGAGCCAGGGCCACGTACCTGCGCATGGCAAAACACAGCATCAGCATTCAAGCACTGACCACAACAATGCCAAGAAGCGACGGCAGCAGAAAGATTCTCTACAAGGGTGATAGAAAAAAATCAGTCCATGCGAACAATGCATGAAGTAGTGTTGCATCCGGGAGGGAGCAGGACACTCACATGGGCTTGCCCAGGAGCATCTTGCCGTTCATCTCGGTGACGGCGCGGGTGGCCTCCTCAGGGCTGCTGTAGCACACAAAGCCGAAGCCCTTGGACTTGCCGGCGGAGTCCTTCATGACCTTGGCGCTGGTGATGGTGCCGTGCGGCGCAAATTCGGCGCGCAGCTGGTCGTCGTCCACCTCGTCCACCAGGTTCTTCACATACAGGTTCATCCCCTGGTACTTGGCAATGCGCTCCTGGCGAACCTCGTCAAACCTGCAGCAGCAGTCAGCGCACGATACTCAGATCCCGACCACACCCTCTCAGCCATACAGCACAGGTCCTCGCAGCGGATGATGGCAAAAACAACTGCATACCCAGCAGTTCTTGGGTGAGGGGCATGCTTGCAAAATACACTATTTACCCAAATGCATCTGCAGCAGCTGTTGGATGACAGTACAGAGGTATGCAGGAAACAAGGAAGTTCAGGGGCTCACTTCTGCTTCAGCTCAGCCTCGCGCTCGGCCTTCTTCTGCGCGCGGCCGCAGTACAGCTCCTTGCCGTCAATCTCCTTGCCGTTCAGAGCAGTCACAGCCGCGTGCGCTCCCTCAGCATCCTCAAAGTTGATGAACCCAAAGCCCTTGGACTTGCCAGCCTCATCCTTCATGATGGCAAAGCTCGTCACCTGCATGACAGCGGAAGAAATCACTCAGCTGTCAAGTGCTTTGCTGCTACTCCTGCACATGCTGGCATTCTGTAAGGCTTCCAGCAGTCACATCCAGCTGTCACTTGCTAAATCTGCAGGAGAAATTGCATACCATGCCATGCTCGTTGAACATCTTCTCAACCTCCTCATCGGTGAGATTCTCGCTCAGGTTCTTGACGAAGACGTTGGTGTAGTGCTGCTCCTTGTCAACAGGCCGCTCAGTGCGCTTCAGGAAAGGGCCCACAAACACCTTCTTGCCCTCCAGCAGCATGCCATTGACCTGCGGGCACCCCATTTATCAACAAATGGTATTTCCCAGTGGGACATCATGCACAACATCAGTGAGCAGAATTCCTGAAACAGCGCTCAAGCTGCTTTATATTGGTTCAAGATCAGGAAATGTGCCTTGAAGCGGGAGAGTTCTCACCTTCTCGATAGCGAGCTGCGCGGCCTCCTCCTTCTCGTAGTGCACAAACCCATAGCCCTTGGAGTTGCCGGCCAGGTCCGTGGCCACCTTGCAGGACAGGATGGTTCCAAAGGCGGTGAAGGTGTCGTGCAGAGCCTTGTTGTCAATGTCCTTGTCCAGATTCTTGATGAAAATGTTGCCCACTCCCGATTTGCGGAAGGCGGGGTCGCGGTGGCTCCACATGATGCGCATGGGCTTGCTGTCCTCGCCGCCTTCTGCCGAGCAAAATTCACCGCTGTCACAATGCTGTGAGTGAACACTGTGATGCGCCAAATATTCTTCATCAGCCAATGCAAGTGATGAAGTCAAGGCATAGAAAACCAAACAAGGCTTCCTTTCAGCAGAATCAGAGCATCACCCTTGCCAGGGATCACAGAGGTGTAGTTGAGGGCCTCAATCGCTCGCTCAGCTGTGAACACACAGATGCAACTTGTCAGCCTTTCAAAATAGATAAATGACGCGTACACACACGGGAGCCTTACATGCACGTCTTGCAAAGGCTCCAGATCAACTAGCAAAAACTCTCTTGAAGATTTGCCTCGCTTTTACCTTGCTCTCCTCTACACCTCCCTAGCAATACTGCACACGAGTCGATCCCATATATCCAATAGGATGCAAAACCATGCAGAACAACGCAGCCTAGCTTCCTGCAGATGACCAGCTGGCAATCAGGGCTTCAACATCGCCACACTCACCGGCAGCGGCATCCAGAGCGCTATTGTAGTTGACGTATGCATAGCCCAGCGAACGGCGTGTCACAGCGTCGCGGCAGACGCGGATGGAAGCCACAGGCCCGATCTGCAGTGCCAAGCTCAGTTATCAGCACGGAGACGGCTGAGTCACAGGAGCAACTGGAGGCACTCGCCACAGCCATTCAGTATCCCAAAGGTACACCTGGCCCCAGTACACGTCGATGCCGAGCCTACAAGAGGCCCACCTGGGAGAAAATCTCGAAAAGCTGAGCCTCGGTCACGTCCCTGTCCAGGTCTCCCACGTACAGAGAAGAGTTGTGCACAGGCGTGGCTGCCGCAGCCTCCGGCACCGCCGCACCACCATTTGCTGTTGTCGTTGCCATGCTGTTTTTTGTTGCTTATATCTGGCTCAAGATTTATCTGCTCCTCGCGGTTACTGAGACCTCCTTTTTTTGGGTGGTTTTTTTGGTGAGAACCTTCCTTGCGGGAGAGGCCTCTTTTTTAAATATAAGTGGGGTAAGCGGAACGCTCCCCGAAACGATCGAGCTTCTGCTCTTTGATAGTGTTGCTGATTTGGAGTTGAAGAGAGGACAACTGAGGTCGCGGAGAGCGGCCTAGTCGCCGCCGATCGATATCGCACCAACCCTTTTCAAAGGGTTGACACCTATCCCTCCAGAAATTGCATGAGGGAATTTGGTGATGAGCGCGATCATGAGATGCTGATTTATGAACAATGTGACTTTGGACCGTCAAAATTTGTATATATCTTTCACCTGCATTACTACTGTTTGATCAGGGGATTCGGGCAGTCTCAGTCTGCAGGATCTGTGGGTTATGATCAGGGTTTGCCTTGTTGATGCCAAGTTTGTAAGAGCGACCTGGTTCCCCCGTTGGCCTGGATTTCTTATGTATATGCAGTTTCATTTGTGCTGAGTGGAACTGCACATGTAGAACCCCTAGACAAAGGGCCTGGCAGAGCCTATGGCAATCTGCAGGCTCCTCAGAATGAGAGGGGTGCCCATCTTGCGGCAGCTGCATCTGGAAGAAGCACTCCTGCGTGCAGACTCCGCGAACTACTGCATCATTAACGAGGGCACGCCTGACCCAGCCATTGTGATAGGCATTTCAGGGTAAGGTGGTCTCACAGTAGTGGAAGCAGTTGAATTGTACATTTGTGCTCAGATCATGACAGCTTCTTCAAATCTGTGGTCAGGAAACCTGAAGCGCTCGTACACATTGGGGCTGCCAAGGCAGCGGGAGTGCAGGTCATCAAGCGGTTCACAGGTGGAGGCACGGTAGTTGTGGATCACAACACAACGTTCAGTACTCTGATATGCAATGCATCGGATGTCGAAGGCGTAGAGTGTTACCCGCGGCCAGTCATGCAGTGGAGTGAGGGCTTTTACAGACCAATTTTCGGGCCCCACGGCGACTTCAGCTTGCGAGAGCACGGTGAGACCTGTGTCCAAGATTTCATGCCACACCAAGTCATGTCAGTCTTATTAATAGTCAGCGAGTTGCCTGACAAATTGCACATATGGCATGTTTCTACCACCTGCGCATGCTGGATGGATACATGAGGATGCGTGTTGTCTGCAGATTACACATTCGGTGAGCGCAAGTTTGGTGGCAACGCGCAGGCGATCACTAAACAGCGCTGGCTCCACCACACATCTCTGCTGTGGGACTTTGACCCTGAAAATATGGCCCTGCTTAAACACCCTGAGCGAGTGCCGGAATATCGTGCGGTAAGCATTCTTACTGCATGAAAGTTTATGGTATGATCTGGGGCTCTTTCATGCCCTGAGGCAGATCTCAGTCATGATGCTTCCCATGTTGATGGGGCTGTGCTTGTCAAGAGCTTGTCTGCACTGCGCAGGGCCGGGAGCACCTGGATTTTGTGTGCCGTCTGAAGGATTTCATGGCCAGACCTGCTGTCACGGAGGGTGTTGTGGATGCCCTAAAACATGCTGGATTTCAGATAGAACATGTGAGCCTTGCCGAAGCAGAGGAGGTCTTGCAGCGCCCGCACCTAAGGAACACAAAAGAAATAAAGCTGTAATGTAGGCAAATAAGGATGGTGCTGAAACCATGGAGGGATATTTGACCAGAGTAACGGCAGCGCCGATCACTCGATGCATGAGGGCTTATGACTCATGAGGTGTTGCCAATCGAGCATCTTGAATTTCAGAGAAAATGGGATTATGATTCTTCTGAGCATTAAAATCCGGGAGAGAATGCATGAATGAATTTCAATGCGAGCGCCAAAGTAGGGCTGCCTGGTTGTGTAAGCAAGAGTGCATGGAAAATACAAGCATCTCCCGGCTGAGGAGCACTGATAATCACATTGCATGCATGTGCGTATTGGAGCTTTTGTAGAAAATCCTTGCTTACAGCTTGACGGTAGGAGGGACCACTTATTTTTAGGACATCTTATTTCTATCATGTCCCTTTCTGACAGGTTTGAGCCTGCTCCTCAAAAGCTCCACCAGCGCTCCACTATCCATTGAGGCAAAGGGCTGCCCACAGATCACAATGTGCTTCACAAGGGAGTCTAATCGGCCCAGGAACACTCCCAGACCCACCTCGAACACTCCAATGCCCTCAAAGACCAGCGCTGCACATCCATTGACACGCTTTTCAGTCATCTGCACAACTGCAGGTGTTTGCAAAAGTGATGCAGACTGCAAATAAAGTTATGGGGTACTTTCCAGGGAGGCAGCTCACCTTGCTGCTGAGCATGCTCATGGATTGTCTCCTGAAAGCGCTTCGGAAGCTCAGACCAATGGGTTTTTGAGTTCAGGTGGTGCTGGATGTGGTAGCCATCATTGAAGGTGATGGCATTGTCAGGACAGGCCACGCAGTTGTAGGCCATGCCATAGGCGCTGCTGGGATGCTCTGGGTTTATGAAGATGTGTTGGCTCCTGAAGCAGCCAAACCAGCTGCTTAGACATGCCGTTCAAGTGTGTGAAGACTCGCGAAGGAAATTAATAAATGTGCAGCAAGAACATAAACAGCTCACCAGTTTCCAAACATCAGCGCCAGGGAGCTCAGCAAGTATGGGATGACCAGTGTCCACAGGGTGGCCACAGGCCTCCATTGCCACAGCAGGTAGACACCCGCAAAGTAGGCCGTCTCCGTCAGAAAGCACATCCCAAACAGCCGGAAGCGTCGCCGGTACAGCGCGTACACCAGGAGTTCCACCCAGGCTCCAACAGTATGCCTGATCCAGTACCTGCTCGCACACTACCACTTTACCACACTACCACCACCTTACTACCACACTAACACCACACTTGGTTTCGGTACAGCGCATCACACGGGTTTCAGCAGCATTGGAGCGGGAATTGAGATCTTCCTAGTATGCGCAGAGGGCAGGGGGGCGTACACTAAAAAATGGAGCACATTGTCTCTCTGGTACGGCTCAGTGGATGACAAATCAGAATGCGCACCGTTGCTCTCCTGCAGGGTTTGCTGACATAAGTGAAGATTTCATATTTTTCCAAAATATTTTAGGACATGGAGAAATATTTTTCCTTACCGAATGATGCATTTTCGTATGGTGGAGACTGTACAGTCCACTCGGCACACCATAGAATGGAGCCAAGAAATGCACCGCAATTTTATTCAAGTAGTTGTATTCTGCAATTTCCAGATAAAATGTTGTAAAGCTCATCTCTTTGCGTCCAGTGAAGCCATGATTTACTTGATTAATTGCTTGATAGCTCTTTGGCAGAGGTCAACTGGACTCCACCTGCTTTGAATAGGCGCCGATGATCTGTGACATGGAGAAGGGCCACCAGAAATCTGGTGATAAATACACCGTAATTGATTGCGAGGTACGCGGCTCCCAGGCTGTGGGATGGGGGCAGGAAAAACAGCGCAGCAGCAGCTGGAACAGCCAGTGTCAGTACGTTGAGGAACAAAAAGGCGACAGGCTCATCTCGGGGGTCATTGAGCAAGCTTCGTATGATGCTTTGTGCCCAGGCTGGTGCTGGCAGGATGTATTCCCTGCGCTTTGCTTCAAGATCAAATTGTGCTGCACAGTGCCCACCGCTGCCTCCTCCTCTGGTGCCAGTTCGGCACATCTCAACTGCTGCGAGCAGGCATCGAAAACCATCAACCCATCCAAATGCATAACTTCATTTTCATTATAAGATATTGCTTTCAAAGGAGACGATTGCTTGATGGCCGGTACGCTTCCAATGCAATTTCAAACATCGTTACCATACTGCTCGGAATTCAGAGTTTAGAATATCCAAGATTCAGCCCAATAGCTCTGTAATTGAATGTGCAACATCGAGCTTCCCACCCACCCCCGATTTCGGAACACATGCAGCATGGTGGTCCATAGCTTCCCGCAACCGCGAAGCTGGCCAGTCAACCTCCTTGCATTTCCTACAATATCCCTTCCCTTCCTTCGTGATCGCAAAGAAGAAGTTGAAATGACAGAACAGCTATCTATAATAGGTTCATAAGGTCGTCAGGTTCTGTTGCTGAATAATCTAGCCTTTTAGTTGTCCTAGTGTTCCTCCAGATCTCTTTCTTTTTGATCCTCTACGGTGACCTAACTCGACTTTACATTTGTTTGATCAGGTTCGTCTACAAATTGATAGAACATTGGGGAAAGCACTAGTGCTGGATGCTTTTGTGACCACCGTTGTGCATAGCACCGCATAGAAACGCTGCAGAGTGTGTTGTGCTCTAATATATTTGCGAATGCAATAGCTGTTGCAGCATGAGTGATATTTCAAAGCCCTCAGGGCCTCAGGAAGATACGGAGATCAGCAATGTACTTGTAGTAGAGCCAGGAGAACGGGTGCCTCACGAAACGTCCCAGGAACTCCCCACAGATAGCGTTGGCGGCACAGAAAATGGCAATCATCTCGATCCTTCCACAGATGGCTGCATAGGAGAGGATGAGGGCCCAGATGCAACTGACCCTCACGTGCAGCCTTCTTCCTCAAGCCTGCTGGAGAGCTCTGGCGAACAAATGGTCCAATCGGCACAACATGAGGAGGAATGTATCATGGCAGAACCTGCCAGACCAGCTGAGGCCCTTAAAGACAAGCTCATGGATTCAGAGTTTAAAGGTCAATTCACAGATGACCCCGATTCAGCTGAACGTAGCACAAAGGCAGCAAACTGTCCAACGGATGATGGCTCTGATGATTTCGGAGATTTTGAAGATGTGGAAGAAGGTGTGGCCCAGAGTCCAGGTGTGTGCTGCCCTTGTGCATCTGCATCCCATCAAGGCATGACACTTGAGGCCTTAATGTCACAGGGCTTCGTTAATGTGAATGTATGGCGCAGATGCCTCAGATGATGCTGACAGCGATGACGGTTTTGGAGGGTTTGAGGAGGCAGCTGAAGGAAGTACAGCAGTGGCTCCACAAGTCAAGGACAGCGCTGTAGTGGACTCAACCGCACAACCAACTTCTGGAAGTGGAACTCAACAAATGGTCCCAGACCAACAATCTGCAGGCAGCCATCATGATATTTTCATCTCAAGCAAGGCAGATTTTCTTGAGCAGGTTTGGGGCACCAGATGTCTTGATCTAAAGAGCTGATATCAGCAGAACATATATTGACATTCTGGAGCAGCACTGGCCTGCACGCATAGCCAAAACGCCTCAATCTGTTTGCCTATGGACTGCAGGTCAGACAAATGCTATGTCCGTTGAAATCTGTGACAACACATGACCGTGGAGACGGCAAAGATATTGATATCGTGTCTCTGGACATCCTCATGGATCACCTTCAGAGCACACATAGCCCTGATGGCTTTGGGCTTTCTCAGCTTGCTAAGCAGGCATCTCACATCGGTGCTGTGGAGGTACTGAATCTGGTGACTGATCCTTTTTCCTGCATGGCCCACATTTCTTCATGTTGACACCTATATACAACCCAAGCAAGCAATGATGTGATGGTATGATTTCCGCAGATACACCAGAAACAAGTTACCCCAATTATGTGGGAGGGCAGCAAGGCAGAGAGTCGCTTCCTCTCACGATGTCCCAAAAGCAAACTGGAGCCATCGGCTAGGCAGCCGCCTGACTTGAAGGCTTCACAGGGATCAGCTGGCGAGCAAGCATCTGGTGTGCACTTTGCTCAACTCGCCGTCCCTCTGGTATAATGCCCCTTCAAGCCTCTATGCTGATGATGAACTACGAAATTCTTAATGTGTGACATCTGTTGCTACAGGCAATCAGGACGCACCGGCAGAGGTTTCAGGAGTTGCAATCAACATCTTCACAGCATCTGGAGTCGTTCTAGACTCGCACTACATGGCTGGTAGCTCAGGCAAGAGCTCTCTGTCCAGCCGCATCTGTTTGCTGGCATGTTGGCGCGACTTGCTGTTCCTCTTATGTGCCGTTCACATCGACAGCCTCTTGATAAGCAGGAAATTGTCTTTATCGTAAGAATGCACCATTCCTTCAGGTACCCGGGTAGCTCCTGTGGGGAATGGGGATCATGTGGAGGGTGCTGCAATGGCATCTGGCCATGGGAGGCAGGTATCAGGAGCTGCGGAGCTGCCCAGTCAGTCAGCCTTGGACACCTCTGGCTTTGGGGCCTGGGCAACAGACCCGACGCTGATCCCTGGGATGAGTCTTCCACTTGGCACCGGCCTCGAGGCCAGCCCTTCCTTGACACAGGCAGCATCGGGCCTTGAAAGTGCCCGGGACCTCTCCGGCCGGTCACAGGCTGCGTCCACGACCGCAAGCAGTGCTTGGGAGCACGGTGGCTCAGCCCCTCTCGCGGACAGTGCAGCCTTGACCCATTTGGAGCAGGGTGGGTCGCCGCGCAGGAGCTTGAATAGAGGCAGCAGTGCTTCGCCGTCTCGGCTGGCCCGCTCATCATCAATGCTGGAGACAGAACTGGCTGGCCAGGAGCAATGGAAGGTTGAGACAGACCCGGCAGCTGATACTGATGTGCCTGACCTGTCCTTCATGTTGTCAGATACTCTTGTGTTACCAAAGTGAGAGGTCCTCGGATCGGGTGGGACGTGCCTCAGGCTGGACGCTTCCTCGGACAGTGACAGCTATAACAGGGCGTGCGACATTTCATGACGTACAGGTTCCAATTCTGCACAGGATGACTAGATCTTGATGTTGGCTTTGTGAGTCCACAGAGCAGGCATTGCTGGTTTGTGATTAAAAGAAGAAAGATAAAGAGAGAAAGATAAGAGAAGAGAGATGCAAATAAAATACAACTTGTAGGCAGACCGAGCGCCTAGTTGGGATTTTGATTGAATACTTGACTCTCGGAGACCGCCACTTGTGACAAATGGATGTTGAACTTGTTTGCATCTTGTGGGCCGATGCGCAACAACCAGGTTTCAGTAGTAATATTTCAAAACAGTGAAAGCACCAACCTTCTTGCGATTTTGACCCTCGCGTCCTATGCAATGGATTCCCTCTCCCAAGTGGCGTAATCTTGGACCTCTAGCCTGCTTGTTGTGATCTGCCCACGTTTTGTCCCTATTTCTTGTAGAAATGGACATCGAAAGCTCTACGTCTTTACTCTTGCACGTCGATTCCCCTTTAAAACCTGATATCGTATCAAAGTATGCCTCCAGAAGAATCAGCTACTTTGGCTTTCACCTTGACCTTATGATCTGATCTGACATCAAAAGTATGGAAGAGGAGAAAGCTCATGATCTCTTCACGTTGTTCTCCAGCATTGATGCTGGCGCGAGACAAAAAAGGGTAAAAGATACAGGAAATTGATTTGCTATATTGATCGCTTGTAATCTAAAACACAACCCATGACCATTTGTTCCCTTGCAGGGTCTTGGCTTCGATACAGGGGTGCAGGACACCTCAAAACGGCATGCGCAGGGATTCATAAAGTTTGCTCAGTCTACCTCAGTGCCTTTTGGAGACGATTCTTCACTGGCACACCAGGTTGCCAAAAAGCTGAAGAAGTCTTCAGAGGAGACTCCAAAAACGAGGGAGAGGAATGAAAGGACCCATCTCAAGGATACAGAGCGAGATGGGAAGTCAAGGCACATAACAGACCGTTGTGAGGAGAGAAGGACAGAGAACAGGAGTAGGGACTCTGATCGCAGGCGAAGTCATGAGTATGCTGACAGCAGAAGCCAAGACAGGGAAAGGAGACAGCATAAAGGAGACAGGGAAAGGGACATGGACAGGGGCAGAGACAGGGACAGGCACAGGGACAGAGACAGGGACAGGAATAGAGACAGAGACAGGAGCAGAGATAGGAACAGGGATAGAGACAGAGACAGGAGCAGGGACAGAGACAGTCGAGAGCATAGAAGACATCGCTCTGCTCATGAAAGGACAGCCTCCCCCGCAGACAAACATAGCTCTGGAAGCCGTCAGCACAGAGATGCAGAGCACCGTGCAGCACGGAAAGGTGGGCATGCCGATCATGATACAAGTCACAGAAGCAGGCAACAGAGCCGCGGAGACACTCAGACTGGCCCGCAAGAGGGCCCCGGGAGACCTGAGAAGATCAATTTCGTAGAAGCCATTCCCGGCTACGAAGAGATGTCTGCTGGAGAACGCATGAAGGCCCGCACAAAGCTGCTCCTGGCACGCACAAACAAGCAGGTAAACTTGTGCTCCTTCCTTTGCCAATTCTGCTCAAAAGTGGTTCATCCCATGATCATTGAATAATCTATTGTGCTCAAGGCAGCCTTCATACATGCAGCTGTAGACTCTTGTATATGCTGCTGCGCAGGACATAGACAGCAGACAACAGTGGACCCGTTTTGTTTTCAACAAGGTGATGAGCCTGCTGTGCACGCTGTCCCTGTGATACTTACGCAGCGCCAATTTCTATTTCTGTGACAACTTTGTGGCCCTCAAGTTTTGCTTTGTGGCCCTCAAGTTTTGCTTTGCGGCCCTCAAGTTTTGCTTTACCGGTGAAATGCCTGCCTGTGCAGGATGCCCTGCTGGATGAGGAGGGTGCTCAGCCTGGTGATGCATTTGGAGGTGGAGCAAATGCCGTCTCTTTGAAGGTGCCTGCTGCACAAGCGCGCCAAGAGGAGCGCATCCTGAGCGCACAGGAGGCCCACGAGGCATGTGCTTCCTCAAGATCACTGCAAGTGATATATGTGTGGCAATGACCTGTTGGGTGGCTGAACAGGACTGTGCAGCACTAGCATTTAAGTGAAGTGTGAGATGAGCAATACAGCTCAGCCAAATTCATTGCTTTGCTTGCCAGAAGTGACAGGCATGAGCCTGGAAATGGAGTAGACGTTTGGTGAGGATTTGCTTTTTGAACTTGTCATGCAGGCTGCTATATTTGGTCTGCCGGCAGCTGCGTCTCAAGTGAGCCCGCCCAGGGTGGGACAGCATGCAGGCCTGGGTGCACGGCAGCCGTCTCCAGAGCCCCAGCAGCAGCTCAGCCCTGAACGACGAATGCACTCCGAAACGGTCCAAGCTCAGGCGGCAGTCTCTTGGCGTGAGCGTGCAGCCCAGCTGAGAGCGCAGCGGCAGGCCACTTGACAGTTGGTTTCAGGAGGACATGCAATTTAGTGGTATGTTCCCGGAATCCGGAGCAACCTGTACAACGCATGCAGAGGGTGTTTGGATGAGTGTGGATGATGTTGGACGATGGCGTTTACAATCCTAATGATAGCGTCCCAACCAGAGTTTCCATGACTCGACATGGTCTGACATTGGAAAATTGACACTGCCATGAAAAATATATATTCTGTACAAGTAGCGGTAATGTCAAGACAATGGCCCCAGTCTCAATCCTGCGAGAAGCTCAAGGTAGCCCTCCTGCTCAGGCCTGATAAATCCATGGCGAATGAGAAAATCAATGATGACAAGGTTGCAGTTGTCCTTGAACTTGTCTGTGTTTGCTATAATTTCGGCCACTTCTTCAATAGGAAGTCTTTGGAATGACTCCACTTCTCCATCCTGGTCACAGGCAATATGCACCCTTGAGCTGACTATTAGGAGAATGACATCAGGGTGTCAGGAGCTGCAAAAACCGGTCATGACAATGCAAAATCCAAGGGACAGATTCTAACCTGGGGTGCAGGTACAAAGTCAGCTGGCAGCTGAAGGTCGTAACAGAACAGCACATCTCTTTTCAGCCCCGACTCCTGCATCTCCTCGTAGCTCACGGCACCCACAGGCTTTGCATTCCTCGCCAGCTCTTCTGGAATGCTGGCCTCCTCACCACACTCCTTGGTGACATTAGCCCCTGGGCTGAGCCCATGCGGCTGCACACAGAAGAGCACATTCAGGCGTGTGAACAATTGCGCATTATCAAACCCGGGCATAATGAAGATATCTTACTTGAGTATAACAGTGTCAGCTTGTGGAGCTCTGCATGTGGTTTAAATCAAGCTGCATGGTGTGCAGTCGCTGACCTGGCCTCCAGCCACAATGTGGTCCAAGCGGCCGGGCCAGGTGGGTTTGCTGCGGCTGCGCGTGGCCACCCACAGCTCAACGCCCCTCTCTGTCTCCACGTAGCCGTTCACATGCACGCCATATGCCTTGATGCCCAGGTGCACGGCGGCTGCACGCTCGACCAGAGCCAGCGGCTGCCCTTGGAAGGAGGTCAGCACTGGGTAGAGTTCACTGCGCCACCCGGTCAGGACGCCCTCATCCCTCAGCTGCGCTAGCACGCCTGCACTGCACAGTACGCAGGATGCATGATGCGATCTTGCTGTGCAGCCACTTCAACCTGCCGCGGGTGTCATTGACATGCAAGAGGGAACTGGCCATAAGCACTGCCTGTTGAGCCTTGCCATCTTACTGACTGGCAGGGGAGTACCTGCCAGGGCTGCACTGCGTTCCTCGCAAGTTTTCAAGCTCTCGTCGAGAATGAGGCTGCCTACAGCCTCAGGTTTCGTCGAGACCTGTGTCACCCGGTGACCCATGCAAAGTCAATCTCAAAGATACATGCATGACCTGGCGCCATCTCTTAAGTCTGATTCAATAAACGTCAGAACTTTGTGGGCATGAAAGGCTCACCTTGAATACACCTGGGAAATCTGCCTGCAGCTTCTGGAACAGCCATGGCTGAAGGTAACCCACTGTGCTCTTACCAACGGTCCAAGGATGGTACTTTTCCTTTCCTCTCAAGCCACCATTGCATTTCTGGATCCATCGAAAGTATCCTTGGAGATTTTGAGGGAGGGTAGACATTCCAGATCACACTGATCTGGTTTCAAGATTGGTTGTGTAGGGCATGCATGAGATGTCTTGTTGACACTTTCAAGGAAAACTTCACATGCTTCAAGTCGACAAATTACTTCTACAGCACAATCCCCAAAACGAAGCCTTCCGTGGAAGATGCAAACCAGATAGGGTCCAGCGAGGAACCCTAAGTTCCAGATAGAGTTTCTGCTGGACTTGATCAAGCTCCACAAACAATCCACTGACATTGAGTTGGTAGAATTACAAATTTTGGAGTTTTGAGAACTATCGTGACTGTCACATCATTTGTCGTAAAGAATAATAGCTTCAGAGCAGTTTGCAATCCTCCCACTTGAGCAGTCGGAACTATGCAGCAAACACGTGCTTCGGATCTAAGCAACAGAGCAACAGAGATGGCGTGCAAATCATACCAAATGCAGATCTATATGCAGCCTCATAGATATAGGTGTCAACGGCACTCATGGCCTCCAAAAGCAGCGAGGTGTCGCAGCCCACTGAAGATGATGGCTGCAGGCGGAGAGCAAGGGGGCTCATTCAACCCATTCAGGAACAAAAAGAAAGAGGTGGGTGCAGGAGAGGGCAGACAAGCGTTCTCTCCTTTTTGGTGTCTATGCTGAGTCACCTAGGCTCACTGGATGGGTGCAATTGCAGGATGCGGCCAAGAAGGCGCTCCAAGAAATGTTCCAGGGGAAGCAGGACATGTTGGCAGCCTATGATGCTGGAGGTGGCGGCTCAGGCAAGGTGCGGCCTGCTGTCCAATCTCCTCACCTTCCAGTGACCTGAACCGCAATGCATGAGTACTTGGCATTGCATCTTCAGACTCTTGTGCAGTCGGTAAACCCAGTATAGAGTCGACAGCCAAGCTTGGTCACATGCTGCAGGGAGGCAAGGGTGGAAGGGGGGGCGGTGGTGATGGGGAGGACGGCGGCGGCTTTAATTTCCGAGAGTGGTCAACGAAGTTCCTGAGGGATCTGGGGGGCGGTGCAAAGTCGCTGCTGCAGACGGTGGCAGCGCTCCTGCTGCTGCTGAGCGTCTTCTACGCTGCCAGTTTCGTGCGGCCGCTGTCCGCGGCAGCCCTCAACGCCGTGCGATACATCCTGCGCCTGGACGGCAGAGGCGCCCGCAGGGTGAGACTGCCAGCATGCTTACCGCTGTGCTACTTGCCCTTGCAAACCAATGAATGGAACTTTTCAATTCTACGTTATAGTGATTCGTTGATTGCCAGGGAGACTGTTGGTCAATGTGCAATAATTGCCTGATGTTGGCGTAGCCTTGCTGTGTCCAAGCAGCAGTAAATCACATTGTGGGCATTACGTCACTGTGTGTGGTGTGGCAGGCGAGGGCGTCCGCCCCTGCGACGGCTGCCGTGGGCTCGGAAAGCAGTGGGGTGTTGGGGAGCAACGAGCGCAGCGTCATCTCCAAGTATGGGGCGGATGATGACGCAGAGGAAGCAGGCGAGGAGGATGCAGGCGACGCAGATGAAGAGGACTAGGATCATCCTTTTATGCAAGATGCCCTCAAGAACAGGCCTAAACATCAGTCCTGAAAGCCTGTCAAATGTTTACATAGCTTGGATTAGAGAAAGAGCCTGAATTATAAAGAAATACACAGAAAGAAAGGCTTCAGTTCTCGAGGAAAGTGCCTATCAGTTTGGAAGCAGAAAGGGTACAATACAAGTGTTTTGGCTCTGCTTTGCGTGGGGTAAACTCAATATGCCTTGGCAAATATGGCCACCTCGGCCGCGTCTGCTCCTGTCAGGAAGCATGGGCCGGAGCCGCCAGGCTGATCAAAGGGAATACACCGCAGTGTGGCAGTCGTCTCCTCCTTGATCCGCTTCTCATCCTCATCGGACCCTGTCAGAATGAAACACATGCCTCCTTAACTGCCATGGAAATAGTAGAGGCACAAATCCTGCTGAGGTAAGAGATAATCACAGAAACAATATTACTCCTTAACATAATCTGTTCCTGGCAGCACACCTGCCCAACGCCCTCTTGCCCACTTGCCAGCCTCGATCGCCGCCTTGAGATTATCATATGACTCAACATCGACAATGTTGGCGTCACGGAACGCAGTTGCTTCCGCAAGGAGGCCATCCTGCACACAAAGTGCCAGCTCAGCCTCATGCTTTCTCAAATGATGAGGCATTTGTCTTTCCGCACTTCCAGCAGGACAGGCCCTGTGGAGTCAGTGGGTCTAAGAGCAGTCTGATTCCGTTTCACGGCAGCGGGTTGCACGCGCAGGTGGGCATCATCCTAGTGAGCAGATCAAGACACACTGACTTATATGAAAGACTCACGTGCACATCATCCAGCAGCTGGCGCATGCTGGCCACGAAGCCAGCGGGCTCCAGGGGGATGCCAAACTGCTTGCCCTCCTTGCCGGGCCGGTCCCGCCTCGCCGCCACACACGTCCCCTGCGCCACGTCACGCGGCCCCACCTCTATGCGCACCGGCACCCCCTGCGCATTTCATTCTACCCTGTTCAACCCTCCTTCCCAACGGCATGGACTTGCAGATTATGATCCCCATGCAAGTAGTGGTGCACTGGAGGCAGTGGTCCTGACTGCCTCCAAGAGTAGAAGGTGCCAATTGAAATAAGGTAAGAGCACACCTTCATCTCCCAGTAGGAGAACTTGAAGCCGGGGGTCTTCTCCGTTCCGGCATCCACCTTGGCGCGCAGGCCTGCAGCCTTGGCTGCCTCGGCCAGGGCGTCTGCAGCTGCCAGCACCGCCTCTGTGTCTGTGTTCTTCTTCAGGATGGGCACGATCACCACCTGCTCATGCACTCATTCACTCAGGCAATGGGACAATGGCAGAAAGGGCAGATGGAACCCATCTATACACGACCCCATCATGGATACTCCTGCACTGCACCTGAATGGGTGCGAGTCTTGGTGGCAGTCGAAGCCCCATGTCATCTCCTGCACGTGCACACGCTGCCTGGTGAGCACGACAGGGCAAGTTCAGGGCAAATCGAAGGCTGCATGGATATAGAAACAGGAAGTGTATTCCCATAGGGGCCTCTCACCGTGTGTCATGATGATGCCGCCAATGAGGCGTGTGCTGGCACCCCAGCTTGTCTGCTGCGGGTGCACCAGCTCACCAGACTCGTCCAGGAACTGAGTCCCAAACGCCCGCGCAAAATTGTCGCCAAGATCATGGCTCGTGCCCGCCTGCCATGGTGCACAGCCTCAGGATTGCTACTAGTTTGCCCATTAGAAAAGTGCAAGGTGGTTAATTACTGAAGAGGATCCGACCTGCAGGGCTCGTCTGTCTCCCATCATAGCCTCAATGGTGAGGGTCACATTGGCTCCAGCAAATGACTCTATCCTTGACTTCCGGCCTGCATACATCCATGCACCATGATCATATTTCTGGGACAGACTGCACTGCATGCCTTCGCCGCTCGCCCTTCGCAGCATTGAGAGGCAATCTAGCACACCTGGAATGACTGGCATGGCTGCACAATTGATTGCAAAGTCAGCATAAACCTCCACCATCTGCTGGGCCATGGCCTTCGCCTCCTCAGCCTGCAGACAAGCCACACTGCTATCTTTCAGAGCCACGAAATCCATTGCCTGCTGTCAAGACTTTATGACATTGATCACAAACTCCAGAATGGATGATTCTGAGTCAGTGACTAAGTATGCAGGCCGTGAGGACTGCCACCTGTACTTGGCAACTATGTGAGCGAAAGCACAACCGCAACCATGCCACCTGACATTACCAGAGAGGAGAGAGAGCAGGAGCAAGGGGATGAACAAACAAGGGTGGAGATTGGCGCACAGTGGCATGGGCGGTGTGGCCCTCCTGCCAGAGGAATTCGAGGGTGCGGATGAAGGGGCGCGTGCGCAGCTCCCAGCGGTGCACGTTGGCCCACTGGTTGAGCAGCATGGGGAGGTCGCGGTACGACTGGATCCACTGCGCCAGCATGTGGTTCACCATCGTCTCAGACGTCGGCCGTACCACCAGCGGCTCCTCCAGATCCTTGCCACCCCCTGCCCAAGCCCAGCATGCTGAATTGCACAGTACAAGTAACCTACAGACTGATTCATATGGTATGAGTACGCCCTGCTAGCATGTGAGCAACAGCTCTGCAGGAAAACTCCTGTGCCTCGCGTGTGAGAACCCACCCAAGCTTAAGAGTCTGGCGGAGGAAGGCCTGAGGATGGCAGGGATATCAGCAGGATCATCATTGCAGAGGCAAATTTGTGCAGATATATCCCAAAGCCTCTTGGACTCATGTTAGGGCTGATGCGGTGTGCAGGCTCAGCAGCGCACCCTTGGTCACCAAGGCCAGCTCTGGCGCAAATCCTTCCACGTGATCGGCCTCCTTCTGCAGGAAGGAGAGCGGGATGAGCTGCGGGAAGTACGCGTTCTGCACGCCCAGCTCCTTGAACCGCGAGTCCAGGTACGACTGCGCATGAAAGAATTTTGGGCGTTACTTTAACACACAAGACTCCTGCTGGCAGCCAGCCATGCGATGTCTTGGCAATGCATGTCTGGGCAAGACATGCAGACCTGTACCGCCAAGCCATGCATGTGCCGTCTCGGCAGCAAAATGCGCGTCCGGCCAGAGGGTAATAATAACATAATAATCTTTATGATGGCAAACTCAGAGCCCAGAGGGCAATAAAGTGTACATTACTAGACATCAGCGCTGCCTGCGCACCTGTATGCCTTCCCATATGGCATAGCCGTAAGGTCTGATGACCATGGTGCCCCGCACCGGGCCATAGTCTGCCAGCTCCGCATCCCTCACCACATCCAGGTACCACCTGTTCGAGGGTAGCATTGCTCACCCACAGCCTCCGAAGAGATGTTGCTTGTGATTTCGTCTGCCGTGCCAGGCACCAGTACCTGCTGAAGTCAGTTGACTTCGGAGTGATCCTTTTGTCCTTGTCTGAGGACCCCTTTGATGCCTTAGGGGGGCGCTCGGCTGTGGCTGCGCTGCACTGGACGTACCAAGAGCTGAAACGTCTGCTACTGCTGCGCGCAAGTCTCAACGAGGATAACATCCCGTGTGCATTTGCTGCAGCCACACGGCGGTGGATAAAGGTTGGACACCTAGTAAATCACATAATTACTTCAGCTCATCCCCTCCAGCGATCGTTTGTTGGCACCAGGATAAATGGCAATGAAGAACAAAATCTATAAGGCTTGCATGATTACCTCAGGTGCAGCAGAGTTGGAGGCGCTGAGCCAATGATGCTACTGGCCATGGGACAAAAGAAACACTTTTCGCGTTAATGTTAACACCTGGAAACTTTTCTTTTGTTCCTTTACGTTACACTTTCAGTTCTGCAGTGGATTGGACATCGTGAAATTGATCATTCGCAAAGGATATCGCATCAGAAAAGCAGAGGAACAGAGCGATGCGCTTCTTATATATGTGTGCAGGTCAATGATGTACCCCAAGCAAAGTAAGGTAGCTACATAGATGTTGCAATGAACGCATTCGAAAGCTGAGCTATGCGATCTTCACCACAAATGGGTCCACAGCACCCGCAGACAAAATTTCCGAAAGCAGCTTTCGGAAGCACGTGCGTTCGTCTTCACGGTCAGGATCGAAATTCTCTGATGGCAAAGCATCGGTAATGTGCAAGCATCTCCTGAAGCTGGGACAGTCGCTTGTCTCATCGAGACAAAGCACCAGAAGTCTAAGAGGAAAGTGGGATGCCCTTTTGGCCAGCAGTGTTGGACTTTGGCGCAATAGATCAGAGCGATCACCTAGACTCAAATACATAAGTCCCCCAAAATATTTCTGCTTGTCCACACAAGGACGCTGCAACATACATACTTCCAGGACTTCGAGGATGACCGCAGAGCTACCTGTTGCCAAGGTGACACTGCTGCAGGGAGAGGAAGACAGATACGAAGGGATCATATTGGATGAAGATCAGCTACCGACCGATCCCAAGGAATTCAGTGAACGACTTGATTATTCACTCAAGGTCAGCTCTTCCAACTTCAGGCCAAGGACCACTAGCACCATTCACACTTAAATAAGGGTATACGTTGTCTGTGACATGTAACAATCTGCTCAGCAATCACATATAATGCAGGCCTGGCAAGATCAGGATCGGAGAGGCATCTGGCTGAAAGTGCCCATCAGCAAGGTGGCTCTGGTAGAGGAAGCTGTCAGACAGGGATTCATATTCCATCATGCCGAGCCAGACTATGTGCAGCTGACTCGATGGCTATCAGCAAATCCAAGCAAATTGCCTGCCAATGCATCCCATCAGGCAACAACTTGTCTCCATCCCCACCTGCTTGTCTGTTGGGCTGATGAGGCGCCCTCCCAAATTCTTTATTGCCCTACTGATGCTCCTTCCAAATGCGCGGCTTGCAACTCCCTAGTAACTTCGATGATTCACAGGTGGGCGTTGGCTGTTTTGTGGTGAATGAATACAGTCAGGTCTTGGTAGTACAAGAGCGGAACGGGCCCCTCAAGGGGAAAGGTGACAAGCCTGGGCTGCGCACCTCTTGCTTTAAGAGCTGTACTGCAAGGACACTGCAACGCAAGTATGTTTTTCGATATTTGAAGCAACATATTCACTCCTGCAGGTGTTTGGAAGCTGGTGACGGGTCTGGTGGATGCTGGAGAGGACATAAGCACTGCTGCAGAGAGGGAGGTTCTCGAGGAGACAGGCGTGAGGGCCAAATTTTCCGCTGTCCTTGCTCTGCGGCAGGCCCACGGGTTTGCCTTTGGCAAGTCGGACTTCTTTTTTGTTGTGGCCCTCAAGTGCGCACTCATCAGCACTCAAACAAAGCAAAGCAATTTGGGTGCAGCAGTGCTGCGCCCTTTTGATGTTCAACAGCTGCATGGCATGCCCATTTGACTCTGCAAGCAACCATCTTTAGTTCTCAGTTAAATGCTGTCAATAATTTTGGGATGTGCAGGCCAGAGCCTGGTCAGTTAGAGCTTGTCATGCAAGAGGATGAGCTGGAAGCTGTGGCCTGGATGCCACTAGCAGAGTACGCAGCCATGCCGTTCCAGGCTTCCAGACCCATCTGGAAACAAATAGTGGACTGCTGTGTAGCATATGCTAAGGGCGAATACTCAGGGATGACTGGCATGAAGCTCGAAAACGGGTTGAATGACAGGACAGATCTGCTAATTCATGGTGACTTGACCAGGCAGTCATCTCTCTAAGTTTAAAAGGGCACAGAATTTCAGGATGTGGCTGTCTATCACAATCCTGAGGCTCGGAAAGTTACAAACGCATGATCTCACTTGAGGTTCTCATTTTTTTGAGCAGTCACATTGACTGTCAATTGTAGATTTCTGGTATACTCCACATGTGGTTACCATTCTATTATTATTTCAAATGTTCAAAATCCAATGCTTAACTTATTGCTGTACTACAAGATGCTACAGACAGCAGGCGCTTGGTCTAGTGCAGCTAATGCATGTGCAGCATCTGGGCATGGCCAGGACCTGTAAAATTTAGAATTGTGCGCATGTTTCTGAAAAAGGCACGTTTCACACCCGACATGTGCAAGCTGACATGGTCTCCACAACTGCAACAAGTGTACTTCGACACTACTGGAGCTTCAGGACATCCCAAAGCAGCACCAGATTGAGACTTTCTTCTGATCATGACTGGCTTCCTGCACGCTTCTGCTGCCCTTCACATCGCTGTTGCCGCTCTTTGTCCTGATCTTGATCTTGGGCAGCAATCGGCTTACCAGAAATTTGGGGTCCACGTGCGGCACTTTATCCCTGGCTCCTTGCTGGGGAGTTGAAGGCTGCGTGACTGGGCCGGTGGGCTCTCCAGCCTCTCCATGGACTATTGTGGTGCCTGCAGTGGATTCATCCGAGGCAGACTTGATCAGGAAGTTGTCCTTTCCAGGTACACCAGCGCCAGCATCTGCAATGCTGTCCACAATGCTTTCTTTCTTTTGGATCACACTGCTGACATCATCTGCTTTCGACGCCACTGCACCCTCCCACTGCCCATTATGTGTGGTACCGGTATTGGGTGTGCCATCTGCAAGCGCAAGCGCAAAAGTCATGATCATCAAAGATTCTTGGGTCCAGTCTTGCTTCGCCATCTGGACCCTGTCAGCCCTAGTTGCATGTTTTGTGAGGAACATGGAAGGCCTCTTGTAATTTATTACCTGCAGCTGCATCTGTGCGCTCCCCTGCAGTGCTTGCATTTTTGGGTGGCGCAGGATCGTCTTTGGAGTCCATGTCCATCTGTCTCCCTGCCACAGGCAGCAGGACATCATTGACATTCATCATTCTCAGTCTCCCCTCAAAAGCGCAAGCTCATTGCAAGTCAGTCAAAAAGTCCTAGTCATTGATGGGAAGCGGGTGCCTACCTGACGCCTGACCTGTTCGATCTTCTGCAGCATCAGTACTGATAGCTTGCCCGCCTTTGTGCACAGCTGCCGCAGCTGACCCAGCCCTAGACAAACTGCCTGACTCCTTGACACGGGCTGCTTCTCTGCGCTCTCTCATTTTCAAGGATGACTCCCGCGGCCGTCTGGCCATCAGTGTCTCTGCTGGAGCATTTCTCCGTTTTGCCACGGAAGAATCATCCCCTTGCGAGGTTGGAGACCTGGGCGATCTGTCTGCCATGGTTTCTTGTGAATTCTGCCTCCAGGCAGGCTGTTGCTCCCAGACAGCTACTCGCTTTGGGCTGCTGCTGACACCAGCCGAACCACCTGAGCTTCTTCCGTGGCGAGGACAAGCCATTCGCCTGACTGCGCGCTTGTCGAAGCTGTACGACCTTTTCTGGCTTTATCACAGTGACTGCCTCTGGTGATTTCTTTTGCGCCTTCTGTGCTGCTGGCCCTGCTGGCTCATTCACGCCTATTCCTGCATCTCTTTGTGGGGCGACGAAATTTTGGTAGATGCTTTCCAAGGTCTCTGGCTGCTTAGCGAGCTCTGGAACTCCAAATATATCTAGACTGTCGAGGCTGACAAGTGTAGGGAGCACGGGGGGTTCTTGTTCTTTCGAAACCTGCTGAAGTTTGCTCGGTTCCTTCTCCATCCTGATAAGAGACATTCAATAACTCCGAGCGTGTGGTGCGCAAGCCAAGATGGTCGGGGAGGCCGTTAGTGCGTGTAACCGCCGGCACGTGGACCTCATGTGCCACGTGATGACTACTTCAGTACCTGTTGCCCAATTTCTGAGCTCAATTGTCCCTTGTGAAGAAAATCATGGATTTCTGATGATACAATCTGCCGTACTGAGCATTTAAGCATTGGTGCACGGTGAATAAATCGACAGATCCTCTACGATCTTACCAGTCGTGGAATTTGCCACTCGGGGACCCAATACAGGTATTGGAAGTAGCATATGAGCGACATCGATGCCAATTATTTATTAAGCAGCCCGTTAGGACAGCATCGGCAGCAAGACAGGACGTTTTCTTTCAGTTTTCATCCGAAAGAGGAGGCATCACTTCCAAGGAATAGCTCAGTGCTGGATGCTCTCCTTGACACACCCCAGGATCTTGTGTGCCCGATCACCCTCCATATCTTTAAGGATCCGGTGATCTCAAGCTCAGGCCAGGTAAACCTGCAAGGAAATTGCCCAGATTCTCCAGACTTTTGCATACCCAGCATTGTGAGGCAAAGAGTGCCATTGTCAAGCACTTGCTGTCAATGTCTTCCTGCAGGTGTATGAGCGACATGCCATCACCAGCCATGTGGAAAAGAATCACAACGATCCAATCACTCGCTTGCCCCTGCGCATCGATCAGTTGACTCCAGTCTATGTCCTGCGAGTGCGCGCTGCAGAATACAGAGAGTCAGCTGCTGCCGCCTGCCTTGAGGCAGCTTGCTCTGCAGACTGCATCAATCCTGTAAGCACTAAGCTGGCCGGGAATTCCCGCGGTCATCTTGCTCCCAACTGCATGTCACACAATATCACACAGCAGATGCTTCTCTGTTGACCAGATCGGACTTAGGTTTTAACTCGAAACGTTGTTATGGTGCAGGTTCAGTATGTCCGCCGTGCTGTGGAGTTGGCAGAGGGTCTGTCAGTTCCAGGCCTGTCGCCGGAATGCGTGCAGTACGTGAAGACGCACCCGTCCAACGCTTGCGATGTGCAAGTCATGGAAGTGTTTGCCCAAGGGCTCATTTCCGCTGGCTGGAAAGTCAAAGCCGCTGCCGTCTATGGCACCCTCCTGACGGTGCGCACCAGCTAAGACCTTCACATGAGCTTGTGCATCATTTCCCCGACTCTGTTCTGCAGTCACGAAGGCACCCCCCTTTTGCAATGACGGAGTTTGCATAATAAATGTGTAAGGGGGGCTTTTCACATGGCAGGCTGGCTTGGACAAGGCGCAGCAGTGTGCTCACTTGAGAGCCTGCCTGGAGTGCTGGACCCAGCTCCCTGGAGAGGTGGATGACACAGCCATGCGCCAGCTGGAGGACTTTGTCGAGGGCCAATTAATTCTGAGGTACTTCAGCAGAGCCCCCTCCTCCGTTGCCTTGCATTGCTGTGCGTGCTGCATCGCGAGGTGTTTGAGTGCAAGCTTTCTCTGCTGCAGCATGAGAACTCTCAGTGAGAGCTTTGTGGCCAGCGCAGATGGAGTCAGATCATAGACCTGGTCGAAGCAAGCTTCGGCAGCACTGCAGCTGTGGCGCTGTGCGAGCATCTCCTGTTCCCTGGCAGCGGCACGGTGGCTCGCAAATCTGCAGCTGCAATGGAAGCGCGGCTGCGAGAAGTCACCCTCAAGTAAGGACATCCTGCTCAAGCGCATGTCTGTAGGAATATCATCATGACCTGTTGTTGTGCTATTGCAAGCCTTAGTGTCCTCGGATGGGCCTGTGATGTGAATGGCAGAGGTGCCGTGCTGCAGGTACGTGCAGCTGCAGCTGCGGTCCGTGGGAGACACACAAGATGCATTAGACAGGAGGCTGACAGCCCTCGAAGCCACCTCCCAGGAAGCATCTTTTGCGGGGGAGAACACTGGGAGGGAAAGGCGCTTATTGCGACGGCCTCGCTGGATGAATAAGCGAGCTTTTGCCTCGGCGGCACTGGCGGTGGCAGCAGTGGCTGGCACAGGCAGCCATCCAGTGCTCAGACTAGTCAGCATGTTTCCGTTGCTGTATCTCATTCCTTCGGATGGAGATTCTTGAAACTGTACACTGCCCTCTCAGGAGGATCTAGATTTTTTATGCACTGCAGCACTGCCAAACTTTGGAACGCAATGCAGCAGTGCAACGGCTGTCACATATAGTAGGTAGTGAGTACTAGTATGAATTCTTTCCTGCATTATATCATGCCGCATTGATCAAGCAATACATAGATTCAGTCTGTGACTCTGATATCTGGGATTCAAGGCAATCTACTGACGTTTGCCCCGTCAAAGTGTAAATGTACAATAATTGCTCTGAAGAATGTGAGGAGCTCCAAAATGCCCTTCTAACCGGGCTCATTAGTCTCGCACGAATTCTGCATATGCAAAATCCTCTCAGCCGCTCTACGGAAAATAGCTCTTGCTCTGCACAAGTCCTCCACCCTTTGAGGCTCTTGGCTCTGCCTCCGGTCCTGAGCATTGGTGCTTCCAGGCTCCTGCCCCACTCCATGTTGCACATCAGAAGGGTCATCTGAACGTTGCCCCTTAGATCCCATCTGACTGCAGGACTCTGAGTTTTGTGAATGCACTTGAGCGGACTGGCTTTCACGCTTCGCCAGCAATACTGCAAGCTGTCTGAGCGTGTACAACACCCTCTGCAAAGCCGCCGTGCTTCGCTCTATCTCTCTTTGCTGAAGTGCTGCTCCCGCCAGCTCTTCTGCCCTCCAAGCAATCTTATCAACCACCTGCACAACGTGACCCCTGGACTTAGCCTCCCGATGGCAGCCACTCCTGTAGCAGATTACGCAGATTAAACAACTTATCATCAATTGCGTAGCGGACACGCTCACCTGCAGAGACGTGTCTGCGGTCAGCATGAATCGAGAGACAGCTGCCATCAGTGCCCAGCATGCTTCGCCATAGTTTTCGCCTGAGCTGGACGTCACTACCAACGAGAGAAGGTTGTCCATGGTATCTGAATCCTGCACCACAAGCATTGTGCAACACCTCAAAAGGAATTTCAAGGGGATCAAGCCATTTCATCCAGATGCCTGTCCTTCAGCCTTGGCATCAAGTGGAGATTGCCTCTGGCTTGCCATTAGACATGCGAGGGCAAGACAGCGACCGAGGCAGCTCCCACCTGCACGAAGGGCCTGTAACACGTCTCTGCATTGACCTCAGCAAGCAATGCAGCTGCGCGTCCTCGAATGGAGATGCTCGCAGGCCTTTGCACTAGTGACAGCATCGTTGCCACGACCTGCTCATCCTCTTCCAGAGCAGCAGCCCCTGCAGGATCCTCTGCTATCGCCTGCATCATATAAAGGGGCCATCATCACCGCATAGAGCGTGGTGTAAGCAAGGTTTGGCCTCAAACTGCATCATGAGCTACACGGGTCGTCTTACCTCGAGCACATCAAAGGCAGCCTGTGTCGATTGAGGTCCTGGGAAGACATCGTCATCTATCGCTGTGCTAGGGCTGTCCCACTCGTTGCCAGTCCTTTCTGGCTCCGGTGTCAGCATTGCGCTTTGTTGCAGCGTGTCGCACAGCATGCTTAGGAAAGGCTGTCCATTTATTGCTGACACTGCTGTGGTGCCAGTGCTGGCAATCTCGGAGAGGAGCTCACAGGCTCTGCGAAGACGGAGGATCTGCTTCAGTCGAGTCCATGCGACTTATATCCGTCAGTGAGTTGTATGCCAGTCACATGCACTCTTATCGGGCCAGCAAAAATGGTGATCACCTTTCAAAAAGAGAGTTGTTTAAAGTGTTGTCCATGATCCACAGGATTCGCTCCATGGTATCTTTCTGGAGCAAAGTTTGGAGCCACTCTTGTGCTCCATGTGCTGGCACAAGGCTGACCAACAGGCGCACAACCTCTGTGAGGCAGGCTGCGTCGTCCCTCCACAGAGCATGCTCCAGAACAGCTCGTCTGAGAGTGGCTGCCAGGAGCTGAGGTAGCAGAGGCTCATGGCAGGCTAGGTTGCCCAGGATTCCTGTGCTGATTTCTGCAAGACGGTCTGATCCATGCTCTATGATGACGGGCAACAATTCGCAGATGTGATTGTCCTGGCATCACAAAAGTGCGCGTTGAAAAAAAATGAACACCTCTGCATCACAGATCTGTCAGCCTAGGAAATGAATTTCTGCTTTCACCGCCATGATCGATGCAGCCTCTCTGATGGTGGAGAGATCCCACAGCACACATCCTGCATTCTCCTGGTTTCTCTCATGACCAGTCTGTTCTCCGTTCGCATCAAGCTCACTGTTCAATTCGTCAGAGATGTGCACATTTTCGTCAGGAAGCAGTTGCCGGATAAAACGAATCACAGCAACGGCATCTATAGTTGTTTCACTTTCAGGATCGACAGACATCTTCTATATATCTGAGCACGGGAGTTCTGAGACTTAGATGTGTGAGAATCCGAGACTTTCCGAGAGCATGTTATTTGACAACCCCACCAGCTTCTTCAGAGATTCATGGTCAAGATGCAAGACTGCATGGTCATCTGAGAGGTTGAAGAAACTCAATTTGATTCTATTCTGATGTGATCGGATGTGGCTTTTCTCAGATCATGGATCTAGGCTGGGTGCATGCCATGTGCAGAGAATCAATTGCACGGTGCAATTTGCACCGCAGCGTCTCAGACAGGCTGCCAGATCCGATTTGACCCATGGAGTTTACCATATGTGCGGGAATGTGCAGCGCAATCCAAGAAGAAATGCAAATCAGAAGAAGGGTGGTATCTCCTTGCGGGTGTTCTGCACATCCATGTTGATTAGGAAGCATCCTTCAAAGTCTCAAGTGTTGCGTCGCATTACCTGGCCAGTACCGTTCTGTGCGCAGTACCTCCCTCACAGAGAAACCAAATACCAAAATTTGCTCTCAATAGTATTGGATTATAACAATACAAACGAGCTTTCAAGCTAGCTAGCTAGTTGTGACTCTCATAATAACCATATTAATATTGCAGTGCTAGACCAAGTTCCAAGGCAGCCATCGACATGATCACTCAGGCAGCCTGCTTGGGCAGTTATTCGCCAGTACGGTGCACCCAGAAATCTCCCTGCTTCAATCTCTCATTGGGGTTTCGGGCTTTCGGGCTTCCTGAAGAGCAGCAGGTGCATGGGTGAGAACACGCCCGACTCGCCGCCCTGCACGAGGCTCAGAGACACCTTCACGAGCATCTCGTGCACATCGTACATGCCATTGGGCGCGATGTGCAGCGCTGACACAATGTTCACCAGCACCCTGTTGACGGTGATCAGGTGCGAGTCGCGCAGCCACTTGAGGCGCCCATACCTGACCGACCACACAACACCGTTGTTAGCCACAAAGCTCCCCATGCAGCCGCCAGCCGAGCGCTGTTGCATTCAGCATGCTTGGGCCCATGATGATACGGGAGGATGTGCAAGGAAGCATGCGCACCAGGGGCCAGCGACAGGTGATGCGGTGGCGATGTCAATGCTGGTCACCAGCTCAAAGCCAACATGCTTTCCAGCTGCTTCTGCCTCTTTGTAAGTCCGCATCTCCTGCAACAGGCAGCACGGCCAGCATTTGAAACACAGATTGCTCTTGGCCGACCTGTACCAGCTGGAAGAAGAAGGTCACATAGGAGGAAGCCGAGCATGTGAGCCCACAAATCATAGCAGGATATGCATCGCTGGCAGGTGGTTTACCGGGAGGCCGTTTCCGTAGTTGATCTCGTCCATGATCCTGACATGGTCAGGGTTGCTGGGGTTGTAATCCTTGGTGGCCACCCATTCATAAGACGCGAAGTAGCTGCCGGGCTTCAGCACCCTGAACACCTCTCCGTACACTTCTTCCAGCTGTAACCCGCAAACAGCATCCGCATCAGGACATGGGCATCATGTATTGCCCATCTGTTGGGGGAGCTGAACACATTCGTCTGTTCAAAATATTCCTGTCACATCTCCACACCTTGTTGGCATGGCACGTTGCTTCGATCGCGTACGCGGCATCAAAGACCTCGTTTTCGAAGGGCATGTCCAAGAAGTTGCCCTGTGTGGGCTGGCAGAGGTTCTCCAGTCCCAGCTGCAACAGGCAGGAAGAGTTGTTGACATCAGCTACCAAGCAGCAGAGTCATCAGACAGATAGGGAACAGGCACGCCAAGTATTAGCTTGGTGAACGCAGTGGAGCAGCTGATGGTGTATTACATCAGGTCTGGGTGCACAGTGGACTCACCCGTGTGTTGTGGTGAACTCCCCTTGAGACTTGGTAGTCGTTGATGGTGATGCCAGTGACATGAGCGCCACTGGTCGAGGCAATGGTGCGCATGGGTCCGCCCACACCACATCCCACATCCAAGCACTTCTTGCCAGGCCCCAGCTTCAGCAGAGCAGCTAGCCTGGCCTCGTGAGCTGCCTCTGATGAGGCCCAGTCCTTGCCTGGCAGGCGTGGAGAGAAATGGAAGCTCTGTGGCAGACACACAAAAGTGAATTTCATTTTCGTGAGGGAATGATGCACCAAACACTTTCAGGAATGTTTTAGTGCAAGTCATCAGATGACATCGGCATCACAAAGTGATCAAAGAAATAAACAGAATTGAAAAGGAGCCTGTAATGCAGAGAGCACAAAAAATGGATACCTGGCCCCATCCCCACTCGTAGATGTCCGTCACTAGGTTGTAGAAGGTGTCCACGAGCTCAGTGGTCTTGGATCGTTCTATGATCCCAGCTCCCGCGTCTGTGCTGTAGGACTTGGAGTACTCGTCAAACTCCTTCTTCACCCTGGCCCGGCCGATGCCTCCACCCGTGAGCTGGGAGGCGCTGGGCTTCTTCTTGCCCTTCGAAGGTCGAAGCAACCAGGACGCACCAAGCACCAGGACGCCCGCGCCCACGACACCCACCACGGCCTTGTTGTCCTTCGAGTACTCGGCCGCCCGGTCCCAGGCATCCTTGATGGAGTCGCTCAGCTTGTCGAGGGACCCCATGGCGCCCGTTTTGCTCCTCTTGACAGTTGAGCGCCTTAATTTCCTCAGGCTGGGACTCACCCTGGCAAGGGGTTAACGTTGGGCTCTCAACCCTTATTAAAGGGATATGAAGAAAACCCTACAATGCACATCTCCCAACGGCGTGGTTGAGCCCATTCGGCAGGAAGCCCAATATTGGCATCGAGGCCTCGTCAGCCGCTCGCTTACCCGGTTCTTCGCTGGAAAACATCATTAGAGAGAAGCTGACTGTGAAAGTGGGTCTAGGACCAGCCATGCAAAGGCAGTTTTCGGTCGATGACTTCAACAACTTGAGCGGGTTCTGGAAGCTGGGAGCCAGCATGGCGGGCTTTCCCCGCACCGACTCCGAGGCGGCCTTTCAAGACTTTCTTAAAAGGATACCTTCCACGAGCAACCTCGCTGCCCAGGCGCAGGGCCTGGACCAGGCGCAGCAGCTGCATTTGCAGCAACAAGTTCAGCAATTTCAGCAGGCCCAGCAGGCTGGCCTGCACGCCGCCGGGTCAGGTGGCGCTCTGGGCGAGGTGGGAGGATTGAATGTGGGTGGCATCCCTCGCGTGCCCAGCCTGGATCTGCTGCGCCAGCTCGTCCAGGTCAATCAGACGTTGAGTCCCCAGGGACACAAGGGTCCCACGTCTATGCCAGGTGAGGCTGGTCGCCAACGTTTTTTGTCAACTTGGGCACGCTGTGTTCCTGCACACTTTTTCCTGACACGCTCACGTGCCTCGCGCAGAGGTGGGCATCAGGTCCACAGAGCCCGAGCTAGCACCCGCAGTGAGCTCGGTGGCTGCCACGATGCCACTGCTTTCGAGCGTGCCTCTGTCTAGCGGGCTGCCCCAGACATCTTCAAACGTCAATCCCGTGGCAGCAGCGCTGCAGCTTGGCAACTTCCACGGGATCCATCCGCAGCAGGTCAGGAGCTCTGGGAACACCAGCGATTGCGGACCCTCGGACAAGGAGACCAATGGCAAAGCAGAGCTCAGGCGGGCACGCAGGTACTGTCTGACTTGTCACATCTTGCAGTCTGATTCTTACCTGCACTTCACCAGGTTTTTCTGTTTACTAATGGCCGCTGATCATGGCGATAACAACACAGGATGCTGTCAAATCGGGAGTCTGCGCGGCGATCAAGAAGGAGAAAGCAGGAGCACCTGAGCACCCTGGAAGAGGAGGTGGGAGGCCTGACCTTGGAATGTGTGTTGCTGTGCAAGGAAACAGCGTCAAATGAGTCCATTCCTAGAAATGGCACATGCAGATTGTCTGCCGCTGTTTTCATCCTTTGTTTTTTGCGAGACTTTGCTGGCAGGTGCGCTGTTTTTCGCCACGGGCATCTCTGGCTTGCTTCTCATTATACTGATGCAACTCGACAATGTCTTGGACAGATCTTCCTTTCTTTTTTGCTGACACCGTCCTGTTGCGGTGATGCAGATCAGCAAGCTGAATGATGACAAGAGGGCGCTGATGGACCGGATAGAGGACCTTGAGAAGCAGATGAAGAAGCGCGACGAGGAGAACGCCCGCCTTCGCAGGGAGAATGAGCAGCTGCGCGAGGAGGTGCGCTGCCTGATATGCTAATTTTTGTGTTGTTCTTTGCTATAGAGTGGCGGGGCCCCACAGGTGAGGAGTCACAGCCTGCTGGACAAGATGATGGTGCTGCTCCTAGCGGGGTTGCACAGCACTCGAATTGCATGTCCGACAGCTGTGGGGTTCTTGGCTTCTGGTATTTGCTTTTTTTGTGTGCACAAGCATGCTGTGAGAGCAACAGCACGTGACAGTGAAATGTAGTGTTGATGAATGCAGGGCGGGCACAAGCAGGATGGCAGCAGGAAAGTGCACAGGTCATCGTCGCTCCAGCGGATGGCATCTGCAGAGCACACTCCCAAGAAGGCCTGCCACAGCCGCATCAACAGGCAGGACAGCGCGCTGAAGGCAGAAATGGAAGCTGCGGGAGCGTGACTGGTGTGGCCATGCACCATCTGTACATTCGAGGGCGAGAGTTAGAGTGGTGTGAGAGGAGACTCTGCAATTTTTGGCAGCACGGCGTGGGAGACGTCGCTGTGGCAATTTTGATGCCATTTTCTTCCTGAAATGGGTGCCATCAATGCAGCGGGGTGTGATCAGCGCTGTCGGCTGTGGCTGTGCAGTGTAGATCGTCCCATCTTAAGCGGTTCATCTTGTTGTCATACAAACGTGATCTTCTCTGTGTGTGCCAGTGTTCTTGTGTCTTGTTTCACCTGTTGTTCTAGGTTGCTGCTGCTGCTGCTTCCATCAGCTGTATGCTGCAGGACACCATGCTGTGCGGACTGGGTCATGTGCTGTTAGTGGCATTGGCAACTATCCTGGTGACCACACACGATGGTGTAGGCGGTATCTGCAAGACAAGTGCATGCTGCTACTATCCTGTAGTTTTGATTGTCCTGATCTGAAGACGTACAGGAGACGATTGTGCTATTTTCAGCAGGTTTTAAAGGTTGGAAAATAATTGTACACTGTAGCTGCCTCTGCCTTTTTTTTTCTCCGTTTTGACGCCAACAGTGATCGAACTTGCCGATACTGCTGCTGCACTGCGAAGTATTTGCGAGTGTGTCATGACTGACCACTTGCTGCTGAGCTAGTGCTCTGGAGGAACATCATGTGATCTTGGTACCACGTGGTGGTGCACCGGTGTGTAATGATTTGCTGTACACATCCTGATTTCGACACCCTGCTGAGGCATAGCATTTAGACATTTGGAGGACTGGTTGATGCCACACTCCTTGTCCATTTAAATTGAAGTTAACAACGTTGTGCCACGTTATGTTTGCAAACATTGAATGCAAGTGTTCCTAGGACATGTCAGGCCAGCTGGGCCGGGAGGACACCTGGGAGACAGCCTTTTGATCCTTAATTGCGCTTGCTCTCTCTTCGTGTTTGCCTTGCATGTTGCCTTCTGTCCTGGCAAGGTAGAATGCAAAGACAGTCAGGGTGTGCGAGCGCCACAACGTAAAGAAATTGCGGCAAGGCCGTCGTTCGGAACTTTCTACGGATCCAGGTCAGTTGTACGGATCCATGTCCTCATCAAATGTCTTGGGGATCAGGACGCTGAGTCTAACCTCAAAATTGTCCCGTACAAAGCATCCGCGATGTTTGCATGATCTTCTGCCCCTCACTCAAGTGAGCCTGAGCCCCCACAGCCGAGTCAGAGATTTCTGCAGTTTGGCTACTAGAGTTCTCGTTCCTGGTGCACTCGTCCTTTCAGTTTCGGGCTTTCTTGAACATAATATGCGACAATGACATCTCGTCGATCGCATGGAGTAATTTCAAGATTGCTGGCGGCCGGTGAAGGGGCTTCTGGTGAGCCGATCGTGTTCTTAAAGTGCAGTGTGCAAATATAATTATGGAAGAAAATTTTCCATGACAATTTTTGCCACGCAGGACCCCGCTGCGCAGTATCATGCAGCAACGTACAAAGTCATGATTTGCATCAGAAGCGCTGGTGGGTACTTCAACCCTCAGTGGGCAAATGACTCGAGGTGGCAGTGTTCAAAACTACTTGCATTGTGTTTTGATGAAGCTCTGTAAACAAAGGCAGCAATGCAAGGGTAGCCGGTCTGACCAGTTCCACTCTGTGCTGCAGGGCTTCCAAGAAACAAGGAGGCTCCACACAAAATCGCGGAGGGTCACTGCCAAAAATGCTTGGGGTGAAGTTGTATGGAGGCCAGAGCTGCCACGCAGGAAATATCATCATCCGGCAGAGGGGCACAGAGTTTCACCCTGGGCATAATGTGGGCATGGTGCGCAGCTTCCCATTTCTTGTGAGCGCCGGGTGCAACACCACTCAGCAGTTGCTCAAGCACTGGTGAATACAGAGGCGCAGATCCTCTGGCGCTGACTCTGCCTTCGCCTTTTGCATTTCCTCTTGACTTGATGATGCATGCTGCTGAATCGTGCGTGAATGTGTCCTTGTAGGGGACGGATCACACACTGTTTGCTCTGGTGGATGGATCTGTCAAGTTCCACACCAATAAATATCCATGGAAGCGGATTGTCAGCGTGTTGCCAAAGTCAGCATCTGGCCTGCAATGATCCGGAACACTTTCTGAAAACTGTCTGATGCACTGATTTGACTTGCATGATATGGCAGAAGCACACAACCCTACAGTTGGACCATGGTCCCTCAAGATTTAGGCAAAGGCGCCTTCTCTACATGGTTTTTTGATCTGTGCAAGATGTACCATAGGTGTCCTTTGGATGTCCGGATCAGCAAGACCCGTTTCACTGGATCTGAGGTAGACGGTTTTGCAAAGCTGATATTGGCCATGGAGTTCGGATTTTGTGAACAACTGAAGTACAGTGACTTCTGTGCATTTGGTAGAGTAGCGACCATCTTGAATTGCAAGTACGTATACAGATTAAATGTTTGCTTCCTGTTTCATCCGTTCATACAGCCATTGCATCAGAGTAGTCAAGGCATCATCCTCTCCAACTTGTGCCAACAAACGTGGATCAATCTGTGAGGCATATTGGCCAAGCTCAGGCTGCTCATCTACAGCACCTAGTGACAGCAACTCGCGACGGAGAAGGGGGAGCGCCCTGTACATGAACCGGTGCCACACACGCCGCACCCCCTTTTGCAGCTGCTGAAGCCTTGAGGGCGAGATTGACAGCAATATCTCCGGCAAAAACTCCATTTCTCTCTGCGTGCACATGCCAGGCTCAGGTTTCTGACCTCCAAAAATTGTGGCTTGAAGTAGGGGCAGGAAGATCCCCATGCAAGGTAGCGTTTGGAGCATGAAGTGTGTGCAAGAAACTAAGTCCCAGGCATCAGCAGAAGTCACCTCGGGAATTCGCACAGCAAACTCCTCCCAGTCCAGAAGAGTCTCAAACACTTGATCCACCCCATCGTTCACCACTACCGGCACACACCCATGCAGCATCGCATCCTCTGCTCTGGGACTCCAGCCATCCCCTGCCAACGATCCAGTCACAGTAACTCGAGTGACTGCTGGAGTGTAGGAGCCGCGCTTTGGGAAATCTTCATTTGAAGAATATGTGTCAGGTCACCCGACATGCTTGCTTGATCGTTGATACCCTATGCACACCTGGCACAACAAGGCAGAACTTTGAAGATGAGAGGAGTTCAGAGTAGCCTCCTGGGGTGTCCTCTTTTGTGCCTATCCAGATTCTGTACTTCTCTCTCCATCGCTGTTCCTGCAGGACAGCCCATGGTCTATACTAAGCATTCCTGGACTGTGTAGCACCGCTTCCCCTGAGAGCAGCACATTGATGCAGCAGAAGGTCAGCATGATCATGAATGAGACATGATCTGGTTAACATCACCAGCAAAAGATGCCTGGCGCACCTTTGACAGAGCATAGATGCGCTGGCGAATACCCCTGCTGTAATGGGGCCTCCGATTGAGCCCCACATCCCCTCTGAAAAAGAGCAGTAAGGGCCGTGGATCCTCACGAGCTCCTGTCAGCGGCGATGGCACAATGCGAGCCGGGGGCACAAATGCTGGGATGATGAGATCCTGGCATGCACAAATCAGCCACCGAGCGCTTCAGTAGCAGCCTTAACTTGAGCAGGAAGATTATTCTGCTTGCAAAAGTTGCCGACCAAGCAGACCTTGTCGGGGTCGTAACAGGGATGGCCCTCGATGATGTGGCGCCACCCATGCGGCCGCCACTCTGGGTGCACTGCATTGTCGCTGTAGTTGTCAAAAGGGTAGGCCGAATAGGACTCGTGGTCCAGCGCCTGTAGCACCCAGGACACATGCCTCACTCAACTCTTTTCTGCCAAGGTAGCGGCATCTGACAGAGGCTAAAGCAAGCAGCGGCTGATACACGCATGCGCATACATGCAACAGACAGAGGATCAGCACCTTTCGGCCCCAGTGACTCAGGATGATGGAAGACCGGATCTCTGAGGGTGCCCAGCAGGAGCCCTCATCGTGGGAAATGAGCCAGATGTGGTCCCTGCCCCCTGTCCGATTCCAGTATGGCAGTTCTGTCTCGAGCCACCTCTTTGCCTCCAACATCATTGTCGCTGCATGCATCACTCGAGGACCTGCCAGGCACTGATGCTTCAGAGGACTCCCAATACGCAGTTGTTCTTTTTTTGCGTCTTATCAGTCCATATTGTGGCAAAGGCAAATTAGGACGGACTTCCAGGGTTGTGGAACCAAGGAGTGTCTGCCCAGCCATAGACAGGGTGTATAAAGCAGCTGGTGTAGACTGGGACATAGAAGAAGTCAGCCGCCTCAGGGTCGAGCGTCCTGTGTGGGCTCTGCAGCAGCATTTCATGCAACGCCGGCTCTATCTGCACCAGAAGGGATACTAACAATTGGCATCCCAGACCACAGCACACAGAACAAGGCATACAGAAGTAACAAGCCCATGGAGTTTGCTGAGCAAGGCCACACAATCCTGTCCATGACCAAAAAAAAAATGACGTGGATCCTGTGCAGGTGGATGTCTGAATTGTGTACCTGATAAGTCCAGTCAGTTATGAAGGAAGCATTCCCGCTGTCAAAGCCTCTCCATGTACAGGTATCCTTGTGGATTCTGTACTGCAGCATGCGCGAGTTGTAGATTGGAGGCAGTTCAACCATGTAGATCAATGGGCGCATGCGCAACCCTGCATCCTTCTCTGGCAGTTTGTCTGACACAGAGGGCTCCACAGTCACATCTTCCAGCCAGGGCTTCAACCTGCCATTCTCTGCGCTGACAAGTGGTCATCATAATGCCTAGGACCCTTCTCCGCTTCTACTATGAATGCAATTCTAGCATTGGGCTAGCAGGTCTTGCAAACAGCGTTGGACAGCTTCGTGCAAGAGCCTGCCTGTTATTGGGGCTCCCGATGCCAGCTGGGCACAATCATGCCCATACCTGCAAGTACAGGCAGGGGGCTTCAGCCATATGAGCAAGGCCAGCTCAAATGAGGAATACGGCACTATCCATGGCCTGACAGTCCTAAGAATGTCACTGTGCTCACCAGCCATGATGGCATCTGCAGAATCCAAACCAGCACTCCCCACGTCCGCTGCACTGATTGGGACAGAACATCTCTGCGCAAGCATTGCATTGTGCACAAATCCAGCCAGTCATTGTATTCAGTTCACAAAAGAGACCTTGCAGTCTCTGCTTCTTGCACGGTGCGGGCATCTGCCCCGCCAATATTTGTTCAGAGATTGTGCTAAGCACTGTAAGTAGAAGCACCTGTGGGTTCGTCACAGGTGGGCCCAGCCACGCCATCAATCAGGCAAGCACAGTGATGTACAGGTTCATCGGCCTCACACCAGCCTTGAGAGCCGTACAGGAGCTCAGGATCTACAAAAGCCCAGTCTGTGGGATTGCCGTCATCATCCTGCAAGTCATGCATGCCAAGTCACCACTGTGGGGGCATCTGCGCATCGGTAAGGAGAGCAAAGATGGTGATTCGTCTTTCAACCTCAGCAACAGAAGATCTTCCAGACCTTCAGACAAGCCAACAACACCACCTTGCTGGGGTTGCACTGGCCCAGAATCATTGGGCGGCCTCTTTGAGAGAACAATGTGCCTGCATGTAGAAGATTGCTGGTAAAAATGCAGGTCATAAAGGGTGATTGGCAACAACTTTTATGAACTTGAAGATTGCTTGGGTGACATTACCTGGGAGAGTGTCAGGCGCTGCTGGGACATGACCCTTTGTGCCATTGCAATAGCATGCTCCAAGATTCGTATCGCACACACCTGTTCAGCGACAAGGGAATTTGACCATGCTGGGTGCAAAACAGGGATGTTCCAATTCAAAACAGGATATTCCGTTCCAAATCCCTAGGACAAAAAGGACAGGCTGCACAGCAGCAAACTGGCACTTGCAGCCATGCAGCTAAAAGGGAACCACCTCCACATCTGGATGCGGTCCAACCAGGCTCTGAGAGGGACGCTGGTGCCTTCATAACCGCAGTGCCTGTGGTTCGCCATGTGTTTGTGCAGGGGCGCTCGTCTCTGACAGAGCAGTCTCCACCGTCCCAGCCTGGACATTTCAAATCAACGCCGCTGGCAGAGTTGTCACTATATTTCTTGGCAGCCTCACCGTCGCTGAAGTGAAATGTTGTAGGTGAGGCAGATGGGAGGCGTCTTACCGGCCATACAAGCACATCTTCCGGTGTCTGCATTGCATACTCCCGCCCCGGAGCAGTCGTTGGGGCACTGTTGACTGCCTCGAGGTGCAGGAGAGGCTGCAATAGGAGTCTGTTCCCAGTAATGCCGACAGAATTTTCCCTTGGTGCCTCTGCATCTCCTTGAGATATCTTCCTCCATGCCAGGAAACTGCTCCGATCCCTTCTTGTGCAAATTGTTCTGCCTGTATGGAGCGCTGACTCCATGGAGGCTTGTGTCATGTGAAGGGCCCTGCAGCCACCAAGATGGCTGGAAAAGACTGTGATATGCATCTTCAGAGGCCAAAATCTACGCAATAAAAGCTCGGCTTGCTAGCAAAGTATCGACCTGCAACTTTTGTTTGCAGAGAGAGCCAGATCCTCCACAGCTGCTTCTGGCTGGCCAGAGGGTCAGCAGCTCCTGTTGCAGTAATAGGATTGCCACAGACGTTGCAAAAAGAATGCAAAGGGCAGTTGGAACATAGTTGCCCTGCATTTATGGATGTGGGATCGGCTTGGAAAGTAAGATCGATCGTCCAAGGTCCAAGGTTTCAAGGTGACCTCGGATAAAATATTGCTTGTCAAATCAAAAAGGAAGACCCCGCTAATGAGTGCTTCCTTTCTTTGAAGATACTGAAATCCATAGCAGCTTCACCTTGTATAATACCTCTTCATGATACTTCAAAGCTCACGACTTCGTGCCGAGATTTCTTGGACTGCATGCACCAATTTTGGCTTCTGTTCAATTTGAATAGGCGGCAATACCATCAAGCTTCTAGGCGCTGATCACAGATGGGATGATCGGTGTCCCATACTTGAGAGTTTCTAACATATGATTGATCTCGGTTTGGCCAATCTTGTATTTGGCGTTTGAGTTGTCTGTCGAGTTATGCCCAATTCCTGTGACATACAGAGGAAGCAATTGTGTTGCGCTGACAGTATGGACACATGGCAGAAATTGCAAAGACAGCTCGTTGCACAGCAGTGGTGGGTGCGGACATGTTGCTACGCTGTTGTGGGCGTGACGATCCTGTCTCTTTTCCTGTCAATGTTTGGCACCAACAGTGCACACATCAGAAGCACCGGTCTGATTGCCTTCAAAGATGACAATTCTACTAGTAGTCTCCTCGGACGCCATGTAAGTCCCTCCTTATCGCCTGATGCACTTTTATTCTGCTCTATTGAGCTCCATTATATTATATCGTAGCAGAGCTCCACAACCAAACTTTTATGAGCACATTTATCAAATTGCACGATATCTTTCATTCAGACCATATTGCAAAGTACTTGCAATCCGAAGAGTGGGCTGTCTTTGCACGCGAGATCGTCAAGCTTAGTGGTTGCCTCTCCAATCTTGTTGTATGGACAGTTCCAATAACACTGCTGAAGATTGGCTTCATTCATGCAGGTGGAAAAGTTACGGGATGCAGGCAGCAAATTCGTGAGCACCTTCTGGTCGTGGGGAGACCCTTATGACGATGAGCTGGTAGATGTGCGAACCAGACACCGCAACCTTACCTATCTTGATATCGTTGCATGCATCTTTTGCAAATATACTCCTATGTCTGAGAGCTGGTTCCTGCCTGTGCACACGTCTTGAAGATCTATGAGGTTACACATTGCTGTGGGCATGCAGGAATGGTTTGAAGAGGACGGCACTGGCGAAGGTGCCGAGCCGAGCTGGGACGGATCAACAAATGCTGACGGAGATTGGATACCCGAGGCAGCTTCTGAGGAGGCAGCCTGGGATAACCCTGACGCCAGCTGGGCCGCAGACCAGCAGTGGACGGGCGAGGATGCCAACGCCAACTGGGAGCAGGGCCCAGCAGATTGGGTGCAGTCAGCAGAGCAGTGGGATAACCAGGATGCTGTCCTGCCAGGGGATCAGGCCGAGTGGACAGAGCCAGCCCAGCAGTGGCCCCAGGATGAAGGCACCTGGGGAGGAGATCAAGCAGAAGTGGTGGCGTCAGCTGAAGACCCAAACGCAGGGGGGAACCCCGCCGAGTGGGTGCAGCCAGCAGAGCAGTGGGAAGACGCAAATCAGTGGGAGGAGCCGGCAGCCCATCAATGGGAAGGTGACCAAGTAGAAACAAGGGAGCCAGCTCAGGAATGGGATCCTCAGGAGCCCGTCTGGGCAGGCGAGCAGGCAGAATGGACGGAGCCAGCACAGCAGTGGGACAGTGAGGCTGCTGTCACCTGGGAAGAGGACCAAGCAGGCTGGGTGGAACCAGCCCAGGAATGGGATGAAAGCAAAGAGTCAGCCGCCCAGCAGGCAGTTGCCACAGGGCAAGAGGTCCAGGTGGAATGGGCCGAGCCGGAGCAGCAATGGGACGGTGAAACGGCCCAGTGGGAAGAGGATCAGGCCGGCTGGGTGGAGGGACGCCAGGACTGGGACAACCAGGCCGCCCGATGGGAAGAAGAGCGCGCAGAATGGGTGGAGCCCTCACAGCAGTGGGGGGGCCAGGATGAACAATGGGTGGACAAAGGGAATGAAAGCGCTGACCTCCCTGCCGGTCAGACCGATGACTCATGGTCGCCCTCGGAGGCCTCTGGTGATGAGTGGGCAGCACAGGACTCGTGGACCGATGAGTCGGCCCAGCAGGAGCAGCCAGAGGCCTGGAATGAGAACGCCAATGTTGGCGATCAGCCTGAGAATGCATGGGACACAGCGGAGCCTGCAGCTACCTCTTGGGAAGCCAGGCCTTCAGAGCAGGACTCCTGGTCAGCTGACGCTGCACTTGAGGCATCTGAAGGGGGCTAAAAGGATCTGCCAGGCAGTGCGCGCATGGCAGGACCTCTGAAATGATATGAACCAACCAATGCCTCAGGTGGAATGTTGATGGGTTAGAGGATCATGTTGCTGTTGCTGACAGACGTTCGATCTGGGCGGTGTGCTGTAAGGTGTTTGAGATGGTGAAAGTCACAGCATTATCAGGCTCTGCTCAACAGTTGTGAATCTTAGAACATTGAAGCAAGTCGTGCCGATCTGTCATTGCGGCGTTCAGACATAGCACATCCAATTGATACCGGTTGCCAGGTTGTTACTGGGTCAGCTTTGATTCCAACTTGATTCTTGATCTAGTCTGCAAAGAAGAAGAATGTGCCACAGGGCATAGGCATAGGCAGGTACAGTACCATGTGTTATTTGGTGTTCTACTGTATGATGCATATGCATGGTCTTGACAGTAGGTAAGGGTAGGTTGTTCAAATGGGTTTGTGTAAGCGGCACAGGACTTTTCTGTGAGTCGCGGCCGGCTGATACCTGCGGGGTGCCTCACATAGTAGTCCTGTTCACTGTGTCACTCGCTGATTGCCATTGGTAAGTACGAAGATGTGCCCGATCATTTAGGCCAGTGAGGTACCGCTCTGCCACAGAGCGGCAGCGGCTGTCACTAGCGGCTTCAGCATAGTGAAAGCAGGTGCACAGAGGCCTCCACACCCTGCGCAGGATGCATCAGCAACCTGGATAATTAAGGTGTGACCGTCCAGGCCTACAATTGTTGCAACCTAGGTGTGACACCGGTGCCAATTCAACAGTGGTTCCAATTCATCACCAGTGGTACCAATTCAACATCAATATTAAAATAGTCCAAATCAACCAAATTTATCATTGTGAAAGTGCAAGCCATGAGACAACGCCCTATTTGGTGATCCACCTGCAATTGAATGTATCTAATCAGTTTCAAGGCAAGAATTGAGATTATGACTTCCAAATCAGCATGCAAGGTGAGTACCGACAGGAACGCCGGTATCCTGACCCCTATCCGCACTTATCCAGCTCGAGAGTCATCAAATTTGGGGGAAACATTGAAACGTCTAGAGATGGGGAAGCAAAACTTGCTTCCTTAAATTTCAGGTTATTACAAGACAGGAGCTTACTTGCGAGAACATGACAGGGAAATTTCGTTGTACAATCTTGGGCTGATCAAGGTTTCCAAAAAGTGTCTTATTTCTTAAGGTTGGTAAACCCCTTTGTGAAATCAAGAGGAAGAGGTAGCTGCGACGCTTATCGTGAGTCAGGCTGAGGAGATCCTTGTATACAGCTGAGGGCGGCTGGCCGTGTTGTTCTCTTTGGTGAGTCCAAGACCCTACTTGGTTGTCCTGACATGTTGTTGATGATGAGTATCTCCATCATTTTAAAGTGTTCTACGGTGTGTTGCGCAATGTTTTACCAGAGATGGGAGCGCACTTTGTGCACAACGTTGTCGTAACTTCCTTGATCGCCAAAGTTATGACTCAGCATAAAGTCACGCCATATGAAGCCTGATTCAAGCGCCTCTCCGTGCTGCTCTTCCAGAGCTCGCGGGCTGCAACGTGCTCACATCAGCACAAGCTGTGGAGCCACTCCTGCTGCTGCGCATATGGGCTCCCTGGCGCCACCTGGGCTCATCATAGCGCAGCCTCAGTTGGGAGAGAATGGTGGAGCGCCAGGGCCAAGTGGGCAGGTGCCATGTTTTTCCCATGCAACTGTCTGCCTTTAAAGCGATCAGCCTGGAGCTGCAGCTCTGTGACTCGAATACCAAAGAGGAGTTGAAGCCTCATTTCTGCCTTGTGAGCCTCTTGATGTGGTCTGAGCCTGAATGCATGCTCAAAATTGCATGCTTCTTCATGCAGACGATCTTACAAGCGCGGGGCGACACAGCGTATACAACGGAGTGGGACTCAGCGGAGCAGGCGGCGCTTGACTCGGCCCTGGCGCGGTTCCCGGCCGATCGCCACCCTCCCCTGGAGCGCTACGTCCGCGCCGCAGCCTGCCTCCCCAAGAAGTGCGCCCCCAGCCGCACAATCTGCTCCTTTCTCGTGTGCTCCACGCTGCCAGCCATGAGAGAAGCAGCCGGAGCAGCACTCTCTCTCTCCCACAGGCTTGGCGTGTGCAGCGCATCGGGCAAGGTTGTAGCTGCGCGAGGATGATTAGTCCAGATGAGTGAGGATGATAAGTCCGAAGGCTGCTACAGCAAGATGCTGCAAGACGTCCATGGGGTAGCCTGAGTAGACCGTAGCCCGGCTTGAGGCTACGAAGCTCTGTCCATGAGAACTATTGATATTGTGATGTGCAAAAGATGCTCAGGAACGCGCATGTTGAGGCGGCCTGGCCGGCGCAGGAATGTGAGGGATGTGGCGCTGCGGGTGGCGTGGCTGCGGGCGACGGCGGCGGCGCGCAAGCGCAAGATGGCGGACGAGGCGAACAGCAAGAAGCAGGTGCGGCGGGAGCGCGGGCAGAGCATCTTCGCAGTGCAGCCCAAGCCCATGGGCGGCGGCGTGGGGCACCCCATGGCCGCCAGCTTGGCCGCAATGCCCGGGCCCAACATGGGTATGGCCTCTGGCATGCCCATGCCAGCCCCCATTGTTGTGCAGCCCCACGGTGAGCCTTTCTCAGACCTCTTCCTGCCTTAATAGATTCTGCAGACATCTGCCCTGTGGCTGCGCATGGGCCGGAAAGAATGGGAATACTGCCTGTCGGCACACACAGTGCATTCAGTTGCATGCCATAATTTCTCCCTGGCAGTAGCAGTGATGTTCAGGCACGATGCAATTGTGGCCAGTGACAGTGCCATCCAGAGGCAATTTGACAAATTAGTGCTGGCTGCGTCAATAGGACAACAGAGTGTCGGCTTTGAGCAAAGTGTTGGTGATGGAGAGCAGCAGGGCGTCGGTTGCTGACAGGTGGTTTGTGTCTGGGCTGTGCAGCGGGCATGGCGTATGCGCAGCCGGTGGTGCCGCTGGCGCCGATGCCGCAATTAGACGACCACGGGGCCGGCACGGTGGGGGGCGTGGGGGGCCCCCTGGCGCAGCCGCTGGAGCAGAATTACGCCATCCTGAACCAGTTCAAGCAGAACATGGCCGCCTACAAGGTCAACGAGAACACCGAGCTGCTCGTGCGCTTCCGGGACAACATCCTCACCGTCCTCAACCACATGAACTCCATGCAGGCGAGCCCCCCACCCAGGCTTCTGTGCCACCCCAACTCTGCTTCGCATCACAGGTATCTGGCCGACATTACAGCACGCAACAAAGCTCGTTGGATGCATGCGTTGTATTCCCAGACGTAACCTGCTGCGCGGTCTCGATCGTGCAATAGAACATTCCACAAAAGATAACAAAGAAGAGACTGAATCACACGGGCAGAGGAGCTGGCGGGGTGTCCTAGTGGCGGCAGATGGATGCAAAAAGAGAACAAAGGCGGGCTGAAGCATTGCCCGGTTGTTCTTCTCATGGGTGCGCTGTGCAATGCAGGGTGTGATGCAGCAGATGCCGCCGTTGCCAGTGCGGCTGAATGTGGAACTCGCCAACAACTTCCTCCCCAAAGCAGTCGCCAACGGGATGTGCCAATTTCCCTATGTTCCGCCATCTGGAGGTGCTTTTCTACATCGCTCCTTTCATGATGGCATTATGGAGCAACCAATGTCTCCTAACTTTAATGACCTCCGTGCTGATTGTATAATTGTCTTTTTACAGACACAGTGACTCTGGCGTTCATTGCAGGGATGGCCTCGGGTCCGATGTTGGGGCAGCAGGGCAGCAGCGCGGGCATGGCGCCGCCAAGCGTGGCGACCAGCGCGCCTGTGGCAGCAGCTGCCTCTGGGGCAGCACCAGCGCTGCCCGCAGTGTCGGCCCCAGCCCTGCTGCCGCTGCCAGACTCCAGCCCTGCTTTTCCGCCTGCCCAGCAGCAGCCGCAGCCAGCGCAGTTGCAGCCGCCAGCCCAGCTGCAGCAGCCTGCACAGACAGCGCAGTCGCAGCAGGTGCCGCCACAGACTATGCAGTTGCAACAGCAGCCTCAGGCCGCACAGCTGGAACAGCAGCATTTGCCGCCACCGGCTTCCGCGGCAATGCCTGCTGGTGGCACAGCTGCCGCAAGTGCTGCGGCGCAGGTGCCGCCGCCTGCGCACAGGCCGGCCAATGGTCTTCCTGTGGTGTCGATGCCGTCACCTGCGACACCCGCACCCGCATCGGCCTCAGCGGCGCTGGCGGCCCCTGTGCAGCAGCCGCAGCCGCTTGTGCCGCCGCCAGCGCCCAGCAACCCCGTGCCGGCAGCCGCGCCACAGTTACCAGTGCCACTGGCGACCCTTGATGCGGTGATAAAGCTTGAGCCTGTCACAACGCCCGTCGCAGTCCCTATCGTGGAACAGCCTGCGCAGCCAAGCACCTTGCAGCCCCCAAGCCTGCCGGCTGCGGTGGCGCCTGTGCAGCCGAAAGGCGAGCCTCAAACCTCGGCAGCTGCGCCGCCGCAGCAGCTGCCCTTGCCCTCCCCAGCAGCGGCAGATCAGCCTGCTCCCAATCCCAGCGCGCCCCCACCGCCCAAGGAAGAGCCTGCTGCAGCTGCGCCAGAGCCCCCACCGGCCAAGACGCCACCTGCCGCCCCGCCCAGCACGCCAGCCCTCGTGAACGGCGTTGAGTCGAGCGAGGCTCCGGCGGCTCCGGCCGCGCCTCAGCCGCCGCAATCTGACGCGGCTGCTGCGCCCGCATGTGTGACATCGTCGCCCAAGGCCGGGGGAGTGGGCACCAGGAGCAGCAGTGCTGCGCAGCCCAGCCCTGGGCGGCCGAGCAGGGCCACGAGAAGCATGGCGGCAGCCAAACGCAACCCCTCTGCGGCTGCATCGCCATCGACTTCTAAGGGGCAAGGATAATAGCACATTGTGATGGCGCTGTAAGGGCCTGAGCAGTCTTTTTGATGTGTTGCAGAGTTGAGTCTCGTTTGGCTGGAGAATAACACAGAGTGGTGGAGTGAGGTTGCCTGTAAGGCAACTCGTGTGTACATGTTGATTATTTAGTTTGAACGATTGGGAATGTACGGTACATTGCAGTTCCCCTGGTGTTGCCAGTGCTTTAGCTTTGTGCAGCTTTACGCGGGTTTCCAAATGTGTGTCGGCGTGATGGCGGATGGTGCCCACATTTTGATGCAAGAGCTCCATGAAGCTTGATCTGGTGGATGTGGCCAGCCTGCACAGACAGTTGGCATTGACAAGTACATTGAGTCTTGTAAAGCATGGCGGACCTCCTTGCGGTGCAGAACTGTGATTGATCATGGTGTCACTTGGTCGAGGAAGCACTGCGCTCTAGCTGCCAGTGATCAGTGCACTCTTTCATGCAGGCAAGGATTTTTCATGCACGTGGTGAGCTTATTCAACAAGATGCCAGCAATCCTACATCTATGGGGTTCTATCGACCACGAGAAGTAGTGCCTTTTCTGTTGCCTCCATAAAATTTACGTAATGAGTTCTGCACCATAACACCTGCAGCTGCATGGCTGCCAGGTGCCAATTCAGGCGACTCTTTTGGCGTTGGGACGTTTCACCCAGTCGTTTGCCAGAAAAAATCCCTGATCCAACAAAGTATAGATGTTTGCATCGCTTCTGTTTGTTGCAGTATAGATTTGTAGCAAAGCATCAACAAGATCCTGTAAGATCTTGCTTCATCAAAGATGGGCGCTATGGGTGGCATGCCCTACGGCTTGCAGGCCATGCTCAAAGAGGGGCACAAACATTTCTCTGGCCTGGATGAAGCCGTCTACAAGAATATAGAGGCTGGAAAGCAGCTGTCACAGATCGCAAAGACGTCCATGGGCCCCAACGGTAAAACGCAGCCTTCTCCTCAATGTGACCAGGGCATAAGCAGACTCACGTACTTCCACATCTAATAAAGTATCTAATGATATACCAAGTGGCGTTCTTGAAAGGTCTTCATCACTGCAACGCAGGCATGAATAAAATGGTGATCAATCACTTGGAGAAGCTTTTTGTTACGAGCGATGCCTCGACGATCATAAATGAGTTGGAAGTGGAGCATCCCGCTGCTAAGTTGCTCGTGCTTGCGGCCCAAGCCCAGCAACAGGAGATCGGGGATGGCACCAACTTTGTGAGCAGCCACTGTGACTCTTTGTGCTTCAATCTCTCAAAAAACGAAGTCGGTATTGTTGTTATTCAAGATCGGACTGCCGTATCAGAATTCTGTGATTGTCGATTTTACAATCATCGCACGTATTCACGAGAGGATAATGCTCAATGCCCAACAGATCTCTGCTTGATCACAGCAATCTGTGACTGCACAGGTTGTGTCTTTCGCTGGTGACTTGCTTAGCGCAGCAGAAGGGCTCCTAAGAGATGGTCTGCACACTTCCGAGGTTGCGGAAGGGTATGGGAAGGCTGCGGCAAAGGTGCACCCCGGCCATCAACATAATAAGTTGAAAAGATGGTGCATGATATCAACAGCTGAAGGCAAAATCGGTATAGGACAATTTGTTGACAGATCTCAAACTTAATGCTGTGCTGCGCAGGCCCTGGAGATCATGGAGGGTCTTATAATTCCTGGATCCGACAAGATAGATGTCAGGAACAAGGAGGAGGTAAGCATTGGACACAATTTGCCTGAGAGATCCGCTTCAGATTAAGACCTCTTCAAATGATGATGCAATGTGTATCTCTGTGCAGGTGACGAAGAGGATCAAAGCCTCTGTCTGCACCAAGCAGTATGGCTATGAGGGCCTTCTGTCCCCGCTCATCGCACAGGTGCTTTCTGGCCCCCCAAAAGATGCTAAATCGATATTGTTTGACTCAGACATCTTATGAGAGCGTTCAACTCAGCCAGGCCACCTCTGCCACATGCACAAAGGGCGCTTAATATACTCAAAGCAATGGGTGGTGCGCAGGCATGCATAGACGTGGTCCCGAAGAACACGGCGAACTTCAACGTTGACAACGTGAGGGTGGTGAAGATCGCGGGCGGCGGCGCGCACGACAGCCGCGTGGTGAAGGGCGTTGTCATCAAGCGCGGCACGGAGGGCAGCATCAAGGACGTCACCGACGCCAAGGTGGCTGTCTTCGCGCAGGGCGTCGACACCGCTTCCACAGAGACCAAGGTGCCGGCCCACACATCAGTCCAATACCTCAAACTTTGATGTGGCGCTTGACAACTTCATTGATTGCGCTGCCACAGCCTCAGCAGGAGCACATGACTCTGCTTCCTGCAGCATCTCTTGGCAATGGACTCCAGGTTAAAAGTCACAAAGGATCTTGGACCTTCATTTGCTGGAAATGGTGGTGCTGCACCACAGTAAGGACACCAAAGTGATGTTTATTTGGGCTGCACTGATCAATGCTCTAGTGTTGAAGAGAGCAGTCCGAATCGGTGTGTGGCGGGGCGCAGGGGACGGTGCTTATCCGGAGCGCGGAGGAGCTGCAGGGGTACAGCCGCAGCGAGGAGGACCGGCTGGAGGCGCTGATCAAGGGCATCGCTGACACGGGCGCGCGCGTCGTCGTGGCCGGCTCCGCCATCGGCGACATGGCGCTGCACTTTGTGGAGAAGTACGGCATGATGGCCGTGCGCATCCCCTCCAAATTCGACCTGCGCCGCTTCTGCAGGCGCGCCCGCCTCTCTCCCCTCTTCTCTGGACCACGCACCTCTATTGTCCTGCCATCAAGAAGCATCACCACACTTCTCAAATGGCCCTAGGTTAAAGACCCACTGGCCTGTCTGCTATGAAGGGGCTGGGGAAGAAACCATACTTGCCCCCTGGGAATTTTGTCAGGCGCTCCTTCAAAACATTTTCTCTCTTTAAGGCAGTTCAGGGGCGGAAGGAGCCCAAGACGTTGTTTTTTCAGAGCCCTGTGAGTGGCCGGGTGAGACGGCTGACGGGGCGGCGGCTGAATGGCTTGCAGGGCGACGGGGGCGACGGCGCTGGTGAAGCTGGGCGCGCCGGCGGCGGACGAGCTGGGCTTTGCCAAGTCGCTGCGCGTGGTGGAGATCGGCGGGACGCGTGTGATCCAGCTGGAGCAGGACGCGAGCGCGGGCGCGGTGTCCACGGTGGTGCTGCGCGCGTCGACCGAGCAGCTCCTGGACGACCTTGAGCGCGCCATCGACGACGGCGTCAACACCTACCGGGTGCGCAACTTGTCTTGCAATCCCGAGCATGAGCCACAACTTTGCAATTTGAGGTCCTGTGATAGCAGCCCTTGGAAATGAGGCTGAGGGATGGTGCATGTGGGCCTCTAATGAATGACACAGCAGCACCCTCCCGTGCTATCTACAGAGCTTTCTGGCAATGCAAGCGCCTGATTCGGTGCATGGTGCATTTTTCCACTCAGATGTGTCCATGACATAGCAGCAGCTTGCGTGAGGTCTCCCTGAATGGAATGGGTGGTGATGCCTCAAAAGAGCGGGTTGAATGGCGTGCAGGTACTGTGCAAGGACCCTCGCGTGCTGCCGGCCGGCGGCGCGACCGAGATGGAGATTGCCCGGCAGCTGTCAGAGCTGGCGCGCAAGGAAACCGGGCTGGAGCAGTACGCCATCGCCAAGTTTGCCGAGGCCCTCGAGGTGGGCCCAACCCTCCCTTGCAAGTTTTATGCTTCCAGCAGACTGCTGTTTGATCTGTAAGATATTGCTCTTCCTGGGTGCAGGACTGAGATCCGTGCCCTGTCAATGAGCAGGACATGCAAAGACTGGGCCATGGTTCAATGATGTATCACCCAAAATTGCACCCCCTCCGGTGCAGGTTGTGCCAAGGACGCTGGCGGAGAATTCGGGGCTGAATGCATCGGACGTAGTGGCATCTCTGGCGGCGGCTCATGCGTCGGGGCAGGCATCGGCGGGCGTGGATGTGGAGACGGGGGAGCCCAGGGACCTTGCGCAAGACGACCTGTTCGACCTGTACCTGACCAAGTGGTGGGCCCTCAAGCTGGCGGCCGAGGCGGTGTGCACGGTGCTGCGCGTGGACCAGATCATCATGGCCAAGCAGGCCGGCGGGCCCAGAGCGCCCCAACCGGGCGCCATGGACGAGGACTGACGTCAGACTGTCGACAGAGTAACAGGATGAATTAACATGTGTTGACTAAGAGGACTGCTAGTGTGGCTGGTCGTCTGAAAGGTCGAAACCAGGGCTGTCACCCTGCTTAGAGGACAGCTGTGTTGCTCTTGCATGCAGGGCGCATTCACGGTGAATGACAGTGTGCTATCATAAATGGAATGATGGGAGCCAAGAACGATGCCAAAGGTCGCGAGATGCATTGCTTCGAAGTTCAAGGTTGGACTGAAATGTAACTCGAAGTGCTATCATGCAACAGCTCGTTTTCTATTACACCCTTATACTGCCTACACGCTTACTAAGTGGTAATACCACTGCGCAGTTCAATTACAACACATAAATCCGTACACATCACCTTCCCTCAAACTTCAGTCTCAGCCTCAGGATTCTGATGATTAAATTGATGTTATCACAACACGTATATAACGCATTGCTCTGGTAGTACATCTCACAGTATGCATGTAGATCTATGTTTGGAATGCCATAGATGTGCCGGCGCAATAAAATTAAGACATAACGGAAGACACATACAATAGAATGCGATCATCTGGGGAAGCTCTACAGTGCACCCCTGCACAGCAATATGATCCTGCAGCTGACTCTACTAAAGGAGCGTCTCAATTGCTCTTCCTGAACCAGAGACCAATGGAAAGTACAACATCAGCATGACACAACGGAACAAATTTACCCAACAATGTGTGTGCATCCTTCCAACGGAGGGAGCTGTACTGTGAGGACACTGGAAAGGTTTGTGCTTGCAAGGAGCCAGGATTGCAGCTTCCTCAGCTGTAGAAGACACGGATTGCAGCCAGCAAAGCACGATTGGGCACCAAGTACTTGCTCTCCAATGGTTCATTTGTCATTGGGGATGTGTCGTGGCTACGGTACCAGTCCGCGATGGCTGTTCGCTCATAGCTGTACCTGTCAGGTGGCACTGGTGCAGTCGATATTGCTCGTGTACAATAGGCAGAGCAGAGCCTCTCTTGACTGTGCAGTTGCCACACAATCAGCCCTTGAACACAAGTCAACAAGGGGTAGGATTGAGGACCAGGGAGCGTACCCGTCGCATGCGACGACTGGATCTCGCAATATCTCCTGCATGATCGAGCAAATGATTAGACCAGCAACTGCACTGAATGTGCCAGAAATGAGAGCAGTGATGTCGAGGACGATAAACAGTGCAGGCAGCACATGGAGCCCTTGAGTACATGGTCACAACACCGTGACAAGTAATATGTCGAAGCTGCTTACATGGGTGATGGGGCAGCAGAACGAGTCTGGTGCCTCATCGTCCTCGAAGGGTTCAGCGTTCACTGGCGGAGCAGCCATGTTCCCTTTGAGTTCCCTGGCGTTGACATGACCATTCTCGCGGGCTTCATAGGAGGGCGTGCTGTGGGTTGCTGCTGCCGAGGCTCCATTGCGCTGCACAGCACATGCTCTTCAGGAATAATCTCACAAATCAAGCACAAAAAGAGAAAAGGCTTCAGAGGAAAAAACCTCTGAAGCCTTCAAGTGAGGTTACAAGAAGGGCTTGGCTGCATTATCTTCATAGCTAATACAGACAAGCTGTTGGCTCGGAACAATGGTAAGCACATTATATGGGAATTTAATTGGCCACACCACTGTAGGAGCTGGAGGATGTTGCAGCTCGTGGGGGCTGTGTGCAAATAGGCAGGAGGAGCCCTTTGAGCAGTGCCCTTGCAGGTGGTATGAGCACATCTTGCTCTTGCTCTGGTGGCCGGAGGAAGCCCTCTCTGCTGGCTGTGATCCAGTCGTGCTCGACCTGGGCCGCACATCAGACCCTGCACGCACCCCACGGCCACCGGATGCCTGTTGACAAGCCAGCATTTAGTGATCTACAGAGGAAGTGCAAGCGACTGACTGCTCAAGGTGGGCTGCTGAGATGATCGGTTGCAAGGTGCCTGTCACGTCCTCCGAGCAAAGAAAACGCATTTTGTGGACAACAAATGTGTGCTCCTCACAGGTGCGCTGGGAGAGAGCAAGTCATTGGGAAGCGGCGCACCCGTGCTTGTGCTGCTGCATCTGGATTATGGGAGAACCAGCATTTGTCTCCACGAGCGCAATTGGGATGATACTTGCATAGCTGCGTCTTGCATCTCTGCCTCTCCCTGTCGCGTTCCCGTTTTGCATCGAATGGCTCACCATCTAGATCATCTGTGACGAAGGTCTGCGATAAGAACCAAGGCATCAGCATCACGCCACCAGGCATTGAAATGTACATGGGCTCGACCAATTCCAAAACGGACCTGGGAAGCACTTCTGGCACCGGTATTGCGTCTCATGCTTTAAAATGAAAATTAATACGTCAACAACCGACTTATTGCAAAATACGTGACATCTTTTAGTATCCCATCGAGGTGATCATGCGCTGATGGAGACACGTCCGCTATATAGGTTGCTATACTGCCATTCTTAGCAATTGAAGGAGATTGATGCGACTAGAATCCTTAAAATTCTGCTGAGAAGCGTGGGAAACAAACCGACAGAGTTCTGGCTCCAGAACAGGGCGGTGACGTGATCGGTATTGTGGATATGATGAGAGCCTAAGTAGGCCGCTTCTCAAGGCAGCGGCTGTGGCTAGCCTTTCCATGATCGAGTGTTGCAACCAAAGAATTTGTATTTACTTGAACCTGTCATGGCACAGATGGCAGGGAGCCTCTCGTCGCCGTTGGCGGGTCAGCTACGGGGGCTGTGCAATAGCTGCCCTCAGCTTGCACCCCCTGCTCGCATTTCAGCAGGAGCGAGGCAGAGGAGAGCACAGTTGTCCATCGAAGCCCGTGCACATGCTGCTGGTATGGGATTGTGGGCGACGAAAGCCGGCATGACGCAGATCTTCACCCCTGAGGGCTTGTGTCTGCCAGCTACTGTTCTTGCATTGGAGGAGGGCAACATCGTCACCCAGGTCCTGGTCTTGAAGCTCTATCGTTTGCAAATTAGCTTAGTTGTGACTATCCTCTGATGAGTAGAGAATCTTGTCTCTTTACTGCCTTTCATAGTTGGTGTAGTGTATGAGCCAGGTAGTGTCTAAGAAAGCAGGTGAACGTTTACAGGTGAAGACCGAGGCTACGGATGGATACAGCGCCGTGCAGGTTGGCTATCGGGTTGTGAAGGAAAGGAAGATCACAAAGCCTGAACTCAACCACCTGAAGAAGTCCGGCGCACCTCCTATGAAGAACCTCAGGGAATACAGGGTGCGTTGTGGTCACCAACAGGACGAATGCCCAACAGGCCATCTGTAAGGATGTATATTGATGATCTTTGCCGACTTGTGGGTGATTGCTTGCTGAAACTGACTTGTGTTGCGTCTGGTACAGTTGAAGTCGGTGGAGGGCTATGAGCCAGGTCAGCAGCTGAATGTTGAGGAGGTCTTCAAGGTTGGGGACATAGTGGATGTGGCGGGCACTTCCATTGGAAAGGGATTCCAAGGTGCGCCATTAACATCAGCAGCCGCAGAGACATAAAGCGAACGCCACACGCAATCTGTCTGCATCAGAATTGTGTCCCAAGCATGTGGGTGGTTTGCTCATGCGATGGTGGTTTTACAGGTGCAATCAAAAGGTGGAACCACCACAGAGGAAGCATGACCCACGGATCCAAGTCCAAGAGGCAACATGGGTCTATTGGATCGTCAGCCACACCCAGTCGTGTGTTCCCTGGGTTAAAAATGGCTGGGCAGATGGGCAATGAGCGGAAAACTATCAAGGCCCTCGAGGTGAGGGCTTAATGTGCACAGACAAAACCTTTGTTGTGCTCTACAGATCACGGCATTTGAACACAAAGCGGTTGACAAAAAGTTCTGGGACAGGAGATGACAACCGACACGATAATCTTTATATTGGACAGCACTGCAGTGTCTAAAATGCGCATGTCTGTTTGCAGGTGCTCATGATTGATCTTGAGAAGGGAGCGATCGTGGTGAAGGGATCTGTCCCAGGCAAGCCAGGATCTGTCCTGGAGATCACCCCCAACAAGGTGGTCGGCAAGAACTGCTGATGAGGGCGGCCTGTTTGGTGCGCGGGCAGATGGAGCAATGCTGTCAGTGTGGTCTGCTGGTCCATTTGTAGCTGCTGTTCAACCGCAGGAAACGCATGTACATCTACAAAATTTGCACTTGACAGATCCTAGACGAGCCATTGCAGTGAAAGCACTGGTAAAGATGAATCGTATTTTCTGAGATGGTCATACTGTTATGACGAGGCTGGAAGGTTAGGCCTTGAACTGGAAGTGACTGGAGGTACTGATGTCACTGATTGCTGATGAAGTGGATCCCTTATTAGGCTTGTAATGACATCATGTGGATGATCCCATGACGGAGCATCAATTGTTCACATCAGCATTGCCTGTACTGCAGCATTTTATGCCTATCATGCTTTGATAATCGCCAGTGGATCTTCAAGAAGACTGGCACTGACCACTGGCAGTGCACGGGCAGTCCTTGGTGGTACCCGATCAGGCTGCCAGCAGTGCCGCACTGCTGGCGGCCAGTGGCCCACAGTGCATGCAGGCTGCGTTAATGATGGCTTCCACATTGGCCAATGGACTTTAAACTTGATACACTATGCATTCATGAAGGCCACAAGCTGTGTGCTGAACACTGCCTCATGTCACAGACAACCTTCTGCTCTTGCAGGACAGAAAGAAGAAAGTCCTCGTTGTTTCAAAGGTTTTAAAGGTTTTAAAGTTAAAGAAAGTCCTCGTTGCTGTGCACTCTGTCGCTCTTGCATGCCCTCCTCTGCCCTTTCTGGGCTGCATTTGATCACGTGATCAAATCCCACCTTGGCTCTGGGCCACAAGAGGCCTGCAATCTCTGCTGCTCTGCCAGAACACATTAAGAGGCGTTAGCATGGAGAAGACGTACGGAGGCCCATGTAGCACTCTAGCCGGAACCAACCCTCGTACACGATCGCAATTGCCAAGTGTGAACAGTCCTGCTGCACCAGTACATTCGTTCCGTCGCCCCCGATCTTCCTCTCGGAAGCAGGTGAGCTGATGATCCCAGGACAGGATTTTGACATTGTTCTTATATACCGTCACACCTGCGCCTGGTCAAAGCGCGTATTGATCGCCCATTTCGGTAGACGTGGAGACTTTCTATCGTTGTACTTGTTTCACCACTTTTCCTTTGTCAGTAGGTCTGTGAGCGGGGGAAACCGATGTTACCCAGCATGAATATGTGCTCATTGACTACTTGGCGTGTTGAGTGCTTATCGTTGCACAGGCGGAAGGAGTGCTTGCACCCAGCCGATGGTCCCAGCCGTCAGTTCGCGCGTCTCAAGCGTCAGCTCAGTCAGCTGCGGCTGTTTCCACGACTGATAAGATCCCAGAAGAGCAATCTTCTTCGAGGCCTGAGTGCGAGGCAGTTGATTTAGAGACTATCTTGAAGGAGCGCGATGCTTGTGGGGTAAGTCACGTTTTTTGGGTACAGCTGCTGGGAACTTCTCGACAGCATTCTTCATCGGGTACGCAGATATAAAGGTGTCTTCCCTTGCAGGTCGGCTTCATTGCAAACCTCAAGAGCCAGAAGAGCCATGTCATTGTGGAACAGGTAAGACCAGTACAGCCTATGAGTGACCTACTCAACAATCACATGCATGGCCATTCCTGCCCAGTTGCACAAATGCACTCCTCTTGCTACTTGAATGAAGTCTTCCTAGCCTCGGTAGCATACAAAGCTTTGCCTGAATGATGCATCCAGGCCCTCACATCCCTTGGATGCATGGAGCACCGAGGGGCATGCTCAGCGGACAATGACTCCGGGGACGGTGCGGGTATCATGACCCAGATCCCATGGGACCTCTTCAAGCAGGACTTCCCTCAGCTCAACGAGAAGACCACTGGGTGCGTCCATGTCTGCTTGTTGCACATTCCTGCAGCAATGATGCTGCATGATTTGAAGCGGGCTCATTCGGAGTGCTTGTTGGGCTGAGCATTTGTTTATTGGCAACTCCTGAGCTGAGGCTGAGCCTTTGTGAATGTTGGTGACAGGGTTGGCATGCTCTTTCTGCCCAATGATGACAAGCTGGCGGCGCTGGCAAAGCAGATTGTGGAGGATGTTGTGAAGGCAGAGGGCCGCTGCCACATTGTGGGCTGGCGTGACGTCCCCGTTGTCAAGGAGGTTGTGGGGCCTCTTGCACGCGCCACAGAGCCGCGCATCGTCCAGGTGCATATGCCTTCATGTTGTTGCCGCGGTCGTTTTGCAGGGATCTGTCTCTGCTGAAGTACAGCCAGAAACAAATATTATACTCTGCACTTTCTGCTAAACGTGGTGTGTCTTTCTCATCCTGTCTCTCCTTCTTATTGAGTTATCTGGTGCGTCGGCAGGTGTTTGTGGAGTCAAACAGCGGCTTGGCAGGCTCTGACCTGGAGCGTGAGTTCTTCATCCTGCGGAAGCTCATTGAGAAGGAGAAGGATGCGCGCTTTGCCACCGAGGGAGCTGACGCATCGGACTTCTACATCTGCACGCTCTCCACCAAGCTGATTGTGTACAAGGTATGCCTACCTGGATCGTGTCTAGGACTTTGATTGGCCAGCAATGCATCGCATGTCTTGGCAGCTGCTTGTGTCTCTGATGCTTCCGTCCCCGCCCCAGCATGGAATCCTTTCTTGCTGCCTTCTGAGTCCTTTGATGTTGTGCTTTTGTTGCCCTACTTCTATCACATCTTCAACAATATCTGTGGCGCGCAGGGAATGTTGAGGTCTGTGGCGGTGGCCCAGTACTTCAAGGACCTGCGCAACGAGGCGTACACCACAGCCTTTGCAGTGTACCACAGGCGCTTCTCCACAAACACCACCCCCCGCTGGCCCCTGGCCCAGCCCATGCGCACCCTCGGCCACAACGGCACGTCTCTGCCTGCACCCTGTGAAGTCTGTGCATGAGTAGTAAATCGACCTATCAGTGCGCGTGGAGTAGCCAGTATGCACCATGTGAAGTTCATGCATGAGTAGGGAGTTGACCCTTGAAAGCACGTGGAATAGCAGGAACATTGACTATAGGCCCCGGCTGGCGAAAGGCGGTACAAACACCGAGCACCATGCCCACGGCTGGTTGGGTCTTGCTTGGATGTGGCGAGTCCAACAAGGGGTAGGAATTGGCATCCTTCGCATGCAGCTTGTCTGCAGACGCACCTTGCCTCTGGTAGGAATAGCGTGCTGTAGTCATGATAATTACTGACTACAGAACTTGCAGAAAGTTGGATGTTGCATGCTGAAATTTTGTAAGTTGTGTGGTGCAGGTGAGATCAACACGCTGCAGGGCAACCTGAACTGGGTGGCGTCGCGTGAGCACTCGCTGAGCAACCCGGTGTGGGAGGGGCGCGAGCCGGAGCTGCTGCCGCTGTGCAACGCGGCTGAGTCAGACTCCGCCAACCTGGACCACGTGGCCGAGCTGCTGATGCGCACGGGGGTGGCATCCGAGGAGGCCCTCATGATCCTGGTGCCCGAGGCCTACGACAACCACCCGGACCTGCAGAAGGCCTACCCCGAGGTACATCTTGCATGTTTATTAACATCTTAACACTTGAAATGGGATTTCTTAACGGGATTTTCCGAACTGCATGCGATCTTGTAGCCACCTTGCTGCTGCTATTCTTGGTTTCTGGCGCGCGTGTGTGTGTGTGTGGTCCTGAGGACCACCTTATCGCTGCTGCTGTTGGCGCGGGGCGGGAGGGGGGGGTGATGGGGGGGCAAAGGTTCCCGCTGGCAATTGGGCCAATGATGGGGTTTAGATGCAGAAGAGTTGCCCTAGTGTTTGCGTTGCTGGAGTGGTGTTCTATTGAGCTGCATGAAGCATGAAGGCATTGTAGGTATGTCATGGTGGTTGGGAGGCATGACCGAGGTGGGGGGGGGGCATGCGCGCAGGTGGTGGGCTTCTACGAGTTCTACGAGGGCCTGCAGGAGGGCTGGGATGGCCCCGCGCTGCTGGTGTTCAGCGACGGTGAGCACGTGGGCGCGCGCCTCGACCGCAACGGCCTCCGCCCCGCGCGCTTCTGGGTCACCTCCGACGACATGGTCTACGTGGCCAGCGAGGTGCGGCCCCCACCCCTGCATTGAATTGACTAGATCAAAGGTTTGAGACATGCAAAAGACGTGCCATCGCACCCCACCCCACAAATAGACAGACTGCAGGTGTGGAGGGGTGCACATCTGCATGGTGCCTCCCAGAGATGCTGCCTGGTCCTATTGAGAGTCTGCAATCTTCCTTTGCCCCATGAATGCTGGCCAGTGAATCTTGCTTCTGACCTCAGTCTCAGCACTGCTGCCAGGGCAATCTGCCTCAGTTGTATTGCACAAGCGGCTGCATGTAAAGACCCGGCGGAAAGAAAGGTGATTTCTGCAGTCATTGCAAGGGCAAAAGTGGGTATGGGAGCAGGGATGACGTGGCAGAGCTGTGTGGTGGTCAGGTGGGAGTGCTGAATGACGTGCTGACAAATGTGGGCAACGTGGTGAGGAAGGGGCGGCTGGGCCCCGGGCAGACGGTGTGCGCGGACCTGACGAACGGCGTGTTCAAGGAGCACGCACAGATCGCCAAGGACATCGGCTCGCGCGCTCCCTACGAGGAGTGGCTCAGCAGCAGCAGCCGCCTTGCCGAGCTGGGTGGTACCTCCTACACCAGCGAGCCGCAGATGAGCCCTGCAGATGTGAGTTTGTCATCATTCCCCTCGCCTGGCGCGCTTTGATCTTGCCGAGCGCATGTGCCTGCTGGTCCTGCATGTTGAATTTTTGGTGGTGACTTCTTCTTTCTCCACAGCAGCTGCAACTATCACTGCAGGAGAAGTACGAGGTCTTCATTGCAAAGTGCTTTCGCCACGACTGCATGTCGATCACACCTTACAATTTGTAGGACGTCTCTGTTTCAAGCTTCTTACTTTATAGGCGCAACTTTGAGGTGTGGGACGGGTGCACAGGTGCTGAAGCTGCAGGCGGCCAATGGCTTTGGGCAAGAGGACAGCACCATGATCATTGAGGGCATGGCCACCAACGGCGCAGAGCCCACCTACTGCATGGGCGACGACATCCCCCTGCCCGTGCTGTCCAGCCGACCCCACCAGCTCGGCGACTACTTCAAGCAGCGCTTCGCTCAGGTCAGCACCCGCTTGCCCCACCCCACCTAGTTTGCCTGACGAAGCTCGTTTTCCATGTGCGACATTGTTCTGAGTGGTCCATTCCCTGACAATTTTTTTTCGTGCAAAGGCTGCACTGTTCTGTGTTCTCCTTGGCATTGGTGCTTTGGCAGACTCCTTCTGGCAGATCACTTGTGTCTGAGGTGCCAGGTGGAGTGAGGTGTATTTGGCGAGCGTTCTCTGCCGGTTTGCCTGGTGTGACTGGGTTTGCGTGTATTCGTGCAGGTGACAAACCCGCCGATAGACCCGCTGCGCGAGGGCCTGGTGATGAGCCTCAACATGCGGCTGGGCAAGCGCGGCAACCTGCTGCAGCCGGGGCCGGGCGCCTACCGCCAGCTGCTACTGGAGTCCCCTGTACTGCTCGAGAACGAGCTGGAAGCCATCAAGACCTCCTCCGGCCTCACCACAAAGGTGCGCCCACCATCTCAGCTGCCTGCATTTTTTATGCTCGCATCCCCACCAGTATATGCGCATGGCCTGAAATAATTGGGCCTACGCTGCCTGGCAATTCTGCTGTATGTCACGCATGCAGGGCTTCACGCTGCACTACCAGTCTGGCAAGCCGGGCGCGATGGAGGAGGCGCTGCGCCAGCTGTGCGCTGACGTGGAGGCGGCCGTTGAGAAGGGCGCGGAGATTGTGGTGCTGTCTGACCGCCTGGCCGGAGGCGGCCTGGATGCCGAGCGGCCGCCCATCCCCACCCTGCTGGCCGTCGGAGCCGTGCACCACCACCTCATCAAGTGCGCCATCATCTCCTGTCCCTCGTGTGTACTATGCAGATTACCGAGTCTCTGCACTATCGTGCATCCATCAGATCATATTCACAAAGTCCGATGGCGGCTGCGCCTGAGTGAACAAGCTTGAGGGGGGGGGGGGGGTAAATTTGCAACAGCCGATGCAAGCATTGTGTTCCCTTCACTAGTCACGCCGTTGCCTTGCTCACAATGCTGACAGGACAAAGCTGAGGGAATTGCATTGGGTGCGAGCAGGAAGGGGCTGCGCACGGAGACGTCGATCGTGGTGGAGACGGCGCAGTGCTTCTCCACGCACCACGTGGCGCTGCTGGTAGGCTACGGCGCGCACGCGGTCTCCCCCTACCTCGCATTCGAGACCTGCCGCCAGTGGCGTGCCTCCTCCAGGTCTGCTGCTCACTTCCTACCTCACCTGTGCACACTCTTCCTGTGATTGTGCAGCGTGTGTTTGCTGCGCCCATATCCTGCTCACAATGATCTTGTGAATCTCTACCATGTTGCATGCGCGCCAGCGGTGCAACGCACTGTACGAAGTGTTTCACGCCAATCAAGTTCATGTCTGTGGGAGCAAGGGAGTTGCGTTGACTGAGGCTGGGATTGCTTCATGGGACAGGACTGCGGCGCTGATCAAGAGCGGCAAGCTGCCGGACGTGTCGGTGGAGAAGTGCCAGAAGAACTACAAGAAGGCGCTGGAGAAGGGCGTGCTCAAGATCCTGTCCAAGATGGGCATCAGCCTGCTGTCCTGCTACCACGGCGCGCAGATCTTTGAGATCTACGGCCTGGGCAAGGAGGTGGTCGACTTTGCCTTCAAGGGCAGCGTCTCGCGCATTGGCGGCATGTCTCTTGCCGACCTGCAGCGCGAGGCCGAGTCCTTCTGGATCAAGGTGCAGCCCTTGAATCGTCTGGCTCCCATTTTTATGTTTGTCAGTGATTGAGCTTCAACAAACATGGGACTCATGACTTAGGATAGTGTATTGTGGTCTTGAAATTGAATGTATGGCGTGCAGGGGTTCCCGGAAAAGGCGATGAACAAGCTGGAGGACTTTGGGTTCATCCAGTCGCGGCCCAAGGGCGAGTACCACGCCAACAACCAGCAGATGTCCAAGCTACTCCACAAGGCCATCGGCCTCGGCAACAAGGGCGCCGCCCCGCAGGTGACTTCCCCGCACCTCTGGCACCTCTGGAACTTTGGTCAAGTGCAAGCCTTCCATGCAGTAAGTGAAGGACTGCCACGACAGCCCCAGGAAGTCTGCTTGTAACGCACAATCTGTCAATACAATCTTTGCATACCATGCCAGATTACAGCACATCCCTCATCTTGGCCAATTTCAGATTGCACAGCACCGCCACCTTGTATTGCTGCATCTGGTCCAGGTGAGCATACTTCTGAAGCCCTGAGACAACCTGCGGCCTCATGAACGCCGTGGCTGATGTGTGCAGGAGGCGTATGCGGCGTACCAGCAGCACTTCAAGGACAGCCCGGCGTCCTTCCTGCGCGACTGCATGGAGCTGACCCCCGTGGGGCCGCCCGTGGCTCTGGAGGACGTGGAGAGCGCTGCGACCATCATGGAGCGCTTCTGCACTGGCGGCATGTCCCTGGGCGCCATCAGCCGCGAGACCCACGAGACGATCGCCATCGCCATGAACCGCATCGGAGGTACTTTTTTCTCCCTTTATTGAACTTTATAGGGATATTCCCACCAGCGTACCCTGTTCAGAAGTCCAGCGCTGACTGACCAGGTCTCTTTGCATGTCTGCATTGCAGAACACCTGCCGCCCCTTGGTGTCATGGCACCCTTATTTGTCCTTTGGCAGGAAGTTCTTTGTAATGGGTCACTTGAGGTACTCTGAGTGAGGCAATCAACAATGTGCTACTTAATGCTGCACATGAGTGAGGGAAATGACAATGCCCTTCTGAGCGCCTGCATGTTATCCACAGGCAAGAGCAACAGCGGGGAGGGTGGAGAGGACCCGCAGCGGTGGGAGCTGCTGTCTGACGTGGACGCTGATGGCAACTCGCCCACCTTCCCGCACCTGAAGGGCCTTCAGTCCGGCGACGTGGCCTCCTCGCGCATCAAGCAGGTTGCCTCCGGTCGCTTCGGTGTGACCCCCCAGTTCCTGGTCAACGCCGACCAGCTGGAGATCAAGATCGCCCAGGGCGCCAAGCCAGGTGCACCCACAAGTTATTTTGAGTTGTTGTACTTTTTCAAATATGTTACCTGTCTTTGACATTTGTCCTGCATTCTTTGTGGTGATTGCAGCACCTAGAAAGGGGCAACAAAGAGCTCTTTCACAGAAGACCTAATGCAGCCGCTATTCTATGCGTTCTCACCATGACCTTTCTTATCTGTCCTGCTTTTCTCTATTGATTGGATATTTTTGGACGGGCAATAAACAGGTTTGTCAGAAAAGCTTCAATGGGGCTATGTTGCTTGTTGCGCAGGTGAGGGCGGTCAGCTGCCGGCGAAGAAGGTGAGCCCGTACATTGCCAACTTGCGCCGCAGCAAGCCGGGCGTGCCGCTCATCTCTCCGCCGCCCCACCACGACATCTACTCCATTGAGGACCTGGCGCAGCTCATCTACGACCTCCACCAGGTAAGAACTCTCATCCCACCGCTGTCCACTACCAGCCATGCCTCTCCTGCGCTGACTTCCTTGCACTGAACAGGAAAATTGCCGCTCTGTCCCATCATCCTTTGTCAGGATTTATTTGACACAGTTTGTAGTGTTTATGCATTTATTCCAGGACATATTTATAGTGCTGCTGAACAGGATCATTGCTCCTGTGCCTCATCAGAATATTTTCTCAGGTGTAGGTACCATCTGCGCACCTCTTCTAAGCATCCATGACAAGAATTTCTGTTGGGTGTGCAGGTGTCGCCGACGGCCAAGGTGAGCGTGAAGCTGGTGGCCCAGGCGGGCATCGGCACTGTGGCGTCGGGTGTCGCCAAGGCCAACGCTGATGTCATCCAGATCAGCGGCCACGACGGCGGCACTGGCGCATCCCCCATCTCCTCCATCAAGCATGCCGGCGGCCCCATCGAGATGGGCCTTGTGGAGACGCACCGGGTGAGTGCTGCCGCCTTGCACCCCTTCTCACACTAGATGGCAGTCGTCATTTCCTCTCTTCTGCGAGTTGCACCTCCTAACAACTGGTGCTTTGATTTCCTCAGCATTGATCCTGATGACATACCCTGCCACCATGCCTTTTTCCTGATACGCATGGCACCTCGGAGGGCTCCAGGCGGCAAATAACCTAAGCTTGTCTGATGACGCACTCCTCCCCACGTCATAAGTGAGTCTGATGTTGGCGCAACAAATGGAAGGGAGCTTGAGACAGAGGGTGATGCTGGCGCGCAGAGCCTGACGGAGAATCAGCTGCGCGAGCGTGTGGTGCTGCGGGTGGACGGCGGCATGCGCAACGGGCGCGACGTGATGCTGGTGGCTGCGCTGGGCGGCGACGAGTACGGCTTTGGCACGGTGGCCATGATCGCGACCGGCTGCATCATGGCGCGCGTGTGCCACACCAACAACTGCCCCGTCGGCGTCGCCTCCCAGCGCGAGGAGCTGCGCGCCCGCTTCCCCGGCGCCCCCGCCGACCTGGTGCATACCCCTTTCCTGTTGATCCACTCATCTGCTTGCTCATTTTCTGTTGCTGCTGGTCTGCTGTGCTCCTCCTGCGCTGCCTTTTGGGCGACACAGGAGATGCATCGCCAAGAACTTCTTTGTTTGCTGATGTGCAAAATTCAATAAACCATGTGATGCAACAGATTTGTACTGTTGTGAAGATTCAAGTGATTGTCAAGAAGGTTCAGGAAGGTCTGGTGGCAAGTATGGCTGAATGTGTGGTGGTGTCCTGGCGCAGGTGAACTACTTCCACTTTGTGGCGGAGGAGGTACGCGCAGGACTGGCGTCGCTGGGCATGCGCTCCATGGACGAGCTCATTGGCCGCGGCGACCTGCTGCGGCAGCGCTCCATCAAGCTGGCCAAGACCGAGGGCCTCGACCTCTCCTTCCTCACCCACTACGCCGGAGAGACCGCCACCTCCTCATCGCGAGGCGCCCAGGAGGTGAACACCCCCACCTCGCCACCTGGGGTCACATGCATGTATCGAAACAAGTAGTGGCCTGCCTGGAAAACGTGCAGCAATGTGGGAGCAGCAGGAGCCCTTTTTTCAGTGCCACATGAGGCTGGCAGGCAGACATGCATTTGATGTGGCAAATGACAGAGTATAGACAGTTCTTCAGCTTCATCTTCTCTCGTAGTCACCCTGGTGTATTTTGCTCCTAGACATAATGTCATTTTTGGTGCGCGCAGGTGCACAGCAATGGGCCGGTGCTGGATGATGAGGTCCTGGCAGACCCGGAGGTGCAGGCGGCCATCAAGGAGGAGGGCTCCGTGCACAGGAAGGTCAGCATCGTCAACACTGACCGCGCCGCCTTCGGCCGTGTCGGCGGAGCCGTCGCCCGGCTGCACGGCGACAGCGGCTTTGCTGGCACCCTCTCCTTTGACCTGGAGGTGCACACACTGAACTCCATTTCTTCACTTGCAAAGATCACACTCATCTAAATATTAACACCTCTTCCTCAACATACTTATTTGTTTGCAGCAGTTCTGAGTCTTTTTGGACCAATGCTAGTGGCTGAGAGGCAGTGTGCTGGGTGAGCAGGGGAGCGCAGGGCAGTCCTTTGCATGCTTCCTGGTGGCGGGCATCAAGCTGCGTCTGGTGGGAGAGGCGAATGACTACGTGGGCAAGGGCATGGCTGGGGGCGAGGTGGTGATCATCCCGCCGCCCGGCTCGCAGTTCAAGGCCGAGGAGGCCAGCCTCGTGGGCAACACCTGCCTCTACGGCGCCACCGGCGGCCGCCTCTTTGTCAACGGCAGAGCTGGTGCGTTTTGGCAACAGGGTCTCCCATGCTGCTGGTGATATTTTAATGTATCTGCATGCTTTCTGCATGTCTTAGCAAGAGGATCTACCCTATTGATGATGACATCCACAATGTAGCTGCATTGTTTTTGCACGTCTTTGCAAGTGGGTCTCCAATAGTGCTGGTGATAACCCCACCCAGTGTACCTGCATTCTATTTGCATGCATACATTTTCCTCCTTGCCTGTTTCCCAGCCATGCAGGGTACATGCAACCCGTTGAATGCGTAGGCGCCTGAGGCGCAGGTTACTCAGTGATATGACGGAGGATGATGTGTGCAGGCGAGAGGTTTGCGGTGCGCAACAGTTTGGCGGAGGCGGTGGTGGAGGGCACAGGGGACCACTGCTGCGAGTACATGACGGGCGGCGCAGTCGTGTGCCTGGGCACCGTTGGGCGCAACGTCGCGGCTGGCATGACCGGTGGACTGGCCTACTTCTACGACGAGGAGGGCGACTTCCCTGACAAGGTGTGTGCATCTCCCATGCATGGGTATTTTATGCAACCCGGTATTAAGTGTCTGCATTCCGCAGATGCAATCCACCGTATGGATCTTATTTTTGCCGAGGTACAGAGTTTCTGAAAGCAGCATTATTGCCATGCATGCAGAAAGGTCCTCACAACTGAAGGTGGTGGGGGATGTGCAGGTGAACACGGAGATTGTGGCAATCCAGAGGGTGGGCACTGTGGCTGGGGAGCAGCAGCTGAAGAAGCTGATTCAGGACCATGTGGACCTGACAGGCTCAGCCAAGGGGGCTGCTCTGCTGGCCGACTGGGCGAATGTGCTGCCGCGCTTCTGGCAGCTGGTTCCCCCCTCAGAGTCCTTCACACCCGAGGCTTCTGAGGAGGCCGTCAACAAGGCCTCTTCTGGGGATCTGGTGCCGGCGACTGCTGCCTGATTCAGCCCATGTTAATGTAAGCAGCAGGATAACGGCTGGCACATTCAAAAGCACATGCTCAGGTTGGTGATCATGCGGCTCATGCAGTTTGCATGGGCTGGGGCGTTCTGGAGTGGAGACTAAGAGAAGTAGTATAAAGATCATGGGGCATCGATAGACGTTGGCATTGGTTGCTCTGTACTTTGCTGGTCTGGCAGTTCTTGTCACACATACATTGTAAATCAATCTTCTCTGCAGGTTAGAGTTTCTCTTTCTTTCTATGATGCAGCATTCAGTCTAGATCTCATTTCCAAATTGATGCATTGCTGTGCCGATTGTGACATGCCTAGATCTCTTGTCTGGGGCATTGTCTGAGGGATCCTGAGGGAGAATATTTGCAAGTCGTGAAAAAAAAATTCTTTGTGTTCTGAGACAAGCGGGTGTAAACCGATTCAACCTTTAGCACTAATACATGCCATTGGTTACGAAGACAACATGCATCGCATGTGCATGAGTGTGAAATCAAAGCCTGGTGAAGGGGCTGTACAGCTTTAAATTGTTGCATGCATGTATGTACAGCTATTAAGTGATATACCTGGTGCTCTTGAGTGCCAGAGAGAGGGAGATTACAAAATTCCAGCCTCTAGGCCTGATTGCTAGCACCAGCAGCAATGAGGCAGATATGCCATTGGCCATGAAGGGGGCACATGTGCATGCATGCGTTCAGGGGTGAGTATCGCAACGCACAGTAGGCGGACGGATCTCTCTCGCACTCGTTCCAATCAATTAGGAGAAGACCACGGCTCCATTGCAGGACGCTGGAGAAGAGGCAGGATAAGTGACATCGAAATGAGGGAGACCAAGCTGCGCAATGTCAAGAAGAGGACCAACGCCGCACCTTCGTCAACAAAGTGGTGGCTTGCAACAATGCAGAAGCTCATTCCTCATTATCAGACGCCAGCAGTTGCAGACGCAGTGCCAAGAATGCACAACCTTCTCCAGCTGGTCAGTGTGGCTGTCTCTTCACAAATGGTCCCTTCGTTAGAAGTGTCATAGCCGTCCTCACAAGCGTTCCCTTTATGATGACAGGCATTCACACTCTTGGACAGCACCCCAGGAGGCGTGAAGCCCCTAGAGAAAGTGCTCTTGGGCAGGTGAGAGGTTTTCACTGCAGTCGAGCCTGTTTGAACGACGACCACATAAGTCTTGAACGTCATTGTCATTGGCAGGGCTGTTGGTGCTCTTGTGCTGAAGGATCACCATATGGACAATCATTCTTCTCCAAGAATCACTGGAACAGCCAGCTCTCACAGTAGATGCAGCAGCCTTGCAAGCAGCACAAGGGCATCTATGGTGGCTGACATCATGTCAAAGGTAGGTTGCTGGTCATAAAAGGCCTGTCACTTTCCAACACTGCCGGCCATTGAGAAATTACCGTTCATGACACCTCACTCTGGACTTGTTGCATGCAGATGAGCACCCCAGGACAGCAGCAGCATTCAGAACAACCCAGGTAGCACTAATCACGTGCTGCCGCCATCAATCAGGAGGGATCCCTTGTGCTCTGAAGCTGGTGACTACGACCACCATGTATTGTTTAAGTCTGACCAATGGATACATGTTTTCAGTCTGTCGTCCAAAACCTGTGGCAGGCACTTTGAGGGGCACTCACACATTGGGACTCTGAGCAGCAGAAATGGCGGTAACTCCGTCAGAGAGCCGGTGCCTGACTTGCCGTCCCTCCTGAAGCTCAAGGTTGCAGCATTGGCAGACAGAGTGGCACTCAGCCGCCGGGCAGTGCTGAGAGATCTACAGAGGGAGGGGTGAGGACATGCTGATCAGAAATGCTATCAAGTGTCACGTGCAACTCAGCGGCAGGTTGGGTACTCACTGACCATGACATGAGCAGGAAGAATCAGGCAATCCAAAAGCCAAGGCCAGCGGTCAATGCCTCCAGGCGGTTGCGCATGCGACTCCTCACTGCAGCAGTGCTCAGCACCTATCAAGAAGTAAGCCATCCAGCCACTGCAGTTTCCTTGCCATGTAGCTCACAAGCAAAGCAACAGAAAGCAATCTACTCAGACGCACAAGTGCTGCCTCTCAGGTTGATCATGAGCAGAAGACTCCAAGGTCGAGCAGACTGGCATACTGCAACCAGGGAGTGCTGCAGCTGCATGCGCAGTATGCAGCAGAGCTGAAGGCAGCCAGGTACTAGCACCAACATGAAGATCACGCTCATGGCGCTTGATATGCAAACCCTTCTTGCACATGTTACCAGCGGGGTACTACCACATGCATGTGCGGTGCAGGGAGAGAGCCACCCAAGAGCGCATGGCTTTCCTGAGGGCCAATGATGTTGAGGCGTACCTGCGCCTGGCCCAGAATGCAAAGAACAGCAGGCTGAACGAGCTCCTCTCCAGCACCGATGCATGCCTCCGCCACCTGTCAAACCGCCTCCGACTGGCCTCCTCAGTGCTTGTTAAGGCGGCCCCAGGAGCCAAATCATCAGACATGGACGGTAAGACACATGCCGCAAGAGAAAAACCTCACCTGTTCCGCCTGCAGCAATCCCCTACAGGTTGGGACGTTGCTTATAGTCTGTGCCTTTCAGGTGATCTGACAGCATTGAACGAGAGCAGCAGTCAGTGGAACAACCTGGCCAACGGTCTGAGAGCGGCAATCAAAGAGCAGCCCCGCATGTTGCAAGGAGGCCAGCTGCGCAGCTATCAGCTGGAGGGGCTGCGTTGGATGGTTTCACTACATGACCATGGGCTCAATGGCATCCTAGCAGATGAGATGGTGAGTACCTCCAGAACTTTTTTTGTTCACCTCTATCTGCATGGCAGGCCCATTGCATGGGAAGTGCGCAGCTGTTGTTTTGCTCAAAACTGATCACTTCCTTTCACATGCCCTTTCATTCGTCAGGGCCTGGGCAAAACGATCCAGATCATTGCTCTGATAGCCCACCTGGTGGAGACAAGGGGCATTGCTGGACCGTACCTGGTGGTTGCGCCCTCCTCTGTGCTCCCCAACTGGGACTCTGAGTTCCAGCGCTGGGCGCCCGCCCTCAAAGTGGTGGCGTTCAGGGGCAATCCACAGGAACGGCTGCGCATTGCCACCACTGAGGTGTGTTCTGCACTTGCACTGAGTTCATGCATTGCTTCCATGCTTTGGGTTCTGGGGTTGACATTGTGTTCTGCTCTGCAGATGCGGGGCAAGTTCAATGTGGTGCTGACAACGTACGAGGCGCTGATGGGTGCGGACATGCCCTTCCTCAGTAAGATCCGCTGGCACCATTTCATTATCGATGAAGGCCACAGACTGAAGAACAGCGAATGCAAGCTCAACGTCTCTCTGAAAGTGTACAGCACTCAGCACCGTCTGCTCCTGACAGGTTTGCTCTCTCCCACGGTCTTCACAAGTGCATGCATGTTGCCAACTCTGTATTCTGACTGGCATTATGAAATCAATGCAGCTCTGATGCATGCAGCTGATGTGTGACAGGAACACCAGTGCAGAACAACCTGGATGAACTGTGGTCGCTGCTGCATTTCTTGATGCCCACGCTCTTCACCTCCTCGAAGGACTTCCAGCAGTGGTTTGGCCAAGGCCAGCCCCAAGGCAGCTTGCTCACCGAGGAAGAAATGCTCCTCATCACAAACAGGCTGCACCAGGCGCTGCGGCCCTTCATGCTGCGCAGGCTGAAGGAAACTGTTGCCACAGAGCTGCCTGGCAAGGTCAGACCTCTTCTTCAATATAGGGACCCACTGCACCACTCTTTTCGTGTCACTCTTTGTCTGCAGTGCGTCCTGCATGTTAGGGTAGCATTCCATCAGAAGTCCCGGCTGGCGGGGGGCGGTCTGAGCACCGTGCCCATGGTTGATTAGGTCTTGCTTGGATCTGGCGAGTCCATCAATTAGTAATGCCTTTACATGTAGGTTGTCTGCATTTGCACCTTGTCTCCCGCAGGAAGAGCTTGCAAATATGATAGTAGAGTGTGAAGCTGAGTCATGCAAGTTAAGCTGCATTCTATATTAATCCAGGTGGAGCATATCATCAGCTGCCCTGCGACGCCATACCAGCGCTTTCTGTGCAGCCTCATAGAGCAGGACCTGGAGAGGGAGCCCCAGAAGAAGCAGGGGGTCAAGGGGGTCAGCAACAGCGTGATGGAGCTGCGCAACATCTGCAACCACCCCTTCCTGTCGCGGCTGCACCCCGAGGGCTCTGAGTCCCTGCTGCCACCCCACCCTCTGCCCGCGTCCCTGCGCCTATGTGGCAAGCTGGCTGTGCTGGACAGCCTGCTCACCAAACTGACTGCGGCAGGCCACAAGGCAAGAACTGTCCAGCTTTAGGATGACTAGATCATTCTTCATCTTTTCTGACATTCTTGCTGTGATTTGTTGTCTACTGAAGTCCTACTGTGGCAGTGGCACATGATTTGCAGGAATAGTTGGGGGCAACAATAAGCTAGTGGTCAGTACATTTAAGACGTCTACAATATTTTTGTCAGCTGGCTGTCAAGACAATTTCTGAAGGCTTGGAATGTTGGCCTGACTCTGATGGGTGAGGCTGCAGGTGTTGGTGTTCAGCACGATGACTCGCCTGCTGGACATTGTGGAGGACCATTTGAATTGGCGTGGCATCGAGCACCTGCGCCTGGACGGCAGCACTGCCTCTGCCGAGAGGGGCGAGCTGGTGCGCTGTCTGCCTTATCAGCCCCATGTGACAGTGCATTGGAGTCTGATGTGTGAGGGTGAAGTATATTGTGCCCGTGCATTGGAGTCTGGTGTGTGAGGGTTTTAGTGTGCCAGTGCATTGGAGTCTGATGTGTGAGGGTCGGTTCTAATGTGCCAGTGCATTGGAAGCTCATGCGTGAGAGTTAATGCAAATGCGATGTGTGTCACTGGCAGGTGAGGGATTTCAACGACCCTGCTGGCAAGTGCAGCGTGTTCCTGCTCAGCGTACGCGCCGGTGGAGTGGGCCTCAACCTGCAAGCTGCTGACACCATCATCATGTGAGTGCATCTGCTGCACTTCTCAATTAACATCATGCACCAGTGAAGCGTGCAAAGAAGGTTTGTTTCATGGACATTGACAAGACATTGTGCAATGCAGGTATGACACAGACTGGAACCCTCAGATTGACCTGCAGGCACAGGCCAGAGCGCACAGGATTGGCCAGACAAGAGAGGTAGACACTCCAACCTGATCACTGCATATATGATATTTACCTGTTTGAAGCTCTTGTTGTAATTGTCCATGTGCCTAACCAGATTATATTTCCAACAGTTCACCCCTCAGCCGATGGTTCATGCATGCAGGTTCTGGTGCTGCGGCTGCAGACAGCAGACAGCATTGAGAAGCACATCTATGATGTGGCCACCCAGAAGCGCAACATTGCTGACCGCTCCATCACCGGTGGATTCTTTGATGGCAAAACAGACGCGCAAGAGCGCAGGGCATATCTGCTTGAGCTTCTGGGCAAGAAGTCTTCACACAGTCGCAGGTACTTCAGTTAATTCAGCCCTTGAAGCCAGAGCCACTGTGTCTGCAAGTGCAGGTCGAATTTGACCTTCCTGTTCCTGTGCTTATTGGGGTGGGCGCAAATATGCAAGTCTGTTTGGCAGGGCTCCAACAACAGAGGAGCAGCTGCACATGCTGGCAGCGCGCAGCGACAGTGAAGCAGCTACCTTCGCAGAGCATGACAAGAGGATGACAGCACGGGAAGAGCACACCTGGCGGCAAATGCGTGCTATCAGGTCAGGCCTACTCCTGCACTCTTTTGTCACATGTTTCTCTTGAACTCTTGTAGTTCTAGGTCTCCTGCAGTGCGTGCTCATGGGCCCGTGTTTGAATGTGCACTTCATCAGTCACAAGTGCTGAAGCAGCACGCTGTTTGCAGAGGCGAAGACGTGTACTCGAGGCTGGCGACAGAGGAAGAGAGTCAGGCGCTAATCGAGAGTGCGCGCATTGCCGCTCAGCCTGCCCAGGAGCCCAACTCAGAGGACCTGGGCCGCGGCAAGCGCAAGCGCCCTGAACAGGGCCTGGCAGAGATGGGGGAGCGGGCATTCAAGCGCATGTTGCGGGAGGGGCAGCTCGCAGTGCCTTCTGGTCCTTCTGGCCTTCGGACAGTCAGTCTGCTGAGCTGATATGCATGTCATATGAAGCTTCTGTGACAGCTGACTTATTCATTATATGAGGAGACTCTTCTGAATGCTGTACACATTAACTGACTTGACCTAAGAAGCTGCATGATAAGTCGTCATGCAACCAGGCATTGCCCCAAATTCACGGCCCGGCCGGCCTTCAAGGTGGCGCTTGGCAGGGTTTCCGCGATTGCCGCGTCCTAGGGTGTATGTAGTCATGACATTGCATGTCAAGAGAACTGCGAAAAGAAGAAGAAAATGTCTTGATGGAGATGGCCTGGGAACCTGGGCATGGAAAATATCTCAGCATTGAATGACGTCAGCTGCAGGCAGTACATTTATGAAGAAACTGCTGTTCGACGTGCCACGGTGTCGGGTGCTCTCCCAAGACCAAAACCAATGCAAGTACAAGTAGTTTGATGTAGACAGGTGAACAAATTACTTCGTCCAAAATGCTACAAACAAGTATGTTGCAGAGCATCTCACCACAAGCTAGGCCAATCCAAGGTTGCAAATGCCAGGATGGTCGAAGTCTGATGTACCATCGCCCCTCCCCGACCCTCCGAGGAAGCATCAAACGCAGCCATTCGTCTACATTTCCGTTGCCCTCGTCGAGCAGCTTAGCGACGAGAACATGCACCGTGTACTGCCTGGCACAGAATGAAATGTCGCATTCAACTAACGGATCAAGAGCTATTGTGATTGGAGGAGGCATGGCTGGGTTGGCATCCGCAAGCGCTTTATCGTCGGTCTTTGACGAGGTCATTCTCTTGGAGCGAGACAATCTCCCAGCACAAGTGGAGGTGCGTGGAGGTCCCAGCAGAAGTTGCTTCAGAAGCTGCCTTCCACAGCACCCAATCGGACCAGTGGACTGTTGTAGCCGTGTTTATTGCTCCCTTGATGTAGCAATGTCATGTGGCCGACTGCAGGCACTGCCAGCAAAGAGAGGTGGAGTGCCACAATTCCAGCAACCCCATGTGATGCTGTGTGGGGGCCTGCGGCTGTGTGAGGATCTTTTTGGGGGCTTCAAGGATAACCTGAGGAAAGCAGGAGCCCAAGATGTGGACTGGCTCAAAGACTGCTCTGTGGTGAGTTTCACATGTCTGACTTCCAAAGGCCACTGTGTGTTCAAGGAGACATCTTGCTTTTATTATTAGCAAATGGTATTGAATATTATGACTGCTGCCTTCCGGAGGTAAATTGTGGTGTGGCTGCAGTGGGACTTTGGAGGCTACATGGAACCCATGCCGCAGGACGAGCCATCGCCCCTCGAGTCCGTGGGGGCTACCAGAAAGTTGATGGAGCACACAGCGCGCGAGATAGTCTCAACGAAGGACAACATCACTCTGCGGAGTGGAGCTGTTGTCAGCGGACTGCGATACTCTGACGGGAGTGCCACAGTGTCAGGTACTTTATTATTTTCCTCGCAGTGCATGTCGTGGCTGGTACATACTTGGTAAATTGCAATCTTGTTGACACAAGGTGCTGCAGTCCTGTGATGATGCTTGGAGAATATATGCAGGTGTGGTGCTGAAAGATGGAGAACAGATACCGGCAGACTTTGTGGTTGATGCGAGCGGCCGCAACAGCAAGCTGTCAGAGTGGCTGCAAGCTTCAGGCCACTCGGCGCCGCCCCAGGAGGTCATCAATTCCGGCCTCGGCTACGGCACGCGCACCTACCAGATGCCAGAGCACTGGTTCCGCGAGCATGTGCGTCCAGCTGTTTGAACTTTCTACCTTGTGTCTAGCACACCATGGTCCTGTTTGACATGTGGCCGGTAGAACTTCTCAAGCTCAGCAGCAACGTGAGGGTTTGTCCTGCGTGGCATGATTTATTCATCTGCCTCTGTGAGACTGTCATATTCCTTCTTGTTTGTGAGTAAGAGTTTGTGTCTGCAGGGCTGGAAGGCTGCCACCATATCACCCAGGCCACACTCTGGGCGACAGGGGCTGCTGCTGCCAGTGGAGGATGACCGATGGCAGCTCATCATGACCGGCATGGCTGGTGCGCATGCATTACTCAAAATTAAGCGTTTGACACTTTTCTTGCCCTGTCGTTCTGTGGAATGAGGAAAGAAAGAGATGAAGAAATGTGCCAAGTGGGCATGAGAAACTTGAAAAGGATTTCATTTCAACGCGAGCTTGATCGCTGTGCAGGCGATCATCCACCCACCGATGAGGAGGGGTACCTGGAGTTTGCCCGGTCCCTGCCGCAGCTTGACATTTATGATGCCATCAGGCAGGCCGAGCCAATCGGCCCTGTGTACACATACTCCCGCACAGAAAACATCAGGCGGCGATATGAGAAGGTGAGCACCTGGCTTCGTCTCATGGTGAAAACTCTTTTGTGCTTTGCCTCCAGGGTACTGTACACTGAAATGATGAATGTGGTGAAGTCTGCCTTTTTGATTGAGGTCTGTCAGCTGACGCGGATCAGAACAAGTTCATTCATTTTGTCGTGTGATTCCAATGGCTAGGTTGAGCTGCCTGCCGGGGTGTGCGTGCTGGGAGATGCAGCAGCATCCTTCAATCCCATATATGGCCAAGGCATGACCGTCGGCATCAAAGCTGCCATTCTGCTGCGGGACCTGCTGCAGAAGCGACTGGCAACGGGCGCCAGGTTCTCAACAGACAAGCGCACTGAGCTTCTGCAAGGCTTTGGCAAGGTGGAATTCTCCATTCACGTACAAAGTAGAATGCCTTGCACAACTGTATCATGACTCGCAGAATGAGCACTCTTTTTATCAGTGACTGCCTGCATGCGCAAGCGGGGGTGTCTGATGTATATTTGCTCTGCGGTTTGCAGGAGTATCAGGCGGCACTGGCAGCACTGCAAGACTTTCCCTGGACAGTCGCCACTGGCGATGACGAGAAGCACCTCCAGGCGCTCGGCAAGCTCCCGGCCAAGAAGAAGACTGCTGGGGAGACATTCATCAACTGGTGGGTGTCATCTGAAAAGGCCATTGTCCCACTTGCGTATGCATGTCTGCAGGTATCATGAATCCACTGGAATCCAGGTAATACTAGAAGACAATTTGTGCTTATCAAGGAAGAGTACGGGCGCTGAGTGTAATAATATATGCTTACTAAGGCCATGCTGTGGGGCTCAGGTACTTCTTGCAGGCGATCAAATGTGCCATGCACGACTACAAAGTCAGGAGTGAGATATTCACCGTAAACCACATGATGGTGGAGCCATCAGCGCTGTTCAGCCCTTCCATAGCTTCAAAGGTGGCCCTGATCAGCCTCAAGGACGCATGGGGAAACCTGACAGCAGCTGGCTAGATGCTCCCACACACCATTCGCGAAACTGGCAGCCTACAGGATCATGCTGGCAAAACAGGGGTCACTACAGGATCTAAAATAGGATTGCTGTTGCGGGCTGTGGCAAACACACATGTATGCAAGTTTGTTACTGCATTGATGACGAGGAATTCGCATGACACTGGTCATCATCATGTCTGCTGAAAAATATTCCCAGCCCTGTTCTTTGTATTAAAAGGATTGCAGCTGTACTACACGTAGGGTAGTTGTATGGCTTTGATCCATACAAAATTGATTCTTTTGCACATGTATTTTCGAAAATTACTAATTAGGCAATTTGAGAGGTTCACCATCGGCACAACTAAACAATTAGGAGACTTTTCCAGTTAAAGAGTTGCACACAGTGCCGAGCTTGATGTAGCAGTATAAACATTGTGGCGCTGAGAAGTTATGATCGTGAATGAGTCAAAATATGGTAGTGTGTCTAGAGATTTTTTGCATTTCAAGAATGCACTTATGACGGTAGGCAGGACAGATGATACTTGTAGGAAGGAAGTATAGCTGGCGGCAAAACTGGGCAACTTGCCTTTCAAGAAGGCGATTCCTGCTTGCTCATCATCTCAATCTGGCTTAGACCTGGGCTGAGCAGAGGGCCTGTTAGGGCAAGGCACCCTCCATTGTTGTTGCATGGTATGTAAGGCCCTTTATATTTTAGGGTTTATATTTAAGACTCCGGGTGAAATTACTGTGCTTATACTTATATCTGGCGAGTCCAACAAAAGGTAGGATTGTGGCAGCCTTTAACTGCAGCTTGTCTGCAGGACGTACCTTGCCTTTGGCAGGAAAAGTGTGTAATAATAATAATAATACTTATAAGTGCGAGACTGCTTTAACACAATTAGAATAAGCTCACGGGCGAATCGCTTGAGCGCTGCTATTCCTTCCCAGAAAGACTGCCACAGCCACTCCCCAGCTCTATATTCAATGACTGTCTCTGCAGTTCTGGGCACTTTATATCCAGGGGAGCAGCACAGGACTTGACAGATGCACTAGTTGAAATTAGACTTCCTTATTTCCATGCTTCATAGGTCTCAAACATATACCGTACAGGCGTCTGCACAGATAGCTATAGGGCCGGATGCAGCATGCACAGAGTAATCTGCAACAGTTGAGCAATGTATAAATGACCCTGATCAGAATGTCAATGCGGGATTTTTAGCCAGAGGTTCAACATATACCAAAAGGGCAAGCTTCAGAAGAAGTAAGACTTCCTTCGGCTCATCTCGGCCACGCCTCGAACTGTCTTCTTTGTAGTGGTAATTTCGGAAACAGAAAATTGACCTATTGGAACAGCCACCAGTAGTCCAGAATTCTAGACGCTCAGTGGAAAAAGTTACCTCATGGCAACTGGACTTGCGACATGGTGGAACAACCTCCATCCCAATCAGCAGCAATCTGTCATCATAGCAGCGTTCTTCCTGGCTCTGACTTGGGCGATCGGTGGACTTCTAATTTATGCTATACGGGACGCAAATCGTAAGGCAGACGCTAAGAAAGCTGCTTCAAAGCAAGAAGAGGTGAGCTGGCCGATATCCACCACCATATTTGTGCATCAAGGGAGAGTGAGTATCTCTTTTTGCATACTTTCCACGGATGCACGCCGACTCTCTCAGCATGTTGCCAAGATGCAACGTACATCCGGGATCCAGCCTCAATACAGCAATAAATGCTGCTTTTGGAGGTGCAGCCAGCAGGTGCTCCTGCAGCAGGACAGCCACGGAGGGCAGCACCACGAGGCAATCGGCTGCAGGCAGGCCTCAGGCGCCGACAGGCAGCAGCGGCGGCGGCAGCGGCTGCAGCAGAGGAGGCTGACGACGGCTCTGGAAGAGGGGAAAGCAGCGGTGGAGAGGTGCGCGCAGCACTGCCTGCCACTACGTGCTCCGTTACACCTTAGTTCTCTTTCAGCTCAGTGTCCCTCAGGACAACAGTGCATCACTTCTCGATCTGCCAATTCAGCATGTGCCCCATGCACCCATGAGGGCCCTCCGCTGCTGCGCGCAGGATGCAGATGCTGAGGAGGAGGCAGGGGGCGAGGGAGGGAGAAGGCGCGCAAGGGAGGCACGGCGGGAGGCTCGGCAGGCAGAGCGGCACGTGCTGGACGCGCGCATGCGCAAGCGGGAGGTGACACATCCATCGTAATCACTCCCAATTGCATTGTTCCGTTTTTGGGGGTCTCGTCGTGTCCTGATGCTGTCTTGTATCCAGAGAGACGGATGCCTGGATGACGGATATCAAAATGACTCTGATCACAGAATGCGTGCGACATGCTCCACGGCCTGGACAAAGAGCACGGCACAAACTGGCTGCCCTCTCCTGCGCGCAGGCGTATGATGAGCAGAGGCGGAGGCGGGATGCAGAGCGGGAGGCAAAGGAGTTAGCAGAGGAGGAGGAGGCGGAGAGGCTGGCGGCTGAGAAGCAGGCGAGGGAGGATGCAGAGGCGGCCAAGTGGATGGGACAGATTGCTGTGGAGCAGCAGGGCGAGGAAGCCCAGTCTGAGGAGCAGGCTCAGGTGAGTTTGCCGCACAGCACCTGCCCGGATCTGTGTTTGCTCACAGGAGCCGTTGCATGGTTGTTCTAGCTCACACACTTTGGATTCATGAAATTTAAGGCATTGTGCTGCAAATGCAGGGCCTCCTGCAAGCCTTCATTGACTACATCGTGGAGCGGAAGACCGTCCACCTGGAAGACCTGGCGTCAGAGTTCGGCCTGCGAGTCCAGGTCAGCCCATGCTATTTCTCTCCTTTCCGCAAGTAAACAACCCCTTATTGATGCCTGGACCTGAGCAGACAGGGCAGTCTGTTCATGTCCTCTGCACACCCGGGCAATTCCTGCATATGTCCTGCGGACGGGCATTCAGAAAGGGACTTACGCAAGTGTAAATCATTTCTACTCGCCAGTGCAAGGGACCAAAATGGTCAAGTTCGTTCCATTCCTCATGACTGTCATGGTGTGGCTTGCAGGATGCGATTGCCAGGGTGCAGGCGTTGGAGGAGGAGGGTCGCATCACAGGGGTCATGGACGATCGCGGCAAGTTCATCTACATCTCGCGCGAAGAGATGGCCGCCGTCGCAGACTATGTCAATAGCCGCGGCCGCGTCGCAATCGGCGAGCTGGCCGCCAAGTCCAGCACCTTCATCGACCTCGAGCACAAGTGCGACCCCGGCAGCTCAAGTCTTCATCTGCATTGTACTGCTCTCAATGATACTGCTCTCTGTCATACTGTTGTGCACACATGCTTTCTGCTTTTGAACGATGGATGGCCAGAGGGTAAAGCATCCATTGTTCTCATTTGATTTTGCAGGAATGCACCGCGTGCAACCGCTGTGGACCTGGACCTTGATCTGGGCGAAATGAACGTACCACAGCCAGCCCTGGTCTCTGTTGACGCTTAGTGATGTATATGTTGGTTCATAAGCTCGGCAAAATTGTGTATGTGTTGGTGAATCCACTGATTCCAGGCCCTTGGGTGCATTACGAAAAAAACCAGCCTATTGCTAATCTTCTATGTGTAACAAGAAAATTTCTTTCACATTATTACTTTCAGCAACATCTTGAAGGATCCAAAATGACTGTGTCCAACACGATATCAATTTAGCCGTCATATTTCCACTGTCAGTGAGTTCATTTGGCGCTCTATCAATTATTACTTCAATTGTTGGAAATTGTCATCCAAAAATTTACGGAAAATTCTTGACAAGCTGCTCAGCATCAGATGCATGCGCATCAGGTGGGCGGCTGCAGGGAAGCCACCATGTGGCTGGCCTTGCTGCCGCCGTCGTTGTTGACGCTGGGGATAATTTTGGTGGGCCGCAGGAAGTCCACCATCTGGCGCAGCTCCTGGTGGCTGGAGTGCTCCGAGTAGGGAACGCTGTAAACTATCAGCGTGCCCTTCTGCCTCCTGCGCCCCCTCGGCGCGCGCCCCTTGCCTGCAACGCCACGCAAATATTCATTTGCTTCCCGACTGTATCATGCAGGCGCTCACGTGAATCTCTCCCCATCAAACTAAATAAAGGCGTCCAGAACTCCTTCCCAGAATGCATGGCACCGCCTTTTAAGTCTGCATATCACCTGGCATGCACTATCTCAGCAGCTATCTCTTCATTCATTTGCCTTGCAGCCAATAAATTGCACACCTACCAAGTAGTAGAGCAAGCGCAAAGTGAATGGGAATGCCTGGGTACCAGGATCATTATCAGGCTCCGATGACCACTCATGACAACTCATCAAGTTTTTGAGAAAGCAACAGACTTTTCAAGCTGGGGCCGGCCACCTGAGTGCATGGACCAGCCGGTGGGCTGGAAGCCGACGATGGTGGTGTAGCGGCCGCGGTAGTGCTTGAGCGTGCGCGCCATGTGCTTCAGGCTCACGCGCCACAGCGGCACCGCGTGCAGCCGCGCCCGATCATCCGTTGTCAGCAGCGTCTCATACTCAGGCGGCAGGCCCAGCGTGTCCAGCACAGCCCGCTTGCTCACACTCACATACACCTGCGCGCGCAGAATGTCTCACGCTGTCTCCTTTGCTTGCAATGGCGTTCTCTTCTGGCATTGACTCCCCACATGCCACCCTATGGACCCTAGTGACTAAAGAACGCAAGTGCGGGCAAAAATCTGCCAGGAAAGGCAGGGATGCTGCGGGAACACAGATGAATAAAACAACTGTGCATCAGTGCCTCATGGGGATATGCAGCGACACCACCGTCGGATGGTTTGGCTGTGACTTGGCAGGGAAGCATGGTGAGAACTGACCTTGCGCTGCAGGATGCGCGCGACCTCCAGGAACAGCCTCTCCTTGCCGATCGTGTAGCTGCCGAAGAGGAACAGCGTGGCCGGGTTGAAAGCCTCAGCTCTCACGGCCTCCAGCACGAATTGAAGCACCTGTTTTTGCATACACCATGGTACTCCATCAGCTGCTGAACAGGGCGAACGGCAGTCCCGGCCTGGCATTGCAACACAAAATTGATCGGCACCAGATCGATGGGAGACCAGGAGCCTGGGCGGGCACCTGCAGCTGCGGTGGGAAGTTGTACTGCGCAGCGCAGTATGTCGTGTCCAGGATGAGGGTCGCGCGGCCGCGCACGGCCACCAAGGCCCGCTCCTGCTGCATGCCCACATGGTACCTGGCACGCGTGCCACCGCGCTCATGAGCCCGGACTACATTTGCACGGGTATGAATCTTCCAAGCCCCTACATGCTCTTACTAATTTATTACGCGCTTTTCCTGCCAGAGGCAAGGTGCGCGTGCAGACAAGCTGCAGTGAAAGGCTGCCAAAATCCTACCCGTTGATGGACTCGCCAGATCCAAGCAAGAACCTATCAGCCGTACGCACGGTCCTCAGTATTAATACCGCCCCCTGCCAGCCGGGCCCATCATGCTCTTAGCAACACATGAGATCGAGCCATCACGGTAGTGCAACTGCCTGGAAGCAGTTGTCGAGGTAATCAATGCGCACACCGGCAGTCGCCAGTGTGGACGATGGGTGCGCGGCCGGGCGGCTCAAAGACGATCATGGCGGCGCCCGGGCAGTGGTTGGCGTCGACGAAGGTGACGCGCACGCCCTCCACCAGCTGCGCCGCATTCAGCTGCACCACGCGCAGCCGCTCCCAAGGCACCTGCACGCAGGTGCATGCAGTCAGTCATCAGTCACAAACTCACTTAGAATATCATGCTATTTCAGGAGACCGCTACAAAGGTGTTCTATAGAGGCCTTCTTGTGAAAGTTATCTGTCACCCATTGGCAGCCGCAAATGCAGGGATCAGGATGCAGCGAGGACTGTGCAGGCGCGCACACCTTCAGGCGCTGGTGAACGAGCTTGGCGGTGATCAGCGTGCAGTATATGACGCCTGCATGGCCCATCGGGATACATCTCAGTGACGTTAAGACCCCAGAAGGTAGAACATAATGCGCAGGTTCAGCTGAGCATTATGAACATACTGCAGCGCACCGGCTTTGAACTTGGATGTGAGGCCCTTGTAATGGTCGCTGTGGAAATGCGTCAGGAACCACGACTTGCACGCCGCCTTTTCAGTGCCCTTGCCAAAGCGATCTACCAGGAATGGCAAGCCTGGCATCTTCTGCCACGGTGGCAGGCCGCTCCTAGAACCCAGAAGCTTGTGCTCAGTGTTGTGAAATGCGCGCGTCTTCAGTATTACAAGAGCTTGCATTGCATTTACAACAGAAATACCTGGCAGGAGGGGCAGAGGTAGATGCTGGCATTCCTGTCGCAGGAGGTCCACTGCGCTGGAAGTAGCTGGTGATTTTGGAGCCTCCATGACTGGACCCTGCTGTACTCTGCTCCTAAACACGAATTCACACATGCGTCAGAGCCGGACTGATATGATGACAGTGCTTCTTTACTGAGAGGCGATGAAATGATGGTGAAAGGCATGCATGGGTGTTGGCGGTACCTTGTGACTGCTGTCAGCGGAATTGTTACCGCACTGGCTGGCAGGGAGGTTCTGGATGGCAGCCAGGATGCGCCTGCGAGGGCCCAAGGCCGAGACTCCCATCTGTCGCAAGTCCTCGTCTGCCAGAAATTTCAGCAGGTCTGGGGTTATGTGTGCCCTTGTGAATGCCTCAGCTTGGTCTGCCAGTCCGTTGTACTGCAGCCACTGCTGTACTCTGTTCTCATCTGAGCCAGTGCTCTCGCTTTGCTGCTGAGCCTGACTGTCTGCAGGACTGGCAGTGCTGCTGTCTGCTCTTAGGCATGGCCTGGGTACATCATCTGATTGATCTCTGGTATCACTCTCAGCGAGAGACTCGATATCAGTAGCTTTCCGCTTCGGCTGTGAACCTTCTTCAGCATCTCTGCTGGAGGTTTGGACTGTGCCCGAGGAGCTCCCACGAGTATCTTCAGGGCTGTCTTCCCCATCAGAGTGTGCTTCATCTGCATCAGGCTCCCCTGAGTCTCTGCAATTTCGTACGTGTGCCTCTCTGCCTACTTCGGTGTCAGCAACGTCCAATGTGAGCGCTCCACACGATGGGCAGAAAGCAGCAGCTGGAGCTTTCCCAAATTGTGTTTTCAACTCTGGCTGACTGAGTTGTGTGGATTCGAACGAGAAGATGTCATCGTAGGCCCACAGTTGCGACGATTGGATATCGACCATCTTTGCAAGTCACAAATATGCAGATTACTTACATGCAAGACTGCAGGCAAGCTTCGAAGATCTTTTTTGCAAGTTTTATTGGTTGCTCGTAGTGACATTAGCGTGAAGTGGTCAATTCAGGAGCTTGAGAAGAAGTTCTCTTCAAGAATGGGTGTGCCTTGCTGTTGACCTTGGAATTCATAAAAAGTGAGGTCAGGTTGCCTATTCAGGCCTAAACTACGATGGAAGCTTTATCCATCGTAGTTTAGCTGAGCCTTCAAATGCATCAGCCATGAAGCACAGTGTGACCTTCAATAGGTTACTAGAACAGTGTAATTACAATCCAACAAAAATTTGTGCCAGCGCACAAGTGCTGCAAGCATTCAGGCTGCCGGTCAACCGGTTCAAGTGGGTGAACCGTCGACTCGGAGGTAAAAGTCAGCCTGAGGACTCCTGTCGAGAATTCTCAGGCATCATGTCATCTGCCTTTCAATCATCATCATCACGATGTCATGCCGCGGCCTGAAGCACTCGGCGAGCCTCTACATTCCCTAGACTTTCTGCCCTGTTCGCTGCAATCCGCTGCAAAGAAGACTCCTCTCTGTTCTGCTCTGCTATGGCCGCTGCCATGGCAGCTTCCCTCTCCATGCGCGCAAGAGCCCGCTCAGACAGCTTGGGCACAGGGTAGTCGCGCCCCAGCCCCTCTATTCTGCTGATCACGTCCTGCGCTATCTCCCTGATATCCTCCACACCAAACTCCTTGTGCTGCTGATTGAGCCGGTCGCGGAGATCCGTGAACTCTGACAGCCATGCCCCTGCAGCATCACGACAGCAAAACATTGTCGCAAGCATGCTACAACACTGCCACCTTCACCACTTCCCAAACAATACACCTGCTACTTGTCTGAAGGCATTGTGGCTGTGGGCAGCAGATGTGTTCACAGAATTCCCCTCAGAACCGCTTCAAGCAATGCAGACCAAGCCGGGTCTCTCGCACACCTGATGTATATCATGTAATAGGATGCCCCACCTAGAGGTCAGACCGACTCTAGGGTCCAGTGGAATATAGATGATAAGCAGCACCAAGGGTTGGCGTGCGCACCGAGCATCCTGAAGGCGTGCCCGGTGACCATGCGCATGGGGCATGGGTGGGCGTCCACCAGGTCCAGGTACTCCAGCAGCAGATGCGCGCCCTGGGCACCCCCAAAGGCGCCCCCGGGCTGCAGCCGCCGCGGCGAGAACAGCGCCGGGTCCTCCAATAGCGACTCGGCCGACAGCACGCCCACCGCCCCCGTGTATGCCATGCACGCGTGGACGTCCGCCAGCGTCCGGATGTTTCCATTGGCCAGCACTGGGACTCCCACCGCCTCCACCACCGCCTGCGCATGCACGTGCTCTTTTTCAGGATGATGCACTTTGCGCTAAGCTAACAGCATCTTTGACGGTAAATTCACGCTGTCTCTTGCACTCATCTTATCTGCTGCCCGGCAACTGCCCCAAAAGTGCACCGTGCGATGGAGGTGACAGAGGAAGTGGTGGTTCAAGACAGGCGCTGACATGGCACCATGCAGAGGGAAGTGTCAATTTTGAGAAAGGAGCATGGGGGGCACCTTAATGGCATCCCAGTCGGCATCAGGGCCGTTGGACTTCTTCTGCTCCCTCAGCCGCCCGTGCACAGCAATGAGGCTGGCCCCGGCCCGCTCCAGCATGCGCGCATATTCCACCGTCTTCTGGCGGTCAGGGAACACTCGGATCTTCACCGTCACCGGCACGCTCAGACCCTCCGCGCACGTCCGCACTATCCTCTCCACCAGCGGCAGATCATCCATCAGGAACGCCCCTGCAGCCATGCAACGCTGTTTCAGTGATGCACTGTGCCTGATGCTATTCCACTGGCCTCACTGAATTAGCAGCCACTGGCAATCGGTTTGACCAGCACAAGAATAATTGGGAGCCACACAGGTGCAGGGGGATCTCACCATAGCGGCCCCTCCTGGCGATGCGCTGTGGGCAGCCCAGGTTCAGGTCTATGGCATCAGCATGTGGCTCCACAATGCGTGCAGCAGCAAGCAGCGTCTCCGGATCATTTGCACAGAACTGCACCATCAGAGGCCTGCGCAGCCACAGCAACTGAGAATCTGAGGGCACCAGATAAAATGCAACCGTTCTTCTCCAGCAGAGAGAGGGAGTAAAGGAAGGCATAGCATACACGAGATTCCCACCTGTCTCCTTCACAAGTGCTGAAGTGCTCTGCTCGGTAGTTGGGGTCTTGCAGGAAGAGACGACTATGTAGCATAGGAGTGTACGCTGCAGTGGCGCCGTGCCTTCTGCAGAGCATGCGGAAGGCCAGCTCCGACTAGAGAGTCGCAACACACAAGATATCAGGTCGCTGAAAACCCTCACATCGTCGTTGGACTGGTGTGGGTACTAGAGCAAAAAGCAAAAGGAATAGCAAATATGGGAACATATATACCTGATCAACCATCGGTGCAACAAAATATCTGGGAGATCCCCAGCTCCGGAACATTTCCCAACCTCTCTGACCGTGCGTTGCTGCGTCTGGTTCCTGGGCAGCCATGGCTGCCTGCACCGTTGTAGCCTGCCTCGGAGCAGTGAGCTCTGCTAATGAGCGGCTAACTTGATACAGGGATGGTACTCTTAATGAATGATACCGTCCAACAGGAAATCTGGCACCGAATGGGAAAGCACTGCACTGAATCCTGTAGTAGTGAACGCTGCGCATTATGTGCTGTCGCCCACCATATGGATCTACACCTCGCTACGCCTTCCTTAGCATATTATTTGCGGTTGAAAGATTTTGAAAGGTATCTGAATCAACAGAGGTGCAATGAACTAAGGAACGCACAAGAAAAGCCGCGCGGCTGAGATGCATGCTTGTGATTGTAGACTGCCTTGAAACAGTTCCTTCCAAGCTCCTCCTGGATCATGTCCAATTTCAGTGGCATACATTCCTAACTTAGGAATCCTAAGACTCAAATCCTTCAGATCAATGCGCTGTTCTATTGCCAGGGCTTGACAAGCAAAGGTGTCGGGCGCGAGTCTGCAGTAGGTCAAGCAGAGTACTGGGCAGTGGAGGACAGGTCTTGATCGCGCGCTGCCCAATGTCTGGCATTATTCAGAGATTAGGTTTCATCATACGCGAAACTGGGCAAGCTTTGGATCGTCTTGGCTGCCGCTTGCAGGGCAACAATGCGTTTCTGGAAGATGGTATTCTCCCCTGCTTAATTTTATCACGCAAGATTGCAAGTGACTGTTGCTGTTAAACATGAAGCAAAATTTGTGGCCATCCTTCATTAACAACCATTGTCGTCATGCTACTTTCATCAACCCCTGAAGTCATGCTCCAGATCCTTTCAAGCCAACGTTCGTGTGTCTCCCTTGGTGCAGTCTTTCAGCACCGGACGGTGATGAGTTTGGGTGGCAAGAAAGCCAGCATTGGGGATGGGGCATTTGTTGCACCCAGTGCAGCTGTGATAGGTGATGTCACCTTAGGGAAGAGGTCTTCCATCTGGTATGGAACAGTGTTGAGAGGTAAGCTCTTGTCCTCCTTGCTTGTGATGAATTTCAGTTTGTCTTTATTGCTCATCTGATATATATGAGCTTGAAGCAGCATGCGCCGTTTCCTGGATGCACCTCCACTGCACCTTTGTGTATGACTTGCAGGCGATGAGGGCGCAATCACAATTGGGGACAACACAAACTTGCAGGACAATGTTTCTGTACGGACCAGCAAAGCCTTCCTGGGAGGCCATGCTGGCGCCACCAGCATTGGCAACAGCGTGACAGTGGGTCACAGCGTCTTGCTGGACACTGTGACCATTGAGGATGAGGCACTCATCGGCATGGGTGCCACACTGCTTGAAGGGGTGAAGGTGTGGTCGCATCGCCTAGGCCCCATGCTTGACTGTTGGGGTTTCCACTCTTATGTCGGAGGCCGTACCTCCTTGCAATAGATGTAGGAAGCTAGCTCACATTGCACAAAGTTGCCAATAGATCTGTAGTACTTACTTTTGGTGGGATCTGCAATGCAGGTTGAGAAGGGGGCCCAGGTTGCAGCAGGGGCGGTTGTGTCTCCAGGCACAGTGATTCCATCTGGGGAGCTTTGGGGTGGGAATCCAGCGAAGCTGCTGAGGCCTTTGAAGCCAGAGGAGGCTGCGTTCATCAGCAAGAGTGCACAAACATATGCTGAGCTTGGGGCTAAACACTTGAAAGAAACAAGCATTGGCCACTGAAGAGCTTGAGGCAAGTCATGTTTCGGAAAGTTTTCAGGGAGCTCCCGAAGAGCTCCAAAGTCAATATCGACTGATTCACTCGATCAGACTCATGCATAACAACTCACTCGTATTTGAGGTCTCAACCAGAAAATTCAAAAATAATGCTCAACAACATCTGATTTTTGGCAATCAACCATATTCAACATGCGCAAGCTTCCGAAGGCACAGAGCATTCAACTGTCAACCCAAACCTTATCAATACTCTTATACATGATCCTGCTTTTGGTACACGTCATGTGCCAGGGAGCACGTGTTCTTGGCAAGCTGCATGTGCGTCGTGCTGTCGTGTGAATGACAGCATGACAGCAACATGCAGCAGGACAAGATAGACGATGACAATCCAGGTCCGCAGTGGGACATGGCCCCGCAATGCCCCAGGCCCAACATCCCTTCCAAAGAGCTGGCGGTGCAGAGGGTCGCTGCTGCACACACACAGCTCGACGATTACAGTACATGCTCATGCTGACAGGTGCTGCTGCCGACCTGACACAACATAGAATCCCCAAACACACTCTCCCTGTCCCCACTCTTGGCAAGGACAATCACCTCCTGCAGGGATACGGCCGCTGCCATGGCAAAGCCACGCTGGCGGCCATGTGTTCAAACATGCTCTTCTGATAACATGCAAGAATTGGAGGAAGTATGCACATCAGGGCCACATGAAGCCCATTGCGTTGCAATGATTGCGATGCCAGTTGTTGGTTTTACGTCCAAACAGAGCTGCAGCACGCGCACACCTAAGACCTGGTCGCGCCTTGTCCTTCTTGTTGGCTGCCTCAATGTCCAGCGAGGACGCTGAGCTGGCGGATGGCAGCAGCTGCTCTTCCCGCCACCTGTCTAGGCCCAGGCTGGAGATGATGTCTGCTCGCGACGGCAACCCGTACGCGCGTTTCCCACGCGCCTGCCTCAGCTCTGCCAGCTCACGCTCCAATGCTGCAACCTGTACAGCGTGGGACAAGTGGGTGCCATGCATGCGTGCATGACATGTCAAGTGTCACAAGTCTGCAGATGCGGCCCCAAATCTGGAAAACGATCCTGCACTGGGCACATGTCTGGCAGACAACCAAGCCTGCTCTGCCTTGCAACAAATAGAACATAAAGGGGCTGCTGCATGCTTAACCTGCTCCCTTGCTGTGCGAGCGTCCTGCAGAGCGTTGTCTGCGGCTGCAGCAGATGAGGTAGCGGCTGCTTGACACCGCGCCTCCGTCTCGCGCGCTGCCACAGCGGCTGCCTCTGCCCGGCTCTGCCACCGCGCAATGTCCATCTGCGCCAGTCCATTCGCCTCATCAGGCGACATAGACAACATCCTGATGAGCGTTCTCAAAGGCTGTTGTGCTGTGATGCTGTGTTACAGAAACTAGAAGACCAGCCATGGCAGCTCACCTGTGATGACGATGTTGCAGCAGCCAACTTCTGTTGCGCTTCTTCCAGCTGCTTCTTGGCTCTGGCAGCAGCAGCCTCAGCCTCATGTGCGCGGGCATTGGCCTCTCTCACCTCTCCTTCTAATTTTACAGCACCCCTGCACACAGGATCTTTGCCTTGTTAATAATCCCTCCTGGCAGATCTCCTGGAAGGGCCTCTCTATTTCTCCTACTGGTCGGTCTTATCTGTCTCTCCTGCTTGTCCAAGGCGAATTTTCAAGCATCACAAGTACTCACCCTCGCAGCTCGTTGAGGGCAGCTTCAGCGGACCCAGCTGCGGCCCTGGCGGCTCGATCGCGCGCGACCGCCGCGTCGGCAGCCTCCTGCGCGGCCACAGCAAGACTGCCGGCGTCCTCGGCATCGCGCATGCGCGCAGCCGCCTCCCTGCGAGCCTCTTGCATAGCGGCAGCAGACGCAGCCGCCTCCTGCTGAGCCTCTGCCAACGTGTGCTCCACCTGCTTCAGCCTGCAGTCCCACCCACCATCGCAATTCGATTCTACTGCATCCTCTTCGCAAATGAAGCACACGCCGCACACCTCTCGTGAGCACTTGCGATAAAAGCAGTAGCAAATAGCTGCGCAAGCAAAGCGCCAGTGTCTTCTATACTGCGCAGCATCCAAAGGTAACTCCAGACAAGAAGGTGGGGAGGGAGGGGGCGCACCGGGCCTCCAGAGCGTCGCGCTCAGCCTCGAGCTCGGCTTGCACCTTGCCAATGGCGGCCTTGACGGCGTTGTGGAACACCTTGGCGCGCCGGTCGGCCTCCGCCTTGAGCTGTTCGCTCAGCCCCTCCGCGGCTGCGCGCTCGTCCCTTTCGGCCGCGGCCACCTCCGCCGCGGCGCGCGCCTGCGCCTCAGTTTCGCGCCGGGAGCGGTCGGCCGCCGCACGGTTGCGCTCGGCTTCGTCCCGGGCCGCCTCAGCAGCTGCCGCGCGCGCCTGCGCCTCGGCTGCTGAAGTCATCGCCGCCTGTGCTCTCGTCTGGGCTGCCTCGAGCTGCGCTTCCAGGTCCTCCCTGGCTGACCTGCTCTCGTGCGACTCCGCCTGATTCATGGCACATCAGATGCACATCAGCCGTCTGAGAAACCCCGAGATAACCCACAGACCACATGACCAACAGGCACTGTTACTGCTGCGGTCATGGAATCTTCGTTGAGCAGTCAACTGCACCAGGCCGAAAGGGTTGTCCAGCCAGGCATGCATGGAAGGAAAGGATGCTCACGGAGCTGTCGTGCTGGGCGCGCGCATGCGCCGCTGCCGCAGCGACACCGGCGTCAGCAGCGTTGCGATGTGCATCTGCCAGCTGGCGCTCCAGGTCAGCAATGTTGGCGTGCGCTTGCTCCTCAACAGAGGCTGAATGGGCGCGCAGTCTGTTGTAGTCCTCTGTCAAAGATTCGTTCTCCTCCCTCAGCCTTTCCAGAGCGCTTCCGCGCGCCTCCACCTGTGCATCCGCCAATCACTCTGATGTCATGATGTTCAACTTATTCTGAAGAATACATGAATTTCAGTGTGCTGCTCTTTCTTCAAGCCCTTGCCTCACCTCTGTGGCAAGCTGGAGGAGGCGTTGCTGAAGGGTGGATGACAGCCCGGCAAGCTTTGCCTCTGCCTCTCGTGTCCGCGCCTGCTCAGACTGTCACAGCACCAGACATGTCAGTCAAGCGAGTGCTCCTTATTGAAAAGCGGTTGGTTTTGGCAGCATATGGCAGCTCGGGCAGAAGATGTACAGCGGTGTCACGCTTGTGCAAATGATGCTCCGTGAGGGAAGCTGGAGGGTGAGATCTGTGAGGTGCTGACCTTGAGCCTCATCGCCATGTCATCCTGCTCTATCTGAAGTCGTATGACCTCCTGCTGAAGCATTCTCGCAGGCGAGCTGCCGTCGCTGTCACCTCGGCTGTGCAGTGCAGGTTGCCCTGCACCCTCCAAAGGTGCTTGTGGGCTCGGTGAGGGGGCCTGAGCACACCAAACAGATGGGGATTAAGGACAAGCAAAACTGCATGCAATGCTTCTGCTCGTTGATTTGCACTGTAGATAGTTGTCAGGACAATTGAAAGCAGATCTTACCCGCTGGACAGTTCTGTATGATGGAGACTCCCTCACATCAGGCGCCGAATACCCTGTGCGCCGCCAGAATCCAAATGAAAGTTGTATCAACAATGCCACATTCTAGATGCTAACATATTTATTGCATTCAAGCCCGTTCAGATGGAATGCTTCCCCCTAGGCTTGGCATATGTGCAGAAAGACCCATGCATGCCCTGGCCTGGTGATCAGTTATAATGAGTAGATCAGAACTTTGCATCCTCACCGTCGTACTCTGCCCAGTCAGAGGCAAGGGACTGAGTGCCGCTGTTGCCAGACTCCACCGTGCGCATCCAGGAGCTGCCGATGTCATCACTGCTGTGAGACTTGAAGGGGGGCCCTGCGCTTGGCTGCCCAGGGCCCATCTCCCGAGGCGAGCCTGCCCTCGAGCCTACTATGGAGCCCGCCCTTGACAAGCTCACGCTGCCCCAGTCACTGGAGTAGCGCCGCTGCCGCGGCTCTGCCCCTCCCGCGCCTTCGCTCTCAAACATCGGGTTGCTGCTTGCAGATGCACACAGGTCTGGTCAGGCAGCCATAGCGAACACTGCGTGATGATGCCAGGACGGCGAGTCACAGTGCAGAGTCCCACCTTAGCATCGGGATCTGCATGTCATCCAAGGTTCCGCTGCCCTGCTGTTGGCTGCCTGTGTCTGAGAGCCTCGCCGCATCGGAACGAAGTCGCCTGCAGTGGAAATCGCGATGAGAAACCGGTGCTCTTTGAGGGTGCTCAGCAGACTCACATCAGACCAGGCACAGATCTCACAGACGACACAGATAATGGTCAAGTATGTACGGGTAGCACGCACCCATCCACAAAATGGCGAGCTCGTCCGGCCACTTCTTTGGTGTCCATCCATTCAGCACCCTGCTTCACCTGCGGCACCCCAAAAGGAAAGTAACTTTCGATGGTAAGATAATCAATGGCTTCAATAAATTCTTCGATTTGATTGAAGGTCTTCTGGTGTTCCAAGTCACAAAACACAGAACTGAAGGATACTCGTCCTAATCATGAGGCAAATTTGAGCATTTGTTTTCCATAGGAAATGATCAAGAGCCTCGATCAGGCTGAGCACATCTGGTCTGAATGGCCCAAAACATACATCTTTCAGTGTGGTGGTTGCCTCTGATAGGGCTTCACGCGAAAACTCCTTGACCCCATCTTCCACTGCCGCCCTCAAAGACTTCCACATTATTATGCGTTGGAAAAGTCTGTTATTTGACGAAGACAGTCCCTTTCTTGTGCGTCCCAATCGAATACAAAGTCAGGATGGAGAGGCAATCGTCAACGACAGCACATCCAATTTCTTCACTGTACAATCAATGCCTCAGATGCCTCATGATAGTAAAAGATCGGTCAACTCCTCAAGATTATCATCCACATCTATGAGTTTCGGAAATCAAAGTGTTGGTCAGAACGGGGGTGGTGACATCACCCGCTCACGTCACCTCCAGCCTGGCAGGAGACCCATGCAAGAAGCAAGACGCCTTCGCACGGCTTCGTACTTTCCCATCGAAGCCTGATCTTTCCTTGATCCATCAAGATGACGCCACCGGGATCATGGCGGCGTCGAGCTATGAATTTCCTGTGTGTCTGCTTGTTGTGTCTGGCCTTGATGGGATTCGCAGCTGGGCGCAAGTCCAAGCTCCGAGAGAAAGCTCGGGAGCTGATTTCGAGCGGCAATAGCATGTAAGCGTCACCATGTATCTTGATGCACCTTTCTTCCACAGCTGGTGTCGCAGATGTGTTTTGGAACGTTGCCTAGGTGGAGTACTAGGCAGTGACAAACCCTCGGTGGTGATACAAAATGGAGCCTGAAGGTTTACGGCTCTAACGATGTTGCAGGAACAGCGCAAAGAAGGATTGGGAGAGGGGAAATGGCGGTGTATACATGGAGGTCCTCTCTTGGGAACCACGTGCATATTTGTACCACAACTTCCTGACAGAAGCAGAGGCTGATTACCTGGTGCAGAAGGTATGGATTCAATGACTGACTTGTTGATCTTTGAAGGCGTGCATGACCCCGAAAAGGACTTTGTACTGCTTTGCTATGCAAAGGCAGGTGTTCACCCAAACGAGGTCCTTCATCATATGCAGGGCAAGCCCCACATGGAGAAGTCGGAGGTGGTGGACAATGAGACAGGAAAGAGCGCACCCAGCAAGTAAGACTGCCCCCCAGTGAGGACACAATCCTCGGGGATGTTTCTTTGTGCGCAGGGCAGACGCTATGTCATATGCACATGGTGCTTTGCAGCCTAGGACGTATTACAGCATGCTGATTGCACATATTACTGTGCAATGGATCGAGGATAACATGATCGGGGTATTCTGCAGACCCCTCTGTGTTCATTGCAATTGATCTACTTGCAGGGTGCGCACCTCGTCGGGGATGTTTCTGAACCGCGGGGAAGATGATGTCATCGAGCGGATTGAGGCGCGGATTGCCAAGTACACGGCGATCCCAAAGGAGAACGGCGAGGGCCTACAAATCCTACATTACCAGGTGCTTGACACTTTCTCTTCTTCTGTCACACAGCCTCATTGGTTTACCTGCAGCATACTGCCACATGCGAGCAGTAAATAAATCATTGCTGGGAGCTGGGCCTGCTAAAGCATAATCATGGATGCAGGCGTCTGAAGAATACAGGCCCCACTTCGACTACTTCCATGACAACTTCAACACCCAGAATGGCGGCCAGCGCATCGCCACAATGCTCATGTACTTGTCGGATGTTGAGGATGGTGGAGAGACCGTGTTCCCCGAGAGCTCGGACAAGCCGGTATGGCTTCTATTCCCTTGCCATGCATGCTTGATCTGATGAATGAGCAATTTCCTGCCAGAGGTCTTGTATGGCATCCAATCCATCCAAGGCATATCATTGAGGCCGTTTTGGCACGCAGAATGTGGGGAATACAAAGTTCTCACAGTGCGCGCAAGCCGGAGCGGCTGCTAAGCCAAAGAAGGGGGATGCGCTGTTCTTCTACAGCCTGACCCCCGATGGGCGCATGGATGAGAAGAGCCTCCATGCTGGATGCCCTGTAATGAAGGGAGACAAGTGGAGCGCCACAAAGTGGCTTCGAGTGGACCGCTTTGAAGCCGGCTGGTTGCCAAGAGCTGGCCTCAATAACAGGTCCTAGCGCGTGTGATTTTCTGCATGTGCAACAATTTTGTTGATCGGACCAGCGTGTTCCCTTGTATTGATGTGGGTGCTTAAACTTGACTTTTCGAACTTGAGTGTGAATTTCACAAGAAGACAATTGCCTGTGAGCTGGCATGTGTGACTGAACAAATCTGATGCAGTCTGGTGAGACAGAAAGGGAGCAAAGAACCCACAAGTCGTAAAGTAGTGCTTGTGAAGGAATGCGTTGCGAGGTTCGTGGATGAGCTCAGGCAAACTCATGAATGGGACTTTAAATGGGCAGGTGAAAAAGATAACATGATCATGGCAGCCTTTTCAGGCTTTAAAAGCTCTCCGTAGAGTCCCTGATTGTCTGACGCAGGCGGCGGTTCCGCAGCATTTGCATTATCGTACTGTGTACATTCAATGCAGTAGCAATAGTATCTTATTGTCCTGAATCCTACGTGGGAACACCCTGCCAGGTCAGCAAGATCTCTTAGGGGAACCAACAGACAGGGGTCAGCCCTGCAATGGTCCGCATTGGCAGCACTACACTGCAAGCAATGGTTTGCGCCCTGCTGCAGCACTGCTGCACTTATGCATGGACATGCATCCAGTACTGGGATGCCGGAGACCTTGAGATTGACCAATGAGTGCTGCAGATGACAGCAGCACAGATGACGAAGGCATATAGCCCAATCCTTTCCGAAAGGAGTCATGATCATATCAGCATTGAATGCTGAGCATTCACTGCATGGCAAGGTTTGACTCAAGTCAAGTTGGGAACTGCTGCCAGTGCTCTGTTTCGCACGCGGCTGGGCGGATTTTCTGCATGCAATGGACCCAATTGGATGGGCTTAAGATCCTCTCATGGCATTGCATGGACTCAAACAACATTCATATTCCTTTAAAGAGTGAGGCAGCTTCAATCTAGCTAGACAGGCTGGGACAGCCTCAACAGGCAACACGCCTGCATATTCTCACCAACTTGGCAAGCCAAGGTGCTGCAGAGACATTTAAGTGCAACAACGGTGAATATCAGGGAACATATTTGCTGATCTGTCCTCGTGTCAGCGTTGACTAGGAAATATATATTTCTCGTAGGCCCCCGCAGATCAACTGACAGGTACACCGATGGCAAACAGCGAGAGGCCTCCAGAATTCTACATAAATGAAAAATGGGACAAATGCATTGATTTAACATTGCGCAGAGTTGTGTACGGCACTCTTGGCGGTGGAGCAGCAGCTTTGATACTCTTCAGTAAGTCACTTTCTAGATCCGATGCCCCAAAAAAGAAGGTGTTCCTAGCTGCTGGGAGATAATTGGCACGTATCTCTTTCAAAAAAATCCTTCGTTGTTGGTGGCTACATCCATATCGGAGGAGATGACAGATCTCCCATCCTTGCAGGAGGAGGTGGTGCAAGGGCTGCCTGTGCTGGCTTTGGTGCTGGATTTGGAGCTGGGGCAGCATACTCTGAATGCCAAAGAGAGGTGAGCACAAATGAAGTCCACCCAGCCAGATTCATGAGCTGCAGAAAGCCAGCTGCTTAATGCAGATTGGTACTAAACTCTGATGTGTACTTGTGCAGCTGCAAGATGTCCTTGGCGTGAAGAGTCAATGAGCACTGGTGGGCATCGATACTTCCACGTCTTCAACATGGCAGACAGTACAGCAACGGTGCAATGACACCTGAGCAGGCAGCACACACAAGGGCTATTCTGCCCTTTGCATGTGAAGAGGCGCCGCTAATAGCACATCATGAAGTAGACAGTGCGCTTGATGTTATTGATATGGCACAAAACAAAGCATTGCGCCTTGGATCAACATGATGATGTAACAATGATCACAAGGGAACAGCACTCAGGCCTTCTTGCTTCAGAAAAGCGGCGACATCTTGAAAGTCAGGGCCATCAAACTCCACATCAGCTGCCAGGAATTTCTCCACCTGCAGCCCTCCTTCTGTGCACAGCTGTCCCAGCTTTGCCTCCCCAACTTTTCCCTGCAGAACCCGAACGGCATGTCCACTCAATTGGCTGTCCAGTATCCATGAAAACAGGGCTTACGTCGCCCACTGATACAGAAATACAACACAGGTGCATGACAGGATTCTAGCAAAGTAGAGAGGCGCTGCCAAGCATATCCGACAACCCAGCCCTGCCCTCTTGTCCAAAAGCTAAGGAGATAGTCTCATCACAATTCGATTCTGAGCACCAATAGGGGCTTCAACAAGACCAGATCCTGGTCGATACCTCTGGACCATAAGAAGCGGATCAACCTGCACTCTATTACATGCTGATCGACGCACCTTGACATAGCGCAGGGCTTCTGCAACGCCTCGTCGCCTGGTCTCTGTGTCCTCCACCTTCTCATACAGCTCCACCAGCTTCCCTGCCGGCACAGCTCCCTCTGCAACTGCAAGCCCCACCAGCGACCCCAGCAGCTTCGGCGCCTTTGGCACATCCAGCCTGCACCCATACATTCCCCCTCATATCGAATCTCAGAATCCAGAACTGTGGAGCAGGTAGCTTCAGAAAATTCCATGCACATGTAACGGAACTCCACAACTCCATTGGAAGAGAAGTCCAGAGAGTCCCTGAAATGCTCTGGAGCACCAAATCCCGGACATTGGAAGTTTGGCAGGTGATGTACGGACTGTCAATCTCGGCTTTTGTGGGCAGGCACTCACGCCAGGTCCTCCAGGAGGTCCGTCTTGAGCTTCACACCGGTGACGAAGTCTTCCAGCGAGTATGCGTTGCGGCGCAGCAGGGACACCAGCAGGTCCGTCAGCATCTCGTGCTCCTTTGGTCTGATGGTCTCAAACAGCGCGTCGATGCCCATGTCCACCAGCTTGGGCATGAAGCCTGCAGCGCACACCCTTCATCCCTCAGGGCACACCCACATAACCATAAGCAATGCATGTCCCAGAGGTATTTGCTGATGTGGCATCAGAGCAGGCATCCAATGATGACTAATAGTGGGGACTGCCTCAGTCACGCATCCAAGATTAATAGATCAGGGTCGCAACAGTAGACAACAAACTATAAACGACAGCAAATGACAGTTGGATGACATGTCTGGCTCGGTCTTCAGAGAAATGCAGAGTGAGCGAATGCAAGGCATAAGAAAGGTGGTGTCGGCTCACCGGGTGCAGCCAGTTCCCGCGCGAGTGTGAGAGCCTCCACATGGTCTCCAGCAGACAGGAACTCACTGAACAAAGACTTCGCCTGCGATTCCCTCTCCTCGTCTGTGTACACCTTCTTTGCCCTGCACACATCCAAGCAGTCCTCTGTTACCAGCATGCTGTGCACTGGAGGATTGACTCAAGGTGTGCTTAAGAAGGGATCAGTGGCGTTTGTCCGGCACACAGCAGCTGTGCCTTGGCTGCTCCAGACAGACAAAGCAAACGGTGTGGCTGCTGCCGCCTGGGTTGCTATTGTGCGATTAGTAGATCCCGGCTTTCTTGCACTGCCAAAACTGGGAAGGGAACCGCACGATTATCACCAGCCCAGACACTACATGGTTTACTGCATCCTTGCTTGCAGAACACTCCTCTGGTAGCAGCGGAAAATTTATCCCGTGGCTCTTGTCAGGGCTGCAGCCATTAGCATGTTCAAATTTTGAGATCTGACTGCAGTAACAACTGAGAGGTGTACCTGGGTGCAGGCGCAGCAGCAGCAGCAGGAGCGGCGGCAACGGGGGCCGGAGCAGCTGGGGCGGCGGCTGCGGCAGGCGCGGAGCGCGCGGCTGCGACCGGGGTGTATTCACCCAGGAACGCACTCGTGTGGCTCTGATCGCCAATCTTGGCCGACCCCTTCTTCCGGCCAACCGTCTCCCAGCCATCATCTGCTCACATCAACAACCTTGCTCAATGCATTATAAATCTTCACAATGTTTAAATTGGGAATAGACGCAATAGAAAGCCATCCAAGTGGCAAATTTTCCTGTCTCAAGCAGCCCTACTGTGAGTTGTAGGGCCCTTTTGCTGCAAGCGAAGCAGCATGAGCTGCACATGTAATTCCAACCAGCATGGCATTTATGTCCTGCACAGGGAGGTTCAGGCAAGATCCTCATGGACACACATCTAGGTGATGCGTGCTTGTGAAGGCACTGGTGCTCACCGTCGCCCTTGAAGGCTGGGAAGAGCTCAACGTCGTCGGCGAGGCCGGGCACAGCGCCGCGGGAGTGGGCCGGAAGCGGCGCGAGGCCGGGCAGGACGGCGGAGGGGATCATGCCCAGCTCGGCATGCGCGGCGGCGTGGATCTCGCTGATCTTCTTGGCCTCCTCCTTCTGGCGCCGCGGCACCCACTTGGACTTGCGCAGCTCCACTATGTCCCGGATCATGAACTTCACCCTCGCCGACAGCGCCTGTGTACCATGCCACACCACACAACGATCAGCCCTGTAGCCCATATAATCCAAATTCAATCGGCACACTCGCATGCTCTTGCCTTAAGACGGATTGCTTCCCTTGCAAATCCAGTGATCTTCCTGATGACGAGAAAGGCCAGGCTCTCATTCCGGAATGCTTTCACATTACAATCCCTGATTCCTTACAAGTTCACCATGTACTGCTAGAGGCCTTTCAAATTCAATTCAGAGTCAATAGGAAGAGGCACAAGTGATGTATTGAGATAAGCAGCCTGCCAGGCCCGGCTGGCGATGTACCTTGTTCTTGGCCCACTTCTCCAGGATGGCAAAGTATCCATCCAGGCGCTTCTTGTCCTTTGTCACCTCCTCCAACTTCTTGCCCACAACGGTCAGCATCTCGCACATTGCCTGCGCACACATGGGAGAGACTGTGAAACCTGCAGATGCTTTGCCAACCATTTGAGGCCCAAAGACAATCCAGAATTTGATATTGCAATTTTGACAAGCAGATGGTGTGAGTCACCTCCACATCGTCCTCAGCAGGATCAGATTTGCCGTCGCCAAGCATCTGTTGGATGCAGGCATGCAGGATTTTCTCGCTGACAACCTCCTGCTTGTACAGCTCTGCAATGAGCCTAATGTTGCCCAGTGTCCTCATCTTCACCTTCCGCTCTGCGATTTCCCTTTCCCCATCTGGAGTCGTCTGGAGCGCCTAGTGACAAAGCAATGCCACACTCAGTAAGCCTTCTCCCAGCACCTTTCTGGATAGGTGCAGTGCCAAGGGACAGTGTATAATCTACTCATCTATCCAGCACCAGTTTGTTTTGACAGGAGGACACAGTGACGAAGTCCACCTCACGGGCCTCTTGAGCCCCCTCAAATTCCTCCTGACACGTGTTCAAGAGAACTCGCTTGAACGTCATTGGCCGCGATTCACCCTCTGGAGGTGGGAACTCTGGGAGTCCCTACAAAAGACGCCGCCACAACCATATCGTCAGGGTGTAAGCATACAGATTGCTGTGATTCATCTTTTGCATTTTGGCCATTCAACGAAAAGCGCAGTGGAAACCATGATTGGATGGAAGGTGATTGCGCCTCTCACCTTGGACAGGCGATCACAAAGCTGCGCGTACATGAAGGCAAAGGTGGGCTGTGCCACTGCATTCTCAAAGACAAGGCTAATGGTGGAATGCAGGACTTCTGCGTCGTTCACAATGTCAAGGACTTGCTGCAGCAGGCGGTCAAAGTTCTCCGGCGTGAGCTTGTTCAGAATGCCCTTCACTTGCCGCGTCGCCTGCACGAAACAACATTTGTCAGCCACCCTAGCAATGGTGCAGAACCTCGCCAACTAAACGACCCATGTGTGGCGGCATGTGTATCTGCATATGGGAGTACAATCCAGTGATTGTCACCTTTTCTTGGCCGCCGGTTGTTGTGCCTGGCATCCAGGCCTTCTTCCCAACGTCTGCTGCCCTCTGGATCTTGGGAGCTGGTCCGTTGGACTGCTGCGCTGGTGAAGGCCCTGCGTGAGAGTTTGGCCCACTTGACGGCTGTGACCGCTCCCGCTGGGGTGCAGGCCGTTCTTGCCTCTGTGCCTGCGCTTCACCTTGTGCCCACTGCTGCACAGGCTGCTGCTGTTGTCCCTCCCGCTGATTCTCTGGGGCAGGAGGCAGCTCTTTCCGCGTGTGCCAGTCACGTGTATCTGGCTGCTCAGCTTGGCGCGGCTGCACATGTACAAAGTGACAGCTTCGAGCCTGAAAATTTGAAGTCACTAGTGAATCTCGCACATGTCAATATACTCAGCGTACCAGTTGTGCATCCACCGACTCTGCGGGCTTGGTGGTACCAGGAGCATCCAAGAGCAGCTCCTGCTGCCCTGCTAGCTCCGGAGGTGAAGACATACATATCTGCAACCACAACAAGCAAATCATCGACAACATCCAGGAGTAACTTACAGAGTAACCACAACAGATGGGAGTCCATAATTGATTTAGACGACCACAGCCTCACAGCTGAGAGATCACACCTCTCGGAATTTCAGAAGGAATTCATCCGTGTATCTGATAATCTCTCCGGGCGGCTTCTTCCGTTCTTCCCTCAACGGACCTGCTTCCTGAATCTGTTCACAGATTGGGTGCAACAAAAAATATTAGACGTTACATATACTGCAATCTGGTCACACTAACGGGAGCAACTTGTGAAAGCGTGAGGTAGGAATAGGGGACATTTAAACACCTTCTTGGGCAATGATGCTCCAGCCCCACGACCGAATCCTGCAAAAGGATTCTTGTTTGGCCCAGCACCACCTGGCCTCAGAACGAGCTGCTCCATGCTGGAAACAGTGTTTCCCAGACAAAAGCACCTCCGCTGGTATGATTTCTCCTCAGAGATTCATCAATCAATCATTGGATGCCCATCACTGGGCGGCTCAATCTGTTGTGTTACTGACCCTCGCATATTCTCCAAACTCCCTCGAACCCTAACTTCTGAACCTTGACTTCTCTGCCGTATTCTTGTGGTTGCTGCAAAAGTTTATTGTGGTTGCTGCCAAGACAAGTCTGCCAAGACAGGTTCGAGGCATCGTTCAGTCCAATTAGGGCTGTGCTAGTGTACTGTGGTAGAGGCTGCCGGCACCTGCCGAGCCGCAATCTTTCTTATATACATTTGAGCCATCACAGCAGACAGCAGATCATTAAGGAAGCTAGACTCAGACAAAATGACAGAGAAGAGTCCACTGAGCGTGTTAGACTTCCTGGCTACTCCTGGGTGGGCCAAGGCTCGAAGTCGCGGAGCAGCTTCTCCCCAAATCACTGCGGCACAGGGTAGACGGAACGAGGAGCACAGTGCTGGAATGTCTCACAGAGAAGGACCACAGATATTTGGGACGATTGATCAAGCGGCTTCCAAAGCTTTCCGGAGGAAAGGAAGAGGATTACCTCAGCTTCCCAATTTTGAAGATACTCTCGACGATTCTAAGGTGTGTTCTTTCAGTTCAGTTGCCCACATCCTGGACGAAAGCGCGTTTTTTGTTCTATCGGAAACCATCGTTAGCGCGATATCCCGGTTTTACGTCGCCAAGGTTAGGGTACACCTTGGTACATGTTGTGTCCTTCTAGTATTTTGTCGTACCCTATGCAGGACCTAAATCGCTGTACTGGTGCACCCTCAACCTGATGATTGCCTTACAGGTGCTCATGGCCACGTCTGCTGCGCTGCTGCGCCGAACACCCTCCGTGATGTCTCCAAACCTCTTTGCGTTTGAGGACCACTTCTCCTTCGAGGCAGTAATCGGCAGGTCCCCGTTGAGCGAGGTGTACCGTGCACGGCATCGTGGGACAGGCCAGCTCTTCGCTGTCAAGCGGTCCATGCGCAGATTTCGTTCAAAGGGCGACAGAGACAGGTGAGCACATCAGGCTGATGTCATCAGCCCAGTCTGTTGGCCCTGTAGACCCTCAATTCCCATTCGTGTGTCCCAGAGAATGTGACTAACTCTTTTGCTGACTGCCAGGTCATTGCACGAGATCCAAGCAGTCGCTTCTCTTCCAAGCCACCCCAATGTTGTGACGCTCCACCGCGCATGGCAGCAGCGGGGCCACTTCTACATCCAGATGGATCTCGCCGAGAATGGCAGCCTCGGCTCGATTCTGCGGCAGGTGCGAAGCTGTCTGCGCAGTCTTGCATGTTCCAGACTGACACGCACTGAAGCAGGCACTGAAAGCAGGCAATCATTTAGTGTCCGTACTGATGCAGCTGCCTGCATGTGATGCAGGGACAGCAGGAGGGACAGCTGCTGCCGGAACCTGTGGTGTGGCAAGTGCTCTGGGAGGTGGCACAGGGGCTGGCATTCCTGCATGCGCACGACGTGATTGTCATGGACATCAAGCCTGACAACGTCTTCTGCAACCGCAATGGAACCTTCCAGATTGGCGACTTTGGGCTGGCAGTTGTGGGCAGCACACAGCGGGTGAGCTCTTATGACATCCATCTACATGACCTGCATGGCACTTGACATGCATGAAGAGCCAGGTGGGTGTGCCTTATGGGAGCAGGGGTGCATGCATGACATGCCGCATTCATGCAAGCTACTGATGCATGTGTGCATACTGCAATGACAGGACTGGGAGGAAGGCGATGGCGACTACCTAGCACCAGAGCTCCTCAGCGATGACAAACCCTCGCCCGCAGCTGACATCTACAGCCTCGGAGCCACCATCTACGAGTGTGCAACAGGTGCGCTCACGTCCTGCCTCTGCGCCGCTGGTGTGAAATGTGTGGTAGCTGTCATATTCACATCAAATTTTAGAGGTTGGAAAGTGGGCAACAGATTATGCATGCCTCTTACATCTCACAGTTCTCGCTGGTGCATGCAGGCAAGAAGCTGCCTCGGTCCTGGCAGAACTGCAGAGACCTTCAGCTTCCTGGGAGGCTGCCGGCTCTGCAGCACTTAGTGCAGGGCATGCTCTCACGGAATCCCTCAAGCCGCTTGTCTGCTCAGGAGCTGGTAGAGCAGGTGAGGAACATATTACTCCATCTCTACTGTTCCCAAGAAGACAGAACTTGTTCACATATCAAGACACGTTCTGCGTTACAGATCACTGAGGTGCTATGTTTCGCATGCAGGTGGGCATGTTGCAGCTTCCCTTTGGGCTGAGCGCGACAGTGAGCTCCTGTGCATCCGCAAAAGATGCACAGCCCAGCTCAGAGGCTGACTACCCCCAGGATGCATATGCCACACCTTCCCACCGACCCCTGGATCATGCCCTGCCCAGCACAGGTATTACCCTTCACCTCACATGAGTTTAAAGAGTCTACTGCTGGGATGAAGTTCTGCCCTCCTGGGCAAGCTGACGTCAACAACATTGTCCGAGAGTGCATACGTGCATCGACAACACTGCTAGTCAGGCATCTGTTGTGAAGCTAATATTCATGCTCTGATGAAATCTTGTGCATCTCCAGGGGGAAGCAGCGTGACAGCCACCTGCAGCAGCGGCCCGACGCCCGGACCGCGGCGGCTGAATCTGGCGCAGCTGCCCAGCCTCACGCTGCCCGACGCGCCCAGCCCATCCGCGGTGTCAACCCCCGTTATGTGCGGGGCCGGTTGGCGGCGGACACTATCCAGCAGCGACATGTCCCACGATGCGTCGGACGTAGGAACGCCCACCCGAGCGCCCTCCTTCGTCCCGTCCCTGCTCCAGCAGCGCCTGTCCGTGTCCAGCCCCACCCTCCTCTCGCCCTTCAGCGAAGCAGGTGCACTCCTTGCCAGGCCCTCACATATACCTAGTGTACAACGTATAACAATGTCTGAGCAGGCTTGTCTTTGCATGCCAGCCTTTCCTGTCAGGTGCCTTCATGTTCAGCACGTCTGGCTGGCGCCTGAATGTCCAGTGAATTAAAAAACCCCCACCCTGTTGACTTCTTGCCTTGCCTTGCACAGCTAAGAGCTGGGAGACACCTTTACTGACAGAATTTCTTTTGGGAACGCAGGCTGCAGCCCCTTTGCCACGCCATCGCTGGGGCGCCGGCCGTCAACGGCCGCGACGCCAAGTTTCACAGGGAGCACGGCGCTCGTGTACCACAGCCGCTGGGCGCGCGAGTGCTCCTTCGACCGCTCCGAGGCGGCCGCGCAAGTGCGGCCGTTCTCCCTGGACCCGGATGACATGCAGGACAGCCCCAGCTTCCAGCTCGACGAGGACCTGCCAGGCAGCCGCGCAGATGACGGCGCAGACATCCTCTGCTTGGATGACCAAGACCCCTTCTGCACCGCTGGGGAGGAGCATGCGAGCCCCTCCCAGCTGAGCAGGTAATTATGAAGCTGTGCTGCTCTGCTTTTGGGCTCTTTTCAGCTGCTTGCTTGCAGAATGAGGGGCTACATGCGCACGGTGCACCCTCTGAGACATGCTGCTGTGGCATGCAGGGACTGCAGCATGGGCTTGCACGATGATGATGATGACAACCAGCAGCAGAGGCAGGTGACGGAGGGCTCAAGCCCGCTGCACCACGGCCGCTTCTTTGCACGGCTCTCACTGTCAGGCAGCCAGGCAGAGGAGGCCTGCACAGCAGCGCCAAACACCGGCCAGGCCCAAGAGCAGCAGCCAATCGCAAGTCCTTTTGCATCTCAGCGCGCTCAGCACATGACCCCAGGAGCAGGCCAGCAATGGACGCAACTGACTCCCCAGCTTTCAAAGGGCCTCAGCATGTCTCGGATGGACACTCTGAAGGAAAAGAAGTCACTCCCATTCGTGTTTGCCTGTTGAAGCCCAGGACTGACAGGCTGCCAGCGCTCTCAAGACCAATTGGCTAGTCTTTCTTGCTTAAGGTGATCAGAACAGTATCAAGACATGGAAGTGGAACAACAAGATTCAGCACCGGGCCTTTGGACAAGACACTGCTGTTTTGTAAGGTACTGGCAGAGTCTGTTTGCACCTGTGACTGTCAACTCTAGTCGGAAAGAACCTGAAATAATGTATGGACTAGCATTAGCAAGAGCAGCATCTTCAACATGCGCAGTCTTTTCAATTCTGCTGCGTTTCGTATGTGGGTATGGCTGATGCTGACAGCTTATAGTTATTCAACATTTGCTGATGAGCTTTACAGTGCTGTTGATGCCTGACAAGCGCTGTAACATCCCCAGGCAGAACTCAATTGCAATGAAGAGGACATGATATTGCATTGCAAGCCAAATACTTTGTCTGCTGCAGCTGCAACTCTCCAGCACAGCCTGCAAGCTTTCCTTCATGCATGTGTTGTGCATATGCATTTCCATCACACGTACATGAAGATCGCTATCAAACTTATGGCTGAACCAAAGTCCTTTGTTTTATAACACAAATAACATGTGCCCATTAATGTGACCTGCTTTGCATCAAGTCCAGTGCGCTTGATCTTCTTGAAGAGGATCCTCTCACTGGAGACTTATCATATCAGCGACACAGTCATAGCATAACAGTGATGTGGTACGTAGAGGTTCAACAGAAAGCATCATGCACATTCTGGGGGATGAAGTCTACGTCATTTATATCGGATGTTCCAAGAAAGTGGTTGCCCTATGTTCAACGCACAACTGGGCAGCGGGCCATTCAAAATAGTGATGAGTCAGCATCAATAAAATGGGTGTTGAGCAAAACCCCAGTTTCCTCAGCACTTCAAAAGCCCTGTCCGTGTGCCTGGAAGACTACTGGCAATTTTCATGCTTACACCATGTGTCTTGTGCATGCACAAATTGTGGTATTGTGTGATGAACTTCAGCTGTCCCAGCAACACGGTGATGCTGTGTCATGCTGTATGACGGACAATTCTTTCTTACAAAGAATTGTCCGAGTTTATGCATTTGCGATCTACATAATAACTGAAATAATCGTAATGACTGTGCCGCTCACTTTGCCTTCATGTGTGCCAGTCTTTTCAAGAGTTTCCTATAAGTAATACAACTAGCACGCAGGACTACCACCTATTCAAACATTTTCGTGACAATTAACCTCTGTTCCAATATTCTTCAAACCTTTGATATTAATACATACAGTGCTCATAAAGCACAACCACACTTGCCACATGGCTCATAAGTGATCACTCAGAAGATGCTGCCACGATTCCATGTGTTGATGATCACCGCCACAATTCCCAGCATCGCCAACCTGCAACACCATGACACAATGCACGTGAGCTTCTACCAAGATTGCCAAGAAAGCAAGAGACTTCCCATACTATATCCAAATAGATTGAGCAATATAACACTACACCACTAGGTTCTCTTGACATGCATGTTGCACAGGCGTCCTTTGACACAGGGTTGGGGTGTACAGGCATGCCTTGTGAGCAGTCAATGAGCTTTCCAGAGAGATGAGCACAATACCTGCCATTCCAAAGCTCTGCGTCAGGTGTGAAGACAGAGTTGCCAGAGCGGCGCACTCCCTTGTAGAATGGGATTGCTGAGGCGACAGTGATCAGCACCACAGTTGTGACAATGAGGAGCGGCTGTGACTTGACTTGCTCAAACAGGTTCTTTCCTGTGAGCTGCTCAGCGATGACTGCCCAGAAGAAGCCCAGCATGGCCAGTCTGCTGTTGAGCACCTCTGGCAATGCTCCTGTTCATTCATTACACAGATCTGGTCAGTTGCACTGGTCTGTTGACATCAGCATCTGACTGCTGACATGCAATGCTCTTTACCAAAAGTAAACACTTGCATACTTTGTTGCAAGGGAACATTGAAGCCGCGAGACACTATTTTGTGGCAAATGAGTGCAATAATTGCACATGCAATTGGGCAGCACCTTTGAAGCGCATCATCTCAAGGAAGCCAACGTCTGAGTTCAAAATTTGTCTGTCTGGGTTCGCTGCATCGCTCTTGAATATATCATCTGCCTGCAACAGCATCAAGGACCACTCTTCATCACGAGAGAAACAACTATTCTGAAGCGTGACAGTATCGATCGATCACGGCATATAGGCTCGCCTGGCAGGTGTTGTTAAGGGAGCTCGGGCGTGAACTCACCAGTGTTTGTCTGTCCTTCACGTCAGGGCCAACCTGCATTCCCTCCTCCGGAAACTCCTCTCGTACAGGAGCCTCCAGCTTCTGCAGAACACAAAAGTATTCAGCACCCGACATTTCAAGACAAGGATGCCGAAGCAGATAGCAAAGGACGACATCTTGATGTATATGACAGAACCATCAGTACCTGGTACGAATCGTTCTCTGTGTTAGATGCCTTCGGGACGACAGTGTGTGATCGGCTTGGAAGTATAGACTTCCGCAACCTGGGTGCCGCAGTGGGTCTGATCTGTGTCGCAAAAGGTGTCGTCATTGAAACAGTCCTCATGGCCATCGCTGCAATCGATACGTACTTTTTACTTTGATTTCTATATGTGGATACGAGTGTGCAATTGGTCCACAAAGATTAATCTGTCGCGAGTGCGTTGGTGTGCGGGTTCAAAAAGCCCTGTTACTATTTTCGGATCGGCGACGTGGCCCAGCTTCTCCCGGTGAGCTTAAGGGAGAGGAAGCTTCCATCCAGATGGGCGACATGCAAGCCACCTTCAAAAAGCACATCACCTCGCAAAGGTGACTGATGTCACATGGCTTTTCACTTTACAGCACCATACACTTCTTGTGCAGTGTCCCAATAAAACTGCAGCCATGCTCCCCTGCTTGAATTGCAGGGTACAAACTCGTAGGCACCTCTCACGCATGCAGGACAATTCACACAGCACTTGTCCTGTAAGACAACATCCGACTTGGCAAGGAGCGTCCTCCCCTGAACCATCTCTGACTCAGCATTTAACAATTTGCATGCTGCGCATGCCGCGTGATCCGACTCAGCATGCACACGAGACAGATCGGTTGCCCCGTGGCAAGGCCCCTTGCTGGGAGAAGCTGCAATTATCTGAAGCACAGTGGGGCCATGCATCTGTGAGCTGCCGGGCGTCTCAACTCGCATGCGGTGTCTGCTGGTGAGGGTGCCTTCCAGAGCTCTGAAGGACACATTTGCCGTCCGGCTGCCAAAGTCTATCTGGAGGCTGTCAAACTCCCCTGCCTCTGCCAGAAGGTAAAGCCCCAGGGGCTGGATGTAGATCCGCTGATGGTAGGAATCGCGGGGTGTCATGCGGATGACTGTGTCAACAGGCCGAGGCATATGAGAGCTGGGCAGCGCATTTGCACTGGAACTATCCTGGCTGATGACCACGTGGTTGCACAGGAAGCACAGCCACTCTACCCCGAGCTGTTTGTAGAGCAGGTAGGCTCCAGCATTGTGCGTGTGCCCATAGAAGCCAATCCCAAAGTCCCCACTGCACAGGCAACACCCGCATTCTCAGCAAAGCACTGGAGAGCAACATTCAACCTTGATGAAGCTTGATCTTGTCTGAGGTTGCTCTGCTGGGAAAATGCGAGCTTGTCTTGGACGACATGGGAACATCATGTCCCAAGCATCATCAAGCGTGCACACTCCCGGCGGTAGAGCACCAAAGGACAGGGTCTCTCATGGCAGCTTCTGTCCACAACAAGAGGGGTTCAGGTGATTTGATCAGCTGTGCCAGGGCAGGACCAGCATGCATGCATGCGCAGAGGTGGCACCTGTAGGGGTCATGGCGCATGACGGCCGGGTCGCCGTGGAAGCCCATGGAGGGCTGCCCTTGCAGGTCCAGGTTGGTGAGCTGCCCCGCCACAGCGCCCAGCCCCGTCAGCAGCAGGTGCACGTTGCCATGTGGTGACGCACGATACTCCTCCAGTAGGGGGATGGCATTCAGCCCTGGCACACAACACATGAGTGAATTATTGCCCTGTCACACTTGTACAGAAACGGGTAGCAAAAGTTCCCGGGAACCCCATCACACCGCAAGCTGAAGCCCAGAATGATACAAAGGCCTCAGCGCATCGTTGCAGTCCAAAGCTGAACCCCTGAAGACTTGAAGTGCCATCAATGGACCCCATTCTCAACAGTTGCCAGTGGTTGCCAGATGCCAATCTCGAGTGGGCTAAGTGCTACTTATTGCTATCTTTAACTTGGAGTCCCCTGGTGCTAATCAACAGTGGGCTAAAACAATCAAAATGCAACAGAGTAATCCTCCATTAAGCAGGTGGGGGCAGCGGGTGCACCTGCGCGGTAGTGCTGCAGGACGCGCTCCCAGCCGCCGCAGGGGGTGATCTTGGCATTGTTGGAGAAGTCTCCTATGCCCAGCGCTGCGCCGTTGTACGCCCAGTTGGGGACATTTGGCATGAAGGCCAAAATGGCATCCAAGGCTGTCGCAGCCACCTCATCCTTGCCAAAATACCTGACAGAGGAAGATATCTGTTAAAATGACAATTTGGAGGCTTTACTTACTGTTATAGCAATTTCACCATTACTAGTAAATACTGTTCCTGCCAGAGGCAAAGGTGCGTTTGCAGACGAGCTGCAGGTAAAGGCTGCCGCATATCCACCTCCTTGTTGGAATTGCCAGATTCAAGCAACCCGTCAACGGCACACAGGTGTGGTCACTATATGTACCGCCTCCCGCCAGCTGGGGCCATACCAATTCACAGTGAGACCAAATGAGAAGAATGAGGGTATCACCTTCCCCAGATGTAGATTTCCTCCTGGCCTGTGGAGTCCCAAGCAAATTCGCTGCCAAAGGGAAAATCATTGGCTTTCCATGGCCTGCAGCTGTACAGGAAGTGCCCTGAAGCTGCCTGGCTGCAGCTGCAAGGCCCTGGCGGCTCGGGGCAGGGTGAGGAAGAATTGTAGACAAACCCCACTGCCGTCCGGTTGTGCATGATGTCTGCATGCGCTCAAGACAACATCATTAGCCCCTCACAACTTCTGCATAAGCAGATCTGTCAGTTGCGCTCGGCAAGTGTTTAAGGTACAGTGAGAGCCAAAATCAATAAATGCAAAGGCACAAGCCGGCTGCTCACCCCTGACCATGGCGGCATCTTCATGCAACCCCTCCAGTTCCAGATCGCGCAGAACTTCCCTAAACACCGTCCCCGCCATCAACCCAAACTGGGTGTACCATTTGGCCACTGTCCACATGCCCTGAAACAGAAACCCACCACAGTGAACATGAAGCATTGCCAAAAAGACTTCACCTCATAGTGAGGGCGCATCTATACACACCCTGGAGGAATCCCGCACTTCAGGCCAAAGATTCTTGGTTGAGAGTGACAATGCCAGTAACGACATCCGCAGAAAGTGCTTCAAATGACCCTCAGAGCAAGAGTGCTCATGTCCAGGAGGAAGAGCAATGATCAAGAAGTAAAGACTGCACCTTGATGGTGGCAGCAGCTTGTTGCAGGTACCAGGTGGCAGGGCGCTGCGAGGGAGCCAGGTCATTGTCGGCGGCGAGGTGGTACATGCTGTGGTAGACGGCGGTCTGGTGGGGGTAGTTGTACGCGCGGCCCAGGGACTCCACAGCCCTCGTGCGGTTCCAGATCCACCCCGACAGCGAGCTTGCCTTGTAGGTGTACCCTGGCATCGGCTCCTCCGAGGTCCCCTGCCACAGACTATGCCTCTAAACAATATATAGGATATAATATGCTTATGACACAAAAATTGGCAATCATCGCGTGCAGCACTGACTGCCTCACTTTGGCGCTCGGGTGTGCTTGGCAATCACTGGGCACAGGGCAAAAGCAGGGCATCGGGGCTCGCGAGCTTTGGTAGTCCAAACATCTGTCCGACAGCTCGCTGCATCCCCGGGAGGCTGGCCCTAGTCGGTGCTTCTGAGTACAACTGCCATTCATGTGCGGTAATATATCTTTCTTGGGGGTGGTGGCTAGAGGGAGGCAGCCGGACCGGCGTGGGCACCCAGAAGAGGCTGGCGCGGATGCCGCCAGTGGCGTGGTCCTGCAGGGACACTGGGAAGGGGATGTCTTGTTCCACGCCCCACAGCGTGCGCTGGATATACTCGTCCAGCCTGGCCGCCTGCTCCCGGGTCGGCGAGTGGCGCGCTTTGACGGCCAGCGCCACATTTGCCGCCGCGCCCGCCTCGTCACTCAGGCCCACCACAAACGCCCTAGCACATGCAAGAAGCACCAGCTGACACCTTCTGCATGCGTTTTAAAATACGCTTTGTTGTTCACAGAACCACGATGTGCACTGCTCTATCTCAGAACAAAACATGCTATGAGATCAACAAAAAATAGGCTCACATGTTGCACAAGGAAAAGGAGGGATTCTTCTATGGGAGTACTGACCGGGGATCCTGCATGACATGGGTCTGCACGTCGCGGTCCCAAGGCATGACTGAGTGGGTGCGCCCAAAGGGGTCAACGCCCTGCTCTGATCCCAGCCACGCCCAGTCAGCCAGAAACGCGCCGAAATTGTCCACATGTGCCTTGAAGGGTGGCAGCACAAAGTAATGGACGGCGAGCGATGAGCCGTCGGAGAATTGTAGGTCCACTCGGCAGCGGCCGTGATGAAGTCCCTTCAGCGGAACCACCCATTGGGCGGAGGGCCTGCTGTCCACAGGTAACAACAAGCTCAGTGGTGCTTGTTAAAAACAAGGTCCTGCCAACTGTCCGCTGGAAAAAAGGCATTTGGATGGGCATGGAGCAGAGTTGCAGTTCCCAGGATTTTGCAGCATTGGCAGAGTGATTGCATGCACTTTTCTGCTCCATGAAATCCGTAATATGTTTGATTCATGGCCAGATGTCTGACGCACCTGGCCTGCTGGGGCGTCCCAATGGAGATTGCGCCCTTTGGAACGACATCAATACCACTGATGTGGGAAATCGCCTCTGGAAGTGTGACAAGCAGCTGTGCATCCATGTCTGTGGCAATGGTGTATCCTGCACCCCACTCGGCGGTCACCGGAAACATCCATGAGCGGGACAAACTGTGCAGAGGTATTATCAAGCTGCATGCTAATACATTCAAGCGGCAAAGTAGACAGAGGATTGCGGGCATAGTGTATCTACCTGGCACACCATGGACCACAACCTTTCCTGCTGCCAGGAGATTTGCATCGCGATCTCTGATGCTTGGAGCTGTGAGCAAGCGGAAGCCGAATGTATAGCTCGAATTTGGTGGGACAAGCTGACTGGACGGAGGGTTCCACGGCTCTCCTCCAGCGGACCACTCCAGCTCCTGCATGGACACGTGAAGTCTGAGGGATCCCTCCATGCTTATGCTGCGCATCTTCCACGTGCAGGACATATCTCTACGCTGTGCTGACCCCGAAGGTTGCCAGGCAGCAAAGGCAGAAGGAAGTTTAGCAACAGTCCTAGACTGCCTTATATTCCCACGATACTCGGTATCAAGCAGATCAAGCATCAAGCATATTGCTGCAGGTTGAGCCGCCTCGCACCCGGTATGATGCAGAGTGCAGCATGATGTGGGGGGTCCACAGCGGCCCAGCATTCGCGGCGTCCTCTCGGCCGCTGCGCCACGCCTCAAAGCTGGTCCCATTCTCGGGCAGCAGCAGGAGCACTGGGCCCCGGCCGGTCATGCGCGTCACGCTGACCCAGCCATGGTGCGCGCCCAGATGCATGTCTGTGAAGGTTGACTGCTGCGCCATCTGCTCCAGTGTGAGGCCATCCCAGCGACCCTGCTCCCCATTGGAGAAAGCTCCATGAAGCTGGGCAAGAGAGTTCCTGGATTGATTGCTCTGATAATGCAAATGACTTATTCGCACCCTTACATTCCTAAGGATGCTGCATGCGTTGCTCACCTGGAACACAAGTGGGATGCTGAGAGCCCCGATCTCAATGGCATTGAAGGGGTCAAGATTGGTCAAGGTGTAAGTCACCAGCAGGCCCCCAGCTTTATCCCATGCTTGTGAGTACCGCCTGCATTACATACTGCCGCAGTTGTGGCCGTCATGCCAGGCACTTTGATCAAAGAGGCGGAATGTGCATTTAAGTACCCAAGACAGCGAGTGCAATGTGTGGCACCTGAGAAGGTGGATCTTTGTATCTGGGGGCAGACCAAGCTGGCCTGTGATGTTGTGCGCTGCAATCTCCCAAGGTCTCTTTGTGATCTCCGCAATGGCTGACTCTGTGGCAAGACACGTCATTCACAGTGATGGGTGCGCGTAGGAGACTCTGCAGGACACTGAGGGATTTGAGATCTTCAGCAGCGCTTACCTGGGTCAGCAGTGGCAGTTGAAAGAGACGTGTAGAGGGGGTATTCTTGGAGGTAAGCCACGGGCGGCAATGTGGTAGACTGCAGGCTGGCTGGTCTGACTCGTACGGAGACATCACCAAGGGTACTGAAACCGGGTAATGTCCGATTGGCTCCAAAACTTCCGTCTGTGGGGACAAATGAGAAGTCTCTGGAGGCCAAGGGCGAGAGTCTTGAAATAGTGGCTGTCGATGGCCTGAAGACAACCTCCAGATCAGGCTGAACTGTGATGGTGATCTCCTGATAGATAACGCAGAAATAAGTTCATAAGAGACAGCATCGGCTGTCAATGTACTAAATGTTTCCCAAAGCGCATCATCACCTTAAAAGCTCGGTTAGTAAAGTGACAGAGAGTGTATCAGCACGTCCATGCCAGAGGTCGAGGACCCACCTCAGAACGTGGAAGAACCTCGCCAGTCAAATGCCTCTTGGACTGGCAAGAATTCGGAAAAGCACAGCAATCCGAGACACATGCGGATCGATTGTCTGGGTTCGCATTATGACAAGGCACACCAAGGCACTGGCTTGCTGATGCAGGCCTTGTGAAGGCTAGTAACAGGCATGCAACCAGAAGATGCTTGAGAAGCGCCCAAAAGTGGATCTGCATGGTCTGTGGATCACCGCAGTGCCTGAGAAGCTCGCTCAACATGTCCAAGAAAACTGGGCCCCAAAAAGAAGAAACCACGTGACATTACTAACACCCACGTCATGACACTTCGCACGCCCAGGTATCTGACCTTTCCAGAGGGCGGATGGAAGAGGCGGGCGGGTCGTGAGAATAGGAACATAGCAAAGTGGCATGAGATCGTGTCATTGATCACAACACAGGCAGTTCCAGGTCGCCCACTAGGCTATTCGAGCTGAAAGAGGTTGCCCTAACTGTCGGCCTCAAAGCGATTCCGAATGTCAACCGCTGTATTAATGTAGGGTAAAAAGACGAATCGCGACAAGAACAGCTCGTAAATAAAAAGAATTCAAACATCGATTCCGTCTGTAAAGCTCAGGTCTTTGCCGGAACTTGACCATGTGATGCTAGGCACCAGTGGACGCCAGCATCGTGATGCAGGCGGCCTTCCGAGGTTGCCCAGAACTCCAAATCATGTGAATGCTGATTGGTCCTCCGTCTCGGGGATCGAATTTGCCGTCCAACCTCACAGTATGCCTGTCTTGGACAATGGTCCGAAGTAGATTAGCTGCGCCTGAGAATGAGCCAGGTCAAAAGGTGAGGCTTTACTAACAGCAGATTGCACTCTAGGACAATTGCATGTCGCATTTTTGGTGCGGCCTCGTGCACTTTACAAGACACCTATTTGGGTGTCACGTTATGTCATCACTAGGGTGGACTGATAGACCCATTCTTACAGACATCTGGTGGCCAATAATTTCCTCTGAATTGGTCTAGATTGATTGAGGGGGTGTCCTCTGATCTTCAGTGGCACCGAGGGGATGCTTCGTCAGACAAGTGTCACAACCCTAATTGTGGCCCTGCTATCTGGACATGATACTTCCTAAAATTGTTGTGCATCATATTCAAATCATCCTTGAGCTGTGCCTTTGGACTCATTTGTGCAGGCTTGGAGTGTCAAAACAGAAATGGACAGAGGAAGAGGAGAGGGCACTGCGCACAGGAGTGGAGAGGTGCGATTCTTGGACATGACACATCTGCCCCTCCTGTACTAAGCAAGGATGCTGAACACTATGTACTACCTGTACTTTCCCAGCAGCCAATCAGTAAGATGCTCACAACTGCTCTTTACCATGCTGCTCACAGGTTTGGTGTGGGAAAGTGGCGCCTGATCCAAAAGGACGAAATACTGGGCCCCCAGCTGATCAACAGATCCAATGTGGACCTGAAGGTGTTTACCCTTGATCCAAATGCACGCGGCACTGCGTTGAGCAGAGCATCTTGGTGAACATTACAACATTTAGAAAGCACAAAAGCAATGCTTGTCTGTGTGCTCCCAGGACAAGTGGCGCAACCTGAACATGGATGTGTTCGGGTCGCGGGGAGACAAGCGGGGATCCAGAGCAAAGGGCAGGGGGAAGGCGCGGCAGAAGCCTGCGGCTGCACCAGCGCCCGTCCTGGACACGCCCGAGAAAGTGTGGTCCCTGCAGCCCGCCCACCCGCACGCAGTGCATGCCATGAGCAGCGCTTCAAATTTCATAACTGCCTTGATTCTCAGGGGATTATCTGGCTTGTAGCAAAAGTATGACCTCCTCAATTGCTCAGGGGAGTATCTGGCGTGTAGCGAGCACAGGCATGTAGGGACACATTGAAGCTGCCTGCGCTTGGACTCGTCCATGCGGCTGCACTGTGCTGGCAGGCTGGCATGCCACTAATGGGGCGAGCTGACGAGGCGCTGATGTGGCAGCAGGAGGTGCTGGTGAATCGGCAGCGCAAGCGCAAGCGGCGGCCGGAGCGCGCCCCGGAGGCCAACGCGCCGATCCCCTACCGGGGCTCGAGCGGCGCGCTGCGCACGCTGCAGGAGGTCGCTCTGGGCCCCGACATGGACGACCCGCTGCCGCCGCGCCGGCGCCGCCGCAAGCCGCGCGCGCTCCTGGACGACGATGAAGACGAGGAGGAAGAGAACGGCGAGGAGCCCGCAGCCGACCCCCACGGCCGCACCGGCCCCATGTCAGTCGCCCCTCGCTCCCCCAGCCCTTTGTTCTTTTCGGCATTTCTCAGTCTTTGTTCTTTCCAGATTCATTTATTCTGGGCATACAGTACAAGGATTTTAAGATGAGACCTGCCATGATTGCCACCAGCTGCCACTAGTTGTTCTATGCAGTGTGGTTGTGCTGCTGCTCAAGGCAAGTATTGCGGCTGAGCCGGCTGGAAGGTCAGAAACGTGTGCATGGCACGGAAGGGATGGCTGAGCAAATGACAGTCCCTGGTGTGTGGTGCAGCCCGGATGACATGGTGGTGGCGGCCATCATCAGCCTGCAGGACCCCGTGGGCTCCCACCCAGAAGACATCAGCCGCTGGATAGAGGTGCGCCCCATGCTCTTTCCCTTGTTTTTATGCTACAAAGCCGTCTTTGGAGCCTCATGACATGAAGAGCCTCCAAAGATGTCATGTAATTTCATGTTGCGCTGTTGCTGTCTCGCAACAGGCCCCTCAGTGAGGGACTCAAATACACTTGATGGGAGCCTCTATACAAAAAGGCTCGACACAAAGATGACCAAATATTATACAAAGATAGATCAGCTGAATGGACCAGAATTCTTGGCTTTGGGTGGAGTCAGATTGCATGTTGCGCGCGCAGAGCCACTACGCGGTGACCTTCACCTCTGTCTCCTTGACCATACCCAAGGCTTTGTCACTGCGTCACTGTTTCCAATGGTACGGCAATTGGGGGCCGTAGCCATTGAGGGCATTCTCCCCGGTGTCTCCCACCTCCAAGCGTGCTTGGCCCTGTCAAGCTCCTCTTGACGCCACTAAATTATATTTGCTGTGTGCGCAGAGCCACTACGCGGTGACGCCGTCGTTCAAGCGGACGGTGCGAGGGACGCTGCGGCGGATGGTGGAGGCCGGGCGGCTGGAGACGGTGCCCAACCACATCAACCTCTTCCGTCTCGGAGGCGTCGTGCGCCAGCTGTCGCAGGAGGCCGGCATGGAGTGGCCCCGCGCCAAACCAGGCTCCACCCCCCTCGACTCCAGGGTGAGTGCTGCAGACATATAATTAATCACACCATCACCGTTAGCATTATGGAGAACTGCATGTCCAGGCATCTGCAAGCAATCAGTGATAATACTTGACACCATGGTGCGTCCTTTATCCCTCTCCCCCCTCCCCCCCCCCCCCAAAAGCATTCCCCTCTTCAGGATATTCCATATCAAGGTTTTTGATATGGAATATTCAGTTCAGTTCAGTTCAGTTCAGTTGATGAAGAGTCCCCTGCCCAATTGTAATCCTTTGGTTGGACTTCAAGGTGCCACCTTGACCTCCTAGACATGAAAGAACCTGATAGGAAAGGCAGGACGCAAAGAGAGCCCAATGACGAGGGGTCCCAGTAAAGGGATTGCGTTTGTGTTATTGCTCAGGTGTCTGCAGCATGTAAACAATCACACGCTTGCTGGAGATGCTGCCTTATGCAATGCCTGATGCTCAAAACCCTCCCTGGCTACATTGGGGAAAAAATGAGAAGTTGAGGGGTTCATGCTTGTGCACAGACGGCGGTGGAGTCGGCAGAAGCAGCTGCGAAGGCGGTGGCGGAGGCTGAGGAGGCGGCTGCGCTGGCGACGCGACTCATGGCTGCTGCCAACCGCTACGAGCAGGAGGCTGAGTTGGCCGACCCTGGTGAGCCCCACCCTGTTCCTACATGAGCAGCGTTCATAATCGCCTTGCTCCCTTTGCAAATGTGTAATCGGCAGCCCTTCCTCCTTCTTCCAAACTCTCAAGGCACTCTCTTTGCCTTCATACCTGCGTTCCCTCTTGTTAAGAACAGTCTGGAAGAAGGGTGAATCAATGATGCAGTGACATGTCAGTTATTGACCATGGGTATTGTGATTCCTGCAGGTGCTGTAGAGTGATGCTGGTAATGATTGGTGATTTTCACCTGCTCAATCGACTTGCAAGAGCCCGTGCTGTGGAGAGCAGATATCATGTCAGTTCTGAAGGCTCAGAAGGCTTTGTGAGGGTTTGGAAGTCACCATAAGCTTGTGGCACCGTTGTGGCGCCTGTAGTATTTGCTTGATCCCGGATGTGAAACGCTGTTGTGGCTCCAACACTGTCTGAGCTGTCTGAATTTCGAATTCGATATGCCGTCATAAGTATTTCTTTGTTTTTTTTTTGCGGTGTTGCTGCTGGTGGCAGGGTGTGTGCAGTGAGCACAGCCGGCCGGCAAGCATGCAAGCGTGTGAGGGGCACACCTTAAGAGGACCTGATGACATTTGATTTTGGATCAGCTGGAAGGAGCCAAGAAGAGGCAAAGGGTGAGAGGACTGAGCGTCCACAATGCCAGAACCAAAATATTTCCATAGATCTCTTTTCGACATGCGGCTTGTGTATCAAGAATTTAGCAACAGGCGGACTTAGCTCCCCTGTTCTCCAATTTAGTGTACAACGCGCGGTTGCCATAGCATTTTCTACATTTTACCTTGGCACGATGCAACATCATGTCAGAGGAGTCATGGCAAGACCTGAGGTCCATCTAGGTTGGGGTGAGTCAAAGGGATGATTTTTTTTCTGACAAGTGGCCATGGTGTGTCCTGGATGGGGTCACATCAGAGTTTGTGCACGGTGCATGCCAGTAGCAATTCAGCGGCCAAGAAGGCTAGAACAGACAATTATGCAGGTCTCTGTAATTGTCCCTGTTCACATTCTCGGAGAGTCTTCCCACACGCTCTTGTTGGCCCAGCTCAAGGACTTGGCTAAGTCGGGTTGCAAGTGAATAGTGGGAAAATATCTGAACAGATGTGCGCCCATCTTCAACCCAGCATCATCATTATCATGATGGGCATCATGCACTGCATCATGATGGCATGCAGCTGGCAGCACTTACCCGGGCCGGTGAGTGCCGGTGCCGGCATCATAATCAGAGTCTCGTGACCCGGGTCACTTTATCACCTGCGTGCGCACCCGCTGCGCTGTGCATTGTCATTAGTGGCCACATCAGTCTTCCCCCCACAATCACCGTGATTGGTGACCAAGCCAGAGTTTGCCATTCAAGGAAGGAAGGAAGGAAGGAAATTACACATCAACTCCAGCCGCCCAGGGCTGATTGGATGTACTGACAGCATCCAAGTGATCAAAACAATCCATGATAAAGTGTGCAACACTGACAATATTCAAAAGGTGACCCAAGGCTGCAATGGAGTCCATGATGAGCCTAAAATGGCGTCTCCAATTGTTCGTTGCAAACGCGCTAGTGAAGTTCCGAAATTGGATCCTCACGGCACCACCGATTATTGCCAGCACCAGTTCACGATCACCCTAATTGATCCAAACACAAGCAGATTTGTAGCGACATTTGATGATTGACGTACAGATCGCAGACCAATTAACCTTTGTCGCAGTTCAGTGAGATCAGAAATGAAGAAGGGCCTCAAACGCAGCAGCACAACTTGGTCTCCTGAGCAAGAAGGCAATGCTGAAGCTAAAGAGAGACAGGTAGCTTTGCAGATCGCATCTTTTGCCAACCCCGTGCTTGATGTGCTGAGGCTGACTTTGTCGGTGATCTTGGGGAATGTTTTCCCTTGCTTGGCTAAGCAGCAAAGATCGTAAAAAGTCTGACTGCATTATATTCAAATCCAAACGATCTTGACTCATGGGGGAAAATCGGGGTTGTGACTGCATTAGTATGTTTACCTGGTCAAACATGGCTTTGCAGGTGACACACTTGCAGGCGTCCTCCAGCTACACTGACCGATCAGCATCTCTTTTGGACGACGTAGAGCCTCTGACAATGTCAGACAGAACTCGAATGCGCCTCGTTCAGAAAGCTCGCCTTGTAACATATGTCAGTCTGGCAGTCACTCTGGCTGGTGGGATGGCGGGGATCATGGCTTCCCTTGCACTAGACAGGTGTGCAGCCGATACGCTTGCTACATAGACAAATCAATGGGGGATTTGAATGTGAGTTCAAGTTGATGGAGGTCTTTGAAAGTTGCTGCTGTGTTGTGGCCAGTGCGGCAGTGCTAGGGTACGCATTGGAGTCCTTTGTGGATGTGTGGAGCAGTTTGCTGGTACTCTGGCGATTCTGGGATGATCGGAGCACAGACGCTTCTGGGACAGCCCTGCAGCGAGAAAAGTGTGCCAGCTTCGGCATAAGCCTCTCGGTGCGATCTGCACCCATCCATGCACTGCATGTGGCACGTGCATGTAGTAGTGGCTTTTGGCGGCTGCTGCATCTGTATACACAATTATACGTATAATTGATGGCAATCTGATAGCGATGGCTAACTAGTGTGGCTGTGCTGTGGCTGTGCAGTTCCTGGGAATCAGCATTGTTGTAGGAAAGGAGGCGATAGGCCACATTCAGCGCCGACAGGGCCCCGAGGAGGCTGGGCTTTTGTTGGGCATTGCATTCTCTTCAGTGGTCGTGCTCAGCGTCCTCTGCGGCCTCAAGCTCGACCTCTCGGTGCGCACTGAAAATCTTTGGATTGAAATTAGAATTTGCCCTCACATGCGGTGTTGGACCAAATTATATTATCATCATTATCATTCGTAAGCGTCATGCATGCCTTCATCAAAATTATGAATGTTTATGGCTGGTGCTTCTTGTTGCCTGATATCGACGTTTTTCATCGTATCTCTCTCCAATCCATGAGGAACAGGAGTTTAGCAGCAGCCAAAGATTGCTCGAGCTAAATGAAAATTGAGAGGTAGACTTTGTCCCTGCAGAGAAAGCTGCGCTCGGAGAGTTTGAGGAAGGATGCACTGACGTCTGGGGCCGTGGCTGTGCTGTCAGCCGCCATCTGCATGTCCACGATCTTCTACAGCGTTAACAGCGCGCTCTGGTGGTTTGACTCGGTGGTGGCCCTGTGCATATCCCTGGCGCTGTTCTGTGGCGGGTTGTGGCCGCTGATCAGCGTGCAATGGTGGTCCAAGGCCTTCTGGGCTCCCATGACAGATGCCTCTCTACTGCTGGATCGGGCAGAGTGCGGGGCAAATTGAGTGCCGTGTTAATTGTGACTGCGAATTTGGAAATACTATTGACACCACTGTACTGTGACTCAAGGACTGAAGCACTCACAGCACTGTACTTTAACTTCAGTGATTGGAGCAAAGTTGGACTGAAGCAAAGTTAAAGAGGCCTCGCCTAGGCGTCGCTGACAGCAAGTTGCTGAGCAAGTGCTATTTGCACTTGCACGACTTGGAGGCAGATGCACGCCTTTGACCAAGGAGAAACCTTGAATGATAGTGCATCGGACGGATGCAATTGGATGCAAAGTGTTGTATACTCAAGCACTAAATCTCACAAATATTATCGGCATATACAAGGTTGTTTAAAGGAAAGCAAGGTGTGTTGTGTCATCCATCACGTTGTGTGCAAACCTTTAAAGTTCAAATGCACGTTCAATGACTCAAACAAGCAACCTAAAGACAAGTTGGTCACTGTGACGACACCATTCTTGACACCTAAAAAATCTGGAGGACACTACAAGACCACTCTGCAAGAATCTGCACCATCTAAAATCCAGCATGGCATTCGCGGCAGCCACGCATGCAAGAAGTGCTCATCCGGCATGGGGCCGCCGCTGCTGCCGGGCCTCCTGCTTCTTGAGGACAGCCAGCTCCTTCTTGAAGGCCAGGTAGCCCTTCTGGGGCGGCGAGGGCGCAGGGAACGCCGCGCGCAGAACGTGGTCCCATGCAAATGTCACCGCAAAGGTAGCCAGCCCCAGTCCCACAATCTTGTAGCCCAGCATGGGCGGCACGCTCACCTGCACATCCCCAGCACACCCTGAATTGGCATGTCTCCTCCCCAAATGCAGCCTCCCGTCTTTCATGCATTTGTCCCTAAGGCTTTCTATTTCAGTAATAGAGGCCAAATGCAACCCGAACTTGTTCGTTTGCTCTTCAATGAGGGATTGTGTCAGGCCTTTGGAGCGATCCACATCTTTCTAATTTCGTTGGCTATTCACCTTGACAAAGCTCATGCAGACGGCAGGATATTTGAGGAGAAGTGGCGGCTGGCAGGCCAGCTCAGAGTGCATTCCTTTGGGCAATTATTGCCTCAGACAACCTCCGAGTGGGGCAACCCCTCTCACGACATGCAAAGCAGGGACGCTCGAAGACAATCCTGCCCCAGGGGTCACTCAGGGGCACTCAGTCACTTCGTGGGTTGAGGAGTTCTAAAAGACTAGCCAGGTTGTGTGGAAGCACATGCGGGTTGTTGACTGTTGTGTGCTGTATGCTTTGCAGATCCCCTGATCTGTAACAGGATTGCGTGAATGTGATCCGTGCAGGCAGTCCGCTATCTATATATGCAGGAGGCAAGCGAGGGGCGCACCAGAGAGACGAGCTGGGTGAGCTCGGGGACGAGGTCGAGGGAGAGGACAGCCCAGAAGATGGACCCCCACCAGAAGGTGTAGCGCAGCGTTTTTGTGTCGCGGATGGAGGCGTTGAAGGGGGGCCCCTGGTAGTTGACGCCAAAGGTGATGAGCTGGATTATGAACTGGACCAGGAAGCACACCGTGTTGACCAGGTTGGGCTTGAAGTCCGCGTTGGGCTCCTGCACCTCGTCCTGTGCCCACCAGGAATTGACTCCGTCAGTGCTCAGCATTCCAGAAAAAGATATGTTCAATTATTGAGGCAGATCGAGTGCGAGAGTTGAGGGAGTTTCTTCAGTGCTCAAGCTGTCTGTGGCGTCTGTCAGCCCCAGCCAATGGCACAAGCATTGCAGTTAATCGAGGGAGCCTCTAATGGCACACACAACATCATGACAGAGCGAATTCGCCATGCTGAATTTTGCTGATATGTGCTTGTGAGCCTTGCCATTTGCGGTCATGGTTCCTGCACAGGGGGAATGCTACACACATGGGTTGCATTAAACAACCCCCTGGCTGCATAAAAAGCAGGGGTGTGATAGATGGGGTGCAGGGGGCTGCAGCGTGCCTTGGACATGGCTGCCAGGGCCCCATAGTACATGTAGATGAGGAAGCCCATGTGCGCGGCGAATTGGCCGAGCAGCGAGAGGAAGACATAGGCGGAGAAGATGTTGGGGTGCGGCCGCTGTGGCGACAGCTGGTCCAAAGGCTTGGCGTGCGAGATCACAAAGAAGAGCATTGCGCTCAGCATGCCCATCACCGTCGCCTGGAAGTCCCCAAGTTTCACACCCTGCGCACACCCATTCATAAAAATACGTGCAAATCACTTCTCTCCCAGACTGGTTGGTTCTGCCTCAGCTATTTCTGCCTCCAGCTCTCTTAAGAGCGTAGGCAACCAGAGCTATCCGACACTATCTGCTGCAGGCCACCACAGCAGAGCAGGAAGCTACAGAGAAAACATGACACAGATGTGCTGGGACAGAGGAGAAGGGATGGGGGTTGGCGGCAGCATATGGGCCCACACCTGCAGGTACATGACGGAGAGGGAGTAGGCGGTGGAGAGGCAGATGAGGCCCAGGATCTTGAACATCTGGATGGTGGTCACCAGCGTGGAGCGCCCCTGCCGGATGATGTCCGTGCACGGCATCACCGACGCCAGCTTGGCCGTGAACGGCGACGCCATGCTCGCATCCCCCGGCTTCACCATGGGCACCTGCAGCCACTGCCCGCCTCTCAGACACCCGCTCGTTCACCCTCAGATAATGCACCGACACCCTCAAGAACAGCGCCTAGCTGCCACGGAGGCCACCATCTGCACAAAAGAATTCCTTGCCAGCTTGCAAGATACAGCTGATAAGATTAAATCGCAGCGCACCATGCCCTCGTCAGGCTCCATGCTGTCCATCCAGTCGGCCATCTTCTGCATGCGCGCGTCCACCGGCTTTCCAGCCGCCCGCATCTTCTCCAGCATCTGCGCGCCCGCCTTAAGCTTCATGGGTGGCCCGTTCCTCGCCTCCGGCCCACTCCCCCGCCCTCCGTGCGGCCCCACCTCCCTGCAGCCACACACCTTCCCCGTTAGCCGGCCTTCGCTACTTGCAAACCGATATCAGCATGAGAGCGCGTGAGAGGCGTTGATGCATACCTGCGGCCACGGCCAGCGGCGAGCGATGAGGGGCCAGGCCCGGCGGCGCCGCCGCGGCCCGGCAGCGCGCGGCCGGAGGGGCCGGCCACCGCGGGGGCGCTGCCGTTGTCCTTGGGCTTGGCCGCCGGCGGCCGCGGCGTCAGCAGCGCCACTCCCACGTGGGCCGTCTTGAGCGCGCCCACGTCGTTGGTGCCGTCCCCGCACATCAGCGTGGTCCAGCCAGCGGTCCGCAGCGTCCGCAGGATCAGCTCCTTCTGGTCCGGGGACACCCGCGCAAACACCTGTGAAGCCCACAGAATTCATTACGTTGTCCTGCGGTCTTCAGTAAACTCATGACCTGTGGGTGAGGCATGCTTGGCAGTGTGTCATTGACGACTGCAGCATTGTCATGACACATGACTGATGCCTGCAGAGGAAAAGCTGGACAGGCGCGAAGGTACCTGGTGCCTTGAGAGGTTTTCGGTGTGTGACCTAGGAGCGTATATGATTCTGGTAGACCAGCTTGAGTCAGTACCTGGGTGAGGGGGATGTAGTCTGTTTCGGCGCCGATCTGGTGCAGGTGGTGCAGGCCGTCGCCCGATATGCACAAGTCCCACTTTGCAGCCAGTGATACGGCGTCCTGGCGTGACCTCTGGAAGGGCAGCCTCAGCGCCTCATCTGGCGTGGTCCATTCGAACCTCGAGTCATCCTCAACGTCATCCTCATGGCCTGCCGTCAGAGCTGGGCCCCTGTGATCAAATTACCAACACATCAGGTATGCACCCAGGAGGTCAAGTCGCGGACATGGACACACCGAGACAGCGCATCTGCTGGATCAAGGTCAGAGCTCTCTATGAGATTGGCGAGCAATGGTGATGGGGGCCAGTGCAGCATGTTAGAAAAGAGTCACAAGAAGGATACCTGTGTACAAGCATGAGCACAGGCCGGTCCAGGATATGGACTTGGGAGGCCACATGGCATGCCGTCAGGGGCGCGTCGCCGGTGATCATCACAAGCTGGTGACTCGCATCCTGAACGGCCATCCAATCATCAGAACGCATCACTACATGGAGTGCAGTGATTCCAAGAGTCAGGCGCAGCAATGTTGCAAAGACAAGGCCGTCCAAAGAAAAGGTAAGGGGCACCTTGAGCATGCGCAGGGCAGGCTCGCTCTCCTCCTTGAGGGGGCACTGGAAGATGGCAAAGGCGCCAAAGTGCAGGTTGCTCTCCACCTCACTGCGCGGCAGGTTGCCAATCTCCACTGGGCTCAGCTTGGCGTCCAGCTTCTTGTAAGCCAACGCAATGACCCTGCAGCATCCAAATTGCCTTTTTCAAATTCATGCCAAGCTATCAAGACAAATTTTTTGGATAACATTACACCCATCAAAACCAGCTGAAGGACCTAGATATAACATTTTACAATTAGACATGCGTAAGGGATAGAAGCGCTCATACCTGCCCCCCTGTGCTGCATACTCCTTGTAAGCGGCCTCATACTCAGCTGGCGGCGCTGCCAGGAAGCCCTGGATCACCTCTGGAGCTCCTTTCACCACGGCCCAGTATGCTGGTGTCGAAGAGTGCTCATCCTCAACCTGCAGACCAGCATCAGCCACTCACTTACACAGGAGATCTTGGATGATGTGGCTGTCATCATTGCGCGGGTCTGGGTCAGACAAGCAAGGAGCGGCCTTTTACCAGCGCAATTCTTCAAGCATACCTTGACAATGACAGTCATGCGCTTGAGGGTCGAGGTGAAGTGGTATCTGTGCAGGATGGTGGTGACCTCCTTGCCGCCTGCCTGCTTGCCGCTTGTGAGGTTGCCGCCAGCATACGTCCAGCCTGCAACAAGCACCACAACCCCTTAGTGCCATGTAAGAACCAAGTATGCACCAGGCAAATATCTGCAGGCGGCCTCCTAATCAATCAGGCTGCTTAGGACATCTGCAAGAACGCGCCTGTACTTCTGTGATAGCATAATCTGCAATCCCGTGAGATGCTACTGGTGAGTGCAAGAGGAAGAGATGCATGTATTTTGAAGAGCTGGAGGGAAACATGTCTGTATTATTTGATGCATTCTCTTTACACTGCGAGGCAGACCCTTTCTGCTAGTATAGCGCTGGCAATGCCTTCATGTCTTGGGTTCTCCCTTCACCAAAAAAGGAGGGTGCTCGCACCGGTGGCCTGGAAGGCGGCGCGCTCGAGGGGGTCGCCGACGAGGGCGCCGTCGACCTGGATGAGGGACTGACAGGCGGCCAGCACACGCACGGCCTCGCGGCTGCCCTCGCGCACGTCCGCTACCAGCTCGCGCGCGCGGCCGGCCAGGCCCACCAGCCCCTTGAGCACCATGTTGTCCGACGTCAGCGTCCCAGTCTTGTCAAAGCAGCACACTGCCACCTGCGCACCAGCACAGCCGCTGAATGCTTAGGCGTCGTGGCTTAAACTGTAGCTGAACATGCTTCCAATGCCGCCGAATGCGCATCTGCCTGTCTTGCGGGGACCTTTTCTGGGGATCATCTTCATGAAGCAGGCAGGCCAGGGACTTATGATGGAGAGTGAACTGCTCTGGATGCAATGCTTGCTCATTGAGCAGAGTGGTGATGTTAGCACTTTGACATAAGGGACGGAGTCGCATGAGCAGAGCAGGTGGGAGCCGGGGCATGCCTTGCCGGCGAGTGGGATGCGGAAGGGCTCCGTGCAGAAGACGGCCTTGCGTGCAAGCGCCAGCAGAGATGCGTTGACAGCGATGGACAGCTCCATGGGCAGCTCTGGGGGGATGACGCTGGTGATGATCATGGTGCAGTTCAGGAACAACTTGAAGCGGTCACGGTCGGGATTCTGCAGCCAGCATGCAATCATGTCAGACCGAGTCATGCGGAAGGCGACACTCCCATGCCAACGAGCGCAACAAAGAAAGTACAGGCAACAGTTTGTCAACCGTCATTGACTCAGAAGCTGATACAACTCAATTTTCCAGTGCAACTGGTAAAACGATGGTTACATCTGCACTTCCTGCTGAAGGCATGGTGTTGGCAGGCATGTGGACCAGACGATATTGCTTGGCGCATGTGGGAGCCTGCAAGGGAGTAAAAGGAGATTTCACCTGCAGTCCATAGTAGAGGACGTAGGCGGCAGCGGCAACAGCAAAGATGAGCAGGAAGAGGATGAAGAGGCCCACTTCCCAGTTGTTGGCTGTGACTCGCTCCGTTGAGTACAGGATGGTCCGCATCAGCTGACCTGCCAATAGGTAGGCTTGTGATTAGTTCCAAATAATTGGGAATTGACGCACTTGCTGTTGTCGCGGGACATCAATGCCGCATGAGGGTGAAGACAAAAGGTCACCTTGGGAGGTCTCAAAGCCAGTGCGCAGCACGACAGCCAGGCAGCCGTTGTCGGGGGTGCGGATGCGCGCACTCTTGTCCCCGGTGTGCTGCAGGATCTTGGTGCCGCTGAACAGCATGTGGTTCTTGTCGCGCTTGATGCTCAGGCGGGACTCAGGATCCACCTGCATTGCACGGCAATAAGGCCTCACTCTTCATTGTCCCCTGGTCCAAAACATTCTGTGCCATAGTGCAAAGGATAACAAAGCACACACAGCAGGTGCAGCAGACCTTGGCGACATCCAAGCCCTCTTGGGCAGCTGCTGCGTTGGTCGAGCCAGTGCCAATGGGGTTCTTCCACTGGGGAGTGGACTCCCCTGTCAGCACGGCCTCCTCCACAATGCATGTCCCTGCCAAGAGCAGCGCATCTGCCGGCACCACTCGCTCCTCCTGCCCCACACCTGCAAATCAAGGGGAGCACATCAATACTAATCATATTGGACCTCGTCACACTCTTGCAATGCTAAAAGCATCTGCCACATGTGAATGGAAACAATGATCATGAGTATTTGGGAGTGGTGAAGGGAGAAATGTACCGCCAGATGGTCTCCCGATGGAGATGACATCGCCCGGCAGGAGGGCATCGCCAGGCAGCTGCACCCACTTGCCCTGCCTGTACACCTGCAGCGCCTGCTTTGGCGTCGTGAGCGAGCGCAGCTCCCTGAGATTGCGCAGCCGCTGCCCCACCACTGTGCACTCAAACATGACCAGCATGCCCAGCGTGAACAGGGAGTAGTACCTGCGCATGCGATCCTTACTCATTGTTATAATGTCGAGTTGGACCAGAACTGCGCGTCCGAAGGAGAGGCCATGCACCTAGCAATTTAGCTGAAGGATCACATTTGGGGATCTATTTTAGGAGCTGAGAGATGGTAGATCACCAGTAGTCGTCCAGGCACCATAGGCCGACGCAGAAGACTTGGAAGACAAAGAATGGCGCCAGGAGCTGCTCTTTCAGCAGCTGGCCAAACTGCGGCACGGGCACCTCGAAGCGATTCTCCCCCCATCTGTCCAAGGCAGCGGCTGCCTTGACCTCATTGCCGTAACCCGAGCTCCTCTGGTACTGCCCAAAAGTTTCCTGCACAAGAGACATTATCTCTTCATGTCCCATTCAGCAAAGTTGTATTGTATGATGATGCAGTGCTTGCCAGGTCTACTGCTGAGCACACAGCATGAAGAAGCCACCTGCACTGGATACGCCAGCTTCTCGAAGAGGTTCTTCTCAGCGTCATAATGGAATCGCTGCTTCCTGAATTCGAAGCTGATTTCGAGCTGACCATCCTCCACCTTCTTTCGATCCAGCGGGACAATCTCCTTCTTGCCTGTGAAATCTGCTGCTGCCACCTGATGCCAGCACAAGAGATCCATACTGAAACCACATTGAGAGCCAGAAATGAATGACAGGTTGGCAAGTACTAATACAGCGAGGCTGCCGAGGGCGATTCTCACCTTGCAATGTGTGGCTCTGTAAGGGCTCGGGCAGCTCTGATATTCCACCAGGCACTTCACATTGATCATCCATATCCCAAACAGCCAGAGTAGCACTTGGGCAACAACAAGGCCACCGAAGATACTCATGTTCAGGTAGTAGGTATTCCTGCGACATCCATGAAATTGGTGAGGATACTTTTTGACATGATCAATAACAATCAATCTCGCAGAAACCAAATCACAGGATATTGCTGCTATACTTAGTCTCCCTACCCAGTTCCAGATATGGTGTCCCTGAGAATCTTCCCAACCATGATGGCGTAAGCAACGCAGAACAGCAGAGCATCGAAGCGCTGCGTGCGCTGCACGAGAAGATCTAGGGCATTCAGCTCTTTCGTCCCTAGACCTGGCGCCCTTCCTGGCACTTCGCCCACCCTCGCCATGGTGGACATTTTCCAAAGAATTTGCCACTAGTCTATCTCTGCATGCTATGAAAGAATATTATATTCGATTTTAAGGACGAGATTCGTCACCAAGGTGCTTCGCACTGCTCCTAACATACGGTGATCGGGAGTGGGATCCTCTATTTGGGAAAACTAAGGACGTCAGCAATAGTGACACAACAGCTCCACCAAAGTTCTCCTAATTGTTTACAGAATGATTCTCATTGCAAGGGCTTTGTATGCTTTACGTCCTGGTCCTGTGTCTTGGGAGAAGGGAAGGGGGGTCCCGCCGCATCCCGCCAAGCTTGTAATTACAGATCGGGGGACTCGCACAAAGCAGAGAGGAGTGTTTGGGGCATGTGATGGGCTCAGCAAAGTTTTGCTAGTCAGGAAATTTCACAATCCAAGAATATTGATTGTGAATACCAGAATAGCTATATTGGCTGCTGGACTGCAACCCAGGACTTCGCCATCTTGATCTCGGAAAAGCGTGAAGCAAAGACTTACACAGTCAAAGCCGTGAGATGTACAATATATATATATATATATATATATATGTTAGATATCTACGTGTGCAATTCAATAAGAAGCACTCATTGTAGGTCCAATTAATTCATTAAGATGTCACCTATTGGGCTGATGATCTATGACGGAGAACACTGATTCTGCCACAATCTCAGACGATCTTTGGCATGTGCCCGTGACGAAATTTCCATTCAAAGCTTTCATTTTCTTTCTGGCAGTAGCAATATTGTCGAATTTCGTATTCAAGAGGGGTATGCGGAAAGGGAGGGTCTGGGTTGTTGTCCTTGGTGACTTTGGAAGAAGCCCCCGCATGCAGAATCATGCCCTTTCCCTGGCACAGCAGGTGAGTCAGTTTGTGGATCTGTCTGCCCAAGTATCTCTGGCGATCCGCTTTTTTCCATTTGTGTTGCTGAATGAGTGTGTCATGCAGGCTGGAGTTCAGGTGCATGTGATCGCATATGGAGGGAGCAAGACAAACGCAGCAATTACTAAGCACCAAAATATCAGAGTCCACACCATACCTGAGCTGTACGTCCAGAATGCCAGATCTTCAAGACATTTGGATGCAGCATGCGAGGCAGGACAGCAACATGATCTCAATGAAATGTGGTGTGCAGGCGTCAGCTTGCGCAAGTGCTGCCCCGCTCTGTTGCGCTCATAATCAAGGCAGCTTTCCAGGCTTTCATGCTGCTCTTCATGATGATCTTCTGGCTGCCATCCCCAGACACCTTGCTCTTGCAAGTGTGACCCTCTCATTACTCTGACCGCTGATTCTCTGGATCGTTGGAAATTTCATGGTTAAATAGGGATATGGTCGCTCTGTTGTACTCTATTGTCACTCTTCGTGGGCCTTGCAGGTACCTCCTGCCATACCAACATTGGTGATGTGTTGGTTGGCATGCGTCTGGCACCACGCCACTTTTATGATCGACTGGCACAATTTTGCACACACCTTGATGGCTTTGTCCATGACCCACAAACACCCCTTGGTGAGGAACAAGGAGGATGCCCTACTGCATGGAGTTCCTGTAGCCTGTTGAACACACACAGTGCTTTCATGCCATCTTGACTCGCATCCCAAAAATTCGCACCAACCTGAGGGATGTTCAACGCTCCAGGTGGCTTTGGCGAAGTTGTACGAGCGCTTCTGGGGGCGCTTTGGCCACAAGCACTTGTGTGTCAGCAAAGCAATGCAGACAGAGCTGGAGAGAAGCTGGCATATTAAGGCCACCGTTTTCTATGACCGTCCACCTTCACACTTCAGGCCCACCCCCTTGAAGGAGCAGGTGATCCAAAATGTTGTTGCAACGGGTCTGGGATTGTTAATTCCTCTCTTGACACTTCAGAAGCTTTTTCTGGAACTACACCTCATTGTCACTGAGCAAGGGTTATGTACCGTTTGCAGCACGAGCTGCTGTTGCGCTTGGGGCCTGTGCTGGACGCGCCTGTTCACCCGAGGGACTGCTGTGGGGTACTGCCCACATTGAAGGAGGCTCTTCAGAATGGCCATGACGCCAGCGAAGCCAGCTCAAGCGGCATGCGGCCGCTGCCTGTCAGCCGCAGGGCCAGCTCTGCCTCCCACGACAACCTGAAAAGCTTGATAGGCCAGGTGGGTCCTCAACCATGCAGTACTCTGGGAATTCCTGGCCGCAATATTGCATCAAGCAACACATTGGCATTCCCTCAGGCATGCAATAACCAACAGGCACACCTGCAGCTGCAGGAATAGTATTGTGGTTGCCCCGCTTGTTGAGAGGTAACTGCCAGCAGTGTTCTATCAATTACCAGAGTATGCAAGATGAAGAATGAGGTGTGGCTGATCCGGGATTGCACGTACACAGATGGACCTGCGGGTGCTAGCAGAGCAGTCTAGGCCGCGGGAGGAGGAGCACAGCTTGACGGTGTGCACGGAGCGGCTGGGCGGCGCGGACGGTCGGGTGAGGTTGCGAGCAGATCGGCCCGCGCTCATAGTCAGCAGCACCAGCTGGACACCGGACGAAGACTTCCAGATTCTCTTGGATGCGGCACAGCAGTATGACGCCCAGGTGCGGCATTCGATTCTGTGCAAGTCCGGCATTTCTGCTTCCGAGGTACAGGGAGTCCTGCGCGCAGCTGGTAAACCATCATCCTGCAGAATTAGAACGAGGCCCCATTAGGACATACTCAAGCGAGGTTTCTAAGTTCGTCCTGGATTGCGCGCCACAGCTCAGGCATGTCCAATTGCGCGGCATGGTATTTGTTCATGATACATCTGCCTTCATGCCCTCTAGTAGAAATGGAAGCATGTTACGAGTGCAGTCAGAAGCATCTGTGACATGAGCGTGGTCCGCGTGCAGGCTGTGGAGAGGCCGAAAGCGCTGCCGCGGCTGCTGTTTTTGGTGACGGGGAAGGGGCCGCAGCGCGCGGCGTACACAGAGGGCATGCGGCGGCTGGACTTGCAGCGAGTGGCCTTCCGCACGGCCTGGCTGGAGGCGGCAGACTATCCGCTGCTGCTGGGCTCAGCTGACCTTGGTGTCTGCCTGCACACTTCCTCCTCTGGCTTTGACCTGCCAATGAAGGTAAGTGACTGCAGTTGTGTTGTTCGCACTGCCTCGATGTCTGCATACCGTTTTCTGTCAGTGTGATGTTGACGCCATGTGCTACACCTGCGAGGTAGCCCTTCCTCCCCTTGTCTCCTCTCGCTGTGTCTTCGTGTTTGCATTCTCTCTTGGCTTAAATGTATTGAAAGTGAGGTTGCCCCCGTTGCCCCTTCACTGCCAAAAATCTGGGCACACTTGCGCTGGTTAGTTCTTGTGAATAATGAAGGGGTGTCAAAAGCCTGGTTGAAATTTGCAGCCACAGATACCAGAATTGCCGATGTGCAGAAGAGGTGTAATATTGCTGCGAGTCATCGAATCAGCATCGCATGCCCTGTGTAGGTGGTGGACATGTTTGGCTGCGGGCTGCCTGTGTGCGCAGCAGACTACAGATGCATAAATGAGCTGGTAGTGGATGGCACGAATGGCCTCCTGTTTGACAGCGCAAGCAAGCTCGCTGCACAGCTGGTGGAGCTCTTTGAGGGGTTCCCTCACACAGAGAACCCCCTTCTGAAGGAGCTGCAGGAGTCAGTGGCGGGAACTGGTGCTGTGACATGGGAGGATTCTTGGGAGAAGATCGTGCTTCCCCTGTTCACCCAACAGCACTGAATCGGTCTCTTCTGGTGTCGTCGTTTTGTTTTTGTCTGGTGCTGCTCTCCTGAGGGACAAATTTTGTTCTTGCTATTCTTTGCTACTTGTCCTTGGTTGGAGTGATCTGGAATGTTTGAGTTGGGACCCAACTTGCGGTTTAGCATGTTGAGCTGCTTTGGCCTGTACTGATCATTTGAGAGAAGATGAAGATAGATTGCAAGAGCAGTATCAGTTGACAGCAGTGAAGTGAATGAGAGTGTGTGTGTTTAGCGGCTTGCAACCTACGTTGTGCCGTGGATACGTATACCATGCGCCACCTCTTCTCAAGCTTGCAGTATCATGTTCATGCATGCACAGTAGCATCTTACACATTCACTGCCATCATGATTGATGAAGCAATCACCAAGGATACACACGTCACTCCATTAAAATTGATAATAACTTCGTTCTTCTTCTCGTCACGTCTGACTACAAGTAATGAGACTGCTGGAAACTAACAGGTCCAGGCCTGTTGATTTGTGACGCCAAAAACACAGGTAGCATTTGTAATTCTTTGCATGCATTCAACAGCTGCTGGCAACAATGGGAAAACCCAGCCTAAAAAAGGCGCCTAGTGCGCTCTGAATCCAAAAGTAGCAGACACTCGCCTTGTGCAAGACACAGAGACACAAAGGATGCTTGTCTGGTGGTTGCGGAGATCAATTTTTGGGGATGGCAGCAATCTAATGTTATCACAGTCTTCCTGGCACAATCTGACAAGGAGGAATCCAAGCGTTTTACTGAGCCTAACACACCTGCCTTGAAGGCAAGACCTTCTGACATATATTGTTACATCAATTGCAGTGCCACGACACTGTTAAAAAAGAGCAACTACATCGCCAAAAATGGCACTGAAAGCACAATTCTTTTGTTCAGGAGACAAAGGTGAGGCATGACACGAGCATACAAGAACATGCCTGGCAGCTGAGCAGCAGCAAGTCCCTGCATCGCATGCCAATCTGTGCACCACTGAGCCTTTCGGTTCAGACACAACCTTTTGCTGCTCATCCTTGGGATGAAGGCATGGCAATGCAAGCTTACCTTGCCTTGGACCCTCTCTTGTACTGGCGCAGCTTTTAAGAGGAAACGAGCTTGGCCACCATGCTTTCCAGCTTCTCCTGATCCTTGGAGAAGCCCTGGATCCCCTCTGCCAGCTTGGCGACCGCCATTTCGTCCTCGCCGTGCAGCTTCTTGAAGAGGTCATAGGACTCGGCGGTCAGGTCGACCTTGGGCTCGCTGCAGCCGCCCATCTCCGGCCAAAGCTTGCGCGGCAGCGGCTCTGTCGAGGCCTCCAGCTCGCCCAACAGCGCAGGTGAAATTGTGATGTTGTCACACCTGCCAAACCACACCACAATCATGTTGGCCTCTTCCGGGATGGTCTCTCACAGACCGAGCCAGGTTGTGTTTATGTCATCTGCACCTTTGCATGCAAATTCTGCCACACATGCTTCAGTAAAATGGTGTTCCGCAGAATCTGCTGTGCTGCACATGATCTGGGCTAGTCATCACCCATTCTAACAAGAGCTCAAAGGAGTGCAGTACTATAGGTCACAGATTACCACTGGCAATGTTGTGAGGGTGGAGGCGCACCCGGCCAGCTCGCGGATCTCGCCGGCGTTCCTGAAGGACGCGGCCATCACGATCGTGTTGTACTTGTACTGCTTGTAGTACTTGTAGATGCGGTGCACGCTGATGACGCCCGGGTCCTCGTGCGGCGCAAAGCTGCGGCCCTCCTTGGCCTTGTACCAGTCCATGATGCGCCCCACAAAGGGGGATATCAGGCTGGCACCGGCGTCCGCGCATGCAGCAGCCTGGCCACAAAATACCACCACAACATCTCAAATCTGGTGCATGCAGAGCGCTGCATCATGGCTGAGGTGATTCAAGGCCAATGTATTCTCAGAAACTGCACTTTGAAACATAGAGGGGCGCGGTGTGAAGCAGAAAGAGCAGGCGACAGACCTGGGCAAAGGAGAACAGGAGCGTCATGTTGGTCTCGATGCCCTGCTTCTGCAGTGCTTCGCAGGCGCGGATGCCCTCCCAGGTCGATGCAATCTGGGGCACCAAAGCACAAGATCAGGTGCATCCAAGTCGCGACACTTTTGTTGCAGGAGACGCCAGGAACATTTCGGGCTGACAGACAAATGTGTGCGTGACAACTCACCTTGATGTACAATCTGCTCGTGTCAACGCCCTTCTTTGCGTACAGGTCAACGATCCTGAGCCCCTGCCCGTACCAAGAGGCATATCAGATCTCCATTGTTACCTCTGTTGCGCAAGTCTGCCTGCTCGTTGTTGGGAGCGAACATTTACCTTTTCAATGGTCGCCTGAGTGTCGTAGGAGAGGTGAGCATCACACTCGGTAGAAACCTGCACAACGGCGCGTCCAAGGCTTTGCAAATGCCTTTGCAGTAACAGAAAACCAACTCTCCGCAATAAAAGTGCATTTCCTCAGCAGACCAGCATGGAAGCTTCTCACCCGTCCAGGAACAATCTTCAAGAGGTCAGCGCCGATGTTGACAGCCAGGATGTCGGCAACATTTGATTGTGGCCTGGACTCAGAGGCAATTTGTGTTGTTAGACCTAGAACACTGCCTGCAGGTACCTTGGACCGGACATTTCGTCTTGCAATACTGTGCTCGCTTTCTCCAGGCCTATAGAACCTTTGGCAGTCCAAAACACCACACCTCCTAGTCATGAAAAGTCACAGGCACTCACACACCTGGCAGCTGGGTAGCTGTGGTCATCCATCGCCAGGGCCTCTCCAAGCAAGTGCTCATATTGAGGATTCTGAACAGCTTTCAGTACCAGACTGCATGAGAAACACATAAAACCTCAAGATATATTCGAATCAAGGCTACTCGCTTTAAGACGAAAATATCTCTGAGTCAGGGATCCCTCTCAGGAAAAGTCATTCGTCAGTGATACGATATGCAATTATGCAAAAAGCTACCTGGGATTCGTAGTGACATCGTAGGGCCTGTAGCTCTTGATCGAATCGATCTCCCCGGTGTCTGCGAGTCATAGCTCTTTGAGGTCATAAGATGAATGTCCTCCCACTTCATAATGCTGCATTTAGCTACCCAGTGAAAAAACCGCTTCGACACAATCTAACCTTACTGATATTCTTGGCATAATGATCGAGAGATTTACCTGCGACCACTTTCGACATCTCCTTCAGAGCGTCGAGCTGATTCTTCGCAGTAGCTTTCTTCGCGCTTGGCGGTGCTTCTGCAGCGTATGTAGCGGTAACCTTCATTGGGAGACGTCCTGCATTTCTTGTTAAAGAGGCTTGGCGCAGGCACGGCCTCGAAGTGCTGACCATCGAGCTCGTCTGCGTGAACGTCTGCATCGCGCGAAGAGAAGTCTGCCTGCACAAGCTTGCCGGTGATTGCTCAGTATACTTAGACACCTAGCCTGTATCGCACTCGCGCCACTAGCCTTAGTATAGTTTGTTCGAAAAAAAATGCCTCTGTGTAAAGGGCTCGTAAAGATCGTAAAGGCACAGTATCTCCCGTCCTAGCTGGACTTGATTGACCCCAGGCGCCAGTTGGGACTCCCTCGTGACACCTGGCGTGATTGGGCATTCTGGGAGGGCCCAAAACAATTGAGAATTAGGAAAGATACATCAAATTTCTGCTGTTTGTACACGTACCACCACATTCACCCCATGACTGAATTTGCCATTGCTGCTGATCTGGAAGAGGAGGGCGAGCCCAGAGACAGCTGCAGGACTCCTCGGAGCAGACTGAATGTGTGGGACTGCTGGTGCCGCCGGTGCTCCAGTTTGCAGATCTGCTACAGATGTACAGCTCCAAGCTAGAGTCTCTGGCGAGGCTAGAGCAGCGCTTGGAATGGACATGGTAATCATCACTGAGGATCCAGTGTCAGTGACGATGGAGCTTGGTGTGCAATTCTGTGGCAAATAGATCCATTGACTGGTCCCAATGCCCAGCAAGCTGGGCAACACAGTGCTGCGCCAAGACTCGGTCACAATCATCAAAATGATGCCACCGACTGCCAAAGGCCATGAATATGTGATGCTGTTTGACGCTCACTGAGGCAAATCTTGTTCACTGGTGACGCCAGCAATCCTTCCTCCCATGGGCTGCCCCAGTACGGTACGTGCTTACAGTAATCCCACGTCTGCCAGTGTCAGACACTCAGCAGTTTGAAGATACAAAAACTTCAGGTGCTACATGGCATGACGCTGCACAGCAAGTTGCCACCGCAAGCTAGACTCATGTTCCTGCCCATACACTGCACTCGAACACAGACCTACTGAATGACAACCCCCAAGCTTATGCCCTGAGCCTCCAGCGAACACTGCAACGCAGCATATCTCACTGGCGTGGCGGGCGGTCGCCGCGTGGCCTGTTGTCACGATTGTAGCCGCCGCGGTCGCCGCCATAGTTTGCGCCTGGGATCCCCTGGTTCCCGGTCTGCACCTGCACAGCGTCACAGCACATCCTCAGGCCCTGGTTTGCATGTTCAGATCCGCGACGCCCTTCCTCCCACTGCATATGTCGCAAAAGCCTTTCGAATCACAGCTGCTACTGAATTTCCGCCCACTTCACACCAATGTCCCAAGGAGAAGCACTGCCCCAATGTCTGCTTGCCTGCCCTGCCCGCTTCATGCCACAAAGCTAGACTGCCTGCAAAGGCAGGATGCAACCCTCACCTGCTGCTGCTTGACACCTGGAAGGTTGGCCATGTTCAAGCTCCTGAGCATGTCGTATGTGTCGGCGTCCACCTACACAGCATTAATTAATTGGTGCTCGCTGCAACCTTCCCAGAGATTCCCAAGGGTGTGAGCTCAGAATGCAGATGGCAGTACACAGAACATGAGGGAACTCAGAAAATCAGGTGCCTGATGCTGATCAGTACATCAAGCAGCCTCCTGTGTTCCTCACCTCAATGGACTCGGTGTTCACTGCTGACTCCTCGGGCACGTAGTCCATGCGCCTCTCACGCTCCTCCTCCTGTGTGTGGAGAGATCCAGTGAGATTGCTCTCAGGCAAATGCAGACTGATTTATGAAATTAGCGCGCATGTGGCCCAGACAGACTGCAAGTGTTGTCCAGGAGTGCAGCCGCTCGCACCTGCAGCTTGAGGGAGATGCCACGCACAGGTCCACGCTGGATGCGCTTCATCAGATGCTGCAGCCAACCAAATCGAGAAGAATCAGCAAAGGCACGACAGCCTACTTTAGCACAGCTGCAGATTTCCCAAACAACACAATCCACTCAGGTGCATCAACACTGCACCCCTTCGTGCTTTCACAATTCACATCAATGAGCATAATTGAGATCTACCGTGGTGAAGCCCGCAATCTTGTTCCGAAGCCTCTTTGTCTGTATTGTGGCAACATCCTCTGCCACCCTCTTGTTGGTGTCAAAGTCCAGAGTCAGACGGCCATAGTACTTCTCCACGAGGACGCGGGACGCCTTCTTGACTGTCTTCGTGCGGACACGCCCCTGTACGCCAACAAGAATTTATGCAAGTCTGCATAAAAAATGCAATCCTCCAGCAGCAGAAAACAATCCTGGCCCCCTCGAACAAGGCCATGCACTACTGCGATGTCAGAACCAGCAAACGACGGATGCCTCACCATGCTGGGCAACGATCTCCAATGTCACGCACGAAAGACCTGGCTGGATCAGTGCAGTTTGCAAGCTTGTGAGCATTCAGGGCGGCTGCATTTAGATGTACCATCGACCCTATCATAAATTTGAAGCGTTGCACGGCGTTCCTGCCACCTAGCCATGATCAATCATTGGACATTGACATTCTCCCAATACCATCCATCTCTTCCAATCTATACATCAAATTCCCACATTACCATGTTGAAAGCTTTCTAGGGTAGGCTCAAAAGGTTCACAGATCGACAGATGTGGGTCAGATCGATGGTGATGTACTTGGCAGCGACCAACTACGTACCATTGGTGGACGAGGAACAACAATCCTGCAACCAAATGTGAAAATACTTGCTATGGACGGAAACGCTCCGTCTGATGCCCTATTCCCCGTCCTTCACGTTCCTGCCTCTGGGGATGGATCTGCTCAGCACCCACAAGCGCGTGGATTTACCAGTTTCAACGCCGAGGCATTTCATTCAGAAAGTGCTTCAAGTGCTCAGGAGGCCGCCGCGCGGAAAGGTGACAAGATATTGTGCTTGTCAGGCAAAAAAAATCTTCTGCAACACCTGCTCGGTCTGAGACAGTATTGTGTTGTGCAGAGGCCAAACTGCAGCGGGCTGCAGAATACTTCCTTCCATCTTCCAGTGAAAGCGATGAAGGTTCTGAAAGCAGCGATGAGGGTGCAGAGGCATCTGCCAGGAAACCTTCCATGCAAAATGAGGGCACTGCACACAAGGCTGAGCACCACGACAGGAAGAAGAGGAAACGACACAAGTACATACATTACCCTCCTCATGCTTTATTGCGCTTGTCCTGTAAATCACTTCAGGTGCTGAGGTGGCATGCATGCAGGGAGAAAAAGGAGAGGAGCCGGGCGAAACGGCTCAAGAGCGATGCCGAGAAGATTATTGATTTGGAGAGGCGGGAGGCAGCCGCTGGCAAGCTGACCAGGGAAGCAGCAAAGAAGCACTGGGCTAGCGGCGAGCAGCACGCCGCCTCCTACATAGACACGCATGGTGACCGTGACAACCTGGCCTTTGACGGGCTCTACCGCGCAAATGTGGCCGCTTATAGCCGCCTGGATCCCACCGGCGTCGCCAAGGGCACGCGGCCTCGCTATGGCTATGTGTACGGCCCCAGGTGTGCTTTATACCATTAGCAGTACCTTTTTGAACGGATCCTGTCCCTTCCAAATTAATGTTGTAAGATTGTTGGGTGTTGCAGGGGAATTGGTGCGGAGGTGGACGACGACAGGCAGCGGAGCCAGCGGGGAAAGCGCAGGCGCTACTTTCTGGCGGCCGTGCTGCGGCGGGAGCGCGACGGCCGTCTCAGGCGCTGGCGCATCGACCACCTCAGGCTGCCAGAGTCAGCCGCTACGCATTCCAGATTCGGGCAGCTGTCAAGGATCCCTCTGGATGTGGCCTCTGAGCACTTCACTGGTGAGACCCCTTGGTACATCACAGCTATTTGCTGCACCTTGCCCGCATCAAAGTTGACATGATACTCACAGCTATTTGGCTGCACCTTGTCCCTACAAATTGAGGTGATGGTCACCCCCGCTAATAATTGCCTGATCACTTGCGCTGTACATGCATGCGCAGGTCGGGAGCAGGGCGGATCGGGGCAGCAAGCGCCCTCAGAGGCTGGCGCAGCTGTGGAGGAAGAGACGGCAGAGACGGCGGAGCAGCACATGATGCGTCGTACGCGCGACTTCAACCGGGCGGTCAGGGAGCGGCCGCACGACCTGCAGCTTTGGCTCGACTTTGCCGCTTTCCAGGACGAGCTCGGCGGGTGCGCTGCACCACCCAGCATCCTCCATGCAATTTAGATTGCGGCCTACACCGATCTAAACTGGAGATAAACGTGTGTAGTATTCAATGTTAAGCTGGTACCTGCAGGGGTGGGCGGAGAGCGTCAGGGGCGGGGGTGGCCGAGAAGAAGATTGCAATTTTAGAGCAGGCTCTGAGGCACCATCCAGGCTCGGACGAGCTGCTGCTGGCGCTGCTGGGGGCCGTAGAAGTGGTGATCAGCGGCGATGACGTGGAGGAGAGGTGACTGTCTAACGCATGCGGTGTAAAACCATAAGATGTAGTTTCAGATAATTAAGCACACAATGATCCAAAACTGTGCCTGTGTCCCTGAGGCTGCAAGACTTGTTTGCTTACGCATTGATGCTGTTTGGTTTGCTGTTGCAACACACCAAAAACAGACGCATTGACCGGGATGGGTTCAGGTGGCGGCGGGTGCTGGCGCATCACAGCGGCAGCGCGCGCCTGTGGCAGGCGTTCCTGTCCTGGCAGCGCGCCAGATTTGGCAGCTTCTCCTGCTCCGCCATGCGCGTCTCCTATGGCGATGCCATCATTGTGCGCACCTAGTCCCTTAAATTTTGTTTCACGACGAAAACCCAGCTCACTGCTGACAGTGTGACATCTTGATGTGCCAGAGCAATCCTACACCTGTTTGATTCACTAATATAGACTTGATGGGAGACTGTCAATGTTGTGCAGGCGCTGGTGAAGGAGCGAGCGCGGCGGCGCAGGGAGGGGGCGCCTCTTGATGTGATGGCGGCTGTGGAGAGGGACATAGCGGCGTTGTTTGTCGGCTGCCTTGGCCTCGAGCTCCAGAGCGGCCACACAGAGCAGGCCATTGCATGCATGCAGGCTGTGCTGGAGTTCAATTTCTTCTGCCCTGACTCTGATGGTGCGTTCTGAAACTTTTCTTTGCAATGCTTCTTGCTCGCGAAGTGCTTGGCAGGTCTATTTGACATCATCTGGCAATCTTCATGTTGTTGGAAGAATCAAAATTGGAGCTCACGAGTGAAGTAATTGGCTGACAGGTGCTTCGTCCAAGTTGCGATCCTTCCGCGCGTTCTGGAACAGCGGTGCTGCCTTGGTGGGGGATGGGGGCGCCAGAGGGTGGCTGCTCCACGGCATTCCTGAGGCTGAGGAGCTGCCCGAACAGGCTCCTGCTGCAGAAGGTGCACTGCCTACCTTGGAACGCCGCTCTAATGCACAAGCCTCGAGACAGCTTTGAAAACGCCACCTCTTTGGCGCAGGATCTTGTGCTTGCATGACGAGTGCTGGCTGATACTCAGCCAGTGCTGCACCTCGCTTGAATCAGCGGCATTACCAGCTTCTAGGAAGTCACTTCTCACACATGTCGGCTGTCGGGTGTGCAGAGCCGAAAGCAGAAGAAATTGAGCAGGATGGCGGCGGCTGGGGCGGCTGGGAGGAGCTGCCCGCGTCTGCACAACCCGCTCCGCCCGGAGGCGACACGGACCAAGATCCAGCAGAGGAGAAGGACGGCGAGAACAATGAGGATGACGACGACGACGCAGAAGCAGACATGTCCCTGGAAGGTGCTTACTGCTGATCGCAGGGAATAGCGGGATGCATGCACAGCCATGGCAGGAGCCTTCACATGGGGATTGGCACTAGGTGTCAGTGGGTGGCAACAGCTGACTTGTCAGCTTGATAATAAGTTGTTTTTCCGTACAAAACTGGTATCCACCAGATGTGCATGAGGAATTTTTCGACGATGCTTGTTGTTCGATGGATTGGTGCTGTGCAGAGGGTGAGCTGGCAGCAGAGGAGACAGAGGAGGAGCTGATGGCGAGGCTGGGGCTGAAGCTGGAGGAGGAGCTGGCACAGCTGGACGCTGACAAGGCCCTGGATAGCCGCCTGGCCGTCAGGTGGGCAGCCCAGGAGAGCGCGCGCGACAGGGACCAGTGGCAGCCGCTGCGCAGCGAGCCCGAGCCCGACATAGAAGGCGCGGACACCGCCATCGGGCGGGTGCTGGAATTTGAAGACATTGACGACTTCCTGTTCACGCTGGGTGAGGCTCAGTCTGGCAAGAATATGTCCACTTCACCAGGTTAATCACATGCCATTGCCTCTTGATGATTAGACGTCTGCCACCAGAGCGATCACACGATCTTTGCGCTCATTCAACCCTAGGTTGCAGTACATGGTGGGAGGAAGAAGGGTGATGGATGTGTGGTTGGTGCCATGCAGAGAGCGAGGAGGCGAGGCAGGATCTGGTGCTGCGCTGCCTGGCACTGTTGGGGCTCTCAGGGGAGGCCTGGGACTGCTCCAACGCCGCAGCCACAGCTCGCTGCGTTGGCCTGGCCGACACGCTGCTGCCTGAGCTGGCGCCCATTCTGCCCAGCTGGCGCCCGCCTGGCATGCCGCCCGCCCGATCCACCCTTCATCTTGATTCCAACCCTGCAGCTGCAACACCTGCACAAGCAGCCCCTGCTGATGCCATCGCGGCAAAGCTCGGCTGGCTCTCTCCACAGCCCGTGTACCAGGCAGCGGCTACAGACGCAGACACAGCCGCCGAGAGTGAAGATGCGGACCCGCCCGCCGAGAGTGGACAAGCCTCTTTGCCCGCCGCAGCATCAGGGCATACAGCAGCGGCAGCGGAAGCAAGGGCAGACGCTGCGCAGGCGCAGCTGCCGACACCGTGGTATCTGGCGAGCGAGGAGAGGCGGCAATTCGCGGTGCGCATGGTGCAGCTTCTGGCCCTGGGCCCCTTCAGCAGCGATGTCCGGGTCGCGGATGCGCTGCTGAGCGCAGAGGCGGCCGAGGCACAGCCGATCGGAGCGCAGAACCACGAGCGAGCCCAGGCGACGGCCCAGCGCCTTCTGGCAAAGCACCGCGACAGCCTGCCCCTGTGGCAGGCGTACGCCCGGCAGCTCCTTGCCGCGAACCAAACCAAGGTCAGCCCATCAACCTCCGGCGCATAAGACCTATATACCTCCATTAGACACCAGGCGTGCAGTACTATTTAAACCTTGAATTAGAGGCCAAATGGTCCATGGCCTGCGACATGCCAAGATGATGTAGCCAGTGCACGCCTGGCGTGCATGGTTGGATTATTATGCACTCGTTCATTGCTGAGCGCAGGGCTGCTGTATTACGGTACGAGGCTTCCTGCTCTATCCCAGCAGCTGCATGCCTTCCTTTGTCTCTCCTTTAAGCCTTCTTTTGTCTTACCATGATGCCTTGTGCGTATGCAGGCTGCGCGGAAGGTGTTTGACACAATGCTGGGCTCGCTGCCGGCCATGCCGCAGTCCTATGTGCTCTACGCGCCCCCGGTGGTGCTCGCGTACGCTGCGGCAGAGGTGGACCGTGCAGCAGCCGACTCCGCAGCGCGCGCAATGCACGTGCTCGCCTGGCTTGGCACCGGGGGCCCCTATGCGCGCTACAGCTCGGCAGGCGCCGCCGCCGACGCCTCTACATCCGCAGGACTCAGCGCCGAGAGGTGAGAGGCCTGCTGGTAGTGTGCTGCATGAGATCATCTTGGCTTGTAACATGTACAGCCTGCCACACCCATTCGGAGAAGGTACATTTGAGAAGTGTCGTTCTGGCAATATATCTATCATTCTGAAGACTCCTTCCGTCATTGTTGTCCTCCCATCCTTTGAAAGAGGTCCTTGGGGGGATGCAGGCTTGTTCAGGCGCGGAGAGGCTACCAGGACATGCTGTCCACGCGACTGAGCAGCGCTGACGGGGCGCTGAGCGGTGCCACCTCAGCGCTCGTGAGCTGCGCGGCGCTCTTCGAGGAGCTGCTGCCGGCCGTGGGCGGCCCAGCCGTCACAGCGCTGCTGGGCAGTGGAGCATCCGGCGTCCCAGCCGCGGCCGCCGTGTTCCAAGCCGCTCTAGGAATGGCGCCCGTAGAGGTATGGCCGTGTAAGACAGGCGCAAAAAGTCGCGCAAATTAATGAATTGCTTTATTGCATGTGGCATATATGTACCCTGCAGACCTAGGGATGGGTTTGCAAAGCGAGCACGAGCTTGGCATGAAGCAGGGCCGTAATCAGAAAGGGTCTGATGTACTGGAAGGTGGACTTTCTGTTGACGGGTGCTGTGCGCAGGTGAGGACGCAGAGTGCGGAGCATGAGGCGCTGCAGGTGCGGCTGAGCTGCGTGCTGGCGCGCGAGTGCGCAGCCGGCAACCTGGTCGTCAGCCCCGGGTGGGTGCGCTCCAGCCTGCTGGATGCACTCAAGGTGACGCATCCAGCCCACACGGTTCCCTTGTCCATTTCAGCCTCGTCCATGCATAAAGTAAATTCCCTGAAAGGAGTGAAAATGATCTTTCAGAAGCCATGGATGCAAGCTGGGTATCATAGAAAGGAATACTTGAGACGGTAAGATAATGTGCAGGTGTATCCGCGCAACAGCTGCCTGCTGGGGCTGCTGGCGATGATGGAGATGCGGGCGCACACTGTGTCGCGCCTGCGCCGCGACCTGCGCTCCATGCTGGAGGCTGCCCCCTCCCCGCAGCTGTGGCTCCTGGCCCTGCGCTGCGAGGCTGCCCTGCCCGGCGGTGCCCACCGCGTGCAGGTGCCCCTCCTCTCTGTCTCTGTCGTTTTCCCCTGCACTCGTTCAGTGACCACTCACTACAGTTGCCAGATAGCTCTCAGGCTGAAATGGCTTGGTGATCACCGCCCGGATATGGAAATTGATGTCCATGTGCATGATGTGCTCATCAAATGCGTGTTGCAGGCGCTGTTTGAGAGAGCGCTGTCGGCCAAGCAGACGCAGCAGTGCGCGCTGTTGTGGCGGGCCTACATCGGCTATGAGCTGCAGCGGGGACGACCCGAGGCGGCGCGCCGCGTTTTCTTGCGTGCCATCCACGCCTGCCCCTGGTGCAAGGTGTGGGAGTGACCACATCTTGGTACATAGAATACACATCCTGTGCTGTTCAAGACCACTGCTTCACTGCAGCTTGGAGAATTCATGCTGTTTATTCAGGTGCTGCATGAACTTCTTGTTGTGAATGCAATGGGCGACTAATGCTGGGGCCATGGGCAGGCGCTGTGGATGGATGGACTGGTGTCCCTGGGGGATGTGGTGAGTGCGCGGGAGAGGGCCGACCTCATGGATGTCATGCGTGAGAGGGATGTGCGCATCCGCACCGACACCTACGAGATCCTCTTGGAAACCATCGGCCAGCAGCAGCTTGTGTAATCTGGCATTGTGTAGACTCATTTTCTGTGAATTGCATGAAATTTGACTGACCACCGTCGTTTGGTATTGTAGAACTGTTGAAGAATGTAATCTGTTGCAATGCCACGATGGTATGTGCAAGTAAGCTCCCCGTAGTAAAGTTACAACCATTTTGCCAAACATTGCATGGAACTGCACGTTCTCAAACTCTCAAATGTCTCTCATCTCAGGTAAGCAAATATGTTATTGTGGACTGGGTCGGCTGCAAAATCCAGAAGGTCTGCAATCGGCCCTTTGCGAGTGACAGCAGCTTGTGCAGCGAAACCAACCCAAGCTACCAGCGCCAGCCGCCCATTCTTGATCTCCTTGACTTGAAGGTCTGCAAAGCTTGCAGGATCCTTGGACAGCCCAAGTGGATCAAACAAGCCACCTGCAAGGTGTCACAAGACCAATGTCAAAATTCACAGATTTCTCCTGAAACCCCACCTGGCTTTATTGAAGCGAATGTTGCTGAGCATACCAGGGTAGTTCTTGTCGCCTGGCAGATAGAGTCCCAGTGGTTCCAAGGCCTCAATGCCACATGCACGAGCATACTCTGGACCAAACATCAAGAGCACCTGTACCAGAGGCACACCTAGATTTAGCAGCACATCGTGACAAAGATGTACCCGAAAAGCAACATATCTTTGGAACTCAAATGGCAGAAATTGGCATTGTAGGCATGCAATGCATCGGAGGGGCAAAACCTGGCAAATGGCAATGATGGCAATCCCCTGTCCGCCAGCAATGCGCAGCCCGGAGACCCCGAGGTAGTTCAGGTCCTCCCCCTGCAGCTTGGCGCCCCCCACTGCCCACCACCGTGCTTCCAAAAAGTCTGACACGCCGCTGTACTGCAGTATCTCTGCGAAGCAAGAAAAGGCTACAAAAAATTGCTTCCATTGAGAGTGTGATGATGCCTTCCTGCTGCGATTGTTGCTCAGTGCTATTATGCATCGAAATTGTAGTGTGCAGCTTCTCTGCAGAAGCACCTTGCCTCTGGCAGATAAAGCATGTACTGAATAAATAATGATAATGATATGCATGCACTGGCTGGAGTGATCTGTACCTGGGATGCCGGCTCCCAGGGCGCCCAACATGGCCCATCTGGCGTGCAACAATTCGAATTCAAAATATTGGTCAAATTTATCCTGGTCTTGCGCCAGCTGCAGAGGGTCGTATGCATAGTCGCCAGGTGCCCCGCCCCTCAGATATGCTGGGTAGTCGTAGCTGAGAGGCCCTAGCCACTTGGGACGCTCCTCTCCGTACCATGGACTGGTGATGGAACAAGAAAGAGACTTGTTACTGTGTTGTCAAATGTACAGCGCAAAGCATTGGAAGCGGCGCAATCAGCCTGGGCGAGGCAATTGACCGAAATGAGCCGTGAGCAAGTGTACAGAACATTGCCCAGGTTGACAGTTTTGCCCAATACCTCTCATCGCGCGCAGCTGCAAGTTCCTTCTCTCGTTGTTGCTCAGCCCTCTTGTACTCACTTTTATTCGCTTCCAGATCTCTCTGCATCAAGCCATGCATACCATAATCAGCACCGGTGATGGCAGCGTCATCATGCTTACATATAAATAAGGGACAACATCAAATGCAAGCGAGGCTCAAGCAGTGAGATTGTGCGCACCTGTAGTTTCTTGCCGAGATCACTGTCTGCCAGTGCCTGTACTGCCGCAAAAGGCAGTGCTGAAAAGGCTAACACTCCTAAAACATCTGCTGCACCTGCTGTCACGGGCACAGGCTTGCCTCTACACCTTGGTTGTGATACCTGCACATTTGAGCTTTAACGGTCCAGTCATTCAGAATTGGGTCCATCAGAGTAAAATTAAATTGATCACTCATGGAGTTTCACACTCTATAATCGATGGAGCGTCAACATATAGGCATCCAAGAATGCACGGTGCATAATCACCGCACTACAGTTCGGTGTACCTTCTTGGTATTCCAACATGCTCCTTGCCTGAATGGGCAAAATTTCGATGCTAAGACAAAAGGTGATTGTGAGGAGCTGCTAGTCTGTGAATTGCTCGTCTGTCGAGCAAGCATCCTGAGGGATTCCGAGGTGGCTCTCTTGTGCTCTATCAAGATCTGATCATGGTTGGGAACATCTTATAGATCAACACACTTACAATGAGAATGCACTCCTTCACTGAGTACCGTTGAGACCGACAAAACGTTGCGATCGGACCGAATGACCTTGTCCCCCCGCTAGCAAGGGTCCCCCACAAATCTCTTTCGGAACCTTCAACTTGCCTCCGTGACAATCGCACGGGCGTTCGCGGCTGCTTGTTGGAGTGCTTTAAAGATCTCATGTGAGCAATCTGTTCCAATAGGCCACTGAGTGCCGAAGATGGATTGACACAAGGGATCGGGCGCCAAATCTGTTGCTGGCCACAGTCCAAGATGCAGCGATCTCGAGGTTAGCCAAGGCAGCTAGTCCCTGTTTTGGGCCTGATATTCAAATCTTACCACATTAGTAGCCTTACAAGATAGATCAATAGCCTTGCTCTGCTGTCCATGCTATTTTCTAGCACTCTCGAGTTTCCCACATGTGCACTATTATTTACCTGCACTTGGTCGCCTCAATTCATGGATTCTCACCCGCAGGTATGACGCATCCTTACAGCAGTACTGCTCTTACGGTCGTTGGAGCGCTTCTCATGATCATCTCATGCACAGCGCTCTGCTCAGGTGCGCCCTGCCCTTCAACAGATGCACGAGGATGCCTCATTCAAGGAAGTCATTTTAAACCTCGTGAGACCACAAGCAAGATAATTTTTATTCCAAACAGGCGCAGAGGAGAGCAGCGGCAACTTTCTGCAGCCCATGCCTTGGGTACTAGAAATGTCCGTGAATCCCAGCCGGGACTTGCGCGACAGGAGCTGTGAGCCATGCGACGATCTGAACCCTCTGGGAGCCATGTGCTGTGGCATGTGTGCATTCTGGGTGTGCGCCCTGCCAATGTGCCTGACCACTCCCAAATTTGCCATTCTTTGGAATGCCCATGTGAGATGCTGCAGATCTTGGAGGCAGCATGTGCATGAGTTGTTCGGCTGTTATGATGTGCTGCTGTGTTGCGCAGGAGAATGGCAGGAGCCAGTCAGCACTGGAGAAGAGAAGCTGGGACGGGCCCTGCAATGAGCGCATGGTTGCGCAGCTTCTGCAGGACCTGAAGGGGTGGGGGGTGGATCTGGAGAGCTTCCAGCCCAAGGATCTCTTTGACACGATCAAAGGCCGCACGTTGTGGTGCGCTCCTGCCTCAGCTTCAGCCTCACTCTCACATTTAAGCCCCTGGGATGAAGTATGTTGGCAGGAGCAGTTCACCTTAAGCATCTCCAATTATTAATAATACTCTTACACGCTTTGCCTACGAGAGGCAAGGTGCGTTTGCAGATAAATTGTAGGTGAAGGCTACCAAAATTGTTTTCCTTGTTGGGGCTCGCCAGATCCAAGCAAGACCCAGCAAGCCATTTCACATTTGGCTGCATCTCATGTTCATGGATTGTATGTGCTCAGGCTGATAGGAGACTCTCAGACATCCTACTGGTACCTGGCGCTTGAGTGCTTCCTGTCAGAGTACCTTGTGCAGGCGCCGAGGGCGGCGCCCACCAACAACTCGGCGGCCAATCTGTGGCTGGTCAAGTTTGACGAATGGCGGGAGCTCAAGGGCAGCAATAAGGCCTCCCCCAAGCCCGCCATCTGCGCTGTGCTCAAGGTACGCATTATCACCAGCTCTTCACCATCCACACCGCCTATGAGTAGGGCCTGTTTCCACGGCGTGCCGAGCAGGATAAAGACAAAACAGGAAGGGCTCTCAAACGCTTCTCTGTTCCTCTTTGCTCTGTCGCTCTCGCTGGAAGTCGTGGAAGCGCCAGACATCCTGCAGGATCCGGCTCTTCATAATCCTGAACTGTCAGGCCTAGACATCAAAGCCCAAATGGTGGGGACAAGGCGCTGCTCTCAGACACACCTAGCTACCCAGCTGGAAGAAGTCCTCAATCCATTCAATGCCGTTCAAGACAGAGGACGCTCAATCAGTAAGGGCCTTTTTCAGGCTAAACATGCATCTAGTTGGGAGCGCAAGGGACTGTAAACGTCAAAAACCTTTCATGCCCTTTGCAATGACAATCCCCAAAATAGGACGTGAATATTCTGCCGCAGGAGGGCACGAGGGTGTGCTACGCACGCGTGCACCTGGTGGAGGAGATAGCGCACCCGGTGCTGCGAACAATAAAGAGGGAGCTGCCGGGTGCCAAGAGGGACATAGCGGTGGTCAATGCCGGCCTGCACTACGGCATCGGCGACCCAAAATACGAGGAGGGCTTCACCTTCCTGAAAAACTTTATTGCCGAGCACCGTGACGAGCTGCCGCACATCATCTGGAAGGACACATCGCCGCAGCACTTTGAGTACGAGAACGGATACTACTGGTGCGCATGCATGCACACCTGCTACACGTTTGCACCCCATCAAATGCTTCTGATCAACCCCTCCTCATGCCAGGAGCAGCTTTTCCTTACTGCACAGAGATGCGCGCACCTGCTCTGACATAAGCCCATGCATGCGGTTGCTCTCCAAAGAGTTTGTGTTACATGCAATGTTTGCAATTGGTGACAACTGCACAAGGCTGCAGGAACCCATCCTTACACCTTACACTATTTGTCAGTAAAAGGCAGGACTTTGGGCCAGGCAGTTGGAGCCTGACAGGGTCAAATAAGACCTGTCTGAGCACATCAGAAACTGCAAAGCAGGTGGTTGGACAACAGCAAGGGAAAGACGGTGGGGCCGCCCCCAGAGAAGTGCAGGCCGTTCACAGAGGAGGAGCTGCAGAGCGAGGAGATTGCAGCGGGCGGCTGGTACAATGAGATCGCGTTCCGGCACATGAGGGAGGCAGGCGTCACTATTTTTGATGCCTACAAGATCACGCTGCCCATGTGGCAGATGCACATGAAGGATAAGGACTGCACGCACTTCTGCAATCCCGGCGCGTACGAAGTGTGGACGTACCTCCTGAGCGATCTGCTCAAAGGGCTGCAGCTGAGAGACTAGTTCTGCAGCATGTACACAACGTAGGCGATGCCATATCCAGTAATGTCAGCCCTAGAGATATCCAGTAGCTACAGAGGTCTACAGAGTCCTATTTTGATTTGTTGCGTATGAATTGTAAATGACAGTCTGTAAGACAGTCTGTAACTTACCAGGCTTGGTTTCAAAAAGGCATGCATGCATGCAAATGGTTATCCGAGAAGATTGCCGAGCAACAGGAAGTACTATAGTCTGTCATCGGTCCCCACGTTCTCGAACACCAGGATGCATGTCTTTTCCTCCAATTTTTTTGCCAAAAAACAAGAGCCGGCTTCAAGCGCCGCAACCGGGGGGTCCGCAAGGTCCGCAAGGTCCGCAACCGGGGGGTCCCCTGAAAGTCTACCGGGACTCGGGAAGGGGAAGGATGCCTTCAGAGATGAGTAACGACGACCATCAAGGCTGATTTAAGCAGTAGATCGATGTAAATTAAAAAATATCCAATTTGAATCGCTGGCTAGAATGCACAAGAACTGATTGCGCTGCAGATCTTTCTTCGGCATGTCCATCAAGGCAGCTAAAACATGGAGATAACTTGTTAAATGAAGGAGTTGACCAGCTTTTTCAAATAATAAGTTGTTAAGCATACAATCTGAACAGCTCTCTGATCCTCCAGAGCTTCGATTCGTGGAGGGGCTTTAATTCCGGAACCTTGGAACTTTGTCAGGATCCTTGGCTGAGAGTGAGGAGCCAGGCTCTTCGTGGATCGATAGAATCTGCAGGATTGTTGTGTACGATTTTGATGACAAGAAAGATATGGATCTTAATAGCAGCGGCTGCAGTGCTTGCGACAGCGCAAGGCGAAGAAGGCGAGTCAGTCTCTATCCCTTTGCCAATAAAGAACTTGTGCTCCTGATCGCAGCTGTAAAGCCATGTTGACAAAGATAAGAACGATGATTGTGAACTCTTGCCAAATCGCTGCAGGGCTTCACTTGGGCAGTGGGGCCGTTAGGCACAGCCACGATAAGTTTCCACCGCTGTTGGACATGGCGATCCATCTAAGGGGTGACATCAGGAATAAAAGCTGTGCTCCTTGCAATCCCAGTCACCCTTTAGGTCCCCAATGCTGCGGCATGTGCGGCTTTTGGGAAAATCTCAGGTGCGCATGTTGCGCAGTAGCATGAAGCCAAGCTCTTGTTCCAGGTACAAGTTGTGCACTTTATGAGTCGATTGTAAATATTCTTTAGGGGCTTGGGTGCAACAATGACATCTCACATGCTAAACGATGACTGGCAATTGCTAGGTACAAAAATGTGGAGCGACAGCCGTGGGTGGCCCCATGCAATGTGAGGGAAGTGGGCAACCTGATGTCAGACCTCAAAAGCAGGGGCATGGATCTGGCAGCATTTGAGGCAAAGGAGCTGTTTGAGGTCATCAAGGGACGTACATTATGGTGCGCTCTCCTGCTTTTCACCCACATGCGAAGTGAAAATCTCTTGCAATTGACTGACGCGCACCTCCTCAGCATCTTTACTTTATTTTCCTACTTGCTCTGAAGCAATACAATTGACCAAATCTTTGGCTGGCGCAGGCTGATTGGGGATTCCCAGACAGAGAGATGGTATGACTCAGTTGAATGCTTCCTGGCCGAGTTCCTGGTGGAGGAGGCTCGCGCTGCACCCTTGCAGGACACATCTTCCAACCTGTGGCTGATGAACCTCGATGAGCGGCTGCAGCACCGGGGCAGCTTCTGGGCTCCACCCAAGCCTGCCATCTGCGCACACTACCAGGTACTCATCTGACCTCCTTAGCACACCTGAGCAACGAATGACAAGCCCTGTGACACCTGAGCAACTTATTTGGGCAGGCCATATCCGGGTGCCCTCACATTGACGAGCTCCTCCCCAGTCTTGGCCAGACTCCTGATATCTACTGATATCAAGGAGGCAGTGCCATGCATGGATGGATGAGGGGCCGCGGAGGTATGGTGTTCTGAATGTGCATGTGGGTGTGCGCAGGACAACACAAGGGTGTGCAACATCAGGATAAACAAGGCGGATGAGCTGGCATACCCAGCGCTGCGGGTGCTGCACGGCAAAGTGCAGAACCTGCACAGGGACATTGCCGTGGTCAACGCAGGCCTGCACTATGGCATCGGTGGCACCCAGAAGTACACCGAGGACCTGCAGTTCTTCCTGGACTTTGTTGCACAGCATCAGGATGACCTCCCGCTGCTGATATGGAAGGACACACCCCCACAGCACTTCACATTTGAGAAGGGTTACTTCTGGTGCGCTTATCATTCTCACCTCAGCCCACACACAGAGTCAACAGGAACTTGACGCAGATACTCAGGCGAATTCGAGCACCATGCCCACCACCATGCTCATGGAGTGTAGACAAGGACTCTTGGCAGAAGGACGGGACGAGTGACATGCGTGCTTCTTGCAGGTGGGCGGATGGGTCGATGAAGGGCACAACGGCAGGAGAGAGGCATGAGAGGTGCAGGCCACTGTCTGAGGAGGAGCTGGCAAGTGATGAGATCAAGGCTGGAGGCTGGTACAACTCTGTGGCCACGCCGTTGATATCCGCTGCCGGCATCCCCATATTTGATGCCTACCATGAGACGGTGCCCCTGTGGCAGTTCCACATGTGGGACAAGGACTGCACCCACTTCTGCCACCCTGGCCCCTACGAGCTCTGGACATTCCTGCTGACAGACATGCTCCGGAAGAGCGCTGTCCGGGAATAAGCAGATTATGAAACTGTAGATCTAGATAGTGTATTAATAATAGGCAGTGATACCTTTGTTGCTTGCTGCGTTTGCTTTATCAATCTTGACGCTTTTTAGATCTCCACCGTGCAGATCTCTACCGTGTCATAAATGGAAGTACAAACATCGCTTGGCGCCACATTTATGGGATTTAATACGGGGTCAGAAGGGGGAGACCGTTGCGAGGGGTTTGTGAAGTGCGCATAGATCTGAATCATGCATGTGCAGATGAGCTTATTGATGATGAGAACGAAGTCAAGCATTAGCTGAACTATAGTGCTGGCGCCTTCAAAGGGTTCAGACTGACCAATACTATTACATGCATCTGTGCCCAATATTCTGCATCAGCGCCATATATCATCATGTGAATTGCCTGGAACTGCTCCCTTTTAATACACCTGCTATGTGTTGCCATGCAGTCAGCTGCAGATTGGACAGTACAAGTCTATCTCAATAAATCACAGTCGACTGAGGGATCTTCCCCCTTGCATTCATTAATCACTTGCAAGACAGCAAGTACCCGCATTGTCATCTGCGCAGAAGAGAGTGCCAAGCTTGCAAGTCCTGGACAGAAGCCAAGAATGCATGCTCCTTGGAACCACACCCAGCCACATGACATGCAAGACCCACAAAAAAGATGCACCAGGTATTTCTGTTCCCATGAAGGCAGGCGCTTCTCTCAATTCCTCTACTGTACACCCTGCAATCATGAGCCCATCTGAGCGCTCACACAATGTACACCCCACTCCTTATCCCACAACAGACATTCAGCCGAAGCCCAGTGCACTGATCCAACATAAGTGTACTGCCAATTTTGCAATCGATATATTATGGTGCTGTTCAACAATTACTACATTTCGAGTATATCTTGATTGTATGGCATTGCAGGCGTTGCTGTGCCTTCCAAGCTGTGTTTGAGTTGGTACATCAGGACAGTCCTGCTGAGTCCACAAAAAGGGCCCACAAGTAGCGTCCAGGCTTAGGTACAAGTACTACTTGACAAGTAGAATTGTCACAACCAGAAACATCAAAGTATCGCATGGATCTTCAGCAGATGCCGAGTAATTCTTGGGGCGACAGACGCTTGTAATATCTTGCTTACTGGCAGATAACCTCCAGAACCGAGAAGGGCAATAAAATGCCAACAATTTTTGCCAGAAGGTGAATGCTAATTTCTCTGGCCATCAAGGCCTTCCCTATGTGATCCCCACAATGTACAATGGCCAAGAACAATTAACGGCTGGCTCCTTGCCCCAGAGCACAGTATCCGTGAGGACCACGCTTCCTCAACGTCCAGGAACACATTATGTCACATGATGTACAGATTCCTTCCTTTTCATATGTGGGCCGACAAAACCAGCCCATTGTCAAATGCACCGCTGGATCAGCAGTTTTCCTTCTGCTCACTCTTGGGAAAGCAGAGGCAACAAGTACACTTTACTTTTCCTATGACCTCTCATCCTTTCTTGCCAGAAGCAGCCCCTCCTGAGCTGCCTGCTGATGGCTCAGCAGTAGATAGCCTTGGTGGCGCTCAGGGCCTCAAAGGAGACGATGTTGGCCGGCTGGATGTGGCCCAGCGGCGAGAAGGATGACACAGCGCACGCGTGGCGCACTATGGGCACGCGCGAAGCCCGCGTCGCTCCCTGCAGGCTCTCCTGGAGATTGAAAACCTGCAAAGGCACAGCGACTTGCTTTACATTTATGTCACAGCTGTAAAGTTACATACGTGAGTTTGACAGGATTGAATGCATGTGCCAACCCAGGGGAAGATGTAGGGCGACAAAACACAGGTTCTTGTAGCTTCCACGCGATGCATACGCATGTGTGGTGGCCGCACCATGAGGATGAGCTGGTTCATTTCGTTGTCCTTGCGGCGCAGGGCGCGGTGCAGAGCGGCGTTCTTCACCAGCGCGCAGCCGGCCACCACAGCCTGCACAAGGACACTCAGCGTCAGCGTCGCAGCAAAAATTACATTAGCATTTGACAACACCGCTCAGCCCGCACCAAGCCTCTACATATTTGCAGGCCTGGGTTGTTTGCCCACTACCCAGATCCCTATGACAGATTGCAGGAGCACATGGCAGGATCATTCCTGATCAAGGTATGTCCATCAAAGCCACAGAGCGCTCATCAATTGTGGAGGAACATAAAGATGCCTAGAGGGAGGATGGGCGGAGGCAACGCGCACCATGATGCCGAGGCTGGCGGCCAGCGCGATCTGGGACCAGCCGATGGAGCGAGTCCGGGCACGCATGCGCGCCAGCTCCACCTGCAGCCGAGCGCGCGCCCTCTCCGCTGCCGGCAGGCACGCCATCAGCGCAGACGCCCACTCCTGCAACAGTTCCACACCCACTTAGCCGCTTGCACCAATCACACCCGCGTACAGGTCCTCTGTCGATCTTACACCACCAGCAGTTGGTGCTGCGTTTATTGTTGCAAACACTGCAAGTTCAGACGCCATATCCTTGAAAGGAAGGATGTTCGCAGACTCACGGGTTCGCGGTCGAGATAGGGGTAGCTAGAGGGACAAGCACCCGTCTACCCCCTTGTCATGTTGATGACCGTAGACATAAAGAAGGCATGTGCGCGCACCTGCAGGCAGACCCAGAAGCGCTGGATGGCGTTGGTGGAGCCGATGGACTGCAGCGTGCTCTGAGTGGCGGCCGCCAGCTTGTCCATGCCAGCTCGCAGCGCGCCCATCACGTCGCCGCGCCGGGGCTTCTTTGGGTACCCCTCCTCAAACGCAGGGACCTCCTGAAACCCAAGGCTGCCCGTCAGCGTGTGTGCATGTCTTGAATGACCCACAGAGCTTCTGGTGGAGCAGAAAATCACTTGATCATCTGCAGAGTGCCGAGTGGGTGCCAAGACAGGGCATAAAACGGAGGCAGGCTGGCGCAGTACCTTGCGGACGGCAGTGTCTGTGTCAGCCACGTCATCAACAGGTTCTGCGCGGTCCTCCCCAAACTCGGCAGCCACCGCTGCAGTTATGTCTTGAGCCGCCCTCAGGGCAGCATCGGCCGCGGCCTTAACACAACACACACATAAGAACAGATCGGCTTCTGAACTGCACTTCGCTCAGAAAAGCAGGCACCTCACAATAGGTCATGCAGTAATCATCTACAGCTCAAGACAGGCTGTGAGCATGATGCATTGAGTGCCCAGTTGGAATGCCCTCATCCATCACAGCTGCCCATGTGCAAAGCACATCTCTTTACAGGTCAACTAATCCTGATCAAGTGTCACAAGGTCAAAGCACACCTTGGCCTCGTCAGAAGCGGTGTCAGGTGCTTCGGCGGCCACTTCTGTGCCATCAGAGCTGGTCACGCTGCCCTGCAGGGATGAGGCAGAGCGCGGGGACTGCGGTGACACGGAGCCCAGAGAGGCCAGGTCCAGCGCCAGAGCGGCCACCTCTGGGAAGGAGAATGAGCCAGAGCCGCCCACCAGACTTGCACCCCTGCTCGCGCACACAGCCACGCCTCAGCAAATGTGCTTCAGCATCTCCCCTCAATCTCTTGGCAGTGCCAGAACACGCAAGCCAACCTGCTCTGCATGCCAATCACAATCTCCAAGTGCTTGTCATCGAGGATAATATCATTTGCCAAGCACATAACCTGACTTGAGGCTGTCCAAAGATTGGCAGGGAAGTTCCCTACCGGCCACTTTCAAATGCATCATGACTCACAGAGGTCTCAGCAAGGTGCATCTGTGAGGCAGGATGCGCACCCGGAGGAGGGGGCAGAGCGGGCAGAGGTGGCGCGCGAGAGGCGGCGGAAGCCGGCGTCGCTGTCGGAGAGGCTGCCCAGGCTGCCCTCCTGGCTGACTGCCACAACGTCCTGGATCGCCTCCTCGCTGTCTGCCTCCGACCGCGCCGCCCGGCTGCCCTGCCCCTTGCTTGCCACCTCCTGAGCGCCCATGCAAATATTCTTCATATCTCATGAGTAATAAAAATCCACCCCTACACCGGACATGATCAAGGCTGGCACATGCAAGGGGAGACAGAAAATTAAATTTTCACCCAACAAGAGGAAAAGTGTTTGCCACATCGTTGCTCCTTGCAACAAGACTTGGGTGCACACCTCTCCGTCGGAGGTCCACTGGCTGCTGTCCGAGTCAGATCCCTCGTCGTCGCTGTTGCCAAAATGGTAGGAGGCAGGGCTGCTGATGTGGCTGAATGAGGATGTGCCGGAGCGCAGGTGCGGGCTGTCAGGAGGGCTGGGCTCCTCCTTTGCCTGCACATGAAAGACAGAATGTTGCACGAGAGACATGACATGCACATCACACACTGTCAAGAGCCTATACTATGACTGAGATTCCTACAATCTGGTGCAAACGTATCTGTTAGGAGAGCAGACTCTTGCAAGTCCCCTTAGCACTCAGTTCATCAAACGAATAGATTCAACGACAGGTTGTCCCACGATATGCAGACATACCTCCACGGGCATGTCTTGGTGGTCTTCAGGCTCGGCCTCAGCATCTGCCTCTTTCACTGGGCTGGCATGCTCGCCTGCCAGAAGTGGGTAACACAAGTCAGAGGCAAGTTGCTACCATTTCATGGTTTCTCTGTGCTCCTCATAGTGCAGCAAAATGGCCAATATGGCTTTCATGCGTAGGAGATGCGGTGGCTCTTGCCTGTCTGCTCAATGGCATCGGAGGGTTCGGCCACATCGGCGGGATCAGCAGCGGCGTCTTGAGCTTGGGGCAGGACAACATCATCCTCCACATCTTGCATGGCCACTTTGGAGCAAGGCAACTCCTCCACAGGAGATCCTTCAGGGCCTGAACTCTCGCCGCTCAGCTCATCTGGCCCCTGTGTCCACGGAAGCTGGTGTCAGGAATGTGCCGCTACCATCGAGTACGCAGAGCACGACCTGTGGTTTGAGTAACAAGAACGAAAGAATCTGAATAGAATGAGGGATTTAAGAGGGAAAGGAGGGGTCACCTGGGGTCCCTTGTCTTCACTTGGCGCCAGCGGCGCAACCTCAATCTTGGAGTCATCCTCAAAGTGTCCTTTCGTAGATGATCTGTCCGAAAAGAACAGACATGCATTGAGTTTGGGAGCTCAACAAACCACTCCAGACAAAGATTTTCCTTGGCTATGGTGGGTCCTCCATCACCTTGGGGAGTTGGGGGCTGAGTGCCTGCTGAGCATCTCCCATTCATGGAACTCGTTGGAAGCTCTTGAAGCAGGGGTGTTCGGGTTGCCCCTGTCCTCCTCACTTTTCCTATCTTGCTCGTTGATTGGCGACTTATTCTCTGGAATTGCCTGCAGCAAGGAGCAGCAGTCATGCGCCCATCAACACTGTGGTAGCGCTCCGCCTGTCTGGGATGCAGTTGCAAGTGCCCATGCTGTAAAGATGTTTAGGGCAAATCAGGGCAGATTCTCACCGGAATAACGGCCGGACTGGATGGTGACAAGTCGACAGCCACATCCTGGCGTAGCTTCCTCAGCTCCTCGTCCATGTTGATTGCCTGCGGTTTCAAAGGACCTGTTGCAAACCCTGCTTCTCCAGGACTAAGCAAGCAGGAGGGCCTCAGCCATTTTGCACTTAGGAGGACCACCCGATCAAAGATGAGAAAGTGCTGTAATTCATGCATGCATAGGGCTTGCACTGCCCACTTGCTTGCAGGCGTGGGCCACACGCAAACGCGAGCAGCACCACATTCAGCTTGGCAAGCATGTAGGAGGAACATACAGAAATGATAGAGAACTCTTTCTGCTTCTTGGGTTCATACTTCTCAAAAATCCGGTGGCAGCACGGACTGACATCTAGACACCGTGTCACATCTCAAGTCTGATTGCGTTAAGGTTGCCAGACGTGCCTTGGTCTCACACAAAGAGTCCCCAACAATTTAAGAGATGCTAAGAGCTTGTGTATATCATACAAGGGGCTTTCGTTGCTGCATGTCTTGTTCTAAGGCCGTAATCCCATGCTTTTTGTGGCTGTGTCATGGGCCAGACAGGCCCCGCGGAATGCCTCGGCCCTGCCTGTGAGCCACCCTTTAACTTGCATGCAACTAGTTTTTCGGCATGATCATGCATGCCTAGCCTTCAGACCCTTGCTTGGACTCGAAAGCGCTCCGGTGTCATGCTTTCCCGCTACGCCTTGGGAAGGAGGTCAAGGTTGCGCGCACCTGCACTCGGCCCGCCTTGGAGATCGATGTGTCCACTTTCTGCCCGGGGTTGACAGCAGGCCGTTGCCAAACGAGCAAGATGTCTCGTTTCTTGAGCCTTCTGGTCCTGACCCAGTGGTGGGATGCACTTCTGGCTGACTCATGAGGTGACTGGACCTCTTGATGATTGGCCTCCTTGTTTTGGGAGGACTTGCATGCAAGTTGCAAATGCGCAGGAATTCTACAAAATATATCAGATTATGTTGCATAGGAGTTTTATAATGTACGGCGCACACCATCTTCTTACGAAGAGAAAATCGAGCTTATTCTAGAAACACATCAGGAGATCTGGTTCTGATGGCTGTCCTGCTGGAGACGAGTAAGGGCGACATCGTCGTTGATCTTTTCACTGAAGAATGCCCGCTGGCCTCGCGCAATTTTGTCAAGCTCTGCAAGTGAGTTGGCTGCCCTCACCGGTTCTTTTGTTGATTGCTGAAAGTCATTTTCTTATTTCGAGTGAACAGCAAGGAAAGAAATCAAATGTATGTTAAATGAGACCCTCTGAGAATTTCCTATGCATAATTTCTTGCTGCTGGCTGCAGGATCAAGTATTATAACAATGTCCTGTTCCACAACGTGCAGCAAAATTTTATTGCACAGAGCGGTGATCCCACTGGCACTGGGACCGGAGGAGACTCAGTCTATGGGTACATATCTGTTTGCTCTTGCTCACTTGCAGCTTGCATTGCATAGAACAGACATACTTTGCGTGTAAATCTGTGGCTTGCTTAGTGTGTCTAGTGCCTGGCTGGGGTCAGGATCATGTACGGGGAGCAGGCCCACTTCTTTGAGGATGAGATACGGCCACATTTGCGGCACAAGAAGAAGGGCATGGTGGCCATGGCTGGTGAGGATGTCTGCTTCGTAGCCCGGCTTGTTTGCTTCCCCCTAAGACAGCGGTGTCCAGTCCTCCAATGGACTCATCTGCGTAGTATGATGCCCATGCAGGTGCTGGCGAGGACAGGAATGCGTCTCAGTTCTACATAACGCTGGGCAAGGACTTGGATTCCTTGGACGAAAAGCACACCATCTTTGGCGAGGTGCGCACATATTGATCAGCCCGGACAGCATTTCAGGGCAGCCATCTCATGAGTTGCAGCGCTCACAGCAGCCCCGGGCAAGCTGTGAGACAACTACACTCTGCCCAGGCAACATTTTCCAGGGCAGCCTGCCTACTCATGTTCCAAGCCTTCCCTTCAGTGCCAAAAAGCGTGTAAGACGGATACACTCTGCGCAGGTGAGCGAGGGACTGGAGGTGCTGGATGCCATCAACGAGGCCATCTGCGATGCCAATGGCCGGCCCCTGCAGAACATCCGCATCCGGCACACTATCCTGCTGGACGACCCCTTCCCCGACCCCCCACAGCTGGCCGACCACATCCCTGAAGGCTCGCCTGAGCCAGTCTACGCCACGGTGCGCAAGCACGCAACTGTCCTGATTGCCCCTAGACTGAGCCAGAACGGTTCTGACATCCCTGGTTTGCATGTCATTTGATGGAGTGCACCACTTAAAAAGGTAAACTGAGGCTGTAGAGTCCAGAGGAATGCAAACGTCCTGTCAGCATGCAGCAGGAACGTCGTTTGCCTTTTACTGCATGTCAGAGAGCATAGCAGAACTCAAGCAGACACATCTGCCAGCCTGCAAGCAATTTGTGCAAGTCCAAGGCGCCTTTGCAGAAGCCCAAAGTCCCTTGGGCAAAGAGGCTGAATTCCTGGAGGCCGCGCTGCCGTGGATCGACTTAAGCTGGTGTTGCGCAGGATGACAGGCTGGAGGATGACTGGGTTCCCCAGGAGGACGGGCGGTCCATAGAGGAGATAGAGCGGGAGACCCGGCAGCGCGAGGCGGAGAACCGAGCTGTGGTTCTGGAGATGATCGGCGACCTGCCAGAGGCGGACGCCAAGCCGCCCTCCAACATGCTCTTCGTGTGCAAGCTCAACCCAGTCACCACTGAAGAGGTGCGCACAGCAAAGAGCAGCTGGCACTATCTCCAAGCACTGCCCTCTGCAGATCCACTTGTGAGCTGAACACTTCTAGCTTTGATGCGCCTCCCTGCAGCATGCTGATCAGTCATGCATGGACCTGCGGGAGGCCATGAGGAAGATGCCTGGTGTGCTGGTGCAGGACCTCGAGATCATCTTTTCGCGCTTTGGCAACATCACGTCATGTGACATCATCCGGGATTGGAAGACCGGCGACTCGCTGTGCTACGCCTTCATCGGTTTTGACTCGGACCAGGCCTGTGAAGAAGCATACTTCAAGATGAACAACTGCCTCATTGACGACCGCCGCATCAAGGTAATCGCTGGCCTTACTTGCTTGCGTATGTGGCTGGAATGTCGGACCCAACCTTAGCCCCATTGTTTCACTGACCCTTTGAATTTGAAGCACTGAGACTTCAGCGTTCTCAAATGCACTTTCAAAAGCCCATCTTCTGACGCAGCAGTAATATCTTGGACTCAGGGACCCAAATGATGCTACATCTCCGCCATTGAATTGTGCTTGATGCGTCATGGCAGGTGGACTTCTCGCAGTCAGTGCACCACCTATGGAAGCAGTTCCGGCGGCATGGCAAGGCCGGCGGCGCGGAGGAGGCGGCCGCGGCGGCAGAGCAGGGCGGCCAGGAAAAGCGGCCGGCCGCGCCCGGTCGCCTAGAGCTCAAGCCCGGCGCCGGGCAAGTCTATGCCGGTCCAGCAGGTACAGGAACCTGCCCTTAATAATATGCCGTTTCAACGCACTTTGACAAGGGATGCTAAACACTACAGTAGTAAAAAATATCCCCTGCATGTGATCAACGCGCATCCCTCTCTGCGTGTGCCACTTGAGATGCTTCCATCATCTGCGCAGTGATTTGCTGCATGAGATTTGACTGTTTCATCAAGCAGAAGGACCATTCATGATCATTATCATTACACGCTTTTCCTGCCAAAAGGCAAGGACCATGGAAGGATGATAATTGTGTAATGACTGATGCAGGCGGTGGCTCTCGTGGGCGGGGCTATGATCTGGTGCTGGATGGCGATGCCGAAGAGGCTGGCCCGCGAGGAGGCCGAGCGGAGGTCAGGGGCCACCAGAACGGCGGCGCAGACCGGGGTCCCCGCGAGGGAGGCAGGCGCGGCGGGGATGACAGGGGGAACAGAGACGGTGGGCGGGAGGGCAGAGACCGCAGTGAACACCGAGACAAACGCAGGGATGGGCTCTCCAGTAGGGACAGGGAAAGGGACAGGGAAAGAGACAGGCATAGGAATGGGGATGGGGACAGGCACAAAGGGGCGCACAGGGAGAGGCAGGAGGCAGACAGGCGGCACAGCAGCAGGGAACACGAGGAAGACAACCAGCACAAGGAGAAGAAGCACAAGAAAGACAGGCACAAGGAGAGGCACAGGGAGAGGAGCGATGATAAGGATCACAAACGCAGACGACACGACTGATGTGTTTGGCCAGCAGAGTTTCAGTTGTTTGACCCGTCCCATTGTTTCACGAACTTGGTTGAAACTTGCCCTGAGTTAACATGCAGCAAGTGCAGTGCTGTGTGACGCCTAATCGCCATATTCATGATGAATATTTACTAGGCTTTGTGTGCATGACAAATATACGAGCCTTTGTCATCTGCCAGAGTGTGCAGCAAATCAGAAATAAGCTCAGGAACAAGCACTTCATTACATCAAGAAATCTTCTCTTGGCAACTCATTATATGACACCTCCAATCCTGATGTGTTACCTTGCAATTCCATACTTCGCACAGCGCACATGCAGTACAGCCATGGCCTTATATTATTTCCTTGAAAATGAGCGTCTTGGGTACAAGACGAAATGAAATAGTTCAAATAAGCACCCTAGTGGTACCATAGAAAATACATGGGCTGCAGGCTACAGGAGACTCTCCATAATACTTAAATGGCAGCGTCACTGTGTGCACTCTCAGGAGGCTCCCACGTCCTCTGTTGGAAGATACACAATCCTAGTACTAAGAAAGATTGTACAAAATCACAGGTACAAATGTGTTTCATTCCTGATATGTGGATCAGCCGATTGCATTGCATGTGCCAGCGCCAATAGGCACTGTTTGTTGGCAGATCAGTGAGGTGAATGTATCGCAACACCCATCACTCGGTCGCCAGCATCTTGCGGCCGCCTGTCGACACAGAACATCAAAAATGAGCTGCATGCACCTTCCCTTGCAAGGGACACTCAGCCACAAATAACCTAAGGATCTTGGCGTTGGTGGGCAACATTAGTAACAAGTGGCGACCCCTTTCCGTCTCACTAAAGTCACTACATCAACCCATATGCCCACTCACCTGCCAGAGTTGCAAGGCTTCCCAGACCTCCCGAGCCGCCACCAATGTTGCTGGCCAAGTCAGTAATGCCTCCGCTGCCTCCGCTGCCACCCAGGTTCCCAGCCAGGGAGGTCACAGTGCTGATAAGGCTGCTGGCGCCATCGCTGCCACCAGCTATGGAAGAGATGTCAGGCAGGCCGCCACCTCCCAGGTTGGCCAGGTTGCCCAAGTCAATCTGTGCCAGCTTCCGCTCATGGCCTGTGCAAAGCATGTAACTCCACATAGATGCCACGAAAACGAATACGCACAAATGCTACAGCCTTTGCTGAATTCATAGTAGAGGCCAAGTAGGTCTTCAATACATGGGTGCTGCTGCAGAAGTTGAAGCAGTTCAGGTGGATGGACGAGCTCGGCTCGAACTCCAAGCGTTTATGCGGCAACAAACATCACGAGTGGTGGTAAGCACAAGATCGACATCGATGCGATCACGCTTCGTCCGGCGGAGGCAGACACATACCTTCGGCAGAGGCATCAGGAACGACAGCAGCCAGGACGAGCGCGAAGGCGAGGAGCACGTAGAGGGACCTCATCCTGCAATAAACAGGCAGAGAGAATTAAGGGCAGGCCCCCAATTAAATGGGGTACGACGTCCCTGTTGGCCTCAATAGTGAGGGCTGCATCGCCCGACTAATCAGATATCTAGGCTCACTGGAAGCCCATACACGTTTGATGAGCCTTAAACACAGGCGAACCAAAGGGGCGAGGAATGTGAACCAGGAATAAATTTGATCGAATATTCACACACGTAGGTGATCACTAGGCTTGTTGCGATACTAGCCCTGGCTGCCTGAACAGCAGATAGTCCGCAAAGCTCGCGATCTTGTCCAGTGTGAGACAAAGGATGCACCCACGCACCTTGCTGATAGTTGGGCACGAGGCGGCTGAAGATTTGTGGGGAAAGGGCTGAGCGAGCGCGATGGTGAGGACTTCCAGTCCGACTTCCAGGTGTCCGCTTCGAGCAGGACGGCGTGCGCACTGCGGCAGGTAACGCCCCTTCTGCCCAAGAACTGCCCGCATCACGACATGTGTCATGCCATGATGGACATGTTGGTGCCAGCACATTGACTTGAACATGACAACCTTGGGCCTCAAATTCAAATTGAAAAATTCTGCGATTTCTGCCCCTAAAGCACGCTAGTGACGTGCCACTGACTGAGAGTGGGTGGGGTGCATCAACCAATCTATTTTTGCACAAGAGTAACAATTTCAGGCGAAGGAACATGCAAGCGGGTCATTCAACCAATTAATCATTGTGAAACTAAGGTATTTCGAAGGACAGCTAGTTCTTGGGGAGCCTGATCGCTTTGGCGATGGACGAGGAGAGGCAGGGCAGTCAAGGAGCTAGTCGAATGGATCCGTCTTCAAGCACTTCTTCACAATATGTGGAGACAGTTGATGGTGATCCCTTGGAGTCGCCAGCAGCTCGCAGCCTATGCAGACGATATAAGTGCCCTAACCCTTGTCCTAGTCCCTTTCCTTGTGCTAGAAAGTCCTGTCCAAATGACTCAACTGCTCACACCACGAGTGCTAAATTTAATCTTGAAGTGCATTTGTTTGTATCAGCACTGTTCCTTGGAGGCTTTGCGCTGCTTCCTTGGCTGTGGTTTGCCAACGCATGGCTGTTCTGGCCCCATCTTCAGCGGCAAGGGGACCCGGTTGTCAGAAAATGTACGACCGGGGGCCTCCACACACTAACTGTCTCAGGAGTAGCAGTGTTCAGTGCTGATCGTGTCTAACGCCGTGCTACGCTTCCGTGTGCAGACACACAGGGATCAGCTGTCGGATTTCTCATTGCTTCAGCGATCCTGTTGCCTTGGACGCTGACTTTCAGCATAGGTGCGCTCTGGATGATGCACGCCTGTGCTCAATCCTTTGCTCCTGAGTTTGCAAGTCCGAGCTGCCCATGTTATTCCACTGCTGATGCTTCACTGAATACTCTTGCAGGTGGACCGAGTGTTGTAGGGCAGGATGTGTTCCAAAGGTGGAACGTAGCAGGGCTGGATCTGCAATCATGGGGGATAGGCTTTTGAGTTTGAACTGCGCTCATGAAACAGGCATTGGCAGCTTGCCTGCTCGATATTAAACTGACGGGTTTTCAAAGCCTGACATGTCGATTCAGCACTTGTTTAAGAATTGTGTCTGTGCTCTTAGACACCTTCAACAGGTTTGTCGTGATGCGCGCTGGGCAGCTGTGGCTAAAGATGGTCCAGATAAGCTCCCAGGAACCACCTCCCCGGACGTGCACACTGACTGTGGAATGCTGCTGCAGATAACTGCCAGTCAGTGCCAGTGAACTCACAGGACATGCATGAGGACATTCGATTAATGATAGGAGTCATCATGATGCTGATAATTATTATGATGTACCTCAAATAAAGTTGATTAGCTTAGTGAAGAAGACATTCTTTCTAATCATCACTGATGTAAGCGCAGCTCTGAAAGTCTGAGATCGGTTGCTTTGTCCGACGCCTTTCCACTGGCCAGGGATTTTCGAGCTACACCATTAATGATTGGGATCGTGCATATGCTGCAGCTGCTTATGCCCAACAGGCTGTTGTGTCATTAGCGCTGCCTGTCTACTGATTTCAGCCGTCACAGCAATATGCGTGCAGACACTGGGGTAAGGACCAGGTTCAAGTTCGATTGAAGTTTCAAGAGTTCTAGAAAAATCCTTGCTGGTCCAAGGGCCCCGGGGCGCGGTCGGGCCAGCAGACTAGTCATTGCAGCAGTCATTGGATCACGGTGGAGATTGCCAGCATCCAAACACATGTCGAGCATGTTCCTATCCCACATCCAGCCTACCAAACTCCTTGCCTCCCAAGGTGCCACTCAGATTCCATGGGCATGCAGGAGATAAGCATGGACACCACGTGACACCATCACCGAAAATTGCTGCGCTGGCACAAGACGGCATCTTAAACTTGAAGTTTAGTGGCATCCTTCACCCTGTGCTGTGTTCAAAATAATATAGGCGTTATTCAAGGGCTATTGAGGCAAAAGTACAAGCCGGGCACGAAATTTGGTGGCGCCAACCAATTTCAGATCTCTCAACTTGAGAGGATGATCTCGGCCTTGTGTTGGATTGCTCGAGAAGCTGCGAAGGATGTTCCAGTTCTAAGTGAGCCGACGGAAGAAGAATTAAAGGAATTGAAAGAGGCAGCTCTGGCCGGAGCAGGTGTGCACTTGGCTGGGGTGGGCGCTTTACTAGACCTTGGGAATCATTATGACTTGTCGATCATAAATGTTTTGCCATTTATCTAGGAGATGAGGACGATGATGAGATCGATGCCGACGAGGAGGACACGTCTGACGATGAGGATATGGACGAGGCAGCGCAGGTTGAGAAAGCTAAAGCAATGGCAGAAATGCTCAGGCCCTCTGGAGGAGGTGTGTCCGATGTTGCAACAGATACAGGATGCTGTCACTTCATGCGGGTGTCACATGATGTCTCCGTCGCAATGACTTAGGGGAGAGCTTCTGAATGGGCCGTCTGCTCCATGCAGGCAATGAGGATGCCAAAGCAAGCACTTCTGCAGGGCTCGGCAACATTGATGCTGCTATGGCAGAGCTAGACATGGAGCATTATGATGATGAGGAAGGAGATGTGCCCGGTCTGTTTGGGACGGGCAAGCATCCTGGCATGGCGTACCACAGCAGGGCTGAGGATGATCCCTACCTGGCAAAGGACATTTCTGATAGCGATGACGAGGAACTCACCCTAAAAAAGACAGACTTCCTCATTCTGGCTGCCAGGAATGAGGATGATGTCAGCCACCTGGAGGTGTGTGAGACCAGAAGTTCTCTATCGGCATATCTGCTGACAACAGAGAAGAGCAAGAAAGTTGGACACTGAAATTGTGAAGCGGAGCATGCTGTGCTGAGCAGGTCTGGGTGTATGAAGACATGGACGAGACAGGAGAATCGAATCTCTATGTGCACCATGACATCATCCTGCCAGCGTTCCCTCTCTCTTTGGCGTGGATGGACTGCAATCTTGCAGACACAACTGCAACTGCCAATCTTGCAGCGGTGAGCCTCTCTTGCATGTCTGTTTGCCCCAGATCCTAGCGGAACACATCAGATTTAATTTACTGTACAGGTGCTAAATGGCTGCATGTATTGCATGCTGATGCTACTTTCTTGTGCAGGTGGGAAGCATCAGTCCAGCAATTGAGATCTGGGACTTGGATGTCTTGGATGCAGTGGAGCCGCTGGTAACTCTTGGTGGGGAGGCGCCAGCTGCCAGCACAGCAGATGGATCAGCCTCTGAGGGCGCAGCCATAAAGAAGAAGAAGAAGAAGTCCAAGGTACTAAACATACACGAGGCAATGAAGCGCCCTGGATCTCACACCAGCGCAAGCCTTGGGGATGAGAAAACACTGATTTGAGGTTCACAAGAAACATATGAAGCTGTGCTTCAAGCTGTGCTGTGCTTGGTGCAGAAGAAGGGGCTGAGTGTGAAGGAGGGGAGCCACGAGGATGCGGTGTTGGGCCTCTCCTGGAACAGGGACTTCAGAAATGTCCTGGCCAGCGCAAGCGCAGATAAGACTGTCAAGGTGTGGCCAAGGAGTGTCCTTAGACAACTCTTCCTCGCACCAGCCAGCTGTGCTCCTGTTCACCATCCCCTGGCTGTGTTTAAATTTGTAAATCAATTTGTATCTGAACAAGGGGCTTGGTGGATTGCAGGTGTGGGATGTGGCGAGCCAGCAGTGCCAGCACACACTGACTCACCACAAGGGCAAGGTGCAGGCAGTGGCATGGAACCCCGCTGAGGCCCCCGTCCTGCTGTCTGGCGCCTTTGACAAGGTTGCTGCGCTGGTGATTCTCCTTCAAATCCCTTGCTGCTGCACTGTTTGCTATCACAACCCTCTGGCATCACCGTCTATCACTGTCTTTCACTGATCTCCCCACATTCACTGTCAGTGCATGCACAGCACACAGCAAAGAGAACAATGTAGGGCGTTGTTGCACAGCATTCAGGCCCATGCGGCTGCACAGAATCATTGGATAGATTGCCAAAGCACCGCGCGGGGCATGATGAGTGCAACCTTTGAGACAAGGAGGTGGCAAAAGAAGATGTGACAACAACCGGGGGTTTTTCCTTTTCCTGTAAATGGAGTCTTGCTACTGCCTGCAGGCGGACGTGCGCGTGCCGGATGGGCAGCCGCTGACGTGGAAGGTGAGCGCTGACGTGGAGGCGCTGACGTGGTCGCCGCACGCGCCCACCACCTTCCTGGTGTCCTCGGAGGACGGCCTGGTGTCGGCGTACGATGCGCGCGGGGGGGCCGGCTCGGAGCCGCTGTTCCGGCTGGCCGCGCACGACGCCGCCACCTGCGCACTGTCCTTCAACCCGGCCGCGCCCAACCTGCTCGCCACCGCCTCCACCGACAACATGGTGCGCCGGCGTGCGCTTGCGACGCCATGCATACTCTTGGATGTTATTTTGTAGTCCATGTTGCATACCTGAGGTGTGTGCGATGCGGCAGCAGTGCCCATGCTGAGAGGGCGAGGACCCTGGTTGTATGGGCTGGATGCCCCTTCCCATCCCGTTTCTGGCGAGGCGTGCCCCTTATGTGGGGCAGGCTGCTAGGCATCACACAGTGATGCTGGGCAGATGCAGTGTGCAGCGCAGGCTTGTAAGGGCTAATATTCTAGGCCCGTGTACCCAAGCGGCTACGCGCAGAAGCAGGGTGAATACAGGACTGGTGTGTGAGGAAATTGGGTGGATGTGCGCAGGTGAAGCTGTGGGACGTGGCGGACAACAAGCCGTCGCTGGTGGCAGCGCAGGACCTGAAGGTGGGTGCCTGCTTCACAGCCGCCTTCTGCAGGGAGGCGCCCTGGCTGCTGGCTGCTGCTGGAGCTGCAGGGACGGTGGCGGTGTGGGATGTGCTTACTAATGCCGCGGTCAGCAACCGCTACAACAAGCATCTCAGAAGGCAGACAGCTTGACACCAGGCACTGGGCATGGCAAAGATAGGATTTGTGTGGATTGTTGTACTCCTGAAAGCGTTCTCTCGAGCAACGCAGTGTGTACAGGCAAGCAATAATTTAATGTGCTTGTATTGATCGCTGTCCAGATTTCGCAAAGGGCCTTTCCACACAACATGGGAATAAGAAGAGCAGACTGGATAGCTAGAGCAACACTCAAGATATCCTCAATCATTTTGTCACATGCAATGAAGCTGCGGCAGTAATACATTGTCAGAAGCATCATCAATAAAAATCGCACTTATTGGCGAATATCCCACTATCTATTCCTGCCTAAAAGCTCCTCTACCGTTCTCTTCATGTTGTCCGCTACAAGGTAAGCATTTGATTGCATCTTCACCAAAATCTTCTTGGCGCTCTGCTGGAACTTGTCAGGGAATGTACCCCAGTCCACTGCGCCACCCACTCCGCTTGCTCCAGGAAAGTATTGCGGTTGGCTCCTGCAATAAACACCACACATCCACATTGGATCTTTGTATTGAGCTCAGTTCACCTCTGTCAGGCTGATCAAAGCTACAATGCCACAAGAGTAGCATGGCTACGAGGAAGCTGTGCAAACAGGCATGGCTGCCTTCAGACTACTGCATTGACTTCAGTGCAGCATAGGGCAAAGTGATAGGTGACAGGCTCATACTTCTGAGGAGGCCCTGGCCGCTGCGGTTCCCTGGGTGGCTCAGATGTGCTGGGTATGGTGGCACTTGTTGCCAAGACGACAGGGGTCTGCTGCAGCTGCGTTGCTGATATGATCTCAAGCCCTTCGCAGTGGGGCAGCTCCACTGGGTCTGTGGGATTGCTCGCCTGTTTGCTGTTCTGCTTCATCCGCTCTCCATCCCAGATGCCCATTCCCACGCAGAAGTACTGCAACCAGATCAAGCACCTGCACTCAGTTACTGCGCATCCCGGCTGCCCAGGCAGTGATAGCAGACAATGCAGCGCTGACATCACCAAATCAGCCCAAGACCCGCCGAACACTGACCATTGATTGACCTACTTATTAGCCCTTGAGGAAACGTTCACACAAACTTAGGCAACACTGTGAGGGCCTACCTTGAAGTCTCCTGCAGGAACAGCATCTGGCTGCCCCAATTCATCCATGTGTGGTACAGCACTCTTCCTCCTCAGCCCTGCGCAGACCTACATTACACGCCCACCATATACACAAGTCAGTATCAGGATCGATCTACGAGCTCGCTGCACAATTCAGCACCTCTGAGAGTCTCATCAAAATATTGGGACTCTTACTGGAGTTCTGGCTCGTTCGTGAAGCGCCTGGCTGAAATACAGAACGCCCAAGCAACACTCCGGGTTGCTTTCAGCAGGATTCTTGGTCGGTGTTAGAGTTGTTGCTGCATCGCTGCTCCCGTCTGACATGTCGATGATTGAAACGCAATCCTTTCTCTTTCCAAGTGCGAACAATTCTTATGTCAACAGCAATTGAAATGATATTTAGGAGATCAGAAACTGTGTAGCCGTGCTTCACGTGGGTGATCTGGCACTCCTGTTGCCACATGGCAATGGCCCCCTCAAATCTGTCCCACCCATGATGGAGGATACCTCCCTGTGGTGCATTCAGTTGCCTGTTCTCGCGCTCCTGCTGAATCAGCCTGTGCAGAAACTCGTCGGACTGGTGGCGACGCCTGCACGGCTGTGATGCATACCGTATGCAGCATCACAGATTGCCATATTCATGCGGCAGCAGCAGCAGCCCCACTGATCAGTGATGGTGCAAAGGGAGGAGCAACACGAGCACATCTCAAATGCACCAAGTCTGGAGGTATGATCACACCTACTAAGATGCCTTTGTATCACAGTATAGCCAGGCATACAGTCGTCACAGTCGAGGACTGAAGGCTTCTCAGGACTATCATCTCGTGATGATCACGACGCCAGCGAATTGTTTACAACCGATCATGCCTCAACTTGAGCAAGCAAATAAAATCGTCCAAGTTGCCACGGTCTACAGTACCAAAAAAAAGGTTTGTTTCCCATGCTTCCAGATTCCTGCCTTGCCCAGGAAGTATTTTGCATGCTTCCTTGTATGACCGGCAAATGCAGCAAGTGCACTTAGATGCTGCCACAGCGGCATGACATTCTACAAGCTCGCACTCACTCCGGCATCACTGAAGATCTTCTTCAGCTCCCCTGATCTGTACTTGCTGTGTGTGTCTGCATGGCAGGAAGAGCATGTCACGGTTGTGCATCAGTATTATCAAACTTCTGCATCAAAAGCTAATAGCACGCACAAGGAGCCTTGAAACAGCACAACGGCAATCCACCAGGCATCAGCGGTCCACCAATGGCAAGGGAGGAGAGCAAGTGAAAGAGGCGCTCACCATCAGCACCTCCGATGTACGTACCCCCCACAAAGACTTGGGGGACTGTTCTGCTGCCCGACACATCATACAGGGCATCCTGCACATCCTGCCCATCCGCTGCAATCAGGGGAAAGCACACCCATCAGCCACATCATGATGTCTCTGATCATTGCTTTTCTTATCTGCCTCATGGAAGGCGTTGTCTTTGGCTGCATTTAACATGCTGCAAATGCTTACCCATCTCGTCTAGCTCAAAGAATTTGGCATCCACGTTCAGCTCCTTGAAAAGTCCTCTCACCTGCATCACAGTTGCGCAGTGAGGCTCACGGATATAATTGATCAAGATACAGGGTGTGATGGCTAGCAAACACCTGAAAACCAGAAAGGCTGGGGCCCACCCTTGCGCAGTAAGGGCAGTACGTCCTGCACACATCACACAGTCTCACCCTCTACTTGCCATTTGTGTAGAATTGGCACAATCAAAAGCAGCATTTTAAATTCCAACGCAACACAACATGATGGTCAGCATAGACAGGACGCACTTGCTGTACACAACAACTTTTTGCTTTGCGTTCTGCTCCTTCACTTTGTCCACAAGGCTGGAAGCTGTTGTGATGTCGGATGCACAGGTTCTAGCTTCGCCTGATGGAGTGATACAGGTCGTCAGTGCAGGAACCATCAGCAGCAGGACTGCAGGAAACGAAAGGGCCTCAGTATCAGTGAGATCTGGAGCTGATCGGCAAACATAGGCCCAGCCACGCACCTACACCGAGCGACCGCGGGGCAAACAGAAGGCCTACGGATTGCCTTCTGCTGTAGAGGGGGCCAGCAGAGTAGCAACGTGACTTGGACAGGGCCATCCTCGGAGAACTCTTCGGTGCAATCGCAGCCTGAATCAGGGCACGCATGCCGTGGCTCGCCATTGTGAGCTAGCTTCAAAGTTTCTGTTTTCACTGGCTTGAAGCACGCGTGGATTTTGTTGCCGAGAAATGTGTTGATGAAGGCACGTGATGGCGACATGTCGGCACACGGACACTCCTCGACAAAGTTGCTGGGCGGCCGCTTCCTGCGCCAAAAATTTCCTCGCGATCACTTTCCCCTCAGCAAGATAAGCTCAGTGGAATTTGAGAAATCGACATTAACTTGCAGATCACTTGGTTCGCAAGAGGAGGACACAACTGTGCACCTAGTACAAAACATCCCCATTTCTATTTTTCATTGTCGAACTTGTCTCGACTGCAGATCTCTAAAGATTTCAACCTGATCGTACACATCCGTGTGGCGGGATGAGGCCACTGACCGAGGAGGTGATCATACTCTAACTCAATTTCCAAAGGCAACCGCGTCTGACCCTCTTAGAAACTTTTCATGTTCCATTTCCTGATTCGTGTTTTTTTCATCTGCAGGAGACAAAAGCTGTGTTTCAGAAGCTTCACAAATTCATAGGCAAGAATATCAGGCACCTGGTGGAACGGACAGACGAGGACTATGTCCTCCGCATGCACTCAAATCGCATATACTATGTGCGGGAGAGCCTGATGCGTCGTGCCACAAATGTAAGTCAGCCTTCACAGACCTCAGGAAAAGTGATCTTAATTTTCCAGTCGACGTGACAGGCCCTGTAAGACTGTGTACTGCTGCAGGTCTCTCGGGAGAAGTTGGTGCACCTTGGAACATGTATAGGCAAGCTCACACACAGCGGCAAATTCCGCCTCACAGTGGGAGCCCTGGACGTGCTTGCACAGCACGCAAAGTACAAGGTACATCCGCGCATGGTACCCACCATGCCCTGGCTACCGGTACCTGATTTGCTTTCGAGGAGTGTGCTGCTTGTCATTTCTTTTGTTGTTCTTCAAAGCGTGAAGGTTACTGCAAGATGCTGACATCAAGGCTCCTGATGATGAGATACTTTACTTCAGTCTTCAAACTGAGATAGAACATGCTGATTTGTATATTTCTGAAGGGCCTTACTGCATTTTGAATGTGAATGCGTGACAAACGATCTCATTTCATGACTTCTATCTAGATCACGCTCACCTGCCGCTGCTGAAGTCTAGACAATGCTTCACAGGTGTGGGTGAAGCCTTCAGCAGAGATGCAGTTCTTGTATGGCAACCATGTGCTCAAATCGGGGCTGGGCCGCATCACAGAGAGCACGCCAGCCTACACAGGAGTTGTTGTGTACTCCATGACAGATGTGCCCCTGGGATTTGGGGTCACAGCCAAGTCCACGAGCGAGTGTAGAAAGATGGATCCCAGCGGCATCGTGGTGTTTCACCAGTCAGATGTGGGCGAATACCTGCGGTCTGAAGAGGACCTTTAGTCTCTCCTCGGCGCATCTCTTCTTTGTCTCATAGTCAAGCTCCATGTCTTCCCAGACTGGTCTTTGTGTCCACTAAAATTACATCAGTCCCCCTTTTTTTTTTGGTTGGACTGACTCGGTCTATCTCTGAACTGTTTTTTTAAGAGGTAGCCATGGAGTCTTCAAACGATTGCAGATATGGCTGAAGGAACAATAAAGTGTCAAGATTGAAGGCCTTAAGTTTTCTTGAGAGCTTGTGGTCTTGAAGCCCTTGGCAGCAGTAACAATCTCATTTGGGTGACCACACAATGTGCAAGTTCTGATGAGAGGCGTCAAATAAATTGCAGATGCAACACAACTGTAATGTACAATGATTATTGATACACAGCTGTGCAGGTACACTTCACATCGTAACTTTACAAAAGCAGTCGGCGCATTTTGATGGGAGATACACATCATTGAAAAACATGCACATGCAGCAGGACCACACGAAGCACTTCATGCGAGTTCTCATCTATTCCAGAGCAATGACCATTGTAGCTCACAGGGCCACAGGGCGATTCAGATCGAATGGTACATTGGAGCAGATCACAGGAGTCTGTCCGCTGAGCCCCGCCATGTCGAGAGCCCCGTTGACCACCTTGCTGACAAGGCCGCCAAAGAGGCCGCCGACTTTAGGAGGCAGCTTGGGCGGCCTGTTCCCAGTGCTTGCATGAAGCTGCTCCAGCGCCTGATTCATGGAATAGAGCAGCTGCAAGTATGTGATGTGGGTGCCCTGTCTCTCTATGGCCTGCACCAGACAGCCAAATATCAGCAAATTTTGGGGCAGATTTTGTGTTTGCAAATCAACGATAGCAATGCGGCAGCTACCTCCAGAGCTACAGGAAGACCTTGACTGGCTGGTGGGAAAATGTATATCGTACCTGAATGAATGCAAAGGTGGCTGCACCGGTGCTGACACTCCCAGACATAGTTGCTGTGTCGGCTGCTGTCTGCTTGTCCCTGGCTGCGCCAATCTGCAGTGCCTCACCGCCAGCTGTCCCCTGAGGTAACACACTTGTGTTTACACCCCACACGTCCTGAACTCTCTCATTCTGGCAAGGTGCAGCCAAGCGCTCTGCAGTAGGCAGAAGAGTGATAACAGCACCTTATAGATGCTGGTACGGCGTGTGTATTCATTCTTCCATCTTACGCCAGTGTCCTTAACCTTGCACTTGAACTCGAGGTCCAGAGCCGACCCGGAGTGGCAAGCGTCGATGATTGCATGCAGCCGCACCCCATGCGGCAGTGGATTCACCAGCAGTCGATTCATCTCATCATCAACAATGTAGCCGGCCTGCGTCAATAGTTCCTCGTCAGCCCTCAGCATGTCATGAGAAGCAGCATTTCTGTTGCATCGCTGAGCAAGTAGGACACAATCATGGACACAAATCAATGACAGCCAAGATGCAATGATGAGGACTGAGAGGGCACCGTCTTGAAGTCGCATGGGCAGATGGTCTCGTTCAACCCATCGCTCTCATCTCCATATTGATCTCTGATTTGGGTTCCATGCCCTGTGCCCACTCACTTCTTAGATCCCATCAGGGGAAAGTTGCAGAACAATGTACGGCAGCAATTGCTTGGCGGCACATTGAATTGTACCATACCTGAGAAGTGGAACACCAAGGAATCGCCGGGCTGGGCATTCCAGGTGAGCAGCTGCATCTGATAGAGCATGTTGGCCCTTGTGGGCCAGGCCTGGGGATTGGGCGAGTCGTCTGTCAACATCACAATGTCGCTGTCCCGGAAATTGAAGCGCGATGTCAGAAGATGCCGCAGACAGTGTGCATCGTTGATGCATCCTCGCAATTCAGAGCTGCTTCCCCTGTGACCACACAATACATCACTCATCGAGACAGGTCCTCTACAGCCACACAACATGGCAGACAGCACTATTTCAACATCAAAGAGTACGTGCCATTAGCACAGACAGCTGCACCTGTAGTTGCACGCGCAGAGCAGCGCCTTCTTGCGCCCAGTGGGGTTGTAGGTTTGGCCAGGGGCCGGCTGCTGATGAGCTGGTGCAGGTGGGGGCATGGCAGGAGCTGGCGCGCCAGGAGGCTGGTATGGAGCCACTGGAGTGCCAGTGGCTGCACCTGGTCCTGGAGGAAATGCAAAGCCCTGCAGGGACAGCACCTAGCTCAGCAGAACCTAGACCAGTGTGGATGACAAGGGAGCTTGCTTCAGCGGAAGATCCTTGCAAACAACGGTTCCCAGGGGTCAGAGAGGCACACCTGTCCTCCTGGAGGACCATATGGGTTGCCACTTGGAGGCTGTTGGGGCATGTATGGAGCCGAGGCGCCAGGATAGCCACCCTGGCTTGGGGGATAGCTTGCCTGGGGAGGAGGATACTGAGGGGGATACTGAGGCTGTTGACCCCACATGGTTGACCAACGATGGCTTGGGTTTTTAGGTATATATCGATGGGCCCTAGGTTTAGCTGAAGTATGGAAGAGGAAAAATACTCCTGCGTGAAGAGGTACTGCTCAGAGAAATTCCGAGGAATCTTGTTGATGCGGATATAGGAAACAAATATTCTGGTCGATCGTCCTTAAGTTTGCTGCAAAGTGTAGCCAAAGTTTGCTTCTGGATCTCCTACAATCGCTTGACTAACGTGTGGGATAGTTCCGAGAGAAATCTCGGTTTCTCCCAGAGCTGTAGACGTCGTACTACAGGTATCTAAGAAATTGTTAGTAAGTGCATCGGCAAAGCGCCAGACATGTTTATGGTGCGAAGAGGTGTCGAGATTGTGAAAGGAAGATCTCGAGAGAAGCTTCCTCAGTGACAGCATGCAGCTGCCACTATAGGCAGCATATATATGGAGGATGAGAGGCCCGATGCAGACATTGCTCCTCAAAGTAGGTGACACGCCTTTCGTATTTTGCAGGATCCATTGATCATGATACTTGCTTTCACATATGCCCATCAAACACATTAAGCACAGACCAGTAATGAATACAACCTGTGGCAGCCTGACAACTGAGCCTCGCCTCCGAGTCTAGCCTCTGTGAGTGACTTCTAAGTCGATACTATCAGCTGCAATCAGCTCAGCTACATGCTGATCAAATTTCTGGTCAATTAATCTGCAATTTCTATGTCTCATCCTCCTAGGATAGCAACGTACTCATGTGCATTTCAACAAGTCTCTCCCTGAAGAGCTTCATTTGAGCGCACTTATCTTTCATTTCCTGACGCATCAGAGTTCTCAACAGTTCAAGGTCCGGATGACAGGGGTTCAAAAATTACCAATTCAATGAGTTCAGCTGCAACAGCGTCCTGCACAGGCCCATTTGTTCCCGGGTCAGGATGCTGCAACGCTCTTGCAGAGCTCCTCGAGTTCCTGGGGCGAGGGCGTCAGCTGCATGGAGGGGTAGCACAGCGCCATCTGCTCCTCGAGCTGCACATACCGCCTCAGCATCTCCGTCTGCAGCCGCTGCCACACCTGCACCGCGCACCACACTTACCCGTCAAGCACACTGTCCCCACAGCTACTGCCGCACCTTTTCAACGGCTTTGCCTCAGCTGTCTCTAGGGTGTTGACAGTGCTGCAGATGTCAGGCACACTCCATGCTCCTCACATGCAGACCGCTTGTGCAAAAAGGAGAGGCCTGGGGGTGACAAAGGGAGAGGTATCTGACCTGCGCGGCCAGCTTTGGCGCGGTGGCGCCCAGGTGCTTCTTGATGCGCGAGTGCATGGCGGCCAGCTTGCGCTGAGGGCTGGCCAGCGCGGAGGTGATGATTGCGCGCAGCTCGCCAGCCTGGCAGCCAGCCTGGAACGCCACCTCCTCCACCTCCACCGCCTCCAGCAGAGCATCCACCCTCTGCACAACATGTCCACAGGGCTCTTAACTGACTCCTTAGAGGCAATGATATGAGATGGTTGGAGAAAAGCCGGATGATATCAAGTATCAGCTGCAAACAAATTGGATTGGCTTGCAGGCCATCAGTGGAAACATTGGTGTATTAAACACTTATCCGACGAAAAGGATAAGCCTGTCTGTACTCATCCTAAACCCTGAAATTCATACAATGACATTCAGTACCCTCATGCAGAACTGCACTATGCATCGGAGAAGCCTCGAGGGCGGACACTGCCAACTTGCATGATGTTGGGCAGTTGAAAAGGCGTGCAAGAGCAAGGAGAAGGGCGGCAGTTAGCCTGCTGGCAGATAATTGAAGTTTACCTGAGAGAACTCGAAGAGCTTCCAGAGCTTGGCATACTCCAGCTGCTGCTGCACGTAGATGAGCATCGCGCTCTCCTTGGCCGCACCCGCTGCCGCCACGAAAAAGGCCAGCACGGGATTCTGCACCCAGCACAGCTTGCAGCATCAGCCCTGCCGTAACGTCGCAGATGACATCCTGAGAGCTCCATGCAAGATTAACAGACACAACAAAGGAAAATGGTCACCCTGGACGCCAGCGGTTTGAGCTCGTTTTCCAGGAGGCTGTAGTTTTCGAGGCGCAGGCGGTCGCCGTGCTTGACGTCGGGCCCCGCCGTGCGCTCCAGCTGCGTGAACATTGCACGCACCAGCACCGCGTACGTTGCATCCACAACTTGCCTGCATGCACCACCCCCCTCACAAACCAATCCCATTCCACCTCGGTAAAAGAATAAATTAACCCAGGAGTGAACGTTGCAGATACATATGGCACACCAGTGGTTGTGTAGCATTGTGCTCAGCATAGTGAAACGCGTGGAGAGTACTAGCTAAAGTGCCTACTCTGTGCATGCATCCATGAGCACTGAACGCTGCTGTGCACACAATGCACATACACTTCTCGGAGAACTGACGGCGCGGCGCAGCATAGGCCAAAGAGAAGGACTGAGGCATATTCTTTTCTGGGAACAGACCTGACGGAGGTGAGCTCGTCGGCGGAGGGCATGCGGTCGGGGATGCCGCCGTCCCCAAAGGAGCCGGGACCCAGCGCCGCCGCGGAGGGGCTGAGTGCGCTGGGGTTGCGCGTAGGGGACCGGGAGGGGGATCCCCCGCGGCTGCCGGCGCGCTCGCTCCAGGCGCGGCCGCTGCTGGGTGCCCCCAGCGACTCCACCATCTCCAGCCGCCTCACCAGCGACTCCGTCGGCTGCTGCCTGTGCACCCCCACCGCCCTTTCAGCCTCCTCTTTCCACTTCACACCCGATTTGGCCTGTCACCCTTCAGCTCCAGGGCATGCAGGTAATGCATCTGGCCTTAGAATATGGCAGAGAAACCGGAATCAAGGAGACGAGGCATGACTCAGGAACTACTGTATGTGGCGCTGCGTTTGGGCTGAAGGAAGAACGGGGCAAATCCATCCCAGCGGCTGGCACGTGCTGCATTGGGAGACGGAGCAGCGACATTGAGGGGAGGGACGTGTGTGCGCGCCTGCCGCCTCGGTAGCTGGGGCGCAGGCTGTCGGAGCCGGAGCCAAGCTCGTCGGCGCTCAGGTCCGCCTCGTCAGCGCCCTCCTCCTCCTCGCTCATGTAGTCTATGTCGTCCAGGCTGCCGCCGCCGCCGTCGGCGCTCTGGCGGCCGGGTTCCCAGCCGGCGCGCCCCGCGTAGCTGTCATAGCGCAGCTGCTCCAGCCGCGCCATGCTCTCCGTGCTCGCGCTGCCGCTCATCACCCGCCCCGCCATGTCGTGGCCCCCGCCATCCCCACCCGCCACTGTTCGAACAGAACATGCACCCCTTAGAATCTCCTCTGCATAGGACTTGACCGTCGTCACCATCTTTGATCAGACCATGCAGACGTGAGACCCTCCTCGGCAAGCTTTCTGTGATTTTGGCACCATCACCATGTTTGAACAAAGGTCCTCCTCTGCATGCTTTCTTTGACATTCCGTCTCCTCAATCTTTTTAGAGAGAGGTTGAGATCTACTAGAGCCAGCACCAGCCAGTCGATTTAAAGACACGGGAAGTCTGGAAGCACGGAGCTGGGAAAGTACCGCAGTAAGTATAACCAATGAAAATCAGTACGCCCTTGCTGGGATGGGAGTAGGGCAGGGAAGGAGGGGTCACCTGGGGAGTGGCCCTGCGTGCCGGCCAGGAGATTGTCCAGGCGCGTGGCAAGCAGGACAAAGTTGGGGAAGAAGGGCAGGATGTGCTGGCTCTTCACCGTGTCCTGCATGCTCATGGCGTTGCGCCCATCGTACCTTGTTATCGCCAGCACCTGTAACCCCAAGCAACATCCTCAGCATGAATCGCCCATGCCTTACAGCCTGTGTCGATGATTCTGCAAACCATACACAAATTGATGTGAGGTGCATTTGCTGCATGGCACGCATGGATTTGGGTCTCACGCAGTCATGAATGTATCGCTCAAAGAGCGCGAGCAGCCGCTCGGAGCAGACGTCCAGGATGTGGGCGAGAGGTTCTGCCACCGGCTCCGCGGCGACGCGCTCACGCCAGCCCAGCACCTCGGCCATCATGGGAATGCACAGCAGCTGGTGCTGCTTCGACACCAGGTCCAACTGCGCACAGCCCAGCTGCATTCAGTCTCACTGCAATCGCTCGGCAAGACCGCAAAGTAAGTCTGCTCAGGACCCCCATACTTCCTGACACCATTAGTTGACATGCCTTTCTCACTTTGAAATCCTAATAACTTCGTTGTCTGCCGGCTTTGCCAACTCATCTGCGGCTCCGGGACTCCTATATTCATCATGACACAGTCGGCTAGTGTTACTAGAGATTAAACAACCCGCACCATGGCCAGGACATCATGCTCGATGCCGTCCATGAGCGCCCCCAGCTGGCGCACGCCCTCAGCTGTGAGGACTGCCGGGGGATGCACCTCCTCGCCATCCATCTCCTCCCCCTGCCCTTCACCCACCCCCGCATCCGCCAGGCTAGTACCTGCGCTCAACAAGCTTCATCCATTGCAATGACCTGGTCTTCAGAGCTCTGCACATCTGGCCAGCAAGTCATCAGACACGCACAGTAGCATAGAGACGCAAACCTACGCGCCAGCAATCATGCCATATTCCATTGATTGATGCATGCCTGTCAAGAAGTCTTGGTGACCTTTGAGATACAGCGAGCCGAGGCGGCAGTTGCTCATCCAGAAGGGAGCAGCAGGTCACCTGCAGCTGTCGCGGCCTCCTCGTTGGGGCGGTAGAGCAGCAAGAACGCGGCTGCAAAGTCACACTCGTCCACGAGCATGGGCACCCACTCGTTGAGGCAGTGCTGCAGCGCCGTGTGCGGCATCATGTCCCCAGCGCTGACGCTCTGGCCGCTGCCATCGTACTGGCTCGAGCTGGCCAGCCTGTGTAGCCTGTTCTCCCCCGCTTCCTGCATTCATTCCTTCTGCTTTATTGGGCAAGCTCGCATGGGCTCATACAAGAAGCCTGCATTGCATTGCAACCAATCCAAACATGAATCAGCATTGATCTGCTGCCACTATGCTGCCACCAGCAAAAATACCGGACTACCTGTACAATCTCAATGAATGCATCATGGCATGTAAGCCATTTCACCCGCCTCACATAGTAGTCACTCCAGTTGTCCTTGGCATCCATATTGCTCGGCAGTTACTGGCACCCGGTGAAAAGAGAAAGAGCAGCAGCATGCGCACCTTCTTAAAGCCTTTGAGGATGTCGGGCTCGGGAGGGGCGGTGGCCATGCGCGCGACTGCCATGCGCCTGAGCTCGCTGGTGTACGCGTGCAGCTCGCGCCGGAGCAGAGCGTTGATGGCCGTGCAGTACCTGTCCGCCAGCGGCGGCAGCGCACTTGGCCGCATCGCCTGCACCACCTGCACAGCCCAGCCCAACAGCTTTTAAGGATCACACCCAAGGCGCAAAAGACACTACACTGCACACCCCGGAGCTGCAACTCGCGCAAAGAAGTAACGCTTGCTAGACCGGAAAACAACAGATCAAGCAGTGACTGGCCACATTTTCCTAGCTTAGAATTGAGATTGGCCTTAGGCTCCAGATGACCACACAATTTCCTGGACAGGGCATGCAAGTCCAAGCGACTGGCAGGACAGGGGTGGTGTGCTGGAGGGGACCTGCAGCAGGGGCGCCAGGGCTTCGGCGCGCTCGTGGAAGGCGGAGTGGTCGGGCGTCTGCAGTCGCGCCGCGCTGTGCGCCGAGCCGGTGTGCGAGCTTGCGCCGTCCGCCAGCCGCGTCAGCTCATCAGTAACGAAGCGCGCCGCCCTCTCCACCCAGATGCGCGACAGCGTCTGCGCGCAACAGTCGCAGACAGAACCTAAATTGCCGCACATAGACTCTCAAAAGTAAAACAACAAGGACAAGTCAGCAATACCCCCGCAACAAAATCCACATGGCCTCTATCCGAGCGTCTTTGTCATGGCGGGAGAGGGCTTTCTGTGGCACGCGGTGAGAGTACGACACCATCGATAGTCGATGCATGCGGACACTGAGCAATCCAATTCCACTAATATGCTTTCCTCTGCAGCGTGCCGTTAGTGATTACGGGCAGCTCTGATCATGATCCATGTCGACAGATGGATGGCCGACCTGCAGGCGTTGGCGCTGCTCGACGACGGCCGTCATGCCAGCGAGGCCGGGTTCCAGCTGCCCGGCGACGTGGCCGCCGTCGCGTTTGCCGTCCGCAGGTTCCAGCGCCGCCAGCCGCTCCCACACATCCCAGCCCGCCTCCGCCAGCGCAGGCAGCCTGGATGTTGGCATGAAATTTTTATCTAAGACCTTTTTGCAGTGATTTGGCAAGGCAGCATGTTCGCCTGAGGGTTGCAGGAAGCCCACATCACCGACGGCCGCGCAAAAAATTGGCCCACTCTCAATGCATTTCAAAATGCTTCTGCACGAGAGAATTGCAAAGCAGGCTCTTTCTGAAAAAAAGAATGGACTCTCTCCTTCACCACTGCAGCAGGGTCGTGAGGGGACTCGTGTGCAGTGCTGCCAATGCCGGCACCTAGCACGCAAGAAGGAAGGGCAGAAAAGCATGACCCTGAACCCGGGTTGAGAGGGCGGCGCACATGGCATAGGAGAAGTTGTTGGAGGCGAGGACTTCTTCTGTGTGCTGCGGCAGAACCAGGCGGTCCAGCAGATGCTCCAGTGCCTCCAGCAGGGCGTTGTTGTGCCGTGCCTGCCGCTCCAGCCGGTTGTTGCGCGCCTCGATCGCCGCTATGTCCTGCCGGCCACACCCTCACCCATCACTCCTGCCCTCCGCGGCAGAAGCATGCATGACATGCTTGGGGATCCTCCGTAGTACAGAGACTTCCAATGTGCCGCAGAGTCAAAGTTGGATGATCGACCACATCTCTTATGGCTCAAGGCAGTTCCACATGTGATTTGCTGCCAAGCAGGGCACTTGGTGTGGGAGGGTGACGTTGCACTGAGTCACCTCGCGCATGTGGCGCAGCTTGAGGTCAAAGATGGCCAGGGACTCCGCAAGGTCGTCCACGGAGCTCGCGGCTTCGCCGGCCCTCTGCAGCACCGAGGCCACCATAGGACCGCCCTCCAGCACCGCATGCACGTTGGCCGCCTGCGCAGGTGTACATTTTCAGTTTCACACATGTCCGGTCCCTGCAGGTGGCTTGGCTACGGGGGCTGGTTGACCTTTACAGCCTGTTGTATGTGGACGCACGGCCAGAGCTCCAGGAGGGGCTTGCACAAGATTCTGAGCGACCCGACACTCATGGAAGGCCTGAACTTTCTGCACCAATGTACTTGAACAGCGGAGTAGCCTACATGGCTGCCAGCAAGGATCACACCCATATCTGGACTAATCTCGTTAAGCAGAAAGAGAATGGCACCTCTAGGGCGGCCAGCTCGGCCTGCAGGCGGTCCTGGAACTCTTCCACGTCGCCCACGCCCAGGGCAAAGAGGTCCAGCAGTGCTGCCAGGTCGCGCTCCTCCTTAGCACTCACCAGGGAGCCCCCAGGGCCAGCCTTGGACGCTCCAAAGCCCCCCTCTTCCTCCCCCTGCTCCTCATCTCCCAACAGCACCGCCCCAAAAGCACCCACACCTGCGTATGCCGCAAGACTTTTGAACTCCTCTATGTCCTTGTGCATGCTTGACATTTTCCACATTCAGACGCCATGTTTGGGGGTAGTTCCTGGCATGAAGGCCAGGCAGCCGTCACCAATCAGCAGCTGCGGTCAGCGCAGGCTGCCGTGCGTGTGGGGAAGTAGGTGGTGGATGGGTGCAAAGCTGGTCAACAGGGGAGAAAATAGAATGTCTACCTTCCAAAGCATCTCGCTCAGCCTGGGAGACTCCCCAGTGCTCCAGCTCGGACAGGTCATAGCCCACAATGGTGGGCGTCCTCCCCTCATGCTTTCTGCAAAACAAGTGCACAACTATCATGATCCAGCAACCTGTGCTTCAGCAAACAACGTCTGATTAGGAGCGTGGGCATGAGAGATTTTTGGTGCAGATCATCGAGATTTGGGGCCGCACTTGCAAAACAAGTACAAAGTCCCCAGCAGGTCCAAGAGTTCCCCAGGAGTGTGGGCCTCGCATGCAAGCTTGGCCTCGCTGCTGAATGCATTGCTGACAAACCAGAGCTCCACAGCGAGGGGCCGGCCGTCTGGACGAGATGAGGGAAATGCCTCCACCCTTGACAGTTGTTTTAAGGGCCACGACTTACGGATCTGCGCACGTCAGAAGGCCCATTAGTCAAGAGTTGCCATCACCTGCACAAGACATTGACTCTTGCATGCACAAGGCACAGCCGATGGCCAGCCAACGGGCACACAGGGTGTCTAATACTCACCTGATATCCACCTTGCCCGGTGGGTTTGCATGTGTGGATTGATCCCTTGAAACCACGCCGTTTATGCCTTCTCTCGGCAGTGAAGCAAATCACCCGCTCTTTCCCAGTGGGCTGTGACACGACAGGAAGCCAATCAGTATTTCAATCTCTGGAATGACGTACTCAGACAACAACTCGACGAAACAGCTTGCTTACACACCTTTGGTTGCTTTTTCTTTGTCCAAGCTGAGGTGGTGCTGGGTGTGCACTTAATGACCTACGCTCACACGTCAATTACTGTTGATCCCAGATCCAAAATCCAGCAACACGAGAGAATTATTTTGGGATGGCCCTGGTGGAGTTGGGAAAGCTTGTAAACCTTGTAAGCCATGATGATGCGGGCCTCTGTATTGGCAAATAGGCTCTCCATAGTGTCCACCAGGGCACTGCCTTCTGCCGACATGCTATTATGTGATGATACCACCTTAAAAATTGGTTATTGGACGCTCATCTGGCCTAACTTTGCGGACATCCTCTCCTGACATGTGCATTGTCAGGGCACCTTCGTCCTTCCATCCCGAGGGACATCCTATGCCCTGACATACCAAATCTAATTAAATTGAAAGTGGATGAATGTGATACTGAAGGCCAACAGCCATCATGAGAAGGGCCTCGGGCCCAGCTGTGTAATCGGTGGACGCTCAAGTGAAAATGAATAATATTCTTTGTGTGTCTTCAATACACTTGAATCAACTGTCGATCAATTGCAAATATGACTGGAACTGAGCATAATAGAGGATGGACTTCTATATTTCATGGCCTTCGACCGAGGTTAGAAATTTGCCCATGCAAGTGTCAGGCTATAATTGCACAATATCTGGAGAGGAAATTGAAGATCTTCACCTCTTACAACAGAATGAACTTTGCGAGTATGGCGTTGTTGAAAGGTGCACGAGGTCCGGGAGACGGCAAGCCACGGGGAGAGGGCGGCAATCAGAGAGGTAGAGGAGGAGGAGGAGGAGGTGGAGGCAGGGGACAGCTGAGTGCCCGCGGAGGGACCAGCAAAGGGGGCGGAGGCAGAGGTAGCAGCAGGGGACGAGGAAGAGGTATTCCCTTACAATCATTTGCAGGAACTTGTGTAGGAAGTGTTCTGTGGAGGCAAGGACATATCTCGATGGCAAACTTTCTATTCAGATCATCGTTTTACAAGGAAGCTGTATGCCTTGGCATAGATCAAAGCTTGCCAAGAAAAAGGATAGGCGGCTGTAGAAGCATTTGCACAACCCTTGAGGAAGAGCGCAAACAAAGAGAGTACATAGCACTTCCTTAATCCAAGATCTCGAGCCAGTCCCTTTTGTGGAGCTCCTGCTCTGCCTTGATATACATACAATCATATGCCTCGTGTCTTAATAGATCATCCCTTCAGCTACTTGTATGTAAAATGTATATAATGGTCCGCCATATTGTCCTGGATGGTGTGCATAGTGACCTGTCCATAACCTGAAGCGCTGGGGACTGGTGAGCGCAGGTGACAGGGGTGGACGCGGCGGTCGGGGTGGCCGCGGAGGGAGAGGGTCCGGGCGTGGGGGCAGGGGCGGCCGTGGGGGCAGCACAAAGCCAAAGAGCAAGGAGGAGCTGGACGCTGAGCTGGACGGGTACTTCATGAAGGACAGCAAGACGGCTGCGCAGCGCCTGGACGCCGAAATGGATGCTTACATGGCAGCCAAGGGCAAGGCAGCTGCTGAAGAGCCAGCTGTGGAGGCCGAAACAGCTGAAGAAGTAGCTGAAGATGCAGGAGCCACCGAGGCAGCCACATGAAGAAGCATCAGGCCCAACAAGCCGGTGCCTCTGCTCTCGCCCACATATTGACTGGGAGAGCAGCTTGAGCCGACATTAGCAACTCTGCTGTGAGACACAGTTATCATATCTGTTTTCTCAGTGCGTTCTTCCCTCGAAATTGTTGAGTCGTTGCTGTGCTTCAAAACAAGTGGCAGCTCTTGAGCGCGGCAATTGTATGTATGAGGCAGCCGTGATCCAATTTGTCCGTTTTGATGAGAGTACAATGCGCCATAGGCGACAAGTTGTTCTTCTTGTTAATATGATGTGCAGTGCTGGACCCTCTATGACCAGTCTAACAGTCCAAATCCCATGCATGTAGCTACACAAGAAATTTGAAAGTACAAGTTGCTGGCGTGCTCGGCAAAGCAACACAAGCACCGTGCTGAATTGCTGAATGTCAGTCTTCCCAATCTCTCAATTCTATCAAAAGCATCACCTGGACACAGTCCAAGCGTCTCTCAATCAACTTTAAAGCAGCATTCTCATTGCCCCTCTCACCACCCACGGCATGTCAAAAGTACAAAACACTCACTGCATTGTGACTTTCTCAAACACACTTAAACTCCCCAATTGCCAGGTGCGCCTCAGCGGATCTGAAGGACTGACATCCAGGCCAGGCAATCATTGAAGCTCCCGGCGTGCATCCTCTGCAGCTTCCAGCCAGCGGTCATCTGCCTCATTATCATCGCCAGATTCCAGGGCATCCTGGTCTTTGCTGGGCTGCAGCATGTGAGGAGGCTGCCAGTCGCGGTTTGGGTTCTTGAATTTGATGGTGCTGGAGTGTGTATCTGTGATGCAGGATTTGCCCACACCTGCATCAGAATCAGAACAAACTCAGTATTGACCACTGCGATTAGGAATTTGTCATGGACACCCATGGGTTTTTCGAGTCAGCCGCTAGCCATTTTTGATTCGCAAGGCTTTGGCCATCAGACACATTGGAAAAGATGTCCTAAGATGGTCCCACATTGGACCTACATAATACAAGATTGTTGCCTCAGCATGGCATGCAGTGTCCTTGTCCTTGCGGGCAGCATTGCAAAAGCATCAGAGAACTGAGAACTGCTGATAAAGACAGAAAGAGACCATGCCAGCTGGACTGCTCACCTGTGTTACGTTTCAGGTCAGCCAGGACCGTGGTCCAGGTGTACACAGGCAACCTACCCCTCACCGCCAGTTTTGCCCAACGCAAGGGCTCCAGCTTGCAGTTGAGGATGAACGGATGCTTTCGAGCAAGCTCATTTGCTGGATGCATGCCCCTGCACGACACAGCATGGGAGACCGTATCTGCAGCCAATATGATGAGAAAACCAGACGTCTGCCTGTTTACTGGTACTCTGCACGCGAGGCACAAATGTGAAAGATGCACGCTCCACATGCCTGTCGTGTACGATGATGCGATCGATGGCAGAATCCCATTGTGGCAGGAATGCCCGAAGGTAGTCCAGGTCCCGGTAGCGAGGGTATATGCGGGCGAAATTGGCAAATCGATGCAAGCATGCCAGATCCTCCACTCCTCGGGACTCCTCCCAAAACTGCCTGCATGAATGACAGTAGTGTTAAAGGTCTGAACATCAGGCCACATGCATCCTGCCAATTTTTACAGGTCATCAAGTACCTGATTGCAGCCTCCCTATCGGGCTTGATTGCGAGGTTGAATCTTTGGGACTTTGTAGTGGTCTTCACGGTGATCTTGGTCCTTGGGTGGTACAGCTGCCATCCATCCCTTGCATCACTGGGATCCAATCTGCAGACATTCATTGCAAAATCTTATTGGCATCTTTCCTTGCTGCCCATCCGCATGCATGGACTGAAGTAATGTCCCATCGGAGTGGTCACTGAATACCTGGGAAGATTACTTGGGTGTGATCCACACAAGCTAGCACAAGTGGGTGCAATGCGCGTCTGCGCGTCTCTCCAGATCTGCAGCACACTGGCTCCCCTTTTACCCAAGCATCTCATGGCTCACATCACTAAAATCCGAACGCTACCTCCTTGTGGTCATTGCAACATTCACCAGGAATTTTGTTGTTACTTCAAAGTATCAAAGCATATTATAATCCTTCCTAGCTGCGCTCATCTGGCCTGAGCTGTTCACATGATGCAGAGGGACCAACCGTCATCCATCACAAAGTCAGAAGCCGCGCGGTAGCTGAGTGACGTAACCAGAAAGGCCCAAAAAGTGCAACCCAAGCCAGAACCCAATACCAAGCAGCCCGTTCTGCATCGCAAGTCGTTCTGTCATCGATAGGAGATGATCCCACGATGGACCGGTCTCGGTGGTCACAGGCGTTTTGTGCAACTTGACAAGCTAAGGTCGTCAACCGAACTTCGAGTGTGGTTGTAGGCTCACAACTGTGTGCATCGACCAACACCTGGGCATACAAGTGGCCTGGCGACATCTAAAGGTCGCAGGTGCAAGCAAGAGACAGACCGTGCTCTCGCGCTTGAGGGTTCTGAACTGAGAGGTGAGACATCTGAGGTACACAGGTAATAATCATAAGGCGCGCGCAGGATTCCATGCTGCAGGTTTCCCAACGTCCATTGGGTGCATGTAGGCGCTCATGACCTGCTACGGCAGCGGCGTAGTACATTGAGGCAGGAGAAACAGACAACGGACGGACTTCAGGGGCCCTCTCTGTGGGGAGATGCGGCTGACACCACAATGCAGGTGAGGCTTTACTAGATGTGCGTTGTAGAGACAAGCACCCGTTTGCGATGCTCCACGTCATTCTGTGCCGTCTTATGCCGTCCCAACCACCTACAAGCTCTGAAAAATTTTACCAGTTGCATCTGCTGTGCAGTTGGAGCGCGTTATGTCTAGCTATGCTGCTCTGCTTCGGACCTTGGAGCGGTCAGGCGTTCCAGTACCCAGAAGTGTTCCGGAGCCAGACAGTAGTTTTCAAGGTACGCCCTGTCAAGATCCTTTTGTGTGGCTGTCCCTCTGACCTAATGCAGTGCATAATCCCAGTGCCTGATCCCAAATTGTGCCTTTTCTGTTGCAGCTTGCAGCGCGCTTCCAAAGGGCGCCATTGGGAGGCAGCCAAGCGGAGGCCTTCGCAGCCAGGGAGCCATTGGGAGACAGTCAAGCGGAGCCCTTGGCAGCCAGTGCTTCATCGGTGTCAGCCAGCAGCAGTCCCTGCAGCAAGCCCCAATCGGGGTCGTCCTCGAGCCAGCAGCCCTCTACGGCATTGGAGTCGTGGAGCAGTCCCAGTCGGGGTTCCCAATTGGGACATGCAGCGGGCTTGAGCGCCATACGTACTGCGGCCACCTTGAGCACTTCTCAAAGCCTGCCTGCTACATTGGAGCGGTCACTGAGTACCCATGTCTCTCGCTCATTGGGGCGACAGCTTAGGCAGGTTGCGACGGCATCGCCGGCACAGCAGGCGGCACCGCCAGGCGAAGTGGTGATCTCACAGGGCAGCCAAAGTGTCACCCTCCAAACCACTCGGCAGCAGCCCATCGTGGTGGTCTTCCCACAGCGAGGTACCAAATTTCTGCATTGCTGTGATACTGGAGCTTCAGCCCAAGAACATGGTCTGTCTAGTTGTGGGAATTGCGTGGCCACTGTTTGCAATGGTCGTGGGACGCAGGAATTTACTACACTTGCTTATAAGACTCTATGTGTGTCTGCGCCAGGGAGCCCGTCAGCCTCACCAGAGAGCCCATCTCCATTGCCGGACAGCCCATCTCCAAGTCCAGAAAGCCCCTCGCCTTCAATCGACAGCCCCTCGCCCGACAGCCCACCGCCGTCGCCTGACAGCCCGTCTCCGGAGAGCGCATCTCCGGAGACCTCGCCGTCGCCTGACAGCCCGTCTCCGGAGAGCGCATCTCCGGAGACCTCACCGTCGCCATCAGGCAGCCCAGCTCCTGACAACCCCTCACCATCACCGGACAGCCCGTCACCATCGCCTGATAGCCCATCGCCTGACAGCCCATCTCCAGACAGTCCGCCTCCGGAGAGCCCATCTCCGTCAGCAGACAGTCCATCTCCTGATAGCCCCTCGCCATCACCTGAGACCCCTTCGCCTGACAGCCCATCTCCAGACAGTCCGCCTCCGGAGAGCCCATCTCCGTCAGCCGACAGTCCGTCTCCTGATAGCCCCTCGCCATCACCTGAGACCCCTTCGCCTGACAGCCCTTCACCTGACAGCCCATCACCATCGCCAGACAGCCCACCGCCGTCAGCAGACAGTCCAAGTCCTGACAGTCCATCACCGCAGCCAGACAGCCCATCACCGGGCAGCCCATCCTCTGACAGCCCATCACCATCACCAGAGAGCCCACCGCCTGACAGCCCATCGCTGTCACCAGGGGGAGATGGGAGCCCTCCTTCCCCTTCGGAGAGCCCCTCGCCCTCGCCAGACAGCCCCTCTCCATCCCCAGACAGCCCTGCTTCCTCGCCGGCTGATGGAGCGAGCCCGGCTGGTGCGCCTGAAACAGCAGCGGTCAGCCCGTCGCCGGGGAGCGAGTCGCCCCAGCCCATTGTCATCACCCAGGGAGGCCAGACGATCACTGTTCAGAGCAGGGGCGCGCCAGGCAGCTCAGGGGAGCAGCAGCAGCCTGTTGTGGTTGTCTTTCCGCAGCAGCCGGGCCCAGGGCCGGAGCAGAGCCCAACGGGCGACACCACGCAGCTGAGCAGGGGCGGATTGGGTGCCACATCCCTTCCTTTGTCGGTGGATCAAGGTGGGGCCAAATGCACCCTTTGCCCCACCTTGGAAACTCTTTGATATCCATCCGCCATGAGATCTGCCTCCACTACTTCCAAGGCTTTATGCTGGAGCCTCCTCTGTTTCCTACTATGTCAGGCTGCATCTCTCGCGATGGCACTTTTTGCAATCATGCACATTGCAAGGTTGCTTGGCTGCGGCTAACACAGGGTGATTGCAGGTGCTGCTGGTGGAGGGAGTGGGCAGGCGTTGCCGCCGGTGAGCACGGCAACAGTGGTGTCCCAGAACCTGTCCTCGCAGGCGCAGCTTCTGGCGGACACTGTGTTCAAGCCGACACCAGACGCGGCCAACAGCAGGGTGCCACCGAGCTCCCCGGTGTCTGCCAATTTTTTGAAGGACGCACCTTCTAGTGTGGAGACTTTTTCGCTGGGGCAGCTTGCGCGGTCGCCCGGCCCAAATGCAGGGGGAAGGAGACTCTCACGAAGGTTGTGAGGAACATGCCGCTCTATCCGGGGCTGAGGAAAGTAACTTTGTTTTGGAATGAGCCTCGACACAATTTTTGCTGTGGAAGTGCTTGTGCCAGCCGTCAAGCAGCCTCAGCCACGCAAATTATTTCTAGCTGTCCACATGCATGCATTTGCCCAGTGCTAAATTGGATGTGTGTGTCGATCAATGGTTTGAATTTTTGTCAGTAGCACATTGCTACACAGTGCAGCTCGCTATATGGCCTGCTTTATAAACAGTGTAGGACTAGATGTGCCATGAGATCTTTTAATTTTTGAGAATTGCTTGAATGCAATAAAATGCATCTGTCAGGAAGGATTGAGACAAGTGGTTGTTTGTCAAGACCCATAAGTTTCTAGTATTCAATATGCCTTGCAAGGTGACTGTGGTCAAAATTTCATGCATGGAACTTTCTTCCAAAAAGTTCAAGAAAAATTCATTCTCACCCATTCTGTTTTTGCCGATCTTTGCGGTGCAAGTTTGCCAGACAAAAAACAGTGATGAAACTACTAGCACATTGTAGTGTCATGCGAGAGCACTCTCAAGCAGCAGTTCCAGAGTCATTTCCAGTGGTGAGCTGCAAGCTCAAAACATCAGGTCGTGTCAGGATAAACGTGGGCTGTGGATTGTCTGCACGCACTGAACTTCACACTGAACTTCCTACATTTCTGATGCCACCATAACGGCCCACTACAGTCAGCCTGAGTTATCAGTCAGTCGAAGGCTGGCGTTACCGCATCACTAGCTCATTACTTTGACTTGAAGGCCAAGTTTTCCTTTGGTGCAGGGACTGCCTTTTGGAATACACCCGGGGGCAGCGCCTTGGAGGGACTCTTCAGCTGCACGGGCTGCGCAGCAGGCGCTGCAACCGGCGCCCTCACAGGCTGCCCAACAGCGCCCATGCGCGGACCCGGTGCCATTGACACCGATACTGATGGGCCACCGATGAGCCCTACGCAACTTTGGCAGGGCTGTGCTGGTGCGGGAGCTGGTTCAGCACTCTGCCTGGGAGCCACAGCTGGAGAGGGCCGCCTCTGGGCGCCTGTGCTGCCCATATAGGACAAGCCGTAGTCTCCTAGGGGCCCTCCATCCTCATCTGTCTGCTCGCTGGGCGCTACAGCAGGGATGCTGATGCTGGCTGGTAAACTGGGAGGCGGCAAGGACGTCACAATCACCTCATCTCCGCCAGTGAATGCTCGTGCATCATCGATCAATAATCGGGCTGTGAGTCTGTGGTGCAGGCTTGAAGCTGCACAGGGGTGGAGAATCAAGCTCATTGCCAGGATTGCTGTCGTCCATCGAGACACGTTCTCCAAGGCTTTCAAGCCCCTTGACAGTCCCCAACGTCTCATGTGATCTTCCGGACATGTCAGTGTCCTGCTAGTGCGCAACTGGGTGCTTGCCAGACCAAAACACTGCAAGAGCTCCAGTCACCTGCAACATTCCAAAGATGTTTCCATCACCACGAAAAAATTCCTCTCACACGCGGAATCTATCTCAAACTGAGCACAAAGTCCAAGCCAGTCCTTTTAAAGTTCTGACGTAACGGTGTCGCTAGGTGGGGTATAAATTTGCGCGCAGATCCTCGAATTGAAAGGCACAGGACGGTTATGTTCGTAACACTCACCTACATATATTTTGACCGCCAACTCTCTTTGGATCGCTTCGCTGCTTCCCCCAGCCTAGCTTCAAAAGAAAAGACCTTCTCGGGTCAGTTGGAGGTGCTGCTGCTCAAATATTGCGTTTGGGCGCAGGTGAAGCTTGTGCATACTCTTTCTTCACAAGGGTAGAGAGGAAGGAGAGTCGAAATAGTCGGTCGATATTCCGAAACACACTCTTGAGATCAGTCTGTGTCGGGAACCTAGAGAGCCTCCTCAGCAGTCCTGATGACTCATCGTTGCTGCGAAAGGAAAAATGGCTTTTGGTGGACCATTCTTTATCAAATCGACAAATACGATGTGCTGATGTTGCCTAGACGATTTTAGGAGCTAAGCATTGAGGTATGGATTCAAGCAAGAAGATCCTGGGATCATAGAAGTTGGCCCTTAGTCTCAATGACACCTTCTTCTGATGATGATGATCCCCTGGGAAGGATTGATTGTTTTGATGACTGCCACAATGATACAGAAGACACATCTCATGTAGATCCTGTGACGCTGACTGGCAGCCGCTATAGATACACCTCCCAGCTGCTTGATCCGAAACTACACATTGATCTGGAGCACAGACCCGAGAAGGTGCATCAAGATAACACACAACCTGGCAATGTTCGGCTTTCAGGCAGTGAATGTAGTGCCTGTCATCTGCATGGCACGCACTCACAGGACAGATTGGCACGCTTGGTGCCTTGGTGCAGGGGCTAAGCTTTCAAATATGGCCATCATCGCTCACCTTGGCAAAGCATGCAGAGATCCAGCACCAGCAGAGGCCCAACTGCTGGCAGGTGTGTGATTTATCTAGTGTCGCTGCGTCTCTGCGCCTCCTTGCAGCGCCCATCACCCTCTTCTCTGCAGCTCACCGGCTCGGGTCCTGTGAAGCGTAGGGAGTGCGAGTCCTTGAACTGGGATGCGGCTGTGGGCTTGTGGGGCTCTGCTTCTCTGCTTTGGGTGCTGAAGTTCTATTGACAGACCTTCCAGATCCCTTGGTGCTGATCCTTCTCACATCCCAAAGTCAGCTGCGATTGGGCCGTGTTATGGCTTGATTCTTTGTTCTCTACACGCCATGCTTGCCTGCAAATGGGATGAATTTCTGCAGGCATGAGTGCCTTCCCTGTCTGACCTGCAGAATCTTGTGCGAGAAAATATTGCACTCAATCAAGATGCCATCAGAGCAGCCAGAGGCAGCGCAGCAGCGTGCGAGTTTGTCTGGGGCCAGACAGAGGTGTCAGAGCTCCCTCCAGAGTGGCGCACACCAGACTTGATTGTGGCAGCGGATGTGGTGTACCGTCGAGAGCTCTTTCAGCCCTTGCTGCACGCCCTCAGAGCGCTAGGTGTGAGGGCATTCACCCCTGCTTGGCACATAGAAAAGCGGAGCTATCCTCTAATCTGGTAGATAGCTGCAGGGGGACTCCAACAGAAAGACCCATCGGTGCATGCATTTGCCCTTGGGCCTCTTCTCACAACACGTCATTGCAGCAGCCTGTTCCGCGCTGCACACAAAGTTATGAAGTGAAGGTGGTGTTTCAGGCAGCCCCGGGACAAGGATACTTCTGTCACATGTGAGGCGATGGAAGAGTGACAAGCTTTTCTTTCAGCAAGCACGCAAGCTGTGGGACGTGACAGACATTTCGGACTGTGCGGAGGTGGCGGGTGGACATAGTGCCTCTCACTCCAGGGGAGCTCTGCGGCTTTTTGAGCTGAAGCAGCGTGCAAAATAATGAGAGTCTTGGCCTACAGATTGGTTCTGTGCTGCTTGCATAACTCATGCCAGCCAGGAAGGAACGTTGAAATAGTAAAATGGTTTGATGTGGAATGAGTGTCGAATAGCTGTGACTAGATGTGGCAACATGTGCCATGAACACGTCATGGTTGTAAATTACATTGTAAATTAGATTACATACGTTTGTGAAAACCTTGCCTCCTGCATGAACGAGGAGACATGTTTTGCCTCAGGATGCTGCAGCATTTGTTCCTAATCACGTTTCATCAGCACAGCATATTTCTTCTGCCAAGGCTGTCGGGCCCTCCATACAAGTGGTGCATCAAACTCTTATTAACGACATCAAAATTGCAAGCTTTCAGTAAATCCCGCATTTGATCACCACTTCTGCTGCTACTCATTGAGCCCCTACCATTGAAGTTACTTGTCACAAACATGACGTGCTGGGATTTAACCGTATGGGTGCCCACAGGCTGCCGCATAGCTAGGTTGCAATACATCTACACGCTTCACAATGTTCGGCGCCTGACAGAAGAGGTGAGAACAAGCAAATAATTGCGGGAAGACAAACAAAATCAAAGTGATGGAGCGTGTGGCCCCTCTCGTTTCACGCGGCACGATCCAAACAAGCCGTGACCAGCGCTTTACAATATGGTCAGTCCTTCTTCATGAGGGCTGCATTTGATCGCATGGACGAGGAAGAGTCCCCAGATGCCCCCACGGCCTCCTCATCCGCGCTGGGCGCCGTCGAGGCACTTTGCCGCGACCGCGCGCCGCCGCGGCCGGCCGGGCTGGGAATCTCTTCGGCCTCACCCAAGCGCGCGGACGCAGCCGAGCTCTTGCGCTCGAGCGTCTGCGCGAACGGTGACGAGTCCGTGAGGTTGGAGGACCGCGGCGACGCCAGCGCGCTCAGATTCGGCCCGATCAGCGATGCTGGGGTGTTGCCGCTGCCGTCGCCGCCGGCCGCCGCCGGCTTTTTACCGGCCGACGACGGCGAAGGCCTGGAGGCGGCCGGCCGCGGCGGGCGGGTAGCGGGGATTGGGAGCGCGGACTTGTGGACCGGGGATGCGCCGATGCCGTCCGAGGAGCGCGCAGGAGCGATGGATACGGTCTTGGGCTTCGGCTTGGCCGCGCCTTCGCCGAACGCGGCGGCCACGTCCGCGAACTCGGCGTCGTCAAACTTGGAGAACATGGACTTGCGCCTGCGGCGACGGGCGGGGACTCGGTCACTTCTGTTCCGAGATCACCATCGTTCCGTCGTCGAACATGGAAAACTTGCGTCGCCTGCGGCAGGGGCGCACCAGGCACATGAGCGACGCGGGGGTTGGAGGTGGCACCTCACATCTTGCATCATCTTGTGGTGCACCTCTTGCCCCCGGCCAAAACGGCCGCCATGCGCCGCCCATCATGGAGGTATTACTCTATCTTGGGCAAGGTGAGTATGTCAACAAAAAGACAACAAGCAGGGGAGGGAGGGGGCTGCAAACTCACTTTGCGCGTGTGCGGCGGACGCTGAACCACCAGGCTCCTGAAACGAGTAGTGCCGCAAGCAGCGCGCCTCCGACGGCTGCGCCGGCGATGCAGGCGGGGCCGCACTCGGGCGCCTTGATCGGCGCTGGCGCGGCGGAGCCGATGGCGGCCAGCGCCTTCTTGGCCTCCTCCCCTCCCAGGCACGACCCGAACTTGGCCGTCGCCAGCGGGCCCTTGCTCATTGGCACGCACGACAGGCCCTTGTTGCACCCCAGCATCGCCGATCCAGACGCCTGTTCCACAGCCACACAGCAATGCACTCAACATCCTGTCCCCTCCAAAGCTTCCGTCAAAGCCATCTACTTGCTCAACTACACTCTGCTGCATGCATTTCCTTGAGTGCCACCGCGCCTTGTGATAGGAAATGTTCAGGAGTATGAGTGGGACGTAGAAAGGTGTGCAGCAGGCGCACCTTGGGGTCACAGAGGGAGCCTTCGCGGCCATCGGCGCCCTTGCCCTGCGCCAGCAGCCCGGCGAAGGAGGTCAGGTTGTAGCCGCCGACGGCCTTGGCGCACGTCGCGGGCCCGGCTGCCAAGTCCCCCGTGAAGCACTTGTCCACGCCGTTCACCGGCACGCACCCAGTCAACAGCTCACCCCTGCACAGCACACCACAACCTCTCCGCACCCTTCTCCTTCCGCCAGGCAACACCCACCTGTTACTCCATGCTGTAAAAAAAGAGATGCGCAACACCAAGGCACTTTGACCTCTGCATGTTGGGAGTACAGGATCTAAGTCCTAAAGTGGCAGCAGGGTTGAGGGAGGAGGGGTGGGCGTACTTGTAGACAACAGGGAGCCGGCAGGGAACGCCGCCTTCCGCCACGCGGTTAGAGACCTGGATGGCGGCTGCGCCGTCGTGCGGCTGCTGGCCCAGGAAGGTGCAGTAACCGTTGCCCGACCCGGCGTCGCCGCCGGCTTGCAGCGGCAGGCACGTAAAGGGGATCTTGCAGGGCAGCACTGCAGCCACACCAGCCCAGTCAACAACATCCTTTCATCTTGAAAGATTCAGACAGGGAACAACTGCTGTTGTTCCAAGCCTCTGCAAGGCTGAGCTTGGGGTTCACAGGCACGCCAGCATGCCTCCATGATTGATCCCGGTGCAAGAAACAGGGAGATCTGTACCCAAGATACCAAGAGAGAAACAGTGATGGAAAAAGCAGGGCGAAGGGGGGCACCTTTGGAGTTGGAGGGGGTGCCGGAGGAGAGCATGGTGGTGCAGAGGGAGCCGTCCTGGCCATCGGCGCCCTTGCCGGTCGAGAGGAGCGTGGAGATGAGCTCGGTCGGGTAGTTGCGCGTGTCGGCGCAGTCCTGCACCGTTACCAGGCCCTCCACAAAGCACTGCGACGGCGACGAGCCGTCCAGGCTGCGGCAGTTTGTGATCAGCTCGCCCCTGCAGACATGCACAGCCCAGGTCAGTGATGTCAAAAGATGGCCCTGCAATTGTCCAAGCCTGAAGCAACAACAACAGATAGGGATGTTGAGGACAGAGCGCATGTTCCAGAGCGCATGATGCCTCTCATGTGCTAGCAGGCCAAGCTGGCACCTCAGGGACAAGTGTAATATACATGGCCAGGATTTGGTGGGGTGCCAGGGGGATGACTGCCATTAAGGTCAGAGAGCAGGGGGGAAGAAAGGGGCGCACTGGTAGACGACGGGCAGGCGGCACTTGGTGCCGTCGACGGTGCGGCGCTCGGCGACGCGCACGCCAACCAGACCGCCCGCCACGTTGCCCGTCCTCACCGGAGTCTGACCGTCCAGCGTCAGCGCGCAGTACCCATAGCCAGAGCCGTCAATAGGACCCTGCAGCGCAGTCCCATGAGTTTCTCAACCACACGCACCACTGCAGGGTAGCAATGCAAGCTCAACTTTGACTTGCAAAGAGAGGCAGCAAGAGGCACATTAAGATTACTCCACAGCCGCATGCACATCTGCAGCGCTAGCAGCGCCAGTTCAAATTCAAAAAGTAAGGTAGTAAGAAGAGGAAAGGGGGCGGTAGCATACCCTGAGGGAGAGGCAGTTGAGGCCGAGGTTGCAGCCGCCGCCGCCGGCGGACGCGGGGATGTACGGGGACCTGTTGCCCGGGGCGGTGCGGCCGGGGCCGGGGTTGAGCACGCACAGGCTGCCCTCATCGCCGTCAATGACAGTGCCGTTGGCGAGCGCGTCCGTGAGGCGCGGGTACACCGTGCCGCTGGCCGCGGGCTTGCAGGGCTTGGCCTCCGAGGATCCCTTGGTGAAGCACTGCTCCACGCCGGAGCTGTTGAAGTCCCGGCAGTCCAGGATCAGGTTGCCCCTGCAGCCGATACAAGCGAGTGAGTGTCCGTTATGCATCTGTTTGCTTGCATATACTGTGTTGGCAGGACCTGCTGTTCCTTGCATTTGCTGCTCATGCCAACAGTTTGTGAATGATATTAAGCAGGCAGCATCAGGGGCAGTGCAGCAGCCAATATCAAATGAAAGCCAGACAGAGCCACTGCAGAGCAGGAGGTTGCAGGTCAAGTCCTGGTGATCCAACAGCAAGGGATGAATAAGGAGGGCTCACTTGTAGATGAGGGGCAGGCGGCAGGAGGCGCCTTCGCGGGTGGAGCGAATGGCGACCTCAAAGCCGTCGAGCGGGGACGCCGGAGCCATGGCTGCCTTGGGCTGCGCATTGGCAGTGATGGCGGGGGCGGCGGGGGCCACGGGGCGCTGCTTAGCGCAGGACCCGTAGCCGGAGCCATGCAGGGGGGGGACGTCCGAGGCCGTGCACCACAGCGGCTCGTTGCAGTCGCTCTTGCCGCTGCGGTTGCGCGGCAGCGCGCACATCGAGTTCAGGTCGCCGTCACCCGCCTGGCCGGCCGCCTGCGCTCAAACAAAAGATTGAGGCTGAGAATGTAAGTCCCAAACAAGCTCGGTTCAAAAAGTTTTCACACTCTTAAGTGTTGATAGTTTTTTCAAAGCCAGAACTGCGTTGCTGCTGGGCTTAGCGTTCACAAGTAAATAGCTGTAGGGGAAATTCACATGAGCAGGAGAGCGCACCATGAGAATGGGGAGCTTGACGGGGTCGCCAAAGGGCTGGGGGTCGCAGGTCTGAGCCGCGGTCTGCCCCGCCACAAAGCACTGCTCTGTCCTGCCGTCCGCCGACTTGGTGCAGTCCTGCTGGAACTGCCCACTGCAGGCGTGCACACACACCCCATCTCAATGACCATGCTCTTTTGCAGCAGAGGGCACCCAACAAGCACTGTGCACGTCGCACAGCCGCAATGCAGACCATGCCTGTCTTTTCCACATCCCTGCTATGCATGCTGTGATAGGGTGCCCCACGGCGGGGCCCCCACCTAGAGGTTGTGTATCAGTCAGGTAAGCAGGAAAAAGGTGCTCCCTTGTTCCCCCTAAAAGTCATCTGGCTGAGTCATATGGTTACTAATGAGTCACTTGTAATGAAAAGGCTCAATGTGAACTGCGTGTAATGAGCAGGGTATGATTTCTGACATGGGAATGTGTGCTGAGTGCAGGGATACCTTCTACACACAGGACCAAGTTGTGGGCTACACGGATTACCCATTCCTGTCAGAGGCACAGAACGGGAGCACCTTGATCTGAGAAACACAAGAGGGGCCGGGGGCGCACTTGTACATGAGGGGCAGGCGGCAGGGGACGCCGTTGACTGTGCGGCGCTGGGCAACCTTGGAGGCGCGCATGGCGGCGGTCATGCCAAACTTGCCGATGTTGAGGTCGGTGCAGTAGCCGTACCCCGAGTGCAGCAGCGGCCCGATCATGGCCTCGCAGGCCAGCGGCGTGTTGCAGCCCACCTTCTTGCCGCGGAAGCGATCCGTGTCCGTGCACATGCTGTTCTTCATCCCGTCCATTGCCTGTCAGCCCGCACCCCTCAGTTAGAGAGATCCTCCATACAATCAAACATTAGGTGGCAGGTTGTACTGTCAGAGGGGTCATCTCCGGGCCATAGTGGCCATTGACTTAAACCAAATCATAGCTATAAAGCAGAGAGACCAAGAAACTAATAAGCGCAAAACACAGGCACAAGGGGTTGTAAGAGGCTGTGGCAAGGGTGTACAAAGCACCTGGCCGGCATTCATGAGGGAGGAGAGGGCGGCGGTGACGGGTTTGGCATCGGGCGCGCACTCCTCGGGCGTCTCGGAGCCCTCTGTGAAGCACACCTCCTTGCCGTTTGACTTGGTGCAGTCCAGCAGCAGGTTTCCCCTGGAGGCAGCAACATTATAGTCAGCCATTGCCCACAGCAACACTCCTCCTCCCTCAAACAAGAACGACTATTCTCCAGCAGCCCAGTGAGTGTGGCTGCGCATGCTCTCTTCTGGGGGAGCCTGTCTTGTGCAAGAGGAAGAGTAATCCTTTGTGAGAAGAAATCCGCACGCACCCGGCAACCATGGGCAGGCGGCAGGGAACGCCGCTGACTGTATGGCGCTTGGCGACGTAGTACTCCTTGGCGGCATCGCGGCCCTTGACGGTGTCGTTGTTGGTGCAGTGGCCCACGCCCGCGCCCGCCATCGGGCCCGTCAGCGGCATGCACGACAACTCGCCCTCGCACGCCTGCACCCACCCAATTCAAATCTCGGATTTCAGAGTTCAGATTTCAAATTCAAACTGAAATTTAAATTTTAACTTCACTTTTAGACCTATCATGCCCTGGCCCCCCCCAGATTTTTGACATGCCCAACGCTTTCATCACGGGAGCAGAAGGTCATGTGTGAAGCTAATGGAGCAAGGGGAAATTGCTGACAAAGCTCTCACCTTGCCGGCGGGGTTGGACATGAAGCAGAGGGAGCCGGCTTTGCGGTCAGTGCCATTGGCGGCGTCCAGCATGGCTTTGAGGGAGGAGGGGGCTGCGCTGGAGGGCTTGCACTCGTCCACCACACTCAGACCCTCCACAAAGCACTCAGGCACTTTGCTGCCCGAGCTCAAAGGCACGCAGTCCAGCAGGAGGCTGTCCCTGCACCAACCCCAGCAGCGCACACGTCAACAAGAATTCCACATCAGACACCAATTTCGACGAGTTTTTTCATGCATTGCACAGCAGTGCACCTGCTGCCCAATACTCCTTACTGTTAGAACTCAGTCATTTGGGCACAGCTGCAGAGAGAAGAAAGAATGCAACAGGGCGCAAGGGATGGGAGACTGACCCCCAGACGACGGGCAGGCGGCACTTCTCGTTGATGATGGTTGTCCTGGGGACCACGTTGTACTTGGAGAGGGAGGCAACGCCCCCGGCCGAGGACGGCAGGGCAGCGTCCACCTCACCAGTGGTGTTGCCCGTCGCGTTGGCGCAGTAGCCAAAGCCCGAGCCGACCAGGGGAGCCACCTGCAGTGCAGCAGGGTTGTCATCATTTGTGCACATTGCAGGATGCAATTGCCATTGCAGCTATCAAAGCAAATTTGCAACCAACAAAGCGGTGCAGCAACTGTGGCCATCCGCAGAGAAGCAGCACCAATATATTGTCTTCCCAATTTGCAATTTTGAAGAAGCAGCAGCGTCTGTTGCTTCTCAGCTGGGCTACTTTTCCGCTTTTGACACAGGCAGGCCAGTCGGTCAGTCAAGTACGGTCAAGTCAGTCAAGTACCTGGAGAGGGGTGCAGGCCAGCTTGTCGGCACAGGAGGAGACATTCAGGGCGCCAATGTTGGCACCGGCGTCAGCGTAGAGCTTGCAGACGTCGCCATGGGAGCCGGCCGCGGCGGTGCCGTCGGCGAGCAGGTCTGAGAGCGGCTGCGTGTCTGCCACCTTGCCGGCCTCCAGCGCCTTGCAGGGCTGCAGCGTCTGCAGGTTGTCGGTGAAGCAGGAGGACTGGCCCTTCACGTCGATGCAGTCGGTGAGCAGCGCTCCCCTGCAGCCGCCACAGCCCGTCAGTCTCAGCCGCGTGCAGGCGCCCCGCTCATATCAGGCATGAGTCATCTTGAGGACTGATGAGGTCCCAAGCATACCTCTTGATGACCGTTGAGGTTTTGGCAATGACCAAAGACTGAGCCATCATGCATTCAGGCTGTGCAGCACACACTAAAAGAGAGATGTTCTCGTCACACATTATTGAGGTGTATACACCTCAATAATGTAACATTGTGCTTGCAGAACAATTACTGAAACAATCTGCAGCAGCGCTTTGGCCTGGGAACGCACTTGTAGACGAGGGGCAGCTTGCAGGGGGTGCCCTGGGTGGTGACCCTGGTGTACACCAGAACGTCCTGCAGGCCGTTGACAGCGCCCACAGTGGAGCCGGTGTTGTCGTTGTTCACGGTCTTGGCCTGCGCCGCGGGGGTCATCACTGGCTCCAGGCCGTTGGTCAGGAACTGCGGCCGCGTGTCGAGGGCCACCTCGTACTGCACCACACAGATCACCTCCCCGTCAGAAACACCATCCAAGCACTGAGCAGCGTATCAATCAAGGAGAAAATCTGCTGTGAGCGCAAGCATCTTTCCTAGCAGAAAGATCACAGGGAAATGCCAGTACGACAAGTTGTGTTCCCTATCCCTCTGATGAATGTAGAGGGAAGGGGGATGCAAGGAATACTTTGCAAAGAAGTGTTGCCATTGGATGCCAGGGCAGCGCACCGATTGGCCGGGGGCTGTGAGGTTGCAGAAGCCGATGCCGGTGCCGACGAGCTTGCCGCTCTTCATGGGCGCGCACACCAGCTGCTGCGTGCACGCGCTCATGTTGTAGCCCGCCACCGGGCCGCCGGACATCGAACAGAGGCTGCCCGGCTTGCCGTCTGTCGCCTGCACATTCCCAGATACATGAGACCATCAGCGGGGCATCAGATTACTGCACATGACTCCTCATGGACTGCGCATGGGTTTCAGGAAACACAGCGCGAAAAAGGTGCACTGGAATTGTGCATGGCAAATTGGCAGGGCTGGCGTATACTGCCGGTCAATGGGCCAAAGGGCGCGCACCATCTTGGCTGCCAGGAACCAGGAGAGGGGGCGGGTGGCGCCGGCCTCAGCAGTGCAAGCACGGCGCTTGTTGTAGTCGGCGGTGAAACACCAGGGGGTGGGGCTGATCTTCGTGGCCTCCTTGCAGTTTGTGAGGAGCTCGTCCCTGCGAGGCACATGCTGCTCAGCATTGCAGAATGGATTCGCGACATTTGCATGTCCTGTGTGGAGGCTGAAACACCCAGGAGACAGCCAGGAGGTTGTGGGCTTACTTCCAAACGACTGGGAGCCGGCATGCCACTGTGTCAGTGTTCCTCATCGTGACTGGGATGTCCTGAAGGAGCTGGATGATCTCATTGTTGCCAAGAGTACCTGCGCTCAATCAATCCCTTCAGTACCTCTTTGAACAGTTGTTGGATCTTGGCTGAAGACACAACTTCTGTGCTCTACATCTCTTCATCTCCAAAATTCTGCCTTTGGCTGTTGACGGTAAGGGTAATCGAGGGCAGAGCATTCCCAAGCCTGGCCCACGAAATTGTCTGCTGAATCCAAGATATAATCTCACCTTGACCTGAAGCTCCCGTTGATCCCTGAAAACAAAGCAAACAAGACGGAATGTTGGTGTACACCTTCAACGACCGACATCAAGAAGTTCGGATTACCAAACGGCATATGCAACGAAAGAATAGAGCACCCTGGGGGTTGCCCCTCGGCAGCAAAACAGGCGAATTGCAATTGAACTGAGGGCAAAAATGAGCGTTGGCCGTACCAAAGCGTCGGCCTCAGCGAAGAGCAGGCAAAAGCTGACACATTGCGCTGCAAAAAGCAGAGCCGCGAAGGGCCCTCTCCGTTGCATCGCGGAGCTGTTCCCTTGAGTTCCCTCTCACTCCATCAAACTATGAGGAGGCTCGCTGTAAGTCTAGGTCGATACTGCGCTGGCTGAGACTCCAGGAAGTTGCCAACCCGCTCTAGTCGGTGCTGTGCACGAGAGATCGCTCGGTTACACAGCTGACCCGAGCTGAAGCAGCCTCCAAATGCTCGTCCTTTATGCTCCTACGTGCGATGCGACGGCATTATAACAATCCCTACCGTTCTGGATGGATACTTCGTTGTTCCAGTTCGTTGAACTACCGCGGCTTGCATTTCGCAGGTAGTCATCCCGGGCACCCGCCCGGGATGACTCAGCTTCCGATCGATCATCAAATTTCTTTTCAAACAGGGTTCCCGTGATCTCCAGAGGGGTATGCAAAACCCTGGAACCGTCATCACTGAAGGGAACTGCGTTGAAATGCCCAAACAGAGCTAATCAAAGTGCTTGATGACATTAATTTACAAATATGCCCTCACATAGTTAATTGCCAGCGGGCCCGTGCACGTGTCAGTCAACAATGCTTTCACAACCCCGGTGGGCCAGCTCCGAGCTGTCTCAGTCACCAGAAGGAAAGATAATTATAAATCCGTCATTACAAATTCAAATCTTCCTGGCTTCACAAGGGTGAATCAATCTCAATGCATGTCAGAGATATGCCGCCCATGCTGTGCTGCGCATGCCACAGATCGGCACCAATGCCTCGGTTTCAGACCCAATGAAGGCCCTTCAGACCCGGGGTTATCGAGTACAAAAATGTGCCTTTTCTTATTCCTCATATCCGTCACTTGTGACTGCGCATGCTGCTGCTGCTGCTGCTGCTGCTGCTGCTGCTGCTGCTGCTGCTGCAGCACCGGCTGTGCGAGCTTTAGAAGACGAGCTTGCTGGCGACGAGGCGCCAGCCGCGGGCGCCGCAGAGGCGCATCTCGTACTCCTGCGTGAAGGTGGCGCGGTAGGAGTCGATGAGTGTGCCGTCGGCCGCCAGCAGCTCGCCGCCCTCCGTGAGAGTGGCTTCCACGAGCGCCCGCCTGCCGTCGCGCGAAGTCTCCACCCGGTCTATCGTCACCTCGCGCAGATCGTACCGCCAGTGCCTGCGCGCGTTGCATCACCCAGGCTTCAAAAGCCGAGGCAAGATCACACCCTCTCCTTTGTGCAGGACCCTCAGCTGGCATTCTCGCAAGTCACTCAGTAAGTCGCCTTGATGTTGCTCCCAAAAGAAGATAACTTTCCAAGGGCCTCACAGGGCCCCCACAGACTCCAGCTGAGGGGGTGTTGATGCCGCCAAAGAGCACTGAGGTGTTGCAAAAGAGTGCCTATGTTAGAGAGAGGCATTGACGCCCCCGCACTGACGCCCCCGCAGCGGCTGCTGCAGAATGCCAGCGCGCTCTGCATATCCGGCCTTCAATTCCTCCACTTTTTCTCCAACAAATCATGACCATGGCAAAGCCGGGGCGCACCTCTGGTCCTTGCGCAGGGCGTCGGCGCGCAGCTTCCAGGCCTGCAGCATGCGCTCGCCCAGGATGCCGTCCAGGCTTGCCACGTCATGGTCGCCACCTGGCACACCATCCCGCCCCGCTCAGCCCAGCAGCCCCTTCCCCTATGTTTATTTCCAGGCTTGTCCAAAATCAGTCAAGAAACGAGACATCCTCTTCTGCTGAGGACCTAAATCTCTCTGACTTGCATCCAAGAGTTACGGCCTGAGCATTGAGACCCCATCTGCCTTTCTCTTGCATCTTCTGACAGAATGTGGACAGATACAATGTCTTCCTCCGACGCAGGGTGGCCACGTGCCATGGCACGTGTCAGGAGAGCCTGTGGCAAGGCTTTGAAGCATTGTATTTGTCCATGAATTCGTGGAGAGTGCGGCCGGGTGCGCACCGAGGGCGGAGGCCTTGGTGGCCTGCCAGCGCAGCACGAGGGAGCGCGCGTCCTCCACAGCCAGCGGTGGCCCCGGGGGGACCAGCGTTTCCTGCACCCACCCCATGGCTGCTCGGCCGGGCGCCGTCACAGCAGCTGCGATGTTGGACGGCCGCAGCGCCTCGGGCTTCCTCCACCCAATGATCCCCACCGCGATGGCCGCCTGCAGTGCAGCACTCTTTTTTGCTCAGAACAGCAGTGATTCCCTGGGGCATCAGTCGTGCTCCGTCTGAAGAACCAGGACCTGGGGAGAGAGAATCTGCTTTCTGGCTGCAGATGCTCTACAGAACACCTTATCATGCTTCACATGATAAGTGGCGGCGGCCTCACACTACTGAGCACTGATCATCCATCAAATAAGGGAGGTGGGGCAGAGGCAGCACCAGGCCGAGGGTGAACTTGAAGAGGCGGATGGCGCGGCGCTGGCGCACGGCGGCGAAGGACTGCCACATCTCGCGCTCGATGTCCAGCGGCAGCATCGCCGGCCCCGACGGCTCCAGCGGGGGGATGCTGCTGGCCGCGCCCCACGCCTCCACCACTCCGTCGTCGCTGTCCGCGCGCGCCTCCCGGCTCCCGACGCGGCCGGCCGCCCCCGGCACGCCCGTCCTCAACGGCGCTGCTGCCGCCGCCACCGGCAGCTCCCCTGCGCATGCAGCCATTTTCTTCGACGGGCCGTGCACGGCTTTGGCAGGCAAGACCCCTGCGAGCGGCTGGGCTTATGCTGCCGGGAGTCTTGACAATTGATGCACCTCAAGAGAGCAATGGCACGAACAGGTGGTGATGCAGAAGGTAATCACATTCTCCACGATCACAGTTGGTATCCAAAGCGAGCCTGGGAGTGTTGGATCTGGGGTGCTTGCCTGCGTAGCGCCTGACCAGGGCGCCGACTGGCTCTTGCTTGGCGGTTTCCAGCTCCACTTCCGGCAGTGACTGGGGCGGCGCCTGCATGGCGGCTGCCGCGCCTGCCGAGGCTGCGATGGCTCTCCTGAGCTTCCCGCTGCTGCTGTGGCGGCTGGCTGCCTCGTCCTCAGCAGGTGACGCCACCTGCACTTGCATTGCCAGGCCATTCACGCTGTTGCCCATTTCTAGTGGGCAGATGCAGGAGCTGGGGGCATGGAAGAGGGGTACACCTTCTCTGCTGCGCTGAAAGAAGAGGTAGCAGTGCTGACAGCGGCCCTCTCAGTGGTTAGATCCAGAGGCGGCAGGGCTGCCGCTTCTGAGCCACTGTCAGACGCCTCTGGCTCAGCTGCACTCCCATGCTCGATTTCCTCCTGCACAGAATTGAACCGCTCCAACTTACAAACCAGCCCCCATAGTCACCAGTTAAATGCCGCCGGGCACCTCATGACAGTGCATTGGATGCACATGCAATCACAAAAGGATAAGATAGCTGGGAGGCTGACTGTGCTCACAGGGGAGGGCTGCTCTTCAGAGGGAGATGCGCGCTCTGGCACAAGGCCCTTCACCGCCCTCCATGAGGCTTTGGCGGCCGACACCGCGCCGCCCCGGAGCATGCGCGCGCCCCTTCCCACAAGGCTGCCCGTGCCGCCCAGCTTGCCCAGTACACCATCCACAACACCTCTCGACTGCACCCCCACATCACACACGCCTGAGTGTCATGGGCAGTGCATGTCTAGTAGCAGAGTATTCTGTTACCATCACGCGGGCTCCAAGCACTGGGCCAGCAAGAATGGGGTACAATCTGGCAATGATAGGCAAGCTAGTAAACGATGCAGTGGGACCAGTGAGGGGCGGCAAGTGACCTTGAGGTACAGGGTGACCTGGGGGTTGGCAAACCAGGTGTCCAGGTCCGCGGCCTTGGTGGAGGACCTGCGGAAGCTGCTCAAGGCGACGTCATCCAGCCATGACTGCGCCAGCGCCACCAATCCTGGCAGCATGTCCCCATCCTCCACCACCTGGGCCTGCCAATATGATTGCGGCTTCAGCACCTATTTCTTATTTATTGCTTGGAAGATCTGCACACGTGGAAAGGTACAGGGAGGACGCCGCTTGACACCAAGGTTGTCATTAATTTGTCTCTGAGATTGAGGATCCACTTTTGTTGTGAAATTGGGGACTTGGCGAAGGGCGTACCAGGATGAACTCCTGCACTGCTGGGTCGGGCGGCTGCGGCGCGTCGGCGGAAAGACAGAGCTCAGCTTCGGCCTCTTGCCTGCGGCCCAGCAGCAGCTTGCACACCGCCAGATCCACTCGCACATCCGCAGCCTCCTCACTGTGCATCCATTCGACAATTTCTCGTCAGCCGTAGCATCTTCTGAGCGCTGCTGCAGTTGCCGTCTTGTCAGAGCCGGCTACGGAATAATCCAGGAGAGAATGCATACATGGGAATCAGTGCGAGCGCCAAAGTGAGGGGAAAGGGCTGCCTGGCTATGTAAACAATGGTGCATCAAAAACACAACAATCTCCCGGCCCAGGAGCACTAATGATCACATCAGATTGCATGCAAGGTCTGCGAGCGGTAGGAACATGGGCGGACCCGAGGTCGGGGGCGGCGGCTTGGTAGCTGGTCAGGTAGCGGAGTGCGGTGCTGATCAGCGCGGGCTTCCGGGAGGCAACGCCCTCGGCGATGCAGGCGACGGCCGCAGTGTAGCGCTCCTGACTCGGAATCGCCTCCATGCTTGGGGCGCCGCCGTACAGAGCAACCTGCGGCAGAGGCAGATGCTCACAAGCTTGCACAGGCCGCTTCTCCGTCTCCATCTGTCAGTGCACTGCACCGTTTGTGTCCCATGGAAGCTCCCCTGCAAGCATTTCTAGCGTCGCAGCGACCAAGCACGGCGCGCGGCGCACAGAGCAGTGAGGAGGGCACCTGCTCTGCGGGGGTGGTGAGGCTGCGCAGCTGCTTCAGGTAGCTGGTGCGGTCCAGTTTGAGGCGCGGGAAGCGCTGCACGGGCAGCCCCTCCTGCCACAGCACTCCTGGCAGCGCCTCAAGGCCGACGGCTCTCTCCTCCGCCGATTGCTCCAAGCCCACCAGCTCCAGCGCAACCTGCGCCTGCAGCTCCTGCGACACCCACCGGCCGCTGTTATGTCTCCGGCATTACAGAAGGTAGTTGTGAAGGACCACTGTGCTACTTGTTGGAACACCCGCAGCATCATGCACATATAACAGCGGCTGAACATCCAGGCATCATAATACACATATCTGCAGAACCTGCAAGGCACATTTACCAGTAACCAGACAAGTGACCACCATTTATAAAGCCACCTTTTCTATTTCCTGACAACATATCCATTGCCAGTGATTCTGCTGGGAGTGATTTTCACAGCAGGCGAGGAGCGCGCCTCATGGGCTGCGGCGATGTCGGCCTGCAGCTCGGGGGCGGCCCTGTACTGCTGCAGGATGTCCAGAGCGGCCTTGAGCAGCCCCGAGCACTCCCTCACCTTGTCCTTGCCCTTCTCCTCCAGCCAGTACGCTGCACAGCACGCTCCACCATCACACTCACAATCCTCGCAACACTTACTTATCAACCTTTGGGGAAAAGGCATGCCCTTTGCTACAATTACAACCATTGCTCAGCCGTTATTCACGCAGCAGAGCATCGCTCTCATGTGGTGTAATTTGAAGAGCCTGGCGCACCTGCTAGGTCGCAGTGGGCCAGGGCGGCTGTGAGCGCCACATCTTTGGCCCGCCTGTCCATGCCATTGTCTTCCAGCCAGGCCTTGGCCCACCTGATGACCGGCTGCACATCCCCAGCTTCCTGCATGAGGGCGAATGCGCCTGCAGACACAGCATATGTCAGCTAAACCCCCAATGCAGGCATCGCAGGGGACGAAGGCCCGTGTTCTGTGGAGCGTGTGAGTGCAGGTGAGTGGGAGAAAGAGCATGCCTGGGAGGTGCGTATAGGGAATCTCAATCTGTAGAGAGCGGTCATAGGCCCGTCTGGACGTGTAGTCTGTCAGCACATTTGTGGTTGCCTCTAGAACAAGCGCTCTAGAGAGAACCATCTCCTGCACCAGTGCCGGGCGAGGGTTGAGGAAGGTACAAGCAGTGCAGTGTGTTGTAACCGTATACCAGCAAATTGACTGGGCTGGTTATTACCTGTGTGTACCCCACATCTGCCACATCGCTCAACAATTTCTCTGATGCTCTGAGACAGGTCTCCCTGCTTGCTGCCCGATTGACCCCCAGGACCTGATTGACGCAACACATTACAGATCTCCATAATTCTTGTTATACTGCGGCGGTAATATGTATGCATTTGTAAGAAGTGCATCTCCATGCAGAAACATCTTTTCTTCACAGGCCAGCATTCTTACTCGATACGCATCCATCGGCAGCATCACGCCATCAACATCGCTTCGAAACGCCTTGACGTTGACACATCGTCTTCTAGTGATCGCCCGATTTTTGTCGTTTGCCCGTTTGTGCAATCTTTGGAGATGGCGGGAACTGTTCGGATGCAAGGGCCTAGTACACGTCAAAGCCCCCATTTGTCTAGTGCTCCCCCTTGAGACTGTATTCTAATGCAAGGTCTCTGCAAGGTGAATCTCGAATCGTGTTGATGACTGGCCAAGTGTCAAGTCACAGACAGATTTCCCCGTTTGTGGACCCGTCAAATAAGCATTCAATCCCCCGGCTGCTTGTACTAATCAAGATAAAGAATTTTCAATCGAAAGATTTCTAAATGCAAGAAATTGGTGCTGCATGCTTGGCCCGGATTGGAGCATCAAGAATCCAAGATGAGGCCTTGGACTGGCCTTGAGGGGGTCCAGTCAACCACGACGACACGTCGCCCCGAGCAAGGATGATCGGTCCTCAGCGATCAACACAGAAGAAAGTCCCGTAAGCACGGGCATCCTCAATCGCAATGATCAGAGCCACTATGATGGGTCGCCCTCTCCGGTCGAGGGCTGCCTCGTTTATGGTAAAGAGCAGCGAACTCGTTTTAAATACTCGTATTTTGCAACAAAGGCTTTCTGGATGTGTCTTACCATTGAACACGTTGCTATGTGTCTGCAGGTTCCAATGCAAGTCAAACAGATGCGCACATGCCATGTCCCTGCGAAACCCAAGCGGGTTAGCTGCAGCATTGGGAAGAATCCATTCTTCAGGTAAGCTGCTCAATACCCATAGATGTTGTCTTTGTTGGAAATCACTTCATAGATGTGTACACTAAGGTCCAAATGTGTGCGCAGCAAGCCAGAGGTCAAAGTGTTGAATGTCCGTGGGGACTCCGTCAGTGTCAAGGACCTCACCACAAAGAACCGCACTGTCTTTGCCCTCCTGCGACACCTTGGCTGACCGGTAGGCTTCAGTATCTCACACGCGTGCCTGATGTGCTTGCGATCATTGATAACCCTCTTCCACTTGAGGAGCTCTGCCTGTACCTGAAAAGTGACGAAGGTACTCGGTGTGTTCTGTGCAGTTCTGCTGGCAGCAAGCGAAGGACCTGCTTGCTGCCAAGCCGGAGTTTGATGCAGTTGGCGTTGATCTGGTTGCGCTGAGCGTGGGTACGTGTCCTGCATGCTGACAGCAAATCTCCTGAACACTGCCTCCCAGGAGATTGTTTCGACGGACAGCTGTGGTCTCACAGGCGTGCCAGAGAAGGGCAAGCTGTTCTGCGAGCGGGTGCCCTTCCCTGAGGAGCTGCTGTTTCTTGACCCTGATCGACTTGCATACAGTGAGCTGGCGCTCTACGAAGGCATTGGCAGGACCTTCTTCAGCCGTGCAACACCAGCGGTGTGTTTGTTATCCACTCAATGTGTTGAGCGCTTGACAAATGTTTCATCACCAAACTTTGATGTACTGTACTCGTGCTTGTTGTAAAGTGACTAAGGCGATGACATGTGCTATCATCTGTGATGCAGGCCCTCAGCGGATTGAACTTTGACAAGTTCAAGGAAGCAGTCAAGGGCTACACCTTCGACATGACAAAGCCACCCAAGAATGATGATGCCTTTCAGCAGGTTATTCTCAAGCCTTTTCAAGTTTAGGTGCACCCAATTTGCTTGCCACAGATTCCAGTGTCATTTCTTACCATCTGGGTTGTCTATTTATTATTTTATATACTCTTTCAGGGAGGTCTCTTCATCTTTGATGGCGCCGAGGTGTTGTATGCGCATAAGGACGCGGGCACTGCCGATCATGCTCCCATGGCAGATGTTATTGCTGCTTGCTGCGGAAAGAAGAACTGAACTGGAATATACATTATTGTGCAAGTCCATCTCTGGCAAAGGAAGCAGGCTCATGACATGGATTTGGGGCAAAGCTGTGTCAACGACAGAACTCTACCATTGAACTGCCTGCTTACTTCTGCCGTGATGGTGTTGTGGTTTGCTTGTAAATCTTGACTGAGATGTCTTCTTGTGTTAGAATTCTAGATCTTGAACTTGAGTGGTCCGCACGGCACTTGGCTTGAAAAGATTCTAGTCTTCAATCGTCATCCATCTCTGAATTTGCTAATGTTTCGAGCGCCCAGCCCCTGCTTTTACAGCTCGCTCAGGCCGCAACACGAGTGTCTCACCTTTCTCAGGTGCTCCCCTAGATTGGCCGGACGAATTACGTGCGCATAAGAGTGCCATGCAGGAATGCAAGGCAACTTGGAGAAGTCACTGTCACATTTTTTTGCAAGCATCCCTTCTGCCCAGCTTGCAAGTGCTAGCTAGCGCTCACGGTTCTCAGCTTTGCTATTGCACTGTTCCTTGGGACTTGTTCCAGCGCTGGTTGCTCATTACCGCGTGCTAGCTATAACAGTCAGTATGGTGTCTAGCAGTGCCTTGGTAGTTCAAAAGTGCTTGCTATCAGAGTCCCATGTCCTGATATATATACCGCCTATATATAGGCGGGGATCAGAAATGTATGGAACTCACTGGTGCAGCAGAAACACTCACGACCCTCTGCATATTTGTGCCACTTCCTGGCAGCAGGCTCAAGAGTGTTCTAAAATGATAGATCAGCAGCACGCAACAAATTGAACTCACACAGACAGTATCACACCAACTTTTACAAAATTAAAAAGAGGATGCCAGGTAATTCTTGCTTGCATCTCAAGGTGAAGCGTTTCATCACTGAACAGCACAACTGCTCTTGGGCTTTCCCGCTTACATTTACTACTGTAGAGCTTTCTTAAGAGGTGCCTTATTCTTGGTCCTGCTCTTACAAAACTACGGCAGTGCCTTGATCTCATTGCATTTCAGCTGAAACATGCCCACAATATCACTTCCGTACAGACAGCCTCACTATCACTTAAGACCTTAGAGATTACCAAACTTCACTCATTCCCCACCTTCCTCAGACTTGCTCTGTCGGGACATTGCCTCTCGTTCCAACTAAGCAGTCCAACTCTCGAACCCCTTCTGACATGCAAACTCACCCGTGCTCTCATTGGCCAGCTTCAGTTGATGCAGTGGTCCCTCTTGCACCATTTAGGTGCTTTCAGCTGCAGAGCAACTTGATGCTCTGCTACTTTGCAACAGAGCTGTCTTCTCTCGAGGTGCAAGCACTCAGTGGTGGCCGCTGGCTGCGCCGTGGGTGACAGCTCACTTCTCAGCGGCAGTGGTCGGCAGCTGCCTGTCCACCCTCTTCTGGTTCCACGGCCAGTTTGGCACCCTGCATGCATGCAAGCATCACCCATCAGCCCATGTTCAAATAGTAAATTCTTTGCTCACATTCCGCTTTGTGCCACACCCATGCAAGAGCAGATCATGCCTTCACGCAGACACTCAAGGAATTGCAAACAAAAGACTGCATGGTGCATGGACAGATATGAAAGGGTGTCAATGCATGCATTAAGGGGTGTATGTAGGAACAAATGAAAGGGAGGGGATGCGTACGTGGCCCATGCATCCATCACGTTCTCCACAGCGATGCCCTTGGTCTCCGGCAGGCACAAGGCGACCCACGTGGTCATGATGAGAACCCAGCCGGCAAAGAAGAGGAACACTCCGTACTCCATGGAGCACATCATCTGGTTGAAGCACTGCCCGATGATGAAACTGGCAATGAAGTTGACAAAGACGGTGGTACACATGCCGGCCGTGCGGGTCTGGTTTGTGTGGATCTCGGACGGCACCTGCGCACATGCAAAGAAGCATTAGTCACCGGCTGACTCAGCGGACAGCTGAACATGGCAGGGCAAGCGCTTGTCACTGAAATAAGCAAGTGTCTAAGGAAGAATCCCTATACAGCATTCTGCATGTCCAAGAAGGTTGCTTGCAGGCAGAGACAGTCAGCATGGCAATGACATGGGCGATGAGTCACCGCAGAGGGTGGTGAGTCACCAATGATTATTCCATGAGTAGTGATGACAGAGAGGGAACGCCTCGCACCAGCCAGCCCAGGGGCCCCCAGGAGAAGGAGAAACAGGCCACGAAGATGCAGATACAGGTCAGCATCCCGTTGGCGATCTGTGCCGGAATGGAGCCATTCTTGAAGTTCACGGCTGCGATCGCGCCGGTGGCAATCTGCATGCCAAACATGATAGCCCCCGCCACGTAGAACAGCCACTTGCGGCCAGTCCTGCGGGGCAACACAGAATTCTAGTTCACAGCTGCCACACCACTATCTTGCACTTAAGGGAAAGACAGGGCAAGGCGACAACCTGGGCGATGAGTAATTGCTGAGTCACTTATGACTCATTAATGACTGACTCCACACTCGCTCCAGCTGCAGCATGCACTCGAGCAAGGCAGCAGACATGCAGTGCAGCTGCAGCTGCCAAGTCTCAATAGTGCTTCTCAGTGGGCACTCACCAGTCAACCAGTCCGATGGCTACGAAGGTGAAGACCAGATTGACTGTGTTGGTGATGACTGAGTTCATCAGCGAGGCCTTGACTCCAAAGCCCAGCACCTGGAAAAGCTGGGGCGCTGCACGCACACAAGCACATCCCCCTTCAGTGGACGCTCTTATCAAATTTTTTCTCCAGGCAAACAAGCCGTGCACAAGGGCTTACCAAGCCGGGCACCTGACAGCGCTGCATGCAGGTCTCAGCACCTAGCAAGAGGACCCTCAACAGACTCCATGCAAAGACCTGCGCGGCCCCCAGGAAAATGCTGACTGGCAGGCAGCAGGGGAGCGGCAATATGACACAAGGGGTGGGCGCACCATAGAACATGATGGCGTTCATCCCAGTGAATTGCTGGAAGAAGGGGATGAGCAGCGCTGCCATGGCCTGCTTGTAGTGGCCCCTGCTGTACAGCATGGCGACCGAGGCCCAGAAGGACTCCCCGCTCGTCTCCTTGGCATTCCTCTGAATGTCTATGAGCTCCTCCTGAATGTCGTGGCCCTCCGGGCGCATCTTCACCAGCACCTGCATGCATGGCAGAGGCAACACCGTCTGAGACCAATAATGTTCTTAACAGAGCCTAAACAGTCGGAGGCGGGCTGACAACGCCGCGCTACACCCGGTGACCCCGGGAGGCAACACTGTGACGGGGCAAAACGAGTCAAGACGGGCTGCAGAAGTCCATTGTAGGCTGCAGGACAATGCCCAGCACATGTGTCCCTCTGCACCACGGCTCTTCCGTTTCACATCTCCAGATTGTTTTTAGGGGGGACAGGCAGATGGCAGGCTGAGGCTCTCACCGCCTCGGCCTTGGCGAGGTTGTCAGGGTCGTGCTCCAGCACCGAGTTGGGGGTGTCGGGGCAGAGCGCAACCCCGATTGTGAACACGAGCGCCGGCACCAGAGCAATGCCGAGCGACCAGCGCCAGCCGTCTGCGTGGGCCTCCAGCCCTGCACAGCGCGCATGACTACATCAGTCAACATGACTACAGCATGACTAAAATTTGATTTTCTACTTCTGTTCGCTGTGCGCACACTGGCACTCAGGAAGGCTGCTGCAGCAGAGCATGAAAAAGAATTTGGTCGCAGTGCTGCTGGCCTTGCTGCAGTGATGTACAAGGGACTTCCTGGCTGTCTCTAAACAGGGCAAGGGCTGAGAGTTACACAAGCCCGGCGCTTGAAGTCTGATTTGTCTGGCTCTGTACAGTGCCGCACGGCTAGGCTGGGAACAAGATCAGGGAGGGGCCCAGGCTGCGCACCCCAGTTGATGAGGGATGCAACGAAGATGCCGATGGTGGTGGCGAGCTGGAACAGAATGTTGAGGCCTCCGCGCATTGAGGGGGGCGCCATTTCCGAGATGTAGGGGGGCACTGCCTGCACAGTCAGCAAGGGCACTTGTGTCAGCGCTGCCCTGATTTCAAAAAATGAAAGACAGCTGCAGTTGAAGAAGTGCACTGCTGGCTGCTGAGCAGCAGGAGCTGTCACCTATTCCACTGCAAGCAAGAACCAAACACCCGCTGTATTTCAGTGCTTGCACATTTGAGCAGCTGCCGCAGGTTCATGCCTGCTGCAAAGGGGCCCACCTCGTTGGCAAAGCCGATGCCGATGCCCAGGAAGATGCGGCCGGCAATGAGCATGCCGATGTTCTGCGCGAGCGCCTGCAGCAGCGCTCCGATGAGGAAAGCGATGCCTCCAGTCACCATGACACCACGGCGGCCCAGACCTCCGAGAGGCAGGCTGCGATTGGAGAGGAGGAGCACCACAATACCTACACACACACACAGCAGAGCTTCAGTTCTGTGATCTCTCAAGGTAGTGGCAGAGCAGCGGGTACTGCTGTGGTACACAACGGGAAGAGCAGGCAGTCCCATGGCGCACACAGCATTGCGGGGACAAGTGTCCTTTGAGGTGGCAGGGGAAGGCATGGGGGTTTGCTGTTGGGGCAAGTGAAACAATAGGAAGGGGACGTGCGCACTTGCGCCGGCGCCGGCCAAGAACATGGAAGAAGTCCAGAGCGTCAGGAGGTGATCATTGAATGTGCAGTAGGCGGACGAGGTAGACAATTTTTGGTTCGTCAGGACATGCGGATAGAATTTCTGCGTTGCAAAAGAGATACGTCAGAAAACGGAGTGCAGAGGTGTGAGCATCGGCCGACAGAAGCCAGTGACAGCGGCAGGACGAAAGGCAAAACGGAGAAGAGAAAGGCGGCTGACCTCTAAAAACGTGGGCATGCCCGTGACGCCCCCAGTAACTCCTGCAACACGGCACGAACGCAGTCAGGCGCCGATGAACCCAGATCCTGCACCGACTTTTCTATGCGGAAACAGCTGAAAGCACCCGGCCATCACAGTGCTACAACAAACCCCAATGGAACAACATGGGGACTGTGAAGGCGGCGCACCAAGGTCATAACCGAATAGCAGACCACCGCAGGCCGCCGCAGCGCAGACGAGGAGGATGCGGGGTTTTCGCCATAGCAAGGTAATGTTCTCGCGGACACCGAGCTTGGATGCGGCAACCTTTGACAGCAACAGAAAAATCCAATGAGTGAGGTTCGTGAAGAGACCGGCTCCTTTGGAAGCCTGTTGAGGTTGCACGAATGGGCGGCCAGAGTTGGGGTTTGCAAACTCAGGACCTTTGCAGGAAGCCAGCTGACAGAACTACATACAACTAAGTGGTAAGGGTGCATGAAACCACAGGATACAGTGATTCTATACTGACAAGAACGCCATAAATCTGCGTGAAGCAAGTCACCATTGAGCTTTGTTGATGGAGACAGAGGCAGACGGATTGAGGTGATGACGGATGGCTTGCTTGAAGTCCGGCTGAATGGAGACGACAGCTACTCGACACGATACTGAGCTACATTCGATGCAGAAATGCCACTGATTTGTGAAACAGCCGGCTGCTGTCTGGAGGTTGAAAAGGGGCCGATTGCCAAATCAGGACGTCTGCCACTTCAGCCACCTTCTAGCACCTTCTCAGCCACCTTCTTAGCATGTTCCTTCGCCATTATCGACACATTTTCTCCCTCGCATTATTTGTAGTGAAGTGAAATCGCATGGAATTGCACACCAAGCGCGTTCCTTTAAATATTCAGCGAAATGGATTGTAAATGTGCAGAAGACTCGCCAAGCTTCAAGCAATGCAACTTGAAGTTGCTGAAACAGCGTCGCACATCAACTGCAGCAGGCGAAGCTCAAAAGATTTGGAGTTCAAACTCTTTGAACTTGACTTTGGGTTCTAAAGAACGTTCGTTCTGCTGAGATTGAAGTGACATCGGTATGCTAATGAGATCAGCAAAAACAGCCTAGAGTCTGGACAAGTAATCCTCGCAGCGCCACAGACCCACAATGCATTATGTAAAAGAGGGGTGCACATATCTGCTTGGCAAAATTCGAATCCGCGTATGCACCTTGCATGCACGGTGCATGTACACCTCGCCTACCCGTTGGAGGACAATAGAATCACTGATAGCAGCACTGAAGACCTCATTACTGTGAAGGTGACCACTAAGATCCATGACAAATATCTGCTATGCCATGCCGCAGAGTTATCTGCACGTATCATCTGCATCAGCTGAAGCGCTTGAGCAAGACATAGCTGGCAAAGAAGTTTTTTCTTCTGGACAGCTTTGGCACGTAGAACGCTCTCAAGAGCGAAGATTTTGATCGTGTCACATCCACAAATGGCTCACTAGCCACCTCTTCCCATTTGTCAGGATCTGCCAAGCACACGAACTCACCTCATACTAGAGTAAGAGGAATGCAGACACCAAGTGCAATACCGGACACGTGAAGATCAGCACATTCCTGCTGTAATTATGTAGCCGACACCCAAAATGCATGCTGAAGCAGATGTTGGATGGATGCATGTGCTAACACTTGCCTTGCAGTGGTGGCGCACCTGGATGCTGCAGGCCCACAAAGAAGTGGCACTGGCTAGCATCGGGCCAGTAGTTGTCGGGCTCCTCTCGGTTGCCACTGTTCAGCTGAGGGGGTGCAGCTGCCGTGCCACCCTGCATTCAAGCCAAATAACCATGAGGACCAAGTTTTCTATCTGGGTGGAGGATGCCACTACCTAGGGCTATGACATGCTTCAGAAGTCCATCAGTATTGCTGTCAAAATGGCCTGTCCACATATGCATTCCCAAATAATAAGTGTCCGTGGTGCGCGGGCAGGAAACTTAACAGGATGTGCATTCAATGTGCAGGAGGATTACAGCGATGCACCTGGTCCAGGTCAAAAGGGACTGGCAGCAGCCCATGAAAGTCCGATTTGACAAACGCCAGACGGTACCAAGGGGCTGGGAGGAAGAATGACGAGGGGAATCGGTGCCACTCATCCCCCATGCACACATATGTGTGATTGCCGCTGTGCAACCCAGGCTCCTCCTGCGGCCACACTAGCGACTTGTCATGAGACTACCACGCTAATTCTGCTGTCTCTGGCGTCTCTATGAGGTGTGCAGCTGTGCAGCTGATGAGGCCACAGGAAGCAACAACTATCTCATTCCCAAAATCTACGTTAATTGCACTCAGGGGTTGGGCAACTGCAGAGGCTAGCAGGCAGAAGGAAAAATCATGAGGGCATCAACCTGGGGCAGGTGGCTGTACAGGTGCATGGGTGCGCCGTAATTGAGCCGCAGCGAAAGGGATCGTGACAGGGACAGGATTATTATGGCTAAGCAGGCGGCTCCAGTTGCGGCGCGAGCCATGAGCTGCACGGCCGGCCGAGGCAGCAGCCAGGACAGGCAGCCCTTCACTGTCGCTGGCAGCGCCGCCAATGTCATTGCAGCAGACAGACAGATCTGCGCAGCAGAGCACAGTTTTGCATCAACCCATCAAAGAAGGGTATTGGGGAAATTTGATCAACAAAGATTAGGAATTGCCCTGTCAAAAGGTCCTTGCAGGTTTGTCAGGTGGTGCTTCACAGAGAACACTGGCTCCATGCTGCTATCATGGCAGTCAAAGCAGTCTGAGCGTACCCACCAGAGGATAGACTGGGTACAAGAAACGCTCTTCCTTGTGCGGTAACAGTGATATGGCGAGCCCCCACACCCAGACAGGCAGCACTGCAATGAGCAGACGCATCCGAACATTCGTCCCTGCAGACACATCTCATGTTTGCCCACTGATGCCGTTGGGATACATTGTGCCGTTCTGGGCAGATTTGGATAGGCACTCTCTGATTGAAGCACAGCACAGCACTCTCGAGGCAGGCCCATCAAGGATGTGTAAACTTCCAAGGCAACATCAGATGCGCACCTCTGCGCTGCAGCATCAAGACAAGCCCAGACAGTGGAGCCAGTAGCGCCAATGGCAGCACCAGGTTCAGGTTGGTGAAGGCATTGCGCAAGTAGAACGTGCTGCTCTCCACCCCATACAGAGAGCTGTCCCCACCCCCCACGACATTGTACTTCACAAAATTCCACAATGTCACCTGCCGCACACACTTACCAGTCAAGCTTGCTCAGCAGCAATTGGATCATTGGAGCATTGAAGCATGCATTGAGATCCAAACAACACCATTCAACCTGGAGGTGGGACGGCTCAAGAGCATGATGAGGCCACTCACCGCCCACTTCCCATAGAAGAGCCTGTCTGTGACCACCAGCGGTGCAAGGGTCAGGGTGAGCGCGGCTATGGCAGTGCCAAGAGACCTTGTGAATGGAGCCGCAAACAGAACGTAAAAAGCATATGGCAGGAATGCCACTCCTGCACACCAAGACGGGGTCATAAGAAGTCCGGTCGATAAGTTTGGAGAATAAATAGAGAATGTAGAAGGTGTACATGACGTTCAGAAGTCAAACAGAGCAATCCCTCACCTGCCACTACCCACCCCAATATCACTCCAACAACAGCATAAACCACGACCAGCTGTGGCCTATTCCTGATAACGGCTGCCGCGGCCAGGGTCACAAAGTACATCACAAAGCTGCTCGGCAGAAGGGCGGAGGATGCTGAGAACATGCCCGCGCTGCACGCCAGCAGCAAAAGCAAGAGCTGCGCTGTCTTTGCCCCAGCATAGTCCCTCGTGGCCCTAACAGACCAAGTCGGATTCAAAAAGAGGCACACAGTCTCTTCACCAACATTGCAAGAGCTCACAGAAATTATCAACTGTCTTCCCATCGATGATCAGGTAGTGTCACAGAAGCTCTTTAATTAGATTTATCAGTCAGGAAAGGGGACCCTTCTGCTCACCTGACCAAGGCAGTCTCGCTGTACACCGATATCAAAGCAAGCACAGCTCTTGTGAGGTAGAAGACAGTGACCTTCCCTGTACACAGGATAGTCATTGGTGAGCCATGTGTCTCAGACTTGAATCCTGAGGAACATGCAGTCGCAGCAGTTTGAGACAGCTCACCTGGACCTGTGCCCAGCCACAGCGCTGCAGGGCCCGCCACTAGGGCATGCAGCAGCAGATATAGATGTGATCTGAGGGCAAATTGTGAGCTGCACCGCACAACACAATATCTTAACTGGTTTGCAAAAATTCCGCAGGAATTCTGCCTTGGAAGATAGTACTATTGAAGAATGATGCTGACTCCGAGGGCTCTCACCTGTACTCCCACGTCTGCATGCCATACCCATACAGTAGGAAATGTAGCGGCTCCCAGTAATTGTACACCTCGTCACAGTCGTGTATGATGTTGTACAGGGAGCTGAGGAGACGAGGCACAAGCAGGCAGAAGACAATGAAGGCGGTGCGGGGCTTCTTCCTCTCCAGGGACCTAGGTGGCCATATTAACAACCTCAACTCGATCATCTCTGATACTATGCTTTCAATTATAAGCACACGCGGGAATGAGCGGACCAGATTGACAAAGCCTGGGGTGATGGGACGCCCATCACATTTATATGTTTTTTGAAAGGAAGCATGCCGTGCTTTAGACATGCGCATCGTCTCACTATTAGACCATCTAAGCTTCTCACTTTGCTTTGAGGCCATTGGAAGACGTTGGGGCGCCACCCCCAGAAGTCCTGTTCTTTCTTTTCCTCAGGCCAAACATCAGCCCAGATCTCTCTGAGTCTCCAGTGTAAGAGCTTCAACGCAGACTGTCACTTCATAATTCAAGACACCATTTTATATTTGAATGCACTCCAGAATTATCCACGTTGTAATTGGTAAAATGCGAACCCATCAAAACGTGCGCATGAACTAGCGATGTTTCTTGAAGCTATTCTACTGATGGTGGACAGCAGAACGTAACCACACACACAGCTTTACCGAGGGAAAAGAACCCTTGATCGAATGTTCAAGGAAGTGCGAATTCCATGTGTGAAGGCATTTTGCAGGGCAACTTCCAATTGGGCAGAAGCAGTGGGGTGATGGGTAAATCGTTCCGAATGATGGTGTCGGAGTATGGTCGATCTTGATGGAAGAATTTGGAGCAAATAGTTGTGCCGATCAAGAGCAAGCACAATGTTGCATACTAATTTCAAGACTGGCAGGCAAGTCATTCTCGCAGATCTTACGCACACCAGAGCACAAGGTGTATTACAAAGTCACACAGGGCGCCGTCGTCCTCCTGCAGAGAGGTGCACCCCTTTGCCATTGCGAAGGCTGCCACCGCGTTGTGCTGCAGCAACTATGGCAGTCGACACTACTTCAGTAAGCGGGCGAATGGCTGAGCTGCGTGAACAGAAAAGGTGATCTGCACGTGCTTCAACTGTTGATTTTGCTGGCGCATGCTGATCGTCCATGCAAAGACCTCTGTCTATGTCAAGAATTTGAAAGTGAAACTTCAGACGTGTTGCGTTTTGCAGGGGAGCATTCATCCCGTTCATAACTGCTGGAGACCCAGATATTGAAACAACAGAGCAGGCTCTTCTAGCGCTTGACAGAGCTGGAGCTGATATTATAGAGCTGGGAGTGCCCTACTCGGTGAGTTCTCAAAAAAAGACGTGCAACCTGATTCCTATTGGCGCTTCCAATCTACCTAGATTTGCATGGCGTATTGACCCAGACAGTCAGCAATTGAGTATATATGTCGTGCCACGATGCAGGATCCGCTTGCAGATGGGCCTACAATCCAGGCGGCCAGCACACGCGCATTGGCTAGCGGCACCACACTTAAGAAGGTGATGAGCAGTGCTTGATGTCAAAGGATCAAATTTGTAGCCTCCTGCATGTTGTGATATTCAAGCATGCTTCTGCTGAAGTTTTGTGGTGAACTCAAAACTGCATGGGTGTAGGTCATAGACGTGGTGGGCAAAGTGTCGCCTCACATCACCGCGCCCATCGTACTGTTCACATACTACAACATCATCATGAGGCGCGGCCCTGAGAAGTTTTGCCAGGAGATCAAGGCTGCCGGGGCCGCAGGTGCACTCCAATGAACCAAAGCAACTTTTCCTGTCTGCTAGTATCCCAAACGAATTGTTAGGGTGCTTAGCCAATTGCGCTGTGCTGGCACTGGAGATAATTAGCAGTGTTTTCAAACAGCGGAGGAGGTGGCAGTCAGTCACTCAGCGCCTGGGACAAAGCGCAGGTCTGCTGGTGCCGGACATCCCCTTGGAGGAGACAGGGCCGATCCGGGAGGTGGCCACGGCGGCAGGACTGGAGCTGGTGCTGCTGACAACGCCCACCACTCCCCAGCCGCGCATGGAAGCCATAGCCAAGGCCTCCCAGGGCTTTGTCTATCTTGTGTCAGTGACAGGTGGGCTCTTTCCGTACCATTAGTGCTGCTGCAGACTACCATGCGTGCTGTGGAGGTTTGTGTTGCACGTAAAGCAGATGCAAATGACAGCTGGCTTGCTGCAGGTGTGACTGGACAGCGGGTATCCATGGAATCGCGCGTGGAGGGCTTGATCGAGCAGTTGCATCAGATCACAGACAAGTCGGTGGCTGTGGGCTTTGGCGTTTCAGGCCCAGAGCAGGTGTGTGTTCAGATCTGTAGAATCATGATGTCTGATCAACAGTGGCCATGAATGTCCTTGCAGGGCCATTGGTCAAGATGTGAAGGAGCTGAGTGGTTTTTCTGCAGGCTCGGCAAATCATGGCATGGGGCTCGGAGGGTGTCATTGTCGGGAGCGCTTTGGTGAAGGCTCTTGGAGAAGCGCCCAGTGCCAAGGAAGGCTTGGAACGGATGGAAGCACTTGCGCGCAGCATCAGAGAAGCCATTTGACATTGTGCACATGGGGAAGTTTGAGAAAATGTCATGGGAGCAAATGATCTGATCAAACTGAAATTCAAATGTGTAAGGATGCCATAATATTTGGCAGGGAAATCAGCTAGTTCTAATTTGCTGGGGTGTGGAATGAGCTGCGTTGCAGTCATGCAAGCAACAGCAATGTGGCTTCCTGCTGAAGCCGAAAATACGTGCACTGTCAGTATTACACTGTTCAGCAGAGGAATTCAATGATATCAGATCAATCATGTCACATCAAATTCAATACAATATGTCACGTGAACGCATCATGCAATGCATGGACAGCCCTGCCTAATGCCTGCCACGCTTTCTGCCACCGCCGCCCCTTCCACGGCCGCCGCGGCCGCCTCTTGAGGGCTTCTCACCAAAAAATTTGGCACCTGCATCGCCGAATCCCCCCTGCCTCCCTCTGCCTCTCCCTTCGCCTCGGCCTCTCCCTTCGCCTCGGCCCCTCCCTTCACCTCGGCCCCGCCCGCCCCGTCCGCTAGACTTTGGTGTGAAGGTCAGCTCGCGCTGCCCGCCGACCCTGCGAGCCACCCGTTATCATGATCAGTGCCTGCGCCTGATTTGTACTTGGCATGAGCAGTGTGCACCGGGTCAGTGTGATCATCCTGAGCCCAAGAAGCTCCAAGATCCCATTCAGAAAAATTCAGATCAATACACTGCAGAGTGAAATGAGGATGCCGCTGTGGGCAGCGCAATAAGAAGTGGCCCACCTCTGTCGGCCGGGGGCGCCAGCATTGCCGGCAGCAGCCAGCCGATCCGCAAGGGGCAACGATTGCACTCCTGCAAGGGACTCGCGGGCCTTGAAAGCCGCCGCAGCAGCCTCGTTCTTTGCCGCATACAACCGGGGACCCTTGCCCCTGCCGCTGCTCTCTGCTCTGCTTCCGGCCTCGCGCCGCCGCTTCTGCATGACACAAGCCAGTTCAATGCCCAATCTATTAGGTCCAAGTGGCATGCACTGAAGCTGCACCACAAGTCTCATCAGAATCCTCTTCGAGTCCTTCAGACAATCAGCTGCCACAGACATGTCATGGCATCAGCATAGCTAATAATGACACATAAAATCTATTCCAGGGAACTCCGGCCAGTGAGATCTTGCGCACCTGCTGTTGTCTGTCTTCATCTTCTGAGACCTCCTCCATACTGCTGGCATCACCCTCCCTGTCATCCTCCTCCTCGCTCTCCTCTCCCTCGCTGCCCAGCTCCTCAAAGTGCTCTTTGAGAAGCTGCTTCTGCCGATGGTTGGCGTCTGCAAACCCAGCATTTCAACATTTACATACTTACCCCCATGCACTCTAAACACAAGGATGTCTGCATATGCATGGCTGATATTAGCAATATTATACGTTGTTCCTGCCATAGGCAAGCTTCGTCTATGGCAAAGCAGACCTGGGCAACTGTTCATGAAAGAATAGTTTGACAGAGGAGGGCTCACCGGCATTGGGATGGAGTGCCTTGTACTCCTCAGACTGCTCATCAATCGTGAACGCCCTGTCCTCAAACAGCGACTTAAACCGGTCGTCCGCCAGGAGGTCCGAGGCCGGCTTCTTGGCGCGCTTGCCGGCGGCAGCCTCGCCCTCCTCCTCTGCCTCATGCTGCGACGCCAACACCTTGGCTGCCAGGCTGGCATTCACCTGGATGCACACCTTGTGGTATCAGCCAAACTCCCATGCTTACTCGGTCCCTTCACTGGGCCAGCAAGTCTTCTCAAAAGGGCCGGCTCTCACTGGAGCATGCGATAGAAAAAGACCGCATCCGGCACCAGTCTTGCGAATCAGCTGCAGGTTCACTGCTGCAATTCATCGCAACTCCAGGCTATCCTTCAGCGAGGGGAAGTTTTGGGCATGTTTGGACTCCTCCAGCCTGAGACATTGGAATGCGGATAAATAGCAGGGGGAGGGGGGCACCTTGGGGAGCTTGCGCACGAGGCCGATGCGCGACTGGCGCTCGGCCTCGAGCTTCTTGGAGATGCGCTGCTGGCGGTAGTCCTCGTAGGAGGTGGGCTGCGCGACGGCGCGCGCCTTGTTCCACAGGCGGTTGTGCAGGAAGTAGCCGTGCATGAACGCGCGCAGCAGCGGCGTGCCCACCAGGTGCCCCAGCCCCAGCTTGTCCAGCTCCGCCCGCGTCACAAACCTGCGCCGTATTTCTCCTGTCATTATTCTTCGCTGCCTGTCTCTGCCTCTCTTGCATGCTGGCGGCGCACACACCCCTGCCTTCCTGCCCAAACTCTTCATGCCCAAATTCTCCGTGCCACCACAAGGTCCTGACGGTTGAGCATGTCTCAAAGATGTGCGCAATCCGCCTTCCTAGCGTGCCACAGGAAGGGCAAAACTTGCGGCGGAGGATGGAGATACCTGCACACCCCTGCATGCGCATGAATTTCTTATAGAAGAAGGGAGCTGAGGGTCATTGTTCTGTTCTCTCATCACCTGTAATCGTCGTATAGCGTGGGCGTGGCGCTCTCCTCTAGCTCCTCTGTGAGGCCCTCCAGGAAGCTGCACCACCTGGGAGCCGGCCCCAGCGATGGCACAAAGTACGCCTGCGCAAAATTGAGACACCATCCGGTCACATGAGAACCCCGAACTTCCTTTCTCCACATTCGATATCCACGCTGACATCCTGGTCATCCCATGATGGACATGCCCCAGCCGGCTCCATGCAACAGTAAACAATGCTTGAAAAAACAAACATGCATCAGAAGCACCGGTAACGCAAAGCAGATCATTGCGCGTCTACCAGTTAAGCATCATTCTCATGTGGGGGGTCACAGGGGCGCCGTGCCTGTATGCGGGGGGCGTCCATGCCGAGCATGATCAGGCCCGAGTCCCTCCAGTGCAGCACATCGTTGATGCCCGGCTCCTGCGGCTGCAGGTTGGTGAAGGTGTCCCCCGACGCGGCGTCCCACAGCTTCACAATGTGCTTGTCCGCGCTGATCACCTTCCTCGTCGACCCGCCTGCAACCTCACCCAGTCTTTTAGCTCAATGCCCCAGTGCCGGCACCAAGCTTCTGCAAATCCCTGGGAATTACACCTTCAGGCTGAATTATATCATGAGCTGCAAGTCCTGTTGGTGCAGTCCCATGCATGCCGGATGCGCTGTCCTAAGATTCGTCCAGATGTTCATGGTTCTAGTACTGCAATTATTTTGAGAAGGGAGTGCCGTGCCTGCAATGCTGTCGATGGTGTGGAACTTGATGTCCCTGATGGGTGCCCCATACATGTGGTCCTTGACAATGCTGGGCCGCGAGGCGCGCAGGTCGAACAGGGCCACCAGGCCGTTGGAGGTGCCCACCGCGCACTGCAACCCGCCGTCGTCAAAGCGCAGCGCCGTCAACCCCTCCCCGGCCTGGAATGCCAAGGAAAATGCTGTTTATGGAATTTTATATCCCAGGAATCTCAACAGCCATCCCAGCACAGTCCTTTGGAAAGTAGCATTATCCCTGCAACAATGAGTGTGCCAAGGAGAATTTCTAAAATTTCGTGCTTTGCTCAGGCCCTTTGAGCAGCTATAGCATGCTGCATGCAGATTACTAATGCGGTTATGATGAAGGAAGAGAAAGTACGGATGCTTAGAAGGGAGTCGCACCGCGCCGGCGGCAGCAGCAGCGTCAATGACCCCGGCCGAGCGGCGCTGGCGCAGGTCGAAGCACTCCAGCTTCCCGTCCTCGCCGGCGGCCGCGAACAGGCCATGCGCCGGGCTGACGGCACACGCATTCACGGCTGGCGACTGGCTCGGCAGGGGCGTCAGGAAGCACCCCTCCGACAGATTCAGCCTGCACATTTGCCACAGTGCAGAGCGCATCAGGCTTAGAGGCCTACTGGCTCACTTTCCCCAATAATTCTTCTGCTGGCAGGACTGGAGAATGGGCGTGCCAGATGGGCTCACCTGTGTATTTCAGGGGCTGATCCGGCAATAAGGAGGTCAGCAGACTCTGGTGCATAGGCCAGATCGCGGCCGAAGCAGGGCACGCGCGTTTTGAAGTGCGCCCCATAGCGTGCATGCAGGTGCACTGAGCGATCCGCGCACAGGAACGCCGCTTTGCTGTAGTCCTCTGACAAGAGCTGCAAAGCAAGCAAATGCCAATGAGGCCCACCATCTCCTTCCAGGGCTTGCCTCGAAAGACTGGGGCATCCCAGAACAGTGGTTTCTGAGCATGACAGATGCGTGCCTGGAAGTCCACAATCTCAGCATCAAAGTGGCGCTCGAATTTCATGGAGAGCTGGCCAAGCTCGTACACACGGACCTGTGTGGCACAAGAACGTTTGAGTGAGACTGACAGTATCACAACACCATGCATGCATGAGACGTTGGCTCTGGGCACTCATCAAAGCCGTACCCGTGGTGGGTGGATGCCAGTGGCGAACAGGTACTGGCCATCTGGGGTCAGCTTGAGGCGGTGGCAAGCTGCTGGGAACTCCAGATCCTGGATGAGCTCGATCCTCCGCCTGAGACATGCACTTTGGTCAGCTCGATCTGGGTCACAGCAGCCACCTCTTCACCAGGCACCAGTGCTGCAAACCTTCCGTACCTGTACTCTTCATCTTTGCGAAGGCTCTTCTTCTTCTTCTCCGACACCCATTGTGGCAGTGTCTTGCTGCTGGTGACGTTGTATACCTGTGAGCAAACAGGCACTCAAAGGATGTGAATAGGTGCATGTGTTGATGCTTGCGACAGTGCAAAGCTGTATAGACAACCAACTACCTTTACTCCATCTGGAGCCGAAACCTTCATGGACATGTTGGCGCAGTCTTCAGTATTCTCACAAGACTAGTTATTCATAAGAGCGATCGAAGTTGCAGAAGATACGCAGAACGGCAAGGATGCCACATCAAGCATTCTATTTGCAGCATATTAATGCAAATGATCATGCAGTGTATTGCTTCTTTCCATCACAACGCTAAATCGAACATCAGGAAAACTCCGAAACTGTCGGCAGAAACCAAAGATTATGCCCTGCCCTTTTTGGTGCATCTTTTGAGCGCGAGCTTGTTCTTGATGTTCAGCCTTATCTCGTAGGAGTTGAAAGTTACAATAATTACGGAGCTTGGATTTCATTTGGGTGTTTCTGAAGTTTCTGATCCCTTAAATGCTGGAAAATATCGTACTTCGAAATTTCTTGAGTTCCGGCATTTGTTGATCTGACGCAGTAGACTCCCTGATAAGATCCCCTTTTCTGTGAAGGCACCTCGAGATGCCGTGTTGACTTAATTTGAGGGTGTTGTAGGAATGTCACACTAAGCCAAATGCTTTAAAGCATATTACTGAAGTTAGGTGTTTTTTCTTGGACCCATTGGTTCACGAGCCTGTTACCCCTAAAGATCCATGATCCGTAGCTTTGCAGTAACATGGGAAGTTTGAGCTCTCAGAATCCAGAAAGTGAGCAAGGGGCGTCATGTTTGTGAGTCTGTGGGTCTTTTACTTGGATAGTCTCATCAGCCACCCCCTGCTGACCAAATGCTGCACCTCCGCTGTTGGCTTCATGATTGGCGACAGCATAGCTCAGATACTCAGTCGAGACCCCCATAGCATTGTGCGGACACTCCGATTTGTGACCATAGGATTTTTCATGCATGCCCCTGTCGCTGACGCTTGGTTCACCTATTTGGAAAAGGTGCGCCTTCATGATTGTGCATACCTTTGTCATTTGCTGCTACTGTGAGAGCTGAACCTTTTCCAGGCTCGAATCACCTGTGATTTCACATGCATGTGGGATGTGCTTGTGCCAGGCCGTCTACGCGGAGACTCCAGCAAGGTGCTTCGCTACCTAAAACAGAGCACCTAGCTGCATATTAGCCTGCATTTCGATGATAGTGGGATCTCACCTGTTGTGTGTATACTGATATGCTTGACACTGATTTTGTGATTTGTGATGTAAGTGGGTGCTGACCTGATGTGTCTACGCTGATCAGCACGCGAGCAGTGCTGGCCAAGATGGCGCTTGACCAGTTCCTGATGGCACCTGTCTTCCTGGTGGCCTTTTTCTTCGCCACCAAGACACTGGAGGGGCAGCCGCACAAGCTGCTGGAGACCCTTCGCGGAACTTACATTCGCACTCTGCTTCTGGGCTACCTGATCTGGCCGCTCGCGCACATCATCAATTTCAAATTCGTCCCCAATGATCTGCGCATACTCTACGTCAACTTTGTACAGGTGGGCATTTTCCTCTAAGGTTGAGTGTGCTTGCAGTGTCACTTCCTGCAGGCTCGCAGATGGAATACCTTGTTCTTGAAGCAAGTAGGCAAGGCCTGGATATATGGATATGGTTCAGCTGGGATGACCTCCACGCTGCAACTTGGATTCGATGTCCACTTTCAACAGGCTTACAAAAGTATTGGCCTGTACTTGATAGTAAAGGGATTGGTGTCTGACTGTGTGTGGCTGTGGTGCAGCTGGGCTGGAACGTTGTCCTGTGCCGGATGAGTGGCTCATCTGCAGTCAGGCAGCCGGAGCCTCGCAGGTACATCGAGAGGAAGGTGTCTCAGCACCTGAGAGGCATTGAGATTGTGGAGAAGCGCAAGTCCCTGCCCCGCCTGACCACTTCAGCGTTCCGGGGCAGCACTCCCTGATCATTGGCACAGCTTCTGTTCCATGCTGCATGCAGTCATGAAACCATATGGAATATTACTTTAGATGATGGTGCTGCATGAAAGGTCACTCGATATCTTGAACCTTCAGTCTTTCTATACTGTATGATCAAGCGGCGGAAATCCTGACCAAGCCGTTTCCAGCTAGGCGCTAGTAGATTCTGTAGGTCATGTGTTGTCATAGATGTCACGCAGAGCAGCGTTCTTAGGTCACAGCACTTTTTTCTGCAGAGAATTGCCGGCACAAATTTCTAGTTCATTAAATATTCCATGGATTGCACAGCACATCTGTCTGGACTCGTGTTTAATATGAAAGAACAAACAAAATTGATTGTACTTGAATTATTTGCCATGTAAGCATGATTACGTAACAATCGCAGTGTTGTTCAGTGAGTGCATGTTTTGACAGTTCACGCCACAGTCTCTTCCAGATCCCATACATGACAGAACTTCTTTGAAATGGCAAATCAAAGCCAGCAGGAAAGACAACAATCCCCCAAAACATAGCAGTGGGTCAAAAAGCCCGCACAAGGTTCATCAATCCTTTCAAGGAGCTCAGCTTCTGAGGCAGCCCCTTTATGCATGCTGCATGCCACATCACCCAGTCCTTCCCAGCCTCCTCAGGGAGGTTCTTTGAATTCCGCCACACTGTCTCACTGTCCCTGCTCTCAGAGCATCCATTTGGAAATCTGCACACAGCATGCAGTATCTCAACGCCTCAGAATCCAGTGCTGCACAGACAAAACCATGTGGACCATGATAGTTGCACTTGCAGTAGGGAGCAGCAAGTTCCTTGGATGGTGTGAGGAGGAAGCTCACTGCTGGGTGGGCAGATAGGAGACCCGCAGCTGTGTCGGGTAGCTGCTCTGAGTCATGGCCCACGCCATGGGAAACATTGAGGAAGGCCCAACATTGCCCCCTTCCCTCCCAAGGCCCACCCAAGATTTCACCAATGCCCTGCAAGAAACACATCACAATCAAGCACACCCAGCACATGGCACGGAGCACGCATTTCCTTTGCAACGCCAACGTTTTCACGTGTGACTGAGAAATGGCCTCCAATTTCCAGTTACGGTACCTTGTCGGCTCTGTGGCGCGCGCAAAGATGAGGCCGGCGCAGGGCTTCTGGGCAGGCGAGTCATCTGTGCTATTGGTGCTGTCCACTGTCATCAGGAAGTCTGACAGGTTGGGCTCCAGTGCGGCAAAAGGGTCCTTCAGCCACACCATGTCCACATCCGCCGCCAGCACATTGAAATTTTTCGCCAGCAGCTGCTGCAGAGCACCGATCCTGCAAGCCCCGGCTTCCAGTCAGACCTGATTGTCATGCCACAGACATATCGGCGCATGCATGCATGTCGACTTGTGTCCACGCTGTGTCATCTTCACCATCTCAGCGTGGAAAGAGTGCTTTGGGAGGCCATGCAATAGTGTAAGGAAAGCAAGTGGCCTCACTTTTGCCAGCCGGGAGAAAGAGGTGGCAAAGCGGGAGCCTGTGCAGTGCTCCTGGGAGCCTTTCTGCTGCTGGAGGCCCCTCCAGCAACTTCTTTGCTGCTCGTGTTCCTCCCACTTCCAATGTATCCCTCTGCGGTCAGGCTGCCGCGCCCCCTGTTTGGTGTCCCCCGTAATTCCAAGTCTTTCTCCTTGATTCCTTCCACTGAAAAGCTTTGAAAGCCCTTGTTTGGGCTGCCTCCCGAGCTGTTTGAAGCCCTGTGCAGCACCTTGACAATCGCATGTAATACAGCAGAAGACCTTGTCAACACAGAGGTCTACATGCAACCAAAACTGCCCCATTCTGCACTAGATGGTAGGGGGTGCTGCAAAAACTCCAGGGAGATAGGTGTGATTGGGCCAGAACACTCACGCAGCACTAAGGCGTTGGAACCAGGGCAAGCAGTGCGCATGCTTGGTCCTGCAGATCTGCAGGCCCTGGGCATCCGAGGCTAGCACCAGCACCCGTGGAACTAACCGCCGTGACACCTTCTGGAGCGACTCCAGAAATACTGGCAGCAGGATCTGCATGGCCACAGGCAATAAGTAAAGCACATCTGTAGCTAGGAGCTGCATGCCCACCAAAAGCAGAGGCTCGTGATGTTGAAATTTCTTCCCATCAGCGCACCTCTGCAGCCTCTGCATCCACAATTGTGGTCATGATCGAATGCTTTCCCCCCTTCTTGGATGCAGGTCCATTCCCTGCAACCTGTAAAACATGGCGAAGCAGTTTGAGCTTCATTACCAAAAGAGCGTCTATTGGAAGCTTGCATGTTCAAATATGGAGCATTGGGCGAACCTCTTGTAGCATCAAATCAACAGGACTGGTGGGTGTCGCTCTGTCAAGCCCTGCTAGCCTCTGCCGGTTGATGCTCCTGATCCTGGCGTTTGGGACCCCACTTTTGCTGCACCCAAAAGACTCCAGCAGTAAAAAATAAAGTTATAAGATTGTCAAGGCTGTACCATTCCATGCAACATCACAGTTAGAACAGATTGGCGGGCCAGACAACGACAACGTACCTCATTTTCGGGCGCATGAACGTGATCGAAGACAACACATTCAATCCTTGCCAATGTGTAATGCTATACGTAAAAAATAACGTGCACACCAACAGCAGAAGTGCAGCATTGCGTGCTTTCATATTGCTCAACTCGTCAATGCTCGATCTTGTTGTGACTTGAAGGTCATCTGAAACAAGGCGATCATGTTGTTTTCACGAGATCTATATCACAAATATCGCGCAGAAGTCGACATCCTTCAAAACCGATTGGATTTGTCTCGAGTACCGGCTTCGAGCTAGACAGTTCCCGAAATGCTAGGCACGTTCGGATGGCGGTGTTCCCTCATGGCATGGCCAATCAACCCCAAAAATTCGGTTTGGATAGGATGGTGCTGCATGCAAGTGGCTTGCACACCACCAGTGGCAGTCACTGCACTGTGCAAGCGGGTACTGAAAGCACACTGCCGCACTATGCCTTTTGCCAGTGCCCCAAGGGTACCTCCGGTGCCGCCGCGGGCCGGCCTCGGCACACTCGCAGTGTAAATCTCAAGTTGGCAACGTTGTGTACCTTTCTCTACTCTTGAAGGTCTAGCTAGCCACAGATTTACCATGAATAACTCACAATGAGTTTGGAGTGTGCACAGGTGACATGATGTGCTCATATAACGAATGCGCACACATGCGGCGGCACGTGCACCAGTGTCACTGTCATGACACTGGCAGTTGCCCAGAAACACCAGTGGCGTCATCATGATAAGCTAATTGAAACCTTGAAAGCTACATAGACTACAAGTGCTTGGCAACGCACACTACGTACAGCACTGGCAGCCATGCATGCTAGCACAGACTCAAATCTGTCCAAGTTGAAACCGCAGCGCCTTGCCTTCATCGAGGGTTCTATATCTGAGCTGCAAGGCAGTGTCACATCTTCCTAGACACTTTCCGCCAGGGCATACTTGTTGCCAACACATCAAACGAAAGGTACAGGGCTCATTTGAGACCTTGACCAAGATATCTTGAGGCCGCCTTGGGTACCTTGAATGCCACAGGCGGCCACCGCTGAGTGTCTTGATTTTAAAGCATGAAACAGATTTGGTATACAGGATCATGAGCACATTGTGCCCACTACGGCAACACAACACGCATTTGCTCTTGCAATGCGCAGATGCAAGAGCAAACTTGAGGGCTAGTAGCTGCTAAAAGCTAAGTGCCCAATCCGTTTCAAAGGCGGCAATCGGAAAGAAATCCTTCTTCATTGAGACACCGTGCGAAAATAATTCAGGATAATAATAGATGCAAATAGTAGTAGACACACCATATTCACCTTCTTGACCTTTGACTTGTCTGGTCTCAGCGCATCCTGGAAATCTCAACAGGTCTGTCGTCACATTTTTGTACCACCAGCCAGACACAGAGCTCACACACGGAATGACGAGATGAGCCACACAAAAGACCAGTGATGTTTGCAACTAGTTTGCAACCAGTTTGCAACCAGTTTGCAACGGCGTTGATGCTCAGTCATTCGCTTGCACCGATCGCAGCGCCTCAGCTCGAAGATCGGCCCTTGCAGGAGCAAAAAGTGGGGGTTTGCTCACGCGTCTGGCACTCTGGGCTGTGTGGGGCATCTGATGGGGGCTGCCATCTACATGGGCAAGGAGGGCAGCGGCACAGACAGCGGCAGCGTGTGCTGCCCAGATGCCATGCGCTTGCGGCTGTCTTCCAGCTCTGACAGGTTCCACAGGTCAGTCAGGGCCCGCTTGGTCTGCAGCTGCCAGGCCGGCGGGGGTGCGTCGTCCTCAATGTTTGGGTCTGGCCCCTGCGTCAGGCCGTGGTTGTCCACGCCTGATGACACCGCAACGCTGGCCTGCACAAGGCCCCGCCCATGGCCGTTGCCCTCCTCCCTGACTGAGGCTCCATGATGGGCCTCCAACGAGCTTGTCCTGTTCACGGCAGTTGTGCAAAGAGTTCAGAAAGCAGCGAGAACCAGGACTGCTGCCGCATGCGTGACATCACTAGTACTGTCGGCAAGCAACAGGAGCGTCCTGATCATGCCAATTGTGCAATTATTTCAGAAGCTTGGGAGACCCAGGAGTGCTGCTGCATGCATGACATCACAGTTGGAGGCAGGTAACAGGAGCAGGAGGGGTGCTGACATGTTTGATACTTCAGGGAGAGTGCTGGCTTGGCTGCTTATTGTCCTGAATGTGACGGCAGCGGAGCCCAACACATGCAGCTCCTTCTCCTGAGTGACGAGGGTCATCGTGTATTCAATCCCCGTCCGTTGCCTGCATTGCAAAAGTGCCCGAGTTCAGACACTGACCTCATCAACTTCGGATGACGGACATACCAATGTACAGATCATGATACGTCTAAAGGGACAGGTGGATGAGGGCCACCTGAGAAGATCCAATTGACCCTCTATCACGCCGAGAGTGTGCCCAATCACAGCGTTTCGTTGGTGCTTGTCAGCGATGAAACCCATCTCCCCGCTGTGTGCACCCACAAGTGGGCCCAGCAAGGCAGTGCCCTGAGTAGGAGCACCTACCATGCAAGCTGACACGTCCAAGGACGCTCTATTGGTAGAGGAGAAGCCCTGCAGGACACATTATCCATAAAGTGCTCTGTGGGAACACCTGTGCATGAAACCTTGCCAAGCCTTGACCCTCTCACACCTAGAATGCAGGAGGGGAGGCTCACACTTACCCACTGCAGGTCACTGCCTCCAGTTGCGTTGCTTGTTCTGATTCCCAAGTCTTGCGCCAGCTGCAGATTGCCTTCACTGCCATGACTCTGCAGGGGAACAGAGTACAGTGCATCTTGTCCTGGCAGCGTAGCTGCCGCGGCTGCTGATCGCAAGGCATTTGTGTCTGATATCTTTGTCTGCAGCCATCTCCTGACTTCTGAGGAGTTGACCCATGACAACATTCCAAAGAGGGGTGCCTGCAAGAAGCCACAGTCGCCCTTAGATACCTTGTACTGCAAATAAAGTTGCATCTTCACAACGCCCTATGTATGCTAAGGAAAAGCATTTGTTCATGAAGACAGGATGCAGCTCGACAGCAACACTGCTTACCGAGTTGTAGTTGTAATGGCCCCCAGAGCCCTTGATCTCTCTGCCTATGACGGCCAAGTCCTCGCTGCCATCCACCCTTTGCAGGTACCAGTAATTGGTGCGGAGTCCATCGTCCCCCTTGGACCGCTCATGCCTGGCAACAATCTGTGATCGTCAAGGTTCTGCGTTCAACGACCTGAGCATCGGTGCAAGAGAAACGATACAGATCTTGAACATGGAGAAAAATCATCCACACCTGAATCCTTTGTAGAGCACCATCGTGAATTAAGGAGTGGGTGCTCTTGGAGGCATCAAAGTGTTCTCTGTCATAGCATTGCGGCAGTTCTTAAGCAGATGCTGGGTGAAGAGCCATAAATGGACCTGCGACGCAACATATTGATTCAATGGTTGCATATTCAAGGGGCCGCCGATGCCACAAGCTCTTGTCGCAACTTTCAGCAAGTGATGCTGCACTTCTTGGAAGAGTGTCTCCCCCGACCTTGAAGTGTTTTTGACACAAGATATGGCGATTTGAGCCTTCAACAAGAGCCCATGTTTACATGAATCGGTCAAAGACACTGACGTCAAAAAAACCCCTTATGATTGAAATGACGGACACTCGGCCATGATTGGACTACTAGACCTAATGCAGGTGCGGGTCAGGTGGGTTCCATGTGGGGCATGTGCACACGTGGGGTCAGCTTCTCCATTAGGTCTTCCAAGCAGCTGCAACGTGCCTTCATTAATGCCCAAAATTTCATGTCAAGAGAGCAGCTGCAGGTCTTTCGATGGGTTCCTGCCAATTGGGAGAGCGGCCCAGCTTCAAGCTTGCGCATGCGCATAAGTGTAAAGATGTCTTACTTAATGACATGCATCATGCATGACTCATCAGCTTCGGAAGCTTCAGCCTTAGCTGAGACTTTCTTCAATTTGAAAGACCTTCAAGTAAGTACTCTCTATGTCAGACTGGCGTTACATAGCACTACTCGTTGGTGGCAGCCTGTGGGGGCACCGCATGGCCGGCCCCACTGGCAGCGCCTCCAATGCCATACACAATTGCTCAGCAATAGAGACTGCATTACATTGCAATATGCCTCATGGAACTCCTCTGTCCCCCTCTCTGGGGTTGAGCGTCATCAAGTCACCGCAAATCTTACTGCCAGTAGTGTCATATCCGCTGCAGTGGGTTGCTACTCGACCAGGACTTGCGCAATCTCCTGCGAGCAATTGAAATGCACAGCATCTGAGCTCCGCTCCTCACAACCAGTCAAATTAGTATCCTGAGGAACTTGGCTTGCATACATGTTGCTGACAATGCACTTCCTTGACATGCATGGTCAACGGCACAATGGGACCTCATTGCAGTCTGTGAGTTGTCCAGCAGAAAGAAGGAGGTGGCCGCACCTCCAGGCAAGGAACAATAGCGGTGAAGGATGGGCGCAGGTCTGCATCATCCTGCCAGCACTGGGTGATCAGCTGCCTCAGGGTCTCAGGGCATCGATCGGGAATGCGAAGCCGCTTCTTGAGCACGCCGACAACATAGATGACCTGTGCCCCAGTCCCACAGAAAAAAATTGAGCAACCCCTTGTCATGTGTCATCTGCTGCATGCGAAGGGTCTTGCTTTGTGAAACCAGTCCAATACCTACTGTGCAGAAAAACTTGACGTCGCACATATCAGTCAAGATGCAGTAGTGTACATCAAAGTGAAACACATAGACGACAATGCAGAAGATCGGCATGAACGGCTTGCTAGTGCAACGGCATGCTGCACCTGCATGGGAGTTGAGAGGTGACCCCACGGCAGTTCTCCGGTCAGCATCTCCCACAACAGGACTCCAAACGAGTACACATCAATCTGCCACGCAACCCCAAGCATCAGCATCAAAGTTTCTGCAATTATCTAAGCAAAGAAGAGGCATGCAAGGTGCACGGAAGCCATAAACTTCTGATCAAGCTCTGCACCTTTTCTGAGACCCTCCTGCCCTCAAACATCTCTGGCGCCTGCAAGAGCAAGCACAGTGAGATGACATGATGCGCCATGCAGCTTGGGAATGCGCAGGGTGTCGGCACTTCAGTGTGACAAAGCCAAGAGATCACTTGCCATGTATGCTGGCGTCCCAGCGTTGGCATTTTTGGTCGACACAAAAGTCCTGCACATGGACCCAGCAGTTTCAAGCAGTTGAAAGAGTAAATTATTGACAATTAATTTGCACAGCTGGGCTGTTGCGGACCTGTCTTTGAATTTTGCAATGCCAAAGTCGCAGACCTTTGCGCGGCCTCCACTGTCCAGGAGGACATTGGAGGACTTCAGATCCCTGCAGCAACAGACTAAAGTAAGTCAAAGCAGTCCAATCTGTCCTGCTTGTTGGCGTCTGCACAGGCCTTGAACCAGCAATGTTCAGCAGCTGCAAGCTTGCTCCTTCAGGCTGCAGGAGTCAGCTGATCAGGAGCGCACCTGTGAAGTATCTGTGGCTGGGAGAAGTGGTGCATGCAGCGAAGTGCATCTGCAACATCTATCGCCACCCTGAGCAGCTGCACACGCGAAGCGCTGGTCAGCATGGACACAACAATTTGCCCACCTGCCACTTAAGGAGCAGATCAACATGTATATATGCAGCAGGGTGATCTACAGCTACTTGGAGATACAGATCCCCCCGATGCAGGCTGTAGAGGAGGCGTGACTCACTTGGGAGTGAGGCATGGGGTTATTGGACCGCGCCCCTGACTTGGTGTGCAGAAGGTCATACAAGGAGCCGCCCAAGGCAAGCTCCTCCACAATGCATATGGTTGGGGGAGCGAGGCAGGCTCCCAGCAGGCGCACTATGCGGTCATGCTGGAGCCCACTCAGCACTTCCACCTGTGCAGCATCGTGCATGCATGTGACATCACCTGGGCGCATGCATGCATCTACAATTCGGCTTGTCAGGCTGTCACGTGATATATTGAGGATGCAAGCGCAGTACAGAAGGTGGTAATGCTTCTAGGGGATAGCGGGAGATGAGGCGTGCCTCCCGCCTGAAGCTTTCCAGCTCCGCTGCGTTTTCAGAGTGAGAGGCTGTCATGACTTTCACAGCCACCGGCCTTCCTCTCCATTGTGCTGCATCACACATGCGCCCGCTCATTCATACAGTCTGGAAAACCATCAGTCCATACAATACGACTTGAAAGAAGGGAACAGAAGCAAAGCTACCTCTGTAAACACTGCCAAAAGCACCCGAGCCAATCTTCTCCTGTAGAGTCACATCTCTTGCAAAGTTGATGTCCGTGAATGCCTGCAAGTGACATGCACACAGGTGACAACCCAGCATATGCCCCTTAAACGAAAGGCATGGATGGCGCCCATCAAGTTACAGCTCTGCTCCAGGGGATTAGCTTATTTGAGCATATTCATTTGAGAGGTTGTCTGGTAGAATAGCTGCAGTGTACCGGTGTGGGTGCGCTGAATGCACGGGGCAGATGGGACCTCTCGTCATGCCCATTGATGGATGCGTGGATTGCCTGTGGTGCTGTGTAGTGTCCCAGCAGAGGCCGCAGGCTTGCGCGCTCCACAGCAAAGACATTTCCTGAGGTGCACCACGGTCTTTTCAGTGATGACCACATCAATGCTCCACTACAACCTTGCCTCATTAGGGATTCCTGGCAATGCCACTTCCACAAACAAGACACGTGAGAGACCAGCTGATGTGCAGGTCACACATGCTTGACACTGCATCCCTTAAGGGCTGCACTCAACATCCACACTGCCCTTCAAGGCATATTTAGTGTCAATCAATCCACGGCTTGGCACCGGAGGGATACTACTAGTATATCTCACCTGCTTGGCTAGGCAACACAGCATGACTAGAAGGCGACCCCGCAGAGCTTGAGGAAGCAAGGCTCTGCAGAGAGCTGGCGTGCCACAGGGAGCCTTGGATCGGTGAATCGGGCAGCAGGGAAGATACGCTTCCCTCCTGCACACATTCATCATGCTTGTCTAGTGCTGTGCAAGTGTCTGGATAAGAAGTTTCATTGGCAGCAGTGCCAGGCCCAGGCGAGCTTGTTTGCTACCTGGCAAGCGCATGCACTACTGCCGGTTTGGGTATTTCCAGCAGGAAAAATTATTATTATTATTATTATTATTATTATTATTATTAGAAGATTTATACCATATTAGAATATCACATTCCCTCCTTTCAAGGCTCGCACAGGGCCCACCTGCCAAGTCCAGCGTCGAGTGAGGGGCGTCGGCTGCAGCAGATGGCTCTCACGCTCAGCATCCAGCTGCAGCGCTGCCAGCGGCGGCTGCTTCTCCTCCTTCGCCTGGGATCCCTGTCCGGCTGCTGCCAGGCCCCAAGCTGACCTCGGGGCCTCTGCCGCTGTGGAGGTGGCAACGAGATGAGTCACCACCGGCTGTGCATGGCCGGCAGAGGTAGGCGTGGCCGCAGGGCTGGTGTGGGTAGGCAGCAGCGCGCCGCCGCGCATCTGCACTGCCGGCTTGTCTTGCCGCGCCGCCGGCCGCAGCTGCAGCGGCCGCAGGGTGGAGGGCGTGTCAGGCAGCGTCAGAGCACCTGAGTGGCCTGCCCTGAGCTCGTGCCCCAAGCCGGGCCACTCCAGCGTCTGAGCAGATGCGCGCGACCTGCCCGGCTGGGTAGGGGCGATTCTGCGGGCTGCCTGACGCCAGCGCCAACACGTGAGCAGGATGGCTGCCGCAAATGCAATGCCGACAATGACGCATGCAGCGGAGATGATGGCAATCTGGCGTCCGTTCAGGGGTGGTGCGGACGAGTCTGCTGCCGCTGTGGTTGTAAAGGAGGCATTGCGCAGTACACCAGCCGGAATAGTCGAGGAACCAAATGGCAGAACTGCTGGACCCGAGGCTGGCGCAGCTGGGTATGCTGGAAGGTGCCCCTGTGAGGTATCAGTCACATGGGGCCCCAGTGAACCATCAGCTGCAACGGAGCGCTGTGAGGCATCTGCTGTGAGAGGCCCCTGTGAGGCTGCAAGGGGGGGCAGCTGCTGCAGCGGTGCAGGCGCTGGGGCGAGCAGATCTGCAACAATTGCCACAGGCCACGGCATCATGTCAATAGATGGCGCTGGAGCAGGCACCTGCGCATGGATCACCGCAACTTGGTCGGGACCAGTAAAGCTGCTTGCCGTGACATGCCAATAGATTGCGAGTCATTTTGTCTGCTATGAGTCAATACACGGCAAGGGCATACCCTCATTGTGGGTGCCGTGTCCGGCAGCCCGCAGCAGAACATCATGCGGCACTGGGCCTGGTTCACCTCAAATGCCTCGCCAGCTCCAGCCACACACTGGCTGCTGGTATCCTGGTATAATCCATATGCAATTGTCAGCTTGTATGTACCAGGCACTCAAGCAGCAGTAGGGGTCTTTAACCTAAGCAAGTCATTGAAGCTGTGCTGGTTGAGTGAGTGGGTTGCACCTCTGCATGCGCCACACTTCCATCTGCAGCAGTGGCAGGAGAGGACGCAATGCACTGCTCTCCATTGATTGTCAGATTACTAATTGCGGAAGCATTCCCTGTGAAGAGGCCTGCTGTGGGCGCAACGCCCTGAACGCCAAATGTCGAGTTGCCTCCATTTGGAGGCAGTGGAGCAGCCCCGGGAACACTTATTACTGTGAATGAAGAGCTGTCCTGAGGCTGTGCCAGCAAGCCATCCTCGACAGTCGTCAGCGTGGCAGATTGCCCCACGGCATCTCCCAATGTCCATGAAGTCTCCCATTCTTGGATTGGGTCCTGTGGACAGAGAAAGAATAAGCAGCTGTGCTGTTGGAATGTATCCTTCATTGGAATTTATTCTGGTTTACACAGGCTCAACTTCACACTTGCCTGTGTCAAGTTTGAGAGCGTGAAGTTTGCTGCAAAATTAGTCGCATTGGCGCTGAGAAGCTGATATTCCACGGTGATGTTACACCGCTGCGTCAACTGCAAGAGCTGCCTGGCGATCGAATTGGCCTCCTTGCCTGTTGGAAGGAATGCATAGCAGCGATTCAGAAAATTCAAGGTGTATTGCCTGTTCCCAGGTGTGCATAGATGGCTCAAAGGATGTCATAGCGCTGAGCAATAACTATAGCTTGCTTAAAAGCATGACAATGAGAAAACGAATCATCTTGCAAGATCCTCTGTTATTACCATGAAAGCTATCAAGGGGCTCCGCTCCTCTCCAGAAGGCCGAAGCAGGGTCACCGGCGCCCACCAAAAGCAGGCCGAGTACCCATGAAACTATCGTGAGGTACGCATCTCGATGCATGCAAATCTGTTTCGGGTGTGACGGCCACCAGCGACCTGCCTGCCCAAGGCTCGGAACATAGACCGAGACAGCTCAGTCGTCTCCAACGACTTTACCAAGCACCTGCCGGATAGGACCGAGTAACCTCCAGTCTAGCGTCTTTGTACATCGCTGCTATGTTGTTCGGGTGGCATAGACACTTGAGCTGCACCTGTACTTCGATTGTCCGAGAATCGCACTTCCAACACGTCAATCCTGCGTTTGAATCCCTGGCTGGCCAAATTTGGAAGCATTGATGCATGATCGTTTTGCGCAGCTTTGCGCACATGCACAGGAGAACCTCGCCTAGCATTGGCAGAGTGTTTTGATTGGGAGAAGAGAGGATCTCTGATCGCTGTGGTAGGTATAGATGTGACTGCACAGACTTCGCGAGTACTTTGATGCACCTAGTTGTTCAGGCAGACAAGATATCCCTTGCAGCCAGAGGTCTCTTGTCAATCTGTAGAGATGCCGAAAGGAAAAGGAAAAGCTGCAAAGAAAGCGGTCCCTCAGCCTGCACAGGTCGTGAGAGAGATCACGCCTGCTGCCAGCGCACCCAGCAAACCTGCAGAATCCAATCCTGAAGATGACTTCACGTCGTCATCCTCGAAAGTTGCATTAGAGTGCAGTGCGGTTGCCAGGTGGTTTGTGCAAGGAGCGAGGTACGTAGACATAAATGCCAATCAAGGTGTAGGGTTCAAAGTCTGCAAGGACTGATGCAAGGTCAGTTGTTCATACCTATCCTTCCGTTGCAGGCCAAAAGCCAAGAAAGCGCTCCTAAGATTGGCGAAAGAATATCCCAGATCGCCTTTGCCACACCGATACCTGGTAAGTTCTGCTCTTTCTTCGGCGATCCGTTATCGTGCGTCCTGCATTTTGCTGATGATTGGTGTCTTCTGTTGCAGGCACGCTTGCTCTACCACGAAGCAGCCACTCTGGATCCTGCAGAATCCACTCAGAATAATAGGCAGCGTCTGGACTTGCTGCAAGAGGCGCTTGACAGCGGGCAAACGGCCAGTGACCTGTGCCCTGCGTCGCTCAGCTGTGCAGCACTCAGAGCGACCATGGTCACCAATGCTCTGGTGTGTGCGAGTCTTGGAAGCTGCCCTTCATTGCCGAGCGGTCAGGAGTGCGAAGAAATGCGGCAGCAGTTCCAGGGAGCTTACGAAGCCTGCAAGAAATCTCTTGCTGCTCAACCAATCCTGAACGAGCCAGTCATCTGCATATCTACACTCACCCAGAAGACTTGCGATCCATGCTGCCTGGTAATGGATCCTTCCTCATTCACCAGCAATTGTGTGATGCCCAGATATTTCGAGGTCCCATTGTATGATGCACCCGCTCAAGGAGCGCCGGCTCAAGAGATATGGACTCTGACATCTGTGCTGTGCATACCGACTGCTGATGTTTGACTTCTTGTTCACAATGGCGCAGAGGATCCAGGACCAGGTGCAGGCGTGGGTGAAGGAGGGCAGGTGGCAGGAGCTGGCTAATGAGAAGAGGGAGGTCCTGCTCCACATGCAGGACGTGCTGCGCAGCTGCCACACCCTGCTGCAGACCACGCAGATCCCCATGAACGGCGTCGTCAACCTGCTGCAGCACATCCTGAAGTGAGCCTGCCACCTGTTTTACCCCTCATTGTATTGATGCATGCTGCAATGAAGCATGCAGAGAAGTTCGCTCCCCTAAATACACATTGCCCATGTCTCAGCAGCCTCAGAGCAGAGCGTGAAGCTTCCATGCAGGGTAGACTGTCATCGGTCCTGCTTGAAGGTGCCCTTTGCATGCCTGTTGACCATGCCTTCGTGTGGTGTGGGCGCCCCATTCAAGGATGCCTTCCCTGTGGACAGGCCGCACCACGAGGAGCTCAAGGCGTGGGCGAATCAGCTGCTGCTGAGCAAGACGGCGCTGCTGGAGGCGCTGCAGCAGCAGGTGGAGAAGCAGCAGGCCATGGCCGACCTCATCAAGCGCATCAAGCCGCAGGACGGCTGCGCCGCGCGCTCGGCCGGCCCAATGGCCAGCGTGCCGCAGCCCTCGTTGGGGCCGCGCCAGGACGGGCCCGCCTCCCAGGCCAGCCTATCCATGGACCGCGACTTCGACTACGGCAAGGTGGCGCCCGCCTGCACATTGAAGCCCTTGCTGCACATGCCTGGTATACTGTATTTCAGCCTGCAGCATCATGAAATGCATATTGCGTCGATGCTCCGCCCTGTGCACACTGGAAGATGTATATGAAGCACATTTGGTGCCGGTGGTGACAATTTGTAATCCTGCAGAGCAGAGAACTTTACGGTAGTGCACGAGGTGTCTGTCCTATGCGTAAAGGAAGATGTGTCTAGAGATCGTTTGCTGCACATGGACATCTACATGTGGGCGGAGCATTGAGATTGAGCATCCTTGAGCATTGTCCTGATGTGCAGGACCCGACGGCTCTGAACCGGCGGAAGGCGCGCAAGGCGAACGAGCGGCGCAACGAGCTGACCATGCAGGAGCGGTTCCAGGACGTGAAGGACTTCTGGCTGAAGCAGGGCCCAACGCGGCGGCGGCAGCTGCTCAAAGTCCCCATCCGGCGCCTGCTGCAGGGTGTGCACCCATTTACCCTTACTGCCATGCATTTAACCTCGCTGCCATGCATAGCAGCGGTGCTGTTGCCCTGTCATGAGCTCCTCAAGGATATCAATGAACCCCTCGCTCTAACAATACGTTGTTGCATGTGCCTTGGGCTTGGTTAGGCTTGATATTGAGGCCGGACTGTGGATTGCACTCGCAGTCATCCAGAGGGAGCATGGGCAGCAGATAGCAGAGGAGCTGGAGCATGGGCTGAGCCTGCTGAGGGAGTACAGCAACATGCGCGCCTGCTTCTGGATCTGCCCCTTCTGCCCCGGCAAGGAGGGCGCGCCGCGGCAGTTCACCAGCGCCAAGGACTTCCTCACCCACGTGGACGCCTGCCACGAGGGCGTCCAGCTCAGTGAGGACGGCTTGCCCTGCATCTGCAACAGCTGCAATTGCCAGGTGCACATTTACCCCCTTTCCAAGCTCCAGCCCAACACGTTGCGGCTTGCCAAAATAACCACGGCACACCCAAGCAGCAGTCATAGGGATGGGAAGATGCCTGGCGACGTTTGGTGGGTTGTGAAAGAGTGCGTTTGTCTGTGGGGCAGGTTGTTGGGGACCACTACAGGAGCACGGCAGAGACGGGCGGAGTGCTCTGCCTGCGCTGCCACCACCTGGAGCTGGTGGGCGGCGGCCAGGCCAAGCTGCAGTCCTATGAGCGCATCGCTTCGCAGGACCCCGCCTCCCTGCACTGCGGCTGGGAGGTGACCTCTTTGCCTCCGCCCCCTGTCATGCCTAGCAAAGTAGAATCTCCATGCTCTGGGTCCCACGCCCCAGCCGCTGTTCCTTCTTGCTATGCAACTAAAATACAAAGACCAGGGCTACTTACCGCTCACTGAGTGGAGGTTAGAATCGAGGCGATGCGTGCTGGTGCAGGATGACTCGGACTTCTTCTCCAGCCGCGGCAGCTTTGGGAGTCTGGACGAGGAGTATGTGCGCGACAGCCTGGCGGCGCTGGGGTCGCGGCTGCCGCCGGGCGCGCTGCCGCCGTTCGGCACCGCGGAAGCCTCGCAGTGGTTTGACGACTGGAACCAGAGCATGGAGGCCCAGATGCGCAGCCGGCTGCCTTTTGGGCCCGACGGGCAGCAGGTAAACCCCTTTGAACGCTACCTTGTTTATGGGGTCTGGCGTCACTCAATCATGTTGCTTTGTTGAGATTTACCAATTTATCACTTTTGGTCTGGTGATGAAGTAGATGCACCATCCATCAGTGGCACCCAAATTTTGCAGCACGCCCAATAGTCTGAGGCTCTTAGCCACCTTAAATGGAGAGATGACATCCATTCTTGGGGTTGCAGGTGCTTCAGCCGGAGCAGATGCCGCCGGGGTCCATGGCGCTTGGGCACCCGGTCTTTGCGCCGGTGCAGCTCGATGCAGGGTCATCTGGTGCGCAGCAGGCGGCAGAGCAGGTGCCGCACCTGAATGGAGGGGTATCGCTGCCCCCGCGGGGCACGCGCAGAAGCCGTGGGGAGAGCGGTGCTGAGGGTGATGGGGGCAGCTCGGCTGCGGCCACCGACGGCAGTGGAGCCTCGCATCCATGGGTCAGTTGCCGCCTGCTCTTCTTTTGTGTTGAATCTTGTGCCCTCGTGCAGCCAACATAGCAGGGATGCGTTTCCAAGTAAGCAGGGGTCAAAACCCAATTGCAGCAGACAATAAAGTCAATCTACTGTCAACAGCCTTTCTGTGGCAAGATGGGTGAGGACGTTGATCTGGTGACGACCAGCACTACTGTTAACGTCTCAGGCACTTGAGTGACGAGCGGTTGTTCTGCCAGGGGGTGAATGGGCCGAGCATGAACAGCGGTGAGGGTCAGACGGACGGCAGCTCGCCCTGGAGGAGCCTGTTCCCGAAGCAGCTGGAGCTGTGGCGGAACGCGTACTCCGAGAGGGCGGCGGGCGCCCAGAACGGGGGCTCCTCCACGCCGATGCTGTCATATGCCGACAGGGTCAGAAAGGCTGGCTTCCCCAAACCAGAGGTATTTGCCCTGTGCTAGAAGTGGTCTGCTATGCATTTCCTGAGCGGGCCGCTCGTTCTCGTTTAGTGCTTTGCAGGTAGTGCCGTGCGCAAACCAGTGCCTTGCCTGTTGCAATGCAGACGTCTGAGGGCATGTCAGGGGACACTGCGGCGTGCATTGCTTTTGAGACATTTGCAGGGTTCCCACCATTCATCTGTGTGACCTTCAAAGATGTTGTGCTTTCCGCAGGCGGCCCCGCTGCCTCCTGCTCTGACGAATGGCACTGCGCCGCATGCGGCTGCGTCCTCAATGATTGCCATGCAGCCGATGCCTTGGCTGCCGGCCAGCGGAGCGCCATTGGGCATGATCCACGCGCCCTACCCGGACCCTGCTTCTCTGGGGGCCATGCTGCCCATGGAGGCTGCCCAGATCGGGCCGCCGGGCAGCTACGAGGGGCAGCTGGTATCGCACATTATGCAGTATATCAACAACCTGTGGCGCGTCGACCCCAGCAACTTTGCGGCCACGCTCAACATGATCTGCATGCGCGCGCCCGCCCTCATGCAGCGCATGATGGACCACGAGCTGGCCGCCAACGCCGCCGTGGACGAGCGTTTCGCAGCACAGCAGCAGGGCGCTGCCGGGACGGCTGCGGCCGCGCCGTCGCAGCCCGCTCTGCCGCCCTCCAGCAAACCGCTGCAGCACCCGCACGAGCTGGAGGTGCACACAGCATCTTGCATTAATAACCTCAGCAACACAAACCTGACATTTTGATGCGTAGGTAGCGTTTGGTTGATTTGATTAGGTATGTGACAGACTGCAATGTCGCTATGCATTGAAGGGGATATAGTGGGATAAACTTTGATGGCTTGTGTTAGTTCACTGATCGATGGGCTATTGACACTGCTGCAGGCGGCGCTGAGCCAGCTGCCCATGGGCGACCTGAACACGCTGCTGCGCTACATCTGCCAGTACATGCCGATGGGGCCCTGCCCGGGCGTCGTCCCCCCCACTGGCCCACCCCTCTCTGACGGCACCAGCAGCGACGGGGTGTGCCTTCTCCTGTTGCCATTGCACTACTTATTAAAGACCATACAGCCAGAATGAGTCCGTACGGGTTCCACTAACTCGTGGGAGCAGTGGGAGAGCCCGTCCTGAAGTTGCAGCGTGAGCAGCTGAGGTGCTGAGGGTAGTGGGTGCTGCGCGAAGGGGGACTGGGACGAGGAGCAGGTGTGCCCGCCGCTGTTCGGCTTCGCATCACCCTCGGACGCAGACCAGCTGGACAACATCGCCGACGACGTCCTGGGCGCTCAGGGCGCCGAGGAGGACACCCGCCTCATCAGGTGCCGCCCCTGCCGTCCCCACTCTCTACCTATGACTGTAAGACAGGGGTGCCAAGGCTGTCATATATAGACTGCCGTTCTAACCCTACCAGATGCAGAGCAGTTGTCAACAAGCAGCAGAGGGACAGGGTACTGAAATGCATCTGTCTGTGTGGCAGGGCCCAGGAGGAGCCAGAGCTTGAGGACAACACGGCGGAGGCAGGGGAGCCAAGCCTGGTGGTGCAGCCCTGGTGGATGAACCACCTGCTGGAGGCCAGGGGCGCCGACACAAATGGAACCCCCGGCGGCACTACCACCGGCGGCATCGCGGAGGCGGACGTCGGTCTGCGGCTGCTGCGCTGGGCGTACGGCGCGGTGGTGAACACGACGGCCGCGGCGGTGATGGAGCGGCGGCGCGAACTGCTGAGCGGCAAGACGGCCGACGCTGCGCTGCTGGGCCTCTATGAGGACATCGCACGCGTGTGGCGCCGCCTCAACGAGCTCGGCTCCAAGAAGAGCCGCCTGCAGCAGCTGCGGTGCGCGCTAAGACCACCTTCCCTACTGTGCAGCGAAAGATGTATGGAGCTTGCGAGAGTTATTACAGAAGCAGCTTGCGCAAGAGTGTCTTTCAGGAGGTGGCAGCAACGAGGACGATGCATGCTGCTGATTGCCATGCCAGGTACTGCCAGAGCAGTAAATGCATTCTGCCCTGTATTCGATAACCCGAAAGGCGCCTTTCCATTCAAGCATGCACATGATCTACTGCTCTGCTGGAGAAGTTTCTTGAAACTGTGGACTGCTGGTGTGGCCCTGCATTCATCAGAATGCCAGACATATTGTAGTAGAACCACATTAGCGTTGCGCTTTGTGCGATTCTGGCAGGCGCGGGTCGGAGCGGGCGATCCGGGAGGTGCGGGAGCTGGAGGAGAGGGGCTCGGCGTCGCTGCGGGCGCAGGCGGCGCAGTACGTGGAGGCGCTGCTGCCTCCCAGCGAGGCGGCCCAGGGGCAGCCCTGTGCGCCCTCCGCTGTGCGCCAGTTCTGCGAGGCCGCCGTCAAGCAGCCCTCCCAGGAGCAGCAGATGCAGCTGCTCGCCGACCCCTCCGCTGTCAGGTCAGCCTTTTGATCTACACCCTTCTTTCCCAACCAGCTGGAATACTCTTTTTCCGTCGTCGCACCAAACACCTGCAGATTATCAACTGCAAGGTTCTTCACTGAACCCTGAAGCTTGAAGGACAATACAGACGAGAGGAGAAGTGCAAAAAATGGGGTGTTGAAGTGGTTGGGGGCCGGCTCGCAGGTACGCGCAAGCGCTGCTGGACAGGGAGATGGCGGCGCTGGGGCTGCAGCAGGCGATGTGGGCGGAGGAGGCGCGCGAGAGCGCCGTGCAGGGATCCGCCGCGGCCGAACGCCTGGCCGCCGCGCAGGCCGAGCTGGCCGACGCGGATGCGGAGCTCAACCACGTGCAGCTGGAAGGCCCCGCCAACCACCGCAAGCGCGACCCCATCGACAAGGTGCGGCCAAAACACAGCGGGCTTGTGTCAATTTCTTAGTTGAACATCCTTCAGCATGTGGTACTGTGGCACTGTTGCAGATTGAGTCAGGCAGCCATAAACGTTATTTGCAATTGTATGATTGGCCTTGCACCTGATGCTAGATGCAAGTTTGCTGAGCACTGCAAGGCAATATGGCCCAGCAAAGAGCTTTGAGTGGTGGCTTGATACATGCTGGTGTGTTGCCGGGCAGGCTACAAAGGAGGCGGAGTACCGGGAGAAGGTGGCGGACCTGAAGGCGCGCATCGACAGCTGCACCGCGCGTGTCAACTCCGAGGAGGAGCAGGTCAACACCGCCAAGGTGGTGCCCCTCTTCCACTCCCGTTGCCATCAGGGCCTTCTCTCTTTCTCTAACACGCCCCTAATTTTCTCCCCGACCTAATGCCTTGTGGATGACATGTTCTGACCTGCGCAAGCCAGCCAAGAGGAGAGTCCCTGTGGAATACAGGGATAATATTATGCATTGTCCTCTCCTATGTGAAGGTGAGAGGACATTTGTAGAAATGGTGCCCATGTGCATGCAGATCCGGGAGGAGAATGCGAAGCGGCAGCACGACAACGCGGCGGCGCAGCTGCGCACGTGCACGGACCACCGCTGCACCATGGACGCGCTGCTCAACCCGGACGGCGTTCCCTCCGACTTCCTGGCGGCCGCCGACAACTCTGAGGCCGCATCCCTTGCGCAGCAGCCCTGGTACCGCATCCTCTACGTCGCCCAGGTGGGCCCACTCGCATCCCTGCAGCGTTGTGGAGCCACCGCGAGACACTCTGCCCATTGCCTGGTGGCTTAAACCGCCGGTCTATGCAGTGTTGAGCTCTTGAGCCATTTGTGACTCTGTTGAGGCTTGCATGACTCTCTTGAGGGACGGAGATGACAGCCTTGTGAGCTAATGGGGGGGGTGTGCTGTCCATGGCAGGCCATCAACCTATACGCGGAGAGGCCATACCTGCAGCCGGGGCTGCCGGAGGCCCGGGACTTTGCACAGGCGACCGAGCACTCCAAGCAGCTCACCAACGCCTTCAGGTCCGACATCCAGAAGTTCTGGGACGAGCTGGAGAACGCTCGGCGCAAGCTCCAGGTCAGCTCTTTTCACCATCACATGAAATACCAACGAAGTTTACAAGATTTTACGGTTGCACCCATGCAGAGAGAGGGACAAGGCACTTAAGGAAACTGCGCACTGGCGGCTGAGAGACTGCCGCTGTTGATGCGCAGGAGCTGGCCTGCGTGGACTTGGCCGGGGAGATAACTGAGAGGGCACTGGAGCTGGTGCGTGCACACATCGAGGCAGCTGCCGCCCACGACAGGGAGGAAGCTGCCGCGCGGCTGCTGCTCGAGCTGGAGCTGGAGGATGCCGGCAAGAAGGTGGGGTATTGGAGCTCTTCTGCCGCTGGATGGGCGTACAAACTGGTGTTGCGAAAGGGAGGCAGGGGCTTCAGGGCCCTTGATGATCATGATTGCCCTACATGGATCTCATTTTGGTACTTGCATTCATGCAGGCTGCCGAGGAGAAGAAGGGGAAGAAGATCAAGGCGAAGAAGAAGGCTGGCAAGGCTCCAAAGGGTCAGTGCTTGGTACCATGCACCTCAACTGTGCACACTTACATTGTCCAAGTTCCAGGAGGCATCAGCCCAAACTCTTTCGCATTGTTGCAGGTGAAAGAGAGAGTGAAGCGGCGCTTCAGACAGACGCAGCGCCAGCAGCTGCGAGGATAAAGCAGCAAGGGTCCCAGAAGGTACCGCTCTTGAGCATCAACCTGCTTGCTACTTAATACAGCTGAGTGGCGTCAATAGCTTGACACCTGTCCTGAGGTGGCTTGGATGCCTTTGTGCATACTTTTGTGCAGAAGAGCATCTCTGTCTCAGTCTTTGCAGAAGCACCAAAGATGTTTGCTGTGATTAGGACCTGGACATTGAGTATGAGGCGGCGCTGGAGCGGCGAAGGAAAGAGGTTGAGGGGGAGAAGCTGCAGCGACACAAGGAGCAGGAACGCCTCCGGACGGCCGCAGCCAGCCAGCAGCAGGCTGAGACCTCCGGTACGCCTCTTTTCCCATTCCCATCATTTCTGTCTCTTCCATGTCTTCGCATTTCACGTATGTTCATGACGTGTACTCATGTCATGTGTGCCATATTATGCCAGCACATAGCAAGCTACCAGCCTGCAAACGCCCTCCGGTTGGTTTAGAAACATGATGAATTTGTTGTGAGGGCGTACCCGACTTCACCTCGGTCTGTGACTGGCAGAAGTGACGAATGGAGCGTCGGCCGCTCAAGAGGAGGAGTCGAGCGACGGGGAGGCAAGCGCGCCGGCAGACGCGCCCGCCGCCGAGCCGGGGCCCAATGGCCTCATGAACGAGGCGGAATTTGACGCGGCGACCCGTGCAGCCATCCAGGCCTCCCTGCGCGACGTGAAGACCCCCCGCGAATCCGCTGGCGGCCCCGACGCGCAGCCGGAAGCGTCCCCCGACTGGCAGGGCCCGGCCGCCGAGGCCAAGAAGAAGCGCAACCGCAAGCAGCGCTACAAAGAGAACCTGGTGCGGGGCTCACTTAAGAGCCTGATTTCTAAATTTTATGTGGCACTGCAAACCGTCTTGATGAGGAGTTTGTGTGCTGAGGGTGAATCTTGGAAGTCTGGGTATCACTCTAATATTTATGGGATTTGATGTGACTGCAGGAGAAGGAGAAGGAGGCAGCGGCCCCGAAGATGCGCATCGTGTCGTACTTTGGGGACTGGACCTGCGAGTGCGGCCGCCAAAACCGCCTGTGGGACACCTGCAAGTGCCAGAAGGCCGGCCCCTGCCGCGACTGGGTGCGCGGCCGCTGCAAGTACGGCGACGAGTGCAGGTATGCCAAAGGCACCCGCAACTTTGCTCTCCCTCTTCAGCAAAGCAACCATGCATCTGTGAAGTGCTTGCTTGGGGTAACACTTCTTGTTGCCAGCTTGAGCTGACGGATTAGTGGCTCTGAATTTGCAGGTTCTCGCACCCGCCATTTGACCTGCCATCGGGGACTGCGCCATCATCACCGATAGCGCGGCCGTCCAGCGACGCGGAGCAGCTCAACCCGCTCGCACAGCCGCTGCCGCCCGTGCCGCCGCCGCCCTCCGCAATCACCGCGCCCGGGCCCCGGGACGGCCGCGCCAAGGCCGTCGCCATGACCGCCTCCGCGTCGGAGAACTCCCTGACAGGCATGCAGCAGAGCGTGCCTCCTGCCTCTCCCGCTGCTCCGCAGCTTACGAGCACCTGGGAACAGCAGCAGCCACAGCAGCAGCAGCAGGAGCCAGCAGCATCAATCCAGCCACCCCCGCCACCGCCGCCGAAGCCGGCGTCGCCGCAGGTGTCACCGGATGCCGCGCAGGCAAAGAATCATCCGGTCCCTGAGCAGCCGCCGCTGCAGGAGCAGCAAGAGCAGCAAGCCCAGCAGCCGGCACCGGCAGTGCATGAGCACCCAGCCTTTGCGGGCTGGGCAAAGGCAAAGGCGCAGCAGCCACAGCAGGAGCCCGTGAAGGAGCAACCGCCACCGCCGGCAGAGACGAGAGTGGAGGAACCCACCTTCAAACGCTGGGCCCGGGGTGCACCAGGCCCTCTGGCACGCGCCGCAAGCGCCTCAGCCGCTGCCACCAGCGCCATCATATCCAACACGGACCCGGTGGTCTCCTGGAACCCCAGCGGTGTCGCCCTCGCACCTGAGGAGAGGTCACCTCCCGCAGCAGCACAGGCTCCTGTGGCTGAGGGCCCACCCACGCAGGACCAGATCGTGGCGCCGCCAAAGCGCACAGCCTCGCTGAGCCGGATCTTTCCTGCGGCGGGCGGCCCGGCCGACACCGCGGCCATGCCCGGGTGGGCGCAGATGGGCGGCTGGGGCCGTGGGAATGGCGGCCTCGGCGGCGTCGCCGTGGCCGCCACGAGCATCGCCCCGCCTGCTGCTTCGGCTGCGCCCGCTGCGGTGGATGCGTTTGACCCGTTCGGGGACAACCCGCTGCACCGCGCGCTGGCGGCCGACTACCGGCGTGATCCGGTGGTCGCGCAGCCGGCCCGCAAGGCGCCCGGGGCCGGCCCCCTGCTGCGGCCCAGCAACCCTGCCGCTCAAGCAGCACCCCCGCTGCGGCCGGCATTGCCCCCGCCAGGTGAACATGGGCAGACTCTGGTCCTCTTGCCTTGTCCCTGAAGTAGTTGCATTGTCTCTGTGAATTTAGTTGGGAAGGGTGCTGTTTGAAGCATGAGTAAAACGTAGAAGAGGGATACCAGGGACTTGATATCCGGGTGTGTCTGTGCAGCTGCGAATGTGCACAGGGCTGAGAGCGCAAGCGACATTCTGGGCTCCATGTTCTACGGCCAGCAGCGTTTGGGTGCTCCAGAAGTGTCGCTGGCCCCTTTGTTGCAGCAGCAGCGACAGCAGAGCCAGCTGGCACAATGGTCGATGCTGCAGGGCCAAATGCGTGGGTCACCGCTCCCGTCTTCCAACTCCAATAACGGTGCAAACTCCGTCGCCTCGCTGCCGGCATGGCTGCCATCAGCATCTCCGCAGCAGCAGCAGCCCAGACCGCCAGGGCCTCCTCTGGTAAGTGCACTGATTTTCGTTATAAGAATTTACGGCGGGCTACCAGCTGCAGAGGGGTGCATTACTTGCAGGGTGAGAAGGTGAGGCCTGCAGGATGTTGAAGGGATATACTATGTTGGCCAGGGTATCAACGGAGGATGGGAGGGCAGTGCCGCGCTGCAGAATGGATACCACGGCAAAGTGCCGTCCCTGTCTCGGACCAGCAGCAGCCCTGTCATCTTGGGTGCGCCTCATTTCTGCTTCACATGCAGGATCTCTGAAACTGCTGCACCAATACCGTCATGTAGTTTTTGTACCTTCAAATATGTGGACCTTGCAGCCTTGAATGCATATAAGTGGCAAAGGAGGAAGGAGATGTGGGCATGACAGCTGTGATGGCATATGTGTAGGCCAGCGATTTGAGGAGCAGCTGGGGCAGAGGCGCCTGCCGGTGCCCAAGGCGGCCCCCGTGTACGGTCTCGAGAGGGTGCAGGCTGTGAACAGCGACCTGCTCAGCTTCCTCAGCGGAACATGCATCGCCCTGTGGCACCTGCCCCAGTTCCGCACCAGCCTCATCACCGTTCAGGTGCTCCCTGATTCTCTCATCACAAACATACAGTACATACAGTAACATACAGTTGATGCTCAGTAAGTCTCTAAGTATATCTACATTGCATGATGAGAATGCCACGGTGGACGCCCTTTGGTAGCCTGCACTCAGGAGACACCGCCATCAGCGTTGTGGAACTGACAGCACTTGGGGCATTGGTGTGTCCAGGACTCGCAGCTGCCGGCCAGCCCCAACCTGCGCGTGCTGTCCGGGCTGCGCGCCGCGTTTGTGGCACTGACCGCCAGCGCTGGGACGCCCTCCTCCCGCTCGCCCTCGCCCTTTGGAGCGCCCACGCTCAACGGCCTATCCAACCCCACCTCCGTGCGCCCCCACCTGCCTCTCCTGCACACTCAATAATCGCCCATCAGTCAACTGACTGACTACCTAACACTACGCCAGACCTCCCTGCTGTCAAACATGTACTGCTGCTACAGAGTAGTGCACAGTCACTCCCACGCAGCTAGTCTCAAATGGCTCGCAGGATGAGTCAACAAAAGATGTGGCCGCCGGTGGCTAATATAAGCTGTTCATTTGGCGCGCAGGTGTTGGCGCAGCAGGGGACGAATGCGGCACCGCTGGAGGTGCGAGAGGCGCTGGCGCGCGCGGTGGAGGACGCGGTGGGCGGCGCAGCGCTGCAGCCGACCGACCTGCTGCAGGTGCTGCTGGCCTGCCTCGACCGCGCGCTGCCCACGCCCCCCGGCCAGGCCTCCATCTTCCAGCAGCTGCTCGGCCTGCAGGCCCACCAGGCACGCCACGCCTTTGTTTGTGTCTCTTGCCCTCCGCCTGCACTACCTACACTCCAACCTCCTATGAGCTGCTGCATACCTGTGGACTGCTGCATGTGTGCGAACAAACGAAAGTTATTGCTTGAATGGAGGCCTGAGGGTTGATTCGGGTCGTAAGAGGTGATTGGAGGGATGACAAGTTATGGGTGTTTTGCAGGTGATGCAGTGCGGGGGATGCGGTCGCGGGCAGGAGAGTGCAGCGGTGCGCATGGTGCAGGTGCTGCCGGCGGCTGTGGTGCGCGCTGCGGGCAACCTGCAGCACAGCCAGCAGCCCTCCCTGGAGTCCATGCTCGCCGTGCACCTGTCAGAGACCCTCTCCATCGGCGTCTGCCCCCCTGGCAAGGCAAGGCGTTCCCTTGAAAGCTAGGCAATCCGCTGCTGTTGTCAGTCACTGGCCCACTGCCACACAATGCAGCCACTCCTGCCACCTGCTGCACATGCATAGACCCTGGGGTTTCCTTGCGTGTCGTGCTGGATCTGGCAGGCGCTGTCAATGAGAGGCTCAGCATCCAGACCGACGGTCTGCCAATTCCAGCATATCGTGTGCAGAAGTCCCCGGAGATGTTGATGCAGCAGGTGAGGGGGACGCATTCGGATGCGGCTGTGGATCCCGTCATGAACTTGAAAGAGAGCAGAACAAGCAGTGAAATTTCTGTTTGTGCGGTTGCAGGGCGGCTGCGGCTGGAAGGGCAAGGCGATGACGCGGCTGAGCGGGTCCCCCGCGGTGTGCGTGGTCGCGCTGGCCTGGTCCGGCCCCGCGCTGCAGGTGGACGTCGTCGCCGTCTGCTCAGCCATCCCCCTCAAGCTCGACCTCAAGCAGGCCTTCCCAGGTCAGCCCACCACATGTCCCCACCATGCCCACGCACTCCCAAGCACTCCTTGACACAGACTAGAATTGGGATAATGCTGCTGAAACCCTATCTGAGAAGGCACGCGCAGGGGTGCCGCCTTCGCTGCTCCCCCTCAAACCAAATTGGGCATCCTTCGGGGTGCAGCATGTGCAGGCGGGGGTTAACATTGGTGGATATATCGTAGTATACCCCAGCAGGCAAAAAGTCCATAGTAAGATATGAGCTGGGGCAAGCGGGTGATGTGTGACCTGCGCAGGGGTGGGCACGGAGGCGATGCGGCTGCGGTGCATGCTGTGCGGCAACCTGGGCGGCCACATGACGTTTGCGCGCGAGGCCGCCGGCGACTCGTGGCGGTTGTTCGCGGCCGGCGCGGCCATGCCCGTCGGCGAGTGGCCGGCCGTGCTGGCGCGCTGCCGCGTGCACAGCCTGCAACCCCTCGCGCTCTTCTTCGACAGCGCCTGGTGATCGGCCCGCAGTGCCACGCGTGCTGCGCTGGCTGTCTTGGGCACCGTGCGTGTCAGTCGCTGTCCCAGGCAGATATATTTATATATATTTTTTCACACTCCAACCGCGCCAGCTCTATGGTGCTTAGGAAAGGCATGGAACTGCCTGAATATAACTGAAATGTGGGATGGAGGCCGGCATGCATGACATGCTCTAACCCCTCCAATCTCCTAGCAAAGTGCCCTTGTCTGTGAGTGTGTCGAGACTACTGCTCTGCACAGTGGTGCACAGATGCAGCCCTCATTTCATGCAGCATAGGCACATTATATTTTCGTGCCTATCCTGCTGCTAGAGGCGTTTCTGTTCAAGCAGCATTAGATGACCAGGATCTTCGCGGCATCAATGGATTCTGCTGTTCTGTACTATCTTATGCAACCCCCAGGTGATGCGCACTTGCGCTAGCCCCTTTTGAGAAGACTGTAGGAGAGTATGGAGCGAATGGTAGTCAGCCTTCAGATCTTTCTGATGTGAAAGGAGTTGTCAGAAAACAGATAATTATGCAAAGGAGAGCCAAGGCCAGCCTGATGGGCAGAGTCTGAGGTGCTCTTTGACTGAAATATCCTCCACACCGTGGCTCAAGCTTGGCCCCCTGACTTGATTTGAGCTGGGTGCACAGGTCCTAGAAAGCCAATCAAACAATGCATGGTCAGTACAGAGCTGCAGATGTTTTTATGCTAATGTACACTAGCAAAGGTTGATTAAATTGTGGTTGCCGGAAAGAGTGCAGTAGCAGTAGTGGCACCTGTAGGTTCATCACCATGGTACCAAGTATTGGTAGCAGTTTTGTCTTTCATTGCGCTTCGGTGTTTAAGGGAATGATGGTATTGTGTGTACAGAAGATCACACATGTGTAGCACTGTACTTGTGGTCTTGAATGGATACTTGGTGTCTCGAGGTCTTTAATGCCAAAGACGGATACTTGCTAAGACAGCACTAAAGTAGTAATGTCTTGGGTAGTGCACTCCATGTGGGAGTTGAGCTGATGTCAACAAAGCTAGAACCCATGGAGACATGTCATAGACGTGTAACATGGATCCCTTGTTGGATGTAATGTCGTTCAATTGACATGACCACACAAAAACAAGCATGTGTGGTGTGAAAGCTTCTTACCAAAGCCTCTCCACCCAAAGCCAAACTGTTCCAGCACAAATTAACCCCTGATGCTGCACATGTGTACAAGGTACATGTCTGGCAGATAAACGACCCAGCTGCAGACTTCCAATGAAGGCATAATCTCAGCTCAGGGCAAGCGGGGCCAAAGACGGCCATACAGCAGTGACAGGACAGCCAGAAAGCCGAGCACCATGATCAGAGTGACCACATTGCGCAGCGTGCATGTGCGGCCTCGCTTCCTTCGCCGCGCAGGCCTGACATCCGAACCTTTCCTGCCCTCCTCCTTGAGATCCCTGAACAATCACATGCCGTCTCATCTCAGGGACGGGCCTCCTAGGGCCCAATTGCCTCGCTTGGTCTGACATGGCGGTTACCCCAGTACCAAGCAAGTGCTGGATGTCAGAGGTGTTCTAAGGTATAAAAAGATGAGTTGTCAAGAGTTGGTAGTCTCTCTCTCCCATAAGGCCCCTGTGACCGTTACAGGTACAATTGTCCCGGCTTGCATGAGAGCAAATGGCGCGTAAATGTCTGCAGCGTACCGATTGGTGACCGGGAGGCCTGGCTGGAAGAAGCTGGGGAAGAAGCGCTGCAAAGAGCGGCGAATGCCGGAAGAGCGCTTGGCATATTTCGCGCCTGCATCGCCCTCCCCATCCCCCAATCCCTGACCCGACGCCCTCACATCCGCAACTGCAACTCTGTGCAGCGATGTCCCATGCGCCTGAGATGCCACCAGCAAAGCCCGTCGATTGAAAGGACAACAAGGCAGTGCCATGTCAGTAAGATGCGCGCTGTAAAATGACATCACGTATTGTGCATGGTTGCCGAGTATAGTTGTGACAAACATGCGTATGGAGTAGCGGGACGCACAAGAGTATTCTGGTACATGGGCATAGCGCCCTGCTGCCCTGCTGTGCCATCCCCTGATGTTGTCGCACCATGACCTGTACAAATGCAACAATGCCGGGCTGAGCGCTTGAGGATATGATGTGGTGGTGCACAATGCTCTTGCTGTGCCATCTGTTGAGAGGACTTATGGTGGGTCCTCCCAGGATCAGTCTGACAATCACCTGATTGTGTCCTGGCCTCAAAGGCTTGGGCTCCTCCATTCTGCTCTGGGATGGTCTTCTGTGCTGGAGCAGCACCCTGCAGAGCAGTAGGGGTTTGAATGCATTGCGCAAGACAATGCAGCACTGTTTCCCACAGTGGACACTTGAGACAAGCCGGAAGTCACCTCAATGACATGAAGCTCATCAATGTCCTGGAGATCATCCAAGCGAGTAACCTTCTCTCCGCTCTGCGCAGACACCGCAGGATGTCACTATCTGGAGCACATATGGCAGCATGTATCCCACAGGAGTGAAACACAATGTAAAGTGGACGGCAAAGGGGCTGAAGAGGGGGACTCACAGAAACCAGGTAAATGCTGTCTATATCAGCCAGCTTCAGTTTGGTTTGGACCTGCAGCAATTCCAGAAGAGTTGAGCCCCAGAACAATTGCTTGTACATGCTGAACTCTTTGAACAGAGAAACAGAAGCCCATCGTGATTGTGATCACCTGCACCAGGAACTGTTCCCAGGTGAAGTCATCAGGAACTGGTACAGCAATTTTCCTGCACCCACAGAGATCATCTCAACGCAATATTCGCAGCTGCCAGATGTCTCCTCACGCGTGCGACACTGGATGTGGTGACTATACAGGTGAGCAGGTCTCTTGGACGCTGCCACCACTCATGATCTCACCGTCGAGGCTTTGCGTCTTTAACGGATACAAACACAAGACGAGATGCATCCTGCAGGCAAACAACAAATCTTCTTGCCAGTAGTAAACTTCATTTACCGATTATTTTCAAGCTTGTATCTGTACAGTAAACCGCATATCGTTGGCATAGAAGTACAATCCACCCGACATCAATATCTCTGTAGAGTTTTGTCTTTACCATTTTGTCAGCAATGTAGTTTGCAGAACGGCTCTGTGTTGCCGATCAAATCATCCCTTCCTGCTGGAATAGAGAGGGCTGACTTTGTCCTGTGTTTTGTTGAAACAGAAATCTAGAAGAGTAAGTGGGTATATGCTTAAATGGGGCCTGGAGCACGCCTCTACACTGCCAGATCAAAGTTCTCCTCACTTGAATGTTTAGACTGATCTGCCCAAAATGGGCAGAATTTTCTTCCCGCCTTCGAATTCGAAGTGCCCGAGGCGAACGCACCCACGATACGCTACGACTTGGGCCTGGCCGTCACATATTTCTCCTTTTATTAGAAGAGAAAATAGAAAATACATCGCGCAGTAAAAGTGTGGTCTGTTCTGTCATTGGTATTACCTCGTGTCCGCAACGCCATCGATCTATTTTGTCGACAGACAATCACTGTTATTCGCTGTGTAATAGAGTTGAGTCTCCAAAATCTCGTATGCGTTGATCGAGTTGATTACCTGATATCTTTACGCTTTACATCAAGCTTCCAAAAACATGATCGATCCGATGATAAAGGCTGAGAAGAAGAAGAAGAAAAAGAGCAGACCTGCTGCTGAAGAGGCTCCCAAGTTGAACGGAAACATGACAGAAGATATAATCGCACTGAAACAAGAGAAGAAGAAGGCCAAAAATATCAAAGAGCAAGGATCGCAGCCTCCTGAAGCCGTTGCAGAAGTGCCACTCAGCAGCCTAGACAAGAAGAAGAAGAAGAAGAAACGCAAGGCAGCAGATGCTGAGGGCCAGGCTGCAGAGGCCAAGCCAGCAGAGGAAGCGCCAGCTATTGATGACGTCCCAGTCGAAAAGTCAAAGAAGAAGAAGATCCGTGAGCAGCAAAGCAGTGAGCCGGTGCTGGCTGCAGTCGGGGACAGGGAGCTGGCACGAACTGGCAAGCCCATCCGGAAGGCCCTGTACACAGAGCACGCTGCAGTGGCCGCCCTGGCACCTGCGGAGGTGGATGCATGGCGTGCAGAGCGCGACACAGTGGTCACTGGGTCTGACCTGAGGCCGGTCATGGCCTTCGACCAAGCAGGTGCGCCTCTCTTGCTCTGTGCAAGCTGACAAGTCTCAGCACCCCTTGCTTGTGCCAACCTCCATGAGGTTGTGGGGAGTTTTGGCAGGGGTGTCCAATGTCCGTACCATCTTATGTACCCTGAAGCGTTCCATTCGTTGAATATCGTCAGTCTGAGGGCCAGAGCTGCCATGTTGTTTAAGATTCTCATCATTTTGCTTGACCCTCACTGAAATATGCCCTTTATGTTCCATGCCAGACTATAAATATCCTTCCTTGCAAGTTTAGTTCAGAGAACTGTGGTCTTTGTCCCTTTTCTGGACCCCCACGCATCTCAACCACCAGGCTGTTTGTCACCCACAGCAGCTCGGCAAGGTGATGCAGAAAGCAACCGTTGCGCCCCTCAGCCCTGCCACTCTTTTGTGCCAGGGTCTTTTGCATCCCTCCCATCACGTGCTGGAACGCAAGCAGAGGAGCGCGCACATCTCTTGCCACCATATCGAGTCCTGTAATTGCAGGAGCCGTTTGTTCTCGTCAGTTGTCATCTCTGGGGCGCGTATCTTGAAGCGAGCAAGTGTCCTGGCGGTGCAGGTTTCTCAGCGGACCTGCTGCGGTCCACAAGGACATTCGCGCAGCCATCGCCTATCCAGGCGCAGTGCTGGCCGATAATCCAGTCCGGCAGCGATCTGGTGGGCATCGCCGCCACCGGCTCCGGCAAGACGCTGGCATTCGGCCTGCCCGGCCTGAAGCACATCCTGGCGCAGAAGGCTGCTGGGGTCAGCACAGGTGCAGCCTCCCCTGAGCCTTTCGTGTCATGCTTCTCGTGTCTGGTTTCCCAAAACACACCTGCTCAATGATCGTAGCAATTCAGTTTGCACCGCTGTAGCTGCGGAGTCCTTGGTCACAAAATCTGCAATACATCCAGAAGCTCTCTACCAGGGTCTTTGCATCAAGGCAATGATGAGTCGGATACAGCTGCACGCCGTGAAGCCATGACACCTCGAAGGGTGCAGTGTTGCAGAGGTGGTAGCACAGGGAGGTGGCATGAAAGACGGTCATGTTTTCACGCGCAGGCAAGGGCCCGAGCATGCTGGTGCTGGCGCCGACACGCGAGCTGGCGCAGCAGATAGCGGCGGTGCTGGAGGAGGCCGGCCAGTCCGCGGGGCTGCGTACGCTGTGTGCGTACGGGGGCGTTCCCAAGCCGCCCCAGACGGCCGCCCTGCGCCAGGGAGTGGACGTTGTAGTGGCCACCCCCGGCCGCCTGGAGGACCTCATCAACGACGGAGCCTGCCGGTGCGCCATCATCATCTTCGGCATGTAATGGCATCTGAACGGGGTGTACTACAACGAGGACCGCCAACTCTCTGGCCATGGATTGCTGGCGAGTGCATGATGCTGCCGAGCACGGCAAAGGCAGGCATAAGGGAGGGACAGTGTGGCGTCGTGGGTATTAGAGGCTCACCAATGTCTCGACAGCTGCTGCCACACTCGCAGGGGCCGGCTGTTGCTGCTTGTCTGTCTGTAGCTATGGGAACAGTCTCACAAGCATTGCTCAATATAGTCTGATACATTCCTCATTCTGAGAAAGTTGAAGATATCCTCGCTGCGCAGTCTGTCGGGGGTGACGTACCTGGTGCTGGACGAGGCGGACCGCATGCTGGACCTGGGCTTTGAGCCGCACATCCGCGCGATCGCGGGGGCCACGCGTGCCGACCGCCAGACGCTCATGTTCTCGGCCACGTGGCCGCCGGCCATCCAGAAGCTGGCCTCCGAGTTCCAGGCGTCTATCGCGCGCGTCACCATCGGATCCCAGGACCTGTCCGCCTCCCACTCCGTCCGGCAGGTGCGGCCGCGACGCGCGCATCATACGCGCATGTGCCTGCATGGCAAAGGCATGCTATGGTGGCGTGAACATTTCTGCAGAGGACCCTGAGAATCACAGATCAGAAAGGCTGCAATGGCTCCTGTGCATGGGCTTGACAAGGCAGCGTGCAGAAGAAGACGACGCGCAATATATGATTCCCTGCAACTTTCAGAGCACTTAGGGCCGCAGCAGGGGCTGCCTGCTGGGGGCGGAAAGGCGTGGTGCAATTGAACAATGGCTGACAGTTGTTTGTGCGCGGTGGCAGATCGTGGAGGTGATAGATCCGGCGGCGCGCGACCGGCGGTTGGAGGAGCTGCTGCGCAAGTACCACTCCTCGCGCAAGAACCGCGTCCTCGTCTTTGTGCTGTACAAGAAGGAGGCCGCGCGCGTCGAGGCGCAGCTCAGCAAGCGCGGCTGGAACGTGAGCGCCTCTGTCTTTCCCAATTTAGAGCCCAATGCTGTGGGAAACACTGAATTAGTATTATTATTCTTATTATTATTCTTACAGGTCGGCAAACCCAAAGCCAGAGGCCATAGGGCATACACGCAGGGCGTCTGCAGCCACATCTGCAGGGCCTTCATTAGTCTGCAGCCTATCACTCACTCATCATATACATGCATGCACTCCCTGCCCCGGATGAGTACCCCTCTATATCCGGGGCCTCTGGCCTGCCAGCAACGCAACACCATTGTAGGTGACGTTGAGGGTATCTGAGTATATTCTTGCATAATATAAATGACGAATTCCATGCCCTGGACTAGCCAGAGGGACTTTGGCATGGCCATACAATGTTTTCTATTGGGCATGAGCGAGCGCTCAGTTACGAGTGTCTCTGGCTATTAGGCACATCCACAGTTGCATTCTGAGGGACTTGGTGTGTGTGCACAGGTGCGTGCAATCCACGGCGACATAAACCAGCGGCAGCGCTCGGAGGCGGTGGAGCAATTCAAGAGCGGCAAGGTGCCCCTGCTGATCGCCACAGACGTGGCCGCGCGCGGACTGGACATCCCCGACGTGGAGGCAGTCATCAACTACTCCTTCCCACTCACCACCGAAGACTACGTCCACCGCATCGGCCGCACCGGCCGCGCCGGCAAGTCAGGTGATGCGCTTATGAATTCGAATGATTCTGAGCTGGACTTGAGCTGGTAGTGACAGCTGCTCTCTCCGCTGGTATAGCATGAAGAGAAGGGAGAATGCCAGACATGAAGTTTTGTAATGGAGCTCTCATTGTGCTGTGACCTGCATCGGTGTCTGCATGGCTGCCAGCAATGCAGGATGGGTCAAATGCAGGTGTTTGGTGATGCTCCTGGCATGGCTTATTACCTCTTGTGCTCAATGGAATTATTCGGGTGTCCAGGATTGTCGCACACGTTCTTCAGCGGAGCGAGTGACAAGCCGAGGGCGGGCGAGCTCATCAATGTGCTCAAGGAGGCGAACCAGGAGGTTCCAGAGGAGCTGCTCAAGTTTGGCACCACCGTCAAGCGGAAAGACCACAAGCTGTTTGGCGCCCACTACAAGGACGTGGACTTCACCAAGAAGGCCACTAAAATGAGCTTTGACAGTGACGATGAATGAGGTTGAGAAGTCTGATATTTGAGGACAGCAGGATAATTGTTCCATTCTTAAGAGACATATCGTTCCTGTCCTCCCCCTTCCACAGTAGGCAATGTATCAATGAGGCCTTTGGCATTCCTGCTAGCACGGAAGCGCTTCTGCACATGCATGCAGCGTGATCACATTAACATAGGAGATGGACCATATCAATAAGACGTAGCTTGTCTAGAAATCGTTCTACTGTCTTTATGGTACAAAGCAGCCCTGCTGCTCATCACCGCTGTAATCTAAGACTGTCATGGTTACGTCAAATATATCACTACCGAAAATCAGAGCATGCAACCCGGCGAGCATGCCAGGCAATGTCTGCTGCTGACGGTAAAAGGAAACACACTGATCAGAATGTCACTTCAAGCGCTCATGAATGGCCTGTACATCATATGACTTCCCTAGCTGTCCTACCCTACCACCAAACAAGACATGTCCTTAGAAGGGACACAAGGAAGGATCACAACATCTCTGCAAAGAGAATGAGAGACCCCGTCCAGGATAGCGCAACTCCAGGCGTCTTGACAGATCAAGTCCGCAGCACAACACCGCCACGGACGTTCTCCATGAGGTTCTGGAAGGCAGACAGGACACCCGCGCAGCTCATGAGCAGCGACATGGGAATCAGCGCCATGCACAGGGCCAGCTCAGCGCGAGGCAGCCGCTCGCGCATCAGCGCCACAGTGAAGCAGCATGGGATGGTGTACGCGCAGATGAGGTACGTTGCAGACGTGACGAGGGCCACCAGGGAGCTGAAGTAAGGGACTGTCATGGAGATGAGGAAGGAGTAGGCCACCACGAATGTGGTCCCTGCCAGCCAGCTCAGCCAATGGTGGTCCGACGAGCTCTCAATGTGCGCCGCACACTTGCTGCCCTGCATGCCACCCCAACAACCGATCAGCACCAGCTCAGCAACCAAGTGCTTCCCCTTTCCCTGACCCAGGCTTGTCTTTTATACATCCCTGCTATGCATGCTGTGAGGTGCCCCACCTAGAGGCCATCTGATTGCTAAAGGCCGGAGGGTCACAAGTGAGAGGGAAGCGGCAGTGACATCTGCATGTGACATTCATGCATGTGCAGATGCGAAGCAGGAGGCAGATAAATACCTGGCTGCGGGCGAGCAGGGTGAGGATGTTGTGGGTCCAGATGTTGAGGTTGACCAGGTACTGGCCGATCCCCTGGATCAGAATGGCGTTGCAGGCTGCGCGCGCCAGCCAGTCATCCCCGATGCCAAAGATGATGACATCAGGCACTGCTATGCCCCTCGCCCTGCAGCCACCGCCACGTTGTGAGCACCAATATCTTCTGCATGCTGAATGTGTCAAAAGTCTTCAGGTTGGAATAATGAGGGGATGTGTGCGAGGGGAGAGAGCAGCATACCAGTAACCAATCATGCCAATGCCCACATAGCCGATCCCCATGATGGCTGTGGAGAAGGACACAATCCCAGGGAAGTGCCTGGGCTGCTGCATGGAGTTGATCACTTCCACAAACGCAAACTGGCCCCCATACCTGTCAGCACAAATCTTACCGTTCAGCATTACACTGCTGCTCATGACTCGTTGCTAACTTTTAATAATCTTGCGGTGATCAGAGGCCCAAAATGGAAGCATGTGAGGACTTACGCGAAGATGATGTTCATGATAGCTACCAAGAATGTCGATGCCTCTCCTGCAAGCCAGACATGCCACAGTGTCAATCACAGATCAAGTCATGAAACATGCATCAAATGATGACATTTACCTCCTTAACAGGTGAGTCAAAACCAAAATAACAAGAAAGCTCACCTGCATGTACAAGCTCTGTCGTGGCTCCCAATCTCGGTGTGACTACCAGTTTGTAGACCACCACAATCGCCGCAAAGAATTGACCGAACGTCCCAAAACTCAAGAACCACCCCAGGTTGCTCAACGACTTGATCTGCACAACCGGACACCCGCACTTTTCAATCAGCCGCTGCCCACTTGCAAACTTCCTTCAAGACCCCAATCACATGAAGGCAACATGCAAAGATCAGATTTATCGAGCAGGCCTCACCTGGACCAGCACCAGAGCCACAATGGCAACTGCCAGGCCGTAAACCAGCAGGGACTCATCGTTGCTGCTGCCAAACGCATGCTTCAGGCTCTCTGCTGTCGCCAGCTGCAATATGATACACCGCGTGGCTCCCAGCGTGTACACAATTCCATACACCACATTGCGCCCCTGCCACAGAAACGAACGTAATGTGTCAGTCAGGTAAGAAGATCTGGCCCGGCTATATTTAGGTCCATGCATGCTGGCCAAGATGAAGAGTGCTTCGGTTTGGAGATGGTGGGCTGTTGCTATGTGCATGCCAGCTGAGAAGAAGCAGCACCTTGGCCCCTGCAGCAGCCTCCCCAATGTCTCCAAAGAGGATTGCCCCCGACACCGTCTGCACCAGCCTGGATATGAGGAAGCCCGAGTACGCCGTCAGCAGCGTGAGCACCCCAATAGCTGCAGTTCCCGGTATCCACCCCATCCTGCACGCACCATGCCGGCTCACAAACCAGCTTCACATAGTATGATAATCTGTCCTGAGACCCTCAAGTCCACACATGTGCCAGCAGCAGCAATGGTGCATGCCCATATGCATCCCTAAGGACACGCAGCAGTTAATGTCACAGCTAGACAGACTGGAGAGCATCTGTCTGAGTTGGGTGCAAGTGTCAGACAGCGAAACAGACCTGGCATAGACAGCGGGCATGAGCCAGAGCCCCCAGCCGAGCTGGAGAGCTAGGAGAGTGCCCAGCGTGACCGGCCACGGGGCGCGCTCCTTCTCACCGCTGCTGCCACTCGTGCTGACCACCTTCTCTGATGCACCATCGCTGCTTGGCTCCCCCATAGTGAGGGACTGGTGCTCATCGCAGCTCTCTGGTGGCCACAGTCTGAGCGAAGGGCTGGTGGCTTGCGCCATGACAGTCATCAGAGACTGCCGCTGTGTAGGCGCCATCTTGGCGGGCGCTGTGCTGCCGCCCCGTATAACTTTGTGCCTGCAGAGGTGAACTTATTGGTTTTCAGTTCGCCCAGCTGTGTTATTGCAAGGTAATACCCCCGCTTGAGGCCTTCCACAAAGATGCCCTCTCGAATTGTGACGCTGCATTCATGAAATGTGACCTCGAAATACTTCTGTATACCAAGAAACTTGCACAGGTCAGAGGTGCTGCGCTACAGTAAACTGGGGACACCAAACCGAGCAAGATACCGTACACAAAGAAGGCTACCGGACCATCTTCATCAGCAGCAAGACAGGATCGCACCTCTTCAGTCGGGCGTTCTTTAATTAATATTATGTGATGAGCTGTTGTGTATCAAACGGGATGTTAGCCTCTCAGGACGACAAGAAGGGCCGTTGTCCCGGAGCCTTGCCTATGCGACTTCCGTGAACCTGCATTAGAAGCCCTTCTAATATTCCCGATTGCTTTTTCTAGTTATTTAGGATCAATCAAAAGACGGACATACAATATAAATTCTCTCATTCGAGAGCCCGTGGGCACATCCATCCGTGCCGATCTACTTTCGAAACCCACCTGGTTCCGGCGCTGCTAGTACGGAACAACCTTGACGGTCGCAGGGATTGCAGAGATGTGCTCCGATCTCTTGTTCTGTGAAGCCACTACCTTCCAAGGGGGTGATGGCCATCAGTTCAACAGGTCGAGCGCGGACAGCTGATGACTACCCAATGTTGACAGTTACTCACTACGGTCAGAGAACGGGTTGACTGGACCCTCTGGTTGACTGGATCCATTTCCGCAGAAACTGCTAAATGTCGAAACACCCGCGCGCAGGGATGAAAAGCTCCAAAATCCCTGTCATTGTACATTGCATTGGGATGATACCCCTCATTTCTTCCACGCGACCTCATGTGTGATTTACTGATTCACGTGTGCCCAGATCATCGACCCAAACCAGCAGATGCGTGCCATCAATGCAGAAACTGCCCGCTTAGGTCTCTCAAGACCGGTCCATGGTGACTTGAACATTCGCAAGGTACAAATACCGATCACCAGGTGAGTCATAGGGAATGAACTGTGTTTTTGTATGGGCCTGAACCATGGATACGGTACAGGTTTTATTCACTGGGCTACATGACACGGGGCAGTTTCGCAGGCATTGCCAGACCAGAAAAAGTGAAAGGCAACGAAAATTTGCGATCTTGACGATAACGAGAGCATCAGACACCGCACTTGAGGTTGAAGCAGGATACTCCAAAGACGGCATGGTAAGCCAAGCGAGTGCTAGAAATCGTCCAGCATCAGATGTAACATTACACATAGTGTCATATAGCAGATATAGAGATGACTGTCCGCCCTGCAGGACATTGCACAGCTCGATGAAGACCTTTTGGACCATGAGGAGCACCTCAAGTACAGGTACAATCAATTCCTGCAGACCAAGGCCTCCCTGGAAAAAGCTGAGGGCAGCCTTGCAAATTTTGCAAAGGTGAGTCGCACATTCCCACGCAAAAGATGCTATTCCATCGAGCGAGTGAGTCAGGGTGCCAGCAGCGTCTGAGCAGCACGGGATGGCTGCACAGGGGTACGAGAAGATGGGCTTCTTCCGGGAGGGAAATGCGACGGTGTACAGGGAGTGGTGCCCGGCGGCCTCCAGCGCGCAGCTCATAGGGGACTTCAACGCGTGGGGTGGCAGCTGGATGGAGCGCGATGCCTATGGCGTCTGGAAGATCACCCTCCCGGACGGTACAGTCACCCGCCACCTGCACCAGAGGCCACACAGCAATCGTATGCATGCAAGCATGCTGCTTTCAGTAACCAGTACCACTTGGGCCTTCTTCAAAATCCCGCAAGCGCAGACAAGTGCTGGAGACATTGACCCTGTGGGCTGTTCGGGCTCCTGCAGAGGCAGGAGTCTGGCATAAAGAGACGTACGTGTGTCATGGCTACATGGGGCTCCAATGTTCAGGGCAGTCGATAAAGACTTGTGGCTTGAGCGGGGGTTGACTGGGGCGCAGATCCGCAGGGCAAGCCGGCCATAGCGCACGGGTCGCGGGTGAAGATCCGGCTGCAGCACCCGGGCGGCTGGTTTGTGGACCGCGTGCCGGCCTGGATCCGGTGGGCCACAGTGGAACCCAACAAGATGGGCGCCAAGTATGACGGCATCTTCTGGGACCCTCCCGCTCAGGAGCGACACGCCTGGTGCGCCCCATGAACTGCATGGTTACTGATCAGTGAGTGTGGAGTGACTGAGTGAGTGCATATGCTGCAAGCGGCGACACGGCATGTTGTGCTGCTCCATGCATGAGTGTTTGATCAGTCGCCGTGTGGGCGGCCATTCTTACTTTTTGAAGTTGGAAAATGCAGGCAGCACGAGAGACCAAAGGACAAGCCTGCTGCGCTGCGCATATATGAGGCCCATGTGGGCATGAGCTCTGAGGCGCCTGAAGTGGCTTCCTACACCTACTTCAAAGGTGAGCCTCGCTGCCAAATTTTTGTGCACCCAGAGAGCACTGCTGATGTGCACCAGTGCCGTGCAACTGTTGAGACATCCGTGGCATAAGTCTGAGAAGGCCTGCTGCTGTCACGCAGACAATGTGCTGCCGCGCATTGCGAAGCTGGGCTACAATGCCATCCAGCTGATGGCGGTGCAGGAGCACGCATACTATGCATCCTTCGGCTACCACGTGACCTCGCCCTTCGCAGTGTCCTCGCGCTCTGGCACTCCCGAGGAGCTGAAGGTGTCTTGCTGATCTGTCGCTCTCACTGGCCCAGAATGACATATCTTAATGTCATGGTTATCATCACTTCATGCCATCTTGGTACTGATCAAAGGGTGTCAACGGCTGCAGGCTCTTATAGATGAGGCGCACAGGCTGGGGCTGCTGGTGTTGCTGGATGTGGTGCACAGCCATGTCTCCAGCAATGCCGACGATGGCATCGCAGGTGGCGTCCTGCCCCTGCCACACTCTCTCCACATCAGCCTTGCCAACTTCTGCCGTATGGAACATATTTAAGGCTGTAAAGGATCACAGGCTGCCTCCTGAGCGCCTGCTGCTATGCTATTGTAGGATATGATCTGGGGCAGGGGGAGGAGGGCAACTACTTTTGCAGCGGCGAGCGCGGGTACCACACGGTGTGGGACAGCCGCCTGTTCAACTACCGCAACTGGGAGGTGCTGCGCTACCTGCTCTCCAATCTGCGCTGGTGGCTGGAGGAGTACAGGTAAACCTGTCCACCATGCCCTTCGTTGTGCCTATGTGATTGTATCTAATGTAAGTTTTGTGACTAACTGCAAATTCTTTTGCAGCTTTTTGGACAAGCAATGGCCACCAAGACTCTTTGCTAGGGCAGCATGCATCAGGCGCCCCATGGCATCCAAATGTTGTGGATGATGCTAGCATCTTGTGCGCAGCATGCAGAAATTTATACATGACAACGATACTGCTTTGCTTCGTGGTGTGAGCATGACAGTGGGAAGTTGAGAGCTGTTGCATGCGCGTGCAGGTTTGACGGGTTCCGATTTGACGGCGTCACGTCGATGCTGTACTGGCACCACGGCATCAACATGAGCTTCAGCGGCGACTACAAAGAGTACTTCAGCCCGGCCACCAATGTGGACGCCGTCGTCTACCTCATGCTCGCCAACGTGCTCGTGCATGAGCTCCTGCCACAGGTGGACACCCTAACACCAACAGTTATGGTCCCCTGGGTGCCACTGACCGCCCTATTTTTTGGTGTCTACGGACAAGCACGAAGACAAAGATTCAGCGTCACCTGCTCGACACTTCACCTGTGGCTCAATCTCATTCCAGGCAACTGCTCAACAGTGCAGTGAAGTACACTTTAGATTGCAAAGTGATCATTTTGTCGGTAAGAACAATGAGAAGAAATCGCACCAGTGACAGTCAGCTTGGTAATGCCGTTGTCTTGAGGTTCACAAAAGAGATATTTGGCACAGGCGATAACGGTGGCGGAGGATGTGTCGGGAATGCCGGCGCTGGGGCGGCCGGTGAGCGAGGGCGGCTGCGGCTTCGACTACCGCCTGGGCATGGGCATCCCCGACCAGTGGATGCGCCTCGTCAAGGATGTTCGCGACGAGAACTGGAGCATGACGGGGCTGGTGTCCTCCCTCTGCAACCGCCGCTACACCGAGCGCACAGTCGCCTACGTTGAGTCCCACGACCAATCCCTCGTCGGCGACCAGACCCTGGGTAAGCCACCGCCGGCTGTTTACAACAAGCAGAGGTTGCCACCAGAGGAGTGCTGGGAGCATGCCATCAATCTGGCCTGATCAAATCCCTTACATGACTTGGCTCGGGCTGCTGTAAAGAGGCTATGTCTGCTCAAGGCAATCGTAAAACCTGCAAATCTGATGCCGCCATCAGCATGGAAGAGAGATCCCACCTACTTGCTCAGCATCACTAAGGATTATGTGATGGAAGTGGTGCCGCCATCCGGTACATCGCAATACAGCCATGACATCATCATTATTATCTGGGGTGGCGTGCGCAGCGTTCCGGCTGATGGGCGCGGAGATGTACACTGGGATGTCGGCGCTGCAGGCGGAGACGCCGGGGGTCGCGCGCGGCATGGCGCTGCACAAGATCATCCGCGCGCTCACCCTGGCGCTGGGCGGCGAGGGCTGGCTCTCCTTCATGGGCAACGAATTTGGCCACCCCGACTGGATCGACTTCCCCAGGTGACCTCCCCCTCGCCGCCTCCTTCTTCCCCCTGCCCCCGTTCTTCACAGTGTTGTACTGTGCACATTACTGGGGAAAGTAATCAAGCAGCAAGTACTGAGATTTCCCTCTGGATCACTTCTTCATGTCAGCAAGTTAATGCCCTGGTGTGTTCAATATCCACTGCCCCACTTCTTGCCTGTGCTGGTCATACATCTCATGCAAGGAATATGATGCTCTGGTTTGCATGGTGCCCACTGCCCACCTCTTGCCTGTGCTAGCTATTTGTGCTTTGTAGGGAAAGAGGCATGCAGACATAAAGGCTAAAAGGCTTTTTAGGCATCTGGTGCTTGGGTGTATGTGATCTGTTATGGGGTCGTGCTGCATGTGAGCGAGATGATTGTGTGTGTTACAGGGATGGCAATGGGTGGAGCTACGACTACTGCCGTCGGCAGTGGAGCCTGGTGGATGCGGAGCACCTGCGCTACAAGTACCTCAATGCCTGGGACGGCGCTCTGCAGGGCCTTGACTCCCAGCACAACTTTCTGTCCTCCACACACCAGCTCGTGTCCTACGCTGACGATGCAGAGCAGGCCAGCTCCCTAGCTTGCCTGCTGATTTTGTGGTCACCAAAAGATCTCTGTTGTGCAGGCTGCCTCCAGAGTGCAAGCGGGTGCAATTTTGAGGGGCAGAAGGTTGTGCACTGCAGGTCATCGTGGCGGAGCGGGGGCCGCTGTTGTTTGTGTTCAACTTCTCGCCCTTCAACAGCTATGAGGGGTACAAGGTATGCACCCTTCCATTATCCAAGGATTGCTCCACAAGTCTTTATCGACTGCCCTGAACATTGGAGCCCCATGTAACCATGACACATGTACGTTTCTTTATGCCAGTCCTAGGTAGAATGGCTGCTGAGGGGCGAGGGGCATGTGCAGGTGGGCACTCCAGAGCCGGGCAGGTACAAAGCAGTGCTGACATCAGATGACGTTGAGTTTGGCGGCAGAGGTCGCATCAACCACGACACTGAGCACTTCACCCACCCTGAAGGCACCCCAGGTGCTGCATTAATCCTCCTGCTGCTCCAGCTGTTACATCCCCTTAACAGTAACAACAAGCGCCTTATGGATGAATACAAATGGCGTGCAGGCGCCCCAGAGACAAACTTCAACGACCGTGCGTTCTCCATGCTGGTGGCATCGCCCTCTCGCACCGTGGCTGTGTATGCGCTCATGCCAGAAGACCCTCATGAGTCCCCGGCATGATGACTGCGGAAGAGACATTACAATGTCGCGACCATGGTCATGGGTTACGTGAGCAATGCAGGGTTGGGGTCCGCTGACATTTATCACTAAATTTCTTATTAGCACTGGTGTGACGATGTGCCCAGGATGAAAGTACCGCTTCAGAACCTCAGACCTTTTAACGCGATTGCTCTCTGAATGCTGATCAGAACAGTAGCAGTAGGCTAGGGGGACATCCCTGAGATGCCGTCTTCAGGGACTGTAGGCAAAAGATTCAACTATTTAAGACAAGAGAGATGCAAGAACTTACAAGGCAGTGCCAGCGCCAAATAGGGAGAAAGGGCTGCCTTGCGGTAGATCTGCAATGCTAATGACATCAAAGATTTGTTGCTGGGCATTTATGTGCAGCCTGTGGTGCCTCGTGCTGAGGTACGTCAAAGCCAGGACAGCAGAACCGTCCGGAGTTCGTAGCTTTGGTAGCCTGGCTGATGATCGAAGAATCACGAGAAATCTTGTGGGCCTGCATGCACCAAGCAACTTTACACTTGAATCTGATCAATGTAGTCCCAGGTGCTCTCTCGTGGCTAATGTGCCGCTGCCGGCGGCGGCGGCCGGGTAAGCAGCATCATGCATCATGCTGCCCGCGGGCCGGCGGGCGCCCGCAGTGCGACAGTGCCGCGCATTCATGATCACTGCGTGGTACAAACTCTGTCAAAATCTGGCCAGGGATGCAATTTACGCTCGTGCTTTTTTTCATCATATATGTTCGTCGTTGAAGTTACACAGCCTGTACTTGCAGCACGCAATGAGCTGCTGCATGAAGATATTCAGTTACATCAAGAGCTGCTTCTGCTATAGCTAGTACGCAAATATCAAGGTGGCAACCTGTGGGGTGCAGCCCGAGGTGGAAGCTCTAGTGCAGGACTTGGAGGGCAAACCTGCGGCCGTGTCTGGAGTTGAAAAAAGCATCAGCAGGGGGGCCAGGGGAACACAAAGCCCATCAAGTTTGTTTCAAAGGGGCAGGGCTCATTTAATGCGTCCCTGACTGGCCTTGATTGATGTCTCTAGATCTGGGGACCTACCGGCGCGCATCTTGCCTATTTTTTTTACCCAAATCGTTACCCTGGCTTCATGCATGCGAAGCATGAGCAATGCTGACCTTGAACATCAGACATGAGGATGTCACACACCTTGACAGCTGCAATGCGATTCATATAAGAGAACTCACGCGTCAGTTTGACGTCATCCTGGGGGCGGAAATATCTTGCTCGGGGGGACCTTTTTGGTATCTCCGATTTTCTGTAGTGCTCAAATCATGCACAAAATAATTATGGTCCCGTTCTTCTGACAGCTTTGTTTGGAAAGAGGTGCCTTGATCACCTCAACGCTGCCAGTCCGAGGACATGATGCTACAAGAGCCGGCTGTGGTCGGTGGCGCACTAAGCCAGCGATGTGCACCTTACGGACCCAGCACCGGATCTGCAGGGCCATCGATGGCACTGCCCAGCAGCATATCTCCATTTGCTTTCCGCCTGTATCCCCTCTTGCACGCCCTTTCCAACCGCTTCGGCGACGACTTGGCGTTGATTCAGGTGAGCTTTCAATGTTAGCGCTTTCGGGAAGGTCTTTAAGGATCATGTCTTTATTCAATTACGCGCACAGCATATATACCTTCTGTTTGCTCATGCATTCCGATGTACATGTATTTTACCGCGTTCTTGACGTCTTGACGACCTCAGAAACATCGCGCCGGCTGCCGTTTTGCTAGACTCTCACGCTCGAATGAATTATTCAATTGTCGTCAGATTCTCGTGATGCACACGCAAATTGATCTTTTCCGTGTCTCCATTCTGGGAGATGCAAAGTAGCAAGCGGAAGTTTCAAATTTATCTCCTCTTTCCTTGCAGCTGTGGACGCTGACCAACCGACAGGATTGGTGTGCAAGCCTTAGTAAAACAAGAGGTGTTGTGGCACAAACGGACATGAACCCATTTGCTATCCAAAATCCCGCGCTGCAAAGCTTCCGGCAGAAGTGGTGAGCCTGACGTTGGCTCGTAACTGGTTTTCAAGATGTCCTTTTTTTCGATTCTGCTTGGTACTTGATAGCATTGCTTGGCAATAAATTTTCCACATGTCTGTGCAGCTGTAAGCAAGGAATAAAAGGCGCAGCGTTGGGGGTTTTAGGCAAGGCCTGGAGCACTGGTTCAGCCTGCGTTATCCAGAGCGTCGAGACACTTCCGCACAATATCCACCCCCGCACGTACCTCGAAGGTGATCCTTCATCTGTCCCATGTGTCATGGCATGACCATGCTGTACAACAACTGCCTCGGTTCATGCACCATTGCAGCGCCTGATCTGGCCCCGGTCAGCGTAATCCCTCACTCCCTCTTGCTCCCTGGCAGGAATGTCTCATGGATGAGTTTCTGGCATTTGAGAGTAGCTCTGGCTTGTGTGCATCCAGGTGGCGAAGGGGTGGCGGATGTGGTGTACATTCCCATCTATGACCAGCTGGCCAGCGGGGCGGGCGGAGTGCAGGGGGTCCTAGAGGTCATGGTGCACTGCAATGCCCAAGACCCGATGGTCGTTGCCAACGCCATCACCTTTGTGGGCACGCTGCTCAGCCAGCTACAGGTCAGTGCCCTAGACACCTCCTATCTGATGAGCATTTTGATGGTCAGACTTCGACACAATTGCTTTGCATTTTGAGTCCGGCACTGCTTGTGCATAGAAGCTCTTGGTTTGTACCCACATGCACACAAGATTAGTGGCCTCTCTTGGTATTGGACTTTTACTGATGCATTGCTATTTGCTGTCCAGATGGGGCTGAGTAGGCCACAACACCAGCACCCTCACCCTTTTGGGAGCAGCCGGCAATGCGCGCAGAGCCCCAGCCAGCAGCAGCAATTCCAGCAGCAGCAGCAGCAGCAGCAGCAGCAGCAGCAGCAGCAGCAGCGCGTGATGGCTCCTGGGGCGCAGGCCGGCAGCGTGGCATACCAGCCTAAGCATGGCCGCTCATCCTCCCCAACATCTCCTCTGGATGAGGTCCCGGCCAACTATGCACCCTGGATGTCGCGCACGACTTCGATGCGCAATGTTAGCATGGCAGATGTCTGCGGCAGCTGCTGAAGTGTAGGAGTGTATTCCTTGCCTTGCTGAAGGCTTTGCTGAGTGGGTTGCGCGAGAGTGTGGTGTGGAGTGAGAGACTATCAATCTGGTGGAGACATGAAGACTTGCGGGCATATCAGCCCGGCTGCGCCCAGTTTTGAACTGCAAGGGCCAAACAATTTTGTGGAATGTCCATTTTTAAAGCATGGGATGCTGAGACGTTACTCGTAATATGGAGGGATACTGACTGGAAGAGGCAGAGGTGCGTGTTTTGAGAGGTGTGTTCCTGTGATTGAGTGAGCTGGCGTTGATGCTGGCCTATGAGAGATCCAAGGCTCTGATGGACGCAGTTTCTTGTTCATTGTATTTACCATGTACTCAGAAGGGGCCAGTTGGCATGCCTTAGAAGATATTGAATGTGGCAAAGTGCCATGAGTGGCTGCATGGGCTTCCTGCCTGATGACTCATTGATGAAGAGCCTGAGGGGCTGCCTCCCTTCAGTTTCATAGAGCAGATGCTTTTGCCCCATTGGCAAAGGACTGTCTGGTGAAGTGAAAAGATAGACTAGCGATAGTCATCCAGCAAATGTATAAATCTGGTCCAGTTGGAGTTCATTCGCGTACTGCAAAGCTGTCCATGACAATATCGATGTAGGTGTGCCCGCGCCTTCATTATGCCGATCAGGGCGTACAGGGGAGGAATTTGATGTCTGCAGATGGTCTACCTTTACATTGATGCAAGACTGCGAGATCACTGATTTGCTCACAGTGTGGACTGAAATTGGGGTTGTCCATATAACAGTCACACTGATGAGACGCACTGTAAAGACTGCTGTGGATAGATGGGGATCCAGAATTATCTGACGCTATCGGAGCCGTGATGGCTCATGCATTGGTTGAATAGCACCCACAACACCTACCAACCTCTACAAAAGGATGCTTGTGAAGCTCTTAGCACCCACAACATGTCCAGACCAAGTTTATTCTTCAGATACAGAATTATGAGCAGCACACTGCGCATGAGCACTGGCATGCCAGACCACTGATTCAACAGGTTTCAGAAGAGAAACACAATGTCAGAATGCGCGTAAACCAACTTGTGCATGCATGCTTCATATCGTAGGTCATAATGTCAGCAACATCTCAACACATTCCATATCTTTCATGCATCATGTGACCCTCTGAAAGCCCCACTCACACAGCTGCCAGCAGAACTTGCAGATATGGTCCAGGTGCAGCTCTCAGGCAGGCATCCAAAGGACAGCTGGCACAGTTGGGTGTCAGAGGACAGTACTGCATCAGATGACATGCATGCAACTGCAGGCGGTGCTGGAATGGCGCCTGTGATATGACAAACGCACACATCATCAAAAGGTTGTAGCATCAAACATCAACATGATCCCCTGCTGTAAGCACATCATCATAAAATGCCTTTCGCTGGATATGAGTCCAACAGGAAGCCAGCTATCACTCTCCTATTCCAGGGCACTGAACTGGAAAACACCAACCCATGCTTATGTGACATGCAACATTCCAACCAACAATCAAATGGCCAAGGCATTTGACCAGACAGTGTCAGTACAGGGCAAGGTTCACAAAAAGCTGCCTCAAACGTCAGCTGGTTCAGATCATGTGGGCCTAACGAAGACAGGTCGGCAACATATCTGCACTGCTCCTAAGGGAGCAGTTGCGCGCGATGATCTTTTTAGCTCACTACTGAACCCCTGAAATCAGATACCCGAAGGGCACTGCAGTAGGGGGCAATAAGGGAACGGCACAGTACCTGCGCCAGGAATCATGGGTCGCAAACACCTCAGCTCAGTATGGGGCGAACCCCCTGGTTGCACCAGCAGCACGAGTGGTTCCTCTGTGGTTCCTCTGAGGTCCGTACGATGCTCCTGACCCTATGTGGGACCAGAAACCGACAGCCATTATCAAGCCATGTTCAGAGGCCCATGCATGCTGTTGCTGGCCACCCCTGGGGCCTCCTCAGCAGGTGTTCAGAATCCTGCCCCTGTGTCCTATAATCGTGGGCCTTCCCCAGGGGATGTTATTTGGGTACTTCTGGGGCTTGGGGGGCACGCACTCTTCAGGTCAATCAAATACCCAAAAAGAGCCGAGACACATTTGTCACTGTTCAGCACGCAAGCTCAGCAGCAGCACACAACTTCACGCCTGCATCTGCTGCAGGTGCCTCATTCCTACAATAGCATTTCTCAGCAAACGCAAGGTCAAAAGGAAAAATTTGGGCCAGCAATTTGCAAAACAAGAAAAACCAAAGCCAGCGCGGCCGTGGGTCTATGGACAATGTCAGAATAGGCAGTAGACTGCAGGCAATCCTGCTGGCGAAAAGTGTGGGAAAATATCAAGCGGTGGGCCACGGATTCCTAGCAGAGCGGAGCAAGGATTGGAGGCACTCATTCTGCCGCCTTCCCAATTGAACGCATGGGGCACAGCATGCTGCCACCGGACAGGAAGCCCAATCACAGGGTCAGGTCGCGCAGTTGACCTTCAGCCAGGAGGCGCATGTTATCCTCGATGGCGCGATCATCCGCAGCATTCTGGCTGCCGTACATCCCATCCAGCACCTGTGCCCTGCCAATGCTTGGGGTGCGATCTCCAGAATGCAGACGGCCCTCCAGGCCTGCCGGCTCCTGTGAAACACATCATGGGTTCTTAAAAATGATGGGCTTTTAAAACACGATGGGGATTTGTACCTGACGGCTTGTGACTATCAGGAGCAGCTGTCTTCAGAAGTGCAAAGCAAGTTGGAAGAAAGCAGCTACCTGGGCGCTGTTCTGGGTCATGAAATTGGGCTTGGATCCAAAGCGGTCAGCAGAGCCATCCTTGGTTGTATTAGCCTTGATCTGCGCCTGGGCTGCAAGCATCGCCGCATACTGCTGGACGTTTGCAAATGTCGGACTGAAGCCTTCATTGCCTGCGCCAGCACCACACCTTCACGTGTTGCTTTGAACATTCGCATCAATCAAGACTTATCAGTTTCAACCTCAAAGTTTGTCGCCATCAATACAGCAGCCTGCTGGAATGTGCTCATGAACCAACAATGAAAAGAGAGGGGCGCACTGGTGGGATAATCGCTGAGGTCTGATGCAGCAGTGGGGGAAGTGGGCTCCTGGCTCTCGCATGCATGCACCTGCTGCCCAGGCGGCATGCCCCAGGGGGTGAGCAGCGATGCGCCCGTGGGGGACAGGTTCTGGTTGACATTCGCGTACACAGCCGCCATGGGGTCTGCCATGTTACCCATCCCTCCAATTCCCTGGCCAGGCCTTGCAGGAATGGTAGTTGCAGCGCTGCTGAATTGCAGGCCGCCCAGGAGTGAGGATGCCACTGTAGACGGCTGTTGGTTTGCGCCGAACATGGGGTAATGGGTATTCTGCGCGCACACAGACATGCAGCTGCCAGCACTCGTGACTATAATCTGAAGATCTTGTGACAGAACCGGCTGGATGTGAAAGAGAAAGAGCATATGGGGTGTGTGGCAGGTGCAAGCACGCTAAAGGAGATGTGCATGTGAGTGCGCGAAGGTCACCTTGGGAGCAGGGGAGGCTATATTCTGAGCTCCGAGGGCGCCGCTGGCCAGCAGGCTGGCCAGGGTCCTGTTATCCAGACCATTTGCGGTAGGAGATGCTGGGGGCTCATTTGAGCCGGTAGCCAGAGCAGTCAGCAGCGCCTGGATCGTGCTCACAGGAACTCCGCTTGCGAGCAAACCCTGTTCAGTATCAGTATTATGCCCGTCAGGTCTGTGTGCGAACCACTTGTGTTTCCTTCCTGCCGGGAACCATTTTCCAGATCACTATTGCCAAGGCAGACATTGTAATGCGACATCTTTCCTGTGCTTAGAGATCGGCAACAGCATGGCATGCATCAGCTCACAAAGGCTCATGTGGTTGACAAGCAGGCATCCTGATGACATGCATCAAATGCAAGGAGAGCGAGGTCAGCATGATGAGCCCGGCACAGCACCTGCACAGTGTTGAGGTTGACAGACTGCAGGCCTCCCAAGGACTGCAGCCCTGCCAGCGGGTTGTAGCTGCCCAGGCCCCTCTGAGCTGCCAGGTTCATGGTGGCAATGGCGGCTGGGGTCAGGGGGATGGACAGTGCAGGAGACAGGGGGGATGTAAGGCTGCTGTATCCCACGTCGTCAGGCCGTGATTCGCCTTGACGCTCCTCAGCCATGCTGATGGACTGCAGGGGCTGCAAATCCACACAAGGCCGCAAATTATGACCCAGAAATGTCATGCGGGCAAGATCAAGGATCTGTGACTATATCACATCCCCTCACTGGCATTTGATTATAAACTCACAATGCATGCATGACTTGACATGATCATGGCTCTTGTAGGACAATATGAATACATTGCTTGGTGGCTATGCTGGATGTTCAGGGAACTGCTTTTCAGGCATGCATGTACAAATATAGCTGCTAAGGCGCAGGTCACCTTGCCGTCAATATTGCGCTCAGACTGGTTGCAGGCGCGCTGTGCTGAGCGCCAGTTGTCGTAGGTGACAAAGCAGTAGTTGACGCGCTTGGCGCCCTTCTTGCCAGGGAAGTAGACGTCGACGACATTGCCCCACTTGTTGAAGTGCTCAATGATGTCCTCCTCTGTGATCTCATCGGGCACGCCTCCCACATACAGCCGTGGCCCACGGCCATGAGCAGAAGAGGTGGCAATGCCAGCCCCACCGCAGCCACCAAGCGATGCATGCCCAGCTCCATTGGAGGTGTCAGATGAAGCCTGCACACCAGCGCTGCTTTGTGAGCTGTGCACTTCTTCCACTGTGCATCCTCTGCACACATCCTTGGAAGAGCTGGCAGTGAAACATCACGTCCTACAAGGTTGCCATCATGGTTTGTCGAAGGACACATCCAGAGGCCCAGGTCAAGGCTTCACCTTGGTAAGAGTCTGCGGGTTCTCCTGGGAGGTCTCATATTCAGGCCTTGGACCGGCCTTGTTGATCTTCACAACAACCCCCTCCACAATGTGCTCTGGTGCCTGCAGGACACGTCAAGCTTCTGTGAAGGCTGCAACCTCGTGTGATGTGCAGTACAGTCTATCTCCTTGGACACTTGCTTCGCACAAGGAACTCCAGATTTGTCACCTGTAGCACACGCTCGAGCTCCTCCTCCGCCTCGAATGTCGTGAAGCCGAAGCCCTTGTTCCTCCCAGACTTGTGCTTGGGCCTGTCGGCAGCAAAAGGCACCCCGTCATCGCCGACATGTCAAGGTGTCACGTCCTGACCTGGGATGCACCTCAATACATGTACAATCCAGGCCTGCGCACAGCTCGATGCAAACAACGCAATTGCTCACAGGTAGACATCGAGAACGTTGCCGAAGTGCGAAAAGTATCTGTTGAGCTGCTCCTCGCCAAGAACGTAGCCCACGTTCATATCTGCATGAGCAAAAGGACATCATCACGATGCAATTTCCAGGGCCACGGCTTCAGAATCCGGAGGCGGCCGTATCAAGCTGTGGTGTCCTCCATCACCATGCAGATCATCAAGAAGAAAAAGTACAGCAGAGAGCGCTCACATATTCTGTGCCTTCCAGTCTTTCTGTACATGATATCAATCGCAATGGAGGATGTCCTGGATGAATATGACGACGCTGCGTTGCACGAGGTTGGCAACAAGAAACACGTCCCTTCTCCGACGTCCCTGGTGCTCAGGCACGGGTCTGGTGGTCACTCCTCCTTGAAAGCGATGTCTGCTTCTGCTGGAGTCTAAATAACCCCACTCATTTACTTATCGAGAAACCAAGCTCTCAGTGTCGATTGTGGGAAGCAAAACAAGCCCAGGCATTTGTCATGCTGAGGCTTTGATGTCTGGAGAAGGAGGAGGAGCCATGCATGGTGATTCGGCTGGGGCAGGGTATAAGGTGAGACTGTCATGTGTGAAGCCCTATTCCCACATCAGGAAAACGTTGGACGTTCCTTTTCCGGGTGAAATAGGATTAGGTGTCCACAATTGGTGGAACAGCAGGCACCAGATGGAATGCTAGGCCTGAGGGGACAGCTTGATGTGCACATGGCGTGCAGTGCATCATGCATGATGTGCAGCTGCTGCTCAACGCAGCCTGCTGAGTATGCCTGTCACAGACCAGTGACCCCGCAGGGCCTGAGGTCTCCATCATAACTCTCACAGGGGTTTGATTAATGCCATGACTGCAATGAAGGTAAGTGTGACAGTGTGGCATCGTGTTCAGGTGCCATCACCGTGATGTGACATGATTGAAGGCGTTTTGTCAAAAATGGACAAGGAGGAAGTGGCACAGGAAATCGAAGAAAGAGCCAGACCAAAACGTCATTTTCAAACCATGAATCAAATCCCCAAATATTTGCAAAAAGGTGAAAGTGGTCCCAAACTGCCTAGAAAAGGCCACTGTATCAGAACACCAGACTTCGAATATTACTGCGGACCAAATAATAAATACACCTCCCTGAAGTCAACACATGCCAGTTCTAGTTAATAGGAACCTGCAATATTTATGTCCCTAGACATTCTGCATCGGTAAGGATTCATGAGATCAACCGAACAATGGCTCTAGACAGTGTCAGAGCTGCTAAGACTCAAATACCACGCAGAAGCCAAGCAGTTGCCCAACGCAGGGGTCCTACTCAGACACTCATCATATAGCTACATAAGTCTGCTGCATCTAAGACGTTGTGAGGGCCGCTTTGCCAGCATTAAGTCGTACAGAACACTACAGAGCACTAAATATTGGATGCAGAAAGGTCTGTCAATAATGGTATTATCTGGCCGGCTGACCCAGAAAAAAGCAGGCTCATTCAGCAGGCGCCTGGCAGCCGACGGCGCCGCAGTTGCACTTGCCGTCCAGATTCTCCCGGATGTACTGGGGGCCGTAGTCATAGGTCAGCTCCTCAAAGGGCGGGATGTTCTTGGCAGCGAAGAGGCAGATCTTGGGCATGTCCACATCGGCGTGGTCGCAGAGCACCGGCTGCACATAGAGGTTGGGGTCGCAGCTGTGGTTGATGTAGCGCGACATGCCCCCAGTCTCCCCGCCATCCACATAGTACTTGGTCTCCTGATCCCTGTGTCACAAATGGTCCCACAGTCAGCCCTTGCATGCGCACTGTACTCCCTTTACCGTGCTGGAATCTCAGAAGCTCGTTTCACGAAGGCCCTTTCTGGCTTGCAAGCATCCGAGTGCAGCACATGAGGGTGCCCAAAATGGACACAGCGTGCAGCTGCTGATGAAGACAATGGCCGGAGTCCAAGCTGGTGTGATGGTGCCACTAGAAGGGTCACAGGTTGCAGGCAGATGTGCGCAGGACGCACATGTCATGGCCCTCCTCGATGGGCTTGTTGTCCCAGCCAAAGTCGGTGCGCTTGCCCAGGTCGAAGTAGAAGGTGTCGTCCTTGGAGCCGTCGCAGTCCTCGATGCGGTGCACGCGCCCCACAAAGGTGGTGATGTAGGAGCCCACGGGGATGGTGTCCCAGGAGCGCACCCCCCACCCCTTGAACCGTGTCTTGAACACCTCCAGCCGCCACTGCAGCCCCTGCGCATGCCATCACAACATCATCCCAGCCCAACTGAGTCCTAGCTGCGCTGCAGCACACTTTTCAAAGAAATCCCCTTCATCATGCGCATACTTCCCCCCATCAAATTGTCAATCCTGAAGATCAAGGCGGTGCCCAAAGCAGCAGGTGTGATGCACGGAGCACAGTCTGAGAGGGATTGCTCAAGAGGGACATGGCATAATAATGAGTCAGGTCCTTTGTGGAATCCCTGGAAAGCTTACCTGCTGGCTGACAGCATAGCCACAGTGGATGCCATCTGGGCACCCTGTCCAGGGGCCGCACTCAAAGATCATCGCCCTCGCACAGTCCACGATGAAGTGGTTGTTCTCTGCGCAGAAGAGGTCACATGATTGATCAGTTCCTCTTGGACATGGAGACATGATATGAGGTACTTTGAAAACTTGCACAGGAGACCAATCTATGGTCCAGCATGGGGATCTTTATTGAACTAGATGCTAGATGTAGAACCCCCTTAGTCAAGGCCATTGAGGGTATTTTGTGGGCAGGGGCGCACTGTTCTTGGAGTAGGGCATAGAGCCGCCGTTGAGCTCCTTCACATAGTCATGTGGGTTGTTCTTGAAGTTGGCAGGCAGCACCCGCGGCTCAGGCTGCGGCATGTTCTCATCGAACTCGTACTCCACAATGTAGCGGAGCAGCGGGAGGCTCACACCACGCTCGGTGCTGCGGCTGCAGCAGAGGCAAGAACACGTACTGTCAGGCTCAAAATTTCGAGATTATATGCAGATTTCACGAAATTCTAGAGCATTGGGTCTGTGTTGTGCTGCGAGCATCAAAAGGTATTGTTGATGAAAAGTGAGGAGTGAAAGATCGTACATGCGGCCATTGCCAGATGAGCTTGCACCCGGGGAGCTCCCGTCAGCAGCTGTGGGGAAGGGCAGCTCCTCATCCACATCATTCACAGCAGGCACCTGCAAAGCAAGCCAGGATGAGCACATGTAGCAAAAGGCGAAGAATGTCTTGGACATGACGCAGAGATGGAGTGGGCAATGCTGACAGAGCAATGTGACGTTGATGGAGCTCACCGGGATCCTCTCAAGACCATTGGAGATGTCCTTGCTCACCACATGCACCTACAGAATGCATCAACACAAGCTCATGGGGCCAACTTTCCAATCATGCATGGCAGCCACTCGTTAACATGCATCCCCAGCAGCTTCAACTCCGCACAAGAGGAACCGCTTAAGTCTCAGGAGTGGCCTCTTTAACTCGAGAAGGTGGCCTGCCCTGCCAATGAGTGAGTGCTATCCTTGACGACTAGTACCCAGGGGACTCAAAATCAACTGAGTTGTTTTAGAGTACCGTGTAGTACCCGGTGGGAGGAGTACGTGCCTATCATAGGGCTATGAAGATCATTCTGATTTTTCCCATGCATGCATGTAATGGCACGCTGGAAGGAGATGCAGAGGATGGAAAGGAACCTAGATGCCATTTAAATTTCTTTTGAGACGATTGTGGGCTTAGAATGTGTGAACAGATGAAGCGTTGAAAATTTAAACTGGATATAACTAGGGTTTTATTTTTAGAGTTCTGGGTCACGCCTCAGTAGACCATGATAAAATTGCAAAAAGCAGAAGGAAAACACGAATCTGCAGGGGGGAAAATATAGGGGCAAAACATAAAATACTGTACTGTATAATTGTCCGAAATTTAGGGTAAAGGAACTTCAGGGCCAACCTCATCCACTCCGTAGTTTCCCTATTTACTGAAGTAAACAGGTACACAGAAGTTTGCTTGCCTGCTTTCCCCGCGACTCAATGCTGTGGTTCTTGGGCGCACTCGTCCCGCCAAAGGCCAGGCTCTTGCTCAGCAGCTCTGCCTGTTCTGGCCGCCGGATCATGAGGTACTTGAACACATCAAAGCCCTCCACTCCCTTCTCACTCCAGTACTTCACCTGCATTAGCACAGCACAGTGTCTTGCCATGAACCCGAGCAGCTTCCAGATGCAGCCTATTTTTGGAACTGCAGCATTTCCCCTCACCACAACAAGCCTGCCCACACAGCACTAAAACGATGCCAAAAGGATCTTGGAAAAAGAGGAGCTCTCTAACATGCAACCACTACCACAAGAGATGCCAGAGACAAGCTTGGGCAATGTCTGGAGGAAATGGGATGCCCTGCAAGTGAAGGGCATTCGCACCACATCGTAGAGGCCATCATAGATGAAGATATTGCCATACTCGCTAGCAGCATCCTTGTTCTTCCGGACCACCCTGATGGGAATGCCCAGCTCGATGTTCCCCACCTGCTCAAGGAAACCCCTCAGCACAGTCTCTCAATGTCTGAGACCCCAAATGACGCTCAACCAGGTGACTGGTGTCATGAGGACAATCAGACCTACCAGCGCCTTGTTGCCTGCTCTCATGACCTGATCTGACACCTGCTTCTTGTTGCCCAGCAGGTCGCACCCTCCTTGCCCTGGCCAGAGGCGCGCACACATGTCAGGAGATGCCTGTTTGGGGCGCGCAAGTAGAACTGTTTGCATGCAAATGAAGCGGGTGTTTTGCTGCATGAGACAAATAGAAGGAGGCAGCCCTTTGCACCTGTGTATATGAGCTGCTCGCCCTTGTCATCGTCATCTTGATAGCAGCCGGAGTTCACAATGCTGATTGCAAACTGCGACAAGGACAGAAATAGTTAGCCCCTGCATTTATGGCATCGGCACAGAAGCAAACTCAGCGAAACTTCAATGAAACAAACAGTCATCCATTTATACTAGAAGATCCTCATACCTCTGGGCACCCAGATGGGATCTCCTTGGATGTGCAGTAGTCGATGCCTGTCAAGGGCGGGAAGTGGACGCCCAAGCAGCCCATCTCTGAACGCAGGAAGTACCTGCAAGCATCAGCGCCACAAATGGTACCCATGCATGTCAATTTGACACTCATCAGAGAGGAAATTATCTCAGCTATGCGTCAAAAAGAACCCAGCACCCCTGTCACTAGAATGTACAATGGGCAGGTGAGCCGCACACAGAAGCCAAGGCTGAGGACACTTGTATGATGCAAGTGTTGCACACCTGTTGCTGGGCGGGTGGCCCGGGACGTGGCCAGCTGTCTTTTTGGTGTTGACACACAGGCCCTCGTCGCTCATGATCTTGCGCGCCTTGGTGTCAGGCCGCTGAGACATCTTCCTACCGTCCTCGTTCCTGCCGTTGCTTTCAGCAATGCGTGCAGCCTCCGCTCTTCTGGTCTGTGTGCAGATGATGCCAATTCAGTGCTTGCTGTATAATGCTCAGCAAATCAAGCATCCATTACTGTCATGAATGCTGAGGGTTGACTCTTGAGACGGCCCTCAAATGCGCACATGCGCTCCACACTTCAGATATATCTCTCTGTGTCTTAAGTACATGCCAGAGTGGCCCACCTTCTGAACCACCTCCCAGTACTTCTTCTGGCAGGCTTTCACCATCTGGACCTCTTCGGCTGACACACAGGGCTTCTCGTTCACTCGGATCCCAAAGTTGCGATAGGGCTCCTTCCCTGCATTTAGACAAGTGTATTCCATATCTCAGCAGCTCGCGCTTTCGAACACTGGCACGACGAGTGCAAGAAAGCTGCCATGCATCATGTGTTGATGCATGCATGTAAGCCGGCAGAGCTTCACCTGGCTCGTGCTTGAGCTCATGATGCGGCTCCGCCCTCTTCAAGCCAGCCAAAGCGGCATCCAGCTCAGCTTGCGGCAGCATTTTCTCGATCACACCACTGCTCCCCGCGGTAGCAGCTGCTGCAGCTTCTTTCTTCAGCTTAACAGATGGCGCCTTCTGTGTGGCCCCAGCCGTCTTGCGCGCAGTCTTCTTCGGGAGCTTTGCATCACCAGCAGCAGCTGATGCAGCAGCTGGTGCAGCAGCTCTCTGCTTTCGCCGAGGCGGCTCACTGGGACCCGCTTGCTCTGCCTTGACGGCCCCTGCATCCTCTGCTACGGCTGCTCCTGGTTCCTCTGCCGTGGCTGCTCCTGGTTCCTCTGCTTGCGCTGGTGCAGGAGGCTGTGCCGTGCCCTGGGAGGCAGCGCTGCGGGAAGTCTGCCTCTTCCGTGGCTGGCGAGCTTCTGATCCCTCGTTCTTGCGCCTCCTGGCCCCTCCCTCAGCGCTGTTAGACGGCTTGCGTGCACGCTTGGGCAGAGAGAGATTCTCCACTGCTCTCAGCTTTGCAGGGGGCATCTCAGCGGATTCCTGGTCGACCTCCAAGACCTCGACGTCCATGTCAATTGCTATTGGCTTGGCAGCGGGAGGCTTGGCCTGCCGCTGACTGCGTGTGCTTGGTTTGCCCTTGCTGGCTTGCTGTGAGACTGCCGCTGCGGCGGTGTCGTCCACACCTGCTGTCTGTGGGGCCTTCGCGGGACTGTCTACCTCCACATCAGAATCGCTGGCCACTGCAAGTCCCCCACTGCTCAAAACCATGATGGGAGAGTCCGTGCTTTTGCCAGTGAGCACAATCCGCTCACGAGCGAGAAATTGAGCGGTTGTCATTCTGATCTGCTGATTGTTGTTATTCATTCATCAAGCTGGGCTTCACACAAGCATTAAAATGAGCGCCTGTGCATCCATGCATCACTCATCAGCAACTGATTCTGCGACGGATAACGGCCCCTTGAAAAAAATGATCACCTCCGAGGAGGATATTGTGAAAACCGCTATCAAAATGTGGGCATGGGGGCAATATCTGCAAGCCTGTACGAGGTTTACAGAGCGGGATGCCTACCTGACGTATTCGAGCGGAAGCTCTTTTCACTCAGCAATGATCAGCACAACATCTTAAACAGATACTTCCGAATCAATGCAGTTGATGCTATGGAGAGCGATGCCATCCCTCAGCCAGTGTTCTGCCGCGGAAAATGAAAGATGTGCCCTCCGTGATGAGTCACTGTCACGTGCAAGGCTTGGACCATCGAGGCCATCTTGGCGAACGCGATCCTTCCCTGTGCAGATTAGACTGTAAAGAACATTGATAAAAATGATCCTCTTCTGCTTATTATATAGATATTGCTAGCTAGTGAAGATTGAGTTTCTTATCAGCAGCCATTGTGCCAGGAGTACGAATTATATTTGCGTGCTGGTGGGCCTGATGGCTTAAAGATTCACATTAGTATATATTCTTCATGGCTGATGATGCTCTCGAAGACGGAGAAATTGCGGGCGAGCTCAATTCTTTATCTGGAAGCACTGCTGCTGAACAGGTGAGAGATCTGCCGCGCACAGCAATTGTCAAGCGGCACATGATTATCAATTTTGGGACGTGTTCTTAGCTTACTTGCTTCTCGCGGCAAGGGATGGCTCTTGACGTCTTATCTTATGGTGCACAGGAGGACCCAATGTCACCTTCACAGCCTGGGGCCAATCCTGTTGGGGCCACTGAGGGCAAGAGGACTCCGAAGAAGAGGAAACTGGCAAAGTTGGCTGGTGCAGCAGTGTCGGCATTGGGCAGCTTCGTCAATGTGTACGGAGACAATGTGAGTGTTGACCTTCCGCTCTTCCCACAAGGGCCGTTGGAGCCTGCAATGACCACATCAAGATATAGATCAATTTTGGCATGTTTACAGGCCCGTGCAGATGTCCAGCTATCACATGCGACCCCAATACGGCTACCAGACCTGCAAGGGCTCCTCCTGTGGATGCTGGCGGAGGGAGTGAGTCAGAAATGGGCATTTGTGAAGGTCAGCAGCTCTTGTCTGCACTAGGTGCTTTGATGTCTGATCACTGGCTTTGCATTCGCGCAACTCAAATGCTGAAAATGGCTTTTGTGTCTGCAGAACAAGCCACTCATCTCCAAGGTGGCCTTGGTGGCAGTGCCAGGCCTGAGCGCAGATCTCTACAAGGCCTGTAAGGTGGTTGCATCCTTCCGCAAATGCTTTCATGTACACATATGAAAGCCTTACAGCCGCGGCTTTTATCAGTGAAAAGCCAGGCAGCTACTAACGCAGTTGTATGCATTTGCAGGCATTACTGCCAACCTTGGCCGGAATACCGCAGGTACCCGTGACTCTCTTTGCGAAAAATGCGATGGTCAGACCAGGTATCATTCCGCAGATCAGCCAAGATGTTTCATTTAGCATTTCACACATACCTTTGAATAAGGCAAGGAGACAGGCATTAGGGAACCTAGTCTTGGTTGATGACAGTAATGACCTGTTGCTGCAGGGCAGACTGTGGCAGCTTTGTTTGCTGTGCCACACAGCAAGAAGAGGAAAAGATACCTGGAAGCATTGGAAGCTGGCATGGATGCCGACAGTGCAGCTAAGGCAAGTTGATAGCCATTGCATATTTAAGTTCATTTTGAGGATTTGATGACAAGTATGGGTATACTCAGGATGAAAATGAGCCTTCAAATCGACCTATCTGTTTCTGAAGCTGGCTGTCTGTTCCAGGATGACAGCGAGCCGGCGCAGCAGAAAGGCCAGTCAGTAAAGAAGAAGCGGCAGCCCTTCCCTCCAAAGCACTACATCGCAACGCTGGAAGCTCTGAAGTCTTCGGAGTATCCACTGCCAATTGTCGGTCCTGACGGCAAGCTGGAGTGCCCAGAGGGATACATTGCAACCAAAGCAGGTGTGCTGAAGGATTGCTGTGTGGGCCTGGTGCTGCTGATGAGGATTGACTATCCTCGAGCAATGATACAGGTCTGTGAAAGCTACAACCAGACAGATTGTCATGTTGTGGGCAGGACCCAAGGGAGGTGATGAGGAGCCTGCACTGATCGGGCTGGACTGCGAGATGTGCGTGACAGAGGAGGGCTTTGAGCTGACGCGCATCAGCCTGGTGGATCACCAGGGGCAGGTGACCACCTCTTGTCATATATCTTGATCAAACATTACCTGCATGCCCTTCTCACCCCGTGCTGAACCAGCAAACTAGCCTGTCTTTTTTTCCAAGGGATGTTGCCACGTCTAGCATCCGCTCGCCAAGTGTTGCATGCATGGGTGATATAGGACGTCCAGCTTTCAGCAGTACGGCTTCATCTGTTCTGCTCTACTTTATTCAAGGTGTTTCCCTGTGTGTTGATCAGGTGATGCTGGATCAGCTGGTGGTGCCGGACAATCCCATAACCGATTACAACACGCGCTATTCTGGCATCACGGCCGAGATGCTGGCCCCAGTGACCACGCGGCTGGCGGACATCCAGGTCAAGTTCCTGGAGCTGGTCCCCGCGGAGGCCCTGCTGGTGGGCCACGCGCTGCAGAACGACCTGCGCGCGCTCAAAATCCTGCACGCCAACATCATCGACACCGCCTTCCTTTACCCCCACCCCAAGGTGGGCTGCCCCACCCAGGAGGACACTGCCCAATCGCACTAATGTTGGAGCTGATGGTGATAGCAAAGGCCCAAGACCAGAAGGAGTCCCACAGGTTGTGTTGGGCTGTGGTGCAGCCACTCTCACCATTCCTGGGAGATGCCAGCGCCTGATCCATACTCAGGACAGTATCACAGGGGTGCGGGCATCTAGGCTTTGGGGATGTTGGTGCCAGGTGAATGATTGAGGCGGTGCCATAGAGATGGGCGCGGTGCCATAGAGATGGGCGCTTTGTACCTACGTGAGAGCATAGCACCCTGCGGACGCCAAGGGTCGAGTGCTGAATGATTTTTGAAGGGTTGAGTGACTCGTAGCAATGTGGGTCCAGGGGCCGCCGTACCGCTCAGCACTGCGGAAGCTGACGGAGAAGTTCCTGAAGCGCCAGATCCAGAATGGCTCCCATGATTCCATCGACGACGCACGCGCCGCGATGGAGCTTGCACTCCTGAAGTTCAGGTACTGCACCTTGCCTACTTCTCAGCACATGCCTTCTTGCATTTCAGCATGCTGACCCCGACCATTTGCAAAGCGAGCATATTTGGAAGACCACAACAAAAGCACCCTCTGCATGACTACGACGACATTACAGACCGACATTACAGACCGAGAAGCGTGTGCAACAGGCATGGGCCGGCCTTCGGTAATGCAGCGGCTGAGGAGAGGGACGGCGATCCGCTGTGCGAGGTGCTGGCAGCTGCCGGCCGCCGCTGCTCACTGGCTGACCGCCAGGACGTCCTCAGCCGCCACGTCACTGGTACGCGCGCATGCAATCTGAGTCTTCTCCCTACTTGCAGCAAATTCATTCCCCCCCAGTAGCACAGCTTCCTCGAGGTGCTGTGGCTGATGGGAATGCTTGGAGCATCTGCATGGCCAGTGAGGTGTGACGGCTTAGTCGCAGGCAACTCGCATGCATTTGTATGCAACGACGACGAGGAGTGCGCGGTGGCCGCGGCGAAGGAGGCGCGCAACCCGGCCACCAACTTCCTGTGGACGCAGCTGCGCGCGCTGGCCGCGCTCCTGGAGCAGCGCTCGTGGCACCGCCGCGCCCTCACGCGGGCCGAGGTGGCCGCGGGCCTGCAGCACACCGCCAACGGCGCCGCGCACCCGCAAGCGGCCGCGGCCGGCTCTGCAGCTGCCGAGGACCCGGCAACTCCGCTGAAGATTGACGAAGACGAGGAGAGCGAGGAGGGCGAGCTGGATGCAGTGCCAGCGCAGCAGCAGAACGGGGCGGTGAAGCGCAAGCGGCATTCTCTGGCGTCCCACCCGATCCAGATCTCACCGGGCGGCGCAGCCGTCAGCACGGCATCACCCGGAGGAACCCCCGCCAAGGGCCCTGACACAGCGGAGCAGCTGGCGAACGGCAGTGCATCGGGCGCTGCATCTCCCTCTCAAGGAGTTTTGGCTGAGGCCAACAGTCTGAAGCAAAGTGAGCCAGCGGCCACGCCGGAGGCAGGGGATAATATAGCAGGTGCAGGGCAGGTTGCAGGGAGTGATGAAGCGCTGTCGCCGGAGGCGGCGCTTGCCAGGGAGAGGGAGGTGGCTGCTGCGGACGAAGCCGCCATGGAGCAGATACTCAGGCAGCTTGATGAGCGGCTGGGACGCATACACGACGCGCTGCCGACCAACGCCATGCTCATTGTGGCTGCTGGGCAGGGCGACACCGCTGAAGTCCGCCGCTTGCAGGTGCGCCATTTAAATTCATCCATGACAGTGTCTAAATGCAGAGAGAAGTGGCGCTCGTCACGTGCTGACTTTCAGCGGACTGGGCTTAGCTACAGCAGGTCTTGTTTCAGCGGGTTTATGGGTTGTACATGCTGGGTCTACTGGTGTCCAGTTGGTCACAATTGGGAGGGTGTGTTGTGCAGGAGCAGAAGTGGCGCCGGCAGCAGGGGCTGGATGGGCTGCCGCCATGGAGTGTAGAGAGCGAGGGGCTGCTGGCTGAAGCCATGGTCAATGCACTCCATGGCTTGTGCTTTTGCACAGTCAAGCACTGACTGGGGGCTTGACAGGGGCAGCATTATAATGCCTGGTTGTAGGATGGCATGATTGTCCGGGATTCTTTCTGCAAGATTTTGATCAGCTTCCAGTTACACAGATGAATTACGAAGTATCTTTTAACGTTGTTTCAAATAAATTGTCATGGAGCAGCCACAGTATTAACCTGGCATGCCCAATGGCACTTAGAGCGAGCGCTGTGCCACGTTCTTGACATTTGTAGCCTGGAGGGTAGCTAATGACTTTAGAAGTTCTGGGTGCATTGAGCAAGATGTAGAATCTACACCTGTTCCGCATCATGTTCTCAATTGGAGTTGATGGGATGGTTGAGCTGCACGTGGCAGCTCCAGATGGTTCAAGATGAATTTGCAGGCACATCTAGCCCACTTGGAATGTAATACTCAAGAGACTGCCTAAATTGTACAGAGTCCTAATCTACACATGTGCAGTACTGCTCAAGATCCCACATCAGAGATTCTTCTTGGCTTGCACCGCAGCTTTCCTTCCTGCCCAGCTGGGGGGAATCAATGCATCTCTGAAGTTGGCAGCAAAGCCTTTGTCATAGATGTTCTGTGGCGCAGCAACTGCGGGCTTGGACTGCCCAGAAGCTGGCCACAAGCGCCCCTTGACAGCTGCTGCAGACAGGGACAGATTTTCTTGCCCCTGGCCATCTGCATGCTCTGCCAAGCTTTCAGCACGCAGCCTCCTGGCCACCTCCCTCCACTTGAAGGTCTCATACGTTGTTGTGGCCCTGGATATGAGCCATGTGTGGTAGGCAAAAAACCCCAACACCAAGAGCAGTGCCACCCCCAAGAAGATGAGCTCGGCAACCTGCAGAGTACCACATGCATTGTCATTGCCAGCATACAAAAAAAGTTATATGGGGGATGGCACATTCAGTGAAGGATTATGTCGAGTGACAACGTTGGGTTTAACCCAGTCACAGGGATATGCAATAAGGGCCATATAGTAACCCAGATCGCTGATCAGCATGAACAAATTTACCCTGTGCTTCCCTTCGTCGGGACACAGAAGTGCAGTTCCACACACATGCAGAAGAACGTCAACGTACCGGCACAGGGTACTGCTGCAGCATCCATTGCAGCAATATGCGCGGACGAGATCCCAGCAGATACATTCTCCCGGTGCTGCGCTCCCTGACAACGATTGTCCACGCGCCCCGCTCTTCTAGGACCCCATGCATGATGATGCAGCCCAGCGCCAATCCTGTCACAGGCACAAAGTGGGCTTAGATCATTCAAGCGTGATATTAAAGTTGCAAAACGGGCCCAAAACTGGGCAAATTGTGAGTATTAGGCAAATGAAACAGCCAAGATATGAAGCAAGTAGCAGGCCGCACCATAGGAGCACAGGACCATGTTGGCCACCAGAAATGCCATGAAGTATCTAAGATTGCAAAGGCCCACGCAATTGTTGATCCATGCGCAATGGTGATCAAACCTTGCAATGCACCTGCACGGCACCGCACTCGTTGACTTTGCTAGTCGGTGTGACAGCCAGTCAGAATGAGTTATGCAGGAAGACATCCACATGACATGAGACAGCACCTTTTGCATGCCGGGCAGTGTTTTGAGCGGGCGGGTCTCTGCCAAAGGCAAGACCAGCACTGCTGGCCGCTGCGGCTTGTCAGCTCATCATACGGATACAGCGCACAGTGCGCTGCCACATTGTCAGCTGTAATCCGACCCGGATCGCTCACGCTGGCAGTGTAAAACGCCAATAAGCAGGCGCCCAGTGTAAAGGTCCCTGTGTATCTGTCAGCAGCAAAATAGTAGCGCAGCAATCAGTGTACAGAAACATATGTGGTTTTGGTTACGATGCTGCACGGACGTCTGACTGCACCTCAGAAAGCCATCAGCTAGGGGTCGCACATGTGCCACGTAGGAGCGTATGACTGGGGCAAGAAGCAGAAGATGTCCACAGTGTAAAAGTAGAAGCCGACTGCCAGGAGAACAATGTAGAATATCTGCAGGACGGGGCTGGAGCTTTCTGCGCACTTGTCTCGCCACCTCTCAAGCACCTGCTTCCCATGAACTCCAGCTGACCGCTCCACAAGCCACCTTGCAATCATCACCAGGGATCTATAACTAACACCGCATTTCTCGTGCATTGCACTGGTGTAAGAGCTGCTGAATGTTCGTGCTTGAGCACTGACTACCACGTTGCAGAAACCCACCAGAATCCCTGGCATATGCCCGAGAACAGGAGCCAATGAAGGCTAGCAATGGGAGTGTCAATGAAGATGGCCGCTTCTCCGAAGAGCAGAAGAAAGATCAGCACGGCAAGAAGAAGAAGGTAGCATGCTATTAGGCTGAAAAAGTCCATCGTGATCTTCAGTGCTCTGGTGCTGCCGATAATGGATGGATCTTCCAATGCCTCCCTTCACATTCTGATACCCGAAATATCTGTAAGCAGGGAGCAAGCTGTCGTCCATGACTAGTAACTGCCATGAGGCATAGCACTGGCGACAGCAGACAGCACTGTTGCCCATGCAGGTTCCGCATGGACAACGTCATGTTAGCAATATTTGAACATTGATCTTTGCTCGTCTTCCTTTGGCCAAATCGATGAATTTCTTTCTCCATGCCTCTTCCCAACCTGCCCAAAAATTGCTTCGTCAATTGCCCACTCGGGCAGCAATCCTTACCGTTCAACATCTGTACGCGGGAAGCGGAGCCAGCTCTGCCTGCAAAGCTTAACAGCGACGTCAGTGCCAGTATCAATCACTAGAATAAATTGAGCACCTGCAAGCGGTCACTTCCAGTTGTTGAGTGAGTGAGTCAGACAGGGGACTCAATGCGGGATGTTCGGCCCAGATAAGTGACCAAGTTGCCCATCATGGAGTACGCACCACCGCGTAAATCTCGCAATATAGCTCTCACGTACGTCTTACTGCCCTGAAGTCACCTTCCTGTCGTGTTAGCCGAAGGTCCTTCGACTTGCATGTGTCCTACTTGGAGCAAGTGCACGTACGACTTTCGACGAATCTCTTCATGACAGGCTCATTAGAGATGTGTGCATGTTCTGCGCAGAAGTTTACCCCAGTATGATGCGCCCGTGGCAGATATTGCCGGCAGAACTAGTCCAAGAAATTCCAAGGGCCAGGTGAAAGGTAGCGCTGCCAAGCTACCCACACCCCACGTCCAGGACACGGCGAAAGACATGGACACGGAGAGCTATGATCTTACAGGAAGATCCAACGTTGCAATCAGTAAGTCAATAATCATGCTCCTTCTCCTCTCCTTGGGTTCCTGCCGAAGGGCAAGGTCCTGGTGCCTTCCAACGCAGGGCTAGCAAGGTCTTCAATCCCAGGAAGAGAACAAGAGCATTCTGGTGCAGGCTTTGCGCGACCATCCGTGCACCAGTCTACACTGAAGGAGCTCGCTGCTGCCTCGCCCGGGAAGCACAGCGCCTCTCTGGAGCAGCAACTGGCTGGGCTGCAGCGTGACCTCAAGGCAAAGCAGGCTGAGGTCGACGCTGGAAAAGCGGACTTGGAGTACCGCCAGCGACTGCTTCGCTTTGCAGCAGGTCTGTAGCACTGCCGGCGGGGGCCTGAATCCCCCATGGAAATGAATTAATGACATTTGGTGGTTGATCTGGATGCTGAGAAGTTGTGGCTTGGCAGGGGCTGCGAGGAGGGAGGTGTTGGAGCTGCGTGCATACAAGGAGAAGGCAGATGCTGCACTTGTCCTGGCCGAGAAGCGCATCCAGGAGTTGAAAGAAGAGCTGGACGCAGTGGCAGTCAAGATGAACGGGGCCAAGGCGGCATTTGGCGAGGTGGCCTGATCCACCACCATAGAAACTCTCATGAACACCAGTAAGTTGTTTGTCTCATATGTCTTGGATGAACTGGACATTTGCTGATGTGTGCCGCCTGTCTATGCCAACAGGGTGTGTCTGGGGCTGACACCTCTGGAATGGCTGACACAGCAGAAGCAAATTCCTCGGAGTCTCGGAAAAACGAAGTGCGTGACTGATCAAAACATGCAATGCCCCTGGCATTGCAAAGGAAGCAAAAGCCGCAAAAGACTTCAAGCTGTGTTGAAAGTTGGTGATAGAGCTTTGAGTGACATATGGCAAAATATCACCTGTGCAGGTACAGCAGGACTCCACGAGGGAATTGAAGGAGCAGCCCGCAGCCGAAGAGGCTGGGGAACAAGTGGCAGAACTGAAAGCCCAGCTGAAAGCAGAGGCGGGGTTCAAGCAAGAGCTCCTGGAGCGCGTGCATCACCTTGAAACACAGGTCATACTCTCCCAAGAGCTGTGCTCCGCAGGATAATTTTGCTCTCCGGTGGCATAGCGACTAGGAGCCTTGCAGCAGGGAAACAGAAACATGCATATGGCACCATGCTCGTCGGCATACTGTTAAATGTATGTTGCTCAGTGCAGGTTGCGGCCAAGGAGGAGCTGTGCGCGAATTTGGAGGCGGAGGTTTTGGCGGTGGGCGCGGTTGCTGCCAAGGCGCAGGAGCGGGTGCGCGTGCTGGAGCCCGAAGTCTCCGCGCTGGCCGCCCAAGCCGAACAGGCCGGCCTGGAGCTGGCAGAAGCTGCCAAGGTGTGATCTCCCGATCGTGTGTTCCCTTCCAACTATTGTCATGTGCAACATGACTCCCGATGCAGCAAAAGGGGGCTGCGCCTGCCAAGCAGTAACATTCAGTGCTACTTTGTGATTCCACATATGAGAGTTTCTATGCATACAGCACTACTTTGCATACTTGAGAAGAGACTATGCTCCTGCAGGAGAAGGCTGCGCTGGAAGTGCAGTGTGCGCAGCTCCGCCTGCAGGCACAGGCTGGCGCAGGGGCAGCGGCTGCGAGCGAGTCGGAGACCCCCGGGCCAAATCTGGCAGCCATGCTGGAGCAGCGCACTGCTGAGCTGCATGTGGCAGAAGAGCGCAGCCGCGACGCGGCTGCCGAGATTGAGACGCTGCTGGCTGCTGTGGCCAAGCACAGAGAGGAGGTGGGTCACATTTGTTTTCAGCATTTGGGCACTTCATGCCAAAACCAAAGTAATCAAGGCACATTGAAGATGTCAGGTCAGGCGCGACCTGGTCAATTGGGAGATATGATGAGCATGCATGTATGTCATAGAAAGACAGAGGATTTCATTTGTAACTTATCCCTTTATTTATGACCAGAGAGCATCTATTATTAGAGTGTTTTGTAAGCATAAACTGGGCTGATGCTTGGAATGTGTGGGTGGTGCATGCACGCACCAATACAACAGACTGTTTCGGTATAATTTATTACAAGTGGATGGGCGCTGGCGCAGAACGAGGAGCTGAGGGGGAGCCTGGCGGAGGTGGAGAAGCAGGTGGATGGGGAGAGGGGGGCGCACGCTGCGCTGTGGGAGAAGCTGCAGCAGGCCAACGAGCGCCTGTCCGCCAGCTCCACGGAGGCCGTCGCCAAGGAGAACGAGTTTGAGCGGCGGCTGGGCCTCTCCGACTACCAGCGCCAGTGCACCGAGGCCCAGCTGCGCGACGCCGTCGCCAACCTCAAGGTGACAGCACCCGCCAGCACTGTCAAATCATGAGTCATCATCTCACGGCGCCTTGGCCTCTTCAATTTTAATGCCTACAATCGTGAAATGGTGAAGCTAGTATCCCTAGACTGTCGTTGCGCAGGTGAAGAGTTGCTGAAAATATTGGACTGTTGACTAATACCACTGTGCATGCTTGCAAGCAGGATCACGGATGTCATTGACATGTGCTTGTGACATTCTGACATTTCTGTCAGGTTATGAAGACATCAATAAGTTTTTTTGGGTTGTGCCAGGGAGTGCAAGTGCTGGGCCTGGCGTCCACGCTGGCCATGACAGGCAAGGCAGTAGATGCTGAGGCATCGCGCAAGGGGCTGGCTGCGGCAGTGGGCAGCCTGGCGGAGCAGATGCTGGCAGTGGAGCAGGACCTGCGTCTGTTTGCCTCGACAGAGGACAGCATCTCCACAGAGGTCTTCGACAGCCCGGGATCCAGCCTTGCCAAGGAGGCTGGGATGTGGCCGGTGCCCGAGGGACACTCAAGCACCCTGGAGGCGCTGCAGCACACCTTCTCAACCCCTGGCCCGGCCCCTGCGTACCATGAGATGTCTGCCAGCAGCTGCAGCAGCATCAGCCTTATCAAAGGTCAATCCTAATGCCAGGCAGTCTGTCATACCATTGACACCCCATGCATGTCATTTGGAATGGCCTCCTTTGACTTGATTGACAATAATTAGTACAAGTGTTCTAAGCTTCACACTGAGACCCTACTTGTGCATATTGTAGATGATGCACCGGACCCAAAGGCATCAGTTTACAAGATTCTTACTGTTGTGCGTCTGAGCGTTGGTCAGGAGTAATCTTGTCAAGTGCTCTTTGCAGGGCTGGCCGACCAGGACAGGGGCGCCCTGGAGGTCCTGTCGGCGCCGTGCCACCCACAGCTGCCGCGGATGCATACGGCGGCGGTGGCCGCGCGGCGGTGGCTGCACGGCCAGATCTCACCGCCCCGGCAGCAGCTGCCGCCGCATCTGCGCGCGCCGTGGCTGCCCTTGCTGCCGCCTGCCCCGCTGCTGCTGCCCGGCGGGCAGGATGACCTGGGCCCTACTCCCCGCCTCAATCAACGCCAGGACGCGCACTTGGAGGTCAGCCCCTTCATTCGGCCATGTATATTTAGCGTTCATTGTGTCAGTCCTGTCCTTGTACGCAGTGCCAGTCTATTCTTTGGAAACACTCTGATCATCACGAAAGTGTGCCAGGCTGCTCAAAAGATGACAATGTCAGGTCTCAGAGTCAGGAGAGTGATGGATGAATACCCTGTTTATGCAGGCAGTGCTGGCGTCGTCAGAGAATCCACTGCTCCTGCTGGAAACGCCGCAGGGGCCCAGCAGCCGGCAGAGGGGCTGGGCGCAGACGCTGGGCGAGCTCTCCATGCTGCCCAGGCACGCCTCATCCGCCCCGGCCACGCCGCAGGGCGCAGAGCTCTCCAGGGACACCTCCCACGCGCAACAGGCGTTGCCTCTCACATGTGCGCCCCCCGGGCAGCCGAAGGCCGACACCTGGCGCGGCGCAATGGCCAGGCGCCACCTGTTCCAGAGGGCAGCTGCCCTGGCAGAGTCGCTGGAGCAGCTGCGCTTGCAAGTGCAGAACGGCCTGGCACAGCCTGGGCCGGTGGACGGATCCCCCGGCAATGCCGGCGCGCGCAGCGCGAGCCGGCTGCTGCACACAATCGAGGAGGCGCACGACGACTGCGCCAGCACTGGCAGGGCGTCGGTGGCCAGCAGCGTGGCGCCCAGGCATGCCTCGTCAGACGAGGACAGCCCGGAGGAGCGCATAGCCGTGCGGGGGCGGCCGGCCGCCGCCGTCAGGCCGATGCCCGTGGGGCTGTTGAAGGGCATCGGCGCGCCGGAGCACCGGCAGAGCAGCCCTGACGCCAGCACTGCCACCTCAGCCGCCGCCTCTGCTGCCCCGGACCTGTCCTCACGGCCGCCGCGCCTTCAGAAGCTGGCCCAGGTGCGCTGGCTTTCTGCGCTGTGTGTTATTCTGCCTCACATCTGCATGGTCACAATGCGCATCTGCCTTTAAGAGCTGTCAAATAATTTATTGACTGGTGACGCTTGCTGCCATGTCCAGGCTGCACTCCCATGCACGCCAGTGGCAACCATTGCTGATGCTGTCACGGTTCCGGAGGTGACATCCTGCAAAGCCGCCCCAGAGGTGGCCGTGGCAGCTGACTTGGTGCGCGTCAGTGCAAGCTGCGCTGTGCAGAAACCAAAGGGAGTGCGCAAGGAGAAGAAGCAAGCCCGCTTCAGACAGATTGCTGGGTGAGCTTTTTTATACAGTCACACCTGTTTCAATTCTTTCCGCTCCGCTTACTATGATAAGCTTTGGGTCGGGACCCTGCAACCTTAAGGTCACCAGTCAACTCAGCAGATTGTGTGCGGCTGCAGGTCGCTTGTGGCGATTCCCCTGTTGGCGCTGGCAGTGGTGGCCAGTCCTGGCATAGGCCAGTGGTGGAGACCTGCATCTGGAGCTGGAGAGACTGCAGCAAAGGGCATGAAAGCACACAGTCCCAGCAGAAGCGCAAGGCAGCAGCATGACCATCGCCCTGCCATGTTTGGCTGAGTTGTCGCTGATGTATGTACACCTCACGATTGAGGGAAGACTCACTCAAAGTGTTGGAAAGACTGAAACTTGAATGGTACTGGGAGACAACTGTATCAATTGGAGAGCTTATGTCAGATACCTGCAGCTGCTAGTACTGCTTGTTGATTCAACACTGTTGAAGGGTCGGATAAATGCAAATGGCGGCCTAGGTTGTTGTATCTGTGTTGCACCTTGCAATTTCTGAGCGAGTTTGGGATGAGCACTGATGTGTTCAGCACCTGTCAAAAGTTTTGCGTAGAGGCTGTAGAGCCTGCAGACAAAAGTTCTGCCTTAGTTGAAGGTATTGGCACGATCGCTCGGTATTGTTGTTGGTTGCCTGGTGCCCTGATTAGCTGATGTCTTGTTGCAGTGAAGTCAGTTCAAGGTGTGAGTCAAGATCTGTATCTGAGATCCATGGCCTTAGATGTTCTGTGTAAATTCCTTCAGACTATGTCTAACAAGAGGCTCATCAAATGTGTATCCATGGATGGTACCCTTGATCAAGGATCATGATCCATGGCTTCCTGCGCGTCAAACATCTTTCAATATCAAGCCTGTTATTGACGCTCAAATATAAGCCTCAGCAGCTGGCCTTAAGCTTAATTGGAATTGTCTGTGATACAATAGCATGCATGCAGATCTTCCCTATGTCTGTCCTATACAGGCTATAGCTACATCCATCGTGTTTGGAACTCACAAGCAAGCTAATGCTGTGGTGCAGAGAAATTGCAAAGCCTAGTCCTGTGCATCAATTGCCTGTAAGGATTGTTCCACTTACAGCAAGTGCATTGCGAGCTGCATTGAAAGACCATTCATAGATATCAGCACTTCCTGATTCATGGTCTTGCGAACGACATTGTCTCCAATAAATCTGCCACACTGTGTTACTCATAAACCGTTCAGTCCTATAATTTTTCGACAGAGAGTGTGTCTCGGGGAGCGCAAAGGCCGAACTTGCAGAGGATCGGCCAGATCACCACCTCGATGGTTCGCCCAAAGTAATCGGAACCAGGAAGAAAAGTCAAGTAAGAATACAGATATAGCATATATCTGGCACTGCAAATCTAATTTGGTCCCCTGCGACTGATCCAGCTCTTGTATGTGTTGCAGATCAGAACAAGGTTCGCAGATACCTGGAAGATGAGCTCAGGGATCCCAGCAACTTTGTTGAGTGGGTACCCTCCTCATGAATAGATTTCAGATAGTATGTTGCAAAGTTCAATGCTGTCTCAGATTTGCTTGGCTAGAAGCGGTGGGATTATCCCACTGGAATGACCTGAGCACAGAAGCCCACGTGCATGTGTTTCTTCTCAGGTATCTCTTGCCGCGACCCCTCCGCCTCCTCCTCACAGGCTTTGGATCAGCCTCTTGCCTTGTCGCCACTGTCATCAGCGCAACTCGCTTTCTCTCGGTGCGTCCCAGCCATCAAATTAGCCTTCATTCAGCTGGGGCCAAAGTCCAAAGGCCAAAGTCAAAGGCAGTTGCTGACGTGGATGATCATTTGCCAGGACTACAAGTATCAGACGGGTGATGGCGACGCCGGCACCGTGATCATAAATGCGTTGGGATGCACTGCTTTCGGCGCTTTGTTCTTCCTGGACAGACAGGCTGCTGGCAATCGCCTTGTACGACGTGAGAAGGTGCGGTTATTGCGGTAACTTACTCACATTTGAATAATGTGAGATGCTTTGCTCATGGATGTGGTTAAGGCCCTGCCAGTTCCAATTGCAGGTGAGAAAGGCACAGATTGCCATTGGGGACCGGGAGATTTACACAAATGAGGAGGGAGAACGCATGTCTAAGCTGAAAGAAGTCAACTCAGACTGGATCATCAGACGCTTGGAGCGCTGGGGCCAAAAGGTCCGCTTTCCTACTTACATCACAGCACAATAAATTGTAAAGCGGCACACTCTCTACCATGCTGGGCTTGCACATCTGGTCATTGGTTACCATTGCCTGCAGGACGGGCTCCCTTTCGTTGGGCCCAAGAAGGGGGCACTGTTGCAGCAGCTGGTAAGGGAGAAGCAGCCCAGGATGGCAGTAGAGGTTGGCACACTATGCGGATACTCCACGCTGCTGATCGCACAGGCAATGTTGCCTGATGCGCACCTCATCAGCCTGGAGTCCGACTGGAAGTGGGCGCTCGTGGCCAAGCGCTTTGTATATCAAGCCACCACCGGTGATAAAAGCAGCAAACCGGTGACCCTTCTATGTCCTGCTTCATTGAAGGCTCTAGGATAGATTTTTAACGGCATCTTTGTCAGCTTTGGCTGAAGCTGGTGCAAGCACTTTGACCTACATCCTGCCCCTCATTGTAAGTGTATTACATGCGCAGGAGGACCAGCGGATAGCAAAGGTGGATGTCTGGTGGGCAGATGCTCTCCAAGCCCTCCCATCGCGCATCAGAGAACATAATCGCATCGATCTCCTGTTTCTGGACGGGCTTCCGAGGCAATATTTGGAGTACTTGAAGGCTGCCGAGCCGCATCTGGCACCAGGCGCCCTTGTTGTGGCCGACAATGCTGGCATTTTTGGGCAGGGGGGTCTGAAGGAGTACCTGCAGTACGTGAGGACCAGTGGGAAGTACTCAAGCGAGTACTTGGAGTCCACATTAGAATGGAGAGATGACATAGCAGACGGTCTTGAAATCTCGAGGCTGCTCAGTTGAATTGGGCCTCGACGTCTCGTACAAATCATATGACATATATGATCATATATATGATATGTCGTTCTCACCCGGGCTTTTCTAGCTAGAGTATATCCTATAGGACAGCTATGAACAGCAGTAATTGCTCCACTTGATGATTTAAATTGCTTCTACCAGGGCTGGCAGATTTTATGGCTACACCAGCACCAGTGACTGCAGCTGCGCAGTAGCCAGTGTGACGCAGGCTGCCGCAGTACTGGCAGTGATCACTGATCAGATTCGCATTGACCGGCACTGTCATGCATGCACATGCGCAAGGTCACGCAGGTAGGTATACGCTGTAAGCAGACTGTGTCAGTCATCCTGGTAATTGTTCATCAGGATCGAAAAGGCTGGGCATCCAAACATCTGTCACCTGGTCGACCAAAATTTGAAGCTGCTCTGAAGGGGGATACCCCATTGAATGCGTTACATCACCATGATGCCTTGGGAGTGCATCCTTTTATAATTGCACAATTCCTGTCTTCAGACATGAGAAAGCATGATTATGTTGTCAAAAGGACTTTCTTGGGATTGATTCCGTGGAGGTCCAGGCTTAAAGCCCAGATGTCTTTGATCGAGCATGTGCAAAGGTAGAACAGCGGAACTTACATCTGCTCTGCGATGAGTGGTTTATTACAAGCTCAGCAGGTATACTTTCCTCCTGTCAATCTTGCTCTTTGATTATGATGTCAGCATGGCCCTCCCCTTGAGCCAGCCACTAGTACTAAAGGATGAACTCTCCTCACAGGATAGACACAATGACGAGTTGATCATATACCGGATCTCTGTAATGCTTGACTGTTGATTGGTGACTTCACAGATGATTCTTGAGCACATCCATGACGGCAGACCCTGCCCTTGGGGCTTGCTGCCATCAGTGCAGTCCAGACTGCCCCACCCCTTTAGGGCATCAGGAAAGCGCAATTGGTGGACCCAACAGAGAGCTTCTCGAGGCCAGCAGGCTCTTCCACGGGCGCAGCTTGCTACAGCTGTCCAAGAGAGAAGTACAGTAACAGCGGAGAAGTACTTACTCACAGGCAACCAGGGATCCAAGGTGGGTTCTTTCAACTGGCAGCTGCATTGTATCGATGTCAGAAACATGCCTTGGAACATCAGAAGCTGAGAACTTCTGCACAACAGGTGTCTACAACAGTGGAAAAGGGCAGTGGCGCCTACTCTGTCCGGATACTGGTCAGCCGTGACCCTGCAGTGGCAGGAGATCTGACCATCTGCTGGTAATACTCAGAGCTTCCAGGCAACCCCTGCATACCAACCCTAAGTCATGCAGCGTCACCTACTTTGACGCGTACATGTGACACTGATCGGGGATCATTGCAGGGGAACATACCGGACCTCCCCGGCAAAATGGTTTGTACCAGACACAGTCGAGGCGCCCGCCGGCAGCGCCAAGGATCCCAGCACTGGCGGCATGACGAGCAAGCCCAAGAAGGTCGGAGATGGGCTGTGGGAGCTGGTCATTGATGTGCCCACCAAGCTGGCGCCGCTGTTTCTGGCGTTTCAACTGAAAGCCGATGGAAAGCCTGAAGTCAGCAGGGGCGGCCACAAGTTTGCAGTGCCTGTCGGCACCACAGCAGGGCGCCTTGAGCCGCTAGGTGCAGTCTCACCACACTCCGCCCCCACCCTTGGTAATATATAAAGCGCACTTTTCTGGTCAGGATCTGGAGGCTTTGGAAGTGCTGCTGGCTGAAGATTTCATGGTGTTGTTGCACTGCAGGTGCCTCCCTGGCCTCCGCAGACGGCCAGACCAGCGCTGTCAACTTTGTAGTCCGCTCAAGGGGCGCCTACTCTATGTCGCTCATACTGGCCAGGAAGCAGCAGGATGGCTCCAACAAGCCGAGCGGGTGCTTGGAAATTGCCCTGGATCCTGCTGTCAACAGGACCGGCGACCTCTGGAACATCTGTGTGGAGGTGATCATTCGTGCCAGTAAACCAGGACGAGAAGTGACAATCCTCACTCATGATCCTTCAGAAGCAAGGAGTCAATTGCTTGATTGAGGGATTTTGCTGCACGCTCACAGGGCTTGAAGGACTTGAGCACGCTGTGCTGGGCATGGCGCGCTGATGCAGATATGGCTTGGGAGGGCGGCGGCCGCTTTTATCCAGGTGCAGACATCATTGCTTCATTCCTTCCAGCTTGTTGACAAGCAGCAGTGCCGCATGCATTGGTGCCATGCATGGTCAGAGCTGAATTTGACATGTTGTTTGCAGGGCAGCTGATGTTCGATCCATATGCGACGGCTGTGACGCGCGTGCAGCTGGCAGAAGGCGTCAATGTTGTGCCCCCAAAGAAGGATGCCGGGCTGCCTTCAAATCCGCCTGCAACCATGGGCTGCCTTGTTTCCCTCGTTGAGGGATTTGACTTTGGCGACAGCCAAAGGTGCGTGGTGTATGTTGCTGTCTGATGAGATCTAATGAGTTATGAATATGGTGGAGCAGTTAATAGTGCTGACGTTCACTTTGTCTGCGCGACAGGCCCGACAGTTCACTGGAAACCTCCCTTGTGCTCGAGATTGACGTCGCCAGCTTCACCAGCAGTACCACAGCCCAGGATGAGGTCCCACTGAGCCACCAGCGCAAATTCTTGGGGCTGCTTGACAGGTACTTCACAAGTCCTTTGTCTGTCAATAGCTGCACTCCACAATTGAGAGGATGTCGATCACGTGAGTGCTTGTAAAACATATGTCAGAACATTGCTTTGTTAATTGAGCAGGCTTGAAGCAATCCGAGCCACGGGAGCGACGGCGGTACTGCTGGCTCCTGTGACGGTCAGCGCGGCCGGCTTGGGCCAGCTGGGCCGCGCGCCAATCTCCTACTTTGCGCCGGACCCGGCCTTCGCGGTTGCTACCGACACTGGTGCAGCTGCCAGGGAGCTGAAGCAAGTAATCAGCGGCCTGCATGATGCCGGGCTAGAAGCAATACTGCAGGCAAGGACCTCAGCCATCTGTCTCAAAGCTCTGTCTCAAAGCCAAGAGATTGTGCGACAAGGAGCTCCAGAGCTTTCACCTGTCATGTCCGCGCAGAACAGTGCGCTTAAAATAGTGGCATCTTCTGCTGAGCATAAATGCAGGCAGGCAGGCATGGGGGGTCGATTTCGCATGTAACATTGCAAGTTTGTTGGCAGGTGGAGTACTGCTTCACCGGGGAGGGCTCTGACGCGGCGCCGGCGCCGTTGTCGCTGCGGGGGCTGGACGCTGGCGTGTACTACCGCTCGGGCAGCCTGCTCAACTGCGGCCATGCGGCCGTGCGCAGCCTCGTCCTGGACTCGCTGCGCCACTGGGCCCTGCACTACGACATTGACGGCTTCTGCTTTGTAAACGCAGAGACCATGGCCCAAGGTGAGCACCCAAAGTTCCACTTTCCGGAATGCAAACACTCCTCTTTTTGCAAGCTGTATGGTTTTCTTCCCAGTGCTGCATCCTGGAAGTCCACCCGATCTTCAAACGAGTTGGATGAGGCCACTGGGACTGCCTCAACAATCCCTGTGTAGTTGGGGTGAATTAGGCGCAATTAGGGATACCTGCAGGTCCGAGATGTGTTGTGCAAATGATTTATGACCTGCCCAGAGCACGTGCAGCAAAGCAGGGTTGCAGACAACCCACCATCATCGCCCGTCAGGCAGACATGCAAGCAACAGTTCAATGATGAAGGAAAAACCTGGCTTCTATTATATCGCAGACCGCAACGGGGCGGTTTTGGACAATCCGCCGCTGGCAGAGGAGATCTGCGAGGACGGGGTGCTGAGCGCGCTCAAGCTGGTGGCCTGGTCGGGAGACGACAGCCTGCTGCCGCGCGGGGGCGAGCGCGGGTTCCCCCACTGGGCCACCTGGATGCAGCGCAACACCCGCTTCTCGCGCGACGCCGCCGCCTTCATCTCCGGCATCCCCGCTGCCGCCAGCGGCATGGCCACCAGGTGCTGCCGGCCACTGCTCTTGCTGGACTATATGCAAATGCAACTTGGAGCCTGCTCCCTGTGTCCATGCAAGATGTGCCTTGCAAAGACTCCAGGTTCCCATATGTTTCACGACGGTCTGAGAGTTTCTGACACCTTCGCATGTGTGCTTCATAAAGTGCGCTGCCATGCTGGACTGCCCCGCAGACTTGCTGTGCACGCTGCAGGTGGAATTCTGCTGTTGAATTGATCCATGTCAGGTCGCTGAGCTCGGGTGCTGGCCTGATGCAGGCTGACGGGGAGCGCGGATCTGTTTGCCGCGCGCTGGGACGGGGGCCTCCCGGGAGGCCTGGCGGCCGGACGGCGGCCGGTGTTCGGCCTCAACGGCACAAACTATCTGGGCAAGGTCAGCCACGCCAAGTACAATATCACAGGCCAACACAGACTCTGCTGCAACCGTGAGCCTTTGAAGAGCATGTTCCTGCGCCTGCCATGGAGAAATTCAATGGGTGCTGCTGGCTCGGCAGGGAACGCTGTGGGACCAGGTCGCGAGCACAGTGCCCGAGGATGCGCAGCCGCCGGCGCCCGGCAGGCTGAGTCAGCACGAGACGCTGGCCAAGACGCTTCTGCTGCTGACGCTGGTCTCCCAGGGCGTGCCCACCTTCCCCCAGGACGTCCTGGAGGACGAGCGGCTGTCGCGCGCTCTCACTGAGCTGCACAAAGTCCGGCGCACCTTCGCGGCCCAGCTCATTCCGCCCGAGTTTGACACTCCCCGCGACCTCAGATGGCACGGAGCCTCGGCAGGTGCGCAACTGCTGCCATCATGGCATCCAATCTTGCTTTCTGCATGCTCTGTCTCTCTTCATGCTGCACCCCTCGGCTGACTTCCGTGGATCCGCCGCATTGTCTAATCAAAGATATTTTTATTGCCAGTGCTGTAGTGTGCTACGATGTGACGCAGGCAGCACACCGGACTGGGACGGCACGCGTCAAACCCACGATTCGCTGTACCTGGCGTACTCTGTGCACGACCCGGAGGCGAGTGCCATGTACGTGGGCTTCAACCCTCACCACTACTCCATCACGGTGTCCCTGCCAGAGGGGCTGCCAGGCGCCACGTGGAAGCGCATTGTGGACACCTCATTCCCCGCACCCCAAGATGTGCTGCTGGGCGCCGGCGCTCCGTTGGTGGACAGCCACTACGAAGTCCCAGGCAAGGCGGGCGTCATCTTCGCTGCCGAACCGGTGCCCGCCGCGGCCGCCGTGAGCAGCTTCCAGTGAGAAGAGCGAGAGCCTCTCCAATATTATAGCCTAGCGCTGCTTGAGAAGTCGCGGCAATGCAGTGTGTGCCTAGCCTAGATTGGCCATTTGATTAGACAGCATCTTGCTGAGGGGCACAAGCGCTCCATGGCTGCGCCCCAGGCGACTGTATTCTTGCGGCTGTGCATGCATATGCCCGCCTTTGTCAATGACTCAAAGTGGATCTGCTGGGTGCTGCTGTTGCTGTGAGTTCTTTTGTAATATTGATTGAGAGACAGAGAGTATTTACAGTCGGTTTAAATCAAGAGAGAATACACACGCTTATCATGGATGACTAGCTAGGACACCAGCTTCCCTGCTTCAGGAAGCTGCAGAATCCCCTCCTCCGGCATATGTGCAAAAAGACGAAGCCTAGAACTCAACCAAAGTGTACATACGTCACTTTGAACCCACTTGAGTTCATTTTGGCATTTTTTGCAAGGGGAGTATCTCTGAACATGGATGGGGCAAGCCAAGTTCACGAGCATGACCAGGAATTACATGATGACGAATACACCGAAGAAGAAAGCGAAAGCTTTGAGTACCTCGATGATGAGGAGGATGAAGAAGAGGTCTTTAATCGGAAGGCTTATGGGCTCCATCAGCAGTTGCCCATCAGAAGAGGAGTGCCAGACTACAGCACTGGGCCTCCTCAAACAGCAGAGGAATATCTGAGACGCGTAAGGTAGTCTTGTGGTGTTCTGCCATTTGCATATTGACACAGTGATTGGTTATTGCTGGGACTTGACAGCCCTTCTTCTGCTTCTGAAGGTATGAAGCTTCTCAGCTGCCAGATATCGCCATCTCAGATATTGATGCCAGTACATTCGACGACCAGCGCACAGATTATGTACCTACAGATGGAGCTCGCCCAGATCACATCACCTTGGATGAGCAGTGGCTTCAAGCCTTCTTGAAGGACTTTGCCCAGCTCAGAGTCAGCATGCAGAGGTTAATCGACACTCTTTTGCTGCTGCAGAAGTACATATCCTAGTGGCTGCTTCTCCAAATGTGACAGAAAGATGTGCATGCAGCATGGAGATTGCAGATCCAGGGGCCAGTGAACACCCTTCCCAGGACGATATCAATGAATGGCATGCCTATTGCTTTGGGAGTGAAGAGCATCCAGACTCCATTGCAGAGGACTCTGGTCATATCCCCAGGCTGGAGGTCGTGAGATCGCTCAATCAGGTATGCAAAAGCGATCCTGACGAGCAAATCTTTGCTGTCCTTCACATGAGTTTTTTTGGCTGTAGCCTCGCCTAATGTCGCTCCGCTGAGTACCTCCTTTTTGTGCAGTTGACAGTGAACAGGCTCTTAAAGTGGCACATCACCTGGCAGTGTGAGGCGGCTGCTCTCCAAGATCGGAGCGTGCAGTGGATATATGCGCTCACATCCGTGTTGGAGAAGCCTTTGGCAATGGGCACAGCAGCGGCTCTGCGTGACCTGCTACGCTACTGTGCAAAGCAGCAGCCAATGAACGCCGAGGATGCAGCCAGACATGGCCTCCTTGTTGCCATTGCCGGGGCATACTTTCGCCAGGACGAGCATCTCGCACTGCTGCCTGCTGTGCAAGGTTGCCTTGCAGGCAGCTAACTTGACTTTGAAGCCGAAAAAATTATTCATTGGATCTTGCCAGCCTCTCAAGGCTGAAAGTTTCATCCATGCAATATTTCGGGCCAGAAGCAAGCATCATGTTTGTTGCCATCTGAACCTCGATGAATAAGGCAGGATTGTGTTTACAGTCTGAAATGCGTGATTTGTAAAATTAGCAACACAGATATTGTTCAGCCTAGAAGCAATGATGCGCCTGGAATCATTATTTCATAAACTTAATTTGTGCATGATCTCATAACAGTGTTCCCATGCGCGCTTGTATAAGAGACCCATCCGTGTTTCTCAATTCATCAAGACTTTCAGGCAGCGACAAAAGTTGCCGCAGCTCTGTCAAAGGCTTCATTGGCGGCATCGAGGCGCTTCACAGAGAGGTGTCCTGGAGCCACCGTCTTCAGCTGACTGCACACACAACACAACACACCTGCGTCAACTCCAGCATAGCATCCTTGATCCCAACATGCATTGCTGCCTCTTTCATCAGCACGGAAATAGCCAAGCCTACAAAGACACACGCGCAGAATATCCAAGTGCGCTAATTGTTAGGAACTTTGGTAGCCTTCAATTGCAGCTTGTCTGCAGACGCCACCTTGCCTCTTGGAAATGAAAGCGTGTAATAATAGTAATAAAATTTGTGCGGTGTGTACAAGGGCCTTCTGGGATGGTGGGAACGCACTTGGTGAAGCGGGAGGTGTTCTTGCTGAGGTGCAGGCCAGCAGTGACCAGGTTGGACAGCGTGTCGGCGTTCTTGGCATCTTTCTCGTAGGCATCCTGCAGCAGCTGCTCCGCCTCCTCCCAGTTGCCCTGCTGCATCGCGCACGCGGCTGCGCCGTTGTATAGCTGCGCCGTCCAGCCGTGCCTCTCGCCCAGCTCCTGGTATATCACCGCAGCCTCCGCCACCTTGGCTCCCCCCTGCACAGTCATGCACAACGCGCTGACCACGCCACTTCCTAAGTACCTTTCCCCATTTTTGTGAAGAACTCAACTATTCGCACAATGGGAGGACTTGCTTGGGTGATGAGGCTCTGGCCACGATGTAGAAAAATGTATCGCATGGTGCTGTCACAGAGCTGTTTGGAGAGGGAGCGCACCAGGAATGCGCCCACCCAGGCTGTTGCCAGCTGTGTCAAAGTGGCATCATCGTCCAGGGCAGACATTGCCTGCATCATGAAATGTTTTTAGATGCCCAGATCTTAGGAGCATGGGTCACAGAAAGCAGCAGCGAAGAGACTGCATCTACGCTCAAAGAAAGCTTACCTTCAGCTGCTTTTCGGCCTGATCAAGACGGTCGATCTTCAGGTACAGTTGCACAGACAGGGCCATCCTGTGGAGCAGCATCATGGTCATAACTTTGGCAAATTAATATCGAGAGGCTCAAGTCAGGGAAGATGACAGCAGCACGGGGGCGTACATCTCCAGACTCAAACCCGAGTGGCACGCCTTCAGGGCCTCCACATCATTGCCCTCGTTTGCATAAATGATGCCCGCCACGGTGAGTGTTGTGGCATTGCCAACACAGGAAGGATCAGCCACCCAGTCTGCCAAGGTGGCCACAACATCTTCCTGCCAAACACAGCATTCGAGTGGGCATCGCTCCAAGGTGGCAGGCTGAAATGCTGGTTCCAATGGAAGTGAAGAGGAACAAACCTTTGGTGACTTCTTCCCAATGTATTGAGCGAGAAGCTTTACAGCCTGAAGCGCCTGGGGTGAGCTGTCTGTGACTTCGTTGATGACCAGCTGCAACAACAGCATGCGATCATTTCACGACGCCATGGCTGATACCCATCTTCTATCCCATGTAATATCTAACAAACAAAATGAGCATCACTCACTCACCTCATAGCTACCCAGCTCAATATAAGACCTGTAAACAAAGGAATCGCGCTCGATTTTCTCCGCTTCTGACAAACCCTCCAAGTCTGAAGCCTCTGCTATTGCTGCCTGATACGCTCCCAAGTAAAAATGATTCCTTAGGGAGAATAACAGGTCTGGCTCTGACATGTTTGCACAGTTGAGGGGTGATCAATCAACAGCCCAAACGATTCAGTATACTTTCCCTTGCCGCAGCAGACTGGAGGCAAGGCAATATTCCGAGGAGATACTGTGCTGTTGAATGCCTGCATGCAGGTGTTCCTCGTCTACTTGAAACCAAACAACCAAGCTGGGGTGAAGGGACTTACTAACTCGGTGAGTCAGCTGACTCAGTACACGCTTCACCTGTGCGAGTGCATCGGTGCTGTTCCAGCATCATCGTTAAAATTTCTATGGTTCAATTTGATGCTGTAAATGAACTGAATCTCGCTCTTGTCAAGTAATTATTTGCACTAGTTTTACCTTTCCGATTGAGCATCCCAAGTGCGACGTAGGCGTTGCTGCCTGATCACTGTTACAATAAAGGAAGGAAAAAAGAAATTCCTCTCATGCCACCAACCGTTCTCGGATCTCTGTTTGCTTTGCCCGAGATTCTTTTCCGCGATGCCACATGCCCTGCTGTGGGAACTGGAGCAAACGCTCACCCTTCCAAGCATAGCGTTGAAACTAATGTTTCTGTTGTAATCAGCAGCTCCAAAGATGCTAGCAGTGATAGCGCTGTTGGGTCCACCTGTTTGACTTGCGGCATTGGAGGTAAGTCCCCCTGCGGGGAAAAGCGCTCTAAGCACCTCCTTGACACGCCAACAGTCATCATGTTCCGAATTTAGGCGTATCAGCAAACTGGTGGTGTGAAGGCGTGAATAAAGCACGATCTTAAGAGCTTTTGCATTCTGCAGGTCCTCTGATAGCAGCCTTCAGCTCTGTGGAGGAGCAGCGCACACATTTCAGATCGGATTGGCACAGATACAATGTGCGCCGAAAACTGCAAGGCAGGCCTGTTGCGACAGAGGAGGACTTTGAGCGGTCGATGCAACATGATGATGGAGTGTCCAGCATATCTGGCTCGGACTCCGACAGTGATGAAGATGCAGACACTTCCAGGCTAGGCAGTCAAGCTGCTGCATCCACATCCCAGCGCTCAGCAGAAGTCATCTTTGCGTCAGGTAGCACCCATTACCTTTGCCCGATGCATGCAGACTGATTTCTTACCAGCTCTCACACCAGTGCCTGAGCAGCCAAGTCTGGACATCTTTCAGGCGATGAAATGGTCTCTTGCAGGTGACCAGGTCTTCAAGGTTTGGAGAGCGCTGTTGCACCCTGATCAGCGCCATGGGGAACCAGACAGAGCGCTGCTGGCAGATAGGCTGCTGGAAGTGAGGCGGGGGAGTGGGCATTGGGTGGTGCTGCTGTCACGCGGAGGCCATTTCGCTGCCACCATCTTCAATGTCAGTGCACCTCGCCGTTCGGGCAACCACGAGGCGCCCCCTTACGAGGTTGTCGTGCACAAAACGTTCCATCGCTATGTTGTGAGGTGCGCGAATGGGTGCTTGTCTCATCTCCTCCGCTCCGCACTGAGTTCTTGTCCCACTCAGCAGCTTATCTTGAGAAACAAACCAACATGCTGTCCTGCTTGGCGTCTCAATCTGATGTCTCACACATGCCACAGGGCAAAAGCAGGTGGGCGGCAGTCGGCAAAGGATGCCACCGGCAAGAGCATTAAATCAGCCGGGTCAGCTCTTCGACGGCACAATGAGGTGAGCCATGTGTGCAAGCCTTTATATTCTCTGTGACCTGCACTGCATTCCGTTAAGGAACAGTCTGCACCTTGCATCCTGTCTCACTGTCATTGGGGCATTTTGCACAGGTAGCGCTTGAGCGAGACATTCAAGACACCCTGCAGTCATGGAAGGACAAGCTAAAGGCAGCAGCGCTGATCTTTGTGCACGCGCCATCCAGCAATGCTGCTGCATTGTTCGGCGGGGAGCATCCGGCAATGGACAGGGGAGATGCGCGGGTCCGCTCTGTGCCCTTCACCACTCGGCGGCCCACCTTCACAGAGACCAAGCGTGTCTTGACGACGCTGCTCTCTGTCCAGGCCGCAGAACTCCCACCAACTCCGTCGGCAGGTATTGCATTAGGTCGGAAAAGTTGTATTGCTTCCAATGCCTGATTTTTTGTCCAGAGCATGTCCTCTATGCCCATGAGAGAGTGGTTGTTGAGCACTAGTATCAGCCCATTCAAATTGTTTCTGGGTGCATGGGGCTGTTGAAAGTCATAAGGATGTTGCAGGTGCTTCCGCGACTCCCTCAAAAGCCAAGGCTCCTAAGGAAATCGCTCGAAAGGAGAAGAGCGCAGGGCCAGCCGTTGTGGAGCCTCCTGTCGCCCCGGCCATCCCAGACTCGGGCCTGCATGTGGCCGCCAAGGCAGGCGATGCTGCCAAGGTGCAGACCTTCCATCGCAGGGCTCTTCACCTTGTGGAATGCTGTTGCACACCAGCCTGTGACCTGGCATCACATCCTGCCATGTTGGCTGCTGCTGTTTGGAAGGTCTGTAGCTTGAAAGACAGAAATAAACTGTGCGTAAATTGGTGGGACAGGTGACCCAGCTGCTGGAGGGCGGCGAAGACCCCACAGCCCTGGACGCCAGAGGGAGGCCGCCCTACGCTGTGGCAGCTGACAAGGACGTCCGCGATGCGTTCCGGCGCTACATGGCCGGCAGCGATGCTCAGGACTGGGACTGGGCTGCAGCCGGCGTCCCGAGTGCGCTCACGCCCGAGATGGAGGCCCAGCAGGCCGCGCGCCAGGTCTGCCTTGGCTCTATATAAATTGAGTCCACCAGCAAGTTCTTCTGGGCCCAGCAAGCTTACCTCGCCCTAGCCAGGCCTGTCTTTGGCACCCCTGCCATGTGACATCCATGAGCCTTCATCTATAGTTGGTCAGGCTGGTACTGCAGTGTCCATTGCTTGAAGCTTCCACCAGATTGCTACAGATGGAAGCATCGTTACATTCCTGCACTGGCGCCGTGCAATTCTTCAACCTTGAGCAACAGTATTCGAGCGCAGGCCGAGAAGAAGGCCAAGCTGAGGGAGAGAGAGAAGGAGCGCAAGAAGCGCGCATCCGAGCGCAAGAGCCGGGCGGCCGAGGAGTCCCGGGCGGCTGCCGAGGCCGAGGTCAGCTCCGCTACAGCCGAGGCAGCCGCCCTTGCTGCAAGGTGCCGCCTCCCTGACTTGTAAATTCCATCTCATGCCACCCGCCACTGTCTGATGCATGGGACTGCTTGAGGAACAGTCGGTGAAATATTCAAGATGTGTGGATTGGATGTGAAGTGCTCCCGGGGTTTGTTGATGTGCAGGCAGGAGACCGGCGCTTCCTCCAAGGTGAGGCTCAGCAAGGCCGAGGCAGCTGCTGCGCAGAAGCGGGAGCAGATGGCAGCCGCGGCCGAGGCGCGCATGGCTCGCCTGCAGCTGCTCTCGCAGCAACAGCAGCTCTGGTGGCGCACCTGCTGCTCATCCATGCCTGAATCAGTGCAAATTCTTTGGATTGGATTCTCCATCACTGCCATATTGTCAGCTTGAGGACAAGACGCTAGAGGATTGCGCTTGCTATTCAGGTGACCGTGCGGGGCAGGCAGGGAAGATCGCCAAGGAGGTCTCGATGGGGAAGCTCCATACGTGATGTTGCTCCGTGGGTCTTGGGCCTCGCAGCGGTGTACATTGCTGCATCACAGAGGAAGCACGCACGATGAATCACAGAGCATTTCGTGGTCTTGCGTACTACTTCACAGTACTGTGGCAGCCTGGCCAGGCCAGTCCAGGGGAGCTTCCCTGGCTAGTCACCAAATGGTTGTAGGTCCACCTCGCGGCGCCAGATGTAGCATGAAGCATAGGAAAGGATGAACAGGAAAGAGACTTGCTAGTGCTCATAAGGAAGAGTATGCCAGTCTCTGACGATTGTGGCTGGAAGCGCTGTGCATGCATGAGGAGTGCTGAACAGGAGTGGCCATCATGATGGGCCTGCCAGCTGGCATACTAAACGATCAATTGGGAGCTCTTGTCCACATGCCACAGTACAGCATGGATGCATGCATGTCCACCAATCATGATGGCTAGCCGCAGCCGCATGCGCAGCAATTGCGCGTCTGGATAAATTTTGAGTGGAAGCCTGTGCATGGCTGCAACAGTCGCGGCGATGCTGAATAGGCAATCGACCAACAATGTGGCATGGTATGCATGCCACACAGCCGCGCGGCGCTATGGACGGGCCGGGAGGCGCCTGGTGTGCTAGTAGGCTTTCCCATTGTATTCCTTCCAGAAAGCGACGTTCCATATGGCATGCATGCCCGAACAAAACCAGAAGGGACCCCTGGACCAAAGGGCCAGGAGGCCCTCTTCAGGTCCAGAGCGTGAGGGTGACCCACCGCGTGAAATCCACCGGATCCGGCATAAACTTAGCGTCCGGTTAGAAGGAACGCCGCAGTACTGGCTTTAGCTGTTTCCTCCTCCACGATTTATACTTTCCTTCTTGCACACAATTGGTAGTGTTCGACTTGCAAAACAATGAAGTGCGACCTTGGAGTATGCCCCAACATGCTTCTGTCACGCACTGTCACCACTGAGGAGCTCCTCTACAACATCTTGCTATAAGAGAGCTGTTGGGTCAACCCCATCATGCGCTCCTCTTTTGAACACCACAGAGCAGACTTGCACATCGATGCTGGGAAGCTACCTGTATTCAATCCAAGTGACTTCCCACGTTCTGACAGCGAATCGAGTTCCTTTACCGCTCACCCGCACAGCGCTGCCAAGAAGGTGGGCACCATTGTGCCACTCCCTGCATAGGCATTCAATGGTACAAAAGGCTTCGATGGCAGAGATATGCTTCTTGTGATTCCCCGATTATTGAGGACAGCGGATGGATGGACCGACAGTGTGACCCGGTCACGTCTGCCCTCTGAAACCCTTTTTCAACAGCCATAAGGCCCACAGCGGAATCTAAAGATGTCGTTTTTGGTGCGCAGCGAGGCTTCGCTTCGATCGAGGACGATGCGGAAACCCCAACAAAGAGGGCGAAGGTGGGCGAATGTTTGAATACTGAGGTCTGATTGACCCATGGTTTGACGCCGCGCCCAACGTCTACAGGCTGCCGAGAATGACCTGAGGTCCTAATTGTGCTGCGCAGGATGCTGCTGAGACTGTGTGCAGCGATGCCACCGAGGCATCTGAATGGATCCAATCCGCTGTGACTGGCGATGACTCAAGTTCCGCGGAAGGCGCACTATATGATGCTGAAGGCACCAGCCTTTCTTGCTGCACCAATGCGGATCTATCGTGCGAGGAGGTCTTCACGCCGCTTTACTCACAGATCAGTCTGGCGCTGACGGAATTTGGTGTGCCGAAAGCGGCGCTCACTGCCATTTCTGATGATCCCGACCAGGAGGCTCTGAGAGATATTCAAGTGCTTTTCAGGTGAGGGGCGGTCATTCCATTATTTTTGCAACTCCTAATCTGCAACTCCTAAGTTCGAACATAACGTTGATGGTGCCATTGCCCTCCTGCCAGGGAACTCTCTGCTGTAGAGGCTCAGGTCAGGCCAGACCCCCTGTGCCTGGAGAATCACTGCGCCGCCCAAAACGAGAACTACATCGACAATCTGATGCGGGCCATAGCTATCAGCTGGCTGGTGGAGGTTGCCTGCGAGTACGGGTTCCACCAGGAGACACTGCACACAGCAGTCTCGCTGCTAGACCGTTTCCTGTCTGCCTCTAAGGTGCTGTCCAATACCACCTATTGGAATTATTCGAGGCTTCCCTCACAACCTGTGGCCGGTTATTGTAAAAAATGTGAATGGCTGGGGTGGGTGTAAGGGCATATCCCTGCATCGTCTCAAACCCTACATCAGCAGAGCAAAATACCGATTGCCCCTCAATCATCTTGCATTACATCTGACCATCGTGTCATGGCTTTGCAGGCACTATCGCGGAGTAATCTGCAGCTTGTCAGCGTCGCCTGCATGCTCATAGCTTCAAAGAACGAGGAGGTGAGCTTCTGGAGTCGCACCCGCATTGCTGCAGGAGGAATGAGCCGATGCTGGCAATCAATCATGCTCCTATCTGCTCATGCCCCTTCTTGCAGCTCATACTCTGATGTGCCTTTGCAGGAGCGCTACCCATCTGTGCAGGACTTCACCAGCATTTCGGACAATTGCTTCAGGGTGGGGCCTTAGTTGCCACCCATTGCATGTCTCTATGCCCCTCTGGCTGCCTCACGCCCCTTTTGTTGTAAACTCCAATCTTTCACGACTGGCTGTGAGTGAAATTGGGGTGACTTGACCGCAGGTGGAGGATCTGCTGCGGATGGAGGGCGTTGTGCTGCAGACGATGGATTTCCGCATCAATGCCCCTACCGCGTACACCTTCCTCTGCCTCCTGAAGCAGCACGTCGGCCTGACGCCGCGCGTGGCCGCACTTGCAGTCTACCTGCTGGTGAGCCAAGCATTTCCATGTACTGCTTGGCTGGATCATGAGGAGCCTGTAGGCATGATGACGATCTTGCAAAAGCCCACATATTGGTAACAACCACCTCTTAGGCTCAAAAGATTGCACCGCTGCCCTTCATTGTATTGCAGCTCACAAAGCACCTTTGATGCCTGACTGTATGAGGCGCTGCAGTGCTGAGCTCACTGGCTTTCTGTTGCGCTGCACAGGAGCTGGGCTTGCTGAAAGACGGGCTGCTGGGGTGTCCGGGTGCTCTGAAGGCTGCATCAGCGGTTCTGGTCGCCTCTGCCTGTGAGGATCACCGTCTGGATGCCCTCAGTGCTGCTCTGCAGGCAAGCACTCCACAGCCCTTCTTCCCTCTCAATTTCAATTGCATAACTGAGTTCTTAGATTGGCGCCCGCATGTTGCCCGCCTCAGAACTGCCAAAATCGGTGTTGCCACTGCCTGCCAGCATGTGTGGAGCTCATAGTTTTAATGTCATAGTATGATATTGTGCCACGAACCCTGCAGAGCATTCTGGGAGTCGAGTACGAGGATCTGTGCGAGTGCTGCATGGACATGGTTGCGCTGCATCAGGAGGCGTTCCATGCCTGTGACACACCCAACGTCATCGCCCCGTCAATGGCCATCAAGGACAAGTTTGCCGACCGTGCCTGGCACACTGTGTCGCGTGTCGCGCCTCTTGAGAGGATCTGCCTGCCTCGACCCCAGTCCTGAGGAGTGGTTTGGGAAAGCAGCCATGGGTAGTTGAGCTCAGACAGCGAGAGATCAGAGGACTATAGCGACAGTGGACTGCCGAGCTCGACAGTGTGTGATCAGAGGAGGAATGCAATAATGCTGGTGTTTTTTTGCTGCATGCAAGCATGCCCAACTGTGGGATTTTAAGCGGATGTGCTCAGGCCTGTGCCTGCGCATGCTTCCGCGCTGAATGCCCAATCGCCGCTTGCAGGTGTTGGCTTCGTCTGTGCCCACAATGTTGGCGCCATACCTTTCCCCAATACCCTAACAGTTAGGATGTGTGAAGACTGTGGACCACTTATTTATTTGATGTATGTCCTGGAGTCGAATGAAGGCGAGCACTTCGATTTTGCGAGCACTGCGTGGGTAGAACAGCATCTGTTCTGGTCGCTTACAAATGAGGGTGAATGCTCAGAAAGGCAATGTATTGCCCTGACGTTTCGTGCCATTATTAAGGAATGTATGGATTATGTTTGGCAGTCATCACTAGGAGTGATGCTGCTCTGTATTTTGGCGGATTGCGTACAAACGCAGTCACGTGCGTAAGGATGGCAAGCTGTGCAGAGCAAAGTACCAGACCAAATGTCCGAGAAGGAAAAATAATGCCGCGCAATCAACTGATGATTTGCTGCTGGTTGCTTTGTTTTGCCTTTGATTCATGGACTGTCACACTCAGCGTTGGCGCAGGTCTGTGACCATGAAGCTCATGCAGATGCTTTAATAAGAACCGGAACCAGTGCCCAATATTCCTGGGGCTGTGATTTTCTTGAAGCGTGCCGTCCTTTCCACGTCGATGTGGTGTGGTTTTTAATTCTATTCTAGTCTCAAGTAAGGAGTCATGTTGTCCTTGTCACACAGTGGTGTGTACATAAGATGAATTCTAAAAGGTAGCTGTCTTTGTATTTGCAGTGCTCTCTTTGTGGGTCAGGTTCCACTGTGAGTGCCACGCCAAATCTTCTTAGGACATTTCTTTCGTGCAGATGCTGATGGAGTAGCCATGGCAGAGCTTTATCTATTTTATTTAAGCATATGACTTACACGGTAGTGGACATCATTTACTTTACAATCAAATGAGTCTGCTGAGGCCTATGAAGGCCAGCAGGAGTCACTCTTGTTTGATTTTCCTGAAGTATCTTTGGAGGAATGAAGCGAGTGTAAAGAATTCTCACCAACTGATGTGAGGATTTGTGCAACCTGTGGTGGGCATTTGATGCCTCGATGAGTCAACCCAATCAATGGCCATTTTTAAATGTTGAGTCAGCTGGTGCAACTGATGTTGACATCAACATAACTGCAATGCCTTGATAGTGTGGAATGTGGCTGGCTTCATTCAGGGAGGATGTGGGATGCAATTGGATGAGCCAGGTCTGCTGGGTTCTTTTGCCTCATATTACATGTGTAGCATGGCACCATCCCTCCGGAGAACAAAGTTCCTTCCTGTGAGGGTCGGCAGGCTGATAATCAAAAAATCCGTGCCAAGCCACGATATCGATGGGCACATCACATCCATCGTCAACCGGGCCTTCAAAGCATGAAACCAACAGAACGACATGCCGGCCGCTGCATCAACTGGCAGCTGTCAAAGGTCACCGGAGAACGCACTCCTGAACATTCCTGCTAAGGCTGCTGCTACGGTCAGCTGTTGTGTGGAGGGACTGTCTGCGGTCAGTCATGGTTGAGGATGATCTCGTTGTTGCCGTCACTGCCCAGCCCATACAGCACCCCTCTGTGCTTCAGCACGCCATCGATGCCGTTGAACAGCGTGTCGATGAGCTTATGGAAGGTCTTGGAGGTGAGCAGACTGTCAGAGCCGGCCTGGTGCTGAGGCCCTATCCTCTCCACGTCCAGCGTCTCTGCCAGCTTGTTGAGGCCGCCATGCAGGTTCCCGCAGAACTTCATCAGGTACTTGATGTCGTACACGTTGGGAAAGTAGATCTGCGCACAGGTCCACATCTTGCTGTCAAGCTTGGCAACGCACTTCAAGCAGATCAACCAAATAATTGCACCCGTCACCCAGCATCACAGCATGGTCCACAGTCCACGCTGTCAGATGGAGTTGCTCAGAGAGATGATTTGACTTGCCAACTCAAATTGCAAAAGAAGAATTGAGGTGATGGGAGGGGGGTAAAACCAACCTGCAAGAGCTCAAAGAATTCCGCCTCCACTGCCGGAAGCGGCTGGCAGGTGAGCACCTTTAGGAGGTAGCCAAAGTCATACCCGCTGTGGAATGTCACCCATTGGATCTGTCGCCAGCCACACTCCGCCCTCACAATATACTCCTTGCTGACTTACATAGCTGATACCAGGTGCTGCAATTCAGTATGCTTCATGACAAGAGCAGGTCAGGACTGAGATCGCACCTCCTCGTTCAGCACAATGCCGGATGACATGAGGACCTCTCCAAACCGGTGCACCTCAATACCCCTGGCCTCATTCCGCGCGAAGTCTATGCCAGAGTCCTTCAGGAGCTCAATGCTGTCCTGGGCAAACATGTCCTCTGACTGCTTGAACTCCCTGCGCAGGTCAAGCAGGATTTGCATTTGATATTCAAACCATATGCAGGGACGCGAGCATGGCTATCCTTGCCTTGCCAAACAAGAAGACAGGCATGTCAGGTGCAGACCTGAAGTTGAACTGCCAGACACAGAGCTCCCCCTTCCATCGAGGCAATTCTCCTTTGGCATCAGAGAAGGTGAGCCCTAATTGGATGAGCTTCAGCATGTCCACATTGCACCTGCAAGACCGGACACATTCAGTTCAGCAGACTGCAGCACAACAACCTAGCTGTGAGGAGGACGAGGAGCTCTTCATACCTCAGGGTCTGGTAATGATACTCTCCACTGTTTTTGAAAGGTCCCACTGGCCTCGCGACCACTCCAGGGAACTCAGTGTCCATGGCTAGGAAAGGGTAGTCGTCCACAACATTGCGAATAATCTCCAGCTCCTCGTCCAAATTCTCCTGCCATACTTCCCTCACCCGTAGGTCTTCGCCAGATTTTGTCTTCCAAACCCCTTCAACAACCTGTGAATGCAGCGTTGAACCTTCAAGTAGAGATGATGGCAGGGAGTATGCCGACAGTTTTCTGGATTTTTGGTGTTCGCAGCACATCCACTGAAAGATCCAGTGAGATTGTCATCTTTTCTTCATAAGAAGGCATTCTTGATTGGTCACTTCCCTCCTTTCAAGCTGGGACACGCACCATGTCAGATTACCCGCCTTTTCCTGATCAAACGTCTTTGACTTGACTGGTCTATGGTGCCGGGGTGTTGTTAGCAGCATGGATGCACTCAACATGATCATGCATTGACTCTACATGATACCTAGGCAGAAAAATCGCGGATGTGTTTCACGATGGATTCTTAACTCAAGGAAAGTTGAGCAGTTCCGGCCTGTGCTAGAACGCCCCAAAAACGCTTAAACTAAAACTAGTAACTCAGCTGCGCACATTAATTCGTACTGAAGAAGGCAATCATTGAAGAAGTTTTCCAGCTGGGTCGAGCCAAATTTGGCAACGCTGCAAAAGGTTGCAAATTTTTTTTTCCGAGGGTGGCGCCGATCTCAACCGGTTGCTTGCGATCTGATATGGATTAAAGGCCTGGCTTGCTTTGGGTCTGTCCACAAGGCTGGAAATGCTGTTCTGTTGTTCGGCCGACGCCTTCAGTGGGTTCACACCAGGCCCAAGGTCTGATGTATGCAGGCTAAAAGCGTAGTTCGGCAGGGGCTTATGTCCACTATAAAATACGGCAAGGCAATTAGAAATCAGGGCGGAATGATGAGCCGTGCCCGTGTGTACGCTGATGTGAACGTCACCAGGCCAAAGGAGTACTGGGACTATGAAGCCCTTTCTATTCAATGGGGGTAAATGCCTGTGCCTCTGCGTCATCTGTGCATTTGTTCCGTTGCAAATTGAACGCATCCCGAACTTGAAGTTGAACAAATGCATACAGGAACCAGGACGACTATGAGGTGGTGCGGAAAGTGGGCAGAGGAAAGTATAGCGAGGTCTTTGAGGGCATCAACACAATCAACAACCAGAAATGCATCATAAAGATTCTGAAGCCAGTAAAGAAGAAAAAGGTGCGAGAGGGTGACGTCTCTTCTCTTGTTTTGTTTGCTGGAGGGGATTGGGTCTGACTCTTCTGGGTGTGTGCGCAGATCAAGAGAGAGATCAAAATCCTGCAGAACCTCTGCGGAGGACCCAATGTCATCCAGCTGCTTGATGTTGTGCGCGACCCTCAGTCAAAGACACCGAGCCTGATCTTTGAGTGCGTCAACAACACTGACTTCAAGACGCTCTACCCCACGCTGGTCGACTACGACATCAGATACTACATCCATGAGCTTCTGAAGGTGCCAAACTCCTACATGATCCGCGGTTCCTTGTGCTGACACCATGAATTCTAGCTCCATACATGCATGCACCAGGGCTGATGACTACTTGTCTGCAGGCACTGGACTACTGCCACTCACAGGGGATCATGCACCGGGATGTGAAGCCGCACAATGTAAGTTCCTTTGTCAGCTGGCATCTATTCAACGTCCCTCACTGTCGAATTAGCAAGTGTGGTGGCCAACTGTGGTCGTGGGCTTGCAGGTCATGATTGACCATGAGCAGAGGAAACTGCGGCTCATTGACTGGGGCCTTGCAGAGTTCTATCATCCTGGCAAGGAGTAAGCCCTTCAATTCAACACTCTTGCATGCATTGCATGTGCTCTCAGAATCAAGAGGCGGTGTGTTCAAAAAAGGGGCTTGGATGAAGCGGAAATGGCGGCTGACAGATTGATGGTGGTGACGTAGGTACAATGTCAGGGTGGCGTCCCGCTATTTCAAGGGCCCGGAGCTGCTGGTGGACTTGCAGGACTATGACTACTCTCTGGACCTGTGGAGCTTGGGTTGCATGTTTGCCGGTAGGTGGTGGCTGATGGCTATCACTATATATGTACATCGGAAATGCTAACCAGCACTGTGCTGCCGCTCTTTTGTGCGATTTGTCTGGAAGTATGAGGTGGTTTTGTTGGACCTCAGGGATGATCTTCCGCAAGGAGCCTTTCTTCTACGGCCATGACAACTACGACCAGCTGGTGAAGATTGCCAAGGTGGGTCACTCCCTGCTGAGCATTTGATTTGCCACCATGCCATGTTGCCTGTCTCTGTCGTGAGCATCGGTGTGGGTTGTGACAGGTGTTGGGAACGGAGGAGCTGGATGCATATCTGCAGAAGTACGGCATCGAACTGGATGCGCAGCTGGAGGAGTTGGTGGGCAGGCACTCGCGCAAGCCCTGGACAAAGTTTGTCAACAGTGAGAACCAGCACCTCGTCTCGCCCGAGGCCCTGGACTTCCTTGACAAGCTGTTGCGCTACGATCATCAGGTACTTTGTCACCTTACCTTTGCTTGAATGCCAGCACTCAGCTGACACAAGCACAGCTGGATGTAATTTGTGCCCGAATGCTGTGTGGTTGGCCTTGATATTAGCTGACGAGCTAAACTGTGTGATTGGTGTCCCTCAAGACCGACATTTTTCCCATGGCTGTGCAGGAACGGTTGACTGCCAAGGAGGCAATGGCGCACCCATACTTTGCAGCTGTCAGAGCACAGGAGGCGAGTGCTTGAGGATGAGAGGTGCCACCTCTAGTCAGTGGGTGGATTGTGCTGGCACTCTCTCAGGGCTTGTGCTGCCTGGTTTGCGGCACTGTTTAGAGGGCAAAGCATGATGCCTGATGCTTGCTCCTGCCAGTCATGTCGACGCTGCCAGCAGCAGTGCTGTGGTGGTCGTATGATGGCCCAGGGACGACAGGATGACAGGATCTTGAGATGTACCCTAGACCACTGACGCTTCTGAACTGCAAAATTGACTGCTTGCTTTGCTCTGGATGCTTTCTTGAACTTTTGCTGAGTGCTGTACCATCACCTTGTCCAATGCTGAGAATCCCGAGCACCGGCATTCTGCAATGTGTCTTCTGCTAAGTCAGGATCGCCAGAGCAGAATGTATTACATTGAGGTAGGGGAATGGCCCGGGGTCTTAAAGAAGCTTGATGGCATCAAGTTGATGCTATATACATGCATGGCTTGGAGGCACCGGGCATCCAAGTCATACTGTTACAGGACCCAAGTCATGCTATTCTGCATCATGAAATCCACTAAATGGAGTATACAGTACATGCGATCGGTGGTATTAAAAGAAAAACTCTAGGCAAGGACCACATCATCTAGCATGTCAACCTTGGACTGGTCCTCCCGCTCATCAGTCACCGTCCAAGACTTTGGGACGCAGAGCAATGCTCTGTGAGCATTCAAGGAAAGGTATTTCCAAAAGATTGAAGCAAACAAAGAGTTTATTGTCTCATCGCTGCTTCGGAACTCTACATATCTGTGGGCTCCAAAGGACCTATTAGACTATGATGCAAGATGACCTTCTCTAAATTCTTTCAAATCCTGGCATTGCTCCGATCTATCTCTGCTTGCTATATGATAATTCCTGGTCTATTCATCTGAAACACTGGGTTCGTACCGCTCTCTGAGACCAACAGGGCGTTAGACGAATTGCAGTGGGCCAGTCAGGGTAGGAACAACAGCATGGGAGAGGATATCAAATCGATGATGCATGTGTACAAAGAGGATTCTTGTGGGGACCGCAAAGCGTCAGAGATGTTGCAGATGGTGAATGATAATGCATTAGTGCTCAGCGGGCACTCCTTGGCTTCCATACCCGCGTCCCTGTGCACACTGACATTCCTGCAGCGGCTAGACTTGTCCAGGAACAAGCTGAAATCTCTCCCAGACGCCATCAGCTCTCTGCAAGGACTGACAGACTTGAACCTGGGCAACAACCAGCTTGTCAGCCTCCCAGCGTCAGTCGGCAGCATGAAGTCTCTGCGATACCTCAACCTCATGTCCAACAGCCTCAAGGCATTACCAGAAGAGCTTGGCAGTCTGGGGGTCCTGTACCGGCTGGGCATCAAGGGCAACAAGCTCGCTGCTCTGCCGCACACAATCGGCGGGCTGACCTCTCTCGTGGAGCTTTTCATCACAGACAATCTGCTGGAGTGCCTGCCGGCGGAGATCGGCCGCTGCACCAGCCTGGTCAAGGTGCAGGCCTCCTTCAACCGCCTGGCTACGTTGCCCGCCGAGCTTGGAAACCTGCAGAGGCTGGAGCTTCTGCGCGTGGCCGTCAACAACCTGTCAGAGGTGAGCATGGCCTTGCATCCCCGTGCAAAGCACACTGTTATCCCTAAATTCCATGGTGCTCCATGCTTGCAGCACCAAGTGCACCGCAGTGCATGCATTGCCTAATGGCATGGGTGATGCATTGGCCATAAAGAAGAGGTGCGACTGCACGCCAGGTTCCCACTGAGCTGGCGAATTGCAGCGCGCTAGCCTGGATGTCCCTGGCTGGCAACCCCATCTGCCCGCAGACGCCAGTGCGGGGCCAGTTTCCTGCCATGACCATCGACCAGTTGTCCCTTGGAGTCTCTCTCGGGGAGGGCGCCTCTGGCGACGTCTATGCTGCAAAGCTGGTGTGAATCTGCCCTTCATGCAACTGAAACGGAGCGCCTCTGCATGTCCTAACATAGACTGTGGTATTAGTTGCTCAATTCCTGCTTGATGACCCCTTGGTGTGTGGTGGCAGGGTGCTGAGGACGTGGCAGTCAAAGTGTTCAAGGGGGAGGTCAGTCCTGACGGCAGAGCAGCAGATGAGATAGCAGTCACCTGCTATGTGGACCACCCTCACCTCACCAGGTGCTCCTTATGACTTCGCTGAAGATCGTGCAGTGTTTCTTGTAGCATGTGACTTTGCAGGATCAGATGCATCCTCAGCCCTGCCTATTTCTTGTGCCCGCTTGTCCCCTGAAAGCCCACTAGGAGCTAGGAGGCTGGTCACCAGCCATGGTGACTAGGGCTGCAGAGTGGCAGGAGAACTAGAGATGGTCCGTACATGGACTTTGCATCACTTTTAGACGTATCTATAGAATCTCCAGTTTGTGAAGTCGGTGGTGCTTTTAAGTGCCCCGGCCTCAGTTCCTGCTTTTCGAATTAGATTCAGGCAGGCTACAACCCACTGGACATACATGGCAAGCACCCAGCATTGAGCTGACTAATCACATAGGCCCCGGATGGCAGGGGGCGACACAAATACTGAGCACCATGCCCACGGTTGATTGGGTCTTGCTTGGATCTGGCGAGTCCAACAAGGGTAGTTTTTGTGGCCGCCGTGCAGCTTGTCTCTGGCAGGAAAAGCCTGAGGTAAGGATTGAGAAAACGATCATCACATGGCTGGTGGGCTGTGCAGGGTGCTGGCAGAGCTGCAGGAGCCGCATGCGCTGGTGCTGAGGCGGGTGCAGGGCCAGCCCCTGGCTGGCAAGCCTAACCTGCAGTCGCTGCTGCGCTGCCGCTGGCCGCCCGGCAGCGCCTTCAGCCCCGGCTTTGTCGCGCGCGTGGCGCTGTGCGTGGCGAGCGCGCTGCAGTACCTGCACGCGCACTGCATCTGTCACGGCGACGTCTACGCGCACAATATCCTCGTTGCCGCCGACGGCCACGCCACGCTCCTCGACTATGGTGCCTCCCCCTGGGCTCACCCCAACCTGACAGAAGACGGTTACCCAGAACGGCAGGCAGTTTGACAATCATAACCACTTGCGCTACCAAGAAGATACAAAATATTTCTCAAGGAAGTTCCTCCTGGACGGTTGCCCTGTGACATGTCACATCAACCCAGTTGCAACCACTTGCCTTGCACGATCCAGTCCAGCCTGCGGGAAGGCCAGGAAGATGTGCATGCTCTTCTTGGAGGCGAGCAATTCAAAATCAATCGTTACCAATGATGCGAGGCTCGCTGTATGTGCGGCAGGTGCGTCCTTCTTCTACAAGCCAGGGACGCTGCCGTACGAGGCCCAGGAAGTGCGCGCGTTCGGGCTGTTCCTGAACGACATGTTAGCGCGCCTGGAGGCCCCAGACAAGCCCAGCGCTGTGCGCAGCAGCCTTGAGGAGATCACTGCGGACGCTCTGCAGCGCGACCCCAGCTGCCGACCGTCATTCCAGGCCATTGCTGCACGTTGCAGCTCTCTCAAAAAGGTGAACTGAATCCCCTGGCTGTCATCAGGATGGCTTGTTTGAGTACTCCTAATCTCTTCGAGGGACTCATGACATCTCTCGCCCTCAGGGTACTGCGTCTCTCACATGCACTGATCTCAAATGGGTGGAATATGGGCAGGGCATGGGAGCAACTGCGGATTCGGCCTCATCGCTTCAGGAGCTGCATGGCAGATAGGCAGCCTCTGCAAAATATAATGCAATGCTTCTTTACGGCACCAAGTGATGCCTTTTTGTAATCTTTGCTGTGCATGCATGCATTGCAGTGAGTCCTGTTTATTATGCTGGATCTGGATCGTGCACTGCCATAAATACTGATCTGATCAAAAGCATAAAGAGCTGTGAGGACCTTCAGGTTCCGGAAGTTCCGGCCCATCAGTGAATCTGGATTTGCTCAGCTGGACATGACTATGGAAGAATCTGGCTATAATCAAGGCAGTGACATGTAAGTTAGAGTGACATGTAAATTAGATGATGTTCCAAAGTACAATCGGTCTTACCAATATCGCTCTTGCAGTGCAGCGCGGATCTGCTCACGCTGTAGCAAATTTCATGATATTCGCCATTGTTGACAGCGGTGACTGCTGTGACTGTGACAGAGCTGAACGAACTCCACCTGAGGCCTGCGCAGCTTTCATCTAATGGGTAAGCAACAGCATGAAGGTCACTTCTAAGATATTTCACAAATGCACGCATGCACCCGTTGAAAGTCCCCAAGGACTTGAACTTTGGAAGACTCTGTGGCTGACTTCGAATTTGATTTTGAACTGCATGGGAGTGGTGACGAGAGGGCCACGTCGATCGTTCCTTTCAGAATGCGCATGAAGGAAAGAGAACCAAAATTTCCAGATTCGCAACCCCAAAGACTTAAGGAAAGCATATATTAAGTCAGCGCACTGGACAATTGCAGAGTGGTTCCTATTAGCCAGATAGCAGATTCCGGTCTTTTGCAACCTTGGAGCACCTCATATTGCTGTTATGAAGACAATCAGTGCCCAATCATTACGACTTCTGCAAACATCTAGAGCACAAAATGCTATTCACGCGTCCAGACAGCTTGCAGCTGCGCATCCCATTCCAAGGTCTAGGCACAGATCAGTGGCGACATGCTCGTCCCTAAAGGCTGATTCGCCTGTACTCCAAGGATCAGAAAGTGAGACTTTAAATCCCTACTTACAGTTAAATAACATCCAGACACGCTCGGTATTGAGATGAAACACTGAGGTTGCAAGTGACTGCAGGTACTTCAGGGAGCAGTGGCAGGGACCAGGGTGATTGGGAAATCAAGATGCTGTATGATGGAGGTGCTGCATGCGGTCATTCTACCATTATCATGCAATCAAGATTCTGAAGGTCAAGATTGAGCAGCGTGGCCTTGCAACCTTGGTCCTGATGCTGTTGTGCTGCAGGCTGCCCCCTATGCATGCGGGAAGTGAACATGTTGAAGCGCAGAGATGAAGGGAAAGGGAAAATATATTTCGTTGACGTTGATGCACCAGACTACAGACCAGAGGACAATGCAGGCATCAGCTACGAGCAGGTATATTGCCTGAGGATACCCTCATCCAGATGGAGTGTTAGCGCAGCAGCTGATAATAGTAAGTTCACTAACATGAGTGGCCATCAGCCAACAACTGGTTATAATCTTGTATACAGGCAATGGAAAGCATACATGGCATCTTACCCGATCAAAGAGTGGTCACAAACGTTGAGGTAAGCACGCAGCGAGCCAGACACAAGCCTTGCCACCACTGCGGTGCACATACCGCTTGATTTCCCCTCTATCAAGGGCACTGCGTGTGCTGCCAGAGCCTAAGTGTGCTCTTGTTGGCAGGTGTTCAGACGATTGTATGATGCAGTGGGACTGGGATGGGTGTACGCCATCACAAAAGTCCAGCCCATTGGTCGGATGGCAGATTGGTATGTCCACATGTGCTGAGCTGGTGCTGCTGTGCCTTGGTATTTGGACAGTGTGTCTAATGCATGTCTTATGCGGGATGAACATTTGCTTATTCCTGCATGCATGGATGCTGCGCAGGGTATATGGAATTTGGGCGAAGTATCGGCTGCCAATCACTGGACGTCCAGACTTGGAGGTGGTGTTGCAGCAGAAGAAAACATGCAAATAATAATAGTATCTCTTGCAACACAAAAATTTTACAAATTTCATGATGCTGAGCATGAGGAGATTCTGACTCATGAACTTGTCACCGTCTTGAAAAAGATTCAACCCACGTCCTGCAACAAAGTCACAGAGGTATACATTGCTACTTAGCTCTTTTGAACGCCCTTGAAGCTGTCATGCTCCCTGTGTCTGCATCTGCAGAACAGATGGATCGATACCATAAGCGTTTAAGTAAGCAATATAATAACGATAATATGCGGACCCATGAATGTTTTGAAGAGAAGAGCAGTAGTATTGGTGCAGAGCCACAAGAAGCACATGCGCAGGCTGATTCCCTATTGGCATGGAGTCCCATGCAAGGCAAATATTCCAATCTTCTTTGCTGTGCATCTACATGAAAATTTGCAGGAAAGGATATGATTGCTGACTCAGCTGAATCAGCAGACTGCATAGACATTCAGTATGCACGAGAGAAATAGGCGAGGCAGCCCCTCCTTCAAGATTGGCGCTCGCAATGCTCTGATATTTTGCAATCTCCCTGATCGAGTACGGTGCTCAGAGTACAGTTGAAGCAAAACCAGTCTACGGCTCTTCAATTAAAAAAAAATACAGTGATATGGTCATGCCAACACACCACTACACGTTGAGATCCCTGATATCACCGGCCTGTGTGCCGCTGCGGACTTGTTTCTCTTCCTTTAGCCTTTGTCGAGGCCGGTAATATCTCCAATACCATTTGTAGCCCAAGAAACCCAGAACCCCAATCGGCAGCAATATCTGCACAAGGCACACAAATGTCATTGGTCCAGAGGCTCACATATTTTGATGGCACAATTGCCATTTTTCAACATCTAGATTCAACATTGACAAAGCGCACGCAGTACTGGAAGGACCTGGTCTGACCCGCTTCCAAGCACTCTACCATGTCAAAGTGCAGGCAACAGGGAGCAGGGCGCACCTGCCAGCACTGCTGCAAATCCATCACCGAATTGTACACAATCACCTCCCAGACTTTCACCAGCCCACCCCACCATGACGTCTCATACATTGACCCTCCGCTCAGAAACATCTTTGGATACACCTGCACAGCACCAGACCCACACACTCAGCCCCAACTTAAAACGCCACCAGACAATACAGCTTCTAGCAGTGCTCAGATCCTGAAGGAATGCCAGCTATACAGGCATGCATAAATCACCAGCAAAGCCATAGTCCAGCCACAGCAGTCTAGAAAGAAGTGGGGCGAGCACCTGCAGGAAAGCAAACGCAACCCAGCCGACAGTCTCCATGAGGGACACCCGGACGAGAAAGCGGAAGACCAGGATGTCGGCCAGGCAGGCAATAACGAGGCCGTTGAAGATGCGGTCGTTGTAGTCACGCACGAACCGCGCGCTCTCCCGCCGCTGCGCCCGCGCCAGCCGCTCCCCGGCTGCTTTGTTTGCCGGGCCGATGCAGGCCGCCTCAAATTCCGCCTTGCACCTGTCGAACTTCGCCTGGAACCTCCCTGCAGCAAGCGTACATGCATGTTTCGCACCATGTTCTCTGCGCACACATCCTGGAACTCCAAGCTTCACTCGCATGCACGCAGCACGCTGAGACGTCTGCCGTGAAGCATGCATGCAAAATGTAGGACACGTGCGATGTGATACAATAAGGACATCAGACAATCAGAAAGGGCAAGCATGTTTGGAGGGGAGGCGGACGCACCAGTGGAGGGCAGAGCTCCGGACTGCTCGTGCTCCAGGACAGACTCGCAGGCCTCCTCGGCCGCCTCGCACACGTGCGCACTGCGCAGCATGTTGGCCGTCCGCCGCGCCTCCCACTCGCGCGCGCACCCAGCCACCAGCGCATCCCTCAACACCTGCCCACCCCACTAACATTAAGAATCGACCCCTCCAGAAGTCGTCCCTCCAAGTGTAAGTCCTCCCGAGTTATCATCCGATAGGGCTTAGCCCTCTCATGCCCGCCACATGGAGCACCGGGGCTTGATCCAGAAGTCCCCACGCCTGAATGATACTGGCTGCTTGAAAAATGGATGCCAGACAATGAGGGAATCCTGACACCGCAAATGGGTGCAGAAAAGAGAAAGAGCATGCAGAGGTGAGTCACCTCCAGCTCGGAGCTGCCCGGCACGCCAAAGCTGGCCGAGTCAAACGACTGGAGCGCGGCGTCAAGCGCCGCCTTGTGCACGCGCTCCAAGTCCTCCTCCTGAACCGGCAGCCCCAGGGACTCCAACGCCTGGATGTACGCTTCCTTTACCTGCGCAGCAGCAACGCCAGCCAGCTCAGCTTAAGCTGCATGCTCAGCATGCAGCTTGAGGATCAGCTTATGCCCTGTGAATTGTATTTCACTCCGACAGGGATGCAGCCATGTGTTTGTGCCTTCTCTGTGCTTATTGCAGTCTCCTCAGGATGCGCCACGAGCAGCTTGTCAACAGCTTGTGAAGCTATGTGAACAACAAGAGATTACAGGTGGGCCTCAGTATTCATGTGGAGCAGTGGCTGTGAGAGCATGGCACCTTCTGCACCAGGTCGGCATTGAAGTGCTCCAGGATAGAGCCGGCGGTGGGGATATCGCGCGAGTTGAGCGCGCCCACCATCGTCTCCACCAGCTTGGCCAGGCCCGGCCCCGTCATCACCTGCAGCCTCATGCCCTCATGCTTTATTGTTATGGCACCCATGAATTTCTTTACTCAGCAGTCTTACAGCGTGGTGCATGCAACAGAGAGATTGGCATAGGCAATTGAGTAGCGTGCCACCCAGAACTGCACATGTTCAAAGCAGCAGATAAGTCCTTCCTTTGTGCAGTATCCAGTTCTGCAATTGATTGAGCGAATGCATTTCCAGCCAAATGGCTGCTGCTCAATTACGTTGGCGATCAAGAGCACTTAGAGCAAGCGGCCGCACCTCGCCGTTAAGCAGCTTGGGCTTGGCGAGCTGGCGCACGAGGTCGCGCAGACCGGAGCGCTGGCGCACGTAGACCGGGTCGAGGTCAGCGTCGCTTAGCTGGCACAGGCGCGTGCGCTCCAGGTGCGGCTGCTGCAGACCGTACGCCGTGCTGTTGCGCACCACCACACCCAAGCTCTCTCGGATTTTGTTCACCTGCGCGGCGAGGGTCCTTTAGACAACATCTAATTTCTCTGCACGCGGCTGATTGCTGAGCAGGCACCGACATATGGCAAGGTACAGAGGGGGATTTTAACGAGTGAAAAATTTGTAGAAAGCTCGCCTCAGCCACGCATGTCAAAGCTGTCAGTGCCCCGAGGTCTAGAACCTGACGGTTTTCACGGAGTAGGGTGAGAAGTTGGGACTACAACTTCAAGCATGCGAGATTCAGCAGGAGGGGTGAATGACAGGGTCGCGCCTGGGCGATGTCGGGGTCCCTGGAGGGGTTAGGGACGCGCGCGAGGGCCTCAATGACGCTCTGCTGCACGCTCTTGCCCTCCAAGAAGTCTCGCTGGATGAGCCACAGCATGTTGGGCGCATCCACCGGCGCCCTGCCCGCCCCCTGTTGATCCCACAAATCCCCTCAACATTCTATCGGTGCATATGTGCAAGCTTGAAGCACAAAAAGACCGGCATCTCAAGTCTGTTTCCTCTCAAGACAATGAGCAGGATCTGCTGTAATCAGCTTGCACGTAATTGTTCCTGTGCGTGAGAACAAGGTGAACAGCAGGCGGGTCTGGCAGGATAATCAAGGGCGCCACCTTACAGAATAGCACACCGTCATAACAAGTGGATGCGGCGCTTGCCTGGGAGGAGGCGTAGAAGCCCTCGGCCAGCTGCACCGCGAAGCTGAGCTTCTCCACGTCGCTTTCGCGCACGGTCTCCGGCAGATTGTAAACCAGCAGCGAGCTGATGATGGTGCTCAGCGCAAATATGCGATCGTCGTACACATCCGATTTGCCCGTGCTCTCGAACCCCTCTGTGTCCACGTACACTATCGCTGGTACAGCCTCTGTGCTGGGCTGTGAACCTGCTGCCAGCTGCGGCTCGCCCCACACCCAGACGCCCTTGGTCTGCGTGCTCCGCGTGTGGCCCACTCCAAAGCCCTCATCTGCGTGCCCAGCAGCAGCTGCTCACAGCAGCGCCCATTGAGGCAGGCGCCAGCCTTGCCTGCTTGTCTGGCGCGTTCTGGCAAGGCTGACAATTGAGTGTATTTGCCCAATATGAAAGGCAAGCTTGTCGCATGGGAATTGTATGGCAATATGGCAGTATGGCAATTGTGCACCACCACAGCTGTTGTGGCGCCCAAATCATTGCCTGTTGATTTGCAGGCCTCAGCATCTGCTGCAAGAAGCTGTGTGGTGCTCACCACAGCCAACTCCAAGCAGCTGGTTCAACAGGAAGGACTTTCCACTCCTGTACGGGCCGATCACCACGACGGGTGCAACAGGCCCTTTGATTCGACGCAACACCTCCAATCCACCCTCCTCCAAGCTCAGCTTTGTGGCATCTTGTATGGGCTGTACCAGGGCGAACCTGGAGAGTCACAAAGACATTTCAAACATTTGATGTTTTTGATATTTGCAGTTTAGCTGCTTGCAGTTCGATGAAAGCTCTATAGTCAACTCAATTGCTTTATCTTTCACCCGAGGAGTCTCAAAGCCTGGTTGATGTGGGTGATGCTGGACTTTTGGCGACGGTGTGGCTACTTACGCTTGCCTCAAGTCCAGTGTAGAGGTCGTTCCTGCATCAGATCGGTCGAGAGGGCGTCCGTTCAGGGCGCTGGTAAGTGACAGTACCACAACAAGTAAAAGTAATCTCGTTTCTTGGCCCAAAATTGTGACTTTACAACGATGAGTTTTGCACATCAGGTCCTGTATGTATTCACATGTTTCTGTACGGTAGTTTCACAGTGCTTTTCTGTCCTTTCGCTTGCGATCTTGTCCTCCTCGGCTTTCTTCCATCCAGCATGGCATTCGTCATCATTACTCATCTACTGCATGCATGCATGCATGCTGGACACCAAATGCTCCAGAAAACTGATTACCTTCACCCTGTATTTCACGCGCTGCCGGCCCTCTTCATGATTTGGACGTTCTGTATGGTCAAGGTCACAGACAATGGGCTGCATCAATCCCAATTGAGGCGCCTAGTATACCCCGTAGGCCGGCCAGCAAACGCCGTGGCCGGTCCTCCCGTAAACCGCTTTGATCTGTTCAGGGGCTACACCTGGTAGCATATGCGTAACAACGTGTAATTCTTGAAGAATCCTCCAAGGCTCTCCTCCTCTGCAGCCATCCATGCAGCAATGCCACTGATCCATGTCCAAGGTCTCCAACAGTTACAAAGTCTAACCACCCGACATGCTTGCAGTTCCAGGATAGAAAAATAGTAATTTGCAAACACAAAAGACCAAGATTGCTGACATTACTCAGCAATTAATATCTGCAAAGGTATATTAATAACATGCTCGCAAGTTTAATGGCCATTCAAAAATGCAGAAAATCAACAATCATGGAGTATGTTGCAGGCCTCTCCAGGCCAGTGGGAAATTTTTTTCCATCCACTTAAACCTGCTGCATTACACATCTTATACATTGCGTCCTAGAATTGAGGACCTCATAGTTTGATGTCACACACTTTTCTCACACTCTCCCTGCTGCACATTCACCAGCAGTGCAAAAATCAAAGTATCTCTCACTAAACTCCTACACAAAGATGTATGTACATTCTACACGTCTGAGCCCCCAATATAAGCAGATATAAAATTGCAGGGAGAGCCTGTGGTTGGCAGCGTTGCGCCATACAGAACAATTCCCATGGTGGGCCTCATGAGTTTTCGCAATCCAAAAAACAAGACACTCCTCATCTGCCAGCCCCGCATTTTGCTACGTAGATAGGATCAGAGTCAGGTCTGCCAGGCGTAGCTGCGGGTGCTGACATCGCTGTCATAGTTGGCGAGGCCGTAGCGGGGGGCGCCGCGGGGGCTGCCACCGCGGGGCGGGGGGCTCATCCCCCGCACGGTGGACGCCTCGCTGTCATAGCCGTGGTAGGCGGGGGGCGCCGGGTGGCCGCCCAGCACGCTGACATCGCTGTCGTAGCCGCTGCCCTTGCTCTGCACCCCGGACGTGCCGCCCTCCGGCAGCCGCAACAAGCTCACCTGGAAACCACACGACAAGATAATTTTTGCATCTTTGCTAATTTTCGCTGTGGGTGCAGCAGGGATAGAGTTGCAGCATGACTGCAGCAGACGTGCATGCCAGGCAGGTTGTGCAAAGCAGTGCAGTCGATATGGGCACCGCAGGGTCTGAGGTTGTGTTCTGGAGAAAGAAGAGATCTTTTGTCATGGGAACTCAAAGCGCGCCTGCAGGTTGTCGTGCAGGAACTCGTTGGCAGCGCGGATGTCCTTGTTGAGCTGGCGCACGCACTTGGCCCAGTCAACGACGTCGAAGGCGTACCGAGCGCGTGCCCGCCGCAGATCCTGTGCCGCCTCCAGCACCACATGCTGCAGCCCCTCCGCATCCATCAGGCCCAGTGTGTGCGCCTGCGCGGCCCACGCCTCATCCTCATTAATGTTCACTGCTCCTGGGCCGATGGATCGCTTTACTGTTGCTGCATGATGTTTGCGAGGTAGCTCTGCTGCCTGATGCCTGAAATGCCTTGGGCAGGCAGGTCATTGACTTAGCGAATTTACAAGTTCCGGGAGCCGCCTGTAACACGCCGATCTGAAGCATGCAAGCTACGGTGATTTAGAGAGGAAAAGTCGGCAGAAGATCTGGAGGTGCCTGTCCGCACCTGCACGGCCATGCCGACATGGCTGCGGTTGAAGAATATGTTCTGGTCGCGCCAGGCGGCGAGCCAGGCGGCCTTGTTGGAGCGGCGCGAGCGGAGGCTGCTGATGGTCTCCAGCGCGGGCACCACGCGGTGGATGAAGGTTGCCACCAGCGCGCACCGCCCATCCGGCCGTGTCAGCAGCTGAGTCAGCTTCTCTGCCAGCAGCACATCCCCCTGCGCACCACAGTCCATGCCATAGATGAGATGGGCCCACCCAAGGTGGTTGAAGGGTGCACAAAAGCTGCAGAAACGCTGGGACTATATCAGAACATATGCCCCAACTGGTAACCACCCCTTCTGCTATGTCAGACCGCTATATGAGACCATGGACTGTCTAGTGCGCAACAATTGGACAAGGTTGTACATCAGCAGCTTACCCTGCACCAACGCTTTTGACAGCCTCAGAAAATCACCAGGACCTGTTGATCAAAACTAACTCAGGGATGGGTCAGCATGCGGTTCTACAGAGAGGATTGAAGTCAGGGGAGTGGGCGAGCACCTGCCCATTGTCGCCGACAAAGACCCAGTAGCATTCTGGGTAGAGGACTGCAAACTGCTGAAAGCGCGCAAGCTTCTTCTGGTACAACTGGACGTAGAGCTGAGTGTTCAGAGTCTTTGGGTTGTCCTGGGGCGGCCTGTGTGGCACAGCAAAGGTGAATGTTGCTGCACCCTGGCGGGAATCTGGAGCATATAATAGGGAAAGGGGCCTTTTCTAAGACGGTGGGTTCAATTCTGTAGGCAAGATGCGCTCACCGGGTGCCTCGAGCATAGTCCCAGAGCGCCTTTGGCCCTGCTCGAAGGGACCCCAGCAGGAGGACTGGGTACCCGTTCATCTCTCCCCTCTGCACTAGCGGCCTGAAGATCTTCCTCAAAGACAGAGCTTCCTGCCAGGGTGCACAGCACTGGATCAAGAACGGCACTTCATGGTTTACATCTGAAGAGAACGTTGACATGCTGCTAAGTCACGCTCACAGGGGCATTCAGGTACTGCATCATCAGGGATGAGAGAACGCACCGTGAGCCCCTTGAAAGACTCCGGCCGTGCCGAAAGGAAGACCAGGTGCACCCACTTTTGGCGTGGCCTGTCCTGCCACCGCCTCCTTGCAGTGCTCAGCCCTTCCCCACCCTGCACCAAGATACGGTACCGTTTTGCCACATTCTCTCACTGCAATTGATTAAACATACTTCGCAAATTCATCACTTATGTCCTTTGGCAATACTAGTGCACTCCAATGGTCTAAGATAAGGGACGCGCCAGCATGGCATGACGCAGCCGCCGTCGTCCGGAGCGAGTCATCATCGGGGGCCACTCCTCCTCGCCGCCCGGCTGCCTTCCGCGCCCATTGTTTCCTCCCACCTCGCTCTCGTACGCCGATGCCAGGCTCTCAGACGGCGCGCTCAGCGGCAGCCCCTCGCTGATGTTGCCGCAGCGCGGGCTGTCCCCGGCCAGCCGACTCGACAAGCTCCCGCCGCCCCTCGTGTTCACCGTCGGTCGCGGAGGCAGCGCCCTAGCCTCCGGAGCATCTCTGGCAATGTTGGCGCCCCCATTGACCAGCGATGGGATGACGGCTGCCCCTCCCACCAGCGATCGCAAGCCTCCTCCCCCCTCAAAGACCCCGGCTGTGCCACTCGCCATGTGCCCGGCGCCGCCTGCCGGGATATCGCTCGGCCCCAGGAGAGCGTCCTCTATCGTGCTGACGTCCATGTTGCCGCTGGCCACGTGAGCGCATTGTTGCGTGCCCCCGTCAGCTTGTTGATCGGCGCCAGCTTCCTGGACGGACACAAGCTCCGGCGGCTGTGCGGCGCTGCTGCTCTCGGCAAAGGAGTGGGACGGGGGCAGGGCCGGCGGCCTGGGGAGGGCGTCCGAGGAGCCCAAACTGCCGTAATCCGCGATGCGCACCGTGGGCAGGTGACGCCCCACGATGGGCGGCTTGCCGCTGCTGGGCGGCCCCTGCTCTGCCGGCGCGCTGAACGGCGTCGTCTGTATGCCATCAGCGCTGGACGCTGTCCCGGGTGACCCGACAATGTCATTCCCTCTGCCGCTGCGGTTGTCGGCTCCAGGGATGGACACCGGTCCCGAGCGCGCGGCGGCCGCTCGGCCGGAATCAGCAAAGCCCGGGGAGAGGGCGTGCTCGCCGGTGCTGCTGCCCCGCCCCTCCAAGGCGCCGCTGCCCCGATCCCACTTACCCTGCCCCGGCGCCTCCGCCGCCTCCGCGGGCACAGGCAGCCTAGTGAGCTGCTGGCGAGGACTTGTGATCGGCGACTGCGGCACCGACGCCGCTGCAGCCGCTGCCTTCCAGCACTCCTGTTGCGAGGGGCAAGGACACGTCTTGTGAAGACTCCCTGTTTTTTGTGATGCTGCATTTCAACACAAGCACCTTTGTTGTTCAGCTGCTGTCAAGTGCATTGGTGCCCACCTCCACTCTGAGGACATGCCCAGCATCCAGCTCGTTGTAGAAAGCCAGCACTCCCGGGTACACGCAGTTGTGCGGATACCGCATGTCCCTTCCGGCAGGGTATGACCCGCCACTGCTCATCAAGGTGTCATCAATGTCCGACACAACCTGCAGGGCAGTACCCTTGTCAGGTTTGAGTATACAAGCCCTGGTGCCACGATTCTTGCTCCAGGCTTTTACGCACTACAAAGGTGTGGATCACAGAGGCAGCTTCTTGTGTTGTTGGAGGAGAGAGTGCAAGAGCACCACCTTCAGGCAGATGCCGGGTGGGCCATTGGGTAGCCGCGCAGCAAACTCCTCATAAGCTCTCCTCCCCTCAGCTGCTATGTGGCTCAAGGCATCCTGCTGTGCTGCGTCCTGGAGATCGGTGTAGCAGAGCTTGTAGATGGTGTGGTAATCCTGTTCCCAGCATTGCCTGTGAGATGCTAGGGATACAAGACAGCACTGACCAAACAGCAAAGCTTCTAGTACCAAAGGGAAAGTCCTACTCGCCAAGACCTCAAGCTGAGCTGAGTGCAGGGTCGGGTGGGGGGCACTCACCCCACCATCATCCACAAAAGCTTTTAGCCTGGTAAGGTCCGTCCCCTTGGTGGCTTTCAGTATCTCTGTGGCCCAGCGCTGCCGGCTGGGCCGATGCCTCATGCCCACCTTCTGCAGCGCGTCCAGCAGAGCCGCCCTGCAGTCCACCATCACATATGCTCAATTTCTCTGGGTGCCAGCTCCGTCTCAGTGATCAACAGGGGACAAGTCGAGTAGGGCAGAATGAGACTATATGCAAAAGGTGGCAAAGCACCTTGTGACAATGCGTAGTTCAGGCAGGCGCTGCTGTGGGGAGGTCAGCATCTCCATAGTGTGCCGCCCCGACACCTCCACGAGCGCCGCAGTGTTCACATTCAGCAACACGTAGTTCAGATCCATCGTGCTGCATCCGCTCACAATCTGGATGCACAGAGAATTCTAAGCCTTTGTACACACGTCTCCACACTATGCAGGACACCATTCCACTTGCTACGAATCGACTAGTGTTAAGAGCGCACTTCGTGGATGATCCTGCGGTGCTTGGACAGACTGCCAGCTACATGGGACACCACCCTTGAGGCCCCAACTGTGTAGCCCTGCCACTTGTTGATGCTGCTAATCACTGCCGACAGCAGCTCTGCCTTCCCCTGGGCTTCAGGCGATCCTGTAGGCCACAATGACTTTAATTTGCTGCAGCGCAATGCAAAGGCGCAACCTAAAAGCTGTACTTGTGATGTCTGCAATGGGCACTGATGGCGCTCGTTGTCTAGCCCACCTGTTATCGTGCTGATGGCAGGACTCCTGAATGGAGTCATGAAAAGATTTGCCTGAACCCTGTCCTCTACAAAAGATGCTGCCATCACCTGTGGTATCGATGCAGAAAAATTGAGGCTGAACCGTAAATCAGAGCTCCTTGTCACTACATAGGAGTTACAAAACTTGAATTTTCTACATAAGGCAATTATGCGCAGGAACACACCGCTGTGAATATGAAGAACAGGCCCTCAGATCCCTGGATGTCAATACTTCGGAGTGCAAAGACAAGCCACCAGCTCAACAAGGCGCTCAAAATGGCCCAAAAGAGTCTCCTGCCGGTCCGACTGCATCGTCGCCGTGACACATACCTCAGTCTCTGAAACCTTGATCTGCCATGTCAGCAAAATTATTGAAAGAGAAGATTCGGCCAAATGTGTACCTGAAGTGAAGAACTGAACGATCATTGCCCAAATAAGCAATGAGAAGGCCACTAATGGCCAGGGCGAAGAAATAATGTGCCATACTAGAGGCGTTTTGGTATCGTCCTAGCTATATAGAGATTGAAAACCCATACACTGGTCGTCTCGGTCTAAAATTCTTCCATAAAGACGTACTTCCATCACGATGATTTCTTCAATGACCTAACAAGCCTGTTTTCATGAGACATCCCATTCTGAAGATTCTCCAATGCGCCTTGACGCGATCGACGCAAGGGAAATTTTGGAATTTTGCCCGGTCGAACGAGGCGTTCCATTTTCGGCCAGTGGCGTGGCGTGAATTTGGACACAAACGTCCGCAATTCTCTTCTAATTGTAACATCGTGTGATGAATACATGCTAAATTAGATTAATTACGTGCTACTAGATTCGTTTTCCAAATTAGATCACATTTGCAAGTGGTGTTGGGTGAAATTTCATCTATGCTCGTTGGACGTCCCTCGGCGCCAGATGCTGCCATTACCGCGTTGTCACTGTGTTTCCAGAACGATCTGTGGTCACGTAGGTATGAGGTGTCCAGAAGCTGCATCTGCCGTGGGCTGAGGAACCCTGCTATTCATGGAGCCTTGCCTTCAAAGCCCCTAGGAGGACTTACACAAATCCAGCTCCCTAATGCTGGCCTGACTATCCGCAAAAATGACAAATTACTTCAGAAAGACTGGACAGATGGGAGTACTGGATCTGTCCATACCCAGGCTTCTCCAAGGGAGCCCTCTGCAAACGTGTCAGTCAAGCGGCCCCTGCAAAGGCCCCTGGAGCACGCCATTACAGTGGGCAACTGGGGAGAAGCAGTTGTTCTGATCGAGAGGTTGCTGCTGGTCGGCGCCCTGCCAGAGAACCTCATTTCAGATCAACTCCTCAAAGGTGGGAGGTGCTTGCCAGGAGGCCACAAGCTGCATTGTCATAGCTCCAATTGGTGGTCTCCGAGCAAGAGTTTTTGCCTTACATCAAATGCTCTGTGCAGGCCTGTGTGCAAAGGGAGCGTTTCGCACAGCATGGAAGCTGTACAGTTCCCAGCAGGGGCGGTCGAAGACGTACCAGTATTCAACCTACCAGGCTCTGATCACGGGTGCTTTTCAGGTGAGCGTAAATTGTTTTTAATATTCGTCTGTTTTGCCGTGTTTTCTGTCTCTTACGTAAAATGCTTCTGCAAAGTGGTGCTTATCGCCAGTGGGTATCCCCTATGTCTACTCTGCAACCCACTTATTCTGAAAAGGTAGCATTGACGCTGGAAGTCTGAAAGAAGCAAATCTGACAGAGTCGCTTACATGAGGTAATTATAGTGAGGATTGCTTGCTTCTGACAGGCGGGCGAGGCCTACGATGCTGTTCAAGCGTTCCGGGACCTTCAGAGCTCCGGCTTGACCCCAAACGTGATCACCTGGTCGAGCGTGATCAGCTCCCTGTGCAAACAGCGGCGCAAGGGGGCTCCCTGTGCCCACCTAGCATACGAGCTGTGGAGGGAGCTGGACGCCTCCGGCCTGGCCACCGGCAATGCTGCCCTGTATGCAGCAGGTGTGTAATTGCTCACCTTTGAAAAATGCTCTCTTTTTGGCATGCATTCCAGGGTTGTATCGGCAGAGCCGTGCTATGGAGCTGTGCCAGCTAGGCAGGAGGAAGATGCCTTTCATCAATTCAAATTTTTTGTGACATGCGTACATTGTTATTCGCATCACTTCTATTCAAAAAATACAGTGGAACCAAATAAATTGGGCTGTGGGCGTGCAGGGATGAATGCCTGCATCGGGCTGGGCTATGTGGATGAGGCGGCTGGGCTGCTGCGGACGATGCAGGGGTGGGGCATGCGGGCGGACGTCCGCGCATACAACATCCTGCTCAAGGGGCAGGCCAATGCGCACTCGCTGAGCGCCATGCAGGCCACTATGGCTGACATGGAGCGGCTTCAGGTGGCGCCCAGCGTCGTCACCTACAACATCCTCATCGACGCCTTTGTCAATGAGGGCCTCCTTGAGCAGGTGCTGCTCCATCTTGTGACCTCTTCAGCTACTCCTTTTGATTGACCAGCTCCTCTTGAAAATTTTCTGAGCTGCTAATTTCCGATCTTATCCCCTTGTACATGCGGTGGAGCACTAGCTTGGCAATGTGCGAGAACATGAGCCTGGGCTCCTGTGAGAGGGTTGCCATCTGGCAGGTATTTGCATGACTACAAGAAATGCAATGTAGGGAGTTACAGGATATCGAAAGCATATACAGCTGCCCCTTGGAAGCGAAGTTGTTGCTTGATATGAAAGGAGCTGATGGGATGTGTTGTGGGCGGCGCAGGCGGCGGCCAAGCTGCAGGAGGCGCAGAAGCTGGGCCTGCGGCTTGACCTGTGGAGCTACAACACGCTTATCAAGGGGTTCTGCCAGGCCAACCAGGTCGCCGACGCGCGCGACGTCCTGGAGGCCATGAAGCTGCAGAACGTCCAGCCCAATGTGGTGAGGCGGTTGTTCTTTTTTTGTTGATTTCTGCAGGCTCCACCTTGATCAAATCGTGGAGGGAGATGGTCTTTCTTGGGGGAGTTTGCAGGCCCAGAACACAGCTCTCTGAGACGAACTCTGCAGCATCTTGGCCTGTTGTGCTCAAGCTGGAGCAATTGAGGCAGAACGTGCAGGTTCATCCTTGGGCAGATCATGGCAACAATGTCATTGGGCAGTGTGCAAGCTTTGTTCTGAGTGTGAATAGGTAGGATACGGGTTCACATGTGCTGATTGCTGCGTGGGTGATACAGGTAACGTACACTACGCTGGTGGACGGCTGCGTGCGAGCCGGGGACCTGTTCCTGGCGGAGGAGATGCTGCGTGACATGCAGTTCATGGGCGTGCCTCCCAACACCGTCACTTTCAACATCATGCTGCGTGGCTACTGCCAGTGGTCCACCCGCCCCATCCAGGTTCGCCTACATTGCTCCCTGCTACAATGCCCACAACAGGTCTGATGAGGCTGTGATCACCCCCTTCCCTTGTCTCTGCAGCTCTGACACAACCCAGCATAGAGGGGAGACCGTCTTCTTGCGTCCCGTTCAGGGGCCTACCCAGAACGCCGGATTCCCTCAGGCTGCATTCTTACAAGTCGGACACAGGAAAATTCATGTGGGTAGGCAGGACATACCTTGCCTTGTGGCAGGAAAAGCAATGATAATGATAATGATAACGATAACGATAACGTTGCTGGACAGGATGCGCTGGAAACGCTGCGCAGCATGGGCATGGCGGGCGTGGTGCCGTCCACCGACACCTTCAACACGCTCATGGGCGCCTGCCTATCGCGGGGGGACCCGGGGGCCGTGCCGCGCCTCTTCAGGCGCCTCATCTCCCTGGGCCACACCCCCGACGCCCTCTCCTACACCAGCCTCATCACCTCCCTCACCCGCCTCGGCCGCCCCGAAGACGCCGTGAGCCCTGCCTCCTTGTTAAACCCTCAGTTGTGTTCTGGTGGTCATCTGTAAATAGCTGGCTGCCCCAAGGTTGGCAACCTTTCAACATGCATACCAGGGGATGTGTAAAAACAGGCCTGCCTCTCATCTGTCGAGGACCAAAGCCCAATTGCATGGCAAGTGTCTACACAGGCTCTGTGATGAGGAACAGAGCAGATAGAATGTGCAGGCAAGTACTGAGAGGAGACGGTGTGACAGGTGCTGGCGTTCCGAGCGATGGAGGCGGATGCGCGTGTTGCGGTGGACCTTGCCGCGCTGAATGCCGTTGTAGACGCGCTCGCTCGCTGCGGCCGCATGGGTGATGCGGAGGACCAGCTGGAGCGCGCCACTGAGCTCTGCAGGAGACGAGGTGCCGTTCTCGCGCCAGCACTGTGTGCTACACCCCTGACTGCTCCGCAAGTCCTTGGTTGTAGCTGCATGGAGGGGGCGTTCAGGCAAACATGGATCACACCATGCAAGGCAGATATAGGGAACCCCCTTTCACTGGGCACCAATGTCTTTTTTAAAGCCATGGATGTCCCCTATTCTGTCATCTTCATGGCTTTGAGGATTCAGACACAGACATGCGCAGCCGAACCGAGGTCATTCCTCTTCATGCCAAGACCCGTTACCGAGGGCTCAGGACAAACATAACGTCTGGTTATAAGGATCAGCTAAATTTGGGCACCCTAGGCTGACTTGCACCATGTTGCGCTTAGGCCGACCGCCGCCGTTGGAGGCGTATGGGGCGCTGCTGGCGGAGTACGCGCGGCGACGGGACGCGGATGCGGCGCTGGCGGTGCTGCAGGAGTTCTTCGAGCGCGGCGGCACGCCAGACGACCAGATGTTTGACACCGTCATGGACCTGTGCATGCGCACCGGCGAGTTCCGGCGCGCCATGCAGGTTTGCTGGCCACCCCTGACAATCGCACCTCATGTGCACTCTTTAGTCCACTTTGTTTGTGAAGCAGGCATCAGTGTGTGGCTTAGCTCGCATGTGCTGCAGTCCAGGTGCAGTACGTGATGCAGCTACTCCTGATCAGCGCTTCATGGCTTGACAATCTGTGCATGAGAGCGGAGTGGTCTCAGACAGCATGTAAAATCTGCTGTGTGCATGCACTTGAGATGGATGCTGGATCGTTGGTGCACACACAAGTGGCAAGGTTCATAGCGTAGTCCGGGGCTGACGAGAGCGGTGCACTGCCCACAGGCGGTGCGGGCGATGGAGGCGGTGGGGAGGCAGGTAGACAAGGCGCGCATCAAGCGGGCGCTGGAGGACATGATGCGGCGGCAGAGCGCGGCGCTGCAGGGGCGACAGCGCAGGCGCAGCCGCAACGAGGGCCTGGAGCGGCTCAAGTTCTGGCTGGGCATCCCCAACAGCTACTACGAGTCCGACTGGCGCGCGCAAGAGAGTTCTGAAGAGAGCAGCAACGACTGGAGAGAAGGCGAAGACTGATAATGGGAGTGTGAGAGAACACCAGGTGTCGACACGAGTGACAAGGCGCGCAGCATTGTGAGGACAGTGAGACCGATTCGTTTGCTATTCTTTTTACTGCTGGAGTTGCTAGTTGATGCGCAGCCCGCACATTGCGGGCCGTTTGAATTCTTTGCCAAGGGTATCTGATGCAATGTATGGAACTGTTGATAATGGGAAGCACTTGAGAACCTATGCAAACCAATTCATATAAAACCAACAATCACTTCTTACATGGCATGGATTCAGAAGATGCCATTGACTCTCAATTGATGCGACCAAACAAAAATTTCTCAGCATGCTATATAGCTAAATATATTTAGCTATATATATAGCTGAATTTAGAAATATCAGAACACTGCTGCGTCACCAAGGTCCTGCCCAGCCATGCCATCCTCCTTGACTGCTCGCCTGAAGAATTCCTCCAGTGTGTCCTTGCCATAGCTGGGGGTCGCATCAGCGTCATACTCTTGTCTCTCTGGGTCGTACACAAGCATGCTCTCTGTGGCATAGTACTTTCCAATGCGGCCAAACTCTGCAGAGTCCTGCGCCGGCAGAAGCATCCTCTTATCACCGCAGGTTCCTCAAAAGAGTACAAGACAATTGGTCCATGCCTTTCCTACCAGGGGCCAGGCACCTGGTGCCTTCATGTTCGGCACTTCAGGATGGCACCTCAGGATCCACTGGGATGACATGTTGACATAGCATGGGACAACATTGAGCTATTCGGGTGGAGGTTGCATGGGGGTACCTCCAGGCCAGGGAAGACTTTGGCGAGGAGATCCAGGAAGCCGATAATGCCATCCATGAGGGCCACAGGCACCTTTATGAAGTTGGGCTTGCGCTCTGCCAGCTCAAACAGGTACTCGCCTTGTTCCAATGCTGTCCATGCCTTGCCAGGGCCTGCACACATGCAGAAGTCAGATCGAAACTGTAGTGCACACACCAAAAGAAACGCCAATATGGGTTCCATATCCCATTCAGAGCTTTTTATTCAAGCTCCACTTGCGTGCTACTTCACATGTCTCTATCAAGGTTTTGTGCATGCTGGCTTGAATGAGCGCACCTCCGATTGGGAGAACTTGGTTGGCCTTTGACTGGTCCTTCACACAGTCAGCCATGAAGGCTCCCAGGTCTGCCTCACTGATGGGCTTGCATGCAGCCAAGCGCCCGTCCCCAAACATGACATACGGCTTTCCCTCCTTCACCAGTTTCACCTGTGATTCCACAGTGAGACTAAATTTTCAGACATCCTTGTTCTAAGAAGAGCAATTCTTGAGTTAGCAGATGACAGCGGCAGCCACCACAGAAGTACTGGTCTGTGCTTATATAAGCACAATCACCTGTCCTGCGACGGACTTGAAGAAGGCTGTTGGTCGGACGATTGAGTATGTGATGTCCCCAGCTGCCTGCAGCTCAGCCTCAAACTTGAGCTTGGCATGCTGGAACTCCAGCAGGGGCTTCTGCACGCAGATGGCGCTCAGCAGCACAAAGTGCGCCGCTCCCTTCTGCCTCGCAGCCTCCAGCACATTCATGGTCGCCTGGTAATCGATGTCCCACGAGTCTTTCTGTGCACCGCACAGCAGCTCGTCAAGCCGAGGCCGGCACCGCTTCCTTCAGCGTCATTTGCTCTACGCGCATGCAGGCCTGCGCAGCGTAGTAATCATAACATGACTCACCTTCCCGCCGGTGCGGCTGGCCAGGCAGGAGACCACCACATCAACAGGCTGGGCAAATCCGACTGTACTGAGGGACTCCACATTTTGTACATCCCCGAACTTCACGTCAGCGCCTTCAAACTCCTGCATCACATTCCCCATGAGGTCTCCTCTTTGACATACAGCCTGCACCACTTGATTGTGGAATGCTTCTGCATGCACACGATGCTGGCAGGCGCCAACCTTGACGGTGTCCTCCATTGAGGCCTTGCCCCCCACTCCGCTCTTTTCCCGCGCGAATGCCACCACGTCATAGCCCCTCTTCACCAGCTCCTTCACGACAAATTTGCCGATGTATCCAGTGGATCCCACCACCAGCACTCGGATGTCCTTGTTGTCCTTCGATCTGTAGTCTGCGGTGGCCGCTGCACACATGAATCGGTGCATGTGCCTTCCTGCCCTGGACCCCTGGGCTGCTGCCCTGGATCCTTGCAAACGTGACTGCAACTGCACAACCATGTTCTTCGTTGAGGTACGAATTGTACAGTAATGATTGGACAGGGAAAGGTCACAACAAGAAGGTTTCATTCAATGGATTGGGAAAAAGACATTTGAACTGTCGACCCACCAGGTGCGATCTGGATGGAAATTGCTGGTTCTGGCATTGAGATCGTAATTTTGTGTTAGATCTGTACAGAATACTGCAGTGGGTCAGAGGCAGTGCTGGGGTGCTTCTGTGCAACACTGAAGCAAATCCAACTGACGATTGATGCATTGTCTGTGCCATCACAGTTTGACCTCAATAATACGTAACGTCAATGCCCACAGCAATATATATAAAAACACTCTCCACCCGGTGGGGGTCTTGCTGATTTGCAAAACAGGCGTCTTAATAATTGGAAAACGATACAATCAAAGACGCAAAATCACAAACTGCAGTCGCCTGCCTTCAATGGACAAATGCAAGTGCATTTATGTAGGATTTTATCGCACCTGATCAAACACCTATCAAAGATATGGATTTGGGACCACGTGCCCTTCCTGCATTTCGAGCGCGCCACGTATTCCTTACTTCTTTAATGGGCCGAACGGAAGCAATACTCAAATGCATCGAAAGATTGATGCATTTTCGTGTCGGAGAAAGCTTTAACGATGCTTCTTACCCAACTCCATGGTGATGCCTTGTCTATGAGACAGTCACATACTGTCCATCAGCCTTTTACCAGTCTAAAAGCCTTTGGAACCCGACAAAGGCGACATCACAACCGTCTTGCTTCTCGCGTAAATTCTGCTGGCGATCAAACAATTGCAACGTGAGAGCCTCGATAGCTGCATGTCTGTATCTGGATTTCTTGATCACCTGATGCTCTTGTTCAGAACAGTCACCAAAGCAAACCATTCTCTACTAGATTGTAGAGGGGGCGCAATGTAGTACTAGCATTTGATACTGAAAATGACGCTGTGTCAATTATCATTGGCGCAGGCCTAAACAGTACCTGCCCCGGGGCCCTGAAGAACTTGTTGACCAAGCTCTCAGTGCATCCCAACGAGCATTTGCCGACGGAGTAAAGAGACAGCGGATTGAGCTGCTCCTACCATTGATTGGTGCCACGGATCTTGATGACTGGTGCGTCTGCAATGTCCTCAGCTCTCCGAATGAGCATCATTCTGGCATCGAGCGAGCCCATCAATTGCATCTCAATCCTGAAGAATAATCATTCCTGTGCTGCCAGGCCTGGCGGGATAAGGCAACAGTTCAAGGCAGGGCAGCCGATGGTGGAGAGCCTTCTGCGCAGCCTGAAGAAGGATGAGGCGTTGCAGGGGCCGCTGTCAGCGCGCATATTAGATCAGGGTGACGCTGTGGGCGCTTGGACGTCACCCCGTCTGGCCGCCATCCTTTTCCCCACACCAGAGACATTAAAGCAGGCATGCACATGTGGGCAAATGCCCTGCGATAGTTGTGCGCAATAGCTGCGCTTAGGTTTTGATATACTCCGTGAAGGTACAGCATCGAAAGAGAATGGCAGAAGGCAACAGTATTGTATTGGGGACTGTTTTGCAGATGAGAGAAATTGTGGAAGGGCTGAGTCCTGGTGGGCTAGCACTGATGATCAACCCTCAATGGCAGCCAGGCAATCTGGTGAATGACTTTGGCATTGGACCATGGAGGCGGAGGTCAGAGGACTTTGTAGCCTCCTTTGAGGAGGTGTACATCCTGAAGCAGATGCGCATTGCAGGAGACAATGTCAGGTGTGTTACTGTCTTTACCAAGCATGCTACTGCAGGGACTGCCTGTCTTGTTTGCTCTACTACATGATATTTCACATCAAGTGATCGGGATCATTTCACACCATGACTGTGTCGTGGCAGGCTTTTACGCACATATCCAGGTGGTTGGCAAGTATATCTTGCTCCAGAAGGACAGGCTCCAGAGCTCATCACTGTTCTGGTGCGCTGCTGCGGTATAATGACGACTTCTGCTGTGCTGCTGTCATTGAGTTCAATTCAAAGGGATGAGCTTGAGCTCAAAATGCAGGAGTGTGACCTTGTTTCAGCAACTGCGGCTGGTGCAGGATACACGGCCATCCTACAAGGAGCTCGAGGACTTGCTCCGAGCTACAGAGGGATCCAATGCAGGGAAGACCTGGGTTGAGCGCATCAAGGGGGAGTTTGCTTTCAATAAGGACTCCTTGGACAGGAAGTGAATTGTCTGTGTGGGCTCTCAGAGGTGTAGCAGCTAGAAGCTTCTTGTCAAATGTGGACTCGTTTATTGGATGTTGGAAGCAGACAGCGCAGTTATGTTGGATAATGTATTGAGCAGAGCCAAGACAGGGCTCAGTGTAACACAAGTTGATCAAATCTACTTTACAATTTACAATTCTTTTCTCTTGATTCTACGATTCCAAACTCAGATTTTGTTGATGTGTGAGGTGTTGCTCCAATGGAAGCATTTTTTTGGCAGCACTGCACCTAAATCATCTCTCAAAGTCAATATTGATACAATCACGCTGGCCAGTATCCAGAGAGCAATAATTTCTAGCTTGATTACTTCTCACAAATCCTTCAATGTGGACTCTCTAGCAAAGCTGTCTCCAGGCTGTTCTGCAGTATAGACCGATCACCTCGGACAAAAGTCATATCCATGCATGTGCTCATGAGCAGTACAAATGGGCCAGTTTAGATTGTACAACTCTCAGAAGCACCGTACCTGGACCGGCAGTCTAAAGAATACTGATTAATTCGACATTATTCCATCAAGCGGCTCTAATTCTCAGCTATTGTGCGCTGTGCTTCAACAGATGGGCGCTGCTCTGGGATGCTGTTCATCAGATCATCCAGCTCCAGGGCAAAGGTGACAGTGGCGCGGTTGCTGCGCCCGCCCACGTGCAGCAGGGAACCTTCTTGCAGAGCCCAGATTTGGGAATGTGACAGGTAGCTCACCAATGTGGTGATCATGAGCCCTGTGTGCAGTAAGTTTGTAATCACGCATTGTGACAGTACACCCTGAACTTCCCAGGTACCTCATTCTGCAGGTATCAGACATCAAGGGTTGAACATGAGATGCCAAAAGAGAATGAAGGAAGCAATTGACTGACCTGCAAAGCCAGCGTAGACATATGGCACTCCAGGGTCCACCTTGAGCTCCAGGCCTGTGCTCCCCACTATGTCATCAACGATTATTGTCATGCCATCCACCTGCGCAGTTCAGGACATGTGAGACTTTGCACTCCTTCGGGCACTAGTAACATGTTATTGCCACACGCTGTTCCTGTCAAGAGAGGCAACTTGCATCTGCAGACAAACTGCAGGTGAAGGCTGCCTTTGCGTGTGCACACATGAATTGCAGGAATGAGCCACTATCAGCCAGTCTCTTAGAAGCAGTGATGGTGATCACCTCGATAGGTTTCTGAGAGCCGGGCCGTCTGATGCCGGCAAAGGTGCCGTCCATCTTGTACAGAGCCACCGTCTGGAAGTCTCGCGCAACAATGGACACCCCCCGCGGCTTGGTGCTCCTCAGGTCGGCCGGAGGCGGCTCCATCGGCACGAACGTCGCCCAGAGCTTGCCCTTCACCCCTGCACAGCTCACTCAACCCGCCTGTCAACACAGCGCGCACAGAAAATGTACGGTAATCAAGCTTGGTTGATGCGGTGGCATGGGTGGCGGAGCAAGGGTACCTGGCTTGCCGTCGAGGGAGGCCATGGGAAGGTTGAAGGCGCTGCCGTCGGCCGGCTGCAGCGGGGACCCTGGAGCACGCACTGTGAGGGCCGCCATGCTGTAATCCGTCTGGTACGCCGTGATACCCTGCGCGCAGGCCACATGCATGTTACGCATGCCATCACACTCAAAACATTCCTGCTCAATCTCTCTAGATCTGCAGTTGCAGAGTATTCTGCTCAGGCAAATGATGAGGTGTCATTGCTTTGATGTGAATTGAGAGAATTAAGCACTGGTCTCCTTTGGAAAGGGAATGGCATGGACGCATGCAGGGGTAAGGCACCTGGTAGCGCAGGGGGTCGTTGACGGAGATGGACTTGCGCAATTGCTCGCGCCCCTGGCCGTCAAACACGCTGAGGTCGCTCACGAACTGGTCCACGCTGCCGTCCTCGCGGTACTTCACGTCAAAGCTATTCACGTGCAGCATGGCGGCCGCGCCCCGCGGCTGCCGCGCAAGGGCGCTCCTGGGCGACAGCGCCTGCGAAAAGATGAAGTCCCCCCCCTCTGGCACCATTGCTGTCCCCTTGAGCCCAGCCAAGCAACCATACGTCACCCCTGCACATGCACACAATGCCTTTAAGCACATGCCATCACATGCTAGACAGGCCTGCCATGCGCCTTGAATGGTTGCAAGCAGAGACAAGGATGCCACATTCATTGTCATCTCAGGACCTTCAGATCAGCACAATGTGTTTCCTGAGGGCATAAGGAGGGTGCACTTGCGACGCACCTGCCATGACCAGGAGCATGGCAGCATGGACTCCGATGGGCCCCAGCTTGCCGGCCAGGCCCTTGAAGGCGTAAAGGCTGCCGTCCCTCAAGAACACCTGGTAGCCGCTCTGCTGCAGCGCCTGCCCCATCAAACGCACATCCGCGTTCGGCAGCGCCGCTGCAGTGCCCTCCTTTGCCATCGCATACACTCGCTCTGGTGTCTGTGCAAAACGCCACCTGCCGCAATTCAACACATGCTGTCAGCATTTGTCACCACAGCACACCCTCCCCGTCCCTCTCAAAGAATATCAACCCTGCAATGATGCAGAGTGCAACATCGTTTTCACCAGGGGAGAATGCGAGACGCACAAGGCAGTGCAAGCGCCAAGAATGGCGAGAGGCAGCCTTCACGGTGTAAATATAGTGGATCAAGAGAATAAACATCTCCCGGCCCATTGAAAGTGCAACTTTTGTTGGGAGTGGCGAAAAGGCTGGTACTGCGCACCGGCGCGCCACTCTGACCATGGGCCACTGGCGAGTGGAGGTACATGCTGCCAGAGATGCAGCCAGTAGTGCCATGAGGGCCAGAAAGTAGTTGGCTGAGTAGATGTGGTCCCACTGCAGGGCCTTGATCAGCTGCCAGTCCACAAAGCCAATCACCTTGTCCGGACCATCCGGGTAGTTCTGCACAACATGCATGGTCAGTATTTCAGCGCACCAAAGTAATAGAGAGCAGCATTGCAAACCAGGCGATACACTGAGCGACAGAGGAGGCGAGGTTGAAAAGGTGAGCACCTTCATGTAGTAGGCCAGAGATCTGTTCTGCTCTATGACTGTGCCGATGGCAGAGAAAAGGGCAATGACCGCCAGCTCTCCGATTGCAAGCGGCAGGGATGAGAGCTGCCTCAGCACGCGATTCCATACCACCTTCACAGGCGATGGCGTGGCTGCCGGTGGACTGCCCCTGCTCTTCAGCTTCCCGATGCTGAGACCTTCCTGGCTAAGAGGAGGTGCTTCTGCACCACAGCAGTGATGTTGAAATTCATGCCAGCTCCGAAAGACAAGATGAAGTGCAGTACTCGATTAAAAGACGTCCAAGTGACCTGGGCAACGGTGTAGAGAATGCTGCAAGGTGCCCTGTACCTTCCATTGGAGCTATCTTCGGTTGCGCACGGGCAATTAATTTTGCCAACTTTCGTCTTTTGCTTCTAGACAAGTTCCCGCATGATGCGATAAGGGTGCACAGCTCGATCTGCGAAAGACTCTGCCTTGACAGGAGCGGCGCAAGGCGCCTCTCCGAATAAATATTTGGCCTGCTATAATGCATTCGACAAGGCAGAGTCATCGAGCTGATGGATCTCCCACTTGTGCTACATACCGACATAATGAGTCTGTGAGAGACAAGCAAGCTCACAGAGCGATTTACTATGCTTTGTGTAAAAGCGTAGCACGTTGCCTTTTCAGTGCCAAGCACGTTACAAACTTTAAGTGCTATGGTGAGATGAAGTGTGTGCTTACAGCACTGGAAAGGAAGAACATTGCCAGGAAGTACCTCGACACTTCTGGTACAACCTTCAATCTTAGTGCCAGCGTGGCCTCATCTTGTCCAGGTCAGATGGCTTCCCTCCATTTCGAAGCTGGACGGTCTGAGGTAAGAGGCGAACTTACTAGATCAGTGTTCCCCTGGTGGCCCACATTCCCAGGTTGAGGGCAGCAGCACTTCATGTAGAGCTGCCATCCTGATGGATCCTAGCTAGGATGCTGGGGCCGCGGCGGCCGCCCCGATTGTACAGGGCCGGCCAAAGATCCAGATGTCACATCATCATGATGGTGCATGCATGCATGTCACACGCACAAAAAAGGTGCAAATCAGCACATTTTCCCTGGGCCACCCCTTCAAAAGCTTACACCCATCACCAATGACTCATCTATGAGGTCTATTTACATGCGTGCAAGTGCACTGGCGCCAGTCAGAATGGTACGGCGCCACTGGCAGACTAGCTCGCTATTTGTGGCGCCTATAGGGCACAAAGACAATTAAGGTACATTTGCCAGCGCACAAGAGAATTTCTCAGCGTGATGATTTGTAAGGATGTAGCTTTCCTCCTCGGCCAAAGCAAATGATTGCCCACACACTTCAGACTCTGGAATCCACTCAAGACTTAAGCCATAGCAATCTTGCTCCATGTTTCACAGAACTCTCAGAATACCAAGAGGAGTCTCTGAGAAATGTGGGGACAGATTCCTGTTCAAAGTATTCGCACAATGCAACTGTTCAAGTTGTTAAAATCTGACGGCGCAAAGTGAACAAGTTCTTGTTGAGGATCTTGCGTTCGTTGATCCTGACTTTGAGAATGTCTGCTCTCCTCTGCAAAGATGTCACGTTCAAAATATCCTTCCCAGCAAGCTGCGCCATTATGTTATTCAGAGCCTCCTGATCGGCTGCTAGCGTGGCAGGGATCGCTGTCAGAGCTACCTTGCACTCCTTGGTGATGAGATTTATGGCACCCTTTCTGGCAGAACCATCGACGACGCCTGTCTGGTCAATCTGCGAGACCACCTGCAGGCAGTGCACACTGTCCTCAGGATCCAGAATTTGCTCACAGTCGTTAGAGGAAAGAATCATCAAGCCCACCAACCCCCTGCATTGTTAAAACTTAAAACTCACTACGCCACGTGCTGCCAGAGATGTTCCATTGTGCAGTGCTTACCCTTCTGTCAGGAGCCTCTGTGCAGAGAAATGCTGCATAATTGATCAGCTTCTGCGGCAGAGAGTCCAGACGCAGTGGGAACTCCATGCAGGCGCTGTGGCCTGCCTCCTCGAGGAGCGCTCTCTTGGCATCAAAGCAGGGATCGTCACGTTGGAGGCTCAGGCGGAGGTTGCATGCACTGTGCGGGTTTGACAGCGGGGCGGGCATGAACCCATAGGACAGCAGCAGCTGCGTATCCGACTTCTGCCCATAGGACACATATACCTGCACCAATGCACCAGCCCCCTCGTTACCAGCGCTTCTCAGCCATGCAGCAACCAGAGGAACTCAGGCCACAATGACATACAACAATGTGACTAAGAGCTGTGTTTGCCTGTTCTCCGGGCTGGTAAGTCCCGTCAGTGCGCAGGACCACTGAGCTGGAAGAGCTGTCCCAGTCCAAGAAGCAGTTGGCAGAGGGGCTGTGATTCAGGAGGTCCGCCCACGGCACACAGGCCTCAAGATCCTGCTTGCCTGGAAGCCTGATGAGGCGTGACAGGAGCATGGAGAAGCCCCATCTGAGGTCCTGCTCTGTGAGAGGCCCCCCGGGCATGGAGGCAGACTCCCTGAGAATGGGCGCAAGCTCTGCAACAGATGCGCTGCAGGCTGCTATGATCTCATCTGCAGCCCTCATAGCTGCGGTCCCCCGCAACAAGTCCACCTGCACATGAGCACGCATGCTTCGGTGTCAGGACTTCCTTCAGCATCTGTGAGCCACATGTGTGCACGGAGGGAGGAACGGGAACTTGCCTCTTCTGAGGCCCATTCTAGAACACAGCCAGTCTGCGATGGAAGCGCATCCACATATTGACCCCACACATTTTTATCGCCCTCGGGCTGCCGTCTTGTCTCAGCGAGGAATGTTGCCAGCACGCTCCAGGCTGGGACTCCACAGCTCTCAAGCAGGCCTCCATATGCTGAGTGCTGAAGGGCCACATCAGCAGTCAGCAGGAGCTGGGCAGGAACATTGAGGAGCTTCTCATGCTTCCTCACGCGCCGGGTCGCCACCAAGCCCCTGCCTTCAGGTATTTCATGGCTGATGGCAACCTGAGTCGGACAAGGCAGTGTTAGATCACTACGTTCCGATGAAGAGTCACCAATGCGTCATGCAAACCATAAGTGTATGATTAGATGTACAGGAACATCTTTGGCACCTTCTGAGGTGGTAGCCCCCTATGAGTGAGCCAGTCTTCCAAGGATCCAGGCAAGTGAATTCGATAGGCATTGCCAGTGACTTCTTTTTTAGGACCAAAGAGTCTGATTAGCGGTCGATTTGTGGTATTTATGCACACCATGGCCCATCTGCGGCATGTAGCATCTCCCAAATTTGATCAAATGCTCAGTAGATACCTATCATGTTGCCCTTTGGTACACATAAAACTCTGTGATCAACCTGTTCTTCGAACAAACCAACAAATCGCAACGATCCAACTTCTCACACCAAATTTGCAACTTTCTGATATGATAGGGTTTCTCGACACCTTGCTGGCTCGCCAAATTAGGCTCAAGAGTGCCCATTTCCAAATTCATCCCACGCCAGCCAAAGGCGTGCCAACCCCTTGTTATGGTGTCCTCCAAAGGAAATTTTGTATTAAGATGCCATGCAAATGCGTAGCAGTTCAGAAAATTTGCGGATCAAAACGTTAGGCAGGAATTATGTCTCTATGACCGTTGGTCTCGATGCATAAGTTTGCGAAGACAGAATTGCAGCCATTCGCCCAAAAAGAGAAGAAGAATGTACTCAAGCCACTTTCAGCTGTAGAAAACAGACTCCAGGTGAAGCAGGCGGCCAAGAAACAGCCAACGGACAGAGCCCAGGAAAGAATCGTAGCAGCCAACAAAGAGAACAGGAAAGACACAGGTGGGACCAGGCCAGTGCCAGGTTACTTAAAAGCGACGGTCAGCTCTCGGAAGAAGGTGGACGTGAAGGAAGACTGGAGCAACACGATGGAACAAGAATTGGCAGGCCTGCAAGGAGACTTCGCTGAGCTCAAGCGTGAGAGCTTCAGGGCCTCACTTGCAGGGCCTGGCAGCGAGCTAAAGGCTCCGAAACCCTTCCTGACCTCCACCTCCCCGTCAGGGTCCTCCATCATAGCTCGTCTGCAGGCCCTCAAAAGGGAAAGTGCACAGCTTCTTGAGAGCTCCTCCACCAGAGGTGCAACAGACCTGCCACCCAGCAGCGCCCCAGCCGCAGCGCAAGCATCCAATCCATCTCAAGGAAGGGTTCTACAGCCGATCACAAGAGAGAATGCCAGAAGCTCCACGGCAGCAGAGCGAAGCAGCTTCAGTGAGATTTGCTTCGAGGCAGCTGGGCAATGGGAGACTCCCAGCCTGGCACAGGCGGCGGAGGAGCTCTTCAGCGACTCCACCTTTGCAGAATTGTGCGAGCGCGGCCTCACTATGCAGCTGAAGCGCACCAAAGACGGCGCCACGGCCGAAACTCGCATTGCTGAGCTCGCAGGTGATCCTTGCAGCCATCAAAATTCCTTGCATCCCTGTCAGTGTTGGACTGTCAGTGTCAGTGTCAATTGAACAAAGGGGTTAATTTGTGCATCTGGAGCGCAGGTCTTGTGAAGCTTCTGAGAAGGTGCTTGACCCAGATGTCCACAAGGACACGCTCGTTTATAGAGACCTGCGTGAAGTTTGAGAAGGAAGCCAGGCAGCAGGTCAGGCCTGCTGCCCCTTTTCTCTCTCAACGTAACTTTGCTGGAACTGAAGGTGCCAGCTCGACCTTTTAGACATTGGCAGTGATCATCCAGGTGTCACCTGGTCGGCACACATGCATCAGAAAGTCAGCAGCTCTGCTCATGCCATGTGGGCGCAGGTGGAGTCGCTGGAGCTGGCGAGGGACTCTGCAGCAGCCAATCACAAGAGGGAGCTGGCAGCGGCGCAGCGGGATGCAGCGCAGGTGGCCGCTCAGCACAAGAGCGCCGCCGCTTCCTGGCACACCGACCTGGACACCTACAAGTCAGAGGTGCGCACAGCTGGAGCAGAAACTTTCTCATGATGTGAAGACGATACTCAAGCCCTGAGCTTCTCGACTCAAGACGTGGGTCCAGGACTATAAGATGTATGGGTCTTGTGAGAATATTGATGCATGGTTGCTGGAAGCGTGAGCTGATGGGGTGCCCTGCAGCTGAGCTGCCTGAAGCGGGAGCTGGAGCGCATGGAGAGCGAGCGGGACCGAGCCCGCGAGGAAGCCAGACTGTGCGCCCCAAACTGCCCCCTTTGCCCCTTCTTGCCACCACCGTGGTATCTTACATGATTTTGAGGCTCGTTAAATAGACTATGCCTCATCCAAACCCTCCTTCATCCAGCACATCTGATGCCTTTTGCTGGCGCCTTCTGGGTGTTGGACGCAGCCTCACGTATAGCCGACTGCCCCTCTTGATGCTTTGCCAGACTCTCAATCTAGTCTTGAACTTTGACGTGTTCCATCAATGTAGTCCCATCACTTTGACGTCTGTGCGCATGCGGCAGGGCTGTGGCGTCTCGATCGGAGCTGGAGAGCATGGCGCAGGGGGTCAAGCGCGAGACTGGGCAGCAGCTGAGGGAGCTGCAGGTCGACCACGGGGCCGCCATGCGCCAGCTGGCCGCCGTGCAGGAGGCCTCCGAGCGCGCACAGGCCCGGCTGCAGGTGCCCAGCCCCCTGACAGGCACTCCCACATCATTTTCCTGTCGTGGCTATATTTCATTCCTCTGGGCTTTGGTGACCAGGTCTTTTGCATTGCTGAGTTGCTCTCTGGACAGAGGTTATCCTTGTGCAGGCGGAGGTTGGCGCTGCCCAAGAAGCCAAGGAGGCGGCGGCAGCAAGGGCGGCAGCTGTCGAGGAACAGCTATCTTCAGTGCAGCAGGTGGGGAATTTACCACATTTTAGACGCATGTCCATTTGTCTATTTCCAGCCAGTTCTGAAAAGGTTTCTGCTTTGCTTTTGAATGTTTTGAGACTATTGCGAATGCATTGCAGAGGTTGGACCAGGCGGTGGAGGCACTGGAAGCCACCAGGAGCAAAGAGCAGGACCTAGTGGTCCATCACAAGCAGGTCAGCCTTCTCATAGCCGCAATATCTCAAATTCGCCCCCTATCCTCACTCATCTCCTTTTGGCACTGCACGAGAACTCCAAAGCACTCATCAAAGCAACCACCTTCGAGATCCAACCAACATGTACAATTACAGCTGTAATGACAGTCACCCTTGACTCTGCAGCTGTCCTCGGACTACTTGGCGCAGCTGGCCCGGTGCGAGGCGGCCGAGGCCGACTGCGCAGCACTCCGGCGGGACTGCGGCGCATCCCAGGAGCGCAGCGCAGCGCTGGCCGCGGAGTGCGACGCCCGCGCGGCCGCTCTTGAGGCCGCTTCGCAGCGCCTGCAGGAAGCGCACGCGGCCCAAGCCAGCTCCAGCCAGGCCTGGGAGTCTGAACGCGCCTCTCTGCAGGTGTGGTCCTGCCCCTGCTAAATTTTCATGCAACATTGCTGCACTGTAGTATGGGGAGCATCCAGTCTGCAGATTTATTAAATACAAAGAGTCACACCAACCTGTTGCACCTCATCAGTCAGAACTTATATAAGTGCAGGAAATTAATAAGTGCTCTTCTGGCATCGGAATCTACTTGGCTTCTGCAGCAAACTTTACCACCCCCTGGTGGCGGTCTACCCACTAGAGCAGCTGTGAGCAAAAAGGTGATTTATACCAAGAAAGCTGATGTGGCGTGTGGGCAGGGTGCGCGTGATGCGGCATTGGAGCGAGAGGCGCAGCTGGCGGCAGAGAAGGCGCAGCTCAAATCGGGGCTGGGCACCGCGCTTGAGCAGAAGGCTCTGGTGGAGAGCCAGCTGGCCGCCGCCCACTCGGAGCAGCACTCGCTCCGCTCTCAGGTCCGCCTTTTCCCTGTCGTCCCTACCACTCTTTAGCAGCTGGGTACCTGGGCAAGTCTGAGATCTGTACGCCAGCAATGCAACACTGTGGCATGCTGATAAACGGGCCGCACAAAACAGGCCCCGTATAATTGAGCCTTGATCTCTCCAAACCCTGCTCTGCAGGGGCGCTGTTGCAATTATCACTCTCAAATTTCTTGGAGGAATTCCTTATTGAAGACGCGCAAACTGCCAACTGTTGCCCCTTGCACACTTGCCAAGCGCCTGTCTTGGTAACAGTGCTTTGAGAACTCAGTCGTCTCTTTGCAGGTGGAGGCAGCGGAGGCGCGGGGCAAGCAGGGGCAGGCGGAGGCTCAGGCGGCAATGGCCGAGCTGGCAGAGGTTCGCTCGCAGGCTCAGGTGGAGGCGGCCGCCCACGAGGCGCTCATGCACGACGCCTCCCAGAAGGCCGCCCGCCTCGCGCGCCTGGAAGGCACGGCCCTGCAGCCCTGCACTCCTTGCACCACAATTCTTTACTAGTGTATCTGCGTGGCCTGGCAAAACATTGCGTGTTCAGCTCCGTTGATTAGGCTTCATAAGGAGCCCACATTTGCTGACATGTTGTGAAAGACGCCGGATTCAACCTCTTCCCAAACTTTCTAGAAGCCTGCAGGTGCACTTTGATGTAGCAAGTATAGCAGCCATCATGTGGAGGCTGCCTTTGTTCTGATGCAGTTCGGGGGAGAATCTCTGCACGGTAGGGAAGGAGGGCACCAGGGCGTATTGCTCACACCTTCCCCAAGCTGCCTCACTTTGACGTGGCAAGTCACTATAGCAGCATGACAGGGGGAAAATGAGATGGAGGGGTGGTTGTTGCGCAGGGGAGATGGAGGCGCTGCAGGACGCGATAGGGACGGGCAGCGTGGATCAGGCGGAGATGTTGGGCCGCCTAATCAGGCGCGTGGCCAACCTGGAGGCCGCCATCGCGGAGAGCACCGCCCAGCGCCGCGAGCTGCACAACCAGCTCGTGGAGCTGCGCGGCAACGTGAGCGCCCACACTCTTAATGACCGCAAGCTCACCACATGCTTCCCTTCACCCTCAATAAGAGCGTAGTGATTACTATACCGCACCTTGCAAATTGCCACCTGTGAAGTGGTTGCCGCATGGAAGGTGGAACAGCATGATGCAACAGCCACATGTGTCCTCGATGATATTTGGCAGCATTCTAAAAGGCAAAGTGCTGGCTGCAATGGTGTTGCTCCATGCCGGCCGGCCTGCATGCATTTGATTGCCTATGCAGGGGTGCAAGTATGCAATATGTTGCATCAAACAAGAAGCTCACGTTGCTGTGGTGGCGCAGATCCGGGTATTCAGCAGGGTGAAGCCGCACCCGGCGAGCGCGCTGACTCTGGGTGGCGACGGCGCGTCGGTGCGGCTGTTTGCGGAGGGCAAGGACCAGGGCTTTACCTTCGACCGCGTGTTTGGGCCGCAGAGCACCCAGGCCGAGGTCTTCCAGGAGGTCTCCGAGCTGGTGCAGAGTGCGCTCGACGGCTTCAAGGTGGGCCTGCTGTGAACTTTCTCTGGTCGTTGTTGCCGTGTCTGTGTGCGTACTGAAGCGTAACACCGATCACTTCTACTGCCAGATGTGCAGCGTGTTGAATCATGAAAGTCACTTCACATGCAAGGTGTGTGCTGCATTGAAGCATCACAGTGACTTCTAGTGCATGTTGTGTGTCGCATAGACGCATGATAGTTAAGTCTGCTCGGGCATAAGAACTAAGTCTGGCGGGTTGGCGGGTGTGCAGGTGTGCCTATTTAGCTATGGGCAAACAGGCGCCGGGAAGACCCACACGATGCAGGGCAGCAAAGGCCCCGACGCCCAGGGAATCATCCCGCGCGCAATACTGAAGGTGTTGTTCACGCGCCACCCCTGCTGTTACTGCACAAGCCAGAATTATGGACTATGCTAGTCAAAGACATGTGCTGTGCAACCAGACAATGTGAAAGGGTCCGTTTAATATGTGCAGATTTTGGACGAGGTGGAGCGGCTGAAGGAGCAGGGGTGGGTGTACGAGCTGGAGGCCAGCTTCATCGAGGTGTACAACGAGACCTTCAAGGACCTGCTGGCGGACGGCAAGGGCCGTGACGCCGGCAAGATCACCGACCAGAATGCGGTCAAGCACGGCGTCGCAGGTGCGCGCATGTACTCATCCGGCTGACAAGCCTCTGAAACTCTGCACCTGGCTGGCAGATGGCTGTGCAATGGGAGCCAAGAAGAGGAGTGCATTTCAGGTTGGCTGGTCGAAAACAACACAGGGGGACTGGCCCTAATGTGGCAATTGGTCGTATTGTCAATGCATGCAACATTTCACAGGCAGGGTCAGGTACCCGCGAAAGCATCCTCTGATGCCTGCATCTGCCATGCCTGTCCCCTTCTCGACTTCAGCAACATGATAATCCAGATGACAACCACTTGATACGTGCCTGTGGCTCCAGGCGGCCACACGCAGGTTGCAGGCGCGACAACTGTGCGCATCACAACCACTGACGCGGCGGCAGCTCTGGTGCGCAAGGCGGCGCAGGCGCGCGCGTGCGAGGCCACGGCCATGAACGCAGTGTCATCGCGCTCCCACTCCGTCTTCATGCTCAACATCACCGGCCGGCACGCCGCCTCGGCCACCACCCTCCGCGGCGCGCTCAACCTCGTGGACCTCGCTGGCAGGTGCGCATTTTTTATCAAACTTGCTTTTGAAAATGCGCTCAAGGCCTGCAGGAGCCAATAATGTTGGTATGTCTGTGCCAGATGCACACCACAGCCCAGGCAAAATCAAGGACGTGCCATGCCCTGCAAAGGAAGCTGCAATGTGGTAACATGAACATATTGAGCAGCGTGCTGGCCTCTTATTCGAGTCTGCCTAAGCAAAGGGTATCACACGTGATGCAATTGAGATCTTACTGCCGAAGAAATACCTGTCAGCAAAGGCGGGGGCTGACTGGTTGAGTTGGCTGGGGTGCAGCGAGCGTCTGAACCGGTCTCAGGCGGAGGGCCAGCGGCAGAAGGAGGCCTGCTCCATCAACAAGTCGCTGAGCAGCCTGGGCGACGTGTTTGCCGCGCTCGCCTCCAAGAGCGCCCACGTCCCCTACCGCAACTCCAAACTCACCCACCTCCTTCAGGTCGCCGCTCCTGCTTCGATTCTGCTGCACCAGCCAGCTCCCCACAAGCTGAGTTGCTTATTGAGATGCACTGCCTTTTGCTGTCATGTGCCTTCATGCAGAGCAGGCCGAGGTGGTCATTACGGTCCAGTGGCATACAGAATACGTACCTCAAAACTGCCCCATGCATTGCCCAAACGCTGGAAGTAATCAGCTCCTTGACCTAGTCCCAGTACGATGCGCCTGGGTGTGGTAAGTAAAATCTTGACAGAGCTGCGGCCGTGTGCACAATGTTTAGAAGTGGGCTGTGCCGAGCGCAGCCGTGCCTGGGCGGGAGCGGCAAGACGCTGATGTTTGTGAACGTCAACCCGGAGGCGCCCTCGCTGCAGGAGACGCTGTGCTCCCTTCGCTTTGCCGCCAAGGTCAACTCCTGCGAGACCGCTGCGCGCGGCGGAGCAAAGCGGCATGTCGAACGGGCCGGCTGCGAGGCGCCCTCTTCCTCTGCCGCCACTGCACAGGTGACGCTTCACAGCATCCCATCTCTCAGCAAACATGCCAGCCTTGCTGGACTGTATATGTAATGATCATGTCATAAAGAGCAAAGCTCTACGAGGAAGATGACTGAGGCAGGGAGCGAGATTGACAAACAAGGACTGTGCGGGTTATAGTGGAGAATGCTCGTTCCTGTGCTGCCTGGAAAATTGAAGCAGGTAGCGAAGGCTTCTCTGAATTTCCACCTCTGCCTGGAGCCTTGCCGTAATTTGAAGGGTGCTCAAAATGGAGAAGTTGCTGTGCAGGCTTCCAGAAGGCAGAGCTTGACAGGAACTCAGCCTGCCAAGCGGAAGGCGCCAGCGCCTCTTCTCGCGTCAGCGCGAAATCCTAGGGCCAGGCTCAATTGATGAAACGTTTCATGCATGGATGGCTGCTGCCTGCAGGCAGGAATGCTCCTGGTGCTGGTTCCCAGAATCGTTGAACTTGTAGAGTAATGTTGCCTGCACATACGTGCGTGCAACTGCATTGCAGGAATCCTGGTCGGTGTGTACCAGACTCACTTGGCTGGATGCTTTGGTTAAGATGCCATACTTTAAGGCCAAATTTGTGTGCCAATGGATCCGGTTTTCCTCAGTCACGGGGTTTTGCAATCTAACGAGCTTGCGATTGCAGTCCAATATTGGTTATCTGCACATGTACCGTTATTGCTAAATTAGTCGAACATACAGCTGCACTTGTCAAAGTGGTCATTCATGATTTCTTGAATCCTAGCATGATCAACATGATGGCCGCCATGGCCATGCGACAATCTAGCACGGCCCGAGCTCGAACCTAGGCATCATGATCATGCATGATGCTGCACGGCGGCCCGGCCGCCATGCCACACTGTACAATGTGGGCCATATATATATTGCCAATATGGCCCACATGCATGGTGCACTAGTACTGGTACTACCTGTAGTACAGTGTACCAGTGCACCACCCAGTTCAAGCTATAGCTTGTGACCTTTTTCAAGGAGTAACACGTTGCAATCGGAACAATTTGATGAAAGGCATTCCCTTCAGCAGTTTGGGCCAGTGGACCCGACAGGCCGAGCTGAACTTTTCCAGCTGTCCTTTACCCTTTCAAACCGATGCCATCCAAGGGAACTAAAGTGATTCGGATAAGCCGCAGGCCCTGAAACTAAAGGAAATTCATTCTTGCTCAAAAACTACTATTTGGTGCCGTGACGCTTGCAAACTTGCGAGATGTCTGAGGAGCAGCGGCATCCGTTGGAGCCCAAAGCAGTGGGCAAAGGTCTCGATGCGTACAGGCATAGTCCAAAAGATCCTCAGCATTATTTGGCTGGCAGCCAACATCCGTATGCGCCATTCGTAGGGAATGCATTGAAATGGGAGAGTGTCGTCTACGACGACGGAACAACGTGAGGCCCCTGCCACATACACACACATCCTAGGTTGTGAAGTCATGTAAATTGGTTGCAGATTGAGTCAAGCCTAGACGTCTCTTATGAATTGGTGATCATCTTATTTCTCAGCATCAGCCGGTTTGGTCTCGACATAGGGCCAGATTCTGATTTTATCTTGGTTCTACCTGATGCAGATACGAAGGCCTTACAAGAGAGGGCGTGCCTCATGGGAAGGGTGTCATGGTCTTCGGAAATGGTGTTGGTGCCGGTTTCCAAAGGGCAAAGCGAGGAGAGAAGTAAGACACCGTCTTAAAAAATGCGTTACTTCCACTCCCACGTGCATCCTTTCCTTGGGTCATAAACCGTGTGCATTCTGCAGGTATGAAGGAGAATTTGCCTTCGGCTTTGCTCACGGTCTTGGAATGCACACGGGAATGGATGGAGAGATTTATCGTGGCGAGTATCTGTTGGGCAAACGCCATGGGTGAGATCCCAAGCCTTTGAGCCCTACTCCAACAGAACCAGCAATAGCCAACACAGCCAGCAACAGCTTGACCTAAACATTTCTGAAGGGTGTCTGGGTTGCAGGTGTGGAGCGGTCGTGGACATGCAGCCATACTACAGGCAGCTTGCTAAGGGTGCAGATGCAGCGGAGGCCTGGGAGAGCACCATGCCGCAGGTGAAGGCCACCATGCAGCACGGCCTGTGGAGGAAGGACCTCATGGCCGGCTCCTCCGGCAGCTCCCGCTACTGCCCCCTGCCAGAAGTCCAGTGAGCATCTTCACCGTTCCTCTTCACCTGGCCCCAGCACTTGCAAGCTCAAGTGCTAGCAGCTGTAGGGCCTTGCCTCTGAACACTCTATCTACGAGCTGGGTTGGACAATGTCACTGTCTTTAATTGTGTCAGCGCGAATATCAGTCTTAATTCTCACTTTCCAGTGTATAAATGTCCCCCCTTGCCTCTGATAGCTGCATTGGAGTGCCTGGTAGCTGGATCGCTATGGGCCAATGCAGACTGCAAGCTCGGTCGTGGGAAATGCTGTGGGGAAGCTTAGGCTGAGTGATGTGTGTGTGTGGGTCAGGGGCACACTGCAGGAGGTTGAGGAGGTGCTGACGCGGTCGCGCATGTTCCAGTTCAAGCCGGACGGCGACGTGACGCTGATGGCGGTGCAGGACGCCAAGGGCATCCCCATCACCACCTTCCAGGACCCCCTCCACTACCCCCACCACACCAAATTCCTCGCCCCAGGTACCCTTCTTTGTTTTCTTTCATGGCACTTTGCCAACCTCTCTTATGTTATGCACCTGCTTGGCAACAATCTCCACAAGCACTGGGAGGTGCAAAGCCCTGTCATGAGAGCCCTGCACCTTGCAAGAAGGTCTGCAAGGATTGGCCTCGCTGTTGCGGTCCACTGCTTGCCTGATTTAGAAGTCTGCAAGTACGTTCACGTGAGTACTAGGTCATGCTGGCATCCTTGAGAGTCCAGCGGATGAAATGTGGTGTCTGCGTGCATGCACGATGGTGGGTGTGCTGCCACGCAGGGCCGCTGGGGCAGTGCCATCCAATCCCGGACGACCCAGTCGTGCGGGAGCAGATGCTGAAGCATGCGCGCAACTACGAGCGCATCTACCGCTCCTACAACCTACCCTTCCAGAGCCGGCCGGGCTCCGACATGGCCAAGGCCATCGAGGTGTTCAAGGCGCAGCTGGCGTCCTGGCAGAAGAAGCTCAAGCGTATCCAGGAGCTGGAGCAGCGCCGCCTGCGCCGCCTCGAGCGCCGCTCCGGCATCAAGCCCGACGCCAAGGAGGTGCGCGCTGCAACCGGCCCGCCTGCCCCACTGGCCATGTCTCAGTGCCTGAGAGGGCTCCCTGTCAGCGAATGCATTGTCAAAAATACCTTCTTGTATTAAGTGCTTTCATGTTTTAGCACCACGTCAAGGTGGCACCTGAGGGTCCAGTGGATGACATGTGCTGTTGGCCGGACCATTCTGAATATGCTTTTGCTTTATTCTTTGATGGGCTGCTAGAAAGGCATTTTTGAAAATCATTTAGCAGGAAAGTAGGGGGACCCAGAGCGTGAGGCTGTGGTGCTGTGCTGGCGCAGGAGGATGCTGGGCGCGGGCGGGGCCAGGGGCGGCCGCCGGTGCAGGCGGTCGAGGAGGATGACGACGACGGCGACTTTGACGACGATGACCTGATCGCATCCACCTCCGGCATGGAGGGCCCCACGAGCTTATCCCCACAGCAGACGGGCGCTGCCGGGAACAGGTGCCCCTGATTGAATGCTGTGATCAGATTGTACCATGGGCAGACTTTGGAGGTTCAGGGGCCTGGTGCTGCTGTGCATCAGGTCTCTTCTGATATGTTTAGCGGTGATGGAAGGTGGGATCTTTTTTCTCTGACATCATATGGTGCCCTGATCAGGGGCCTGATGCTGTTGTACTTTGTCGGTCATCAGTACTGAAAAGTTTTGGTGGTGAGTTGGGTGGCATGGCAGGTGGGGAGGTCTGCCACCGCCGACAGCGTTTGCCAGCGTGAGCCTGGGCATGCACAGAGCAGTGACGGGCTTTGGCGCTGTCATGGAGCACTTTGCGCAGCGCGCCCAGCGGAGGAGATGCCTGACCAGGCCGCGCCGCTAGGATCACCTGTGGAAGGCTTGCAGTCTGACTTTTGAATCTCTGACTTGTGTCGGATGGTCTACATCAAACAATGTCAGCCTTCAGGAAATGCAGATGCAAGCTTTTCCCTCCTACCCGTGCCCTCGTCTTGACAGTACATGTAATAGTTCTTTTCCGGTAGCTACTGATACATGTTCATTGCGAACGTCTTGGAACATACAGAGCAACAGGCAAATTCTCCAATTCCTCCCAGATCACAAGAAGTGCAATCCACATTTCCGGAGAAATACAGCTGCTAATGTCAACAGCATTGGACTCGATGAACCTGATAGCGAAAAATTATACAAGAGGACTCCTCTAGAGATCTGACAGACCTAGACATAGCGGACACAGCTGTAGAGTAACTGCGGGACAAACACTGTCCTGGCAGAAAGCACCCCCCTCAGAGCTCATGACTTGGCATGTTTTGTGAGCCAGTCCAGAGTGATGTCAATGTTGTTCTGGCTTTTGCAGGAGATGCTGTAGACGCACACTTCCCTCTCACGCAGAGCCTGCACCACAGTCAAAATTCACTTGATGATCAGAAACATATTGTAACTGTTATCTGTGCATCATGCAGATGCAGTAAGTGAAACAAACGACTGCAGATGAACTTCACTCATGTGCGGACCCATCGCTGGCTTAAAAGAGAGAGCGTAGCACTTTCATACACTGGACCCAAGTTCCTCCCTAGCTCTAGCATCATCCACATGACACATATGATGCAATTTGGAGCCTGCAGAGGCGCCAGAGAGACCCACCTTCAGGTCCAGGCGGTCGATGAGGTCTGTGGTGCTGAGCGCGCCGGGCATGTCGTTTTTGTTGCCAAGGACCAGCAGCGGGATTGCTGCCAGGCTGGGCTTGGACAGCAGCTCATGTAGCTCCACTCGCGCATTTTCCAGGGCATCGTGGTCAGCAGAGTCCACCACATACACCACCGCCTGCACTCCGCGGCAGTACCGCTCCCACATGCTTCGGAAACGCGGCTGCAGCGCAGACAGTCCAGCCGAATAAGGGCAGAGAGCATGGTCAAATGCCCCAGTAAAGCCGACCAGGATAGGACAGAGCAGGCACAGCCGACTCATGTACATGCAGTTCTGATATCGAAGAGACGATATGTAACCGACCGAGTGGGTTCTCACCTGGCCACCAAGGTCCCAGAGCTTGATGGTGACAGCACCCCTGGTGACCTTGCGCATGTTGAATCCAACCGTCGGGATCATGTCCTCGTGGAATGCTCCAGTGGCTATGACGTTAACCAGCGAAGTTTTTCCGGCGTTCTGAAGTCCGATCAGGGAGAGCTCCATTTCCTTCTTGAAGAAGAGGCTGCACCAACAAACACAATTGAGATCGCTAGATCATTGGCCTTGATCCTGCTTCCTCGTGCACTGTGACCTTAAAGTACATAACAATGCGGATTGATGGCATCTCAACCTTTGCTTTACAGGGCATAGGATGAGAACAACAACCCTGTGCTCACCTTCGAAGCCAGTCCAGGATTTTTTCCCACAGCGAGGCCATGCTGCCTGTCTGCTTTTGATCAACGAAGAATAGTCAACCGTGCCTAGTGTGATCCCGAAGCCAGGCGACCTTCTCAAACGCAGGAAATAGCAGAAACGATGAAGACTCTAGATTTTTCGTCCTGTAACGTAGGGCTCCTGGCTGAAGCTGTAAACTTCGCAGAGTGACTCTATGGTTCGATCGCTAGAAGTTATGCAGAGTGTGGCAATGGCATCCGCAGGAAAAAGCAGAAAGTTCGTTCTAGGAGTACAATAGTTTCGTGCCCTTGACACAATTGTTCCAAGGGTTTCGAGAGGGCCCTAGCTTGAGAGATGGTGTGTATGGTCCTGCATTGAACATCACGATCCATTATCTCTGAAGAATGCGTCCCTCTTTGCGGTGGTCCCGCTGCAGCTCAGTCACCGACAGCACCGATCAGACGTCACAGCTCTGCAGCAGCAGGCGTTTCTGCCTTGTGCCGCGCGCATTCGGTCGAACTCCTCCTCGCGCCCTTCCGGCGACACTCGTATCCCAGCATCGTAAAGCCCGCTCATTAGTGACGGCTCAGAGCACAGAAGGTACTGTCTCTGCGGTACAAGCTCCTCTGGGATTGCACAAGTTCTTGGGGAAGGCATCTGCCCGGCAGTTTCCCTGGGCTTGGGCCCCGAAAATATCTAGGATAGTACTGCACTGTTGCAGAGTCAACGCATGCGCTTGCTCCGAATGCCAATTTGCTACATCTTCTGATAACCTACAGCACTGTGAAGTGGAAAGTTGTTGACTTGTGTTGGGGGTGTTACTGGCAGGTGGTGGAATTCACCATGAGTGTCCACAATTTTTACACACGCACTCCTCAATGAAAATGGCCTCCATTTCCAGAGTGTTCATTGGCGTTCAGCCGACCAGGATAGCTTTGAGACTTGCTCGCAGAGTCAAACCAAATGGGCCTATGAGTGTGGTATGTGTCCAGACACACCTCTGCTCCCTACATCACTTTAAGTGAGAGCACCAGGAACATTCATCTGATGTTTAGTTGTCAGTAGTCTACTGCGCAGCATGATGCTGTATCAGCATGCTGACCCTTGCTGCTCCTGGTGCAGTTGCTGGTCATCCTCACCCTCATCAGCGCAGCATTTGCAGCAATAAGGGCAAGGATAGTGCACAATGTGCGGGCATGCTCATCCTGTCATGGCTATGGCATCTCAAGGTGTGTCGCAGCTTCGAGCCAGATCTTCACTGCTGTTGCTGGACTCTGCTTAGTTAGGTTACCTGCTGCTGGACACTGCTTAGTTAGGTTAACTGCTTGACTGCATCTGCATGTGCCATTTCCTACGATACTTATTGTCCTGGGATGTTGGCTGCGCAGGTGTTCACTCTGCAGTGGCACTGGTGCAGTCGGCTGGGAAGGGAAATGGTCACACAAGGAGCCCTGCCCCATGTGCGTGGGCCGCAGATTTGTGGAGTGCACAGAATGCGGCGGTCACTATCACCGGCCCATGTTCCGACACATACAGCGGACTGCCATAGATGTGGAAGAGGAGCTGGAGATGAGGAGTAAGCCATCAGGGGTGATGGTCAATGTCCTGGAAGACTGACGGACACGCACTCATCCCACACCCAACTGCATGGTTGGTTGGTGGGCGAGGTCCATTGCCTCCCTGAAAGGCACGCCGTGGAGCATGCTGAAAGAGTATTTTGGAGCGCTGTTGCCTCATGCGAGTTGCTTTGAAGTTACCCGCGCTGGAGTGGCAAGGCTTACAATTTTTTGGTCCCCTCTGTTGTACACTGGCAAGGAATCCCTTTTTGAACTTGTGCTGGTTGCTGTATCATATATTGTGGGGCCCCCATGATTTTGCTCTCGTGATGGAGTCTGAAATTGTGATGGAGTCTGAAAGAGAGTAGAGGCCTGATCGGTGCAGCATGCAATGTTTGGGTGCAGCTCTGGTCAACTCTGCCCACACCGCACCAGGCTGGCATAATTTTGAGCTGCTTGGGGGCTGAGCAAATCCTGAAACAAGTGGGTGCGAGCAGTTAAGGTGGGGAGAATAAATGCTTTGTAATGGTGTTTCCTAGGGCTGTGTAGCGTGTTGATGTGCAAATGCGACTGTTCGGAGGCAGGTCAGGTCCAGGATTGTATCCCAAACGCATCGTGTATTGAAAGCATATGCTTGCAAGATCCAGTGTGCTGGTGCATGTAGCCCTGTACAATTGTGCATCCGTGCATCCTTGCGTGTCACGGGGGATGTCAGCAGATTTGATGCACCAATAGCAGGGCTGTGTAAGATGGAATGCAGAACGCAATGTAGCACTACTGCTTCGCAAGAAAGCTCGTGTGCGCATAAATTAATCAAATCTGGGCATTTTGTTGTCATTTGGCACGACTAGTCAGTCTCTAAGCTCCAGTGACTCCTGTGCAGGTCTGCATGCATCCTACATCATTAATCTGGCAACCTGCGGCGCAAGAGGTGCATTTGCAACATGCATGCGTGCTCAATTTCCAGATACTTTTACATGCACCAGCATAAAAGAAGGCACCTGGTTATCTCAACAACCTTCTCAATCCGATTGAAAGTGAGAGTCTCAAAAGCCTTCAGTTTAGCACGGTCGACCTCAGGCTGACACGAGGGAATGCTCATGCTTTTACAGTGCGCACTGGATCAACCATAATGCTGGACGGCCTTTGAGTCAAATTTGAACTCAATCCAGATCTTAAATAAGTGTAGATGCTGCAGGGCACTTTCACATTCTCTAATATCCTATGACCTTTCTGAGATACTCATAGTATCTTTCATTCTGACCGTGCCTTCACTCAGACAAAACATCTGTGTTGCCACATCAGTTCACTTCACGGACAGCAAACACCCACAAAATAATTCGACATGCGACACGACAGCACAGAACTTAACCTACAACAAAATACAAAGGGAGCCTGCTAGAGTCATGAGTCCATGGCATTCCTCAGCAGGAGGCACTCTTGCTCCAGCGCACACGTGGGGTTTGTGTGCAGGTTGTGGACATAGTACTCGTACAAAATGCCATCCGCGGTTGCAACCACCACGCTGACAGCGTCGCTGTCGGCCTTGTCAACCCCGCCGCCAGCATGCCTGCTAGCCGCATGTATTGCACAGATTGCTGGGACACCCTGCGCAGCAAGCATGCGTCATGCTCTGCACATATACAACATCTTTGTGTTCTTTCTACATGATTAAACTTGTGAACGAGCTCGTTCTCGTATTCTGCACAGCTTCCTCTGCCTTGATATCTGCATCTCTCTCTACCTTTGGTGCTACAGTAGAAAAGACCTTGGCTTGCATCAAGGACATAAGTCCGAATGTCCGGGACTGCTGCATGTGGAGTGCACACCTGGCAGGGCAGCCTGACGGTGGCGATGCAGCGCGGCGGGTCCACCACATCTGCCATGGCCGAGGGAAACACATTCGCCAGAATGCCAGACGCCGTCGAGACTGCAGACTGCCTGCTGCACACCATTTGAGTCAGTCCATCTCCTCAATTGGCCATATGGGCTCTGAGCAGCCCATGCACATCAGCCGGCAGAGGCACAGAACCCCTTTCCCCTTGCACTGGCGCATGCAGGGGACTGTAAATTGACTCCAAGTAGACTTAATTTCCCCTGCCGCGTGCGCTGTGTACATGTCAAGGCATTTCCTCTTCCCAATTCCTTAGACTGTTCTTGCAGCTCAAGTGACACAGGATGTGGGGTAATGGCAGCACCTGTCGGGCTCCTCGAGGCGGAAGAGGTGCACGGTGCCGTGGCCGCTGGCGGCGCACAGAAGTGGCGGCTGCACGGACGCCGGGGAGAAGGCGAGCGAGTGGATGGGGGCGGGGTAGGTGCCGCGGCGGAACGTGAACGCCTTGGCGGCCTGCGGCAGCCGGTGCACGCGCAGCACCGTCCCCTTTGCCGATGCGCTCGCCAGCATGCTGCCGTCGTGGTTCCAGCACATCGCTGCCTGCGGAGTCACCACGCTGAAGCGCTCAGCCTGTTGCAATAACACCCTGCATTCCCTGCTGGCAGGGGAGTCTAATTTAACACGTTGCATGAGAGTTGCTTGAGACTCAAAGTTAGGTTCCCCTGCTCTAGGTCTTTAGGAGAAGATCTCTCTGTGAGCATCGACAAGTTTAGTCGCTACCCCACTGACGACTTTGGGCATGCCGGCACTGCCACAGAAATGAACAAGTTATGGATGTGCACACAGTTATTTATGGATGGGACATGCCATGCAATGGCCTCCCAGGCATTTGATGCTTCACTGTGGCATTGACGCAGGCGGCGCTCACCACTTGTGATTTGTGGGCGGCAAGCTCACACAGCACATTGCCCCCTTCCGCAAGCAGGTTATAGATCCGCAAGGTGCCGTCGGTGGTGGATGAGGGGAGCGCCACCAGGCATGGCTCGGAGCAGATGGTCAGGGCGCACACCCCCTGTTGCCCACAAGTTGCACCCAAATCAGCTAGCTCTTCAGGCTTGCAGTACTGCTATGTGTGCCTCATTCACATGGCGTGTAAGAAGAAGTTGGGCAGGCAGAACTCACCTTGGTATTGGGGGCTGTGTCTATGGTCCCAAGGAGCTCCAATGTCTCCAAAGCATGCACATGAACTCTCCGTTCCAGGACAGCAATCAACCTGGGCAGCAGTCCACAGTCATACTGTGCTCGGAAGCCAGAATGTGGCGAACCGAAGCTACTTACAAGGGCGAAAGCCTTCAATAGCTTACCTTTTCCTGTTCACACGCACTGCCAAGACAGATGAAGGAAAACTTAAGTCCTGGATCTTGGTCTGAGTTGTAGTATTCATAAGCGTCAGCTTCCTAGGTGTCAAGGCTGGCTGCTCCCCTGAACATCCAGGAATGGCACTCAGACACTGGCTTGGCATTCAAATGAGGACTCTGCATCTCCTTGCTTTATGATCTGCCAAGCAAAAGTGAGAGGGAGGAGAGGCCACACCTGCTCCTACAAAAGCCATCAGGCTGGTGCATTCCAGCATTTCCGCGATACTGCGCAAGAGGACAAGGATAACTCAACACAACATGATTAGACCCAAAATGCCACGATCTCTCATGCTGAAATTTACAAAGTGCACAACACTGACACTAACAGCTTGTTGATGGGTTGAAAGCACTGTATGAACGGGAATAAGAGCCTCACCTCACAGCACCGATGTCTGCAACATAGCACAATTTGTGAGTGACGAGACTGTAGATTTTTATCCCCTTGTAATCCGCTATCGATACACATGTGTAGTCCTGATTGAAGTTCATATACAGTATACTGGAGGACGGTGGGTTTTGCAAAGGCATCATGCATCTATATATCAGACACCCATGACAATTTTCGGTCGGTGCTTTCACGATCCCAGTCAATTTTAATTTGAAAGCAAACAGACAGCCGATGCCATTCCTGAATCGGTGGCATGAAACCCCCGCAGATGGCACCAGATCCGATCAGCTACGCTGCGACTTGTCTAGGTGTCGTGGAAAAAGTGATAGAGAGCTGTATGTTTTTGGCAAGATCAAGCCTTTCTGGCTTCAGCAGATGGTGAATGTTCCTTCCTGTTAACGTTGGCCTGAAAACCCTTTCTTGAAGGATATATATATATAAATAAGGATGGCAGGGGTCTATAGGATTGGGATTTCTCGAAATTCCCTGGAGGTCAAAGTACTTTACAATTCGAATACCCTCTGAAGGTCGATCGAAACGCTTCTGATGGGACAAGTTGCTTTGCACAACAGATCGCATCCGTACCTAGCGTTGCCTATCAAGCAGTGCTAAGGTGTTACTCCTGTCGCACTAGTGTACTTCAGCGGCTCTGCGCAGCACGGATCGTTGCGGTATAGGCTTGACAGAGGTGAGCTTCTGAGCCTCCTTGCACCTGGGTTGGGAATGCTGTGTGCTGAAAATATTGACAGGCTGTACTGCTGTCCCGAGCTGTCTCTGGCTCTCACTAACCTAAAAATATATATATATACTAGCCTCCAAGCAGCTAAGGGCCAACTGCTGGCATGCTGTACAGCCTGAAAGGCGCAATATTTTGGGGACAGAAGGCATTCATGAAGGCGATTTAGTAATCAATGGCTGCAATTGCTCTAGCAGCTGAGCATGAGATGCCATTGGCCGGTCTACAGCAGTAACAAGTTGTCTTGAAGAGGTCTGCATGCGTGCAAGGAGCAGTGCTATGTAGACAGGCAGCTGCACCTAGACAATACAGGCTGGCAAAGGTAAGACTCTTCAACTCGTGAGTTGATGTTAAAACAATCAAAAATGTTCAGAGGTGGAAATTACGACATGCGCATGCACCATCTCCCCATCAACCACTGCTACAAGCCATTCCAATTTGTCACTGTGATTACTCCACGTATGCACTCTGACAAGCACAAAACTACCTCGGAGGTAGTTCAGTGCACACTCTCCACCAGTCACGGCCAAACGCCACGTGATGATGACATCATGATGATGCAGGGCGTGCTCACCATGCTGCCCATTGTTATACCTCTGCAACAATTCAACTCGTTTGTCCAACCTTCACAACAACATACAGTCTTGATTGCAAATGGATGAGAGTGGCAGTAGCCGCAAATATTACTAGCCTATGGCACTGCCGCACTATGATGTCTGACACAACCATCTGACAGAAACCAGCTGCAGGGTTTGCACATCCGACAAACCCTGTTCAAGCACTAATATACCCTGCCAGCCCAGCTAGCAGCCTCTAGTCCACATCATTGTTCTTCTTGCCAAAGCTGAAGATGCTCTTCAGGGCCCTGCACAGCAAAGGCAACCATCAGATCATCTGCTTCAGATGGGTCAAAGCTGTGTGCAGGACTTGTTGTTCAAGGGCTTTGACATGATCAGAAGTGTGCTCTGTGACTTGAAAAATTTTGTACAAAATGATCATTTCGGCAGTAACATCAAATTGATGATCAAAGATGTGCCATCAGCATGCACCAGAATGCCTATCTCCCAATGCCTCTCGTGCTTATCATCGCTTTCAACGGCACTGCACTGGCAGAAGGAGCACGAAGGCATCATGCAAGCATGCCACAACAAATGTGTGCATTGCAATTGCCCAAAAGGCTGTGTGACAGCGTGCTGCTTACTTGCCCTATGCCCAATGGCCTCTGGCTTTGGGATTACCCTGTATATCTAACAAGAAGTGCTGCATACTCATATACTTCTGGACTCTAGGGTCCTTAGAGAAGACCCTAGTGAAAATGGGGCACACTATTACATGACATGCGTAGCAGGGATGCTCACTTGATGGCGCTGTCGTTGATGATGGGCTCGTCGTACTGGTCGATGAGATTCTTGAACTTGGGCGACTTGCGCAGCACGTCCAGGTTGGGGTCCGTCCTGACCTTGTTGTACTGCTCAAAGCCGGCAGACAGCGCCGACTCAAGCGCCTCCAGACCAGCATCCACCTGTGGCCCAGTGAAAAGCCTTTAGTAATCGAACTAGACATTGCTTTGTTTGTCACTGGATGAACTCTACTCTATGCCAAACAAACAGGTTGACCACAACTCTCCATGGGCCAACTTGAGGGGTATGGTCAAGGCTCTGGCATATCCCACCGCTAGCCTGTCTGGTGTGGGGTCAGAATATGGTGGGGTATGTGTAGCCCACCTGGTTGATGGCAGAGTAGCAGCAGGCCACGTTGTACTGGGCAACGCGGAAGATCTGTGTGACCCTGGAGAAGTCGTCGCCAAGGTAGTTTTTGGGCTCCATGCTGATCACCTCCTCAAAGTCAATCAAGGCCTGCGCGCACCAAATCCAGTCAAGATTTCTCTCCTCTCTTGTCAATCCAACAGACCTTCAGCCCTCAACACTCTCCCACAACCAGTCCATCCAAGACATCTCACAATCCATCAGGAAGTCTTACATGCCATTGTAATCAAAGGAAGGCATAATCAGTGGCGCTTTTAAGTGTACAAGCACAGGAGGTGGTGAAGGAGATGACTCTGCAGCTGGGGGCTCACCCCCTCGATGTTGTTCTGCTTGAACTTGGCCAGGGCCTCATCGAAGAGCTCTCGCCTCTTCAACTCCTGCTCCTTGCGCGCCCTGTAGTTGGCTGCCTGCATCTCCTTGGTCCCTGCGCCATAGTTGCCGCCCCCCCTCTCCATCTTGAACCGCTTCTCTGCCTCTGACAACTCGTCCTCCTGCAGAGAGCAGCACCGTGAACAGTCAGCAATGATTACTGACTCTGCAGTCTACAAGCAATGAACCTGCCGCCGCTGTAAATGGTGGACGCTAGAGGTTCTCAAGTTGCAATAACGAATGATAGCCTGCCTAGAACACGCGCAGCAGAAAGGTAATCAGCAGTAAATCCCTTCCGTCAGAGTCTGTAGAACTTGGCATGCAACCAGGCTACCAGTGACAAAACAAATGACCTGGCTTGGTCTCTAGGAATGTATTCACATTCCCCCACGTGTAGGGCTCTCTGCATAGGAGGAGTTTCGATTTTTCATAAATCAAAAGGGATGGTTAGAGTTGGGCAGAGATTTCACCAGCAAGAAGCTGGTGTCGCCAAAATTCCTCTTCAGCTTCATGTACACGTCGCCATTCCTTGTCTTGATGGCGTACATGACCTGTCCAAAGTTCTTCGCTTCCCACACGTCGCCACCGAACGAGGCGCTGACTGCCACGATTTTGTCACCCACCTTTGGCCACCCATCACATCATCCTCAATTGACCAGCAAGCATGAAGAGCCTGGTCTGGGCAAGTCAACTCTCAAGCTTCAGTGACTTTGGAGAATGCGCGCTTTGTGAATGGAGCACGTGATCACCTCAATCTGTGAATCACTGCTGCCCAGCTTTGCATCAGTCCTCACAACATATGCACCGCCATCGTTGCCGCGAGTGAAGCGCACCCCCAGTGGTTTTGGCAGAAATACCTGAAGAATGCAAACATTCAAAGTCATCTCAGGCTGCTCATACATTCAGAGCTGCTTGCATTTTTGATGTAAATATTTTGAAACTTGACGCACACTGTACATTTTCACCCCCAATTGGGACTCAGGTCATTGGTTGCAAAATACACCTCATAGAACTCTGGTTCCCTTGAAGCGCCATTCTGCCCTGCAGCCTGAGCTGAGGTCTTCTTATCTTCCGTTTTTGTCTCTGCAACACTGCTGACATGCAGGCGCGATCTGAGAGACCCCTGGCATCGACAACAGAGGAAAAATCAGGTCTGCATCTATGACATGAGACATCCTGGCCCACATGATAGCTGAATCTCCACGACACACACTCCACGCTTTTAAGTGAAGAGGACGATTTGATACATCACCTGATGCTTGGCAACATCTTGGTGTCTTGTGAAGTTGTGAAGATGCCTGCATCCCACACCAGACTCTCTCTCTGTACTGGGTTGGCGCTGATTTACAGAGGACATGCTTGCATAAAAAGACTAACAAGCGTAAAATTTGTTTATCTAGCCACATATTGCGCGTACCTTGCTGGCTGAGCTCTGAGAAAAGAAGCCGAGGGACTTCCGAGACGACGGCTGCTGCAGAGAAGAGCGTCTTGCCGCAAAGCTTTGTCAGTCAAGGGCATCCTGGCAAAATTTTCAAAGCGATCTCTGTCAGAAATATCTATTGGTCGAAGATGAGACGCGCTCCAAGTTTACCGAGGGCCACAGAGCGCAGGAAAGCGCGCACCTGTCCAGCGGTGTTCGAACAGGTGAGTAACCGCTTGCATGCTTAAACGGATGGCTGCGATGTGTTTTCGCGCTGAAGCAAGAATTCGAGACCAAGTAGCACACACGAGTGTCAAAAGATCACTCCGGTCAGCAACATATGGCAAGTGCTCTTCCTGGATGCAGAATGCTGCAGCGACGTCGGCGTCGGCATGTGCCGCGCGCGCCGGTGCACCGTGCACTGCAGTGACTGCGGCAGCTGCCAGCCCCAGTGGGCATGCATGCGCACAGTGACTGCGTCACGCTACAGCATGGCGATGATCAATCACGGTCAACATGTGATATTGCCGAACGAAAACGTCAAATGATGTGGCACCTTGCGGTGTCAACTTGAAGCGTCCGACGTCAAAGTCCGCCCTAGCACTGCATTGGCAATAGTACAGTTAGTGAAGCTGCGAACTTCGCAGGGCTTGAAGCTTGAAGCTGGAAGCTGATGAGGGTCTCTGCTGAAGGCCAAGCGTCACATGGACTGTCGAGTCACTCAAATGGCGTAGCAGCTGCAGTACTATCACAGTACCACATGATTACTCAATGACGAACTGAGGCTCAAACTACCTGACTAGGTTCAATGTTACCGGTACCTTTAGGGTTCGCCTCCGAGGAGCCAGCCCTACAGGGGCTGACACACACTTGCAGTGCCTACTGGTTTTCTGTAAAGGTATATAAATATATACATGATATATATCATACATAACGGCACTGATCATAATGGCCATGATATCCTGAGTTGCATGTCCTCCTACTCTGAATTACTGTGGCTTGCCCTCAATGAGTGTGGCACACTTCTCTGCAAGCTTGACTGAAAGCTTCTCAGACACACAGAAATCATGCCGCTGGCCCTTCATCCGATGCACCTGGCGAGCAAGCACAACACTTCTCAAAAAACGGCATGCACGGTGTGGCAGGCAGAAGCAATTGTCAGCCCGAATTTTGCAATACCTGCATGCACAATCTGTGCAAAGTTACCTGGATGTCTGGCACCTTCAGCATCATCTCCTGTACTTGATACTCAGGAAACCACATGTCCGATTGGGCAGAAAGCACAGCCACTCTCCGGCCTGCGGATATATGACAGCCCGCCGTTACAGGGCTGTATAAACTGTGCAATTGCGACAAGTTCTTTCATGCCAGAGTCTCAAACTTGGTGCAATGGCATGTAGCATCCAAGATACAGGCACACCAAATTGCTCCAGCAGCCACCAATCTGCAGGCGCTGCCAGCTCCCTGAACTCGTGCTGTGCCAGGTAGAAGGCATTTTTGGCAGTCTGTATCTGGAACAGGGCCAGCGTGGCCTCAAATGCATGGGAATCCAAATTCTTGGTGTAGCTGCGCACTATCCAGCGCTGCAAGCCAACTGGCAAGCATCCCACAAGATGTGCGGCATTGCCAAGAAGCCATGATCGTGCAGCGGCACCTCGTAAGAAGCGCTGCTTTGAGCAGCTGGGGTTCACCGTCAAGAAGGGAAAGACGGCCTGAATCTGCGCATGCCAGATTGCTTCATAGCTTCTTCCTGAAGCGTGGGGATGAGTTGCTTGAATCAACAGCAAGCTGGTCTGAAACTCGGTGTATAACAGCAGCCCACCTGGACGATGTTTGGAGCATCTGAAGGGCTTTCCTTTGAAGCAACATGCATTTCTTTTTCAATGCGGTGTGCGGCGTGCAGAGCAATGTACGCTCCTGCGGTCACATGCTCTCCTTGCCACGGATCGGAATATCCTCCTTCAGTCGCCAGTGAACGGATGCGTTTCTAGAGCACACCTATCGAATGACCTATCAGTACCACCGGTGGCCTCCGTGGGAGCAACAAGCGCTCCTTCAGGAAGGCAACTTTGTGCTCTATCTGCTGCTGCAAATTGAAAACCTGCGCAGAAAATGCACATATCATAGGGTCACCCACATGTCTAGGTCCTTTGCTGAAGTGTGCCTAACGACGTGTGCATGTTGCCAAGCATAGCACAACAGTCTGCATGTGGCCTCCATTGACCTGCCAGGCTGGTCGTTGTACCTGGGCACATTGGGAAGCAGACGGACTGTGACCCAGCTGTGATATGCTGTATATGTCTCCGCCACCATCAAGCGCATTATACAGCTGCTGCATGTATGGAGAGTAGTACGCTGCCGCCCCAGGATTCCCAGGGATTATGAGAATCTGTAATCTTGCGTTTCCTGGTCATCAAGGCATCTCATCAGATCCTGCTGATACACGGATCAGTGACCATTGCATCTCTCAGAGTCGAAGTTTGAAAGATTACCTGGATCAGCGAGTATGCTGAACAGCTCCGTGGGGTGTGATGACTGTTCATCCTGCAGGAAGATAATCTCTCTACGAATACTGCCGGTTGGGCATGCACCATGACTTCTTGGCATGCGAAGAGTAGAGATGGTCCTAAATGTCCTTGTTCCGGCGGTACTCTGAAAAATACGAAAACTTGTGCGTAACAAAGCAACACCAAGAGCCGGTTTCATTTGGAATGAACGAATTGCCCTATTCCTTCTTCCTTGCTCTGTGCACCAGGAGACCCTAAAATAGCAGAGATCAGACCTAAGACATGGACGCTGATTTTGACATTTTCTCTTGTTTATTTTCACAGACAATTGCAAAAATGCAAAATTCACGGAGGCTAGTATATCCTGCAATGGGTATATATGCCTTTGGTACCTACGGCGCCTTTCTATACTTCAGATCACGGCAGCCTTACAGGGTAATCTGATAAGCAATCTGACACATAAAATGTAAAAGCGCAAAATAAATTGATACTTGAAAATGTACTGATATCTTGCAAAACTCCCAAGCTTCAAATAGAGGTGCAAAGTAGATCAGGCTGCTGCACAGTGTTCCGTTTGATTGTATCTCATTAGTCTCTCACATGTCCAGGGAGAACATGGCAAAGGCAGGAGCTGGGATGAGATAGCAGACAATTATGATGGCGAGCTGGGCTTGGATGAGACTCTCATGGGCATCAAGCTCCTCAGAAGGTGGCTAGTGCGCAGCGCTGAGGTGAGTGATCCGGGAATGTGAGACACGATGAAATCTGAGAAATTCTGTAGCCGATCCACAACTTCTTCTGCCCTTCAACGGGACCCAATGCATGTTTTTTTCTTGGCATGCGTCAGGACACAAGATCCTGCACTCATGGGGCGCATGCTGTGATCTACAGGGAGATGTTCTAGAGGTCTCTGCAGGCACTGGAAGGAATCTACCGTACTACAAATATGACCAGCTGAAGTCCCTCACCTTGACGGACAGCTCCAAATACATGCTGTGGCACGCCAGCCAAAAGTACAGAGACAGACCGGCCACAAAAGGCTCCTCCCTGCCAGTCAGCTTCTTCCTCAGCGATGCAGAGAAGCTGGCCAGCCCCCAGGCTGCAGCTGCTGTGCCTACCAGTGATCTGGAAGCAAAGGGACGTCCATCTGGAGCAGATATCGATGCCAAAGAGTCAGCATCTGGGCAGCACAGTCATGTGTCGGGCGTGTTTCCCACCAGGACGCATGCTTATGGAGAGAACTGCTTTGATACAGTGGTTGACACCTTTGGGCTGTGCTCGCACGGGAACCCAGTGCATGTCCTCAAGGTGAGTTGGAAAGCAACATCAATCGAGGTGAACATCCACTACATTGCAGACTTGGTGGGGAAGTGAATGCAGCTGCGACCTTGGTGACTCACAAGGGGGCTAAATTATTGCCACAGGAGATGGCGCGAGTGTGCAAGCCGGACGGCAGGATACTTTTACTGGAGCACGGCAAGGCAAATCCAGAATGGCTCAACAGGATTCTGAACGAGGGGGCTCACAAGCATCTCATGAAATGGGGCTGTGAGTGGAATCGAGACATAGAGAGCATTGTGAAGGAGGTGCGCTTCACCAATGCTCACTCTCTGCCAGCTTTTCTGGAAGTGATATCGGCAGTGTAATGCAGAGTCAGAACCAATCAAAGAAGTGGACTATGAGGCGTTTGAATGTCTTGCAGGCTGGACTGGAGATAGAGTCCATGTCCAGGTGGCATTTTGGGACAACCTACCTCATTGTTGCAAGGCCACCTCCTTTATGATCTCCAGCAAGGCAGACTGTCTGAGCTTTTGGAAACATGCGTAAATTGGGAACTGGCATGGCAATAAACCCAACCATGAACCTGAATGAACCGCAATGATATGATGGAGATCAATTTTCACTGGATATTTTTCAGAGCATGCTTGTGGGTACAGCATTGCTGCAATTACATTATCTAGTTTTGAAGGAAAATGTAAAGGCCTGACAGCACCGAAGACAAAACAACACTGTGAATAGGCCAATATCAGCATTGTTCCTGCCCCCTATTTGACGCCCAGGTCTCTCTTCATTTTCTGCAGCATCTCTTCAATGTCATCATTCACTTTCCTGGCACCTTCTTCTGCAGTGGCGGCTGCCCTCCTCGCCCTCTCCTCTGCCTCCCGCACCTGCCTCCTAGCCTGCTCTGCCGAGGCCTCTGTCTCGTATGTCCTCGCGCTGCTGTATGTCTCCTCCTGACGACCATCACAGAACGCTTACTGCAATGCAGGGCACATCATGTTGGGAAGCACGATGTCATGGCAGGATAAGACTTGAGGCAAGCCTGCGGGTGCAATCCTAATTGTTCCAAATGGAGATGCATGACTCACGATAATTTGAGTGTTGGGAGCTCACCCGGGGTGCTGAGAGGCCGATTTCTTTTTCCAAAAATTCCACAAACTCCTCCCCGATGTCTGACAGCTCCTCCCACAGGCTCATCGGCTGCTCTGCACGGCCGCGGCTGCGCCGCCGCTCTGTGCGGTCTCTATCAAGGTCCTTGAAAAAGTCTCCCAGGCCATAGAACGCCTCCTCTGCTGCCTTCCTGCTGCGCGCCCCACTGCTGACCACATCTTCCCAGCTGAAACCAGCCTCTGAACCGCCCATACCCTGGTGCAGCACAGCTCATGATCAAGTCGGGTGATGATGGGATGTGCATCATCAACTTTAGTCAGATTGCAGTGATGCCACCCACAATGGCAATGCATTGTGTGGTACAACTCTGCATAACGAGGTTGCAGATGTGACACAGTAGGCGAGTCATGCTGAGGTATGTTGTACCTTGCTGCGGTCATACCGCGCTCTCTCTGCTGAATCCGACAGGGCTTGATATGCCACTTTGCACTCCATAAACCTCTCCTTTGCATCTGGCTGCCATCGCAGGATGCACACAGAGGTCAGCTGAAGCCAAGAAGAGTCCTTAAGGGGCTTCTTTGGATTGAACGGGTGAGCAGAGGACTTACAGCTTTGTTGACATCTGGATGTAATTTCAATGCCTTCTTTTTGAAGGCCTGCTTGATCTGCTTTAGATCTGCGTCCCTGGGCACCCCCAGTACCTCATAATAATCCGCAGCTGCATAGACTGAGCAACCTTTCCTGACATTGTGAGACGGTTTCTGCTTCTTAAAGGACCTGCAAAGCACCAGAAACATGGGCAATCAAGCGAAAATTGTATTTTTGCAACTGAAGATCAGGGCGTTTGTATAGAGTTGTCCGCATTCCAGTGGAGAACAAATGAACATTACTTCGAAACAGGATTGCTTCTCTGGTAGATATGCTGCTTGTGTGCTTGCGTCTGGCTTCTTACACGATGAGAGCACCCAGGAAGACCCGTTGATCTGATCCCCAGGTAGACACTTGCGTTCATTCTCCCCTAACCTTGGCGAGCCACGCTGAAGTGAATGTGCGAACAATCAGGCTTTTGAATATCTGTCAGAAATAGTTGGATGCGTTCCCAGTGACCGGAAATTGACAAGTTCACATGTTTCTTGGATCGTGTTGTCTGAAGCAACCCAGCTTCTCGGCAGGTGCCCCCTGAGAGAATGTGAGGCACCTGTCCACTTTGAGAACCAGGAATGGATTTCACGGTGCTACTGTGGCATGCAAAGGTGGTATTACTTAAGGTAAAGGGCTTGGCACGTTTAGTGGCATGGCTGGCCAGCTGTGAGTGGCATGCCACTACAGTTTTGCGCAGCGTTTCTGACTCAGTAGTCGGACTCCGAGTCAATACACTTTTCAAAACACTGAGAGATGATGAAAATCCTAATCAATTTGTTTACAATTCTGGCAGTAGTGCGAGCAAGATCACTCAACAAGATCACAATGCTAGCAAACAAACCTATAAGAGTACACTTAAGAGTGGCACACCCGAGCGGTGCGAGCGCTCTAGTACGTACTGGTATCACCAGCCATACAACAGCATTACAGCAGGCATACTTATAAACACCCTGCATGGCAGACCCATCCGCTCTTATGCGGCAATGCCGGTGCAGCGGAAGTTGGGAGGTGCAGGCAGGTACAAGAACCCAGCACCAGCCAAATACGCTAATGTACAATAATGCGCGGTACTGCTCCCAAATCGGACAGCAACTAAGGCAATTATGAGGTATCCTGACCCGTGAAACACGGCAACATGCATGTGTGACTGCTATGTGGTCGGGCCAGTATCCTAGACTACAATAAGGAATCGGTGCTGACACTCTTGCATGGTACACCCAATGATAGCACACCCAACTGTAGCATCAATGAATGCTGACACAGCAACGCTGCGCAATGCAGGACCCAAATGCCGACTGCAGCGGTGAGGCCACAATCTGGAGCCACCCACATGCTAAATTAATTCATGCCCTGCTGCATCACAGGACGCCGCAAATCAGCAATCGCGGGGGATCAATCCCCCATGCCATCCTAACTGGCCTAGCCAGCCCTGCCTTTGCATCCCCGCCTTGCCTTTCAGCCGCCTTTCTGCCCGGATCACCGAGCAGGCACATGAAGGTCCAGTGGGTTCTAAATGGCAGAGACAACAACCCAGAGGGAGGAAGTCTCCCTTCAGGAGGAGGAAGTCTTGGCGTTGGCCGCATGCGCGACGGAGACCGCGTTGGCGGTGCGCAGGGCGGTGGCGCCGACGTCGAGGTTGGAGGCGCGCTCCCAGGTGGCCGGCACGCCAAAGCCGCACTGCGTCTCGATCGCCAGATTATAGTCTTCGCCGCGGCCGTCCTTGTAGGCGCCGGTCACAATGCGGAAGAAGCCCTTCTCGCCCCACGGCTCGCCCCACGAGTTGCGCACCAGCCTGCGCCCGTGCTCACCATTAGTGCTTCCATGGCATGTTCCCAGGTAGTGAGGGGACAATGGTTTGCAGCCTGGCCTTTGCATTTCCACCTTGTCCCCCATGTGGATGCATCGCAAGGGACAGCCAAATAATAAGACCAGAGTTGCGGAGTACAAGAAAAAGCTCATTCTAGCAGTGGCCGGACACCCAGGAATGCAGAAAGCTGGTTAGCGAGTGAGGTGGAAGGTGTGACAAATTGCACCCTCACATCCCTGCTTGGGCCTGGACAGCTCCCTAAGATACAGAGCATGATACTGGAGGTGGCCTGAGAGCGCTTACCAGTACTCGACGTCGTCCTCGACGCCCCAGCCGATGACGGAGATAATGTGGTTGATGTTGGCCAGCGGCTTGTACTCGGCGAAGATGCCGCCCTCGTACTTGTCCAGCTTGCGCGTGGCGTCGATGCCGCAGCTGATGGGGCCGCGCGCGAAGATCTCCGCCTTCATCGCATGCGCACCGTGCAGCCGCCCGTGCTCGGCCACAACCTGCCGCCAGCACAGAACTCTCCTTATATATCAACCAAGCTGTCCATAAATGACCTTCCTTTGCAGTGTTTGTTGCCAAGGGCATCCTAAATAAGGTAAGAAATTGGCGGCGACGCCTACGCAATTATCTTACCACGCACAATGCCAGTGACACATTAGAGCAGGGGATTGGCGAGAAGATCGGTGCAACGACCTTGTGAAGCAGCACTACAGAATAGCATGGAGAGGTTGATGGCGACACCTACGCAATTATCTTACCACGCACAATGCCAGTAACACCCTAGAGCAGGAACAGGATTGGTGAGAAGACTGGTGCAATGACCTTGTGAAGCAGCACTGCACTGTAGCATGGAGAGCCAAGGATAATAGGATGACAAGTCACTTACCAGGCGGTTGTAGTCCTTCAGGGGCTGGCAGCCGGAGTCTGGCCAGCAAGTGAAGCACTGGTCCTTGGCGTTGCACACCTGGAGCATCAACCCAGTACTTAGCGTCATGCAACATCCTTCCCTCCTCTCCCCTGGATTTTGAGCTTTGATTTGCAGATCCTGCTCCAGTCTGACGACATAGCTGGTAAATTTCTCCTCCTTCACCTGTTTCGCTCCTCGCTATTTTATAAAATCGTGCAAAAATTATCACTTGTCCAGTTGCATTTGGGGGGAGTAGGGAACACCGTTTCTTGCTTACCTTTACTATCCTCTCCCCTTCCATAAGCTATCTCTAAACTTAAATAAAAACAAACATTGCTTCCTGCCATGTCATAGGAACTACCTGGTCGGCAGCGATGTAGTTGTTGCAGGTCTCATCGGGGATGCCCTCCCTGGCCGCGTACTCGTAGACCCTCGAGTCCCAGCCTGCCACACCATGGGATCACATTTATCGGACAGAAGACACAAGACAGCCGGCAAGCGAATACTGTAAAGCGGAAACAGGTCTGAGAACTCAGTAGGGACGATTGGACACCTCCGTGGCAACTGCCGGCGCCGCCGCAGTCGATGACGTTTTGGACGGACAGATAAGCGGATGGCCAGGCGCCACCCTGCTGAATGTTTGCGCGGTCAGCCAAGGAGGAGGTTGAACCCATGGCCCAGCATGACCCACTGCAAGCATAAGAAGTAAGCCTTACTGGACACGCAAAGCAGATCATTACTGCACTGCATAATATGCGGCAACAAGTATTCATCAGCAATGCACAGCTCCTATCAAATCGACACACGGATGGTTAAAGTCATACCAGTATTGAGGAATGTGCTGGTTGCGGGTGGTCGAGCAGTAGTTTGTTCCATTCACGTTGCGCCTGCATGAGAATGGAATTCTGAGATCTCACTTGCAGGAGATGAGGCACTCGCACTTGCTCTTCAGCAAGCATCCCTGAAGTACTTCACGTAAGGATGTGATTTTCGAACGACGCGGCAGTCCACCGGCGAGAAGATGTCACTCACCAGTCCCAGCTCGTGGGCAGATGGAAAGGCTCCAGGTAGTTTTGCGGCAGTGGCGACTTTCTGCGCAGGAAAAGAAAACACAGGCAATCAAGGGCTTGCAACATATGGCGAAGTACAAAGTGGTGACTACATTGAGACACACAACAACACAACGCACAACAACATACGTGTGAAATCCTGGAGTTGCATCTATGCTACTTCTTTTGATCGAGAGGAAGTAACTCACATCAGGGGCTTGTATGAGGCATCAGGTGAAATAAGGGTCGCCCAGGCAGAAGGCTCAGAACTGCCATTCAGAGGCTGATCGTCGATGAGCAATGCTCCAGCGGACAGGCAAAGAGCTGCTGCAAGCAGAAGACCTAAGGCCAAAACACCATGCCTCGTCATGATGTTAAGCGCCCCCTCGTCTGTGGCTAAGTCGGCCTAGGATTACCAGCACAGACAATTGCTGCGCCGCAATTATTCCTTTGCGAGACCGATCCTATCCAATGCCAAATGCCTGGCCTGCTGATTGCGAGTGTTTGATGAAACGGCCGTCCCGCGGGACGCTTGTGGCCAAGGAGCCATGTGATGGGAAAGGGCACGTGTCAGCATGGGTCCTTTCTGAAGGGAGGCTTATCCGGAGCGGCCGATCCTTGCTTGCTGCAAGACGACAAGCTAGACTGGGCTTTGCTAAAGGCTCGCCACCTACCCATACATCCTTTTGCCTGCAGCGCGCGGCTGCGGCAGCCACTGGCCTTCGGGTGCACGCGCGGCCACACGGAATGTTCCGGTGGCAAACTGCGCCTCCGTTTGGATTTTACTTTAAGTCTGGCGCGGAATGCGCAGTATAGAAGAAATATGATGCATGCAGCACTTGGAGATTCCTGAGCGCATGGCCAGTGAGGATCCGGAAGCCTGAAAGTCACCGTGCCGCACCGTGCATGCGTGCGTTCGTGCGGCGTCTGTGCCACGTCCGTGCCACAGTGTGCACGCCGGCCGTCACGATCATGATCGTCGCAACATGATGTTGTGCGTGCAAGCTGTCAATCGCTGGCACCATGCCATCATGATCCCTACCATAGTCATGAAGTTACAGGAATTGCTGATCATAGCAGCAGCTGCACTAGCGCTAGCCTCACCAGGGCCTGTAGACTCTTCGGAAGTACAAGCCGCTTGCGGCAATGACATGCTGCACCAGTGCGCAGCCATGCATGCCTGACAAGTACCACCACAGTCAGTGACAGTGCTCATTTTCAAAATTTGAAGCGCCACAAATTGAGCTGTACTAGTGGAGAAGTAATTAGCTACTCGTAGCATTCAAGCAGGTCACATCCGACCAGTCTCCAGCCAAGTTTTTCCCTGATAGCTTCAACCCGCTTTCTTTGAGTCCCAAGATCCGAGACGGCTGTCTGCAAGGGCCAGATGTACTTCACGCTACCTGCAGCACCCAATAAGCTCGTTACAAACAGATCAGTGAACAAACTGATCTCAGAACTCAAGAGAGCCTCTGAGTGCATGCAGCATGCACAATTTGCACGGTCCTCAGCAAATGACTGCATCCCCAGAGACATCAGGCTGCAAGTGTTGACAGGCAGGTGGCTCGCACCTGCCATAGATCTGTACAGGACTATAACATCCTCGCTGCTTGCGGCATCTGAAACTTCTGCAGGCCTATCCTTCTTCAGAAGAAACCTAATAGGACAGCAAGACGATACAAATTCATTGTCAGATATCAACCCTCGTCGCTTGAAAAACACAGTGGCAGTCCCCACTCCTGGCCCTTCAAGACATGTGTAAGCAGGCCATGGTAAGCAAGGAGAGCAGTTTGCTACAATTACTCACTCTAGCACGTCCCTGCCAAAATAGCTGGGCACTGTGAAAGCCAAGAATTGGCTGTCTGCAAGATTCTGGCTTGCCACAAGCTTTGCTTCCGGGCATACATCTGCTACAGAGTCCTGCAGCATCTGTGTTGAAGCCAAGAGAGAGAATGAGTCAGACTCATTGTAATCCATTATCGATTCAACACGGTCAGCGCGATTGCACATCTGTTCAATCCAACAGCAACCAAGATATTCAATTTCCAGGATCAGAAGGACATGAGGACCCAGCTCACCCGAGCAGAGGTTGAAATGTCATTTTCCAAGCTCCGCCAGACTGGGCTGTAAAGCTGTGACATAGCAAGCACATGGGTGAGCGGACTGGATGTCTGGGATCATGCATTGGCATGCATACAACTAGCGAGTGCTCACGTCATTGAGGCTGGCAGTGGACACGCAATTCGGGTTGACACCCCCGGGACAAGACCGTATATTCCTGCGCAAAAACAAATCCACAGATGAAACAGCAGAAGTTATCAGCTGTTGGGCAGGAGTGTTGATCGCAACTCTTGCGGCCAGTGAGGCCAAGCAAACCACCCACAGGCTGCACAAAATGTCTGTAAGGGACAACCCAGCTTACCCATTCCGCAGACCATACTCGATCGTGGCTGCATCTTGGTATGGAGTTGTCGATGCCACAGCTAATCCACTATTGCAGAAGCTCAACACTGTTCCTGCTGTGAGTGCCCATCGCCTCGATTTTGACGAGAAATTGGGCGATGCTTCTGAGTTTCTGTTATTTGGGGAATTGTATTCCGTGTTAGTGCTGCTGCAAGACACCAACAGCCGATGCGCCGTGTGATGAGTGATCCCAAGTGACATTCGAGCCTGAAATGTACCAGAAGCTATCTGTTTGACATGTTCACCAGCATTAAAAATCAAACAACATTGCTAAACTATTTAATACGATAATAGGTTTCAATCCTAGCTTTGAAATCTCCGAGATTATTGTCGGAAAGAATATCCCCTGCCACTCTGATGATGTCATCATCAAGTTCGTCTCGTGTCGTCCCCAATGCTTCTCTCTGCCTCTCGTTAGGCAGAAGATTTTTCGCGGAAGGGCCCACGACTTTCCGTCGTTACCTTTTCATACTATGGAGACTGCACGGTGCTGGACGGCCTGATATTGACCGCAGACAAGCCTGTAGATCTGGGGAACGAGCCTCCCACTTGTACCATTTTTACTCTGAAGAGGAATGATTAATGTCAGCTTTGTAACGGAATACTCTGAATAATTAGGTCAAATGGTGTGTCCAATGAGATTCCTACTGCTGGGTGCGTCTGCAGTGGTTGCAGTGCTTGCTGTGGTCTACACATGCCAGTCCTCTGAGAGCCCGGCTGACAGGGACAGAACGGGGCGGGGCAAAAAGGTGACTTCTTCTTTGTGGTGCCATTCAACCCCAAGGGCCATGTCCATAAGAGCATGTTCTGCGCGAGCCTCGTTGCTGGCTTGCCCTCTGGCCTGAACCAGAGGGACTACAGGAAAATGTGATCACCTGATAGACATTGAGGCAACTTATTATTTGTAGCAGGCCACTGCTCCCTGGTGGCAGCTGCTGTTGGACATGCTGTCAGGCAAATACTTGTGGCAGAAATGGCAGCATTGGCAGCGGTGGGAGGAGCGCGATGTGAGGTCGTGCGGGAAGCTTGAGGATTGATTCACTTAATTTCTCATGTAGCGGCAACACACTTCCAGCATGCTCTCTGAGTAGCTAGTGCAGTCTTGAACATCAGTGAACCTGTTGACAAATCTAATTCCACTAAGGAACTTGTTGAACAAATGAGACTCATTTGGGATCGCTAATCCGATTCAGTGAACTTGTGAACTTTCAACTGCGAAGGTGTATACTAGCGTGTATCTAGTTGCGTTACAACTGTGCTTGTTTGAGTTTCCAGTATGAGCTGTCTGCAGAGCCAGCATTGTCTTGAGGCTGCATCCTGAAGGTGCAGAAAATATAAAAGTGCGAAGGCAATGATGGATGCCACAAAGCATTGAAGTCACTACCTATTTCATCTTTGGTAGCTTACCGCTGATAAGTAAATCTTGAGAAGCAATTACCAGTCAACTGGATTGTAGTACAAACCGATCATCTGTTACTGATAATGACTGCAGGCAAAGCTGAGCTGCGCCACTACACTGTTGAACTTACTTCACTACATGGTAAAGTGTATGTCATAACCACATTGTGGCAGACTGTACAACACAGAAGGAAGAAGTAACATTTCACTCAATCCTCAGAGACACATCGCCATGCGATTTCATGGACACTCCTCACAAAGGAGGTAGCGCTGCTATGCTATCTTGATCATGCAGCTGCCATTTAACCATGCCGCAGCTGCTAGCACAGGACAGCGTTGTCCAATGTGGCATCAAGTGCAGCTGGGTCATAGTTCCCAGTGAAGACACAATTGCCCAGTGGCCCTCGCAGCAAAATCAGCCTCAGGTCCCCATCAAGGACCTTCTTGTCCACAGCCATGAAGCTTCTGAAGTCGTCCTGTGTCATTCCCTGACAATGCAGAACATCAAAAATTCAGGAACCTTCTTTGATCTGCAGCATTCAAAAGTGAAACACCAGCAGCGATTGATAAGAAGATTGGCAACAACAGTGCTGGGCTCAGGCCAAAGCAGCAGGCACCTTGGGAGGCTCTGTGGGGAGTTTTGCTCTTTTCAGCAGGTCCGTTGCTCTGCTGGCAACCGAAGGCTCAATCCAGCCTAGCCTGAGAGACATGTCGGCAGCCATGACTGTGCCTGCAGCGACTGCCTCTCCATGCAGCCACACACCTGAACAAAGAAATTTTAGATGTCACTGATCTGATTACAAAACAGACAGCAGAGCTGGACAGGTAAAACCTGTTGCAAGCACAGAGGTTGCTTCTAAGAGGTACCTATCTCCTATGTTCCTCACTATTCCTGCCATAGGCACGGTGCGTCTACAGTATGGCTGCCACATATCCTACATTTATGGGTACAAAGATGTAGTCCAATAAACCCGCCGTGGAGTGACAGGGATGCGCACCATAGCCCTGTGAGGCCTCCATGGCGTGGCCAAAGGTGTGTCCCAGGTTGAGGGTGGCACGCACGCCGCCCTCTCTCTCGTCCGCACTCACCACCTCCGCCTTGTTGATGCAGGAGCGCTCAATGGCATATGACATGGCCTGCAATCACAGCCACTCACAGTCAAACCTCTCAGCTGCACGTCCCTTCAGAAAGACAACACATGCAACAAATAACCATGCTGTGTTGTCTGATACATGGAACAGGCTGTTCGGGTCCCTCAAAGCAACGCAAGGAATGAATGCCAGATGTGGATTGACAGAAGAAACACACCTCAGCATCGCGAGCAAGGAGGCGCTCCATGTTGGCTTCCAGCCACTCAAAGAGCGCAGGATCCCTGATGAGGCCATACTTGATGATCTCAGAGATGCCAGACGCCAGTTCGCGGTCTGGCAGGCTGTTCAGGGTGTCCACATCCACCAGGACCACTTTGGGCTGGTAGAACGCGCCGATCATGTTCTTCCCAAGAGGGTGGTTCACGCCAGTCTTTCCTCCCACTGACGAGTCCACCATGGCCATGACTGTGGTCGGCACCTGCAATGCACACACAAAGAGTTAGAATGAGACTAACATGGCACCACAAGCTGGATCGACTGCCCATTAGTACAGGTAAGGTCCTATGCTAGGTTGAAGAGGCGGTATATACACAGCGCCGACATGTACAAGAGCACCAATCAGGGATTGCTTTGACCTGAATGAAGTGGACTCCGCGCTGATACGCGGCAGCGGCAAAGCCTGTCATGTCTCCGATTACTCCGCCCCCAAGAGCAATGAATGTGCTGTTTCGGTCCAGCCTGGATTCCAGGGCTTTGTCCCAGACTTTCTGCAGCACATCCAGGGATTTGTACTGCTCGCCATCCGGCAGAATCACTGCTTCCACTTGCAGACCGCTGCCTCCACTTGTCAAGGCTGCACGGCACCTGTGCATAGCACAGGAACTTGAAGACCATTCAAGCATGCATGGAGTCAACATAAAACATAGATGTCGCCTCAAATCAGGAGATCAGCAGTATCACGAGGAGCTAGCACCAGGGGCTGAGGTCAATACCTTTCCAAGTAGAGAGGAGCAACTGTTTCGTTCGTGACTATCAGCACACGCTTGCCGGGAACATGCCGTTGCAAGAGCTCCCCCTGATCCAACAACCCCTGACCAATGTAGATGGGATAGGATCTGTCACCCAAGGGAACCTCCACTGTTTTCATGAGTTGCTCAGTTGCGGGGATCTTTTCTGCCACGGCAGCAGCTGCTGCGACAATGTCACGTCTTACAAGTAAATGATTCTGTCTGTCACTGGTAGAAGGCACCACATTCAGCAACGATTGCTGGGATCTGTGGGTCACTGGACGAGCATTACGAACAGCTCGAGATCCTGTGGGGACAGCTATACTGCGCACACAAAGAGAGCTATCCGCAATTATTGATTGCATCTTTGCTCTTGCCTTCGTTGCAAGCACACGAGCACAAATAATGGCCGTGAAACGTCACATCCCGTCCCGCTGCAGATGGCTCCTTCCCTGAAACCTAACAAATCCCCTCGCGACAAAACCGTGTTAGGGTCGATGGTGCCTGATATCAATAATGATCTGCCATTTTCTTGAGGAGGGCTGTTGCCTGTGAAAGTAGAAATGAAGGCAGGGATGTTCAAGACCGCATTCTGTGATTGGTTCGCACCACACCACCGCCAACTTCAATTCATGCGCATGCCACTTTGTCAGCTGCAACGGCGCCGCTGCGGCCGCAGCATCATGCATGATGCAATTGCCAATGTACAGTGTACTTGCTTGATCAAGAAGCTAATGCCGGTGGAAAATGTCACCATCTGCATTTACTGTTGATTCTCCAACTTGGATTCCAATTCAGCTGCAGCCCAATGTTCACCTGAACTTGCCAGGACTCTCTTCTTCAAACTTAGAGTCTATCATTTATGTCGTAGGCTCCTGACTGTGCCGCACACATGGCATGACTCTTTGGATGCACATGTTGCAGTAGCTGGAATATCAATAATCTCTGCAGCAGTCATGCCATTGTGATGCCTTGGATGCCATCCAACAGGGAGCACAGAGATGACGCCTCATGGATTACATGACGTCATGCAATACAGTATCGGGGAAAAACCCCAATAAGCTTGAATTATCCATTCTCGATCTCTGCTGCAAAGCGCTCTAATCGAGCTGCCTCCTCCTCTGCCGTCTCCTGGGGCTTCTTCACGTTGTAATTTGCGATGCCATCCCAGAGCTGCGCCGAAACCTGGCGCCCGCCAAAGAACCTCCCCTCCATCAGCTTTATGCACCCCTGGGCTGCATCCTCATCCTTGAACTTGACGCTGACAACGCCCTCCGGATGGAACTGGAACACTCGCACCTGCAGGCAGCCAGCAGGATCTTATTTGACAAGCTTCCTTTCAACTAGCAGAAGGCAAGGGTGTGTGGTGTCACTTCGCGCATGAGTGGGATTGTGTACCAAAACTTTCAGGGACGCCCTACCTTGTCCACAGCCCCAAGCTTTGTGCATTCTGTTTTGACATCCGTCTCAAGATCATCTTTGAGGCTGGGCTCCTCTATGAGCTCGTTTGGGTGGAACATCTGCTTTAGGATAACAGTCACCTGCATGACAACTCCTGATTAGCTTGATTAGATTATTTCCATTATTATCAAAGCATTGCCAGCACTTGTGCTGTCACAATACTGGTGTGCATTCACAAATCAGTGAGAAGCGCACCAGTGTCGGGTTCTTGAGGTCGTCAAAGCCTCCCCATCCCAGCATCTTCTCCACCTTGTTCACCTTCTTCTTCTTGTTCTTGTTCTGCTTCTTCTTGGGCACGTACTGGTCCCCATGCATCTCAAACTTGGCTGGCTGCACCGTCAGCGTTTTGCTGATGTCATCCCTCAAGGGAGCCCCATCCAAGATGTTACAAGCCAGGTCCACCTGACAGACACAGACATGCAGTCAGAAATGCTTCTGTTTGTATGCACAGACAGGAAGGGCTCTTCGCAATTAATGGTGAAGAGGAAGGGAAATGTGCAGTACAGATCTTAGTCAGAAAATGTGATTTTAGCGCCTCACCGAAGGCTCCTTCAGGTAGGTGACAAGCCCGTCGCCCTTGATCATGCCCGTTGCTTTGTCACGGTAGATCTTGATGCGCGGCTTGCCGTCATCGTCCTCTTTCAGAATACCGCACTTGGTAAAGACCTGTGCCACACTCCAAATCCATTATATCCCTCTCGCCAGGCAAGACTGTTGATAATTATGCTGGTAACAACTGACAGCACATGCATTAGCATGCAGATCTACCTGGGCAATCTCAGCCTCTGTAGCGTCATCTGGGAGGCCCGTTATGTACACGCTGGTGTTCTTCTTCAGGTCAAACCAGGCGGCCTGTGCCTCAGCCGACTCGCGCGCCCGCTTCTGCTTCTCCAGATGCTTCTCCATGACGCTCTCTGCTTTGCTCTTCTCCTGGCCTGCCCCAGACTGCCCCTCCTTCTTTGCTTGCTGGCCATTGCTAGTCCCTGTGCAGGCACTCCACATTACGGGAAGTTGTGGGTCTTTGCACAGCCTTTCCAAGACAAGGTATGCCTTAACATTTGTTGCATCAGGCTATCAACCACCGAACAGAGTTATGTTCCGGTTGTAGCAATGACTTGCAGCAGGGGCTCACCAGCACCGTCGTTGGCATCATCCTGACTGGTGCCTGGAGGCTCATCTTCATCGTCTGATTTGGGCGGCTTGTACTCAGGGATCTTCTCATCGTCCATCTCAAACGTCATCTCCTCTACTTGGTAATCAGGGAGCTGCTGTGCTGCGGTTCCAGCTCCCTGACCCGCACCCTCCTGGCAGCACGTGCAAATGTCATTTGGAGTCTGCCATGCAGACATTGTTTTGGAGAGAACCACATCAATCAGCTTCATTGGGCAGGCTGCAAAATATGTGCACACCAGCACTGCCATCAGATGCCATAGACGTACCTCCTCCACAAATCTTCGCAGTGTGCTGTCCCAGACAAACCAGGTTCCATCATCATCCTCAAATCGCCGGTCCTCTGGAGGAGGCGTTTCTGCTCGGCTGGGTTCGTTCAGTGCAGCATCCTCTGGCGCAGGAGCGTCTGTCGCCCCCAGAGCTGACATCTCTGCCTGGAAAGCTGCCAGCTCTCTGTCCACAGGCGCCACAATCGCCTTCACTGCTTTGGCAGCCTTCACTACCGTGCTTCGCTGGGATGGGCGATCTGGAAGAAGGTTGGCTTGTTCTGGTGCTGATGTAGTAGCACCCTCAGCAGCGCTGGCACGTCCTTCCCCTTCCCTAGCAACCTCAGCTGACGATGAAGGAGGTGCCACTGTCCAGATCTCTGGTACATCCTTAGCAGGCAGCCAGTTTGCCCGGCCAGTTGCCCAAATCAGAGTCCCTTCAGTGAGATACCCACCGGCGGCCAGCTCTGCAATCACACATGGAAGATTAGCTTGTTTTTACTAGAATGATTCCACTCCAAGGGATTCTCTTTGAGAATTTTGCAGATGCAAGAGGACCTGTAACTACACAGAAGGCAAAACATTTACGCACCGGTGAAAGTTTTGGTGTCGTAGGGCCCAACATTCTGGTTGTCTGCACTCAGATAATACCAGCCTGCTCCGTTCCCAGTAAAAACGTCTGCCATGTACACAATTGAGTCTTGCTTACACTCCTATCACGGCTTGAAAGCGATGAGCGATGGCGCAACTCTCAACCTGGACAATGTTATTGTCTTCAATCACATTATATTGTCCATCGAATGTGACAAGTTCTGCTGAAAAGATGATCCTTGAGCACCTGAGTCACGCCTGCCTCAGAGGTTCAGACGGCGTTGGTTTTCCCGCGACTTCCAACAACGCTCCTCACTTTATGTTTCTCCTCAAAGGATCATCTCCATGAAGCACATGATTACCTCTCTAATCATGAAAGATTTGCTATAGACACGGTTGTGATGACATCAGCGTTCTTTCCGAGTGCTAAAGGTCAGGACCTCAAAAATGTGGGCGGATGTCGTAGCGAGGAAAGAAAAAGCTATGAAAATAACGATCTAGGCTGTATCACATCACCGCAAAAAATCAGATTTCCATCCAGTAGAAGGTCTTTATGGGATCGGACCCCATTCAGCTCCAACATCCACCTAACATCCAAGGTCTCATCACATTTCATACTTCTGAGGAATGGAGTGCACACTCAATCGACACACTTTTCACATCGGTTATTCAAGATACATCAGTCCAGTTTGCAGAAAGAGACAATGTGACACTAAGGCCTCTCTGCTTATTGCAGTGCACCGCACACACCACTTAATGGATTTGCCCCTTTGCAGGATGAGTGAAGGCAATCAACCTGGGTGCCTGTTGCAGGAGTGTCTTCCAGCCATCAAGTTGCACAAGGCAAATGAGTGGAAGAAGGTCCATGCATGCGGGCTGTCCAGCTGGGACCTAGCCTGCACAACAACAGGGGCCAACTCACCAGAATTCATTTTTGGGACAGGTGCCGTCCTGCGCATTGCAGCCATTTACAGTATGTCCTGGCACTTGGAAATCACTTGCGCAAGCAATTGACAAATTTTGCAATTGCAGGCCATGGTGCGATCAAGGGCGCCCTTTTGCTAGAACCTCGAGGAGCCGCCCTTCCGGCAGGAGCTGACCCTGTGGCAGACCTGGCAAGGAGTGCCACAAGCGACTACAATGACACCTGTCCCTTATCACAGGTACTTAAGATGAAACTTGGCATCGTCAGTCATCATGGAAGTTGACAAATCTAAGCTATGTGTTTGAGTCTCATTTGCCATGCACAGGTTGTGAGGCTGAGAGCGTCGGTGGGAGCGAGTGGCGGCCAAGTCACGGTCAAAGCAGCCGCGCCGTCGGCCACAGTCAGCCTATCTCCCTTGCCGCCCAAGCGCGTGTGCAGCACGCCGCTGGCAGTCTCTCTGCTCCAGGGCCTGCAGCAGGCGAGGAGGGAATCCCTGACAGATCAGAGCTTCCCCTGTGCTTCCATGCAGCGTGGCGTCCTCACCCTTGATCAGGGGCGCAGCCTGGTGCCCTTGCAGGCAGCTGAAGCTCAGGTGCGCTGCACCTGCTCTGACACATTGCTGACAGCATGCACCATTGCTGCCTAATTTGGGGAATTTTGGGCCAGCAGCAGGGTGTTGCATGATGCGATGGAGAGATGGTGGGTGCAGGCTGAGGGAGTGCCGGTGGTGGGACTGTGGATGTCCGGTGTGCGCAGTGTCAGGGACCCCCACGTGTGGGCTGCATGCATGCGCTTCCTGCTGTCGGCGCAGCTCCAGGACAAGGCCATCCAGCCAGACCTGGCCTTCCTGGTGCTTGTCTACGCACCGGGTGCGCCATGCTTTCTGCGCATGGCAGTGATTACTGGCCGATATCTGACCTGCAGGCGCAGATGATGTGCAGTTACTATGTATGGTGGTGATGGGGCACGGTGTGTGCGCACAGGCGAGGGGCGATATCCTGCGTGCTATGAGGCCAAGGTGGGTCTGGACGGGGCACAACTGCCGGTGGCGACATTCTCTGTCAGGGCCAGGCCTGCTCTGAAGACTGGGTGTGCCTCGTTCTCCCTGGACCTGGCCGCTGCTGGAATGGCCTCCTTACCCATCCACACAGGTAACCCCACATATCTCACTCGTAGCCAGCACTTATACATTACCCGCTGCCTTCTTTCCTGAACCCGCAAGGCCTCCAGTACTTGTGCCGCAGCTGCAAGTGGCTGTGCTGAAATGACATGAACTGCTTGTGGGGGGCGCAGGGTGTCCGAGCAAGGCCTCCAGTACCCGCAAGGGTGGCAGGGTCTTCCCTGTCTCGGCTGGCGCGCCTGAGAAGCTGCTGCAACGCACGCGGGGAGACGCATGCGAGCACAGCTCGGACGAGTCGGACGTGCCTCGGCCGCGGAGCCCCTTGCGGGAGCAGCCCCATTCGGCCGAACGGTGCCGCCGCCGCTTCCCTGGGCAAGCAGCGGCTGATGCGCGATGCATGATCGGCGGCAGCAGCCCTGCAGCTGTGGCAGGCAAGGCAACGCCAGAGAGTGTAGCGCACCCGCCGGAACAGTTCTTCACAGAACAGCAGAGCATGGCAGCTGGTCAGACTCTGCCAGGGCAGCCCTGTCAGCCATATGTCGCGTCAGCTCCAGCTCCTCTGCCAGAAGCAGTGCATCGCAAAACGCATGCAGCGGATGAATGCAATGAGCACAGCACGCAGACACACCCCAGCAACCCCTTGTTTAGACAGGGCTTTGGAGAGCCGCACGACCGCGCCTCAGCTGCTTTCCCTGAGGAGGAAGAGGACACAGCAGAGCCTGTCCTCCCAATGGAAGATCGTGTCAGCAGACAGCCAGAAAGAGGGGCGAGCGAGAGCGACATTGAGGGGCCAGCCACACCTGCATACGATGTGCATAATGCGACAGTGGCGGCCCCACAGCAACCGCTCTCCAGCCCTGACGCTGCCATGCTGCAACGCCAAGTCGACCTGCTGAAAGAGCAGGTGCGATGCTCCCCTTTGCTTGACAGCCTCCTCTACACTCTTCCCTTCTCATCTGCTTCAATGCAGATCTGCCATATGAGAACACCGCTGCATGTCTATTCCTTACATGTCTCTGACATCTGTGCTATTGTTTCGGCGCAGCTCGAGGCCCTCAGAGTGCAGCTGCAAGCCCAGGGCAGTGCCGTACCAGCACATGCTGCTCCTGGGAAAACAGTCCAGCTGCTCCAAAGTCTGCTCAATATTCCTGTGACTCCGCCGGGCGAAGGAGGTTGCACAGATGGTATGGTGCCAAGCAACTTCAATGCAGATCAACCTCTTGATGCCGTGCACGCGCATATTCTTCCTGGCAGGACAGAGAGCTGCAACGGTGCACGCAATACCAGCAGCAGTGTGAGCACACCCCTGTCATGCAGCCGGCAGAGCAGCTTCTCCGCCGACAGCATCTCAGACAGTGCAGCAGCGGCTGCCATATTTGCTGCATATGCTACTCCCCTTGCAGCTGACGCTGCCCCGGTGGTTGCACTGCCGCTTATATTGGACACAGCTGCCTCTGATCCTCTATCAGAGAATGGCGTAGTGATAACAGCAGGGAAGCAGCACAGCATTACAGACCATCTGGAAGCTGGCAGCATGCCATGCAGTCATTCTGCAGAGGCAGGCCCTGCGCCAGTGCAGCATGCAACGGGAGCTGCAGCACTTTCAGGAAATTCCCTGGAGAATAGTGTTCTTAAGGAGACTGCTGCTGAGCATCATGCGGGCCCGCAAGAGCAACGGCCGTCAGGCTATGCGATACTGTCAGCTGGTGAGTGCCTGCCTGTCTTTCGGCAGTGGACATCCAGCATGTTCAGACATGATCTTGATCATGATGTCTATCAGGTCTTGTGTGCCAGCTTGGGATTCTTGTGAGATCAAGCCTTGAAGCTTGTGGAATTGTGCAGAAATGATTTTGCTGCTGGCATGCAGGAGAGTGGTCTGGGTCAGTGTCAGCAGCGTCATTGGATTCAGACAGTGATGAGGACCCAGCTTCCTTTGCTGTGGGGAGCGCAGTGGCTATCTCACCACATGCAGCCGGAGCAGAGCTGGTGGAGATCAGTAATCCTTACCGTACCCTGCCATACACACATCAGCATGCTGTCATCCAAGCTGTGGACCCCAGCATGGACTTCTTCTCTGACAGTGAAGATGAGGCAGAGATGGCGCGGCTTGAGAAGAAATACAACATCATTCCCCGCTTGCCTGACAGGGGCAAGCCGACTGCCTGGGGTGTTCCTGCATTGGAAGGGATCCTGCATGTGCCTCGTGGCAGCAGCTGGCCCAGTGGTGATGCAGCATGTCACATCTCTCTGAATTATCACTCAGACAGGTTGTGATGTCAGCCAACCGGTGTGTTTACCAGAAGATTCCATACTGCCCGAATTTGCTTGTTTTCTGGACATTGCACCCCGGTGTTAGACTTGCAATGATTATCTGGCGCTGTTGACTTGTTGCAATTGAAATAGTGTTTTTGTGGGATGCGGTGCTGTGCCCTCTCGAGTCCGGACCAAGATGTTGGACAGCAGCTTTGGAGATCTCATTCTACCCCAAATGTTGTTTCCCATAAGCCATCAACCGGGGCAAGTGCACAAGTTCATTTGCTAAGTTGATGTTGCGACAATTGTTCATTTCTGGCCAATGCTGTAAAATAGGCACGCCAAAATATGACGCCCTAGCCCAGTCAGAGCTGACGCAGCTCAGCCCCTGCCCTTCAGCCCCTACTTTGACTTATGCCGCATCTTCTTCAACCTCTTGCGATGCTTGTGCTTGTTCATTTTGTGCTTCCGCTTCCTGCGCACGCTGTCTGCATACAGTGGGGACTGCTGACCGGCAGGAAGGGAATCCACCCCTGCGGTGGTGCTATCACATGCATCCCTCCCTGCCTGGGCTGGCACATGCGGCAGCTGCCATAGCCTCAGGAGGCTTTCTCTAGGAATTCTGAAGGTCTCCTTTTGTGCATGCCCCACTGTTATACCCTCTGATACTCGCTCGGAAGGTCCAGACTCACTCAGGTGTCTGCAGGCATCACCTGAAACATGCCAAAGCAGTGTCACATGCACTGTGCAGATAAAATTTGTACTACTTTGGTATGTGGTGGTATGTGCCCTTATGATACGCACCAGTATCCCTACTCCAGCTGTTTGCTGCCAAAGATCTAGCGATGTTGGAGCCTTCTGCAGATATAGTGGACAGTGGGACATTTGGCAGAGCAGCTTCTGATCTCGAATATGCCGTACTGAAAACTGATCTGACAGAGATCGCCCTCCTGAGGGCTTGTTGCAGGGCCCATACTGCCATGCTTACACCACTCTGTCAGTCTGTGGCTCTATCCGAGCGAGTTCATCATAATGAACACCACACGTCCTTTCGACATATTGGGAATCAAGCAACTGAGAACCAGCTGCAAATCACTGGCAGCTGCATATTGAAGAGAGCCTTCAGGTGCCAATCTTGGTGGACCTGCCATGTCATCTTGGGATAGATTCATTATGAGACAGAGTCTTGAAGGATCTATCAGGTGTTCTGATCGTCAAAGAGAATTTAATATTGAGATCAGATGCAGTAGCACGATGAAATTGTTGAGAGCAATCTTATCAAGGGAAGGGCTATGGAGATGTCACTAACTTTTTGGAAACCTTCAGCACGTGTATTCAATCGACTCTTGATGCTGCATTCCCCGATACTTCGCTGTAGAGCTACTTCATCTTACACTTCGAGGCTTGGCGTAAAACATTCATCCAGGAAAGGGGGACAAGGGGCGCTCTGTGGTGCACGAGCCCCGCAGTTTTGGGGCACCTCTCTCAGATGTTGGCAGTATGGATCAACGAGATGTGGTCGCAGATATTCTGCAACATCACAATTGGCTGCAGTGCAAGCTGCGGAACCTACAGATCACCAAGGTGTTGAGCTATTACCTGGCTACCCACAAGTTCTTGCAAGCCTTTTGAGGGAGGGACATTTGAAGAGCAGCATCCCTGAAAGCCAAGTGTGTTGCCACAACGTCATATCAAGCATTGCTAAAGGGAACGTTCTTACTTGTTTGCAGGGGAGACAGAGACAGTGCTCCTGGACGTGAGCAACATGAAGTGCGGGGGCTGCTCCGCATCTGTAAAGCGCATCCTTCTCAGCAAGCCCGGCATTGAGCAGGCGGCCGTCAACTTGCTGACAGAGAGCGCGGTGGTCAAGCTGCGGCCTGGGCAGAGCTCCGCTGCGGAAGCTGCAGACCTGCTCACATCCAAGGCACTGCCCTCCATCTTCTCTGCATGCCAGTACTCATGATCATCCTCATGGCACCTCCCTGTGATCTTCCATGGACATCCGCGCATGCCACTGCGTCCTGCGTTCTGCTGCAACTGCAGTCATTGCGAGACATGCTCATATAATGGAGGATAACGTTTGAGGGCTTCCATGCACAGGGCTTTCCAGCGAAGGTGAGGACGTCGGAGGAGGGCATGCAGGACAGCGCGGAGGCGTCGGAGCAGCGCAAGCGCGAGGAGCTGCAACGGAGTCTGTGGGACCTAAGCCTGTCTTGGGGCCTAGTGCTGGTGTGCTGCACGCACCACCTCGGCCACTGGCTGCATGGCCTCGGCTGGCACGGCCTCGCGCATGGGCCGGTTCTCAACGCCCTGGCCAACCCCAGCGTCTCCCTTGTCCTCGGCTCCGTTGCGCTGCTCGGCCCGGGACGACCGCTCATCCAGGACGGCCTCGTCTCCCTCGCCAGGTATGTTGTGACGTGCATGATGCCCTCCATGTAACAGGGGTAGTTACTAGGCTACCAGCCAGTACTGTAATGCTGTCCCAGCCATTAGTATATAGGTCACCTGTAAGAGTTCTGCATCACGTGCATGTAGAAGCTTTTGCCTGTGGCCTACCTGTTCTGGAATGTACAGCTGCTGCAAAGTGAGGCGGTACAAGCTTAAAGTGGAAGAATCTACCTGAAGGGTTGCTGATGACTTTGTGATGTTTGCATGGCGCGCAGGGGCAACCCCAATATGAACTCTCTGATTGGGCTGGGGGCGCTGACGTCCTTCGCTGCGGGGGTGGCTGCGCCGCTGGTGCCGGGCATGGCCTTTGATGCCTCCTTCCTGGAGGAGCCTGTCATGCTGCTGGCCTTTGTGCTCCTGGGACGCACCCTCGAAGCGCGCGCACGCCTCAAGGCCTCCGGCAAGCCTCTGATTTTGATGCTCTTTTTATTTGTGTCATCATGTGGGACCCTCTCTTGTTCTTACCCCGCAGCACTGAGCACTCTATCTGTCAGACAGATGCTGTAATCAGTGTTGTTCCCATCCCTGACAGCCAACTTTGCTGGGTGCAGCCGACCTGCGCAGCTTGGCGAAGCTGATTCCGGCCGACACCCGCTTAGTCATCGATGCCGGGACCGCGCCCGGGGCTGCGGCGGCAGCGAAGGCTGCGGAGGGCAAGGGAGATGCGGCGTTGGTGGTGATGAGCGTGCCCACGACCAGCGTGCGGGCAGGGGACGTGCTGCGAGTGCTGCCGGGCGAGCGGGTGCCCGTGGATGGTGAGATTCTGGAGGGGCGCTGCAGCGTGGACGAGAGCATGCTCACCGGGGAGGCCGCCCTAGTGGTCAAGGCCCAGGGCTCTCTGGTGAGCTCACTTCCTCTGCTGCATCTCCCACGATTCTTTATCCAGGACCCTGCTCTTCTTGCATGGCACATGGTCGGCAGGAAGACACATACTTCGGGAGCAAGCTGGGCATTCGTAGGTAGAGCTTGGTGCAACAATTACTTCTCAGACACAGGATCAAACCATGCAGAGATCCGCTACGTGCCAATGCCTGCACTAGTAGTTCTTGCACCATGTATGATGTTGCATCACATATCATAAGAATAATTGCTGTGCAGGTCACGGCGGGCACGGTGGTGTTTGAGGCGCCGATAACGGTGCGGGCGTCAAGCACGGGCGCGGGCAGCATGCTGGCGGGCATCGGGCGGCTGGTGGCGGCGGCGCAGGCACGCGAGGCGCCCGTGCAGCGACTGGCCGACACCATCGCCGGCCGCTTCTGCTTCTCCGTCATGGCCGCCTCCGCCGCCACCTTCGCCTTCTGGTCCACCCTTGGTGCGTTGCCCCCTTCCACTCCCTTTGTCCATTCATTTTGCAATGTTGCCCAGGTTCTTCACTTCAGTCTCCTCTGACAGCCCTCTTTAGCAGCCCCTGTGAAGAAGAATGGTTGCCAGTTACCATATCTGCCTTCACCCTTCCTCTGATTGCCCTGCGGAGCCAGATGTGTAGTTCTGAGCGTCTACATGCGAAAAGCTAGATTGCAGGGGTATGGGCAGAAGACCAAGTGCCAGGCTGCTAGGAAATTTTTTGGAAAGTCAGTGCCAACTCAGGACCTAACGTGTGCAGGGGCGTCGCTGTTTCCGAGCGCTCTTGACAGCGTGGCAGGCGGCGGCGCGCTGCTGCTGGGCACAAAGCTGGCCATCGACGTGCTTGTTGTGGCCTGCCCTTGCGCGCTGGGCCTGGCCACTCCCACGGCCGTCCTGGTGGCGTCCTCCATGGGCGCCAAGCGCGGCTTGCTGCTGCGCGGCGGCGACGTGCTGGAACGCATCGCGCAGGTGCACTTCCCTCCCTGCCTTTGAGATTTGCGCAGGAGCGATCAGCCTGTGCCGGCTGCAAACGGGTGTCCTTTTGAGAAATGAAGAAACAGTTGCTTTGTCCGAGGCCGGCGTGTGGATCCAATGGTTTCTCTTGTCTGTTGTGGCATTGCTCTTGCATCATATTTACCTCATGTACGGTAATTCTGGGATGTGCACCAAATATGCTGGAGATCTTCCAACGTTTCTTAAAAAGGCGCGAGGTATGGGGTTGAGATCATCACGTGCTATGGAGCAGGTGGACACGGTGGTGTTTGACAAGACTGGCACGCTGACGGAGGGGCGGCTGCGGCTGGAGGCCAGCAGTCCGGCAGAGGGCGTGTCCAAGACCGAGCTGCTGCGCTGGGCGGCTGCGGCTGAGTCGTCTGCGCGGCACCCACTGGCGGCTGCGGTGCTGGCGGCGGCAGACGCGGCCGGCGTGGAGGTGCCGGGAAGCCGGGACGCCTCCACCGAGCCGGGATCCGGCGTGCGCGCAACAGTCGACGGCGCCAGGTTAGAACCCCTTTTTTTCTTAATGAGATTCATACCATATAGTGGATGACAGACTTGCCTACAAGCGCCCCGTTTCGGATGGATCTGATTTGGGACTCTGATGTTACCACCTTGTAGATGGTGGACCAGATTTGATCAAGTCGAATTTTGAATGCAGGGTGTTTGTGGGGCACCGCGAGTGGGTGGAACAGCAGCTGCGCGAAGTTTCTGGGAGCGGCCACACAGACGGCCACAGCAGCGACAGAACTCATAGCCACTTGTCAGCCTCAACCAGCACTGCTCCCAGCAGGTGTGCTCTACAGCAAGCACTCGCAGCTTTCAATCAGGCTTGCAGAATTTTGAGCTTGACTGGCTCCGCATGGGAAATGAACTCAAATGAGTGTGCTAGGTGCAGGACTGGAGACGAGGCCGAGCAGGGCATGTCGATGGTGCACGTGGCAGTGGAGGGGCGGGGCCTGGTGGGCAGCCTGGCCTTCAGGGACACGCTGCGGCCGGACGCGCGTGCGGTCGTGCAGCGGCTGAAGGACCTTAATATCCGCGTAGCGCTGCTCTCCGGCGACAATGCGGCCACCGTGACCGCCGCTGCACAGCAGGCCGGCATCCAGGTGCCAATTGCTGTCTTGAAATTATTTGTCCTCATTATGGTTCTGCTCTGGCCAACATGCCAGTCTACTTCCAGAACATTGTTGCCCCAGGTGATGCCATGGCCTGCCGTGCTGCTCCGTGCCCTGCTTTGGAAGCACAGGAATAAGAGAAAATCTTTATAATGGGCGGCGTTCTTGATCCACACGTCTACATTTATCCTGCTCCTTAGAACCTTGAATGCTGTCCCCCACGTGCCACTCGTCGTCCTGCTCCTTCAGACACGACAGACAAAAAAAAAACACATCTTGACGCCAGACTGCCCAAATGGGTCGTTGGGGGCTGACGGGGCGGCCGGAGCGTGTGCAGGCGGACAGTGCCTGGTCGGGAATGCGGCCGGAGCAGAAGGCGGCGGTGGTGGAGCAGCTGCGAGCGGGCGGCGCCGTGGTGGCCATGGTGGGCGACGGGGTGAATGATGCGCCCGCCCTGGCGGCCGCGGACGTGGGCCTTGCCATGAGCGGCGGAATGGACGCTGCTGGGGAGGCTGCGTCCGTCGTGCTCCTAGGAGACCGCATGGGCCAGGTGCGCGCTCTGCAGGGCCTTCGGCTCGCTGACACCTGTTACAGTGCCTGCTTGTGCCGCCTTGATACCTGTTTCGAGCCACCTAGGATGCAATTGGCGTCCTCTGCAATTAGCAATGTCATGTACTGCCGTATGCATCTGCGCACCTCTCCAGAAATGTGCTTGAAATAGCTTGCAACTTTGCACCTTTGTGATGAGGCGGTTTGACAGACATAGATGCTCAGCTTCAATGTGTACTAGAAAAGGAGAGCGTGGGGGTGTACAGGTGGTGGAGGCCATAGTGCTGGGCCGGGCAACGCTGGGCAAGATCCGGCAGAATTTGGCCTGGGCGCTCATGTACAACATCATCGGCATCCCCCTGGCGGCCGGCGCGCTGCTGCCGTCAATGGGCATCGCGCTCAATGCTTCGGCGGCTGGCGGCATGATGGCGTTCAGCTCCCTGGCCGTCGTGTCAAACAGCCTGCTGCTCAGAACGCACCCCCTGGGGGAGGCCGCAGACGGTGCTGCGGCCAGAGAGCCGCAGACGCGCCTGCATTCAGATGCGCGGCAGGAATTTGGTTCAGGAGGCGCCCCGGCTCAGTGAGGCGACTGGTACAATCGTGTAAAACCGAGTTCTGTGACTGTCGGGCATTGTGAGACTGCCCGGAATATTGTGAAGGAAGTCGGCATGTGAGGGTTGAGCAAGGAACCATGTATCTGTGATTGTTGTGTGACGGGAGGTGGGATAAATTTTATTTTGGTAACCTGATGCTTTGGATTTTTTCACCTGCTGCATGACATTCATTTTTTGACCCAGACAGTCCTGCGGGAAGAGCCCAATATTTTTCGAAACAGAGATTGAGGTTGACAACAGCAGAGGGAGTACCGACTGAGCATGGTTCATGATGTAAACGATGATTATCATTCTTTGGAGTGTGCACCGGTAATATGGTGCACTTGGATAATCTTCAGCTGGCTTATGAACAAATGGTCTGAATGCTTGAGACCTTACATCTTCCAGCTGGCTCTCTTGTGCCAGGATATATTTTAACAGGATGCGCGCCAACGCTCACAGTTACAGGATTGCAATCTGAAGGAGAATATCTCGATCATGTTTAACACGATTAGTGGTACATGCAATTTGCATGATGCAAAGGTCTAAAACAGTCAGCATCTGGTCGAGTAATATACAAGGTCAAATCAAGCACAAAAGGGAAAGGCAACTCGAAGGGGTGCCCTTTCTAGAAGGACAAGAGATTTTCTCGGGTCCACACTCGCAGACCGCAACAAGAGATAACCCTGAGCAAAAAGCCACACAATTTTGAAGGGCTGACTTCAAGTCTGAATTGGACTTTTCCCACTAAATTTTACCACCTGTAGCCACTCCTTGATTTGGCCTTGCTCTCGCCAGCTTCAACAGACTTGCCACCGCCTCTCCTTATCTTGGTGGTTCCCCTGTCGGCCTGCTCATCCTGTCTGCCCTCCATTGAATACCCCATGCCATCGTTGTCATCACTCTTATCTCCCTTGCCGTTGCCGTCAGGCAGCGTCTCAGACCAGGCATGCTCTTCGGCGAGCTGTAGCGCTGACTCCAGCTCACCTGTACAGCCCAGCAATCGCATCAGACCGTGCTTAGATCTTGACACCCCACCTTGCATGCACTCAGAACAGCCATTACCGCGGTCTGAACTGTGTCAGGCCAGTTACTGCTCCATTGTGGACAGTGGGCATCAGTCTGCGGCACCTGATGCTTGAGCGGCTGCCGCAGCGGCTTCCTGCGCTTTGAACAGGGCCTTGAAAACGGCCTGTGCCGCCTCCCTCCGCCGCAAGAGCTCCGCATCAGAAGCGCCGCCCTCGCTCTCCTTCTCGCCCCTGCCGCTCCCCTTCCCTTGCGCGCTCGCAGTGGTCGCTTCTGACACCGGAACAGAATCCCATATCAGAACCGGGACTGGCGGTCACCAGTACAGATAGCAGAAGACTAATCACCGGGCAGTCGACCACACTAATGGTCCTAGGATACAGCGTGTGTGCAGTGCATACTATGCACCTGCAGAGACGATGTCTGATGCAAGCCGGCTGGCCTCGGCCATCATGCCCGATGCGGCAGACACCATCTCCTCCCTCGCTGCCGCAGCCTCGGCCGTGCCTGCGCCGTTGGCAGCTCCCAGCCGCGCTTTTCCTGCCTCGACGGCGTCGGGAAAGCTCGTCCAGACAGAGTGCGGGCTGGACACGTCCCCCGTGCGCTCCCTGGCCTTGCCGGGGGACGATGCTTTGCTCGCCTCCTGCATGCATTTATCGACAATATCACATCGACAATGCAAACGTATTTCACAGGAGAAATCCTAGACCCAGATTGAGCAGACGGCTTTAAAGCAACAACAGGGTCACTCTGGAACAAAGACAGAAGTGCAGAGAGGAGCCAGGCTTGCCTGCTGGCCGTCCTGCTGCTGCGGCTGAATCGTGTCCTTGTTGGCCGCCTCAAAATTGGTTGCTATCCGCCCGATGCGCCTCTTCCAGCCCTCCATGGCGGGAGTGAGCGCCTGCACAGCACACCCCAGCACAACACCTCTAAGACACACTGCCGACAGCAAGCACCTCATGTACAAGCGAACTTGCCACTTCTGCGCAGTGCAAAGTGTGTCGAGTGAGGAAAGAAGAGTGTGTGAGATTGCACCTGTGTCAGGGATGTGACATCTTGCGCGATTCTGCGCATGCCGTCGCCGGTGCTGGACCCCATTGTGCGCACAGCGAGTGCCGGCACGGCCGCGCGCCTAATGGGGCCGCTGAGCATGTTCAGATTGCGCCCCAGCTCCTCAAACTCGATGCTTGCGCGCTCCACTGCATTCAGGGTGGTCGGCATGTCTGTGTTTATCACCTGAAACACCAGGAGCCCCTAGCTGAGCCACCCATTGAATAAGTCAACTCTGCAAGACTACTTGGCATATCTATGTTTGTCACCCAATTCACAAGGAGCCCCCAGGTGATCCAACCTCCTAAATTGCTCAATTTTGCAAGGTGTTTGCATTAAACGACATGATGGCAAGGGATCACCTCAGCTGCCTTGTCCATTTCAACGGATGCCTTCTCGAGCTCTTGCGCCGCTGTCTCACACGCCAATGCTGCGAGCTCCGCCCTCTGCGAGACCACCCACGTGTTTGCACGAGTCCTACCCGCATGATGCATGCAAGGGCTGGAATCTGATGTAAGGACCGACATGTCCGTCTAATTGGGGATTTCCAGGTGAGGCACAAGTGATGAGGGACAGAGTACCTTCAGGAGTGGCCGCACATACAATATGAAGGCGGTGAATGAGGATGCCAAGACCATCATGGTGGTGCAGACCAGCAAGAGGGCTGCCCACCATGATCCCAGCACTGTGATCCGAATGGGGGCCTGCTGGACGGGCGCTTCCGGAGAAACAGCCACTCTGGCATTGTAGGTGACGTCCTTCACTTTTCGTGGATCCCAGGAAAACCTGGCCGTGCCATGCCAAGCGATGGGCAAACATGACACACAGAGTAGACACCAGCCCATGCAATCGAAGATGGGATCGCCATTCAGTATACATTCCATATGCATTATTGCCACCAACTCAAGTCATGCTGAGGCCCTACTTACATAAAAGAACAGGACCTGGATGGTGGACAGCACATCACCTTGCTATACAACCACTCCGCGAGCGATCAAAGGAAGAGCGATAGCCAAGGGGGTAAATATTGAATACTGGACGTTTTGTGTCCTCCTTGAAGCTTTGATGGCAGTAGATGAGCACTTGTCTCTTGCTGAAAGGATGCAATGGTTGGTAAGTCGCAAGTAAAAGCCCTGAATGATTGATACGAGCTCCTGGCAATCGACAATTTGCGAAGTACATGGCACCAGCCATGCCTCAAGTGCGTGAGAGCATTTCAGATCTGTGGGAGACAGCAAATTGGCAGGGACACCTGCAACCATATCAGTCATGCTGCGTCATCACGTGCATCACGGCATCACAGCTTCGCTTCGCGCCCTTGGCTTACGAAAATGCCGGAAGATTTCATGATCAAGCTGCATCGATCAAAAGCAAACCAGTTGTATCGATCGAATACTGATACAGCGGTCCTCACAACGGCAGACACTGCGAGATTTCACAAGTGAACTTGGATCTTGTGGTCTTGTCTTGGCTTCTTGAGCTGACTGCGGCTGGGATCACTTGATCATTTACACTCACAATAACAAGGTCTTGAATTTCAGAAAGTGGGGCCGAATGAAATTGGCTCGGTGTCGCTCCATGACAGAGAAGTAACTGATGCAGAACCTTAGCAGGAGGGGTTTCACACTGCTGCTTCTCAGCAGTGTGGGCCTGCTTGCCAGCATAAGGTTCGTTGCAAGCTCGTCTGCAGCAGCCAGTAGCTCGCATGGGGGATCAGAGGCAAGCACGGTGCACATAGAGGCCCTTATGCCAGAGTACAAGACTGAGCATGAAGAGGCATACCTCTGCACCAGTGTGCTCCTTCCCGATGATCCACTCAAGCTCATTGGAGTTGAACCCCTTTCGAAGCAGGAAGTGGTGCACCACATGCTCCTCTTTGGTGAGTTCTCACGCCCCTGTCAGTGGTTTTGTGCTGATGGTCACCTCGTTCTTGTTGGACTCATGATGGGCGTTGCAGGCGACTAAGTGACTGAGTTGTGATTTTGCAGGATGTGCAAAACCTGCATCTTCAGAGAAGGTGTGGGACTGTCACACCCACAGCGTGTGTGCCGAGGCGGGGAGCCATGTGCTGTACGGCTGGGCTAAGAATGCTGACGCCATGCACCTGCCCCCTGGAGTGGGCTTCCGAGTGGGCCAAGGCACTGGCACACGCCACCTCGTCCTCCAGGCGAGTCCAGATCCATCAAGTGTCTGCTCCAAGGCATTTGCGGCTTCAAGATGCAGATAGGAGGACACTCGTTTGCGAATCAAGGTGATGGCTTTCTTAGATCTTCCTTTTCCCCCATTTTTTGATTTAAATTCGGGATGGGCAGGTGCACTACACTCACACGCGCCCGCCTGGGGACCAATCAGGCATGCGGCTAAAGCTGACCGATGCTGCGCTGCCATTCTCGGCGGGCATGATGATGTACGCGTCCTACTTCCAGATTCCCCCGCAGAAGCCCTCGCACCTGGTGCCAACCAAGTGCTGCTACGCCGGGTTTGAGCCTGCCTATGGCTTTGCCTACCGCGTGCACACTCACGCCCTGGGCAGGTGAGATCACCTTCATTATGGCCTGTACGGCCTTGTGAGGCCACAACTGGTGTCTGTGTGTTGTTAGACCCTGAAAAATCTCAGGAGTTGGCCTGCAGGCATAAGTTCAGAGGGGTAATTCAGTGCAGCACTGGTGACATTGGCACTTCTTAGGCTCACTCACGCGCTTGTGTGTTTGATTCGCTGAAATGTATTTTTCCAGCAGCGGGCTGGGACTGAGGGATAGCTGACCACTGTGCGCGCAGATCGGTGTACATGGACAGGATAGAGAAGGACGGCAGCCACAGCCGCGTGTGCGAGCACAGCCCGCAGCTGCCGCAGGGCTTCACACCGGTGTCAAACATCACCTTTTTGCCAGGGCAGGTTCTAGAGGCCACCTGCGACTTTGACTCGAGCGAGCGCACAGAGGTGACGCATGCCGGTTCGACGCACCACCACGAGATGTGCAATCTGTACATGATGATGTGGAGCGAGCTGCCCGTCTTCATGACCTGCAGCGGCCAGGGCACCTGGAGCGACGCCGCCTCCGTCGACCCCCATGGCCCAGGTGCCGCTCCTGCACCACCTCGGTTTCAACAGCAATCACCGTCGTGTCAGCTTGCCCTTAGGGCCCTCTGGATTACAAATACCTGAAATGCCTTTGAAGGGAGATACTAGAGCTTGATGGGGAGCTGGCATATCTTCATGGCAGGACTCGCCCTCTGCTTCAGACCGCCTCTCCGGGTACATGCTGCCCTTGTACATGCAAGTTCAAATCGGTAGAGCTGCCTTTGCACAAGCGCCAGCAATGGTGGACTTTAAGTATCAGGCTGGCTTCTTCCTATTGCTCGATTTAGGGACTCCTGAAGATACAGGAGATTTTGACTGAAAGAAGGATGCTTCTGCAGGGGGCCTGCCGGCAGCGGGGCGTCTGGTGCAGGAGGCACCGCAGCACTGGGGGCCGCCGCCACCTTACATGCCCGAGCGGCCGAGCGCGTCGCACCTCGGGCAGGTGGCGGGTGTGGCCAAGGGCCCCGCGGGAAGTGTCTGGGTGCTGCACCGGGGCGGCCGCGTGTGGGACGCCACCAGCTTTGAGGGGCCCGCCCTGGAGAGGATCACCTACAAGGAGCCCATCGGCGAGAATGTGGTCATCCAGTTGGACCAGGACACAGGTGCTATTGCTGTCTTGGAGTCCTTTTACAGAAAGAGACATGTCTGCAAACACACCTAAGATTGCATTTTACCAAGATTCCTTCTTACCAAGCAAGATCAGTCCTCGTCCAGGAACTGATCTGCTGGAGCTTTGAGTGGGCCAAGTTACAGCGTTGAACTATGGCAGGAGGCTTATGTTCTGGGGATGCGTGTGTGGCGCGCAGGGGAGGTGTTGGCGCAGTTTGGGGCGGGCGAGTTCTACATGCCGCACATGACAACGGTGGACAACAGCGGCAATGTGTGGACGACGGATGTGGGCACGCATGTGGCCACCAAGTGGTCGCCCGCCGGCAAGAAGCTGCTGGAGCTGGGCACTCCCCTGGAGCCCGGCAGCGACAGAACCCACTTCTGCAAGCCCACACAGGTCTGCCGGCTGACTCACTCCCTTGCCACCCTGCCTGCTCCAATTATGACATCCAATAAGGAGCACATCGTGCCTCTGTTGTTGTCGGAGGTGTTGTTCCAGATCTTGAGAAGGCCGGTGGGACAGGTTGAGAGGGCATCATGCTGGTTGCCAACCTGTGTACTTATTTGATGGATCGTAGTGCAAAGGATAGGCAGTCAGGAGTTTTGTCATCACAGGTGGCTGTGGCGCTGGATGGGACGTTGTATGTGGGGGACGGCTACTGCAACTCGAGGGTGGTAGAGTTCAGCGCGGAGGGGGAGTGGCGGGGCGAGTTTGTTCTGCCCGGGGAGGCGCTGCGCAACCCCCACAGCGTGGTGCTGCAGGAGTGCTCGCGCGCGCTGTACGTGGCCGAACGCGAAGCCTCGCGCGTGCACCGCTTCAGCCTGGACACCCGCCAGCTTGAAGGTGTGCCCTTGGCGGGGACTTCGCCGCCATTTTGCAGCGACAAGGCTGCTGAGGATTCCACCAAGGCTGCAGCCTTCTTTTCTTTTCTTTTCCCCTGCCCTGCACCTTGATGTGATTTGGGTTTTGCCATCTTGGGAGGCATGATGGGGTGCATGTGGAGCCATTTGGAGGCATGCGCAGCACTCTAGGCATCAAGGTGTGAGCCATCCACGGGTTCAGGGGTGTTTGGAATGAGCTTTATGTGGGCTTGATATAAATTCTGTGGATTGTGTCAGGGACGTGGGATCTGGCAGAATATGGACCGGTGTACGCGCTGGCGGCTGGGCCGTACGGCGCTGTGCTGGCGCTGAGCTGGAACAGGGATAAGGAGGGTCAGCCGACGCATGTGGTCTTGCTGAATGACAATCAAGGTGATTCCCGGACCAAAATACACCAAATCTTTCCTTTAATCGGGGCTGCTCTATCAAGCCAGAAACTGGCATGGTTATGGACGGCGGTGGCTGTGCGTTGGCATGTGGGGCACTGATGTGTGTCCCGTGGGATGCAGTGGGGAAGATTACGGGGGCGTGGTCCGTACCGGACGTGCAGGCGCCGCACGACATGGCCGTCATAGCCGCGCCCATGCGGCTGGCCGGCAAGGAGCGGCCGGTCGCGCTGCTGATCGGCGAGACCCGGCCAAGCGGCAGCCGGCTGCAGAAGTACATCCTGCTGCCTGAGGGTGGGCCCCCAGTCTCCCTGCTCTGCACTTTTGCCTTACCTAGACCGCATTGTCACATGCTGCCCTTGCTGCCACACATATCACTGGCTTTGCTTGGGATCTGGATGCATTCTGCAGTAGGGAAGAGGACTACGGTATATAACATCTAGGCTGTGGGATTGAGATGAGTATGAAAGCTGCTGATACATGGAGGGGATTGTTGAGGAGGGTTTATAAAGTGGGGGCCGGGACCTGCAGGCGAGGCGTTGCCGGTGGAGGCGGGGGAGTCGCAGCAGGTGTCGGCGCGGCAGCAGTGGCGCGAGGTGCTGGGCGCGGCGGTGGGGGAGTCCACGACGACGACGCGCGTGACGCTGCTGGGGGAAGTGCGGCGGCTGGGAGCAGGCAACGGTGCCGGCATCGGCAACGCCTTCAGCCAGGTCACATACCTTCATCTCAATGGCCATCGGGGGTCACACAATTTGTTGAAGTATCACATCATATTCAGATACCCCTGATGCCAATTTTTCTGTAAGCTTTGGGTTGGAAGGGCCATTTTCCGGGGATTTTTTGGGCGCCAGGCCTTCGGGGGGGGATTGTCGGCTAGGTTCTAGGGCGGCAGTGTGATGAAATTCCCTCCAGCATCAGCATTGACCACGGCGACAGAAGCAGTATTATTTGTGGCCTTTTCCCACGTGGTGCCCCTGTAGGACTCAATTCATCTCCACAGGAACACCAATGGACGGAAGTTTGCTGATCAACCAGCCATGCATCACTGAAATCATGTAATCCTGCTGCAGGTTCTGCTGGTGGGACTGCCGCTGACTGTGCTTGTGGGCGTGGCCGCCCTTGCGCTGTGGAGCCTGTCTGGGCCGCCCCTGCCCCAGGCAGACCTCAAGCTCGTCAGCAAGGCGCACATGTCTCCGCAGCAGCGGTTTGCATAATTTAACCCCTGGGAATTCTCTGACATCTTTGTTGTAATGACGTTTTTGCCATCATGATGCTGGTGGTCCAGTCTGTGTACACATGTGACATGTCGTGGGCGGGCAATGGTCGCCATTGTTGATTGGCATGCTTGAGCCGAGGAATGCATGGAGGTTTTTCCTGTGATGTTTGGCAGGTTTATGGCCATGACCTTAAAGTTAATGAATTGAGTGAAAGCACCAACATGCATGTGTGCACAATTGAAAGGTTTTCTAGAATAGACGACACTGTAACAGGGGCAACCACCTCTCGTCAGGATCATTAAACGTAGAAAGAGGCAGCCTGATGGCTCCAGGCATAAGGTCTTGCAGATGGGCATGTCAGAAAAGTCAGTCAATGCGTCTCTCAAGAATGAGATGGTATGATCTCATCAGACGGTTATGTCTGATGATCATCTTTTCCTGCCTACTCGCACATGAGCACCGGATCCTCCTCCAACAAGCAAGCGCTGGGGTTTGTGGACAATGTCTGCGCACTTGGGAATGTGCCGCTCTGCTGCTATCTCGCTGTAACTCCTCCCGCAGTGGGGGCATGGCACCAAAGCCTGCATTGCACATGAGCAGACATGAGCAGACTCATCAGGCAAGCAGAACCGCACTACCCTGGGACTTTAACATGCACAAATGTCACATGCATTTGGCATTGCATTGATGTTTCTCGTATGATCTCACCCTGTTAGCTTCTGCCGTCAGAGCTGCCACGGCAAGGCTGTCTCCCTGTAATGCCTTCATTGCGAGCCGCAGCTGAGCACTTTGCATCTTCCATTTGCTGGCTTTGTCACCTGCCTTCGCTGCACCACTTGCGTTTTCTGAGCTGGAAGTCTTGCGCTGTCTGCTCCTGTGCAGAAAACAGATCAGTTGGGTGGTAAAATGCATGCAGTCCTTGCTGCTTTTTGCATTGGTGTATGTACATGCCTTTAGCAGGACACAACAAGTTTGAGACACGCACCCTGGCATAATCTGAGAGCCTTCGACATCCATAGCTGTGCCAGAGCTTGTTTTTCTTTTGCTTGCAAACACCTGCACCATCACCAGAACTGAAGGATCCCTGAGTTGACATATATGCGCACCTTTGAGGTTATCCACAGGATATGGTTTCACTGCATTTAGAGCATCCACCAGTGACTTAGTAGTGTACATTTTTGTATAGTTAGTCGATGTCACAACACGGTACCTTCACACAGATCCGTCCATGAATGGCGAGAGCCTGAGCGTTGAACGTGCGCCCACATGTGCTGCAAGGAGTGAGATCCGTTGCTGCAGGGGGGCTCCCTGTGTCTCCTTCCCGCCATGCTGGTATACTAAAATTAGAGGGTTGCTCTACTCTTTGTGCCCCGGCAGCTTTCCCTTTAGCTCTTGCTTTCTGTGGCAGTACAGAGGGCTGCTGACTTCTCTGCCGGACCTCGTTTGGGTGCGGCAGGTGCAAGTGTGGAACCTTTGCTGGACTGGCACTCGGGCTGAGAGCATCAGGCTGTGCCATGTCTGCAGCCATGTCAGCAGACTGGAGTATCGATGACCGCCTGGCAGCGTGCCTGCTCCTGACCCGCATCTGCAGCTGCACCAAGCTCGCCCTGCGACTGCATTGGCAGGAACAAACGAGCATCTTTACCAAGTCATTGCGTCCCAATGCTCAGCTGTGTGGCTCATTAATCTTCATGCTCGCCGTCCAGTAACAAATGAGTACACTCATCTTGTTAGTATTTTGCAATGCTCAGCTGTGTGAGTCATCAATTTGCGTGCCTGCCATGCAAGGCTGCATAGAAACAAGGGACCTTTTGGTCGCAGTTTGCTCACCTCTTCACTGTGTCCCCTGCTTCGGCACTCGACGCAGTGGCTGTACCGTCGTTGATAAGCACGTGGGCAGACGAGATTTGCATTGTGCTCTGCTGGGCTGTGTCGCTCCTGGGCTGAGCACCTAGACTGCTCCTGTTTTCCTGCTGCCTCACAGTGCTGTCTGGCATCTTTGGCCCTTTCTTCCTGCCCATTGCTGTTGCCTGCTTGCCAGCAGGTTGTTGCTTTGTGACCTTGCTTGGTGGGGAGCCCTTGGGGGTCCAGGACAGTTGCTGGGATGCTGGCTTTGCCGCTGATATTCTACTACTGCTGGAACTGCCAATCTGCTGGTTCCACAGTGACTCTGGCACCTGCCATTTGATTGGTTCGTATGGCAAGCCTTCTGCAGTCAGCCTCTGGCTCCGGGCTTGGCCATAAACAGCCGCTGATGCTGTAGGAGGTAGCATTGTGGCTGGGCCTGCATCATCCTCAAATTTGGAGGATTGTGTGTCGGCAATATTATCTGAATCGCCTTCATCTGGCAAATTGCTGTAGCGGGTGGCAGCAGCCAGTGATGGCCGCCGCTGCTTGGAGTCAGGAACGGCGTTGTTGCTGATCCAAGGACTCGCTTGGCTGAAGCCATTTGCCGGGTCGGGACCCGGCTTAGTCGAGCCCTCTGTGAGAATGTTGTCCATGATCCCACGGATTCCATCCAAGAGGGGCCTCAGCGTTGTGTATGAGCTTTTGCGGATTTGTGGTGGTGTAATTACTTGGGACTGGGCTGGGGCAACGTCGACGATTGCTATTGCTGGACCGCCTGCTGGCAGTTCATGGCCATCTGCCCCAGAATTATTCACGTCTTGTTCAGGCTTTCCTCCGTTCGTATGCTCCTGATCCTGGGAAACAAGAGGTCAATATTATGGTGTCAGATGCAGCATTGTAGTGCCGCAAGAAAAGAACTAGACGGCAGTGGCATAAACTTTGACGTTAGACTGCCATTACTGCGACACACCAGTGCCTCTGGCGTGTTCACATTGCTCTTGCGGCGCAGAGTGATGGAAGAAAGGCGTTTCTTGAAGAGTGATAAGCTACTTTCATTCATCGAGAAACTGCAGGCCCTAACTCACTGGCTAGACCAACATCTGAACGGATGTGTTTCTGTCAACAGACATGCTCAGCAGGGTGTAGAGTTCAGCGCAAGGGCAATAGATGACGGAGAACTGAACAATTGATGGCCGGTGCAGCTTAAATAAGGGCATCTAGTTCATTCTCGAGCTGTCGGATTTCTATGTTTAGAGCCGAGAGCACATCAATCGCGATCCCCTTCTAAAGCAAGGGGTTTCAGAACCCTCGGTCATTCGTCTTTTGAATGCCTGAAGCGACAGGCTCTCACTGTCATCGAAAACTGGGTTACGTTCGATTCAATTGCCATATATCCTTCTTCAGGTGCACCAACATCCCACAGCCTACCACCTCTTCATTCTCTTCGGTAAGGACCCCAATATTGACCGTGTTCGGTGTCGCTTTTCCGGCTTCGAGACCCGGTGTCAGAGCAACTCTTGCTGCTGTATAACTTGACTCGAGCGACTAATCCTAGTCGAATACCCTAATCAATTTTGTTCAAGCACTATTCTTTTCAGCATTTACTATGAGTCTTACGTATGCAGTGTTCCGGTGAGATTCCTTGCCACCGCACAATGCTTTGTAGATTTCACTCTGAACTGATCGAGGCGTTTGATTTTGCAGTACAACTCGTCTCAGACTACCATGGCGACCTACTCCTACCAGGCATTCTCCTCTCCCTGGCTGTTGCAGACCCTACCGCAACAGCACCAGCTAGAGTCAATCGATCTGGCAATATCCAGTTGTTTGCTTGTGGAAGAAGAGGGAGCCTTTCATCACAAGATGCTTGCTTACCATCGTCATGCTGCAATGTAAGGGATTGCAAGAGGATAAGCTGATATGACCCCTATTTGAATGCTTTTTGCCCTGTTCCAGGTGGCTGTGACCCAGGGCGATGACGAGTCTGACCTGACCGGATTCTGCCCCGAGGCCAAGATCACCTGCAAGGCTGGCGCGATGGACCAGCTGAAGAACAAGCTCGTGGCTGAGATCACCAAGAGCTGGGCGGAGCACCGCCAGAACGGCTGGGCTGACCCGGTGCCCAGCGCCCGCCGCTCGGAGCAGGAGATTGAGTCTGACTACACCAATGACTTCTTTGTGTGCGTGCTGGACATCAAGGTGCAGGTCTAGCGCCAAGGACCAATGAAGTGCTGCTGAGACAATCCCGCGCAGCGTCATTCCTTATCCTGGGTCATAGTTGAGGTAGTGACATGGTTAGTGCTATGAGACCAGACCCATTGGATATGCAGACCAGCTCTAAAGATTGCATGCCAGTGTACTGTAGAGTTGTGCCCCAAAAGCCGCGGCAGGATTAATAGATATTTCACGGGTCACGATGCAGTAAACCCTCTGGAGATTTTATACCTAGCACCATCATTGTCGGAAAAGCACATCCAGGCCATCCCGTGAGTGTACACCCACTCACGGGATGGCCTACATGTAGCTCCAAATCAAGCAAGTCCTGCATTGAATTGTGTTTGCATCTGGGGAAAATGGCTATAGTGGCCAATGTAACTGTGCGCCACCCACACGCGCATGCCAGCCTGGAGTGCACAGAGCCCCAGACGATGATTGCAAAAGAATTCTGAAAGTCAGCCGGCCACCGCCGGCGCCATTCATTGCTCGCATGCTTGCACCGCATATCGGTGAACCCTGGACGAGGGTGACATCTTTGAGAAGTGCATATTTCCGTCAATTTCTGATAAATTTGGTGCCACGAGATGCAGGCCTTGAGCATGCCAACTTTATCTTCTCAAATGTAATTTGCTGTTCTTGGATGCTTTGCATGCCAGGATCATGACGTCACCCAGAACAACCTCAACAGGAGGCATCAATCTTCGTCAAAACTGCTCTGGAGAGAAGATCATCACACGCTTGTTGATTTTTGAAGTTTTGTGCGCTTCATGTCTACGTTATAGCAGGAATGTCGATGATTTGCAGGCATACAGCAATTCTCGATCGGAGCAATGAGGATTCTTGTCTGGAATATCAATGCCCTGGTAGGTAGAGCAAATTGAAAGCTTTCATTGTCAGGATTTTTTTCTTGTCTGATCTGGGCCAATCATACTGTGTTTTGCCTGCAGATGCCAACCATCCCCAACTTCTTTCTAAAGTACAGCTCCTTGAAGGGTTTCTTTGAGGAACACAACGCCGACGTTATATGCTTCCAGGTCTGTCATATCACTGCGTACCATAATTTCAAGTTGTGACACCAAATGACTTAAGCCTTGCAATGACTAGTAGACCTGACCTTGGAACCGAAATCAGAATGGATGTGCGAGTTCCTCAACCAATTTTGGCTCACTTTTCAACAGGAAACAAAGCTGCAGAGCGAGGAAAAGCTCACAAAGGAGACAGCATGTGTAGATGGCTATGAGGTGAGTGCCAGTGGTCACATCATGAGACAATTCAGTCATAGCATAGCTCAGCAGGTACTTGGCCCTACTGCTTGACGTTTGCCCTGCAGAGCTTCTGGGCATTCAGCCGGGAGAAGAAGGGTTATTCAGGAGTGGCCACATACGTCGCAGACAAGTACTCTCCCATAGATGCGCAAGTAGATTGCCTGGGCTCCGGCAATGCTGATATCGACAGGGAAGGACGGTGGGTGCTCCCACATGCAAGCCTCATGACATCCCAAGCATGCTGTAAACTTTGAGAGCGCTGTGCCAGAGCAGCACATGACACACAGGGGGCTGTGCCAAACAACCGTGCTGCTGTTGCAGTGTGGTGCTAACCGACTTGGGAGCATTCGTGCTGATCAACACATACGTCCCCAACGCGGGGGATCGCTCGAGCAATGGGGAGCGCACGGCCTTCAAAGTCCGTTTCCTGGCGGCCCTCAAGGAAAAGTGTGATGCGCTCATCGCAGCCGGACGACAGGTACTGCCATATTCAGCCACCATTGGGCATCCTGCTCTACTGCATGAAATTAAAGAACACTCTGATCTCCACACAGTTTGCTGATAAATTGATGGGTGCTTGTTGCCAGGTCATAATTGTTGGAGACCTCAACATTGCCGCATCCCAGAAGGATGTCCACTCCAAATTGAGCTATGAGAGGATGTACTCTCCAGAGGAGAAGGCCCTGCTGCAAAGCCTCCTGAATGACTACACAGATGTGTGGCGACTGCGGCATCCAGATGAGAAGTCCACATTCACTGTTTGGGATGAGAAGACCAGTGCACGTGCCTTCAATGAGGTGTGCTCTGCTTTATTGGACTTCAGTTTCCATCACATATTGCAAGAGCTACAAAACAGCGTGTTGAGAAGGAAGGAGGACACATGCGTCCATGACCCTTATCCTTGGGAACGTTACAGGGTGTGCGCATTGACTACGCGCTGCTGTCACCTGGTCTGCTGGAGCACGTGGTGTCATGCGAGGTCATCAGCACGTTGCCCCCCAAGTGGAGCGATCATGCAGCGATCATACTGGAGCTGGCGGACATCCCCGCAGTGCCCAAGCACCCGCCCTGCGTGCTCTCCAGCAAGCGCATCAAGCGGTTCCAGCAGCCCAAGACCTCTGTGGCCTCGCTCTTTGCCAAGAAGAGGGCGGCGCAGACCGCGGCTGCTGCTCCTAATGGGAGTAACGCCGGTGCTGGTGAGGGCATAGACAGCAAGAGGCAAAGAGCCACGGGCACCTCTGCATCTGCTGCTGAAGTGCCTGATGCAGCCGGGCCATCCAGCAGGCTGCAGGGTGTGTCAGAGGGAGCAGCTCTGCTACAAAGGGACGGTGGACAGACTGGCAGGAGTAGCGTGGAAGACGGACCAGGATGTGGCACCAGTGGTGGGGATGGGCAAGGCGGTGAGAGGACAGAAGGGAGGGCAGAAGTGTCAGGCAGCAGCTCAAAATATGGCATGGGGACCAGAGAGAATGTAGCTGTATGCAACAGTGTGCAAGAGGGAAAGGGATCTGTTGCTGCACAGGGGAAGGGAAGTGAATTACTGACAGCAGCAAAGAGCCAAGAACCTGCATCATTGAAGCCGAATGGTCCCCAGCAAAAGAGCATCCGTGCATTTTTCAGCACAGGTGACAAAGCTTCATAAAGTCCTTGTCCTGTCCTAGCAAGTCATCTTGCCAGTTTGTTTACTGTTGGTGTTGTCCTTGATCTTTGGCATGTGCTTGGGTAATTGAAGCAAGTCCACTGCAATTAGCAATGCTTTACAATGTGACCGTGGTCTGTGGCAGGGCAAGGTGTCAATCTTACACCATATGACACTGATCACATTTTCTATGGCAGTGTTACAGAGAAGATATAAGGTGATATGCGCAAAGAGTCCTACACATATAATGCATCCTCACTACAATTGCAACTGGACAGATCTATGCCAGGCTGCAACTCAAAATTGAACGGTTTAAAAAATAAAACTTCAAGTACCTCAACAAAGGTACAACAGGACTTCCAGCAAGAGCAGTTCTCATTCTCCCCACAGGACAGGCAGTGCCTTACGAACCTCTGATTCCGACAGAGTGCTCACAATTCCATCACAATGCTGTAGATCAGAAGGGGCTGATGCACCTTCTTCCAGTGCTGTTGCCCCGGAAATCAGTAGGGTAGTCATACCCAAAGCTTTCGCTGTTCTGAGATTCTTCACGCTGTCCTCAAACATTGCTGTCCTCTCAGGTGCTGCACCAATGCGGTCCAATGCAATTTTGAAGGCCGCAGGCTCCGGTTTACAGATGTCCCCCATTGCATCAGCCCCGATCACGCCCTTGAAGCAATCCTGGGGCAAGTCCGCGACAATTATTGCCCATGCTCTTTATTCATCTCTGGCGCTTGCTCTGCCTACATGTCTGCAGTCCTCTTCGTATAACTTCACATTAATGCAAACTGGTACCAAGGGAATTCAGAGAAAGGGAGAGGTACCTTGAGGTTCAGCAGCTCCAAGGCATGAAGGGCATGCTTCTCGCTGCAATTTGTGAAGAGCCACATCTCTTCCTGGGGCAGGCTCTTCAGGAGCGTTCGCACCTCCACAGACAGTATCCCTCTCTTCAACCACTGCTCTGCTGGAAGTTTATTGTTTGAGACATGCAAAGCATTTATTGTCGGCAATCCTTAATGCAGTGGTGGCCGAACGAGAAGGACAGACACCTCTTGATTTGGAAACAAATACTTCTCTGCGCCAGCCCGCAAGCAGTCCCAGTACTCTCCTGCCTCAATATTGAAGCCGCCTGCCCTCAGCCCACACAGGCTCTGGTTGTACCTCTGAAAGAGTGGGCGCCATACCTCTTCGGCCCTCTCAAGTGGCACCCCATGGTGCGTGTTCATGTACTTCCAAAGATTAACCCTGCACAAATATCACCAGAGGTTCAAATACAATCAGCCTCTAGGAAGATGCGCATTGGAGAGTCAATAATTTCTGTGAAAGTCTTCTCAACCTGCCTCATGTGTGCTTTGGGCCAGACATACCTGACATGGTCCTCGTATTTATTACTGATGTCATAGCAGGTTCCATCGAGATCTATCAACAGATATTCAATGTTACTGTCGCTACTTGGACTGTCGGAAGGAATGATGATCTGCATGATCTAGGCCCGAGTTGCAAATACTTGGGTGTGATCGACAGCATGTACTTCGAATATATATCTGACAATTTTACATTACAGACATATTGTCAAGTGCTCGTCATTTATGGGCTCTTGACCACTCCAGCGTTGACAGTATTCGAATTACGGGTGGTATGTCCTTACCTCGGACCGTAGCCCTTTCTTCCAGCCGGCCATACTTGGGGCATCTATGGTTCGTCAGGTCTGTCAAGGCGGGCATTGCATTGAAAACGGCATCAGACCTGGAGGTCTGACATAATGCAACGGAGATCTGCAGCTGTGGTTGTCATTTTGGAGTGTTGCTGACATCCTTGCAACCTTTCTGTTCTAAGCAACTCGGCAATTCAGGCCGCTATTTTGGGTGCGGACACATCATGAAAAGTTCTCCGATCACGTGAATCTAGTCCTCCCGTGTGGTGCAGATTGACAGCCTTCGAGATTCCAAAAGTCCTGATCACAAACTCCCTTTTGTTTCTTTTCTTGCTTTATTTATCTATGACATGCTTGGACTAATTCCAATACCTCTGTGCTTCTTACTGCATTCTTTTAGGAAGCTAAGACGCAACCTTGTTTTTCCCACCAGGACCTACTTCGACAAGATGGCGTACAATCCTGAAACTATGAGCTTTGATGTGCCCGACACCGATATGGTGTACGTGTCTGGATTGGCGGAAGGGACAACGGAGGAGATGATAGCGACACATTTCGGCTCCATCGGTCTTTTGAAACAGGACAAGAAAAAGGGCAAGCCCAAGATATGGCTGTACCGTGACAAAGCAACGAACGCATTAAAAGTAAGTCTTCATCACATTATCGCAAGGAGTCTGATGATTGCCTGCTTGATGTCTAGATGCGCAAAGTGTCTGGAGGTCCTTCCTGACCTGACATGCATGGGTTTCAGGGAGACGGGACGGTCTCATATGAGGATCCTTTCTCAGCAGCGTCAGCCGTGCAGTGGTTTAACGGCAAGGATTTCAACGGTGCGATTCAGTTCATATAGTGCATTTCTTATACTTCTGCCTGCTCTCAACACAGCTGTGTGCCACTTTCACCCCACCTTTAGTGTCCCTGCGGCTTCACATGCAGGGTCGATCCTGAAAGTCAGTCTGGCAGAGCGTCAAAATGACAAGTATGGAGGAGGCGGCGGCTATGGTGGTGGAGGTAGCTACGGCGGTCGGGGTAGAGGGGGCGGCGGGGGCGGCGGCGGCGGCGGCAGCGGCTATGGCCGGTAGTTCCTCTCTCACATCATTGCCTTTCACTTGCTGAGCATGGATCAGACGCCTCGCACACTTCAAACAGCATTTCATCGGACCTCGGCAAGCGTGCTGATGGAAAGACATGGGTTTGCGGATGCCAGGGACCGAGGTGGAGGTGGCAGGGACTATGGAGGCGGAGGTGGAGGTAGCCGGGATTACGGCGGCGGCGGCGGCGGAGGCCGGGACAGGGATTACGGGGGCGGCAGCCGCGGCGGTGGCGGGGGCGGCGGCCGGGACAGGGATTACGGGGGCGGTGGCAGCAGCCGCGGCGGCGGTGGTGGATATGACCGGCCGCCACGGGACGACTACCGTGGAGGCTCCCGGAACGAGGCGCCTCCGCCAAATGCCTACCCACCTCCGGCTGCCTATGCCCCGCAGCCTGCATATGCGCCAGCGCCTGCCTACCCTCCACAGGTGCACACTGTTAGTCTAATGTGGTGTGTTGATTACTTTTAGTTGAGTCTCATATTTATCCTGAAATCTTGCAGCCTGCTCTGATGATTCTGTTGATTAGCTGCAGTTGTATCGGTAAACTGTCTAATGGCATGCAGCAATCCAGGCATCCGGCCATTTGGCAATTGATTGCAGAGATGATGGGCAGGAATAAACCTGCATGCTGGTGCAGGGCCATGACCCCTACGCTGCCGGGGGTGGGGCATACGACCCCTACCAGGCAGCGCCGCCCCCGCAGCAGTACGCCCAGGTGCAGCCCTACGAGCAGCCCGTCCAGCAGGCGCCTCCCCCAGCCGCAGGCCGTGGCGCCGGTGCGCCGCCTGCACCCAAAGAGCTGCGAGAGGGCGACTGGCCCTGCCCAGGCTGTGGCAACACCAACTTCTCCTTCAGGTCAGCATAGCGCACGCTGCCCCTCCCCTCTCTTCCTTTTGTCCTCGGGGTGTGCCGGCAGGTGCCAATGCCGAGGCATAGGGACGCATTTCCGATGGAAGCAATTATGCACCCCCGTTCAACTTGGACGTATCTGTGAACAGGTCGCTCTCCTCTGAGCACGCGTTTGCATGGGTGCAGGGGCAAATGCAACCGCTGTGGCACGTCGAAGCCGGGCGGTGGCGGCGGCGGTGGCGGCTCTGCAGGTGGCGGCCGCGGAAGCGGAAGGGGCGCCGACAGCGGCCGGGGCGGGGGCCGCGTGACAGCCGCTCCCCAGGGCCCTCCAGGTCAGCAGCATCTGACACGCTTGCGGCAGCCACATGATAACTTGTTCCTCTTTGGCATCTTGCAGCTCTGCCTCTGAGCAGCTTGCACACATTGCGAGATTGCTCTTCTCAGAGGGATTTGTGGCTTGATGTGGCTGTGTTGTGGGGCGCAGGCATGTTCAACGAGGGCGACTGGACATGCAGCGGCTGTGGCAACACCAACTGGGCCAGGCGCAGCACCTGCAACATGTGCAACCAGCCCAAGCCAGGCACCGTTGACACCAACCGCGAAGGCAACGCCGGCGGCTTCAAGGTGCTGTGTTCTTCTTCCATTTTGAGAGGCGATGAAACCCTTTGTTGGTCGAGAACCAACGCAGCCATGTCCTTCCTCATCGACTCTGCAGTTTGCGCAGCTTATACATGGCGCAATTCATGCTGACTTGGCGCTTTGGTCATGTGTGCAGGAGCTTGACGAAGCCGAGATTGAGGAGGCGCGCCGCCGGCGCCAGCAACTCGAAAACGACGACTCTGAAATGTGCGAAGAGACCCCTTTCTGGTGCTGAAATCTTGCACATCCCTCACTGCAATCCTAAGGAAGCTCTTGCTTGATTTGCACAGTTGCATGATCGTGGTATGTCGGATCAGAAGCAGTGCCGATGTGACTTGTGTTGTCCCCTGGTGCGGCCAGGTACGACGAGTTTGGGCGGATCAAGAAGAAGTTCCGCGGCACAGAGGCCGACAGGAAGGCTCGCGAGGAGGCCGCACTCGCACGCCTGCATGGCACCTCTGGCTCTGGGGTGGGCGCCCTTGATTCATGCCTGCACAGTCCTTTTACTGTGCCCTTGTCATGCCTGGCTCTTAACACGTGCTAATGGTGGTATTTGCTGGCGTGCTTTCCATCCAATGTGGCTGAGACTACCTGGGTGCACTGCAGGGTGAGCGCCAGCGCAGCCGCAGCCCTGCCGGCAGAGACAGGCGGTGACTGGGCGAGGCGTGACGAATTATGACTGCAGCGGCACGTAATGGCAGGATTTTGAGCCCCTGGCTGCCATGTGAGCAGCAAAATGATGTCAGGGCAGAAGTCGTTTGCGAGCTTAATATGTATGATGGTTTTCTGTCGCTCCTTACTTGAAGGACACCTTCACAGTTCAAGTCAAGTTACAAGAAATTCCCCTTGATGGACAAATGCGATTGGCCGGGCCACAGACTCTGCGTGCTTATCATGATGTCAGACACAGAGCTTCTGTAATTACATTATAATATTCAGTATGCGCTGCATGCATCGCTTGTTTGGACTCCGCCTTAGAGTAAGCTTGTTATTCGATTTGGGCTCCAAGTCCCTTGAAGCTCCGAGTCGGCTGGTCCAGAATTGTTGCTGTAGTTACGGCCGGACTTCTGCTGCAAAATGATCTGATTTTTTTTGGCTTAAATATAACCCATGCTGCGACAAATGTCTGGCAGACACCATGCATGCATCAACTGGACATGATGATCTCACATCGGAGGACATAGAAGAGAATAGCTTTCGCTTCCTTGCGCTGTGAGTCACAGCCTAAAACTGCATATGACCTGGGGCTGTCCTAGGGTACTGTAGATATCGAAGGGAGTCATAAAAGGGAGACGACAAACCACATGGATCCATGTGGGGATCTGCTGGATAGAGTTTGTTGGCGTCGGCTTGCGTCAGAGAAACGATCAGAGAAAGGTTACCTATGGACCAGCTGCGCATCCAAGGCACACGGATGGACGATCTTGCAAGCGGTTCCAGCATGCAGCGCAGAGGCCTCGGAGCCACGGTGAGAGTTCAGGCTGCTCCAGGCGGCTCCCAGTCTCTCATCCTCCAAGCACGGGGCCTACCCACGTGAAAGGCCACCTGCTGCTTTTAAGCCCTTATTGAACATCACTTCTGCCTTGGAACTACCCCCTCGGTACTTCCTGCAAGTGGCTATGTATCACGGAGGGCGGACTCGTTTGTCTGGCGCTGCATTGCGCCGCGTGCACCAAAAAGCGACCGTGACGGGTCATGCCGTTTGGCGGATTGCTGTTGTTCTGTTGCGCATAAGCTGCCCAACAGCTTGGCCAGCTCCAGCGCGCGACGGCGGCGATTTGCGCCTGCTCACCGTGGGCAGGGACCGTGGCCAGATATTTCAGCCCGAGACCTGAAGCTTGGCGTTGCAGTCGCAGTAGCGTGGAAAGCTCGTCGCTCAGACTGAGGACATCAGGGGGTAGTAAAGGGCGCTGGGATGAGTCCTTAGTGCGGTCCTGGGGCTCAGCCGGCACCTGCGCACTGAAGCATCCTCAATGCGAGTCTTGTTGTGCGTGCAGGTGACGGATAGCAATTACATCATGGAGCACAATGCGCAATGGCATGGATCGGGAAGCACTAGTATTGGCGACGTATTCCAGCACAATGCAGGTATTGGTTCTGTTGGAAGCTGTTATCTTTCTGTCCTGCGGTGACCATCAAAGAACCCTTCGAACAAAAAAATGAGAATTGGCCTTGTTCTCATGCCAAGTGAAGGCCTAATTGTCCGGGTTGGCTTTAATGATGTTCTTGCGACAGAGCATGACGCTTACTGACACGCATCGTGGGTGCAGATCGCAAGCAGAACAGCATGCAAAGCTTCAGCGTGCACCAGGTATTTCTCATCCGCATAAAATCAAAGCAACAGAGCTTTCTGCACTTGATTTCACGTTACCAAGACATTGGATCTTGAAGCGTGGCCCGATGACGTCAATTTTGCCACTCCTGCAGGCCCCTGAGAGCCTGGAAGGCCAGGACGAGTATGACCTATTTGGCATCACGAGGTCCATGGACTGGCTAGACGCGGATGGACAACAGACGCCGCGCGGGGCATCACCAAAGCCGGAGGATGCAGACTTTGGCCTGCGCACCGGCCCGCTGAGCCGCCTGTACCTTGACGAGATCTCAGAGGAGCACCACAGTTGCTCTGAGACCTCAATCGCTCCCTTCCACCACCTGGGAACCCCCTCCTACATGCTCAGTGACGCCAGTGCCAGCGGCGCTGTGCTGCCCTGCGGAGCGTCCCCCGCTGCCCACCTCCTCGGCAGGAACACCTCTGGTGCGCATGCCACCACCGCCTGCCTTTGGCTGTGTGTTGCAGCTTCTTGTCCGGAACTTTGTCTTGAAATTCACTCGGGATGTGGCTGACTTGGATGTGCTTGGCATCGCAGGTGAGCTGCAGTTCCTGATGGAGACAGAGGGCGACCTCTGTAACCCCTCGGCCATGCTGGAGGGGGGCATGCCCATCCACAAACCCGCCAGCAGCAACTCCATCGCCGACGGCGGCGGCGCCCTCTACCCGGCCACACCGCCCCAGAATATCCTCAGCAAGCGGTGCGCACACCACATCTCTCCCTGACTTATACATTGATCCAATGTACTGTAAGTTGAATTTTAGTACTGCGTCTGCTCGGCTGGGGCAGGCAGGGGCAGCAGATCGTCACTGAACAATGTCACTGACATGGTGCTGCTGGCCATCATTGCAAGCTTGTTGAATAGGCAGAAATTTACAGCTCAGCACAGAGGACTGAGCTTGTGTTGGTGTGTTGTTACCACAGGGACTGGCTGGACCCGTACCATCGGTCGTCGCCACAGGACTCGGGCACCAGTGTATTCTCCTCGCGCTCCTCCATGGACACCGTGCACCTGCTCGCCGACGTCCCCGACGTGCCCCTGGACGGCCCCTTGGGCTCCCGCAACATCCACCTCCCCTACGGCTTTGTGCGCACCCACCCCTTGCCTACCTTTCTTTCCGCTTATCACTTGCTTGTACCTGTCTCCAGCCTCTCGTGCCTTCAATTGTCTGCGCCTGCCTTCCCCTTGTGGCAGCTGCTGCTGTTTATCTTCCTGTCGCGCTGCCTTGTGCAGCCGAGGTGCTTCTATATTTTGCATTTTAAACCACACCTGACAGTAGTCTGGTGATGTCACAGGAGCGGTACAGCTCGCTAGACAGCTGTGCGGGGCTTGGAGATCTGGCAGCTGAGGAAGTGCTGGTGGGCATCGAGCCGCTGTGCGCGTCGCCGCCGCCGACGCCGCTGGGCATGTGCTATGCGCCGTTGCCGGCGCACGGGCGCTCCTCGCGCGCCGCGGGCTCGCCCCGGGCCTGCAGCTCCCCCGCCGCGTCCGCCCCGGCCGAGAAGGCCGAGAGCGAGGGCTACACCGGCCTGCGCCAGCGCGCCTGCAAACGCAAAGTCAAGTATTCCGACACCGAGCCGCCCCTCGGCTCCGCCTCTGGTACGCTTGCACAGCCCTTCCCACCGCATTGCCATCTTTCAATTTCAATCAAGTGCCCATGCTGTGGAGAGCTGCGGTGCATCTGTCTGCAAGAGGCACGCACTGGGTTGTGGAAGAGTGTGCTGATATTGTTGGTATGGCGGTTGCAGACGGGCCGCGGAGCCTGGTGACGAGTGCGCGTGGGCGCTGCTCCAAGCCCCGGCGCTTCTTCTGCGCCGGTGCGGAGAGCGACGAGGAGGTCAGCGAGGGCTCCAACAAGCGCCGCAAGCACCACAACCCCTGGTGCGCCCCTCGCCCTCACCCCCACACAGCCTCCGCCCTGACCCTTACTCATCCTTGCTTTGCCTGTCGCCAATGGCAGGCATCATCTCCTGTTCTGAGGCTTGCAGGCAGGGAATGCCTGTGCCTTCCCTCCGAGATGAGGTCTTGCATGAGCATCGAAGAAGTGATATGTGCCCACAGATAATTGTTGTGCAGATTTGTATGATTGTTCACCCTCCTCTGATTATGTGGTGTGAGACTGAAGCGGGTGCTGGGCTGGGCAGGAGCATTGAGGAGACGGAGGCGTTGGTGGTGGGAGTGGAGCGCTGCGGCGGCGGCAAGTGGGCGGACATCAAGAAGCTGGGCTTCCCCATCATCGCGCAGCGCTCCGCCGTGGACCTCAAGGACAAGTGGCGCAACCTCATGCGCGTCGCCCTCCTGCCCGGCACCGCCGCCAAGTGCGCCCTCCCCTTCATTGAGGAATCAAGCGCACTTGTCCAAGTAGCTTTTGAAAGGCTGCCTCGCATTGTAACCAAAAGTGATGCAAGTCAGCCCTGCTTCATGCAGGCTTCTAGAAACAGAAGCCTCCTGCCTCGGGAATATCCTTTTCCTTGCAGGATGTGCATCTGCTGGTGCGGTTGCTGGAGTCCTCCCGTGCAGTGGGGGCTTGGGGTGTCTTGGGTTGGTGCTTCACTGTGCTGACATAGTGGAATTTTTTGAGGAAGAGAGATGCAAACATCAAGGCAGACATATGAAAGTGAATCGTTTGCTTGCGCAGGACGAAGATAGAGAAGCGGCGGGAGGTGCCTCAGGAGCTACTGGACCGCGTGCGCACGTTGTCGGCCAGCTTTGGCAGCAAGGCCTCCGCCTCCGCTCGCCCCTACCTCGGACGGCCCCGCCGCTCCGTGTGAGGCCGTCTGACCTCCGCCCAGTCTGCAGATCAAGACAAGACCGCTCCTGTCCCCGTAATGTCCAGAGTCAGATGTCGGGCCTGGAGCAGAGAATAAGATGGGCTCCCTATTGTGCAGCTGGTGGCCACAATGTGCGGCGCTGGGGCGGCCAGTTGCTGTCTCGGCCTCACAAAGTGTGCCTGCAAGAGGAAGCTGCAGCCAGTGCTGCGGCTGAGTAGACTGCGTTCATCTTTGAAGAAAATGCCAAAATGTGGTTGGAGACGGCTTCTGAATGCGTTGGGCGTTAGCGCACGATTGTTTTGGAGTGTGGGATCCAGCGGGGTCTTCACCCCCTGCATTTTGAGGGCGCACACCCCAGGCTATTGAGTTTTGCTGAATTACCCTGCAGCTCTCTAGGGGTGCGGCAGCATCTTCACTTCTTCACTTCTGTCGTGTGGCCAGGATGCCTGACCACCACTTCTGTGTGGTCGCTTCTTGGCCAGTGCCAGCAGTGCTGCTGCTGCTGCAGGTCCTCTAGCAGGAAAAAAAATTGCTGCATGCGCACTGTGCTTCACGTGTTGTGAGGCAGAGCAGGTTGATCTGAAAGTAATTTTCTGGGCTGCAGCGCATTTCACAGTCGGTGGCCCCCAATTTGGCATAAAACCGGCTATCCCGCTGAATGCTTGCTGCTGTCTGGGCAACTTCAAGGAGTCTGCATAGCGATGCTCCTTTTGGCCCAGCCACACCTGTCTTGCTGCGCCCCAATGCAAATGTGCGGCTTACCACAGGTGGCCGTTCATATGTGTGTCTAGGAGAGTTTGCGTTGTATCAGGAATTATTTGTATCAGTGCACCGTGCCGTCATACGCGTACGTCACTTCCTTTGAAATTGTGTAATATAGGGGTGTATGCTACAGTGGCATCTTGGATGCTGTCTCAGGTACTCCTACTCCGCGCATAGGAGGAAGTGCTTCACAGGAGGGTGTCCCAATTTTCAACATCAGCACCAGAGCTGGCGATTGTACGGGTTACAAATTTGATTCTTGATGTTCAGGTGCTTCCCTCAAGAATAGGGAGCCGCTTTGGCAACGTTCCTGGCTAGCATACAGGAAGTAGTCTGAGTCGGTGCTGAAAGCTCCCCAATTTCCATTCGCCACTCGCTCAGTCTGGGGATTCGTGTCTAGTCCAGGACAGTTGCACTTACTTCTCGCTGGCAGATTCTTGCTGACCAGCTGATTAGGAATGTGAAACAGGTTATGTCCAGTATTCTTTGTGTGGCCGGCAGTCCTGTACACCGCAGGCACAAACAGCTGTTTTATAGTATGACCATCGTGATTGTGTCCGCAGTGATTAACAAATGGAAATTTTGTCAATGATAATCTTGTCTGTGTGCACACGTGGTCACCAAGTGTAGGACAGGGCAAAGCATTTTTTACAGTCAATTGGGCACCAGGTGCTCTAAAAAAATGCGGACGTGCTATGACGCAAACATGAACATAGTGCCTTAGTGAGGGAGGGCAAATGGGGTCATGCAAAATTAGGATAATGGATGTGAGCTGAATGTGACTGATTGGCTTAGCTCTAATGTCATATCTGATTCATTTTTATTTGGTAGTCCTGTTACGAGACTACTGTGTAGACGGTGCAAAATGTACGCAAGGTGGGGACGGGTTGTCTCATTTGGGCAGATTTCAAGCAATATTAATAGGCACATCTGTAAGGCCAATTGGCACAATTTCTCGGCTGCATGCTAGTGCCACTCCCAAAGGTAATGCAAATTTGAATGTTCATCATGATTTGAGTCACATGGTGGTGCACAAATCATACATATGCATCCTCATTCGTGTGCAGCTGAGCCACACGAATTACATTTCGATTTGATTACCAGACCGCTTTTTCAAGGTGCATACTCAGCAGGAAGGAAGCATTAACATCCCTGAGTCATCTGGGAAATCAGACAGTGATGGGATGTTTGGCTAGGCTGTGGCCCCAGTGGCAACAGCGTCAGTCTGTTGAAGCTGCATGCCAACAAATTCTTGTTGAAGCGTTTTGGCAGTTGCAGCGAACTTTGGCAACATTGCCAGCGGCATGTACCACTCTGGCCCAAACCCCGCCTGCGCCCTGGCTTCCACATTGAACGGCGGCTGCAGGCACACACAGATACACCCTCAAACATCTTCCAACACACCTGTTGCAGTCACCCCTTTACGTGTGCCGCACATGTCATGCTCAATACTGACTCACAATGCGCCAATTCTGAACTTTTCCGAGTCTCTTGTGAAGCAATCCACTGCTACGCACGCCTGTGGAAGCGTGCAAGAAAGAAGAGCACCTTGAGGCTGCCCCTGAAGTGGGTCTTGACCAGCTCGTGGAACCAGGTCTCAACGCCGCTGTGTCGCCGCGCCTCTGCCATCCAGTCTGGAATGGAGCCTTCAGGACTCCTTACCGCACTGTCTGCCTCACTGCTGCCTGTGCCGGACCCCTCTGGCTGAGAATTGTGTGCCAGGTGGTACAGGTAGGAGAGCCACCTCACCCCTGCTGCGCAGTGAGTGATCTCCTCCTGCTCACATCACAGGATTCTCAAAGGTCTTCCACCCCAGCAAAGTCCATGTGCTCCTGCTTGCATGTTCAGTAAAGACACAGGCAGCTTCAGTAAAGACACAGGCAGCTTCAAAACACCTCAAAGTGCTGTCCAAATGTGCCTTCACCTTGTACACGACATCCTCTAATAGCTGCGCCGTCTGCTCGTCCCCGTTTGATCTGAATTTGTGGATTGTCAAGGGCATCACGTCCAGCCTGCGCTCAATCATTCAGGTATGGTGTCACAAATATGCCAGCAGCAACAGCACAACTTGTGCACGGCACATGTGAGCGTGGCAGGTGTCATCAGGCAGCGCAGCACCCACGGGCTTCGTGGACTGCATGCTCCACTGCTAGCCTGGCAGGCAAGCTGTCTGCAGTGGCCATGGCTGAGTCCCACAGCGCCTCATGCGCTGCAAAGGCTCCATAGTGCGATCCAATGTCCTCCAGCCGGTTCTTGAGCAGCTCATGATGCCGGCACTCGTCCTCAGCGACCTGCAGAGTTCACTGCGCTTAGAACCTTTGGTCGCCACAGTACTGCTCCTGCCAGGAATGTTGCAAATTGGGGCACTGAAGCCATGCCTCACCGTGACAAAGTCATCAAAGAACTCCCGTGGCAGGCTGTAGGTTAGATCGCTGCCAAAGCGTGCTATGATGTCCCTGCAGCAGCATGCCGGATCAGTGGTTGCCACTGCATAGAGCACATGTAAATTGGGGTCAGCAAGGGCAACAAGCCAGGATCTGACAATGTGTGGAAGGCTCGATGTAAACTTCTGGATGAGTTCTCACCAGGACAGATCCACAGCCCAGGACTCAATGTGCACCAGGGAATGCACCAGAGCCTGTCGGCTGGCCAATGTGCCTCCCTTCCCCAGCCGCTTCATTTTCTTGGGCTCCACCAGCTGCACCTGCCATACAAGTAATACTGCATTTAGAAACCTTCACTGATGGAGATGATCTCTTGCACTGGCAACCGATCTGCAACTTCCCAGGGCTCGTGGAGGCCTGACGGGTTGTAATAGTACCGTGTCATCGCGTGCAGGGCGCTTGGGAACCGGTGGCATTTCCAGATCGTCATTAGGCTGCAGTGAGAGTTTGCCAGCACGCCAGAGGTCTGCAGTCCTATGTGTGAGGACGGCCTTCCTAGCTGAATTGGGCTCATACAAGACCCTTAGGGCTGCATACACCAACGGCTCGCCCTCTGCTGGCTCATTTGACATCCTGATTGGATCTACTCCTTGGAGATCACTGTCAAATTTCGGCAGGCACACTGCATTTGAGCTCATCACTCTGCAAGCAGATCTGAGCACACGTGGTACTGTAAGACAGTGTTTCATGCATGGGTGCACCAAAACCCAGCGATGGTATTAGGGTGACCTCTAGGAAATACTATGCAGCCTCTCTGTGACGTGCCACTTTCTCATTGTCGAACCATCAAATGGTACGCACTTCGCTGTCCCTAGACCAAGTGATGACAACCTGTAATAGGCAACTTCAATTACTGTCGCATCAAAGGAATGGCCTGAATTTCTGAGGGAGAGGAGAGGCAGCCTCCTTCCTTTATCCTTCTAGCTTCCTATCTCTTGGAAGCTGCCGATCTGCCGATCAAACTAGAGAAGGAAATTCAATGGTTACCAGCAGTTTGATATGCTGGCCAAATGTTGATCCAGAACGTGTCGATCTCCTCGTCAATCACCTCGAAAAGATTTCGGAATACAAGCTCAGTCTCTAAGACAAAAGGACATGCAAGAAGGAGGCGAGCCTGCCTTTCCATCAGTGCCAAAGCTGTGGTAGGTATTGATCTAGGGACATCCAACTCAGCAGTAGCAGCAATCAGGGATGGCCATGCGCAGATCATAGAGGGAATTGACGGCCCTGTGACACCTTCATGCGTCGCTCTCCTGCAGGTGAATGAACTGCATTCTTCATTACAGCACAGAGTTGCAGCTTGACTAATCACATATAATCTCATTTGCACTTTTAGTACAGCCTATGAAGACTATTTCTTTATGGTGTGAATCCCAAGCATCAATCTGCACCCTGCCATGTACAGGACACGGTTTTGGTGGGCCAAGCCGCGAGGCGGCAAGCCGCTGTGAATTCCTTGAACACATACTCATCAGTGAAGCGTCTACTGGGGCGGCGGTACAGCCAGATCCAGGATGAGCTACAGCTTGCCTCATTTGAAGGCAGGCAATCAGCCGACGGAGGTGTGGAGCTGTTGTGCCCCTCAAGGTATGCAGCTTGGCCTTAGCAATGAAGCAAGAAATACATAGCATACTACTCTTTGACTGCTCAAGCGCCTGTTGCTGTTATAAGAAGACAGTGCTTGACCACAGTGATGCATGATGGTGCCAGGCAGACAATCTTGTCTGCAGAGCAGATCTCAGCTTTCATTTTAGAGCGGCTGGTGAAGCAAGCGGAGGAAGGTTTGGAGGAGGATGTGGATGGAGCAGTGAGCTCTCTTGGCCTCTTGTGCTGAACTTAATTGTTTGGTTTTCTGCTGCCTCAAGCGCTCACAGGCCTCATGTACACAGCTCAAGGAGATCGCCATGCTGGTTGTGGTTCCAGGTCATAGCAGTGCCAGCTCACTTTGATGACAGGCAAAGGAAGGCCACCCTGGAAGCAGGCCGCTTGGCTGGCCTGACGCGGCTGCAGGTGCTCCATGGTGTGATCTCGCTTGATGGCTTGGGAGCTCAGAATCACTGCTCCGCATTTTCCTTTGCTCTGTAATATCAATCCACCTCTGCTCAGAACCTGCAGTCATGACAAGCCTGGCTGAAGGTGCATGGGTGTTGAATGACTGTAGAGCCCGTGGCGGCTTCCATTGCTTATGGGCACGGCAGAGGGACTGAGGACTCCTTGATCCTGGTGTTTGATCTGGGTGGCGGCACATTTGATGTCAGCCTGGTGGAGTGCTTCGAGGGGTGCCTGGAAGTGATTGCCACTGGAGGCGATGCCAGGCTGGGCGGCAATGACTGGGACAGCAAGCTCATGCGATGGGTTATGCAGCAAGTCCCTGGTGCAGAGAGCAGGTGGATCCCCACTAGCCTGAGTGTTATGGTCAGAATACAAGGAATAGGAATATCTGGGCTTGTAGAGCACGTCCTGATGCAGACTAAATCGTGGCTTTTGTTGGGCTTGATCTATTTCTGAACAGGTGTAAGGATCCTGCAGCGCTGCACCGCCTGCTGGAGGCAGTGGAGTCAGCAAAAAGGAGGCTCTCTTCTGAGCGTTCCACCGATATACATCTGCCATTCTGGGAGGGCCAGCGCAGCTTAACAGTAGACATCAGCCGGCAGCAATTTGAGGAAGCCACCGGCGCCCTGCGCGCTCGGCTGTGGCCTCCCCTTGAGCAGATCGGTCGCCAGGCATTTGTGGAGTTTGACCACAGGTAGCCCTTGTCACCATTCACTTGTGCCGCACCCTCATCGCCATTGAGATGACTTCATGAAGTATTGGCAGAGCTGGTCAATAGTGCAGACCAGCATTTGCATTGTATTTTCACTTTCCATTATCAGACTTGGCTCTCGTTCTTGTTAAAAATGCAGTACTGAGACAGCCTGTTGATACCCCAGGTCTGGGCCCCATAGGGATGGGGCAGAGGGGACGAGTGGGAGTGCAGCGGATCTGCTGCCGTCGCAAGCAGACAGGTTCAGGCCACAGGCGCGGCGCATCACACAGGTGGTCATGGTGGGTGGCGCTACAGCCATGCCACAGGTGCAGGAGTTTGTCCAGGCAGTGACTGGCATCCAACCTCAGGCACGTATCCCCCTCATGCTATGATCCGTCTCAGACTTCCATACTTTGATGCAGCAAGAAACTGCTACTTCCGTTCTGCTGTTGGGATGCCGTGGAATACATGCCGTGCATGCAAATGTGTAGGAGTTAATAACCTTCAAAGTGATTGCTGTTCAGGTCACTGTTGACCCTGCGCTGTGCGTGGCTTTGGGTGCGGCAATGTATGGAGGGGCTCTGGAGGGGACACTCACAGGAGGCTTTGAGCTGGCTGATGGTGCCTACAGCTGGATCCTGCATGACCGTGTCAGCGGCCTACAAGCTCGATGAAAACTTCACACCTATGGCAGGCCAAAACAATGCATGCTGTGGTTTGATGTAAGAGTTCGTACAGAAAACTGCAGCGAGATCCCACAGCACACGATTGCAATGCTGTGTCTTCATGCATGGATCAAGTCCAATCAGCATGCAATGCTCCCCTCGGCTGTTTTCTTTTTAATCCGTTACAAAGTGGAACTTTTATCATCACAGGAGCGATGCTCATTGATCAATTGTCACGGAAATAGGTAATGATCACGATGCATTGGCTCCTGTTGAGCATGCACTAGGGGTATGTACAGAGCTGTAGGACAATAGTCAATAGCACTCTTGAATACTATTAGTAGTATCAAAGCAAATGAGCTGCCTCTGGATCCTGTAACACGTAGCTGCACTGGGAGCTCAGTGCAATGCACTTTGTGGGGGCTCAGGAGCCTAAAAATAGCTAATCCTTCCTAGTCTTATTCTGGGCAAGTTCCAATCGTGTTCCTGTCGTGTTCTGTCATCAAGCGAACCCTCTAAGAACCTGCACAATATGTACCTGCACAGCCTGTGGTTTTGACCTCCTCATTTGCGCACAAGCAGGCAGGCCTCACTATTTGGAGGAGGGTTGCTGCTTCAATGACACCTAATTAGAACAGCGCTGTCTAGGTAAATGGAACACACCAGTCCTGCATCAAGCTAGAAGAGGAGGTGCGGCGTACAGGTCATGTCTAATCTACATGTGTGCAGAAGCGCCCACCATAGCTGTGGGCCACTAAGGGGGTCATGGGCACTCCTCTACTTGTCAGCGTCAGGGGCAGCAATGGCAGCAGCGCAATGCAGTTGTGCACCAATTGATCATGCTGCGGCTTGGGCAAGGTGCACCGTCGAAAGGCACCAGCGCTCTAGAAGTCATCGTTAAAGGACAGGCTGTGGAGGGCATCTGCTGAGAGGCCGTTCATTACTCCAGCCTTCTGGTACTCTCCCACCCTCTTCTCAAAGAAGTTAGTCTTGCCCCTGCACAACAATGAGTTGATGTGTCAGTACATGCTGGGAGGAACCTAACAGGACAACTCCTCATCGCTGCAGTGATCAAAGGGGAATTTGTTCAAGTGATGGCACCTGCTCCTGATCGTTCTCTTAGGCACATTCTTGCACAGCATGGAGAGCTTCTGAATGGCAAAGGCGTGGGGCTCACTGGAGAGACAGCATCTCCATCCAGTCGAAGGGATTTTTTGTGTTGTAGTGCTTCTCCTGGCCCAGGGCCACCAGCAGGCGGTCGGCCACAAAGTCGATGTACTCGCTCATCAGCTTCTTGTTCATGCCGATCAGGTCAACGGGCAGCGCCTCGCACACAAAGTCCTTCTCAATGTCCACCGCCTCTGTGATGATGCTCAACAGCTTGTCATCGTCTAGCTTGTTGTTCAGCAGCCTGCGCACAACCGAGCCCTTCAGGCTTCTCTCAAGCTGCCAGGCGTGCATTAAAACAGCGCCCCGCACTTGTCTAATTGTTCTGTATTCCTGGTCTCTCCACTACAACTGCCTACCAGTGTACGGGCAATGACCATGCTGCAACATACTGTGTCATTCACAGCAGACACGATCAGGGAGAACGCAGCAGGGAGGGCGCACGTGTAGAGGAGGCAAGCAAAGTCACAGTGCAGGCCCTCGTCGCGCGAGATGAGCTCGTTGGAGAAGGTGAGCCCGTGCATGAGGCCGCGCTTCTTCAGCCAGAAGATGCTGCAGAAGCTGCCTGAGAAGAAGATGCCCTCTACGCAGCCCCATGCCACCAGCCGCTCTGCAAAGGAGGATTGGCTGCACACAAGCGGCATATGTCAGGCTCATGTAACAGTTTGCACAGCACTTGTGGATTGGAGTTCTAAATAATCAATTTTAGGATTGGGATGGCACTTTTGGGCTCACCTGCCCACCCACTTCAGGGCCCACTCAGCTTTCCTCTTCACTGCAGGCACTGTCTCCATGGCGTGGAACAGCCTGTGCTTCTCCTTGGGGTCCTTGATGTACGTCTCCAGCAGCAGACTGTACATCTCTGTGCATTCACACAGGACGCGTTCAGGGCAACTTGACACACAGACATCAAAGTCTTTTGCTCTCCATGGTTGTGAATGGAAGATGTGAACACACCTGAGTGGATGTTCTCGATAGCTATCTGGAAGCCGTAGAAAGCACGAGCCTGCAAACAATGGCACAAATTTGTTGATCGGAGGGGTTTGCCAGCTGGAATCATGGTCTATCATATAAGCAACACAATGGGATATTAGGTGGCATCAGGGGATACAATTTTTCAACACACCCTGGCTAAATTGCGGCAGCCAAAAACTCGAGAATATAGCACGGTCACTATGTTTGAGCAGGGGCTTTTCCTTAGACGGCCCACCTCCGGTATTTGAATCTCCGACATGAAGCGCTGGCTGAGGTTCTCCAAGACGATACCGTCGCTTGACGCGAAAAACGCTAGGATGTGGCTGACAAAGTGCTTTTCGTCGCTAGACAGCTTCATCCAGTCGGTGTAGTCGCTGCTCAGATCCACCTCCTCCGCTGCGGGGGCACCGCTGTCGTTCAGCTGTTTGTAGTCGGTTGTTAACAATATCTCATTATCGGCAGCTCAGGGCACTGCGGCCTAATTTCAGTGACCAATCTCCATTCACAAGTCAGCCTTGTGGCACTGTCAGGCCATGCTGAATGTCCTCCTGCAAGTTTCTATAGTGCAAGATGGCTGTACGCGTGGCAGTCTTAACAACAGGTTAAGGCCCGCCACAGAGCCGATAAGGCACCCACCTGTCCAGAAGCTTGCCTCTGCCTTCTTGTACATCTCCCACACGGCGCTGTACTTGATGGGGAACATACAAAACCTGTCAGGATTCTCAGCAAGAAGGGGTTCATGATGCTGCACCGGACCGACCATCCTGCCTAATGGGTCTTGAGGAAGTCCTAATAAAGTTTGCCCAGGAGCCAAAACTTCTCACTGCAGCTGTCTGATCTCAACCTACTGGAGCGTTTGGAGCGAAAATGAGGACTTGTGCTGGCCTTGAGGCAGGCCTGCTGTGCTGCGCGACGGGCGGGCTACGTGGCGCATTGCGTGGCGTCACCATGGTCCAGCTACGCAAGACACTGCAAGATTTCTGGGACAAGAGTCCCAATCAACCTCAAACTAGAAAGCCCACCTAGGTGTCAGTGTCACCTTGTCACGTCAGTAAAGCAAACACAAGCTTTAAGAAGAGGCATCGCAGGAAAGCTCGCTCCAGAACTAAGCAAACAGGCACTCCATCGGTGTTGTTGTAAGACCTCGAGATATGACTTTGCTTGAACAAGTGACGTTCTTGCAACTTTGATTTGCATGCCGGTTAGCTTCAAGTGCCATCCCATCACTCTTTCAGTGCCAGCAGCAAAGTAAGCATTTTAGGAGACATGGGGACGCTGTGCAGTCCGAGCCCGTTGCAATCAATTCCACTGAGCATACAGCGAGATGACTTGTCATGCAAGCCTGATGCACTTCAACAAAGGCAGGGGATAGCAAGCACAGCAGGGCGCGCAGATGCCTCCACAGGGTCAGCTGCAGCTGTAAGTGCCCAGGTGTTGCCTACATTCGACCTGTCGGAGTTCTTGGAAGCAGATGCAGGCAGCAGGGAAGCTCTGCAACGCTTCTGTCGGGACATGGCCGACTGCTTAGCACAGACGGGTTGCCTCATAGTCCGGGACCCCAGAGTTGGCACAGCAGAGGCTGACTGCTTTCTTGACATGATGGAGCGGTATTTCGGCCAGCCCGCAGACATCAAGATGCCCGACGTGCACCCAGAGCTGCACTATCAGGTATAACATATGGGCGAGCCTCCCACAGGAAGCTATGCTAGTGTGAAAGCCCTTGTGTTATGTTATTACCGGTGGGGCTCAGGCTTTGATGCTGTGGGTTATCGCAAGGTGGGCGCGACACCTGAGGGAGTTGAGGTGCCGCGGTGTGTGGTGGACCCGGCCTGTCTGGAGACAATAGAGCAGCAGCTGCCGGGCCACAAGGCCACTGTGCCCACTGGTGCAGACCCCAAGTGGCGCTTCTTCTGGCGCCTGGGGCCTCGACCCGCCCAGACAAAGTTTGCTGAGCTCAATGCGGAGCCTGTCATCCCGCAAGGTGGGCGCCTTATCATCAAATGCCACCATTAACACTGCTTTGCTGAAGCTGAAGACAGAGTGTGCTGATATTGGGTGATCTGAGCTCTGTGATGGTGTTGCAGGCTTCCCGGAGTGGAGGGAAGTGATGGATGACTGGGGCACAAAGATGCTGGCGACAGTGAGCACGGTGGCAGAGGTGGTGGCCTGTGGGCTGGGACTGCCAGCAGATGCATTCACTTCCAGGATGCACATGGGTCCGCACCTGCTCGCACCCACAGGTGAGGGAGTGCACTGGACTTTTACAGGACTTGCTTTGTGTGCGGTGCTTATGCAGCCTCCCCTGAGAGAAGTAGATTGCTCCTTGCATAATGCGCTTTGACGTGCATGCAGGCACTGATTTGGGGACGTATGGCGCACTCGGCAGCTGCTATGCTGGGTACCACTACGACCTCAACTTCCTGACCATCCACGGCAAGTCCCGCTTCCCTGGGCTGGCAGTGTGGCTGCAGGACGGCCGGCGCATGCCTGTGAGCATCCCCAGCGGCTGTCTGCTCATCCAGGCGGGCAAGCAGATTGAGTGGCTCACCAATGGCCACGTGCGCGCCGGCATGCACGAGGTATCGCCCTTACTCCTTGCCTGGCATTGCTTCCTGAGACTTCAAATAGTCGTAGCTTGAATAAGTCAAGTCAGATAATCGTAGCTTGGTAAAGTTTTAGGACCCTAACATTACCTTGTGGTGCTGCCTGTTGATGTTGTGTGTGCTGTGACAGGTGGTATGCACAGAGGCCACTCGAGTAGCTGTGGAGAGGATGGCGGCCGAGGGCAGGCAGCTCTGGCGCGTGTCTTCGACTGTCTTTGCACACATGGCATCTGATGTGCTGCTGGAGCCGTTGGGCCGGTTCGCGCAGCATGCAGGCGAGAACAAGTATAAGCCCATCCTTGCTGGTGACTTTGTGCAAGAAGAGCTCGAGGCGATCAGGCTTAAAGGCACTGCGCCATGTTGAATAAACCACCCTGCATCCTTTGAACAGGAGTGAATTGGCACAATGGTCCTTGTATTGGTTTTTACTTTTCGAGTGTCCACTGGTGGCAAATGTGCCACCGTGTCTGGCTTGTGAGGTGATCTGTGGCTTCACATGTCATTGGCTGCAGTACACTTGGACGAAGATCAAGCCTTGGATGTGAGCTCACTTGATCAAGCCTTGGATGTGAAGTCGGATTGTCAAAGACCGAGAGTTTTGTGTCATTCTGAAGGGGTTCAAAATGCGGTCAAGCTATGATCCCAGATTGACAATATGGTAATCTGACAAAGAAGGGGAGACAGAAAGAGAGTGTAAAGACATCGTTGCCAACCAACAAGGCTAGGTAGATGTCTTGGGCCCGACTCGGATGGCCAAATCTCATCTGTACCCACGGTGCCGGTGCTATCCGGTAGCCTTCTGCATATCATAGTGCCCGCGCGCGTGCCGGTGCCGCGCTTCTCTATCATAGATGATCGCCGCACCCTCTTCTGCACGATTAAAACCACGTCTACCAACCCCAAAATCTTTGCGGGTCCAATCTTAGAGATGCTTTGCGACAAAACGATTGTGGCAGGGACATCTTCAGCATGCCGAAGGGCAGGTCTGGGGGTGTAAACCCTCGGAAGCTGCAATAGCATTCTTTCTTGGCTCCATCAAGGTTCCACATATGATTAGCATGCTGCACAATTATTCTCCGATGCGTCTGTCAAGAAGCTACAAACGTTAGGTCACAAGTATTATTGCACAGCCTCTGTCATTGCGGGGTGTCAGATCGGCCATGGTGCTCACGTAGAATGCATGTGCTGCCTTGAGTATGTTTTGACGTACATTAGGGCTGCGGTGGAGCTCTAAGGAGCATACTGTGTAGTCTTTGCAATGTAATAAATTATTTAAGGGTCCGATCACCTGCTGGCATGCAGACTTCTCAGAGAGAAGAAGTCACAGTTGATGAGGCATTGCAGAAGAGTATTGGCGAGTTTGGCGCTGGACAACGATTCATTTGTTTCCTGGTATTGGCGAATATCCATCCACCTCTCAACAGATCCAGCTTCTATGGTTCATGTCAAGCCATGGGTCCCAACACAAGAAGACTTACTTCTGTTCCCACACAAGAAGATTTCAGGACATGACTTCCATAATGGGACGTGCGCAGGCAGGCCTGGTCATGATCCCAGCCGCAATACAAAATGTTTCAATGGTGTTCACCGGGATTGACCCCGTCAGGGAAGGCTGGTGGACTTGCACCCAGGAGCTGGACGAGACCTGTTCTGTAGTACGCAGCCAGCCACATCCAGATCTGTGTTCACTTCCCCGCACATCGTGGCAGTGGGCAACCAGGTAATGCATTGGGGTGAATGCTCAATGCGTTTGGCCACATGCAGGCCAAGTCATGTCCTCAACCTCGAAGGTTGGACACATCCTTGTGAAGGCTGTCTCATCCATGATGGAATGTTAGGTGGGAAGCTGTGTGCCTGCAGGAGATCTTCTGTGGTTTCTGATTGGGACCTGGTCTGCGGGGACGCATGGAAGCTGCAGGTGGTGAACACAGCCTTCTTTCTTGGAGCGCTGGGAGGGGCCATTATTGCTGGCTGGCTGGCGGAGGAGTTTGGTGCGGTCGATCCCCCTCAGCCTGGCAAATCCGGCTCCATTTTGATCATGTTAATCAGCTTCTTCCTACACCCATTCACCCTTGCGCATGGGGACCACTGACGGGCACGGCGCTGGTGCTGCAGGGCGCAGGCGGACGCTGGGGATGGCATGCGCGACGACGGCGCTATTCGGCATGTGCTCCGCGCTGGCGCCGTCGTACTGGTGGTACCTGGTGCTGCGCTGCCTGGCCGGCGCGGGCGTGGCGGGCGTCAGCTCGACGGCGTTCCTGCTGGCGGTGGAGCCCGTGGGGCCGGCCTGGCGGGGCGTGGCCACGCTCGGCAGCGGCTACGGCGCAGCGGCCGGCGGCTGCCTGCTGCCGGTGCTGGCATTCCTGCTGCCCGGCTGGCGCGCGCTCACCTTTGTGACGTCCGCGCTGGCCGGCCTGGCTCTGTGCACCGCCGTGCCCGTCGTGCCGGAGTCGCCACGGTGGCTGCTCAGCACCGGCCGCAAGGTGAAAAAGCACGCCTGCTGCCCTTTGCTTATGCATCAAAACACTGTCAAGCTTGCTTGGCCGACCGAAGGGTTAAAATGCTCACTTATTGATGCGCGGAGTCTTGCACGCCGCATGGCAGCAGACTTTGGTCATTGTGCCAGGTGCTGTGTCCATGCAAGGGTTTATACAACGCCGAACGTTGACCATCTCATGGGTGCTGCCTCAGGGGGATGCAACGGCGGCGCTGGCAGCGATTGCTTCGCGCAACAAGACGCATCTGCCGGAGGCGCCCCTGGCGGATGCTGCGGCGTCTGTGGCAGCCAGGCGGGGGCTCTTGGACATCCTGGGGAACGCAAGGCTCAGACGGCGCATCGTCTTGATCCTGTACACTTCTTGCTTTGTCAACATGGTGAGTTTCCCCTCGGCAATATATCTATCTTGAGCCATTGGCATGACAGGAATCTTGTACCTTCCATACTGAGCAGACCTCTTTAGTGTGGCTTCCCTGCAGCAGCTGAGCTGTAGACTCTCAAAGCGTGTCTTTACACTGGACTAGTATTGCAGGCTTACTATGGGGTGACACTGCTCATTGGGTCCATGGCGGGCGACCCATACATCAACCAGTTGCTTGGGTTCCTTGTGGAAGCTCCAACAATCGCCGCCACAACACTTGCCATTGGGCGCTTGGGGCGGCGGAGCACTGCAGCCTTTCTACTGCTACAGGGTGAGACACCCAGCAATAAGCTCTGTAACATTCACTGCTTCGAGTCCAAAAACTCTGCTAACTGTAGAGGTGATGCACGGTCCGAGCAGGACTTCTGATCTTTCAGTAGGTAACCAGGTGTGGTGGCCACAGAGGTGCTGTTGCTTCCATGCAGGTGGCACAGCATGCATGCTGTGTGCAGTGACTGGCGGCTGGCTGCAATTGGTCTTTGTGGTTGCATGCAAAGTGGGTGCAACTGGAGCACTTGTCCTGGGCCCACTGTATGCAGAGGAATTATTTCCAGCGAACGTGCGGTCGGCGGCCAGCCAAGCCAGTAGCTTGGTGAGGCTCCCTTTCTCGACATTTGAATCCCACTTCATCTTCAGTACAAGCTTCTCAATGCCCTGAGGCTGCATAGAATCCTCCTTGAGTCATTCAGAGCACTCTTGCATGCCTGCAGGCCGGAAGATTGGGGGCCATTGGGGCGCCGGGATTTGTATTATTGGGCAGTGCGACGGGCGCAACCTTCCTCCCGTACATAGTGTTTGGAAGCTTGATCCTCCTTGCAGGCATCAGCATGCCTGCGCTTCCAGAGACACTCGACGCACCCCAGCCAGAATCTGTCCAGGTGCGCACACCCTTGGCTGTCTCACTTTCCCCCCTAGTGTGTCACATGACAGGAGCACGTCATCCTTCTGAGCAGTCATGTGTTGGCATGTTCATACCTGTCTCAGCCAGGAGCCAATGCAAACGCATGCGGCCTGAGATCAAAATATTGCTGAGTTTGCCTTGTGCCTGCCCAGGAGGTGGCTGCCACGCATCGCCAGTACAAGCTCACATCTTTGAGACACATATTCAGAACGCGGTCTTGTCTGCCTGGGCCGCTACACAAGACCTTCATGCGGGCGGCAGACAGTGATGGCGACGAAACTGCATGAGTTTTTTTTGTTGGTCCACGGCCAACTTCTTTTGCTAATTTCTTTTGCAGCCTGATGTGCGGGCGAGTCTCGCCTTTTCCTTGAGTGTAGAGAGTGGTGTCAATCTTCTCGATTCAGGTGAGGAGCTGTAGATTATATGTTGTTGTACTCCAGGACGAGAGGCCTGCACCTATTGTGTTCGTCAGATGACAAGCTCAAGAATATTGCCTCGAATAGGACAGACTTGGACACCAACACACATAAGAGCGTTGCCAGAGAGATCAGAATAGGGCGGCGTTGACAGGCCCGGCCAGTGGTCAGGCTTACTGTTATAAGTACATTGCAGCCTCCTTTCCAGGCTTTCTACGCAAATGGATATATAGATCAGGGGATCTTTTATACTATTTCCTGTAGTTGATCTGCTGTGGATCCGTAGAGCTGACAAAATCTTTTCTGAACAGAAAGTAATTCTGTCAGTGGTCAATGGCTGATCATGTTTACTGGTGTCACATTGAAAGCATAAGTTGCGCTTTCTGGCAGCAACCGTCTCTGGATCAAATGAAGCGCAACAGGCCATGATCTCAAAGTGATATGTTTACATGCATTGTTGACACAATTATCATGATCGCACCCCAAACAAGATCAATCACGGCAAGCCCCCATGCACCGAATCGGGTGCACCTGTAATCTCAATGTCTGGCCTATGAGGCATTCCACTGAATCACTTGATACTGTACAAAAGATGATGATACACACATGCAGGCTTGAGCAGGCCCTGCCCATTTGTACCACAACAAATGCAAAATTAATGCCCGCGCTGCCCGGCGGGGGCATGTTCAACAGCGCGATCCATGATTGAATTGTACGCGACTGTACGCCAGCATTGAGTTCAACACGACAGCTCTAGAATGTGAAGTGCACAGCCTGTGCCACCAACAAAAAAATTTTGGTTTGCTAGACACACTGCATAAAATGTCGCCAATGTTCGCTAGCAAATTCAGCGTCTGCTCCAGGTTTTTCGCTAAGAATCTTCAGGAAGAATTGGCTGCCGCATTGTTCCGCTCCTTTAGCTCCCTGCAAGGAAACACTGCCATGCTAAAAATTCGGCAACACCCTTCCTTCAGATCATCCACCACACGCTAAAAAGGCAGTGCAATCACCGTGGGCTGCAGTGGCAGTGACAGCCAGGCCTGCAAAGCCCGTCTCTAAACTGAGATTCTGGGCAGGGCAAGCAGATGGCGAGGGATGGCGCACCGCAGGTCGGCGGAGCGGTCGAAGGGGATGGCGTGCTGCTGCAGGATGCGCGGCGCGTCCGCGATGGCCTGCACGCGCTCCAAGATGACCAGCTTGCCGCCCTCCAGCCCAAACTTCATGTACTTGTCCGTGCAGCTGTCCACCAGCTCCGCCAGCCGCGCCAGGTTGCGCACCTCCTCGCCGTTCAAGCTCTCGCACCTCACCTGCCCGCCCCCCACAAGATGCACCTCAACACAGCTGCATGGGAGGTGCGGTTGCGAGGACTCATGCATACCCTATGTTACATACAGTAAATATTTAGAGTTTAGGGGGTAAACTTATTTAGGGTTTACGGAGGAAATAGCATGGCAACGTGAGGATGCGCGACATGCACCCAGCATGGCACCCTTATGGGTAAGTCTTGGCATATTTGTCAGGCCAGTGAAGGAGATGCAGAGGACACGGGTGTAGAGTGCTCACCGTCTGGAACTTGTAGCCAAAGTTGATCTCAGCCGCCAGGACTTGGAAGAGCACCACCACCTGCTCGTCCGGCCGCTCCCTGTACTCTGCCACCAGCGCCAGAATTTGGACCGGCGCCAGCTTCCGCCAGGCGTGCCCTGCCGCCAACCCCAGCCAAAGCGTTCAGAACCCACTATTCCCACGGCCAGGTATGGCAACTCATTCACAAGTATCAATGCTTTCAGGAGAGATCAGGGTTATAAGCTTGGTGGAATGATAGTGCGCACCACCATAGGCGTGCTCGAGGAAGGGGATCGAGAGGGGCACGAACACGAGGCCGCCGATGATGAAGTAGGAGGGAACGCAGTCCACGCCGGCCAGGACGGGCACCAGGGGCCGCCTCAGGTTGAGCTGGTACTTCAGCTCCATCTCCTTGCCCTCTCGCAGCACCAGCAGGTGCAGCCAGTCATCTGCAACCACACAGCATTGTGCATCAGTGCATGCATTCTCCAATTCAGCGGTCAATCACATCACCTGAGATGCACTTAAAAACACGGCCAACAAGCGCACAGCTGAAGCTGAAGGATGGACTGTGCCACACCCTGGCACTGCCACCCCAGAGACGCTCATGCTGTGTGTCAAAGAAGGAATACCTAGGGAAATTTCTCAGGAATAGCAGGATCAGATGATAAGGAAGAAGGTCTTTGTGATGGCGTGCTGTGCAAGGGTGGGACCTTCAGAGCCGAACCTATGTGCTTGGAGCGGACGATGTGTGAGAACTCGACGCGCTCCTCGTTCCTGAACTCCACGGTGCCGTCGTCAGCGATGAGCACGCCCTCAATCTCCAGCACCACGTCGTTCTCCTTCAGCACGCTCGTGGCCGGCGCCATCGGGTCTATCTTGAACACCAGGCTGCCGGAGCCGTTGGGGGGCACCTGGTGCAAGCCATGCACTTGTGTCAAAAGTGGAGCTGACATGGCAATGCAAACAGCAGCTGAGAGATAGTGGTGTTGACAATAACCAACAGCTGAGCCTTGCATGGTGGGTTGCATGTTCTGAATCTGGGTCTGAAAAGACATGCCTTGTAGTGTTCGCGCATGTGGGTGTTTTCCATGTCCTGCCAGCGGAAGCCCACGCTGCAGCAGCCCCGGAAGACGCCGTGGTCCTCGTACTCTCGCAGGAAGTGCGCCACAATCTTCCAGGGAATGATGTAGCCCACGTTGTCCGCCTGCGACAGCTTCGAGAAGGCCACTCCAGCCACCTTGCCCTGCACTTGACCTCCACTGTTGCCCCATTTCTGCGCCTGGGCTATGCTCGAGCTGTGTGCGATCATCTGCACCTATCTTCATCTGCAGATCAATTGAAGACCTTCTTATTGAGATGCAGAAAGTGTACCTCCTGCAAGTCGGAGAAAGCAGGGCCGCCAGAGTTTCCCGGGTTGATGGCCGCATCGATCTGGATGCCCAGCAGCTTGTTGGACGCATGCGCGTACCGCGTCATGACCACCCGCGAGACAATGCCCTTTGTTATGGACAGCGAGTCACCGCCCAGTGGGTACCCAGCAACCAGGATCGAGTCCTGCAAGCACCAGTATGGTGCTGAAGCTCATGAATCTACCTGAAGCCCATGCACCTGTCAAACAAGTTGAAGGTGCCCGGATTCTGTGACAAAAGCTTGCGGGGATATAGCCGCACCTGGAGCTCGGGCACAGACACAAATTGCAGCGACATCAGGTCCTCTGACCAGAAATCTGGCTCATCCACAGTCAGCAGCGCGAGATCGCAGATGATCCCCTCGCACAGGATCCGCGCGCGCCACTTCTTGGGATTCCCCGGCCGCCGCACATGCACCGTCGTCGCATTCATGATCTGCTCACCAACATGCGGGCATTAGGCCCTCAAAAAATATTGTAATGACGACTTATTCGCCTGCCTGTGCCCTGGGTTGCAGATCCTGAGCTGGGGAGCGCACCACGTGAGCGTTCGTCATGATTGTTCGCTTCTGCACGTCTGTGACAAAAGCTGAACCGCTGCTGGAGCGCTGGGGCCTCATCTGCCTGTATGAGCAGGTGACATTGGATTGCTTGTCAAGAAACAGCACTACAGAGAAAGAAGATGTCAAGATAAATTCCAACAAACTGAAGCAATGCTGTTCGTCAGAGGAGGGGCTCACCAGGGCTGCGCATAGTTTGGGACGGCTTGAACGACGAATACTGCAGGGGCACAAGCACAAAGTCTATCAGGTGATGCAGAGATGCCGCTATCCTGCATTGTGAAAGGAGGCCTTGCAGGTGCACACCTTTCAGAACAGAGCGCAGTGCTCTGGTATTGAGGACGGGCTTTCCAGTGGCTTTGCTAGCTGGTTTTGCATTGGTGCCCACGTCTGTTTCTTCCAATCTTTTCCTTTTCAACACTGTAGCATCCAGGTGTTCCACTTGATCTGAGGCTTCCATGTCCTCATCCATAAAGTACGATTGATCCTGTAGCACAGCCGTCACTTCATCTGGCATGCTTGAGCTTTCAAGATGGGAAACAATCAAGAACACCATCAGATATGGACATGAAGGAGGAAGAATAGAAAGGCCGTACCCTTCCAATCAACCTGATGCCGGACCGCCTCCCAGCAAAACGTGGATTCACGGACACATTCCCTGAAGCTGCGCGAAGCACGAAGTGTAGCAAAGGATTTTGACACAGAGAGAAACGCATGCACGCGGCAAAAGCATCACTTGCGCTGCTGTGATCTTGCAGAAACAGATGGCATTCAAGCTAGCTTTTGAAAGTGCCGATGCCAGCAATGTAAAGCAGTCTTCAAACGACTTGTGACACTTTGAAATTTGCATTGGGCGGAGCGCAAGAAGATCGTTCCTGCATATCTCCAGACAGGCACGTGACCCCATCATGCCGACCAGGTGACCGTTAAATTTGAATCTGCTCGGAACAGCCGTATCTGGCAGAAACTTTCTGCACTGCAAGAAATTTTCCGCTTCCCCACTACCTGACAGTAATTATGATGGAGGGTGATAAAGCTTTTGCCCGAGCAAGCTTAATGCTTCAACATTGCCGGTCCACGGCTCAGGAAGCAAAGGCTGTCTTGACTCGCCTGCTTCTGAAGCATGGCTTGCCTTTCTTTCGAAATATGGCAGCTCTGTTAGCAGAGTTTCTACAGCGCTGGCATCGGAAGACAACTTCTTGGCTTGGAAGCGTGGCTTCCAACCAGCAGATTGAACGGGCACTTCAGTTGCTACAGACACTTCTCAGAAAAGTGCTGGCTTCAGTTGTCGTCTGCCTCAACAACAACGCCCTTAATGTGGCCGCCAAACATCTTATCAGTGTTTCAATAAGCCAGCAGTCAGGCGTCCAGAAGCTGAACGGCCCAAAAGAATCAACAGTGACGTGCAATCTTCGCCTTCTTGGTGGCCTCATCTGGTAAGCAGGCCAGCAGCTTTGTCGTCGAATCATAATGCAACTGTGATGCATCATCCTGCTGCAAGCCCTTCAGTAATAGCCATACTTCTTGCAGGTTTCAGGTTGGAGTCAAGAAGCCCCGCTTGCCCAGAGGAGCATCCTGCTCTTCATCAAGCGGCAGCTCAACACCCACTTTCACCAAGGACCATGCATCGGCTCAAAATTCGGAAGAGCCTGGACGATCACCGGTCCTTGAGCAGTGCAGCAACTCTCAGGTGAGTCCTTGCTGCTGCACACAACCTCCCTGCGAAGACCACAGAATTTGACCTAGTTATGTACATGACCCTTGGGTCTTGGGTCTTGGCTCTGCAGGCTATGGAACACCCAGAGAAGCGCGTGCCGTTGTTGACCAGCAGCACTGAGAGCTTCAAGATCGGCCTCAAGAGCTATGCTCAGCTGCCTGGCCCAAAGCACGGGTAATCTTCCATTCCTGTGTGTCCTTCTCTTCACTGTGTAGGTGCTTCAAAGTGGCTCCCCCTTACGCTAAGCAACTGTCGCAGGTACTCTGCCGGCCAGGATCTATCCCCTGTCAAAAGTGTCAGAGGAGCGAAGGCGACTGCCTCAACAGCGCAGGTGCTTGACAAACCTTGCAGCATTGCAAATCTGCTCTCTGCAGTGTGCATCTGCAGTTAAGATAAGAATACTATGGACATCTGCATCCATGCCTGTGCATGATGTGTATCATGCCTCGCATTCATCTGTGAGCATTGGTTTGCTGGTGTGCAGTCGGCAGCGTCGTTTGTGGTCAGCGCGGTGGCAGCAGACACCGGCGTTGACACCAAGTGCTGGATGGATGGTCATGAGGAGGAGGACACCTGCACATCCGGCGTGTCCGGTGTGCACGCACGCCCCCTGCTTGAGACATCCAGGTGCGGCCATCTGACCAGTAATTACCCTTTGCATGCGAATTACCTTCTTCAAGACTACCACGGGCAAACAACCCTGCATGATCAAGCAGAAGACTGTGCTACGGTATATTCGAGTGTGAATCTTTGTTGCTGAACGCCGCACACTGAAGGAGTTCAGCGCAGGGCCAACACCAAGGGGACGACGCCCTCAGTGGCAGCCTTGAAGGCTCCCCTCAGCCCGCAGGCCTTGCCGGTGGATGGCGCTGCGCGCATCCTGGCTGCCAATGCAGTCCTGCTGACGCCAGGTCGCTAACTGATCTTGCTGCTGCACAGTTCTGCCGGCTACCACAGATTCCTTGTTGCAGGCAGTGCCAGGGGCATGTGCATGTGCTGACTGCATGTGACTTGCATGCAGGACAGCCGACCTCAGATGTGACCGGGGGTAAGAAGCCTTCCAGGGCAAGAAAGGGCGGCTCGGGTGACAGTGGGAGCGCACGCTCCGCAGACAGTGCGGGGAGCAGCGGCAGCAGCACAAAGACCAGTGGCCGCACCCAGACCATCCACAAGGAGAACTGCCCCTGGCGCTGAGCTGAGGACACCGCCTGCTTCACTCAAGATCAAGTCCTGCAGTGATTGAAACTTCAAGATTTGCTATTATTTCCGTATCAGACTGTCAATGCTGCTGCCAGAAACTAAAGGTTGTAGGAAGTCCTGTACAGTGCATTGCTGGACCTTCACCCAGAATTTTGGGGAGATTCAAAGTCAGTACTGGTGCATCGTACAGATCGTTTGCTGGTTGATCAAGGAAGTACTGACAGTCCAATGTAGTGCACTAAAGACTGTGAGATTTGTGGATTCACCTCTTTTGCCAGATTGATGATTTGTGAGCACGTGCTATCCTGTGAACATCACTTGAAATTATAACAGTTTCTCTCTCTTCAGTAAATCTAGATTCTGAGATGACAAATCAGGCGGATACCCCCATGTCCCTGAAGGGAAAGACCAGACCTAGGTAGGCCTACCATCTGGCTGTTCGATGCTCTATAAATTTGAAATTACAACTATATTGGATGCATTTCTTGAGTCTTGATCGAAGAGTTGCGGCACGAACCAGCATGTAGTACAAATAGGTTCCTGGAGTTCCAAGACACAACAGGCACAAAAGACAAGCAGACACCCGTGCTCCACAGTCTTGATCGGGTGCTCTCACAACAGTATCAATTTAACGCAGCATTCACAGCCCCAGGTCCAAGATACCTGTGGCCTTCTGAGGCGATTTGGCGGATGCCTTGGGCACCAGCCCGAGCTCCTCGCCAGCCAGCAGTAACAGGGCTTGCACAGCTGTTCTGACGCGCAGCTCCCGTGAAGACACGCATGCCACCAAGTCCTCATATAAGATCAGCAGGTGGGCCCTCTCCCTGTATGCCAGCGCTCCATCCGGCCTCCTCGCCCGCACCAATGCCTGAGCAAAGCAGCATTATTCTTCAGATGTGTAAAGCTGGCAACTCATGCAGCACACAGTACAAGTCTCCAGATGACCCTGGCTTCACAAGTTAGGGGACTTTACTAGGGGACTGCAACCTCTTACATGAGCGCTCACAGCTGTAATGTGATTTGCTTGCAGAAGTAGTGAAGCCCACAATTTGAGCTGCTGCCCTTGGGAGTGCAAGATTGTCACACCTTGAGTCGTGAGCCGGGAGGAAGCACTGCATCTGTGACAGCGGGCGCCAGGGTCATTGCTGCCAGCGTGTCCAGACAGCACAGGCACTTCTCCAGCTGCAGGCGGTCCGCCGTTTTGCTACTCCCGGAATCCTGGAGGGTGCTCTTCACTCGCCGCAGGAACACCGGCAGGGCTAGCTGTGCCACCTGTCCACAACACAACAGTGCTGCCACTCCAGTCTCCAAGCTAAACCCACAATTTTTCATTTATGCTAAAAATTCCTCTATTTATAGGTCCAAGTCATTAAAGAAATTTAAGGTAAGCCCTGCAAGCACACACCAAGAGAACAGGGCACAATCAGCGAGCTCGGAGCCAGCCTGGACTGCTCAAAGACAGCGGTGTAATCCACCGCTGTGGCAGACTACACAGCAGTAGTCTGTGCACTACTGACACAGATTGTGCCAGTGTCACAGCACTGACAGCGTCTATCAGCTGTCACTGACAGTGGTTGTCCAGGAGTCCCACCTGCAGCAGGCAGCCCTGGGGAGAGGAAGCCTCGGCGCCTCGGCTGCACAGCACGTACATCTTGCGCAGGCACAGCAGCGAGAATCGCGACGAGGCGGCCAACCCGGGCAGGCACCGCTCGAGCGGCCGCACCGTGCCGCCGTCCACGATGGCCACAAACTGCTCCACCACCTCCGGGGGCGTGCACGAACACGCTGCACGCACACAATCTCGATTGCATGATTTGCATCTTTGCTGCTTAGATATTTCACTGTTCGCGTGGACCTCCAGACAAGCATGGCAATGTGAAGGTGGCGTCTTTGTGGGTGGGTGAGCAGGGTGTGCTGATCTGATCTGGGTGAGCCCACAAGCAGCAGGCCAGGGGCCCGTCATGCTTGAAGGACGGCTCGTTGAAATCCCACTAAGCTACAATCCCACACGACCCTTGTTTCGTCCTCGGCTTTCACTGCTTATCAAAGTGTCTGACCAGCAGAGCGATGAATGCCCCGTCTGACCAGCAGTGGTACAGCTGTCCCATAGCAGACAACAGGGTGCCTGAGCCTTGCACGTAGCATGCTAATACATCAGGAATCAATTAAATGGAAAGGTTGAAATGAGAGCAGGACGCACCTGTGAGTACGCTGTCGGTGAGGGTGTCGAGGACGGCTGCCTCCAGATCAGCATCTCTGCGCGCCTGCTCGCTGTCGGCGTCCTGCATGCTGCTGCGGCGGCTGGCGCGGCCGAGCGACTCCCCGCCATCCGACTGCCGCTCCGGCAGAAATGACTGCTCCTGCAGCGGCGCGCCTGCCGCGTCAGCCCCAGCGTGCCTCGCCTCCGCCGTGTCCCCGTTTGATGACGCCCCACGCCCCTGCAGCAGTCGCTCATCCTTTTCATAAGTCCCATTCGGCGCTTTACAAGGCATTCTGATTGACACTACATAGCAGAACATAGACTATCAAACGTTTGGAGGCCTAGCAATGATGACTGCCACACGGTGTCGATTAGGATGGCAACATCACAGCGTTGCTCGCCTGCCCCAGAAAGTGCGCCATTGACAGTGCAGCGCACCTCATGTGCTGGGGTGTCGTGGGTCTCCTGCGGCAGGTGGCTGCCCAGCAGGAAGGCACTGAAGGTGGCGGCGAGGGCCGGCCAGGCCTGCTCCGGGGGGTCCTCCTCTGCATTGATGTAGGCAATGTTGACTGCCGGCAGCCCGGCGGCTATCACGCAGACGAAGGCCTCGGCGGCCGCACGCCACAGATTCTCCGCGGGGCAGCTGAAGCGCGTCACCATGCAGCTGCCCAAGCCTGCCACCACTTGCGCGAATGTGTCCGCCCGCGCCTGCCACGGCGCCTGGTCCCTGCAGGAACAGCTCTCCACGTTTCATTGCGTGCATTTCCATGACATCAGTTTATCACAGCATGCTAAAGTCCATGCGTGGGCAGAAATGCTTCTGGCAGGGCAGGGTACCCACAAAAATAAACTCAAGAAAGAAGCGCTGCATGAGGGTTTCTTTTGAAGTCACGGCAAAATGAGGAACCGGCTCTGACCTGTACAGCTGGGAGAGGATCTCCACGACCTTCTCCATGCTGAGCGCGGTGAGGGCGTGCTTGTTTACATTGGTGCTGCCGGAGCCGCCGGCCGTGTCAGCCGGCCTGCCGTCCGGCGTGGGGTCGGCAGGCTGCAGCTGGTGCGGCTTGAGCAGGTTGAGCAGCAGGTCTATGAGGTCCGGCCACAGCTGCGGCAGCTCCACGGGAGCCATGCTGGTCAGCTGCGTGAACACCGCCTTCTGGACCGGCGGCAGTGTGCCTGCACAGAGACATTCTCATCAATTCTATTCTAGGTCTTTGCCTGCTTGCCGTCTGCCATCGATATATAATATGAGTGTGTCTAAGAAGAATGAAGGAAGGCTCACCGGGCACCACAGGCCAGAGCTCATCATCGGTGTAGGGGTTCTTGGCCAGGCGCTCCAGCCAGTGATACATGTCTGTCACGTCGCCCTCCTCCATCACCGTGTGCAGCGTTCCCTGCAGCCATTCCGCACTCCTCAGCACCCCATTGAGCCAGACAGCTGTTGCCCAAGCGTGATGCCCAGTCCTGACCACAACAACATAAGGTAGATCTGCCTTATGTCAATTTGTGATGCCAGCTGCTCGACAAGGATTAGACAGAGAACACCAGAGGTACCTTTGGAAGTACAAGGGGCCTGATGAGGCATCCATTTCTGGCCGCACTATTGCCAGCATTCCGACTTCAGCCGTCTGCATCACCCTCTGACGCCCGGCTCTTGGTAAGACAGAAAAAGCAGCAAAAGGTGACGGGCGCGGACAAGAAAGGGGGCGCACATGCAGCTGGCCGATGGCGGAGACAAGCTCGAGGCGGGCCATGAGGGGCACGCAGCAGTTGGGTGACACGGCCGCCTCCACGCCGACGCCGACGGCGCGAAGGGCGCGCTTCCACATGGCGCGCGTCATGGCCGGACCGGCCCCGTGCGCGCCCACCACTGTGGTGACCACGCCGATGGCCGCCAGCGCCACCTCCTTGCGCGCGCCCGCCATCGCACTCTCCACCACCATCATCAGCTCCTCCCACCCCTGCGCAGCCCTCTGCTGATCACTCTCGGGCAGCATGCAGTGCACCACTCGAATGTCCCGCCGAGCACGCCATCGATAACCTCCACAGAAGTCGGACTTTGCACCCACTCGGGCTTCAGTCTCAATAAGACAAGTGCGCCACCTTCCAGTATGCTTTGTCAGGGCTCTACAGAATCATTTGAATTCTAAATTTGGGACCTGGTCAGAAGCTGCCAAAGAAGCTGCCAAGAGAGGAGGATGCTGAAGGAGGAGGTACCTGGGAGAAGCCGGGCATGGGAACGAGGATGGGCAGGTGGGCGCGTAGGATGCGGGCCATGCCGCCCAGCGCCAGCACCAGCGTCTCTTCCCACTGCTTCTGCACGCTGTTGCGGCTGTGGTGCACCAGCATCGCCACCCGCTCCCCTCTCACCTTCCCCAATATCTCCGCCGCCGTCTGCGCCCGCCAGGAGTCATTCGTTTGTCATCGGCATTTTCGCTTGCTTGCATGTCTGCCAGACAACTTCCAGCGGTTCTGACAGACGGTTTGTTTGCAGTTCCCACTTTGCTGCACGGGCTCTAGGCAGGGGCTAGTCGTTTGTACATTCCCAGTCAGCCTCATCCGCGACCCCATTAACAGGCACTGTAGTGAGACATGCCCTCGTGACGCTGCATGGGGTATTTTGCAATGTAGGTCTGGAAGGAGGGGAAGCACGCCTCTTCCCGGGATGATGTGGCGGCTGTGTGGTGCACGGAGCGCAGCAGAGGGAACAGCATCTGCCAGAGGCACTCCTCCCAGGCGCTGTGGCTCAGCCGCGTGCCCTGGCTGGCCACCACGGCAAATAGCGTCCTCACTCCGCTGTTGCGCACCTCCGGCCTCGTGTCCGTGCTCAGCCCCTGCGCAATGCATTCGCTGTGAAATCCCAGGTACAGTGCAGGAGCTCTAGCTTTGCAAAAAATCGTTTCAACACTCTGCATGAGACAACTGTTGCTGCTCTGAGCAAAGATACACATGACAATACCTGCAGGGCTCCCAGCAGCAGCCTGAGCAGCTCCTCAAAGTCTGCAGAACTGAGCACCGGCGCCTCGGAGCCGCCGCTGGCCGCCTCGCTCTGCAGCTGCATCTTTGACAGCAGGTCCGCAGCGTTCCACAGCAGTCCCATCGCTGTCAGGCTCACGTTTACATCCGCCTGAATGCAGCACCACGCCATGATTGAGCTTGCAGCAGCATGTCAAGGCACATTGACGGGTTGATAACACTTCCTTGCTGCCAAAAGGATGGTTACTTGTACTGGCTTTCACAGTTATGCTCACTTTTATGCTTACTTCTAAGCTTTTGCTTATGCTACATACCTACTTAATGACTGCCGTATACATGAAGCTTGAAAAGGGCCTGTTTCCAGCGCACCTGCTGGGCGCCGTAGAGCGCTGCGACCTCCAGGCACTTGCGCAGGAGCTGGGGCGGCAGGGCGGACATGTAGTCACTGGCCAGCAGCTGCACACTCTGGAAGGCCAGGCCCACGACGGCCGCCTGCTCCTCCACCTCCGGCACCGCCTCCAGGATGCGCAGGATGGGATCCCACCCCGTGCTCAGCTGCTCACCTGCGCGCCAGCCACGAGAAGCGCTCACACACCATTTCACCGGGAGGCATGCTCTCACATAGCATGAAGGAACAGCTCAACCAGGCCGGGGAACGACGTTTGGAAGCTCTTGGCTTGAGGCACCTTGCAGCAGCGCTGCCAAAGGCCACCATGGGGGTATGTGCAGATGATGGCCAAGGACAGGGAAAGACTCTAGAGTGCAGTTCAGCTACGCCGCAGTGGTGCTATGGGTAAGGTTGCACAGAGGCAGGTAGGTGGTGCTGGGGAGCACCGTGTCGCTGCAGGATTTGGAGGAGGACACGCAGCAGGCCCAGGCGCACGTCCAGCTCCTCCGCATCCTTGTACAGCGACTCCAGCGCCATCAGCAGCATGTGCTCCGTGGCCCCCCAGTCGCTGCCAGCGCCGCTGCTCTCCGCCGAATCCCCAGGCTGCAGCCACACCCCACTTCTGTTATTACAGTCATGATTCTTGCTATTTCTGCCCAGGAGGCAAGCTTCGTTTGCAGACAAGCTACAGATGGGCTGCCACATATCCTACCAATTGTTGGACTCGCCAGATCCAAGCAAGAACCAAACCACCGTGGGCAGCACCAAATATTGTTTGTAAGATTACATCTGCGCACCGCTCACCTCGTCGTTACATTGGTGTGTCAGCCACCTTACTGGAGAAGCGTTGTGTGGAGAGGATGCGCACCTGGGAAGGCGCGGAGACACAGGCGGCAAGGGCGCCAGTGAGGGCGCGGCCGAGGGCGTCTACGGCAGCGGTGCGCAGGGCGGCCCTGGAGTCTGACAGCAGCTCCACGATGTGGTCCAGCAGGATGGGCCACAGGTCGTGCACGCGGCTCAGGTTGAACAGCAGCACGTCCACCATGCGCGACAGCGCAAACAGCCTGCACACACTGCTGCGCTCACACCCTACCTTCACACCATCCAGTCTGAGCTTCATGAGACTTTGGCAGAAGGCCCAGCATGTCACAGCCTGTAAATAAACAAGCGCCCTTCCAGCAATCCATGTGATGTTCTGGGTTTTGCAGAGTGATGTGGGACTTTAAAAAATGGACGAGTCGCACTTGGGTTGGCCGGGCAGCTGGGCTGCTGAGGGGAGGGCTCGGTTGGAGACAAGGCGCAGGCCAGCTAGGATGTCCACTACGGTCTCTGTGCCCATGTAGCTCGTGCTCTCAAACAGCTGGTTGGCCGCCACTGAGAGAATTGCCAGATCACTGGGCAGACCACCTGTGCTGCCAGATGACGACGCTTCCTGTAGTCATGCAAAATGCGCCGTCAGAACATTCTTTTGAATTGGACGTATGACCGCAACAAGCGCGTGCCAAGAGCTGGCCTCCGCTCTAGTCAGCCTCTCTATGGCTGCCACTGTTGACCAGAGATGCTGAGAGGCGCCTGCGCCAGCCTACTGTGGCATCACTGGCCTATGTTCACCAAACCAACTTGTGCGATTAATCAGGATTCATCACAGACCTGCGTGGTGGTGCGCGGGGAGTTGAGGATGCGGTCCAGGGAGTTGAGGTTCTCGAGGACCAGCAGCCAGGAGGGCCCCAGCAGCGGGTGCAGCTTGTGCGCGACGTTGAAGAGCGTGCGCAGCGCATGCACGTTCTTGGCGGTCAGCACTTTCCCCGACCCCTCCCCCGAATCCATCACTATGCCTGAGCTGCCGCGAGGAATCGGGGCAGAGCCCGCTCTTAGAATGTCCCTTGTATCTGTTTCAAGGTGCACAGAGCTTTTGAGCAAGCCTGGTGGGGGAGCTGCACATAATGGGTGCACGATGTGCCAGCCCTGGAGAGGCTCAAGCAGTTGCGGAAAGGTGTGCAGGAGGGGAAGGGCATCACCTGCTTGGTCTGCAGGAGCCTCCCCTTCGCTGGGAGAGACCCTCACAAAGCCAGAATCCAATCGCTGCAGCCTCCCTTTCCCTTCAAGCATGACAATACCACCTCATGTTAACACTGTTGAAACTCATGCAAATTGTGAAGTCTCAAAGACGAAGACCATACATGTGATACAGCGTTAGCGTTTCACCAGAAGTTGTGGCGGCTGCCTCGCTTCTGTTGCCCAGCAGGTGGTCAGCGTCGGCAGCGTCTGTGAGGGTGAACCTGCAGAGGCTGGTCAGGAACGCATCGCGCTGCTCCTTCATCTCCAGCATGCCGCAAGCTTGTGTCATGGATTGATACCCCTGGCGGCAGCACTTGTGTGTCAGGCATGCTGGCATCACATCACTAATAGGCGCCAGCAATTAACCAAAGTGCATGCTGCTGCAGAAAATGCCACTCTTGACATGCCACCCTCAGAGTCACCAAGCTCATGTGTGAGGCAGTCCAACAAATCCCAGGTATCAAGGCGAGTGAAGATACCAATGCTCAGAGATAGTCAGAATCATGAATAAGGCAGCCCGCAGTAAGTACCAGGGGCTGTGGAGAGTCACCTTGAGGAGCTGCACAATGAGGGCCTCGCCAGTGGTGTGCGCCAGGAGCTGGCTGAGAGCCGACAGGACAGTGCGCCAGCACAGCCCGATCATGGCCTCACAGGTGGAGCGCTCTACGCTCTCCCTGTCGAGCGCGCTGCGCCCGTGCTCTGGGCTGCCAACATCCCCGTCCACTGCAATGTCCGTCAGCTTCTCGATGGCCGCCACAGTACCCAGCAGGGAGTCGATGCCCAGCATGCCCAAATAGGCGACGCCCGTCTCCGCTGATGCACTGCCGTAGTCCAAGTCCAGCGACCACTCCCGGCCTGCCGCGTGTGCGACATGCCATCCTCAACAGTTTGCTTTTTCCATGTGTCTTCAAATTATTGTGTGTGAGTCCTGGCATGGCATATAATCCTCAACACGATGCTTTTCTTGCGGTTCAGAGGTGTGAAGGGGCCGCACTGTTGGCTCGGCTCTGGTACAGGGCAGCGACTGCGTGCAGGGTGTCGTCCTCGGGGCCGTCAGAGCCCAGGCGGGATGTGCTCTCCACGATGCCCGCATAGCTCTGGACCATGTCCGTCAAGGCATTCAGCTTGCAGTCCTGCGCAGCATGCCCACATGAGCTCGCTTGGGGAGGAGTTCTGAGGCTCCTCATGATCTAGTTGCTGCAGTGGTCACTTGAGCAATGAACAATGAAGTCAGCAAGGTGTCATTGACTGGGAAATTGTAAAGGGCGCGGGAGCCTGCCTGCCTCATGTCGTAGGAGCAGAAGAGGAAGTGGATGATGTGGGCATCGTGGCTGAGCTGGCGCATGATCTGCATCACATTTATGCGCTGCCACAGCGTCCGGGACTGCGTTGTGCCTGCCCCACAGCTCCGCCAATCATTCACACATCTCCAGCCCCCAAACACAGGCCAGCGCATCAACAATATCATGCAAGGAGGAGGCTGCACCAACTGCTACTAAATTATTGATAACTCAACGCCAAGAGAGGGCTCCCCATGAGACCGTGGCTGCAATTGTGGGTAGGCTGATGGGCCTACAGCGCACCAGCCAGGAGGGTCTCGACGAAGACGCCGCACTTGGAGCGCAGCTGGCGGTAGAAGTGGTGCAGCACGGTGCGCACAGTGCGAAGGACGACGCGCAGGTCGGAGGCCTGCAGCGCTGGCTCGCAGGCTGGGTCCAGCAGGTTCTGCAGCTGCGTGGTCAGCAGCGTGCACACCCGCACCAGCAGCGCGTGCTCGAACGCCGGCAGCTCCCGGAACACCGCCGCGCTGTTGCCCAGCACGAAGTCCAGCAGGTCCAGCACAAACGGCCGCGGCAGCGCCGGCGCTTTCAGCCACACCAGCATTGCGCTGTTGGCTGCGCGCAGGAACCCCGAAGGAGTGTGTCAATTACCACGCTGCAAGCACTGGCGGAAATAACCGTTCTTGCATGTGTCACAGCTTGCAATTGTCCAAATACTCGAGATCTGTGCTCCTGGTAGAGGGCAACGTGAAGGCGTCCGGCCTTTGAGAAGGGCGAGCTCAGATCCTGCATGGACAAGCTATGGGAGGTGCAGGCGGAGAGAGCCCACCTGTGATCATCATGCACAGATTGTCGAGGAGCTTCAGGGCGGCGTTGTCGGGGCCGTGCTCAGCCAGCAGGGTGCTGGCGGGGCTGCGGGGAGTGCTGCTCACGCTGTTGGCCCGCGACAGGGGAGACCTGGCCTCCGTGGGAGTGCGGGACTCCCTTGGTGGAGACAAAGGCGAGGCTGGCGTGCTGCCTGAAATGCTGCTGCGCCTGCCTCCCTCGATGTCCACGTGCTCAAACACCAGAGCCACCGCCTGAGGCAAACGAAAGTCAGATTCTTTCGTATTATAAGTAGCGAAGGCATGAGCGCCCTGCCTGGTCAGTGACAGGGCTGATGTTGGTCAATAGGTGCATGGATCAGGAAGTACAGCCGAATGTACCTGTCGGACAGTCGTGGCCGCAGTATTGACAACACTGTCTGGATTCTTGGGATCAGCAAACAGGCGGAAGCAGATGCCCAGCACTGCAGCCACAGCATCCTGTGCCCAGCAGCATGCCTTCAGTTATGCTTCAACGCAAATGCTGTATCTTAAGAGACGTTGACAGAAAGTCACCAAATGCGCTCACCTCATCCTCAGCAAGGAGAGGGGACTGCATGAGTGTCAGGGCAGTCTGAAGGATCTTCAGCTGTACTCCTTCATCGCGCAATCTCTCGACCTGTCAAACACCCACCATCACCTTACATCCTGGATGGTAGCGTAGCATCTATGGGCCTTCATCATAGAGTCTATCATGGCACAGAGGTCCAGTGAAGTGGCCGACCTGCCCCAGGGCCTGCACGATGGATGGGATATCCTCCTGTGCCACGAGATCATTGGCTAGCATCTTCTGGATGCCGGCCAACGAGATGCCGGCCAGCTTCGGCGACTTGATGCCACATGCAGCGAGGAACGGCTTCAAAACATCCTGCACCCAGAATCCTTTCACCTTGGAAGGAGTGCTGCAGACCCAACACACTCAGCCAAATGCAGCTGGCCTTTGACGATCAAGCAGGCCAGTGGAGCCGCAACGAACCTTTGTATGCTTTGTCACAACTTCCGGATCCTCATTGTTTCCCAGAGTGCGCAACTTGAGCATGGCCCTTTCTGCACTCTCCTTGATTTGAGGGTGCTCTGGACCAGATAGCCATCCTGTCAGCTGGCCTGTTATGCTCTCAGATCGCCTCGACTCGCTCGAAAGCATTCTGAGATCCGCCTCGAGTGAGGGAAGTGCACTTTCCCTAGGCATTGGCTCTTCTTTGAATCCCCCCTAAGAAGAGGAGGATTTCACACTCCTGTTGAAATAAGCGAGGGACTCCCTTTCGGTATAGACAGAAAAGGTACTGCTCTCAAGGCGTTGCTCCATGAGCAAAAAGCCATCTGCAGCAGCACTAGCTACAGCATTCGTCATTGCCTGTGGTGCTTTTGGGCAAACTTTCCCTTGCTGAACGCCCTTTGCGCTCGTTCTCAACCCTTTTATGCTGAAAATCTGCCTTTCGTGATTTATCGCGTCGGAGAAGTGGTTGAGAGGTTCAAAACAATCGATGTGATCAGATGAAGACCCTCAATATTAAAGCGTCGACACTAGTAAATCACATATTAAGTAAGGTGGCCATATGAATAGGATTATTGTGAAGGCCAAATTCTTTACAAGACCAAGATCTACCTTCGCTTAATTTAAGTGGAGACTGCAAGATGGCACGTGAGGGCGTCATGGCTCAGTCTGACCTGGCAGGAAGTTCATTCTGGCAACTTGGTCCAACGTTCTCACCTTGACAAGGACGTGAACATCATGGCTTCAGCACTATGAGTACCTGAGGGGCGATCTTAGGCGCGCGCCACGGCCGTGCATGCATATGGGCATCAATTGATCAATATTTGCGATCGCATGCGCAAAATCGTCATGCCGGCATCATGCATTGGGGTGCCTCGGTCAATTGCACAGGCCTGGGACATAGGCGCTACACATCAACTCTTTCGTGATTGCCGCCCACTGCATGCAATATTGCAAGCTGGAGCTGCAAGCTGCGGTGCGCCGTCATGATCACTGATGGCACGGCATGCGCATGCGCATTGGCGTTCCAATGTAAAGTCTGAGATTTCCAATAGCCGATGGTGTTCAAATAACACCGATTTAAATGGTGCTCAGGGCTTATATGGCCCAGTTGAACGATAGCCTAGATAGGCTTGCATCATAGCCCTGCAGCAGTGCAAGTGCAGATGCAAGATATGCATGTCAGTAGTACATGCAATCAGTAATTATGCATCAGCATGTCATTATGTTACATCCAATATGAAACCCATGTTTGATGGCTGCATTTCAGAAGACACACGGTTACACCTTCAAATGCAAATGCATTTGCCAACACGAAAAGCCACATGCACAAGGTCACATGCATCATTGTAATTAGGTCCTTCAACCCTTTCTATTGAGTCCAGCAGAGTCCACCTTTCTGACAGGTGCCACTGCAGCTGGGCTTGATTTGGCTGTCACTCACCACAAGACAGATATCAGCCAGATATCATGCAGTGCATGCAATTGTCAAGACACCGATTGTTGTTCCATTAATACTAGCAGTGGAACCCTGCACTCTTGAGATCACATTCCGCATTTGTTCTGGTTGCAACTTGAGAAGCATGTTGAATACAGTAGCAATCACTCAATCACCTGTATGCTATCTGCAAAAGGTGCTCAAAAGCCTCCCAAATCTGCAATCTGACAACCCACAACAAAACCATGCTTGAGATAGCAAAGCCTAAAGACAGCTGATGAATGGAAGCCAACCAAAAATAGGACCCTCAACGTTATCTTGTAATGTACAGTAAAGCCTGGGAATGATACTTCTATCCAGAAGAACTTCTACAGAGTCTAGCTCCAAGTAAAAAAAATATCATGGCATTATATCAAGTGCTGCGCAGCAGATGACAGGGGCTCATGGTGGTTGGCTGCAGACCTAGCGCATCCTGCAGCAACTGCAGCCCATGCTGCGAAATGTTGGTGGTTAGCACAAAAACATCCCTAATTGACACCGAGGTGGCCAGGACGGCAGCGCCAGCGTCGCTGACATATTTGCACTGGTTGATATTCAGAGCCTGCAAGTGTTGCATCTCGGCCAGAGCTTGCATGCCCTCATCCTTGATGCCGACGCAGCCCGCCAGGTCCAACCTACACAGCATTACACTCTCCTCTTAGAGGGAGTCTTGCGGGGTGCTTTACAGAGAGCTCTGACAACATTGAACAGCCGATGTAAATGAAGGCTTGTCAGAAACCAATGGCACAAGGAGCTCACCTGCTGAGCAGAGGGCAGCCTCTGGCCAGGTGGCCGAGCCCTTCAGCCTTGATGTAGACACAGCCAGACAGCCTGAGGCTGCGCAGCTGTCCCAATGCAGACAGCCTGCGCATGGCCTCGCAGTCCAGCCGCTCGCAGCGGTGCAGATCCAAGTCCTCCAAAGCAGACATGCTCGCCAATGCCCCAGCGCCTGTCATACACTATCCTCAGATCAGATACAATATCTTAATTCCCAAAGCTTAGCATGTCACTTCCCTTGGAATGATGCAACAGGACATTATATGACATTACAATCATTCTGAACTAATAGGGAGGACACAAGCAAGGGAGGCGTACCGTTTGGGGACAGGCTGACACAGTTGGCCAGATTCACAGACCTCAGGCCTCTAACCTCACTGAAGCTTGCAAAGGCTTCACCCATCACAGACTTGCAGTAGCGCATGCTCAGGCTCTGCAGCGCATGCAAGGATGACAGATGACGTACACCTGCATCCATACCAGCTCTTCACCAACGTGGACAAGGTGAGGACCTGGACTCTTGTGTGCAAGAAGGGCGGACATCAACAGGCCTGAGGTCCGGAAGCAGCTTACCTTTATCGGTAATTTTGTCACACATGTCCAGCTTGAGGTCTTCCAAGCTGGTGACTCCACTCAGACAACCCAAACTGTCATCCGCAATGCAGGGGCAGTCACACATGCTCAACTTGTGTAGACCTCCCAGCTTTGCCAGAGTCAGCCCCCTGCAAAAGAAAGCACTGTCAAACGTCGCTCATGGTCAGGGCTAGCAAGTTTCAACTCTAAAACAAGCAAGCTCTTACCGTATATAGGTCCATTTTTATGCCCATGAGCCGAGTCTGGCGCACACCTGACTTGCCCGCAACGATCCAAGTTTAGTTCCCTCAAGCTGGTGACGGCTGCTAGCGCCTCAACTCCAGCATCGTCAATTTCTCTCAGCCCGCTGAGGTTGAGCGCCTCGATACACTTCAGCTTTGCAACGCTCTGTACGCCTGCATTAAACACACTTATGCAGTTAAGCCAGCGGGAGTGGCCCCACAAGAACGCAAGATATTTTACTGCCCAATATGTTTTCTCAAGTAGGTGGACCAGCATGCAGCAGCTGGCAACAAGGATGAGATGAGGCGGCACCTCTGTTTGTGAGGCGGACGCAATCTGCCAATGACAATTGCTTGAGGCTGGCGGAATTGCACAACAGCGCCATGCTGCTGTCATCGACCCAAGCGCACTGCCCAAGATCTAGGGAGATCAGTGAAGAGGAGGTTTGCAGCAGATCGAGCGTCCGGGAGGTCAGTGCATTGCACTTGCTCAGGCTGAGCTTCTGTAGCCCTGCAACACAGACACCTCATTGACGCTGCTGTGCATCGCAAGCTCTGCCAGACGATAAGAAAGACAATGAACCCCTGGACTTTCTGTGCCTAGGCGGCTGCTCACCTTCAATCACAGCCAGGCCTGCAAGGCCTTTGTCTGTGCAGGCACGGCAGCCTGCCAAGGACAGTGTCTTGAGGTACCGCAGCCTGCCGGCCTCTGTGACCTGCTCATTTGTCATGTTGACTCCTTCGCAGCCGTCCATGAAAAGAGCTTGCAGCTCTGGGAAGCGTTCAGCCAGGCACACTGGATGCTGCAGCGCTCCCTGAGGCTCTAGCCGCTGCACTGTGCGCCCAAAAGCCTCCCTCCATGCCATGTTCACAGTAGAAGACTTGGAGACGTCACCGCGGCTCAAGTGTGCTGTCACCGACGTCAGTACTTCTGCCGGCAGACTGGGCACCCAATCCATGGATGTGCTGCTCGCCATGATCTCGATAGCCTGTAGGCACACATGTCATGATGTCAACCATAACTGGATGCGAACCTTTTTTGTACCACACAGGGCCTCATGCTTTCAGGACGCAGGTTAGGTGCTCCATGTCGGCATATACCAACAGCTCTTGCGATGTGTGACATTGAACTACAGAACAACTTCGTTCCATACTCCTTGGAAGACGACCTACGCGCTGCTGGTCGCCATCCGCAACGACAGGAATATGGCTAGAAGGAGTTCTCTAGGGTATCGCATAAAGGTGCACAGGGGATGTACACAGTCCTTGCCAGATGTGGCCAAATTAATGCTCTGAAGATAACCCACACGAGCCTGGCTGATGTTAGGCACAGGAAAACTGAGCTCTCCTTCGACTATCGACTGCCTCAGAGTAAACCCTCTAAAGCGCAGGATCTCGATGATTGAGGGAGATCGAGCTTTGATACAAGCGAATTTACATGTATGTAAAAATCAAATCGTGTCTCCTTGTGGACTGAACCAACCTGCGACGCGGATCTGCTCCCCCAAATCGCGGAGTCCGAGAAAAGGGCAGCTACCTTATTCGCCACTCGGCACCAAAGGCGTGCCTTTAGACCAGTGATGCTCTCCAAACTTATTTACGAGGACAATTTGGAAATGTCTATGTGATATCGCTGCGTTCTCGAGGTGCAGTTTGCTTACAAGGACTCCACGCCGAACCCCCCGTCTTAGATCCACCGGGGGGTCCGCCACATTCGTCTTCTATGGCGAGGGTTTGTTCGTTCCCTGCACCTTTCAAGTTCATTCTTGACTTAATTCGAGGAAATTCATTGAGTTCAAACCATGCGTCTGCTGCAGACCAACCGGGCGGCACCACTGGTGGTACTCAGTAGGTAGGCTACCAGCGGTAAAATTGGCAAAGCAGTCCTCGCAGGAATATCATCATGATTGCCCAACCTGGCAGGTAGGTCTTGTCTGCCTGTTGATCAGCGCTAGACATTATGCCAAGGAAGGCAGGGACGTCATGATCCAATCAAGGGTCTGACGTAATCCTTGGGCCCGCCGCTGCCCTGAGGGGTGCGCTGAGAGCCGCCGCTGCCAGCCCTCTGAGGAGTCTGCCCCGGCGAGCCCCCTGTTGCCGCTGTGCTTGCCGGCGGGGGCCCTCCAGCGGCGGAGCTAGTGGTGGCAGGAGGAAGAGCTGGCGCCAACACACCGCCAGGCACGCCCAGCAGAGTAGCAGCCGCCTGCGGACCGAGCCCCTGCAGCAGGCTCCCAGACTTGCCGAGGGTGCCCAGCACAGCCGGGGGGATGGCAGGGAAATTGCGCGTGCGCTGCAGCTCTCCAATGGTCGCCAGGATGGAGGCATTGCTGGTCAATGGAATTGCTGCAGGGGCGCTTGCTGCCGCTTCACTCCATGGCTGTGGCTGGCTGGCTAACGTGGGCGCTGACACAGCAAGAGAGCCGTGCGCGCCATTGGACTGCTGAGCGGTGGAGACTGGCGGGGCAATGCCCTCTGACGCCTGAGCAGAGGAGGCGGGCTGCTGTGCTGCCTGGGGAGGTTGCGCGCTTGGCGTATCCTTCTGCTTGCGCTTGTGAGGCAGGTTGACGACTCCATCAAAGGCCGCCAGCGCATACTGGCTCTTGCCCACGTGGGCAAACGCCGGCTCGCCGTTGACAATCTGTACGTTGCAGCACAAATTTAGCCAAGAAAACCTAGCTGCCACAGTGTGCATGTGCATCAAGAGGATTACTCTACGAAGCATGAACACTCCTGGATGGAAGAGAAGGTCCCACCTGTGAGACGTGGCTCTTCTTACTCTCTTTCATTTCCCAAGGTGTGTTGCCAGTGAGACCCATGTCATTTGCGGCAATGATCACACTTGGGATGGTCATCCCCTCCTTTCCAGCTGTCATCAAGACCTGTGGGCATTAGATAATGAGTGTCCCATTAAATCAACACCCGCCTAAGGCCTCATGTTCACGTTGTTCGACAATGTCCCCTCATGCAGCAAGAGGCGCGCACCGTGTGGACGATGGACTTTGCTGTTCCGCGCTTGAAAAATACCGAGGCTTCTGCTAGGGCATTGAAGTCAGCTCCCCCATCAGCAGCCATCTTATGTAACTCTTGCAGCCACATCCTGTACTCGTCATCATCCATCGCCGACACTGGCCTTGTGGCAGGATCAACTGACGCCCTTGCTGACCGTCTCACAGGAGCCTCCGCTCCTGCTGCATCCTGCCCTGAACTGCCTTCTCTTTGCTCAGGCGGCGGTCTGGCGCCCGCGGCTGCACCCGACTGCGGCCTCTGCTGCTGATCCCTCTCAGCAGCGTCAGGAGGGCTCTCCTTGGCGACTGCAGCTGCAGTGGCGGCTGCACCGCTTCCTGCAGCGGGTGCATCAGCAGCACTCTGGGGCTGGCCGCTGGGGGAGCGCTCTTTCTGTGCGTTGCGGGGAGAGCGGCTGGCGCTCGCGTCCTTTCTGGCGTACACCTTGCGCAGGTCCTCCTCGCTGACTGTGCCGGCTGGGAACATTGCAGCGGCCTCCCTCAGAATCTCACTGTCCGGGCCCAGGCTTCCACCCTCCAGCTGCACAGCCCATGCGCTTGTTGAGGTTGTGCTAAAGCAATCAGAAGACAATCTGAGACAACATTTGGGTTGAAGGAGGTCTGCTGAGGGAAACTCACAGATGCAGGAACAAGGAAGGTGTGTGTCCTACCAAGAGCCGCTTGCTGATGAAGCTGTACAGGATCTCCTCCAAGCCAGCATCCACAAAGGTGCCTGCCTGTGAAAGTTGAGGGCTGGCTGTGACAAAGTCATCATCTGCCTCCACTTCCATGCTGGCAGCCTCTTTCAGCCCTGCACATCAAACAATGACATCGTATCACGTACTTCCTATACAATCGACCTCACTTCTGGCAAATAATTGGACAAGAAACAAGCTGGACCTTGCACTAGGACAGACTGTCTGCATCTGGATATGCTTAGCGAGATACGGCTTGATCAGGCAGCCACCTAGCGTCCTTTTGGCGATCTCCTCTTTCAGTACTTTGTCTGCAGCTGCCAAGCCGCCGCGAGCACGCTCCCACTCGGTCTTGATGCGGACCATCAGGTTGGGGCGAGAGGTGAAGGGCTCCAGGAAGAGCATGGCAGCATCCACCGCATTCTTGAGAACAGCCTTGTCCTGGTCCGCCTCGCGCATGACTGCGCATGCAAAGCCGGGCAGCACTGCGTTGACCTGCTTTGGCATCGCTCTGTGGCCGTCCTTCTTTGGGGGACCGGCGGCTGACGCTGCTTCCCGCAGCTTCTCGACGGCGCCGGACACTTCCTTGGACAGCGCAACATCGTCCCCTTTGACACCTGCAACGAAGTAGATCAATCGCCATCCTAAACATTGATTATTCACATCCGCGCAAGAGAGACAATGTTGTCGCGAGGCTCTGCGGCTGCAGTGGAAGCCAAAGGGTCACAAGTAGCTCTGCTCACCGCCATTCTTGCGCGCGGCTGCTGGCACTGGGACAGCTTGGGGCAGACTCCAGTCTTGCTCCGCGCCCTCAGAACCATCAGTGCCCGGCGCAGCTCCACTTTCATCATGCGCAGGCTGCCTTGTATCTTGCATGCTTGTCTCTGCGGGCGGCTGTGCTGCTGCTGGCTCTGCCGCTGCTGGCTGGGATTTGGCTGCTGCAGGGTAGGCCTGCGTGGCTGCCGTGTTGGCTGCAGAATGCTGCACAATGAGTTCGGTCGAGGGGACAGCAGAGTGTGCTGGAGGCTCTCGTGCTGTGCTGTCACCTGCATGACCATATTTTCTCATAGAGCATGCACACTACCAACTGTTGATGCCATGCCAACAGCACCACATATATCAGTAGTAAAGGCATAACTATGCTGTGTGAAAAGTCTCACCAGCCGTTGTCTCTGTGGTTGCAAGCGTTGCAGTGACAGACGATGGGGCGTCTGTGGCGGCCTGTACTGTTGAATCCTGCTTGCTGCCTACAGCAGCCTTCTTCACCCTCTTGACCTTCGGCCCTTCCCCGGCAGCACCCTGCTCCCTGAGGCGCTTTGCCCTCTTGGCCGGTCCATCATCCTGGGCCTTGTCTGCCCTTCCCTTGCGGCGCTTCTTGGGAGGGGAAGGCCGGTCGACATCAACAAGTTCCCCCGTCTTCTCAATCTCGCCCTGAGCGCAGCAGTTGCGAGCATCAGAGTTCATGCTCATGTTGCTGCCACTGATGGCTGCATGATGCACAGCGGCCCCAGAAATGGACGGTGATGCTCACCTTGTTGATGAAGAAACCTGTGTACTTTGCCTTGCGGCGGTCGCCCCCATAATAATCTCGGAACTCAGTGTCATCAATGAACTCGTCGTCCATGTCATACTGGTCATCAAACCCTCCCACTGCCTCTGGCCCTTCCATATCCTGCACACACACGAAAAGCATGGCTACCAATCTGCATTTCTATGACCAACATATCAAGCAGGGGGATCTTTAGCAAAAGTGTCTTACCGATGCCTCTGCTCCCTCAATAGGTATCTCCTCTGCATCTTCCTCATCCTCTTCTTCCTCGCTCTCATCACTTACATCGATCTGCAGCCAAAGACACATTGATGTTGGCGCGTGTAGAGGTACATAAGAGGCAAAATGCAATCAATTTTTCCAGGGGCCACTGACCATGTACTGCTGCTCCAGCTTCTGGATGACGCTGTTGAAGACGCTTGGTGCCGAAGACTTTTTTGCAAACACCTGCAAGACACCAGGAAGTGTAACCAACATAATAAAAGCACGCAGTGTTTTTGTTGCCAAGTGATATGTACGATATTGTCGACAATGCAGGCAGCAAGTCTGCATCACCTTTGCAGGTACTTCTCCTCCTGCCTCCTCGGGATCCCTTGGCACTGGAGCCTTCAAAGCACCCCTCTCCTTCAGCAGCTGCGAGAATACCGTGCTTGTCAGCGATTGCAGCCCCTCCTCCATGGGATGGATTGCAGGACACTGTATGCAGTGAGCACCAACAAAGGTGCAATCTGAAAGGTGCAACAGATGTCCGTCGCATGCGAAGCTCTTGCCTTGCGCCAATTGACCTCGTACTTCCCAGCAGTCAGCTCCACGTAGATACGGCGTCCTGGCCCAAGGTGCTTTGCCGCATACTCTGACTGCTCTTTGAGAGTCATAGTCCCCTTCTCTGCTACTGGCGATGGTCCTGCTGCTGCAGGAGGTGGTGAAAGCAAAGCTGTGCTGGGCCCCTGAGTAGGTGTAGCTTGGGTTGTGTTGATCAGCTGAGGCACGATGCGGCGCTTCTGAGCCATGATGGCGGACTAATCTGGAAATTTTAATCGTGAATGACCAATTGTGCCTGTGGAGAGTGCAGCTTTAAGAGCTCTCCTGTCTCTTTACCTGATGTGCAGATCAGAAAATTGCAAGTCATATTATGCTCGAAATCTGCAGCTAGAATTGTATGCAATGCAAAGTTGTGATTGAGGTCGTTGCTTCCTTCACTTTGCTTCGTGTGCCAGTGTCGTACCTGATGAGTACTGACTGATGCGTCACTTAAAGAGTGCTCTCATCGTGTGCATCTATGAAAGGATGTGAGTCACAACTCGTAGGGATACAGCAACCTGTGGTCCTCCAAGTTTTCACCAGCTTGAGAGAAGCAAATGGTGATTGCCGAGATTCCAGCATGCGCAAAGAGGCAGGCAATAATCCAGCTGATCCTTCTGCAAATGGCAGACTGCACGATGTCCAGAACTTTCATTTCATCTGCTGGTCGTAATCCGACGATCATTACATCAGTCCGAAGGCATGCAGACAGGAATGGTGCATCACAGAGTGGCTCGATCTTGTGGCACGATAGACTCACAAGTGAACAGCAGATGCCAAGAAATCCTCAAACACGGCAGCGCTTTCGCCTGTCCTCGAAGAAGACACCTTATTGCTCCTCAAAGAAGGACAGTCGTGTCGCGAGGTTCGATCAATTCTCACACTACGACAGTGCACACAGAGTAGAAGGCTGATAACCCTGCTTTGTAGAGCATAGTAACTGAATAATGCCTGTCAGATTTGGGCTGATAAGAGTCCAAGAATATGACATGTCATTTTCTGGCCACTTATGGGCAGCATCTCAAGTTATGGACGGTATGGACTGCTATTGTTGTGTAGTTGTCTCCACGTTCCCATCATTTCAGAAGCTAATTTGATCTATGCATTTGCAGCGGAGTTGTATTCTGGAGCAACCGACCTGTGGATGCCAGAAGAGCTGCTTCAAAGCACAGCCAGCATTGTAGCAGCTGGTGGTGGTGGCGCTCCTGCAGCAGCCTCAGTGGGCTATGATGACCACAAGCCCCGCACGCCACCTCCTGACTTACCATCCCTCCTTCTTGACAGCCGCATCACTTACCTGGGCATGCCGGTGCGCTGCGCAGACATGTTGGACATGATTTGGGAGCAATTTCTCTTACCCTGTTCCTGTCCCTATGTGAATTCTGAGTTTGAGCTTGGGCAATTTTCTGGTGCAGCTTGTACCAGCAGTGACGGAGCTGATCATTGCTGAGCTGCTCTACCTGCAGTACAAAGACCGGACAAAGCCAATCTACCTGTACATTAACTCCACAGGCACAACGCGTGCTGACGGTGAAACGGTTTGTTGCTGCCCCCCAGTTTTTCCTTTGGACCATTATTGGGAGGATGCATGCTGGCTTCTTGAGCTCTTCCTTTTCTGTGTGTCAAGTTACTGCGCATGATATCTGTTCATGGGGCACAGGTGGGCTTTGAAACAGAAGGGACGGCAATCTATGACACCATGCAGTTCGTGAAAAACGAGGTGAGCCTGGAATTGATGATGGCGACAATCGCATCATAGAAACCGTGAGAACGGCATTGCTTCAGTACTTCAGTGGTCACAAATTGCTGCAGTTCTTTAATATTGTTCTCGCGCATAGGTGCACACTGTTGGCGTGGGAGTTGCAATGGGGCAGGCATGCATGCTGCTTTCAGCTGGGCACAAGGGCAAGCGTTTCATGCTTCCTCATGCAACAGGTGTGCACCTCTGGCAACTTGTCTGGCATCCCTGAAAGCATCTGTTGGTTGCACTTTTTCTTCTTTTTTAGCTTCTGTATGTAACAAATTTACTGATCTGATTTTGGTCTTTTGCCCTTCCAGCAATGCTGCAGCAGCCTCGTGTACCGCCAACGGGACAGCGGCAGGCAATTGAGATCCAGATCAAGTGGCGGGAAGTACTTGCTCAAAAGCAGGCGCTGCTGCGCATACTGTCCAAGACAACAGGCCATTCCGAGGAGAAGCTCGATAAGGTCAGTGTGTTGCATCAGCTCTGGATGATTTGGACTGCTTCTTGTTCTGGAGCATTTCTTTCCATCCGTATCGGGAGATTATATTGGAAGGGAGTACTGACCTTTCGCGTCCTTGCAACTGCAGGATATGCAGCGGCCACTCTACATGCAGCCCCCAGATGCCATAGAGTATGGCATCATTGATGGGATTGTGAGGCCGCAGACTGACATCATCGATGACGTCATGAACGCGGATCAGTGGGACAAGCAGGCCGGTCTTGTTGCGCGATGAAAGGCATCTTGCTGGTATTTGTTGAGTTGTGCGCACTCAAAACAACCAAGGAAGAGCCTTTGCACTGGGCACATGGACTCTGAACTAAATGTGATGTCCAATGCTTCCATATCGGCTGACATGACACCACCTTTTGGATTTGCCTTGTGATAAATAAATTCACGAGGAAGGCTCGTTGTTTGGTTAAAACTGAGGATTGTGTTGTCAAGTCTTCAGCTATTTACATAGACTCTGAAATCAACTAGTACTTGCATTCACCTAGTACTTGCAATGACATAACATTGGCTTCACACAACTCACTCACCACAGTGAAGCAAATGAGCTGGTTCTTGTGAGACAGTCTCGTGTCTTGATCGCAAGAAAATTGTCTGTAGAACAAACATGATCTTTTCTCCAGACCCCGACTCGAGTTGAGAGCTCAGATGCATTCTCCATGGATCTTTGTAAAATTGCTCTTAGCAAAACCACACACAACTGCATGCAGTCTGGCAACCAGTCAATTGCGTTGCAGGTCACACTGAGGAGGGTCCTCAGCAACACTCAGGTGCTCTCCACCTTTGCCTTCTTCTTCTTCTGCAAATTTAAAAAGAATCATAAGATGAGCATCGATTAAATGCATGTCTGCATCGCCATTGATCATCTCTCTGCATCATACCTGGAATTGTTGGCCTGAAACAACTGCTACAATGAAGAGCAAGTCATCAAATGTTGTTGCTGGCATTGCTTACCTTTTTCTCAGTGCTGGGCGCTGCATCACCGTTGACTGCTGCAGCATCCTTCTTTTTCTTCTTCTTCACAGGCTCTGCTGTCTCTGCAGCATCTGGCGGAGCTGCCTCCTCAGCGCTCCTCTTCTTCTTTTTCTTCTTCTTCTCGCCTGTCTCCTCCCCGCCGTTGATTGCTGCAGGGGCTGCCTCTGAGGGACCGGCCTCTGCAACCCCATTGGGCTCTGCCGTGGCTGCCTCTGCCTCTGCGGCAGCCGCCTTCTTCTGCACACACATAACACTTACATTCAACAAACAAATGTCGTTTTCAGAGTCCCAAGACCAAAGCATGCGGTGAAAGTCTTATTGAAATGTGTGGAGACCTCAGCAGAGCAAGCAACTCTGCCCATGCGCAGGCACCAGACAAAGAACAGCATGCCGGCCATAAATATACATGCCCCCATGAGCTACCCACCTTCTTCCGCTTCTTCTCCTCCTTGCCGGCGTCAGCGGTGACGTCAGCGTCCGGGTTGTATGCCTTGGCCGCGGTGATGAGCGCTGGGCCGGCATCCCCCTGCCGCGCCGCGTCGTACTTGGGGATGCTGCCCTTGTCGGCGCGCGGCTTTGCGCTGTCCGATGCCAGCATCTTGCCCTCCAGCTGGCGCAGCCGCGCCTCCACCTGTCGTGCATGCGCTTGTGACGTTAAGCCAAGCAATTGCAAGGACCTCTCCGCAAGAGCAGGTGCATGCTGGACGTTATTGACTGCTTCAATACAATAGCTTTCCTGCTGATTGTATCTTCTTGCAGAGACAGGCATTGGCTGCATTGCCACGTAGCAGCAGCACGCAATCAAGGAAGCAGTACAATGCTAGACATCAATGTGAGGGAATTGTACCACATGTCGGTGCGAATTCGAGGGCTAGTGCATCATTTCCTACCCGTCCCCGGAGATCTAACACCTTTGATGTTGCCTTGTTTCAAAGCCGCACGGCCTTGTAAAGCAGGCCGTGGGGTTCTGCCAAAGGCGTTCATGAGAAGTGGCCCTACTCCCTACTACAAAAGTGAAGGGACTTGCGTACCTTTGCTCTGCTCTCCAGACCCACGTGTGCATCTGCGACGTCTCCTAACGCGTCCACGCGAATGGAGAGGGCGCACTTTGCGGCCAGCACGCGACTGATCTTGCCCTTGTGCTTGGGCGCCGCCTGCCCTATCAAGCTGGCGTGGAAGATGAGCCCATACTTTGGCGTCTGCACCACAAAGAATTTTTTTTGAGCTTATTCTGATTCACGCGCACAGAATTCAGAATTCTAGTATTCTAGTATTCAACCTGGCCTGACGCGGTCATGCAACGAGGACCAGACAACAGTTGTAAGAGATCAGGGGTCTCACCTCGTGCTTTGTCTTGAGCGCTCTGAAGAGGGCCTTCTCCGCGCCCAGGATCTGCACTGTGCTGGCAGGCGCCTTGGCCAGGTTGATCAAAGAGCCAGCGTGAGCAATGAGGCGCGCGCCGACGAGCTCTCCCACCAGTACTGTCAGGTTGGGGGCGATGGCCATCATCCGGCTCTTCAGGTACTCGTACAGCTGCGCCCTGTACTCTGCCAGTGCAATCACCTGCCGATCACCACAGTGTATGGTTTTTAGTGCAATTCATGAACAGTGGCCCTCTGTGAAGAGTCCATCACTCCTTTGATGGGCATTCCTCCTTCTAGACTCCGTGCAGGTCCCACAGCAAGATGCTGTCAGAAGAGCTCCTCAGCTAATCAGGCAAAGCTGTTGCATCCAACCTATTAAGGACTGTGCGCACCTGGTCGCAGAGGGAGATGATGTTGAGCAGGTCAACAGGGCTGATCTCTGTGCCCATGGAGATGACTGCTGTCTCCTTCAGCTCCTCTTCCACTTCTTCCTCCAGTGGGATGCCCGAGAAGTCCTTGTCCACTGCGTTCTCGCGTGTGCCCATCAGCTTGATCTGCGCCAGCAAGCCTCACCTTGAACGCGCCCATGTCCACATTTATTATGGCACTCATCAAAGTGGCATGGCATGGCATGGCATTGTTGAGATCTGGGGGCCACACGCCCATGCTACCTGTGCAGATACTGGCAACTACTTGCGCAAGATCCCAGCGCAAAGAAATCAGAGGCTTGGCATAATTTTATTGTTGTCTCTCTCTCTCTCTCTCTCATGAAGAAAATGACTGGCAGAGGAAGCGCACCACTTTGGCGTAGACAATGTTGTCTGTGACGATCTTGGTCATCTCTGGAAAATGCCAGCCGTACCACTCGCGCACCCGCATCGCATATGTGTTCAGCTCCTTGTCCAGGTCATCCAGCAGCCCGATGGCTTGCACAATCATGGTGTCAACCTGCATATGAGCATCAAACATTAGTGTTGAACCATCTAATTCATGAGGTCACCAGGGGGCAGCTGGCAGAGTCTTTGATCGAGATGGAAGGGCAAAGTGACTGAAACGGCATCCTGACAGCCTACCTTGTCTGGGCTGAACTTCAGCTTGTACCGTGACAGGCTGTGACTGAGACCCAGAGACATGGGAGTCAAGTCCTGGCCGCCAGCAAGACCACTGCAAGCACAACGCACTGCCTTCAGCTATGCACAGAGTGCAAGAGACATTATTCTGGTATGCTACTAGCAAGGACGGTACTTGGAGGCGTCGGGGAATGTTCACACCTGATGAGGCCCTCAATCTGACTGCGCACGCCTCTGGTCAGCTCTTGCACCCCATTGCTGCACATAGCACAACATGTCAGCTCTTTCTACCAGGTGTCCAAGCAGGGCACTCTCAGAGCGCATTGTTGCTAGCCATGCATCCCTGACAACCTGCATCCTCCTCACCTGTAGATGCAGGGGATGCCAAGCTTCTCCTTGATGATGCTGCCCAGCTTGGCATCTGCCACTCCGAGTGTCTTCCCATCCGCATTCTTCTTCAAGAACTTCTTCAGATCTGCACAAGGAATTTGGTTGAAAGGCCAGAAGCTGGAGCACTGCTGTGCTGGAGCACAGCGTGTGCGATGTACAGTCTAGCTTCAAGAGAGCAGCCAGGTAGGCATTCCAGGGCTTTTGCCAACCCACATCCACAATGAGACATTATCCATCTTCTGCAAAGTTTATTATTACAGTTCAACAAATGTGGTGGAGGTGCCCTCACCTTTGCTCAGCTTGCTGTCTCCCAGAGCAGTTGCTGCTGCCAGGGCATCGATGGTGCTTTCAAACTTACTAAAAGCCTTCAATTTCACAACCTGCATCCGGATCACAGCAATACGTCATTAACTGTCTGTTCAGATCTGCCAGATGAAAGCCAAAGTACAGCAGGAAAATTCACCTTCTGTGCTGCGTCCAGAGTTTGAAAATCCTGCCATAAGTCCTGCGATAACAGCATGCAATTGTTAGATTCGATGGTCTCTCGCTGCACAGAATTTGATGCATTTGAGGAGCCGTCTCACCTCTGTCTCCTGTATCTTGTTTTCCTGCAGTACTTTGAAGAGCGCGAAACCTGCTGCCGTTTCGAATAGGAGCAACATCTTGATCAAACTTGTTCCCGAAAGGTGTGGAACTTGATAAACCCAGAACGATGAGAGTATTTTCGATCTTTCCTGACGGCTGACCAGTTCAGGCTACGGCATGCCTGCGCAGCTGCACTTTCGGAACTCCGTTTACGGGCCCAAAATCTGCAGGCCTCGGTCCATGGACTTCCATGGCCGATTTCCTTACCATTCTGTGACAATACCAGACACACCAGAATGCACCAAAAGATGTGAAGCTAGATTGTAGACGATTGAAGAACTATTTACGATATATCTAGTGAGAGCTAAGCTTTAGCTGGTATCAACAATTGTACGATGTCGTCGACAGGTATCCTGCAGGTGGTCAATGGTGACGGTGAATTCAATGAACAAGGCGTCAATGACTTTGTGGAGCGGCACAACATAAGGGATGTTGGAGTGGGGTACCAAGTGGTGGCCATCACTGGTCCTCAGAGCAGTGGCAAGTCGACACTAATGAATGCCTTGGTGAGTGACACCATTCCTACTATGTGTTGAAAATGAGAAACTTATTGATACAATCAAGGATAGGGCATTGCCATCGCGAGTCAATAAGGTAGATTCCTTGTCAGCGTACCTCAAACTTCCTCAAATGCAGGTGCTGTGCATCGTGCTGGCTGATGTAATTAGAAGACTCGCATTTTGCTTTTTGCTGCCCATACCTAAGTCCTCCAGCCGTCTTGGAGGCATGTTCGTGCGAGGCATAGTGTTCACTGGTTTCATCATAGCTTCCCTGTCCCATCAAGTAACCTGCATCCGGCCCCAGCACCTCAATCTTGCTGCATTGATGATCAGTACACGATTGGGTGATATGATGGTGTCCTGGTCGCAGTTTGGCACCACTTTTGAGGAGATGGATGCCATGAGCGGGAGGCGCCAGACAACAAAGGGAATCTGGCTGGCAAAAGGACAGAAGATCGAGGAGCCTTCCACCCTCGTCCTTGATCTGGAAGGTAGCGACGGGCGGGAGCGCGGCGAGGACGATAACTCCTTTGAGCGTCAGAGCTCGCTGTTTGCTCTGGCGGTGGCAGACGTGCTCCTTGTGAACATGTGGGCCAAGGATGTGGGCCGTGAGGCTGGTGCAGGCAAACCACTCCTCAAGACAATCTTCCAGGTGACATCATGTCATTATTGTCCTTTCATACAAATAACCTCACAGACTCTGCAAAGTATCTAGAGAACGATCGACCAAATCACCCTGGCGGTGACCATGTCGAGTGTTGTTTGCAGGTCAACCTGAAGCTGTTCACTCCTGCGCCCAACAAGCGGCGCACAGTGCTGCTGTTTGTGTTCCGGGACCGCACCAGGACGCCCCTGCAGCGCATCATAGAGACTTGGGAGGAGGACTTGAGGCAGATGTGGGTCGCCATCACCAAGCCGCCCAACTATGAACAATACTCATTCACAGATTTTTTCGAGGTCAGTGCTGCCGCAACCCTGCGAACTGTGGATCTGTGCTTTCTCGCCTCGTGTGAGCTTTTCTTGAATTCTTTGCCTATCACTGAGCTTCTGCGTTTGTCCCTGGGCAGGTGAAGTACTCGTCGCTGCCCAACTTTGAGGAGAAGGAGGAGGACTTCCGAGCAGAGAGTGTCATATTGCGGAGGCGCTTCTCTGAGGAAGGTGAGGCTGAGACAGATCCTTTGTTCAGTCTCGGTTATCCTGCAGTGCCACATACTATCCTGTGACTCCACTTGCCGTTGGCACTGTTCCATGTTTTTACGAAGATGCTGTACGCAGGAGATGACACTCTGGTGCGGGTGAGCAATGACAAGCTGCCAGGCCACGCGCTGGCCCTCAGCTTGCAAAAGGTGTGGGAGATCATACGCGACCAGAAGGACCTCAATCTGCCGGCCCACAAGGTGCACTCCCCCTCTCCGCAGGCAGCCCCTTGCCTGCAGAACTCTAGCGGATAAGATGCCACATAGCAGGAATTGCATAATGGACAAGTCTTGCTGTGCAGATAAAAATGCTTGAAAGGAGCGCCAGTAAAGGCCTACCATTTCATGCACAAATTTCCGAAGCGGCTGTGCATATTGGCAGGTAATGGTGGCGAACATACGCTGCGCGGAAATAATGGAGGATCAGCTGCGCGCCCTGGCGGAGGACCAGGCCTGGCTGGGGCTGCGCCAGGAGGCTGCCACTGGCCTGGTGCCCAACTTTGGCACACGCGCCGCCGCCTTGCTGGACTCCTGCCTGTCGGGTGCACCCCGCTTACACTGCCCTATCCTGTGCTGCTTACCCTGGAATGTTTGGAACAGAGCTTCGTCTGATGTGTCTTTCCGCATGCACTTCATGTTATTCTGATCACAGATGCGGCGTACTAAATAGGCAAGGCAGGTCTTCTGACAGCTGTGGCGGGTGCAGGGTATGATGAGGAGGCCAGGTATTTTGAGGAGACTGTGCGGCGTGCAAAGGAGGAAGAACTGATCGTGCGCTCGCAGCGCCTGGTGGCGGCTGCTTTCGCAGACCAGCTGGGACTCCTGCGGCAGGCCGCCCTGGCGCGCACTGTTGCAGCGCTGGCCCAGCCTGACGCACAGCATGAATTTGCTGCATGCGCCTCCAGGTGCGCTTCCGCTGTCAATGTTTCTTAACCGCGCCCAGTCACTTCATTTTGTAGGCATGGCCTTTTCATCTACAGCCTAGAGGATGGACGATCAGCTCTTATTTGGATTTCTTCCAATCAACAATATGGTGTCTTGAATCAAAGAGATGTCATCCTTGCATCGACTTCCAAAATTTCTTTCCTGAATGTGGGCTGCTTCAACAGGAGCAAAGTGGATGCGCTGGCATTCTTCCAGGAGGGCCTGAAGGCTGTGGTGGTCTCTGGCACCAAGTGGGACACAGTGGAGGTTGTTGAGCAAGTGTCACGCGACATCGATGCTCACATCAACAACCTCCGAGCTCAGAAGGTGGCCATCCAAAATTTTTTTTTTTAAGGCAATGAGAGATTCTGCTACGTGGGTATACCGTTTGTAAGTGCCCCTCGTGTAAGTAGTTGGCAACGATTTGTGGATCTGCACAGGTGGCTGAAATTGGGTCGAGGGCAGAGAAGAGCCTGGTGGCAGGCCTGGCTGGCCCTGCCAGCGCACTGCTGGACAGCTGCCCCTTAGACCTGTGGCCGCGGCTGAGGCGACTGCTCGCTTCCTCCCTGGGGAAAGCATCCCAGGTACCATTCTCTTCATAGTCAAGCTGCCCCAATATCGTCATGTCCGTCTTCTCTGCTCACTATGGATCCTTCATAGCGGGAGTCTGTGGAAGCTACAACAAAATTGTGGCAGTCCATTTGGAAGAGAAGCATGGGATTTCTGGCTGCAGGTGGTGGCGGAGGGGCTGCAAGGATATGAGGTGCCAGGGCCGGACCTGGACGCCCTGCAGCAGCAGCTGGAAGCCTTTGGACGGGCGCGCGTCGAGTCTGCAGCGCGCGAGGCCGCCCACACCGCCCTCCCCCGCATGAAAGAGCGCTTTACTGAGGTGCGCTACAACTCCTTGAGGAGATCTTTATATTGTGCATTATTAGGTGGAAGTCTCCTTTTCCATTGGAAAGCCGGAGTAAGAGCTCTTCCTGGATACTTTCAGGGCTGCAATATGACAAATTGGATGGAGGATGAGGATGTGTGGTGGGTGTGCAGGTGTTCTCGAAGGACGAGGGGGGGATGCCGCGCAGCTGGGGTCCGCGCGCCAACATCCCTGCGGCCAACCAGAAGGCCCGGCTGGCGGCCGCGCAGCTCCTGGCCCAGCTGGCAGTCATGCGCGTGGACAGCCCACAGGTGCCGCTCTCCCTTGTTACTTTCCTGCTACATGGTTCTGTGCCATCTGTGTGAGACGCAACTCCTGTATTGTGAGTAGGACAGAGAAGTCTAGGAGACAAGAAAGACTGGTTCTGATGTGCTGTCTCTTGGTGGTGCAGGAGTCTGAGGCGGATGTGGTGGAGAGGGCAGTGCTGGAGCATGCAGGGGAGGGACCCAGCACCAGCGGCGGCGGCGAGCCCAGCAAAGGGGCGGCGGCTGCAGGCGCTTTCGACATGGTGGCCGCGTCAGAGTGGCCGGCCCTTGCAGAGGAACTGGTGCTGCTGAGCCCTTCGCAGTGCCGCACTCTGTGGCGCCAGTTCTCATCAGACACCAGCTACGCCGTCCAGCAGGTACCATACTGTCCCACAACAGAATGTCTCCGCGCAATTCGGCTTACTCCCTTTTTTTTTCTTTGATCTTTAAGAAAGAGGGCTTGACCTCAGCGCATCGACTCACCCAGGCCGAAAGGTGCCCTGGTGCATTTCAGACTGTCTAATTGATGGAGGGAGGATGAAGGGGTGGATCTCTACGTATTGCAGGCTCAGGCGACGCAGGAGGCCAACCGAGCAGCGAGCAATCGCTGGCCGCCCTTCTGGGCCATCGCGGCCATGCTCGTGCTGGGCTTTGACGAGATGCTCGCCGTCCTGTACAACCCGCTCTGGCTCATCCTCGCCCTCTTCCTCTTCCTGTTTGGGAGGACCGTCTACCAGGTATGAAAGCTGCCTCTCCCTTGCACGCAGCACCTGCATGTCTGACTACAATGACAGCTTGCCTGGTAACTGCGAATTGCAGGTTGTAGCGCAAGCAGTGCTACATTTTCTGGTTCTTTTGGCCATTCTTCTGGTCTTCAAGCACACTGGACTGCTGAAGGAAGATGCCTTTTTCTTTGTGCAGGAGCTGGATGTGGATGCGGAGATGCAGAGGGGGCTGCTGCCGGGCGCGGTGGCGCTGAGCGGCAAGTTTGTGCCGGTGCTGCAGAGCGTGAGCCAGCGCACGCTCAACACCGCGCGCGAGTTCCTGGCCGATCCGAGCGCGCTGTCGGAGCGCGTGCACGACGGCCTGGCCGCCACCGGCAACGCCATGCGCGAGCACATCGCGCCCGACGCCCACAGCGCCACTGCCGGCCCGGGCAGCACTGCAGGTGGGGCCCAGATGCAATCGCAACTGCGCTGGTGGATCACTGTATCGTTGCTGCATGATGATCACTTTCGAGCCAGGCCTTCATCTAATCTCTGGCGCTTGATGATGAGTTGGATATTGCATCTCTTTTCCCTTGATTGTCTCATGCTTTTTCCTCCATTAAGCCAAATTACTGTGTGGCACTCGTCTGGGACTCTCTTTGTGTCCTCAATCAACAGCCTTGCTGTACAGTGCTGGTTGAAGCACAGTGGATCATTGAGTGCAGCTTCTGGCGGGTGATGGGAAGTGCGTGGTGCAGGCGCAGGCGGTGCGAGGGAGGCATCGCGCAATGGGTTGAGCGAGGCGGGTGTGCGCAAGCGGCGGGCTGGCCTGGGCGATGTGGAGATGACGGAGCGGTCAGAGCAGACAGAGGCCATGTTGCAGTGAAATTAGGGGATGCAGTGCACACCATCAAGGCGCCACTGAAACCGATAGACACAGTGAGGTTAGGACATGCCCTTGGAGTCATGGTGGTCCATATGGGTGGGTTATATTTACGTGATTGTATGGTAATATGACGGGTTCCCTTGTCATGTCATGTAACCTTACATATGGTGTTCCTCTTCTCTTGAGTGCCCATATGTGAGCACTCAGCGGACAGCGTGCATTCAAGAGCTTGCTGCTCACGAGATCCTTGGCATATTGCAATGGCATTATTGCATGGCACCCCTCGATTGTTCTCTTCTCACGTTTCCTGCCTAGATGCTCACCCCAGAGCTCCTGGAAGAGAGCCCTTCTGCAAAAACTGCAACCCAAAGACCACAATGCTCACAAGGAGGGTAAGGTACGAAAATCCCTCCACTGCGCCCAGGAGACCTGACGGGCCGGCCGGCAAGCCCGAGCCTGTGCGCGCCTTGGTTGCAAGCGACCACCCAACAATTCCCAGAATGGCCAGGTAAGAGATGCCTTCCGCAGCTCCATATAAGCCTGCAATACAGATAAAATCCCAGTAAGGCCAATAGCCTTCTGGATATAAGCATGTGATCACTCTCATGAGAGCTTTATCAGCTGAACTGCAGTACCTCCTGGGCCCTCGGGGAGACCACGTCCAGTGGTGTACAGCGTGTAGTCAGACAGCAGGACCAAGGGGTTTGACAAGGCTCCAAGAGCAATGGCAGCTGTGCCAGCAGTCCCAATGTCTTCAGCATCTGCTGCCGCAGCTGGAGCTACTCTGGGACGTCTGACAGTGAATGGGCGACCTGCTTGGTAAGCAGGCATAGAATCCTTACAGAAGGCACTGGACCATTGTCAGATCAGCTTGGCGTGAAATGCATTCCGATGCTTTGGAAAGAACATTCGGTATGTAATGACTTATTCATGTCTAGAATCCCATGAGGAAGGACATCAAGGACAGAGAGACTCACTCCTCAGGCCAGAGACGCGCGAATGGCCAGATATCCAGGTAGAGGATGGTCGAATAACACCATAAGTAGATTGAGTGCACATCGACATGAGTCCAGTCTCCCTTGTCAAGATTCAAGGTTGTCGAAGTTACGATAGAAGGCGGGCTGATATCAGTGCTTATAGCTTTGACGACAATCAATCCTACAGAGGTTTATTTAAACCTTTGACAACTCGAACACTCGAATTTACTGCAAGATTTGGATTGTACGATGTTGGTGTCAGCACGTGTTCAGGGGAGCTAAATTGCACAAAGCAGGGCCCCACATTCGTTCGTGCCTCAGAACGTATGAAAGGAGTCCGGTTTCTTCCAGATACTTACAGCGAAAAAATTGCCTTGGGTGCCACATCCGTTGCTACCTTCAGGTCACACACCTCTACAGAGCAACTTGGTCGTGCATGTGAACAGGACACGATGTGAATGCAAGAGGATGGGTGGTGACCCTAGATCTCCGGATATGATTTGGTCACCTCAACTGCAGCAACTTTCTGTTAAAACGAGCACACTGCATGAGAAAGAGCAAGCAGCTTCTCAAATGGCTGAGCACTACTGCAGAGGATATACGAGTGGGAATGACCTGGAGCCCTGGCGTACTTGTGCAATCCTGAAAGACTTTCTGTTGCCTCTTGACAGCCCCATGTTCCCACAAGAACAGCTGTTTGCGCAGCAAATGCTTCGGCCATCATAGATGCCCTATATTGGGTCTCATCTGGACCCCTGGGTCCGACATCCTTCCTTGAACTGCCGGGGGGCCAAGGTGCTGGTATTAGCCAGCTTGAAGGTACACTTGTGTGGCCCTACTGTTCCCCAGAAGATCGGGCCTGGCTGGCACATCAGTTCTGCATCTGGGAATTTTAGTGTGGACTGGTTATTGGCGCGCGATGCTGCTGTCTTTACCAGTCTGTCTTGTCTTCTCTGTGCAGGTTGTGGCAGATGATGTTGCAAGGAAAAAGTACTTTGGAATACTGCTCAATGTCTTTGGGTCAAGCGTATATAGCCGTGGAGTTACCGTACTTGCCATGATCTTGCAGGCTGAAGATACTAAAAGGTCTGCAAGGTGACCTTCCACCTTGCCATGTCTGTCTAAGTAAGTCTTTAGTGTGTCGTGCCACTAAAAATTTCTGCACATGCTGGCAGAAATGCACCACCCCTCACAGCGCCTGGTACACCCCCGAGGAAGAGCAACATGCCCGGTGCTCTGCAATCAGTCTCAGGTACAGCGATAGATCAAGGAAGAAGGGGTCTCATCTACTTCTGTTCCTTGTCATGATAGAATTGCGCCCTCCAAACATGTCAGCTTGAAAAGTGCAGAGCTTTTGGCTCTCTGCTCAGGGGCATCACCATTGAGGGATCATGAGTGGTAACATGAAGCAGTGCGGGTCCTTGACCAATTGTGAACCTTGACTGTGGATCATACTATATTGGGAGCCATCCACAAATGCTTCGGGCTACTGGTTCGGGCTACTGGATGCATAAATGGAGATGTGGCTGCTTGTTCCTGTCCTCTTATTTTGCAAAGGCCTTCGGTTGCCTGAGTCTTCGGAACATGAGAGGGCATTTTGAGGAGGACACATCAGTCAGATTAGTGGTCGGACCAATTTTCCGAGGATAGAAAATTTTGTAATGGAGACTTGTAAGCAAAGTTGTCGGTGCAGTGGACCGGGTGCGCATATCCAAGACCTTGTAAATTTTCAGAGCCTGAATAATCTTGGAGATAACACCTTAATTTTTGACCCCCACCAGTAAATATTGATATTATTGCTCACGGTTACAAAGCATGCATGAGCAAGCAATTCTTTGGTAGTGGAGTTTCCGGAGATGGTGCCAAGCAAGGTTCCCATATTCTAATCTGATATGAGATATCTGTATGCATACCTCGGGTCCCAAAACAGAACCTTGGCAGCATTCTTAAAATAAAATGCCTGCAGACGTAAATTGTTGTTTCACGCGATATCACCTGTCTTTCTCTACATCAGCGTTGTCACTACTAGGCCCCTCTGCGCATGCCACCTTGGAGGGGCATCGTAGCTGCAGCGGGACAGGAAGGAATGGGAAGGGAGCCACAGAAATGGCCCCCAGCATTGGAGCCCTGCTGGCACCAACCTCGGCTGGTGCCCCTCTCCCCATGGCATGATGCAGCGGGACGCCCAGCCTGAGCACTGTCTGCTGCGAGCTGAGAGCCTGCTTGTCCCGAGGGATGCGGTGCAGCGCCATGCCGGCCATAAACAGCGGCAGGTGCAGCAGCGATGCGCGGAAGAGCCTCCGCGCAGCCGTCGGGCTGGGCGTCTGCAAGCCACAAAATGTGCAACCTCAGCCAACACTCTGCGTGAACGGGCTGCTCCTTCTGACAAGGGACAATCGGATACTTACCAATGGATGGGTGTAAACGAATGTCATGTAATAAGTTCCTTAGAAATCATTCAAGGCCTCAGGGTCCAGAGAATGTACATCAATCTGCAGGGGCCTAGAGAGGGCAGGCACCTGCAGGAAGGAGGCTGCAGTGGTGGCCATGATGCCGGTGATGATCGCGCTCTCATACGCGAATGCTCCTGTGGTGACGCCGAGGCAGGCAGCCGCCGCGCCCAGGGGCATGAGGTAAAGGCAGTTGCGCAGCGCGCATGCCGCCGTGCGCCGGCCGGTGGCGTCAAACAGCGTCAGCATCTTGTAGCCGCCGCGCGCATAGTCCGCTCGGCACAGCCACGCCAGCGACAGAAAGTGCGGCAGCTGCCAGAAGTAGAGCGCCGCAGCCAGCACTCCTGCACGACCCATCGCCGTTATTGATCATCCATGCTGCCGGAATTGCACTTTTTTACAACAGTAAGTCATAGAATCATTAAATGGTGAAGTGACACTGGTGGGTGCAAAATATCAGACTCATAGAGTCAGTATCGATTCAGTCACAACGACAAATGCTAGCCGTGTCAGTGAGATCTGCTCAAATAAAGAGGGCTGTCCAAGCTCTCAGCAAAGCGCCGAGCAATTGAGCAGCAGCAGAAGCTGCTGGCAATTGAGCTGTGCCAATAAGATGGAAGGGGCTGCACCTGCTCCAATGTCCAGCTGGCCCGCAGCTGCAGCCCAGCCCATGAGCGGAGGTATGGCGCCCACCACCGCACCCACCCAGGTGTTTGCCACGCTCACCACCTTCAGTGGCGTGTACACGGCCGCATACAACCCGATGTTTGCAGCGCCCAACGCTGCAGTTGTGGCATTCGCCTGCGCGAACACATCAAGATATTGCAATTGAGGAGATGAGCAGATATGTCGATCTTGCCACTCGCGATAGAGAGTATGGAAACCAGTGCGTGATATAGAGCTCAAGCTCAACATACCTTGTAAGCCAGGATAGTGATGCCTCCGACTCCCATGACCCCAGCAAAAGCCAGCGCATGCCTTCGCGACAGCAGGCCAAGAGGGAGTGGCCGTCGCTTTGTCCTCTCCATCAAGGAGTCTGTTACCACTTCGTACACCTGGTTCAGTGTGTTGGCAGCAGCTGCGCAGGCAAAGGTGCCCAGGGACGTCCAAGCCAGCCCAGCCCAGTCGATCTCATCTCCACTGCCTGTAATCATGCAAGGCAGACTCCTTGTTTTGCTTTTCTTGTTACTTCTCATCTTCAACAGGGCGAAGGCAACGGAACTCGCAGAGGACTTATGACCACGCCAACAGCACGACAGGTCACACTCCGAAGATGGTTTGCTTTACTATTGAACCTGCTCCTGTGCCTTGCAACAGCAGGAGTTCACACGATCTGCTTTGCACAACTTTGTAGCGTACCTGCTATGTAGCCAGCAGCAGCAGTGGAAACAACAAGAGCACTGAGGCGGTGCTTTGACAGCTGCTTGTACAGCTTTATCAAAACTGATACTGATAGCTGTTCTCTGCTGCTCCCTGCCACTTCAGCTGCAGTAGCCGCTGAGCAGTGCGCGGAGGAAGCAGCAAAATATCGAGAAAATAATAAGCACCCTTGCGTGACATGCTGCTGTGAGCTCTCTGCCAACAATCCCCTCAGAGCCCTAGGTATGTTGGAGGCTGCAGTCTCAACACTGCACGCTTGATGGAGGGTGGCAGCTCTGAATCCAAACGCTGTGAGATGCAATAGCTTACGCATCTAGTATTCAGAGATATTCCTATAGATATTCTTGCGTCTCAAATTGTCTCTCAATTGTCAAAGCAACAGGGCTGGATCAGCACCGCTGAGATTCAGTGTGTTTTGCTCATCAAAATCGTCTCTGCAAGAGTATCTCAGCCAGACGAAGAAGGCACATCCAAGCGTTTGACTATTTGTGGTTGAACAACTGTTGAAAGGAAGAACCGAGGCGGCGTTGTCACAGAGGATACGCTAAGGATGGGATTCCTTCTCGCTTTTCCTCTTCTTTTCCTTGTTTTCGAAAATGAATGCACGCTCATAGCGGAATTACTCATCCACAAAAGATATCGTGAATGCTGATCACTTCACAAGGAATTGAGCTTTAGATTCAGTTCTCTCCTGACATAAAGACTCGATTTGGATACAAACATTCGGAATCATGCACTTACAGGCACCAGAAAGCTTGCAGATTTCACCTTTTCGTGCAGCTGTGCCATTCAAGGCAGGCAGTCTTAGGCGATGCCGTAGTACGACCGTTTCCCTTATATGCCGTCAGATGGAATATAGTACAGTGACTCGACGGGACACTGTGAGCATAGCTGCAATAAGTACAATCCTGCTCCCCAGTTTAGCATTCTTTCAGTCAAACGAAGCTCAAGCGATCGGGTATTTTCGCATTCCTCTCTTGTATTCTACTCGATCCTGATGTGTCCTCAACAAAATTCCGTGCAGAGTTTTCCACCGTTGTTATTTGATTTGGATACATCACTTCAGATTTAAGAAGGAGCTGAAGAAACGGAAGGCAGACCTGAGCGAATATGCCACGTCAAGTACGCCTCTGAATGTGCCGTTTGTGCTTGCATTGTGCCCATCCCATGCAGGCCTGTGGTAAGCTTCAATGGAAGATAACTTCCTGCCAATATGTAATGCTCATTGCTGCACTGCTGTGTGATCAGGTGATGGCTTGAGATTCATTGATCTTTCAGTGGGCTCAGGAGACGAGGTGTCAAAGGGCAAGCGAGTGACGGTAATAGTTGGCACTGCTCTCAGCATCTTGGTTGGCATGATTGTGTCATTCCCGGGCATGGTGGTGACGTGCAGGAGCACTGTGCCCTTCAGGTGCATTTCGATTGTATATACAAGGGCATCAATGTTGTCTCCAGCAGACAAGCCCGCCTTCTTGGTGGCAACCGCACAATCTCTGAGGTGAATTTTTCAATCTGAATGTGCAGTGGAGTCATTCCTATTGATCGAGCGCTAACCATTGAGGTTCAATTCTGTCCGCATGGCCATTCCAGTAACAGATGTGTGCCTCTGCAGCCCTTTGAATTCACTGCTGGAGATGTAGTGTCGGGTGTGGCCGTGAAGAAGATCAGCGATTCTGCCAATGGCCTGTTTGCTGGATCTGGTGGCCCCAAGCCACCGTCGGCCCTGGGCACAGCAGTGCTTGGCATGCGAGTGGGCGGCAAGGTGAGTCCGTCTGGATGTGTGTGCACTGCAAAATGCATTACATGATGCAGTTGTTTGCAAGGACAACCATGCAGCACCAGCGCTGGTGCCACCAGTGGGATACCCAGTGGGACATCTCTTTTTTGTAACGTTGTTAAACCGCTCTTTCTGTGCACTTTGCAGCGGTCTGTGATTGTTCCTCCAGAGCTGGGCTACGGGAAATTGGGATTGCAGGAGATCCCGCCAAATGAGCCGTTTGAGATGCGCGTAGAAGTGTTGCAGGTTGGCTGATGTACCACACTGTAGCATTACTTTGCACACGGAGCCAGCACTTACCTAGAATTGCAGAGCAATGTGGCTTCACTCCAACTGACTGCAGATGCATTTGCAATTTTTGCGCATATATTGGGCCAAGCCAATTTAGATGTGAACATCAGTGCCTTGTGCCGCATTCCAAACAAATGCCTGAGCTGACAGCTTTACATGTCCACTTGGGATCTCAGCAGTTTATTCAAAAGAAGCTAATGAAGTGTACAATTGAATGGGAGGCAAACAGCATTGAGACGTCAAATATAACAGCGATACAAACACGTCAATTGGACCCTAGAAGGAATACTGGACCCACGTGGTCCTTGGCATCAGCTCTGCAAAGTCACAACTACGCCCAAAAAAGCTTCCGGGCAACACTCTCAGACTGACAAATTCGGCTCACTAAGAGCACTCAAAAGCACATAGTGCTAGACACTCTTTAATTCTTACTCAGCAGGCTGCAAATCTCAAGCTGAAGCGCATGCTATGCCAATGGTGCTTATCCAGATGCTGCGAGCGTGCTGTCAGCAAAAGCAATGCTGACACACCTTCCAGGAGAGACTCAACCCCAGTGCCTAACAAAATTGGAGGCAGGGACGCAGGTGATAACCCCTACACCTTCCTTGGATGGCTTGATCCAACAAAGGTCCAGTCTCTCAATTTCCCTCCTACTTCTCCTGTGCCCTTATCCCTTCACTTCTGGACAAGATGCATCCAAACAAGAGAGCCTCTGGAGATCCCCGACAATCTGAGCCAGGATGAGGCTATATATTGCAATCCCAGAGACGGGCAGACCATAAAGGCTGAGCAGATCTGACATTCAGCTGTCCTCTTGTCTATCCTCTGGATGGGACAAGAATCTAGCCATATGTTGATGAAGAAATGCCTGGACAACTACCCACGATGGTATTGTGTCTGCCACATGCAGGCGAGTAGCTACAAACCAGTGTCTACCTATGTGATTGACGCCCAATCTAAGCTACCAATGTCTTCTGCAGCCACAGGCATTAGCTCTGCAGGCAGAAGCGTAACGAGGTCCTTCTGTCTTGCAGGTAATTGGTCTCAGACCCACACGTACAAATTAGCTAAGAGCCCCCCGCATACCTCAAATCAGGCATTGCTCAGCAGACGCATGAAGCGCAGAGGTTGCAAGGAGGCCCACATTATGTCCACTGATCGCTGTCAGATGCACGTCCAACAACTGGAACACACTCCTAGACAAAGGACCTGCGGTGGATGGGAGTGCCCTTGGCGGTGCCCTTGTTGCTGCAGCCCGTCACCACCCCAAACAGGTCGAGTCCTTCCAAGCTCCTGAACTCCATCTTGCTCATGGCAGCCGCCGCCTCCTTCCGGCGCATCTCCTTCTGTTCCAAGTCCTCCTTGTGCCGAGAACGCACCAGGCAAGGCTGCGCACGCCACAACCACCATTCAGCAAAAATGGCCATGTCAGAGACCAGCCATGTCAGAGACTCCCTGCTGGCAAAACCTCTACCCTGGCAGCACCGGCAACAGCAGGCATGGCAAGGCTTCTGTTCACACCTGACTCAGGTTGTGAAGCAGGCCGCCTGCCGCGCCCTGGCTGCCATGGTGCAGGCTGTCGCAGGAGCTCCAGGGGTTGCGCGCAAAGGAGGCGGCAGACCGGCCGGGAGACTCGAGCGCCGTCCGGGAAGAGCGCGCGGGCGAGCCCTTCTGGGAGGCGGGTTTCCCCAGCCCCACCCCATTCAGGCTCTCCGACACCGAAGGCACCCTGCCGACAGCTCCCAGGCCGCGGTGCAAGCCAATCGTGGGTCGCAGCGCGACGTGGGAGAGCTCGCCGGCTACGGAGGCTGCCTTGGGAGCTGCTGACACGTTGGGGAGGTACGCCGTCGAGGACGCGTTGCTGAGCAGGCCGTGGTCGGAGGCGGCCGCATCGCGCACGGCCTCGGCGTTGCTGAGCTCGGTCAAGTTCTCAAATAGCTTCTTCATGGGCAGCGTGCGGTCCTCCTCCTTGGGCGGGTTGAGCTTGCTGCTGGAGCGCTTGCGCCCGATCAGCACGCTCTGCGCGCTCTCCTCCACGGCCTCAGCGCTGTTGCAGCGGCTCATCATGGACGCGTCCGAGCCGGCGTTCGCCCCCGGCGACGACACGCCCCCATTGTCCAGCGCCATCATGCTGCAGCAGCCCTCCGAGTGGGTGCCATCTTGCAGCTGGCGCTCGGAGCTGGCCCAGTCGCCAGACTGGCGGTAGCTGGCGCCGGCGTGGGAGCTGTGCTGAGCGGCGGCGGCCGCCTGCTTGCTGCCGGCAGCCTGCGCCTCCCAGGCCATCTGGACGGACCCATCCTGACCATTGGCCTGGCTGAGGTGAGCATCATCTTCATCTGAAGAGATGCAGGCATAGCGGCGGTGCGGGGAGCTGCCCTCAGTCAGCGCTAGGATCTCCTCCTTGATCGCACGCGCAATCACCTGTTGCATGCAGCGCCAACACTCAGCCAAAGGTCATGCAACTTGCAACTTTTGTGCAAAGAATACAGTGTCTGTGGAAGCCAAGAGCAGGATGTGCGTGTCCTTGAGTTAAACACTAGGCAAGGATGAATATGACAACTCAGATTCAAGACAGGGGCACCTTTGCATCCTCGTGGCTAAGACTGAGGTCGCTGACCATCTCACTGGCCACGCTGTAGGCGGTGTCAGCCGCCAGATCAAAGTCAAACTCGACTGTCTTTGATGGCCCTGCAGCATCAACAGCTGAGTGTGAGGCCTGAAATTACCAGAACATGGTCCAGGGCACAGTCTCAGAGAAAGAGCCCTGCAAACATATCCTCTTGGTTGAAACTGTCACCACTGGGCTTCAACAGCAGTCTCACCTATATGCTGACCGATGCGCAGGCGCAGATTGAGCTTGTCGTCAGCATCCATCAGCTTGCCCTTGACACAGAACTCCCGATCGCCTGCAGCAGGACAGAGTCTGATCAGGTATTGTAGAAGCACAAAGTCCTTCATGTTGCACCAAGCTCTGTTTTATGTGCATGCCACATGACAAGCCATGGCCTCCCAGCAGTGTGCACACCTGTCAGCACAGGCTCAGCCACAACAACGCCGCCATTTATGGCCTCCTGGTGCTCGTGCATCGGCAGGTGGCTCGTGGACGCCGTCTCAAAGCTGTCGCGAGCAGTGCGCGCTGTCGCGGTCGACTCCCCGCCATCAGCGTCGGCGAAGGCCGTCTCAGAGCGCGGCGGGGAGGGTGCAGCAGAGGACGTGCCGACCCGCCCAAACACGGGCGCTGACCTGGAGGGCTCCAACAGCGGCTGCCTGTCTCCTGGCCGCGGCTGCTCGACTGGACTGGCGCCGACAGGAGAAGTGCGCCCGCTCTCGACGCTGCTGAGCGTCTGCTGCACCTCAGCCATCTCTGAGGAGGTGCGGGAGACCGTCCCGGTAACAGACGCCGCGCACTCGGACATCATCTGCTGCAGGTCGGCCGCGCTGGCGCCGGCATGTGCAAGCGCGGCCTCACCCAGCTTCGCTGCGCACTTCTCCGCACGGATGGTCGCGAAGTAGGGGTGCTTCAACAGCTGCCGCGCGCGCGGCCGGCGCTGGCGCATGGACTCGATGCAGGTCGAGATGAAGTCTGCCAGCTCCTGCGTCGGCACCTTTGCCAGCCCAGCCGGCCTCACTCCCTGCGCATGCACATAACAAGTCAGCTTTGACTGCAGCAGATTAAACATGCGGCTTTGGCGCAGAAATAACAGAGGACATTTGCAAAAGATGAAAGCGGCCCAGCAGTGCACCCACCAGGGACACTTTGCGGTAGATCTGAGCAGCATTGCGGCACTCGCTGTAGGGGTACTCGAGCGTGGCCAGCTCCAACAGGCACATGCCAAAGGAATACACATCCACACGGTCGTCGTACTCCTCGTCATACAGCTCTGGCGCCATGAACTCAGGAGTGCCTGGAGGCCAAAAGAAGGGCATCTACTTACATTCAATGCACTGCAAAAGGGAAAGACAGCATGCAAGGACAGCCCTAGCAAGCAAGACCTAGCAGCGCTCCCACTCTGCAGGTTGTCTAGAGTTTGCAGTGGAAGGTGCGCACCCAGCACGCTCTGGGGAGCAGTGCGCGCCCGCAGCAATGTTGCAAGACCCAGATCACCGATCTTCACAACGCCCTCGCTGCCATTGATGAAAATGTTGTCAGACTTCAGGTCACGATGGATTATTGGAGGTGTGTGACCGTGCAGGTAGACCAGGCCGCACAGAATTTGCCATGCCCAGCGCTTCAGGACCTCCGGATCAATGTGCTTATGCCGTTTGCGGTATCTGCACAACCGGCAGAGGGTCAGTCTGGGGCTGGAAACACGTGAGGCCCATCTCAAAGCGCACGAGTTAAGCGGTTTGGAACGCACTGGCGCAGCGTGCCCGAGGTGAAGAGCTCGGTAATGAAGTTGACCGTGTACGTCTTGGGATCCAGCCAAGAATCGTAGAAGGTCATGATGTTCTTGTGCTTCAGCTGCTTGAGCACCCGAATCTCGGCAAAGAGCCGGTCCCGCTCCTCCTTGCTCGACACCAAGTCTGACACTCTGACCTGGTTCCAAGCCACCTCTATGCCCTCCTCTTCGTCAAATCCCTTGTACACAGTCTTGAACGCGCCCCGCCCAAGAATCTGGTCCACCTGCGCCCCGCCCGACCGACGCTCAGCCGTACTTCCACAACACACGAAGAAGGCATAACACCGAGTCTCAACGCCGTCAACGCACCCGGCTCCATCTTCCAGACGGATCCCTCTCCACAATGGGCTGTTCTGGAGGCTCATTATCCTCGGATGCATCCTGAGCCGCGCCCGCTCCAGTACTTCTGTTCATATCCATCTTATGCCAACTATCTGAGAAGCCGCCCCTCACAAACAGATTTGCCAAGCATCAGCAGAAACAAGAGCCATTTCAGACCCCTGACACCCGCCTGGTGCAAGGCTCAGATGGCCAAATGTTCTGCACACTGTTGAGGCAGCCATTGTCCTACAAAATAGCTCTGCTGCAAACCTTCCAACTGCTCTAGAGCGTCAGAGGCACTGCAGTCCAGCCCCAGCTGGGGCCAGATATGCACCAAAAAGAACTCTGATACCTCAGACACCCCACGAGGGGCACACAACCGCCTGTGAGAGCAACTTCTGCTCAAAAAAGTTTCAGGTCACAATCCCAAGGTCTCGTAATACTGTGACAGCGCAACGCGCCAAGGGCCCTGGCTAGATGCTCTATGCCGCCAACCGGCGAAGAGACTCGGAAGCCTGTACCGCCGTCGCCGAGCCCGAAGCAGATGCAAGAGAATCAGGATTGCCTCAAGTTGGTGGCCTGAGGTGTCGCCCTAATTAGGCGCCAACTCGTGATGGGGCAGCCAGAAGCAGTTAGGAAGCCATCCACAATCTAGTCATCATCTCGGCGATTTCCAAGCCATCTTCCTTCCTCACCTCCGCTTGAAGTTCTCTCCCAATCTGTAACGCATGTGCATGCAGCCTGCAGGCCTTTGTGCATGCCAGACAAGGCTGCGACAATTTATACTCAGAGGCTCTCGACAGCTCATGATCATGTCAAATTACAGTGGCGCACACATGCATGTGGCAATTGGCGAGTGAACTGAATTGATCGGTTGTGCCAATCACTGTGCATAGAATATATTTGCAAAGACAGTGTCTTTGCAAATTTATTCTATGCAAGTATATACACTTGTAACCCCGGCACCTCCAGCCACTGCAGCGTGCTCACCATCATGATATGTTTAGTAATGAAATTATAAGTCACTGCGCCAGGCTACCGTCTTTCTTGCTATGAGAAGTATTACAACTGCCAGCTGCCAGTAATTCAAGGTGCTCATGGGGTCCGACCCCATGGTGAGTCACCATGACCTCACGGCCTTGCAGGCACACTGCGGAGCTGCGCATCAGAAGCACATGCGCACTGGCAGTACTTCTTATGAGTTGATCTGAGTAGCATTGATGAAATACACATAAGGAGCTCGAAGGTCTTGAAACTACAGGCATTGGCATTAGGAAGTCCCACAGCAATCTTGATCGGCAAGCTAATGGAAGCGTTCACACTCGATGCAAATTCATTCAAGCGAATCAATGATAGTGCGATGAAAATGTGTCACACGGCACTTGCCACACCACAAGTGATGCAGGAGCATTGGCAACCTCCTTAAGGATCCCAGTCACACTAGACAGCAGTTGCACTCACATCTCCAAGTACGAGGACTTCCGCATCACTCACAAGGTCACTGACAATCAGTGACTGGCGGTATGTGTTCCTGTTGAGAATGCGCCTAGAACGAGCTGGGTTGCAGACGATGGCACTTCATTTCTCAAGAGTCTCATGATGCCCTGACAGCAAGTAGACCTTCCTGCATGTCCCGGTAACTTCCTGCAAGAGCAGAGAGTAGCTGAGTTGACTGCACTGAAGCAACATCGCTTCCTGATCAGCTTGCACACTGGAAGAGGAGAAATATGCCCACCTTCAAAAGCGCAGGACCTGCGAGGGTGTTTGCTGGCTCGCCTCTGTTGTAAACTATCACCTGCTGAGCGTTTCCATCCAGCAGCCCCGCCTGCAGCCTGCAGCACGGATCAAAAATCCAGTGAGGCAGAAGATTTCAATATGCAAATTGATGTGGCACACTCATGCTGTCGTTTCCATACAATAATACGATTAGCGTTGGTTCAAGGTGTTGTGGACCGCACCAGCTTCCTCACAGAGCTCTCAAACTCGCGCACTAGGATGCTGGTGCTCTCTGTCATGATCACTGTACGGAAGATGCCAAAATCTGAGTCAGTCAAATATACATGTACGCAAATTGATGGGAGACAAGCCCTCAAAGCCCTTGCTGCAAGGCTCCCCTTGGGAACAGAACCTAGCCAGAATGGCTGCAAATCAAGGCGTCACCTTGATTGGAAGGCGCATCTGTACGACTGTGTGTCGCTTGATACGTCTTCATTCGTGGCCAATCGTCCTGCACATCAGTGGATTTTTTTTAGCATGCTCACTTCTTACTCGCTGATCCGCCCTTTTGGCCAAAGATGAAAAACCGTAATTTCGTGCGAGAGGATAGAAAATAAGAGTCACCTTAGATGTGCTTGCAGGCCCGCATGAAGAGAAATTGCTCCTATCACGGGTAGGGAGGTTGAACAGCGAGTCCATATTACAGAGTCTGCAAGGTGGGTTTCTGCGTGTAGCGCCCTGGACTCTCACGGATGTCTTGAATTCTCCTCGACTTTGATCTCTCGGCTGTATCGATTATTGTTCAGCTCTAACCATTCTCGGCGCACGCGCACGATGTAGCATGTAATTATCATCGGTGCGCCTGGTGAAGGTATGGTATAATAACAAAAGTGCATTTTTTTTAATTCCTACACATATTCATTTTCTTCTTCTCTTCTCTTCTCTTCTTGTTTTTATTGATCTTGTTTTGTTGCAAAGAGTCCAACGAATCCTATTCCGGAATGCACGGAGCCTTTTCTTGGTTTTCAGATCACCAGGTGATCTATGATCGGTTTTCAGTCTTGTCCTGGCCAAGTAGTGTTCCTGCCACTTGTCTCGCACATCCTCACTCGTTCAAACACCATCATTTGATCACCACTCACACAAGAAATCTACGCTGTCATGGGACAGCCCAGGAAAGGGGTCATGCTCAGACATCAACAGGCAGCCAGCTACCAGATCAGCACGACTGCGTGTCTTCATCCAGATCATCCACTGAAGTTACTAAAAGTAAGTTTTTCATCCGAATTTAAGCAGCATCGTGCTGTCATTCTGACTCGAATGAACGCATCTCTGTGCCTGGGCAGGTCACAACTTTTGGTCTACCTCTAATGGCAGTGATATTTTTGTCCTCCAAGCGTGGCAAGTACCGTCAGCAGCAGCAACAGCAGCAGCAGCTGTTCTGGGCTGCACGGTGCAGGCATTTACAGCATCATGTGCCATGGCAGACACAGGAGGCACAACTTCGGACTTGTTGTATTCCGTTGGAAACAGAATGGATGCTCTAGTTCAGCAACAGCTCCAAGGTACATGCAGTCTACTTCAGAAGCCAGAATGCCCAACACCTTGCACGAAGGGCATGAAGCCAGCGATGCGTCAATGATTACAGCTGGTGCAATGATGCAGGTGTCTCAATAGCCACTTTTGCTATAACCTTCGGAGCAGGCTTGCTCACAAGTCTGTCACCATGCACACTCAGTGTGCTTCCTCTCACGCTTGGGTACATTGGTGGATATAGCACCAGTGAGGAGAACAGCAACACAGGCAGCACCCTCTCTAGGTGACACTGCTGAGCCTGACAGAGTCCACATACAATTATTTACATGCATGACAAGACCACATGTTTGCGGATTGCTGTGTCGCTCAGGGATGCAACAATTGAGACCTACCTGGTTTTCAGGGCAGCAGTGTTTTCTTCTGGGCTGGCCACAACATTGGCCGTCCTGGGCATTGCCTCCTCCCTGCTGGGCCGAACATATGGCCAATTTGGGGATGGTTTACCAATTGCAGTGGGCCTTGTTGCAATTATCATGGGCCTGAATCTGCTTGAGCTACTGCCACTTGCCTTGCCCTCTTTGGATGTTGATGTTCGAAAGGTCTCAGCTCCGCCGCTTGTGCAGGTGCCCACCACCCGCTTCACGAATATTTTTGTTCTCTGACCCCTGATCAACATTTGTATTTCTCAGGATGCTTGGGTACATCCTGGCAAGTCTTTGAGCCTTTGGCAACTTTGTGCAGGCATACCTTGCCGGTCTGACATTTGCACTGGCCGCATCTCCATGCAGCACTCCGGTGTTGGCAACGTTGCTGGCCTATGTGGCAACCTCACAAGACCCTGTTACTGGCGGAGCATTGCTGCTTGCCTACACTAGTGGGTGAGCAATCCTTCATGAATCTCTCCACCATTGTGTATCATCCTTTTACGCAGCTTGTTGACGCTCTCAAATTGAGAGTCTCAATCCACCAGCATGAAGTGCAATGACGTAAGTGTGGCAGTGCAGGTATGTCATTCCTTTGATGGTGGCAGCCACCTTTGCGGGCACCCTGAAGCAGGTTCTTGCCATGAGGCAATGGAGCGCATGGATCACACCAGCTTCAGGAGTCCTCTTGCTGTCTGGTGGTACATACACCCTGCTGTCAAGGCTTATTTAGCAATGTTAGGTGACGGTCACTAAATGACATGAAGTCTGTGTAAGTAAAATGGTGTGCATGAAGTGAATCCTTGTTACATCAATGATATCTGCAGATATCTGTAGGGCTCCAAATCGCCTGTGGCCTTTTCATGAAACAATGCCGAAGGAACGGAGCCATTGCATTTCTGCTGCTGTGTTGTGTTTTGCTCAATAGGCTTGCGTGTTGTACACAATGTACAGATCTTTTCATGGACATGTTTATTCTAGGACTAGGACTCTCATCGATTGATGGGCATCTCAAATAGCAGAGGTGTCCTGGGCTCCCGTGGCGGACCCATCACAGCGGCGTTGCAGCTATCGGGTGTGACATTCTCGAAGCTTCAGAAGAATCCCACTACGGTAAACCCGGTAACAATCTGTGACAGATTGTTACAAGAAACCACCCGCCATTGCATGACCGTCAGGTTGAAATGATTCTGCCATGCGGCTCTCCTCCAGTACTTTGGACAGCACCGCTCGAGCTTGCCTGCAGAATAAGACTCCACTTGATGACTGGCCTTCACTATCTGCACTTACCAGCAAGCAAAGATTCTTGCGATCGAGGTGACAAATTTAAGCACCTAAGGCGTTGCTGTCGACGCTGGAGGGATAATTGTGTGCCCGAACTTGGATCCTTCTTGTCGAATATAGACCCTTGGAGCGTAACAACCTCTCGCCTCAAATCCTGGGCGACACTCAAAAATTGACTTGAGCAACACGATATACAAATCTCCAGGAGGGTGCTAAAGAATGGGGCAAGCTATCAAATCAACAATGCACAGAAGTGGTATGTCGGGGTCATCTGAGCATGCAGTACCTCCACAGGGAGTTCATGAAGTCCCGCGTGCCAAATTGCATCCTCATCATCCACATCTGGGCTTGCTGCACGTTTCCTCTTCCTTTTCACATTATCATCGTCCCAAGCTTCCCACCAGTGAACGTCCTCATCATGATCCCCACTCCCACTAGTACCTGGCGAGCACGAGCCCGTCAACATGCGAGATACTCACTTATGAAAACTCTTTGATTTGCATGGAAATATCAGATACCATCACAACATCAGACAAGGTATTTCTCTGAGCCTGATGGCAGGCTGAGTAGAGACTATACCTCTCGATGAAGACAACTCCGCTGCTGCTAAGCAGATCGCCTTGAAAGCGGCCTCAGCGCCTGGTAGAGAACATTTGTCAGGGTGGACCTGCTTAGCCAGCCTGCGGAATTGCTGCTGAACATGCTTTTTGTCTGTATGTCCATCCACTTCTAAAACCTGCAAGACCAATCGATCTTTGTTTCACAAGCCTCTATCACAGCAGGGAGGCAGTGCACATCAATGTCTTCTGCATCAAGGAAGGTCTCAAGAGCCACAGATCATGCCTGCTGCCAATCTCTCTGGTGTGCATTCTTCAGAATGGACAGGATCAGGCGCTGTCGCTCTACCAATGCAGAATTAGCTGCCTTGTCTAGCAGAGCTATGCCTGCTGCATACTTATTTTGCTCCGCCAGAACATGAACAGCCCGAACAAGGTCTCCCTCTGGGTTATCTGCAGGACTTTCTGATGGGTCTGATCTCATGACGTGATTGCGTATCTGAGGCAACACGTTGCTGTCTCATTTGCGCCTTTGGCTGGCCTCGTCTGGCGAGTCTGAAAGATTGAGGAGGTGATGATGGATCACAGAAAGATTGGCGTCCAGCTTTGCTAGCTGCCTTGGAAGCTGTTCCACAGCCTGAACGCCAAACAAAATGTCAAAGTGACTCATAAAAATTGAGACCTTTTACTGACAGTGGAAGCGGAATGTGGACTGTGCCATGCACCTGCAATGATTGCACTATGGACGCCTCCTTTGCTGCTGTCCTCCTTGCTATTTCCGCAACTCCCTGATAAAGACTTGTGAACGTCAGGCGCAGAGCAATGTGCCTTTGATTGCAGCACAGCACACCATCAGATCGATCCCACCTCACTCCCGCCTTCTGTGCTCAAGGTAGCAGTAATTCTCAGAAGCGCCTGGATAGCTGCGCTCCCTTTTTCTGACAAGTGCGTTTTGAGCTCCCTCTGACTATTCTTTCCTTGCATGCCTTGCCCTGGATCACTGGGGAAGGGCCGAGCACCTCAAATGATAACGCCTGCGATATCAACGAGAGCAATAATCTTGAATATATGTGGTATCTTGACTCCAGAGTCTTGATATCTCTTGCACAACGGAGAACGTCTTCGTTGACCCCGTTAAGTAGTCCAGCTGGCAGCCAGCTGGCATGTTGCTAATCTGCACATGGCGTGTTACTAATCTCATGACCGATGCCTCAGAGAAGACCATGCAACGTCACAATGTCCGCAGGCAAAAATTGAATCGATATTGAATAGGCTGAAGAAGCAGAAATGTACAATAGACACGGTGGAAAAGTTGTATCGTATGTTTGGGATGTTAGTGGTGAGTATCACCTGGACGGGTCAGGAAAGGAAGGGTGAACCTGCGTCCTTCTGTACCGAAAAAGTTTTCAAAGTATTCCAGTCGTATAACACACGCAGTTTATGGCTGTGAGGCTATCGAAAAGCCGCGATTGGTGGCCCGCTGTACCCGAGCTTCTCGATATTCTTCAGCAGAAGGGCCCTAAGTGTGACGCAACTTCTGTTGAAGCGGCTACTCAGGGCACTCAGATCTCGAGCGGTGCCATATCAGCTGGCCAAGCTGGACTGCGACACAAAGATGCACTGGGGGCCTGCTGGTGGACATCCCAAAGGCAGGCCAAGGGAGAACAGAAGTCTGCATTATTGAACCAAGCAGAGTCATTGACATTGGTTGCAGCAGCCCACAATGACTCTGGTCCACCCACTCCGGAGAGCGAAGATATTGCGTCCTCAGTGTTGGCCACTGCATCAGCTACACCCTTGTTGCAGGCAGGAATTTACTACCCCACAGTGGCACCGAGCACAGTGAGCCCACTTGGGAGAGGCAGCATTCCTCTCTCGGGAAGCGGCGCAGCTTGTAAAGCACAGGGAGTCCATGTCCTGTACACAGGCCTTTTCATCGGTCAGGCAGAGCAGCAGAAGCTCTTTGCAAGGTATGCGTCATGTATTGCGGTGCTCGATGAAATGTGGTTCGCAGAGTGCGGTGTGCTTGAATTTATTGCAGAATGCTAGGTAATTAGCTCAACTCTGCTGTGAAGGGTGCGCGCATGCCATGAGAACATTACAGCCGATCACATTACTCTCAGCCACATGCCTAGCGCGGTGGTTGCGTTTGCAACAAATTTGCCGCTTGGAAGGAGCCTTCCTGTTTTCGTGTCAGCTGTTCTATCAGATGACAGACTGCAGGTGCGGACAGGCATTTTAAAAGGCTCTCTTGCGCTTTGCATGGCTGAAGAAACTGCATGAGATCGCAGTGTTGCAGTGTGATGCATGACAATGATGCTGTGCAGGTCCTGCCTGTGCAACTCTCACCAGAGATTGCAGCTCACTTTGGTGGTAGAGTCCCGCACATAACAGTCTCATACGCAGCAGGCGCCCGAGCAAAGGAAGCTGGTAAGTGTCCCTTGGTGATTGTCTCATATATTTGGCATCGTTCACGAAATATGGAGCCTCAGGCAATTGTATCTCACAAAGAGTAACATGGGATTTGCAGGAGACCTGTTGGCAGAGGTGTGCAGCGGCTCTGACCGCCCAGTCACCATGGAGGTGTGGCAGGAGCCCCTAGAGCTCTGTGCGCGCGTTGGGGCAAAGCTCTCGAGCAGGGAGCTGGTGTTCTCGCACGTGCGGCTGTCTGAGGCCTTGAAGGAAGAGGGCGTCACAGCAGCAGCTACCAGCCATGCAGCTGCCGCAGGTCCTCAGACAGCCAGAGCACTTCGCATTTGCCCAACAGCACGCAGCAGCACAGCCAACATGCAAAGGCTTGAGTGTCGCCTCGAGAAGCAGCGCAGGCCATCGCTGGTTGAGGCATGGGAGCAGGGGAGCAAAGCTGCGCCTGGCCTTGCCACAAATCTTGCAGCCAACGACGTGGTAGTGGAAAGCCGCATCTTGAGCAAGAGCACAGAAGCGCAGCCGACCGCAGGCACAGCAGCGCAGGACTTGCCTGAGGAGGATGTGGAGGAAGAAGCAGAGCTGAAGGCAATGCTGGAGCTGGATGACCTGCTGAACGCCCTCGACTACACGCCTGATCGGCGGTGCAAGGTGCCACTGCAGCAAGTGGCGTCAGCAGGGAGCAGGCAGGGGCAGAGCGCCTCCTGCGGAGCAGCCCAGGACAGGAGAGATCCGAAAGCCTGCAGGGGGACACGAAGCACGTTCAGCAAAGCAATAAAGGAAATGAGCAGCAGCAGCAGCAGCAGCAGCAGCAGCAGCAGCAGCAGCAACAACCCATCGGAGTTCTGCCCCAACTTCATCAGGAAGCGAGGCATGCAGCTTAAGACCCGTCCCCCGACAGTTTTAGAGTTCGAGGGGACGGGCAGCCTCAGTGCAGAGCGAGCCAAACTACCTGCCCCACCCTCTGGCACTCCGGCAGACAGGAGCTCAGAACAGCCAGCAATGCTTGGAGTGCATAGCAGGGGCCCTGGACGCAAGATCAACGGCCAGGCAGAGGGGGAGCAAGCGAGAGTGCAGCCGTCCCAAGCTCAACCACTCCTGCAGAGAGACGAGGGTCTGCTGGCAGCTCCTGAGCTGGGCGCAGGGGCGACAGCAGACCTGATCAGTGTCTGGTGCAGCGCTGGGGGCCTCAGCCAGGGTGTGCAGCCATCAGCTGAGGAAGGGTCTTGCAGCATAATGCAGCCGACGATTTGCACGCATACAGACGATAGCGATCAAGACTGCGACTCGTTCTGGGATATAGCGGGGATGTCTAGCAACTGGAGAGGTGTGACTGCATCGGGTTGCAGCCAGGCTCTCGGCGTACGTCATGCACAGAGCAGCGCCAGAGACTGCGCAATGGAGGTGAGAAGCCCATGGCTGTCAATGCACTCTAGCACTCCTGGGTGACACTGGCTCGCCATAAGTTCTTTATGGGCCACAGAGTGCTGAAGTTGGGCATGCTGTCTTGCAGAGCTGGAGACCCGGTGGTGAACAGGATGCGAGACTGTCAGAGTTAGTCTCCTCGGCCGCGCCAGCGTCAGCGCTGCCCACCCTGCTGCAGGCGGCATTGACAGCTGCCAGCCCAGGTCAGGCGGACTCCAGCATGCATGCCTGGCCGGGCTGCGCACTCAGCAGCCCCGGGCAGGACGCCGCGGCGGCACTGACCCCGGTGAGCTGGCCGTGCCAGAGCGAGGTGCTGCTGCAATTGCGCAGCAGCGGGGGCGAGCCGGCGGCCGTCTCTGCGGCGCAGGCGGCTGTCGCGCAGACGATGGCCGACCGCGCTCTCGCACGGAGCCTGGCGGACGCCGAGCGGCGCACATCGCAGGTGCACCGCAGCGCGCGCGATGTGTTCAGCCAGGCGGCTGCAAACGCCCACCAGCAAGGTGAGGGGCGCTGTGGTGGCTAGAAATCACTGCAGTGCTGCCATGCAACCACTACGGACCGGTTCAGCTGCCAGATCATAGATGGCGAGCTAGTTTACCATTGTTTGCTTTGTGCTGCAAATGAGATGTGATGTGGGTAGGTGTTGCTGGACATGGGTGCCCGTGCTCTTATTGAGAGTGGGGGTCCTTTGATACGTATAGGTCAAAGGGAGCTGGCACGCGAGCTGGTGAACAAGTGCCGAGAGCACGACAAGCTTGCGGTGGAGGCCCGCTTCAGAGCCAACGAGGCTGCCTTTGATGGTTCCAACCGCAACCTGCTCAATCGCTGGAAGGTGAGGGGCCTCCCTCAGTTCTTTTCTGGTCCTCTCCTTTTGTCCCAGGAGTACAAAAGTGTCGGGCTGTAGGATTTCCAATTTGTTTCGACAGGTTTCTTTGTCTGCAGGTTGACCTGCATGGCTTGCATGTGGACGAAGCGCTGAAGGTCCTGGAGACACATCTGATTGCTCTTGGGGGACTGGGGCACCCTGGCGGCATTCTACTGCAGGTGGGTCTGGGCATTTGGAGATTGTGAGCCTGCCTGCCCTGTGGGACGGCAAGCAGCTTCACCTGCACAGGAGGCTTACTGATGGTGGTCACGTGCAGGTGATTGTGGGGTTGGGGAGGCACAGTGTGGGAGGTGTGGCTCGCATTCTGCCCGCCGTGGTGCGCTATCTGACAGATGCAGGGTACAGCTTCCGAGAGGAGCCCGACAATGCTGGTGCGTGCTTGAGTGTTTGATGTCAGATATTTGCATGCCTAGTATGGCACAGAGTTCTGCTCCTGCACCTTTCATTTTATTTTTGCATGTTCAGCATGGCTTAGTGTAGGGTCTCACCTGTGCAGGTGTCATCTGTGTGCTCCTTCCTGGCAAGCGCAATGCCTTGAGTGGACAATTGAAGCTGACGTGCAGCATCTTATATTAGATGATGGCAGACTTTAATTGTTAAATTACGTAAACACCCCAGTACAGCAGCTTCCAGGAAGAGCAGGATGACGCAGTAGGTGTGCAATATGTGTCAAAATGGTGTTGGCACTGCAATGTATGCGGCAGCAACCGGAGACGATTAGTCTCAAATTGATGACCTAGCTTGCAGAATGAGCACGCGCACGAGAGTGTAAAAACCAGTCGAATTTACCTTAAGGAACCTCACATGCAGGTAGAATTTTGATTACAACAGGTGTAATCACTGGATGCGCCAGTTGCTTTACACAGTAATTCATTAACATGGGGTTTTGCATTGCACTTCTGCCTACTAGCTCCATCCTGTGAATTGTACAGGGCAATCCAGACCAGCAGATATGGTACATGCATTAAAAGATGTTTGAGCATTGGTATCCACAATATACTGCCATGAAGGTGCAGTCTCCCAATCACCGGTACCATGATACAATAATGGGCATAGAGTCTGCCTTGCTCCATGGCCATGCTATCCAAGCATAATCCTGACGCAGGATATTTGCCCTCCACAAACAGAATGAGCAAATCAGAAGTACCAAAATTGACTGTCAACAAGTTGCACCCTCATCCAAGCTTGTGCCTCAAGGTGGCACATCTTGCAGATCTTCTTTGGGGCCTCATCGCCTGAATCCACCCCCGCCAAAGCTGCCGCCCCCTCCTCGGCCCCCGAATCCCCCACCGCCAAACCCGCGACCGCGGTTACGGAAATCTGGAACACAGCCCGCGCACTTCCTTGGCAAGCATTTCTAAGAGCAGGTATTGACAACACCGGCAAGACAGCAGGATACCAGCATGTTACAACAAGACATCATCCAACAATCGTACACATCAGCTCTAACATATCTAGAGGTATTAGGCACGTCAGGGTGTGAAACGCACTGCTGCCGCCGCCGCCGCCGGCAACGGACGCGTACTGGCGCAGCTGGTCTGGCACGGTCTGGTGGGCCTCGGACAAGATGTCCACGATCTGGCGCGCCATGCGGCCGTTGGCGCTCGTGAAGAAGCTGACGGCCAGGCCGCTCGCCCCCGCGCGCGCGGTGCGGCCGATACGGTGCACGTAGTCCTCCGCGGTGTTGGGCATGTCATAGTTGACCACCATCTTGATGTCCTTGACGTCTGCAGCAGACAAATGCGCGGGGCACGCCCCGCGAGAGGTGCCTGTCAGCACTGCCCTGCTGGCGGAGGCCTACTGCCCCGCCAGACTGCCCTGCTTGTTCCCCCTCTTGCCGTACACTTGTCCCCGCATGGACCCTGACCCACTCTCCCCTCGGCGCAAATCGTCACGCAGAGAGAGCGGCTAACACTGCTGGTGCACAGGACAAGCTGCCTGATGGGAGTAGGCGCAGGCACTCACCTGACCAGTCGATTGGTGTCCTTCATCACTCGAGCAACAGAGTCCATGATCCACAAGACACTCTCGAAGCGCAGGCCGAGCTCGTGCATTCTCAACTGCCAAAACGTTTGGGCGGTGAGACAGGTAGGGATCATGTCCAGCATCCTCAATCACTGGGCTAAATGCGGGAGCATACGGCAAGTCGAAGGAGACAGAATAGAGCATGTCTGGCAGAACATTTGTCTGCATGAAGCAGCATGATGACGCGCACAGGCAGCATGCAAAGGACGCCAGAAAGCAGAGTGCAGGTATTTTGAAGGAGATACAGGTTGGATGAGAAAGCAACATCATGTTGGCATGCCCAGTGAGGGTTCTGCATACCAAGTCCCCGCGCTGCAACGTCGGTCGCCAGCATGATTGGGCTCTTGCCAGCTTTGAACTCCTGCGCCCAGGGACACACCTCAGCTCCAATCCCGAATGGCACCTCGATGCAAATTTTCCACATCATGTTACAAGGTGTGAGTTCTCCTCACACCCAAGTGTGGTGTAGACATGCATGCAGCATGCGTACTGTGCAGCAGGCCGCAGTGCAGCAGGCTGGAAGGATGCTCACCGCCAGCACCCAGTCGCGCTCCTGCTGGGACTTGTCGCCGTGGATGGAGAGGGCGGGCCAGCCCTCGGTGCGCAGCTGGCGAGTGACAGCGTCGCAGCCGCGCTTGGTCTCGCAGAAGATGAGCAGCCGCGAGCCGTCCATCTCGCGCTCCAGCAGCCGGCTCAGCGCCCGGTACTTGTCGTCCTCACTCAGGAACTGGAAGTGCTGATCTATCAAGTGGTTTGCCTGCAGCCACCCCGCACACCTCAATCGCCAATGCTTCAAATCACCATTACCAGCTGGTGATCTCTTTCTCCATGTACTGTTCTTCTCCCCCCTGCGCGAAGACAGACTTCATGGGGGGCAGACTGAGGAGTGCTCAGTGAGCAAGATGTGTACAGATGACTGAGGAGGTGGCAGCACCTTGAGGTCGCGGGAGCCGATGGTGACTTGGTAGAAGTCGCGCAGAAATGCGCTCGCGATGCTCTGCACATCCTTGGGCCATGTGGCGCTCCACAGCAGCGTCTGCCGGTCAGGCCGGATCTGCAGCACCACAGTGGCACATCACAACCAGCCAATGGTTGTTCTTCTTATTGTTCTACTCATTATACTTAAGCAGGCGTTCAAGCATGGTGTTTGGGTCACATCGTGATGCCGCGCATGCTGCCGGAGTTCGGGCCATGCGCAGATCACCTGTGACACAATGTTGCGGATCTGGGGCTCGAATCCCATGTCCAGCATGCGGTCGGCCTCGTCCAGGACCAGGTATGTCACCCGCCTGAGGTTGGTCACCCGCGATTCTAGCATGTCGATCAGGCGGCCTGGCGTGGCAATCACAATCTCCACTCCGTTCCTCAGATCCCTCATCTGCGGCCCCTTGGGCGCTCCTCCATACACACACCTGAACATGCCACCACTGTCAGCTTGCTCCCAGGCAAGACAGTCAGCAGAGCAAGGGTGCAGTTAAGTTGCTGCAGGGCGCACGTGTTCTTGATGCGCGACGATGTCCCAAATTTAGCGCACTCCTGCTGGATCTGCACTGCAAGCTCGCGGGTGGGAGCCAGCACCAGCACAATAGGCCCGTCGCCAGGCTCTGCACCCCAACAGCTACTTTCGCATGTGTCTTTTATCAGCTTCTTACGCCAAGTCCATTCAACGCATGCAGGTTCACTTGTGTCAACTGCGATGAGGGTACCGACAGATGATTGGGAAATTCACCCAGGTATGGCTGCGCATTGATGTGCACAATTGCAGGCAGCAGATAAGCGAGCGTCTTGCCGCTGCCAGTCTCTGCTAGACCCACCAGGTCCCGTCCCAGCAGTGCCATGGGCCATCCCTGAGCCTGGATTGGGGTTGGCTGCGTGAAGCCAGCGTGCTTCACCTCCGTCAGCACGTATTCTGCGATAGGACAGGAGACTTACGAGTATGCCATGGCAAGTGTGATCTCACTGTATAAACAGCGAAGCCCAGTCCAGTGAGAGTTGATCTGGTGGCGAACTCACCTGGGAAGGATGCTTCCTCGAAAGTTGTGACAGGTTTTGGAATATCGTGGCCATCGATATGAATCTCTCTTGCATGTCGATACGCCTTGACCTCTTCTAAACTCCTGGATTGCACAGCGGGATGCTCCACATAAAAGTTCTTCTCGAAGGGCATGAGCTGCTTGAAGTCCGGCTTTTGCAGATGTATCGCATCCAAGTCTCTCTTCCCCCCACCAAAGCCTCCGCCACGTCCCCCACCGTGACCACCACCGTAACCACCACCACCTCCAAATCCACCTCCGCCATACCCACCACCTCCTGCCCCATGATGATGCCCGTAGCCGCTCATATTGAGCTCTCTGTTTCACAGTGCATTGTTGTAGGATCCTTCATATCCGCGATGGTCCAAGGATTCTCTCTCGTCAAAACCAGGTCTGTTAGTCAGCGATGCTTACTCATCTTTGGATGAGATCGCACGTTTGAACTCTCATCAATGCAGCGGCAATCATTGAGACGATCTAATATAGACATCGAAAATCTGTAACAAGACACCATGCTGACAGGCAGCCATCAAAGTGTCTGCACGATCGGGCCCTTGCCGTCCAGACTCCATCATACCAGATCTCTGGCTGTTGCAGCACCGATCAGAGGAGCAATCCATCGCAGAACAATAATTCGAAACGAACAGAAACGATTACAGCCTGTACGAGCAGATGCAGATGACAAGGCTGGAGAAGGCCAGACCAGCACAGCTGTTGAGCCAGGTAAAGTGCTGGGAAGGGAAGGAGATACCACCCCATCAGCAACTGATGTAGAACAACCGGTATAGATCGCACCAACCCACTCAGCTTCAGCTGTCTTACATGGCAGATAATCTCACAAGTGTTCGAGTAACAATTTTTACTGCTTTTAAAGAGGTTCACTTTTGCCCAGGAAGTATCAGTGGCAACGTCAGAGGAGGATATAAAGACACTGAAAGCAGCACTCCAGATGCAGCGTGAAGGAGCTCAGGATGTTGGTTTGGTTGAGGTGGGTTGCAGTCTAGTGTGTGCATGCACCATGATGGAGTTGCCAGGCATCCTGAACAAGCACCAACAACAGATCTTGCCAATCCTTGTGCAGGGAATTCTCGAGGAAGTGAGGTTGATATCCTGGCCCAACCCACTACAGGTATGTTTGGTATCATTACTATATGTCAAGCTGTGCAGTGTCGAAGGGAAAGCGCCAGAAGTGGGCGTCTTTAAAAAAACTTCTTCTGCATTGCAGGCATTGTCAGATACTTTCGTCGTGATTGCCATCGTTGCTGGCACAGCGGTCAGCCTTTTCGCAGTGAACACAGTCTTGTCAGACATCTCCAAGCAGTTATATTGATTTTTCCACCAGGTGTCAAGATTGAGTCTCTTGAGAAAGGTGCCTGACAGATCGTCCTGAGTAGCAAAAGGCTTGCAAGAGATTTGTAACATGATTACAACATGAATGGTGTCTGCTCTCAAGCTTGTCCAAAAGTAAACATGCTCCTGGCAGTGACACAAGTTTCCCACTAGAGTCAAGTCCCTCTGGTGCTGTTCTCAGCTGCCACGAATGCTTCAGCAAACATTCTAGACAATTTCAGGGGAAGGGGGATCAAGACTCCAGGGCAGCTGCTCCAGAAATAATCTCGGTAAGCTCTGTGGTGATAGCGGCCTGGCGCGTCCTGTAGAACACAAATACAGATGCTCAGGCAATGACACCACAGCACAGGCCACTCTTCACAATCAGCTGCCTTCTTCGCTGTACAATAGCAGGTGGGTATTTTGCAGGAAGACAGCAGGGCACCTGTTGTAAGAGAGGGTGAGCTTGTCCAGCATCTCCTTGGCATTCTTGGTGGAACTCTCCATGGCGCTCATCCTGGATGCCTGCTCGCTGCAGTTGTTTTCCAAGAGAGCATTGTTGAGCGTCTGCACCAGCACTCACTCTTGTCAAGCAGCTGCTGCATCTAATCCCCATCGCCACATCAGAAAACACAAGACATGCGAAAAGCTTGTGAAACGAGTGAAACCCTTCTGTGCAGAAAACGTAAGTCTCACACATGAGAGTGAACAGGCAGTAGAGTGCATTGCAGTGAAATAAGCAGCTTGTAAACCCAAAAAATACCCCAAACCCATAAGGATCGTTTGCAGATGAGCGAGGGCCGAGGGTGGTCTCACCGCTGCCAGCTGGAACTCAGCCAGGTCCTGCAGGAGCTCGCCCCTGTCAGGGCCCTCCATCTCGTACACGTCCAGCTTTCCACCGGCCTCCACCTCCTTCTCAAGTGCGTCAGGGCTGAGCACGGTCGCCACGGTGGGCTTGAAGGAGATGGCCGAGGAGAAGCGGTTGAAGATGATGCGCACTGCATCGTACTCTGTCTTCATCAGCTCCTCTGCGATGGCCGACACCTGCATGGGCAATGCCACAAGCGTCATGTGGGTCACTTCCTGACAATACACGGACAAGTATCAGGGAAGGCACCAAACTTTCAGCAACTTTGCTTTTCTCAGTACATTTGCAAGTCAAAGGGATAAAGAGGTTGGAATGGCAGCGCAGGTCGCACCTGAGAGAAGGTGACGCGGACTTTGCCAACATCTGCGATGGTCTGATTGATGTGAGAGGCCTGGTCACGCTGCAGCTGTGCCTTGCCCTTCTCCCCAATCACCACCAGCTCACTGTTCTGGCCCTCTGAACAGGAGCAGGCAAGCCTGTCAGTATATGCTCATTGCTTCTGACATGCCAGAAGTATTATTGCCCTCTGAGAAGATGACCGCATGTTACCTTCTGCGAAGGCCTTCAGCGTCCCGCGTGCATACTTGGACACTGTACTGTTGATGCCTCCACACAGGCCCTTGTCTGTCGTCACTGGGACTGCTACGTTGGTCTCCACCTCCACAGCTGCAGCAGCAAGTAACATACTCAGATTATTACCCTATTGGGCTTGGGAGGGAGAACCGTTTGTTCATCGTCATGGGACCACATGCATGGACAATATTGCTGCGTGCGTAAGTAGATAGCAGAGTTGAGTAGAAACATTACCTGGCAGATCACCCAGCAGCTTCAGGAAAGGTGTCAGCAAGCCGCGCGACTTTTCTGTGTTGATTTGTGCAACCCGCATCTTGGAGGCTGCAACCATCTTCATGGCACTGGTGATCTTGGCAATGTTCTGCACTGATCGCATCCGCTGCTTCACTGCACGCAAGGGATGGAAAAAAGTGTGAGAATGTCCAATCCATATCACCAACTTAGGTCTCACAACTGTGCCCGTGAGCAGTGTAAGCTGCAATGCAGAAATTGATAGGTGAGGGGTCTTTGTAGCATATACGCATTGAAGTGACGTGGAAATGGTCTCCTCACCTGCAAGCTGAGAAGCATGGCGGACACCTCCCAGAGTCCCAGCCCTGCAGAATGAAGGCAATATTTGAATGGGTCTCCTATCATGCTGTGCAGCACGTATATTCACAAATAACCTCACGCACGTACCCATCCAGCAAAGAAGACTGCTTTGTCAGGTCTCCCACAAGCCCCTCAGCGATTTGTCCCTGCTGTTGGATAGTTCGGTGGATCCTGCCACCCAGGGCACCCGCCCTTCGGAGGGCCATGGTGTCGTGTGATCCCTTCTGAGGGCCTCACGCCTTCGTGTCAGCTTTCCTTTTCTCAACAAATCTACTCAGGTTGCTTATGGCTCGTGGGTCGAGGATTCCCAACTTCTCATTACCCTTCGATTATACACACTATACACCCTCTCCAAGAAACCGTCGGTGCGTTTCACACGCTTGCGACCTGCCCGTGTGCATTCGGAGACGTTTTGGGGTACTTTTCAATGTTCTGGCACATTTTGCTGCTGACAAGTATTTGGCTGTACTGATTTTCTCCTTCTGCATCACTGTTCATCTCATCCAAGCTAAACTACAGTTACAGATCTGTGCGAGAACATGGAAGTATCGATGGTGAGTGAATTTTTGTAATGCATTTATATGTGGGTTTACATATTATACTCAAACAATCTCATAACATTCTTTTTTCACTCAGGAGCTCCTCCTGGACAACCTTAAATTGCTAAATTACGAAACCGAGTTCGCCCTCAGCAGGTCATCTTCTTGTCTATACATTCTTTTCATGTGTCAGCATGCTCTGTCTGACTTCAAAGAAAGGTGCATAAAGCAGAAAAATGGTCACTGCAGGAAATTGAGTCTCCTGACGAGATTCTACTTTGCAGCACCCCTTCCGTCGATCAATCAAGCCCAGTTGATGTACTTCGCCAACCTGGTAATATCCTGGGCTTCTATCGTGGCCTTAAGAGCTCTTTTAAAGCTCTGGTGCAGTGGCGGCGGCTTACTCAGGGCATGTACACAGGTACAATGGTTGCTGTCGCTCTCGGGACATGCAGTCACCATGCCACCAGAGCAGGCCAGCACACAGGTGTTGTGCAGGGCAATAGTGGCCAGCCTGGAAAGATCTGGGTTTACTGTACCTCAAGTTCCACCGAGTGACCTGGAACCTGGGTGGGGCAAGGCTGTCATCCTGGTGCTCAGCACCTTGGCTGAGCGTGCCCTGATGGCGCAGCACTTCCAATGGAAGCAAACTTTGCATCCTCCAGAAATGTGAGTACATGCTTTGTACGTGGACGCAGGCAATCTGAAGCCAAATTGTGGGTCCTTGTTGCTAGTCACCTCATGCGTGCAGCATGATGCTAGATCTGGTCTCCTGCAGGCACCTTGAAGCAGCAGAGGTTGATGCTGAAGCGGAGATTACAGGAGAGGATTGCACAGATGGCAGCTCCTGCTGCTCAAGTGAAGACTCTGCCGGCATGGAATGCAACCTTGCCCCTGGAAAGGAGGACAGCATGCCCACCACCTCAGCGAGACAGGTGATCATTTTCCCCCTTCAGGCAGCACTCTTTATGCCTTCAGCCATATTGGCCCATCTGATAACCTTCGGAATTTAAAGGATATGCGAATGCCTCGCAGGCGCATGCCAAAAGGTGGAGGCTGGAAACGGCGAACGTGTCCCATCTCGTACAGCCAGATGACGACATACATCCCACTACTGGGCAAGGGAGAAGAAGTAACGCATTGGAGCTGTACCAACAACTGCATGCTCGATGGCCTCAAGTGAAGGCCTGCTTGGAAGCAGTGAAGTCAAAGGCGAGCACTGATCACCAAGATAGGCTTTGATGCCAATTTCCTGTGCTACTGACACACAACCATATGTGTTGTGTTTGGAAGCTGGATAATAGCAAACGATTACAGCTTTGCAGATCGCGGCGGACTTGGGAAGGATAGCAGAGAAGGAGAACATGTTGAATAGTCAGGTGTCAGGCCTAGCTGCTGACCTGCGCGAGGCAAAGCAACAGCTGTTGCAGAGCCAAGAGCTCATGTTCCACCACAAGATAGCCTGCAACGATCTAGAACTGGATCTGGAGTGCACTGTGCAGGTAAATAGATCTGGACAGATGTTCTTCACGTCCGGACGAGGATCCTTTTTGAGAAGAGGGACATTGCACATATCGCCATCATTCTTTTCAACGTGAATCAAGTTAGGGGTTTGACTTAGCCAGTTCCAGTCATACGAGTGTGGCAACACAATGCTGAAAAGTAATTGCCAATTAATTTTCCTGAAAAGGGTGCCGAACATGGAAAACAATGATGCACAGGATCTGAAGACTTGCAAGACGCAGCTGGAGCAGCACAACATGAGGATGATGGATAAGAAGCCTATCTCGAGGATGAAAGATGCCATACTGCAGCTTCAGGGGGATATTCAAAAAATGCATGTGCACACTGGCATGCTGCAACATCAGCTGCTTTCCAGCATGCTTACAAAGAATGGTGGTCCCTCGTAACATCTACTGGCTGGCATGTAATCCATATTATTTTGAATCTGCCATTGACAGGGTGATGCATGCAAGATCTCACTGCTGCAGATCTGCATCTAGACACAGAGCTCTGTGCGCTAACAGGCAACATTGAGCACCAGAGCGCACAGGGCAAAAGCCTGGCGCTGCCAGTCCTCTTCAGGCGTGTCTTCATCAGCTGCAGCGTACTATGAAGATTCTGGATGCTAATGGCCATTCATGCCATCTCACCAGCGCCCTGCTTTTCGTAAGCTGTTAAACATCACGTCTTTAAGTGCAGGGCGCTGCTGTGGGCCGGTCACTTTTTGGCCTCCACCGCTTTACTTTCATAGGCCACATATGGCTTCAGCTGCAACAACAGTGGAACGAAGTTTAGTTACATTGGGAACGAGTCATCGTTGTTCCTAGTGACAGAGAATATGCACATAGATGAGTGGTTCAACAGAAGGGCATACTTACCTTGAAGCCAGTTAGATCTGGAACAACGTAGTCTGGGAGCCTGTCCTTCAGAATAACATATGTTCCTGCAACGCAAGAAGTACAAGTAAATGTCATCATCGCCTAGAAATATCCGATGGCACTCTCCTCACTTACCTCGATGAACTCTACTCACCTTTCCTAGTGTGATGTCCTGTAGATGGAACACCCTTTCCCTTGTAGAAATTTTTGGGACCAAGCTTCGATGTCAATTGTGTGAATCCCTTTCGGGGCACTCGCCTTCCCCGTCCTGTGAATACTCCAAGAGCACGAAGCAACATGTGCTAGACTTATGATCACTTACGACAAGGGCTCGACGATTGCAACATAGAGATGGTTGACTTACAGAATCAGTCGTCTGACCCGTATTTATCCCTCCAGATTGACGTTTTATGTGGAGAATGGAAGGAATGCATCATGGGCCCTGCTGCAAGAGACAACGCCTCCATACTGCTCGAGTGCATGGCATTGGGTGCATCAGGGAATGGAAGCCATTTGTCTTTTGAGGGGTGTGAACAGGAAAGAGCATTGCAGAACCCAAAAGAACATAAGCAGTCTGCCATCTGATCACATAAATGATGCACATAATGATGTGCACGTGCAACCTGGCTCGGCTTCAAGCACCTATTGCTGGCAGCCGGCGCTGGCGCTGCGGCGCTGGCAGGCTGGGGAAGTCAGGTATCACATGCGGTGCTAGATGGCAGGGGTACTTTGTATACTATGCAGTGCTCGAAATCAAACCTCATCGTTACTATTTGATTTCATGTACTGTGTGCATTATCACTGTCTAAACCCAGACGACAAGGCAAGACCACAGGAGCATGATGACGCCAAGACTGTGAATGCAAAGGAGAACCCAATGATAAGGCATTTCATACTTCCCAGCAACTGCTTTTCTCTGAATCACTTTTCACAGGGACTCTTGCAACCTCCTGTTAGCTTCATCTTGCAGGAATGTTGGGATAAAGTCTGGATGCAGCATCCTATCTGCATCCACGCCGACATCGCTGCTGACCTGTTCAGTAACAGCATCTGTCTATCAGAAGTTCCAGGTGTGCCATTGTTGCGCTTGTAGCTCACGAGGGGATCATGTAGGCACGGCTAGCATGCAACTGGGATAGTAGGTGACCTCACCTTGCACACATTGAGGATGCTGCTCGGGAATATGAGCATGTTCAGCAGGGCAAGCAAGCGCACGGCATTGGCAACCTGGCACACTGCTTTTCGCTGCTGAGGGGGGACTGTCCTGTTGGGTATTGACTGCTGCTCGCTGCCTGCAGCATGACCATTCTCGCTACCTTCTGCCTGGGGTGCCACCCATATCATGCCATTGCACCCCAGAATGATCTCCACCCCTGCTCACAGTCCCTCTTTGAAAAGCCATCATGCAGCAGCACACGAACAATACGGCGCTGATGACCACCAGACTATCATCACACATTGTGCCTGATTCAGGCACAACGATTCTGCAGCAAGCAGCGTGGGCGGACCTAGACTGGCGAGAACATTGAAGTGCTGCTTCTGTCGCTTGATCAAGTTAGGCGACACCGTCACAACTTGACCTCCGCTCAACTGCAAACCAGACACATGTTCATGTGGAGATGAGCTGCTGCCTATCAAAGTGGATCTGGTCCAGAGCCTCTCACACCTTTCAAATTTTAGCAGCAGTGCATCTTAGAAGGCGGCAGGGACACAGACCTTGCCATACTTTGTGCTGCGTGTGTGGAGCGCAATGGAGCCGTCTGCATGTAAAGACTGGACTTCTGCCTGTTGGGACAAGCAATTGTCAGAGTGATTGGACATATGGAACAAGCTGAACGTGTTTCTATTGAAGGGACATCCAACTGAGAGAAATGAGGTTCCTACGCTTATCAGATCGCCCTCCTGAAAAATGCTGCGCATGTTGATCTCATCCTCTGCTGTGCGCCGTCGCTGCAAAAGACGATGCTTGTCAATCAACCACTACCAAGGTGACACCAAAAAAACAGCGCCTTTGCTGCAAGGTTGTCAGAGGACTGCATGTTGCCGGAAACAAGTGCTCATTCGTGCTTCATCACACCTGAGCACCGCCTGGCAGATCCACAGAGGACAGCTGCAGAGCCACGTCCTGCCTAGCATTGAGATCTATCTTCCATCGTTTCCCTGCTACCTGTGCTCGCTCGCATTTATGTTTGTCATTTTCTTGATGAACACAGCCAGAAGCACCACACACAGTGCAGCCAGTGTTCTGTTCCAGCCGCAACCATCCCTCACCTCTGCAACCCGGCCGATCACAATGTCACCCAGTGCCGCCGAGTACCTGGAGTCAGCAGCAGGATGTAGAGAATGACATTCTGTCTGGGATTTCTGCATGTGCCGGGAAAGAATGTATGCGGGAGAGCATGCTCACCTTTGCTGCAGTGGCCGGACAGAAACAAGCTTATTGACGCGCTCCACAAGCCCACAGACAGTTGCTACCAATTTGCTGTCTACCACTTGCGTTCCGTGGCCCCTGCAATAAACAGCCTCGTCAGCTGATACCAACAGAAGCTGAATTTGTTGTGTGAGAGAGATAGCTAAGAATACAACGTAGTGTAACACAAAAGATGTAGCATCTTGCCTTAAAAATCCTTCTTGCATATCAGTATCTATTGTGTCGCCCACACATACTATATCAGGCAGGGCACTCGGGACGTCTCGAAGGGCGGCTTCTGCCACAGTGAGGATGTCAAACTCATCTTCGCTTGGTATACTTATCTCTCTCGCCATCATGGGTTCCTCACTGCGAAGGATCGTCTTCTGAAAGAACAAAGCAAGAATGTGATCTCAAAAGAGTGTGGCCGGAATCTGATCGAGAAAGTGTGTTTTATATCCTAATCTTTGATCACTTCAATCGATTTCAAAGAAGATGGCTTCCTTTGCTGCTATTTCAAAGAAGTCTGTGAGAGTGAGTCTGCCGTGGCTGGTGGGCAGCAGAGGGCCAGCCCAAATGCCCAAGTTAGGGCAACATGTGTGCATGCAAATGCATTGCTATAGTGAGCAAATCCTCTCTAGTAACATTCTTCTTGCACATAGACATCGGTGACGTCTTATTAAGTACGTTCCCGACATCACAGCGATAAAAAAAGACGTAATGGCCAGTCGCATGCGCTCTGCTGCGGCAACACCGTGCACGTGTAGTGATCACTAGTTCAACCAGATGGACTACACTGCGCCGGCCGTAGCAATAGCTACGTAGCTACATTAAAGAGCCTTGCGGCTGGAATGCTTCGAAATTGACAGTCAGGCTGCATCTAACTAATTATATGTGCGGTCATGGCTTGGGCCACTCCAGACATCCGGCCTCACATATCCACATAGTTCACCGCCATGGTGGATCAGTGACCCCTCAAGTGCAACCTTTTGTAGATTAAGCACTGCAAAAGCCGAGATTTATTGTTATTCATTGCGTGCAGCTCACATGTCATAATTTTGTGGTAGTCATCTGACTCGATCAAGAGCCACTGACAGATCTGATCTAGAAGCAGCAAATTCTCTATCCAAATTCACTCCTTTCCCTTCCGTGAAGGGTTTGTCCTCTTGGCAGCTGGCTCGGCGCCTGACGGTGCGGCTCTCTTCTTGCCCTTACCCTTATTCTGCGGTGGTTCCGTGGTGACCTCCATTGGGGCCGCCTCACCTGATGGGCGCAGGGGCACACGATCATGTCAGCTTCATTCTGCCAACTCGGAAGCTGGAACTCAACGCCAGGGATATTCAAAACTCAAGTGAGGTGGTGGCAGTATCTGAATGCCTGGGAATGCAAGTTGGCATGCCAATAGAATGAAAAATATGATCTGAAGAACCCATGTCGCAAGAAAGAAAGAGAGCGAGGCGCACCATCTGCTGCAGCAGCAGTGGCATCAGCAGGCGCTGCGGCCTCGTTAGGGGGCAGAGGAGCAGCAAAGCTTGATCCAGCCTCGTCAACCTCTTCTGCGCCTGTCTTGGCGGCCGCAGCCTTCTTGCGCCCCGCTGCCTTCTTGGCACGGCCGGCAGGCTCGCCGCTGGGCCCCGCCTCGGACGCTGCAGCCGCCTTCTTGGCCTTGCGCTCCGCTGCAGCCAGCTGGTTGCGCATCCTCTGCATTCACAAACGCCAAACGTCAATGAAGTTTTTTGCTGCGACAGCTTCTCACACAAACCGCCGTGAAGTCCCTTGCAAAATATAGGGGACTATTAATAGAAATTGTATAGAGACAGCTAGATCAGGGCAATGCTTGAATGCAACATTGCCTTCTTAACCTGCAATGCCCGGGTAGCACACTCACCCTGACCACGGCGCGCGTCTCCAGGAAGTCCCCTCCCTGGTCCTCCACCATGCCCTTCAGCAGCGACTCATCGTACTCTGGGAAGTCGGCCACCAGCGCAGCCATCTCCTCAGCTGCACGCAGCTCACACACGCTCCTCAGCACGCCTTCCAACAGGTGATATTTGACAATGACGTCAAGAATATTGAGCAGACAACGATGAATCTGGCACAGCTCTTGATTCAGCAGTAAACTCACCAGACTGGGGAGCAGCTCCGCCGCTGGCTGGCGCGGGCGCAGGCACTGCTGCCGATGCAGGCGCGGGCGGCGCAGCCTCTGCAGCTGCCGGCTCCTCCTGCTCTTCAGCTGCCGCGGCTGGCTCTGCATCAAGCGACATAACTTTTCAGAGAATTGAGTTTGGTAGTGCTATGCGCACCATTTCAGACAAGAAACTGAACAGCGCCAAAACACGGATCCACCACAAAGTCAATGCGAATCAGAAAATGGTGATGCTGCTCACCAGAGGTGGCCTCAGGCGCTGCGCTGGGCTCAGGGGCGGTGTCAACCTCAGCTGGCGCGCTGTCATCTGCCGCCTCCTCCGCCTCATCCTCCTCGGCTGCATCGTCTGCCTCGCCCTCGGCATCGTTTGCTCCCACACCGGACTCCAGGCGCGCCGCCGCCTCCTCCGCCTTCCTTGCAGCTTCCTGCAGCTTCGCGATGACCTCCACCATGCCCCTGTCACACAAACCCCAAGAATGTGACCACAAAGAGGGGAATAATGAACATGCTACAGAGCAGGTAGAGGAGACCAATGCGAAGGTGTGCTTGTGTAGCAGACAAGGGCCTGAGAGCTCACCTGTTAACCTGGCCATGCTGCAGGAACTCTGCGATGTCGGCCTTGCAGGTGGGGCAGGGCTTGACCACCTTGCGCTCGCGCAGAGCGCGGCCGGCGTTCGTGGCGCGGTCCTCAATGTCACCCTGGCCCTGCAGAAGGCAGGCCACCGCTTCGTTAGATGCAGCTCCAGCAGCAGCAGCACAAGTGACCATCAGGGAAGAGCAAGTGCGTTTTGAAAAGGCGATTTGAGGGAGTAATTGCACACCTGGAAGTTGGTGAGCAGGCAGGGCTTGCAGAAGTGGTGGCCGCAGGGAGTGGACAGCGGCTGGGCCAGGATGCCCTTGCACAGCGTGCAGGTGAACTCCCGCATTGCGCGCTCGTGCTCATTTGCCTGCCATGCCATCACAGGAACGCTCAGTCTCATGCTCAAGCCCCAAGACAAGCATACATGGCAGGTTCTGGAAGGGAGGCCAGAAGTATTGCCAGGTTGCGAGGAGTGTTTGACTGACAGACCTTGCGCCGGGCCTTCTTGGGAGAGGAGGATGCGTCGCCGCCTTGCTTCTGGCTGACAGGGGCCGGTCTGGCCCAGCCCCACTCCTTCTTCTCCGCATCATAGTCCCTGCACCAAGCATCTGAAAGTGAAGAAGACGGCTTGATACATTTGTTGACAGACTTGTGACGCACTACAGTGCGGCAACATAGTCGCGCAGGGTGACGCAGAGCAAAACGACGTGGTGAGGGAGAGGCATGCATGCACGCATGTAGTGCATGGAAGCGGGAACTCACCACCAGGGCTTGGCGCCCATCTCATACACCTTGCCCTTTGCCTCCTTGATCTCCTTCTGCACGGCTGCAGGCAGCGATCCGGTCCAAGGCGCGTCTCCGCTGTCTGCGCAATACAGCTATCACCATTTCAGACTCCTGCAGCCCCGGCACGGCAAGCACAGTGCGAAGACATCATCTGCCTGCATGCATGAAAGCACTGAGATGGTGCGGGCGTGCGAAGGGCACCTTCTGAGGACCAGGGCGCAGGCTCGTTTTCGCAGCGGATGAAGACGTAGCGGCAGACAAGCTGCCCCTGTGTGCCCGGCTTGCGGTAGGCGCGCGCAATGCGGTAAATTCCGTCGTACCGCACCGGCTGCTCCTCACTGGGCGCGTAGGCGCTGCGCTTCTCCTGCATCATGGAGGATGCCGTGCTGCCCTTGGTTCTTGCTTTATAATTGTGAGGGGACATGGCATAGAGTACATATTCATGATCAGAGCATATTTACATACTGCAAAGTGTAAGGCGGGTAAGAAGTGTACCTTGTGGGAACGGACAACGCGTACGGGGAGGCCCTTCTCGCAGGAAATGAGCAGCGCTTTGTTCATCTTGTCAAAGGTCTGGTCAAAAGATTGGATCTTATTGACCCGCTTGTTGCCGGACAGGTCGCGCCCTCCGCTGCCCGTGTACAGGAACCACTCCCCCTCATCCAGGTCATCCTCATACCTGGCATGCGCACAGCTCAGCTCAGAAGATATGTGCGCCCTGCGCTGTCATCTCTGCCGACGAGCCCACCAAGAGACATCAGGGCTTTGAAAATGGACAGAAACTTAGTCAATGCGCAGGTGTCCTGCAAATAAGCAAAAGGCCTGCCATGTGGAGACTTCTAAGCTGGCTGCAGGCAAACTGCTCACCCGCCAGACAGGACGACAGACTGCGCTCCCTGGCCGGACTGCCCAGCGATGCCGGCCACGTGGGGGAAGTGTGCGCCCCACTGACGGCAGTCGAGGCGGTCCTTCCAGAACTCTCCCACACGGATACCCTGCATGCCCCAAGCATACCCTCCTTCACCTCATGCACTCAGGGTTGCTGGGATTGGACGCCAGAGGTGGAAGCCCACAGGCTGCAGGAAAGCAAACAAGCTGCTAGAGGCATATTGGCACAGGCTGAGCATATGTAAAGGGGATCGTCACCGTGCCGCGAGGATCGGCCTCTGGAGGGATGGGCCCGAAGTGGTCGCCGGGGACGGTGACCATGATGCGGCCGGAGGCGGCGTTGGCGCGCCCCGAGCGCACTGCGCGGTCTGTAGTGAACGCCTCGTCCGGCCTGTCCTTGTCGTTGATGTGCTGCAGCGACACACAGCCATAGATTATTGATTTCACCAGAGAGGATGGCACTCCTGGGCTCTAGGATTGACAAGTGTGCAAAGGTCCATCTGATGAAGACGGGCGGGTGCGAAGGAATGGGAGAAGGTTGAGGAGGGCACACCACGACAATTTTGGTGTTGACAGGGCGCTGGCCCAGCTTGGCCATGCGGATGGCAGAGGCCAAGAGGGTATTGATACGCGGGTTGGACGCAAACTTGGCCGGGAAGGCATGGCGGCACGTGGGGCAGGTCTTCTTGCCTTGCGCAACCCACTTGTTGAAGCAGCCCAGGCAGAAGTTATGCTGGCAGGGCGCCTGCGAGCACAACCAATGCAATGAAACACTGGGGAGGTGCCAGTCGCAAAAGAGGAATAATACAGTCAGAATTTGTATCACATTCAGCCAAGAAACGGTGGGGCACCGTGACAGGGCGAGCGCAGAGGTCCATGCACATGGCGCATTTGAGGGTCTCATCAAATATGGTGGTTTCGTCCGCAGCGTCTTTCCCCTTGTCATCTGTTACACCAGCGAACTCAGTGAGATGCTTCAGACCGCGAGGGCAGGAGGTTGGGAGCACAAGGGGGCTTTGATCTTGTTTTCCAGACTGAACAGAGGGTTGACTGCTGCCACTGATTTGGCATCATCAACTGCAACGATTTGAAAGTGTAGAAGTTTGCAGCCATTACAAGGCCCCTTTCCTCATCGAAAAGATTAAAATTTGGACAGGACAAGATGTTAAATCCAAACTACCCGTTGCAGCCTCGTCTGTGTCCTTCACTGCCGGCTGACTCCACCGCCCCGACAGCAATTCCTGACGTTTCTTTGCCTTCTCAGCATCATTCAGCGACTGATCGAGCTGAATCTGCGTGATGCACTTTCGAAGCTCTGCCTCATCCATCCTGGCCACGGCCATGAATCACACTCTTCTATCGAACGACGATCTGCAGACCCAGGAAAGAGTGTGTCCTATCTACAGCAGTTCCATCGTTCCATCCACCGTGTTCATCATCAAGCTTCTGTCTGATCGGTCAATGATGGAGTCGATCCTGCGCGGCAATTTGAGCGATTACGGATCGAGGGCCCAGACAAGAAACGCCGTCGCAAGACCCGCACTTGCTTGTTCCCACCTGAACTCTCAGATCACAGCTTGAGCTCATAAATGTGGCCGTCCGAAGGGTTCTGCTGCTTGCTTAAAAGATCTGTGGCAGCTCCTTGACAACTAGGCGAGAGCGACAGACAGGACTTGCAGCGTGGAAGGTGGGTCACAGGAAGGCGTTTAGCGGTCCAGCTCCGAGGGAAGTGCAAGGCATTTTAAGCCTCCCCCGGAGGAAGTTGTCAACGTTCACACAATGACAGAGGTGCTCGCCGAGCCTGCTTCCACGGCGAGCCAACTGTCGGACGCTGTCGTGGAACAGATCGTTCCTGTAGCCAGCGATTTGGCAAATACTAGTCAGACGCAGGACTCGCCTTCTACAGGGTAACTCATCTACAATGTATAAGCTGTTGATTCTTGGCTACAGTGCCTCGGCTGTGTTTAATCATCTGTCTTGTTGAGCAATATGTGTGCCTGCAGAAGTTTACCTAAGGGCAGAGGTTTGGCTGTGTATAGTGACGCAAAAAGAGTGCATGCCTCTGTCATAGTGGAATTCTTATGTTCTTCGTGCTTCCACTGCATCGCACCAGCAGTGTCATGGGGCAGAAGCATGCCTGTCATGTCAGGGTAGTCTCTGATCTAGCATGGCTAAAGCTCCTGCTTGCCCTGCCTTGTTGGTAGTCCCACGAATACAGACCGTCCGTGAATAATCGTGATTAGCTAAAGATTCCTTTCTGTTTCTGCAGGCCCAGTCCTTCTGCAAGTGATCAGTATTCACCAGCTGCTGTGCCGCCCAGCAGCGCAGAGACAGCGAAAGACCCATTCACTTTGTTCCGCAATGCCGCCCTGACCTTCTCCAAACTGCCTGCTATCTACCAGAGACATCGCCCTGGATCTCCAAATGTGAGCACCTCTTCTGGCTTGCATACATGAGGTCATTGACGTAGGTATTTACAAGGGGTCTAGACATAATACTTGGCTTTGCCAATGCATCAATAGTATTTGATTTGATCTGATCTAATACTAGTCAGGTGTTTTGCAGCCTTTCTGCCATCAAGCTTCACCAAGGACAGGCAGACATGGCACAATCTTTAATATGGAGCTGCAGGAGCTTTGTGACAGCACTTGGAGTCTTACTCTGTGAGTTGTGTATGCCAGGTGGTGGCGCACCAGGTGCCTGACTGGCGCATGGTCAAGGCCAACCGGCACCAACCGCCGCACCGGCAGATCTGGGAGAAGACAGACTTGACCCACGACCGCTCCTCGCCCAAGACATCCAAGGTTAACAAGGCCAAGGGCCACAGCTCTGGGCGGACCTACACCTCCAAGTACCGCGGCGTGCACCAGACCTTCCCCACAAGGCGCTGGGAGGCCCAGTTCCGGTGTGTCTCAACATACTCCACATAGTCAGCTGTCACTGCATGGATGGAGAAAATGACGGCACTGTGCAGATTGGAAAATACTTGTTGCTGGACGTACCTGCACGCTATATTGCAATCATAATGTAGGCCATGCCTTTTGATGTGGGTTTTTTGTGCAGGCGGAATGGGAAGCCCACGTCGCTGGGCTGCTTTGATGAGGAGGAGCAGGCGGCCAGGGCGTATGACAAGATGATGCTGTGGTGTGAGCTGCACAACACCAGCGGCCTGAAGGGCGGCGGCATCACCAACTTTGACCCCACCGAATATGAGAAAGACCTCGTGTGGCTCAACAGCATCTCCCAGGTGCGGACATGAGCACAGCACTTCTGCGCAGCTGAGCAACTGTTCTCATGCAGTTTTTAGGCCTCTGTTCACAACCTGAGACTGCTCAAACACCATGTACCATGTGACACTTTTGTCATCTTGACATCATTATTCAGCGGCTAAACATGAGCTGCTCGTAGGAGGAGCTGGTGCAGGCGAGCAGGAGCGAGGGGCGGCGGCAGACGGCGCACGGCAAGGCACAGCGCGTGATCACGCCGGAGGCACGCCGCGAGCGCCTGCGCATGCAGACGCGCCGCCGCAACCGCAACCGGCGCTACTCGCCTGATGATGACGAGGACGACAGCATGGATGAGGACGAGTACTGAGAAGAGGCTGCAGCGCCCAGTCTGAAAAGTCGATGGTTTTGGGATGTGTTGAGGTCTTTGCTGATGTAGCTACAGCTCATATTGCTGGAACCATGGAGATGCACCAGGGCCTGCGGGAAATGCACTAAATTTTGTGATGCAAAAGGTGGTCAGCTACTACTTTGAGAGTTTCAAGCGTCCCCTGAGGGCATTGGCACTGCGTGTGCATTGATCAGTGTTTGCCTCATGAGTGGGTATTAGGCTAGTGCTGCACATACCACTCTTGATATCGTCGATGGCACCACTCAGTGACTGCGTGAGCATGTGCCCATTATCATGATGAGCATGATGGACCCGGGGTCACCCACAGTGACTCCGTAGAGTCTCGGATATCCTTACAACTGTATTAATCCATACTGCAAGTTAATAGATTTCCAGAGAAAGCTGCCGAACTCATCAAATGATCGTTTGCCCAGCACAATGGCTAATCCCTTGCCTTGCCACTGTGCCGTTTCCCAATGTCAGCCCCATGTGCTGTGACCATTTCGGGCAGCTTGGGCACAGGCCATGTTTGTGGAGCACTGCCTTGCAGCACAGTCCCAAACTAATTCAATAGGCCAACTCCTAAACACAACCTTGTCTGTCTTCTCATTTAAGGCAACTCATCTAAGTATTCCAAGATGCTTCATGTATCCGGTCGAAGCAGGTGCATCGTACCAGTGCATATGGCATCTAAAGCACATCAAGCACAAGTAAACTACACACCTTGCACGTCCCGACGATCAACATTGAGGACAAGCAGAAGAGCAAAGGGTCTTATCCAAGCTATCCAGGTACGGTCTTGTCTAGGGCTCAAAAGTTGATCTAGATCGTGTAACTTATCAGCGAGCGACCTTGGCAGCGAAGGATTGCAAGAAGTCAATGGATGCTGCAGGTGAGTGGTCCTCAGGGAGCCAGTCCAACGGGGAACAGCACCGCAGGTGAAGCTGCACCACAGATATCTGCAGAAATTGTGGAAAATATGCGGAGCAAGATTGCGGAAGCCTTGGAGGCTGATAGCGTGGAAATAACGGACACCTATGGGGATGGGAGGCATGTCAGTATTGATGTCGTGAGCAACAAGTTTGAAGGGCAAAGCAGCATGAACAGGTCAGTCGCGCTATCTAAACAGAATGTTCATGGAGTTTAATTTTCAAGAACTGTTCACATATTGAGAGAAAAAGGTTGCTTGCTGGTTCCTGATGTTTACTGATGCCCCACGCAGGCAGCGTATGGTGTACAAAGCCATCTGGTTGGAGCTTCAAGAGACAGTGCATGCTGTGGACGCAATGACCACGAAGACACCAGCAGAAGCTGGCAGATGAAAATCAGCAAGCCCACACTTTAATGTTACTCTCAATGGTCACTTTCTGCTGCTGTTCCCTTGAGCAGCTGTCCAGGCCTCCAACAGCTGCTCATAGCTGAAATTGCTGCCCGCCTTGGCGATGTTCCGCAGACAATATGATTCTTGTTCCACAAGCAGCTCTTTGAGCTTCTTTCCGAAAGCACCCTGAGGAGCAATCAGCTCACATCACCATTCTGAAGCCACAAGCTTCTCAAGAAACAATCATGAAGGAAATAAACATCGACAGTTGCCTTGTAGACAAGGTTCCTCAGATGCTTTAATGGAAGTGTGACAGAGTCTGACCTGGAGCTTCTCCTCCAGCTGAGTGCCTGCCTGCTGTGCTACTGTAACCACATTGAATGGAATGCCAGCCAAGCGTGCCACCTACGACCACCAGTCCCCAGACATTCACCCTTTCTCATACGTCAGACGGAAGAAGCATTCCAGCACTTCATTAGAAGCACAAGTCGTTGGGGCACCTGCAGTCCATAGCTCTTGGGGCATGCTCCACTGAGCAGCTTGTACAGGAACGTGATGTGACCCTCTGACGATGAGTCGCCCCCAGTCACCAAAGCCTCCATGTGTCCCAGCTTGACACGAGGGCTGGCCAAGAATTCCATTGTGAGGGGATGGTAGTGGGTGGCAAAGAGCAGGCGGCAGTCGATGGAGGAACTCAGGTGCTTGAGCACGGCATGCGCAATTGCATACCTGGAACATGGCAAACACAGTAATGACCATGCACTGTGAGGACAAGACAAATCCACCTGTACACACAAAGCGAATCGGATGCGCACGAGTGTTCAAAAGGTTCCTACCCGTCAAAGGTTGATGTTCCTCTGCCAAGCTCATCGCACAGCACAAGGGAGTCCTGTGTTGCATGCCGGAGGATGGCTGCTGCTTCTGTGCACTCCACAAGGAAGGTAGACTGCCCCGCCACAATCCGGTCTTGGGCACCTGTTGATGGGCAGGGGCACTTCATTCAGGTTGCCAAGCAATGTCAGTGTACATTGCATCATAATCAGCGGTGCTTCTACTGTATTTGGTGGCAGAACCATGTGAAATGAATGTCATATGACCGACACACATGCAGAAGACTTGAGGTGCACACCCAACCGTGTGAAGATCCTGTCGGCGACTGTGAGCGTTGCTGACGCTGCAGGCACAGGGCAGCCCATCTGCGCGAGAATTACTGCAGTGGCAGCTGCCCGCAAGATTGTGCTCTTCCCTGCACAGAAATTTTGCTAATCATCAATGTCCTCATGCAAAACATAAGCAGATCCAGATCCCTTGAAAGCACTTGATCTCTTGAGGGAGGAGGAGCATCGCACCTCCCATGTTTGGACCAGTGAGCAGCAGCGTGCGAGCAGTCTCTGGCGCCCTGCACCCAGTCAGTCCTGTTCACCTAAGCTCAACGATCCTTGCATCATTTACTCCTGTTATGCGATTGTGCAGTATGTCAATATACATGGCTGCAGCGCACCTTCCACCCATGACGAGGTCATTGACCACAATGCAGCCGCCAGCTCCTCCACCAGGAACAGCACAGGGGTGCCACAGGCCTCGCAGGTCCAGCAGTGCACCCCTGCCTGCCTTGGATGCGAGAGGAAGGACAGTGGGCCGGCAGGTCTGGCCATTCGAGGTCTCAGTGAAGCTAGCAAAGGCTGTCAGCACGTCAATTGTTGACAGTGCCTCCTGTTCCCCAGTGCACAAATGTATGTTAGTATGCATCCTCAGGCCTTTGACCACCACTGTAAAGCCGCCTGTATGCATTGGGGTGCACCACATGCGAATTGCTTGAAGCTGATAATGGAAGGCGCTTACCTCCAGGCCCTCCCAGACAGTAGAGTGAGCATTGAACCTCTCGATAAGCTCCGAGGTCAGGCTGATCTCCAGATCCAAGCTGTCATCCTCTGACTCCTCTGCTGCAGAATTGCTGCCTGCCCGCAGGCTCGCAAGAGCTTCTGGGTGGAGACTCACTGAGCGCCCTTGTGCCTTTGCCTTGCCTTTTGAGCCCTGCAAGCGCAGCCACTTTGCACATAAGAATGGAGATCATGAGAAATAATGATCTCCAATCGCTTCACGATCGCTTCACGAGCACGAGCGACAGGAAAAGACATGTACCTTTGCTGGGCCCTCGCTGCTCACGAGAGCCTCATCGATCCCCATGAGCGCCTTCAGAGCCGGGCTGCGCTCGTCGGGTGCGCTGGCAGCGGCTGCCACCAGGAGAGCGCTCAGCGCGGGGCCATCAGGGTCGGCCTGGCCGCGCTGCAGCTCCCTCAACACCGACACAGCCTTTGCCACTGCAGTCACTGCAATGTCCAACGCCGCCAGCCGCCTGCACATGCAACAGCGCACTCATCCACAACCACGATCTGGTGCTTTTACATGTGCGGTGCCTGCCGATGGAATCAGTATCTCGCAGCCATTATTGGTAATGGGGAACAGTTGTAGTATGTCATGAGGATGGGATTGTTACCTCTTCTGGGCAGCCTGCAGGGCCCAGGTGGGCAGGCCAGGCTGTGGGGCCGCTGCTGCGTTTCGAGCGCGGCCCAGAGCGCGCTCCAGATCCGGCATGGAGCGCAGGGTGGCCAGCAGGGACGTCACGAGGTCAGGGCGCTTCACAATCTCATCCGCGGCGTCCAGCCTCTGCTCGATGGCCCCCACATCCAGCAGAGGCCTGCACAGCCACTGCCGCAGCAGCCGCCGTCCTCCTGCAAGTTTGCATGCACGAGCGTTACCGTCTACCAGATACATGATGTTTTGGAGCTTCCCTTGGCATGACACCTTTATGGAATGAGGCAATGGAAGGGCAGAGGAGATGAGGGAATACCAGGAGATGCACAAGTGTCCAGCTGCGCCAGAAGGGAGCCCTCTGTGCCACCCTCAGTATTCTCAAGCAGCTCAAGGTTTGTCAGTGTGGGGCCATCGAGGCAGAGAGCACCGGCGTATGTCTCATAAGAGACAACCTGCAGTGAGACACAGATGTTATCATACGAATATGGACAATCAGATTGCTAGAAAAACCACCTATGTCCATAAAGGCGCACCTTCTGAGCATGCGTGGCCAGCTCATCATTGGCCTTGGCCCTCTTCAGATAGAGGCAGAGGGCAGACAGTGCAGTCAAAGCTCCAGCACCCATTGCTTGTATGTTGTGTGGCACGATGAGGCCATTGAACATGCTCTGAGGGCACACACCAAGCTTCAGATCTTGCCTCATACAGGTTTGCCGGGCAGTTATTTTGCAGGTCTGCTCTTCTGCACAGACGCACCTCAAGACTCGAAGCGGATGCAATGGCATCAGGATCAGGGAACTCTGCCCCAGTCACATTTGTGACCTCCATCGCCACAGAAGGCGTTGACAGTGCTCGCTGTGTGGTGGATGACAGCGCATTGCGCCGCACCAACAATTCACGCGGCGCAACCTGCACTCAATTTCATCAAGTGTGAAAGTAGGGTTGTGTGACAGTATACTCCTAGAAAGGAGTCTGCTGCTCATCAAAGAACATGCTCATGAAAGGATAAATTTGGTCCTGGATTGACCTGGGTGAGAAGAGCCCCAAGTGTTGATCTGCCTGCGTCATCATCTGCTACCCCCACATAGAAGCGCCCAGCAGCTGCATCGAGGAAGGCAAAGCTGAAGGTCACTCGGCTGTCCTGACTTGAAGTAGCATGGTTCTGTATTGGGGCCTCATGCAGCGCCATCAGGTGCACAGCATCCACCGACACATTGCCTGCACCAAAGCATGATGTCAGGCACTTGTGTGCCGGGCGCATTTCCTAATCCTGCAAACTCTAATAACTAAACGAAAGAAAGATGGTTTCCAGCTGGAATGCTGGTGGCAGATGCATATTGCTCATTGCGCATTGATCTACCTGTGGCTGTGGCTGGAGTGTGGACACGAGTGAGCTGCCTGCGGATGGTAGCTTTTGGGCCACGGGCGGCCTTTGCCTCTTGGGCCGTTTCCATTTGCTCCATCCGCGCCACCTGCTTCCACCCTACTTATGGACATCTTCCATCCTGACATCACAAGGCTTTGGACTGTGGTCAAAAGAGGAGGGTCCACCTTATAGCCTGCAGAGACCAGGCGCGAGACAGCTTCCTCAACGCCGCTTTCTGGACATCCCACCTGCGCAGTGTCCAGAAATCACAATCCTGCAAAGCCTGCAAGCATCAGGCAGACTGCAGAGTGCTTCCTGGGTGTGCACTACAATCACAGTGCAGATGTTAGTGCATTATTTCCATCAGGTTACAATGCTTCATGATGCCGGACCTGTCTGCAATGTCCGACCCCAGTGACGGTCATCCGCCATCCCAGGACTTGAGCACCAATCTCCGCATCATCCTGCATGAACAGATCATAGCATCAAGCACACATGCATTAAGGTCCTGGTTGTCGCATGACAATGACCGGGAACTGTGCACGACATGCAGCGGTGATTTGAGCTTCTGAACACTTGCAGTACCTCATACAGCTCATAAAACTTGCCCACTTTGAAGAAGATGATTGTATCTCGGTAGCTGCTTTTGACAGTCCAGTATTGCTTCTGTGACTCTGGAGGGCACCACCAAAACCTCAGCGGTCAGGAACAAGATCAAAACTTGTGGAATAAGTTGATTTCGTCACCAGGACGTTACCTGACAGCTTCCTGAACACATCTGGTGGAATACGGACGGATCTGGCATCATACTCCTGTTCAACAAACCTGTCAGACTCCAGTGAAAGTATATTTGACTCAGAATCTTGCTCTCATTCAGGGGACATCACCGAGAGCTTACTGGATCTCCTGGTAGCTTCCCTTCAGCGTCTCGGACATTCTTTGGCTGAAGCCAGCTGAATCTCTCGTTGACTTCCCTGGGTGCACCAAATTCTAGTCAGATCTTTGCCTTGAAAATTTTGCTCTCCCACGCAAGACCTTCTTGATATAGATTTACCTCAGAAGTGCTGCCTGGCTGTCTTCCCCATCTCCCAGAAGCTTGCGGAATTGTTTCTTACGGTGAGGTTCTGGTGGTACACCTTTTTTGGCAGTCTCACGGCCAGAGAGATCAATTACATCATCAATCGAGTTGGCCTGCATGGAAAGCTTGCAACAATATCATCTTGTATCAGACTTGTTACATCAGGACTGGTACACTATTGCATCAGTGCTAAGTTGTGTGCTGCTCCAAGACTAGAATTGGTAGCAAGCGCACAGTTTCGAGCTCCCAGGCTGAGCGTTTGAGGCCCGTCAGTCGTCTCTGAGAGGATGGGTGAGTTCGATCATTGTTGTTATTTCCTGTGCTCTGTGGGGTGGCCCCAACGTTTGAAAACGCATCCTTCCCGGCTCTCCTGAAGAATTTAGCGATCCCCGTCTGCTTTTTATTTGCATTCATCTTGTCATGAATTTTATCGACGATCCCATTATTGAGCAGTCATACCACTATACTGATCTGAAAGATCGCCGGAGAAGCAACTTCATTCGGGCGCAACAGGTGAAATGCATGCTGTGCCACGTGGCAGACCACCTTCCTTTCTGCTTTCTTGAGATCAGCAATAGTTGAGGTCGTCGGGAACGCGCCCAGGAAGAGCATCTGAGAGCAGTCTATCACAGAGTGCTCTATGATAACGCCAGTGATCGGCTGCCCTTGTCAATCCACTTCCGTCTATTAACGGCATGTCCAGTACAGACCAAGATGACAAGAATACAGATCTGAGTACGCATGACATCGTACAACTACATCAAGCAAGGTCAAAGATAAAGCATAAACATCAGGCCAGTACTAAGCGGTCCTTATCCAGGCATGGTCCATTGATTAACGATCTGAAGCTTAAGAAAAAAAAAACATCAGCAGAGAGTGATTCGTACAAAGATAAAGGCGAAGTCTTACTTGCAGAACTGGAAGCTGTGCAAAAGCTCCCTAGGAATTCCAGTTATGCGAGACACCGGAAGGCGTGCCTTGAGAAAGCAATCATTTTGCTGGAACTGGACAGGTATCTACCCTTTTCATAGATGCCTTTACTGACGCAGAGGACGGTTCTGGGCTGAAATTGGCCGAGTACCCGGAAAATGTCACTTGAAGCACATTCTTGCAGGACTGAGGAGGAGGAGGTGCAGCTTGAGCAGCTGCTTCGTGATCTGAGAGTTTGAAGACGGCATTAGAAGCGCCTGGCACCAATGAGGAGTTCCATCCCTGTGATCATTGCTGGAGCCGGTCCTACTGGCTTGACGCTGTCGAGGTTGTTGTCACAACTGGGCGTCAAGAACCTACTGCTTGAGCGGGGTCCAGCTCTGACAAAACACCCTCAAGTAAGCAATTGACTGGCGGATCATCTTCAGTCAATGTCAAAAACCTACATGCCTTTATAGAGTGTGCTATATAGCCCACAAATGCTGCCCTACAGGCCCACTTCATCAACAACCGCACAATGGAGATCTTTCGCCAGATGCGCGGTACAGAGAGCGACGTTGCTGCAGAAGTGGTGAAGCTTAGCCCTCCATTGAGAGAGTGGCGTAAATTCATATACTGTGAATCTATGACGGGCAACATACTCGGCGAGGTTGACCATTTCAAGGTGTGTGGTGCATACAGCCATTTGCAAGTGTGTCCAGTGCACTTTATCTCTGATCTGCCCATCAGGCACGATAAGAGTTGACTGCTATTGGAAGGGACAACAAGGAGCAAGGATGCATCACTTGAGCCCAGAGCCGGTGGCCCACCTCTCTCAACACCGGTTGCTGCCAATCCTACTGAAGAGCGCCACTGCACATGACTCGCTTGGTGACCTCCGCTTTGGGCATGCAGTGTCAAGAGTTGAACATCTGCCGTCTGGGAATGTATTCTTGACTGTCGATGAGAAGGAGGTGTGGCCTCTGTTCATCAGGTCACCACCATGCGATTTCATATCCTGCTTGCCGGAACATACAAAACATGAAGCGATCTGTAATTTTGCAGAGGAACAGGCCCTACAGTGTGGAGTGCAATCACCTGGTGGCAACTGATGGAGCAAACAGCAGCATTCGCAGTTTGTTGGGTGTGAGAATGACTGGCATCCCAGCTATGCAACACCTCATCAACATACATTTCAAGGCGCCAGGCCTGAAACAGCACCTGAGCGACAGGGAAGCAATGCTGTACTTTGTGTTCAACTCAGAGGTTATCTCTGTCGTGGTTGCACATGACCTGGAAGCTGGAGAGTTTGTTGCTCAGGTGTGTCCCCAGCGAAAGACTCACGTTGTTGCATATTTCTGCCTTGCATGACATGGATGGCGATGAACTATAAACTTATTTGTGTGATGGTGTACAGGTGCCATTCTTTCCGCCAACGCAATCCTTGAAAGATTTCCCAGAAGGGATTTGCAAGCGTCTGTTGCTGGCGGCCACTGGAGTGCAAGGACTGGACATACAAGTATTGAATGTCCGGAATTGGACCATGCACGCAGAAGTTGCCGATCGCTTCAAGGTGAGTTGTTTTTGGGAGCATCGGCAACTGAAAAATGAGCATTCTGTTACTGTTGCCTCAGTTGCACAGCTCCCTATGAAACGCTTTGCATGGTGCTGTAGGTGGGCAACGTCTTCCTTGCGGGGGATGCTGCACATCGCTTCCCTCCTGCAGGCGGTTTTGGAATGAACACCGGCATCCAAGATGCCCACAACCTCGCTTGGAAATTGGCTGCAGGTTCGCCTTTACTTCACCCAGAATGAGCTTATACTCATCTTGACGCCAACCCCTAGCGTGTATCTTCATGTGCTTATGTGACACTGTGTAACAGCGTGGTTGGTGTTTCAGTGATACAGAAGCGGGCTGGAGGAATTTTGCTGGACTCATACGAGGCCGAGCGGAGGGCAGTAGCTGTCGCCAACACTGAGCTCAGTGTCTCCAACTGGAAGGAGGCACTGAAAGTGCCGCAGGCTCTTGGTCTTGATCCTGCTGCAGCCAATGTGCTTCATAGCGTCATCACTTCCAGGCCTGCATCAATGCTGTCATCAGGTGGGTGTCCAACACTTGCACTTCTGCTGTGGGACAATTCAGACAACCATATCCGCAGTGGCTGACTGCGGGTCTTGGGTGCAGGGCTTGTGAAGTCTGCGCTGGAAGCTGGACTTAGCCTGGGCAGGTCCATGTCAGGGGTGAAGGGCCCACTGCGACCCTGGCGCGAGAGGCAGCTGAGGGACATATTTGCTGCTGGGGACACATTGCGCCTCCAGTTTCCTCGAGAGGATCTGGGGTTCATCTACAATGCGCCCGGTGCTGCCGTTGATGTCTCATCTGGCATGCCAGCTGATGAGCCACACAGAGGCAGTGTTCGCCCAGATGCAGTGTCAGGCATGGGGAGGCGGCAGGAAGTGAGAGAGCAGGACCGGAACCGCCCATATGTGCCCAGCACAGTTCCTGGTGCACGCCTGCCGCACTGTGACATTGCAGTGGTCGGCGGGGTTGGCACGGCAGGTCCTGCACACCAGTGCATCTCGACCCTTGACCTCATGCCTTACACATCAGTGGAGATGCCGCTGTGGCTCAGCGGAAGCCAAGCGTCCAGCGTCTGGGCAGAGGCAGCTTTACTGCTGCGGCAGCAGGGGCTCCCTGTCAGCGTCGTTCACATCTGCAAGGATCGTGAGGAGGCGCAGGATCTCATAAAAGCCTACAGTGGAAGGCGAGAGGAGGACAAGGTCATTGTGGCTTTTGATGTGTCGCAGCAGTGGCGGCAATTGAGAGATGTGAGTCTGTGTCTGTCAAGCTCTCTGCCTGCTGCGTTTCATTTTTACCTTTGGGTTCGAAGCTTCATGATCTGCAAGGGAATGAAGGATTCCAAAAAATTAATTGGGCTCGCAGGTAACAGAAGGTGGTGCTATCTTGGTGCGACGGGATGGGCATGTAGCTTGGCGAGCTGCAGGCCTTCCTCCGCAATCTTCACAGCCTTCAGATCCAGGCGGTGTCTTGACAGCAGGAGCCTACAGCGTCCTTGAGCATGCCTTAAGGAACATTCTGTTTGTTTGAACTCCAATTGGATGAAATCCAATTCATTTTTTAATGCTAGGAAGAAGTTGACGACAGATGGGTATACAGGCCGCCATGAGACCAGCTGCGCACAAGCTGACATTTTCCACAATGTCAGATGTATCCAAATTCTTCAATAGATAGCCACCAGTATTACAATTGGCAACATTATGCACATCCTTGAAACTTTGGATGGGATGGGATTCGTCCCAAATGACTGATTTTTCTTAAAAGTACACGATCTACGGACACACTTGGCAGATGCCCGCTCTCACAGAGTGCAGAAGGAACCACAGAGGACAAACAGTGACATCATGTCGGCAGATCAAGCCTCCACAATGGCTGTGCCCTTGCCCTTTGTGATCTGATCGTCCGAGTATGTCACGTAGGAGTACATGTCCTCCTGCACCACGCAAACACTGGGTCAACACAATGTCCAGCCGTGTTTGCATGTCTGCTTTCCAGCTTGTACATGCACTGACAGTAGGAATTACTTCTGATTCCCTTTCTGCTGCACGTGTTCTGGGCACATTATCACTCCTTTTTACACATTCATCACCTCCCCTCCTGCAGATACAATGCATCCTTATCAATGTGCACAAGCCAGTCATCCGCACCTGAGCATCCTCGTCATCATTCCTCCTCCTGGAAATCTGGATGCGCAACTTTGTCGGCACCTTCTTGATTCCCTGTCGCGCAAATAAACACGTTGGTGTGACCGCCAGGTTTGGTGTGGATCTTGTTTAATGTTTGCTGAAACTAACTGGGCTATGCTTCTTGGGGGCCACTTCAATCAGACACCAACTTTAGATCTTTGGGACCTCCAGGAAGGAGGTTGTGATCCAAGGCCCTCACCTTTGCCCACACAGCCTTGTTCAGCTTGACGTCTATTCTGACATCCTTTGTCTTCATGTGCTTTGCTGCGAACTTCTTGATCTCCTTGATCGCTTTGGGTGCCCGCTTCTTGAAGGATGTGCTGTTCAGACGCTTGTGCAGGTTGATGGTGTACTCGCGAGTAACCACATCCTTGGAGTGGTCCTTCTTCACCATCTGCAGATACAGAATATGTAAGATGCAAGAATCGAGTTCCTTCATCAGCATGCTTGAAAGCCTGAGAGAATGCCAAAGCTTGACAGGACATCCACCTGACCAGAGGATCAAGGCAAACATCATATGTTCTGCACCATGCAAACTCATCAAACAATGCGACAGGACCGTCGTATGCTGTCCTAGACACTAGTTGACATGATGACACAGTAAATTGTAGTGGCTGCTGGGAATGCCTCAAACGCAGCTTATTTGGACCTGTGCTCCCTCACAGCTATGCGATATCTTCAATTGCAATGGTGCAACGGTGGCCCACCTTGCCCAAGCCTGCCTTGCGCTGCTGCAAACCGCCGCCTCCAAAACTTTGGGAGCAGCAGCGATCTCGCAGCCAATAGGTTCGATACTCCAAACCCCTGTTACAGATGGGTCTATAACGTTATGGAGTTCCGCGCAGAGATATTCATCGTATTATCCCATCAATCTATCTAACCACACACAGAGAACATAGGGAGATTGAAGATCGCATATAGAGAGGTAGTGTTGTGCAGTGGGAAGCATGCAGGTCCGCGCGCAAACGTCCCTGTCTGGGCAGGCTAGCTGCAGCACTTTAAAGCTGCAGCAACTCACGCACCAAAGGGTGCCTGGAAGCGCTCCGAACAACTTGTGGCGCCGTATTTGCCGTGCTCAAAGGCAGTCCTTCATCGTGAGAGCTGCTGATGACAAGAAGAGTAAGTTTGTTGTACCACCCATTACGCTTTGGCGTGTGGCTTCTCCTCCAGAGCGGTCGATGCACTCCAATAGCCTGTCTTTCGCAGCTTATACTGAGATGTTGTGGCTTCTTTGTACAGGTGGGATCAGTGCAGTAGTCGAAAAGGTGAAGGAGGCCCTGCCAGCTCTTGAAGAAATAGTGGACGAGAACATTCTCGATTATTGCACATTGGACAAGACGGTGTGTTGTCCTGCTTTCTCCTTATGTAAAGCCTGCAGATTTTCGGTGACCTCGCATGCATTATGCTCTCGAAAAGTGACAGCCACACAATCCATCAGGACTGCCTGACACCGTGTTGCACCAGTGCTGTGATGGGTGTCGAATGAGCTTGGATTTCAATACTGCAGGGGGCTCGCCCGAGGAGTAAGAAGAGCCTCGGTGAGAAGGAGCAAGACTTTTTGGAAGCATTGCGGGTAAGCTTATCACTCATATGCAGCCAGAGGACTCTGGTGTTGACGAGGCTCACATTGAACGTAGGCCCAAAGAGGCAATGTCTAAATGTGGCACTATTCCAAGCAGGCGTTTTACTATGAGGAAGCACCGACAATGTCGAATGAAGAGTTTGACAACCTGAAAGAGGAACTTTTGTGGGCTGGGAGCAAGGTAGCGATTCTGAGGTGCGATCATACTCACTTCAAGCTGTTGCTGCAGACGGCAAGACAGTACTACTTTTGAAAGGCTGCATCTTGTTGAATGTTGCTGAGACCTGCAAATGTGTTGGGGGTGCAGCTCAACAGAACAGAGGTTTCTGGAGGCATCATTGGCATTCCAGGCAGGAAAGTCTATTGTGTCGGACGAGGAGTATGACTCTCTGAAGGACCAGCTGCGGAAGAAGAACAGCAAAGTTGTACAGCAGGTATGTACTTGGGCCATCTAGGAGGCTCTTCATCAGATGATTGCACAATGAATGCATGCACATTGTGTGTTCCTGTTTGCCAATGCCTAAACCCCCCATTTTCTGCTCTCTGGTGCACATGAATTGTTTGGGTGGTGTCTGATTCAAACTGCACTTTGTCTGCATGCTGCAGGGACCTAGGTGCAGCATCAGAAGCCGAAGAATCTACAGCGATGCAGTTCCAGATTACCTGAAGATGACCCTCCTCAATCTTCCTGCAGCCATTTTCGTGAGTTCTTTATCCTGCTTACCCTGTTAAACAACAGGGAATGGATTTGGGCTATGACGTGTCATGCGGTAGGAGCATGTTGGTCCGTCTGTGTTTGCAGTTTTTTCGAGACTAACAGCATATTTGTTCCGCAGACGCTCATTGTGTTGTTCAGCATCGATGACTTGACGGGCTTTGAGATCACCAAGCTAGTGGAGTTGCCAGAGCCCTTTGGTATCTTTGCTGTCTGGGGATTTGTGCTGCCGTTGACATACATTGTTTCAAGCTCACTCACCAATCTCGCTCTGAAGGACTTCCTCATCCTGAAGGTGACCCATTCTGTTGAAACTTTCGGGCTTGCAGTTCATCTTTCATGCATGGGCAACAGTCTTGAGAGTTGAATGATGTGAAATTGTCTAATGTTTTGTTCATGTGTGCAGGGTCCTTGCCCCAACTGCCTCACAGAGGTTCAGACTTACTTTGGGGACATCCTGACCGTGAAGGGCTCGCGCGACACCAACCTTGTGCAGTGCGGCAACTGCAAGGCCAAGATCACCGTGGATGCCACAAAGCGCTCGGTATGTGTTGTTGCGTGATGTTGAAGAATGAATCTGTGCTGACATGCCCAGGAGTCCTTTTTGTCTTCTGCAATGCTGAAGGCATTGTTACCATGCAGATGATCATTTCGGAGATGCCTGGATCCGGACCGAGCGGCTCCTCATCAGCATCCAAGAAAGAGCCCTCGCCTGCTTGAGACCATTTTGGCATGTAATAAAGATTTTTTGAGGGAATGGTACTCCTTTGGGAACTGAGGTGAAGTGCGGTTTCCTTGTATAGCTGGTCTGTGCTGCTGCAAGATAGGCCATCACTTGCCGATGTTGGAGATGTGCGTATCTTAGTGGACAAGACTACCGTATTTCCTGCCAGAAACTGCGATTCTTTGGTTTGATCATGACCCATAGATGATTGGGATGGGCGCAAGCAGGACTTGGAGGAATCTACTAAGAGAAGACTAATTTCTGCACTGAGTCTATCAAGATCGGTGCTCTGCGATTGCTTGTGCACACGTGGCCACAGCATCAAGAGAATGATACTGTTTGCACCTGTCACAACGGTTCTAAATTTGGAGAGATTTGATCACAGGTAATCTGGAAGGACTGCGATGCTGTACCTGCATCAATCGTGAGATGAGATTATGTGCAATTTGTGGCTCTTTTGAAGTATCTGTTGTAAAATTGAACTTCTGACATTTACACCAACCATCACAGCAAACCAGAAGCCCACAACTTGATGGTGCGATCAGCGCTGACAGAGGCAATCAGGCCGCTGCCATCTGGGCTGATATCAGCTCCTATGACTCTTCCTTCATGCCCGGCAAGGGTTGCAATGAGTTTGAAGTTGTCCGATGACCACAATTTTGCAGTGTTATCATAGCCGGCGGTCAGCAAGTAGTAGCCATCACACGGCTCATACCTCACCTGCATTTAGAGAGCAAGATTGCCATTCAGCATGTGCAGACCTCAACCATTCACCTATACACAACATCAGGTCTTCTGCACAGTAGGTGTTCACTCGGTTTATACAACTGCAGTGGAAAGCAAGACCCCTTACCTGTGACACAAGGGAGGTATGGCCAGGCAGGGTGTACAAAGCCTTTCTCTTCCTCAAATCCCACACCTTTGCTGTGTGGTCTTCACTCCCACTTACCCTGCAGAGCAACTTAAAGTCAAATTTTCCAGCATGTCTTGAGGACATTGCAAGCCAGCCTCATGTCAAGGTGGGTTAGCAAAGAGGTGCAGGGCTGGTGCTTACAGCTGGTAGCCGTTGGGAGAGAAGTCCATGGACAGGATCCCCCTAACATGCCCCTCCAGCACCATGATGCTGTTACCCGACCTCAGGTCCCAAAGCCGCCCTGCGCACCCACACACCAAGTTGTGAGCCGGCGCTTCCCATCTGGTGTCTTGACACCCTGCCTTCACGCATCCAGCGCGCTCATCCTCCCTGCTTACAGCTGCACCAAACGTGACAATTTCCTGCAGCCTCATTTTTCATGGCAGTGGCACAGGTCCTTGCCCTCTCAGAAGTCCTGTACAATGCTTGAGAGATTACAGTGCTGCTGACGGTAGGTTCAATGCTGATCCACCCTTACTGCATGTCTTCTAGGCAGATCATCTCTCCTTTGTACTAGAGAAGAAGAGACCCACCGATGGCGTCCAGTCCGCCGGACGCGGCCAGAGCGCCGTCCCCCTGGAATGCGACGGTGTAGACGCTGCGGCTGTGGCCCTCCTGCTCGAGCAGACAGTCCCCCGTCTCCAGGTCCCACAGCCGCCAGGTCTGGTCAAAGCTGGCCGTGCCCAGGTGCTGCCCCATCGGGTGCACCGCCACTCGCCCCAGCCGATCCGCGTGGCCCGCCAACGTCCGCAGCTGCTTCCCTGAATGCCGCCCCAGAATGCAAATGCTGAGCGGTGCTCTGATGTTTCTTGTGTCAAGTCTGCTCTGATCTGCAAGTGGCTGCAGCAAGAATCAGTGGTTGTTTGCCAAACAGGCTCCTGGTGCTGTGAGGGCAGTTTGGTTTTGATCGGGAAGGAATGTGGAGAATATTTTGAACGTGACGCAGTGCAGAAGAGCAGGCATGGGAGCGCGCAAGCAACCTGAGGCTGACCAGAGGCGAGCGGTGGTGTCCACGCCTCCTGTCACCAGCGCAGGTGCGTCCTCACCCTGCCCAGGCGCACCCGCGTGTGGGTGCCACGCCACCCCTGCAGCACACATGAGCGCTTCAAGAAAATTGTGCAACTCCTTGCTGGGTGGCAATGCTTGCAGGCTCGCGATCATGCACAAAAGAGGGCATGATCGTCAATTAGCAGCTAGCCATCAGAGCATACAGGTCTGTGACGACCTACCCAAAGAGCAAGACAGAGGCAGCGCGTCCTACCTGTGACACGATCTGCATGCGCCTTAATGGTTATCTGCTTCTGGCAATCGGGCACCGTCCACAGCTTCAGCAAGCCGCTCAGTGCTGCCGTGGCCAGCTGCTGGCCGCTGGGAGAGAATGCGCACGCCGTGATGGGGCGATCATCGCCGATCTCACTGCTCTGCAGTGTACCGCATGCCAATTTTGATTGCCTCCTCAAGTGCATGTGCAGAAGTACAGCATGGGGCCGCCCCTCCAATGCCTGTGAAATGCATCGGAATGCAAAAAAAGACCGTGAGCTCTGATCCTATACCTGATTGACAACACCCTTCGCAGCGTCTACAGCAGCCTTCCTTTCAGACAGCTCGTCCTCGTCCGGGCTCTCCCTCTTCCTTTTTGAGAAGTTAATGCGGTCCATGGCCCTCTCCAGGGACCAATGAGCCAACTGCGGAACCCAATACATGCATATATCTATAGACAGATGCTTGCCTTCAATCTGACAGTGCAAATGAAGCAGCTTGAGAGCACGGAAATGAAAGGGACGACTCGTACATGCATGCGAGCGGCCTTCAGCTGGGGTGGGCCCTCTGTGTAAAACTTTTCCTTCCTTATTTCCACCATGTCAACATCTTCCGGCTCGGCTCCTCCTGTTCAGAGACATAATTTTCACATTCTCTGATGCTCAGCAGAACCCAACCTGGGACACATAATTGCAACTCATATAGCAGTGCCGATCTGCATGCCAGTGTGGTGAGCAAGACGCACCCAGCTTGTCTAGCTTTTCATCGTCATCCATTTCTGCCAGTAGCTTCCTCAGCCGATCCCTCCTCTCCATCTGCAATGTGTCAAAATGGTCTGGCATCCAGTACATGTCTGCACTGCAACAGTAAACGCATTCACACAGCCCAGTCGCCGCACCTCTCTTTCGCCAAACAGAGTGACGGGCTCCTTGAGCAACCGCAGCGTCCTCCGCACTTCTGCATCTTGTGTGGGCACAACCGCCGCACGCATGCGCCTGCGCAGCTCCATCTGCCGGACAGCCTCCTCCTGTAGGATCTGGGCATGGCGGCTGGCCTGCATCGGGGAAACAGTGCCTCTGTTCATTCTTTGGTGACTTTTCAAGACGGAACTGTCAAAGGTGTGTGCATAATTCAAAAGGGCACATCCTGTGCAGATTTGCCCTGAGCAAGAAGACAAATTAGCTTGCTGTACCTCTGGGAGAGCGATGGTCTCCGCATTGTCGTCTACTGCACTGACGAAACCTCCAGATGGGCCCACTGCTTCTGACGCCCCTTGAGATGGAGCGCTGGAGCCCAAGGGACTCTGAGCAGATGATCCTGAAGGGTTGACATTCAGATGTTGAGCATTTTGTTGGCGAATCAGCTATGGAGCCATAATATAAATATGTTGGAGTCCCTTGCACACGTCCCTTGACAAGCACACCAACTTCCTGACAGACGCATATAAGCATGCTGACTCATCCAACAAGAGGAGCGACTCCATCTGCTATTTAAGCACCTGGAGGCGGCGAGGATGGAGGAGGAAGGGTGGGAGGTGCTGTCGAAGGAGGGGGCAGCTGATTGTCAGGCGCCCCATTCGCATCGATCATCTCCTCGTCTGCTGCCATTCTACTGAGGTTACCAATTAAATGTTAGTATATCAGTCTAACAATCGTAATGCAGCGAAGAAACGATGAGGATCAAATATGATGTTCATATTGCAACCCTCAAGGAGCGTCCCTTGGAACTGGGCAAGTGAGAAAAAGTTGATCTTCGAATCAAACAGGACAAAAGGTTGATACATGAGACTCCTATGCACAGGACATCTCTGTAAATATCAATTTCTTCTCATGGGAGGCGAAGCCCTACATTCCCCTCAGAAAGCATAGCACACCCGCTTCCTGATAGGGTTTATCGCTGGGCTGTCTAGAGTTCTTTCTCCACAGGCCAACGATCAATTCCTCAAACTTCGAAGCAGGTAAACATCTTGTGCAAACAAGCCTTTGCTACTGTTAGCGATGGGGTTCAGCCCCTAACGGAGGAGTAAGTTGGGCGTACAATCTGTGTTAGTGTATGCCAGTATGACCACCGGCGTGGTTGGTGGCAATTTGAACATCCACAGTAGTCAGTTGGTGCGCAATAGATTGTTTACATCTAGCTCTGGCCACCCGCACACCTGCAGCAGAATCACGACTGGGCGGCAGCGGATTGGCACGTGTTCTCAGAGACCGATCCTGCAGAGCTGGCCTTCTTTCCCGAGGCAGGCAGAACGGCAGCAAGTCTTACTTCGCAATAGGAGACGATCACTTACACCGGCTGCCATATCCGCAGACGCTGGCATTCCAGTGGTTGGACCGAAACAAGCAGAAGCAGAGCCAGTGCAGAGCAGGGGCTTGGGGAGCCTCACGAGCAGGATTGTGTCCGGTAGCATTTTGGGTCTCGGAGGAGGCCTGGTTATCTTGGCTGGTGGCTGGATCTTCACAATAGCGACCTGCCTGGTGGCATACCAAGCCACCCAGGAATTCTATGGCTTTGTCACGTCCAAGGCAAGCACAGTCCATGATTGCGCACCTTATTGGACCGTTTGCAACCAAATACTACAGAGGGTGATACAATTTCTGTTGAGAGGGTATGTAGACAATGATGGCTGGCTATCTGCTGTGCAGGGAATCAGTGCAGGCATGGAGCCACCTCCGCCTCTTGTCAGTGCGCTGACCAGCCTGATGTGCATCTGCCTGTCCGTATGGACCTACGCATCAAATGGCCGGTCAACGGCAGCCTTGGCGGTCTCCTCCTTTGCCCTGCTGTCCCTGCAGCTTCTGATGGTAAACAAGCTTAAGTTTTCGCAGCTGGCGTCGTCAGTCTTTGGTCTATTCTACTGCGGTGCGTGCCACTAGTTTTTTGGACACATTTATCTAGCAATATTTGCTGCTCAAGCAAACTAGATTCCACTGACAGAGCCACTGACAGAGTTGACCGATGCCTTGTTGCTTGCAGGCTATTTGCCCAGCTTTTGGATCAAGCTGCGTGTGCTTTCAGCTCCTGCCATCAACAGCACAGCACTGCACGGATGGCCGGTGCGACCCTGGCCGAGATCAGTCTTGGATTGGGGAAAGTCGTTTCTTGTATAGATCTTGAGAGCATCTCTGATCGAATAGCCTCCTTGGCATCTTCAAAATTTGCAGGGCATTGTGCTGTCAGGCGCTCATGCAATGCTGCCATGCTCAGGTGCTCTTTGGAGGTATCTCGCACTGGACAGTGGGCCTCATTGCCACCTTCATGGCGGTGGCATGCACGATTGCGGCTGACACTGGAGCGTACGCATTTGGCAAGACCCTGGGGCGCACGCAGCTCATCAGCATTAGCCCAAAGAAGACTGTGGAAGGCGCCATTGGCGGCCTCATGTGCAGCACACTGGTGGCCCTCGCCTTCTGGCGCTTCCTGAGATGGCCTGCTCAGGTGGCTGTCTCTGTCCTTAGCCCATCCTGTCACATCTGGTGCCCATCTGCTGATGCTTTTGCTGCTGCCCTTTGACGTGAGTCCTGCCGGATTCTTTTGCAGTACTTGTTTATCAAATGTTTTGCAGCCTATAGAATCAAGGTAACTCTGGAAACTTGCAGAAGAATTATGATGGATCGTCGCATGTGCATGGTCGTGATAGGATAATATGCCATGGCACGCAGGCTGGCGTGGCTGTTGGGCTAGCTCTTCTCATCTTCCTTGCCAGCCTCTGCGGGGACCTCATAGAGAGCGTAATGAAACGGGATGCTGGCCTGAAGGATGCGGGGGATCTGATCCCTGGCCACGGCGGACTCCTGGACAGATTCGACTCCTACATCTTCACCGGAGCTATTGTGTATTTCATCCTGAAGTTTGTCACTCCCCTTTTTGGTCTGTAGGCTTGACCAGCGGATGCTCATGCGCTCAGCCTGGTTGCCCATCATCGAAGTGCAGCACAGCAAGTGCAAATATAGCAGAAGCAAACTTGCAAAATTCGCCGGTCAATTTTGCTTGAACAGTATAGAAGCGTGCCTATCAAGTTCACAGGACAACTTCAAGGCAGAGGTGTGAGCTCCGTGCAAATGCATAGAACTGGACGTTTTTATGAGGTTATGTGTCTATCTGTGTGGCAACGCATTGAGTACTCAAATTTTTTATACGATACTTTCTCACAGCAGGGCCTAGGCATGGGTATTGTATGCCCTAGGTGCAGGCCTGCAAGGATAGACGTTTGCATAATATGGAGTTGTTGCTGCTGCACCTGAGCATCACACAGCGCAGCCATTCTGTTGCAGCTGGCTGGCAGCTGCAGCAGTATGTGCTCAGGAGGGCACGTGTATGTGATGGTCTCAGGCAGCGTGCCCAACAATTTTGCTAGTCACTATCCAGTACCCAATGACACCTAATAATGCAACATATCATACATGATGTAACAGAGTCAATATTGAATTCACTATCATGCAAATTGCATCCCTTTTGCCGATTTAAGGAGACTATTGCAAAGCTCCTTTTGACTCACTCAATGGCATTCACTGTGATAGGTGGCATTTGCATTGAGATCATGCATATGCTATACGTGGTCACCACGTGGTACGGTACACGTGCTGGATCTCCATGCGGTGGCGTGCACTGTAACCCCAGGGGCCCTGCTCTAGGGGCAGCAACGTGAGGTTTGCGGCAGGCCAACTGGCCAAACTGTTGTAGAATCACTGGTGGCCGGGCCTTCTGAGTGACTCTGATGCGTTCACCACCGCGGCCGTTCGCCGGCCCCGCCGCGGCGGCAGTGGCACTTGCAAGTTCAAGGCGGCCTCGCTTGGCGGCATGCATGCGCATGCATGACTTGAGGCAGGCTATTGTCAACATGACAGCATTACTGCAGTAGGACCCGCAGAGCCCTCTTCAGAGTTCCTTCAAGTAAGTTCATCGGTCCTCCTAAGGTGAACCCTAGCTAGGGGGGCCACTTCAAAGAAACCTAGGGCACTGGCGGTCTGTGGGTGCTGCTGCATTCCTCGGTGTATGATGCCCTCTTTTGCATTTTGGCCTTGAAAAGTTCAGGTCGACACAATGAGCGCCCATTGCATCGGTTCCAGCTTTTCTGCTAGCCTTCTTCGCACAAGCAGGACATGCAATCTGCATCAGAACTTGCAAGTAGTGCGACTGCAGAGAAGGGCTAGCTCAGGCCTTCCGTCGCTGAAACCTCAGAACATCAAGAGGTCGAGCATTCGCATCTCGCATAACGGCCAGAGAGGACTTACAAGGTGAATGTCTTTACTTGCAAGGAAACCTTGTCCACTTGTGTTCAATGCTTGGGGGCCATGTTGGCGTGCCAATATATCTGGTTTGTATTCTTGTAATTCTACTTAAGTGGTTTTGCTGCCTTGTACTAGGCCACAAGCTAGCTCTGCAAGCGATGCCATCCCCGATGTGCCTAAGGAGCTGAACATCAATCAGCGCAGTGGTTTTGAGCAATTCACCGAGGTTTTGACCACTCTGTTCCCTGTCTGGGTACGGTCCTACTCTCGAATATTATGGTCAAAGAGCCTTACGTGGGTTCTGAACTCCTGACAGCTTCCATGTGTAAAGCCCTGCAACAGCTGCTTTCTATAAAACTGTGACAATGCATCTTCGGTGTTGCAAATAGCTAACCTGCTGATTTCACCTCCTCAGGTTTGCTTGGGAGCGGCGTTGGGCATCTCGCGCCCCTCAGCTCTGCTTTGGTTCAAGAGCGATCTCTTCACATATGGCCTGGGCTTCTTGATGTTGTCGATGGGCCTGACACTCACTCTGGATGACTTCAAGCAGGTGGCTAGAGTCAATTGTCAATCAGCAATTGCAGAAATGATGTATTGTGGCATGCCCCAACTGCATACAGAAGATGGAACTGTGAGCTGAAAAGAATGTGTGTGACACAGTGCATCAAAAACCCGGTGCCGATCGGTGTCGGATACCTGGCACAGTACATCGTGAAGCCCCTTCTCGGATATCTAATTGCCAAGGTGCGGTGGTTACTTATATTGATGGGCTGTTACTTCGGCTTCAACTGCTGAAGACCATGTCTCTTTCAGATGGCAATAATGCTGATGTGACTCCTTGGCTGTGTGCAGGTACTCAACCTTTCTCCACCTCTGGCTGTTGGCCTCATCCTGGTGTCATGCTGTCCCGGCGGCCAGGTAAGGATTTCGCAGCGTCAGTAGTTGATTACTGTACTCACACTGCAATCCACATGTTCATGCTCATCTCGAGGTCTGATGCCTCTTTGAATGATACTGTTCGCAGGCATCCAACGTGGCGACATACATCGCGCATGGCGATGTGGCCCTGTCAGTCCTAATGACAACAGCGTCCACCCTGGGAGCTATCATCATGACTCCGCTGCTCACCAAAACTCTGGCGGGCACGCTCGTCCCCGTTGATGCCGTGGTGAGTGCATTTTGTTGCCTCTGCCTGTGACCTGAAGAGGAACCCCATTCTGGGGCCCAACACTATTCTACTTCCAATTTTCAAGTGAACCGGGACAATGCGCCCACTGCCCATGATCGCATTGATGATGGTCAGTGCCGATCGATAATCATGTTTGGTATGTTACATTGTGCATCTGTCCGCAGGGCCTAGCTATGAGCACGTTCCAGGTTGTTCTGGTTCCCACCATACTGGGTGTCCTGACCAACGAGTTCTTCCCCAATATTGTGAAGAAACTGAAGCCCATCCTGCCCCTGATCGGAGTCGCGCTCACCACACTGCTGTGCGCGTCGCCATGCGCGCAAGTCGCCACCATTCTGAAGTGAGTCTTCAGTCTGATGCAGGTCTCTCTGAAGCACTTTTGTAGCTCTAGTAGTTCTTGCAGTGCTACGCCTGAACCTGAATCTGCTCTTGAACTTTGGTGCAGGGCTCAGGGCCTGGACCTGTCAATCCCTGTGGCTCTGCTCCATGTGGCAGCGTTCTCTATGGGCTACTTCATCTGCAAGGGTATTGGATTCAATGAGAAGACCTGCCGGACTGTCTCCATTGAGACGGGTGAGCCCGGCATCCACCCCAATTGCATCAGTGTCCCTCTCGAGTGTCTTCTTTACCCCCTCCTCTGCTCGTGTATGCACAGTCATCATGTGATGATTGCATGCAGTGAACGTACCTATCTAGTACTCTAGACAGCATCGTGGGCTGATCCTTCATATTGCAAGTGCATTTACTGCAGACTGACAGCATGGTTTGTGACGCAGGGATGCAAAGCGCAGCATTGGGATTCTTACTGGCACAGACCCACTTCACTGACCCCTTGGTGGCTGTGCCTTCCGCCGTCTCTGTGGTGTTCATGGCCCTGGGAGGATCTGGCCTGGCTGTGTTCTGGCGCAACAAGCCCACACTGGATGGTTGATGGGTTTGCCACTCGGCCTCTGAACGGTTCAACAGACTGGCAATGATCAAATGGCTGCACGGAAACAAATATGGGCACTGTTAGACAGGCTGGTTAGTCAGCTCAGACACCGAGAAATGTTTCCTGTAGCGTTTTCACTAGTGACAGGATTGACCTTTACTGACCCTTCTGCAGACATGTGACAAGCCTCTGCATATGCTGCAAAATTATTGCTTTGACACTCTATTTTGGATTGAGGAGTTGATGTGATTCCTTTTGGTTGCTTTGTCTATTTGAGAGATGCTATGTGTGGTAGCATGCATGTTTAAGGCCCTTCAACATGAAGGCCCTTGAGCGCATGTCGGTCAAGCTTGGAGTCTTGATTGCGCAAGTCTTGGGTGAAGCGATACGCTACACTTGTTCACGAATCACCCTACCCATCAGCCCAAGATTGTCAGCAAATACAAAAATGTCATGATAAGTTTGCATGCGCAAATACGTGCCTCAACAGCCAAGGGCAGTATTGTCAGAAGCATTGCTGGTATTGTTGACATCAGTGTTGATGTCAAGTGCACTGCACTGCTGCATAGCTACAGAGCGTGAGGCAGCCCTTCCGTAAGAGACTTGAGGCTTGATTATTAGTACTGTTTAGATCACTGCAGTCAGATCTTCTAGGACTATAATTCTGCCAGGCGCTGAGCTTATTGGAAAAAAGCATACAGACTCCTTAAGCGCAATACTCACAGAGCCTAAGGTGTCTTACATTTTCCTGGGCACAGCCAGCCTCATGTACTGGGTAAACAAAGCATCAATCGCACGATTCTCTGCGGCTCTCCTGCAATGACCTTATGAGGAATATCCATGCGAAGAATGTTCTGGCCACTGGCCCTCCTACATGGTTGTAAATACAGTCCAACAACATATGCTAGCTCCTGTACCCTCCGATTATAAGGGTATCAGGGACCAGCAACAACTTTGAAAAGATCATGGTAATGAAGGTTTGCACATCGAAGCATGGCATCCTTGAAGCCTCTGTCTGAGCATGGGAAGTATTACAGCGCCAGGCATGTACACTCAGCTTCAGAAGGACAGCACGATGTAGGAGCTTCCTCCTACTTCTTCAAGAAACTGAGACCCTTCTTGGCCTCCTTCTGCAAGTTGCCATCCTTCTCTTTCACCACTAACTGAATGTTCTTGGCCTGGGCAATCTTCAGCGCCCCAAAGCCCACTGCCGCCAGCAAAATCCCAACCTTCCAAAAGGGGAAGCCCCTGCATGAGACGCATCGACTTCAGACACAGATCTCACAGAAGAGGCCACTGGGGTCCGTGTTGCTTTGCAAATGATCCATATCTGGTTAGAATTGGCAGGTATACTTGTGCAGTAAATCAAGCAATGACAGTGACAATGAAACACAGAGCACACACTTCTTCTTTGGCGGCTTGCTGTTTGATGCATCTTTTGAAGATGGCCTCCTGCTCGAGCTGACCGTGCCTGTGACAGTCACGTCAATTTCAGAGTCTGTCTCATTCCCGTCATAGCCATCTGAGAGTGCACACTTTGGAGTTTGCACAGATGCGTGCACTCACCATTTTCTGGCGAGTACCCCTTGAACGACAAGGCAGGCTTGAACCCCACAGGCTGTGCCTTTGCCCCATCTGTGCAAAGGTGAGTCACAATCAGCACATTGCTATCATAAATGTTCATTGTATCAGTTCTGGACAAGAGTGGAAGGTGGAGGCTGCAATACGGGCGCATCAATCTCTTGAGTCACCTGCGGTGCCGCCACGGTCCTTCAAGGTCTTCACAAAGTCCATGCTGATCCGGATGAAACCCCCCTCCCCACCGGCGCCTGGCTTGAAGAGCTCAAAGTACTTGTCAATGGGAACGGCATCCATGATGTCATTCACGAAGATGCCTGCGGTATGAAAAGTCCACATTCAGATCAGGACAACCAAAAGATTTGCAAGCTTGCGGATGTGCATGAAGGGTTGCATGCAGATTCCGGGCAAAGTGACACGCCAGACCATGGCCCATTGCATCCATTGAGGAGGAAGATCACCGCATGCTGCAATGACTGATGTGCCCACCCTTGTACCAGATCGTTTTTCTCTGCAGAGCATGAGCCGAAGCTCTGTTGCATTCTCCAAGACATCCCTGTCAAACCTCCAAACGTCAGCTTTTTCACCCCAGATTTTGGCAGACTTCGAGATAAGTGTCAAAAGCAAAAGTCTTCCTTGGTGGACATTCTTAAATGTGACGCGCTTATTTGATATGATCAGTGACTCAGGCAGACAGGTACTTACAGGACGAGCTCCTCTTGCCAGTTGATGGAGTTGGCAAGAACACGTTTGGGTGTAGATTGGACCTGGAAAGCACAATTGTTTAAGATCAGAAGGAGTCTTGCAGTCCACTAGCAATGTATTGCACAAACAATATACAGATGACCTGTTCTCCAAGCCTTGTCAAGTCTCAGTAGAGTTAAATACCTTGACGTTCTTGGCCCCTCCACGAATTTCAACTGCAAAGACCAACCAAAGAAGTCGCTCAGTACTGTGGCATAGAAGGATTTGCGGATTGTCACTCCCTCAAATGACCACTTAATATTCACTGTACCTTTGACAAAACCCTCCACGAAGTTGGGATCCCAGACGAGTTGGTCTTCCTTATTTTTTCCTGAAGCCTCTGCAACGTTGATGATAAAGTGACCCTTGATTTTCGGTGGCTCCGCCATTTTTCCCCAGCCCTGCGCCTGCAAATAGCAAAATTTACTGCTTCACTTGTGCGTTCGCAAGACTTCCCGCGCTCGTGCGTTGCATGCAGCCTGCTGGGATGAGGAGCGACACTTGATGGGCGACATGATACAAGAGACAACGCTTAATGGATGATGTAAGTCTTTTGAGGCTGCGTCGCACCTCACTCAAACCACGATGGTGCCCTCAGAAGACCTTGTTCTTGGGCAGTAAATGGTTAGCTTGACGACGTCTTCATGCACGGTCCACGATCATTGTGGCATCCATGGCAAAATTGTCTGGTTCAAGGTTGCGTGAGGATTCCAACCGTGCATTCTCCATGCACCAAGCCAGGGATCATCGACAAGATTTTGCTGACGTTTGTGCAAATTTCCGTAAATTTGCAGGTCCCGTAGAGCTTGCAAGGCATTTGCCTTTCACGCCTCCTTGTTGCGCTTCCTACGTCTTCCTCGATCAAACTGTTTCTGGAAATTCTAGATTGATCTTGTGAACGAGAGCAGTCTCAATATCTTGCAGGAACATAACAGGAACATCAACCACATCGTAGAAGACTTGTTCCCTTTGCAGCGGGCGTACTGACACTTCCTGCCATTGAAGGGCACCGAAGAATTCATTACATCGCCTTATCACTCTTATCCAATGGTATGCGGTCCTGTCCATGGAGTGTCTCCTTTACGTGGCTTCCATCTGACTATTCTCATCGCTGCTCTCCCAAGTTTGCATGCGATCTCGGGAAGTGCAACGTTGCTGACATGTATTCAATCATATGACTTTAGTCAACTGAGAGTCAATGCATCTCAGGAACTTCGAGTTGGTCCTGAAAATCACTTGCCCTTACGCAGGACGAGCAAAAGGCTCTGCCTCATATGGTCCAACCTCATGATGCCCTGCGCTTGGGGATCAGCTCACTGAAAGACCAAGCATCGGTTGTCCACCCTGTTGAGGCCATCCAGAAGAACGTAGGTGGTTGATGTCTTGTGACCAGTGTCCCTGAAAGCCCTGACTTCCAGCTGTGCGTTGATATCATACACTTTGCGCAAGATTGATGATTTAACTGGCTGCAGCACCCCAAGAACCAGGAGGAGCTGAAGCTGGGGATGCTGCGCAACTTGTATGGGTCTGCTCTCCCGGCCAGGATGCAGTTGGACAAGCAGATTCTGAGCAAGTAAGCTACCGTTGGCTGAGCTGTTTTTACTTATCCTGTACCTAGCTGCATCGCAGTAAGTCCTCAATGCAGGGACAAGCATTGATATTCCGTGCTGTGCTGCAGGGTTGGCAGGCTCCCGGGGATGCCATCTTCTCAGTTGGGTCTGCAGTCCTTGACCGGAGAGCTTGACGACTTTGGCTTTGAGTCTTACATCGGGCTTCCAGAAGACAGTGAATCTCCAGGGCCTGACATGCACTCACTGATGGAGGCCAAGCACAAGCTGGGCTTGCAGCCTGTCACAAGGTCTATCATATAGGCAGTCCAGCATCAGCTGCTGATGGAAGAAATGGGAAGTACCTGCAGTACATGATGCAGAAAGTGGTATTCTGCACCAGAGCACAGCTGTAGATCCGGTGCTAAAAGGCTAGCACCGGAAGTGAACTAGGCACACCTTTCTAGACATCGCATGCAAGGTTTGCACCTTTATGGAGCCTTGCTGGATCAGGCAGCCACGGCAAAGTTCTGGTCATTTGCAGCTGCTATTGATGTCCACCTTCAGCATGCAGATGCGTGTTAGATTGACAGCCGCAGCGGCTGCTTAGAAGTGAAGACAAACAGACTCTGATTGACCGCGATGAGGATCGACTTGAAGTGGGCCTTCGTCTATAAATTGTCAGTAGCCACGTGAGGCAACTTCACTGTGACTGAAGGAATGCAAGCAGTAATGCAATTGCAGCATCATCATGATATTAATATCATTTATGATGATTATGCCATCATGGCATGATGCCAGCAGGGAGAAGCTGTGGGAGGAAATCGTTGATGAGTCATGCATGTCATATGACTCCACCGTGCAGCTGTGACAGCGGTACCATTCAAAGCCACAACGTGCATGTGCATACTGTTGTGCTCATGTCACATGCATATGATCAGTCTGATGCCATGATCAGAACAGAAGGGTGCCATGTATGGCCAGCTTGCCTGGCCAGGGGCAGGGGGCGTTTGGCAGGGGAGAACATCAAGAGTCTTGATGCATCTGAGATACACAGAATCCGATGGAGATGACTTGGTTCTGAGAGAAACATCGTCGTTATTCTAGGACTGTGAATGGATTTAATGTATTGCAAGTGAAGCTGACTCCTTTTCCAAAAATGTCTGGTTCAGCAGCTCTTGAAGCTGTTGTTGCACGGCTTGAAAGTGTCGCAGCAAGACTGGAAGCGACCGAGGTGCGCGACATAGCCAATCCAAAACCTATTGGACGCCTGTTCAGATCGCATCGCGATGCACTGCATGTTTCTGTGAGGCCTGCGTGTCTGCATCTTGCAATACAAGCCCACCATCACCCTTCTTTTGCGCAGATTTGTGCCGCTGCTCCTGGTAATGTAACAAAGCAACCGACGGCCGCAGCTATCAAGGGGTCCTCTGCGAGTTCTAAGAGCTCGTCGACGACCGAATCTTTGGAAGGATGGGACACACTTGTATCACCTCACGTTTCTGCGCTGCTGTCCAAATCTGAGGACCTGGGAGATGAGGTGAAGATCGGTTGGCATTTCAAGAAAAGCTGGTGGCATATGTTTCCCTGGCGCATCAAATGTGATTCAATAATGCTGTGCAGGTTCACAAAGCCAGCACAGTTGTGGACAGAGCTTTCAAGGTATGCAGTGCGCCACCACTACTTGTATTGGGAGCCTGATGCAAGCTTTGCAGAATGAATGCATGACCTCCTTATAGATGGCAGTCATCTGGCAGTCCAGACAGGCATGTGCGCTTGCAGGCTGAGCGCGTGGTTGTGGAAGCCATTGCTCAGTGCAAGCAGCCTGACATGGGAGGCCTTCAGAAGCTCGTTGAGCCTGTCGGTGTGGAGATATCTGCTGCCGACAAGCTCACCCAGGGGCGACGCAGCGCTGCATTCAACTACAGCAAGGCGGTGGCCGAAGCTCTTCCTGCCCTGAGCTGGGTTGTCTACAGCGGACCCTCCTGCGGTGAGGGCAGGCTGACAACAAATGCCATGTACAAAGTGGCAAGTTTGATGTGGACCCCTCACCTGACCGGGTGCATGATGGAAGACGCTGTCAGGAAGGGTGCAAAAACAATAGAGGGGTGATGGCTGCGTGCAGGCATGGACCCGCCACCCAAGCATGTGGAGAACCATCTGCAGAGCGCAGAGTTCTGGACGAACAAGATCCTGCTGGAGAATCGCACAGCGCCACATGCGGACTGGGTGAAGGCCCTCAAAGACCTCCTGAAAGGCCTGTGCACCTACCTGAAGACTCACCACTTCTCGGGGCCGGCATGGAACGCCAGTGGCATCCCGCTGTCCCAGTTCAAGCCTGGAAGCACACCATCAGCAGGTGTGGTAGCCCACATGTCCTTCCATTCTCGTCCCACAGATGTGAGAGCCTAATGAAGCCTTATAGCCGTTTCAATGAACGGCAAGTGCTGCAGCTGTCCAAATCATTAAAGCTCTGCGTCTACTTTCTGGGTCCCCCACAGGACCTTTGCTCAAGAAAAATTTTTGAGGTGCTGAGTTCATGCGCTGGTGTTGGCAGGGCCGCCAGCAGTGCAGGCGGCTGGCTCCAATGGTGCGCCAAGGAGAGGTCCGCCGGCCCCACCGCCTCCCATGCCCGCCGGGGGCCCCGGTAGCCTCATGAAGGACGCGCCCCGGAAGCCTGCTGCTGCCGGCATGAGCGCGCTCTTCTCAGAGCTCAACAAGGCGCGCTCCAAGACCTCGCTAGCGATCTGATCAGAATACTTGCACGTTTTCTGTTTGCATGAGCTTCCTGCATGAGCCTGTTGCATGGTGCATACGTTGTGGTGCCAGAGCTCATGTTTGGACACGTGCCAGAGTGACTCTCAATTGACAGTCTGTCATGGCGCCTGACCAGGGCGACACAGTGACCCAGGGGCTGCGCAAGGTGACTGATGACATGAAGACAAAGAATCGAATAGACCGGTCAGGCGTCGTGCCTTCAAGCGCGGGCAAGAAAAGCTTCCTAGATCCTAAGTGTCTGTCCTCAAATAAATTAGAGCTCCTGTTCACCTTTTTCTTTCCTCGTCCTTGATTGCGCTTGTCAAAAATTTATTTCTGACTAGTAAGTGTTTGCATTGCAGAAGTGCCCAGCACATCTGGCAGCAAAAGTGCACCTGCAAAGCCAGCAGCAAGCAAGCCCCCGAGGACAGAGTGCGAGCAGGGCAGGAAGTGGGTGATTGAGAACCATGTGGGCAACCCTGAGATTGTCATCTCAGACACAAACCCACGCCAGGCTGTGTACATCTACAAGTGCTCCAACTCCACCATCCAGGTCAAAATTTTGGTCTATAGCAGCTGTGCACAGTGAATGATAGCCAAAAATTTTGCATCAGCCATGACCCGGATGTCAAAGCATGACGCAATCAAGTTTTTGCAGGTGAAGGGGAAGGTGAATGCGATATCAGTGGACTCCTGCCAGCGCGTGGGCCTGCTCTTTGAGGACATTGTGGCGGCATGTGAACTAGTGAACAGCACAAGGATACAGGCGCAGGCCACCGGGGTGGTGCCGACCATCGCTGTGGACAAGTGCGACGGTGTGCAGGTGCAACACTTTATCCTCAGCTGTTCAACCTTGCAGTCCGCGCTTCTGACTTCAGGTGTTCTGTCAAGCCTCTGCACACTCATCAGCGTGGCTCTTTCTTGGGCTGACTTGGGCTGTGTGCTGCAGCTGTACCTGTCTGCAGACTCACTGGGAGTTGACATCACAACTGCAAAATCCAGCGAGGTGAATGTCATCGTGCCGGGCGCCACGCCAGAGGCAGATCTAGTGGAGCATGCCATCCCCGAGCAGTACTTGTCACAGTACAAGAATGGGAAGTTTGTCACAGCTCCAGTCAGCCACAGTGCAGGATGATCCATCAATGTGACAGCGGCGTTATCGCAACTCTGAAACAGCTTACACAAATTTCTTCTGATATACGAAGTGCAAGTGTCATTGTTTTGTGACTCTACCCCGCCCTGCACTGTTCGCCAAAGCTTGGTGGCAAGAGCGTCAACACAGTTCCTGTGATACCTGCGTGTCAAATGAGGGTGCCAAATCTCAAGAATTCCACCAAGTGCAAATGCACTTTGATTGTCAGTCATGTCAAAGGCAAGGGGGTTGAGCATGGAATGACCGCCGAGATCATAAGAACATGACATATGGGGTAACATTACAGCGATTTGCGACTATTGGACAATCTGAAAAAATAGCGGGATTGGCGAAGAACATGCTCACTTGAGCTGCATGCACATAAAAGCTCACAGGAGCAAGAAAGGCAACGGGCATGGGTCATCCGTATAACGTCAACAAGTTAGTTGACAGTTATTGACCATTCGAGCGCTCAATTTGAAGAATATACCCTAGGCTGCGCAACAGGGCCGCTCCACCATTGTGAAAAATATAACACCCTCAAACACTTACCAACACATACACACAACTTTCAAAATTGGCCCATGTGGTGACGGCACCTTTCAGGTGCAGGTTACACATCGAGGGCAGATACCATAAGATGTGAACAGCTGCGAAAAAGATGGTCGGTGCCCATCGCTCATCAACACATTATCTCTCTGCATAGTGAATAAAAAGCCCGGCTGAAACCTGAAACTTCCATCCGAGATGTAGGCATCATCCATAACAACGTTTCAGACTGTCTCTCCATCCACGTTCTGTCATACACAAATTAATACGATACAGGTCACAGTAGTTGTCACACACCACCGAAAAGAGGCCCAAAGCAACTTGGCCCATCTGGTGCTGGGTGGTCTTGTCATCCAGGACACTGCTCACACGGCCTCAGGCGGCTCTTCTGGCGTTTCCACACTGAGGTGCCGCCTGGAGACAGAGCACTGGTAGGGGCTGGTGCCCTTTGGGGGCGTGACAACCACCGAGAAGACATCATCCAGCAGGCTGTTCACGTGGGCCACGAAGTCATCCGGCTGCGCCACAGTTTCCTCCTCCTTGGACACCAGGGTGCACCCCTCAAAGTGCACGGACTGGATCTTGCTGAGCGCCAGCTGGTCTGCAAAGGCGGCCCAGCTGTCCCCCAAGCTGACCACTGTGTCGTACACTGCCAGGTGCTGTGGCCTGCTCTTCTTAACCCAGCCATCCAGGTCCATGATGGACTGCCCACCAGGACCTCCCAGACTGCCCGCCTGGGCAAAACATGTTCTTCAGATTTCGTGATTTGAATGAGTCGCAATCGAATTTGGTCAATGCACTGCAACCATTGCATGGGCAATCATTGGTCCAAGGCCGAGCAGGTTCAAAGGAAGCTGCTGACCTGGATGGAGCAGCTGGCGATGGTGAGGCGGTGCAGCTGCAGGGCCTGTGCCAGCTGCGGCGCAGCTGCGCGGCAGTTGACCAGCGTCAGCTCCTCCAGCTGAGGTGGCAGCCAGGTCACCTTGACATGCTCCAGGCGCAGCACCCTCACCTGCAGCAGGCTCTCCAGCCCCTGTGTGCACGCGCGCCCATCCTGCACATCCATCCTACCCACTTGCGTCGATGCATAAAAACAGCCCATCAGACTCCCAGCCAGACTCGGTCTGGATCACAGGTACCATATGCGCATGCCACTACCTGCCCAGGCTGTCATGCATGGAATTGCCATGTGAGCTCAAGCATGCAAACACATTCCAGTCCAGCACTTTATGATTGCCAATTGCATGGAAAGACCTCCACAATGTGGAAAAGGGAGGAGAGCAGGGGAGTTATGATGACCTGGTAGGTGAGCGAGAGGTGGCTGCATGCAGAGGGGATCATGATGGGCCGCGGGCGGCCCCTCAGCCCGAGCTCAAGCAAGCCGGGGTACTCTGCTGGCAGCGACTTGTCAAACTCGCGCACGTAGAGGTTGCGCAGCACAGTCACAGTCTTTGCGGGCTCCTTCCAGGCTGGCGAGGTCAAGGCCTTGGTGCCGCGTGTCTCCTTGTGGAACCACTCAATTCCACCCACCTGCAAGCATGGCCCAGCACACTTCACCACAGGCCCACCAGCAACCAACACAGGACATCGGCGTTGAGGCATTCTTTGCATGTCAGATAAAACTCTGTAGCTGCCAGCCAGGCCCAGCACTGGAACCCCACCATGATATTGAGCTGGACGAGGCACAGAATCTCCTCAGAGGTCATGTGCCAGCCAAAGTGCAGGTGCACAGGCAGGCCAGTGGCAGCCACCGCTTCGCAGACAGTCGAGCTGAAGAGGACCTGCTTTGTGAAGTCTGTCCCCATGTCCAGATACCCCAGGCCCTCCGCTCTGCGCACACTGCAGGTCGCACACAAGGCCTTCCAAGATTGACGGAAGTGGACACTTCAGATTGTTACTGTAGATGACCTAGAGTAGAAAATCATTGGGGGACACATATGCATTGGAGCACTGCTTTGAAAATAGACCTACAGATTAGAGAGGCTTGGGAATCTCACATGGCCTGCAGAGCATCTCCGCGCGGGATGCTGCGGCGATTGAAGACAACCCGGGGGTCCCTGGAGTGCTCGCCTGAGCCGGGGCCATAGTAGGTGCATGCAAAGAGGTCCCCCGCCTTCTTGCACACCTCCTGCACCACGCGCGCCAGCTCCTGCCCATCCTCGCTGCGCTCCCCTGGAGCACGCCACAGGCACGTAAATATGGAACTGTCCACTGACTCCGTCTTGGTGCAAGAAAATAAAATCATGCACCCTGAAACATGAGAGGCAGGCTGTGCCGTTTGGCGATTGATCCAAAGAAGGGAAAACCATAAATGGGCTTCTCCTGTCTCACCGTCGGTATCGGTAATGAGCGTGATGTCGATCTCCTGCAGGCTGCCCTTGCACAGCTGCTCGATGAAGATGGGCCCCAGGAAGCTGGCGCGGTCTGCCTCGTCATACAGGCCTGGGACGGTCAGGCGCAGGACTCGTAGCCGAGGAATGAACAGGAACTCCGTCAGACGGACGGCGTGCAGCCGCATGGAGTAGCTGCTCATGGGAACGTACACCACCTCCAGCGAATCCAGGATCTCCAACCGCCTCAATTTCTGCAACAACCAAGAATACCGTCTAGTCTTTATTCACGATGCTGTGAGTATTTCAGCGATTATTGCATACTGGTGCCTAGATGTCACCTGATTTCTTTCAATGAAAGGAAGCAGCATGATGCATGGGACTGAATGAAGAGGACATTTTACTGCGCTGTCAGCGCGCATCTTTCGTCATCACCTTCAGGCAAGGAGTGGTGAGTGCGACATATTTGAGTGGGGGAAAGGGGAGCGACTGACCACATAGAATTGGCCAGAGGCCCCGGCAGGCAGGCTGCCGTAGGGGGGTCGGATCTCCATCAGGCCCACATGGGTGATCTGGCTGGGCAGCATCAGGTGCGTGGGAATGATCCTCCTGAAGTACATGGTGTCCAGCGCCGGGAAACACCCTGCAAATATGAAGCTCATGCTTTCTAGTAGATACAAGTTAATTTTGCAGCATTCTTAAAGAGCGCTGACCCCTCAGAACACCAATTGCACCAAGAAAACAGTGAGGATCCAACGGACCTTCGCAGCAGGATTCCTCAAAGAACAGGAGCGCATCCTCCTTCACCACACTCCAGTCACTCAAGGTGGCGCTGCGCAGGCAGCCGCTCAGCGGGCTGTCCCTCAATAGACTGACCCATTTTGCTGCGGTCACCAGATCCACATGACATTCTTGAACGCGGAAATCTCCTGACGACGCATGGGCCAGGCCAATTTCCGATTCGAATGTTACGCTCAGTGGGGCTGTTGCTGCCAGCTCAGCACCCACATCCTGCACGTCAGCATGACTGTCATCTCCAGAAGCACAACGGCGTTCAACTGAACGGAGCATTTCCAGCAAGAACAGAAGTCATAATAGGATTAACAAAAGTACCTTCCAAAATTGGTTGACAAGAAGCAGTTGGCCCCAGTTTTGTGCATGCTGAAAGTGAAGGGGCACCACACTGCTGGAATCTCCCTTGCCACCAAGCACCAAGCGGAACACACGCTGGAGCAGGTCTCGGTTGCCTAGCACTTCTTCAACCCTACAGCGACCAGCACTCGTGTGATGAACATGGGCTTGCCAGTGTGCATAACGGATTGTATATATTGCACCCATTACAGCGGGAGTGACGCCTTACCTTGTGCAGACTGCTGACATGTGGAGTGCACTCCAAGTGGAAAGAACCCTGATAAATCACCTGGAGCACAACAGATGTCCTGAAAGTTCTAATACGCCATCAGGATTGCCTTGAAGTGACATGTGCTAGAAAAATGTAAGTAATGAAGTCCTACTGTCACACTGCATCCTTTGAGCAGGATACGCCGTTTTGAGATTTGTACAGGGATGACTGCCCACCTGCCTTGGCACACAAACTTTGTGGATATCACCCCTGAGAACAGCTACACAATGCTGCGCTCAGGGGCACAGGTTGTCCATTTTTATTCGCTGACGTTGGTGATTCTCAAGAGCCGGCTGTCTCGTCACAAACCTGCGAAATGCCAGAATGAGAATACATTAGAACTTCTCATCTCTCCAATGTCCTTCAGGGTGTGCCTGGGTCCATGGTTGCTGGGCTGCAAAGTGGATCATCACAGATCATGCCGTATGACGTGGAAAGCCATCGGATTTTTTCCCTCGAAGATTTTTGGCCCGCGCACTTTTTGCGAGTTTTGGAACGGTTGTATATAGGATAGTCGCCTAGTGACGTTGTCTTTCATAGAAAGAGATTTATCTGATACATCCGTAGACCGACCACGCACCTAGCAAAAGTCCAAAGTTTGACTTTTTTTGGTCGAGTTAGATGTCCTTGTCATGTCTGAGCAGGCCCCTGACGGGTGCGATCTGCAACGGTCTGGCCGCTAATCGGCTTCCGTTTGGATGTCCCAGGCGAGTGAGCCGTGTTCGATTGAGAGATAATGTATCAATATCTCGTGGCAAGTTGATGCAGAGTATACTTGTTTGTCCATCTGTTGCCTACGAGGCGCAAACAAACGAAGGAGTGAACGACGAAGCTGAAGACTTCTACGCTATCCTGGGCGTGGTGAGTCCAGACATGCAAGGATCCTTGATCCACCTGTTGAAGTAAACTTATCACCCCCAGCCCAGACTTTTGAAAACTGCCAGAGAATTGCCACTGGCTCGATCATTTGGGCTAACGGATGGCTCGTTGTGTCACACCCAGCATGATGTCTGTCTCAAGTCTTGGTCTGATCTGATGTTGTGTGTATGTCAGACCCCAGACGCTTCTGAGAAGGAGATCAAGCAGGCTTACTACAGAGTAATGAGAGCCTGCCACCCAGATGTGGTCAGCGTGGAGGGAGAAGATGATGAAAGCTCAGCAGAGGAAGTCTGTGTATTTGTCAACGACATCTATGAGGTGTGCAGCTAGTTTGAAAGTGTGAGACCGCGCTCTTGTGCTGGATACTTCATCTCTGCAGTTGCGTCACTTTGCAGAGAACAATTCCATTTTTGGTTGCAAGTGCAGACCTTGATGGACAGAGAGAAGCGTGAGGCTTACGATGCAATTGCGGGATTCTCTGGCAATGCGCTAAACCCCTTCTATGACACAAGTTATGAGCGGAGCCAGGTATGTGGCAACACATCACTGCCTCTTGATGCCTGTATTGTCCACTTGACTGTGCCTGACGTTGTCACTTTCATTGCAGGTGTTTGTCAGCGAGTATGACTGTATCGGATGCAAGAATTGCACCAATGTATGCCCCAAAACATTCGCAATAGAGGATGAGTATGGTCGAGCTAGGGCAATGCAGCAAGGTGCGCAAAAGGACTGATGCCAGATAATTCTTGTCACATCAAATCGTGTTGCTTTTTCCCTGAGGCATGCATCTCTGTCTGAACCACTCATCACAACTGTGGTGCGCAGGTGGCAGCACAGATGAACTACTGCAGGAAGCGATTGACACCTGTCCTGTGAATTGCATACATTGGGTAAGGTCTTGCCAAATGTTTTGAGTGCTGGTCAATAACAGCGTACTCTGCAGCAGGATATGTCTATCAGAGTGGCGCAGACAAGGAAGATTTCAGCCAGAGTTGTCAATATGGTCCTGCTATGTCTCTGTGTAGGTGACAGCACCACAGCTAGCTCTGCTTGAGACCACAATGGCCAAGATGGAGAGGGTGGATGCTTGGATCCTGATGATGGGTGGCGGCAGCGGCGTTGATGTCTTCATGGTGAGCACATGCGCCCGTGTTAATTGTGCAAGGATCTTTGGCTCGTGCTCACCTCAGCTAGTACAAATATTGCCCATCTTTCCTATCTACAGATTTCTGGCCAGTCGATTGCAAGTCTATTTGCCTTTGTGATCACGTGGCTTGGTGGAATATGTATAACAGACGCCTGTGAAAAATGGGGGTATTAAGGAAACCTGGGGTGATCAGCAACAAACCCATCAGGGTCGATTGGCCTCGCGGCCGCTGCGGGCGTCACTTGTTCAAAATACCTGAAGAGGAATGTGTGAAGCTGATGTCATCGGCTTCCCATGAACACAGGAAGCTGCCACTGCATGGGAGAAGCGGCAGGCGCGCATCAGGGCCAGACGGGAGGGTCCCAAGCGCGGCTGGATGTGGGGCGGGCAGGAGGCCGCCACAGCCAGCGCTTACAGTGGAGGTGGTGGGAACTCGACTGCTACTGGAGGCAGAGCGCAGGAAGCTGCAGCAGCCACTGCGGCATCTGCCAGAAGGTAAATTCACTAATGGTGTCCGGTTTATATCTATACTATATAGATTCTATAGTACGTGTGTGTTGCTGCGTTGCTGGAGTGGGCCAAAGATTGTGATATACTTCATGTTGTGATCTGGGTGTCTAGAATGTTGCTGAGGGAGGACTGATGATGTCGCAGGTGGCGAGACTTTCAGCGGAACAGGCAGAGTGGTGCAGTTGGGCACTTGCCACAGAGCAAGAAGTGAGTCTCACCAGGAACACTCATGTTGCGCAGCCAGTTTTAAATCCACGTGTGCTGCTGTATATTTCTTTTTTTGGCGAGAGACATTGATCTTGAGCTGTACAACATTGCAATTTTCTTACGGCGAAGAGAAGAATTTTTGGGAGCTGGGTGTGGCGAACTACAAAGCATGTGAGGACGCTTGACACGAGAAGAGAATAGTGTACCGTAGTAGAAGACTAAGATCAGACTGCAATTTGATGATGAGTAAACATTAGTTGCTATGCGCTCAATGGCACCACCTCTCCTCCTGCGTGACCTAGAAATCTGGGCTTGCTATGGGAAGGATGATGTATTCTGCAAAGCGAATCGTAAGTTGCAATCATGAGAAATTTCTCGATTGGCAACCATAGTGGGAACAACCAATACCAGATGAGAGGAGACCTGTATTATTCTTCAGCGCAGGATTTTGCATGTGCATGAGCAGATCTCTAGAGCTTTCGAGTAGTTTGCATGAAATCATCGTTGGTTAATCATCTGTTAATCAAGTTCGCAGAATTCGATATGAATCCATAAGTGAGGCCTCGACTTGGAGTGCTTCATCGATGGGCATATACTATAGAGCTCTGGCTAGTATACTAGCTACGTAGCTGCTGTATGGGACCTTCAAATTGCAATTCTATTTTGCAAAGGGTATTTTTGTAAGTGGTATTCTCACGGGCTTTGATGGCCCTGGCTATTATTGAGGAGGTGCAAGAAGAAATCTTAAGATCTTGGCATTTTGCAGCTCATGCGGTGCAGCTTTGGAATGAATATCAATTTGCCTTTCAGGGGAAACTGAAAGTTTCAAGTCATGTCTTCTGTGCGTACAAGGTGCCCCAACATGACATGTGGCATTGGCAGGTCAACACGCTCCTCACACACAAAGCTTAAAGCGATGCACACAGCCAGGCAGACAGTGCACAGTTTGCAAAGCCTGTCTCCTTGCTTGGGTCGATCGCTGTGGCAGTTCATGCATAGTATGAAAGATTGGCTTTCTTCTTGGCTTGCACCTGGATGATGCCCTCATTGAAGTCCTCATGATTCACCTGCACAGAGCAACGCACAAGTGACAACTTGCATGCATGCATAGTCGCACCAAAAGTTATGCAGGCCTCGACACACAAGCAGAATCCCGTTCAGGTCTGCTTTAAGCCACCAAATGCAGGGGCCAGGCAAGCTTCACAATTCTAATATATGATGAATAGAATAGGCTTTACAAATGGTGCACAGCAGCAAACGAGGCCAAAGCATTTGAAGCAAGCCACACCTCGGTGGCATCTCTCCGGAGGGCGAGCATGCCAGCCTCCACACAGACGGCCTTGAGCTGCGCAGCATTGAAGTCGTCGGTGGAGCGCGCCAGCTCCTCAAAGTTGACGTCCGGCGACACGTTCATCTTGCGCGAGTGGATCTGCAGGATCTTGGCGCGCGCGTCTTCCGACGGGTGCGGGAACTCGATCTTGCGGTCCAGCCGCCCCGAGCGCATCAGCGCTGGATCCAGAATGTCCGCCCTGTTCGTGGCCGCTATCACCTGCCATGCCACACGTTACCTCTGTCAGCACACCCATGGTTCTTTCCCACCAGCAGAACATAGACAGACAGGACATCTCATTTCCCCACCGTCTTCGCATCCACAGGACCTGGCCCCCTGTTCAGATAGATGTTGGCTTCTTTCCTTCTGCCACCAGAGGGGCATGCGCTTACAGGCGATATTTTCCCCAACCTCCCCCTACCGATCCCGTCAGGAAGACCATTCGGTGGAGGGGCGGTGGTCAGGCGGGGGAGCCCACCTTGATGTTGTCGTCGGAGGAGAAGCCGTCGAGCTGGTTGAGCAGCTCCAGCATGGTGCGCTGCACCTCGCGGTCGCCGCTGACCTCGCTGTCAAAGCGCTTGGTGCCGATGGCGTCGATCTCATCGATGAAGATGATGCACGGCGACTTCTCCTTGGCCAGCGCAAATGCGTCGCGCACCAGCTTCGCGCCGTCACCGATGAACATCTGCGCACCACAGTGATTGTGCGCCATTCAGCACAAGCAACCTCCCAGGACCATGGGCATAAAACGCCTCCTCATGCATGTGATGGATGTCTGGGAAGTGGTCCAGATTGTGACCTTCCGCCCACTGCCGACTAAAGTTAAAAATAAAAAGTGAGATCATGATGAGAGCTGCAGAGGTGCGTAGGACGCGGACCTGCACGAGCTGGGGGCCGGCGAGCTTCAGGAAGGTAGCGTTGGTCTGGGCTGCACAGGCTCGTGCTAAGAGGGTCTTTCCTGTGCCGGGTGGACCGTACAACAACACTCCCTTGGGCGGCCGAATCCCCAGCGCTTTGAAGCGGTCCTTCAGGCAAGCCGAACATTGCATCAGGTTTCTTCTGTAGATGCTTGAGCAGGATGCAAGGAGGCCATCAGCGCCATCACGGTATGGATTCAAGGATGCATGCATGCTCACCTTGTGAGTGACAGGCAAGACAATGGCTTCTACAAGCTCCTGTATCTGCTTGTCCAGGCCGCCAATGTCACTGTAATCCTCTGTGGGCTTCTCATCCACTTCCATGGCCTTCACGCGCGAGTCATACTCGGCTGGCAGAGTGTCCAGGATCAGGTACGAGTCCTGCGGGCATTTTGAAGAGTAATCAGTTGAAATTGTTCATCTGCAGCTGATAGCAAGCAGTCATATTGAGCTACAGGATGCAATGCACAAGAAGCTGTGTGGGCTTTCAAGCCCACAAGACTAGTGTGGTGCGAGGTGGGGTATGTTGCAGGCGCACCTTATTGACACCCACAAGATCTGAAGGCTTGAGAGCGTCTGCATCCACGAGCCCCACGACCGGAAGAAAGATTGTCTGCCGTGTGGAAGTCTTCAGGACCACACATTTGCCGCGTCTTTGAGAGTCCAAGTCAACGTTGGCTCCATCCTCCTCTTCGTCCTCCTCTGGCTGCATTTCGAGGACTTCCACCACATTTCCCACTAGGTACGGTAGCTGATTGTTCAGCTTGATCTTGTCCTTATTCTCCTTTATCTATACAGACGAGAGTGGTGATCAGAGACTGAATCTTCCAGAATGTCCTCACTCTGTAAGACAACGTAGCAGCCGGCATTGGATGTATCTTTGGGCATCATGTGAAAGTGCTCTGGCTGGAGCACAGTGTATTTGAACATTGGCATTGTCCCCCCAGCATAAGTCACTGACAATCAAGCAAAACTCCAATAATTGTAGCTGCAGCGAGTCCACAATGGGTGATAGGAAACTAAATACAGGTGATTTAAATGGCAGAATCAACATGAAAAAGGAATGGAACATTGGTTCCCACCTTTTCTTTCAAGCCACTTTGCTCCAAACTTAATCGTGTGGACTCGTCCTTCAGCACACGTATTTCATTGTCCAGCAGCCTCGTTCTCCTGAGAATATCATCTGCAGTCATGCTCTCGAACTCACGCGGCAAAGCATCCCCGCCATCCTCGAAAATCTCGTCATAGATGTCCATACTGGGCTATGCAACTGCACTTCCTGCAAGATAGGCGCTTCAATCGAACCACAGGGACCCAGATACGATGGATGCTATAGAGAAGTACTCAAGCCATTCACAACGCTTCAGGCCAGCACATTGTTTGCTTGCTCGAATGCTGAGATGCACTTCTTGCCAGGCTTTCTTGTAATGTGTTACTAATGGAAACTGGGCCTGTCCTGGGGCGCACCAGCCCCAAGAGTTGATGGGTTCAACCAAGTTGCAGCTGCGCGTTCAAATCTTTCGGAAGATTGACCAGGGAACTGTTACACATGTGCTGCACCTACCTGGCCGCGGCCGCCCGACCCTATCCGCAGACGGCATATGCATGCATGCGCCAGCGCCGCGCTAGCGGCTAGCAGCACCCAATTCACGGTCAGCACACCCGATACTGGGTCAGTGACTGCTGCTGGTTGCCCAGTCCAGCTGTATCAGCTGTTCTCAAGAATCATTATGCATGCCACGTATTGCAGTGCGCCGTTACAAACTTGAGTTGCTCGAGCTCTGGAGTTGCCAGCTGGCATGCAAATTCCGTCTCTGTGTAAATTGTGACATTGAGGAGCCGACCGGCTATGCTATTAAATTTTAGATATGACAAAACGGATTGCAAGCACTGCAATTTCTGGCATTTACAACCCTAAGACATTGGTTGCCAGCATGCTGGCAGCGCAGTACTGTGCGCAATGATCACCGGCGCGCAAGCCGCACCCATGTCCAGTATAATTTCAACAATCCAAACTCAAAGCTATCACAGTGCGAACTGTTCTTGCGTATGCATCCTCTGAATCTAAATTTCAATGAATTCAGAAAATCCTGCAGTATTGGATACGTGCCAGGCAAAGTCAGCTCGTAGGTCTACAAGTCTCTTGTGCTGCAAGGTATCAACAGAAAGAATTCCCAAATCTGAGCCACCAGAGGTATCAACAGGTGCAGAAATTCCCTACCAGAAAACTGTTGCTAGCTAAAATACTGCATTTCAGTACGCTCAGCTACAGTGCTGCTTCTATCAATTGCCTGTACTCCCTCTTCATCCTCACCCCCGGCAAGTGGTGCAATCTTTCCTTGTTCTTGAAAAGCTGAACAGTTGGCGTGCCAGTAATGCCGCCCGCCTGAGCAATCTGTGCGTCCTCTTCTACGTCGATCTCCACCAAGTGAAGCTGCAAGGTGACAAGCCCACACTTTCACCACGATCTCACCCAATTCACCAAACCACAAGGCTGCAGAGCCTGTCCAAGGTCAATCACATGCCAGTGACAAAAGGTGATAGCAACGGTGGCAATGCAACGCACCTTTCCGCTGAACTCGTCAGCCACCTTGCTGAAGATGGGCTTGAGCGTCCTGCAGGGTCCACATGTGGGCGAAGTGTACAGAACCACCAGGAGCCGGTCGCTGTCGTGGTACAGCTTGCGCAAGGCGAGCTCTCCCTTGTGCCGGTCTGCTGCTGGATCAAAACCGGGCGGCAGGCCCACAGTCTTCCCATTCGTGTGCTCCTGCTCATTGGCCGCCTGCTGCTTCTGCACAGCAGCCAGACAAAGAGGCTCAGAAAATCACACGCTCTGCGCCTGCTGCTCTGCACAAGAGTTAGTCAGAAGACCCCCAAGATCACATGCTCTATGCCTGCTGCTTCTGCACAGCAGACAGTCAGAAGACCCCAGAATCCACATGCTCTGCGCCTGCAGCCTGTCCATTGCTGTGATGCATGGGGCCTCAATATCCCCGCTTCAAGCTTCAAATACCCCGTGTGCAGCATACCTCCTGCTGGTGGTACTCGATGAGGAGACCACTGGCTGCCAGGTAGCGTTCGGCCGACAGGGCAGCCATGCAGCCGGAGCCTGCTGCTGTGACGGCCTGCCGCCACTCCACATCGTGGATGTCCCCCGCAGCAAACACACCCTCCACGTTGGTGCTCACCCCATGCCGCACCTGGGAGCAAGCAATGTCCAAGTCAACATATGTAACAATGTTCTCATCCTGTCAGTGGCAGCGCGCCACACAAGTGCAACCTATTCTATTCTGATACCCAAAGCGCAAGAAGGTGATGCTCACCTTGACATAGCCCTTGTCATCTAATTCAACCTGGCCCTCGATGATGTGGCTGTTTGGCTGGTGACCAATGCCATAAAAGAGGCCGCGCACATCCAGCTTCCTGTCCTCACCTGCGCAAGCAAGTTTAAACTCTATTTTTGAGCAAGACAGACGAGCAAGACATCGCATGTGTGGAATCAGAGCATCCTTATACAATGAAGAGGTGCAATAATGCAATGTCAGAAGTTCCTCACCATTCGATGTGTCCTTCAAGACCAGGCCCTTCAAGCCCTTCTTGTCTCCATATGCATCGTCCACCATCGTGTTGTAATGCACCTCCACCTTCTCATGTTCTAGCACCCGATCCTGCATGGCTGCACTCGCGCGCATCTTTGGGCCCCTCACCAGCAGATGCACCTGTCCAAGAAACATCACTTTATTCAATAAAGCAATAAAGTTTATTGCTTAGGAACATCTCAGGAAATATCCTGCCGTCTGGCTCGATACTTGCTGTTGTTCAATGCTTGTGACAGCACAGCTGTGATAAATCGTCTATCCTCACATGGTAGAGGCCTTTGCACCAGAAACAGATGTGGGGCGTCTCACACCTTCTTCCCATACTTTGTGAGATACATTGCCTCCTCGGCAGCTGTGTCCCCACCACCGACCACTGCCAGTTCCTGCTGCCTGAAATTACTGGAGGCACCATCACAGACTGCACAGGCCGAGATGCCATTGTTCCAAAACTCCTGTTCGCTGGGGATCCCAAGCCGCTTTGCTGTGGCGCCCGTTGCTATGATGACACTGTGCGCTCGAACCTGTAGAAGATTGCAGATATAAGCATTTTAAAGCAGCGCAAGGCACGACAACCACAGCAGGGTGGGGCACATCTGACGCTATCAGCAGGAACAAGAGGGACTCGCCTCAGTATCAGTGGTCCGTATCAAGAATGGCCGCGACTGAAGATCCACGGATTCAACATCCTCTGTGATGAGTTCTGCTCCCCATCTCTCCGACTACAGTAAAGCGAACTAGTCAGCCATCAACACCAGCTATAGCAAGGAAGCATGGCAATCCTCAGGTACTGCTCCCTTATTGGAAACCAGCAAAGTAATAAGCAACAAATGACCCACCTGTTGTCGCATCTTGTCCATGAGGTCTGGACCAGTTATTCCTTCCGGAAAGCCTGGGAAGTTCTCCACCTCTGTGGTGGTCATGAGCTGGCCACCACGCACACCACCAACCTGGTATCCCTCAAACACGAGCGGCCTCATGTTTGCTCTTGCAGCATAGATTGCTGCAGTGTAGCCAGCTGGGCCACTGCCAATAATGACCACATTTTGGACCTCTTCTCGTACTTCAAGGTCCCCTGCAGCAAGCCCAGGAAATGCCATCAGGACAACTCCCGTCCGCAAGCAGGAGCCCCGGGACAGGTGCACTCCAATTTAAGCCCTTTACTCTCCTTTTCAGCTTCGGAAAGTGATTTCACGATCCCCTCCAAAAGGAAGTACATGGCATCTAATCAAGGATGATCCATGCACCTTGTCGAAAATTAAGAACAATTTAATATCCATGCACGCACCTGGTCCGTTATCTGTGCTCTTACAGAGGATTTTGCGAGCTTGCCGGCTTTGCAGCAGGCCACGGCAGTTTTTCTGCAATCTTACGACACGAAGGATTGCTGAAGAACTCCCAAAACTTTCCCTTGTCAAATGGAATGATGCACTGGGAGTATGAGAGTGCATGGCGTGCGGCAGGCTCGACGCTTGCACATGGTGAGAACAACAGGGAAGAGAGGCTGGGCCTCGAATGGCTGTTTCCATGTCTTTCAACACTCCTGAAACAGATTATATTTGACGACGCACAAGGACTAAGTGCGTCCCTTCCTGAAATTTTGAGTCCTGATGATCGTCTGGCCATTCGGAGATCGAGAGTGCCACGTGGTCACACTCGGTATTTTTACGTAAGCCTTTGTGACACATGACCTGCATGTTGCGTTCTAAAAATTTCGAGATACTCTCGCAGCAGCAGACATTGTCAGTGTTTGAGCACCTGGGTCTGCACATCAACAGGACATTCATATGGACGGGCCCGCTGAAAGGGGTTCGACTTCTGGCCAAAGTCACTTCACTGACGGTCAAGACCACACTGTGGCACCGTCATCACACTGGAATAACCCATGACATATACATGGCGTGACACGATGCTGTGCACCACTTCATGCCAGCAATTATGCCATCATGGTCAGTCATTCACAAGCATCATCAAATGACATGCTCTTCACCATGCAACCCTGCATAATTTTAAACTTGAGCAATTACTTGGAGCTCCGCTTGAAGCTCCAAGTTGGGATGGTGATTCTCACAAGAAGGCTTCCAAAACGAAATGCCTTAGAAAATTTTTTGGATTTCCTGACTAACAGTGTCAAGTTGACAGGGTCTCCCCCACCGCAAAGGCAGACTGGGGGCAGCAGTCACTTCAATATAATTATTACCCGAGGCAACTGCATTCTGCAATGTCAATTATAGATATTACGGGTTAGCATGCACGTGTGTGCAGGAGATCCAAGGGACAGGCCAAAATTGCACGCAAAATCAAATGGTGTAATCTAGAACAAAATCGGCGACCATGTTCATGTTGACACACGGCTCCTCTGCGCAGGCCTGCCTGATGATGCGCGCTGGCACACCCACAGCCACACAGTGGCAGGGCAGGTCGGTCACAACCACGCTGCCAGCGCCCACTTTGCTGCCTGGCCCAATTTCAACCGGGCCCAATACAGACACCCCTGCTCCCAGCAGCACTCCGTGCCCTGTCCAGCAACAATTCTTTCAGCTTTGTGCTTCTTGCGCACACAGGCCCTTTGCAAAAATGTGCAGAACTCAACAGCAGATCCAACTACAACCAGCTGAACCTCGCTAATTCTGATTGAGGCAAAAGAAAGGTGCATATGGATTAAGGTGCTCACCAATGTGTGGGTGACGCACACCCTTCCCAGTTCCTGATCCTCCCAGGGTGACCTGGTGCAGGAGGGACACATTGTCCCCGAGCATAGCCGTCTCTCCAATCACAATGCCTGTGGCGTGATCCATCAAAATGCCGCGGCCTATGGATGCTGCTGGATGGATGTCCACATGCAGCACCTCTGACACTCTGCTCTGCAGTAGCACCGCAAGCTCCTGCATAGCAACAAGCAAGTCCTTCAGCAAGCATACAATGAGTGCTTGCGCATAGCACAAAGGAGGCCCCAAAAGATGCACGCAGACAAAGAAGAGCTGGTGCGCACCCGTCGATTATTCCTCCAGAGCCAATGGTTCAGGCGATGGCACTGGATGGCCTGGAAGCCTTTGAAGTAGAGCATGCACTGGGAGAACTTCTCGCATGCAGGATCCCGGTCAACTACCGCGTGCAGATCAGCTTCGCATGCCTCCAAAATTGTCTGCAGCAGACAGCCATCAGAATAAATAGCAGCTCCACAGTGAGCAAAATTGCATGGGCACGCTCTCAAGTGCAAGTTATCTTCAATGCACAAATCATGTCTGGCGGAGAGACTCACCGGGTCATCCCTGTAAGCCTCTGATATCAGCTGCATTAATTGTGTGCCCAACAGAGTGCGACTGGACAGCTTGTTGGCCAAAAGGACCGCCATTGCTTTGCCAAGAGACGAGTGGGAAATGATGTTTTGATGCAAGAAGCTTGCCAAGACCGGCTCCTCTGCCTGTTGCAACAGCACCACTGTCACAAACGTGTCCCCCGCAGGAAAGGTGTATGCCCAAATGTACGGCACAACGCACTCCCATTGCAATGCACTGGTAACAAATGACATACCGCATCGTCTTTGGCCTCCTGTTGGATTGTCGCCCACAGCTTTGTTGAGTTCAAGTGGTGAGGAGCTGGTCGCCAGCCCAGCGAAGGAAGCCAGTCATCCGTGTGTAAGGAAGTGCCATTCCCTGGTAAGGTTTTACGATAGGTCATTGTCACGCATGTATGCGAGGGGTCCCAACACTGGACAGCTGCTCCAACCAGTTCACGATTGTCAGCACCAAAAGGCTCCAGAATTAGCGTACCTGTCCTCTCTTCGTCTCGGCTGATCAACTGTTCTTTCCAAGCAATGTTCCCATTCAAGTTGTTGACACGTCCAGAAGTGCTAGGGGGACTCCAGCTGCGCTCAGTGATGACTGCCTGAACAATCCTGGAGGACCGCTGGGTGGGGAATATGCGACTTTGCGGGAATACTGCAGGATCGTGGCCTGCAGGACCAACACAAGATTTAGAACAAGCAGCTTGCAATGTTTGAGCCCCCCTATAGCTGCCCTAAATTTCGCCCGAGGCCTGCGGACTGAGGTGCGCAGGAGATGTCGGACAGAGGGCGGCGGGGTCCCGCACGCAGAAAAAGTATACATTAACACTACCCAAGAACTACTGAAATCATGTGCGCGGAGATCAGCGTACTTTGGAGAGGATTGGGTCCTGCAAAGCCTGCGTTTCTCAACGCAGCAGGAGTGGATCCCAACATGGCTACCAGCAGTATGTGGCGTGCTTAACGCAAAATCTTGTTGGAAGATGAGATGGAAGTTCAGCTTTGGCAAATATATGACGTGAGGGCGCATCCGCAGGTATCTCGTAAGAAAGGGAAAGGGGCGAAGACTTTGCGGGCACCACGTACTGGCACGTTCTGGGCAGCTGTGGGCACCTGCCGAAGAGACATTGATTCACCTTTCTCAAGCAGAGCTCAGGCACACAGTGTGTGGCTGTGCAGAATTGTCACATGAGAATTTGATTGATTTATCGACTACAGAATTTCTCCAATCGCACGCTATTAAGATGCGTGTGCAGTGAGATGCGGTGCGGTTGAGTCCAGTGTTCAAGTTTGGGGAGGTCATCACTTGATCTGGCAAATTTATGGCAAACATTTGCCATTTGTTGACGTCCTTGGCGAACAGAGATGCCAGCAGAGTGCTCACTGTTTGCCGAGGTAGAATCAAGACAGCAGAAGAGGTGCTCTTGCGGGTTGCCTCCCTTTCACGGGCATTAGCTGATGAGCACGGGCTCAGAAAAGGAGACAGTGTGGCTCTCGTAGCGCGCAACACAGATTTGTTCTTCGAGGTGAGCCACTTGTCTCAGTAAATCCATGCCATGCGCAGCATAAGCTGAAGTACTAGAATTATTGCTCACAGTCTTCTGTCACTTCATGTACAGGCATTTCTGGCGGTGCTCGCTGCCGGTGCTCTCGCAGTACCTATCAACCTGCGATGGAGCTTTTCAGAGGCCCAGGGAGCCATACACTCTGTTGGAGCACAGATCATCTTCATCGACGAGGAAGTGCTGGCCACATTTGGTGGCCTTGCCCAAGATCATGGGCTCCGATGTATCATCCTTGGCGCATCCTCGCCGGTGGTCGGCATGGATATGCACATACCAGAAGACATTGCCAACAGATGTCGTCATGTCAGGGATTTGATAAAGCTAGGGGATGGCCCACACAATTTGGACATCCAGACAGGAGCGGATATCCAGACAGGAGCGGATGGAGCGGCTATGATCTGCTTCACGTCAGGCACGGCTGGAGCCCCCAAGGGTGCTGTGCTGAGTCATGCGGCCCTTCACAGTCAGGTCGGTTGGGCGTGCCAGGTCCCTCATCTCCTTTTGAGGCGATGGCTGTTTGAATGCTATATGTCGAGAGGACCTGACATGCACCGTGCCCACTCAATGGCAGAGTAATCGTCAATCTGCTGTGCATGTGTTACTTCTTCATTCATGATTGTAAGAGCCAAGTGTGGGGTCGCCAGGCAATTGCGAAGCTCCTGATGGTGGGCTACAGACGGGAAGATGTCTATCTGCACTGCGCCCCTTTGTTCCACATCGGCGGCATGTCATCGATGCTGGCTGTGCTGGCGGCTGGAGCAACGCAAGTGTGATCTTTGCCTCATGAGACCACTGAAAGCACATCTGCACAGCAGCATGGCCATGGCCCGAAGAACTGTCTGTCAAGTTTCTATGTAGTGCGATAAGATGGACACAGTTGGTATGGTGAATGTGCACCGTCTGAGCGCAGGTATTCCAGCCAGTCTTTAGCGCTGCATCAACCTTGGATCTGATAGCGGCGCACAACGTCACAGCCTTCATAGCAGTGCCTGCCATGGTCGTCAGCCTGAATGAAGCAGCGCAGTCACGCCCTGCAGCGCAGGCGCACGCCGTAAATTCCCATGGGGAACCCAGCGCTATGGTGGGCCCGGCACCAGACCTGGCAGCGCAGTCAGCAGGTCCCGCGCACGCGCACCCTTCCCCACGTGGGGTGTGCCCTACTGGCAGTGCACTGACGCGCGTCCAACGCATACTGCTGGGCGGCGGGGAGTTGCCAGAGCACCTGCAGAGGCGCCTGCGCCTGCTCTTCCCCCGCGCGATCTGCATGACCGCGTATGGCATGACTGAAGCCTGCTCCTCCATCACATTCCGGCCCATGCATGCAGAAGCCAGCGGCCCATTCCCGGATTACTTACGCACGTCCGCTGCAAGCCGCGGCTCGGCTTCACAAGCAGCAGTCGCCGAGGGCATCTGTGTGGGGCACCCGCCGCCCGGCATCGAGGTGGCTGTTCTCTGCAGTGCTGCATGTGCGGAGTCAGCTGTGGCGAGTGGAGGCTGGGTAGGAGGGGCGGAGCAGGCGGTTACACGAATAGCCACATCGGCTGGGGCAGCAGGGGAGGTGCTCACGCGGGGCCCGCATGTGATGCTGGGTTACTGGGATGATCCGGCCGCGTCTGGTAGGGCGTTCCTGCCGGGGGGCTGGCTAAAAACGGGGGATTTGGGCGCATTCGATGCCGGTGGCGCGCTGTGGCTGCTGGGCCGCCTGAAGGATGTGGTGCGCAGCGGCAGCGAGAATGTGAATGGTGCCGCGGTGGAGCGCGTGCTGCTGCAGCTCGCTGGCGTGGCCGGCGCTGCAGTCGTGGGTCTGCCGCACGACCAGCTTGGGGAGCAGGTCTGTCTTTTGCCCTTACAATCAGAGCGCAATGCAGCCCTTCCTCCTTTCTTGGCGCTTGCACTGCCTTGTATGTCTCTGGTGTGATCAAAGGCACAGGGCCAATTGCGCTGCAAAAGTTCAAGCATGTTAGCCATGCTTGAGAGCCAAGTAACAACATGATCTGTTTTCCTTCTTCTTCTTAATGTTCTGTAATTTTGCAGGTCTCTGCGTTGCTGGTTTTGCATGCAAATGCTGAGTGGAGCGGAAGTGAGCTACGGTCTTCTGCAGATGCAAGGAGGGATCCAGGCATCAGGTCCTCAAATAGCTCTGGAGTGTCCAGCAGCAAACTTATCTTGAGCTCTGATAGAATCACCACCATGTGCAAACAGAAAGGGTTGTCTTCTTACATGGTGCCACGCACAATTGTCGCACAATATGAAGCCTTGCCAACCAATTCGTCTGGGAAGGTGCTCAAACATATTGTCAAAGAACAGATGTTGCAGTGGCTTGCACCTCAACGGCAAGTGCAGAGCCGAATGTAAATTCTTTCAATATTGTGGCGAGGCCAATGTTCAAATCCTTGCTCAATTCTTCAAGGCGTGCGCTTGTTCACTGACATCTACATCATCAGGAGTTATTGTCAACATTGTATAACATGTATTCGTTGCTTGATAAAATTCCATGATTCTTCTCTTGTTAAGTTCAATAGGCAATTTGCCTGCAATATGTTCAAATGGATTCATGTCCAATGATGACCTGATTCGGCTGCTTCACACCATCCCAGTTGGGCTGCACACAGGGCTGTGAGGGCTGAGCTGCTGAGCACCTGTAGGGGTAGAGCTCGGCCTGCAATGCATGACCGGGGAAGCTGGCATCTTCACATTTGTGGTGCCATTCTGCGGAGAGAAGCTGCTGTGATGACTCGGTGTGGTCAAGACTGGAGGATCAATTATCCCAGCATGCCCAGTCATGCAGCACCCTGCTTGAGGGCTGGCCTCTGCTGCCTTGGGCTTTCTGTGAGACGTCTGTTGGTTGCTCAAGAACCCGGATCCAGGCATCGCCTGCCCCGTGGCTGCATTTGCGACCCCCATGTGCTCCTGGACATAATGTGGTTCTCCCTGCTGCACTGTGCTGGCTTGCCCACCGAGCATCATTCCCTGCTTGTCATGCATGCCCCAAGGCTGAAATGCGGCAGGGACGGAAGGACCACTGCCCCGGGATGCTGCCTGGTTCAGTGGCAAAACATCTGTGTCATCTGCCGCTCCTGTAAGGGCAGGCTGCCAGTGCCCACCAGGCACTGCATGCTGGGCACTTGTACTGTCCCTGCCATGCTGCTGCCACATGCGCTGCACCTCAGAGGCTTTGGGGAATGTCCTTGGGGCTGCCAGACATGGAACAGCCGCCCAGCCGGCATCCATGTTGGCAACAGTCCAACCGGCCTCTGCATGCTGAGCTGCACCCTGATGCTGATCTGCAAAAGCCTCTGGCCTGTAGGCTCTGATGCGCTCGCTGGCTTCATCTGCACGCCCAGCAGGGCCCATCCTACTGAAGGCGCTCTCGCCCTGATGTGTCTGCATAGCTCCTCGAGGCTGGAGAGTAGGGGCCTTGGCGAAGGGGGAGATCAGCCTGCCTGGAAGCTCTGCTGACTCAGCGCTTGGCTGAGCTCCTGGAAGCAGGCTCCCCTGAACGGGAGCAACATGCGGCTCCCACATTGGCCGCTCGCTGGTGAACATTTCCAAGAGATTCTTGCCGTGCCTTTGTGGCGTTGGCTTGAACAGCGCGATTGCAGAGCTGGCTTTGCCTGGGTGGTCTGGTACAGACTTATGTGGAGGTGCTTGGCCTCTCATCTGCACGGGGGCAGCAGCAGTGCCAGCAGTGCTTGCACCGAGCAGCCTGAGTCTCTGCTCTGGCTGTGGTCCCACAAGGGCTTGCAGCCTGGCATGCTGCTTGCTGTCTGCATCCGCAGGCTTTGCTGGCTGAGCAGTCATCCCTGGCAGTGTGCAAGCAAGGTTGGAGCTGCCCTGAGGCTGCAGGCCCTCCCTCCCAGGCCGCCTCAGGGCCTTGCTGAGCTGAAGGAGACTCTCCTGTGCTTCCAGCAGTTGTGCATTGAGTGGCGCGGCAGCAACAGGGGCTGGTGACTCATCCTGTGATATCTGGCAGCTGCCAGCGCGGCTGATGCCCACGCCGCCGGCCTCCAACTCAGCGCTGAGCTGGCGGCGCGAGGCGGCGCCACCTGGAAGCTCACACCGGGCGCGCGCTGCGGCCGTTTCGGCGGCAGCTTCCGCCTGCTGCGCAGCTTCCTCCGCAGCAGCGGCCACCTGCTCGGCAGCTGCCGGTCCCAGCATGGCCAGGCTCGTTTCCTGCCACTTTGCCTGAAGCATGCATACAAAGAGAAACTCGGCATGATAATTCATCAACGATGAAAGATAGAGGCGGCCAAGCGATTAACCCACTTTTGTGCCAACACATGGCATAAGATAAGCTGAAGACAAATCAATCATGCTGGAATGATATTGAGCAAGAGCAAATTACCATAGAGCAGGTTTTTGGTCAAAGCATACCTGGCGTAGTGCCCGGGGCTGTCTGTATACATCAGCCAATCCTCTGTTGCCGTGCTGCGCATGCCAGGAGGCCTGGCTGCTGAACAGCGCTGCTTGTTCAATTTTCACCACCGACGCATATGGGCCCAGGTTGCTCTTGCGCAGAGGCTTCTCTATGCGCTTGCCTAAGGCGTCTCGCTTCTTCTGGCTCCGAACCTGCCACGTAGCCATGCATCTTCACATGAGGTACAATTTAATGGGGATCGAGGCACAGTATACACATGTGCAACCATCAGCAGCACACCTCCGTAAGGCTTTCCCTTGTTATTTCTCTTTACAATATGGGGAACCCACCTGGAGAGGCCTTGCTCCTCCCACGGGCTCAGCATCCCAGGCCCCACCAGCAGAAGCCTCAAAAGCAGCAGCTGCAGGAGCGGAGGCTGCCTCAGTGCCGAGCTCCGCACATGCATGTGCGGCCGCATCGCCGGAGGAGTCGGCACAGAGAGAGATGAGCGCTTCTGCGGCCAGGCTGTCCTCAGCTGTGGCGCCCGGTGCACCAGAGTGCACCGCGGCGAAACCGGCGCGGAGAGAGCTGCGCAGGCGCTTGGTGGGCGTGGCCGGTGGTGACATCTCAAGTGACTTCCTCACGACGGCGCTCCCTCCCAGCCTGTGCATGCCTTCATTTATCACTTTGAGAATGCTGCATTTACCGTGTGCAACTTGCACAGTGCAAGTGCTGAGAACAGCGGTGTGCAATCATTGAGGAGAGAAGCATGCTCAAGCAATATATCTGCAAGCCTGGTGGGCAGTGCGCCCTATGCTTAAGCGAAATGCAATGTACTTGACTTGGTTAGGTGTGATGCCCGATGTTCAACACACTCTTCTCTATGACCTGAAGACAACAGCAGAGCATGCCTGTTTCTGGGCAGGCCGCGGCCGCCGCCGGGCCCTCGCAGGGCCTCAAAGTCCGACGCGAGGCCGGCGACTCGCGCATCAGTCATCATGACGCCTTCAGCGTCCAGCAACAGGCCCTGTTGACGGAGCCATGCTCCCAGAGACACTGCTCGTGACTCTTCACCCGGCCGCCTGAGTGATGCACCCGGGACGTACAGCTGTTCCATCCAGTGCAGGCCTGAGATATCCCGCTCTCCCGCCTGGCCCACAAACTCCGCAGGTGCCAGGTGCACGCAAGCGGCCTGCGAAATTGCCACTCCTTTCAGGCATGTGCATTGGTTGTCCGTCATTTTGCTGGATGCTTTCAACCCATCAGCAGGCATCCTTGCCGCCTTGCAGGGTGGAGAGACACAGCCATGAGCAAGTATTGCAAATAATAGTTGTGAACCGAGCCTTGAAAGTGCACCTGGGCGTAGTCTGCGCTCTGCACAGCGATGCTGCCCTGCCGCAGGTCGTAAGTGCCGCTCATGCCGCCGCATGCCACGGCCACGAGGTGTGGCGCGCTGTCACGCTGGTGGCGCCTTGGGCTCCCTGACATCACCACAACCAGCTGGTCATGTGCCTGTGTCTGTCTTGCCCACGCATAAGTCTTCGGGCACATACCGATGCTCTGACTCAGCGCATCTGAGCTACACCACAGTGATCCTTTGAAAGGCGCAACAGTGCTGAGACCCACACGGATAGCAGTCGCAGAAGCATCCTGCATGTGGCAAACTACGTCTCTGGATGCACGAGTGGGCGTGCCAGGCACTATCGTGCAAGTCACCTGCATGGCGCCTGGCAGGGCGGCGCCGCTTTGCAGCGGCCGACTTGCGCTTGGGTTCGACGATGTCGCCCCTGGGGTCTGGCTCACATGCCTGGATCGCTCCGCACACGTCCGCCTCTTCTCCGGGAGAGAGGCAGTGCGCGCCCTGCGGTCCTGTGCCATCCTCGTCAGCACGGCGCCTGTACCCCTTGTGGTTGGAGCAGAAGCCCTGGAATGATGCAGAACACTTCCTTGTCAACTCAGAAAGTCAGTCGCTTGCAGATTAGAAAGGGCGTGCAGGACCAGGATATCAACAGGCAGCATGTTGTGGACCACCCAAACCCGCAATCGAATGGTCAGAGATCCACACATGTGACACACGTGACATAGGAGCATGCATGAGTAAGTGCTGGGGAAATGAGACACAAAGGAGGAGTGTAGCATGCACACCTGATGGCCAGGGGTTTTGACACAGCCTCCTGTGCGGTGACAGGCAGTCCCATCATCCAGCAATGCATCAGGCTCTGCAAAGGGAGTGTCATCGTACGGAGGGGACTGGTGCGGAGACCCCCTGTACATCGGCGTTGCCAGGCTGAGGCGCTCCACCTGCACACACATTGTGGTCCTTGCGAATTGCACACAGAAAGGAAAGCGAGGAATTTGGATTTTTAAGAACACTCCAGAGGCTTAATCCCTCATGGGATCATACTGACTCTAGTGAGCAGAATCTTGTCTAGGCTCACATTGGCATTTGCAAAGTACAACGCATCACATCACATGCAACAGAATCTGAGGAAGGAAACCATTCTCTGAAGCACCGCAAGTTACAGGTGCTTGTATCTTCCTGGAGGCATGGGGGAACGTTCCTAACGACATGTCCTGAAGGCCTAGCCCCCTGGCGAATATAAGATGCTTGCACTCGCCTCCATGCTGAGGGGCCCGTCTGGCGGCCGGTGCAGCATGAGGTGGTCGCCGGGCTTGGCGCCGCGGTCCTTGAGGAAGCCGGCCGCCTGCTCCAGCATCAGCATGCGCGCGCGGCCGCCTGCTGAGCCGGCAGGATCTTTCCACGCGCGCAACAGCAGCTCCCAGGTGCGGCCGTGGCGGTCGCGCGCGTGCAGCCGCACCAGGCCGGCCCCTGCGCACTCCGCCGGCAGAGCCGCCTCCACCTGCTCCGCCAGCAGCAGCACCTGCGCAGAGAAAGTCAATTTAGTAATCAACGTGAAGCTGACAAATAAGCTGCATCACTATAATGTGATAGCTGATCTCTGCACATGTGATCCAGAGCCATATCTGCTTAGCCTTGCGCTTTTCTGCCAAATGGAGGTCCAACAGAATGGCGCTGAGCCAATTGAAACATCCTCCTGGGCTGCGTGAGATATTTGTTTCATCCTTCGAACCTCTGAAGAGCACGTTCTGGCTGCATGCAAAGGGACTGCGTGCCTGGCCGGTGTGCAGGTCCTGCTTGGTGAGCGCCTTGGAGATGCGCATGCCGGGCGCCAGCTCCTCGGCCGTCAGCAGCCGCGCCGCCGTCACATCCTCACCGGCCGCCTCGCCGCCGCTGCTGCAGTTGTCGTCCAGCCAGCGGCCCGCCCCTGACCCCGCCCTGCACTCATCTCGTGCCTCAGAAACCTTGTCCGTTTCTATTTCTCACAGCCATGATGCTTGTTGCCAGAGGATTACACCTGTGGCATATTCCCGCTGGAACAAGCAGGTTTTGTGACAATGTGCTTGGTGACATTTGGTGCAGGAGACTTCCTACATCAGTCCTTCTAGTATTGACTTTGTGGGAGCAGTAATTGGCCGATTGACCGTTGTAGGCCTAAGCCAGTCGGATGCCGGAACCACCGGAAGTGCGAACCTGCGTGGGCCGCTGGATCGGGAGGGCCGGCCGGAGCCGGTGCCGCCGCTGCTGGAGGGCGCGCCGCCAGAGACGGGGCTGCTGGCTCGGCCGGGCGCGTCGCGGCGCGGGCGGCCACCTGGGTCGGTGCCGGGGGCGCGAGGGCCGGAACAAAACCCGGGGTGACTGGAGGGCTTGGTGCAGGAGGGGTTGCGCGTGCAGCGGCCGAGTGTGCCGAAGATGAGCGGCGCCGCCTTGGACTGGTCCGGCGGCGGCAGCTGCGGCGGCACGCGCAGCGCCCCGTACACCGGCCGCAGCACTGTCGCTCGCACCGCCGCTGTGTTGGCCTGGAATTACGGCAGATTTTAAGTCCCAGATCGGCATGTGGGGTGCAAATTTCCCCGAGATGAGCCCACTGTACGCAGTTGATTTTGTGTGCCATGTGCATGTGTAATCTGCTGGCTCCACCCAGCCAAGTGACGCTAGCGTCAAGGAAGTTGATTTTTGATTTTTGTCTGCAGATAAGTGTCAATATGGGCCGCAATCCAACCTCTATGGTGACGACGCCGTCCTCGTCAGCGCAGATGCCGATGGTGTCGCCCTCGCGCAGGCGGTTGACCTTGATGTACTCCGAGACCTGCTCCAGCACATACACCCGCCGGTGCTCCGTGCCGTTCGCCCACGACTTGATCACAAACTCCCACGCCCTTCCCGCCCTGTCCTTGACCGGCAGGCTGTAGGACCTGCACACCATGTTTCCCTCTGGCGGTCACCGCCACATGCACTTGTGCTCATCCCGGACGTTCATTGCATTCTGAGAACACGAGAACACGGCAACAACAAAGCATGAGAATCACTTTCGGATCAGCATGTGCACTAGGATACAGACACCACTCGTCATTGGTTCTTTATCACATCTGTGCTGAACAATTGCCACATGGGAGCGAAAGGCACCTGTAGCCCATGAGGAAGCTCAGGTTGGACTCTACTGACACGCGTGGCAGGATGACCCTGCCAGCGGTGTCACTCTTGGTCAGCGCTTTGGCCACCAGCACATGGATTCGCCCAGGGGGCAGCTTCCCATCTCCACCCTCAAAGGCCGCCCACTCTTCCTGCAGATACCGGTGGCCAACTTCACCTCCCCAGACAGTCGACTGCATTGCTTTTTATGCTGATGCATGTGCTTGCAGTCTGTGGAATGTCAACAGGAGAGAACCATAATAATCTAAGCCTGCACAGGAAATCTAAAGATGGACACAAGAAAGCAACCAGAACTAGGATGGATGTTTGCAAGATAAGCTGTCCTGTCTGGCTAACCAGATGCCTCTGAGGAGAAGGCACACGCATAACAAGTTTGACTATGAGTCCAGTCAATATCCGCTCGTCAATGGCATGTGCTGCAGCAAAGATCGAACTGATGCACAGCATTGCCAGTTGCGCACCTTCAGGTCCATAGGGTGTGGCTGCTGCCGAGCAGCATTCCTGTTCCTGGGGCGGCTCTGGGATGGCCGGCTGTGTGCTGGGCCTTCTCTGTGGGCCCCTCCCTGCAGGCCAGAGGCTCCTGGAGCATCACAGTCAGTGGCCCATCTAGGGGTGGCCTCCTTCGCACCGCTGCGGCCCTCTCCCAACAAAGGCCGAGTATCAGCTCTGTGAAGAGGCGTTGCATGTGAGTCCAGGTGTGTCATCAGGGCTGCTCTGTCCAGGAACGTGCTCCTGTGTCGGGGTTGTGCCTTCCCTGGCGGCCAGTCCTCAGGGTCAGGCTCCTCATACTCCTCTTCTGAAAAGTCATCCCCGGGTGCTGAGCCGCCTGCCAGCATCCTGCTGAGACCAGACCTGAAACGCCGCTTCCTGCACAAGTACATTTATTTGGCTGGTCATCATGATTGACAGTTTGCGACTGTTTGTTATTCTTTTCTTGCATGCTATTCCTACCCGAGGCAAGGTGCGTCTGCAGACAAGTTGCAGATAAAGGCTGCCAAAATGCTACCCCTTGCTGGACTCGCCAGATCCAAGCAAAAGACCCAATCAACCGTGGGCACAGTGTTCGGTATTTATACCGGCCCCCGCCAACCAGGGCCCACATTTTCATGGGAATTGAAAGATCCATTTTACAAGCAGCAGGAGGAAATGAGAGTAATTGCATGACTCCAGATGTATGGCAGAATTGGCATCCTTGCCTGCAAGACTGGCGCCTGTTGGACTCTGCAGGCATTGAGTGCTGCTGCTGCCATGAGGGAACAACGCTGGCCTCGGCTGCGCCGTGCAGCATCCCTGTGGCCGTCTCCACAAGCTGCATTTCTGGAGCAATTTGGCTGATCTGTGCCATGTGGATGTGCGACTGCGCCTGGGCCTCAGCAGCTGAGAATAGCAGCTGTGGGCGCTCCTCCGTCCTGGCTTCCCCTGCCCAGGGTTCTGCATGAGAGTGGCCTTTATGTGAAAGTCAATGTTAGCTCACATCAACATCTCTGCCAGGGGTAGTCTCAAACAATATGAGTGATGAAGGGCAAGACAAGGACACCTTTGTGGGCGTCTGGGTTCCAAGGAGCTGCTTGCCCCATCTGCTGACTTAAGGTGTCCATCTTTGGTGGATAAGGAGTTGCCTCAGTCGACAAGCTTATTCACTTGGCAACATGGGCTGAATTCTTAGCCCCACACTCACCGTAGCAACCCTGCAAGTCCGGGGAGCACCAATCAAGTTTCCATGCATTTGCTTCAGGAAACGCATCCCAGAGCATCACAGTCTCTATAACTTACGAAGAGACTGGTGAAAGGTCACGAAACGGGCACGAAGAATAGGTGCAAGTTCGATTCTCTGGCCCGGTTGTTTACCCGCATGCCAAGAGCCTCTTCTCAGCCGGACAGCTTTTGGGCCGCGACGCTGCGGACCTTCAACCTATGTACATAACGTAAATAATCACATTGATTGGGATGCATTTGCACCTTCCCATATCGTGCATTGAACTGCAGGACGGCAGCCGTGAAATGCACTGGCCATGCCACTCTCGTTGACTACCTCGTAGAGGGCTGTGACAATGCCTTTGCCCAAATAGATGTCTTTTATACTGTATTTAAGGGCATACCTCCTACTGTTCATGTGAAAACGAGCACCATACGCCAAGCGCGTTTGGTCCTTTCCAGGCACATGCGAGTTCGACACTCCCGGACGTCCAACAAGAAATGAGGCAGGTGGTGCCACCTGTTGCTAGAGGGAGAATTTTTATCAGGAAATACATTGCGATTGCTCCTGATTCATGTCGATCAGACTCTCAACACTGAACCTAGCTAGGAGCCATCGTTAGAGCCGAGCTATTCTCCGGAGTGCTTACTGCAAGGCAGTGCAACGATGGCACATCATTAAAAGTGATAAGTCATGTCAAAGCTGACTTGAAGTCCATCCAGGCTCAACATCGTCTTTATCTGTTCGTTCCAGGGACGGTCCAAGTCTTCTGCGTGGCCTAAGTAGGCATGCCTTTCGCAGCACATGCTCAGCTTTGCTGGCCTATGCATGCGTGCTCAGTTGATGCTGTGATGCAGCTGCTAGATGCGCAAGCACTGCAGGTTTGGGATGACATTGACATTTGCCCTAGGACCTGCCCGTCCAGCAATGCCACCTTGTGTACATATCACAGATGGTTTGCTAGGCCAGCTTGTGTGCGCCACCCTTGCCAGCTCTTACAGCAGCCTTTGAGTGCCCGTTGCTTGCGTATACTGTTGAAGTTCAGGATGGGTTGTCATAGTCTGCCCAATGTCTCGGGCCGCTGGGCAAGGATTCCCCGGCCCCAGCGTTTGTGCATGCGTTGTGCCCAGCAGGTTATTGGGGATGAGCGCCACCTTGTGTTTGAGTGCCCTGCCTTGCAATCTGTTCGGGACAGATATCCTGGGCTGTTTGGTGCAGCCATTGTGACGATGCAGCAATTCATGTGGCAGTTGGACATTGTTGGTGTTGCACATTTTGTGATGGATTGTTTTGATTATTTGGATGCTGCCAGTTCATCCAATCAGCCCTAGGCGGCTGGAGTGATGTAATCTTCCTTCCTTCCTTCCTTCTGCTTGAACAGAATTTCATGGCAATCTCTTTGCTTTTGACCATTCTACCTGCTCAGGATTAGACAGCCAAGCTGGCAAGGTGTCACAGGGTAAGGTGTTGAGGTGATCATAAACACGGCCTGTCCGGGATGGGCAGTTTTGCATGCAACAGTTGACGGTCATCAAGATGATGTACCAGTATGGTAGCACTTGCCGGGGGTGCACCCACCATCTCCAGAGCTGTCACAGAGCTTACAAGGTAGCCAGCAAGATAGCATCATTTGCCTGGCAACGACGCTCATTTGCCTTTATGGGGGAATGACTATAGACTCTATTCGGAACGTCTTGCTACAACGTTATGAATGTGAACCTAAAGCTTTGAAGCAGATGAAGGTGCCACGAATGGCGTTACTGCAGCAACCAGATGAACAGCCCACTGTATTGACACTTTTATGGCATCTCATACTCATGTAATGCTAGAAATAATTACTTTCATTCAAAGTCAGAAGCACGAGGTTTATTAGACATTCACCATCTGCGGGACGGGCTGAAGCAGAGATGACACAGGCCTGGATGTAGATAGGTGGTCAAATTTGCAACCTCATCACCAGTCCGGACTAAGAGAGTCCATTTCATCGCTGCCATCTGTACGTTTAGAGCTGTTAAAACGCCAAAATTTACACACACTCTCTGAAAAGAAGCACACAGAAAGAACACGCTACTTTAGGCCTGCCACAGAGATTGTCTGACTCGTCAAGAAAGTCCCGATCGGGGACTCCCAATAGGAACTCCAAATGCAAAATTTTAGCAGCTTGCGTGCACTGTGCAGTGCAACAACCACGGCTTTGTAACACGTATCGAATCCTATATTCCTACCATCCCACCATACGGTGAGCCTCGCTGAGCCCTGAAGTTGACAGGAAGACAAATGGGCCTTCTTGTGGGGGCCTGCTAGCTCTCACATATGGCGGAGCAACAGAGCCGGGGTGGCTAGCCTTCGAGAGGCAGCAGGAGTGAAGCAGCGCCCTTGAGTTTGCGCCCAAGCAGGGCGGCTGCGGCAGCTTGCTCTGCCTTGAATTCTGTGACGTTGCAGCCTGGTATCTCATGCGCGAGAGTTCCCCATCTGGACATTGGCACACCAGGCACCCAGCAGGGCTGAGTCCCCAGGGGACCATGGCCACCAGACTTGCCAATGAGCTGCGCGTCATAGCACACAGCTGTGGCGAGGAGAACAAGCACCACCTGGCAGGATCAGCACAGCCTGTGTCAAACCTGAGAGATCACAGTTTTTGGGCAGATTGCCTTGAGGCTAGTAGGACTGCCCAGGTGTGCCTGGAATCCGCAGTAAAGAGCCGTGGGTGGGTATGTCGGCCTAAGCACTGCACATCCTGTCTTTATTGTTTATACAATATCCAGGAGAGTTTGCCGTTAGGGCTGCCGTCTCACCAGTCCTGGAAATTGTCTCGCCATCTGGGCTATTTTCGGGGCCGTCACGAGCTCCTTCTCTCTTCACAACTGACACCTACATTATCAAATATTTCAAGAGGATATAAGACTAACACCCCGCGCCATTTGAGCAAGACAGTATCAAGGGCGTCGGGGCAAGCAGCTCGACCTACCTTGCGAAAGCTTGCAAGTTGTTGAAACGAATTGTTAATGTAGAGGATTTAGAGACAAGGATTTTTCCTCACTCCGCTGATGCACACCACTTCACCGATCTTTATTTTTATCTCGTAGAGTTCACTGGATCGTCGCTTCAAAACCGGACAGCCACTTTTGAAATTCCAAAGAAAGCCAATTTAGGCTTCCCCCAATAGCCTCCCAGCTTGGCATAATACTGTCAAGGCAGCCCAAGATGGGCTGCCCAATTTCCAGGTGTGGAGATTGTGGTGAAGAGATCAGTTACACAAAGGTTATCTGTGACAGATCATCTGTCCATCCAAAGGATGTCACTCCGCATTTGGCAGATGTGGTCAGTTTTGATCCGATCAAAACTGAACAGAGTCTGTACTGTGACATGTCCGCCTTCAATGTTGGCGCTGCATACTGGTCATAGCATTCTAGCTGCACTGCACTGCCGCTGGCAGCCCATCATCATGACCATCATCATGCTGAAGGCATGCACAGCAAATCCCGGACGCAAAGCTAGGAGACTCAATTTAAATATCACAGTTCCAAGTCTTGTTCAGGCACATTCTTTCCTTAGTCTGAGACCAGCCGGCCAGGTCACAGGAGCACGCTTTGAAGTTTGGCTGCCACAGCAGCTGCCCAAAGGCGCTCCCGCTGTGAAAGTGCGCGCGGCCTGTCTGACCACAGCAAGATGAACCCTCTGCTGACTTGTTCCGACGTGTCTTCTGTCTGAGATCCACTGTCTCCTTCCACGCTGCTTCTGTCTCCCGGCTGGACGTCAGCAGGGAGGGGCCGTAATGCCTGGATGAGAAGGCTCCCCGAGTTTTCAGGCAGTAGAGACCAGCTGTTCGCTCCAGCCTTCCCAATTGACGCCTGGTCTGGCAGATACACAGACTCTCTGTCTGCAAGTACCTTGAATAATGGACCGTCTGGGGTGCTCATCTTCGCAGCTGCCTGCAGTCAGCAACCACACTTGTCACATAATTGATCACAGCTGGTAGTACAAGAGACCGCTTGACATCAAACACGTGAACAACTGGCTGTACACAAAGAGAGCGCCTCACCCTGCTGGCATCTAGGAGGGAAGCAGGAGTGTTGCCATGCACAGCCGCTGGGCCCACAGCTCCCCTCGCAAGCCAAAGCTTCCCCCTATCCGCCACAATCATGCCCCTGCTGTTTGTGTTGCGCAGGAGCGCATACGAAGCCCATGCAAGCTCCTGCCATCACAACAATGTAGCAAGTCATCACGATGCTCTGAGCTGTCCAGCAGAGATGTCAAGCCAGCTACTGGCTTGCAGAGGTGGCTCTCACCGTCTTACACCTGTCGCTGGTGTCATCGGCAATCTGGAATATCTGAGTGGAGTCTGACGGTGTCTGCGAGCTTTTGGCAATCCTGCCGCGCCCGGGTTGCGCCTCCTGAAGGCGACTGCCGATGTTCGGCGTCGCGATACATACTGCTGACAGCAGACTGCCCAACACCTCTGTCCTGGTCTGTACATGCAGATGCAAGACCTCAGAAGCCATCGCACAGGCTGCAAAGATACATCTGCGACGAGAGTTTCATTTTCAAGGTGAAGAGACAGGAAATGCCCATTCAATTGGTGTATAATGAAGGCATCATGGGTGGCATTGCACAGCCTTGCGGCATGCGCCAGCCAACCTGAGCGCTGGTGGCTTCGCCCTGATCAAGGAGGTGGTTCACAATGAGCAGAGCTGCTCCAATGAAGCCCACCACTCTGGGAATCAGCGCATCATCAAATCCCGGAATGCCAAGGGTGAACCGGAAGACTGCAAAGTCTGTCTCCTCGAAGCCAGCACCTGCAAGCATTCATGTAGGAAGAATTCAAACCTTGTACCTGTCACCTGCCCCATCCAGCCCCTTGAACCAATGATGAGGTCATGAGGCATGCGCCCTAGTACATTGGGACAGATCTGCAGACATTGCCAAATATGTACCCCAACACAACGCAAAAATGAAAAGAAGACTAATAATATTCTGCAGAAAAGGATCAAAGCCTTCCCAAACACATCAGGGAGTGAGAGTATACCTCTCCAGGAGTTGGACAAGATGAAATTGGTCCTTCCTGGCCTCTGCAAGCCAAATCAGTTGTCACATCGTGTGCAGGTCTAGTACTTTCATATAAAAAAATCAAATGCTTGGTTACTTTTTTGCTCACCTTCCTCGTGAGGATCAAGCGTGTCGTAAAACTCTTGGCTAATCGGTCGTCACGAATTAGGAGTCCATTAAATCTGCAATAGCAATGTACCGCTCCTGAATTAATTCGATCAAGAATCATCGTCAAAGAATAGGATCAAAGAATATGCATGCTCATCTTTTTGGTAGAAACCACGTCAAAAAACGGCGTTCCCTGCACAAGGTCATCAATTTGATGGAAGAAGGGATGCCAGCAGAAGCAGCCTGGTGGTTGCAAGGTGGAAGCGGTCGCACCAGGGAATCTACAGGAGCCTGCATGTCGCAGCCCGGATCCGTACAGACTCTGTCGGGGACAGTGACTGGCAGGGGCCCCCGGGGGCCGCCCCTGACTCAGCCGCTGCATGCGGCATGCCAGGTGGTGCGATCAAGTGCTGCTAGATACAGCACCTGCTATTAATGCTGAAGTGGCATCGAGGCTGAGGACTTATTCAGGCAGATTCATATTGAGACTGCTGCAGCAGCTGGAGCTCGAGCTGAGACAGACTTTGATGTTGGCGCACCTGCTGCATGCAGTTGGAAAAGGTATCTAGTTCAATAAAAGGAGATGTGAACGCCATTTTCTGACGATACTGCTAAATGCCTGCGTGGCCTCGGATCAACTACGTAAGCTTACATTTGAGAAGCTGACAGAATCTGACAGGTCCCCATCAGCACCAAAGGACCTTGCTTTGGACTATGACAGGCGCAACCCCTTCCACACTGAAAATCCCACCACGACCTGAGATTGCAGTACCATGTTCTTTCAATCGTGCACACACATACATTTCATTTCCTGCATGTTATTGCGTCACGGCCAGTCATAAACGCAACCCTTCCTTGTATCGATCTGAACATGTTTGACCATGCAGCACTTGACTGCGTTTCCAGTATCTCAGGTCACTTATGTAACGACTCCACCGAGGCGTCTGCTTGCTGTCGCCGCACGTCCTCATCAACTCAACAACAGTTTTGTCCCCTCACCGCGTTCAGCACTCAGTCAATTCAGTCTGTGTCACTTGCGCCCTTTTCTCCGCTTCGGGCCCTTTTGAGCTGCTGTAGCCTTCCGAGCAGCGCCCGCCCCGGGGCTTGCTGCTTGCACTTTGTTGCGCGCCTGCTTGGCGGCCGGCGGTGCCTCGCTCTCCTTAGGAACATTTTGGTCCTGTTCCAACATCCCTCACATTTACCACACGGTGGCTTGACTGTAAGCAGCAGACACCAAAGGCAATGCCACAGTATGAGTTGCGTAGACGGGAGGATGGTGGGTACCTTGTTCTGCAGGAAGGAGGGGGCCCGGTACTCCTCAAACTGTTCATGGGGGCGGTCGAGGGAGGCCAGCTGCAGGTCAAAGGGCTCACTGGGGCTGCTCCCCCTCATAATGACCAGGTTGCCATTGTTTGCCAGCTGCAACAAGGCAGAGAACAGGCGCGACACCTGCACAGCATCATTTAATATGTCTCAGCCACACCTCCACACAGCCCTATGCTTGGGGAAAGCTTTCAGTTTGCTGAGGGTGCTGGGAGTACATGCAGGCAGTCAAGAAATATAGCATGGAGATCAGTGCATGTTGGGCTTCAATCATCACCATACCTGCCACTTGTGCTCCTTCTTGGCCACGCTCTCAAAGGTGACCGGCCCAACCTTCCCAAGCCTGAGCTCCTCCAAGTTGGACGGGTCTGACAGGCTCATCTTCGCCAGGTCCTCCATGATGACCTCTCCATACCTGCCCACATTGCCCCACACAGTTCACACTCTGTGGGCTGCCCACATGACAAATACCCCAAGCTACTTTGCTCATCAACATAGGTGAGGCACGAATCGTGAGCAGCAAGGCAACAAGGATGTTCTGCTTACAAAATCCTGAACTCTCGCAGTTTTCTCATTTCAAATCTTACTTCCAACCCTTTAAATTCTTCAAAATGCTTGTCTGCTCAATAAAATCTGCTCAACAACACGTAGAGAGGTCAGCTGCGCACTGGTGGATGTCAAAGTCGCCGCGCGCGTCCTGCTCGGCCAGAACAGGCGCCAGCTTGTCGCGCCAGGTGGCGACGCGCGCCGCCAGCCCCGTCTGCACCTCCGCCGCCGCAGCCGACGCCATCAGCGCCTCTATGTGTGCTCGGCACAGATCCTCGTAGCTGGGCTCCTCACCCTGCTCAGTCACAGGGTGTGCTTGCTTGTAGTCGCTAAACCCATTGAGATTGCCAAAGAATCTGTCACAAGAGGTTCCTGAAGGGATTTAGTGATTTCAGGTAGAAAAGGGCTCGGCGTTCTGATGGTCCTGCTCTTGTGGGCACTGACTTTGCAGGAAGGATCGCCAAATGATGATGCTTGAGAGACAATGAAATGCTGCGAAGCACCAGCGCACCTGGTCTGTGGGCTGCCAAGCTCCGTGCACGCCTGTATAGGCGCCCTCAGCGGCAGCCTCTGCCAAGGCATCGACATCCATGTCCCCACCGTCATCGTCGTCAAACGGCGCTCCCTCTCCAAAGTTGTCATCGTCATTGAAGTCTTGGACCCCCCCTGAGCAACATGACACCCAACTGCATCTCTGGCATCACTCAACTTCTTCACCAAAGCTGCAGTCAACATGGTGACACGTCGGCAGCCCATCCAGCACCCGCAATGAAAGGAGACGACAAGAAAAAAACCCTACCGTGAGTGTCTGCATCTCCTACAATACACCCTCCCGTCACTAGAGTTGCCACTCAAGCATGCTACAAGGCCATCACATGCAAGACACTCAAGAGCAATTCCTATCAAGAACCATTACTCACCGTCATTGTCTGCATCCTCCGGGTATGGCTGGTCGCCGTCGTCCGCCAAAAAGGCGCTCAGCTGCTGTTCCTCAGCGCCGTCCTGCGCGTCCCTCCAGAGGCGTTCCCTTCTATGGTCCCTGTCCCCTCTCAGCTGCGCCTGCTCCATCGCCGCCCGCGCCCGCAGCACGTACTCGAACTCCGGGAAGGCCAGTGCGGACGGGCCAGCCGGCCGTGGCGCCGCGAACGCTTCGGGCTCCTGCACCGGCGCCTTTGGCGTGCGCCGTCGGCTGCAGCAGCAGAAACTGTGCTGGTCAAGCTCCACATAAGTACCTGACCCATGGCCCAGCGCAAGGCTTTCCAAAAAGGCCCTTGCAGTGTTTCATGCTATTACTTGAAGTCGCTGTTGCTGTAGACTGCAGGGGTGTTCCATTGAGGAAAGGCTTTTGACGAGACTGAGCGCACCTGCGCGGCTTCATCTTCCTGAAGGGCTTCTGTGGCAGGCAGCCGGCGTCGTGGGGGTCCAGCGGCGCATAGGGGTCGAAGAGCTCCCGCTGTGCCGGCTGCGCCCTCTCGCGCGCATGCCTCACCTGACCCTCCTCAACTCCTGCGCAGCATCATAATGGTCACACCTTTGTGCCCACGTTCAGAGCTTCCACGGCATCTCTGACAGCGCAACATGGGGCTTGTAGAATATCGGTAGCAAACGGTGAAGGTGCTGGACTACACAAGTGGGACTGAATGCCGGTGAACTGCAAATTGTAATGATGGGCACAGGCATATCACCTTCTGTCCAGGTCTGTTCCCCTCCAGCAGTCTGCGAGGCCTCTGGCGGCTCATAGTGCTGTACGGCGCCACCGTCATCGTCGTCGTCCGCACCAAAGCCATCCCCAGCGTCATAGTGGTCCTGCTCCATCGGCATCCCCTCAGCATGCAAGGGGCCTGCCATGTCCTCCCTGCCATGGCTGTCCCAGTCCTCTCCTGCACAGCATTCTCGTCAGCGACACCTTGAGCCATGGAGTACACACAGCGGGTATTGCATTGCCCTGCCCCACTTGATACTTTTGAATTTTGGTGCGGTAATCTTCAGAAAGGTGCATGTGGTCACCTAGCAGGTGCTGTGAGTTGGACGGTCCCACAGCATCGCACAGCCGCATCTGCTCGTCCATGTGATCCCCATCGCGGGCCTCAAGCAGCAGCGCCCCAGACTTGTGCACGCTGCAGGTGGCGATCTGCCAGCAAAGTGACTCAGCATCAGCTTCGCCATCCATTTGCGTAGGGGAATGTGGCACAGGGGCAAGTCTAGCTAAGACATTGTGTGTCAGGGTGCCGCCTCACCCTGTAGGAGCCACCTTCGCCATCATTGTCCCCACGACCTGGATTGCAAACCTGTCTCAGACCAAGCTCACAACTGCTTGCAAATGCGATCATTCAGGTAATTCTACCAGTAGGACTCTTTGCATCACCTGAGTCCTCCAATGCCAGAATCACTGCTGGAGGCTTTGTTGGCAGTTCCCGTGGTGCAGCATTCCCTTCCTCCATGTCAATGCCAGCTCCCTCTGCGACATGGTAAGCTCATTTGCATTATATAGTACATCATTGCATGCAACGAATTCTGCAGATATGTCGTCCACATCTGGAGCAGAATGCCAGATGCAATCATTCCTCTGCACACCTTGCAGCACATCATCCAGGTTGAGGAAGACTTCTTCATCCTCAAATTCGTCCACATCATCCACCGCTTTCTGGCCTCCAGTTCCAGTCTGTTTCCTGTGGTAGATCATCGGAAGATACGATGTTCTGTGCCATTCCACAAGGTTTTGATTGGTAGACAGGGACGCACAAACCAGAGTCTGGGCCCTCACCTCTTATCGCCGATGAAGTTCAAGGCTTGGAACACCAGGCTGTGCAAATGCTCCACCTTCTTGCTGTATACGCAAGCTGATCCCTGGATGAGCAAGGCAGCTGCACAACACAAGAGCACTCACTCAACAAGCATGAGTTTGAGGTCCTTATCATTTATGCCTTGATGTAATCTCACTTGACAACTTTGAACCTGAAGATACTTATCATTTACCATGTGTTTGAAGACCCATACCTTCTGCAAAGTTTAGGTTTGGTCCGCCATCGAAGGAAAAGGTGATTTGTTCCAAGACTCCCTGCATAGCAGATAAAAGGTTGTCAGGATGTTGTGAGCGGATGTTTCGAGCTAACCAGTGTAAGATCGGCCGAGACACCTCTTACCAGGTACTCCTCGAGTTCATTTGCTATATTTATGTCCCAATTGGCTGCGAGGTCTCGAATGGGTTGCAGCAAATGTGTGAATTTGCATTCTTCTGGTTGTGAGCTCAAGGTGCTCATAGTAAACTACTGTCAGACGTGAGCTGGGCCCGGTGGCATGTTAGGCGTTAGCTTCAAACAACGCAGAAGACGTCTTGAAATTTTATAGGTGCAAATTTGGCCTGTCCTTGTGCGTGGGCCTGGCTGTGTCTTCTGTCTTTCAAAATGTTTCCTATGCGTTCCCTTTAGGAGGGTCTAGAATGCAGGGCTTGTGAACCCTAATAGGCAGGGCAGAGGTGCAGGCCTTCTGCTCTTCCGCAATTTGAAGACAGGTTTCGAAAACTCTTTGAGAGGAAGTTAGTTTTCTGTGCTGTCGTAGTATCGAGCAGGCTCTCAGCATTTCTTCCTCCTGACTCAGAAGAGACAAGTGCCTTCCCCACTGTTTGGCGTTGCTTGCTTGCTGAGTCCCTCCTTGGACAGGGCTATTGAAATCTGGCATGGCAGCAGATTTCCTACCACATTGATCTGCCGGGCAAGATGTGAACAGCACATCTACTTTTTGCAAGTCGGTAGTCACCGTTAGGACCTTGACAAGATGGGCGACCACCATACAGCAGGGACGCTGGTCTGGGTCAATGACTCCCAGGCTGGCTGGATTAAAGGAGAAGTGCAAAGAATGGAGGACAAGAAGCTCAAAGTCCGCACGGAAAAAGGGGCAGTTGGTCTCTACAAACCAGAAGACTGCCCCCTCCAAAATCCTATGTCTCGTATGGGTGTTGAGGTGAGCTTCGACAAATGCAAGTCGAGCAGATATTAGTTATTTTCCATTTGTCGAGGTGATTGCATGCTTGACATGCATCATCCACTGGGAAATCTGCTTCGTCAGGCTGGGGAGTCTTGTATCCTTGAGCAGTCTTGTCCTCTATAAATACTCTCCTAAGGAGCCCAATGGATCTGACAATAATGTGGTTGTCTGCAGGACATGACGACTCTGTCCTATCTCAACGAGCCAGGCGTATTGTGGAACTTGAAGTGTCGATATGTCCTGGATGCTATCTACACCTACACAGGGTCAATTCTGATTGCAGTCAACCCATTTGCTCGGTTGCCACATTTGTATGGCCCCCACATGATGGAGCAGTATCGAGGCCGTGATTTGGGGGAGCTGTCGCCCCATGTCTACGCCATCGCAGATGCGGCATACAGACAAATGCGCTCTGAGGCCAAGAGCCAATCCATTCTGGTGAGTGTATCCCACGATCGCACTTTCATGGGCTTATGTGGCCTGTTTGTCAAGGGCACGGATCTTGACTTAGTCTGGGAAGCGAGACACCTTACCTTGTACTGACCTTGCACAGGTGAGCGGAGAGAGTGGTGCTGGAAAGACAGAGACTGCGAAGCTCATCATGCAGTACCTGGCCTGGATTGGCAATGGAGGTGTGCTCAGCGATGGGGAGAGCGTGGAGCAGCAGGTCTCCCTCTCACCTGGCTGACACTCTGGATGACAATATGCTTCCATCATGTACCACTATCCTAACGCTCCATGAGAACCTGAACCCACAGCATTTGATATCCTATCTCATTGTAAATCTGGGAAGTGCAGGTGCTGGAGTCCAACCCTCTGCTGGAGGCATTCGGAAATGCCAAGACGGTGCGGAACGACAACTCGTCGCGCTTCGGAAAGTTTGTGGAGATCCAGTTTAACAAGGCCGGGCGCATCAGCGGCGCGGCCGTGCGCACCTACCTCCTGGAGCGCTCCAGAGTGGTGCAGCTGACAGATCCGGAGCGCAACTACCACATCTTCTACCAGGTGTGACTGTATGCCCAACATGGCCGGTATTTACTGAGCAATGGCGACTTTGTCGCCCAGCTCAGACAAGGGGACCTGGCGTTTTGAAGTGCTGCCATGACAGCTGCAAGGAATTGACGGGTGCACGGGTGCGTGCAGCTGTGCGATGGTGCGAGCAGCAGCGAGAGGCAGGCTTGGCAGCTGGGGCAGGCCAAGGACTTCCACTACCTGAACCAGTCCTCCTGCTTCCAGCTCAAGGACGTCAACAGCGCAGAGGAGTACAAGGTACACACTCCCAAGCGACAGTGCTGAGAATCAGGGGGGACGCGTTGCCATCTGCTGAATGGGACGACAATACGATGAGCCTTTCAAGCTTCTTGATTGTGCCATCTTCGCTCTTAGGTTGTGCAGCTTGTTTGAACCTGGTGAATTTATGTTGGATGGGTGTGCTGTGCAGCGGACAAGGCGGGCCATGTCACTGGTGGGCATCCCAGAGGAGGAGCAGCTGGCAGTGTGCCAGACAGTGGCAGCTGTGCTGCACCTGGGGAATGTCTCTTTTGTGGACGGAGCTGAGCAGGACTCGTCCAAGGTGGCGCCGGGTGCTCCCCAGCAACACTTGGAAGCTGCCGCGAAGCTGCTCGGTGTGGGCGCTGATGGGCTTGCCCATGCCCTCACAACGCGCACACGGCACACCACGGACGGTGCGGCCTTCTCGTGTAGCACTGCATTTCAACATGCCACAATTGCTACCATTCCTGCCTATCGAGTTGGTAATACCAATTTTTCGTTTTTTTCTACTTTTTATCTTGTACGGTATGTAATATTGCTCTGCAGTATGGAGAACATTGTGGGGTCGCTTGATTAGAATGGAACTGGGGAGAATATTTCAGGAGCAATTCTTGAGGGATGTGTGCCTGTTCTGCCAGGCCCGATTGTGAGCCCCATCGATCGGAAGGCTGCCACAGACAACCGCGATTCCCTGGCAAAGACCATCTACTCGCGCTTGTTCGACTGGCTGGTTGCTAAGATCAACACCTCCATTGGCCAGGACCCCAACGCCGTGTCAATGGTTGGTGTGCTGGATATCTACGGTGCGCACCCACATCTCTTTCCCAGCTCTTTCATGAGTTCTCTATACCCTTGTGCATGCATTTTTTGGCAATACCTGGAGAGTGGTGTTATGGAGGACATGGAAAAATACCCAGAAGCAGGGACTCAAACATGCCGTGTTGTTTATTTCAGGCTTTGAGTGCTTCAAGGAGAACGATTTTGAGCAGTTCTGCATCAACCTTGCGAACGAGAAGCTGCAGCAGCACTTCAACCAGCACGTATTCAAGATGGAGCAGGCCGAGTATGAGCGCGAGGCCATCGACTGGTCCTACATCACCTTTGTGGACAACCAGGACGTGCTGGACCTCATTGAGAAAAAGCCCCTGGGCATCCTCGACCTCCTCGATGAAACCTGCCGCTTCCCCAGGGTGAGCATACCACCCCCCAAAGGCTCCACCAATTCAAACTTTTCGTAATTCTCTGGCCATAAGTAACCAGATGACATTTAGGTAAGGCACCCTAGGACAGGATGCGTGGGCAGGGATGTGGAGAAAACTAGCCTGACTCATGCACAGGGGCAGAATTTGGATTGTAATGCCCACACCTGTATGGCAGTCATGGGCTGGCGCCCGCATCAGCAATCATGCCTGGTGCAAGAATGCACTGTTTGCACACAGTGCAACAGTGGGTTGATGGCGGTTCAATGTGCTGCCACATGCATTTCATGCAGTGCAGTTCCCATGGGCGGGGTGCGCGTCTCAGTGGCATGGGTGAAGATTTTGCTTATCAGTTTTGGTGTTCATTGTGCAGGCCACATATGCAGACCTGGCCAACCGGCTGTATGCATCGCCGGAGGTGAGCGGCTCTGCGCGCTTCAGCAAGCCCAAGCTGAGCCAGACGGGGTTCTCCATCGAGCACTACGCCGGCCCCGTCACCTACAAGACCGACTACTTCCTGCCCAAGAACCGCGACTTTGTGGTGGCGGAGCACCAGAACCTGCTGCAGGCCTCCTCCCAAGGCTTCGTCCAGCTGCTGTTCCCTCCTGAGGCTGAGGCCAATGGCAATGCGGTGCGCAAACCCACCCCATTCTGCCACACCTTTACAGGGCAGTCAAGTTGTACTGGAGGTAGGAGACATATTAATGGCAGGGCAAGAAGGATGGTGCTCATGTGCTGGAGTATGGGGTGTGGTGAGATTACAAGCTGCGACTGATGATTATTCTGCATGTGGGGGGTGCAGAGCAAGGTGGGGCAGGGGTACAAATTTTCGTCGGTGGGAAGCCGCTTCAAGCGCCAGCTGCATGACCTGATGGAGGCGCTGCACAAGATGGAGCCCCACTACATCCGCTGCATCAAGCCCAACAGCTTCAACAGGCGCGCCCACCTCCATCACCTTTCTCATGCACTCAACGCAAGCTTTCTCAGGCTGCTTTGTATCTCCACTCCTGCTCCATTTTAATCGTCAAGGGGTGTCTGGTCAAGTAAATTTCCTGTTGGGAAACTTTTTCCATGTTGACATACCTGTAGCTGCCCTTGTCAAAGCGAAGGGATGCTGACCAGGTGGTTTGACGGTGTGCAGGCCGATGGACTTTGAGAACTCGAACGTGCTACAGCAGCTGCGGTGCGGGGGAGTGCTGGAGGCGGTTCGTATTTCCTGCGCGGGCTTCCCCACCAAGTTCCCCTTTGAGGACTTTGTGGACCATTTCTGGAACCTGGTCCCCGAGCTGCTGTCCCGCGACGACCTGGACGACAGCGCGCTCGCCAAGGCCGCCTGCCAGAAGGCCAAGCTCCAGGGCTTCCAGATCGGCAAGACCAAGGTGCGCGCTGGATTTTGCCATCTCTTTGCGTTACAGCCTCATTTGTTGCAGTTTCCTGAAGATTGTGCTCATAACTCTGGCTAACTTCTGTCCACCACCTGTACTGGAATGCTCGGGTGTGGCACTGCACTTGATGCCCTTTGGTGATGGAGGGTGCTCTTCCTCTGGCTATGGAAACCTTGCAGGAGAGGTGTTATGGTGTTTGACAAGTGTCCAAGCTGCTGCTTGTGGAAAGCTGATGGTATGGGGGTTGTGCGGCAGATCTTCCTGCGGGCAGGGCAGATGGCGGAGCTGGACAAGATCCGCACAGAGCTGCTCAACCGTAGCGCCATCATCCTGCAGCGTCACGCTCGCGGATTCGTCGCCCGATCCAAGTACCGCCGCCAGCGCCAGGCCGCCATCACCCTCCAGGTGCCACAGCTCCCCCCTTCCTCCCATCTGCCCCATTTCCACTCACTGTGGCTGTCTATGTTCTGCCGCAAACTGGTGTACCTTGCTTATTTACGGGCGTGCTTTCATGGCAGCCAGACTTGCGACGTGGAAAATATCTGGATGTTGCCATATCTTGACGGTTTAAGACTAAAAGAGGCGGTAATAATAAATGGTCAGCTGCGTTTTTCCAGCGAGGAATTGACAATGATTCCATGTGCACAGGCGGGGGTGCGCGGGTTTTTGGCGCGGGCCGAGGCGCGGCGGCTGCGGCAGTTGGCAGCGGCCACGAAGATCCAGGCGGCCGCACGCATGCATGTGGCGCGCAGCAGCTACCTGCGCACACGCGCTGCCGTGCTGCTCATCCAGGCAGCCTACCGCGGCCACACCGCCCGCACCGTGGCCGCAGACCTCAAGTGCGTGCATTCCTTACCAAGGCCCAACGACTTGTTCAGTTGCTGGAGCTCACGCTGCGCAGCTACTTGCATGTCAATGTGATGTGTCCCCAGCGGATGGTCAACGTGTGTTGAGAGGCTAGCAGACACCATACAGATTCCCGGCCTGCTGCCATACCTGAGTATTGTGTTGCCACCGCTGGGAGTGTCTGATGCGTGGCTGTGTGGCGTGGTGCAGGCAGCAGAAGGCAGCGCTGCGGTTGCAAGCCGCCTGGCGTGGCTACACCGCCCGCAAGAGCTTCCTCCGCACCCGCAAAGGAGTCGTCGCTCTTCAGGTGTGCATAGAGTCCATCTCCTGGAAAGCTCCATTTCCAGATTGAAACGGAAACAAGAGTAATGTGGCAAGGATTTCCATTGCAAGATAGTCACGTACTCAAGATTGTTGTGTTCACTCGCATGCAGACGCGGTGGCGGAGCAAGCTGGCAAAGAAGGAGCTGCGGAAGAGGCGCGCGGAGGCGCGCGAGTCAGGGAAGCTGCTGCAGGACAAGCAGGCACTGGAGCACCGGCTCAAGGAGATGCAGGCCATCCTGGAGACCGTGCAGAACCAGCGCAACGAGCTCAAGCAGCTCTACAAGGTGCGCCACCCGACATACACCCTCCAACCATCTGCGCCTGGCGAAGCCCTTCTACCTCTGCTTCTGGCTGCACCACAGCAAGAGAAGCGCGGCAGCCCTGCTGGTAGAACGAAGTCAAAGATACCTATCAGTTGCTGTACCTCTCAATGAGTGCCCCACATGCCATGAGACAGCGTTGAAATGCAAGGCAGTCAACAAACCAGAATCCAGCACCAGATTCCGAGTCTGAAGAACCTGAAACAGCTTATAAGCTTACACTGTAAGTGTAACATGCTGAGGTGACGGTGCGACCGCAGGAGGAGAAGGCAGCAAGGGAGAATGCCGAGGCACGCGCAGACGCGGTGCGGGCAGACAAGGATGCGGAGTTGGCCGCGCTGCGCGCTGGGCTGGCGCAGGAGACGGCGGCCGAGGCGGAGGCGCGCGCGGCGGCCGAGCGGGAGCTGAACGAGCTGCGCGTGGCCCTGGCGCAGGCGCGCACCGCCACGGACGCCGTGCGCGCGCAGCTCACGGCCGAGAAGATCCAGGCGCAGCAGCGCACCGCTGCCTTCGAGAAGCAGAAGCACGACATCGAGGTGCGCGCCGACATGTTCGCTCGCTGTGTACCTGTGTACCTGCGCTGACCCCCAGCTTCTACAACTTGAGATGCCTTGGAGGGTGTATCCCGGGCGGAATCCATCCTTTAGCTTCCGGGGAGGACAGGATGCTCATCTGGGCTGAGTCAGATAAATCTCTTGCTGCCCACCGATGTGTAGCTGCCGCACAGTGCGATTTGGCAAGCAATATGATCAAGTGTGGTTGGCCCTGTGCGCAGGCCAAGTCTGCGAACGTGAAGGACGACCTGATGAACCGGCTGAGCAACGCAATCAAGCAGCGCGACGCCGCGCGCGAGGAGGCACTGCTGGCTGCCGAGAAGCTGAACAAGCTGCAGGAGGATCTGGACAACGGCGTGCTCCAGGGGGCCCCCCAGCCCCTCGGCTCCGCCTCCCCCTCCCAATCCCTCGCCACTCCGCCCGCCTTCCCCGGCGGCGCAGAGCCCGGTCAGCGCTCCCATGATGACTTTATATCTCAGCCTGTAACGTGTTGTCTCTGATCTGCATTTCTGAATGTACTTGCATGTGTAGTAAGCGAGATCATGTGCACCACTTCATCTTCGAGAGTAAATGTCAAATGGCCACAGCAACGCACACAGCACATCTTCAGGTGGGTCATGCATTGGATTGTGCGTGTGATGCAGGGATGCTGGAGCGGGCGCGCAAGTACATGGGCATGCCGGCCTCGCCGGGCCGGCCGCTGCCGGGCATCCCCGACTCCAATGGCACGACGCCCCCCGGGTTGCCCTCCAGCATGCGCACGCCCCCCACCATGGGCGCACCCCTTGGCCCCCGCCCCACAGGTGCCCCGCTCAATAATGGATATCTCAATTCTTCGTATTATGTGATATCTGTAATGCCGGTATTCATGCCCTTTTTTGCAAGAAACCTCACTGTCGTGGTCCAAGGTCTCGCCATTCCTTGTGCCGTTGCTTCTCTGTTCTGTGACTGTGTGTGCTGGTCTGGCAAAGAATTTGCTCAAGGAGGTTTGTGTCGGCAGGCTCGTTGGAGAATGGGGATGTGGCGCACCTCAATGAGGTGGAGCGGCGGCAGCGCGAGTTGCAGAGCAAGCAGCAGCAGCTGCTGCGGGAGCAGCGCAGCGCGGACCAGGAGAAGCTCCTGTCCTGTATAACAGGTGCGGCCTGCCTTATGCCGCTTGTGTAGGTCTCTTTTGGTGCCAATTTTCTGTGTGGTGAACTTGTGGGCGACCGACGAAGCTTGGTGAAGTTTAATGTGGGTGCTGCAGAGAACTTGGGCTTCCACAATGGGCGGCCCACCGCGGCCCTGGTGATCTTCAGATCGTGCTTGCAATGGAAGACCTTCCAGGCCGATCGCACCGTCTTGTTCGACAAGGTGAGCCCCTGCTTGTCCCTGTTTCCTCGTAGAACAGCCGCTGCCACCTGGCAATTTCTTTGATGTGTCGGCCCATGCCCTGCTGCACGAGGAGAAATTCGCGCGACATGGAAAGTCAACCCCTTGTGTTGATGATGAAACTGTTCATGTGGCTGCGTGCGAGCAGATCATCAATGCCATGGGCGGCCAGATCGAGCGGCAGCAGGACAACAACGCCTGCCTCTCCTACTGGCTGTCCAACACGGTCACCCTGCTCTACCTCCTCCAGCGCAACATCAAGCCCGCCTCGGGTGGCGCCTACAACGCCCGACTCCGCTCCCCCACCTCACGGTCAGCCCCGGTTCCCACAACGAACACGAACACGATGTGCATCCATCGTGGCTTGTACAGGGATACCAGCAGGCTGTCGCTCAGTTCAGATAGCGCCAACTTGGGATTGAGAAATGGTCGGAAAAGACATGTGTGCGGCCATGATAAAATATGGATGTTTGGTGCAGGACGGGCTTCTTTGGCAGCAAGGCGGGCTCGTTCACGTCGTTCTTCAGCCGGACGGGCCACTCCCCCAGCTCCTCCCCCATGGGCGAGGCCTCCATCCACGGCGGCGGCGCCGGAAACTTCCGACAAGTGCGTTTGTCGGCCGGATCTTCTGCCCAGTTCACGATATATGACACCCTCTGCACCTTGTGCATGCTTAATAGTTGAGCGGCATTGAGCAGTTGTTGTGCATGATGTGAAGTAATAGCACCTGAAAATTTCAAGCTGGAAATTGCAACTCTGAAGCGCTGCTGTGCTTCATGAGTGATGGAAGGAACATTGGAGCGCAGGTGGAGGCCAAGTACCCGGCGCTGCTGTTCAAGCAGCAGCTGGACGCGTTTGTGCAGAAAATCTTCCCCATGCTGCGCGACAATGTCAAGAAGGAGATTACGCCACAGCTGGCCGCCTGCATCCACGCGCCGCGCGCCGTCACCACGCGCTCGCGCAGGGGGGCAGCCCCCCCGCAGCAGCTGGCAGATTCTGCCGGGTCCCCCGGTGCGGCCGCCACTGCCGGCAACCCCCTGGCCACCCCTCCCCCCCGCCCTGGGGCCCCCCGCTCCTTCCTCGCCTCCCCCTGGGGCCCCCCCGTGTCCCCTCCTTTCCTCCGTGCTCCCAACAGTCCCGTCAATCATTGGATGTTGTCCTGTCCGTGTGTAAGGGGTCATGTGCGTTTTCGTCATTGTGTGCATGCATCTGGCACAGTTCAGTCATCCTCTCTTGAAGTTCTAATTTCTGATTTCTGTGCCTTTGTACAGCAGAATTTTTGCGATTTTTTTCTGTGCTGTCTCGGCCTTTTTTTGGCTGTTCCGCTTTCTGCATACTGTTCAGTCTTTTCAGTTCTTTTCAGAACCATTCTGTTCCCCAACTGTTGCTCTGCCTTCTGTCCTGAAATTTATCTTCATTGCACAGTTTGCCAATGCTCTGTCATGATTTACCAACCTCAGTATTATGCTGTTGAACGCCACACACTCCTTGCAACCTGTGCACTGATGAACCTTGAGCTTATCTTTCATCCCAGTGAGCGCGGCTGTTCCCGGTGGCTGCAGGCAGCCAGATGCTGAGCCCGCACTGGGGCAACATCCTGGGCGTGCTGGACACACTTTTGACACAGCTGAAGGAGGCGCACGTGCCGGCCTTCCTGGTGCGCAAGCTCTTCCAGCAGCTCTTCTCCTTTGTCAACGTGCAGCTTTTCAACCAGCTACTGCTGCGCCGCGAGTGCTGCTCCTTCAGCAACGGCGAGTATGTGAAGACGGGCCTGGCCGAGGTGGAGAACTGGATCCACTCCGCCGGCAAGGACTGGGTCGGCGAGTCCTGGGACGAGCTTCGCTACATCCGCCAGGTCAGCACCTCTGCTTGTCAGGCAGCTGCTGTATGCGGGGCCTGGGAACACAAGATCTTACCTGCTGGGCTCTAAGACTTTGCACAAAATGATAGGTTCTGCCATGTCATACCCTGCCAATCACCTTTTCTGCCAGAATGTAGCAGGGCATCAGCTCGACTGGGTGCAAACCCGACTGCATTGTCTGCATGCTCAGCTGAGCGACCCATGAGAGAGCTGCTGCATGGTACCGAAGAGTCGCATGCTGTTGGCAGTGCACCGTGCTGGCTGTGTGGGGGCTCTTGTCAGCAGAGAACAAATTAATATTGAGGGCTGTGGTGGGTGCGTGCAGGCGGTGACGTTCCTGGTGATCCACCAGAAGCACAAGAAGTCGCTGGAGGAGATCACGAACGACCTGTGCCCCGTGCTCAGCGTGCAGCAGCTCTACCGCATCTCGACCATGTACTGGGACGACCGCTACAACACTGAAACCGTCTCGCACGAGGTGCAGTCTCTTCTCTCCTACGCTCCCCAGTATTTTTTTATTTCACTTGTTTCCTGCCAGGTGGCAAGGTGCATCTGCAGACAAGCTGCAGGTAAAGGCTGCCACCTGTCCTACCCCTTGATGGACCCCAGATTTAAGCAAGACCCAATCAATTTTGGGCACGTTGCTCTGCAACCATACCACCACCCGCAAGCCAGGGAATTGTGTCTAATGGTACCTGGAAGATGCTCTCAGTGTCCCTGCAACCTGTACATAGCAGATGGGCCGTATGGCTGAGCAAGTATTTGGCGGGGCCAGGTGTTGGGGCGGATGAAGCAGCTGATGGTGGACAACAACACGGCGGCCAGCCACAGCTTCCTGCTGGACGACGACTCCTCCATACCCTTCTCCCTCGACGACATCCAAAACCTCATGGACGAAAAGGCGCGGCTCTTCTCATGTGCTCTGGATTGCTTCCTTGCATTTTACTGCTGTCTTTGATGACATTTATCGCCTGTATAGAAGTTAAGAGACCTGCTGCACATTGATGCGACTTGAAGACCTTCAGGGAGGGTCTGCTCTGCCCGCTGGTAGCGATTCCAGCTGCCAGGAACCTGAAGACAATGTCATGGGGATGTGGCTGAGGCTTGTGTGGCGCTGTGCTGTTGCAGGAAATGTACAGCGAGGTGCCGGTGCCCAAGAGCCTGGAGGGCGGCAAGTCCTTTGACTTCCTGCGCCGCGACCTGCGCCGGACGGGCCTGCTGCAGAGCCCCGGCGGGCCGGGCAGCGGCGGCTTTGACAGCAGCCTCCATGGCGGCGGCATGGGCGGCGGCTACGGCGGCGGCAGCGGCCTCTCCGGCAGCTCCTTGCATGGCGGCGGCATGGGCCACCTCGGTGGCGGCATCGGCCACATTGGGGGAGGATGACGTAGTTGTTAATCTGCAGCAGCCTCGTCAGCTGCAGCTGAGGGGCGGCGACAGCAGGCCATGTGCCAGCAGGGAGATGCACCTGCCCTTTGCAGCAAATGCTGGAGAGGAAGAGCAGGGGGCGCAAACGGCTGAAAGGGGCAGTCATGCTGTGCTCCGTGAGCTCTGAAATGACACACACTTAGCTGCAGGGACAATTTGCATGCACCCTTCAGGACAGTGCAGGCGCGTCTAGGAATTGATGCTGCTGCTCAATGCTGACAGCATCTGTCAGCCGTGGCCTGCAAGGACTCGTGCTAGATTATTTGTATCTTGCGTCAATTTTCGAGGACATTATACAGTGTTTTGGTGGACCACAGAGCGGTGATCTTTCGGTGGGTGAGATGACTAGGGTTGTATCCTTCTTGGCAGGGAGTTGGTATCTGCAGGTTGCACACAGTGCTGACGTTAGCAGGCACTGATACCACCAGGAAGGCCAGACAGTGGCAGGCTGTCTAATTGTTGACTTCTTTGGCAGGAGACAAGGACATCAGGCATGCTTTGAATCACAGGTGTTTTTGACAGCACAGAACTGCAGAATTTGTTGGTCGAATTGCATGCATGTGCTCTGCGGAGACGTTGCATTTTTTGCATTACGCCTGCTCTATAGATGCCTGATTATGTGATTAGCCCTGCATATTTTTGGTCTGCAGAGGTCAATATCAGGTGCTTGCAAGGCACCTTTGTACTATAATGGGCAACCTCATATTTTCAGCGCTGGGTGAAGGTGATGTACAGTCATGCATTTAAACAGATGTTGATCAAATCACCAATGAACAGGTCTCACAGCCTTGAATCCCAAATGAGGTCTGTCATTTTTATAGCAGTTGGCATGATTCTGCCCACTGCAGCATGCAAGGAAAACAAAATGAAGCGCAAAAGGGTCATCTAGACAATGTTGACGCCCCGCCCTGCCACCACTTCCCCCATGACAAATGCTTCGGGGTCGTGCTTGAGCGCAGCACTGACGCTTTCCTTGTCAACTATGAGCAGCATGCCCACGCCCATGTTGAAGGTACGGAACATCTCCGACTCCGCAACGTTGCCAGCCTGCAGCAGCCGCAGTTGGCAATTCAGCCTCTACTGAAGCAGAACTCATGAGCATTTTCAGAGCCATTGCAAGGAAAAGTAGCTGCAAATGGGGCGGTTATTATGGCATTGCTCGAGTGATGCAACAGCATTTTGAAGAAGGACTTGCAAGAATAGGCCAGGACGCACTGATTGCAGCCATTGGAACAGCGGGGGGATCTCCCATGAAGCCCTCTCTATCCTGAATCCCAGGTCCTTGTCCTTTGGCACCACTCGCGGGATGTTCTCAGGGAACCCTCCACCAGTGATGTGCACCACACCCTACGCACAATGACTTCAAAAATCTTTCCTTATAGTCTGACACAACCCCGTTGTCACAAGCTTGTGTCCCTACAGGCTGTACTCATCAGCATATCCACTGAAAGACCCACAGGCCCACATGAGCGTCACCAGGCTCACCTTGACATCTGCGATATCTATCAGGGAAAGCAACCGTTGTACGTAGATGATTGTGGGCGCCAACAGAGCATCTCCAAATGTGCCACTGCCCCAGGGCGTCTGATCTCCAAGGTCAGTGTTGGACACCTGCACATACGATGAACCACATCATGCTGTGTAGAATACTGCCCCAGAGTGAGTACCCAGGTCCTGCTCTACTGCTTGTGAGCCAGATCTGATCATAAAAGGGGCTGAATTGCAGAGAAGAGTGCTCCAGTTGCAAAATCACCTCCAGGATTTTGCGCACGAGGGAGAAGCCGTTTGAGTGGACGCCGCTGGATGCAAAGCCCAGCAGGACATCTCCCTCCTGGATGCAGCTGCCATCGATGACCGCCTCCTTCTTGACAGCCCCAACTGCAAATCCTGCCACGTCATACTCCCCTGGAGAGTAGAAGCCTGGCATCTCTGCTGTCTGCACCAACACAAGCTCGATTCTGAATGCCCGCAATGAGTTTTAAAATCCTTGACGGAGACTCAGGATTACAGAGGCAGGCACTCTATGAGGAGCACTGTGCAGAGCCCATACCTCACCACCAAGCAGTGTGCAGTCGCTCTGCTTGCAGCCTTCCACGATGCCCTTGACAACCTGTTGGCCGATGAAAACAGTTGTGTTACGTGTTAGGATCACAGAGAGATAAATGTTCAAATATTTGTGGCATTTTAATTAGGTGTCATTTATTTTATACAGAAGGAGAAACCCACCGCCTCGGCAACGTCAACATCCAGCTTTCCAGTGGCATAGTAGTCCAGGAAGAACAGAGGCTTTGCACCGGAGGTGATGATGTCATTGACGCTCATTGCCACCAGGTCAATGCCAATCGTGTCATGTTTATGCAAGTCAAAGGCAAGCTTCAACTTCGTCCCCACACCATCGGTGCCAGCAACCAAGTAGGAGTCCCCTGCATCACAATATATCTTAATGAGGCCATCGACCACTCTCAGCATGATCTCACATTTTCATAACATCTTCAAGCTAGTTTACATCAGAGAAGGGGTGTTGCACACACCAAAATATCCATAATATTTCGACGTCAACTGAGACACATCGACAACTTACCGAAGGGTACAAAGCCGCTAAAACCCCCTATTTGAGGGTTCAACTTCTGTATTCTTCTTACAAGCTCATTTCCTGCATCAATGTCCACGCCTGCAGTCCTGTAGCTGAGCTGTTCACTTTGTGCAGCTGGGCAGCAAAGCCGCAGACGTCTTGTAGCGACTTGTTTATGTAGCACAGACACCGCTGGGAACCTAGATGATGTAGAGCATGGTGATGATATTCTGGTGCTCGTATGATCAGGCCTACTCACAAAGATTCCAGAAGACAAAGGGAAAAGTAACGACGCCATCAGTTAGTGGTCAGACGGCTGCTGCACAGTCTTCGGGACAATAGCTCGTTCACATATATTTGCCTCTCATGCCTGTCCAAAGGATAGCATCTGCGGTACTGTTTCGAGAAGAGCCTTGTCCTCAACAATATTTTTCATATTTTTTCTTGACGTGCGTCAGGAACGCCTACGAACGCCATCCCCTCATGAGGTGATCACCTCCCATTGTGCAAACTGCAAGAAACCCGTGTGCTGCTTTGCGAAAGACTTCCAGGCTTGCCATGCCACTGGCCACCCCATGACCCCATGTTGGGCCACATGTGCAACATGACCCATGCAACACTGACAAACCATCATGGCAAACCATATGATATGGAGCGCTCCAGCGGCCGTCATGACTGCTGGCTGATCAGTACTGCCTTTGGCTTGGTTCTGTGATCTGCCGGAGCTCAAATCAGGAAACTTGCGTAGTCTGTGCAAAGGCTTCACCCCGGGGGGCAACTAAGACTCCATGCACTACTGAGGATATCTATCGCTGGTGCCAGTGCATGCATTCAATGGCAAGGCCGTCAAAATAACCGTTGGCATTCCAGAGAGTCTTCGGGCCTTATGAATATGGATGTTACAGTCATAGATGGCATTCACAGAATAAATAGTACTCATATGTTGTGGCAATCCGGACAGATCTGTCCTTATGAGCACCTTATGCTGGATGATCCTCATGAGCGCACGGATGCCCACCACCTGATTATCTTCCACACCACTCCCAAGAAGCAATACCCTGCAACACACTGATAATGCCCTAGCGTCCTGAAACCCCAATTCCTTCACATTTGGATGCAAGCAACACCTATCCCGTGCTGGCGGAATGTTATTGCAGCAGGGACGTCATACAGAGGTCTCCAAGAAACAAGTAGACGGATGGCTGACGTCATCAGGGAATGCCAGGCACGCAACGGCCCACTAGCATCACCCAGCCTGTGGGTGATCAAAAGCAGATGCCAGCCCTAATAGACCATTTAATGCCGGCACCCAGATTGCATCAAGCCAAGGACTGCAGAATGCAACATACACAGATGGACTTGCAGTGGCAGGCAGCACGCCAGACACCAAGAACATTTCTAGGCTCCCCCAGGTATATTCCCAGCCCCTTGCGCACCAGATTGCCAGTCCTACTATTGTTCCCTATGCAAAGTTAAGCGCTCTATAGACTGTCCCAACTGCTCCTTGTCACGCGACAAGCCTTCCCCTCTCGACAGGTATATCCCCAAAATCCAACATACACCAGCTCTCCACGAACGGCACATCATCGCTCTGTTGCGCTTGATCTCTTAAGACAGGCACATTTCGACATCCGGCTATGTACACCAAAATATCAGCGTCCATCCTCACTCCTGGTCCTTGCTTGCCTCAGTGCTGCTATCAACTGTGCTGGGCGCTGATATCTCTCCAGAGCCCTCCTCCGAAGACGTCACCCCAGCCTCCGCCGCAGGCGTCGCAGCAGCCTTGGCAGGCTCCGGCTGCACAGCAGGGGTGGCCAGGACGGGTGGCACAACAACGGCCGCAGGCAGCTCCGGGGGAGCCTGGCCGGCCAGGGCTGCCGCCAGCTGGCCGAGCGCGGCAGCGGCGTTGGCCGCGGCGGTAGCCGCGGTCACGTTCTGCTCCGTGGAGCGCTCGCCGCGCTCGGCCGGCGCGCCGGCCTCCGCGGTGCTGTTGACCGCAGTCGTGACACTCTCCAGCTGCTGCATCACGGCAGCCGCCATCGCCGTTGCCGCGGCGGTGGTCGCGGCCGGAGGGGCAGCCGACACGACAGCCACCGCAGGCACGGGCAGGCCGGTAACTACAGCGGGCACTGCCGGCGCGGGGGCCGGCACCTCCGGGGTGGCGGCGGCCGGCGCCGCCGCTTGTGGGGGCGCCGTTGCAGAGAGCTGGCTGGCCGAGGGCGGCAGTGGGGGCAGCGGCGAGCTCGTTGGTGGGGACTCGTTGACTGCTTCCATGGCCTTGGATGTCACAGCGGCAACCTCCGTGGACAGCGAGGTCTGCAGGTCAAAGCGGGGTCAGTAAGTGGTGTGCTTAGAGAAAAATCGAAAAAGCTGAGACAAGGTGCTTTGAAGAGTACTCAAATAATAAAACTTGCATCTGATTGAAAAAACTCCGTCCACCATAGTGAGGCAGCACAAGGTGCAGGTGCAACAACCCACCTGCAACGAGACACTGTTGGCAAGCGAGGAGCTGCTCTGCATCAGCTCCGGCGGAACCAGCACGCCGCTGCGCAGGCACAACTCTCGCAGCATCCGGCAGCTCGCTTCAGACTCCTGCAAGACCACAACACCAACATAAGTCACCATGTCCCGGGAGCAGCACATTCACGGCAACACGACATTGGCGCCAAGAGAACATCCAGCCATGCACATCAAGCAATCTTTCTCACACCTACCTTGAGGGACTGGCTGAGGCGCCCGTTCTGGACGTGGTGCTCGGCGTTCTTCTTCTTGAGCTGTTCCTTCACGCGCGCGAAGTCGTCCCGGTCCACAGCCCAGCTGGCCTTCAAGCGCTCCTTGGCCTCAGCAAACTCTACACGCTCCCCCTCCCTGGCGCATGACACTCACCCCTCAGCATGTGCACACTGCCGACTCAGAGTCCCCCTTTTCACCAAACAGCAGTATTCTGACGAACGGGAGGAAAGTGGAGGTCGGTGAGGATGTTGTACCTGAGCGCTTTCTGTCGGGACACCTCTTTCTCTAAGCGCTCCGTCTCCTGTGCCAGTCGCGCCACCTCCCGCCGCATTTTCTCCGCTGTGGCGCTCTGTAATCACACCCATGCACTCAGACACATGAATGAAAGAACACTGCAGTGCAATATTCAAGACAAACAAAGGACTTGTGATGCTGGCAGCCAGAATGCAGAGGACACAGCTGGCGCAGCAGGGGGGTGAGTCGCTTACCGAAACGACACCCTCCGACTCGGGAGTGTGGGACTTCGACAGGGAGAGGCCGGCCGCATCAATAGAGCGCTGAGCCGTCAAGACCGCGCTCTTGGGAGGGCTGAAGGGCGGGCTGCACACGTCCGCAGGGCCCAGGTGCTGGGGGAGCGACGGCGGCTTCATGAACCCTGCCACCACAATCACATGGAATCAGCCCACTCCCGCACAGCCTCTGCAAGGCTTTATCGACGTCCACAGCACAAAGGTCCTGAGGGGATTGATCATCTTTGACATAAGGCCTGGCGTGACATAGATTGAAATTGGGGGGGGGGGGGGGGGGGGGGGGTAGATGCATGTGGTCCCCACCTGTGGCACGGGCAGCGTCAAGCAGCGGCTCCTGGTTGACCAGGGAGGGCTCCTGCTGCTCGCTGAGCTCGCTGAGGGCGGCCATGGAGCCATTGGCTGACACGCCGCTGGGCATGCGCACGGGCACAGGGTGCGGGATCGCCCCCAGCATGCTCCCCTGGCCAGAGTGCTGCGACGCCAGGCTCTCCAGGCTGATGCTGCCGCGCTGCTGCAGCCCGTTTGTCAGCACCCCATGCTGGCCTGAGGTGTCCAACCCAGGTGTGGCCCGGTGCTGTGCCACGTCGTGCAGGCTGGCGAGCAGCGCTGCATTGTGCTGCGCGGAAGCAGAGTCCATCCCGAGATGCTGCGGGGCCGCGTGTAGGCTGTTCATCAACCCTGCAGCAGCATGGGCTCGCTGTGCGCTCTCAGCCGCATAGCCATCTAACAGCCGCTGCTCATGATCCACCTGAGCCTGAGCCTGAGCATGCGCCTGGGCCTGGGCCTGTGCAAGCAGGTTGTTGTAGCTCGCCACACGCTGCTGCCTGGCGATCCCCTCCAGGATGCCCTGCTGCACGGGCTGGCCAGCCATGCCCTGCGCTGCAAAGGCTCCCTGGACATGGCCTGTCAGGCTGTCGAAGACCTCCTGCCCCTGCGAAGATGTTCCCTGCAGAGTCATGGACTCGAAAGGCGCCAGCAGCTGCTGCTGCTGCTGCTGCTGTTGCTGCTGCTGCTGTTGGACATGCTGCAGGCTGTACATGCTCTGGGAGACAGGCTGCTGCTGTGCCTGGCTGTTCAGGCTCTCATAATAGGAATGAGCTGATTCTGGCAATCCTTGGGCAGCCATGTTCTCGTAGGGAACATCGAGAGCTGACTGCTGTAATGCCTGCCCAGGGACGGGGCTGTGGCTGAACATCGACTGAGAGCTATTGTACAGAGCTTGTGACGCGGCATGCTGGAACGCTGTTGATTGAGGAGGCACTCCAAGATCAGATGCAACGTCTGGCTGGTTTGGACCCTCCATCCGCGGCTCAGAACTCCAGTCTTCCTTCGATGCCCGTTGTTGAGAAAGGGACCCTCAGGCGGCCAGGCGAAGGCCCCACACCCGAACGCCCGGGCGTCAAGCCCACGATCTGCAAAGCCGCGATCAGTGCAGAGATGATCCGCTGTCAGGTGGCAGGCGCGGGCTGTCTGGGGCGATCCTCCTCTGCAAGGTCCCAGGTGGCAAGTCAACAGGAAGAGACCCCGCGCAAATCAGGTGAAGGCCCTTCCAGAGCAGGATTTACGTACCATACAAGGCAATGAAGCCAGTCATGCGAGGGATGACTGAAACACAGCAACAGTCCAGCAATTTTTGGCAGAAAGCGCTCCAGAAAAACTGCTGCACCCCAGACCTGGAGCCAAGATAGGTTCCACGCGTAGCTGGTCACACGCGTAGCCTTACGATTCGGCTCTACCTTGAATTGTCACGTGCCCCGGCGACGATGGGCAGCGACAAGCAGCTGTGGCCCTGCGATTGCCTTCCGTTTCAGACCATTTGGAATTGACAAAGTTGGTTCAACTGTTGGGGATAATTTAAAAGCCCGGGCGAAGGCGTCAGGAGTAGAACGGAAGGAGGCTTGCAGGCTTCACGTTAAGACGATGGCCAACGTAGTGGACATAAGTTCCTCCTCTTTTGCTGGCACAGGTAAGAGGATTGGGACGTTCTGGTTGCAAGCACGTGATTTGCCGGCGTCGTCATAAGTACATCTGACGACACACTACCTTTGTTCAGTGCCTGTCTTTCCTTCACAGCTGAGAGCTGACTGGGGTTGCATTGAATTTACGGAACAGGACTTACGTTCAAGAGGCACAAATGTCATCGATTCGTACAGCAAGTATGTCGAAACGCCGTTGCAGCGCCGCCTGCGAGCTCGAGGACACCGTCCAGCACTGGCGTGGTGAGCGAAGCAGGCAGTGCTTTTAGATTACCAATCGAAGGGCTTGCATCATGAGAACTGCAGGATCATGCTTCTTAGTGATCCATGTGTTGCAAAGAGAAGAGATGCAGACTTGCCAAACCAGCTTCCTGCAAGGTGTCTGGAATATCTTGCGGTGTTTGCAGGTGAAGAAGGCCTTGACTATGACAGAAAAGATCCTGGCGAAGCACAGCAATAACACAACAGTAGTACCAGGGCAGAACATCTGGACTAATGTTGATAAGCTGATGACCCACGATGTCTGCGGACCCGGCACGTTTGGGATCTTTCAGAGGGAGTTTGGAGAGAATGCACAGGTGTGTGGTTGCAACTTGCTCTGATGCAATTATTGTTTGTGTCTCTCACATTGCCTTACAGCCGTCATGAAATCCCTGGCACCTTGTGACAGGTGTGGGACCCCACAAAGATAGTCATCATCCCAGACCACTACATCTTCACTAGTGACCCGCGTGCGAATAGGAACGTGGACATCCTCAGGTGCACAGCTGATCCACTCTTGAGAATTAGCGGTGTTTATGTCTGCTCAAATACTCACCCATAAGATTAGACTGACAGGGCATTCAATGATAATCCAGGGACATGGTGAACAAGTATGGCATTAAATACTTCTACGACATCACAAATCGCTCAGACTTCAGGGCCAACCCAGACTACAAGGGTGTCTGTCATGTGGCGCTGGCTCAGGAGGGGCACTGCAAGCCAGGTACAGGGGTTGGCATTGCAGCTAGCGACTGGATTTCTTATTCAAGCTTTCTAGGGGCTCCTGCAACCTGCGAGTTGGTGTGTTTTGACCCATCAACTCAATGTGTTGCAGGAGAAGTGCTGTTTGGCACAGACTCTCACACATGCAACGCTGGAGCTTTTGGCCAGTTTGCCACAGGCATTGGCAACACTGACGCTGGCTTCATCTTGGGTACCGGCAAGCTGTTGATCAAGGTGACAGCAAGAGCCCATCATTAAACCACTGATCTGCAAGAGGATGCCGCTCCATGTGTTTGTGCCTGCTGTGCGTGACAGTAACACATGTTTGGCAGGTGCCCCCCACAATGAGGTTTGTGCTGGAGGGTGAGATGCCCAGTTACCTGATGGCAAAGGACCTTATCCTGCAAATCATCGGGGAGATCACTGTCGCTGGCGGCACCTACAAGGCCATGGAGTTCACAGGGCCTGTCATTGAGGCAATGACAATGGAGGAGCGCATGACCATCTGCAACATGGTGGTGGAAGCTGGCGCGAAGAACGGTGCAGTCATCTCCATGCCTTTCCCCGTCGATGTTTATGAAATACTTGTGCATACTCCTGTTGCTCGCTCTTTGAAGACTTTCTGGTGGTTTGGTTGAACCGAGAATGGCTTGTACAGGCGTGTGCCCACCGGATGAGACAACCTTTGACTACGTGCGGCAAAGAACAGACGAGCCGTTTGAGGCCGTGCATGCTGATGCTGGCGCCGGGTACATTGAGGAATACCGCTTCGATGTGTCCAAGATAGAGCCCTTGGTGGCCGCGCCGCATTCGCCCGACAATAGAAAAAATGCTCGGGACTGCCGAGACGTGAAGATTGACCGCGTGTACATCGGGTGCGCACCTGCCCTGCTGTCTTGTGCATGCTGACCTTCCATGTGTGGGACAGGGTGCCTTTGATTTTGTCTCTCGCTCCAAGATGGAGCGACCCTTACTGCGCGGCACACGTTTTCTGTGTGATGCTCCTGCTTGTCAATTGAACTGCTGATGTGGGAGCACTGAGATTCAAGTAGGGATGCTCAGAGCACACATTGCTCCATCTATTCAGCTACGCATGGCTCACCAGCAGATGCATGTGCTGCGCAGGTCTTGCACTGGTGGCAAGACGGAGGACTTCATGGCGGCTGCCAAGCTGCTGCACAAGGCTGGCGGGCAGGTGAAGGTGCCCACATTCCTGGTGCCGGCCACGCAGAAGGTCTGGGCCGACCTGTACGGTTTGCCCGTGGCCGGCTGCGATGGCAAAACCGCGGCTCAGATCTTTGAAGCTGCCGGCTGCGACACCCCGGCCCCTCCCAGCTGCGCGGCCTGCCTGGGCGGACCCAAGGACACCTATGCGCGCATGAACGAGCCCCAAGTCTGTGTGTCCACAACCAACAGGTGTGTTTGCAGTGCTTCTTGTCTAGCACGCTGCCGTGACTGTGATCGAGGATGCGTGGATATTCTTGTTGGCTAAGCTAGTAATTTTGTTGGCCCGGCTTCAATGGTTGTGACTGCTGTGCAGGAATTTCCCTGGACGGATGGGTCACAAGGATGGTCAGGTGTACCTGGCCTCGCCGTATACAGCGGCAGCGTCTGCTCTGGCAGGAACTGTGGCAGATCCAAGGGATTTCGGTGCCTGATCGTCTGGCAACCAGTGACTTGACAGTACAGGGAGACAGTGTGTAGACTTGTACTGTTGTGGACGCACTTTGGAGTGTCGGAGTATCTTCAGCATTTGGAGAGCTCTAGAGTGACAATTCCCACATTGCTCATTGTCTGTACAAGTCTGCATGCACGCTATGTAAGTTGACCCTTAACCAAGACCAATGTCTTGGATGGAGCAAAACCTCAGATGAGACCCAGCTAGTGAAATCTATTCTGGTTTATGGTGCTTCTTCCCCTCTAGAAATTGGCTTCAGGCCCTTTGGATTTGCAAGTATTGGGCGCTATATAGCTATATATATGTCGAGTTCACACTCGCCTTGCACAATGCTATAATTTGGATCGAAATCTCGCAAGAGGAGCCCTTGGAATGCCTTTGTCTCGTGAGGACAAGAACTTGACGTGCTTTCCTTGAGCCAACAACGCGCCTGTCTTCTTGCTGCTCAGATTCACATTAATGGTGGCAATGAGCCCCCCAACTTTGACAACCTGTTCACCACCACCATGACAGCAAAATCAGTGGAGCTGAGTTAAGACTGAGCTGCACCGGCAGTGAAAATATCAGCGTTTTAAGTGCATACTGTTGACAGCCCCAGTAGCTCATCGTCTGCTGACTGCAAGAAGGTACCTGCGCGTCTACCACTATCTCCTCTCCTGCAAGCCCTGGTCTCAAGTAGTCGATGCTCATGTTCAAAGAGACACCGCTCTTCTCTGACTGGGTCACTAGAGCTGCGCTTCCCACCACGTCCACAAGAGTAGCTGTGCAGGGCACAAGGTCACTTTGGGAAGTGTGAATGCGTCTTTAGTCATGAAAAAGAGGACAGCGCTGAGCCTTGATAGAGTTTGTCACTCTTTTGGGAATGCATGCCGTTCCCTCTGAGTAGGTATGTGTCGCACCTATACATCCTCCATGGAGAGTACCATATCGATTCTGCACTCTGGGTTCAACTGGAATGATACATGTCACCCTTCCATCGGTCGCTTCGATGTCTCTAATAGTGTTGAGGGCAACTGTATCAAAAACAGGGGCTTGATCGAGGTCAATGTCCTGCAGCCCACTTCCAGTCAGAGCTTCCAAAAATAGTTTGCCAGCTTCAGGTGTTCCCATATTGTGCTATGACAATTAGCAGGGCCCAGGTGGGTTAAGAAGAGGGCAACAAGGTTCACAGACCATGGCATTCACATTGTGAACAAACTCCTGCTTATCTCAAAGATCCTTACTACCATTGTGACAGAAATATGATGCTCTATGTCCAAGTCTAGTATCGAATGGAAAGAACGTAAGATGCAATCGGATTGACGCCAAAATCATGGGTGTCAAGGGAGATTATATATAGAAATAGCAAGTGCCTGACTTTAGCAGTGTTCATCTGTCTTTGCTCGTCCTTCATGCTTGGTTGGAGATATATGATGCAAAGTGGTGAGGGCTCACGTGTGAGCAAGCACGGCTAGGGAATTGCAGGATAGACGCATTGGCATGGGCCCGATGTTTCTAGTAACCTGGCTTTTGGTGGCACCGCTTGCCGTCTTTGCAAGCCTTGATGATATCATTCAGCCATTTCCACTCGATCAGATCACTCTTGAGCGGGACTCCCTGTTCGACAAGGCATTGGCCCTCAACACAGATTACATGCTGCAGCTAAATGCTGACCAGCTCTTGCACACCTTTCGGTTGAATGCCGGTCTGCCTTCCTCAGCACAGCCGTTTACAGGCAGTTGGGAGGATCCATCCTGTGAAGTCAGAGGCCAGTTTATGGGCCATTACCTGAGTGCTTGTTCCATGCTGGTCAACCACACTGGTGCGTCATGACTGGTCAGCCTTCGATTCCTGCAGCATGCTTCATGTTCAGACAAATTTTAAAAGAAAATCCATGTGGCAACTCTTGCTGGCAGCTGAGCATTTCTAACGATGCTGACTTTGTCCTCAGGCAATGGCAAAATAGAGTCCCGGTTGACATACATCATTGATGAGCTACGGAAGGTCCAGATTGCACTGAGTGGAGGTTACCTCTCAGCCTTCCCGGAAGAGCACTTTGTCAGGCTTCAATCTCTTCAGACCGTGTGGGCACCCTTCTACGTGGTGCGCATGCCCTACATGACATGCATGTGGCATGCAGACACATGCACACTGGCTTGAAAACTCCGATGGCCTGACCCAAAGTGCAATGCTGGTAGACATCTGCCTGACTTGTGTAAGTGCAGATTCACAAAATCATGGCCGGCCTGCTGGATGCTCACAACTTCCTGGGTTATGACGTTGCGCTGGAAATGGTCAAAGATGAGGCTGAGCACTTCACGCGCTACTATAACGATGTCGTTGCCACCAACGGCACAGAGCATTGGCTGCGCATGCTGGAAGTAGAGTTTGGGGGGATGAACGAGGTCCTCTTCAATCTTTATGATGTCACAGGAGACCCAGAGCACATTAGGTACACTCCTGCTGGTTTCAAGTACTTGCCAATGAGGAAAGCAAGACTGGAGAGTGTTCATGAGGACATTGTGGTCTCACTGCAGGCTTGCTGAGGCATTCACAAAGCCAAAGTTCTTTGAGCCACTCCTGCAGAACACCGACCCCTTGCCCGGGCTGCATGCAAACACACACCTGGCTCAGGTGAGCAGCTGCTTTGGCGTCACATGGGCGTCCTGTGTCCTCATGATAATGATGAGCAGCATTCTGATGTTCCAGCAATGTGTGTGCAGGTGAATGGCTTTGCAGCACGCTTTGAGAAGGCGAGCCATGATGGAAGCTACGCTGCAGTGACCAACTTCTTTTCCATCGTCACACGGGGTCACAGCTTCGCGACAGGCGGCAACAATGACCACGAGTATTGGGGCCCTCCTCGCCAACTCGCAGATTCCATCTTGCTGGTGAATTCATCCTCTGTTTGCATTAAAATGGGCTGTGACTAAAAATTTAAACAATATCATCTGCCATTCATGCTCTGGGGAGCTACAACGTGCATGCTGAAGCATGCCATAAAAAGTACCACTCTTTTGCAAATCCAATTGCCGTCAAGATGATGCCTGAAGTCTGTGCGACGCCTCCCACAGCAAGAGCACGCAACAGAGACGGAGGAGACCTGCACGCAGTACAACATGCTCAAGATCGCTCGCTACCTGTTCCGCTGGACTGGCGCGCCGGTCTTTGCAGACTACTACGAGCGCGCCATCCTCAATGGCTTGCTCGGAACGCAGCGCATGCCTGCTGACTACTCCCCACACACGTCAAGTGAGCCACTGCAGCAGCGCATCAGCAGCGCTGTGGCTGAAGACTGGTAAGCCCTTTGATATACTATGAATTGCGTTCGTTTGATGCCGAGGTCAGATGGCGTGGCGATGATGTCTTATTAAACCCAATGTGCTGTGTGCCATGGCAGGGTCCCGGAGGCCACAGCAGCCGCCGCAGTGGCGGCCATGGACTTCCAGACAGAGAATTGGCGCACTGCCGCACACCTGCTGTTCACGGGCGGCCGGAGCTCTGCTGAGCGCAATGGGGACGAGCCAGGGCCGGGCGTTGTGATCTACCTGCTTCCCATGGGCTCCGGGCAGACCAAAGGGGGCAGCACGCGTGGCTGGGGTGACCCCCTGCACAGCTTCTGGTGCTGCTATGGGAGCTCTGTGGAGTCCTTCTCCAAGCTGGCAGACTCCATCTTCTTCTACAGGCAAGCGCACTCCTCCTGCCTCACCCTGCATGCCTATCCAGCGCACTTTGTCCAACACTACCTGGCAAAGAATGTCTGATCAAGCATGCTGATTTACTAATGATCGTGTTGTGCGGGGTGGCAGGCGGCCGCCTGATGACAGCGGTGCGCTTGAGCTGTACATCAATCAGTACACCTCCGCCAGCCTGGCGTCCCCTCTGGTTGGCCTCAGCGTCCAGCTGCAGGCCAGCTTTTTCCAGGGCACCACTGCGTCTGCCAACATCACTGTTGCCCCGCTGTCGGCTGCGGCGCATGACAGCACAGCAGAGGTCACACTGAAGCTGCGCATCCCCAGCTGGGCAGTCTCGTCTGGTGTGCGCGTGGAGGTGAATGGTCAGTCCTGGGCTGATTGCGCGCCGGCTGCTGGGCCACAGGCCGGCAGCTTCTGCACAGTCCGGCGCCGTTTTGCTGCAGGTTTGGCCCCTGACCATATTCTCTGTTCTCTGCAACGGCCAGCATTTTCCAAAGCCGATGCAGCTACTTGGATGACTTGATGACGTCTTCCCTTATTTGCTTTGCGCTGTGCTTTGCAGGGGACAAAGTCACGCTCGCCCTGCCCATGTCCATAAGGGCTGAGCGCGTGCAGGATGACCGTCCAGAATATTCCAGCCAACATGTGAGTATTGTAAATTTTAACAGCACATTCATCTATATCCCTGCGCTCTTACATCCTGATGATTACGCTTCGAGCTGAATTACTCTGAGGTTGATGTGAAGGGCATGAGCCTGTGGGCAGGATACCTTGAGGTGACTTGTGCCATTGCAGGCCATTATGATGGGTCCACTTTTGATGGCTGGCATTACCAATGGGTCCCGCAGTATTCAAGCAGATCCCCGCAAGGTTGCTGATCTGCTGACAGACATTTCCAGCCAGGGCCTTGCTAGCTTGATTATCCCTGGAGACTTGCCCCTGCACATTCGCCATGAGGGAGCCATGCTGAGGGCAGAACCAATGAAGGGGCCTTACGCTCTTGATTCCACGTTCAGGCTGCTGGGTTTGAAAGACAGGTGAGTAAAGATCCTATGGTGATGAAAGTTTCTTGTACATTGGTTGATGGAGGCATTGAGCTGATGAGGGCTCTCTGTTGTCAGATCTCCGGTAGCTAATTGGAGCTTCGGCGATGTGGTCATAATTGAGGCTGCAGACATGCCTGGATTCTACCTGCAAGTTGATGACAAACAGGTCAGTATCTTTTTATCTCGTGATGCCCGCTAATGGTTCAAAAAAGCTCCACCGAGTAAGGATGGCTGCCTGTAGGGTGCTGCGATGGTGCTGAGGCAGGTTGGTCCTGGGAGTGCAACAGCCCTGGTGCTGCAACCAGCCAGTCCTGAGGGCCTGGACACGGCTGTATTGCAGCTGGCAGACAGGCCAGACATGGCCGTTGGGCTGCATGAAGGTATTCCCCCTCTCATGCCTCTTCCCTGATGACCCACAGCCACCAGCAATTTGATGAGCTGCTGAGAACCTACTAGTTTGGATCATCTGTACAGATTGAGGATTTATGAGCCACATGGTGCCTCTGAACAGGTGGCCTGCAAGCAGTGCAGCTGCCAGTACAAGCTGCAAGTGATTCGTCTGCAGTGGTTGTGTTCCATATGGCAGCGCCCCTGGCCAAGTACCCGGAGGGAGCAAAGCTTCTGACTGGGGCCGACCGGAAATACATTGTGGCACCGCTCATGAACATCGTGGAAGATAGCTATACACCCTACTTTGATTTCCAGCAGCCCAGCCAATCTGAGATCGTTGCAGCATCATGATCTATGCCGTGTGTGGAAGTACGACAGCAGTAGCACAGGGTACAGGTGCAGAGCAGATATTGAGAGTGCCAGTTGAAAAGGAACTCCAAGAATACTATTAGAGGTTGAAATCACATTGAGGAACAGGTTTGTTGTTATCACATCTGAACATGCATCACCAAATGCAAATGGAATCAAGTGCGTGCTTTATAATCTGCAGGATGTCTCTGCTACAGATATGAATCATATGATAACGTTAGTGTTATATTTTGATGTAGAGTGCCCTGCTGCGCAACATGCTAAGAAGCTGATTGATGTCATGAGTCGACTCAAATATGGACTAATGGACTTATGGAGAATTTCTAGGATGCCCAACCGCAATTGCTGGTCTTGCCTTATCCTTGTGACACCCTTCTAGTGGTTATTCAGATGCTGACTTGAAATTTTAAGGTAGCTAATATATTGTAGTATCTGATTTCAAGTTTCAATAGCTGTTGCATCAGGGCTGCTAGCATCAAAATAGACCATGCATCTGCTGTGAATGATGCGAACAAGATCACAATTTTAATAGTGCATCCTAGCCCTGCGCCTGCGGGCCACACTGGGGCAGGCCCTGGCACCGGCGGCCAGTGACGGCCGCCGGTGCCAGGGCATGGCATGCTAGCGCATATATGATTTGATGATGATGATGATGATGACCGTAATGATGACCGGAGTGACTCGGAGTCATTGATGATCATGAGAGATTAATCTAAAATTACTGAAACTCCATATCGGAGAAGTCCAGCACTGTGGTTTTACAGACTGACATAATGATGATGTCTGTGTCCTTGTGCCAGCCAAGCGGCCAATTGGCCCATCAGGCCCGCAATGCTGTGCATGCATGAGAGTAAAGGTTTAGTAAGCAACACAGGCACGTGCTTTACACAAGTAAGCTCGAGCTCAGCAGGCACATTGCTGCGTTTCGCTTGCCAGATTCCCTGTCCTTCCTTGCGATCTCCCATAAGAACAAGCATCTCAACAGCAAGCACATCCCTGGGAGGCATCTCTCTGTGTCCAAGGGAGATGGCGTTCTGTCTGCATCAGCGTCGCCTGGACGCATCTTCTTCCCTTGAGAGGACACAAATTGCATCAATCTATCTACCTTTGAGTTGCTTTAAGCCTTCATTGCAGCAACGTCCTATCAGAAAGGAAAAATTAAAGTGTCAACGCCGAAATATATGCATTTTGAGCGCAGTTGCAACAGGTGAGAATTTGCACTGCATATCATCTCAAACTCCTGTACTAGCAGAATTGCAGAGCGAGCTTTGATTGCGATGATGCTCGGGCCAACAGAGGCTCTTCTCAGCTGCACTGGTTTTGTGCAGGACCCGGTGATGGTTCAGGTGATTCTGAAGAAATGGAAAAGGCACGTCTGCGGCTGAGCAGGTAATTTGGCACACTTTGTCCAGTGCCACGTACAGACAGTAACATTCCCACCAAGGTCTGAGTGAAAAAATATTGGCTTTGCAGGACGTTTGAGACGCCTAGCATATCTGGTCAGGAGCTGCGGGATCTGATTGTGGAAAAATGGGGCCGATCATATGACACACGTCTCCACAAGCGCGGCCAAAGGTAAGCAAGAGCTTAGCGCAGGTGACAGGCATGCTGCTGGGCTGTCTTGGCGCGTCGTGCAGGATCTGAAAAGCTGAGATCGCACCGTGAGATGCAATGACAACCTCCATTGGGCTCTCCTCAAATTTATCAAGCAAGTGCAGGTACTCGGCACTTCGCTGCATCACACATGCTGACCTTGCGCAGGATGTACCTGCAAATCATGTGGAAGTTTTTGGAGCAGCGCAGCTTTCACCTGAACGAGAATGAGTACCAGGCGCAGCTGGACGCTGTGGCAGAGTATCTCACGCTGTGGAGGGTGGGCCCCACTGTGCGCGCAGCCATCAGGTCAGCCCCGCCGCGAGGCCCAGGCTACACTGGCGGAGGGGGTGCACGAGCGGTGAGTGCACCCTGCTACTCTGAATTCAATTCAACAGTGCAAGCGAAGAAGCATGCAATGTGGTTTAGCTTCCAAGTGCAGGAAACCCTTCCCGGGGAGCAACTGCCACATGCTGATGAGGTAAGGCAAGTTTATTAGATAGAATCTGGATTTTGTGCCACTGTCTTCTGAGGGAAGCATGGGCTGGCAGGTAAGCATCCCGCTGGATGTGCAAGTGGACGGTGCCCGCAGTGGGGAGTGGGACAGCTTTTGACCAGATGCAGCAATGCGGCAAATTTGAGACTACTGTAGACGTTCAGAGTGTAACGAGCAGATTGCATTTTTTGAGAGTGGAGATCTGTCCGAAAGAATACCTGTAGCTTGTCCTTGCCAAAAGGAAGATCGCAGTGTACATTAAAGGAAAGTTTGAGCTAGAAGTGGTTCTGAGCAGACCAATTCCCAGTGAGTGACGGCCCCTCAAAGTTTAAAAGTTGCCCTGGTGCAGCACAAATCACATTTGAACGCCAGACTGTGCCATAGATTGCTTATATTGCACTTGAATAGCTGGACAACAACTATGAAAGTAGCGTGCGCGTGTGAGCAGCTTACGCTATCAATCGGTAATGATGGAGTTTTCATGTTGAGTTGATGGCCCACGGGCATGCCGGCGGCAAGATGCTGCATCTATTGGATGGCGTCAGGTGGCGGCCACTGGCAGTCATTCGCCCGGTGCGGCGGCAGCGGCGACCGCTGCGGCAGTACTAATGTTTTTGCAACCGTTGTGACAAGTAAGGGAATAATCGTGTGACAATGGAGTAATCATCGTGTCACTGTTCCACGCAGATAACAGATTACATAATCAGCAGTGCTGCCAGCAGTGCTCATATCCAACTTGGTTTGAATTTGGTTGAAAACGCCGGGGCCCGGGGCATCATGATCATGATGCAAACATGCATGCGGCCGCGGGCTCATGGCAACAACTGTGAGCAATGTACATGCATGCGAACAGTCCAGCCTAGCTAGCTGAGCTTTGCTGTTCGGAGCCAAGGTTTCAACTCGCCCTCTCATGGATCCCCAGAAAAATATTGGGAAGGCATGCCATGTGTGATGAATGGGAATGGGATAATATCATGCACTTTCGGAAGTCGATGTCGATGATTATTGAGAATGGCAAACACATAATATTGGCGATAGATGTTCTTGTGTATGCGTCATTAAATATCTTTCTAGCTTCGCCGGTGAGCAAATGCAAGATTGGTATACAATCAGGATCTCCTTGTGCGCATTGCAAAGCATATCCTCACCAGCTCTGGGGATATCAATACCTTGTTGATCGTCTGCACAACCAATTGATGTTTACATCGTAGATCTGAACAGCCAAGCCAGAAGTGCACCGTTTGTGAGCGAATGGCGTCACCGATCACCTTGGCATTGGACTGGACTCTGAACACGAATCATTCCGGATTCGTTGTTGCGAAGGCCAAAAACTACTACACGGATGAAGGATTGGACGTATCTCTCATCTCACCAGGATCTGATTATAAACCTCCAGCAGATCTTGTCCGAACTGGGAGCGCGACATTCGGGATTACACCAAGCGAAACAGTAATCAGTTCTCTGACGCGCAGTCCTCAATTGAAGGTGATATGCCCTTTTGTCCTGCAAAAACATCCTTCGTCGTCTGGACATTACTTGTGAGGTGCATGATGGGTGACTGATGTACACTCAAGGAGCCTTGGATGCTCAGGCCATCGCCACGCTACTGGAAGAGGATACTAGCGCGATCGTGACACTCAAATCAAGCGGCATCGACGCACCTTCCAAGCTGGATGGCAAGATCTATGCAAGTTATGCAGCCAGGTGGGTACAGCATCCACTACTGCGGAGTCTGCCTTGGGCCTGAAAGCAGGACAGAAGACCTGGTTCATGTCACCACTTTCACATCAAGTGGTGCATGTCAGGTATGAGGGGAGGATTGTACAAGAGATCATCAGAGCTGATGGTGGAAAGGGGGACTTCAGAGAGGCTACACCCTCTGTCATGGGCATATGGGATACTCTGCTGAAGGTGCGATTGACCATGATGTTGTTTGCAGTACATTCACGGTTCCTACATGGCAACCACGTTGAGCTCCTGTGCTTGACGTCGGAGAATTAAGAGACGCCGCATGTATTCATGTGGCTGTTCTTACTGTGGCTGATCAGCAAGGTCTGTCCTTTGCACAGGGAGAAGCAGATGCAACTTGGATTTTTTTGGGCTGGGAGGGTGTTGACGCTCAGATCAAGGGTGTCGAGCTAAACGCCTTCAAGCTGGGTGATTATGGGATTCCGTATGGCTACACGCCGCTCTTGGTGGCCCTGCCACAGTTTCTCCGGTAAGACTTCCTAAACAATACACCAAATTCCCTCAAAACTGCTGCTTTGACCATGGCATAATTTCCTGGGGCTGTGAAGTCAATGCATGCATGGTCGCATGCAGGGACTATCCAGATGTTGCCCGGGCCTTCCTTCGGGCAACCTCTCGTGGATTCCAGTACACAGCAGAGCACCCGGCGGAGGCAGCGCAGTATCTCCTGGCTGCAGCACCAGATAGCATGGACAAAAAACTTGCACTTGCATCTCAGCAAATGGTGTCAAAGGTGTGCAGACACCAGGCATTGTAATTAATAATTACTAATTATCATCCCCTCAGATGCTGCGAATGGAACATTATGTTGCACCTGTTCTGGCTCAGTCTGAGGTGTGCTGGACCTAATAATTTGTCTGGGCTTGGTGCAGCACTATCTGGACGCTGGAGGGAGGTGGGGTCACATGCGTGCAGAGCGCTGGGACAAGTTTCTGGACTGGCTGGGCGACAAGGGTCTGCTGACAAGCGCCATGCCCTCGCGCAATCCTGTGGATGGTGTCAGCGCTTCACTTGATGACCTCAGGAGCGGCAGAGCTGGAGAACCGCACCCGCGGTCTTCCATCAATGCTGCGGATCTGTACACGAACGAATTCTTGCCCTAGATTGGCAGAGAAGTGGCCTCGGACAGATTGGTGCATGTTTAGATGGAGAGAGAGAGTATACTCGTTCAGTTTTTAGAACCGAGCCTGGCGTTTGTGACCAGATTTCCTTTCAGGCCATGGGTGTGAAACAAGTGCCTCCTTGCGCGTGTCTGTGTGCACAGGTACACCTCGATGAGCTGGCAGCGGTGTCACATACGAACGGTTTGCAAGATTGACTTGTTGAGTCAATTAATGTAGGCATTGTCTTGAGGCAAAAATCAGCATGAAAGATTTGGGCTTGCAAGTGTTCATCAGACCAGCCGGTCACCGTGCATGTTTGACACTGCGCAGTGTCACACTGACGGTCAACAGCACGCCCATGCAGGAGCTGCTATAGCTAGCGCTGAGCGGCATCTGCACTGGTTTCAGGCCCGGCATATTGGACGTCATCACATTCAGCACCTGAAATGAGGGTAGTTTCCAACATAAAGCAGATACATGGGGCGCTGCATAGTGTCCACTGGCATGCAAGAGTGCCTGCAGCATGCACAGCAGGCTGGATGACTCATCACTTCAGGAAATAGGAACCTCATTCTAGCGTGTGGCAATGAACCAGATTCATTAGGTTAAGGCATGCTTGAATGGAATTGCTACACGAGGGGTTTGACTCATCGCAGTGTATACAAGTTCAGAACCTTTCAACCCTGCACATGCGGATCGATGAACCTAGATCTGAACATAGCATAGGACACCATTCTAATGTTATTGCTGAAATCCGATGTGCGCGCTGATTTTAACTTTACAAGAAGAACAGCAACTTTTAGCTGGCGTCAAGGCCACAAGTGGTTAAGGATATGTTGCATACCGAACGCACACTGGCAGCGCCCATTCAATAAAGGATTGCACAACAGTCCTTTCACAGGTATATCACCAAAGGATGCAGATCAGTTGAGAATGCCAGTGGCAGCCAATATAGAGGGCTCACCACGCAAGACCAAAAAGCGCCAGAGCTTTCTCAGGTCAGCTCCCCATTTTGTATCATGCAAGAGTCTTAAATTTTGATCTTGCTAGCACAGGAGCAAACTTCAGGTGTAGGTGACCTTTTGTGCAGGTCCGGGCAGTCAAATGATCTGCCTGCGACGATTGCTGATAGCGCAAAAGATGTGGAGAGCGGGCAGCAGGACAGCAACAGCACACCGGGGGGCGAGGGATTTGCTGGCCCATTGGGCAGATCCAGACCGTCTTGGAAGCTTGCTCCAAGGTTTGGAGCAGGAAAGGGGCTCAGCGATGTAGCAAAGGGGCAGCTGTGCCTCATGTGTGTGGCTGCGTTGTGGGGATCATATGGCCCTGCGATTCGGTGTGTATTGCTGGCGCAGATGCCTCCACCTGCACCGATCTGTAGATCAAGACTAGATGAAGCTCGCATGTCCCCATTGACATCTTGATGCACACTAAGAAATGCATGCATGATTAGTGCCACATGGCTGCAGGTATATCTACTCCTTCAAAGGGCCACCGAGTGCAGAAGCACTGACAGCGGTGAGAGCAGTGCTGCAAGCACTGATCCTCCTGGTATCTTCCATGGTGATCTCTGGTGGTCAACGTCACAGAAAGCTGCGCAGTGAAGAAGTCCCCGACGCTGCACAGCACGTCGAGCCAAGGGTCAGTGGCAGATCTGCTAGCCAGCCTTAATGCTGAATATGCTCACCCACCACTCTTTGGTCAAGCTCTTCTATGTGCTAAGTAGACATTGCATTCTTTTGATTAGTCTTGTGCATGCCAGGATGCGGGACCGTCCTCTGGTTTTCGGCAGCCATATTACACTCTGAGTTCCTGGTTGGGGGGCACCACCAACAATGTGGCTCTGGCTGGAGCAGAGCTGGGGCTGTGGAATTTTCTAGCGACCTCTTCACAGGTCGGCCCCTTACCATCTCTGTCAATGTGCTCGCAAACATGTCTGTTGGAGTAATGTGGATGTGCAGATGTAGTCAGGAAAGGCAAGATTGGTGCTTTCCTTTGGACTCGCATGCGCTTTTGCTCTGATAGCAATGCACCCGTCAGTAGATGCACAGTCAGTAGATAGCGAATTTATGCAGGCTTTGGGGCTCGAGATCACTTCTGCCACGAGAGGTTCATTCCTCATTCAGGCAAGGATGCAGGCGCTGTCAACTCAAATCTCTAGTGACACATCGAGTTGTGGCTCTTGCATGTATACTCTGTTGCACATGTATCCTTGCTTGTGGATTGCTCACAGATTGCGCCTTCTGACCCTGCGGTGCCATGCAGCTGACAGCCTTGCTCACGCCTGCCTTAGCGATGGTGGCGGGAGAGAAACCGGCCAAGTCCGTCTGGCTGGGCTGCATTGTAGCAATGGGCGGCGCTGTCCTCCTGACTCTTGACAATGCCTCTGTTGTTGCGCCGCCTGCAAACGCGGCCCACATCGCTTTTGGTATGGCATGCCTGCCACTCTTACTTTCACATCCTGTGCTTTTGGGCTCAGAGGAGGGCCCATTGGTTTGCGCATGCAGCCAGAGGATGACAATTGCTGCTCAACATGCTTGAATTATACTTTATCACAGGTGGGGACGCGTGTATTTTGGCAGCAGCATTCTTTTATTCCTTGGCGACCGTCCGCTTGAGCAGGCTAGCTGCAAATGTCTCTTCCCTCGAGCTTGCCACATCAAAGTCGCTTGCACTCGCCATTATATCCCTTGGCTGGGTGGGCCTGTCTGCTGCCAGTCAGGTAGCGCTTTCCTCCACCCTCATGCACATGCTCACATGACGCCCTATCAATAAAGTATTGCTGCAAGATTGTCCCTCATCAGATTTCAGACAGGAAGGTGGAGTATTGACCGTGCAAGACGGCACAGGTGGCATCCCACGAGTCCCTGCTCACACTCTGGGAGGGCTATGCTGATCCTGGCGCATGGCTGGTATTACTGTGGTCGGCACTGGGCCCCGGTGCACTGGCTGCTTACTTACAGACGAGGGTATGCAATTAATCTTTTGCCCCTTCTATCTTTGCTAAATTTTCTACATTGACATGTAACTTGCTTCACAATCTGCACCATGGCCTGCAACAAGAAAGAGTGTGATGGCTTCCTGCAGGGGCAGAGCAAGGTTACTGCGGCTCAGGCACAGATTATATTTTCAAGCCTGCCGCTTTGGAGCGCCTTCTTTGCTGGCTTGCTGCTGCATGGTGAGAAGATGGGAGTGCTGGGCTGGTTGGGAGGATTGACAATTTTGTTTGCAGGCATTGTTGCATCAAGAAAGTGAATGCCCCACGCAATGCACAAAGGATCCATCGCTGATCAGCGACAGATGCCAGCAAATGTCCTCATCAGCCATTTACAAAAGAGAATACCAAATTACACATGTATTTTTAAATCCCTGCACCAATTTGTCCGCAATGCCTTTCAAGCTATGGGGTGGCCACACTTCGAATTGAACTGTGTGTCAAATTTGTGCTCATTTGAAGGGCGCATTCAAATGATATCAGATCGATCTTAGTCGTTGTAAGGTCACCCGACTGACACATCCAGATCATGAGGAGACCACAGCATAATTTGCTGCAACAAATCTATGCAGTGATTCACTGCCAGTGGAGCCTCACCTATGATACATTCATTTTACATTGAATAGCCTCCGGTCACAAACGTTTAAAAGGCCACCCTTACTGATAGCACTCAGCACCGGGTTGCATTAGGTTTCTGTGCTCCCAAGTACTTCTTGCTCAAACCTGCGCAGCCTCTTGAACTCCTCATTGTACACCTCGCGAGTCCTGACGTACAGCCAGTATGATGCAACTGATTGCAGGGCAGCCATCCCTGAAATGACAAGGAAGCTCAACCTGTGCAACCAGCACACTGTTTTTAGCATGCTCTCACAGGATTCATGCAACGAAAGGACATGTCAAAATTGCCCTTCTTTCAACAGAACCAAGAAATCGAGTGTGCATTGCTAGAATGTCCAATCTGTGACCCACCTGTAGCAGTCAGATCCATAGCAGGTGCCATAAGGATCGTCATGGGCAGTTCCACGGATATCATAGACATTGCCGGCCAGCATTGCCGAGCACAGAAAGCCGCCCACGGTCGGCGCCAGATGCATGACAGCATGGTTTGAGGCAAAGTGGTGCAGACCGAACAACTCGGAGGTGAGCACCTGCACACGACAACATGCCACATCCTGACCAGATTGACAAGAAAGCATTCTTCTGGTCCTGTATCTACGCGAGACATTCCAAAGTGCTGTTGTGTATGCAAGGCAGCTGACATCCTATTGAAAAGGAATAAATTGATAAAGTGATGCGAATAATTCAACAGCTCACCGGCATGAGGCTCCAGTGCCAGCCGAAGACAAAGCCCAGCATCATGGCACATGCCAGCAGCCAGCGCAGGCTTGTGAAGGCGCTGAGCAGTGCCGCCACGCATGTCATCAGCGATGCCACCACCGCAAATATCGTCCTGCAATGTGCCAAGTTCCAGTAATCGCTCAGGACCCTGCTGGCTGCTACTTCTGAAAAGTCGTTTTCCATCTCTTGTCCCTCTATTTCTATGGGTACCCAATACCATCACGGAGATTGCAAACCTGCATCACTTCCATGAGTAGCACATTTGTTCTAAAGCAACAGGGTCCAGGAGAGAGAGGAGCAGCCAGTGCATGCACCTGGGGGTGCCGCGCGCATGCAGCAGCCTCTCAGGGACGTAGCCGCCGACCATGCGGCCGACGGTGTTGAGCGTGGTGAAAAGCAGCACGTAGATTCCCTGCCCCTCGCGCCTGCCCCCCAGCGCCTCCACCATCTGGCCCAGGTTGTTCAGCATCGTGAAGCCTGCGCCCATCAATGCGCTGTCTGAATCGCGCCCCGCATGCAGGAGAAAAAGAAGATCACACATCTCTCAGCCACCTAGGGCTGACCAGATGGCATTCAGGTCAAACACTGACTAGATGTCTTGTCAGGGAATGATTCAAGCACATACTTTGGAATAGGAATGGACCCACGCGCTCCAGACTTATGCATCAAACATGCGGGCGTCTGGCTGATGATTCCTGTGTCCCGCGATATGCAGTCGAAGCTGTGTAATAAAGATGGCCAGTGAAACTTCGAGTCCGGACCGTGGATCGCTGAATATGACAGTGACTTTCAAGAGTCGGGGGGCGCACCAGCCCCCATGCCGACCATCAGCGCGCTCCACAGCATCCAGTAGTTCAGGCTCACCTGCATGCGCACGACACCCCTCGAAGCTTAGAATGACCAACAGAGACACGAAGCCCTTAAACATTTGCAAGAGAAAATGGCCCCAATTGCATGATCTGGTCTAGATCAGTACTGTGCCGAGGAAGCCAGGCATTGTTTATTCCAAAGGGATTCCGTTTCGAGTGACTTGGACTAGGACTTCAACTAGGGGCTCTCAAGGAACTTGATCCAGGTGCGCACCAGGCACTGGGGCAGCGTGTACTCTGGCATGCCCTCTCCCTCTGCTGGCTGCAGGTTGGTGCTTGAGGGGTAGCGCTGCTCTGCCGAGGGTCCCCTCCTGGAGGGCCCCTCCTGCTTCCCCTCCCTGTTCCCCAGCAGCTGTGCACTCTCCACGTCCTCCCCACCCTCCTCTCTCCTGCTCATTGGCAGACGCAACTCAAGCTATGCCATGATATTGATGACTCCTTTGTACCCAGTCCAGTCTGCTTGATAGATTGTTTGATGGAGTGTCATTCCAGGGGCGCATGCTACATGGAAGACGATGTACTCACCGCTCGCTGTTCTCAAAAGCTGGCAGAGGTGCAGGCCGGCTCGTCAAGCCCCCAGATCCCAAAGGCGTCAGCAGCACGAGAAACAGTAGTAGGATCACGCCGATCATGATGCCTCTCTGCTGGGACATGCTGTAAGGGTACACCTCCGAGACGGAGGCTGTTATGAGCTGGTAGACTACTATGGCGCCTGCAACGGCGTAGGTTGCCAGAAAGCGGCCCCCTGCACATCATCCACACAATCCTGATGATGGGGCCTCATTCCTCGCACACACTTATTGTTTGCTGGCTAGGAAGGAGAAAGCAGTGGTTCCTGAAAGCATTTACACACCTGTGGAGAGATACCAATGGTCGTGCGTGATTTCAGCTTGCTCAACATAAGGGACGTGGTTCAGCAGTGGAACGGTGAGCACAGCAACAAAGAGCGGCAGCACAGCCACAAACAGCAGGAAGCTGAGTCCGTCTGGCTGATAGGCGCCGAGATAGATGCTAGATGCTAGGCTGGCACTGACCCCCAAGAAAGACTTCAGAGTACCTGGCAGCAGGCACACAAACCATCTATCATCTTCACTTTGAATCTAGAGAAGTACACAAGAAGAAGTAGGTTGTAGCAAATTCGATCTGCAGGGCAAGAGAAGGGTTTAGAACACACCGCCAACATTGCCACGTTCGTTGGGGAAATTCCGCATGCATGTCACGATCGCTGCAGAGTCAAGAAAGACCACAGCGCTCGAGCCTAAGAGGGCAAATGCTGCCAGGACCCAGTAGGGGAGAGACACATAGCCCTTCGCTGCAGCCCACACCATGAAGAATCCGACAAAGTGATTCAAGCAGCCCCATGCAGCAATGAGCCTGCATCAGCAGAAGAACAGCCTGCCATTTAGGAGCTGCACAATGGGCAATGAGGCGATGTTGAAGGCTTGCTCAGATCCTTTACAGGAGTAAAATGCATTTGCCCACATGCCTGATCAAGCACAGCAGAAGCGGGCTTCTCACCTGGGCCCAAACTTATGGTGGTGCCTCAAGTAATCATAAGTGAGACCGGGAATCCTGCACACAATTTAGGCATCAGCCACAAAGCTCTCGTTGCTCAAAGCAGTAGTGTGGAGTATTCCTGTGCAAAGCTTTCTTGGCAAAATCCCCTTGCTTACATCCATAGGAACAGTGAAGCCGTACCAAGAAAAATAACCGCCGCTCACAAGGCATGAGCCAAGAGTCTCCAGCTGGGGCTGTGTGAACCCAAACGCCTGTTCCACCATCACCAGATCAATTTGGCCTGTGGGAATTTGTCAACAGCAGGTCTGCAGCACGGCACAGCGAAGGGCAAGAAATGGTTGGCACCATGAGATCGATCAATTTTCAAATGAATGATGTTACCTCCTTGAGCGCTGGTGAGTACAAGCTGAAGGTGTAGCACAAACCACCGCAGATCTGGAGAAAGACTGCAGCCACATTTGTGGCCCATTTGTTGACGTACATGCGTGTGATCTTCGGGCCAGCAGCCGAAGGAGCAACCTGCTCGAAGGTTCTAATTTCCACCGTTTTGCTTTCGTTCACGGTCTTTCAGGAGTCAACTTCCCATGACCTTCTGTGCCCTGGCTATCCAAAACTGTTGTACCCCTCCTCGCGATTGTTCCAACAAGAGACTAACTAGATATGAAGAGAAATTAATTGAAAAAATTGTTGAAACTAGGTGCTTTCAAGTCTTATACTTGGACGCAATGTTTGTTCCGACACTGTTAATTCCAATTTTCTGGCCCGTGCAACACATCACAATTACAGGATCGCACGATTCTACGCTGCAAACATTCCAAATTGATTCCCGGAGTGTCTTCTCCTCCTCCTTCCCCGCAAAACTTCCTCATCTTGACGTCAAGGCGCACGTGCCTCGACTCCAAAAATAAGCTGGAACACAAGGCCGGGGGCTTGGGAATTCCCGTCATATTTCGAGTGTAACCTGACTCATTTATCCTCGGATCCTTCCAGGAATTTGATTGCAACAACGCAAGGAGAGAATTTTGAGGAAGACTGTGGGCTGACCTGAGACGGCATGGGCAAGCAGACGGCGGTGGTCGTGCGTCAATACAACAAGGATAACCCACCCGAAGCTCTCGATGTCGTGACAAAGGACATTCCGGAGCCCAAAGCAGGTCTTCAATCCGTTCGTAACACACCTTTGCGGAATGCTTTGTCACGGCATGCATTGTCCAACTCCTCGAGGACATTTCAAAGGCAATTTGCTCTGTCCTTTTCATTGTCCTGAATGCCTCCCTGTATTCCCGGCAATCTTTTAATTCACAGGTGAGGCGCTCGTGAGGGTCTTGTACAGACCCATCAATCCCTCGGACGTTTTCTGTATCCAAGGCATCTACGGCGGGTGGCACCCGAAATTGCCAGCCACACCAGGATTAGAAGGTTGTCTTCTTCCTCCGATCCGGCTTCTGTTTCTTGTGCCTCAAATCTTGCACTTTGAACACAACGAAATCCTAGTCAGGAGGGTGGAGGTTGTTTGCTGGATTGCAGGCATGGGCGTCATTGAGAAGCTCGGGCCACAGCCATCAAAGCTCCCAACAGAGACAGCCAGGCAGTCACACCTATCTCATGCAGTTACCTTCATGCTATCACCATACATCAACCAAGCATGCCTTGATCATTATGGAATTTGGGGCATGACGACCACAGGCATGCACTCTCCGGCAACCACCTTTGTGGATCTGACACCTCATGACTGCGTGGGAATGTGCAGGAAACTCAAGGAAGGGCAGCGCGTGGTCGCAGTGCCCTGGCCATCCACAGAGGGCGAAGGCACATGGCAGCAGTATGTCGCTGTGCCTCTCGAGAACCTGGTGAGTTGACCCGCCTATCTGAGTGCCACTGTCAGCCGCTGCAAGCAGAGTCGCGGCAGCTTCCAGAAGAAGGAAGTCCACAAATGATGCGACTGATGCTTTTCTTGTAGGTGCCAGTGAGGGATGAGGTGTCGAATGAGGACGCCTCTCAGTACCTTGTCAACCCTGTGACAGGTATGTGAGAAGCCGAGCATGCTGATTTCGCCCACATCTGCCTTCAGAGAGATGCACCAGAAGCACCTTGGCAATCATGCCGATGCAGATGTTGTCAAGTGAAAACGGCTTATCAAGTGTTCCACTGTAGCTCTGGGATTCCTGGAAGACCTGAAAATCCCCAAGGGCAAGTATCTGCTGCAGAATGCTGCCAACAGGTAATAAACTGCCTTTGTTTGTGTCAAACCTTTGTGTCTCTTACATGCATGATCATACCAGGCATTCTAATATTTTTTGAAATTTTGGAATTGCTTGCGCTTGTCATCAGTGTCTTGGGAAAGGAAGTCATCTCACTGGCAAAGAAGCAAGGCATCAAGACCATCAATGTGGTGCGGCGGAATGAGGTCATCAATGAGCTGAAGGAGCTTGGGTGCGTCTCTCTCGTGGTGCTTGTGTCAGCGCCCTTCCAAGTGCACAAGCAAGGCTGCAATGATGCGCGGACAGTCAGGCCTTGTTGGAGTGATGCATGCGCAGGGCGGATGAGGTCATCAACAGCAAGACAGATGACATCGTGGCCAGGGTGAAAGAGATCACAGGCGTGACCTCTCCTACTTTCCCATAAGGGCTGCACCCTGTTGGTATTATCCTGCCAGATCATCATGGAATTGTGCTCTGCATGCAGCCAGTGCCGTGCGATGCGCGCAGGAAACGAAGGGGCCTGGGCTGCAGTCAATCCTATTGGGGGCCCTGGATCCCGCCCTTTCTTCTCGGCTGTGCGCAATTCTGGCTTGGTGTACATCTACAGCATGTATGGCGAGGACGTAAGCTCAGACCTGCACAAGACTCGCAAAACAGCAAAATGCTGCCATGGCACATGTTCATTAGTACGCTTTGAATTGCAAATGTGACTGCATGTCAGTATACGATTGAGTTCATGCACCACAGGTCTACGTCCCTGTTGTGGACCTCCTGTGGCGCGACATAACTGTTCGCGGTTTCTGGCTGAACGTGGTGAGTAAGCACTCATTTTTCCTGTCTGTGCCTGGCAGGTGTTCGTACCCATGTATGACCTCCACTTTCGTGACATCACTGTGCGCGGCTTTTGGCTGAATGTGGTGAGGATCGTTGATGACTTGGCTTACATCAGCATTATCAATGCACGCCTGTTCCTTTGATTGTGACATGCAATCTGTGCGCAAGAGCAATTTTCATGCACTCTTATTGAAGCAATAAAGTGTGATCGGCTGTGTGCAGTGGCTGGGCCGTCTGCCCAAGGATGTCAAGGAGCAGAAGCTGCAGGAGGTCATGGACCTCATGGCAGATGGCACCATCAAGCCTCCACCTGCCCGTAAGCTCTTCTAGACCCTGTCTTCTTTTTAAATTTGCTTGCACCTGCACCAGCTGCAGTCCTTCGGATTTGGAAGCTGAGCTGTCATCCACCAATTCATTTTTGGGCTGGGGCGGCAGTAAAAGCTGCTTCTCTGAGATCCCATCCTGATCATCTGAGTCGTCGAATTTTGCCTGCAGTGTCTGACAGGAACGCATGGACCCATGCAGGTGCAAAATACCCGCTCAAGGAGGTGAAGAAGGCACTGGAGGATGCCATGAGCAAGTCAGGCAGTGCTGGGAAGGTGCTGCTGGAAGGTTGAATTGCCCTCAGCAGTATGTACTACACATGATGCAACACTGAGGAGATATTGCGAGTGCCCACGAACTGCCAGTCAGTGACACCTAGCTGATTTGCATGCATCTAATGTCCTGTAGCCCATGATTGAAGCGCCCCCTGCTCTGTACATGTCCTGCCTATGTCGCCGTAGCACTGGAGCCTGAGCAATTTGCATGTGAGAAGTACCTGTGTTGGACCATCTGACTTGTGCAGCGCATTGTAACAATTGCGAGCTACAATGACATCATGCCTTCCTTGACGGCTTACATCACTGCAAAGGTGCCCAAACCACTTGTGTCACCTCACGCATGAGATCTCTTCATGACAGCTGCAATAAATGATTGCATGCTGAATAGTGCGCTTAAACTTCTTAAACGATTGTATTCACAACCATCTCATGATAATGTTCTCGACACCAGTGCCTCCACCTAGGTGCAGTAGTCTCAAGCAAGGCAGGCGTGCACAGAAAGACCAGATTGAAGAGTTCGAATGCGCAACCAAGTCCTTCATTCTGAGCAATTCTACATCGGCCCCAAGAGCTGCGCAATGGATGGACGTGGCTCCGTCATCGTCATCCCCAGGACTATAATCAACGGGATGAAAGTGTAGTGGACAAATGGCTGCGGCACACAGAAAACTAGATCAGATATTTGCTCATACTAAATGTCATCAATCACTGTCATCCAAAAACAATAAAGTCCCACAACGAATCAAAGGACGGTCACCTTAGCGTACTCCAACACTACGGCGGGGACCTGCTTGGCCATGTCCCAAGCAGTGGGTTCCTTTTTCCTCTTCGCCATCTTTGATCAGATTCAATGTGTTGTTCAATTTGCGATCGGTTGGATCACAAACTGGGGCATGCAAGCCTGCTGATCACGTGAAGGTGACTCATCAGCATGTTGTTGTGGAAGGGAGAGCGAAAACTTTCGGCACATGGCAGTCCGCGATTTAGGGAGGCACTGTACTTGCAAAGTGTGCAATACGTCTTTGATCGGAAAGAAATATGATGGGAGCGGCATCGCGCGATTTGGCTTTATTGCAATGACGTTCCAATCACTCTTGGATGATGGATTATTAATCGCGAGGCTGGAGACGTGGGATGATTCCTTGTTCATTTGATATATCAGGGAATAGTTTTATCATCCTTTCATCACGAAATTGTTGGTAAGAAAAAAGACGGTCTTGACTGGTTGCGTGGTGCATCGGCACACTCAATCTCAAGCACAGAATGCCTGTTTCTTCCATGAAACTTGAAGATAGCATGACACCTATGATTCCGTCAGCTCCACAACCAGTGCCACCGATTACCGATGCAGAGTCTGTGCAACCAATTTTGATCCACTCGAGTGAGGTGAGCACCCTACTGTACTGCTACGCCCCTCAGCAGATTAACTCGACGTTCTGCCGATCTCCTTGCAATTGTCGTTTATTTATTCCATGGTGATACTGCGTTTTCGATGTCAATAGACTTGCACGGTCATGCTACCATTTTGCAGGTCTCCTTGGAGTGGGCGCAAGATGTTGGAGTGAGACTCGAGATGGCTTCTTGGGGCGGTGTGGAGGCGTTGCGAAGCGCTCTGCCAGCAGACAGAGCTGTCCAGCTTTTGGAGGCAGCCTACACCTTGCTGAAGCTCGAACCCAGCGTTCTTGACGTGAGAGCCCTGTCAGCGGCCTGTATGCATGCCTTACCTCTCGAGTATGGACCAGTGCATGACTTGATGGATCATCATTCTCACAGACCTGTTTTTATTTTGCAGGTCAATCCGACAGCCGCGGAAGCTACTGTGACAGTGGTTGGCGACACGCATGGACAGCTCCATGATGTGCTGCACATGTGAGCACTGCGTCTCAGCTTTGCCACCATCCCGTTCCTGTCATTGCATGCAATGGTTTCAAGCTTGCTCGCATTACCTCATATTGGTATCACAGTGCAGGCGCAGCTTTTATGCAGACACTGGAGCTGATCTGATCAGTATGCTTGCAGGCTGGAAGTTGCTGGGTACCCATCTCCGTCATCCTACTTCATCTTCAATGGTGCGGCCCGCTCTGCTCTCCAAACAATCCTGTGCGACAGTGGTGAAGCCTGAATCATTGCTGAATATGCACGTTCAAGCTTCTTGTGGCGCAGGTGACTTTGTGGACCGGGGTGCCTGGGGCTTGGAGGTGCTGGTGTTCTTGGCAGCGCTGAAGCTGGCGATGCCTGACAGAGTGATGCTGCTGCGCGGGAACCACGAGAGCTCCACCTGCACCCAGCTCTACGGCTTCCGCACTGAGGTCCTCAGGAAGTACGGCCAAGAGGTGCTGACCCCACCTCTTGCCTTGTGCTGAATCGAGGTGGCATGCAAATCCAGTCTCAATAGCTGGACATTGTCGTCAAGGTCATGCATTTCCAAGTGCTGCAGCGCCTGAAAATTCACTGCCGGCAGTCTTGTATGTGCATGGCCACGGCTGACTTGGGAATATGTGTGCTGCACAGGGGCAGAGGGTGTACAGGATGTGCAAGCAGCTCTTTGCTGTGCTACCGCTGGCAGCTGTGGTGTCGGGGGCTACGCTGGTGCTGCATGGCGGCCTGTTCAGGCGACCTGTCACACGGCAGGTCCGGCCGGCGGGCCTGCCCCACCTGCCCAAGAAGCGCAAACGCAACGTGCCCAACAGGCTCACGCCGGGCCCGCCCATGCTGGGCAGCTTGGAGGTGTGCACTGTCCTCATCCAGGCTCAAAATGTAGACCTGAGTGTACTCTTGAAAAACTGCTGATATTATCAGTGTGGGATTTCTCTATGTACAGATATTAATCGCCTGTTTTGTTCCTTGTGTTGCTGTGATGGCGTATTTTAGAAGCAAGAAGCACAGCATGCTCGGCTTCTGCAAGGGGCGGTTATGCAGTGTGTGATCTATACCTCTACTGCTTCTTGAGATTGTCCTTCTGTTGTGACAGGATCTCCGCGCGAGCGGCAAGGGCGGCATCGATCCGAACGGCACTGGCACCTCGACGCTGGCCACAGATGTGCTGTGGAGCGACCCTGTGGTCGAAGCCGGCCTGCGCCTCAACGATTCCCGCGGCGTCGGCCTCATCTTTGGTCCAGAGATCACTCAGGTTCAGCCGCCCCCCTTACCCTTCCATGACCGCCCTTCCTCCCCTTCCCCACATATTTATAAGGTCTTCAACAGGTGGCCTCGCATCACTCTGTGCAATGGGTTCTAGGGTCATGGGACTGTTGAGGACAAAGACGGTGATGTGTGCGCTGCGCAGGAGTTTCTGGTGGTGAACGGGCTGCGGCTGATCCTACGGTCGCATGAGGGGCCGGACGCGCGCTGGGGCCGTGAGGACCTGCCGGGCATGGGCGAGGGCTTCAGCATCGATCACGTCACCCCTGCCGGCTGCCTCATGACTGTCTTCTCCGCCCCTGACTACCCCCAGTTCCAGGTCAGGCCCTCACTATGTAGGCAAATAGACTCCAAGGTGCCAGCTTGATCCGCTATACATGGAGGCACCTGAAACTGGTAAGGCAGGGGTGCAAAGACAGACCTGGCTTGGGCAGAGGCTCCTTGGCCAGACACAGACTCGTGCCATGCATCGCAAGCATTACTAGGGAGCAATGACAGTCTTGGGCGCATCCATAAGGTGGGTTGATTAGGAGTACCTGATGACCATGCTCTGGCTGCTGGCAGGCGGATGGGCAGGAGAGGTATCACAACTTGGGCGCGGTGGCGGTGCTGACAGGGCCCACCTGGGACTCACCCTCATTCGTGCAGTACGAGGCTGTGCACCCGCGGCCCGTGGTCGATGCCACCTACGAGGTCAGCCATTGTGCACCCTGCCTAAAGTTCAGCAGGCTGCATTGAGAAACACCCCCGACTGTACTACCAGTAGTTTTGATCAAGAGAATGTACAGGAGCTTCACACCGGGTTTCATCGCGTGAAAATATAGTGGCATTGGGTGTGCATGCGCAGTACAATGATGTGCCGGGGTCGGATGAGGAGATGGAGTTGGGCGTTGCAGGAAGCGATGTCAGTCTTGGCAGCGAAGGTAATGCTGATCACAAGTGTTTGGCGTAGAGCAGCAATGACCAATGCTCATGTGGTTTCGGGCCCAGGTTTCACTATTGAGGCAGCTCTGCAAATATGTGCAGGTGGCAGTAAAGCTGGCGGCAGTGAGATGTCAAATGGGATGAGCGAAGGAGAAGTCTCACTGGAGAAGGCCTCAGAGGCAGAAACAAGTGCACAAGGTGATTGTGACCAACTTGTGCCCAGCAGTTGCTTTAATGGATTATTCCCATGGCGCATGATGTCAAGAATAAGCATCCAGCACATTTTCTGTTGATGCACACAGGAGACCGTTCAAGCGTGACCACAGCTCGAGCCACTCAGCAGGCCATGGCGGCCACCGCGGAAGCAGTCGCAAAGCTGCATCTGCAGAACGTCTCGGCTGCAGGCCCCCCACAGCGCCAGCAAGGCGGGCAGGCAGGCCCCAGCAGCAACGGTGCAGACAGCGCAGCACAGGAAGCACAGGAGGATGCTGTCTGTGGCCAGATTGGGCAGCTGCTGAACCCAGCTGACAGCGGGTACTTGGCGGACAACGAGGGTCAGAACTTCACGCTGCATCAGGGAGCGGGCAAGGCCGACTGCAGCAACGGCGCCAGTCACAAGCACCTGCGCTCCCGAGGCCCCACTACCAGGAACTCAGCCCCTGCCCTGTAACGTGCGATTGTGTCTGAGATCCCAACAGTTGCCTCAGGGCAGCAGATGTGTGCGGCTTTGCTTTTGCTTTACTTGTGGCTCTGGTAGCTCATGTGACGTGCCCTGTTCTTCACATCTGTTGGACATCTGTGATATGCCACTTGATGTGTGTACGCGCCTCGTCTTTCAGGCTTTGAATTCATGGCCCTCAATTTGAGAACCTTATGGTTCACTTCCTGTGTGTGCATGCATTGCCTTGAGGGAAGTTGAGATGGCTTGCTATTTCCTGCAATTTTGTAGAAGTTTTTTGTCAATGTTCAAATCTTCTCATGACCCTCCAGTGGATTCTGCATGCAACAACCGGGCATGCGCCTGCTCAAACATCTTTCCTCCACATCACATGCGAGATACATTCACATCACAGAACTTGCTTGCATTAATATTACTGGGATGAATGTGCTTGAATCCGTCTCCCAGCAGCTACACGAAGGGGACAGCTCTATTCAGGACTTTCCGGGGAATCTCACTTCGCATGCAGTGCAAAATATTAAGGACATCCCCTCTATCCTGTCAGACTTTCTACAGAACCGCTTACAATACTCACCAATTGATACATAACAAGAGCATGAAAATTCCTCCACACACCACTGTGCATTGCTAAAATGCTCATATGAGCTATCCCACCCCTTGTCCTGCCTGGCATCAGACACAAGGCTCTACGACACCACGCTCTGCTATGTTTGATTTGATGACCCATCACTTTTCTGCAAAGACGCCATCTCGACATTGGCAGGCGTCGACCCCCCGGGCCTTTGACTGCTGCTCTGTTGCACAGAGCCGCCAGCTGCTTCCCCAGCGCTGCCTTCTCTGCCCCCATGGGGCTGCCCTCCCGGCACCGGCGCGCGCGGGGGGTGCCCCGACTCGCTGCGGAAGGACGGCGGCCCCGTGAAGCTGTCAGGCAGCCGCCCCGGCAGCTGCCCGCTGAAGCTTGCCGGCAGCGACATGGAGGGCAGCGTGTCTATGCTGCTGGTGCGCCGGTGTATGGGCCCCAGGCTGCCCGCGGTTGCGAGGCTGTCCCGCTTCACCGCTCTGGCTGAGGACCTGCGCCGGCCGGCGGGGCTCTGCATGGACTCGTTGAGCAGGCTCTGCTCCATCTGGCTGTCGGTGGTGATGCGCGCCGATGCGAGGCGGCCGCTGGCGGTGGAACGGAGCGCAGACAGGCGCTGCGAGGCCTGCCAGCCCAGCTCCGGGTCCTTGCCGCTCGCCTCATCGGCCTCCATCTCCGACAGGATGAAGTAGTCCTGCCGGCCAAATACCACAGGCTCAGCGGACATGCAAGCTTCCAGTACACCGCGATGCATGTGCAAAGGGGGGGCCACACTGGCTGTGCTGTATGGGCGTGGCCGTCCATGAGTGTCAAAAGAAAAATGGTGAGGTGCAGGCCGCCTGAGTAGAGTGGGCAGCAAAGTTGTGGAAAGGAAAACACCAGGAAGCCTAGCAGCGCTGATTGCTTTGCTTCAGACTGCTATTGTAAGCCACCTGAAGTTCAACGCATTGATGAGCACTTTCCAAGAAAGAAACGGCGCCCTAAAAAGACTGCATGTTTCACAATTTTCTGCCTCACCATCCGGCAGGTGGTGACGGCGGCCCGAGTCGACACGGGCCAGCTCGATGTCAGTGCTGGAGGAGGAGGGCTCGTCTGAGGAGCGCAGGGGCTGCAGGGACACAGAGGGGGCGGAGGGGGTGACGAGGAAAGGCTGCATCGAGACCCTGTACAGGTCGCTGGGCACGCGGCGCTTGGCGCGGCGCGGCACCCGGAAGTGCGGCGCGCTCGGCCGCAGCGCAGAGATGCGCTTGCGCGTCTGCCAGCCGACTTCGGGGTCCTTCTGGGCCGCCTCGGCCGCCTCCACTTCCGCGATGATCACCCAGTCCTGGGGGTGAGAAGGTGTTACACTTGTCTCTGTCTGTCTTCCTGACGGCGGCCCACCATGGCAGGACCGTGCATGTGTCCAGTGGGCTGTGCGCGCCCAGGCAGGACCATGGGCTGGCCGCTGTGACTGGCGGCAATGCAGCGTGGACCAAGTGGGCCTCATGTGTGCGCTCGGGGGTGCATGTGTCCGGTGGGCTGTGCGCTCGGGGCAGGATGTGGGCCTGCCCCCAGAGCGCCGGGGGAATGCTGGAAAAGGTGGGCCGGTGGAAGAAGGGTGGGCCAGGGGGTAAATGCGTGCTGGGCCCCCACAGCCGGGAGGTCTGCAGGGGCCCGGCGGGGGTAGAAAGGGTGCGCGCATCGTGCAGCACCTGGGGCCGGAAGAGCCAGACGTAGCCGCGCTCGATGATGCGGTGGCCGAAGGAGACGAGGCCGCAGGCGAGCACGGCGAACCAGAAGGTGCCCGTGGCGTACAGGTACTGGGCCACGCCGTACTGCTGCACGTCGTACTTCTTTAGCCCCTGCTCCACCAGCGCATACAGCACCTGCGCACCCACCAACACCTATAATCAATCTCGGATTATCAGACCAGCAGTCCAGCACGGCTCCTAGGTGGCTCCTGACACAATTCAGTCCCAAGGATTACACCTTCCAGTCTCTTGCCTCTCTGCAGCAGTCTGCATTCCAGATGGGAGCAGCAAGCAAGTTTGCAAGGCGAGGTCTGAGCAGCTCAGGTTTGCGCAAGTTGTGCATCAAAGTGTCCTGGCAGAGACTGCAGGTCATTATTAGGAAAAATGCAAAGTATGGTCAGGAAAATTCAAAGTATGGCCGGCCAGCTGAACAATCAAAGGCAGCAAATGGCGAAGATGCAGCTGCCCAAATGAGTCTGGGGCAGACCTCGCCAAGCTCCCTGATCCCCCACCTTGCATGCAGAGTTTCTGAAGGCATTATGCTCAACAAAGAAGCTCACACGCTCACATTGAACAAGTGCTTGTAGCAGCGATCAGGTGGTTGTATAAGATGAGATAGTGAAGCCAAGCATCTGCGAAGGATGGCAGGATGCGGGGTGTGGGGCATGCCTCGAAGGGGAACACGAGGACGTAGGAGAGGATGAGGAAGACGAGGAAGAGCCAGGTCCAGTAGCGGCTGACCAGGCCCACCTCCAGGGTCACCGTGCCCAGCAGCGCCACAAACACGGTCTTGCCGACGGAGAAGACGTCGTTGGCGGAGCGCACGCCGTTGGTGGTGGTGGCGTAGTATGGGATGAAGAAGCAGATCGCTGCGTCCACCGCCGCCATCAGCACGCCGTTCTTCCAAAATGTCAGCGTCGTCAGGCTCGACCGCGGGTTGTATGTCTGCACCAGCCGCAGGACAAAGTCATACTCGCATGCAATATTACGCGGGTCTGGGTCTGCACTGTGCTCGGGTAAGAAATGTGCTGCAAATTGTGCCAGGCAAATAATGCGTACTCAAGAAGAAATCTGTATTGGGACAGGAAGGTGCCAGCTGCGAGCTCTCATGTAGCCGTGGGTGCTGCGAGGCTCTTGCGTGCAGCATCCCTTCCGAGCACTCCTGGGCAAGCTGGTGAGGCAGAGCTCTCAAGTACCCATGGACAAGTCAGAGGCGGTGCGTGCAGGATCTCTTGATACCTCACACCTACGGGCGCGTTGGCTGAGAGTCAGGGCTGGAACGGACCTGGGGGAAGCGCAGGAGGGTGTCGAGGTGGCGCACAGGGCGGTCGAGCACGGCGAAGAGCAGGATGGGGAGCGAGGTGAACACGACGTTGAAGGCGGCGGCAGAAATGTCATCCACCATGGACTGGCCGGAGAAGCCGCAGTAGAACTGGTAGTAGAAGAGCATGAAGCCAAATGCGATGTTCTTGTAGAAGGAGTACTTGACCAGACGCGACAGCCTATATGCGCTCAGCGACCCGTGTACCAGCAGCAGCCGCGTCAGGAACCTGGCCCAGCCACACAACCGCACCTCAGTGTCTCCCTTCCTACACTTCTACAGAGGGGCACCTACCTGGAAGCCACCAACAGCACAACAAACTCTCTGTTCCACAACACCTACATGCAAGAAAAACATTTAGTTTGGAACACACCCTCAGCTCAGAATCTGCACATCATTTTTGGACTGGATTGTACAACTAACAATCATTCTTTCTTTAAGAAGTGTTCCTCATGGAGGCCGGCTGAAAAGTTCGTGAGGGAGGCTCACCTGAACTGGGCAATGGCGTAGTCGGAGTTGTTGACGGCCTGGCGGCCCTCCTTGCCCAGGATGCCGATGCCCACGTCGGCCGCCTGGATCATAGCCACGTCATTTGCACCGTCCCCGATCGCCAGCATGCGCCCCGCCTGCTTCCGCATCGCCCGCTTGTACCACTTGTACAGGCCCCGGCTGCCCCCCTCCGCCTGTAATGCACCCACCAATCGCCGCACATCAACCACCGGCTGCACAATACGGGCTCTTCAAAGATACCAAATGCTTGGAAGCACAGCTGGCCGAAGCTGTAGGTGACACAACCTCCAATCACAAAGACACAGTGCTTTGTCTAGCATCCCTCAAATCCCTCAAAAGGCCAGAATAGACTTTGAGAGGACAGAAGTACGAGGGTGGAATATTCAAGAGCAAGAGGCAGACCTGGCGCATCTCGTACTCGGCCATCATGCGAACGACGGCGGCCTTCTGGGAGGGCGAGGAGCGGCAGATGACGACGCTGCCGCACTGCGCTCCAACCGCCGCCAGCTCCTGCTCCGCCTCCGTGCCCAGGATGTGGCCCAGCGTGCCCCCGTCGATCACCAGCTCGCCCACGTGCAGCGGGCTCAGCACCTCTGCAGCTCCGTCTGCACATACCCCCCAAAGAACATATGTAGCACGGGTGATTTTAAAGCAACCTCTTCATGCAGCAGAAAAGTGGGGAAGCTTGCCTTGAAGGAGGCCTGAAATGCAAAAGAAAAGGATATTTGCTCATTGGGTGCAGCATTGTTGCCCCAAAATCTGATACCTCAGCTAAACCTTGGAGGCACTCCCAGCAGCAGTGTTGTCAGATTTTCATTGCGCAGCATTGTGCCCATGACAAGGTGGCCTGGTATTCCGAATGCACCCTGACTTTGTCAGAGATGAGGCGCACCGCTGAAGGGAGTGGGCTTGGGCGGTCCGCCGACAGGTGCATACGTCCTGGACAGCTCCTGCTTCAGCTGCTGAATGCGCGCGTGGGCTTCCTCCTTGGAGTTGGCGTTGCAGACCAGCAGCGAGTCCGGCCGCCGTATGAGCTTGCATGCAATCGCGATGTTGATGGCCGTCTCTTGCTTGTCCCCTGTGATCACCCACACCTGCACACCCAATGCATACTGCAATGCTTAGCTCATGCATGCTGCACTATGAAAAGGACTCGGCATCATTCCCAACAAAGCTGTCTATTTGCTGGCCTTGGTGACCCATGCACCCCGGGTGACAACACTAAGAGCAGCTGACATTAATCAAACACGGACAGAGCAAGAAAGAGCACCAGCCATGATGTTGTGCGGCATGCAGAAGATAGAAGGGCACCTTCATGCCGGCGTCCAGCAGGGTCTGGATAGCAGCAGGAACGCCCTCCTGCAGCTTGTCCTCGATGGCAGTCACGCCCACCAGCTCCACGTCGGCCTCAACTGCGCTGACCTGCTCATCGATCGCGTCGTCCCTGCCGTCCAGCAGGGCAGCCGCCTCCTGGTACCCCTCATCCCACTCCGTGTAGAACTCCTCCTCCAACACCCTCGTGCCTATGGCCAGCGTCCGCAGCCCCTGCCATCCACATTACATTCAAATAAGGACGACTGCATTGTTGAACAAGCAGCCGTGGCGTACACTATTCCTTTCCCTCATCTGGCAGCATCAGCTCGTCACATTGCTGCAGGCAATTAAAGCAAATGAAGGCCGCATGAAATTAGTTGGGACTGGACACCACAAAATGCATGAAGTTCAAGGGAGGCGAAGTGGCCCAGCACCTGGGTGGCAAAGAGGTGGAGGTTGGCCTGCGTGCTGTTCTGGAGGCTGTGGGGGATGGCCTTGTCCAGGATAGCGAGGACCTTGGAGTCGGCGCCCTTGCAGAGCAGGCGGATGCTGCCGTTGGGCGCGCGCACAATAACGCTCATGCGGCCGCGCGCGCTGCTGTACTCCATCACGTTCAGCACCTCAAACGTCGCCTCCGTTCCCATCATGCTCAGCACCAGGCCGTCCTTCCTGCACGGCGCAGCCACAACTGAAACTCCATGAGAGACGGAAAAAGCAAGGGGTGTAAGGTATAGACATGTGCGGTTGCATTTAACGGTATATCAGTCAGTGTCGTTGAGTCCAGAGCCTTACACTCTCTTTGTGAACTCAAAGCCCAGCTGCCTGCCGCCGTCCACCAGAGCAACCTCATCGGGAGATGGACCCTGCAGCATGCAGATTACAAGTCAGCAATGAAGCAAAAGCACATCGCCTAGCATGCCCTGCGAGTGTCTGATGATCTTTCTGCATAATTATGGTGCTTGCCTGGAAGATGGGCGGGCCTTCGTCCTCGGCCTCCTCCACAATGAGCGAGTGGCAGAGGCAGATGTTGATCCAGAAGTCCAGTAGGTGGCACGCCAGCACCACTGGGTTGACCTCCGGCCTGCCGCCTGCGCCAGCGCTGTTGCGCCCATGGCTGAGGCCGCCATTGGTCTCGCTCCTAGGCGTTTGCATGGCTGAAGCAGCCTGGTCCTCAGAGATGCCCAGCTCCTGGTAGGTCTGCATGAGGGCAGCCACTACATTCACTCAATCCCGTCTGGTGGCTGCATCTCCTCAAGAGCATCGAATGCATGACCCTTCACGTGACAGTTGCATGAGTTTGCTATACCTGCTGGTCGAACTCGCAGGAGCTCAGAGCGAGCGTATGGGCGGAGCTGCCCCCGCTGTTGATCAGGTCGTCCCACTTGCCCAGCTCCTTCAGTGTCTTCACAGCGCTGGCCAGCCTCTGGTCAAAGTGCTCCAGGCACTCCATCCCCTGCAGCTCTTCATGATCCTCCAGCCTGCACAGCCAGAATATTCTAAATGAGTGTCTATGAATGCAGACATATCGCATTAGTTCCATTGCCCCCGAGCATTTGCTCTGGTCTCTGCAGCGAAGTCAGATAGTCCTGCATGATAACCAGTCAGGATGACATGCTGCTGTGCATGGATCAGCGAGGGGCCGCACTTGAAGTTGGCGTCTCCGTAGGTGATGCCCTTGATGGCAATCTCGCGCAGCTGCATCTCATTGGAGGTGAGTGTGCCCGTCTTGTCGCTGAAAACGTACTCCACCTTGCCCAGATCCTCGTTCAAGTTTGTGTTGCGCGCCAGCGCGTGGTTGCCGCTCACCGGGTCGATCATCTCCTTGTCCGTGTTGATGTACACAAAGCCCTGTGCAGCATCAGGTCTTGTCCTGAGACTCCACAACCTCATTGGTTCCCGCACAACACCAAAGCTTGCAATGGCTGCCATGCAAGAGTCTCAGTGCAGCATGGCAACCAAGCAGGTCTCATCACATTACTGGCATCCTAGCAAAGGAAAGGAGCAAGGGGGCGATTTACAAGTAGGGACAATACCTGCCAGAACTTCACAATTTCCAGGGTGACGAAGAGGGAGATGGGGACGAGGTAGGAGTAGAGGATCCAGTAGGTGATGAGCAGGATGAGGGTGTAGGCGAGGCCATTCTGGTAATTCCCCTCCACATATGCATCCATGGCCAGGTGGTAGCGTGGGTAGCCCGCATATTTGCGCCATATGTAGGAGCCGACCGCGCAGAAGATGCACATGGCCAGCTGCAGCATGATGATGAAGGTGATCTGGAAGTTCAGGAAGTGGTCGTAGGAGCCTGCGAATCGCACACATGCAGGCGATCAACCAATGAGAATCACAAAGCCGCACTCCAGGGGTTGTAGTAGTACTAGTGCTGCCTGCTAATCGAGAGACATGCACAGCCGATAGGAGAGAACGATGACTCACCAACTTTGTTGGGGGTCTTGGCAGCGTTCATCTGGATGCGAGACTCCTTGCCAGTGTAGACCACCAGGCCCAGCACATAGTTGGAGTTCTTCAGCATGCAGCCGCGCAGCAGCATCTCATTCATGGTCAGCGGCAGCGCCCTCTCTGCACAGTCAAGCGCCCATAAGGTCAGCCTTTTATTGTATGTGCTGCACTGCAGCGAGGAAACCGTTGTGACAATGCCGTGCTCGCACACTCTGCATGGAGCCGCTGGCCAACAGCATCTGGGGGCTTTGGTAAGTGAGGCAAATTCTAGGAGGGCTCACCCTCGCTGCCAGCCTTGTAGATGAGGCGGCCCTGGAACTTGTGCAAATTGGCATTGGGCGGCTCGCACTCCAGGCTGGCCTTGATCTCCATCACGTCCGACTCCTCCTCCGGGGCGGCTTCTCGCAGGTCCACCGGCCTCCGGATCTTGAGGTTGCTCTCGCCATCCAGGTTGGTGGTTTTGATGAAGCAGGCGTGGTCCGGCAGGGCAGAGTACAGGCAGAGCAGGTCGGCAGGGAACAGCTCATCGTCGTCCACGCGCAGAATGTGGCCCACGCGCACGTCCCGCCACTTGACGTCCTGCACCTTGCCTGTGCACAAGATTGTCCAGAATGAGCAATCAATGAACCAACAAGATGCAGTACCATGTCTTGTGATACACGAGTAATGGATCACAAGCGCATTGAACAGAGCAGCAAGGTAAGGGCCACAATAAGTCTCCTAAACTACTGGGTCAGTCATTTTGGCACCGGGCAAGGTGCAGGCCCCACCGTCGGGCATCACGCGGTGAGCAACTGAGGCATTTGTGCTGCGATCCTCCTGATGCCGTTTGAGGTCCTCCCAGATGGCCTTGATGCCGGCCACCACCAGCACAAACAGCAGCGCCAGCGTGGAACCCCACCCGCCAAAGGGGGAAACCACATTCCACCAGGACAGACATGCCTGCGCAAGCAGTGAAGAGGCCATGAAGTCACACAATAGTCCAGCTGTATCTCAGACGCAAGCCCAGCAACACAGCCTACTTGTTCGGCAGCTAAGACTAGCAGTGCAGCAGTGGAGGCTTTGTGTCATTACCTGGGCAAGGAAGTACAGGTATGCAACCCGGGAGAACATCTCCCAAATGAAGATGGGCAGGAAAGTGGCGATGTTGTACTTGGCAGTCTTGACAGCATTCCCTGGCAGCCCTTCGAGCTCATTTCCACCATTGAGATACACCACTCGCGTTGCAGGAGGCCCCTTTGCCTTTCCTTTCCCTTTCCAGGGCCACTTCCACCTCCTCTTCCTCCTGTCCTTCTTCTTTCCCGGCTCCTTTTCGTCCTCTTTCTTATCAGTCTGCAGCAACAACGATGAACATTAGCTCACGAAGTACATTTGGTATTAATCAGGAAGTGAGTCACTGCATTGGCAGCTTCTACCAGGCCATCATTGTGCCTGGTTGTGGACTTTGGCCACTACACGCTTCGATAATGTCTCAATTAAGACCTTCTCAAACAGCAACACTGAGGAGCTCTCTGATAGCATGAATCAGAATAGAGAGAGGAGGTGCTTACAGGATGCAACACCCTCAGGGAGGCCTGGATCGATTCTCGGTAGACACGAGTGGCTGCCAAGGCCACTGGGTTTGTGGGTTGGCGATGGAGGTTGGACTTGTTGCGCTTTCCAAGCTTTGCTGTCTTACTGACAACATCTCGAGCTCCTTGCAGAAGCTGATGTGGGATGTTGATTAATCGCTCTCTTGCCCTCTCCCTCCCTGATCGCTCATGCGGATCATCAGGAACTCTTCCAAGATCCCCGTTGGAATTCATGCTTCCATCCACTCACAATTACAAATATCGACACATCCAAGCAATAAGTTGCCGGTACACAACACTCCCAGATGGATCCACTGGGAAACGAGGAGCCCTGTCAGATTGGTTTCATGTGTAGACCTCAACGAAATGACAACGTCGGATCTCAAGACGAGGCAAAGGCTGTCAAGTACTAAGGTTCGTTCCTTCGCGTTACGCTCTGTTAAGCGGGTGAGTCTCTTCCAATTGGGTACATCCACGTGGATGCCCCATCAGTGGGACCGTTTCATCTGAAGATGTTCTTCCTTTGTATGAGACTCTCTCCTCTAGAATCTTAGGTGAAGCTGTTGCATTTCAGGTCCATCGACTCACGGACAGCCAGTGAAAGCACGCAGCACCACTGTATTGCGCAATCACCGCCAACAATGCATTGTTGATCTGAAATAAGTACAAAGGCTTTCGACAAGGAAGAATGGCTGGTATCCAAGGGATCGGTGGTCTACAGATCCAGGGCGAGCGAACATCGGGACAAGATGTCAGAACACAGAATGTGACGGCAGTTGCCGCAATCGCAAATATTGTGAAAAGCTCTTTGGGCCCTGTGGGGCTTGACAAGGTATGTCAATTTGCCACCTCGAAAGATTGATCATATATGCCGCACTTCTTTCTGTAAATCGTACAGTAGAGCTTTCTTCTAGAATGACGTGCTCAATCTTTGCTTGATGACTTCCATACACCTGATCAACGAGTTACATGCAGATGCTGGTGGACGATATTGGAGATGTGACCATCACCAACGACGGTGCCACCATCCTGAACTTGCTGGAAGTCGAGCATCCAGCGGCCAAGGTATTCTTGACAGCTCTTTATTCTTCTCTGGGCGTAAGGAAATCTCAGGTCCTCCAGGGATGCAATAAGGTATGTCCCAACTGAGAAGCTGACGCCTCTCATTATTGCTTCCAGATCCTAGTGGAGCTGGCAGAGCTGCAGGACCAAGAGGTTGGTGATGGGACTACCTCGGTTGTCATCGTTGCAGCTGAGCTCCTGAAGCGTGCAAATGACCTAGTGCGCAAGAAGATTCACCCGACATCGATTATTAGCGGCTACAGATTAGCCATGCGTGAGGTGCGATCAGATACCTCGACAATGTGCTCCCTGATCTGTCCAGGAAGGACATGTGCGCGACATCTGGCAGTTAATAGTCTCTCACCTGAAACGCTGTGTGGTGCAGGCGTGCAAATACATAGAGGAGAAGCTAGCAATTCCGACATCCAGCCTTGGCAAGGAGACCCTGCTGAACGCTGCAAAGACATCGATGTCCTCCAAAATCACCGGCGGCGACTCAGACTTCTTTGCACACATGGCAGTCGACGCAGTGCAGGTACGCCTCCGTGCATGCATGCATGCATTCTGTCTACCGTTGTCATTGTCCTTACTGTGCTGTGGGTATTGGCTGCCTTATAACCCAAGTGCCTCTGCACTGCAGTCTGTGAAGACGGTGGACAGCAGCGGCAAGGAGGTGTACCCTGTGAAGTCCATCAATGTCCTCAAGGCGCATGGGAAGAGTGCACGGGAGTCAGCGCTGTTGAACGGCTATGCGCTCAACATGGGCCGTGCATCTCAAGGCATGCCCAAGCGCGTGGCCAACGCCAAGATTGCCTGCCTCGACATGAACCTGCAGAAGGCCCGCATGCACATGGGCATACAGGTGCTGCTGCCGAAACCCCCTGCTCACTTCTCTATTGAGCATGACCTGTGCACTGCCTGTGTCGGATTTTCCTACACATTGGCACAGCATCTACTCATCTGCTTATTGCATGAAGCCCACTGTGAAATTTGCTTGCAGACACTTAGCAGGATTGGATGGAAGAGGCTCAAAGAGGACATGTTGTCATGGTTTCCGGTACTGAATGGTGCTCTTGAATGCTCCAGGTGTTAATAGACGATCCCAAGGAGCTTGAGAAGATCAGGGACCGCGAGAGTGACATCACCAAGGAGCGCATCCAGAAGGTCCTGGACGCCGGCGCCAATGTGGTGCTGACCACCAAGGGCATCGATGACATGTCCCTCAAGTACTTTGTGGAGGCGGGCGTCATCGCCTGCAGACGTGTGCCCAAGGAGGACCTCAGGTGTGCTTGTATATCCTCTGCATGCCCTGTTCTGTGTAGTGTGGCTGCAGCTATTGCAAGCAGAGCTTCTATACTGTCGGGAAAGCTTCCAACTGTATTTTTTAGGTTGGATGTGTGAATGACAGGCGAGTGGCCAAGGCTACTGGCGCCCAGATGGTGCTCACACTGGCTGACATGGATGGCAATGAGACCTTTGATGCAAGCGCACTGGGCACAGCTGAGGAGGTGCGTGCCTCTGGCCTAAGAATCAACGTCTGTAAGGGGTCAAAACCCGTCGGTCATTGTTGTACAGCCTTCTGGGTGAAAGTGCCGCTTGGCGTTCCCAGCAAAAATGCCTGTCCCATTCCTGGCCTGCAGAGCTGCAATCCCTTGCCTGTGCTAGGCTGAGCCATGCGATGTGGTGCAGGTGGTGGAGGAGACAGTGGCGGACGATGACATGGTGATGATCCGCGGCAGCAGCAACACGCGCGCGTGCACCGTGCTGCTGCGCGGCGCCAATGACTACATGCTGGACGAGATGGACCGCAGCCTGCACGACGCCTTCTGCGTCGTCAAGCGCGTCCTGGAGTCCGGCAACGTCGTTGCAGGTCTGCCTGAATGCTTCTTTGCTGCATGAGTCACACTGCAAGTTGTATACTGTTGGAGTCCTTCCCAGCTGAGCGCAGCTGTAAAGTTGAGCGGTAGTGCCCTGGTGTCATTGCATGGTAATCCTGTAGTGAATATTTCACCATAGCTGGGGTGGGAAGGAAGCCCTAGCAGAAGTCAGGAAAAAGAGGTATGCATGCTAATACCAGGACAGCAGGGTGAAGGTTTGCTGAGGCAGATAAAAATTTGCATGGCGGCAGGCGGTGGAGCAGTGGAGGCTGCGCTGAGCATCTACCTGGAGAACTTTGCAACCACATTGGGCAGCCGGGAGCAGCTGGCCATCGCTGAGGTTGCCGATGCGCTGCTGGTCATCCCCAAGTGCCTGGCTGTCAACGCTGCCAAGGATGCCACAGAGCTGGTACTTTAATTCTTTCCCTCACATTGCATGCCTCCCCTTCAAGTGCATGTCATTTGCTGGTGGAGTGTGCGTCACCAAGACACTCTCCATGAGAAGGCTGAACATCACATTTATTTGGGTGGCTGATTTGGGATGCTGTGCAGGTTGCAAAGCTGCGGGCGTACCACTACACAGCACAGACCAAGCCAGACAAGGCGGCTCTGGCCAGGTATGGTCTGGACCTGGTGAAGGGCGTGCTGCGCAACAATGTGGAGGCAGGAGTCATAGAGCCCGTGCTGTCCAAGATCAAGATGATCCAGGTGCGTTGTCGCTCCTGCCCAGCGCTGAAGAGCTTGAATCCTTGTGCTCGGTTTTGTCATAACCTCAGGGATAACAATTCTGGAAGCTGACGTGGATGCAATGCCTGCAGTTTGCAACGGAGGCGGCCATCACAATCCTGAGGATAGATGACATGATCACGATAGAGGCCAGTGCAGAGGATGAAATGGAGGGTTGAGGCCTGCAGTGCTCTCTTTGTTGTGCCAGCCGATATCAATGCCTTTTAAAAGCACGATCCTGTCTTACAAAAGCACGAACACCACACATGGATCAAAAGTGATTTTATTGTTCTTGAGCCAGTTGAATTGATTTATGCACTGCAAACATGTAAGTAATCATGGCAGCTCAATACAGAACATTGTACAGCGAAAAGAAGACATGTACATGCAATTTGATCAACCCTTCACACGACAAAGAACCCTTCTTATCACACATTTACAGGAGAAAGACCAACAACAAGTCTTTCTAGAGTTTATTCTAACGAGAGTAAACACTAACCCTCTCAAAGAAAGACAATACAGACATGCAGACAATTAAATCTTGTCAATACTTGGAGGGAGGGCTGGGGGAAGTGGTAGAAGAGGCAATGTGATTTACCCGGCACTGATACTCTGCTGTACATGACGTTTACATGGTCTGCAGTATACTGTCATCTCTGGTTGAGAGCTGCAGCATCTCTTGCAGAGCGTCCTCCCCAATCAGTGCAGCTACTTTCTGGCAGCAGCATAACATAACACAAATCAGTTCAAAACTGACAGCAGGGACAATGGCAGCACAAGTGTCGAAGAGGGACAGGAGCACGAGGAAAAGCCACAGAGATTCCATCACCTCATTATCGGGATCTCTCCATGCAAATCCGTACAGACTTCTGTCGTAGAAACGCAGCTTTTCTGCTTGGGATGGCTCAGTAACCGCTGTATCCTCAGCCTTTGCAAATTCCAGCCATAGAGAAACTGCTCGCTTTGCATATGATGTCATCTTCTCCACATTTTCGATGCTAGCATGTGCCTGATCACGCCCAAACAGCACAGAAACATTACAGCGAGGCACATAAGTAATATTGCTCTGTCCACAATGATAATCTTTCCAAAGTGATCCTTGCATTAAGTGTCCGTTGCCAGACTCAAACCAAATCAAGCGGATCAGTCGGTAGATGGATACCCCTTGGAAAAGAGATGTCTGTCCTGTGAGGACACGCATGTCAATGGAGCGCGACTCAAAAGGAGACATTTCTGCATCTTGCATGCATTCCAGCTGCAGATCATGGAATGAGTGCCCAGCACTCCCCTTTGTCTTATAATACCTGCTCAGGTACTCTTCATCCAACACCTGCATGCATCAGTACCTGTCAAGACGTCCAGCCCAACCTTACTTGTACTATCTCAGAAAGTCTGGACAACCCAACTGGGGAGAGCAACGCACCAGATCAGTCCTTGCCACAAAGTTTATGTACATGTTGATGCGCCCAAAGAAAAAGAAGAGCTCAATGTCAAGCTTTGGCACGCTCAATGTCTGGTCAGGGAACACATTGATCCTGATGGTGCCGCCCCCAAATTTCACCTGAACAGCACGCACACACGGAAACATTGCTGTGCACTCGTACATGGCTGCTTTGCGCATGAATGCCTGGCACAGAATTTAAGTTTCTGCCATCCTCACCAGCGCTGTTGTGGAGGCTACAAGCCACTCAACTCCCTCTCCTGTTCCCACCTGTAAATGATGGGGAGGTATTAGCAGGAGCTACACTAGAGTGTGGCGCTATCACACATGCCTAAGAAAGCGTCAGTGAGTATGCAAATGCCCATCTGAAACTACAGACCTGTAGAGCAATGCTGAGAGATTCGTCGGGGGTATTGTACACGCTGAGCCCATCCTCTGAAATTCGGGTTGCCTGGGGCCTCAGAGACAGTTGTTCTGCCAATGTACTAAGAATTTCATTTTGGTTTGCCCTCATGAGTGCGTATGGTTTCTGCTGCCTTTCAAGAAGTTTGACAGAAGGGACCAGGGCGCCATCTGTCAATTTGCTCAAGAACGGGAGGCTCGCTTGTGAGGCACATATTGGAGTTTTGGGCCTGCAGGAAATGCAGTCAGCTGGCAAGCATACTAGCGGAGCTGTGGCCTCCATTGCAACATCACCAGCTTCTGTCTGTCTTGGATATCATACAGTGTTCTTGCAGGAGAAATAATACCTGATACGCCTTAGTTCTATATCTCCTGGTGCTGATTTCAGAGAATGGGTCTGTGATCAGGAGGGCATGGCATCAGTCAGATCTGCAACTTCATACTCAGCAAAGAATGCCTGCAGCCTTTACAGCGCCTTTGACGAGGTGAAGGAGTCATCACTAACTCACCCGATGCCTGTTTATGAAACTTCTGCTGCCGAGGAAGGTGAGAGAGCCCATATAAGGAATCAGAAATTCGCAGATTTTCACAGCGTCGAGTCCAAAATCATACTATATTGCTTTTTGAAGTTTTATGCTAAAATTAAATCGCGCTTAACCAATGCATGGTGTCGAGCTGCTGACAAAGATCTAAGTCCAAGGTAATCGGACTGCTGGCTCTTGCAAGGACACCTTGCGAAGTTGCTGTGCGACAACTTCTTGAATGATGTGAACAATGTTTCAAGACCTTGGAGGAGGAGAATATACGATTCTCATCAAGAACTGCGCTGTTGATCTGACTTGGCATTGCCTTGTTGGGTAGCCCAGCCCACCGGGCAGCTGCTGGCACCTGCAGGTCACCTTTCACTTGGGGCTGGGAGATCTGAGGAATTTTATGGAGAGGTCTTTACAAATGGCTGAGATTCGCTTGCAAGAGGACGAGGAATTTTATGGATTGCACCTGTTGCGATCTTATTTTCAGAAAATTTGCGTGTCCAACTAATTGAGCTGCATGCAGGCCCCATGCTGGCCCCCTGGCCAGGCTGGCGAGGCCGCATGTACCCAGATGACCCATAGCTGGATGGTGTGCGGCGATTGCCTTGCAAAGCATTGCCGTGTTCCTGTGACTGCTTGCTTGTAATTTGAAGGCAGATTTCGATGCAAAATCAGGGAATTGCTACTGCAGCATGCGAAACCAGCGGGACTCGGTCAGGCTGCGGCAACCTGAGTGGGACTCCGGAGTCCCCATCATGGGTATCATCCTGGAGCGGCATGACCCCTGCAAGTCCTCAGCAGGCTGGTGCAATACTGATCTGACATCAGCAATAATACTGGCTTCAATGGCAATGAACAATAAAGCTGTGCAGCCATCCGCCAGCATGGCGTGGGATCGAAACTATATTATTTCAGGACATTACAATTGTGCTTCCATCATTGCTGCAGCTAGCAAAAGCTCTTCAGGCGTGTTGGTACAACCTAGACCAGTTGAATACTCTCAGACTGAGTCGCATTTCCTTCAGAATCGCAACTTCTGGAAGAACCACCTGTTCTTTCCGGTCTTGAACTTGTCTTCCAAGATCTTGTTCACCTCCTGCAATGCAGTGCGCACTTTGTCAATACAAGTCTCCAAGCAGCAGTAACTGTCAAGTCAATCACAGTGCATTAAACTGGCCAATCAAAGGCAGTTCAATGACACTCCTGTGCAAGGTGGCAGCAGGCCTCACCACGCGGGTCTCCTTCCTCTTGGTGCTGTTGTCAACAACATCGGCTGTGACAAGTGACTTCAGGTCCACATCCAATGTGTACCGAGTGGGCATGATGTGCTGGTAGTTCACCACCTTCATGAAGCTCTGCAAGGCAAAAGGTGATATTTGGATTCTAAGACGGGAAGCAAGAAGAATTCAAGGATAAGATACTTAAACAGTTCAAGAACAGCCACTCGTTTTAGTATGATGCAAGCAAGTGTGCCCAATATCCTCCGTACCTTGAGCTTAGACCGCTTCTCCTGCTTCTTCAAGGAAGACCGCTTGATGACCTGCGGACCAACCAGCATCCCATAAACGCCTGACCAAGGGTACAGCCACCCATATCCCTGAATACCTTGTACAGGCCTAAAATTGCATATGCAAGGGTTGCATTGCAGAGGCTGGGGAGCACGCGTAAAACTTCCTGAAACAGCTGACACCGACTGCCCATTTATGCAGAGCGGGAGGCAGCCCTCGCCAGCCACGCACCTTGCGAGGCTCCTTTGCAAGACCAGCAACGATGGCATGGCCGTATGGCCTTCCAGATGTGCCATCATCGTTGTTTTTCACGATCACTGCCTTCTTCCCAGCATACCTCCCAGTAAGCAGGATCACCACTTTCCCGGGCTGCATCACGCCACAAAAAACATTTGTTAGTGTGCAACATAAAATGCTAATATGTCAGTCCTCTGATCCATTACCCTTGTGCAACACAATGCAGTATTGCCAACCCAAGACTGTTGCCAATAGCCTCGACTTTGCTTTCCTAGCAGCATTTGTGCAGCTCTGGATTGCGGAACTTTTGCTTAAAATGTTTAGTGGTTTTCGATATACAGACACGGATCTACAACTGTGCTTCTTGAAGCAGATTTTCTTAGCAGGATTTCTCCGCTTCAAGCCCCTGGAGCACAAACAGCACTGCCTCGCTCTCTTACCTTCAGGAACTTCACCATGATGTTCCTGATTGCGCCTGACACCGGGTGAAAGAATTCTTGTGCTTGATGGCCAGGACGCCGCCTCCAGCTCAACCCTTCGCAGTAAATAGGGAACGCCAGATGATGCCTGACCCTTCAATGAGCCAAATCAAGCCACCGTTTGGCAAACGAATGAATTAGAATTTGATCAGAAGGGTTTGGAGAAATGATCCCGCTTGTACTCTCCCTTGCGGCTGTGTGATACATATCATCCGTGCTGGTCCCTTTTTGATGCCTGATCGACATCGATGTTTCTATGGATTTCAGTTTATGTTCACGAACGCATGCCACAAACAGTCTCTTATATCAGTTATTCATTAGAGCCTGTCTGACTGGCAGCAGTCGGTGAGTCTGAGATGAGTCTTGGATACGCTGAGAAGCTCTCGTTCAGAGAAGATTTAGGTGACGTTCACCCTCAGTACGTCTTATTTTGCTAAAGTCGATGGCAAAGCCCACACTTACATCGATCAAATCTCACAGATGAATTGATTTTCATCACACTGCATCACCTCAAAAACAGGTGGACAGTTGGGCGCCCCAGAATTGCTTGACGACCATGATGCATTGCAGAAGAGCATAGAGGCCCTTTCTGAACTGGTAAGTATGATCATTGAAGGCAATTTGCCTCTGGAAATCCTGATTGTTATTGCTTTGCCAAAGTGACAAAGGGGTTGATCAACGGTCTCTGCAGGTGCGTGAGAGTGACAATATCATAGTTTTCACTGGAGCTGGCATCTCCACGGCGTGCGGAATACCAGACTTCAGGTCAGACAGGGGCTATGTTCTTCTTATCACTGTGCGCATTATGTGCTCCGATACCTGTGTTACTAGCTTCTGTGCGTCTTCAGGGGTCCTCAGGGCGTGTGGACCCTGCAGCGTGCAGGCAAACCCCTACCAAAACCAAAAAGCAGTTTCACTGTTGCGCGTCCGTCTTTGACACACATGGTGCGCCTGCTTGCTGTGCGCCTTGCATTCATCTGCAAAGCGCTCTTTCTGAATTTCACGAGTGCTTTGTGCCTGTCAGGCTATCGTTGGGCTGATGCAAAGGGGGAAAGTGCGCTATGTGGTCAGCCAGAATGTGGACGGGCTGCACTTGCGATCTGGGGTACCCCGGTCTAAGATAGCCGAACTGCATGGAAACTGCTTCGCTGAGCGGTGCCCTCGATGCAAAAAGGAGTACATCCGTGACTTTGAGATTGAGACGGTAAGTCTGTTTCCGGGACCCAGCATTGCAGATGCAGGGGGCTTGCTCTGCGTAGCCAGGTATCTCTAGCCACAGGGACCTGAATCCAGAGATTCTCTTGCCATGACAGGTCGGATTCAGGCAAACAGGGAGGACATGCAGCGTTGAGGGCTGCAAGGGCAAGCTAAAAGATCACATCCTTGATTGGGAGGATGCTTTGCCAGAGGACGAACTGACAGCATCAGAGGACGCTGTCAGCGCAGCTGACCTTGCCATCTGCCTGGGGACCAGTCTGCAGATCACACCTGCTTGCAATCTTCCCCTGCGGACTCCCAAAGCAGGTGCTGCAAAACTGCAGATGTATTAGTGACTGAGTGGTTTTGGAAGTGCGGCATAGATCGGTCGGTTTGTTTGAAAGAGAGTTTCCAATGGTGCTTTCAGGGGGCAAATTGGTGATCATCAACCTCCAGGCAACGCCAAAGGACAAGAAAGCATCCCTGGTCATACATGGTAGAGCAGACGAGGTCATGCGCAGGGTGATGGCCAATTTAGCTTTCCCCATCCCTTCCTATGTCAGGGAAGACTCTGTCACCATTGGTCATGTGCAAGAGCAGCCCATGGGCAGCGGCAAGGGCCACCCCTTCAACGTGCGGATCAGCAGTGTCCACGGCGAGAATTGTGCAATGCCCCTCGTGCAGACGATCGACATATCATTCCCGGTAAGCCTTTCCAACAAGCACCTCAACAGCATGACTTCAATTCTGAAAATTTCATCATGGCACTGTAGTGGTCACTTGATGCTGCAAACCGCAACACAGACTTTCGACAACGAAGCAGACAATTACAGCTTCTGCCAGACTGATCTGGAGTTATAGGAGGGAAGCGCGGTGCGCAGGACCATCCCAGCTTGCGGCCTGCCACATTGCGCTCAGCGCCGTTTCAGCTCAGGCGCACAGTCGCGCAGCCAGGATCTTACCCTGTCAGCATCCAGCTGCACCTGGTAGAGGGCCTTGACGAGCCCACTGTGACCCTGCAGTACGTTGCACACATACTGTCCCAGGAGAGCTTCAACGACCAGCTTGTCATTGACACCACCAGCACCCAGCGCAAGCGCAAAAGGCAGGCAGTGGGGCACAGCATCACTGCCAGCTTTGTGACTCAGGAAGTGGACTTTCACAGCAGCAGCAGCAGCGCAGACGAGACACATGAGAACGGGGCTTGAAGGGGCTAAATAAAAAAGAGAAGGAAAATCAGAAGGACAAGCACGTCAGAGTTCAAATGGAACAGTGCCTGCACTTTCTGGAATAATCCCAGAACTCGAGTTTGGAACACTATTACATGCCACAGCAGTAATTGAGTTTACATGAGCATTATTGCGGTTGACGCCATAGCGAGCAACAGAGCCCTTGGATCATTTGCAGAAGTAGCGTTTCAGACACATGGTGCTGTGGCACCCCCACAAGACAATGATCCTGACTTTAGCATGCTGACCGCTTGCTGCGCTTCAGCACACTGGCATCCTGCTGAGCACATCGTAGCTTCCATCCCTTACGCGCTCTGATCGCCATCCGCCATTTGATCCAAGAGATGCTGCCTTGCCTTTGGCGGCACTGCCGAGCATCTACTCCGACTCCTTGCTTGTTGGCAGATTGTGCTTCTTTGCGTATCTCTGCAGAATGGAAAGGCATCATCAGATGTCAGAAAACACATGCAGTCCTTCCTCTCTCCAGTATCTGACCAACCTTAACGTCATAGGGTTGCATGATAGGCTTCAGTGCAGGTCCTTGGCAAAGAGTTGACAAATATGTACCTGATTCCTGAGGAACTTGGGGTCCATCTGCGCCAAGCAAACAGAACATCAGGAAAATGGACAGTAGGTCATAATGATTAGAAGCAAAGATCTCAGCAGGGTGTCTTCAACAACATCCTTTTCCAGGAAATTGGAACAATCAGTGGAGACTAGCTCTCACAATTCAGCACGATCCTGACGCAGCCACAACTATTCATGAGCTATCACGCTAGCAATTGATCAACTATAGCTGTAGGAAACGCACCCCCTTGCGAGATGAGTATCTGGCCTTCCTAGGCTTCTTGATGCCGTTCTTGTGAGCCTTGTATGTCTGGTTGTGCGCTGTGTGATTCTTCGACTTGGCCATGATGCCGTCGATGCGTCAAAGTTGCCAGATCTCAGACAACGACCACAACAATGTCTGCAGAGTCATAGGCAGTGCTGTTGGCGGCTTCGTATCAGGTTTCACCCTTTCTTCAAAGGGTGAAAAATATCTTACATCATCAGGAACACCGTCGTACCACTGCTTGGAAGCATGCATAATTGCCTTCGTCCTACAGTTTAGATGGAAATGCAGTTGATGGAGTAAGATCAAATCGTGTATTCAATCATGTTATAAGTACAATACAATCGTACTATTATTTTGGATGCAAAGGACCCAAAAGATTGCCTGACATGGCTGAGAGGGTGCTGTCAGTGTGTGCAGTGTTGCCGAGAAGATAATGCTGAGAATGGTAGCATTGCGTTAAGCATCTGCATTTTACAAGCAACAGCTGTCGCCACACCTATTTGTGCACCATGGTGAAGAGAGGAGCTGACACTCTCGTGGCAAGTGTGGGTGATCAACCGTCTACAGATGCAAATCAGCGGCAAGAGCACATCGTAGAAATAATTCCATTGGGAGCTGGTCAGGAAGTGGGCCGTTCATGCGTCATCCTGAAGTATATGTGAGTCATCCTTGAACCTCTGATCTGGTGCAGATCCTGGCTACTGGAGCGCATCACCTGCTTTTTTATAATCTAGTGGTGATCATTTTGTAATCTCTTTCACCTTTAACATCATCCTGCGCTCCTCTTGCAGGGGAAAGACGGTCATGTTCGACTGTGGCGTCCATCCTGGCTTTTCTGGAGAGCAGTCGCTGCCCTACTTTGATTCCATTGATTTGGACAGTGTAGACCTGATGCTCGTCACACATTTCCACCTTGATCACTGCGCGGCTGTGCCGTATGTTGTCGGCAAGACGGTCTTCAAGGTGAGTGGTCTGATCTACATGCAGACACAAGTTCATGTAGATGATTGTATCTGCGTGATGCTGATTTGAACACAGTGCTTCTCATTTGGCAGGGGCGCATTTTCATGACACATCCAACAAAGGCAATTTTCGGGATGCTGCTCAAAGACTCAGTCAAAGTGAGCCGGGGCGCCACGGATGCGGGGCTCTACTCTGAGAAGGATGTGGAGGCGGCCTTGGAACGCACAGAGCTCCTGGACTTTCACCAGACCATTGATGTCGATGGCATCAAGGTAGGAGAGGCTTGCAGAGTGCCTGAAAGCGCTGACAGAATCGCTTGAAAGACAGGATCAAATCTGCTGCAAACGGAAGCCAGGTAATGGCTTACCCTTTGGCAATGCTGGGAGGACAGGTCACAGCGTGGAGGGCTGGCCATGTGCTGGGTGCAGCCATGTTCATGGTGGAGATTGCCGGCATGAGGGCGCTGTACACTGGGGACTATTCACGCCTGGCTGACAGGCACATGTCTGCTGCTGATCTGCCTTCTCCACCGCCCCACATAGGTGGGCAAGCCCTTGTATTACTCTGTTGTAGAGTTTTCTGCACATCCTTCCGATTGCCCTATTTTCAGCTCACCCAGAGCATGCAAATAGCACTAAAGGCCGTTTGACACTCATTCACGTTTCAAAGGCACCAAGAAATCTGCAGGCACCAGATGTTGTTCCTGCGGTGCAGTGATTGTGGAGGCGACCTACGGCGTCTCGCGGCACCTGCCCCGTGAAGGCCGTGAGCAGCGCTTTGTCAACATGATCCGGGCAGTGGTGCAGCGTGGCGGCCGATGCCTGCTCCCTGTTGTGGCCCTGGGCCGCGCACAGGTCCAATACTTTCGAGCTCTTGCACGAATCTTGTAAGATGCGTTTGTGATTGCTCTAGCCTTTTGAGCATGTCGCATTTTCTGGGGCAGTTTAGCATTGCCTGTCTCTTTTGATTGGTCGCTCCAGCATAAAGTCTGTTCTTGATGGGGATCAGGAGTTGATGCTCATTCTGGAGGACTACTGGGACAGGAATGCAGATCTGCGTGGAGTGCCCATCTATCAGGCATCCGGCCTGGCGCGCCGAGCGCTGGGCATCTTCCAGACATACATTGCCATGATGAACGATGACATCAAGGCCGCGTTTGGCCAGGTGTGCACCACCTTCCTCCCCCACCATGCCCCACCCAAACTCATACGGCAGAAGTCTCACTAGTCCTGCTTCTCTAGGTTTTTGTGAGTCAGGACATGCATGTCATGCACCACACATGAGAAACAGTGTACAAGAAAATGCTCTTGAGGTGATGTGCGGTTGCTGTGCCGCAGAGCGCGAATCCGTTCAACTTCAAATACATCACGGAGCTGAAGACCCAGGGCGGCCTGGATGATGTGGGTCCCTGCGTGGTGCTGGCCACGCCGTCCATGCTGCAGAGCGGCCTTTCCCGGGAGCTATTTGATGCGTGGTGCGAGGACAAGCGCAACGGCGTCATCATTGCGGACTTCGCTGTCCAGGGTACTCTTGCGCGTGATATCCTGGCCTCCCCCAGTCATGTCCTCACCAAAGCCGGCGCCAAGGTGGGCCGCTTCCAAAACAGTATCTGCCAAATCTCTCGGTCCTTGAGCCTCTCTCTGTCAGAGCTCTTCTGTCTGTGCGTACTATCCCCACATGTATATTTATTGACTATATCAGCAGGCAGCCGTGGTACTGTCGCTGTCTGATGGCTGGATGCGCTAAGATGTTATAAAGGCGGTGAATGGGATGGCTGCAGGTGCCGCTGCGAATGAGCGTTGAGCACATCTCCTTCTCCGCGCACGCAGACTTTGACCAGACGTCGCAGTTTGTGGAGCTGCTGGACCCGCCGCATGTCATACTGGTGCATGGGGAGGCCGTGGAGATGGGGCGCTTGCGCAAGGCCCTGGAGCAGCAGGCCGTCGCCCTGGGGCAGCGGCGCCTGCTGTACACGCCCAAAGTCTGCCAGCCTGTCCACATCAGGCACCGCCCTCAGCTCAAAGCCAAGGTGCGACACTAGAACCAGATATTGCTGCCTGTCAGGCATGCTGTCTTCATGTTGGGTTGTACACTTGTGCTCAAGACTCGTAGCATGTGATGATGGGCATGGATATGGATATGGGTTTGAATGTCGATGCTGTGCATGCAGGTTGTCGGGAGCTTGGCGGACAAGAATGCCCAGCCGGGGAAGCCGCTGGCTGGGTTGCTGGTGCAGCAGGGGCAGAACTGCATGCTGATGGCGCCGCAGGACCTGCCCACCTTCACCAAGCTGCACCCCGGCCGCATCATCCAGCGCCAGGTCCTGCACCTCAACCAGCCCTGGCCCGAGGTGCGCTGCCGCTGCCACCTCCTTACACTATTCCCATCATGCTGATTAGCGCCGGTCACCTTCTCAATACAAGCTCAAGAGCATACAACAACCTCATGGGCAACATCTGCACAGGGACCATCTGACAGCGTGTCCTAACTGGAGTGCTGAGAGCCCTGTCAGAATTAGCTTGATGGCGCGATCTCATGTGCGTGCTACACTGTTCCAGAAGGTTCTCCTGAAGGCAGTGTGTGGGGTTGTGCAGCTGCGGCTGGCACTGGAGGTGCTGATCGATGGAGTGCAGGGCGCGGGTGACCTGGGGTCTGTCAGCAGTGGCGATGCCTCGGGGGAGTCGCTGCGCGTCGCAAACACCGTCACCCTCACGCACCGGCCCCCAGACTCGGTGGTCATGGAGTGGCAGGGCGACCCTGTCGGGGACGCCATCGCAGACACGGTCATTGCAGTCATCCTGCAGGTGAGCCCTGGACTGTCACAGGGAGTGCAACATGTGTCTTTCTAGTAGTCTATCAAAGAAGTCAAAGCATGGGGTGTCATCTAGACGGGGAAATGCACGAGCTTCTGTAGTTGTTGAGGTGGAGTTATGGTTGCCAGAGTGGTTGCCTTGGTTTGTGAGTCATGCCCAAGTTGGTATTAAGTTGTTTCGGTTGGTGCTGCAGTCTGGAAGTGAGCCGCCAGCCGTGAGCAGTGCGGAGGTGAAGCGCCGCAAGTGCCTCCATATGGGGGACTTGGAGGGCGCGGCAGCCGCTGAAGTGGCCCTGCTGGTGGCTGTGCTGGATGCCCAGTTCGGCAAGGCGCATATTGATGCAGACCAGGGCCTCATCACAATCCAGGTGAGAAAGCATCGACTGCTGCAACAGCTTTAACATACTTGATGGAGCTCAGCACAACGGTGTACTGCTAGTTTCAGGGCGCAATCATTGATGGGCATTCTGGCTGTGCAGGTGGACGACAGGCATGTGGCCGTGGAATGCAAGACCGGCAAAGTGGAGTGCGCAGATTTTGCCCTCAAAGCCCGTGTTGAAGTGGCTATCAGCCGCCTCATGGAAGCGCTGGCGCCAGCTTCCCTTCAAGAGTAGCATTGGTAGGGCGGCAGGTTGTGAGAAATTTCAAACTCAACAAGATGAACCTATAGTGGCAAGCATCGCTTGTGTCACTGGAAATTTTGGAACTTGACAGCCAATCAATGGCATGACTCTTCTTCCTGCTGCGCATGGTATGCAGCTGAGTGATTGCTGAACAGCATGAACGAGAATGTAGCTGTCAATCAGATCATCTCAGTAGACTGGTCAGATTTCATGATGTGCTGTTCTGCCATCAGATCAAGCTGTACGCGTGTGATTGCTGTTCTATTGACTGGGCCTATGATTGCTGTGCCGTGTATGGTGGGCACCAAGCATGCTGCAAGGTCATTATAGAGGACTCTTCATCTTACATGTGGAGGATTACTTCTAATTCTTCAATTTGGACGATTAAGATGTGTTGTACATTATCCCATGAAGTTCCACACCACCAGAAAGAGCAGGCAGCCACACAGGACAAAGTCTGCATAGGCACGCTCTGGCAAGAGGCCCTTGAACTCATCACTGCTGGGATCCACTTGCATCCGAAGGCTCACTGCACAGCATTCCCCATGCATGTCAGGAAGCTTGTCAGTGCAAATATGCAGCAGAAGCAGGACGTTCAATCAATGACCACAGCTGAGCTCCACGCAAGACTATTACTTGGAGATCTGTCACCTGTCAACACGAAAAATCCAATGCTGCAGAAGAACCCCGACAGGAAGGAGTTGAAGGGGAAGGTGCCCACGCAGAGCATGTACACGAACTGCAGGCAACAGTCAGAATCGCTGTCAATAACAGAATCTTGAAGAACATACCAACATCCACGTGATCAAATGGATTGCGCCCGCACTCAAGTGCACTCACCTGTACTGCAGCAGTGAGCAGGGCATACACCATGAAGGCATCGATCACCTGTGGCGTGAGCACACTTTTCAGGCTTCAAGAGCTGCCGGTATTTCACAACCGAGATCATACATCGCAAGGGTGCTCTGCAGACATCTTACGACTCTCTGATGACTGTGATTCTGTGACCAAAGAGTCCAAGCAGCTTACCTTTATCCGCAGTGGAGTCTTCCTATATTCTGCATTAAAACTCTTAATGATAACATTTGCATTGGCTCTAAAGTCCTGCATGCTCCTCTGCAAAGAAATCATGGGGTGGTGGTGCTGAGCGATGTGATGGTGATGATGAGAACAAACGTGCTGTTTACAGCAAGATCCAACGTGTGATACAAGTGATAAAGAATTTATACTCAAACTGGACGACAATGTAAACAAGAGGGACTAGTGGAACTCTTGAGATCGATGAACGTTCGACAGGCGCGATCATGGGTAGGAACGCCATGAACCTGCCCAGCCTCGCAGACCTCCTAAAATTTCCTTTTCCCATCACATGTAATTTGTTATCTTACAATTGACGTTACATCTGACTTACAATCAGGGCAGCTACTCTGCTGCACGTCAGCAAGTTCCTAGTGGAACTGAAGGCCTAGCCATATATCTTTGGAACTGAGTGTTTGCAATACATGCAATGAGCTGATCCTGTCAATTAGATGTCCATTTGATTATGAAAAACGTGAAAATTTCAGCATTGATCAGAGAATTTGCCATCATACTTATCTAGGCCTTCTACTAATGGCATACATCATTCACCAGAAGGTCTGGGCCTTCCTTGCTGGGGTAGGATTAGCGGGAGCTGCATATGTGTCCACCAGGGTGAGCTTTATCGATTCATCTCAGTCCAAGCTGAAATTTGTCAATTCTGTGGTCACTCGTTGGGCACTAAGGGATCTGATTTTGACTTAATGCAGACATTGATCTGGCAAAGAGCAGCAACAGTGGCAGATTCTTGGCCTGGTTCACCTCCTCCACCAGAGCCACTGCCGGTATTCTTCCATTGTGCTATTTCTTGGCGGCACTCCAGTGGCTTTCCTTGACCTGTCACAGATACCCATAAAGCAGTGGTCTTGAGTCTGCATCTGAATGCAGGATGCGCAACCTCTCATAAGCCCAGAGACCAAGGCGTATGCTGCCAGACAATGGAACCAGGTGAGATTCCAAGATACAACTGCAGTGAACTGATGCACATGACTGACCAAAGCACCCGGCAGAAAGTTTCGCTTTTGCTGTAGGGCATGCCTCCAAATTGCCAGATGGCATCACAATTTGTGAAACTCTGCCAAGCAGGGAGTGGACAGCGTCTTCAGACCACCCATCAAGTACCTAAGCGAGCGGGGTTTGTGACACAAGAACATCTGAAGGCGCCAGGACTGTTGGAGCAGTTGGTCAGTCGATTTGTGCCTCGTCAAGACTTTGTGACAGAGCTGTGCGTCATTCGTCAGTGTTGGCTAAGACCTTTACAGCACCGGGATTGCCAGGATAGCAGCGCTTTGAGAGGGGTACAAGCGGATGCTCAATGCAACACTCCCGAATTTCTAACGCAAAAGCGGATCCTAGCCTGCCAACTGTGCAGCCTCCGCAGCACTTTGAATACATTGGCAGTGCTCCAAACAATTCGTATATGTTTTGTCCCTGGTTTCTAAATCTAGGTTACTGAGAGGATGTGCCAAAAACTGACAAGTAAGTACCAGTCCCAATTTTTTCATCGTGATGTTGTGGAGTCTTTAGTAAGTATGATGGGCTCCACATCCAGGAGTTCCTCATGATGTCCCTAAAGCCGCCTTTGTTTTCAGAGCTGAGGCAGATCAATTTAGATCTGGCTTGTCTGTGGATCAAATATGGCCCCTCTAAGTGGAGCTCTAAAACAGCCCTTCTGTAAGGAGACCACAGCAACACAAGCCGGCCAGACAGGCCCCCAACATTGCCAGGGGCCCCATTGGTTTGCTGGGCTGCTGCTGCGAAGGATACATATGCTGCTGAGGTGCTTGTGCTGAGTAACCTCCCTGTCCCTGCATGGCATTTGGCTCACCTTATGGTGATACACTTGGCTAAGGCGATAGACCAAATGCTGCATGTGCAAGTATGAGGAGCCATCGCTCAATAGCATGCACAAAGCAACCTCAGGAGCTCGCATGCTACCAACTGTTCACAAGAAGCACGTACCATGGCAGGGTTGCCGCTATAGGGAGGTGGATAGCTGACGGGACCGCCCTGCTGAAGCTGCGGGTAGCCACCAAATTGATTGGGCTGCTGCCATGGCCCGCCCCCATGCTGTCCAACATAGCAAAATTCAAATCAGCAAGCTCTGCGCAAAGTGATTGAAAACACCATAGATTAGTGCCACCAACCCAGAGTTAGAAGTCAAGTGAAGTTCATGCACAGCAGTGCATGGGCGCACCGCATGCTGTGGGTATGCAATTGGCTGAGAGATGCCCATTGGCGGGGCAGGGTATGCCAGCTGTGGCCTGTAGTCTGGGTTGGAGTAGGAGCTGGGTGAGTAGTGCTCTGCGCACAGCAGAACAGCTGTTTTAACTCTCTTGCAAAGACTGATCCTGGACATTTAAAGAACCTTTGCATTCCTTTTTGTCATGATCAGCATGCATGGCACATCTGGAAACCCAGCAGTAATGGGCATGCAAGCGATGTGCACCTGGTGCGCCTGGCTTGGAGAACACAATGTCGCGCCCGATGAATTTCCGGTCGCCGAAGCTGGCGTTCATGCTGGAGTAGTACAGCCTCGCTTGCTGGCCGCACTCCTGATCGCCGCCGGCGCCAATGATTGTAGGGTACCATGTCTTCCTGTCGGGCTCCTGCAGGCGTGACAGCAACATTCAGTAGTGTCCAGGCCAACAGCAAACAAAATTCCAAAGCTGGTCCACTGTTGACCATGATTTCAACAGTTTTCAGATACACCCAGATCTGATAGGTATGCCTCACCACAACAATTCGGACAGCGGGTGCCCAGTGCAGCAGGTCGGTGGAAGAGGAGAGCATGACATCAAAGGGCTCCCAGGAGTGCCAGGTCAGCAGCCAGCGCTGCAGGTAGCTGTTCCACGTCACGCTGGGATTCCCTCCCCACACCCCCAACTCCTTCACCTCCCCCTCCCTCCCTCCCAGCCCCGGCTGACTGAAAGACTCTGCAGCACAGGGAGAAGAGTGGGCACGATTTTACAGTGTCCTCAGTCGTGTCCACGGCAGGCATGATGAAATAGCTTGTTATGCTTGAAGTGCTACTCCATAATCTAGCCAGCTTTCCTTGCATGCATGTGATATTTAGCAGCAGCATAGTGGGGCCACATTGCATTACAATGTTTAGACATGTCAAACTCTGGCATTTGGGCGCTCACCCTCCCACCATTTGAACCAAGAGCCAGGGCGCCCCAGAGGATCGCTGGAGGTGGCAATGCGCACCCCACACATGCTGTCGATGTCCCCTCCGCTGTAGAATAGGAAGTACTGCTGGTCCTTCTGCTCAAACCACAGCCCAACATGCAGGTCTATCAGTGCTTCTCACTGCCTAGAAGTCAGAGTTGAGATTCTTTTCTTGGTCGCAATGGTGGTGGTGGGCCTGTGGATTATTGCTGCACCAGGTCAGGCGCAGCAAACAGTTGACAAACAAGCATGCACCACACGTGCACAGCTGACGGCACCTTGATCACTGAAAAGTCGCCACTGCCACCCCATGATGGCTTGTCCGGGCGCTTCACTGCACTTGTGATGATCAGCTCTGGTTTTGTCCAGGTGCGGCCGTTATCATATGAGTGGCAGACCGCTATAGACTTCCAAGCGCAGCCCCCTGTCTCACAGCACTCCTGCGCAATTAAAAGCATAGAGTCACAGGGGTTGGCATTCATGATCCTGGATCTCAGTGTGCGAAGGAATTCTAAGTGTGTACCTTGTAATGGTCCTCGCCATGCACAAAGCCCACTAAGCAGCCTTGACTGTAAAACGCTCCCATCAACCATGTCCCTGCGAGAGTCTCCACTTTCTTCAACTTTGTGAAACTACGGGCATACATGCATGCATCCAAGGCCAGCAAGTTTACTAGCAAACACAACACTTACCACCGCAGTGCCAGCATGGCTTCTCACAGCGCAGATCAAGGAAGGGTTGTTGGTTTTCTCGAGTTGTGTGGTCCTCTGGATAAGGTGTCGGTCCCATTGTGTAATAATTCTGATTAGAGCCCCAGACCATTCGATACCTGAAACACCACAGCACAATACCTCATTCTGGGAATGAATTGCCCAGGACTAACCAATCACTTTTCATGTCTGACCTGTTCAATTTGCGAAGATCATGTGATGGATCCCCTCGACAGTTGCTTTGGCTCTGATTTGTGTTTTCAAGTAGTGTCTAGGTGAGGAAGTGCTGCATTGGTAGACTTGCATGCTCCAATACAGATCTTAGCCGTGCTTCTGCCATGACTTCGCACGGAGGAGTAGAATCGTACCGGCCTGTCTGTTCAGGATGAGGTCCAACAGTTATGTGAGCATCCGGAAAGCAAGCATAAACGGGATTCTCTGTGTGATCGGGAACAACTGTAGGCTCTCCCAATTTGTAAGTGAAACCAAGAGATTCTGCCATAATAAATATCTAAAATGTATCCGTGCCAATCAGCGAAGCTAATTTGAGAGGTCGTAGATGCGGGTTGACTGCCTCAACTGCGGTCAGATTAAATGTGCTAGGTGTTCACGGATCGGCTCTCGTTCTTTGATCGTCGAATATTGCCTTTGAATCTAATGTCCCAAAACCCGCGTACTGCACGTTTGACATGCAATTTCCACGTCTTCCAGGGTTATTGAAAGTCGTTCACATTCCTAGCTAGCTCACAAGTTAGTTCGAACTGACACCTAAACTGGCAAACAGTGCAGTGGCTTCTGCAACACAAGTAGCATGCTCAATGTTCCATTCGTCTGTTTCAGCTTATCATTTCTATGAGTTCTTTTGCTTGGCAGCTGCTCGAGTGACCGGCCTCTTCAATATGCTGGTCTTCGCGCCATTCTGCTTCTTGTGCTTCTTCTTTTGCTGCTTGTCATGCTGGATGTCCGTTTGGTCTCCTCCCTCAGTCCCATTGCTCTGTGTGCCCTGCGCATCATCCACATCTGCTGAAGCAGCAGCTGCTTCTTCCCCCTGGCTGACCATCTGCATACTCTTCCTCCTTTTCTTTCTGCCCTGTGCTGCCTCCCTCCCTGGGGTGCCGGGTGTTGTGCTGGCCCCAGCGGCGCTGTCCTGCCTCCTGTCCCTGCTGTCCGCCTCGTCTGCAAGGTTGGCGGCATCAACCACCGCCCTGGGACTCCTCTGGGCCATCTGCGCCCGCTCGATAGACCGGATGTCGATCTCCTCCAGATCTATGTCATCCTCATCGTCCCCAACTGGCCGCTCCAACCCGGTGGCCGCTGTCAGGTCACTCTCGCTGCTGTGCGGATCCGAGTCCTCTTCATCGACTGCCATGGGCTGTGCTGCTGCGGCAGGAGCCGGCGCACCCAGCGCTGGCTGCGGCTGCGCGGCGGGTTCCTGGGCGGAGGCGGCCTCCTGGGGGGCGACCACACGCATGGCGCCGAGCGTGTAGTCCAGCAGGGCCACCGAGCGCCGCAGCCGGTCTATGCGCGCCATGTGGCGCTGCGTGTATGCCGACAGCCCGTCCAGCAAGGCCGCCACGCCAGGAATGTCCAGCAGCACCTGCAGCATGCCTTGACACCTCAGTGACGATACATTACAGACAGGGCACCTCGCACATCTGACCGCCTGTTGTTGTGCGACGATCACTTCATAAAATGTGTTGAAGCGGAACAGTGTTACAAAGTGTGGGGAGTGTACCTCGGGCGCATGCTGCGAGAGGATGGCCTGCAGGGTAGCTTGGGCGGCGTGGCAGTGCCGGGAGTTGGTGTTCCACTCGCGGATGAACTCCAGGCACTGCTTGATCTGGTCCTTTTCAAGGCCGTCGACCAGAGCATTCAGGATACCCTCGGCTGCCTCCTGCCCCTGCGCACAAGCCGCCTCCACCACCGAGCGCAGCTGACCGGCGTGCCCCAGCTCGAACGCCATCGCCGCCGCAGCTTGGTAGTCATTGTCCTGCACCAAAAAGAGATCCTTGGCAAGCCAGACCCAACCTGTCAGAAAATTAAAGCAGCAATTCATTGATGGACATCAGCAGCTATGGCAGCACTGATTGTAGAGACCCACCTTGAGGGCGTTGGACAACTCCTGGGCCTTGACAGCGTTCTGTGTCCTGCTCGCTACAACTGCAGCCTCGTCCTCTGCCGTGCAGTCACGCCAGATGTTCACGCGCGCGTCTGCGCCTCCGGTGGCCAGCACAGCATCGTTCTCCCCTGCCACAGCCAGCGCCCACACCTTGCCCTCATGCTCGTCAAAGGTGGCCGTGCACTCCGACGTTCGCACACCCCACAGCTTCACCAGACCGTCCGCTCCTGCTGACACCACCTGCGCAGCACAGAGCCGCTCAGTCTCAACAAGGGAATGGGAATACAATATACACAAGGACCCGGAAACTAATCTGAGCAGGTGTCACAGAGTAATGCTTCAGAGTGATACAATAATCCCTGCAAAGAGAGAGAACTCTATGGCAATAGGATACTGCGTGTTTTTGCCTTCAGAAAAAGCGCAAGAGGATTTCTGAGCACCTGTGTGCCGGCTGAGATGAAGGATGCGCGCAGGACGGAGGCTCCATGGCCCTCGAAGGTGCGCAGGCAGCTGCCGTCGGTGAGCGCCCAAAGGCGGATGGTGGCGTCGCCGCTGCCGGTCAGCACGCACTGGTCCACCGGAGAGAATTGCACGCTCCATACTCCCCTCCGGTGCCCCTTCAACGTCAGCATCTGCACCAGATCTGGCAACCGCCACACCTGCGCCAAACCAATAGCCTCTTGACATATGTCTTCCGCCGCACACCGGTGCACGGCAAGGCGGAGGCAGGAGGATCCCTTATTGAACTTCAAGCCAGGGGAGGTCCAGAGGCCTGCTAAAAGCATGAGAGGCACAAGGCGAGGGTTATGGCTGACCTTGGCAGTGCGATCCTGTGATGCAGTGCAGATGAGGGCATCGTTGGGTGACACTGCCAGCGCATTGATGTCCTTGTCATGCGCCGCTACAGCGGCTGTAGCTCGCAGGCGCGGCACTTCGGCGCCCTCTGCACTGCTGCCGTCCAATAGCTTCGACACATCCCAGACCTGCCGGGAGACCACCCAGCACTAGATCACCTCACGTTTATCCCAGGTCATGACCATGCTCACACAGTTTGCCTTCTTCTCGTGTACATCAAGGCGGGCATTGTGTCCACCTTCAAGAGCTTGTCTGCTCCACCGGTCACTAGGAAGCTGAAAGCCCGTCTGGAGAAGGCCAGTGCACTGACTGCCCCTACATGGCCCTGTCCGACTGCAATGCATTCGCCCGCCTCGTCCCACACCCGAACACTGTTGTCCTTGGCGCCAGATGCCAGCAGGGTCTTAGACTCTGCATGCATGAGAGATCCTCAATTTCGAAATGCAGCTCTTCAGACACTACAAAGGAATTGAGGCATTGGGACAAGAGCACAAATCTACATGCATCACATGGGCAGAAGGGAGCCTTACCTTTTGTTTGGATGGCGTCCAGGACCAGCACAGTGTCGGTGTGCCCGCTGAGCGTTGCAGAGCAGGACATCGTGGTGAGGTCAAACATGCGTATGGTGGGCGAGTTGGTAGCCAGCACCAGCTGTGTGGGGGCAGCTGGGGGCCCAATGAGTCGCAGGTCTGTGACCTCATCCAGGTTGCCTATCAATTGCCTGCCCAACTTCACCACATGCTTCTCGGCTTCCTCCTGCACACACCCAAACACAGTGTCATGCAGCACCCGGTGAGCAGGACAAAGTGCAACAAGGCATGCAGCCGCCTTCTGTGAAGAACACTAAATTGCCACTAGCGCACCTCGGGGCTGAAGAACAGCAACCGGCAGTCCCCAGTGGTAATCATGAGCCCCTCCGCATTGGGCAACACGTGAACCTCCCTGATTTCCTCTCCTGCTGCCGCCATCTCACCTTGACCAGTGGCAATGCCATGCCTGCCATGCAGCACATCGATCAGTAGAATCTATCTTAGAAGACGCCGTTATGGGATTTGCAAGCAGAGTGACAAGGCATTTCAAGCTCTATCGAGTTTTGGATGGCCTCTCCACTCACCGTTGCTCATAGATGCAGTCACCAGTGTCAGCTCGCCAAAGCTTCAAGATCCCTTTCTCACCGCCAGTTGCAAACACCAATGCCTTGCTCTTCTTTCCAGATGGCCCTAGAGCACTTTGCACCAGTGCCTTGAAAGCCGAGTCGTCCGGGACTATTGCGGCTCCTGTGATGGGCTCCAAGAAGCCCGTCAGCCAGAGCATAAACAAAACTTCCCAAAATGAAGAGGGAGTCATGCTTCACTCAGCTTACCTTCCACTGCCTCAAAGATTGGCACCGTGGCAAGCTTTTTGTGTGACCGCAGGTCCCACAAGATGGCCACCTTGTCCCTGCCGGCAGTGAGCAGAGTCCAGCCATCCGGGCTCAGGCTCAAGGAAGTCACTGCACTGAAGTGATCCTGCAACAAGTAGTCAGGTAAGTCCACGCAGACAACAATGAGGAGCATAAGAGCTCACTTGACGCATTCACTATGTAAGATGCGTAGTTGGACCCACCTTGAGGGTGGCAACGCAGGACTTGGTGATGAGATCCCACACCCGCACTTCTGCATCGTCCCCTGCCGTGATGATCATGAGTTCTTTGGGGTGAAAGATCACCTCAAGGACAAGCCCCCTGCAAGAACATCAAGGAAAGGTGCTTGTATTACACAACTCATTCCCTGTGGACTTAGCATTTTTAGCAGAAAATGCTTCAATGTGCGACTTCAGGCGCCAGTGTCAGTGGGCAGAGTGCACCACCAACGGCAAGCCACCCCAGACGAGACTGCTGTCGGCGACTAATAGCGCTGAGCTATGCCATGGTATACAGCATGCCAGTGACTCTAAGATAACCGCCTTGTCAGTGAATCTTCTCAAGCATGGTCACCAATTCCTGCATAAAGTGGATGTAAGGAAGCAAATTGTCCCAGATGGGCACCTGTGGCCATGGAAGGCGTGCGTGCAGTAGAACCCATCTGTGTCCCACACGCGGCAGCTCCTGTCTGCACTGGCAGAGGCGAGCAGGCCGCCGGAGGGGTCCACTGCAAGGGCTAGCACAGGGCCTTTGTGGCCTTTCCAGGAGCGCAGAACTGCATTGTTGCTGGTGTCCCAGCAACGCTGCTGCAGGCTGCGGGATGCGCCGTACAGCCGGTTGCCTGAGTGGCTAAATGCAAGAGCAGTCACAGGCTCTGAGTCTCCCGCCAACGTTGACGTAACACTGCCTGAAATTGGGTCCACGAGCTGCACCACACAGCTTGTTTTGATCCAAAATACAGGTGTGCTCACAGGTGACACCCTTGATGCCTGCGACTTTAATAGGCTTTTGCACCCGCCTCTTGACAACTATATATTGCTGTACGGCGGTAAGTAAAATTTCCTCTGCACAGTGATGCCGCCACGCCCTCACCTTGACCTCATCGTTGCAGCTGCAGGCTAGGAGGCCTTTGCTGGATATGCACGATGCTCCCCCCGTGTAGAATACCTCTAGTTTTGACGAAGGTCTGTAGGTACTTTTCAACTTGAGGCCACGGTTCGACATTTAGCATCGACTCGTATTGCAATGCCTAGTACACTTTGAAGTACTTTGCCAATGACTGCCTTTTGATCCCACTTAGATCTCTACATTCGGCACAACTAATTTCGGCAACCAGAATCTTCTTTACGATCGCATACACAACTGGGCTTCTGGAGGAGACCCAGACTCAAGGCGGCAAGCCATCAGATGATGAGTAACTTTAGTAGCTCCTGAGTCAGCAAAGCTGCAAATGCAGGTTGCGAGCTTGAGTGTTCTGTTCGTCCTCTACAGAGCATCATTTGTGCAGTCAATAAACATCAAAAGCTGGTATTGTATGATGACGGATTTGAACACCGGCGTTGACCTGACGAAGATATGCGATCTCTGACCATCGTCTGAGGCATGGCCCAAGCCATTAAGGTCATTTTTCCTGATCAGGGTGAAACAGCAACAATATTAATTCCATTTCAGGGTGGTAACGCAAGGAGTATCACGAACGCGGTGAGGTCCAGTCGCTCCAAAGGCAGGCAGTACCTACAGCTCTGCATTCCCTTTGCTTCGCTTTCTGCTGATTCAAGGATATGCTGGAGGTCTGAGGCAATTTTCCTGGATTTTCATCAGGTCTGTGAGTCCAAGGGGTGGCCCGCGACACAGAGGCTTCGCCTGATCGCAGCAGGCAGGGAACTCTATGATGACGATGTGATTTCAGCAGTTGAGACGCCAGTCATCCACTGCATCGTGTTGAGCAACTCCTCTCAGCACAGCAGCCAAGGCCAATCCCGTCAGCGAAATGTTGTGCCATGCTCAGACTGGGTGAGCGGCTCAGCAAACTGAGCTGTACTGGACCAGTAGAGCATGAATAAACCAGCTGTATGTGCGATGTGCCGCACCTGTGCTCCAAGATTCTCACCATGAGCATTGCCTTGCAGCTGGACGCCTTGAATCCCGCAACGGCGCTTGTGGGCTTCTTGTGCGCTTTGCTGGTCCTCTCGTGGATTGCGCTTCTCTTTTATGGTGAGCATTGAGACCCGTGTTGATCGTCCTTTACTTACATTGGGCTCTCTTTCTTAAAGCAGAAAGGCAGGCAAATTTCCTGCTGACCAATATTACTAATCCCGTGCAGGTGATCTTTTTGATGGGCCCACGTTGATACTGCTGAGCACAATGACTGCCGCTTTTATTGCACCGTACCTGCTGCCGTACGTTCCCTTGCCGGCATCCTTGCGCGCTCCCTGCAATCCAACAGCAGCTACATTCCCACCAGGCTACACGTGCGTCACCTGACAAACCCTTGAGGACATGAAAGGCCCTGCATGCTCAGCTCAGTATCTGACGCTCTCTAGACCGCGTTGTTGAACTTGGGGCCACCACCTGCTGACCGGGATCCTTCTTTGCAGGTTTATTGAAGGGCCAGGAGGTGGCAGAATTGCAGTCCCTCCCAGGCCGCAGGCACAGCTTCGAGCAGGATCAAGTACAATTTGAGGAGCATTGTCCCTCGTGTGGCTTTCCTTTTTTCATGGACCCGTCAAGCATCCTTGAGATGGCCCAATGGAGAGGGTATTTGAATTTGCTTCTGTGCTTGTTTGATTTTGCAGCTTCCTGTCCTTTCCCCAAGTACACATGGCCATGTAGGGTCAATGCAGACTGTTTGGGGTGAGCAAATGCTTCTCTGTCTTTCTACAAACTCCACCTCGTGGCAGGTAGCGCTGCTGCAAGGAATCACATTTGCCGTGATCTGGATTGAAGAGGGCACATTAGTGCAGCTGTACAATATGGTGCACAGTGATTTATGCATATGTCTCTGTCTTTGTGGTTGTGCGTAGTATGCTACTGAGCCTGCATCCTCAGGCATCACATTCGCAGTTTGAGAAGAGCCAGGGTGTCTGGCACGTCATCTTCACTGCTTGGGACTGTAATAGATGCTGCAAAAGGTGTACACATGTGAGGCAGGGATGTGAATCTTGCTGTTCCTTTGAATTACATGCTTGCATTATGTCACGGTACCTTCAATAGATTTCAGGTATGGTCAGATCAGATCAGATGAGGTGTGATCAGATCAGATCAGAGGGGTCACGTATGTAAATTTATTGCTAACTTTCACATCCGTCAGATGAAGCCGCATGCTACTGTAGGATGGCACGATTAACAAGTTTGCACTAATCTGAATTGAATTGCCTGGCCATGGCCTGTGATAAGCCGGCAGCCTGAACTGATCGCGGTCGGCCGACATCCTCATAGCTGGCAACATGGGCATCCAATCAAGTGACATATATGCTACAATGACATGATCCTGCAAGAATGGCTAGAATAATTGACTAAAACAAAACAGGATTGCACATCTATGTAAGTGTTATGTAAAGGGGTCGCCTTGCAATTGCATGCCTTCAGTTAGTCCAGATGTTTGACAAGAGCAGTATCAAAACAAGCTCACAATAACAGCTATAGACCCACCTCCTGCTCTATGTGTTCCTTTTGCGCATAATCATCGGTCGTCTTCTGGTATCAATCGTTCGTTTTCCTGCTGGACTTCTCGTCGCCTGTCCAAAGGTTCATCCTCCTCACTGCCATCCCTCGCCATCTCCCGCTTGAAACCTTGCATGGCCACTTCCCTGATGCCCTGCCCTCTCCCTTCCCCGGCCTTTCTCCAGCTTTGCAGCACAGTGCCCCCATAGTAGAGAGAACCAACCAACAGACCCCCAAACCCAGCCACCACGACCACAAAGATTGCCACACAAGGCACACACACCCCCGACTCCTCGCTCTCTGTTGAGACAGCAGACACATCCACAGCTGTGCATGTAATTCGCAGCAGAAAGGCGTATTTCAAGGCAGTCTCGTGCAGCGACGAGAAGAAGCCACTGTTGCCAAAGTGTCCAGCAGCCATGTTCTCCATCAACAAGATGAGGGGCTCGTTCGTCGCCAGGGCGCGAGTCTTGGCGACCCACTTTGCAGGCTCCCAGTATGCCACCCTCGCATCATTCCAAGCTGCGAGCACACCATGACTCTGTCAGGACCCTTTCTCATGTAAGCAAGCTGTCAACGAATTCCAAAACGCTCTCGCGTGCAGAGCGACGTACCCCCTGTCGCCAGCATGTTGGGATAAGGCTGTCTCCGTACATTATCCAGAGGAGAGTATGAGAGCATGTACTCATACATGGTCTGGTTGGCGATGGTATTTCCCCACTCCTGTCAGTCATCAACATTCCAGTCAGCTGCTTTCTGCTTGCGTGTGCTAAAAAATAGTCTGTTTCCAAGAAGCCATGAAGTCCATGAAGATGTGCGCACCTCATACTCTGTCACAGTGAGGGGCAAGCCAGGGTCTGACATGGTGGCAATGACATCAACGAATGGCACATCCAAGATGGCAGCCTGCGGGCAAGGGAGCATTCATCATTCCTTTGCTCCTGCAGCCTCGTGCATCTTCTAGGAGACAAACGCAGCCTTCAGGCCTAAGTGCTCCCCACGATCACACTCTTGCAAGCCATTTGTACCTTGAACAGCTCTGGGCGCATGTTGATGGTTGCAGCCACAGTCAGGCCCCCAGCCGAACGACCCCACAGACAGAGCCTTTCAGGACTCGTATATCCCTCCTGCAAGCCAGCAGCCTTAAGGTCATTGACACTTCAAAACTAGGGGCGTGATCGCTGCCATCTATTTGTGAGCATCCCCTTCATGAGGGCTCACAAGGGCCCTGTGAAACATTGCTGTGCGCTGTAATTTCAGAAGTATGTTGAAAGCCTTTTATGTATTGTTGGGTCACCACTACCCCTGTGCTCATGTCTTCCAGCACAAGGGCTTTCAACGACCCATTTGCTGTTGCGATCAACCCAACCTTGCATCATGAGCACATGTCTCTAGCTCTTTGCGCTCGACCAGGATCGCATGTTTCCATTCCCAAAATCACACACATGCAGAGTCACTTTAAAAATGCACGCAGATCCTACATGCTTGATGCATGCATCATGGCAAGCTGAGCAGGGAGCTGACTGGGGCGCACAGCGATGAGCAGCTGAGCCGCTGCAATGAGGTCTAGGAAGGTATTGTTCTTGTTGAGCAATTTGCCATCAAGGTACCAGTACTGGCCCAGATCGCCACCGCCTCTCACATGAGCGATGGCATAAATGAACCCCCTGCAAGCACAATTGCACTGCTACAGGAGATCGCCATGCTGTCACTGAACCTAGAAGCCACCCCGATCAAAGTATGACAGCTGCATACAACACCAGCAATGACCAGGTAACCCCACCTGTCCAACAGGCTCAGCCTCTTTGAGTCAAAGTCTGCATCCTGCGCGGCGCCGTAAGCGCCGTAAGCGTGAAGCAGGAGGGGATCTGAGCCATCCAACCGCACAGACCCCTTCTTGTGCACCACGGACACAGGCACTTGTACGCCTCCATCAGACGGCGCCCACAGCCGGAAAGTGCGATACTGCTCCTTGTCAAAGCCACCAAGCACCTGCTTCTGCTTCTTCAGCACTCGTCTGCCTGCCAGTGCCCACAAGGCAATTGTTTAGCCAAAATCAGTAGGCATCTTTTGTAACATGTGTGTCCACCAAAGCAGCTGGAGAAGCTTCATTTGGATCTTGTGCTGAAAAGGCAGATGAGACATGCTGCTATGTTGCTTGGCAGCTCGTGCAACAGCAGATGCAGCCTGCATGCAAGCAGGGGGGGGTGGAAGCAGACCTGTCATGGCGTTGATGTCATAGGTGCTGTCTGGGGTCACAAAGGAGCTGTATACAACCCGTATCACCGGTGAATCAAGCGGGCCCTGTTTGCCAAAGCCCAGCGAATAGCTTTCTTCCTCAAATGTCACAGCCCGTCCCTCACCCAGGGTTGTGTGGTTCTGCGTCTGTTCTTCCAAGGTGAATATCTTAAGAGTGCTCAGACCATTGACACGTTGTAAGAGCGCCAAGTGTCCTGCGCCATGGAGGATCATAATCTGAGTAGCTGGCACTCTGTGCACTTATGCACAATCTCACATAGGGGCCATTCCCAACCAAATAGCTCGTCATTACCGCATCACAGGAAGCGGACTTGTGGGGCCTGGCAGCTCTATTGCAGGCAAGGAACTTACGCTGTGATAGTTCAAAGTCCTCAAGCTCCACATCATGCCGATGCTCAATGAGCACCTGCACACCATCACAGCACACATGTTGCAAAGCATGTTGTTTGGCCTCATTGTACATTGGGCCACTCTGCTGGTGAAAGCAATGGCATTGCAAGCAGAAATCAACTCACCTGTGAATTGTTTGCAGCGCTGTGGCCTGCTTCAGCAGGAACAAGAGTTGTGATGGGCTCAAGTTGCATGAGGTCTGTGGAATTGGACATAGGCAGCAGAAGCAGCTCTGCATTGAGAGTGTCCTTCTGCATGTCGCTCTCCAACATGATCCACATGTCTCCCCAGTCTGCTGCTTGACTATATTTGCGGGCATGGACTTTTGGCCCCAAAACTGTGAGATTGCCTGCACACCGGAGGCAGTGATACCCAACATGCTTCAATTATTTCATTAATTTCATTGCCATAAGAGCCCCTCAACTCCACTCAAGAAAATTCTCTCACCCAATGGTGTATGAGCCGGCAGATATAAGAGGTATTTTGTGACCTCAGAGCGCCCGTACAGCAAAAGGTACTTCCTGCTTCTTGTGTGGGTCAACTCCAAATGGAACGCCTCATCAGGTTCATTGTATATCTGTTGAGCTCCTTGCGCTGTGCTGTTGATTTGCCACCGCCATAGCTTGTCACTCCTCAGTGTTTTATTGGTCTGCAACAGTGACATGAAGGGTCGTCAATAGAGGCTTGCTCCATTTCAGTCAGTCAGACAGCGAGAATTTTCGGTTTGAGATTACATGACGAGGTTGACACGCTGTATTATAACCTCTGCCATGGCGGCTATACTCGTGGTAATATGTACCAGCCCCTTTGCGTTGGCCATGGTAATGCCAAGACGTAGAAGGAGCTACTGACCACTGTTGTGAAAAAGAGAGTTTGATTGTCCAGGGCCCAGGCGAGCTGCCCCGAGGCGTCATGCACCCCGCTGATGGGCACGACAGTGTCCTCCCCAATGTCCTTCACATATATCGCGTAGCTTTCGTTGCCAGAAAAGTCCACTGCATATGCCAGGTATCTGTGGTCTGCTGAGACCTGCGCGGACACCCTGACCGGTTATGACAGTAAGTTTCTGGTGCATAGTACTCACTGAGCAGCATTAAGTGCTTCTGGTCTGCTTGCTAAGCTCATCCAAGGGTTATGCAAAATTCCCACTTGCCTGGAAGCCGCCCAGGTCAAAGAACTTATGACCATGTGCCTCCTTATTTTCGTCGAGCAGGACCTCCTCTGCTGCTTTTGAATTCATGACATCATCCTCCATAAAGACACTTGCTCCTTGTGGGACTTTCCTCCTGCGAGCAACCAGTTCTTGATTGAGCTGGGTAAATCTGAATGCAGGCACAGCTGGTACCACTGCTGACTTGAGCACGCAAGCACGCTTATCTAACATCGCATCTCCATGCACCAATTGAAGACGGGCATGTCTGCCGCTGCTTCCATCAATATTCCACACATGCAGCACATGAGCACAGGCCAAGATGCGTGATCCAATTGCAGGGACTCCACCTGCACTGTATACGGTATTGATCTCCTTGCCGGCGATAGCTGTAGTACCAGAACAAATCGACACGCTGTGGCACGCTGTGATCATCGTGGGCGGTGCGCGCCTTCATTTCATTCTCTAGATCATCTGCCAGGGCCCCTCCAAGCACTGCGTCTGCAAATGAGTTCTCCTGTGCGCACAACAAGAAGTTAAGGTATGCGATACCGTCACTTGCTCTGCTAGTCAACACCTTGGCTTAATGTGGGCCAGAATGGGATACCTCCTTCAGATATTGGAGAACTTGGGGATCTTTGCGGCGGTCGTCTCTGAGCCAAGCCCAATTATCTTGCCGCTTGTGGCCCCATTTTGGAAACAAAAGAGGCTTCTGAACCGCTACTGGTGGCTTTGCACCAACTGCCAGGCAGCAGACAGCAGTCAATTGTGGGGAATGGATCAAGGAGTCAAGCCAGAAGCAATTTGATTTGGCAAGAAGGGGTCAAGCTGTTTCGATTGCCTGGGATCATGCTGTTGACGGCACTGCAATTCTTAAGCGCTTCATTCTCCCTCGTAGAGACGTCAACCTCATCAAGCATCCTTCCACGGTAGCATCTCGCAGTTCGTCCCTGCGCTCACACGTGCAACTGATCGAGTCCATGGTTACTGCCGTCGTATTATTTAAAGTGATAGATTGCAAAACAAATGCAGGTAAGCTACTCACCGCGATTGATATGATGAGGATGAACTTGAAGACATGCACCAAGATCCCCATCACGAATGCTCCCCAGCTTAGGCCATTGAAGGAATGTGTTCCTCAGGATAATATAATCGTTTATGTGCAGCCATCATCACTTGACCCATTTGTGGGCCTACACATCAATAATCCTGGACTCTCCGAAATGGGCCATCCAGTGACGTCAGTGACGCCCAAAGTGACTGGGATCACCTAGTACTGACTGATGCACAGAAATGATTCACATTCAAATTTGCTTTGCATTCCAAATCAAGTGATATCCAAGCATTGAGGGGATAGAATGCCCCTCTCACTTCAGCAAAATAAAGACCTTGAGCTTTAAATGTCTGAGCCAAATGTATATAGTATACTATATATAGTATTTAGGGCCCCGGCTGGCGGGGGGCGGTACAAATACTGAGCACCGTGCCCACGGTTGATTGGGTCTTGCTTGGATCTGGCGAGTCCAACAAGGGGTAGGATTTTGGCAGCCTTTAACTGCAGCTTGTCTGCAGGACGCACCTTGCCTCTTGGCAGGAAAAGCGTGTAATAATAATAATAATATAGTATTTGGCCCCGGCTGGCGGGGGGCGGTATAAATACTGAGCACCGTGCCCACGGTTGATTGGGTCTTGCTTGGATCTGGCGAGTCCATCAAGGGGTAGGATTTTGGCAGCCTTCACTGCAGCTTGTCTGCAGACGCACCTTGCTTCTGGCAGGAAAAGCGTGTAATGATCATAATAACTTCGTCTAACTTATTGAATAATATAGTATATTAGGCTCCAAGTCGGAGTCTGACAGGTGCCACTGGCTCAGTGAGCGCCAGTCACTGGCACATTGCCAGTGCTTCGGCTGCTGGCCATGTGCCATCAGGAATTTATTTGAGCAGCGCGAGGCGCGCTATGTTATGTGCACATGCCCACATATTGATGCCATAGCTCGCAGTCACTGACAGCTGGCAGCAGCTGTGCGTCCGGATCCCTCAGGCATCCTAACATCTAAACCTTACATTCTGTTTTGAATCTACAAGGCACAGATTAGTAGTCTATCTATTCTGGAGATCTTGGCTCCTGCGCCAGTGTGTCCATTTGGTGGCAGTGGCCCCTAGCTCTCTACTTTATGTGCCTCCTGCAATGCAAAACACAATCGCTGTTTGTCACTCCTGCAATTGAAATGATCAAAGCACAGCCACCTTGCAAACTTCATAAAAAGCAAGCACCATATCAGAAAGTGTGGCCGTACTACATATTCATGCAGCACCACCGTAGTCACAGTCCAAAGTGGCATCACAGGAAGCCAGCATACCTCATCCTTACTACCTTCACTAGTTCGCTCCTCTCTATAGTCTACAGCTCTGGGGCTGTAGAGGGCTCCGAACAAATAGCATGAAATTGATATGCCCAACGTTGCAACGATGATGGCCATTGACGTCCTCCAATTCAACAGGCGGCCTGGCATCAAGGACAATGGTTAGAGTCTTGAAACAGCATAAAGCACAAGTTCCAGCAAAGAACAATATGACTGACAATATCAATAGTTGAAATCTTACCTTGGATAGCGCCGATAATAGGTGGGGAAGGAACATCCCCAAACAAGTGCATGATGATGACTTGATACGCCTGCCCAACAGGCCTCATAGGCACTGGCACCGTCCACATGCTGACTGCATCTGCACATCACATGACGCAAAGTTGGCACAGTGGCAAATGAAGAAGGCTAATATCATTCAAGATGCCTCAAAAGCGTCAGCTGCCATGCGAAATGAGGGCATGCACAAGACCAAAAGGGGCGTACACAAGGGTGCCGTGGTGACAAATACGCCCAAGAGGCCGATCGTCAGCAGAGGCGCGAAGACCGGGAGGGAGGGCGACGTCAAAAAGGCCAACAAGGAGAAGATCAGCGCAACAATGCTGGCGCACAGCTGAATGGTCATGGCATTCCTCAGGCTGGACCCCACCCTGTCCAAGAGCCACCCTGCATACACCAGCCAATGATAATTAGAAAGGGCTTGCTGCACTTATGGAAGACGCTCTCGGAGCCTGGAAGGGTGCAATAGTACAAGTGGGGGCGTCAGCAACCAGCAGCACACCTCCTCCTATAGTGCCGACAACAGCCGTTCCGACAGTTATGCCTCCCAGCAGGTACGAAATCACATCCTCATCAGCGCGCAGAATCTCCTTCGCAGCCTGATTGATCACAGCGTCCGTTAGCAGATGATTGAGTGAGCCAGTCCATGCCACTGACTCGATTGAGAGGATCCAAAGGTTGAGATCAGCAAGCATGGCATCCATCCATGCAAACCATGCAATGCAATGTTTGCATTCCAGCTTGAGCAATAGAATGTGCTCAGACCCACCTTGGGGCCCCAGAATGTGAAGACTCCCAGGCAGGCTTGCACAGGGACAAAGCCCCAGGCATTTGCCAGGAAGACAGGCTGCCTGTGCAGGACCTTCAGCTCCTTCCCAAGGTCTTTCCAAGCATCCAAGAAGCGAGCGCCCCACTTCAATTTTGGTGTTTTCTCCACTGCAAATGGCACACAAGTTATTTTGATGCAGGTATGACAAGCTTTCCCTCGCAAGCTAAATAGCTGAGAGGCTTTAAACTGTCCAACGGCTCTGCACAGAGCCAGAAAATTCTGAGGATGTCACCTGAGGATGTACTCGTCTGCTCTTCTTTGCCCCGCAGCCGGACTGGAGTGGCAAACAGGCAGAATAGCACGACTGGCAGCGCAACAGCCGCCTCAATATAGAAGCAGATGCGCCAGTTTATGATGGTTGCTAGGTTGCCATAGAGGTAGCCCACAGCAACTCCCAAGCTGGGAAACAGGGACAACCATGCAAACCACCGGGCCTTTGACGCTGGAGGCGCCACGTCATCTATGAATGGGCCAGTCAGCGTCATGACTGATGCCTCGCCTGGAGCACAGAGCAGAAATCTATCGGAAATGGTGCTAAGGTAGGAACGTCACTGAGTCTCAATTGCACCATTGCAGGTAAGGGTTTACGCATGAGTGTGGAAGGGATGCAAGGAGCTCTCACCTGCCCCCATGAATATTCTTGCGAATAAGAGAAACCCAAAATTCTGCGACACCCCTGTGAATATCGCACCCAACATCCACATCCCCAGACCAACGCCTGCATGAAGACATCCAGGTCTTGACATCCACAATTGGAGATGATCCCTATAAAACTTTGAGGTGGTGAGCCTGGATCAAGGTAGTCAGTGGGTTACAAGCCATGCGACCAATCCCCAATCCCAGCGCAAATATTTCCGAGATGAATATCGCACCAATTAGACGGAAAGAATTGACATAGTTGCAGAGCTCGTTGAAAACCAAACAAGACACCATCAGGCCCGCCATGAACATCGCTGGTAGTAGGCCCAACTGAGCATACGTGAGCTGGAAATCCCTCTGCATGTTATCATTCCAGAGTTAGCGCAGAAGGTCAGGGGCTTGATCTATTGCTCTGCATGTAAGCAGATGACCTTCAACTTTCAAGCGATGAGAACGTGTTGCTTGTCATTCTCTTGCCAGCGGGTGAACAGCTCTTTACCTGCATGCCTCCCTGGCTTGTTGCATCCTTGGACGTGTTGCTTGGGTCTGTGCTGCTTGTTCCAGTCACACCATTGCTGGACAGCAATCCCATATCCACATACACCAGGAACCATACAAAACAATAAAGCGCCTGCACCAAGCAAGAACTTCAGACACATATCACGAAGTCCAGGTAAAGAAGCTGCTTATCTTTGAGAGTACAGGAGATGTGGAAGGCATCGATTGTCTGATCCATTGACAACCTGTTACCAGACCTTTAATTTCAAATACTTGAGGAGACGGTGTGCAGGAGGAACAGTGGGATCTGGAGTACTAGTTCTCAAGTCTAGGCTTCAGACTGTAGACCAAGTCATGGATCATTGCACGATAAGCGCACCAGCAGCCGCTTTGGCGTGTACCACCATGGCATCGGGACATCCCCATCCACAGAGGCGCCTCCCGAAGTCTCCGAACCCCTGCAAGCCTCTTTCCCAGCTGATGCCGATTCTGAGCCGCACCCATCAGCGGATTCCTTCCTGCTCGGTGCAAATTCGGAACAATCTGGTGCAGAATTTAGCAGCACCATGTCTGAAAAATAAAGACACTGATCTCGATCTCACGCCTTGAAGGCGCTACAATCCCATGTTGCAGCACATGACGCGAAGATACTGATGCCACCGATGTTGCAAATGAAAAGACTTGAAACTAGAATCAAAACGTTTTGTGGCTCATTCAATGTTGAGTAGTCTCGTGAGCCCAGACGACTGAAACAGAGTCTTCTCTGGGAGCTACTATGCGATCGTGTGATAATACAAGGGGCTTCAAGGGACAGAATGGAATCCACGAGACCCTAAGAAAATGGGACCTCCTCTTTGAGGCAGTCCACTTCTCGATGTAAATATTTAGGTAGATTCTATATCTGTGGGAATCTCAACAAAATTAGGGGTCTTACTTGAGCTGTTCTTTGCCACGGGAACTGCAGTACTGGCCACCGCCAGGAAAGTGGCCTTCCAGACTCAAGCTCTGAAGTGGCTATCCTGAGCCTGAGGAGGCGAATAAATATGGAGCACCATCAATGATTCAGCTGCCACCAGTACATGCAGCAGTGCAGCATTACATTACCAGCATGCCTGCTGGGAACGCAGTGGGGCCTGCATATGCATGCATGCAGCGCCCCGCCCAATATCACAATAGCGGCCACACATCATATGAGGTGACCCGAAGACTGTCATAAGATCGTATAATCTGTCTTGGCAAGACCACTGGACAGCAAGTCCTCGAGAGAAAATTCCTGGGCCAGAAGGAAGATCCTGTAAAATGGATTCATTTATCAAGACCTCAGGACTGGCTGTGAAATGTACAGGACCTCAAAAGCTGCCAATAAATAAAAGGGACAAGTTATAAAGCAGATTCCGCAAAGCACCAAATTGCAGGCCACCGCATCGCAGCCTGCACGGGGTCATTAACTTTAGAGTGGGAGCTGCAGCAAGACGACACCTAACTGCACCCGCACGTTTCTATATTTCAACAGTGTGAAGTCTCAATAAGCAAGTCACACTGTCAGAAGTCAAGGCCTTCCGGTGATGATCAATGCAAAGCATACAAAAGCTTGTTCGGAGCATATGTCAACACCGCAACTCTCTGCACGCTCTGCTAAGGCATTTTGCACACACTCTGTCGCTCCAAGTTCTTTAACTACGTATCCAATTCTCTGCACCACTCGTGCTGGGGAAACCAGATGAGGAATCTTGATTGATCCACGACTGCGCCGCCCAGCATGAGCCGCCTGGCCTTGGAAATGTGAGCAATCCAGCTTTCTTGAGGAATAATCATCAGTGAAGAAAGGGCATCGCATGTGTCCATCCAATATGAGAGCAGCCCACTCAAGCTCTTGGCTTGGGTACATTGCCCCAACCATGCAGGCAGCTTCGTGCACACTCAGAGCTCGCAGTAGACGCCTGCCATGCGATAGCCTCGCCTCCTGGCCTTGTCAACCCACTCCTTGCCGGCAGCGCTGTCACGCTCGCACCCGTAGCCTTCTAAAAGCATCTGCCCAAGCAGTGCTTGTTGTTTCTGCGCCGCACAGCGAGGTGTTTGGCCATCACACAAATTGAGTATCCCAAACTACCGACAGGTTCATGCATTGTGCAAAGCAGCCCCATGGAGGACACTAACATTCCTGGAATCTGCATGGCATTCCGGTGAGTCTCAAGGAACATCCAGCTGTGAGGGCAGCCTAATCACTCACCACGTCGCCCCGAAGGGCTTCCTTGTGAGTTTCCTGGAACCACCGCCGCACAGCATCGTGCACCACTGCCGTGAGTGGCGCAGATGGCACTGGCCGCACTTCAGGCACACCTTTCACTCGTGGGGTTGTCACCCTCTGTGCGTTGGCCTTGGCGGCTCCATTTGCTGTGAGTCACGCATGGCAATTGTCAGTGCAGAGAAATGCAATCTACAGCAGCCACTTGATTCAGCTGCTCTAAGAGAGCGGCTAACATCCTCCTATCACACTCTGGTGATAGAGTCTTGACCTTCTCTCTGGCACAAGTGGCCCCTATCCTGACATTCTGCCGGGGATCAATTGACATTTTTGATGGTGCATCAAACGCCCAAGTATATAAAAGTAAAAAGAAAAATTGCCCTGCATAACATATCTGGGCACCAGTTGGGTGGAGGATGTCTGCTGCACAACCTGAAAATCAACTCTTAACCAAAACAGAGGAACCAGCCCTTGAAAATTTGCTGGAATTGGACCTTCATGATATGTGCCCGCTTAAAGTCCCAAGGTCTCTCGGTCTTCTCACAAGGAAAACAACCCAATTGAGGGGCTGGGACGAGAACCTTGTTGAATGTGCGGGACGCTGCCATTCCTCACAGCACCGTTGCTGGCCATCGCCGAAACACAGATCAGATCGGCGTCTATACTCTCAGTAACTAAAACCCTCAGCCACTTCAACCAGGACCAACCACCACCCTTGCTGCAGCAGCCGAAGGGCTGCCCTCCACGGCACCCTCAGTGCCTGATGGCAACTTGTTGCCTTCCTTCGTGCACGTTCGATTCTACCCCGAATAATGCGTTTCTGGTCCCCGAGCAGAATGCAAACACGCAGTCGGCGCAGAGGAGACCTCAAGAGGAAGGATTGTAGTGGCCTGAAAATGCCATCATGGCATGCGACCGGGGAATTAGCTCAGATGGTAGAGCGCTCGCTTTGCATGCGAGAGGTAGGGGGATCGATACCCTCATTCTCCATTACACCTTTTTGATTTTTAGTCTTCTTTTATTGCAGGATCTGCTGGATATAATTGCAATTATTGTGACGCTTGATATCAATATTAACATCTTTTGGGCATAGACATCGAACTGGGATCTTTCCTTTTGCTGCTGTGTGATTCTCAAATTGGTCCCAAAGGACGGGGTCTTATCAAGCCCGCAGGAGTGCAATCTGTCACAGTAGCAGTCCACAGAAGTTTCAAGTTTCCCTTTGTGCTATCGCAAATTTCTCACTACATAGTATACATTAAGTTGGTGTATTTTGAGAAGCTGTGCATGCTGTTTGGACACGCAAGCATAGGAGCGCGATCCTTCGTGAGCATATGTAATACACCTCAATCGAGGATCAGCAGCTTTTCAGTATTGCTGCACGCGCAAAGGATGGCGCAGAGATCCATCACTGCTTTCTTCCATTCAAATGGGCAGTCCAAAGAGAAACGTCACCTTGGACAAGCTGCATCGGAGTCTGGACCCGAGAAACGGTCAAAGGTGCGAATGTATTATACTGAAAAATCTAGTTATGCGCGTAGCTCATGATTGCAGACCCATCTAGTCCTGCACAGTGTGCTTAGATGCCACTACACCCCAGGGCATCGGCTTCTTGGGGGTTCATTCAAGCTCCCTGACCTTCCGGAATGCATTTGTGGTGCAGGTGTCTCCTGAAACCAGCCAGGCGGTGGTACAAATCCATGAAGAGCCGGAGAGGCCCATTGCGCCTGAAAGGGAGCACAAGCTAGAGCAGAGCAATGAAGAAGTCAAGTCATTATCTACAGAAGAATTAAGATCGCAGGCTACGAGGTGCTGCAAATGTGCACCTGATCCCCCCAATTTGCTCGGCAGCTAGCGATTGCTGTGTGCATGCATGCACAAGGCTGAAGTACGCGTTGGACGAATAGATATTTGTCTGCAGGGTCACAGAAATTGTAAAATTGCGAGTCGGCCAAGCGGTTGCACAAGGCGTGCCTCCACTTCTCAACGATCTACTTGTTGATGACAGCTGGCGAGGTGCCTTGGCGGCTGAATTCAAGAAGCCTTACATGACGCAGCTTGCAACCTTCCTCTCTGCAGAATGGAAATCCCAAACGATCTATCCGCCTCAACCGATGGTATTCAGGTGAGTGTCCCAGTAAATGAACCTGTCCAGTTGTTTCACGCATCTGTTTGTAAGAGACCTCATTTTCAGCAAGCAATTTGGCCCCGGCTGGCGGGGGGCGGTACAAATACTGAGCACCGTGCCCACGGTTGATTGGGTCTTGCTTGGATCTGGCGAGTCCAACAAGGGGTAGGAATTTGGCAGCCTTTACATGCAGCTTGTCTGCAGACGCACCTTGCCTTTGGCAGGAAAAGCGTGTAATATTAATAATATTATTAATGATAATAATATAGTAATTAATGTTGTCATGCAGGGCTTTCAACACATGCCCCATCGATCAAGTCCGGGTGGTCATCATCGGCCAAGATCCTTACCACAACACTGAGCAAGCCGTTGGATTGAGCTTCTCTGTGCCACCCGGCAAGGCCGTCCCATCGAGCCTGCAGAACATCTACAAGGAGCTGCACAATGACTGCGGATGCAAAATCCCCAAACATGGCAACCTGGAGAAGGTGGGACTGGAAGCACCTGGAAGTACAGTTCAGATCCACTTTCTGAAGGGAAGAGTGTCCTCTCATTCTACTCCTTTTCAGAATGGGTACAGCGTGTCCGCTGATTGTGGCATGTTGTGGTTTGCAGTGGTCATACCAGGGGGTCTTGCTACTCAATGCAGTCTTGACAGTGCGCGCTCACACCCCGGCATCACACTCCAAGAAGGGCTGGGAAACGCTGACGGATGCTGCCATATCAGCACTCAGCGCCAGGCGTAAGGGGCTGGTGTTTCTGATGTGGGGGAAATTTGCACAGCAGAAGGAGCTGCTCATAGACACCAAGAAGCACCATGTGCTCAAAGCTGCGCACCCTTCAGGCTTCTCTGCAAACAAGGTGGATGATGCGCGCCACTCTGACATTGCACGATCCTTGCACGAGTTTTGGGAAGCTGACAAGAAGCCTGAGGGAGCTGCATCGATGTGCCGCAGGGTTTCTTTGGATGTAGACACTTCTCAAAGGCCAACGCCTTGCTGGAGAAGGAAGGGCTGCCTCCCATCGACTGGGAGATTGACGCATGACTGCGCAGTTTGACTGCAACCAGTGTTGGATGAGATTCATTATTATTCTTTTTATGCTTCTTAGTTATAGACGAACTGGTCAGAAGACAATTGACACAGAATTCAATGCAAGATCTAACTTGATGAAATTCAGAGATTAGTAGAAATACTTGTTACAGAACAGCAACCCCGACATAGTGTTGCAACTCAGTAATGTTGTCAGCGCAGAGAGCTTTCATTGCTCAGCGCTGCGCTGTCTTCTGCACGAGCCCAATGCTGGCAGGTATAAAGAGCATATGTCTGAAGGCTCCACGCGGCAAGTGATATCCATTTTGTTCACATTGCATTCATGCAGATCGGACGCCACGCCCTGTGATTCTTCCTTCCCCACATGGTATTTGCGACAGCTGTGCACAGCAATCAAACTAGATCCCTTTCTCTCTTTTGACCCCTTCCATCGTCGCGGTGACGCTTCGACCTGGCCCCAACATCACAAAATACAGTGAATCAGCAAACATGATCACAAATCCAAGCATGCACTTTTCATCTTGAGCGTGTCTCCAGAGAGGACCTTGCTTCTGGCACCGTGCAAAATCCCTGAGCGCCATTCTGCACCTGTCATCACGATCACGGTGGCGGTCCTTGTCATCGTGGTCGCGCTTCCTCTCGCCGTCCTCGCGCTTCTCCGGATCCTTGCGCCTGGAGCTCCTGTGCTCCCCCTCCTCTCTCTCCTCCTTCACCTGCACTCACACTTGTATTGAGCAGGCCCCAGCACACCAGTGCCACACATGACTGTATAACAGTTCCACATCAAACTCTGTTCTTTCTATGTACTCTAATCTGCGCCTACCAACCGACAGCGATATTTCCTGGCGGGTATCTGCATTGTACTGATGGTGACGTGCCTCAGAGTAGAGAAGTGAGAGACAGACCTTGTCATGCCTGCGGTCGCCGCCGTTCTCATCTCGGCGCTCGCGCTTTCTGTCGTGGTCCCTTTCGCGCTCGCCCTCCTCCCTCTCACGCTTCCTGTCCCTGTCCCGGCCCTCGCGCTCCTTCTCTGGCCTGCACCCAACAGCAGCAAGCTGCGCTCAGCCACATCGCTCCTCAAGAGGTGCATGCCCATCTCATCACCTCATAATCCATCTTAGAGCACATGAAAAATTGCTGCTATGACGAGAGCCCACACTGCCTTGCTAATCAAGCATGCATGATGCCACATGATAAGCCGCCGGTCAGAGACTTTGTCAAAGGTGACCAGAGCACAGGGGTGACTCACCTGGCATCCCTGGTGCGGTCTCTCTCGCGCTCTTTCTCGCGCGGCGTGCCCACCACATCGCGCTCGCGTTCGCGATCGCGCTCTCTGCTCCTCTCCGGGCCGCGCTCCTTTGCGCGTTCCCTCTCCCTATCCTTCTCCTTCTCCCGCTCCTTTTCTCGCTCCTTCTCGCGCTCGCGGTCCCGCTCCCTGTTGCAATTTTGAGAACCACCAGGTCACACACAGATATCTTGCTGGCCATGACAGCAACCACGGCCAGCAGTTCAAAAGGTGTCACCACCACCAGGGCAAAAATCAATATCTTGCTGGCCATGATGGCATTAAGGGCCAGCCGTGCCACAAGAGGTCAAAAGCGCGGTTGCAGGTGATAGTGCACTTGTTGGGTACACAGCAGGCAACAAGCAGTCGCAGCATCAGTTCCATTGAATGTCATGCTGCTGCTCTTCAAAGAGTCACCTGTCGCGGTCTCTGTCGGCGGAAGGTGGCGGCGGCAGCGCAGCGATGCTGGGCAATGCGGCGGGGAGCCCCCTCTTTGAGGGGTCCTTGGGTGCCTTGGGCTCCCGGCTCTCCCCACCCTTGCCACCACCCAGCCTCCGGGGCCGCCTGTGCACACACGCCAGCAGATCAGCATCACTTTCCAGTGTCCATGCCAAACAAGACTCACAGAAACAAGACTCAGCTAAGCTCTAACGAAGCAAGACTTGGGCCTTTGGGCTGAAGAAAGGAAGGGCATTGTCTATTGTCTGCACAAAAGGACACCCACCAGTTGGGTACAGTTCGGCCCCTCTCCACATCCACCACAACCCGCCGGCCCTCAATTTTGCGGCCGTCAGCCATCTTGTACGCTGTCTTCATATCGTTTTTGTGCTCAAACTCTACGAATGCATAGCCACGCGGCTTCCCTGCACCACAATAAGTGCATTCAGGTCGGGTAATGCACTGCACAAAACATGGAAGTACAGTTCAAATTGGCATAAAAAGATTATGTCAAGGGGTGGGGAATATTAGGTACCTGAGTCCTTCTGTGTGACCAAGCGCACGCGCTTGACTGGGCCGTACTCCTCAAACTCCCGTTTCAACTTCTTCTCTGTTGCATCATAGCTGACTCGTGCCACAAAGAGAGTTTTGAAAGGGTCCCCCTGCAAACATAGATGTATGTGAGAGCTGCTAAAACAACTCCTTCTGGCAGCCTTGTGCTTCCCAATGCGGGAATTATGCAACATGCAAGGCCAGTACGCACCTCCGCCAAAGGGTCCTTTGCTGGGTCCCAGATCTTCAGGCCCTCCTCTATGCTCTCCTTTGCTCCTGCTATCTTCTGAGTCGACACTCTGGTCTTCCTGCACGCACATCACACATGCACGTGACGCACTGACCGCACTGACCGCACTGACTGTGGTCACATGGACAGCGGCTCAAGAGCCCACGAATACAAAGAGGCCACCCCTACATGACCCTGTTGCATGATCAGGTCCTTCCGTCTATGTGGGGCCGGCTCATGCAACAGTGAGCTCCGAGGCTCACTTCTCTGCCTTTGTTTCATAGTCCACTCTGGCCTGTGCTGTCATCTCCGGGTTGCGGAACCGGCGCGGCGACGGCGGCCGGGGCACCTCCGGCGGCGGCTCATACTCTTCGTCCCCGGGCTCCGCAAAGAGGGCCACATGCTGAGCGATGCCAAGGTAGGGCAGCTTTGGCGGGCGCTTGGGGATGTCAGTGAGGCGGGCGGGGGGCGGCAGTGGCTCAAAGAGCTCCAGCAGCTTCTTGGGCAGGCCTGTTTTGTGCCCGGAAATCCCCTCCTTGAGCTTGCGCTCCGCCTCCAGCTTGTTCGCCAGCGCCGGATTCCTGCACAGCCCGGAGACAATGGGAGGGTCAGAAAGCTGGTTGGAGTGCCTACCTTGCACAATGTTCCTGCGCGGCACCCTTGTGCTGACGCCGCTTTGGAGTCCATCTCCTCTTGGAAATGTTACCCTGCTGCGAAGGGGAGATTGGGAGGGGAAGGTTGGATAGGAGGGGTATATGAAACACCGTCATCCGACAAAATGTCAGCCTTGTGGGTCATAGCGGCCCCTGTCCTGCCCCAACCTGTCTGTCGCTTGGTGCTCCCGCTTGCACACCTGTATGGCAGGCTTACCTAGCATACCTACCCTATATGGTCAAAGACAGCGTGATGGGCGCGCGCCTTCACACGCTCCAAAGAATGAAGCACGGACCCTTACAAGGGACCTGCAACGCGCAACTGTGCTCAGTCAGAAGTCAGGGGTATCTATTTGTCGCAGGTAGTTGCGTTGCCTGTCTCTCTGGTCCAACCAGGCTTCTATAGAAAACGTCCTCTCTGACACACCACAGGGTTCCGACTAAAAACTTCAGCAAATTCCACTTTCGCCAAGATCACATTCCTTTCCTCCTTGTCTAACTGCGACCTGCTGGATAGTCATCAAGCTTTATGCAGTCCTCAGTAAGTGCTGCATTTCAGTACGAAGCTCATATTGCTGATCTTCCTTAGAAAAATGGGATCACAGTGGCTGAAAACGGTGCTGCATTCAAGATCAGCAACACCTTCTGGACGAAGAACAACCAGATCACGCCGTTCCAGGTCCCATTCCCCATCATGAAAAGATTTTTATAATATTCTCGGTATTGATGAGAAGGAAAGGAACGCACAAAGGAGGTTTGCTCATGACTGCCTGACCCTCACGTTGGTGAGCCGCCTAGGAAGGGACGTCCTCCACGTGAGGTGTACGCTGTTGGAGCCTCCAGATGCGTCCTTTCTTCGATCCTTGGTTGAGATGTCCCGAAAATTTGATCCTTCCCTCTGTGAGACACAAAACACGAGGAACTCGAAATCTCATGCACCAGGCAGGTCATGATCACACAAGGGACTGCAGCCAATTTTCCTACTTTTTCTGGTGGGCAAAAGGGGAGTATATATTCGATCAGTGAAATTCGATCACCTTCAGAACGATTGTGAAGGCATCGTGCCGACTTATCTGATCCCTCATTGAAGAATTTGATGGCGCATGCAAGATTGCCAGCCCTCCTTCAGTGCAGAAGCCTGTTGCAATCCCTGGGTGGTGTAGGTGGTCTCCAAGGTATTTTTGAGCAATGCACACGTGCACTTCCAATAGCCTGCAGGATAGAAGCCCAAGATGGGACTGGCTGCTCTCTTATGACACGCCTTGTGAACAGCATGTCCACCAGTGCATCGGTCCACGGCCTTACACCTGTAGAACAGCCATCGACATCCGCGCCAAAGCCCAACAGGATGGACTCAGAGGGCAGCAGGAGTGATCAGCTGAGAAGAGCCAGTGCACAGCAAGCCAGCACAAGCAGTAGGAGCCACGGCAGTTCACACAGACCTGAAGCATCGCGAAAGCCTAGATTTCCCTTTGATGGCAAGCGCAAGCCCCCATCGCTTCGCCCAAGCGCCGGAGGCCCTGCACCTGAGGTGGCAGCAAAGCAGGACTGGCCCCAACAGGTCACTAGGGTTGGCAAGGTTGCTGGCCGCTTTGAGGTGCCCCGCAAGCCTGTCTTTGCCGTGGTGGAGCTTGGGCCCACTCAATTCAAGGTGCGGCTGTGCTGGGGGCTCTTGCTGCACTTCTGGGTGCCCGAGATCATCAATTTCTGCTTGCAGTATATGCAGACTGATCATGGGCATAATGCAGGTCTCCCCTGGTGATGTTGTGGTGTCAGAGAAGATACGCGGCGTGGATGTGAACGACAAAGTCAAGCTATCCCGGGTTCTGATGCTGGGTTCGCGCTATGAGACCATCATTGGCCGCCCAATTGTTCCCTCAGCCAGCATCACTGCCGTTGTTGAGGTACAGCTCATGCTCATGTCCAGCGCAAGAGAAGCGTACTATCTATCTGAAAGATAGTCTCTGTGCCTTCTGCTGTACTGACCTGCTTGGACTGGGTCTGCAGGAGCAATTCCAGGATGCCAAGGTCCTCATCTTCAAGAAAAGGCGGAGGAAGAACTCTAGGCGGCTGAAAGGCCACCGGCAGGTGAGTGATACATGAGGCCATTGCATGTTCACGTGATCTGGGCTACATTCAGCACTCTGCAGAATTGGTGTTTGAGCGAGCCAACTGCGCAGCGCATGTCTTCACGTGTTGTGCTCTGGAATGCAGGATCTGACAACGCTGAGGATAGTGGACATTCATGGCATTGATGAGCATCCTCAGGACGACAGCACATCAGGTCAGGTTGCAGCAGACATGAAGGAGGAGGCTGCCTGATATCATCCATATTCAACTTTTTCAAAAATGATTTGGAAATTGACTGGGCAGAGCATGCTTGCATCGCCTATTAAGTTATCAAAACCTTCGAATTAGAGGGATTCAGAGGGAGAGCATAGATACATCGCGTGCATAAATGAGCTATGAACTTGAGTACTTGTATATTTTACAATGTACCACATGGTGTTATCCAGTCTTTCATCCCTTCATTGCAGGCCGCATATCATTAGTTCAACTTCCTTTGCCACTCATCAGGAATGGCACTTGTGCTTTTTCCCTGCGCTTACAACTATGCGCCGCACTTGATTTTGAGCTGCATAGTGTCATCGTGGATTGCACACGTCAGATCAATTAGGAGTCGAATCAGATCAAATATTCAAACGTTAAGGTTCAACTCTGCAATTTCTGCAACAAGTATAGTCTACGTAAAACCTCCGGCAGTGCCCTAAGCAGTACTCGTGATAACGATGATCACAAATTCACTACCATTGGCACCTGCTAGGCTATAGCTACCTCGTACTCCTTCCAAAAACGCCAGGCGGACTGTGAACCTCCCTCTCATTGCTTTGGAGAGGCAGGTGCAATACAAATGCTTTCGTAACATCCTCTGCATGTCTCAGTAACCATAGTTGTATCCCCATCGGTAATGGAATTTGGCCAGGAGGATGATGAGCAATACTGTGAAGCACACGGCCGCAGCAGAATTCACAAGCCAGCCCAGCTTCTCCCTGGCACGCACACCAGGTCCTAGTCAGTATGAAGTGGCTGAAACGAGAGCATGCAGAGCTACGGTAGTCAAATACAGGGATTGCTGCACTGAGTGCGGTGCACTCCTCGTCTATTAAAATGGAAACACCCAAGTACAGCTCATAGAGTGTTCACTCTTCCAAGACAAACAGGAGCCAGGTGAAGCCCTACCTGGGATCTATGCGGCGGACACACAACGGCAAGAAGGCTCCAGCATACCAAAGAACCGGGAAGAACCAACCAAACAGGAACCTGTGCAGCACATAGAAACAGCAACCCGCTCAGCACTGGCTGTGTGATCACAAGGTTCTTCTGTAACCTTCACACTTTATTGATTGAAACCAAGAAGATTTTGAAGTATTCGCTCAAAATGGACTTCAAATTCAAAAAGTGGTTTGAGACTTACAGAATGAGCTGGTAGCCGCACAAGCACGGAAGAGGCTCCTGGGGCCTGACTTCGTGGACCTCAAATGATGTTGGCTCGGGTGTTGGATAAGGATAGGTGGGAGCGTTCCCTTGTGCGCTGTAAGCCCCATATCCTATTGGCCTGTTATCTTGTGGGTGTTGCTGGTTGTAGGCATAGTACGCCCCCACAGGAACACCCCTCACCACTTCAGTCGGTTTTTCTTGCGATTGGCCGGCCTCAGGGACAGTGGGTGCGGATGATGAAGCCATGAAGCTGTTCTCTGAATCCGGTCTCACGCGCTGCTGGGCTTGCAATATCGGACTTCTGCAGGGTTGCCTTGCCAGAACACGTTTAAGGATAATTTGAAAATTTACACGTTTCGGAGCAAAACCTGCGTCTGAAAAATGCGTTTCCGAGACGACTTGCGATGAAACTTCTCGTGCTGAATCATCATCAATTAGTCATCAGCTTTACCTTGGAGTTGAGAGATAGGAGGGTAAGGCTTTGTTCGTTTTAAAGGAAAGCAAATCAAGAAGGAAAAGAGTTGGTGTGATATTGTGACTGCCGACTGACCTAGATCAGATCTCTGAAAGAACGAGTTGCTTTGCATTGATCTGCAGTTATATCAGTGTTCTGGATATTAAAAAATGTGTGGTTGAGCCTCCTTTCACCTGAATTGTCAGCTATACAAAATCGTTGCAGTACCTGTATGATCTGCTATTTTTCCTCATGACTTCCGTAGCCAGCATCGGAGCTCAAAGGCTGAATAGCAGCCTAGATCCCACCCTAGTGTGCAAGCGAATGTCACCTGGATAACATTGAATTATCTCATCGTGCTGACTCCAGCTGTTCTCAGCAGCAGCACCCTCATCACAGTTTGTGGAGGCATATTCGTGGCCGTGGGACAGAATGATTGCAGCTTATTGTCTGCTGTGCTCGACTGCGTTTGCCACACTTGGCATTGCGATGGGTGAAAGCCAGAGCACTGCTGCTCCTGAAGCGGCAGCTCAGCATGCAGAGCCAACGGATGCTATAGGATTCGTGGTGGTCACCATGGTCATCGGTGTCTTCACCCTGCATCTGCTTTCCTTCACTAAGATTCCCTACACTGCTATGCTCATGGTGAGTGCTCTTGTGTATCCTTAGTTCGACTTGTCTCCTCATTATCGCCAACAATGACCCAGTTGCACGAGTACTAGGGTTGCTCATGTTTTGTGACATGATGAATGCAGGTGTGGGGAGTTATCCTCGGTGTAGGGAACCAGTCCTTCTCACAAAACTGGACGCTTATTGGGAACGGTGTCCGTCTCTGGGAGGTACGAGCAGCAGCAGCTTTGATTTGCACGAAAGTGGGCTCCCCTTCGTGTGGCCGAGAACTGAGTTCTTTCCTGATGCTTCCGCAGTCAATTGACCCCACACTCCTGCTGACCGCTTTTCTTCCAATCCTCCTGTTTGCTGGTGCTTTTGCGTTGGAGTGGCACACTGTCCGGCGGCTTGTGTGGTCCTCTCTCCTTCTGGCAGGCATCACACTTCCCTTTGCTTGGGCATATTTTCCTTCATCAATGCTGGCATGGCTGCAAGCATTGTACAGCCAGCTAATTTGTTATTTGGCTGCCTTCCAGGACCGGGTGTTCTTGTGGGGACAGCAATAACAGCAGTCCTGGTGAAGGTCACATTCCCATATGACTGGAGCTGGATTGAGTGCCTGCTGTTTGGAGCAATGTTCAGTGCCACAGATCCTGTCGCAGTGGTCGCAGTCCTCAAGGAGGTGAGCAATGCTCACTTACACCTCAACACCTGACTAGTTACAACAGCATCTTCTGGCAAAGTGTGTGATCTGGACTCTGTGCTTTCATATTGTGCAGGCCGGTCTGTCCAAGCGATTGCGGACTCTTGTTGATTCTGAAGCCCTCCTCAACGATGGCACAGCCTTCACACTCTTCCTTCTCTTGAAGGGCTTTGCTGAAGGGCAACAGCTTTCTGTGGGGGACACTGTCAGGCACGTGGCTGATTCCAATGCTACAGCTTTGCAGCTTGCAACCAGGACATTGATATGCTTTCTTGCATCCTGCTGCTTTCATGAAAATTCGGGATCCTGTGCAGAGAGTTTGTCCAGCTGGCGGTGGGTGGGCCCTTGGCTGGCCTGGCTTTTGGCATTGCAACGACCTTCTGGCTGCGATACATGTACAACTCTCCCATGGCGGAGATCACTCTCACCATCGTGTCCGCATACAGCACGTACATCGTTGCCGATGAGCTGATGCATGTGTCAGCAGTGCTTGCCGTCGTCATACTGGGTGAGTGACAGACGAGCTGCGTCAGCACCCAAGACCATGGACATTCCTGAGAATGTTAACTGTGCTGCCTTTCACGTATCTCAAGTACAAGACTGCTGCCTAAAAAAATATTTTTTTGCAGGCATCTACATGTCCGCAAAGGGTGTCATGGCCATCAGCCGCAAGGTGGAGCACCCACTGCACATCATTTGGTGAGAGTCTTTCCAGACTTTGCCTGGCTCTGATTTGACTGGCCGCATGTACAAGACTTTGGTGATGAAGAGGATAGCATCCTTGCAGGGAGGAGCTGGAGTTTCTGGCAAACACCCTTATCTTCGTGCTGTCTGGTGTGATCATCACTGGAAAGATCTGGGAGAGTTCCTCCACAAAGGTGGATGACATTCGGCCTGCAGACTATGGCTATGCTGTGCTCCTCTGGGTGTACCTGGTGGTAAGGCATCTGTCCCATGCACTGATGTTCCTACACATGAGAAGAGTGCACGATGATTCCTTTCACCGGTGCACTCTTTTAAGTCTTGCCTGATGTGATGTTGCTGCTGTGCAGCTCATCCGTGGCCTTCTCTTCATTATCTTCTGGCCTTTTCTGAAGCGGTCAGGCTATGGAATGACCGTCAAGGAGGCAGCGGTGCTCTCATGGTGAGCATCCCTCAACACGTATTCAGACCTTGAATGACAATAGCATGCCTCTTATGGTGAAGCATGATATCAATCCTGCCACCGTGCATGGGTACAGGTCGGGGCTGCGCGGGGCTGTGGGGCTGTCGCTGTCCCTCTTTGTCCTGCTGGATCAGAAGATTTCAGACGATCGCTTCCGCACGCTGGCTTTCTTCCACATGGGCGTTGTCGCCTTCCTGACCACCCTCATCCAGGGTACCACAATGAAGCCGCTCCTACAGGTTTGCTGTGTTCCATGCTAGACTCTTGCAGATGTTGCTCGATTGGATGTCTTTGCTTTCATGTTCTTTGCATGCATGTCAGGTGGAAGAGGACAGTGGAGTTGTGTCTCTAGCAAAATGCATGCAACTCTCTAAGGTGCATGCATGTGAACCCTGCAGTTCATGGGCCTTGTGAAGCCGAGCACGGTGAAGAGGGGCTTCCTAAGGCGCCTGCTGCGCGAAGTGGAGGAGCATGGCGACAAGAAACTAGACTACGCTGGCCATGATCGCCTTCTGGGGGACCCAGACTACCATCTTCTCAGACAGCTCACGACGCTGGATGTAGGCCAGATGCTCAAGCGCTATGTGTCAAAGCTCCATGTGCACGGGAGCCATGACCAAGTTGGTCTGTCCCTGCCTCTCTTCTGTACCCCAATTGTCTAATTGTCGCGCGATAGCATGCATGTTTGTGTCAATACTCTTGTCTACCTCGGCTTGAAAAATGACTAATCTGAATGTCAGCTTGTTAAGGTGTGATCCTTCTGTGTGTGCTGACGTTTCCAGAGGCCAAGCTGCATGCACTTGCCTTGAGGATGAATCGGAATGGGCTGCTAGCTGAGAAGAGATCGCGCCTGTTGCTGGCCATTCGGCAGACTTACAATGACTTCTTCCATGACTACTTCATCAGCAGCGACCAGGTCTTCAGGCTACGGGTGAGCCCTCTGGAAGTTCAGCTTGCCTTTGTTGACAGTGAAGGGTGTTAAGGGGCTAGCATTCCTTTCAGCATAAGTAGATACCCTGATGGTCTGCACTTTCTTCTGCAGGGCTCTGCTGACAAGGCCCTGGATAACATCAACAAACCGCTGTGTGACTGGGCAGCACTGAAACCCTCCACAAGCATTAGCTTCTGGGTCAGATACATTCAGAGGTAGATCCATCTCGCTGTGCTTTGTGTAAACTTCCACTGTGTTCGTGGCTTGTGGCTTCTTCTGCGGCCCTTCATGACTTTGTCAAGCCTTCTGAAGTCTATATTTGGCAGGTGGGCGTACCTACCGGTACTAGGCAATTCCATCCAGAATGCATTCTTTCGCAATCTGGAGGACATTGCTGTGCTGGCATTAGCGTTCTGCCATGCCCACGAGATTACACTTAAGGACCTGGCCACCTACGGAGTGTTACAGGCAAGACCATGCAGCATGTATGCGTACAATGTCTGTTCTGACGGGCCAAGGATGGCAGCTTGAAGATAAATGAGACATGCAAGCATGTCATGACGGAGTTTCTGTGCAACAGGATGATCAGGATGCAAATCGTGGCAGCGCAGCATTTCTGGGCCTAGATGAGGGGCTGGAGCAGCTCTTACTGGCCATGCAGAAGAACGTCACAAACCAGGTTCAGCAATGCCCGGCATGTGCTGAAAGAAATGAAAGCTCATTGTGCATCTTGCCTTCAGCGCTTCCATAATGTCAATTGTTTGGATCATCACATAGCGATGCCCAATGCCCTGTAGGTTGTTCTGGAGAGCCGCGCAGAGTGTGAGGAGGCTCAGAAGCTGATTGGGCTGATCAAGAGCTCCTACCCTGAAGTGCTGACCTCCATCAAGACCAAGCAGCTTGCCCAGGAGATCCTGCTCTACAAGGGGGAGCACATTGCTGATGTTGCCAGAACAGGTACTGCATTGCTGGCAAAGCTGGCATGCGTGCCTCTGCAAAGCCATGACACGACACATGGACGTCACATTGATGGCCTCACAAGACAATTTACCCCATTGTAAATTGGAATGAAATGCTTGTGTGTTTCTATTTGCATGCTGCTTCGCTGCATCAAGCGACTGATCAGTGTGGGCTGTGCAGGCCTTGTGGAGGACAATGAGGTGGAGAGCATGAATGACCTTGTGGAGCAGAAGCTGAAGAAGCTGCACTACTTCCCTCCGCAGTTCCACATCCACTCCCCGGACACCATGCTGGCTGCACACCCATTGCTGGCCGGCATCCCTGACAGAGACTTTGCAAAGCAGGTAACACGTCGGGCGCTGCTATTTTTGAAGTCTGACTCTGCGATACTGAGCATTATATGTAGCTATGAACTGCCGGCAGGAAGTAATCTCCCAAGTATGTTGCTGCCCCTAGCTGCTATAATGCAGCACCTGGCTAGCATCGTTCCATGAAGCCCATCTAGCGGTCAGGACTTGAAAAGGATGCGGTGATGCAGGTCCTGAGCCAGGCATATCTCCATGTTCACAATGAAGGGGAGACCCTAGGTGCAGAGAGTGACCGCGCGCTGCATGTCTTTGTGGTGCTGCGTGGCTGCGTACGCATCCATTACTTGGATGGGAACACTTACCTGGCAGGTGCGCCTTCAAGGGCCAGTTGTCCAGCATGATGTAGCACACCCCTGTGCTTCCAAAGTATCCCCAGTCATGTCAAAGAATCTGACATTGACTTGCAGAGCCTGGAGCTGTGCTGTGCGCTTGGCCTGTCCTCCCAAGCAAGGACAAGTTCCACAAGCTGGTGGCAACCACCATCGTGCAGATCTACTCCATCCCCTTCCCGGCTTTCAAGGTCAGCATACTTCTCCAATCTGTAATCCACCAAGGACATGACTGCTTACAGTAACCATGCAATCTGCAGATGTCCAGCTCACAATGGGCAAGCACTCTGCAGGAGCTGATGAGGCGCTACGAAGGTGTGAACAGCAATGCATGGCAGGCATGCGCTGCAACACTGGCGCTGACCAGCGGCGATCCCACCTTCAAAGAACTCTCCTTCAACGAGCTGCAGACGTTGTTCAGGTTTGGCACTCGGTAGATCTTACAAATCTGTCATCATGCCACTCCTGACCCTGTTTCATAGCCGGCCAGCACGAGGAATAATTTTAACTCTCCTTTGTGTTGCCTTCATGCAGGCTCTCAAAGCTGTCGTCCGTGAGGAGCGTTGACTATCTGCGCGTGGCTGGCTCGGCATTTCTTGTGACCGGCACAATCCACTACACCGGCCATGACAGGGAACTGTCCAGGGTGTACGAAGGCCCCTGCATGCTGCCGGCCACCCCTGCCCTCTACTGGTGCACCACAGATGTCAAGGTGAGCACTTGCAGTCCTATCTGATTGATTTTGGCTCGATCATAGCCAGCAAACTATTCGTAAAGAAGAACCCTTCGCAATATGTTCGATGCATGCTGTACATGAAATGGAGTGGGTAGGATCTTAGTGAGTCATTGAGACAATATAATTACATCATGCTGTTATGCAGGTGCTGGAGCTGCCTCCCATATTTGATCTGAGCAGGAAGGAGCAGATGACGGGCAGCAAGACAGCGCGCCTGGCAGGCAAGCAGCCGCAGCTGATGCCTGCCTGGTTTGGCAACTCCAGTGGTCCGAATGCCCGCCTCCAGCGCACCTCTGTGGGCGGCGTCCGCTTTGCTTGGCGCACAGCTGCGCTGTTCAGCAACAGCGAAGCCTTCCAATTCCTCTCCAGGTACATATCTTGACAGGCATGTTGAAGACTATTCATACATCACTGCTTGACGTATAGTGCAATGTCTATGCAAAGATATGCAGAACCTCAACTGAAGTAGTCAAGCAAAATGGGCATTTCTTAGGCCATGCGAGACAGTGAAGACCGTTTGTTTGCTTTTGGGCCGTGCAGGCGCTCTGCTCCAGCAGATGTGAATCGCGAGGCAGGAGACACTGAGGATGTCAAGGCGCAGAGCAGCAGCAACAGCAGCAGTGGTGCACAGGAGGACCAGGCCAGTGCAGTTCCCTCCACTCCCACGGAGACTGTGTCAGGCAGTGCATCCGGCAAGCATGCGAGCCTGGCCCATGCCCTGTCCCAGGTGATCACAGTCAATGGCACAGTCCCTCATGCTGTGTTCTGGAGAATTCCAAGCTTGCACACCAAAGGGAGTCCGTATAAGGGAGGCACAAAATCTCTTGTGTATTAACTGCCGGTGTGTTGCGCAGGCGATCGCCAATGGAAGTCCTGATGCATCGCTCCAAGGTGCCAACCCACGTGCCAGGTGGGGCCCACACTCATCTGCTGCATCTGTGCACTATGGCTGGCTGCCAAATACTGCCAGATTCATGCCAGATTCATGCAGTGCTGAGGATGGGAATTCGTGGTCCCAGGTGGAGCCACAGCCACACTCTGACAGGCGCAAGCGGCCCCCAGCTGCTGCGCGAGTGGACTGAGAAGCTGGCGGATGCGCGAGGCATGCAGGGGCAGTGCAGGGCAGTTAGCCCACTGGGTGACAGCGCCGGGGGCGCACAAACTGCAAGGTCCATGGACCTGGACAGCATTGGCGGGTGCTGCACTGTCACATCACCTGACCCATATCATGCGCTTTTAAGTGGTACGATAAGTGGAACACTCGTAATTTTGCGCAGTGTTGTGAGCAGTGTCTGATGCACAGGGACCGCTGGAAGCCTGCAGCTTCTGTGGAGCGCAATGTGCAGATGAGCCCAGTCGCAAGGACAGCCAGCATCACTGGGAGTGGCGGATCCATGCCCTCGCCTCAGCTGCCCAGGTGCTTGATTGCATGCCCTGACAACTCATCCGCCTGTAAGCAAACAGTGTAAAATAGCTTTGTGTTCCTTGTTTAAGAAGCCGTGCAACCTTCTGAAGAAAGGCAGCATCTAATTTATGGGCCTGTTGGTGCAGGACACCAGAGGGGCAGGGCTCTGCGTCGACGCCGCCTGTGCCGCAGCCGCCCCCGGAAGGAGCTCCGTGGCGAGCCGGCTTGTCCGCGCACTCACACTCCATTGCAACCAGCACGGTCTCGGGCCTGACAGGGGAGGCCCTGCTGAAGGAGTGGAAGGCGATGCAGCAGAGCGCGGCAGCCGGTGCTGCTTACTGGGATGCGCAGCCGGGGCAGCACCATCCCCGCAGCTTCACCGCAGCTGCATCGCCTCGGCGCAGCTACCTGCATGCCCGGCCTGATTCAGCTGATGGCCGCAGCAGCAGCAGCCTCAAGGGTGCTCTGCCCCGAAAGGAAGCTCAGGCAGCCGCAGAGCAGCCGCCCAGTGGAATTGGTGAGGGACAAGCGCTGGCGGGGGCGGCCGGGAACAGCGGCAGAGACACAGAGAGCAATGGGGTAGCGACTGCAATGGCAGGGGTGTCGGCCCAGCAGAAGGTGGTGCCGTCTGAGCGGCTGAGGCGCCCTTCGCTGGTCGACCTCTTTGCTGACCTGCCAGCCGCGCTGCCGCGCAAGAGGGAGTCACCTGCCAACGCCACATCGTCCGGCCGCTCTCAGGATGCCGGTGAGAAGCGCTTGCCACCTGTCCTTCCACTAATGTCATCAGGTGCAATAAGTACAGTGTTCCAAAAATTCCCACCTCAAATAGGGATGTCTCAGGCAGCTGGTCTACATGTGAAGGTTGGGGCACCTTCTAACAGCTCAGAACATGCAGGTCCATCCCAACCAAGCGGATCTGGTGGGGCCTCCAGTGGTGTCGACTCAGGTGGCAGCAAGGTCCTGGACATCATCGTGGAGAAGCCGTAGATATCTAGCAGCCAGACGGCATGGATCGATGCTACATTCTGATTGGCTCCAAGAAGCTCCCTTTTCAAATACGGAGGTTGTGGCTAGAGAACTACCCATCACATCTGCCTTGAAGCTGCAGTGAAATGCTGTGTCTCTCAAAGTTTCCGGATTTCCTGCTCTAAATATCCTGTGGAAAAAGGCATCCTTTTAGTGTGTGTGCTAGTCTGCCGCGGAGATTCTTTGCCTTTACAGATGCTCGCCAGATTCTTCTGCGCATAGGCATGCCATGAGGAGCACAAATTGGTACCGGCAGTCTGGATGGGGGCCAGCTACCTTCCTGCACTTAAGGCTAGTTTAAGTTCCTGATAGCATTAATAGAAGTAGCAGTAGTTTTTTTCTTTTGAAGTATCACTTGTGTTGCAATAAGGACTCAAAGTAGAGAGGCTCACCAAATTAAAAGCAAATGGTCAATTTTTCATATGAAACTCATGGCCATAAAATATCAGACCCGTAGCTGCGACAGTGCACGTAGCTTGCAGCAGTTTTGCCAAGTTACCGCATTGCATTGCATTACTAAGTCTTGCATTTCCAAGCCATTTTCAAGCCTTGCAAGCCACTGAGTGTGCCAGACAGCGAATTGGAGGTCTGGACCTCCATGGAAATGCATGATGCTGCATGCACATGAGCGAACGCACTCAGCCCTCTCAGGAACTGGTCAGCGTTGCATGCTGCATCCCACAACCACCATGATCATCAAACGTTCTTTGTATAGCTGTAGTGCTGTGTACCCGGACCACATGCGTGTGTGCGTAATTACAAACTTTTCAAGTTGTTGCAAATTTGGTAGCCGATTACCATGCCCCATACCTCGCATTTGCGAGTGCAGGCAACACACACCTCACTTGTCGGTCTTGCATGGTTTCAGTATTGAATGCAGCCAATGGGAGTTGCCCACTGCCCAGCAGAGTGTGCATGGGGTGGAAGGCCTGAATAGGCTAGGGCCATGGAATTTGGCTCTTGACGACTTTTGGGACATTCGCCTGTTCTCACCATTCCTCTTCCTTCCTGTGAGATAAAGTCACGAAGAACCTCCTTCTGATCACCTAGCACCAGCAAACGAGGCCAGTGAAGCTGTTATGCTGAGTGTAAGGATCAGCAGCAGGACAGCTTCTCTCCAATCCCCGAAGTCCCATTCTGGAGAGAATGCAAGCACCGGGAGCATAAGTGCCAAACTGCAGCCTGTGAGAAGGCTTAAAACCCCAAAACTCAGCATCACGTCGTGCATGCCCCCGCCATACTTCTCCCGAGCAAGCACCATGCGCGCCAGAGGTATCACTCCGCCCTTCCCTGATGTTTCACCACGAGTTTCCATATGTTCCCCTTTTATATGTCAACAAATGACCTCAGGTGGTGTCTAGGATTCTTGCCATTATCTTTAATTATCGTTTGTCGCGACTCATCATCTTGATGACCTGTTTTGATGGCGCGCAAATTCACTGTAACCTTGACCATTGTGCTTTGCTTGGCATTAACTATTGGATCCACTAAAATTTCCTGAGGTCTCAAGTCGCTGTCTCTGTGAAGCCCCTTGCTGAATGATATTCGCCACTGACATGCTTGGCTTGATGGGTGGACTCACAGGTGACCTTCGCAATGAGCTGGAGCCCAAGCGAGACTACTCGCAAGTGGCTTGCAGCGCAGCCAGTGCAGACCTGTCCGACCTGTCCGAGTCACCTCAGCCAGCATCCCTGACGCCTGTTCTGTGGGCTGTGAGCATTGCCAGCTTTGGAGCTCTGGCGTTTGGGTATCACCTGGGCGTCGTCAATGGTCCACTCAATGCCATCGCCGCCGATCTGGGCTTCGCAGGCAATGCCTCCCTGCAGGGCACGGTGAGCATGACTGTGCCTTTCTCGTCTTGTTTCACCTCTATATCACTGGTTGCCCTCACAAAATCTTCTAAGAGGTTCAAGAACCTGCTGACCCCCCACTCCATCAAATGCCCCTCTTATCTACACTGATATCTTGTAGGATCCGCGAAACACTGGTGAAGAGACGGCATGGTCGCTAGTGCTATAGGTCCTGCTTGACGTGCACAGCAGTCTGTGCCCTGGAAGATGTCATTCGTGAGCACAACTATCTATGAACTGTTGCATAGCACGCCTTGCATGGTTGACTGACTTATTCCACGCGTGCAGGTGGTGAGCAGCCTGCTGGCGGGTGCGGCAGTGGGCAGCCTGGGGGGCAGCGGCCTCGCGGACTCCCTGGGCCGCAAGGCCACGCTGCTGCTGACTTCCATCCCCCTGCTGGCCGGCGCCCTGCTGGCGGCCACCGCTGGCAGCCTGACCTCCATCGTCGCCGGCCGCGTCCTCTCCGGCGTCGGCATCGGGCTCGCCTCTGCCCTGGTGCCCCTGTACATCTCAGAGGTGGACATCCCCTCCTATTTTAAGCCCCTTACCTGCATCACCACTCACAACATGCATCTGTCCTGTGAGTTTGAACCATGTATGCTCTTATGTCTTGTCAGAGTTGGCGGGTGTGGGGCATGAATGTGGCTGGTTTTGGGTGCAGATTGCTCCCACCAAGGTGCGGGGATCGCTGGGCAGCATCAACCAGCTTGTCATCTGCATCGGGATTGTCGCAGCGCTGGTGGTCAACGTGGTCATCCCTGCCACCTCCTGGCGCACCATGTTCTACCTGGCCTCGATCCCGCCCATCCTCCTGGCAGTGGGTGGGTGGACCAGACTCCTGGGCTGACGTTGCAACATATTGGTGCAACCACAGAAATTGGAAGAAGCTGAGCCAAGGTCAAAGGGTATCACTGAGGCGTTTTGGATTTTTGCAGGCCTGACAGTGACGCCCGAGAGCCCAAGGTGGCTCTACTCCAAGGGCAGGACACAGGAGGCCGAGGCAGCCGCCGAGAAGCTGTGGGGCCCCAGCGGGCCGGGCGAGCTGACTGAAGGCAGCTCAAAGACAGGTGAGCCCCGCACTTCCCGTCACATGCCTCAAACATAACTCTTGCTTCTGAGCTGGTAGCTGTTCTGGACGCAAACATGTGCCTGCCTGGATCTGGGGCCCTTTCGATTGGCGATGAGCAGCTCTTTGTCGGGTGCAGATGTGGAGGGCGGCAGTTCAGCGCAGGAGCCGGTGAGCATGGGGGAGCTGCTGGGCAACAAGGGCGTGAGGATCGGCTGCGCCATCTTCCTCCTGCAGCAGTTCAGCGGCATCAACGCCATCGTCTACTTCTCCTCCTCTGTCTTCGCCCAGGTCCAGCTCACCAACTACTCCTTGCTGTCCTTTGATCTGGGGCTCTTGTGTGTATTATAAGACAACAGGTGTCCGCAAGCTGTGATGGAGGCAAGTCTTAACAGCATTAACATTGCCCATTGTGGTCTCATGACGGGAGAGGATGTGCGCGCAGGCCGGCATCACAAACGCGGCGCTGGCAAGCGCGGCAGTGCAGATGACCAATGTGCTGATGACGATGGTGGCGGCCTCGCTAATGGACCGCGCCGGCCGCAAGCAGCTGCTCACGCTGTCCTTCTCGGGCATGGGCCTTTCCATGCTCGCCATGGCCGCCGGCCTGGGAATCAAGCAGCTGTCCGGCCTGAGCAGCTCCGTTGCCATCGTGGGCACCGTCGCGTACGTCGTCAGCTTTGCTCTGGGCGCGGGGCCCGTTCCCGGCCTGCTCGTGCCTGAGATCACGCCCGCCCGCCTGAGGGGTGCGCTCACAATCCGACACAGCCCAAGCCAATTGCAAGTCTTCCATCACACATGTATCTGGACAGACCTGGTTCATACAGAGTGCCTGATCAGCCTGAATGGAGCCGTGCACGTCAGGTACCATTGTGCTGCCAAGCTGCAGTGATAGGGGTGCCGGCAGGAGCGGATGCATTCTGAATGTAACTTGAACACTGGCTGTGCATGTGCGTCAGGTAAGGCAGTCTCGCTGGCGCTGGCGACGCACTGGGTGTTCAACTATGCCATCGGCCAGCTGTTCCTGCCGGCCCTGGCAGCAGTGGGCGTTTCTGGCGTGTACCTCTTCTTCGCGTTCATCTGCGCTCTCACCGTTGTGTTCACAAACTCCCAGATTGTGGAGACCAAGGGACGGTCCCTGGATGAGATTGAGAAGCTGATGGCAAAGTGATTAGCATAATGATATGATGTCAGAGCAGTGTAAGCAAGCTTTCTTCCGGATACGTTCAGGGTTGTTTACAAGTCATGACCCAAAGAAATCAACACGTCCAGCAACCCCACCCTAAAGCCACCACCATGAGGCAAACACGATCATCAGCTGACTTACACACGCTGTTCCTTGAACTGCTGTTTATGCAGGAAACATTGACCTCTCACTATTGAGACACCATCCATTCTGACATCGAAGAGAATTCTTTCACAGTTGTTGGGGCTGCCTTTATACTCTGAAATTACGGCACGACTATACGTCAGCTCTACACAAGCATGAAAGACTTGCAGGCAGGATACAAAGCTACATGTCTGCTGTAGAAATTGCACACATAGCCGGCATTCATTCCCGGAACTTCATAGCCTTATGCCTTGATCTCCTGCAGTGCATACTTTGGGTACAGGAACTTTGGCTCCGCGGCGCCGTCAGCATAGTAGGCAAAGATCAGAGTGCCCTCCTGGTCCATTGACTCTCCAAGGAAGCTGCAAAAAACAAATAGTGTGAGGGACAAGAGCCGCAAGCTCAGACCCCCACAATGACTGAAATGAAACAAACAAAATTTACTGATGATTCAATGTGGAAGCAGAGACTCACAACTGCAGTTCCTTGATTTTGCCCATCAACATCTTGATTGCCGGTTGCGACTTGGCCTTGAAGTCCTCCTGCTGGTCTGCTGGAAGCTTCTCCAGGACCTTCTTCAGCCACTCCTGCAGAAGGGAGGAATGCATTCAGACGTGCTTGCCCTGATTTCTGCGCCATCAATTCTACAGCACTAATGTGAGGCGGTGACAACAGCAATCGCTGAGGGTAAATAGTTCATGTGCTACCGCAAAGAAACAGTACCTTGGCCCAGCCCAAAAACTGCTTCTTGTCATAGCTCGGTTGCTCCTGAGCGCACAACACCAAGCCTTTCAGTTGGACAGACAGCTGAACAGCACAACGATACAGTACTCAATCAATGCAGCATACAATCATCGTAAGGCCATTTGTGCATGTGCAGCAGGCCCTCTTCTTGCGCGAACGGGCTTCTCACGTTCAGTCTGAAGGCATCCACCACATCAACAACTTTACGTGACTGGGAATCAACGCCATCCTCTTCCTCCTCTGCAGATGGGTTGGCACCAATGTCCACGTCCACATCGCCAACAGTGACCCACTGCAGCAGGCTTGTACAAATCAGATCAACGTCGTGGCAGTGCAGCCCCTGTGGCTCCTTAGCCATAATTGCAGGTGGTGCTGATATGTATCAACGCCAGCGTCCAGGAGCTTCATTCAGTAGTTTTTGTGATTTAACGATATGCAAACACACAAAACATGTTTGATCAGGTGTTATACTCGACAATGATAGAAGAAGTGAGCCTATTTACCTTGCCATCCACCTCGTAAAAGAAGCCATCTTCAGACTCCTTCATGTTGTAACTGTCGGAGATGAGCTCATCACCTGCCCAGCAGAAGCTGTTAGTATGTGGCAGAGTGACGAATTGGAGGTCACAGAAGACGAGTTGAGACAAAAGCTCTGAGCACGTACCTGACAGGAGATCCTTGTAGATCAACATCTTGTCTGGCCTATCTGCAGATCGAGGAATCCAACAATTTTACTGGACGCTGGGTCCGCAGAGAAAGGCGATAGCTTTTGGGAATCTTTCGATGTTCTTCACTACAGGGTGTTGCGGCTGAAGGGCAGGCAGAATATAACTGGGTAATCTGAACCCTCAACCCGGGCAGGGTGGTTTTTGATCGCCTGAACTTCTCAACATCACGTTCTATTGTGGAAGCACGCCTGAACATCAGAATTACGGGTTAATTTACTTGTGTATTGGAGGCCCATGACGCCCTCATCACCAGCAGAGGCTTACACAGCCACGTACTCAACAGTCTCTAGTACCACCAGTGCTGCGACAAACAAGGATACCACAAGCTACAGGTATGCGTTTACCTCTCTGAAATTCGCTTCAAATAAAAGCCGTGCACTGGACCCCTGGCGAGGTGACAGTCTTACGCTGCGCTGCGTGGGAGTATCTAAGGGGTGTATAGATCAAGATGCAACGGAAGTCCAGTCCTGCGAGAAATTGCTCTTGTCACGTTACTGATCACTAGAATGTCAAATATGCTCCAGAATATGGTTATGAGCAAGCATGGATCTCACCGTGAAGCTTTGGTGCAGTTGCTGGTAGATCGCATCGCACACATATATGATTCTGACTGTGTAATTCTGCAGCATACCGGAGGCAAGAAGTCCTATGCAGACAGAAAAAAAGCCGCGCACCTCCAAGAAGCCAGCCTGGGATAATTCACCGGCAAGCAAGCTGAAGAAGAAAGGAGGGGCCTCTGCAAAACCAGCTGCAAAGAAGCCAGTTGCCACACCCCCCAGAGTTGGTGCATGCCAGACTGTCAAGTCATCAGGAAAACCTCACAGATCGCCTGCAAGCAGCCGTCCAACACCAGAATCAAACAGTCAGGATGCAGAGCTGCCTCCACACTCACAGAAGCAGACAAAGGAGAATATCAGAGAGAACGGATGGATTGACAGCAGCAGGTGATCTGCTCACCTAACCGCCTGCCTTGTATCTGTCTCTTCCCATGTCATGTCTTCGCCTTGCACTCCATCTTGCACTGGATATTCCTCCGTGCAGTGGTAGATAAGCTGCAGCATGTGCGTGACTGATTATTCTATGGGTGCAGCATCTCCAGGGAATCCAGCACCACCTCTCAGCGCCCATCATCGTCAGGTTCTGGCAAGGCTGTGACCCCAGCCGAGACCGCGGCCACGGCTCGCATGCAGAAGCTTGAGAAGGGCTGGGTGGAGCCCGAAATTTCTGCCACTGTCATGTCCAGCGACGGCGCTGAGGACAAGAAGGGGACCGAAGATTCGCAGGGCAGATTCCGGGTGCGCTCCAGCGCTGAGGTCTTCTACCGTGGCCTGGGTGGCGAGGCAGCAGACAAGCTGCCCAGGACACTTCCAGCCATCAACTGCAGGGCCGGAGACTTTGCAGCCACCGATGCAGGTCATCCCTGCACAGTCAAGGAAGCCAAGGGAAGGAAGACCGGCTGCGCTGGCTGCTCTGTCATGTAGCAGAATCTCACACCAGCCTTTCTCGCGCTCTGGTAAATGAGAGCGCGTTTACACTCAGCTGCTTTCATGCAGCTTTTCATGCTTGTAGCTGGAAAGGCAGATGACAGTATTGTAATGTGGACAATTAGTGTCTATGAGTAGATGTGACGTCTGCAGCATTGCAACCTCATGACGCAGCATCAGACTTTGATTCGGAACATCACAAGTGGCCAAGGATGCTTGATAGTCATGATGTACACAGGATGACACAAAGATTGTATATGGATGCATGATCCGATTTATGATTGGCACTTCCTTGTTTGCTGAAATGTTTGGATGTGTTTTCTCCAAGAGTCCATGCTGGCACTTTAAAGCTGCCATGGCAAATGCGTCTTCCGTGCATGCTGATCAGTCATGCCATGTCAATGGCAGCTACCGCTTCTTATATGCTACTGTCAGTCACTGAGTGTAAAATTGGGTTCAGGCTCAAAACGCCGAGTACTCACTCAGCGGCATGGCAAATTTCAGAAGTCCTGCCAAGGTTTCTACGACACAAGATTCATCTAAAGATCAATTTTATTCCAGATCATCGATTGCCTAGAATTGGAGACAGGGGTTGGCCCGGGACAAGGCACATGCCAGTGAACTGGAGGTTCCTCACTGACGATCAGAGCTCCATCTGCCGGTATTAAAACTTCTTCAGCTTGCATTCAACATTTGAATATCAAGCATCATTAGATTGACAAGTTCCTTGCTTGTCTGCCTTGCATGCATGCAAAATATTATTGGGACCCCTCAATTTGTAGGATTCAAGGAGGGGGATCCCCGAGGAAGAAGGCATGCAACCGGCAAGCGATCAAATTTTCCTTGGACGAGAGGTGTCTCTGATGTGTCCAGGCTCTCTACGCAGAAAGCTTGCCCAACTGTGCCTTCAATGCCATGATCTCAACAGCTGAGATTGCCGAGTTCCCTTGCACAGAACCGGAATGCTCTCTCCTGCGGCCAAAGAAACGTTTTTGTCCTGCAGCTTTCCATTCAGCCATAAGCCATTTGCATCGAGTCAATGACGTCCAGGACCGCGTCAGAGAGATCACTGGAACGACACAGGAAAAGCTGCACCTGCTGGCAGACTCTTCGCAGAAGACACTTGCAAAGACAGTGCTTGGAGGCGTTGGTAAGCGACATTCTGGTGCAGATCGTTCAGCTCCAATTCATTGAACTTCGGTGTGTCTATCATCCCAGTTTGCACAGCAATCAGCTCCCTGAGACAGGGTTGTGCTGCCTTGCAGAATGGAGCCTGAGCAAGGCCACCCAGGGCTGCAGTTTGAAAGAGCCAAGCTCAGGAGCCTTCTCTATTGACATGAGACATTCCAGAGCAGTTGTTGCACATGAGCTGGACGCATGTGAGGGGATGAGATGGTACGACTCGCTGGTGTTCTTGCAAGTCTAGCAAACTCCCCAGGCATAAATCTGAATCCCTGCAAAACCACAGCAAGACACTGTCTGCTGCTGCAGGAGACTCCGCTGTCATTTGGGCGGCCTTGAGGAGAACGAGCTGGAGGTGTTCATTGAGGTATGTGACTATACCAGATCCAAACTTGCAGGCATGCATGACTGCGTCCGTGAGCGCACAACAGCCTGAGCGGTGTGTGGTTGGTGCAGAGCCTTGATGCATGCAGCATGGAAGGGGACCAAGCAGTTCTGCTGGAATGCAGCATATCTGTCAGCCATGTCCAGGATGGCCGCCTTTACATCAGTCCAGGTGCAGTCCAGCACTCCGTGACATGCTCCACGCCGAGCAGTCTGGGTTAGTACTTGAGAGTCGGCAAACTCTCTTGCATGATATGCAATGCAGTGAGACCCTGTGCTTCTTGGGGTGCAGGCCATCGCCTGAGGGCCATTGTAACATCTTCGCAGCCAAGAGCAGGTGCACTCCTTTCTCATGAAGTCATGGCATGTTCGGAAGTCTCGCAGCAAGGGGACAACTCACTGACTGCGCATGCTATCTGACAGGTTCACTAACCATCATTATGGCGGGCGGCTTTTCCCAGGAGCACCATGCCAAAGCCTCTGTGCACCTGTCTGTCTCCAAAGTGCACAAGCTCACAACAACTCCGCTCGCCGGCATCCTGCTATCTGCCCACCCACATATAAGCCTTGTTTCCACATCTCCAAGGATGTTGATGATAAAGGACTTTCTGAGCCCCAGAGAGTGCCAGGTGCGAAGCTGTCAGTTTCAGATCCAAACCTTTGACAATAGCTTTCCAGTCTACAGAGCGACAGCTGCAATTACTAATAAAAATAGAAGCCATGACATACTGTGTGATATATGCTTGCAGGAGTTTATGGCAGTTGCTGAACCCCTGCTTCAGAACTCATTGGTAGCATGCGGTAAGTAGCTCTATTAGGATGCCAAGAGCGTTCAGCACTGTGGGCCCTAGCAAGAGCTGCAGTTACACCAATGCATTGTGATGCTTGCAGGATCGTGCGTCCCCAGCAGGACTTCCTCCAGCATGTTCCTGCAGGGCAGACATGAGCGAGAGCCTTGTGTCATTGAGTACGACCGCAAGGTGTGTCCCTTTTGAAGTGCTTTGTGCTCCTTCACCAAAGATCTAGGCAGACTGGACATACATCATAAGTGGTCCAATCTGCAGGTGATGGACCTCCTCCAAATGCCTGCTGTTGAAGGAGACGGGCTGTCTCTGACAGAGGCTGTGCAAATTGCCAGATATAAGGTATTTTTGCTTTTTTACAGTCTCTACTGCAAAGACAGCGCTGCAATATGCCATGCTTCAGCGGCTGAGATGAAGGTTCTGCTGGTGATGAACAGGAGGGCCAATTTTATGATGCCCATTTTGACAATAAGTCCAACGAATGCTGGAGACGTGCTGCGACGCTGATCACATATCTGAGGTGCGTCACGCTTCTTGTCCCAAATCGTTGCATGCCACATCAGTGCTGCTTTTGCCAGTGCAGTGTGTTGCAAGTTCTACAAACCCAATCAAACCCATGCACTTGCAGGCTCTAACAACACCTAAAACTACATGTGTTCTGCAGTGATGTTGAGGAAGGTGGGGCCACATTCTTCCCCCAGGGCAGAGCCATCGATGTGCTGCATGATCAGAGCAGGTCTGCATCCGCGCAAGGGCTGCTGATCAGGCCGAGTAAAGGCTGCGCCATCATGTTCTGGTGGGCGCCGCTTAGAAAGTACCACATGCCTGATCCCTTGTTGCAGTCCTGCAGAAAGGTGTGTGTGATGGATCGTGACCTGAGAATGGTAGGCACATGTGCAGGTCTCGCCTGAAAGATGGCAGGGAGGACGATGCCTCATTGCATGCAGCTGAGAAGGTGTTGAAGGGTGAGAAGTGGATCTGCTCGCGGTGGTTCAGGGCAGGACAACCCTGCAAACAGCCAGGCATTGGGGGCGGCAATCCCTTGGCACCAGAGCCCTGACTGATCTATGGCAAGGCAAGAGTCTATCCAAATGATGCAATGACTGATGAATGGTTCCTGACAGTGGTGGTAGCTGCATGCTGCAAGCTACCAGTCGCAACGCACACAAATTGACCAGGATCTTGCAAAACTTTATGATGCCGGAATGAGAGCTTTGTGGCTCGTTTAATACTGTGGTGACCATACCTCAATTTAATACTCCTTCTTTTGTCAAATTGAGAATTGCTGTGTCCTTCACGAATGAAATTTACTGAATGCAATGCATTATCATGGTATGCTATATTGCCAAAGTGATGTCTTTATCCAAAATGGTGACTTGATGCAAAATTGCAGTGTGTCTACTTTTACGTGGCAAGGTTATTACATCAATTATTGTGTAATGCTCTGGTTTCATGGATTGCTTTCTACAAGCAAGCAGATTGGTACAGCGGCCTACAACTCAGAGGCTCAACGCTGAAAGCACGGGAGCATTGGATACCCAAACGTGTGTTGCTTATGTCCCTCCTACAACTTCCTGAAGAGCTTTCCAACAGCTTTTTCAGGAGCACACTGGGTCGTATATTTTACAGCTGAAACACCCTTTGAAGACTCACACTTCGGCTACGGTGCTCTTCAGCAGGGGAGCTAATAACGAAGTATAGTGCTGACGCAACCTGCTGGCATACTCAGCCACCATCTGCGCGGCCTGCTGGGCCGAGCCTGCATCCCTGAAGGCCAGCACCCAGTGCCCATCCACCAGCTGCCGCTGCAGCTGCTGCCCTATGCCCCCAATGCTCGCTCCCTGATGCAGGCCAGCAGAGAATATCTTCAATAGCAAAGATTACCGGAGCTGGCCGGAACCATCTGTGTAATCATCTTCTTATAACGTGCCCAGATTTACCTGTTGTATCAGATGTCACCAGGACATGATGTCCCAGACATGTATTGAAGAGGTGTGCAAGGGAAGAGTGGCCCCACCCTGACTGTTTTGAGGAGGCCTCGGGCAGGCGGTCGGACATGGACATGCAGCCATCTTGGGTGGCTGCTGTCCACAGAGGCGGCCGCGCCCAGCAGGGGTGCCACGGACAGCACTCTGCCGCCGCCGGGCCGGGGCCCAGCCTCTGCAAGCACAACGCTGGGCGACGCCTGCAGCACCTCCGCTGCATCCAGGGGAGGCTCCGCCCCTGGTGATCCCGCTGATCCGCTGTACCCCTGCACATCCAATCAGCAAATGCACTGAGCCCATCAGCTGCACCAGCAGGCCTCCTGGAGTATTATTCAGGTTCATTTCAAAAAAATTCAAGACCCTGGATCAATCCTTTCTTCTGGGGCGCGGCTGTGCTCAGTGCAGGTGACGGTGAGAGTGTTTAGGTTTGACATGACAGGTTACGTGGCAGTGAAATGATCTCTTGCAGCCAGTGGAAGAGTACAAATGTGTTGTTGCTCACCTCTGGCAGGCCCACGATGGCAAAGTGGACGGTGCGCTCCTGGCCGCGGGTGAAGGACACATTGCAGGGTAGCATGGCGGGGAGCGCCACATGTGCCCCCTCCCTCACCTCGCGCTCCTTCACGCCCTCCTCCGTCACCGGCGCCAGCGGACACTTCTCCGCTACGCTGCCCTCCAGCAGGCCCTGCGGCAGCACATTCCAACTCACAAACTGCACACAACTCCCAAACTGCAGATGCAACCATCCTTGAAGAGAAACATGCAGCCCTTGATGGATGCGGTAAATGCCAATAATAAGATCCCAACAGACACAAAAAACGAAAATACTACAGGGTGGAACCTGGAGGTTATGTTTCGCCTTACGGGTGATACTGTACACAACGGCGTGGCAGGCATGCCATGTCATGTTCGCCGATGAGTGGGGTTCACCTGGCGCAGGGAGGCGAGGCACACGAAGCGCTGCACGATGTGGTGCGAGCGCATGGCCAGCAGCGCAGAGCTGGGCGCCCCCACCTGCAATCCGTTCGCCAGGTCTGGCAGCCCAGCCATCGCCCACCCCTTCTTCACCACCATCATCATCTGGCACGCCTGCACATCCACCACTACCAGGCTCAACTAACCCTTCACATGACCTTACAATGCTGGGAAATGACCTTCATTTGCTACAAGCTTGTCACCTCTAGGCAGGCGGCAACTGCAAAACATATACACAGAAATGGCCTTATTGCATGGCAAAGGAATTCTGTGCAAGCCCTTGCATGCTTAGAGACATAGAGCGCAGCACCTGCATCCAGGCCTGGATGGCAACGCTGGTGGACTGGGGCAGGGGCGCGAGCAGGTGCTTGCGCGCGACCGGCCACTCGGAGACGAGAAGCAGCGCCAGCGCATCGCACCACATCCCCGTCAGCTCTGCGGCCACCTCCTTCTGGCCGCGCGCGTACGCCGTGTCCAGCACCTCCTTCTGCAGCGCTGTCATGTCCGACCCTGCACCCGCCAAATGACCTGATCGTTTTCATTACTTGCAAAATTTCTCCAAAGCCAGCACATAGAGAAGCTGGATGCCACATCTTGACAACGTGCTGCATGTTCAATCACATGCTTGCCACCTCAGCACATGCATAGGAACCCGTTGAATGGTGACACAAGAAATTGACTGAGATGAGAGGCATTCTTACCTGCTTTGCGTGCGCCCAGGAGCTGCAGCAGAAGCCAGCCAATGCCCCAGAGCGCGGAGGATGGCAGTGACTGCAGCAGCAGCAGTGCGCACAGTGCATCCACCCAGTCTGACCTCCCTCCATGCCCACTCCGCTGCGGACTGCATGCATGCGAAACATAGCCACATAGTCAAGACACAGGAACCACTCATTCAAAATGAGTTTGGTAAACTCGTCATAGCTTTCTCTGCCATGCGTTCATCACAGCCAGTGCGGCTTGTATACAGTATAAGAACCCCAACTTAGCAGACAACTTGCAATGCTGATGTTAACGCCTGTATACCTTACTCTACAAGACTCCCGAGCTTTAAGGGAGGACAATCTGAGTGTAGCACCTTCTTGCAGGGGAAATAGGCACGTCAGCGAGACTGCTTTTGCTGTCATTGTCTGCTGCAGAGGACTCTGCCTGGCCATTGCTCTGCTGGCGCTCCTCGACGGCCTGCTCTGACCCTGCAAGCAGGCACAAACACTCATGTTCTCCTGCAATTTGACACAGAGGAAGCTTACATCAATGCCTGCACAGTTTATTGATGTGCTGGCTGTGATGAGAGCTCACCCCTGAACACGATGTCCTCAGCTTTGGGGCTGTCGTGCAGGGGGCTGGCCTCCCTGGTTAGCTCCTCCAACAGCTGCTTGTTCTTGCGCCGACGATGAGGCAGCAGCCCTGCCCATGACCACAGCCTTTCAGATTTCTCGCATACCAGTTGCATGTTGTTGAAGTTGAGAAGCATCAAAATGTGAGAATATCAAAATTGAAAGTCTGCATATAAATAACAGTTGGGAGTGCCCATTCCGACCGTGATCAGGCAATCCTATTACAGGTCAGGACACATTAAAAACAGATTGCATCACTGGCAAGAATTGACAGGTGTGCCTGGCTCGGTCTGATGAGAAACACACAGGTGAGTCAGGGCAAGGCACAGGACAAGTCAGCAGGCAGACAGCAATACAGCATGTGCTGGAGGAGATCTGTCTCAGGCGGCAACACCTGCAGCATCCAGTATCTCGGTGTCGATGGATTTGTTCAAGAGGAAGCCGCAGAGCACCCGCACAGCCGCGGCGCTAACAGCCACGTCACGCCCTCTCAGGGCATGCATGAAGGCCTGCTTGTAGCTGCCAGGTGTCAGGCTGGCAGCCCAGCTCCCAGACCGGTCACTCAACTCTGCAGGTCCCACCTGCGTCCATCAACACTCTCTTTCGGCTCATTTCTGCAGTAGCTTTTAAAGCGGAAGGTTTGCTCAGCAGGAGCCCTTCGACATGTTTTCCTAGCAGTAATGCCCCTGACTGCGAGTCAGCTAGTCATCCAGGCACACCCATGTATTGTTTGAGGGCAGGTCCATTTGAAGTTGCACCTGGAGGCCAGAGGGAGACGAATCAGCCTTGGCATCAGGGCTGCTGAGCCTGCTCGGACTGCTTCTGGCAAGAAAAGGGGCCACTGAAGGCTCTGGCTCGTTAAGGATAACGGCTGATGCCAGCAGGTTCATGAAGTGGCCGTGGGTCATGACATGCAGCAGCCGCTCCATCACATGCAGCGCGCAGGCAGGACTCACACAGCCGCCCGCCCCTGCACACAAATCAGACAGTTGATGCAAGCTTTCCTTCAGCAGCCCTTAAATTTTGGCGGTAGCAAGTATGCTGTCAGTCTAAAGGAATTGAATGGTACCTCCTCGTTGCCGTGTAGAGTCCCTGTCTGGGCCGGGATCGGACCCAGCATCGGATGCTTCGCTGGAGCGAGCAGCCGCCAGGGGCCAGAACAAGATGGGGCCAGCGAAAGAGTCGCACAGCTGCTGCAGGAGCAGCTGGCCGAGGGATGCCTCCCCTGTAGAACCACACAAAATAGTAACACTAATGACAAGTAACACAAGTCTGCAACATGTGCACACTTCCTCTGGTGAAGGCCTTGCTCAGCAGCTAAAGACGAGAGGGCAGAAAAGGATCAGAGAATACCTGTGCAGAGGATATCGTTGCAGTAAGACAGCAAGTCCTCCACTTCTGCGAGGACATTCTCCATGTTGAAGGCTGCCGCAGATGTGCCGGTCTCAAGGGAGGACAGCTGCCTGTCAAGCGCCTGCAATGCAACAATTGACTCCTCTTAGCACGCTTCAAGTGCACGTCCACGTGTGATTTTCCAGGTGGACCAAAAGGAGGCACAAATGGTACCCAAGGGGTGGAACGTACCTGGCATTGTTCAGCGATGAAGATGGCCAGCTCATTGAAATAATTGCTGGCAGGCTTGCTGACCACAAAGGCCTGCACAGCTCGGTCCCTTATGCTGTACACATTGAGGGTCAATGTCCTCACAGCTGCCCTGACCATGCCGTCCCTGTGGTTTATGAACTTGACCGCCTCTGTGTAGAGCGGGAATGAGGACCGCTCCCCGTCGTCCTGGAAGAAGAACTGGACTGTGGACGCGTTGAACTTGAGGGAAATGGTCTTCAGCAGATTGATGAAGTAGCCCAGGACCTCATCATCCTCGAAGTCAAAGCGCATGGCCACGATCTCGTTGACGAGATTATTGGAGAACAGGTAGAAAATGGCTGTCGTGGATCGGATGTTTTGGATTAGGATGGACAATGTCTGCAACACTTGCTTCGCAATATCCCCCTTCCTGTTGTCAGCATGCTCCAAAAAGTTGGTGAAGTGATGCAGGAGGTTATTCTCCGCAAAGTAGTCGAAGTATCGGGGGTCATGCTGATCACCCCAAATCATCAACTCTGCTATGGAGCGAAAAGTCTCCACTACATTTTCCCTGTTGGCATCTGTAACTACAGAATTTTGTTGCAGCACATCGTGCAAATGTTTGAGCTCCTCCAAGGAAAATCGTTCCCTCTCAGGCTGTATGCCCAACAAATTTGCCCAAAAACCACCCTGCTTTCTTGCTGCCATTCCAGACACTGCACCGCCAACACGTCCTACTCACATATTTAGAGTTTTGAAGACCTCATCGGGCTTATTCGATTGGGCAAGTAATCATTGTTACGATCCCAAAAAATTCATGCACGGGCCTCTGTATATTTTCTTTACCCCTGCCCTCCTGTGCCCAGCTAGTTTGACCAGAAAATTTGCAGGATTCTGTTCTTTCTCCACAAAGAACGTAAGATGTCAGCGAAGAGTCCTGGCATGGTGAACGCAAAGGTCGGGTTTGAGAGGGTGCCCTTCTCAGATGGCGCCGAAGATGTTGGCATCGGTGCAGACCATGAGCTTCCTCTCACTTCATTATCTATTGGGTGAGGATAAATCTTTTCGTGATGAGGTTTTGGAAGAGTAAGGAAATTTTCAAGGAGCGTGAAAAGGGGCATGGCACCCTGTGGATGCATACAAGGCTGGGTGCATGACCAGATGCAACATCGTCACCTGAACACCGTATCTTGTTCAATGGTTGCAGGGGGTCAACGAGACGTGTTTCAAAGAAACGTTCTTTGACGCTGTTACTGCTCAATTCCACTAAGAAGTTCGTTTTCCTGGACCACAAGTTCTGGCACCCCACCAAAGAAGTATGCACCTTCTCACCCATTAGAGTCCATGATACAGCCTAAGATGCTCACAGATTCCTCGCTCAAAATTTGATTGTCCTGCATGCGTGAAAATCATCCTCACCCAGGAAGTCCAAGGATACAATTGAGCAAATTGCTCAACGGAGTTGCTCTTCTGTATCAGGGGCACAGGAAGCGCCTGCAACGCATGTGGCGGCAGATGCCTTTTGCTGGATCCTCACCTTTCCACCACAGCCGGGGCCATGACAGCGGTTTCGTCCTGGCCTTTGAGGTCGAGTGGGGCAGCATTTGCGGCTTAGACTACAGCAATCCCCTGTGTCAAGATGGCCGCGTCGTTGTGGAGGCAAAGCATGTCACAAAAAGGGAGTTTCAAACGGTATGTGTCCACCTTTCTGATGCCTCAATTGTACAGCACAAATGACGAGCTCGGCGACTTGATAAGCGGGTCAGCTGATTGCAGATGGAGGACGCAAAAAGATTCTACCGCCCTGTGAACCTTCTGGCAGCCCCTACGCTGCAGCAGCCCGACCTGCTTCCGTGGGGGGTGTCTTCCCGGCCCAGGAGCCTTGCAGATCTGAGCAGCCTGGCCCCCACAACAGCCCCATGCAGCCCTGACGGCAGCACACGTGGCGGTGCGAGGACAGCATCTCCAGCACGGCCACCTGGCGCGTCAAACCCACCATGGGGCATGGGGCAGGACGCTGGACCCAGCCCGCAACCAGGGCGGCAGACCAGACCAAATGCGGATGAGAATGGCACAGCCACAGGATCGCCCCCGCCTCGGCAGTCATATCAGAGTGGCATCACACGAGCCCTCCGTGGTGCCGCACCGACATCGCCTGCGCCAAGTAACAGAGACATTGGCGGTATCTGTCGGACACCAGAGCGCGCCCGGGCTGGCCAGCTGTTCCCAACAAACTCCGACAGCAGATTGGAGGCGAGGGCAGACATGGGCACAGATGGGAGCAGAGCAGAAGCCTCCCTCAGCCCTTGGGCGCATGCTGGCTCTGGCGCTGGGCGAACGGAGGGGCGCGAGCTCACTTCACCTGCTGTGGGCGTCGCTGCCAGCAGGCTCTCTGCCCCGAGGACATCAGGCAGGGGTTCTGCAGACCTCATGAGCAGCATCGCCATGTCACCCCAGCGCATGCCAGCCAGGCATTTCCAGGAATACCACCCCTGCAACAGCAGCTCCGAGAGCAAGCGCTCTGTGTCTGAGCCGCGCCAGCGCATCAAGTGGCCTCCGCCGAGCAGCAGGGAGTATGACGCCGCCCAGAGGCACCTCGGGAGAAGACCAGTGGGTCAGCCTGCGCAGAATGGGCGGAGGCCAATGTATCAGCTGCAGATAGCCTCTCCCACGCACCAGGTAACGCCGCAGCCGGACAGCTGGTACAGCGCGGAGCCCAGCTCCAAGCATGCGCGCAGCACCTCCCTGGATGGCATCAGACACGGCTCCATGCAGGGCCTGGCCAGATTTGGCGCTGCCAGCACCAGCAGCTATGGAGACGTTGTGTCTCCGGGCGTGTACAGCTTCCGGCCGACCAATCGGGGGAGCCTCTTTGGGTCTTCTCCAGGGTGCGCTGCTACCTTCCAAGTAGAAGTATGCAATTGGATGCCAGCTAGGTTTTTGTCGATTTCACAGCATTCTTGGGCTGAAAGCCAGGTAATGATCTTGAGCAAAGAACATAGTGCATGTGTGCAGGGATGAGAGCCAGCACGGCGCTTGGCCCTCTCCATCTTGTTGGACGATGGCGAGCCATGCCTACGACTACCGCTCCGTGGCCTTCCAGTTCACAGACTCCCGCATGCCCACCATTCTGCGCCCAGCTATCCAGGTGCTGCCCATCTCCATATACGTGCAAAGAGCCTGATTAGAGATTCTCCCCAATTCTTCCCAGTGTGCATTACAGGATATTGCATGTCACTGCCATAATAGTTCTGCCATATTGTGTGCCCAGGGTGATGAGCGGTTGCTGAAGCTGTATGAGAGCGGGCTGCCAGCCTGGGCCATCTACATGCCTCTGTACCGGCTGCCTTACCGACCCTGGATGCGCACTGTCAGCTACTGCCTATTTGTTGCCATCTCAGTCTTCTCCATGGTGATGGGCTTCTACGACCTCATCAAGAATGTGCCCTACCTTCACAAGGTAAGAACGCCGCTCTTGACTCCCGCAGTATTTGACCTCTGTCCTTCATTACGTTGGTATCAAAAGTATTTTTTTGTTTGGTCTCTGTGGGTCTGCTCCCATGAACACGTGAACAAATGTCCATGCAGGTGTTGAGCAGCCTGTCGCTGCCATCCTCTGCCATCTTTGCTTGGCTAGACAGCCATGTGCAAGTGCGATTGTCCATCCTCTTTGCCTACCTCTTTGGCAAGAGCCAGCTCTTCATGCAGCTGCTGCGATGGCTGGGCCATGCATGGGCGCTGCTGCGCACAGGCCTGGAGCCCTTCGTGTCCTTCCTTGGGTGCGTGTTCTCATTTCATGGCTTTGTTGCTCCATACCTACATCATGAATCCATGCCCTTATACATGCATGCAAGGTGGCAACGAGGACTTGGGGCTTTCTAGGTAGCAGCGAGCATGGCATGAAATGTGTCGATGATGCCTATTGTGCATTATTCGCAGGCCCCCGCTGCAGACCGCCTGGGAGGCGCTGCAGATCTTCGGGTCAAGCTTGCACATGATAGCGACCGCATGGGGTGCCGTCCTGTGTGACATGCTGTACTTCTTCCTGGGGCCCCCGGCCCGTGCGCTGCTGGGCTTCTTCAAGGTCATCCTCGAGCTCGTCATGCCCATCTTCCGGGTGTGTTGCCTCTTACAAATACCCCTTTCAGAATTCCAATTTCTGACAACCCTGGCTCACACGATTTCTGGATGTTGTTGAGGCGACAACCACCAGCAATGCCCTTTTTAAATAGCTGACGTGCATAAGATACCTGCAGCTTTGCCTGATGTGGAAGTCTCACTGCCATGTGTGTGGGATGCAGCTGGTGAAGCTGGTGGTGTTGGGCCCGTTCTCCATGGTGGGTGCGGCGCTGCAGTGGGCCTGGGGCAGCATGAGGATTCTGTGGGCCGCTGTGCTGGCGCTGGTCAGCGCGACACGCAGCGGATGGTGTGCCATGTCCGCAGTCAGCCAGGGGACGCGCAACGTCAGCGAGCAGGTATGTTGAGCAAAGCTCCTCCCACGAGCATGGCAAACAAGCTGCAAATGTGTGGCGCTGAATGCAGTGTAGGCATGCCATTGCTGCATCACATGGGAATGGAAAGGAATTAGAGGAGTTCAGAGGGGTGCGAATGGAGGCCAGGGAGCCCACCAAGTCAGCAATTGAAGCAAACTGGCTGGCTGAATGTGCAGGCGTCGTGGTGGTACCTTGTGCAAGCAGATGCAATTGAAGTTGTGCGCGTGTCATCCCTGAAGACCTTCAGGGCTCTGCAGACCTTCATCAGATTCTTCACACAGATCTGCACAGACATTGCGCGCCACAGGTGCCTCTCCTTCCCTCACCGTTGACCTATTCAAAATCTTCAGTAGCCACAGTGTTCCTGGTCACATGATATCTGCAGCAGAAAACACACGTGCAATAAATGCGGGCTCAAGCAAGTGTTACCTGGCTGCAGGCTGACCTTGGGCCTCCGAGTGTCGAGGAATTGGCAGGCTTTCAAAGTGCGTTGCCACTCAGCATGTCGAGTCCCCCTGCTGTGGTGCACTATACTCCTCCACATTCTGGTCGGGCAGGCCAGCACTGAGAGCGGTGCACAGCAGAGTCCTGCCGCTGTGCCGCAGCAGCCAGGCCTGGTTCTCCGGGGTGAAGAGGCGGACAGTTTTGAGTATGGAGGTGTGGAGGATGAAGTGAGTGAGGGGCATCCAGAGCAGTTGGCAGGATCTCCGCCAGAGTATGCAGGGGCATGGATCGAAGCCAATCATGTAAAAACAGAGTGAAGAGAGCTTCCTGATGTCCTCTCAGATCTCCTTGGGGCAGTCTGCTGCTATGCTGCAGAAGTGGCTACCCGACCATTTTGTCTTTTCTCATGTTTGTATATGCCGAGTTGTATGATGTGATGCCGGCTTGCTTGAGCCAGTGCACCAATTGTCTTCCTTGTGGCTTCCAAGTGAAATACTGGTTCTGCCCACTCTTTTTGCTCAATGTGCTGTTTTTGGTGCCGTATGTACCTGTCATGTGACGGTCCTATGATGATTTATATTGTGTGACTATTGCGGGCATTTGGCGGTGCACATCTCGTGCAGAGCAGCTTGTAGACGTGTATTGCATTGTAATTCTCCATTTTGTATATGCCGTTTTGTAGCTGCATGCAGCAAGCTAGCAACCAATGTAACATTTTATTTCAGGAAGGACCCCGCTCACAAACCCCATTGCTGTGACAAGATTGAATACATGTCATCTCTGGGTGTTCCCTCAATACTTACGCTCCATCTGACAGGATGCGTGGAGTCCACGGTGGAATATATTAATATCCGGTCATACAAAATTGCCAATGACAGTGCCCTTGCAAGATAGCATTTGCAGCTATATTGCCATGCCATTATGGCGTGCAACATGGCATACACCTTGATGAAGGAACTGTTTATCAAAGGTGGCCATGGACCACACCATGACCGTGATCATCACGGCGGCCGCATGCACTCGGCATGCGCATGCCCCGCGCCTGCCGGCCGGGGGAGCTGGGCGCTTGGCGGCTAGCATTCACCGCTCTGCGCATGCATGGTGTGAGCATTGTGATCTAAACCGCTCGCAAGAGGTTTGCATTCTCGAGAAGTTGGCACTGTGGAATCGATTCATTCCTCTTTCTCTCATCGAGAAATTGAGAGAGAGAGAGAAACATTACATCATGCCAGCCAACAAGGCTGATTAGATGTTCACTGTATCTAGATCAGTGTTTACGCGTCCTAATGAGAGTCTGATAAATTGAGCCACCTGTGTGATAAATTGATCAAGGCAAAATTTGCCGAGGGAACGCCAGTAGACGGTCTCGGAGTCTTCCGAATAGGCGGCCTAGATCGTTCACTTTGTTTGACGCGGGCGATCTTTGGTATTCAAAGAAAGGAATAGTCTCTTTGTCAAGATGGCAAAAAAGGACAAGAAGGCACAAGTGACTGCCAGCAGTGACAGGCAGAAGAAGACCAGGTATTACCAAGTTGTTGCAAGCGCTTTTAGTTGCTTGACTGCCGCATTCTATATTCTAAGTTACTTTTTAGAAATGGCGGTGTCATCTGTTTTTGTAAGATGAATGTGTCACGTGCAGGAAACAAGAAGCGATGCGATCTGCTCCTGCGGCTCAACTGGCAAAGGTGAATTCTTTTGGACTGGCGCAAGTTTATCGTGCTTTGTGTGTTCTAAATTCCAGCAATTTGTCATTAGTACAAGTTGCTGTTGAGACAAAGAGCCGGCATTCACAATTCTGGTGTCGTGCCATCACAGACGAGCAAGAAAGCCAAGACTACGCCAGGGTTTACAGATAGCAACAAGCGATGGCTGACACCCAAGGTCACCAAGCAAGAAGCAGAGGAAGTCGAGTCAGACGACCTGGACCCAGAAGACAGTGACAGTGGTACGCCTTTGCATTCAGTAGTAAAATAGGAGCTGTAAAGTTGCTTCTGGCGCTTGCTCTGCCTTGATGTCTGCATGTCCCCTGCTCTAAAACGATTTTTGTCTTGAATGTAAGTCACTGACTGTGTCAATCACGGAAGCAAAGTTTGATCAGCTGATCTTGCAGGTCTTATGGATGATGAGTTTGGAGATGATGAGCCCGCTGAGGGGCCTGAGGATGAGGGGGACAGCTCAGAGGCACAGGAGGAGAGCTCTGAGGAAGAGGAGGATGACGGGGACGTAGCCAGCCTCAAGGAGGAGCTCTGGAGCGACGAAGACGAGTCGGATCAGATCTTCAAGAAAGGTGTGCCCTTCTTCCTGTTTCTTGAGCCCTGCTTAACAGCAAATGGGGATAGTCAAGTTCAGCAGCTGGAGGGCACCTGATAGAAATGGATGATCTCATATCTGTAGCTTGCAGGATCTGGCAGAGCTGCAGACCAGGAAGCAAGCTCTGGTTCAGATGACGACGAGGAGGATGAAGAGGAGAGCAGTGAAGATGGGGAAGGCCAAGGAATGATGGACAGCGATGAGGAGAGCGATGATGAGATGCTGGACATCGAGAAGAAGGCGAGAAGATTGGATGAGGACAGGTGCTCACTGCTCACTTCACATGTTTCAAGCCCCTGTTTCCATGGTGATCGGTGGGTACTATATCTAGGAGCCCCTGTTGTGATCGCCAAGGACATTCCTGCGCTATGCTGAGGAGGAAAGAGCAGTATAAATTTGCTTGAACTTCGGGTGACCGTGGCTACAGGGCGAGGAGAGAACGGGAGGCGGAGGCAGAGGGGCGGGAGATGGGAGCGGGGGACATTCAGACCAACATCCAGCAGGAGATTGAGGCGGGGCCATCCATCCTGCCCGGCGCAGACGAGGAGGCGGGGCCCCTGGACCTGAGCGCAGTGCTGCGGCGGATAAAGGAGGTCGCGCGCGTTCTGGACAAGTTCCAGGACCTGCGCGAGGAGGGCCGCTCCCGCTCCGAGTACATGGAGCAGGTGTGCTTTTATTTTGTCTGGCTGAAGTCTCCAGTACTAATGACTCACCTCATCCGCGCTGCGCACTTTGAGTCTCAAAGCGTATCTGCATATGTGCAATGCGATTTCAAGCGGCATTGCACATGGTATAATCCGGCAAACTTCTCGGCTTACTGGATCTCTGTTGGCTGTGTAAGTACAGAAAGCTATGCCCAGAGACCTGGAGTCGTGTCAAATGCATGGTTTTGGTATTGAACGCGCAGCTGAAGAAGGACCTGGAGGAGTACTATGGGTACAACCGGTTCATGCTGGAGACGCTGCTGGGCATGTTCAGCGTGGCGGAGGCCCTGGAGCTGGTGGAGGCCAACGAGGGCAGGCGGCCCATCACGCTGCGCACCAACACCCTCAAGACGCGCCGCCGCGAGCTGGCCGCCGCCCTCATCAACCGCGGCGTCAACCTGGACCCCATCGGCAAATGGTCCAAGGTGCCCCTTCCCGGCACCCGTTGCTACTGCGCACCACCTTTCCTGTTGCTGCTGCACCGAAGCTCTCCTAATCATCATGAACCAATGTTTTCAATCTCTCTATGCCTGTGAGTCTTCCTCTTAGCCATGCTTGTACGGGAGCTGGTCACGGCGCATGGAACTGTTGTCACCTCATGCGAAATGTGTGGCGGTATCATGAAATGATTTGGGGCGCTTTTGATGTTGCACCTCTCAAGAAAAATGGAAATGGGCAGAAAACCAATAGCTGAGGTTTTGGATGTGGAATTTTGCAGGTGGGCCTGGTGGTGTACGAGAGCAATGTGCCCGTGGGTGCAACGCCGGAGTACATGGCGGGACACTACATGCTGCAGGGCGCCTCCTCCTTCCTGCCAGTCATGGCCCTGGCCCCTCAGGAGGGCGAGCAGGTCCTCGACATGGCCGCCGCACCAGGTAATCAGCGCTGTCAGGACTTATAGTGCACCCTGGTTTCTTGCATGCATGACAGCAATGCATGCACGGACAGCCGTGATATCGAGCTTGTTTCAAATGTGAAGGGCCAATCAAGAGCTTTAATGTCAAGCCCTGAAGATGCTTTCTCTTCCAATCTTGTGCTGAGGAGGCAGAGGACTCTGCTTGAAGACGAATTAGGGAGGAGCAGAATGGGCTGCAGACCTTAGTGCTGATGTTGTGCCCTATACTGGTGCCCAGGTGGCAAGACCACATACATTGCTGCGCTGATGCGCAACAGCGGCATCGTGTTCGCCAACGAGGTCAACCCGCTGCGCCTCAAGTCCATCCAGGGCAACCTGCAGCGCATGGGCGTCACAAACACCATCGTGTCCAACTACGACGGCCGCGACCTGCCCAAGATGATGGGCACCAACAGCGTCGACCGAGCCCTGCTGGACGCCCCCTGCTCCGGCACTGGCGTCGTCTCCAAGGACCCCACTGTGAAGGTGGGTGTCATTGCACCTGTTCTCCCCACAACGCATCTCTGAGGGGGATTTGGGAGTGTTCAAAATAGGTTTGCCAGGACGGCAGTCGTCAAAATAGGTAGTAGCACCACAAAATAGGTTTAGCACCACAGCCACAGTGCTACTAGAACTGTGGCTGTGCATGATGCAATTGTGGGAGTATCCCGTGGAATGTTGGTTTCTTTGGTGCTCGCTCTCGTATGGGGTGGTCATGTTGGAAGTGTATGGTGCAGGCAAACAAGTCCCAGGCGGAGATTTGGAAGTGCGCGCACCTGCAGAAGCAGCTGCTGCTGGCTGCCATCGACCTTGTGGATGCCGGCTCCAAGACCGGCGGCTACATCGTCTACTCCACCTGCTCCATTATGGTCAGCATCTTTCTCTTCCATCTTCATACCTGAGCAGACAGGACGTTTGTTGCCCTCATTTCTCCGCCCTGCCTTCAAAGCCTGCTGATCTTGAACTGCTTGGTCTGATGCATGTCTTGACACAGCCTTACTGATGAATGCACAGGTGGAGGAGAATGAGAACGTGGTCAACTACGTGCTGCGCAAGCGCCATGTCAAGGTGGTGCCCACAGGGCTCGACTTTGGGCGGCCGGGGTACATGAGGTACCGGGAGTTCCGCTTCCACCCCTCACTCGCCGAGTCCCGCCGCTTCTACCCCCATGTGCACAATCTGGACGGTGCGATGCAGCTCCTTTTCCTTTTTCAGTGTTTGGGTTATAGACTCGTATAAGCACTTGCATGTTACTGGTTGCTATGGGAAATTTTAGGTGTTAAAAGGTGTGTGCATTTGTGACGAGGCGGTCATCTGTTGTAGGCTTCTTCGTCTGCAAGCTGAAGAAGGTGGCGAACGGGCCAAAGGACTCGCGTGGGGAAGGCAAGGATGGGGAGGCCTCAGACAGCGAGGAGGAGGGCGTGCCTGTGGAGGATGCAGAGCAGGAGGAGATTGATGCTGCGGAGAAGGCAGCCAGCAAGGCTGCAGCAGCAAAGGCCGCCAGGAATGCGGGGAGCAAGCGTTCTGCTCCCGCGCTTGAAGGTCTGCCTCCTCTGCTTGTGACGCTCAAGACTTGTTGAAATGTTCATTCTACTAGCGATAAAATTTACTGTAGGACAACTTTCTCTGGGCCATGATGGTTCCGTCCATGCCCCTGACACAGTGCATCATGTTGCAGAAGCAGTGGCAGTGGCAGCTCCGGCGCCAAAGAAGCGGCGCGAGTCCAGGATACTGAAAGCTGCAAAGCGCGAACTGGAGTTGGAGCGCGCAGCAGCAGCCCAGGCGGCTCCGAGCAGCCGGGCAGGCTCACAAAGTGGCGCAGAGGAGCGCCACAATCAGAGCGCGGCTTCCAATGGCATCGCACAGCAGCCAAAGCAAGCGCTCGGCAAGGCAGGAAAGAAGAAGATTGCCCAGAAATTTGAGGGTGCTTCCACGCTACCGGCAACCGGAAAGGCTGCTCTCCAGAAGCAGAGTGCAGGGAAGGCGGGCGCTCTAAAGAAGATAAAGAAGCAGAAGGCCAAAGGCTGATAATATCTGGCGTGAATGCATGCGTGTTGAGCTTGAACAAGCTTCTTGGTAGAGTCCTTTTGGCTAAGTTTTGATGTTGTGTGGGTGTCTTGCTACTTGATGTTGAAGAGGTCCCCGAGGGACCCGGACCTTATGAGCCGTTATCACCCCGGTATTCCCCGGGCCCCATGGCCAATGCCGCCAGTGGCATGGACAACATGTAACAGCGTTGCTGCAGCTAAATAATATGCAGAACCGAAACATGTGGATACTGCATTGTACGGCCAATCAGGGTAAGTGTTACACACTCGGGGGAAGTTGATCAAAAAGTCATGATTCAAATTCACATTCAAAACTGGGAAGCTAGGAGAAGCTGAGCTGCCAAACCTACGTGGGTTTCCTCCAAACTCGATCTCTCCTGATGGCTGAAAACTGAAACCATTTGAGCTTCAATACGTCGTGCACTTCTGTATTTGAACGGTTCTTGTGAAGAGTGGGTGTCCCATCTACACATGATCAATGGACCTGGGCTTTGGGATATAGCTTGACATCCTTTCTCATGCTGAGACCCTCTGCTTTAAGGACGAAATTGCCTGGACTTCGTCGGGCTGCTGAAGAAGTATTGGGACGGAGGTATTTCGGTAGTGAAGAGGGGCGACAATGGAAGTGGCTCAGCGAACAGGGAGTAGCAGTAAACCCTTGCAACAGCAAGTGAGATCACCTTCCATGTTTACTTGCGAATACTGCGAGCAGTGAGCAAGATCGGGTTGATCCAGAAATCTTTTTGGATTTGAGTCATTCTCCCGAGTAGAAGAGACAGCTATCTCTGGTTCACTGAAACAAATGGTGCTTGCAGGCTCCATCCTGCATTCACCAAGGCCGGCATGGCTGTAGAGGGGGATGAGTTGTCAGTGCAGGCTGCTTACACACCAGACAGTGTATGCTTTGGATGCGGTGAATTTTCCGGACCTTTTCTGTGCTTTAGCCCTCCGAAGTTTTCTCTGTGCTGTGACAGAGACCTGTAAAAGAATTGAAATTTTGAACACTTGCCTGGACAGCAATTCGGCCTGTGTAAATTGACTGCAACGTCTTCACATTCAGGTCCCTCAGCTCAGGATGGCTTGGGATTGAAGAGCTTTCGCGTAGCCGGAGGCCTTGAGGCAACCACCCGCCTGAAGAGCAAGTATCAAGCGTTCCCAGGAATTATCAATGGTGGCATCATTAGCGCTCTATTCGACTGCCATGGGAACTGGACAGCCGCAATTGCCCTCATGGATCGCTCTGGCTTGCCACGGCCACCCCTTACGCTGACATCCGAACTCCTGGTACTGCTTCAAAATGCAAAAGTTCCCAGAGAAGTGCTATTTCTGTAAGTGGGATCAGGTGTGAATACTCTATCATTGATCAAAATTAATCGTACATTGCTGGTCTGATCTGACTGCTTGTTGCATACTGCCAGATCAACTACAGGGAGCCGACACCTCCAAATGAAGACCTCATTGTGCGGAGCAAGATTGTGAAAGTGAAGGATCATGTCGAGAAAGTGGGAAGCGGCAAACCTAGCGTGCATGTCGACATTTCCCTGCACCAGGTGATACTCTCATGAGCTGCTCCGTGACCTGCTCCAAAAGTGCTTGACGTGTAAGCAATGATGCCCTGCATGTGAATAATTCAGTGTACCGTATATTGTGGGCATCAGGCTGCGCTGCCCTTGCGGTTCTGTGAACAAGAAGCATGTGGTGCAGGTACAGCCAGAAGGGGGTGAAAAACTGCTGGCAACAGCCACTGGCATCTTCAAGAAACTTGGAGCGTTGCGAGCTTTGTGAGTGTGGGAGAGCTGCAAGGGATGCATGGTACCAGGAGTGCAGTTGATAATTTTGGGGTCAATATCACGTTGACAAGCCCGCCTGGGTCCAAGGCGTTGGATGTTTTGATGGCATTGCATGTGGTAGCTATCTGCCTGAGACAGCAGTGCGTGTCCAGCAAGACTACAAATTCTTCGTCTGAGGATTTTGAGACTTTTGTGGCCAGTTCAGTTTGATCATCAATTTTGTGTCGCAACGTGATGAGAGGATAGTAAACTAACATGAGGCAGCAGCCTAATGACAGACTTGACGATGGCGACATATCTTTGTATGCTAGAGTGTGGGGCTCTCACGAATATATGTGGTCATGCAAGGTAGTACCTCTTCTTGGGGAACGTGCTTGCGAGCCAGCGCTTTCAGCATTGCAGTAGTTCTGTGCACTCAACCTAGTCCTGCCACTGTGTAACATAGTGATTACTGTAGACATTACTTCATGCACATGCAGCACTGCTTATGCACTGCTGACATGTACTCTTTGCATCAACCTTGCTTTGATGCAGGTCTGGGATGCAAGCCTATCTAGGCTCCTGTTCAACTGTGGAATTAAAGCCCCTGGCCAGTGTACCGTCTAAATCGGTGTTATTTGATTACCAGCACTTCCTGGAAATATCAGAGATATCACACACTGGCAGGGTACAATGTGGTGCGATGGCCAGTGCACGTATCGTCTGCTGGGCTTGCCAGTCTGCAGATTAGTAAGGCTCAAGAGGGTCTTGCATGATTGCTGTACAGGTTTGGGTATCACTGTGTCACCGACTCAGTGAGGAATTATCTCTATCATGATCACATGTGCACGTTGGGCCCGGGAATGCCACAAGCAGAGCGCCTATAGATATCAGGCATGCATGTGTGAGTCATTTGGGCCAAACCCAAATGTGATTCAGGACAGGAATTATACATGACAAGGTCATGAACGGGGTTTAAATTACACGTAAGTGCCAGGTGTCAGCTGACCTGGAAAGGACTTAAGGAATCAGGACCGCCAGAATTGCAGATTGGACGAATGCACGAGGACATGCGTTGTATCATTCAATACTTTGAAATTGGAATCTGATCTGAATCTGATCTGCTGTTCCATTGCAAGCCGTCGGTGATTTAACTTCTAGCCAAATTGTTTCACCTGGGGACTGCCACAGTGGTCAGCTAGCAAGACTTTGGCACATTGTACATAGTGCAAAATACAGAGTTCAAGTTGTATTATGCTCGATTTCTACAGAAACTGGTTTGGGAGCAGGAACTCAAAATTCTGCACAGAAGAATTCCCAAAGGTAGCATGATTCTCTAGCAGATCATTTCGATTCAGCGATGGACTTTGTTTGATAGACCAACGTATTTGACATTTACATTTGCTAGATAGAGTGTCTTTTATTGTGCAGGTCTGGACAGACTTTGTGGACTGCTTTGTTGACACTGTTCTGGCAGGCGGGCCAGTCGTTGCCTCTCGAAATGCTGAGCAGGTGAGAACTGCAGGGCAGTACAGCGCAATCATGGCCCCTTGCCTTGCCAATGAGTCGCCAGACAGGCGCATCATGAGTGCTGCTGTTGCAGCATATGTCTGACTGCCAAACGTGTGACCGCCCTTGAATTGACTGCAGGTGACAAGGCAGCCTACGTTTCTGCCAGCTGTCCCTCGCTTGGTGGCCATAGGTGATCTGCACGGAGATCTGAAGAAGGCTCGCCGCGCGTTCAGGCTCGGTGGGCTCACAGACGCGAATGACAGGTGGATAGGCGGCACCACCACTGCTGTCCAGGTTGCAATCCTCTCCCATCTATCCTGACACCATCAGCATACAATATTTCCATCAGGGCTCCTGAGATTGTTGTGCCTTGCATGCCAGGTCGGGGACCAATTGGATCGTGGCAATGATGAGGTGCGGATCCTGTATTTTCTCGAGAGGTTGGAGCGGGAGGCTGAGAGGGCCGGGGGCAAGCTGCACATCCTGAACGGCAATCATGAGACCATGAACGTGGCCGGGCGGTTCAACTACGCCACGCTGCCGGGCCTGGCCGACTTCTATCAGTGGCAGCTCATGCAGAGCTGGGGCTCTGCTCTCAAGGTGGGACATTCAAGTCAGCGCATCAAGTGTCTGACAACCACTTTGGGCAATATCTATCATTTGAGTCGTAGCTTGTTGCTGTTCGAAACAACATGCTGGGGGTGTCTTCCATGCAGGCAAAGTGCGGGTGCAGCATTGGGGGCGGTCAGCACTCTGGGCTACCGAGCGTCCCGCCGCCGCTGTCCTCCTTGGACAACACATCAGCCGCTGCTGCAAGGAGAACAGCTCTGTCTCCCGGAGGTGCGATGTCATCTACTCCATCCCTGTCAACATTTCCTTGCCTGTGCCTGTCAGAAGAGATGTATGGCACTACCGTAGTCATTTTGCACCTGGTATTGGCTTCTCAGAAGCACTTCACTGCAGCGCAGGTGCTGTGACTGCTCGGTTTCTAGCGGATCATCCCATAGCGCTGCAGATCGGCTCCACTGTGTTTGTGCACGGCGGCGTGCTGCCGCAGCATGCCGAGCTGGGTCTCGAGCGCATCAACCAGGAGACGCGCGCCTGGATGCGCGGAGAAGCCTTGCGCATGCCCTCCTTCCTCACCGGCCGGCAGGCCATCGTCTGGGCCCGGGAATACTCTGCAGGCGCGCCCTTCCTTGTCCTTTCCTATGCTGGACGCCCCAGCAGAGTACTGCTCACACAGGATGTGCCTGGCACCCTGAAGAAGGAAGGCGAGTTAAGCAGTCTCACAACATGTGCAGTGAAGTATTGTGTGTGATGTGTGCAGAGGACAGCCAGCGGTGCGACTGCGCGGCGCTGGAGCAGGTGCTGGGGAGGCTGCCGGGCGCCGAGCGCATGGTTGTGGGCCACACAATCCAGGTAAATCGCAGCTTCAATCCTTGCAGACCGGCCACCTGCATTGTGATCATGCTTGCATCTAGCCTGACTATCGCTCCAGATGGAGGTACAGCTGGCAGTTCCATCTGTGGTCTCTCTCGATACCTCGATACCTATTAGCTGTCTGCACTGAGCTAGGGACCTGTCTTGAGGGGTAAAGAGGAATGATGTCCGAACTTGACACAGGACGCGGGCATCAACAGCGCATGTGAAGACCGGGTATTCCGCATCGATGTGGGACTCTCCAAGGGCTGCGGCGATGGCGAGCCGCAGGTTTGACTCTGTCATCCTGGCTTGTTCTCTTCACATGCTGGCTGATAAGACGATTAAGGATGACTGCATGTTGTTGTCCACAGATTCCCACGAATGCTTCAAGAAACATTTGATGTGTCTTGCAGGTGCTTGAGATTTTGAACGACAAAGAAGTATGGCAGCGGCAAGAGAATGGCCCACCAAAGTACCTGGGGTCTGTCAAGGAAACCAGCCGCTCATGGTGGCAGCGGCGGACAGCAGGACAGCAACAGCAAGCGTGACGCCCATGCGGGCGTTCAGCTCCAAATGAACTTCAGACGCTGTCCAGCAGCAATCTGACAGGCCCTGAAGGACAACTTGAAGCAAGAATGTGTGCTCGCCTGTGTTCTTGTATACTTACGTAAGACTTGGGATGTTTTCTGTCGCTAAATGGTATCTGTACTCTGGAATTACTTCACATTGATGTTCACATCCTTCTAGACGATGATTTTTAAGCAATCATTGCCCATCTCCAGGACCCCCTGACTCACATCGGATGGGCACGACCTGAGACTGGCTTGCCAGCAGTGGTGTGGTCATGACACTGTCATGATGACAGGCTGCAGCTGCAGCAGTGGGTTCTATCAGATGTCTGAGAAGCCCACATTGCTGGCACATGGATGCATGCACAAAGTTTGCGTCTGTCAATCCATCACTTATCCACTACCTAGCAATGCTGGGCTTGCATGCAACACTTCCCACGTGACTGGCACGAGCGCGACTTCGCAAGCAAGATACAAGCACCGTCGCTGCAATGCTGTGACGGTTGAAGATGTCAAGGATGGACATAAGCGTCGGTTCTGGCCAAAGCACCACTATGAAAGCAATCTGTACGCAATTGACATCTCTGAGATTCTTCCAGTGTCCAAGACAAGCCAGGCAAACCATCTGCCGATCGCAAAACATGACAAGCAGCAGTGAATCTGGCAGCAGGAAAACAGACGCATCAAATAGCAATGTTCCTTGGACTTTGATGGGCAGGACGATAAAGCCTGACCGCGATCACGGCTCTGATCTTGAAGATATCATAGATCAACCCCAGAGCCTAGACAGCCAAAGCGAGGTGTGTGAAGACGCCCATGTACCAGCAGAAATATGTCACGAATGTTTTGGATCCTCGGTGAATTATCTGACGATACCATTCTACTTGATTGCAGGAACTCAAAACTCTTTTGCCAGACCTAGCTGAGCAGTTGAAACTCAATAGACAGGTTGCTCAGAGATTGGCAGAGGATATTCCTGCTCTTGCCATGAAGCTTGTGAAGCTCAGAGAAATATTTCCAGAAAGCAATGTTCTGGATATGGTGGGAAGAAGGTGAGGACCTCATCATCCAGAGGTTATAAGTACCACTGGTAATCACAGCTTTGTGTGAGCCGCTTGCATGTTGCCTAGAATTGTGACACTGTTGCAGGCCGTCAATGCTCCTTGATGAGGAGTTTGATCTCATTGAGGGCAACCTGAAACGATTGCACGATAGCCTGCCTGGCGCGGACGTGGTCAGCCTTGTGGAGCAGCAACCATTGTTCCTGTTTGAGGACGTGGAAGTTATCATGGGGGAGCTACGCAGGTAACAATCTTGTTGCTACTTGTTTGACAAGGCCATGAAAGTTGCTAAAGCTCTTCAACTGGCCATTCAGATCTCTGGTGATTTTTGGCTTCCTGAGAATTACTGTGGCTGTGTATCCCAGCTTGAAACAGCCTGGGAAGAGCATGCAGGAGACTGTCTGTCTAGTGGGGAAGGACCCTAAACTTGCAAGCTTGTTAGTTTTGCGTCTCAATGTTAGAAATGAAGTCAGGCAGGGTGTACCCCGTCTGCGATACCCCTGATGGGTGCTTTTGAAAGGGATGGAGGGTAGAGGCAGAGGTTTGCATGAATACTCTTGTGGGTGACGCCACTTGACAGCATTGTGCTGTGTCATCTCCTGTCCTAGGTTGCTTCCTGGAGATCCCGCCGAGCATCTGTCCAAGAATCCAAATCTCCTCGTGCTTGCAATGAGCAATCGAAGATTGAGCATTTGGTAACCCTGCAATGGAGTGTACAACAATGGAATTTCACCAAGTATTGTAAATTTCCTCTGACATCGCCACCCGAGACTGATGTCCTTGTATTGACAAATAGATGAGTGCTTCAGTGAGGCCATCTGATCTGATGTGATGCCTCTTGAGCTGGTACAATTAAACATTTGTCCATGAATTGAAGTCCTGCGGTGTGTAGAGCTATTCAGTGAACTTGCAATTTACCGTTGCAAACAAGGTATTCTGTCCGTCCCTATGTTTAAACTGCGAGGCTCCCCTTCCATCCTTTTTGGCGTTTGCAAAACAATTCCACTGTTGTGAAGGTCCCCTTGCACAAGACAGGGATCAACCTTAAGTTGCAACAAGTTTCAAGTAGCTACTGATCTGTTTTCTGCTCTAGAGATCTTGTACCAGGATCCTAGTATCATGCGCTGGTGCTGTCATGGATCCACTTGATATAGGAGGAGCTGCCTCCTGTGATTGGCAGGCTGATCACTTCGCATTCATCATAGGGATGATTGCTCTTGACAACCTCCGTGAGCTTCGGGACAAGGTGTGTCTGCGTCTTGATCATCAGCAGCAGCTCCGCATCCTTGTTCACCTTCCCTTCCCACCAATATATAGAAGTGAGCCCTGCAAATGCACCATTTTGATATGCAACATTTCGAGAGCTGACTGTCTGTGACAGTATTTCAATTTGCTTCTTCTCAGGGCATGCACGCTGGGAATGTACACCCAGTGACAGGTGCCATGATGCTGTACCTGGAACTATGTTGACACATGCCGCAAGGCGGTGGTCCGGATTGACAAGCAAAGCTGCCAACTTTTCAGCAACCTCCTGACTGGGGACGGTTACATACACAACCACAGCGCCTGTGGTTCCTTCGCTGGTGGCCATGGTGGTGCTGTGGCTGAAGAGCCTGGTATTACTGGCTGCAAGCAGCACACATTCTGTGAGCAAGACTGCTCTTTGAAGCCCGTAAAGTGTGGCCAAGACGCTCAGGCCTCTTCCATATTATTACCTCTAGAATGATGATTCAGAACACTCTGGGCGACCAAATATGCTGATCCTGCGGATCGGTTGGGAGCATGGGTGTGCTTCAACCGTGGTAGTGCTAGAATAGAAAATGCTCTGACCAGGGGAGCACACACTCTGGCACAAGTGTTCATATGATTCTCAAGCGCTGATTGAACCAGTCCTACCTGCTGTACCAATAAAAGCTACAAGCATACAAATGGCAACATCGATTCCTTTTGACACCCCGTGCTTGCGAAAATCAACCAGATCGCTCCAGTTGAAGGTCATCAAGGTCCATACAGCAGTTCTCACACAGGCAAGTCACCGGACACAGCGGATGAGCAAGATTGTAGCAAAATGTCCAGGATTGATGTAGACCGTCGTCGCAGAGCGACCGTCCATGAAATCAAGGCATCAACCATTGGTCCAAGGATGGTGTGTTGTAGTCATCTCGGCGCACGTGTGCATTAGTAATGGTGTCATAATAATAATACAGGACAACCCAGCGATGTGGCCGCTCTGTTTTCAGAAGTGTTGTGCCTCCTGGTTGGCGAGGGAGGGAGGCTGACGACTGCGTGCAGAATATCCAGAATCGTGGTGACGCACGTTCTACAATCCATTTGGGAAGGAAGCAGAACAAAACCGCGACTGCTGGTGGCACTCCAGGATGTCTGGTGAGCCGTGGGGCTCGTTCCCTCCTGGGAGCGCGCCACCGCCGCCGGAAAATGCTTCAACCTCCAGCCAGTATGGCGCAGGGCCCAGCAGTTCGATTCCGGGGCCGGATCAAGAGGCCCTACTAACTGAAAAGGTGTGACTGCAAGTCAGACTAAAGTTGTGTGGCCGATATAATTTTTTACATTGATCATTCATGTTCTCATTTCTATCCTGGCAGTGTTTGGTGTGCCAGTGATCAGTGATGTATGGAGTTTTTTGTGCATCACTACCTTCTGACAGGTTCTTATCTCTGGCACATACTTTTTTTTCTGCATCCCGTCTAATTGTATGTAATTAGTTGATGCTTAGCAAGCATGTGTGTCCAGGCGAGGAAGTGGCAGCAGCTCAATTCCAAGAGGTATGGGGAGAAGCGGAAGTTTGGGTTTGTGGAGGCGCAGAAGGAGGATATGCCTCCTGAGCACGTCAGGAAGATCATCAGGGTGAGTGAGGCAGCTGCCACTTACGCTACTACTATGCTGCAAAGTCATCGAACGTGAGTGCTTTGCTGCTAGACTTTGCTAGGTGTGCCCGCGTATGGAGATCCTGACGCAGTTTGCTATTCATATCTGCAGGATCATGGTGACATGTCTTCCAGAAAGTTCCGCCACGACAAGCGGGTGTATCTGGGAGCGCTCAAGTTTGTGCCGCATGCTGTGTACAAGCTGCTGGAGAACATGCCCATGCCGTGGCAGCAGGTGAATTTCCTGTCCAATCCTGTAATTCCGGGAGAGCTCTACTCCTGATGCTTGCTTGCCAGTATACTAAGAAGTTGTTCATGAATGTGAGCTCTGATGTGCTCATTACTTACTTCATGGAATGCTTGTTGGGAGCAGGTGAAGCACGTGAAGGTGCTGTACCACATCACGGGCGCGATCAGCTTCGTGGATGAGATCCCTCGCGTCATCGAGCCGGTCTACATCGCGCAGTGGGGCACCATGTGGATCATGATGCGGCGCGAGAAGCGCGACAGGCGGCACTTCAAGCGGATGCGGTTTCCGCCGTTTGACGACGAGGAGCCGCCCCTCGACTATGCAGACAACTTGCTGGTGCGACATTAGACTCCTGCGCCGCCAACACCTTGATCAAGGATCGCTAGGTCCTGCTTGTGCTCAGAGCAGCACTGCTGCTCAGACAGGAAGGCGCGGGGAGTTTATAGCGGATATTCTGCATTCTGAGCAAGCACACTGGAGCTGAATGAGTGCTATTCCTTGTACAGGATGTCGAGCCGCTGGAGGCCATTGAGCTGGAGCTGGATGAGGAGGAGGATGCGGCGGTGTACGAGTGGTTCTATGATGACAAGCCGCTGCAGTACACCAAGTTTGTCAACGGGGCAAGCTACCGGCGGTGGCGGCTGCCGCTGCCGGTGATGTCTGCGCTTTACCGGCTGGGAGGCCAGCTGCTGAGCGACCTGACGGACCAGAACTACTTCTACCTCTTCAATACAAACGCGTTCATCACGGCCAAGTCGCTGAACATGGCCATCCCCGGCGGGCCCAAGTTTGAGCCGCTGTTCCGGGACATGGACACGCGCGACGAGGACTGGAATGAGTTCAACGACATCAACAAGCTCATCATCCGCTCCCCAATCCGCACCGAATACAAGGTGAGTACCGGCGTGCAAGTCCTTGGTCACAATCGAGGCCGCATGCATTCTGAGCAGTCTGCTCAAGGAGCTGAAGAGTTTGGTTGCTTGGGTCACACCTCTTGACGAGCTGCCGAGTGAGTTTTGCTCTGTGTAGGGCGCTGTCCAGCTTTTATTGCAGCCCAGCCCTGATGGATCCCCTCGGTGTTGTTTTTGATAAGCTGCTCAGTGATCTTAGCAGACTTGTGAGAGTCATGTTGTTGGGCATGCAGGTGGCGTTTCCGTACCTGTACAACAACCGGCCGCGCAAGGTGCGGCTGAGCCCGTACCACTACCCCATGGTCATGTACATCAAGATGGAGGACCCCGACCTGCCGGCCTTCTACTACGACCCCCTCATCCACCCCATCGCCTTCTACAAGTCCGACGCCCCCACCGGCACAGAGGCCCTGGACGACGATGAGGAGGACGCATTCACCCTCCCAGAGGGTGAGTGGCACACCCCCATTACTCCTGGCTGCTTTACATGCAGACCTCACTGTCTTGCAACTCGCTGCCTTTGCTGATTCCACTTGGTGTCTAGAGCAAAGTTTTCTGGTGACAGGCAAGCTGCTGCACTGGGCATCTTTGATTTGAAGATTGTGTGTGAGCTTATGGTGTGGGGCGAGATCGTGGCTCAATGTGCGTGCGCAGACGTGAACCCGTTCCTGGAGGAGACGCCGCTGTACACGGACAACACAGCGCAGGGCATCGCGCTGCTGTGGGCGCCGCACCCCTTCAACAAGCGCTCGGGGCTCACCAGGCGCGCTGTGGACATCCCGCTCGTCAACTCCTGGTTCCACGAGCACTGCCCACAGGTGTGGCCATGGCCCTCTGTAGCCTTGGTAAAGGCCTGATGCAAAAGGCCTGACAGTTCTTGATGGGTTTATTGTTAAACCAAGGTTCATAGTTAAAACAATGTTGCCTTGGCCCAACAGATGCGATGGGAATAAAGCGTTTCTGATTTCTGTGTGCTTTGCGCGCGCAGAACAACCCGGTGAAGGTGCGCGTGAGCTACCAGAAGCTGCTGAAGCTGTTTGTGCTCAACAAGCTTCACCACCGGCCGCCGAAGAACATGAAGAAGAAGAGCCTGTTCAAGGCACTACGCGCGACTAAGTTCTTCCAGAGCACGGAGCTGGACTGGGTGGAGGCTGGGCTGCAGGTAATCTGTTTCCTGGCCATTGGTTTATGATGTCTCATCAGGCAGTGCTGCTGATGCAAGAGGCATTTCTAGCTGTATATGGTAATGCAGAGAAAGCGGTGAGGAAGTTTTTTGTAGAGACTGAGCAAAGATCTCTTTGTGGCTGCAGGTGTGCAGGCAGGGCTACAACATGCTGAACCTGCTGATCCACCGCAAGAACCTCAACTACCTCCACCTGGACTACAACTTCAACTTGAAGCCCGTGAAGACGCTGACCACCAAGGAGCGCAAGAAGTCTCGCTTCGGCAACGCCTTCCACCTGTGCCGTGAGATCCTGCGTCTCACCAAGCTGGTCGTGGATGCCAATGTCCAGGTCAGCATCTCTAGTACCAGCCTTCTCTTTCTCTAAGCCCGGCATGGCATGTTTAATGTCCGGACAGTGTGCTGTTGCTTGACATGTCACACCATCAGCTATCTCCCCATGGAAGCCCTGCAGGGCGTGGACCATATCCAGGCAATGTGCTGTGTTTGTATATGCTAATCTTGTTGTTGTTAGTCATCATATTGCCTCATTGAATCATCTTCTTTCATGGTGCAGTTTCGGCTGGGCAATGTGGACGCGTTCCAGCTGGCAGACGGCCTGCAGTACACCTTCTCACACGTGGGCCAGCTGACCGGCATGTACCGGTACAAGTACAAGCTCATGCGCCAGATCCGCATGTGCAAGGTGCGCTGTGCTTTCTTTACGTCCTTCCTGCTCATGCTGTTATCTCATCCCTGCTCACTGGTTCAGTGGGCGAGTTTGCAGAGGTGGCCTGCTCATTGAACAAACCATTCTGGCTTGCCAGTACTCGTATAATGCCTGTGAGGTGCATGAATTATTAAACTAGGAATGATGTTCCTGCAGGACTTGAAGCACCTGGTGTACTACCGGTTCAACACGGGCCCCGTGGGCAAGGGCCCCGGCGTGGGCTTCTGGGCGCCCATGTGGCGCGTGTGGCTCTTCTTCCTGCGTGGCATCGTGCCCCTGCTGGAGCGCTGGCTGGGCAACCTGCTGGCGCGCCAGTTCGAGGGGCGCCAGTCCAAGGGCGTTGCCAAGACCGTCACCAAGCAGCGCATCGAGTCCCACTTTGATCTGGAGCTGCGCGCTGCCGTCATGGTGCGCCACCATGCTGCCTTTTTCTTCTAGATGCATGCACGCCTGCCTGCACCTGGACTCGTCCACACTTTTCCTGCTGAGTTCCTTACACATTTGAGGAGCAGGGGTGTTGAAACTGTTGTGTTGGTACTTGCAGCACGACATCCTGGACATGATGCCCGAGGGTGTGAAGCAGAACAAGGCGCGCACCATCCTGCAGCATCTCTCTGAGGCATGGCGGTGCTGGTGAGACCCCCTTCCTCATTTAAACCTTCCTGTTGCTGTGGATGTGTTGTATTTCGGAACATACATGTTTTTACTCCAGGTTGTTTGCATCAAAGTTTGCAACGAATGAATTACTGTCCCTGACCTGTCCATACAAGGCATTGATGGCGCTGTGTTGGTGGTGGCTGCAGGAAGGCAAACATCCCTTGGAAGGTGCCGGGGCTGCCGGCGCCGATTGAGAACATGATTCTGCGCTACGTGAAGCAGAAGGCGGACTGGTGGACCAACGTGGCGCACTACAACCGCGAGCGCATCCGCCGCGGCGCCACCGTCGACAAGACCGTGTGCCGCAAGAACCTGGGCCGCCTCACCCGCCTCTACCTCAAGGCCGAGCAGGAGCGCCAGCACAACTACCTCAAGGTGCACATCTGAGCCCTGCAAGACTCCTGATTTCCGCGTCTGCAGAAAATATCCAGTATTTGAAGGGCATGGTCTCTTGCGGAGACCCTTGCAGGGGCCTGAAGAGGACTGTGTCTGCGCGGTCTCATCTGTGCCTGGTCCTTCTTGAAACACCAATCAGCAGCATCATATTGTGAGCATCTGCTCCCCAGTCTACAGTCTTGTGGCATGAAGATGCACTTGCAGTGGCGCTGGGCAACTGTGTCTGAGTGTGCGGTTGTGCTTTGCAGGACGGTCCATATGTGACACCTGAGGAGGCAGTGGCGATCTACACAACAACGGTGCACTGGCTGGAGTCACGCAAGTTCAGCCCCATCCAGTTCCCGCCGCTGTCCTACAAGCACGACACCAAGCTGCTCATCCTGGCCCTGGAGCGCCTCAAGGAGCAGTACACCGTGGCCGTGCGCCTCAACCAGCAGCAGCGCGAGGAGCTTGGGCTTGTCGAGCAGGTGGGGGCCTTGTTCGCCAGCTTTGCCCAGGACATACCGGGACATTCCTACGTCCTGCACTTTACCAGTTTGGCTTATCCATGATGATCGTGCCTGCTCTTGCCTGAGGGTGCAGGGGTTGAGGTTGTGTTTTGGCTGTGTAGGCATATGACAACCCCCACGAGGCGCTGTCCCGCATCAAGCGGCACCTGCTCACGCAGCGCACCTTCAAGGAGGTCTCCATCGAGTTCATGGACCTGTACAGGTGGGCTCTTCTGTCTTTTCTTCCTGCATCGTCACACTTTAATTGGTGCTCTTCCCAGTCCACTCTGCTCCTTCTAATCCCAGGCAGTGATGTGTGTGCGCATTCCTTGACGCCCATTTTCCGTGCTGCGCAGCCACCTGATCCCGGTGTATGAGATCGAGCCGCTGGAGAAGATCACTGACTCCTACCTGGACCAGTACCTGTGGTACGAGGCGGACAAGCGCCACCTTTTCCCCAACTGGGTCAAGCCCGCTGACTCCGAGCCGCCGCCGCTGCTCGTCTACAAGTGGTGCGCACCCCGTCGCTTCGTTTTGCGGCAGCCATTGCCTGCTTGCTTGAGAGATGCTGTCACTGGTGGCCACTGTAAGGACGACACATGCCTGCCACTCTAAAATTGGTATATTTGGGACCATACATACTGAGTACGATGAAAGCAATGAAGATTGTTTGGACTGACTTGGGTTGTGGTCAACAGGTGCCAGGGCATCAACAACCTGGCGGACATCTGGGACACCAGCAATGGAGAGTGCGTGGTCATGATGCAGTCCGAGCTGGAGAAGATGTTCGAGAAGGTGTGCCTCGTGCTTATGCTGTATTCAAGATTTATTAATCGCTCACCACATAGCTGGAGCTTCTACCAGGCACTGAGGTCCAGGTACTTGGGATGCAATATTTGCTTTTGCTCCATTTATTGCATGCATGCAGACAGTGCTGAGTTGCTGGCATGTGCTATGCCAGGTGGACCTGACGCTGCTGAACAGGCTGCTGCGCCTGATCCTGGACCACAACATCGCGGACTACATGACGGCCAAGAACAACGTGGTGATTGCCTACAAGGACATGGCGCACACCAACGCGTACGGCCTCATCCGCGGCCTCCAGTTCGCCTCCTTCATTGTCCAGTACTACGGCCTTGTGCTGGACCTGCTCATGCTGGGGCTCACACGCGCCTCCGAGATTGCTGGCCCCCCGCAGGTACGGTCTCGCTCGCATTTGCCCTTCCAATTTAGCGGCCATTGTTAGTATGCAATTTAATAAAGCGTGCTTGCTTGTTCTTCAGCATGCATGTTGTGACATGGTGGACTTGAAGCTGACTGGAGAGCATTTGTCTGCAGATCCCCAACGAGTTCTTGACGTTCCGGGACACCCGCACGGAGACGCGGCACCCCATCCGCCTGTACTCGCGCTACGTGAACAAGGTGTGCTGCGCCCCGATTCTAATGGATCCTGTCCTGCCTGCATGTGGAAGGCGCTCAACTTTTCAGCATGTCTTCCCTTTCTGCCAGTGGCACATGTAAGAGCACATGGCTATCCTGCATCTGATATCTTAGGAACTGAGTACTCACTGGGCAATGCTTTGGTGCAGATCCACATCCTGTTCCGCTTCAGCGCGGACGAGGCGAAGGACCTGATCCAGCGCTTCCTGACGGAGCACCCGGACCCCAACAACGAGAACATCGTGGGCTACAACAACAAGAAGTGCTGGCCGCGCGATGCGCGCATGCGGCTCATGAAGCATGACGTCAACCTGGGCCGCGCCACCTTCTGGGACATGAAGAACCGGCTGCCGCGCTCGCTGACCACCCTTGACTGGAACAACTCCCTCGTCTCCGTCTACTCCCAGGACAATCCCAACCTCCTCTTCTCCATGTCCGGGTTTGAGGTGCGCTGACTCACCCGCCTACTTCTTGTGCTCCTTGCAAAATCTATCTGAATCTTTTTTCTCAGCTGTCTGAATCTTTTTTCTCAGCTGTCTTAAAAGGGTGGTGAGGCAAACTCATGCAAGCATGCAGTGCACGTATGGGGCACCATTGGAGTGTATCTCATGTGGTTTTTTCTGAAGTAAAAAATCCTTCGCTGATGTATGGTGAAATGCATGGACAGGTTCGGATCCTGCCCAAGATCCGCATGGTGGCGGAGGGCTTTGCCAACAAGGACGGCGTGTGGAGCCTGCAGAACGAGGCCACCAAGGAGCGCACGGCCCAGGCCTTCCTGCGCGTCGACGATGAGGCCCTCAAGAGCTTCGAGAACCGCATCCGCCAGGTCTGTAGCCTGTTCCCCTGACTTTACTTCATCTGTCCAGCTTGCATGCATCCTTCCCCTGGAGCAGCCTATAGCCCCATCTTCTCATCTGCTGTGTTGCGGCCTCATCATGCTTTGGGCTGCTGGGGCAGACAGCCTGGACATGGCCTCACACGCGGTGCAACTGTTGCGCAGGTCCTGATGTCTTCGGGGTCGACGACGTTCACAAAGGTGGCCAACAAGTGGAACACGGCGCTGATTGGGCTGATGACGTACTTCCGCGAGGCCACCGTGCACACCCAGGAGCTGCTGGACCTGCTCGTCAAGTGCGAGAACAAGATCCAGACCGTGAGCATCCATCTGCCATGCCTGCCTCCATTGCCTGCCACTCCAATCTTAATGCTATGGTAAATGTCAAGTGTGTCAGCCTTGCCATGCCCATGCATGCTGTTTCTGCAGCTTTCATTCAAAGCAGGCTTGCGCTGTGCTGACCATGGAGAGATTCAAGCTTAGTGTGGAAGCTGCTGGATGATTGGGTGCTCAGGAGGATTACGGGTGCTTTCACTGAGTGGTTGTCGTGTTTTGTGGTGCGCAGCGCATCAAGATTGGGCTGAACTCGAAGATGCCCTCGCGGTTCCCGCCGGTCATTTTCTACTCGCCCAAGGAGATTGGCGGCCTGGGCATGCTATCCATGGGCCACATCCTGATCCCCCAGTCCGACCTGCGCTACAGCCAGCAGACCGACCTGGGCATCACCCACTTCCGGGCTGGCATGAGCCACGAGGAGGACCAGCTCATCCCCAACCTGTACCGCTACATCATGCCCTGGGAGGCCGAGTTCACCGACAGCCAGCGCGTGTGGGCCGAGTACGCGCTCAAGCGCCAGGAGGCCCAGGCCCAGAACCGCCGCCTCACCCTCGAGGTGCACTACCTCGCGTATGCTCTCTTGCTTTTTTCACAACCTGGCTGCGGGCTTTGTTATTAGGGAGGGTTTTCAGAAGAAGACTGCAGAACTCTTGGAGGGTTTGTGTAAGAACTTGTTGCAGGCTGCATGTCCTGCTTTGCACCACCGTTGTGCAGGAGATGCTTGAGCTGATCAATTTACCCATAGGTTGTTCAGCGCATGGAGCCTCCTTGGGGCAACTGCACTAGAGGGATGTTTATTTGAAGGTCACAGAGGTGTTGACCGGCTGCGTGTATGGTGACTGTGCGCAGGATCTGGAGGACAGCTGGGACCGGGGCATCCCGCGCATCAACACGCTGTTCTCTAAGGACCGCCACACTCTGGCGTACGACAAGGGCTGGCGCGTGCGCACCGACTTCAAGCAGTACCAGCTGCTCAAGCAGAACCCCTTCTGGTGGACCCACCAGCGCCACGACGGCAAACTCTGGTCAGCCCCCACCCATTCGCACTGCCCTGCCTCCCCAGAAATATTCCCTGTTTCCTTCAGATACTAGCAGAGCAGCATACCTCTGTTGGCGTAGCTGGCCAAGCTTGAGCACTCTTCTCCACCGTTCCCTCTGGCCATGTAAGGGCTCTATGTGTAGCATGATTGGCATGACAATTAGGTGAATTGTGTGTTGCTTACCTGTGTTGGTGTGGTGTGCAGGAATCTGAACAACTACAGGACAGATGTCATCCAGGCGCTTGGTGGTGTTGAGGTGAGTGCATGCCTCTCCTGCTCTCGTAGATCACTTTTGCGACAATGAAATTCACTATGCTGGACCAACGTTGCATGCGGTCTGCATGTCGTGCGTCAGAGTTGTGTGATATTAAAAAGGCTACACTTAGCTGCTGCTATCGCCATATACTGACCCATGGCTGGTCCTTTACACAGGGTATCCTGGAGCACACCCTGTTCAAGGGCACCTACTTCCCCACCTGGGAGGGCCTGTTCTGGGAGAAGGCCAGCGGCTTTGAGGAGAGCATGAAGTACAAGAAGCTCACCAACGCGCAGCGCTCCGGGCTGAATCAGATCCCCAACCGCCGCTTCACGCTGTGGTGGTCGCCCACCATCAACCGCGCGAATGTGTATGTGGGCTTCCAGGTGCAGCTCGACCTCACCGGCATATTCATGCACGGGAAGATCCCCACGCTCAAGATCTCCCTCATCCAGATCTTCAGGTGAGTTGCCCACCTCCCTCTTCTATGCAGATCTCCTTCCTTTTCAAAGCAGTTCAGGTGCTTTGTGTGTGATAGGCTTGCTGCGCTTCGGACTGTGCTGCTGAGTCATTTGGCTGACGCTGCTTGTGTTGCTGCTTGCAGGGCGCATCTGTGGCAGAAGGTGCACGAGTCCGTCGTCATGGACTTGTAAGTGGCTCATATCTACCCAGTGCTCTTCTCACTGACAGGCTTTGGTGCAGACGTTCTTCTTATTTACAGGCTCAACATAAGAGTTACCACACAGTGTCTTTCAAGCAAGCAAGCAAGCAAGCAAGCACATGCTGCACGCAGGTTTGAGATGTGCCTGCTTCCTGCTGTACAGGTGTCAGGTGTTTGACCAGGAGCTGGACGCGCTGGAGATCGAGACTGTGCAGAAGGAGACCATCCACCCGCGCAAGTCGTACAAGATGAACTCCTCCTGCGCAGACATCCTGCTCTTCGCCGCCTACAGATGGCCCATGTCCAAGCCCAGGTCTGCACACTATCACCTTGTGAGCGCTATGTGCATTCCTCTGTTGTTCCCAGCTGCCGTAATGTTTAGATGTCCTGCTTCTCTACTGCTTGTGTGTAGCCAACATGAGCTGCTTCTGTGCAGCCAATATGAAGTCTGTGCATCCATGTCATTGCTCTAGATTATGAGTTGAGAGGGTCTGGTGCGCGCAGCTTGATGGCGGACACGAACGACATGATGGACCAGAAGCCCAGCAACAAGTACTGGGTGGACGTGCAGCTGCGCTGGGGCGACTACGACTCCCACGACGTTGAGCGCTACACGCGCGCCAAGTTCCTCGACTACACCACCGACAACATGTCCATCTACCCCTCCCCCACTGGTGTGGCCCCCGACCTGCACTTGTTCTTTGCCGCCTCTGTATGCATGTATGCGTGCCAGAAGCCCATGTCGGAGCCATTCTTGCAGACGTTCTTGCTTGTTGTGTTGAAAGCTTTTGCATGCCAGGCTCCCAAGATTGCAGCTTGCGGTCATGCAGCAAAGTACTGGAATTCTATTATGCAAAGTTTCAATTTTAAACAAGGGTGTGCGGATGTGCAGGGGTGATGATTGGCATCGACCTGGCGTACAACCTGCACAGCGCGTTTGGGAACTGGTTTGAGGGCGTCAAGCCGCTGATCATCCAGGCGATGGCCAAGATCATGAAGGCCAACCCGGCGCTGTACGTCCTGCGCGAGCGCATCCGCAAGGGCCTCCAGCTCTACTCCTCCGAGCCCACTGAGCCCTATCTCTCCTCCCAGAACTACGGCGAGCTCTTCTCCAACCAGGTATGCACCCCTCTGCCATTCTTCCAACCGCTACATGCTCTCTTTGCTGGCTGAAAATTGGTCAATAATTCCTCTATTGTAAGTGAGGTCTAACTGTTGCACCAGTGCACCTCTATGCAAGCATGTGTTATGCCTGTTCTGCGCATTGTTTGCTGCTCTTTAGAAGGGGTAGAGTTAGTGGAGGTGGCAGGGTTGCTCAGCCACTGAGGTGCCCGGCTGCATACGCAGATCATCTGGTTTGTGGACGACACGAACGTGTACCGGGTGACGATCCACAAGACGTTTGAGGGCAACCTGACCACCAAGCCCATCAACGGCGCCATCTTCATCTTCAACCCGCGCACGGGGCAGCTCTTCCTCAAGATCATCCACACCTCCGTCTGGGCCGGCCAGAAGCGCCTCGGCCAGCTCGCCAAGTGGAAGACCGCCGAAGAGGTGCGCTCACCCTTCTCCTGGTCCCTTACCTTTCCACTGCTCTGCTCAAGTGGATTGACTCTTCAAGCCAAAATGGCAAGAAGAATTTGAAAAGAGCGCCAACTCGTCCTGCCTGGGCTTTATGCATGTTTTGCGCCGGATTGCTATAGTCAGGGGGTTGCTGCAGTGAATATTAGACACAGTAAAATGCTTGCTGGTCCTGCCTTTGCCAGGTGCATCTGACGTGGCGGAGTTGTTAAGGTCAGCAAAGTAACGTGTGTGCGTGGTGACATGGCAGGTGGCTGCGCTGGTGCGGTCGCTGCCGGTTGAGGAGCAGCCCAAGCGCATCATCGTTTCGCGCAAGGGCATGCTGGACCCCCTCGAGGTCCACCTGCTCGATTTCCCCAACATCGTCATCACCGGCTCCGAGCTGCAGCTGCCCTTCCAGGCCGCCCTCAAGGTGCCCCTTTGAATCTCCTTCTCCTGGTCCCTTGTCCAGTGCCCCGTAGCGTGTTGCTTGTCATCTGGAGAAGCAGAGTGCAGGCAAAGCAAGCGCCAGGAATGAGGGAGGTGGCTGCCTTGCAAGTGAACATCATGCAATGTCGATGCTACAACCAACCAGCCCGCTACTCTTAGCATGGAACTTAGGGAGTAGGATAGTGCAATCTGAAGGGAATGCTGAGTTGTGGACTGTGGCTGCGCGCAGGTGGAGAAGTTTGGGGACCTGATCCTGAAGGCCAACGAGCCGCAGATGGTGCTGTTCAACATCTACGACGACTGGCTCAAGACCATCTCCTCCTACACCGCCTTCTCGCGCCTCATCCTCATCCTGCGCGCGCTGCACGTGAACGTGGACAAGGCGCGCATGCTGCTGCGCCCCGACAAGTCCATCATCACCGAGCCCCACCACGTCTGGCCCACCCTCACCGATGAGCAGTGGATCAAGGTGCGCCTCACTGCACCCCTTGCCGTCTTTTTACCCAGTGATTGCTCGCCTCTGGACCGGGAAGCGTGCACCTTGGGATACTCTGTGTGCATGCTTTCATGAAGCTGTAATGGTCTTTCGGAGTAGACATTATCTGTGCATGCTTTGACACTGCTGAACAATGGGCAGAGGGTCTGTTGGACTTCAACGATGCTGCATCGATGGTTGACCGTGTACTTGCTGTGGCTGCGCCAGGTGGAGATTGCTCTGAAGGACCTGATCCTGGCGGACTACAGCAAGAAGAACAACGTCAACGTGGGCGCGCTGACGCAGAGTGAGATCCGCGACATCATCCTGGGCGCGGAGATCACGCCGCCCTCCATGCAGCGCCAGCAGATCGCCGAGATCGAGAAGCAGGCCGCCGCCGGCACCCAGATGACCGCCGTCACCACCGAGACGCAGGTGCCTGCATGTGCTGCCTTGATTGCTCCTTTGCATGCTCGACTCCGTTTTGTTTGCTTAATTTGATCATGTACTGTGCGCAAGGCTTCATTTGAGGCTGGGGGCCAGGATCTTCTGCATGTGCTGGAACATCGGCCCAGCAGGGTTGGTGTTGTATGGTATCGTATCATGTGTTGACATGTGCCGGCATGTGCGCGCAGAACGTGCACGGTGACAAGCTGATCGTGACGTCGTCGTCGCCGTACGAGCAGCAGATGTTTGGGTCCAAGACGGACTGGCGCGTGCGCGCCATCTCGGCCACCAACCTGCACCTGCGCGTCAACCACATCTACGTGAACAGCGAGGACATCCGCGAGACGGGCTTCACCTACGTCATGCCCAAGAACGTGCTCAAGAAGTTCATCTGCATCGCCGACCTGCGCACCCAGATCGCCGCCTTCATCTACGGCGTCTCCCCGCCTGACAACCCGCAGGCACGCCCTTAACTCCCCACCCCTGATCCTGTCCTCGCCAAGCTTGTTGCAAAGCAAATGTTTCATGTGGCCGCATTGCCATTCTAGACGCTCTTCATTTGCTCTGGGTACTTTAGACTGTTGTGCGAATGTGTGGTAAGCGTGGTATTATGTCTTGGTTGGCATGGATATGTGAAGTGAGGTTGGAAGTTGCGGGGCTGCAGGTGAAGGAGATCCGGGCGGTGGTGATGGTGCCGCAGTACGGCAGCCACCAGCAGGTGAACCTGCCGGCCGCGCTGCCGGAGCATGACTACCTGCGCGACCTGGAGCCCCTGGGCTGGCTCCACACCCAGCCCAACGAGCTCCTCCAGATGTCCGCCCAGGTGCACCACCCCTGCATTTGCTTTTGACATGCTTTTGTACACCATGCCGGACGTTGTCTCGAGAATATTTGGGGACCATCTGAGATACCATTGCTGTGCCGTTAATGGTGACAAGGAAAGAGGTGTGATGGGAGACGGGAAGGGTGTCAGGATGATAAACTATCGAGTAGTTTGGGCGTGCTGAGGGGTAGGGCGTGCATGCATGCAGGATGTGACGATGCACGCCAAGATGCTGGAGGCGAACAAGAGCTGGGACGGCGAGCGCTGCGTGGTGATCACGGCCTCCTTCACGCCGGGCTCCTGCTCGCTGACCGCCTACAAGCTGACGCCCGGCGGCTATGAGTGGGGCCGCACCAACAAGGGCGACCTGGCCAACCCCGTCGGCTACAGTCCCAACCACTACGAGAAGGTCCAGATGCTCCTCTCCGACAGGTGCGGCCCACACTCCGTATAATCAATTACTCATGTGCATGGTTGGGTAGCGTGACCTTGGCACTTTAGCAGAGAGCATAGCTGTGTAGCAGATATCTATCACAAAAGACAGAAGTGCTTTGTTTTGTATGTGGGCAGTGTCAACAAGGGTGTTGTTGAGAGGGGTGCTGAAGAGGGGATGATGTGCGCAGGTTCATGGGCTTCTACATGGTGCCGGACGTGGGCAGCTGGAACTTCAACTTCCAGGGCGTCAAGCACCAGCCCACGATGAAGTATGGGCTGCGCCTGGCCAATCCCAAGGAGTTCTACCACGAGATCCACCGCCCCAAGCACTTCCTGGACTTCTCAACCAGTGAAGACATTGAGCCGGAGGCCGACAGAGAGAATCACTTCGACTAGGCCTGGACTAGCAGTGGCACTCTGGTTCCTGTCGCGGCCCTCAGGGAGTCTGTTTCATTGTGGCTGTGAGATCCTGTCTTATAGCATTCCAACGACTAGAGAGTGTTGTCTACAGTCCTTCTTAGACCTGGCTATCAGAGATACCAGGAAAATTGTACTATCAAGGCAACAGCGGCGTTCACTTTTTTTGACGTGTGTGCACGGGTGCGACGCCCTGAGTGACTACTTTTGACCAGACATCTTGACTATTATCAGAGGCATAAGGACAAGATACGCCTCTCTGCTTTGCTGCTATTTTGGCTGGCTTTGCTGCAATGGCTTTAGCTGCTCCCATAGGGACTGACATGTCTGTACATGATGTAAGAGCATTTCATGTCTGCAAGGTGGTGAAAATCTATGCACTCTGACTATGTTGTGACTCCATGCAATTTGATGTCAGCACAATCCTTGTATTTGGGAACTCTACTTGACCGATATCATATATCGTACAGCGTGTATATAATACGCATTGCAAGATAGCACCTTTACATGACAGGGCATTAAGAGGACCTCCGGCTGACACAACATGCAGAGCAACAAAGAAGCAATACATGCAGGAGAAGCCTGTTTTCAGAAGCCTGCCTTATGCTTCCTCGTGCCCTCCATGTCTCTGGCCTAGTCGAAGAGGGAGAAGCCCATGTCCTGCAAACACAGCAGAAACAACATAAGAAGCCAGCCAGAATGCATGAAATCAACAGCAACCCTGCAACTGCCAAGTCATCCGATCATGCAATCAAGTTTCATGTAGACGGAGAAGGGAAGAGCTCACCTCCTCCTCCTCTTCCTCCTCCTCCTCAACCGGCTTGGCCTCAGCCTTCTCCTCGGCAGCGCCGCCGCCGCCAGCAGCGGGGGCAGCCTCCACCACAAAGGCAGAAGGGTCCGCCAGGAAGGCCTTGACCTGCCGCAATGCACCACCCACAGATCAGCACACCCGCAGAGCATGCCATGAATCCACGTGAAAATTGCATCTTGCTTGCAACAGTGGCACTAAGGACTTGGACACCACTTATATCACAAGGGCAGGCACCTTCTCGGCGAGGGGGAAGTCGTAGTCGGTGGCAACGGAGATGGCAAGGACGTTCTTGTAGCCGTTGATGACGGAGTGGGGGATGGAGGCGAGGGTGGGGTAGCCCAGTTCCAGGGAGGCCGCGGCGATGCGCGTGATGGCCGTCATCACACTGTCCATCAGGTCCTCGTCCTTGATGTCCAGCACCTTGGGGTCGTACATCGCGCCGTCCTCAAACACCTGTGCACCCACCATAGAGCATCTTACATGAGGCCCAGTAGATCCCATGATCATGGGTATAGCAACTGTAGCAGCGGACTGCAGAGGCGAGCATAAGGACTCAAGGTGCAGCAAGCGGCCTGAAAGCCAGTTCCATAGTGTTAGGGCACTCCCAGAAATGCTGCCGCGCCATTTCAGATACACAGCAGAAGGGGGCATTGATCTGGAATGGATCATGAGGACAGTTGCGTGTACGGTCAGCGATTTAGGGATGTGGCAAACGCTCTGGGAGAGCTCACCTTGAGGAGGACGAGGCCGTACGAGAAGGGCTTGATGCCCAGCTTGGACAGCAGGGTGGCCTCAGAGCCTCCGACCTTCTCACTCGCCTTGATCAGGTGGACGTCCGACACAATTTCCACGGTACCCCTGTTAATCTTGGTGGGGATGTTGAGGGCCTGCACGACAGAGCACAGGCGACATCAGGCACCATGGCGCAATCTGACCAGATGGTATCATTATGCCAGGCTCCCCATGACATCAGCAAAGCCTGGCATGCAGCATCTGCCAGGCATCATGATGCACTTGAACACGGTGGCACTGACTGGGAGGGGGCTTGGCTGCTTGCCTGGAAGAAAGAGGTCTGAGAGGGGTCCAGCCCAGTGTTACCGGCAGGCACCACCACACTGTTGGGGGCCACAAGACCCACACGCGCAGGCGCACCGACCTTGTACTTCTCAATCTCATCCCTCAGCTGCACACAACAGGACAGTGTCTTAGAATGCGCACACAAATATATCACTTCTGCTCAGCAACAAAGTGGAATTTGAGGAGATGGAATGGTGGAGAATTACCTCAGCCAGGTCGGCCTTGGTGAAGATGAGGCCGACATTACCGACCAGGTGGTCCAGCAGGGCAGGCCACTTGTCATCTCCGGTTTTCTCACAGTAAAGGCGGATGGACCTCTTCATCATGGTGTTCTTGCCCATCAGCACAATGCTGTCGCCCACATCGCGCAGACCCTGTGGATAGTCGCAATTAAATATGAGCATGTGTGTATTGTGAGCGTACAAACTTTGCATGCGTATCAATAAATAGCACAGGGAACAGACATTCCAAGAAATCTAGGTCTCACCCTGCGGATGTCCATGAACTGCCTGGAGCCGACGTTGTCAGCATGGACGACGAAGCACTTGTCGTAGCCGTCGAGAAGCCCACACAGCTTCTCATCGTACTGCACAGCATAGCAAAGATGGTTAGCAGTTGCCACCCCAGAACCAGTAACACACCCAGCCGATCAGGCAAACACGGCCGCAGATGAATACTCTCAACGGTTTCATGTGATAGCAATAAAGTGCCCCCCTTCACCAATGCCTGTCACAAACTAGGCCAAAGAGCAGATTGCACAACGAGGAGCCCACCTCCTCCTTCTTGGAAAGTCTGTTTGCGGAAGGCATCTTGACAGTTGTTTAGCAGCAGGGCCAGACCGGGTAATCGACCGGTAGGCAACTTTAACCTGCAGCTTTGACGTGCAGGCGGCGGGCCTGGGCAAAAGAAGCCCAACAGTTTCGTCGCCGTCGGCGACCGATCATCAGTAAAGTACACGTCATCGATCCACCTTTCACAGATACTTTGCCGCACAAGAAGATAATTGCCCCATCGGCGTGTCCAACAAATGCCAATCCAATGATGCAGACCCTGTGACTGGAGGGCATTGAGTCCTAGGATCAGTGCTTGATAAGCCTAAGGCGACCATCGACGCATGCCTTTGTGCCAAGGAACCCTGCACAAATCATGCGTATCTTGTATATAGCAAGACAACCTTTGCAGCTTTATTGCATATAAAATGGGGACAGTACTTGGGTGACCGGCCGACAAGCTGTGAAGCGCGCACCAATGGCCAAGGCAGTGCTCGAAGTCCTTGCTGTGGGAGCCATTCAGCTCCCAGATATAGAAGTAATGCGGGGGTTTGGAGGTGCGTCAATGTGTCTGGTTTCATGTTTATGCGATGGCAATCTAGGCACAGAAAATACCGTTGTTCGAGGCGTGCAAAGATTGCGGGAACACAGCACCTTGAGCAAAACCCGTCCGTTCTCCGGTGCTGTTTTCACCCCTTCATGATTACCTCTTGCATGTCCCAATCTCTCTTGTCTGTGTCGCAGTGAAAATGGACTCGTACTTGGCTCTCCAGCTGGGCAACAGCACTGCCAAGACCAAGAAAGCATATGGTGAGCGCATACCCATGATGTTTGTTGGTTTGATTTGGCAGAGGGGCGATATTAATGCTGAGGAGTTGAAGTTGAAATTTTTTCACACGGGGCTGCTGATCCAGGTGGCGGGCGGAACCCCAACTGGCAAGAGGTGTTGCGTCTTGAGTTGCAGCCAGACACCCATGAACTCCTTATCAGCGTAAGTGTTCAAGCCAGGCACATCTTGGAGGATTCGAAAGCTTTGCTAACACATCCATCTAGCTTGCACCTTTGCTTCTGTTCTACATGGAAGTTGTGTCTTGGTTGCAGGTGCGAAAGTACAGCAAGATCTCGGCGCATGACGAGATAGCGCGAGGCAGCATTTCCTTGCCTGGCTGGGAGCAGCAGGGTGGACAATCCTGGGACCAGCGAGTGGCCCTGCAGCCCGCCCGTGCTGGGAAGGGCTCTGCCTGGGGAGGAGAGGTGCTCCTGAAGTTGCAGTACACCACTCTCCAGGTGTGATACAAGGAACTGTGGCAAGTATATTGATGCCTGCTTGGTGTGTTCTCCCAATCATATCTAAAGTTGATGTGTCCATTCCAGGAAGCATCCTCCACTTCTGATGTCACGTGGCCTAGCGCCTCGCTGGACGGCGCTTCCCAGTCAAATAGCCTGCCACCCCTGCCTGCCCATGCAAGCGGTGAGCAGTGCTTGCCCCTTCAAACAGTGCATATCCCAAATGTTATTGCGCTCGAGCGCTCTCACCTCGGTTTTGTAGCAGTCATGCTGTCTCTGGAGGTGAGAAACTTGCTCATGCTATGATGCTTTGTGACAGGTGGGGATCAGGCGCAACCTCTGTCATCAGCCGGGGCCAGTGCATCGCTGAGCAGGCTGATGAACAAGCTGCAGAAGCCCAGAAAGTCGCGTGTCACCGGTGACGCGACCCCTGTGCCAGTGTTGCCGCTGGACAGCGCTGATGGTGCGAGCAATGGTAAGAGACATTCACAAGCAAAACATGTCTGCCGTAGCTGTCATTTGTTAGATGTAGTAGCTTGCAAGATGTGATAATTTCGAGCCTGTACTGGTTCAAGATTTGACAGGATAATGTTGGTCTGCAGGAGAGACCTCCACGGGCCAGTCCCCCAGGCAGTTCTCACTGCAGAAGGCCCTGGACAAGATGCTCAAGAGGGTGGGAGGCAAGGAGAAGGATCGCGCCGGCTCCGTCGGAGAGCCAGGCTATGTGACTGCAGAGGACAGTGACACTGTCTCGCGTCGCAGCAGCATTGCCAGCCTGACAGAGCCCCCAATCCTCGTGCACGAGCCTCATGGCGCTGCTGCAGCAGAGTCTGCTCAGGATAGACATCGCGTCATACCAGGGTGGCAGCAGGTAAGCAGGATAGTACTGGCACAGTGCTGCGAGCCCAAGCTGCAGCCTATCAAGATGTTCATGGTAGCTACATGTGCCGCCGCTGCTGCTGCTGCTGCTGTTTTTGCTAGGTCTGGATCAGATTGAATTACATGTGGCCTGCTGAGGATTGGCTGTTTGGGGTGTAGACGGAGCAGGCGCCGGTCCTTCCAACGCACACCTCCACCAGCACACAGACCGACAGCCCTCGCCCGCAAGTGTCAGCCTCCAGCCATGCATCGTCACAGCCGTCCCGGGAGGCCCCACAGGAGGCGCTGTCCGTCCCTCGTCAGTCAGACCAGACTCTGTCGCCCCAGCCCAGCTCCCTCCAGAACGAGCCCATCTTTGAGGATAGGGCATCAGAGATGAGCACCGCCATTTCGTCTGTGTCCCGGGGCGTGCAGAGTTCCTCAGACGACCTTCAGGCGGTCTCAGCACTTCCAGCAGTCAGCCAGCACTCAGCCCGGCCTCCATCGTTCCCCACACCTCCCTCCCCCTTTGCTGCAGTCCAGGAGGAGTGCATCCTGGCGGATGCTGCGCAGGCCAGTCACAGCATGCCGCATGCCCACGCAGCAGCCTTGACCAGTGCAGAGCTCTCTAGCAGCGCAGAGGCATCCTTGACCAGCGCGCTTTCAGGTTTGCCTTCAGAGGGTGCCAATCACAGTGCTTCGGAGCCTGCAGCAATGGCAGCTGCCCAATCGGCTGAGGCAATCCCTGCAGCCCCAAGGGATGGGAGGGTATGGCTGGAGCACCTGGACACAGCCTACCGCAGGCTTCAGGGCAGCACAGATGCAGTGGGTACCAGCGGAAGCACGGCCTCCGAGATGAACGGCCACGCAGCGGGCTCTTCTTCGGGTTCTCCTTCAGTCAGTGCAGCATCAGCTGGGGAAAATCTCAGGAATGTGACAGTTCCAGAGGCGTCACGGTTCTCTGCGGCTCCACGATCGAGCAGCCAGGCGCACCCCATCTGCTCAACAGCGCGTGCCAGAGGCTTCATTGCGGTAAGTGTCCCATTGCACCAGAGCATCTGCATGGCTGGGTACTTTAGCCCAGCAGTCATGCCCTCTCCTTGGTGACATCAGTTTTGAGTACTTTTCATGGCACTGGTGCAGGTGCAGCCGCTAGGGAGTCCATTCGCAGACCATTCATACATGGAGGAGAGCAGGATACCGGGTCGCGGCTCGTTGCTGGCTCGTGACTCAGGGGCAGCCGGCCCTTCAGAGCTGCTCACCAGCTCATCTTCCAGGCAGATGGTGTGCATGGCAGATGAGGAGTTCCAGGCTGGCCTGAAGAGCATGCCAGCGCGCATCCCTCCCCTCCCAAATGCTATCAGCCAGGTGCTCACCCCACCATAATGCTGCCTGCCCTCAAAATCAATATGGATGACATCCTTTTTCTGCGTTTGTCTCGGCCACTTGCCAATCTCGCTGGCAACTCGGTGCAGCGTGTCAGGATTCCAAAAGTGGGCTGAACTGTGCTTTGTTTTGTGCAGGAGAATGGGTGTGGCAGTGAGGATGAGCATATGGAAGCAAGTGCCCCTGAGTTGCATGATGCTGAGGTGCCGCATGTTGGGCCCCTGCCCCTCCAACCCAGGCTGTCTGCCGCATTACAGGTACAATCTTCTTGTCCCTAGTTCCTTGCAGCAGCGCAGACCGGGGGAAGTGTAAGTACCACCATATCAGAGGGCTTGCATGCTAAATGCCTCAATACGTCTGCATTCATTTCATACTTCAGGTATGCGTTGCCATGACTAAACATCTCATGGCTCTTGCAGGATGAGGAGAATGAGCACGATGGCGCTGAAGGTGAGCAACCGCAGCCGCCGCCGCTGCCTGCAGGGCGAACGATGCGCAAAACACTGTCACGGAAGTCGCCGTTCCTGCCGGAGGTGCTGCAGGCGCTGAATGACTACAATGACATCGTGTTCTGCGAGGAATATGGCAAGAAGGTGCTCCTTGGCGAGGGATCTTTTGGCGAGGTGGGCCTTTTCATGTCAGTGTCTCGCCTTGAAACTTTATAGCAACCATTGCTGACACCGTCATTCCACTCCATATTGGCTACTTGTAACAATGCAACACCTGGGATCCTTGGTCAGCAGTGAAAGCTTTTGAGGTGCATTCCCATGTCCTGAGGCAGGCTATTGGCTGCAGGTGTACAAAGCCAGCTACCTGGACTGTGACATTGCAGTCAAGAAACTCAATCGGATCAATGACGCCAAGTCGGAGGAAGCCTTCCGGCAGGAGTGTGCCATCCTGAAGGCCTGCCGGCACCCCCACATTGTCAACTTCATGGGCGTGTGCAAGGATGAGGTGAGTTCTTCCTGCAGCATGCATCACCAATAACCTTATCTGGTACGCAATGTCATCAGGGTTGCATGGAGAGAGCAGGTGTGTGAAGTTCGGCCAGCTGATGTGACGTTGTGCTGCGCATCAGGTTGGCAGGATCTGCCTGATGACGGAGCTTATGGACACAAGCCTGATGAGCGCGCTGCTGATGCCGGACGATGCCAACAAGGAAGTCCACTACTACAACCAGTGAGTCCCCTGGCCCACTACTGTCTGCATTGGCACATCTTTGCACTGTGATGTTGGGCCGTACGTTCAAAGCGCCCATGAGAGAGTGCCTCAGTAATGATGGTGCCTTTGCAGGGGTCGCTACATTCTGATGTGTGTGGCCAAGGCGCTCATCTACCTCCACAAACATGACATTGTCCACCTGGTGAGTGCTCTCTTCCTTGTCTCTTGCTTGATGTTCTAATCCTATCACCATCATGTGCATGTGGTAGCTTCTTTTTACAGTATCACACATTTCAGGGGCGCTTGTTGCTGATGCTAGTGAGCTGGGTGCGCAGGATGTGAAGTCAGCCAATGTGCTGCTGAAGAAGGGAGATGCCAAGCTGGCCGACGTGGGCCTGTCCTTGATGCTGAGCAAGTCCTTCGCCAACTCCTGCTCTGGGATGGGCACCTTCTCCTGGGCTGCCACAGAGCTGCTCCTGGGCTCTCACCCTGTGAGTCTCTCTGGCACTCACTGGGTTTTTGCGCAGCAGATGTTTGATTCATATGTCTATCCAAGAGGAATGCCAAGGAAGACTCCCCGTGTATTAAGTGGATATGTTATGGAGGTTTTGCTTTGTTGATTGCAGGTGACCACAGCGTCGGACATCTTCTCCTTTGGTGTGCTGCTGTGGGAGGTGTGCACTCTCGATCAGCCGCATCTCCGCCACATGCGCGACATCACACCTGAAGAGGCTCCGGAGCAGATCCGCCAGCTGTTCTTCGACTGCGTCAGGGAGGACCCATACAGCCGTCCCACTGCAAAACAAGTCCTGCAGGTGTTGCAAGAGAATTGAGCACCGTCAGAGTAGGGTGTAGATTGTTGTGATTATAGTATGCCGAGCTAGGAATTGCTGCACCTGAATAAGAAAATTTCAGCAGTCCCTGCTGTCTTCTTTTAGGGGTGTGGATCCCCTGCAGGATGTCTTGTCGCAGTCTAGGGTCTGAATATAATTAAGGCCTTCGTTTAGAGGTAGGAAACAATTTTGAAACAAGGAACAATGCATCTTGTACATCATATGGTGCTTTTGATTGCTTTGCAATTTCCACGCTTCTACCCAGTGTTGATCTGAGTGTGGTGATAAGGAAACCCTAACACAGGAGCTTGTTGCCGCATTTGGCTTGAGAGCATACCGAGAGAATGGATGTCGTTTGAACTCATGAATCACAGCGCTGGAGTTGATGCAATGTATAAAGTACTATTGATATAAATGATGGTGCTGGAGAATGTCAGTAATAACAGGCTTGCAACAGCAGACAGGATCTCGTGAGTAGATGTTTAGAACTTAAAGTTCCATTGAACAACCATGACGTCAAGATCACCAAGATGGCCACGCCTGATCGCTATTGAGCCCACCTGCGCAAGCATGCAAAAGCGAGCTGCATGTCATAGAGAGAGAGAAACATTACATCGTGCCATAAATATTGTGTTTTGTATGCCCTTATGTAGGCTCAGTGAAATCTGAAAGTTTGTTCACGCCGTGCCCTCATTGGGCAGAGGGAACAATTCTTGGGAGCACTTTTCCAGCAGTGGCTTGTACCGTAGCTCCCGCTAGCTTCTATCCTAGTACGAATGCTGAATGACTCATGCTCATTTTCATCGCCATCTCCTCAATGTCCTGAATGTGTTGCTTATCCTGTTCTCTTCTGAGTCCGATCCTAGACATCAGGAGTAATGGGTCGCGCCACGCTTGCTGCTGTAACTGGCATCGGGATTGCAGCAGCATCGGGTCTGGCATGGGCAATAAAGCACTTCTTCAGGGACAAAGGCTATGATGACCTCGACAGTAAGACCTTTATCTTCTAAAAATCTATTTCCTTTTTTTTGCATGAAAAGCAGTGTGCCGAGCTCGTTCGTAAATACTGTGCCCCTGTTCAATCTGCGGATGTTTCTTGTCCAGCTGGCTGGCTCTCTATCTTTCAGCCATTCGTCAGTGCACTTTTATTCAGACTGCTGGATCAGGCCGAAACCGTATCTTGAGTTTGGGGTTGCAGGTGTCGTTTCATTCAGCTCCAGGTTGGTGGCAGGCATGCGCGCTTTTGAAGCCAAAGAAAAAGAGCCGCTGTTCTCGGATCCCCTAGCTGAGCTTTTAGCAGGTCGAAGAGGCATGGAGGCTGCAAAGACCACCATGAAGGTGCGCCATTTCCACTGTAGGGCGCCTCAAAACAGCACTCAAGCTTAAGAGATTGACAATGTCTAGATGTACGACATCATTGCACTGTTGCAATCATGCAGCACTTCGAACAAACGGCGGAGATGCAAGAGTCGGCAGCAAAATCCGACAGGATGTTCCTAGTCGGCCGTGTGGCTCTGCGCACGCTCTTCTATGATGATCACCTACTGGCAGCCTTGAAAGGTGGACCCAGACAGGTGGTGCTTCTGGGAGCTGGCATGGACTCCAGAGCATGGCGTCTGGACCTGCCAGAAGGTAGCTGATCTTGCCTAAGGCATTGCAAAGCACCGCATATCATCGTCGCGCCCCTCAAACGTGGCGCTTCAGGCCTTGAACATGCCTGAAATGCCGAGCAGGTACCTCGTGGTTTGAGATAGACAGGGCGGACGTTGTGGAGGCAAAGAAGAAGGTGCTTACTTCCGCGCAAGCAAGCTTCTCCGCTGACACTAGCAAAGGTATGAATCGCAATCATGGGACAAGCATGACGGTGTCCCATGCCTACTGTAACATGGATTTCTCTCGGTAGGCATTGCTGCAGCGCTTCACACTGTTACTGAAAGTGCAGGAGTGAAGTATCCTCTGCGGGCCGCCTCGCACAGCAGCTTTGATGTGGATCTGGGGACAGACGGGTGGACCAAAGAACTCATGGCAGTAGGATTTGACCCACAAGTCCCGACAGTGTGGATTGCCGAGGGGCTCTTCATGTACTTGTCGGAGGATGCTGTGACAGCTCTGCTCAAGGAAGCTCGCTCTGTGTCAGCCAAGGGCAGCCGCTTCCTCATCATGGTGACACATATCTCCTCTCCAGCTGTGCAATCAGCTGTGCATTAATATGTTCTGCTCAGTTATAAAAGTGCTCAAGGCTGCCATATTGTGACTGGAGGTGGGTTCGCTGTGGCAGGCCTTCACATCAGAGAATCTGGCAGAGTGGTATCAGAACAGCGCCACGCAGTTTCCTGTGCCCTGGGTGAAGGACCTGGCCAACACATTCAAGTCGGCGTTTCCCAGGGACGTGAAGCCCTACGTCAGTGAGAGGGGCTGGCAGGCGGAGAGTGTGTACTCTTATTCAAATCTAGCTGCCAAGTATGCCAAGGGGCTGCCATGGACTTCTGATCTAGGGATGACCTCAGCAAAGCATGACACCAACACAGCCTTCATTGATGCTGTAGTCATCCCCAGCCAGCCCGCGTGAAATCCCGCCTGAACTGCAATGCATGCTTATGGCAGCTGACTGCCAGAATGTGCTTTATGTGTGGCATAGAATTCTTGTCGGCACTGGCAAATTGCCAGTGGCTAGTCTCAAGGCTGGCCATTGCCGGCTTTCTTGTCTGTCGCTTGATCTGGTTCCAGAGCAAAAGTTTCTGAGAACGTGTTGTGTGCCAACAATGCTGATTCGGTGGCAGTCATCTGTAGCCACATGGAAGATCAAGATGGCCAAGTCAGCTGTGACGTATGAAGCGTCCTGTGGACATAATGTCCAGCATGGATTGTCATAGGCCTTGATGTTGTGATAGCTTGGGATATACTCAGATTGCAGCAGTCCTGTACAGTAATGCATCATACCCTGCATGTGGGTGCAACTCTGCACTGCAGCTGCAGAGAACTGCAGCTGCAGAGAACTGATATGGCAGCTAGGATTAATTCAATTAATTTGGGCAAAGGGTTTTTGAAGTACGTTTCTATGAGAAAATTGTCCTTGTACGTGTAGACTAATTGTGTAAAGATGTATCTCTGTTTGTCCTCAGATGTACGTGTGGACAAACACAGACACTTGAACTTCATTCAAAGCAGGAGGAATATTTAAGTCTTGGTATTTACGATAGATCAGCTTGCTCTATGCTCCAGCTTAGTCACTGATGAGATCCCTTCAAGGGGATTGTCTGTTGCTGCGCATGCCATTTGCATAGCCGTATAGCCACTGGCAGACTACCGGTAGTTACTATGGTCACTGCTGGAAGCTGGTCAGTTAAACTTGCCTGGTCACCCGCTGGTTGGCTCAGGACGTTCTTGACTGTCCACTTATTGAATGCTACCACCTAGAGTTGTGAAGGCAGTCAAAAAGGAAAGCAGGAAAATGCTTCTCCTCCATCCCGTTGGCACTGCAGCTTCCAGCTTCATGGAAGCTGTCGTCAGGGATGTGAAGCAATGGCTGGGATCTTTGCTGTCCTTCCAAGAAGAGCCCTGGGATCAATGACATAAAGTCGAAGGAATTGATAATGCTACTGAAATACATTCGTTAGATTCAGATAGACCTGACGAACCACCCAAGAAATCCAACTGGACGAAAGTATTCCATACATGGATTCAGGATGATGTGACATCCTGTACAGCCAATTAGATGCCAGCAGAACGGCAGGATTCCCGTTCAGAGATTCACTGGAGGCACTATGCATGTTGTGACTTCCTGGATCCCCATGACCTCTTCAAAGACAGGGTAAGACACTGCAGGAGCCACTGTGTACTCTCCCTATTTCTTTCTTACCGGTACTTTTATGTAATACTTGAGGTAAAATGCTGGACTGCAGGTTTATAATGCCTCAAATTGGCAGAGGCATAGGTCATGGAGACGACACATGCCCGAAGGCCTTGCCTGGTGCTAATCCATGATGCATTTTCTGACGTATTGAATCTTTGATGTTCATTGAGAAATTATAATTTAGTACCCATATTCGATGGCATTCAAGCATTAGAACACAATGTAAATGACTGGCCAGATGTCCTCAGTCTGCAGGTGTTTGCCTGGTACTGGCCCCCAGTTGTCTTCGTGGGATTGATTGGCGTTTGTGTTGGGCTGTATCACACGTTCCTACAGCCGCTGGGCGCTCCAAACATCACGAGGGATGACCTCACTGTGCCGTTTACCATCACTGGCTTTGCTCTCTCGCTGCTGCTTGTCTTCCGTACAAATACCAGCTATGACAGGTGCGCAGCATCAGCCTTGCATTCTATGGTCGACTGCTGCACTGCAGACAGTTCCATACATACAAATGTGAATATAAGGTACTTTGAATGTCATGCATGCATGCTGTCAGGTGGTGGGAAGCCCGGAAGATGTGGGGCCAACTGTTAAATATTACCCGCAACCTAATCCGCCAGGTGTGCTGTCTTAAATTGCTGCCTGGTGGTGCAGTGCATGTACTGGCTGTACTGGCTGTGCAGCCCGTTCGTGGCCTTCTGGGTCACAAGTCAGGTACTTGATATCATAATTCTCCATTGTTTGTGCCTCTGAATGCTGTGCGCATTGCAGGTGCTCACATGGGGACCTTTGGAGCAAGCAGATCTGAAGCAGAAGATTGTGAGATGGACAATTGCAATGGTGTTTGCTCTGAAGGCACACCTGCGGCGGAGCAGGAACATGACAAAGGACCTGGAGGTGCGTTCACAAGTGCCATCAGCACATCAAGAACCCGGCAATCTGAGTTCCTTGGGAGAAGAGCATATGTTTGTGCCAAGTTGCAATGGAATACCGCAGGCTCAGGGGTGCTGCCATGCTGCAGGATGTCCTGCTTCCACATGAGCTGCAATGGCTTCACAGACAGCAACACTTTCCAGTTGCAACAACTCAGGTGCTGCCTTCTCTCCTGGCTTGAGCACCTGCACTTTTGCCCTCCATTTGAGATGGCTTCTTGCTCACTGAACCGCCTATGCTCACATCGGAATGCGTAACAGCACAGTCGTTTGGCAATTTCTCGTGCAAGTGAGAGAACATGGTTGAAGTTGCTGCAGCCAACGCTCTGTGCAGGTCTTATCAGCTGCTGTGAAATTGCTGGACGTCCCAGACTTCCAGAGGGTCACTATAGACCAGGAGATCTCTAACTATCACATGAATCTTGCAGCTTGTGAGCGGTTGTTTGGGCAGCCCATTCCTGTGGCATACACCCGCCACACTTCTAGGTATTCCAGTTTGACACTCATTCATCTGTCTGAATTTTGCCCAGGTTTGCCCATGCATGGCAGGGCAGATGAGGCGTTGGTCTTCTGCTTGGTCAAGAAATGCTCCAAAAATGACATCCCTGTCTAACGTGGAAGGCTGTCGTCCCTTGCAAACAAGAGATCCTCTGTGCAGGTTCTTGATGACATGGGCTTCATTCCTTCCGATCGCCCTGTACTTTCGGTACCAATGGTTCACGCCACTTGTTTCTGCTGTGATTACTTTTCTGCTTTTTGGCGTGGAGAACATTGGCGTTCAGGTGGGCTCTTTTTACCGTGAATAAGTTTATGTCCTCATGTCTTCCCATTGATGTGTAGCACAATATGGATTCTGAATGTACAAGGCTGATGCTTGATGTGTCCTCTGTCAGATCGAGCAACCTTTTGATGTGCTGCCCCTCCGGAGCTTCTGCCAGACACTCAGGACAACCATTGAGTCAATGTCGGCATGTCAGTCGGAAGCGTTTGATATTCTGACACAGCCGCCTCCGCTGCAGGCACCAGACATCGTCCACATGGTGAGAACAATCCTACTCTTTTCTTTCTGCATGATGCTCTTTGCTAATATGACCTGAGGAGAAGTCTGGGATAGACTGTATTGCAAGTGTGATTGATACTGTGTGGTGAACTGCAGGATAAAGGTGAAAAGAAGGAGACAGTGGTGGATGTGGGACCAGTGAATGGCGTTCATTAGGCCTCTTGGTTGCCATATCACAGCCCAGAAAGCCTCACTGCTATGAGCTGGTTCACCGTGCCATTCTGGCCTTCCACCAAGTAAGCCGGACTTTGCAGATCAAATGAGGTACTGATAGCTGTGTACTAGATCCTTGTTTTGCCTCACAGGCTTGTCTGCTTTGTTTTGTCTTCTGATCCATCTTACAACGACCATTGTGCATGTGTACTTGGTCACTCTCATGTGGGACCACTCGATGCATGGGTCGGCCAACAGTGTTTTTTTTCTGTTGGTAGTTGTTACTCGTTCAGATCTGCAATCCTATGTCAGGTGCTGACCTTCACAGCGTCCTGCACCTAAATGCATGGACGGGGTTGGTGATCTAGTAGACGATATTTGTGCAATGACTAGTCCTCAATGCCGGGAATCCTTCTGCAGGCCTATAAGGCTCATTCATTGCCAGTATCTATAAGCTCAGATGACTTTGATGTGACCTCGATTCCATCATCCTCAGGATTTGCCTCTTGTGTTCTGCCTGGGCTGGGTTCCTCTGGTGACTGCTGTTGGAGCATGCTAGCTCTGAGGCCCCTTGCATCAGCCTCCAGGGACTGCCATAGAGTACGCATCTTGCATGCCTCCAAATACTCGCCATTGACATCATCCATGGATGCACCGATGAGTGCTGCATACGGAATTCGAGTCCTGGCGCAAGCAGTAAAGAAATTTACGAAAGGAGCATTTCTTTGCTGCAACAAATTCAGGCAAGAGTAAGATGCTCAGAGTTTGCACGCTGGCCAATGGCTGCAACAACACTGGGGCATGTGCGCGCACCTGGAACGCTCTTCAATGTTGTAGCACTTCAAATCCCAGTCCATCCCACTGGACAGAATGGTACTCAATGTGTCATGGCTTGCAGCTCCACCATCAATGCTGTCATTATTGTCAGAGGCCTCTGCCCCTGTCTGTAGGCCCTGTCTTAACGAAGCAACCTTGGACAACATGCCCTGGCACAGCACAGCAGCACATCAGTGTCAGTGTGTCTCATCGTGTGATGTCCTTTCCACTCTCAAAAGCTGATCCTGAGCTTTGGATTCAGACGCTAAGAATCTTTTTTCAACCTTTTGCCAGCCAATTATGCATTGCCCCACCTCCAAGTTAGCCATGTCTGTGGCGCGCATGCGCTCACAGAGCGCTCTCAGCCATCCCAGCGCCTCCTCCCTTATGGCAGATGCGAGCGTGCCGACACTGACACGCACATAGCCCAGAGCCACACTGGGCTGAAGCGTGCCCAGCTCCTCAGCAATCTTGGCATAGTGCGCCATGCGCTGCTCCCACACCTCACACCCTGGCAGCTTCGCCTGAGCATCGGCAATCAATCTTTTGTCATGTTGCATCCTCTTAGCGAGAACAAGAATGTACAATTGTGGTATTTGGACCCCCCTGAAAAATGCCACCCACTTCAAGAGGTATTCTTGTCCGCCAGCATGCCAAAGGTGAGTGAGGATTGAGGGATGCAGCACCTGGAATTTGTCCAAGGCAGCAGCCTTGTCGCTCTTCCAGAGGCTCTGGTGGCGCTTCCAGCCCTCGCAGTACTGGTGCAGGCTCACCAGCACACCCCGAGCTGCCTGTGTCAAACCCGCCAGGCTCTTGCGAAGCTCTGGGTTCTGGCAAACGACTATGTGAAAGCTGTGCACAAAGGGCTCCTCGTCCTCGACACCACCTGCTCCAACTCACACCCCAAGGCTCTTCACTGCGCCTCCGACCGGCCAACACTCTGCAATACAAGCTCCTGGTATCACAAAAAGCAGGGACCCCTGAGGGTGATATTAATGGAATGAAGTGTGATGTGGGTGGCTGTGACCTTGAATGGGTTGGGCTTCCAGGCAGGTGCCATCCATCCAACGCACAAAAGGCTTGGTGCTCTCCATGACACGCAGCGCAAGCCGGGCCAGGGCTTTCTTTATGTCTGCTGGCGTGGGCTGCATGATGATGTCCGGGTAGCTCAAACGCAGCACCACCTGCGGCAGCAGTCCTACATACTTACAATGCAGGACCCAGCTTGCTCAGTACTTGCATGAGTATGCCTGTTTTGGGCGGCCAAGCTCTCTTCAAGGATTGTTAATAAGAGGAGCTCAAGCAACATGTCCAATACTGATAAGGTGTGTTGATATACCTTGAACAGTGGAGACCCGCGTTGCAGCTCATCAGTAGAATCTGACAGCATTGCAGTCATGCTTCTCATGCCCCGAAGGACCAGAGCATTGAGTGCATGGAAAATGGCGCGCTCCCAATGAGCATAGTAGGCTGCCAATTTGGGGCATCGGCCTCCATTTGTGCCACAGATCGCCTCCTCCACCTTCCTCAGCATGGGTGTCATGCTCTGATAACCCTCCACAAGCTTCCCAATCACCTGTGCAAAATGTTTTTATACATGAGCATGTGCATGTGCATGCACTTGTGTGTTGCCTTTCCACAACACCTCAGGGCTCCTAAAAATCCGGCTTGTGTTTACCTGGTCATGGCGTGCTTCCATGCTCTCCACAAAGTCCTGTAGATCTGGGACTTCAGCATCAACGCTCAAACCTGGCTCCTTGAAGACAATAGTGTGGGCGATGGCTGCCACTTCCCGCTCAAGCGCCACACCATTCTTCCTCACAGTGCTCCATGTTGCTTTGAAGTCTGCCAATGCCTGCACAAAGATTACAGTAGTAATGACCTCCTTCAAGATGCAGTTCCGACATGGGCACGGGAGGTACCCTTATCTAGGACTTGTGCGCTTCTCTGCTCACCTTTCTGACGGAGACCACAAATGCTGGGATGCTGAGGGAGTGCCAGTTCAGGACGAGGATGCCTGGCTCTATGACCTTGTGAAGGCTCTCAAGCTGAGAGACCAAGAGCACCTTCTCAATCTCAGTCATATCGTCCACCACCTACACATTGGGGTCAATACACAAGATCTAAGATTTATTCCAGTAAGTGTTTCCCTGAAACAGTGAATTCACTCGAAAGCCTGACAGGGAGATCTGGGATATTTCAGCATGCCTTGTTGTAGTCTGCGAGCATGGAGGCCAGGGATTCCTGGATGGTGAGCAAGTGGTCAGCATGCAGAACAGCATGCAGAGCCGCCTCTGGGATTGCGAACCCCAGCCGATTTAGCGCCCTTGCTTCCCTCATGAGCAGGGCCATCTCATCGCTTATATTCACCTCAATCCTGCACCGCAAACACACCAGAATGAGCAAGGTGCATGTGCATGCATGCATGACAGTAATAATGCCAAGAAAAGGAATCTCTATCAGATCAGAAATATCGGCGAGGACATACTTGTTCCTGGTGGTGTCTTCTCTGAGCACAGGCATCTTCATGTGCGCCCTGGATGCTTCATCTGCGCTCTCGAGCCACCCTTGTGATGCATGCTTCTCAAACTCCATCATAACCCTTGCCAGCGCTAGATATTTTGCCTCAACCTGCACCATCAACCGGAACAGCCAGTCAACTTATAAGCGGGTCCATCAGCAAGATGAGCAAGGTAGGACAGGCTGGAAAAGAAAGGCAGGACAGAACTGATGAAAAAGAGACATCCTGTGGTCATGCGATCTGGCATCGTATGTTCGTTGCAAGCAAGATGCACGTATTTGTGTAGTGTGACGGCTGTAGATCTCGCCTCAAGTCCAGCAGGCCCCAGCAACGCTTCAGGCTCCTCAATTTTCAGGCGACTCCATGTGCGCTTGCAGCGCGCAAACAGAGAGCGGCTCCATCGGATGTTGCCGGCCACTGGTGGCTCATTCCATGCCAGAAGGGGATAGGCCTTCACAGACATACTGCCATGTCTGTCACTCTATTCAATTGCGCAATGGGCACCAGTGCAATGAGCACATGCAGCAGGAGGCTCATCTCATATTGTGTCATCTTGGCTTACCTTGTTCTCGTGGAAGGTTGTTGCCATGTTGTCAATCTCCTTGCCTACTTGCAGGACTATGTCAGTCGATTTGGACAGCATCTTCTGCTGCAGAGCCCCGCCAGATCCCAGCTGCTTCAACCTGCCCATAAAGTCCAGTGCCGCTTCTGCACTCCTGAGCTTGCTGCAGCACACACAGCATTGGTTTCCACCAGACCTCGAAAGGTCATCAACAATTGCAGAGGTGCGGTGATGCAGTCAGATGATGAACTTTAGCACCTGAAGCTGGCATCAATCAGATCTTCTGCTGCAGACACAATTGCTGCATTTGTGGCGGCAAACTCCTCGCAGACATCTTTCCAGCGCTCCTGGTTGGCCTTGTGGAAGATGTTTGAGCCAGCTGACTCCACCAGCCTCACCATGCTTTCCACTCCAGATCGCAGCTGCTTGATGCCCTGCATGTGTTGTCATAAGGCATGATGAGCCACATTGCATGGTGGATCAAGCCATGCACAGCAAATTCAGCACGCATAGGGGTGTCTGGCCCCTGCTGCAGCAGTCTTCTGCAGGTAAAAAGGGTCTTTTGGGATGTTGTAGTCACCTGAGAGCCTCCCGTGACTGCTTCAAGCTGTGGCCCCAGAAATTCATTCAGGGCGTGTGCAGTTGTCAGCATGCTCAGCAGCGCGGAGCACATCTGCGCCATGTGAGAGGTGTGCTCAAACAGGGCTGTCTTGCTGAACTCCCATCTTGACTCCCTTCCCGACCCCTCAATCTTCTCCCTAGTCTGCACCAAAGAAAACCCATTGTTGTCATCAATGGCTCTCTCATGTTCTTGATGACCTGCATGCATGCCAGTCACTGATGCTGCATGGCAGGTGCGCATGCTCACCTCCATGTATGCAGAGAACCAGTGCTCCAGGAGTCTTTTGGCCGTAGACAGCTGCGCAACAGCTCTATCATGCGGCAACCGGAAAAGACCCTATGCGCAGTAGCACACATGCATCTGTAAAATCTTGAGCCCAGTAGTGAGGGATTGCGTGCGCTGCTCACACAATTGCCACGGAAAATGCATGGCATGGAGCACATCATGTAAACAGGCTGATGTTGAGTCGCATATTGAGCTAGGCCATTTGTTTCTTTTCCGCACCTGCATGCTTATGCTGCTTTCCACCCTTTCAGCAATGTCATGGGCAATGCGCTGCATGAGGCTGCCCATGTGGGTATCATCAGAGTAGTAGGTGGAGATAGCCCACACAAGGCGCAGCGCGTTGAACATGGGTGTCAATACGCCAGCTATCTCATGGATTGCCCCAGTTGCAATCGCCCGAAAATGACGCTCCACTGTTCTCATAAACTTGTAGTTGTCGCGTGCTTCCTCCGTCACCTGCGCTCAAACAAAAGCTGCTCTCTGCACCGATTGTGAAGAAGAAAAGATTTCTATACAGGAGCTTATGATGCCAGCAATATTCATGGTGCCTCAATTTGGATGCAAGGAGTTGGGGTGTCACACACCTTGATGAGTTCAGTGTACTGAGTCTGAAATAATCCCAGCAGGTTTCTATCGGTGGACTTTGATTTCAGCATCAGCACAATCTTCCTGGCATGCGGCATGTCCAGGGGTTCATACAACCCTCCCAACACCTCGTGCCGTGCCTGCCAGAAGTCCATTTCTGCCAGTGGACCTGTGAGAAAACAAAGTATCTGACAAGGAGGTGAGGAGCTGTCCTTTTGGTACAGGTGGATGCAGCCCAAGACTGACTATCTGCTGCATGTCTTACTGTCAGGCGGATCGCAGACATCAGAGATGTTGCGTGCTCTAGTGGGCTCGAGGACTTACCTTTGCCCTGGATGTGCCTCTGGGCTTCTTGTTGCAACAACGACTGCATGACGGATGTCCACTCAGACATGCAAATCTCCAGTCTGCTGATGAGCTGCTTGTCTTCTGCCAACTCACTGGCATCAAGTGATGGGAGGTCCGGAATGACAAGGCGCTTGTCACCTGCTGAAATGACAATGCTTAAGACCTCCACCCATTCAACTTGCATGGCATAGTGACATTTTTCATCGTGGCTTGTGGAAGGGCTTTGATTACCCGAGAATTGTTCCACTGCGTGTCTGACAATGCCGGTCAGCCTTCGCAGACTGCTCAGCACTGGGGTGGAATGGGTGGCCTCATGTCCAGAACTCCTGGCCGTATCGTTTTTCAGATCCCTTTCTAGCAATGGGACAAAGATAGCTTCTAGTACCTGCAGTACATTCATCGCAGCTGCAGTTGCAGAATGTGAGCTTGCGCAGAAAGGCTTGTCAGGCAGAAGTTTGTCCTGCACTTACCAGTCGGATGCCAGATAGATTAGGTTCTCTCCCATCGGAAACAATTGTATTATTCATTTCTCTCTTATTGGTATCTTTTTAAACAGAGGCTTGCACAACTCAATCCATCGACTTGTCTTGGTGGGATACTGTCCTGATTCCAGCAAAGTATGTAGCTGTCCCATGATCCTCGTAATATCTTATCCAACGATATTCGAAGGACTCTGTTGTCATCACAGTAGACCTGGCTTTTCTCACTCGACTGAGTCTAAGGGCATCTGAAGACAATTGAGCTGCCTTGCTCGCTGGTGATCTCAGCACGCCAAGGGCAAACGCGAACACTCACGAGCATAGAAAAATTAGTCTGATATATACGTTCAAATTTTGTATCCAGTCGGAGGCTGCTCTGCAGACTTCTTCGATGTAACCGTTCAACGGGTTCCGCTGAGCAGAAAGCACACCCGGACAGACGGCGTTCCCTTCGACACCCGCTTTTCCCTCGTCGAGAAGTTTCTAAGCAAATCTAAAACATGAGCACCACAGGCAACTGAGCAAATATAAAGTCGTTCCAGATTTTGAGGCAGATCAATCTGTTTCGCCCCCGAGCGGTGTGTTGTGCGCTTCATCAGTGGATCACCCGTGTCAAGAACATGGCGGAGAGTCTACTTCAGCAAGCGAATGCGGCACATGTGGACGAGGAGTACGAAACAGCAATAGAGCTGTATACCAAGGTACCTTACTAATGGGACACATCGCGTTTTGTGACAATCGTGGCGATCAGGCGATGGGGATCGCTGTGATGTCAGGGACCTTTGCCAAGCACATCATTACTAGCAGAGACTCTTAGATGTTATCAGGAAGGGACCACGCTTCGTGAATCTGAAACTGCTCGGCAATCTGAGGCACCATAGTGATCATGAGCCATAGATGAAGTGTTTCAAGAACTCATGTTCTCATCTTCAGAACCCGTGTGTGCGTACAGGCCATCTCTCTGTCCCCCAACGATGCAGATCTGTATGCGAGTCGTGCACAGTCCTACATAAAGGAGGAGAGGTTTCTAGAGGCCGTGCAGGATGCAAGCAAGGCTGCTGAGCTCTCACCCAAGCTGGGAAAGGCTCATCTGCGGAAGGGGTACGCTATGGCTAATATGCAGTGATTTGGGATTCAGGCGATTAAATTGTAGAGGAATTGACATGTCTCCTGGTGGCAGTGTGGCGTTGTTCAACCTTGAAGAGTATGAGAGCGCTAAGGAGGCCTTCGAGACAGCAAACTCCATACAGAAGAAGAAGGAGATTGAAACCTGGATCAGGAAGTGCAATGCCGAGTTGGAAGGTTTGTCTCTTACCACAATCGCCATACGCCCTGGGACTACTCAACATGGAGGTTTTGCAGTGTATATAATGCTATTTGACATCAATCAAGACCTGACTCCGTTCTATCTTCTCTCAATTTTGTTGTGCAGAGGAGGCAGATCACTTTGCAAATGGCCCCAGCATGGAACAAAATGCAATAGATCTGCCTTCCCATTCTTCAGTGCCTAACGGGACATCGGCACCGGCGTCCACATCTGCTGAGTCCAAAAGCAATGGCGTCCAGCAGGTATCTTGCAAGCTTCTTCTCTAATCAGCCCAATCCCTCACCAGCGATTGACTGGATTCTGACATGTGCCGCCCTGTGGTCTGCAGGAGGATCAGAGCAAACCGATTGCAAAGGCAGCTGTCACACAGGAAGGCAAATACCGTTACCAGTTCTTCCAGACACAGAACATTGTGGAAGTGGCCGTGCTGGCCAAGAACCTCACTCCTGATCGCGTCAAGATAGACATAGAGGAAAGGAAGCTGCATGTCATCGTAAAGTCCCCTGAAGGAGAGCAGGAGTATGAGCTGAACGTGGACCTATATGATGCGGTGAGTCCGTGTTCCCCTTGTTCCATGCCTTTTCTACCAAATTCCCAATCAGTGCTCTTTTTCTATGGCCGATCATTTCGTTTGGCAGGCGCATGAGATGCGCACTTATGCATGACTGATTCATGGGCATGTATTCAGGTGGTGCCTGTTGAGTCCAAGTTTGAGCTGCTGAAAACCAAGGTGGAGATCCGGCTGAAGAAGGCATCTGTCCTGTCCTGGCCCACCCTGGAGAAGTGCGACAAAAAGATTGCCGCAAACTTCTCAGACCCCGCTAACCAGCAGCCACCGTCCTACCCCTCCTCCTTCACCAAGTGAGCCTCCCACTCCATCTGCCTGCACAACATTTGATTGATTGTCAGCAGGCCGCATGTTCTTCATGCAGGGATTGAAGGGTACTGCATGATCAGGGGCCGCAAGATGAACTGGGACAAGCTGGAGCATGAGGTCAAGCTGGAGGAGAAGGATGAGAAGCTGGAGGGGGAGCAGGCGCTGCAGAAGCTCTTCAAGGACATCTACTCCGGTGCTGATGAGGAGACCCGCCGCGCTATGAACAAGTCCTTCCAGGTGGGAAGAAAGGGCATGTGTGGCCTAGTGTATCTGTGTGACCAGGCAATCGGTGCCAAAATGCATGCAAATGCATGGCCCTGTCCTCACAGTGACATTCTGCCTGCTGCAGGAGTCTGGTGGAACAGTTCTGTCCACAAACTGGAAGGAGGTGGGAGCAAAGAAGGTGGACTGCGCTCCTCCAACCGGCATGGAGAAGCGTGCCTACGAGTACTGAGCAGTCAGGAGAGCGATGCAAATTTTGTACATAGTCAGCACTTCATCAGCCGTATGCAGGGGCTGTCTGTCAAACCATCTTGGGCTCCAGAGCCCATCCACTGTGCAAAAATGCTTGTTTTCTCTGCTGCTGGCTTTTCAATGAGTATCGTGTCAGCTCGCCGTTCCTTCTATCAGCATGCACCATATTTCCAAACAGTGCTGTTCAAAGTAGTGTCTAAACCCTCTCTGGATTGGGTAGCTCAGAGCTTGCCGTTGAGCTTCATCGGCAGCTGCGCGTGTACTTCAGCAGTTATCTTGTCATGTGGGACAGGAACTTGACTTGCACTCTTTTTAGGGAAATCCCAAGTGGCACAATGGCATCTTTACCTGGAAGCGGTGCAATCTGTCAAACTGATGTTTCCAGCTGTCTGGCACTGCCTGGCATGGCATGTAACAAACGTACGAATGAAATGGGAGATCCTGCATCTTTGCGCTTATGCACTGGCACTGTGGCACTTGCATGCAGAGAAAAGCCGCAAGAATCAAGATATTTGAATGCATGGGTTTGCTGCAGCTGGTATATTAGCTTCTCTCGAGGGATCATGCTGACAAGCCTCTTACCAGGGGACTCTAAATCAAGTCTTCATCAATTGATTTAGAGTCCCCTGCTCTTACAGCGGGAGGGGTCAAATATCACGATGTGTCAGATCTGCCACTTCAGCCTAACCCTCCCATACTCTCAGAGCTGGTATGATCATGCATGCATATGATCAGGCCCAGGATGATCCGCATCGATATCGGCCTGGGGCCGCAATGATATCTTTGAGCCACCATGGGCATGTTTAGTACGCCCAATACTGAAGGGGTGCAGACGGAGGTGGGCAGCAATGTGTTATGGCCTGCCCAAATTCCCAAATTCTCAAATTTAAATTTGAACTGCCATTGCCCTCCCAATACCCATGTGCGTACCACACTAGTTGCCTTATATTGGCACTGCCATTGCTTGGCGCTTTCCTTGTCAGACCTCTGAATGAAACTCTGAAGCTGCATGCCAACCTGGGCAGGCCAAAAGCTCGCCAAATTTGGTCTTCCCCTTCACCAGATTCTTCTCCTCCAAATTTTATAGTCGCAACACATTCTTTACATTCTTCAATCTTGTTAGCTTTGCATGGACATGTAAATGATTTGCTGCTCTGCTTTCGCTTCGTACGCGGCCGCAAACCGATGATTATTAAGCAAGCAGTCCTTCAAAGGCTTTGACCAGCCCAGAACTTTGCGGGGACGCATGAGTTCATCCTTCACGTTCCCGATCAGCAATCATGATGGTGTATCCACTCCTCAGAAGGTAGCCCTCGCGACCCGAAGTGTTTTATTGGCTGGGCTGACTGTCCCATCGATCACAAGGTCAGCCGACACAGTCAACGCTGCTACATCGAATCAGTGTGGGCAGCTCACCTATTGGATCTGTTCATGATGATTTTTTTGTGATCTTCAGATCAGAACGAGATCGGCATCTATGTTGGAGGACAGCATAGGTATGTCATCACAGGGAAGGCATCTAGAACAGAACCCTTTCGCCAGCCTGGGAGTGAAGCGGGATCTTGAGGAAGGCTTGCCCAGGTAAACATAACAAATGGAAAAAATTGTTATTTGGGACGTTGTCGCTACCAGGTTGTCGTGACTCCTGAGCTGTGCAAACGGTGTCCAAGAAATGACATACAGGTCTTCCTGGCATGTCGATTTCTGATCTCTGCGCACTGACATTCATTATGCTGCAAGATCAGATCGACAAACGTCCACATGGAGAGCCAAGGTGACCGTGATGCACCCAGGCCACCAAGGCAGCACCTTCGACGAGCCAGTTCGGGTTCCAGTCTGTTCAACCTTCCACTCTTGGGCACCTCCTACGTGGGCAGGCTGCTGCTATGGACGAGCCTCATCCTGGCACTGATGGTGTCCCTGTCATTCCTGTTCCCCATCAGGTGATGGCAACAGCTTCCTTTCCCAATGTAGTCATCACTCCAAGGACTCAGTGCCACCAAGGCCTGCATGGCATCAGCTATCACTTCTTCAATCATCATGCAGACTGGCATGCATCTGATGATCTGGTGCCTTGCACAGACCATCGCTCACCAACATGCGCATGCGGGGACTCTATGAGAAGCTTGATGATTTGCTGCCTGATGGCCGCCTCTCAGACACCCTCGTGATCTTTGTCTATTCAGACAGCGATACGGAGTATGAGCAGAACCTGCAGTTCTTTGTTCGCCATGGCATGTGGGAAGGGGATGGATGTGACTACATCATTGTGGTTCAGCAGGTGCGTGATTCTATCGACATGATGCAGCCTCGAGAGCCTGACAAATCTGCATCATGCATGATATATGCATCCTGTTGAATGCATTAGTTTCGTGGTATTGAGATCTATGTCCTGTTGGTGGCTGCAGGACACTGCATTGTTCAGCTCATCGACCCTGCCATCACTGCCTCGCAATGCCCGCTACATCTTCCATGAGAACAAATGCTATGACTGGGGAACTTTCGGCTGGGTGTTTGCTGAGAGCAAAGTGGACTCATCCCTCTACAAGAGCATCATCTTTATGAACTCATCAGTGCGGGGGCCTTTCATGCCGCCATACTTCCCTGTAAGTATGGAACATGTGCTTTGCAAACATGCTGCATGAGACGTTTGCATTTCTGGAGGACGATTTCATGGAGGACGTTGCTGCAAGCCGCTCTCTTGTACATAATGTTGACATGCATGCTGCTGACAGATTGGGCTGCACTGGAGCAAGCTGCTGACCCTGCGGCTCAGCAGCACAGTCAAGCTTGTAGGCAGCACCATCAGCTGTGAGCCAGCCTGGGAGGGAGGCAACACTGCAAATGAGAAACGGCAGAATGCACATGTGCAGTCTTATGTCATGGCCACAGACCAGGTCAGATCATCTGCACTTTGCAACCTGAACGAGGACATTTGAAAGAGCATTTTGTCCACATGAATCCCATTGATGGCACATGCATGTTGATATCAAAGTGTCTTGCAGGTGGGGCTGAAAGCCCTGCAAGATGACGGGCGAGTCTTTGCCTGCTACGACAACATGGCAGACACGATTTTCCATGCAGAAGTGGGGGCGTCGCGCATCATCTTTGAACAGGGATACACCGTCGACTCCCTCATGCTCAAGTACCAGCATGTGAACTGGACAGACACCAGCAATTGGAACTGTAATGCCGGGTGAGTTGCTGTCTGCATCCCAGTGCATATCAATGCCCTCAGTACCTCTGCCCGTGCACCACTGCAATGGCAAAACATGACATTTCTCTCCTTCCCTGCAGGCTGAACCCATATGCGGAGTATGCCTACGATGGGCTGGTGCTGAACCCCTTGGAGGTCCTGTTTGTGAAGGTGAAGGGGTTTCAGATGCAAGGAGGATGGCTGTCAGCTCAGATGGCCACCACCTACGACCGGTGGCTCTCCAGCAATGTGAGTCTTCCTTGTAGGGGACTACTGCACGCATTGCGCTGCAAGACATGCATGATCATGCCATGCAATAAATACTGAGGTCAACAACACATGTAAACGTGTACATGTTGTGCAGCAGGTGGCTGAGGGAGCTGCCAATGAGAATGTGTATGACAAGGCACGCATGAGCTTCAGGCTTGGCAAAGCAATCACCATGTTGCTGCGCGGCAACTCCTGCTTTGACTACGCCCTCTACCGTGCCAGAAGCCGTGACCTGCCTGGAACAATGACAGATGAGCAGATGTGGGACCACTTTGTCCATGATGGGCAATTCGAGGGCCGCCCCTTCAGGTGCTGCATGCACCCATTTCCATCGAACTGTGTTGCATGAATACTTCCGGAAGCTGATTTCATTCGACCATCTGAGTTGACAGTCGTAATATATGATTGAGATGTCCAACATGTGCAGGTTCACGTGTGCAAACCCTCTGAACAACCCAGACAATGCTGAGAGGACATACCGAGAAGCGAGCAAGATAATGAACGCACTCCCTGCTGCTGAACACACGGCAGCCTGATGATGTCAAAGCAATATGATGCACGCAGCACATTCTGTCGGCAAGTCAAGAGCTCAGGCACTGCACTGAAGAGTGTTTGTGCTGTCTTTCAGTGCCCTGCAGAACCAGGGACATTTTTATGTATGAGTCGATGTCCTGCAGACTCTTGGGCTTGAGCTGGACTTCTGGTGCCTCGCATTTCCAGACTTGGAAATCTGACGGTTCTGGATTTTCTGCTTTTTGCCTTGAGACTTTGCAATTTCCCTAGGTGACTAGCTTGTTAGTATTATATGGCTAAGCATTGCATGGTGCGTCGTCATGGCGCTAGCTAGTGTTAGGGATAGGCTCACAGGCATGTAGGATTTTGTCTTAGTGCTAGTAGGAACCGTAACCTCCGTTTCCAGAAATTTCATCCAGTGATCTTCATCGTGGTGTTCGGATGAGTCCCTGGGTAGATGAACAGGACAAAAATGTTCTAAGAATGCTGTTCAAGGTGCAGTGTGATCAGTGCAGACTTGTCAGTGGCCATGGCTTACTAAGTAGTACGCTTGCCAGCTGCACCGATGCTGGATATGCATGCCATGCTTTACTGGCAGTAGCAGTACAGAGCCAGTGGCGTATACTGAGATGGATTAGGGCTTTTCAATTATGTGGAGGGCCAAGCAGCTTGGCCCAAGCTGCAGGCAGTGATTGCTCTGGGCCCTGCAGGCAGAAAATGAAGGTGGCCTTCGCCTCCTGAGACAAGACCAGCAATTTCGTAGCAAGGGGCATTATTTCTTGTAAAAATACCATCTTCCTAGCTGCATGTACTAGCTGACTCCCATGTTTCAAATTCGTACGGCTATCTGACAAGAATTTCTGAAAATACGTTTCTGGGCAGATTATAATAGCAGCACGGAAAGCATGCATGCATTTTTTCACATTTGTACCTATCACGCAAGATCGCTGAGTGACCATATCAGACTGCAGAGGCAAATTTTTGGAAAGAGAAGCATGTGAAGGAGATTTTGAAGTGCACGCGCTCGAAGGTATCCATCGTCGCTCAAGCTTGCCGCACCCATCGCTCTGCACAGGAAGGGGCCAGCAGCTAATAGGATGCTTGCTATACATTACTGATCAAATTTCTCACAGAGAATGACTACACACCTTTGCGATCCTGCTGCTCAACAAGATTCTTTTCCGTCTCCTAGAGCTTTTACCAACCTTTCATGCTTCTCAGGATGCCAACGGAAGTTGACATGGCCAGCGAGGATCAGCCACTTCAGGATAAAGCACAAGAAATTCCGCTGACTCCGTCCATAGAGCTCCGTGTGCACAGCCTGGAGCAGAGACGCATCGAGATCACTCAGAAGGTGCCATCAAGATGCACCTGAGGAATTGGTCCAAGCCATTTGAGAAGCTCCTAAATTGACAGTTGGGTGTCTATTTGTACAGATTGACGACCTGGCATCGGCAGGCGCAGCTCAGTTGGATGAGCTCAGAGTGAAGCTGCTCTCAGAAATGGGAAAGTGCGTGCACACACAGCAGCCTCTGCAGCATTCTCAGGCCTACACATGAAAATGGCCACGGTTGAGATGATTGCTTTGGTAACCACAGGGCAAAGTCAGAAATCAACGCTTACACGCAGGCAAGGATCGACAAGCTGGTGGAGATCTCCAATCTGACACAGGTGCACACACTGTTGTTTCTCAAGACTCTCCCTCTTCATTTTTCTCAGGACTTGCATTGAGTAAGTGCCTAGGCCCTGGCCCAAGGCCTATGATATATGGGGAATAGGTGTTGAGCTAATTGCTTGAATCCGCATCCGATAGGAAATGGATTGATGTCCTGCAGGAAACCATGCACAGGCTGGATACCGCTCAGCAGCTTGTTGCCAGGCTGGAAGCTCCTTCGCGGAGTTTCTGACAATCTTCAGATGGAGGCTAGCAAATACTAAAGATATTAGTGTGGACAGCCCTGCAATACAGCGTGTCTCACACAAATCCGGAGGTGCAAATATGAGTATGAAGCTCGTCGGATATGAGTTCAATCATAAACTGCAAGAGTGCGTAGCTTTGGAGCTGGCTGCCTTAGAGAAGTGACTCCGAGTCAAGTGAGTCACACCATGTGAGGATCCAGTATCAAGCCGTAGCAGAAATCCTTGAACGAGGTAATCATGAATAAGGCGATCCCCGGCAACTCGAGCGCAGAGTTTACAAGGCAGAAAAGCATGTCTGGACAGCGCAAAACTCATACTTCTTCACGGCAGATGCACTTTCCAGTAATTTTGACATGAGACAACCACATTCCAGGTACAAGCTTGGGAACAACATGGCACTGTACACCCAGACATCATCACAGCAAGGCCGAGCATGCCACAGCAACATTTGAGGCACTGTGCACAAGTGTAACACAAGAGTATCATTCAAAGAAGACGCGCCTCAGCATTGTCCAACAACCTCCCACACAACCAGTCCTTTTCTGATGACCGACCTACTCCATGTCCTCAAACTCGTCCCCATGGCTTTGCATGCCATACCTGTCTGTGCCCTGCAAGCTCAGCTGCAGCGTTGGCTTGCTTCTTGAGTGGGCAGCGGCCCTCTGGCTGCTATCCTTGTCAACCGGCGCGCCAGCCTTCTCACCATCCGCCGCCCCATTGTCAGGCTGGTTCTCCCTTTCGTCGTTGCCCTCAAGATACTGCATGTCGGCATCTTCCTGCTCCCCAGTCGGCCCCGCCACATCCACCGCTGTTGCGGCGAAGGCATGCGCGCTCCCAGACATCGGCTGCTGCAGGGCGCTGCCGTTGCCAAAGCTGGGCGTGTTGACGCTGCTGCGCGGCTGCGCGCCGATGAGATGGTTCAGGACAAACGAGGACGGCTGCACCGCGTCAGCTGACGCCTCCTCCAGAGCATCTCCCCCCACAGCCGCCGCCTCCGAGTCAGCCACGATGGCCGCAGCATCCGGCGCGCTGTCGGCCTGCTGCTCATCGCTCGGCGCCACTTCCCTCGGCTGTGTGGCCTCTGCAACGGCTGCAAGGGTGGGCGAGGGGGCCAGCAGCTGTGGGGGCGGGCTGCGCGGCTGCGTGGCAAGGCTGCGCGTGGGGCTCCGGAAGCCGGCAGGGCCGGAGCCAGCGCTGCCGTCCGCGGTGCTCTGCGTCGGCTGCTGCGTGTTCTGCAGGGCTGCCTGTTCGCTGGCGGCGGGCCGTGCCGGGTCCCGGCCCGGCTCGGCGTCGCGCACGCTGAGCGCGCACTCCATGTTGTACTTGGCAATGGCCATGTCGTCCTTTGTGGCGACGCCCTGATCCTGGAGCTTCCCGAGGATCCCGCTGAATGTTGCCGCCGCTGTCTGCAGGTCTGACAGCAGCTGCCACTGCGCTGCGCCGCTCTCGTTGGCCTGCAGTGACACATACAGCTTTCTATGAGACATACACCCTGCACTCTGGCTGTGCTCAACTGCTCTTTATCCAAATTTACACTTGACAGCAGGTATCAGATGACATTCTGTACACACAAATATTAAGAATCTCCTGAGACCATCACAGAGCTAAAAAGGAAACACTGACAGATGTTACTATATCAGAACATTTCATGTGGTAGAGCAGCACCCGTCCAAGGCTGCCCAGCCCCTCCCGTACATATGACTCGAGGCAAAGCGTCTTCTCCTCGGCAGCACTGCAGGCGTCCTCGGACCGCTGCAGCTTCAGCTTCACTTCCCACATGTCCCTCTGCAGCTCCTGCACCAGACCCCATACCTCCAGGATCAGGATATTTATCTTGTGCCATGTGCCTCCGCTACTTAATTAGCCCACTCCCAAGGCTCCTAAAGGAAGATCCGCAAGTGACATGCAGCATCCAAGGCAGGCATGAGTCATCACCTGCTCACGCTGCTCTGCTGCGCTGCGGGCCACCGCCTCGTCGTGAGCGCGTTTCTGTGCAGCCGCCTTCTCCTCAGTGGCGCGCTGCATCGACCACAAGATACTGTTCAAAAGCCGAACAACATTGAACAAACTCCCGGCCATGTCTCATGCCCAGGAAAAGGAATGCTGGGGAAAGTATGGCACAAACAGAGGTACCTGCAGCTCCTCTGCCTTGCTCTGCAGCTCCTGTCTAGTGCTGTGCTCTGCAGCGCTCAGAGCCTTGTGGGCTGCCCGGTGGCGGGCCTCCATGCTCTGCACGCTCTGTGCCAGCTCATCGCGCTCCTTTGCCAACTGCTTGATCTCCTTGTGCGCCTTCTCTGCTGCCGCCTGTTTGACATCATTAGATATCAGACAGCAGAGTACTGTGCAGTGCATGAAGTGGAACGGAAGATCAGCAAGGACAACTCGCAAAGAAGGGCAGGATTGGGAAGAGGCAATCAACCTGGTGCTTGGAAGCTTCCTGGCGAGCTTCTGCGCATGCAGCAGCATCCCTCTGGGCCTGCGCTTCCGCCTCTGCCAGCCGGCTCTTCAGATCCGAAAGTTCCTTGACGCCCTTACCTGACGCCTGCACCAGACACACAGGCTGAATTCATGGTCCGGCACATAAAACATTACTAATGTGATTGCTTGGGAGGCACTTTGTATTCTCACCGCTTCTTTGGCCTCTGACAGCTGGTCTTCAAAGTGCTGCCGCTCTGTCTTGAGCTGGAGCTCCAGGTCTTTGGCCCTTCTGCAGGCCTCCACCGTGGCCTGCCTCTCTGCCTCGACCCTCTGGCGCAGCTCCTGCAATAACCCCCGACAAAGCTAAGAAACAATGCCCACCAGAAATCACAACGGCTGAAAAGTAAAGGAGGGCTCGATAATTACATCATTGGACTGGCGGAGCTTGTGGACGACTTTGGTGTCTGTCTGCAGTGCATTCTTTGGTTCAGGCGTCCCCGTTTTCGCAATTTTCCCCGCTGGCTTGGTGTCGGAGGCTGGACTTGCACAATCCAAAGGCCTCTTTGCAGTATTCGCGTGCTTGCCCACTAGCACCCTCCTGAAGATGTACCTGTTGGGGAGCGACACACTTTGACACCTGTTGTGTGGGTGCATGCCACTGCCACATCCTGCAAGGAGACATAATGACCTTCCTGATCAGCATGTGCACAGAGTTCGTCCTCTCGCCCTGTGTGCAGTTTGAATCTCACTCTATGACTTTGTTGGGATCCTGTGTTGCAACGGCGAGTCGGATGTGATCGCCTTCCACAAGAGGCCTTGAACTTCCTTTCGGCACTCTCGTACCGTTGATGGCTGTTCCGTTTGTGCTGTTGTCTTCCAGATGATAAGTAGGAGGGTCCTGCATCATTTGCACCGAAATCTCTCTGTCACGAAAGTCTGGGGTAAAGATCTCTTGCATCCTATAATGCTACACAGATTACAACAAAGGGTCAACTCACCTTGCTCACAAGGAAAATTCTGCAGTGGTTGCCGGACACTTGAGCCCACTCGATGGGCAGATTTCCTGGACTGGCAGCGCTTCTTCCAATTGCAATATTCTCATTTAGAAGTATATTAGGCCCATTGGGTGTCACACGTAGCTTTGCCAAAGGACTACCTGCAACCAGCTCGAAAGCTTGCATTGTGCCCCTCGATTGCTGACTTCACACCCTGATCTCCACTAACTAAAGGATCAGCCGAGCTTGGAAGCAAGCGAAATGTATTATTCACAAGTATGCAGAGAGCAAACACGAGCTTGACGTCGCACTACTCTATTAATCGAAAGACCTGCTTTGCGTGACGTGCAGAGTAGATCGTAGGGTTAGAGAGGTGCTGGGGTCTCATCATCAAACCCTGCTTCTCAAGATCTTTGCATGGATCTGAAGCTAAATGCTCAGTCTGACCATGTCTCGTTCACACAATGCCTGCGTTCCTGCCTTCCCTCGTGTCCATGCAGCTCTTCTTTTGCATATTACAAAGCGTGCTGCTGTGGCGCTGAGGCACCTCAAGGCCCGGGGGCAAGGCTCTGCAGCTGCAGCCGCTGGCACAAGCTCTAAAATTGAGTGTCCATGATGTCATCCTTCATGCGACAGATCATCACACCTTGCTGAAACACTCTCACACAGGGCCTGCCACTCCATGATCGCCGTGTCCAGCAAATCATCTGGCTCCAAACTTTCTGTCCTGGAATTTGCAACTTGCATGCCGAGGAGTCCTAGGGAGGTGCCATGATATCCATGCGTTGCATCTAAAGCTGCCGGCAGTAGCCGTGTTCCTTCATTTGACGTGCCCAGGGAGTTGTCCTTCAAGAGCGCCTTCGACTGTAATACAACTACCGGCAGATCTGAGCTGTTGTTATAGCTGTAGCTACTCCTCTCCAAGCCATCTTCATGCTCTGCCAAGTCAATTCTATCCGTCTCCTGAAGCTGTGTCCTTGTGTTTTCTAGCCCAGTCTCTGCAGACCCCATTTCCTCCACAGGAGCGCTGTCCATGTCTCTCTGCTGCTGACCAGGGTCGCTCTGAATCTGGCCATTCTCCTGTTCATTCTCCGCTGGTTTCCCATGCGCCTGCTCACGCAGCTCAGAATTCTCCTTCGCAAGGCTGCAGCGGCACAGTGAGTCTCATGCTTCATCTCACCTTTACCTCAGTGTAGTCTGCAGTTTCAGAGGTCACCCCACCTGACTTGCAGCCAGTGACTGTTCATCTATAAAATTTACTGCCCTCAGCATGGCAATAGGTGAACATGTTGCACCTTTCAAGCTCACGCGACATGTGGAGAGCTTTGTCGACTGCGAAGTGCAGCATTTGACGGCCGCACCGCTCCGCCAGTCTCTCCCTGGCTTTGCAGCTGCAGTCTCTGAGCAGTCGCTCAAGGTGAGCATTGCGCTGCCTCTGGAGCACCCATGCTGTCGGAGCAGAGTTGGCTAGCCTCCTGGTCAGTCTCTGAATCTCCCTCTCCCGTTGCTGCAGCGCTGTCCGGATCTGCTCTTGGGCTTGCTGCCTGTACGCCTGCATCAGATCTTTCAATCTTAACATCCATGAGAAGCGCTGCAGCAATGAGTTGAATCCAACAGTACACAGAAACTCACATGCGTACGATTGATTAGCTTACCCGGTCGATGCATAACAGCAGATCTTGAAGGTACGGCCCATCATCCATGCCGAGCTGTGCAGCAAATGTACTCACAGCAACAAGTGCACCACGTGGAATCTGAACACCTGCTGCGCTGAGCTGCTCGCACATGCTTAGATGCCAAGATGCATCGTCGATCTGTGTTTCTTCTTCTTCATGGACAGCTGTTTCCAGCCACGTCTGAGCCTTGAGGCGGGCTTGTTGATGTAAGAAGGCGTACTCATCATGGGCGGCTGTTAAGCAAGCTGTGTAGAGGCAAGCAAAGCTCTCAGCTGAAGCCTGACTGGCCGTGGAGGAAATTCATATTCAAAATAACATCGATTTCAAAAAAAAAGCACCTGCAAGCTCGCATGAAAGCTGACGCGCGTCGTGCCCTTGTATGTCATAAGCTTGCCTGCCCATTCTTGGACAGCGAGACTTGGTGCTCTGTGAGCACCAATTGTCGGAACTTTGGTTTTAGACGGTTCTGCAATTTTTTCTAAGCTTTTCTACGGGCTGCGGATATGACTTGGCACTTTCACTATTTGTCCAAGGAATGACGCCATCAGTCGAAGTAGTCACTATGTCTTCAATAGACGCATAAGAATAGATCTCGTAGACCCACATTCGGACTGTTCTTGCCAAATTTAATATTTCTTGTCATGTGAGAGCACTCTTCGATGAGTATAGCCAGGAGGCGCTTTCAGATGGGTGGGCCACATGCCGCAGGTCCTGCAACCTCGCCTGCGACTTCAAACCTCTGCCATCTTCCTTCACATCTACATTCGGGACTGTAAAACATCGCAACACGTAGCAACACTGTCACTGGCAGCGATGCGCAGGTAATCCCTCGACATCTCAAAATCTAGGGGATTTAATATTAGGCGCTGCATGCCAAAGCATGCCAGAAGACATAAAAAGAATAGTTGGGTCTCAGATGGATTCTGCCCATTTTGGCTATAAAATGAAGGCTATCATGCCATTGGCTTGGCTTACCGTCGCTGGCGCTGCCTGGAAGGCTGTACTGATCCTGCCACCATCGTCATGATGATGATCACGACGTCACGATCGTCTATATACAGACTATATAGTCGCCTAGAGTTACAGTGCTGTTCTTGGCAGGGCTAGCCCGTATCATTTTTAAAGTTCTCATGTTCTCATGTTCACAGGTATGATCGAGACCGTTTGAGGTAGACTCGACGACATGCAGCACTTCCTCACAACGAAATGTCAGACACCTGATACCCGTCAGGAAGGAACCAGGGCGACATATCGATGCCGCTCTTCATCAGGCCCTCTGTCTTGACCTGGGTCTTCTCCAGTATCGCAGGGTGGATCCCATCGTTTGCAGCAAGCACCGACCTCGAAAACACGGTGAACGGCTGTCCATCCATAGTTGTGATTTTGGCGCCAGCCTCTCTGGCGATGAGCACCCCGGCCGCCATGTCCCAGGGCTTCAGCCTGAATTCCCAGTAACCATCCACAATCCCTGTGCACCATCCATCAATTAGTGTGCGATCATGACAGGCCATATTAGACAAAATAAATGCGAGCACATAGCACCACGGGTGCACTGCATAAGTGACCCTTCGCCACTGACAAATTTCAGAGTTATTAGCAGAGTCATTAGACCCATGAACCATAGGAAGATATTGTGGTGTCTCACCCAGAGCAACATGGCACAGATCCACGGCTGCTGCCCCCAATCGGCGCACCCCACGTGACTCATCTGTGAACTCTTTGAACAGCTCTATGTTTGCCGCCCACGCCTCATCATGCTCGTATCCAAAGCCAGTAACCTGCAATGAACTCGAAGGATTCAGCTCACACGCTCTATAATTGCTGGCCCCAATGGCTGGCCAGATGGTTCTATTACAGCAATGACATTCATGACAAGCAGAAAAGAAGTACCAGTAGGGAGAGATTGACATCCTTGCAGCGGCTGACGGAGATGGGTGAGCCATTCAGAAAGGCTCCCTTGCCTTTGGCCGCAGTGTATGTCTTGGTCACCCAAGAGCCAGGACCCCCCGCAAACTCCACCACAACTCCAGCCACTGGGTCTCCCTTCTGCAGCACTGCAACAAAGAGCGCCCACATACAGCAATTGCTTGACAGGTGCAGGTTTGCTTGTTGGCCAGAGAGGTAGCACCATGTAAGCCTCCGTGTCTCCAGCTGTTGTGGACTTGAGGGAAAATACTTACCTGCAACGGACACTGCAAAGGACGGGTAGCCATGTGCAAAGTTGGTGGTCCCGTCCAAGGGATCCACACACCAGAGATATTCTGATCCGGTGTCGCCTGAGATACCCCCCTCTTCTCCTAAAAGAGCATGGTCTGGGAATGCTGTTCTCAGCACCTGCACTTGCACCTCGCTGCTTTACATCGTCATGCAAGTCTAGACCGCTGTCACACTGCGCTCCATCAACAAAGGCTGGATGCAAAAGGCTTTAGAAGTGTTGTCACCGAGAGAACAGCGTCTTCGCTGGCTTTGTCTGTGTCCGTCACAAGGTCCGTGGCACCTTTGAACTCAATGTTGCGCGGTTTGTCCACTCTCTCGCTCACAACCTGGCAGGCCACACTGTGCTCAAGGCCTGCTTTGACCCCTGGACACGTGTCTGAGCCTCCCTCTGTAATAATAGACTCCAAAGCTGGGGAGACAGAATTTGAGTGCTTGGGAGGAGGGCACACTGCAGCGCCTGCTTTGGCTGCGCGTTCCGCCACTTCCAGCAGATGCTCAAAAGCCACAGGACCTGTGGTGCTGGCGGCATTAATGCTGCCTCTGAGGGACAACCCGTGATGTACGTAGCCACCCGAGGAGAATCTGCCAGGTCTCCTTAGGGCTCTCTGTACTTGTGTGAACGGCTGGCAGACAGGGGGGCATCTTCTGAGATGAGGCAAGACTGAATTGGGATTCTGAACAGCCAATCTCCCCGATGTGATGACCTATTTAGCCAAAGAAAGCGTCAAGAATGTAGCCTTCTGTCTAGTAAAAATCAAACTAGACTTTTTCAGAACGCTTGATATACCAGCAGATGACAGCTGGGACTGCGATGAAATATATAAGATGTTTTCAGCTGTCTTTAGCAATCTAGTTGTGCGTAGCACATTTGGCAAAAGGAGGAGCCTAACTTGAGCCATTGCAATTCGCAAGTCCTGTAGGTGGTATTTATGACTGCGAAGATAGAGTGTTGTATGAGTGTCTGATAAGGAGCTTAGTGTTGACCTGGACAGTGTGCTTTGTCCAAGGTATTGAATAGAAGGATCCGATGAAATTGTTGGACCAGTACGGTCCCCTACCCTAGAAGCCAAGGGGGTGACGACCCTGGGCCCTAGATAAGGGAGCAGATAAGCACATAAAATGCAATTGCATTTTTGCCCCAAGGGGATACAATTGCACTGTGTGCTAGTCTCAGGCAGGTGACAATGGCAACCGCAGGTCACACTGTGATTCACAGCTGCAACATTGCCGCCGCTGTTGCATGCGCGTAGCACGCTGCTCGCGAAGCTCGGCCGCGCGGCATCGCTGATTGATTGCATGGCATGCAATGAAATCATGCATCGATGATCATGCATTTGAGATCTCTAGAACGATGGCCCATCAGCCACTGAATAAAGCGACTGGTGTCCATCACTGATGTATGCTGACCTAATTAGCAAATCTTACCAGTTCTGACAAGTTCACTCAAGCTTGCAACAGCCCCCGGGGCGCGGCTGCAACTGAGGTTTAGAGTAATCCTTGGTGTGGTCATCACATCTTCAGGGCTGCCGGTACAGCCTTCAAGGTGCTTCCTGTCAGCGGATTCCTCCTGATTATTTTCTCACGCACAGAGCAACACCATGATCACACACAAGGCAATCTCTCAATCAGACACTCTCATGAGCTTTCCTAGCTATCACGACAAGCACAGCAGTCACACACCACACACAAATTTGTTCTGTAAGCACTCCTCCGCACTCTTCTGCCCACTTATCATATCCGCGACAAGCTGCCATCCGTCGTACTCATCCAGCAAAGCTGCCGCCAACACCCAGTCCTGCTCTTGGTTGCAATGCCTCCTGCACGTTCACAAGCTTTTCAAGTGGATGCAAGGCACAGCGTGGATAAATGCTCAGGTAGACCTGAAATGCAGGTGTCTTCACCTGAAGGCGTGCACATCGCTGGCAAACACATCGAAGACCAGGCGCTGCAGTGCGGCACTGGTTGTTGCATCGCTTGGGCCTCCATCGGCCAGAGCACAGATGACTGTCTCCAACAGCACGAGCCCTGCTGCCCTCAAGTCTTCTTGCTGGGCCAGGCTCAGGGGGTGATCTGGATCCAGGGCTTGTGGAGAGGGATACAACGCTCCTGCGGAATCAAAAGATGATGCGTGACAAGCATAATGTACTTCTCTGGCATTCCTGTACTTGCAAAAGGCCTCGAAGTCCACTCTTGTGACTGAATCATTCAGGAGGCGAGCGAAATGGAGAGCATCAATGTCAGATTGCACGAATTCAGTCCAAAACATCACGGGTGAAGCCAGGACCATGGATGCAGGCTCACCTGGAGCACATGGCTTTTGCATTTGTGCAAAGCCGAAGTTGTCCAGCTTGACAATCAATTCTCTTGCCTGGCAGTCCCTAAATGTTGACAGCATGATGGATCCTGGCCCCAGCGACCCATGAGCCACGCCTCTTCTGTGGCAGAAGCTCAGAGCGTGCAGCACTCCTCTGCATATAGTCCTGCACATCCAGTCACTGGTGAGACTAGGAGAGGCAGCATGTCCACATGAAGATGTCATTGTGCTTCCTCTATAATAAATTGAAATTTTGGAAATTCGTGCATGAAAGTTGGCACACACCTGACCATCAGGCATCGTTCTCGCAGCCCAGCTTCCTCTGTGCTCTTGGACATCCATAGGCCAAGGCCAGCTGTGGGCTGCGTTTGGGCTGCTGATGCATAGTACGTGAGCGGCTGCAACTTCTCATACTTGTACACCTAGACACAGAAAATTTCAAGGCCGTCCATTATCTGAAAGTGATTGTAGAGGACAGAGCTGCTTGGAGAAGACTGCGACAGAAGACGCACCAGCCAGATGACTTTCTTCTCCTCTGCAGATACAGATGCTCCTGCATTGCTCTGGTCACCCCAGAAGTACCCTGCCACATGCACATTAGTCGTCATGATGCGTTGCCACCTGCCGCTTTCATATGCATTAGTCAGGTTTTCATTGCCCCCATACGTAAGGGGTTGGTGTGGAGTGAATCACCTAGCAGGGGCACTATAGGGATGTCTGCTGTCATGGGTGCCCTTGCAGCATGCCATTTGCTGCCAGGCAGGCCCTCTGCAAGATGCACCAGTGTCTGCAGCTCGTTGCATGCCACCGATCTCGCTCCCGGCAGGAACTCCTTCAGAAGGACTGGAACTGGATCCTGCAAGAACCATACAGTAAGTTGGCAACTTGTCAGCTACAAGAATTGCTAGAAAGCTTTCTACAAGGGAGGCACAAGCCATCTCTTACCTGGAAAGGCAAGCCGCTGTAGTATTGGGCTTTGAAGGCAATGACGGCAGTCTGTTGTTGGAGCGTGTTCCTGGACACCTGAAGCGGGTCCTCCCTTGCACACTCTGTCACCTGCAAACACAATCACAATATTGACCATGCCCAGAGTGATCTAACCACGAATACATGCAAATTCAAAGGCCATGCATTGCACTTTCACGGCGCATCGTGCACGCACCCAGCTCAGCCGACCAAGCTGCTGTATCAACTCAATGTCCTGCATGCTGAAGCCTCCATTGCCTACTTCCGCAAGCACTGCAGCCTCTTGTTGCCTCGACTGCATCATCATCACCCATATAGAATGAATGCTCTGTATGCTCAGGTTCAGGTCTGAAGCCGGGTCAGTAGCTAGAGACAAGTCTTTCCAATATCACACTCACCTCGTACCCAAAAGGTCCCTTTTGATTTTCATATGATGCCTGACCACTTTCCTGAACTTCAGCATTTCTTGAGCTTGGCTGATCCTGCCTTGCAAGCTCCTTCCTCAGCTTCTCAGCTTCCCTGCTCAGTTGCTTGGCCAAAGAATCAATGTCCAGTGGCTCATCTTCGCCATACGTTGCTCTGATAGGCAGAATTCTGTGTCGTGGTCGCTTACATGGACAAAACGGAGTTCTTAGATCATGCACTTTGCACCAGAGCCTGAGTTGTCTTCTAGTAGGAGCACTGCAATGGCTCCTAGGTGCATGGGAGCAATTAACTGGCGAAAAGGCGACATGCATCGTCACGAATAGCAATGCGACACAGGACTGAAAGAAATGTGCTGGGCACATGACATCCCGTGAGTTGTCGGTTATTATTTTCTGCCCGTCTGCCATGTTGTGCGATATTTCTTGGACACATGATTCTTACCTGCCTTCGGGGACAACTGCTCCTGCAGTGTCGTAGTATACTGGGAAAGATATTCAATATATTCATTTGAGACGCTGTGAAGACATTTATACTCGTAAAGTACTGCTGGGACCACATGTTGGAGAGGTTTTTCGACGCTCACTGTCATCTGCAGGTGATCATGCGAGAGATTTCATCATATCAGAATTGACATATGCAAAGATCGCCAATTGCACAATACCAATTCAGCACACATAAAATAATGCTTTGTGTCACTGGATCAAGGATCCTCGCCTAGCACATTGCTTGGATCGGGTCATCCAGGAGGCCACCAGGCTAGGTGTAGAACGATTTAGCTGCAACGGCTGCTCTGAGGCTGACTGGGCTCAGGTGAGATGGTGACTGAGGATTTCACTACCCCTGATGGCATCAGCCTTGCAGTACACATGACCTTGAAGGTGGCGCTCGTGCAGGTTCAGGAGCTCTCTGAGACGCATGACAACATCATACCGAACTTTGGTCTGCACCCTTGGTGAGTATGTCCATCGCATTCCAAGGAATGGCTCTTTGGGTCATGTTTTGGGCAGCCACGGGCCAGCATCTCTTACAATAGCCACTAGACCACATTCTGAGGAACACCAGATCAAACTTCCTCATATTGAACTTCTGCAGGTGGGTACATGAGTGCAGCGCAACCTGGCTGGACACTCTGAGGGACTTGTTGTTGGCTGTTCCGAATGCAGGCCTGGGAGAGGTCTGTCAGTACAAACTGCACTTCTGAATGGCGTACTTTTCCTGTATCTTGATCCGCCAGCATTCTGTGCTAAGGGACTCTGAAGTTGTCTGCATCTGTGCAGTGCGGTTTGGATCATGCAAAAGGGGGCATTGCAGACATGCCAACCCAGGAGGCTGCCATGAGGGCACAACTTCAATTGGCAAAGGAGCTCTGCAGACCATGTTCGGTGACAATCTCCTCTGTGCACTCATTCTTCTGCCAGTGACACAGCAAAAGTCTGCTGTGTTCTTGTGGGCTTGCAAACATGCATTGCTCTGAAATTGCGTTTTCATGTCCCACAGGTCCATTGTGTGAGGGCATTTGGGCCTCTGTCAGCAATGCTTCATGAGGTCCGCCAAGCTTCCCTGCCTATGGCATTCCAGGATATAGGTCATCAGTGATTTTGGCAGCCAATATTGTGCAAGACACTTTATAGCAGTGATTTTGGCTGGCTGAGGATTGGAATGGTGTGGTAGGAGGGGCCTTTCCCTGCAGGACTGGTCTTGCATTCTTGGGCCGGCTCAGCTGACATGGTCAAGCAGCTTGCGGGAATAGAGGGAGTCCATTTCTCTATATCAGGCCACACAATGCGCCTGTCAGACAAGAAACTTGTACCCATGCTGAGAGAGGCAAGCAACCGCCATCTCGATGTTCAGTCTGTCCTCTTCGTGAGGATTCACAGGAGATTGATGTCGACAGACATCATGCAAGTGGCTTCTAGCTGAGCAGCCAGTGTGTCCCAGATTCCATTGGATCAACTGCTCTTCGAGACCGACAGCCCAGATGGCCTTGAGCCACTGCTGAGACGCAGCCATGCCCCTCTCTATCCAGTGAACCCATCCTTGGCGTCTTGTCCTGAGACACACGGAAAGGATCCTGGGTTGAACCATCCTGGCAACATCAGGTGCAGTCCACAGACCAACTTGCGAGTAGAGAGATTGACCAATGATCACTCAGTAATTCTTCTGCCGAGCTTCAGTATACAGTGGCTGATGTGTTGCTGTTCTGTGCAGGGCTGTGCTCGAGTGTATTTCTCAGCATTTAGATTGTCCAGAATCAGACGTTGCCAAAGCAGCCTTTGACAATGCTACACGCCTGTTTCACCAGTAATGGTAGCTGTGGCATTGCTTGACGGCAGCCCGTAAATGCATGTTCAAGATTGGGGCAGAAGCTTAGTTTCACAACATATTGGCTTGCTATGGCATATTGTAAAGCAATGGACAGAAGCTGCTAAACTCGTATTTTGTGCATGAGCAACACCTTGTGCACAAAAAATATAGTTACATTGTAAACAGACTTGGGGTATTAAACACAACAATGTATATCATATATTGAATATTTGGTTCCACCCAAAATATGATTGATGCAGGTCAGGTAGTCATGTGATATATGCATAAAGGTCCATTGACTGCAGAAGGCGTCCAACAAGATAATTATCAACCCATGCTTATCATTTCAGAGATTTGCAAATTACGGCATCACCATAAGTGTCAGCATTCTTTTGAACAAGAGTATGCCAAGCTCTGGCAAACACTCGTTCCTTGTAAGGCAGCTTAACGCTGATAGCCTGGGTGCTTGCATCACTCTGCTGCAGCTGCTTTCTTCTTAGAGCCGTTGCCGCCAGCAGCTGCTGCCTTCCTCTTTCTGGTCTCAGCTGCTTTCTTAGCAGCCGCCTGTCTGTCCGCCTGCGGCCTCGCAGCTGCAAGCACACACAAGAACACGGTAAAATCTCATTCCTCCAGGAGAAAGAAGAAGCGTTTTCAAATTTGCAAAACTGTGCTGGGAGCTGAGTGTCTGTTGTAACTCCGAGGTGCGGCAAGCAAGGCATCAGTGAGATGGGGCCACAAGGCAGACCTGACTTGGCACCGCCAGCCTTGCCGCCGGCCTTCTTGCCCTCAGTGCCCTTCTTGCCACCATTGGCCTTTCCATTGGCCTTGGGTGCTGCAGCCTTGGCGGCAGGCTTCTTGGGAGCCGTCTTCTTCTTGGCTGGCTTCTCTTCTTCCTCCTCTTCTTCCTCCTCATCATCATCCTCAGCATCCTCTTCATCCTCAGCATCAAATTCCTGAGCGCAGCATGGCACCCAGGTTGGTCTTCTTCAGTACAAACAAGAATTGCAATTGAACTTGCATGCAGACCACAGGGCAAAATCTGTTCCCCATGCAGCCCAGGCCTGGACATCTCATCACAGGACATCATGCACATTGCAAGGACATCTGATCACAGCATTAAACAGGTCTCCAAATAATAAGACCGGTGCAGTAGCGGTGCTTCTGACACAAGGGAAAGCCAGGTGCCTGGCTTGTCCTGAACGGGCGCTGAATACCACTCACCTCCTCATCATCCTCGTCGGCAGCGGCATCCTCGTCAGCCTCCACGCCCTCATCTTCCTCCTCTGCACCTTCCCCCAGCTCGGCAGCATCCGCCTTCTCTGCTTCTGCTATTGCCTTGTCATCCATCTCCTCCTCGCCCTCACCAGCCTCCTCAGCCTCAGCATCAGCCTCTGCACAGCGGTGACAAGTCACTAGATTTGTCATCTGCGCTTTTGCTGCATGTCTGCCTGACAGCTCCAAGCGCCACAGCTGGTTGGGTTTCCTGCTGATCCCGATTTGCTGCATGTGTTCTTGGCAGTTTATTGCTCGCAGTGGTAAGTGCCCATCGATGAACTACAGGGTCAAGAAGCAGCACAGCAAGAGGCTTCTTGGGGGAATGCTGCATACCGGCTTCCTCCTCTGCTGCTGCGTCCTCCTCGCCAGGCTTGAATTCCTGGTCCTTCTTCTCCTCTGCTTTCATGGTTTGCTCAGCTTCGCGGTCTCCCTGCTCCAGCACTGCCTCCACCTCTGCATCCTCGGGTGCATTCTTTCCATCTGACTTTGTCTCTGTAGCACCATTGACTGTTATTTTTACTCCGGCAGGATAAGTTTGAAGGTAACCAATATATCTTCAGTACTAATGCTCAGGAGGCACCTGACAAAAACAAATCAAGACCTACAATGGTGTCTGCGGCGCATCAGGAAATTGAGTTCGAGCTATTTATCTACCTTTCTGCTGGGGAGCCGCCTTCTTTCCTGCAAAGCAACCAAGTGCCAATAAGTATCTTACGGGATGCAGGATGTCACCGGCCCATTTCAGGATATGGAAGGACACCAAATCCGATAACGGGCTACTGAAGACACGGATGAGTAACTAGTCTCAAAAACTCACATTTCAGCTTTGCATCGGATTTTGGACAAAGATCGCGTTACACAAAATCAAGCATATCCGATGATGCCGAAAGCTCCAGTACTCCGGGCTTCGGCAAACACACCGGAAACGAGTCCATCCGAACACAGATATCAAATAACCTCATACGATTGCGATAATGAGCACTCTCGTCGTGATTGAACTGAAAGATTCGGTCCTATGATAAACAGGCCGAGTAGACAGATGCTTGAAACAGCTAACGACATTCTGGCCAGCATGATGGCAAGCTAGACGACGGGTGCAGTAACTTACCTTTAGGTGCCATTCTGGTAGCTAAATACGGTGAATACTTGTCTTCTGCCAAATGGCCAAGCGGCCTCCTTATCGATCTGCTGCTCTTGCTGCAAGTTGGTCACCTTGATACAAGGCAGCAAGAAACGAACACAACTGGGAAGAACAAATTCACTGGGGATCAGCCCCTCTTTCGATGCTTGCGAGTTGGAAGCGGGTCATTTCGGACGCCATCTGTCGTGGCTAGGTCATTCGGCGTTTTCATATCTTCCATCAACAGTGACCACCCCTGAGCAAGGGTGTCATGATGGAGGAAAGAGACAGCTCTGATGTGGAAAACATTCTCTCTGTTTGATTACTTAACTGCAACAAGGGGGCCCCCCTAGCGGAGATGTCTCCCACTCCCACAAACATTTCATGTGAAAAAAGTTGTGTAGGAACGGGGTCTTGAACCAGTGACCAAAATCCTAGCCCACCGGTACAAATACTGAGCACCGTGCCCACCGTTGATTGGGTCTTGCTTGGATCTGGCGAGTCCAACAAGGGGTAGGATTGTGGCAGCCTTTAACTGCAGCTTGTCTGCAGGACGCACCTAGAGGCAAGGCCTTGCCTCTTGGCAGGAAAAGCGTGTAATAATAATAAATTATTATTAATAATAATAATAATAACTTCAAACAACAATTACTAAATTAGTAAACAGTACCACACAGCGATGAAAATGGGTCATGTTTGGCCTCAATCAGAAAAAATCACCTTGATCGACAATGAGTCCATTCCTCAGGCCACCTCACCATCTCATGTCATATGTCACATGCCACAGTGTTACGGTCACACAGTGTTGCTGCTAATTGATTGGCAGGACATGGTGTCAAGACCATCATCGTTTGTCCAATCTGGCCAACAGCTTGTTGTGGAATTGTTGCAGATTACTTCTGTGGTACCTGGCGCTATAAACACACACTCGTATGGATCATGCTTCCTAGTAACGTTTCTTGAAGAATTTCCTGCTTATTTCATGTGTTGAGTCGCCATCGTCCGCATCACCCCTGCCCTTCCGCTTCCCATTCTTACCCTTGTCGGCTTCCTTCATCTGCAACACAATGCCCTCCGTCAGAGCACTTCCAAAGTGATGTTGTTTCATCAAATAAGTAAATACTGCTGTTCAAGCACATGCAGGCACAAGCCACCCTTGATTGCACAGCATATCATCCTCCTCGCAGTACAGGACCTGGGCTGCGACAAGAAGTCACCTGCATGGTTGCCATTTTCTGTGCTTCCGTCACACGTTCCAACAGCAGCAAGGCCGCCTCCTCCTCAGCATCATACTTCTCCATCTTTTGCCCTGTCAATGCCTCAATCTTCTGAAACTGCTCCACGTCATACCTGCAATCAACACCACACCTCTCTTGAGCGCCTGTAAGGGGACATCAATTTGCATCAAACTAGTCTCACCCCTCTGGACTGCAACAACAGCATGTTGCAGGTGAACAGAGTGACTGTTGTGAGCGCTCTGATAGAAGAGACAGAAACGCACTGCGTGACGAGTGTGAGGGAGCGGCCGGATCTGCCAGCGCGCGCAGTCCGCCCCACTCTGTGCACGTAGTCCTTGGAGTTGATGGGCACGTCATAATTCACCACCACATCCACCGCCGGGATGTCCAGCCCTCTACTCGCCACGTCTGCACCACACATTAGTCACGGGTCAGTTATCTGCAGCACTGCCATCCTCTTCACTGAGCGGCCAGCACTTTCTGCCTATACTTTTGCCACAAAGTTCCACGCGGTGAGAAGGAATACAACAACCCGACCATTGGGAAGACTGGACACATTTACACGTCATCACAAGGGCTACAATAACCTTTCTCCGTACTTGGCACTCGCACTGCCTTGTATGTCTCTCTTCTCTTGTTACAGACACTGACATCATTGCAGGACAAAGCATGCCTAGAGAATCAATGAGTCCTGTTGAACGCTCGCGGATCAGAGATCAAAGGTGTGATCATGGGTAATCTCATTTTCAACGAGTAAATGATGCTTTACTCATCATGTCCGTCGAGCATACTTGCATTCAGGGCACCCACCACCAGAGCCTAACCTACATGCAACCCGAGCATTTTTGGTTGCTCACCAGGGCTAATGTCTGTTGTATGCAGGACCTTCAGGATGGCCTCCTTTGAGTGCATCAGGATAGCTTCAACAGTGTGTTTTTCTGCACCTGTGGCGGCAAGGATGCCTGTATAACCCTGGTGGTGCTGTACGCACGGACTGAAGAGGCCTGCACGTGATCAGAAGGGTTACAACCAGCCCCTTGAGACTGTGGTTCCTGTGTGCACCTGTGGCGGCGAGGATGGAGCGCTCGCCGGCCTTGAACTTGTTGAGGGCGCCGAGGCGCTTGGGCTGGCTCATCTGGCCGTGGATGGGCAGCGCGTCAAAGCCCAGGTTGCGCAGCATCAGCGCCAGCTTGCGCGTGTTGTCGCACGTCCGCGTGAACACCATGAACGTCGCACCCGCCAGCTCCGTCAGGAAATACGCCAGGTAGCAGTCCTGCATTAAATTCCCCTCAAGTCACCTTTTCGGCTCCACTCAAGACTGACAACAGGATCTCTGACCGAGCCGGTCACGGCAGCGTTCTCATGCGTAACTGATATAATCAGCTGGGATTTGAGGCACAGCGGTCTTTTATGCCAGGACGTAGCAGCACGACTGATGCACAGCTCACATGCATGCACAAAAGTCCTGTGCCGCTCATGCCGCAGTGAGGAAACCCATGGGAGGAATTGCCAAATAGGGGTTGTCGCTGGTTCGAGTAGCCCCTGTCCGTCACATGCGGCCTGACCTTGTGCTTGGCGGGGATGAAGAGGTACTGCTGGCGCAGGGTGTCCACGGTGCGGTACTTGGCGTCCACCTCCACCTTGACTGGGTTCTGCAGGCATGCGCGCTGCAGCTTGGCCACCTTGGTGGTCATGGTGGCCGAGAAGAGCTGCGTGCGCCGCTCCCGAGGGATGACTTTGAGGATCTGGTCGATCTCCTGCTCGAAGTCCATGTTCAGCAGCCGGTCCGCCTCGTCCAGCACCAGGTGCCGCAGCGCCTTCAGCGTGAACCCCTGCGCAATGACTCATCTTCAGAACCATCCCTGGTGAGGACATGATTTGGCGAGGAGAAGCTTTGATGCTGGTGAGGACAGGATATGGGGAAGGCGCAACAAAGACAGTGCAAAGTTGTTTCACAGGGTGGGGAGCCTCCTGCTGGCAATGGTCATGCATGACTATCATGAGCATGGGAATGCTGAAGTAAAAACGGCGGCAGTTTACAAGCAGGTTACCTTTGTGTTCGAGAGGTGGTCGACCACGCGGCCGGGGGTGCCCACGATGATGTGCGGCCTCTTGCCCAGGGCAATCGCCTGGGCCATCATGTCAATGCCTCCCACCAAGACAGCACATCTGACGCCGATTCCCGCTCCCAACGCCTCAAATTGCTCTGCTATTTGCAGTGCTAGCTCTCGTGTGGGGGAGAGCACCAGAGCAAAGTTGGCCTGTGGCGTGTCCAGAAGTTCCTGGAAGAGCCACAGTTTGGATCAGTCCACCGCTCTGGTAAGTAGCCCACAGAAAGTTTTACCTGACTTTGCCATTAGATAGGCAGCTTGTCCAACACGCCTGTGAAGCCTGCATGTTGTGAACGCATGCTAAGCACTAGCAGCACATGCTCACCTGAAGGATGGGCATAGCAAAGGCGCCAGTCTTCCCAGATCCAGTTTGTGCTAGGCCTATGACGTCTTTGCCTGCGGCAGTGCAGTACAGATCGTCAAAGGGTTCAGATCAAATTGCGTGTCCTTAAATCTCCGATGTGAGCACTGACATCAAGCAGCCAACCTGCTAAGAGGTGTGGAACAGCTTGCTCCTGGATGCTGGTCGGAACTTTCCATCCTAATGATGCTGCCGCTTCTGCTAGTTGCCTACAAACTCCCAACTTCTCGAACAACTTTATTGCATCTTCGTTGTCGTGCTGGGGCGAGATCGCCATAACAGCGCGTTTCTGCCCAGTGCCTAGTACTCTTTCCTCCTGCCGCCTTTACTAGTCTCCAATAAAGCAACGGCACAGGCTTCGATCTTGTCAAAGAAGAGTTTAATGACGTTTTAGATCTCAATTCAACTAGTTTAAGGCACAATAGACTGAGCTCTCGCGATCCTTTCTCGAGACAAGAAATTTTAACACGTGCTGGCACCTGCGTCGCTCGTGAGGTTTGGCATCAGCAGAAATGCATGAGGCCTGATGCGAGAGCAGAATGATCAGACACGTAAAGATGAGGTGATGTTTGGATCGTAGCGTCCAGTCGGATTCTTGAGATGGTTTTTCGATAGGCATGACCACTGACCTAAGAAGTGCTGAACCCGTGTGCCTCACTGCGCATGAATAGGATCACTTGCAGTTGTTGCAATAGATCTTTTGAATCTTCGGAACTGAGACACCACGGGGTAAGAACCAAGAAACTATGTCTCGGCTGAAGCCTGGTATAAGGACAATGTGTAGTTTTGTAGACAGGACGATGCACCGTGACATTTCCTATGTGACTCGGAATAATGCAGGTTGGTGGTGGAGTACGAGAGAAGAACGAGCTGCTCTGTGCAGACTGCTGGAAGGTGTTCTCTACCGATTCTTGGGATGACAACAGCAAGCCTCAAAGTGGAGAGGACGAGCACCCATCGCGAAAGCGCAAGCTTCAGGTAAGAAACTGACTTAATATTAATTTGGGCTGGCTTCAGCACACCAAGGCGAGTATGCTAATGACAGAGACTGGGAACTCAGCATGCTTGTACTTTGTTCTTGCAGGAAGGAGGTGCCCAGGATGCCCTTGGCACCTTATGGGAGGACCCAGAAAATAGCAGTGAGGCAGTGGCAAACAAGCTTGATGCCGATCCTCACTTCCCAGAGGAGCCCCTGGATCACCTCAGGCGACTCAGCGGCGCAGGGGTCTTGGATCCAGGCTCAGCTTTTGCACGTGCCTTGGTGCAGAAGCATGCGGAAATCGCAGCAGCAGGCAGCGCGAACCAGGTTCTAGCCGAAGATAAAGGCTCAGGGGGCAGGGCTGTCACTGAGCCAATGAAGAGGGCAGGGTCCGCCCTGGCAAGGGACAGGAGCGGACGATTCATAGGCAAGAGCAAGCAAGCAGACAAGGTTGAAAGCAGCGGAGCAGGGCCAAGCGCCCCTGCCAGAAGGGGCAACATTGACCCAGATGATCCACTGGAGCAGGACCTGATGGTCTCACAGGCGCACCTCTTTGATGACGCCCCTGTGCGTGGGCCGGCTGAGAGCCTCAACGCTCAGGTGACGTCACATGTCGGAAGCATCCCGAAGGGCAATAGGATCACATCTGAGATGGGCTTCGAGGTAATGTACAGACGAGTGAACCTGACTGACGCACGTGCACAAACGCAGGATCAGTAGATAACCTACCGTCAGTGCCAGAAAAACCTGTCAAGCAGACATGCACGCAACAAAGCAGATGACAAATAAAAAGACCTGGCTCGGTCCTTGAGTAGGAGTGCATATAATGTTCTGCAACTTTGCAATGTGCACCTCGCTGATGCTGTCTTTGTGCATGCCAGGTATCGCAGAACACTGTGAAACAGGAGGTCAGCGGGGAGGTGCTCTCGCCGGCCGCTCGGATGCAAGCCAACAGCCCTGTACAGCCGCAAGCCGTGCGTGTACGCAGCGGTGTCGCAGACACAGACTGCCTGGCTGAGCTCAAGCAGATGCGCTCCAAAGTGGCCACCCTGGAACAGACCCTCCTGTAAGCATCGCCCTCATCTGTCCAATCTACTCTGCCACTTTCATACTTGACACCATGGTCCCATTGCCCTTGCTCCCCAAAGCTGTTTCACAGCACTAACTTCCCTTGTTAATGTTGGCGTGACGATCAAGGTGAGCCTAGTCTATTGCTGCGCAGGGCTGCGCGGCTACAGACGCTCTGCATAATGTGCAAGGCAGCGGCGCGGAGCACGGTGGCGTGGCCATGTGGGCATGTGCTGTACTGCGCCCCCTGCATGGCTGCTCGCGTGGCGGCCAGCGGCACCTGCCCCGAGTGCTCCTCACCCATTGTGGAGACACACGCTGTGATTTTTGGTGGGCCATGACGGGCGGCCTCTGCAGGCAGGTTGTGCCAATGTACGCTGTACATCAGTAGTTAGATTGCTGGATTAGTGTTGTGAACACGATGTCGTATTGTTTTGCATACTTGCTCTGTGTAGAAACAGCCGTGCTGGACGTGTGCCCCAGAGGTGCACCTTCCGAATTCTGAAATAGTCTGGCATTGCAACATATGTTAAGAGCTGCTATATGGTACTGTATGAATTTGCCATACATTGCAGTGTGGGTACGATAATTATTCATTCCTTTTGCAGCAGACTGCTTTTTCACCCAAGACTCGTGCATGTGCTGCTGAAGATCAAGGAGTCAGTTTGGAGCCTTGAATTGAAATGACTGCAAAATTCTGGCGTCGACATTGATATTCTGGGTATTGGACCTTCCAAGGGTTTTAGTCAGCCAGGCTGGGAACATGTCGGATTCTTCTGTTCTGTGTCAACAGAGGTGCACTACATTATTTAAATATATCCTGAAGAAAATTAAGGATAGTTTGTGTGGTCGACGCCTTTGCAAGGGAAGGTGTCATGTGTACACATGTGTACACATGTGCATTTTACTAGGAGTGAGTGGAACCTCACTCAAACAGGGCAGCAAGATTGAAGCCACAGTGAAGGATGATGAAGTCGCAATAATGTTACAAGCTCCTGCCAAGTGCAGTGAGGCTGACATTGATTGGCATGACACACCATGCGATGCATCTTATCGACAGACGCTGTTGATGCATCTGCCCAACACTGTAACCAACACTGTAACGACTATGTAGAAAGCACACTGAATCAACCCCTTGCTGGGCTACCAAAAAAGGCCAGCTTAGGCCTTGGCAGCGTCCCTCTTGGCCTGCTCCTGCAGGATGTCCAGGCGCACACCCTTGCCCTTGGGCAGACTGATCAGCGGCTTTTCGTCCTTGCCAATGATGAACACGTTTGACAACCTGCACCGCACACACGTTCCCATCAGCATCCTTCAGCACATTCAGCCCCTCCAGCCAACAGACCACACATCAGAGCCCGCAAGAGGGCACACCCTGTGCCAAACTCTGGAGCCAGGTGCACCAATGCTGTGCTCTGCTCTGTTGCTGAGAATGAGGGCATGCACACATGCGCATAAGATATGCCAGTCCGGAAGGCTCACCGCGTGGCGAACTGGTGGCCGACAGAGTCCTTGACGACGATGATGTCGAAGGAGCCCTTGTGCTTTTGCCTGTTGACAATGGTGCCGACACGGCCCACGTTGCGCCCGCCAGTCACCATCACCAGCTGGCCCACGTCAAACTTGATGAAGTCCTTGATCTTGCCCGTCTCGATGTCAAACATCACCGTGTCATTCACCTGCGCCACAGCCTCCAATCAGCCAAACGCAGCTTCCCCGGACTTCCATTGCACATATCATTCCCTTCTCACTCTCCCTACCACAAGAGGCACATTCCGCTTGCGAAGACTCAATCGCAGACAGCTCAGCTGCCTTCTGCACTTCACACTACGGGTTGCACGCTTCCCTAGACTATGAAGGAATGCAAGAGCGGCAGCCTGTGCACCTTGATGTCGGGGTCGGGGTAGCGGATGGTGCGGCCGTCGTGGGTGGCGATGTAGGGAACGCCCCCCTTGCCCACCTGCTGCCTCGTCACCTTCAGCAGCTTGTACCCTGCCTCCTCCTGCACCAGCCAACCACAATCCCGCTCAGCATCCGGACTCTGAATACACTTCCAGACTGTCAAGCACCCAGCCAATGAGGACAGTAGACATTGCGCGGCAGATAATATGACACATAGACTCTTGAGCTGCACATTTAGCCGCACCACTGCTGTCAATGATCACCGCTCATAAAGGTCAGCCAAATCAGACTAGCAATGACAGGCAAGATGCACCCAAGACAGGGAGGTGACAGCGGGCACCTTGGTGATGCGGTGGGTGACGAAGCGGCCCTTGGAGTCGTATATGAGCCGGAAGTGCTCGTCTGTCTTCTCAATGTCGATGACGTCCATGAAGCCTGCTGGGTAGGTCGCGTCTGTGCGCACCTTGCCATCCACCCTCACTAGCCGCTGCATGAGGATTGACACCACCTCCTTGCCAGTCAAGGCATATCTGCGCAGTTCCACACGCTTCTTAGTGCGCTGCACTGCTCGTTGTGCTGGCACTGCTGACTTCTCTCTCCACCTTGGGCAGCCCTTATAATGGATCACCACAAGCAGCCAACCACAACTCAACAACACTCCATGCTTTTGCAGCAGCAGGCACTGTCGAATAGCTCTAATTGGCCATGCATGTGTAATCGACCATATGGACTTTCCAGTGACTTCTCTTTCAGGCAGTAGCCACTCACTTGAGGCGGTTCCTCAGCATCAGTGTGAGGGGCAAGCACTCGCGCTGCTTGTGAGGACCTGGGGAGGGCTTGGGCGCCTGCAAACACAAACAGACATTGGTTCTGTTGATCCGAAACCATCAGTGTTCATCGATGTCCTCAAGCAATTTCTGAAAGGACTCTTGCTGCTGCAGGATATGGGAAGCAAAAGATAGATCGCTGTGCCAAAGAACACCATATTTCCTTGATGCAATCTGTAAGTATCTGTAAGTGTTCTGCTGTCACGATCGAGATATAAGAAGAATGTGCTGCTCACAAAGATTCCGCCCAACTTGTCCAGCATCCAGTGGGAGGGAGCATTGAGCCGCTTCAAGTGCTTCTTTGGTCCGCGAACCATCTTGGGAAGAGCCGCTAGGCGGCCAACTATCCACAAGAATCGAGCTACTGATCGATTTTGCAATGCAGGTGGAGAAATGTGACAAGCCGCCGCAAGTCTCATCGCACACCCTCTCAAATCCCCTGTTGCATGCCAGAGCCCTAGGGTTCTGCTCTAAGCCAGTATTGGCTGTCTATTTTGGTTGATGGCCCCCGTGCGCCGGTTCTTGAATGGGCAAGCGACTTTCTCGGTCAGTAATGAGGCTCGGTCTCGGAAACAGTCAGTGATTACCTTTCGGACATCGTGCCAATCGGAGAGTATAATTCGTCCTGGATCGGCTCGTCCGGGCAGCTTGATAGTGCGGACTTGAAAGGAGGGGAGGGTCAACCAGGACAGCAAAGTGGGGTTGGTCGCCAAAGGCGGTCATCAATGCTCAATCAACCAAGGGATGCCAATGGTTGCTTCAGTCGCCGGCAGCCGGGCAGGCGTTCATCCATGGCAGGGACAGAAGACTCCTGGAGCATGGTGGGACTCCGTGCTTTCGGAACAGTCTTGGACGATGCCCAGGCGATAGTCGATGCAGCACAGCGGTCGAATTGGTGCTGTATATTGTTTTTATCTTCAGCTCTTATTCAGATGACGGTTTCGGGCGTCTCATCCTGTTGATTGAGGTCGCTGGACTTGGTCTAAGTCGAACTGCTGTAGGGTTCTTCCGTGAGCTATTTCTTTGGTCTGGCAAGACCCTGGCATAACTTCCGTGTACCAACAATTCGTCGTAGTATTGGGCATCTATTTATGCAGACGCGTTTGTCCTGGAAAATAGCTTTGCCAGCTCCTTGACTCCCATCGTGCTGACTAGAAAGTCGTGCCAAGAAGGTCATGCCTTCTGATTTTGTCTGATTGGGATTTTTTCATCCGAGAGAGCCTCGGCTCCAAGTGGTATTTCCTTGAGATGTTGAGACAGCGTTTAACGCAGCAACCTTGACTTGATGAGGAAAGCTGGGTGTGCCTTGATGGGGCTGCTGCTTCAACACAGGGCTCCATGGCAGACCCGAAGACCACCCTTGGCCAGGGGGTCAAAATGCTGAAGGGCGGAGGGGGCATCTTCAAATCTGCGGCAGTCGCTGTCCTGAGGCTTGAGCGCAAGCTGATGACTACTGGCGACATCACAAAGTGCGCTGCTGACTGTGCACACGTACACACACAGCGCAATTCCCCTGCCCCTGTGGAGCGCAGCAGAGGATGCTGCGGAACTCCCTAAAGTCTCAACGAGTCTCAATAGACTTGGCATAATATTGCAGTAATGAGACTAGTCACCCAGCTTTATACTCTGTGGTGCAGGCTAGCGCTGGAGAGGCAGCACATAAAGTGCCAGGGGCGGACTCCAGAGGCCACCATGGCATCAGCCCTGTACACCGACGTGAAGCGCAAGGGCAACAAATCCGTGTTCACCAGGTACCAACCACCTCGCACGTTTCTGCCAAAGTGCTGCCTGCATTGCCCATGGTGCGACCATTGGGCTGTCAAGCACCCATCAAATGCAGACAATACAGGGCCCTGATGCATGCTGGTGAGTCATGGGGGATATTATTCCTCGCAGAGGTGGTAGAAATACTTAATTGAACACCAGTGTTAGTGTGGTGGCTGCAGATTTGACTGGCCGCCAGGTAGATCATGCAAGCCGTGAGTGGTGATTGGTAAAGGACTTGTCAAGGTGTGCTGGTGCATGCAGGCCACAGGAGGGGCTGTTTGGGCTGAGGGAGTGGGAGGACGAGGGATTTGTGCCGGATCCTGTGCCCGGCATCCCCCCTCCATCCGAGATCATCGAGCGGCGGCCGCGCAGCGAAGGGCCCCGAGTGCGCAGCCTCCCCTCCTATTATTGTCTCTAACAATAGCTCCATTGCACGGTCCTCGCAGGAAATTCAGGTCAAGTTATTTTTAGGCAGCCGTCAAGGACAGAGCCGAGACAGACTGGTTCAGACCAACGTGCATATCATCCACAGAAATTTGGAGCTGAGCAATCGGCAGACAGGACATGCATGACCCATGAATTTAGAATGATACGGTGCATGCATGCAATTGTGAGATGTCTTGATGGCTGTGCAGACGGTGCGGCGGCTGCACAGATACATGCCCGGCAGGAGCCCTGAGGATGGGGATGAGGAGTATTCTGACCTGGGTGACTCACCCTCGCGAGGAGCCTCCGAAGACATCACCGACTCCCCGGTGAGCACGCCTGTCCTCCATGCTTAGCGCAACCCCTTATAAACCAGCATCCAGAGCAACCTGTCCTCCCTAAGAGGTTCAATCGACCTTCCTTTGCAGCATGTGCATGCTCTGCCTGGTCAGATATCCTGCCCTGTCACTGTTCAATGCAATATCAATGAAGTAGTATCGCTGTGTGTACAGTGAGCACAATGCCCACGGTGAATTGGGTCTTGCTCGGATCTGGCAAGTCCAACCAGGGGTAGCAGTTTGCCAGTCTTCAACTGCAGCCACCTGCAAGCACACCTTGTGTGTTGTCTCTCAACAGGAAAGCCAACCAGAAAACCAATAATTATGATGCTGAGTGTGCTTGGCAGAGCCCGCTGTTCCGGGCGCAGAACCTGCATCCGCTGGGCGTGCGCTACAGCGGGGTCAAGGCAGGGGCGCTGCAGCTGCTGGGAGACGTCTGCATGACGCCCCTACCCATCAACGCCGACTTCCTCGAAGCCGCCGGCTCCACCGAAGCCAAACCGCCGCAGCTCGTGCGCTCACCTTCTCCCCTCCTTTACAATGCTTTTCATGCACCTTTAGCCCAGGATGCACACAAGAAAAGAGAACCCAGATGCCTCACACTCCGTGTGTACCTCTGAAGGTGTTTCCCCCAACACCCAGTATTGTGGCATGTGTTCCTGTTGCAGTACCACCCCTTTTGTCCACTACAAGCAACAACAGCAGGAGTCAGATTGTTCTCAGTCCTGGATATCCATGACATCCTTCAGGTGCATGCAGAGCAGCTGCGTGTTCAGATTTCTCCAATCTTGAAGATGCATGTCATATTTCGCGCGCAGGCGAAGCAGCAGCGGGGCCGGCCAGAGCCGTTGAGCATGGACGGGGCAGCAGGACTGGCGAGCACTCTCAGCAGCCCCCTGCGCATGGACAAGCTTGCAGTCTTCCACGACATGGTGACCAGCCCCGAGGGCGTCGCGCGACTGGCGGCTGCCGCGTCGCCGTCGCCCGACTCCGGGCCGTCCACGCGACGCAAGCGCCCGCGGCTTCTGCTGGACGTCCCAGCTCTGGTGAGCTGTGCGCACGCACCTGCTTGCCCTTTAATGGCCTGCCTGCGATGAAGATCTGTACACCGCCACGCTGCACAGCATGTCTTGAACTGTGGGAGTTTGCCCAGGGCATAAAGACATCAAGGATTTACAGGAATATTGCAGTCGGTGGTGTAGGTACCATTTGCATGAGCGTCTAGATTTGCATCGTGCAGCATGCTATGTTGAATGCCCATATCACAGTCCTGAGATGGGTTCTCTGTGAGATAGGTGTCAGTGAAGTGTATTGCTGGGCTGAGCTGAGCAGCAACTGCTGGCGTGTGCAGGACTCTGTGGATTTGGAGAAGGTGGGCAGCCTGACCAGAGCTAGCCCCGCCACAGCCGCCCTCTTCGCTGGCTTCCTCCCCTCTGCACAGGTCAGCCCCACAGCTTCATTATCATGCTTAGGATTTTGCTTTCTGGAATCACACTGAAAATAAGTGCCAGCATGGCCTAGGCATCTTAACAGCTGTGTTGAGCCTGTCGGCGAGCAAATGTAAGGTGCACGTCGCTTTTGTGCCCTTCACAGAGCCCAGACAGAAAGGTGCGCACCTCTGATGTCTGTAATGCTCTAGAGATCCATTGCTCTGAAGATCTTTTCTCAAGCATTGCGATTTCTGCGCACTGCAGGTGCTGCCTGCGCCGCTGTACCTGAGCCCGCCGCAGCTGTCGGCGCTGTCTCCGCTGCCCTTCGCGACGCTGCACCGGCCGGAGAGCGCGCAGCGTCCGCTCAGCGTACCCTCCGTCCTATCCACCCCCAACATGATCAGCCTCGCCTTCGCAGGTGCTCTTTTCTGGCGCAGCACCTTTCCTGCGCAGCTCCCTCGGCATGCGCCCACTCAGAGCAGAAACACTTTGTCTGCTTGTAGTGTGCATTGTCATACAATATACAACAGCCGCAAGATTTTCTCCTTCACAGCAATGTGGCTGAAATGGGCAGACTGAGGGTACCTGTCATACTTGGCAGAGGCGGACCTGTTTCCCGAGGGTGACATGCAGCCCTCCGGCCTGTCTCCCTCGGGCAACAGCCGCGGCGGCCCGCCAGCCGCCGGCCGCCCCGCGCCCCACACGGCGATCCACCCCCACCGGCACACCCCCGTCGCGCATTTGCCGCCGCTGAGCCCCCTCACGGCGCTGCTGCACGGCGCTGCGCCCGGCAGCATCCGCGAGGGTGCACTGAGACACGACCGGCCGCCGCCGCCGCTCATGCTGCCCATCTCCCAGGTGCGCGCAATCAAGGGAGCATTATTATTAATCTCACCACACACTTTTTTGGCCAAGAGGGCAGTGCGTCCAAGGAGTATAAGGAAGGTAAATCTTTGTACTCCCCTTGGCGCAAAGCTCTGCCGTGAAATGTCAGTTCCTTTGCCAGAACCTTTGCAAGTCATGTGAACCCGCCAATAAGTGCCAATTCTGGAAATTGTAATGAGAGGCATCATTCCCATGCGGCAGAAGAGCGGGAGGCGCTGGCTTTCCTGTCTAGCAAACCTTGCGTTGCTGACGGGGTGTGGTGATCTTGGAAATTTATAGCCATGTCAGCATGCCCATGAGAAACATGGTCTGACCAAGATTGGCGCTTGCAGGAGCCGGGAGACAGGAAGGCGGGCGGCATGGTGCCCAGCAGCAGCGCTGTAGTCAAATCTGAGCCAAAAGAGCAGGAGTATTACCGCGAATGGCTGCCCAACCCACCCCAACAACTCCAACAGCACCCGCCCAGGTGCTTACTGCTGTTTGTAGTTGGAAGCAATGGCAGGGCCATGCCATAAATGATCACGTACTTTACTTCGCCTCTACCTGGGTCTTGCTGAAATAAGCACCTTTTCAGATTTCTTGCGCGGCACATGTATCGTTTGGAGGCACTCTGAGACTGTGTGTCTGTGGGGGACAGCCCTCTTGGCGAGAGCAGCACGCCGACAACGGAGCGGCTGAAGCGGATAGAGGCCAAGGTGCAGCAGATGGAGGCCAACCTGGGAGCCAACCACCCCCAGGTACCCACCCCCATCCACCCTCCTTACCATGCAAAGCACCCTGCCTCCTCACTGGGGCCCTTCAGGGCGTTGAGTTGCATTTGCTGTAGAAGAGATGCTGGACGTGGATGTGACATCTGCTGCAGGTGGGCAAGGCGTGGCTGTACCTGTCTAAGGCGTACCAGAATTTCGGCAGCAAGGGCAACCAGGCGGAGTACAAGGAGAAGAGCGAGGCCGCCCTCTTCAGGCACGGTCCTCTCCCAGCTGGCCCTCTGACAACCTCAATATGCAAACAGCTCCTGCTTTCTCTCAGCCTTGTCGGCAATGCCCTGATCCCCACACATGACTGTGATGAAAATTCCTTCCAAGATGGCAAGGTCAGTAGATGTCTAAGCCATCAAAGAGGGTCGGCGTGCCTTGATGTCAGTGAAGCTGAGGTGGCCATCCCTGTTCAATCTAACACTGGGTTGGCGTGCATGCAGGTCCTTCCAGTGCATGCGCGCGTGCTCCTCGCTGTGCACCGCCTTCTTTGACGCCTACCCGGCAGCTGCACCGGCCCTCGCGGCGGCGCCGGCGGCCGGGGACGGCGACTTCGCGTACCTTCTCGGCAACATGCGCTCGCACATGCCGCCCACCACTGCAGGCCAGCAACCGCAGCCGCACCAGCAGCTTCGCACGACAGATAAAGGGCGGCAGGCTTAAGGATTGACGGTGTGCAATGCGATGAGGACATGCAATGCAATCAGGACAGCCACAGATTACAAAACTAGTTATAGCAGAGGTAGGCAGGTGGGCAATCGATCTATGGCTACAGCAGCTGTGGAGAGGGTGACAAAGCGTGCTGGAGCTGTGCATGCATGCAAAGTTAGACAGAGTTAGAACAGCGGTAGCAGCTGAGACAGCTGGCAGGCCTCTTCTTTTGGACCTAGACCTAGACCTGCAATGCAATTTTGGCAGGCATTCATTGTAGGAGGCGTGTAGGCTGAAAGGGCTTGTATTTTGCCTGGAACATGTGCAGGCCATCGTATTGATGGTATCAGAGATTCCGTGCGCATGGTGCTTCTGTGCCTGCTCATGCGTTGATAAATTGATGTTGCATGCAAGAGTGTCGCACACCTAATAAACCTGGGCGTCAGGTAATGATTTGCAAGAGATTGAAGACCATTGTTCATCTTCAGGAATTGCCGCTTCTAGAAAATTCCAGAAGTATTACTCAGTGGTGAATTGTCCTGGCCAGTTCGCAGGGAGTTTCATGCATACTGGGAGGCAATAGATTTTTATACAGGGTTGCTGGAAGACCGCTGCTGAAGTAGCAACATGCATGGCCAAGCTGGAGATCAACGCTATAAATGGAAACCTCAAGTGCTGTTGATCTTTGCAAATTGCCATTGTTCGATGCATGGCCTTGATAAACAATGACTCAAAATTCATGGAAAATTGTAAGCATGGGGTTCCATGATTGTACTTTGAGAGTGACCAACAAAATTACAAAACCAACCTTGTATTTCAGCCTGTGGTATCTACATTATCATGGAAACCCCATTATTGCATCAAGCCCAAGACTCCATCAGGAGCCTGAAACTCTGGGTTGAACGGGCACAATTCATCTGGATTAACTCAGCCTGGCCCTCACGCTCATCATTGCATCGGCAGTGGCCGAGAGAAATTCTTCACAGCACACCGCTATCGAGCGTGGGCCAACATGCTCATATCAGTTCAGGTTTGGAAATCCACCAATGCTTCCAAACTCTTCTGCTGTTCTTGGCTTCGCAATTTGGCCCGGTGCACGCCGTTGCACCCTGGACATGCAAGAAATGAGGGAGGTAGCATATCTGTGAGCGTGTGCATTGACACTCGATGCACTATATAGTAAAGGCAAACCTGGAAAAAGAAGTGCACATGCACAAGCATTGCCATATGCCATAGGGCAAGTAATTTTTGATTGCTAGCTTCCACTTAAATTCTCATCTCTCCGTCTTTTGACACTTTCTCATGCATGCAACCCTGATTCCAATGTAAATCTCTACACCTATTTGTGGTCTTGGAAAATCAATAGCCTGGCAAGACAACTACGTGGTGTGAAATCTTGCAGCTCATCAAGCTACTTCAGCATTGCGAGCCATTATAGCAGTCGCAAGTTCAATTTAAGCGATGCAATTGAAAGTATGAACAGAGAACACACCACCAACAACGTGCGCCTTTTGACGGACGGTCCTTCAGCAAAGGTTCTTGACCAGTCACACAAGCATCCACAGTGACTTTCATGGCCTGCTAATAATCCGGCCTCTGTGTAGCTGAATCTCATCTGACCTCTAGAATTTGACCAAACAAATCTTCTGCTGACTGCAGACTGCAGAAACAAGGCCTAGTTCACCAGTTGCTTGCGTACCCTGCTGCTATGGCTCTGCGCGCCTTAACACCCCATACATAGGCAGAATCTCCTATCATGGCCATGCGCAGCTGACCTCACACTCCTCTGGAGGCTCTCGTCTCTGGGAGAAACGACAAGAAGCTGAGCATTCTCAAGGTGGAGGCCAGGACAAAGCGCTCTCAAATGGCACACAAACACCGTGGGCAATGGCTTCCGTTGGGAATGCAGGGACAGCCTGCTGCACCGCCTTCCTACTCTCTACTTCGCTGGAGCCTCATCTGTTGAGAGCAGCCCAGGGTATCACCCACGCCTCACTTTGCCTCCAGCTCATTTACCTGTCCATTTGCCACGGGCTGCACCGCCGGCGCAATCTCGGCTGCCTTGCCCGTCTTGGTGAGCCCATTGGCCAGGGCCTTTCCGCCCCCAACCCCGTTGGCCACCCCATTGGGCTTGTCCTGCAGCTTAGCGCTTTCCAGGCTGGCAATCATTCTGGCAACCGCGCCATTCTTGCCGGCAGCCGCCTTCGGCGCCGCGCTGACTTCAGCGGCGCTGGAGTCGCTGACATCGTCGGGCACATGCGGAGCCACGCCGTTGGGCAGGCTGTGCGCCTCGGCAGGCTCCGCGGCTTCAGGGGCGGTGCTCTCTGGCGCCGATGTCGCTGCGGGCGACTCCGCGGTGGAGGGTGCAGAGGCTGCGGCTGGCGTGGGAGCAGCAGGCTTGCTGCTCGGCTGCGGCAGTGTGAACTCTGCGGCGTCCGCCGACAGCTCGATGCTCCGCCGGGAGGGCGCTGCGGCGGCCTGAGGCACATGATCATACAAGCACACATAAGTATATTGCTGTTGAAGGTACTGATGCACCGTGAACACCAGGCACTCTGCCACAGGGCACACACGCCCACCAATCAGCCATTCAGAGGTTTCACAGTGTCTGCCGCTTGACAGCAGGCTACCAGGCATGCCACACGGCAAGGAGGCTCACCTCAGTGCTGTTGGGCTGCCTGCTCTTGCGAGGGAAGGCATCGGCAGACAGGCCCGCGGGTGCTGGTGCAGGCTTCTTGGGGTGCGCGTGAGCATCCATCTTGCCATTCACCGGTGCGCGAGCCGTGGGTGCATTCCGGTGCTTTGCATGGTGATGCCTCTGCAGCGAGCATACAGCACAGGGACCTCAAGACACTGCGCAAGACCGTGGTCATCATGCTATTCTTCTCAGGTCTCAAAAGAGTCAAAGACCTGTAATGCTCAGCAGACCGCGCACCTGCTTGCTGTGCAGCCTGTGGTCGTCGTGGGGCACGCGATACCGCTCGTCTGCCTTGAAGTCCTCCAGGCTGTGGAAGCGCTCGTCCAACAGCTCCTTCAACTGCAGCGCACAATAGAAGTACGGTGTAATATAAGTGGTAGTAGCTACAGTATACATGCACATTGTCAAGAAAAAGAAGACCCACTTTTATATACAAACTAAGTATACCATATTTAATTGCACAACTAGCCTTAAGGCTGCTGCTGCCTGACAGGGTTGTCGGAGGGAGGCCTCAGAACAGATCTTGGTAGAAAATTGTATCTTCAGGGGCGAGAAGCCTCGGAATTAGCATGGTTGGAACATCATCGGCCAAGAACCCCCACAACACAACAAAGCGGTCAGGGCATGTGTGGGAAAGGCCCCAAACCACACCTTTGGATTGAGCTGGACGGTGCTGTCCTGGGGGGTGCCAGGGCCGTAGTAGAAGAAAGCCCACAGCTTTTCGAGGCCATAGATGCTGCCTGCCTCCAGGTCCTGCAAAGGTGCAAGCAGACTGTAATCAGAAAACCAGAGAGGGGTAGTGATGACTTGCCTTGAAGCCCGACATGTATGTCTTGATAAGACTGGCGATCTCATGAGTCAAGTTGCATACAGCATGATTGCCACGCCAAAGGTGTCCTTTTCGGTAGAGCTACCCTCCATGACTTTACGTGTTTTCAAGCCCAGATGCATGCATGTTCTTTTGACCATTTTTTTCATGAGTGCAGCTTGCTGAAGGACTGGCGAGCTTTTGAGAGGGCTCACCAGCAGGGTCTCCTGCTCAAAGTCGCGGTAGAGGGCGTCGTCAAAGCTCTGCTGCAGGCCGTAGCTGTAGAACCGGAAGAGGCACTCGCGCCCGTACTGGTACTGCGCGGCCGCGTCCTCGGCAGCGTACCTCCGGAACTCAGCGTACAGGGCGGGGCAGAAGCGGTCCCTCAGGAAGTACAACCAGAAGCGGAACAGCGTGTTCATCTCCTCGCTCTTCCCCACACCTGCACCCACTCGCTCCGCTGCATCAGCGGCAGCGCCCTAGCTGACATGGCACAGAACCTTGCATGGCATTGCACGCCCCTCTTCTTGCCTCACACCTACCTCAAGGGCGCAGATAATTTGATGCTTACCATGCTTGAATGCAGATCGTTTGCATCTCTAGGTTTAAAGAGGGGTCCTATTTATTGTCGCTGTCCCTAAACCCACGAAGAACATGCACAACGCACCTTCAGAGACGCGCTCCTCGAGACAGGCCAGCTTCCAGGCCGGGTAGCGTATGGGGCGGAAGCCGCTGTCCTGCAGCAGGCGCGCAGTGGGGTGCTCAAACTGCTGCATGACGCTGCCGGTCAGGCTGTGCGAGTAGCTGTAGGCCGACGTGCTCAGCATGCTGTCCACGGGCTGCAGGTCGCGCGCATGTGCGCGGTCGGCCGTCAGCCACCCCACGCCGGAGATGGTCGGGTGATCCGCGGACGGCGTGCCTGTGCCAACCAAGACACTGTGTCAGCATGACACACACCTATCACCAGCGCGAAGGTGAAAGCAATTACACTGGTCTGGATCGCTCTCGATCCTCAATTTTTCAGATGAATACCAAGCGGGGCACCCTACTACATGACATGCAAGGCAGGGATGCATTGTTTCATGCAGGGACAGCCTGTGCAGGGGGTGATGACGTGCCTGCTGCGGCGCGCACTCTGGTGGGGTAGAATCTCACGACTGCCTCGGGGTCCAGCTTTTCCCCGCTGCTCGCCTGTGCCACCACCAGCTTTACTTAGTCAACTCGACAGCTACTGTGTGAAGAGACAGGTGCATCTGCAAAAATCTGTTAGTCATAGAGCATGGCTGTGAGACACACCTGTGCTGACGCGTCATGCTGGTCATCAGACGAGCCAGCATGGTGCTGCCCGGCCGCTCTGTCATGGCGGGAATGCTTCACAACGATCAAGTCGCCCAGTTCCTCTTCCGACATCTGGGCCTCCGCAGATGACGTGGCAGCCTCCTGGCTGCTCGGCTGCGCTGCCTGTTCATGCTCCTGCACGATTCACAGGCTCATGAGGTGAGCCACCCAGGCCAGCACCGCCATGAAAAGTCCAACTGTGAAGATGGTGCCATGTTGTCTGCCAGAAGCAAGCCCTTTTGGAAGTCCTCGAGCAGCTCGGCGAGGGACAAAGTGCTGACAGTAAAGGCAAGCTTGGCCAAAGGAACGCACCTCATCGAGCTGGAAGACATCGTCCTGGCTGGGCTGCACAGAAGCAGCGTCAGACTCGACATCCTTGTTCCCTGCTGCGCTCGCTGCCTGTGCGGCTCCGCTCGGTCCTTGCCGTTGCGCATTTGACGCGGCTCCCTCTGCGGCAGCCGCCGGGTCCTGCGCCGCGTCTGCCGGGCGCTCGTGCGCCGAAGCCGCCATTGGCGTCGCCGGCTGCGAGGCCGCGGCGTTGTTCCGCCGGCCGCCGCTGAAGCCCGCGCCGCGTCGGTCCATGCCGCCGCCGACCGATACGGTGCGCAGCACCGGCGCGGCCGGCAGCAGTGCCGGCGCGGTGGCGCCTGAGGGCGAAACCATGGAAACGGTGATCTTGGGCGCGCGCACGGAGGCGTCGCGCTCCTCCTCGGGCAGCACCCAGTTGCGCCAGGTGTCACGTGCGCGGATGGACATCTGGTCGGCGCTGGTCTCCACGACCGGGGAGCCTCGCAGAGCGCGCAGGATGATGGCGAGGTCGGGCGTGAGCATGCGCACGCGGTTGAAGGAAGCGATGACGGCGGTGGGGATCCAGCCCTCGCCGTCCATCTTCTTGCGCAGGAACATGTCCTTGCACAGGTTCTCCACGCTGAAGTAGTACTCGATCTGGCGCCGCACCGCCTCCTCAATCTGCCCCAGCGACGGCGCGTTGACGGCCGGCGTCACCGGGAGGCCGTAGGCCGTGGGCGGGTAGTACATCTGGCTGACCGTGGGGAAAAACAGCGGCTGCTGGTAGCCCTGCAGCTGCGCGGCGGTGTTGTACACCGGCGCGCCCGAGCGGTTGATGTACCCAAGGCTCGCGCCGCCGTTCCCCCGGCCGCCCTTGGCGCGGCGGACGCCGTCCGAGCGGTTGCTCCAGCTGCGCTGCTGCTGCTGCTGCTGCTGCTGTTGCTGAGAAGCCTGCTGCTGGGAGGGCTGGTCCTTGCGGACCCAGTCCCTGAGGGAGACATCCTTATCGGATGCTGCTTCCTGGTCCGCCAATGAGCGAGTCTGCCGCGCGCCGGCGGCACTGCCTCGGCGGCTGCCCCGCTGCTGCGAGGCTTCCCGCGTCGAGGCCGGCACGCTTGTGATGCGGCCGCTGAAGGCGATGCTCACATTGTTGCTGGGATCAGACGAGGCCGAAGGGGCCCTCTCAATGTGCTGTGATGAGGTGCTGGACGGCTCGCTGGAGGCTGGCAGGCTCTGGGGGTCGATGGAGACCAGGGGCTGCGCCAGATCCTGCCCATGCGAGCTGGCAGGCGCGGAGGTGGATGCCGGCTGAGCCTTCTCAGCAGCGGCAGGCCCCTTCTCCGGCTGCGGCTTGGGCTCTGGCAGGCGCGGAGCAGGTGGCTGCGCTGGGGCAGCAGGCTTCTGGGCCTCAACATGGTTGGCAGCAGTCTCGAGGGCCCTTGGCACAATGTCTGGCGCCCTCTGGGTCACCTGCATGCACACCAGACATACATCATGACTGCCGGGACATTGTCCTGTGATCGCTTGCGAATGATGATGTGCTTGACAGAGCATGTAACAGTAGATTGCAATCTTTTAACCGTGGACAGCAGTGCGCAGCCAGGTTGTAGTGCAGTCTCACCTTTCGAGAGAGAGGGGTTGTTGGCGCCGATATCGACAGCTTTTTCTTCTGCGTCCCCTTTGCAGCGCCCAGGGATGGCCAAGCAACAGCTTCGCCTGTCTGACTCAAAGCCACGGCCGATCGTGGGATCTCAGGAGATGTGGGCTGCAGAGAAAGGACCAAATTGTCAGCCAGTCACTATTCAGGCAGTACCAAACGAACATACTACCAGAACGGAAAGTGTCGATGGGTGCTTACCACGATTTTCCAGGCTGGCTTAAGAGGCTTTCGTTCCTGAGGACAGCACCATCGGCAATATTCAGAACACCAACAAGAGAACATGCATCGTGCAGCGTCCGCTGTGTTATTCCGCCTTGTAACACATCGCCAAATTTCAAAATGCATGCAAATGATCGATGTTCAGGCATCTCACCTCCTTCCGTGGGGTGCACTTGTCTTCCGTGCTAGCAGCAAGTGCATCCTCCCCTTTCCTGTCCGTTGGAGACCCTTCGCTGGGCGCCGATGCAGCAGATGGCGCGGAGGAAGAAATAGGAGGTACAATCGGAGGCACAGTCTTCACGTGAGCAGGGCCTCGGCCACCATTCTTGGCGGCGTTGTTGATGCTGGCCGAGGTGCTCGAGCCGTTCCTGCCTGGGGCCTTGACGGCACCATCAACCGGTCGATGTTGAGACGTCGGCGCCTCTAGAGAAGACGACTGTGCATGTACGGGAGAATCCTTGCTGCGCGCTGCCTGGCGAGGCTCCTGGCTCTGAGATGCTTGCTTGCTGTTTTCCACAAGAGTAGCTGGCCTGATCCCAGAATCCTTTCCAACCACATCCTTAGGCTTTGGTTGCTGCCTGACAATCTCAGCCCAAGGAGATTTCAGGGGAGGTGGAATGGGGGCTGGGTCCACCATCTGCAATACCAAACAATCAGTGACTTCCAAGCACACTCAGGCATAATCTGTACAGGGATCGCGCGATCAGGCAGGGCAATACGATGAAATGCACATCATGAAGGGCCAATATGCGAGCCGTATCACCTTCTTTGCAGGTGGAGCTTTTGGAAGCTCAGACTGAGGTGTCCCATCCTGTGTTGGTGCAGCAGCTTCCTCTTTGACAGAGGTGGCCATCACTAGTATTTGAAGATTCTCAGATTATAAGGAGCCCCCACAGGGGCATCGCACACACGCTAGCAGATTAGTTGCAAATCAAAGGCAAAAGACAATAACTTGCAACTTTTACTGCTCGTTCAGACACTATCAAATGCGCTTCCCAGCAAAAGCCAATAGCCCCAATGCTACACGTACTTTCCTGAATTGCAAGAATGGGTAAAGCTACGAGTGGAATCTGGGAAGCCACTGTTGCTTTGTGGCACGAAGATTGGATTGAGGGACCCTATCTGCCGTGCGAGTCTGTTTTGGCTCGGACCAGTCGCCCTCAAGTCGAGCGAGTGTTTTTGTGCATGCAGAGTCGTGTGTGAGACTGAACACCACTAGTGCGCAGTGGATGCCACTAAGAAATTCAATTCCTGTGCCTCATAAATCGTAACATGCCGAATGCTGCCCTTCTTGGTGTGTATGCGCGCGCCCCCGGGGCTGCTGGGCCAGTGGAATATTAATATGTGGCAGCTTCAAGCAGTTGTTGAACAATGATCACTAATGGCATTGATTACACATCTACGGTAGCTTGCCCCAGGCCTGAATCCATCTGAATAGCGATGGAATGCATATGCCTACAAGCTCTAGATCTAGTTCGAGCAAGCCAAGCCAAAACCACTCTCAAATATTTTTGTTTCTATTTCATTAATGTGCATCATGATGATCATGATGACAGCCGCTCCGTCACCGTTACAGCGTCACTGTGACGGTGGACGCTGCGACATGGTGGACTTAATAGGCATACTTGACAGGGAAAAAATTTACTGGCCCACGAGGGCACAATCCATGCATATCAAGTACGGTTCTCCCTTCCCTCTGCAACTACCAAAACCGCTTGCAGAAGTCCGGCAGGCCACCAAGAGGCAAAATTCACAAGGGGTGTCATCTGCACGCCAACACGCCTAGTAGCGCAGCCAGTAGGTGCGGCGGCGGAACCAGTTGTAATCTGGCAGCGTTTGGGTATCCCCCATGGCAGCGATGGCCAGCTCCTGGTCATAGATGAACCGCGACGCCACCTCTTTCACCGTCTCCTCGTCCACCGCGTCAATGCGCGCAAACAGCTCTGCCTTGGGCACGCGACGCCCGTACACCAGCAGCTGCCTGGCAATGTCCTCCGCCACTCCTGCAATGAATACATCACACCATGAAACACTCGCCGAACGTTCCATTGCACAGCTGCAGGTCGCCAACGGGTGCCTGCTGTTGGAAAGCTCCATCAAATCTCAAGATTATTGATCCCAGAAAAGTGTGGAAAAGGTGCATTTAAGGGCAGGGAGCCCACCTCCAGGGCCGTCCTGGGAGAACAGGATGGAGGCCTTGAGCTGGTTGCGCGCGCGCACCACCTGCTCCTCGGAGGCATTGTAGATCAGGCTGCTCATCTCCCGCATTATGCACCACGCCTGTAGCAAGCTCCCAAACTGTCAAGTGACCCCCAAACACACCAATTCAACCATGCCTTTCCCGGTGAATGGAGCTCCATGACTGCCTGGCTGAATATGCCTGTCTGCACAGGATGTTTATGCAGGTCAGTCTGGGAGCTCACCAGGTCATCCACAGGCTGGCTCTTGGGGTCTGAGACGGCATAGACGCCAAAGAGGCCGGTGTCGTGGTAATTGGTGTTGAAGGCCATGTAGGAGTGTGCCAGGTTGTTGGTCGCCACTCGCTGCGCCATCATGCTGCTCATGTTACCGCCTGCACCAACACACCGCACACGCTCACCCGCTGCAATGTTTCAAATCACCTGCAAGGCAGCCCTTTCTGCCTTCATTGGCGCTTGATCTGTGTTCATGTTTATATTTCTTTTGGCTTACTTCAAGCTGAGTGCGGGGACGCATACACTAGTTTGGCCCACTGTCGGCATGCACAGCCCAGCGTTTATGCTTCAGAGAGCAAGAGGTATCGGCCGAACCGGCGCCGGCGTTTTTGTTCCATGCACCGATGATGGACTGGATGACCATGAGGGGGATGGCGTCCGGGTCCGTCCACGAGGCGCCCTTGAAGGCCAGCGCCCAGTGCAGCAGCGGCAGATCCGGCTCCCGGATGCGCACGTCCGAGCCGGTGAAGTATGTCGGGGACTGCGCACACAGATCTCCCTTTATACCAGCAAAGAAACAGTAACCATACATTTGCATGCACAGGGATCCAGGCGCTGCCCATCAGCTTTCTGCACATATCATGTAAAGAATTTGATGAAAGGCTTGAGGTCAGCTGACGGCACCTCCTTGACCAGGTCGCTGGACGTCAGGGGTGTGGTGGGGAGCTTTGAGAAGGCCTTCTCTGACAGCTCCACCAGCTGGCTGTGATCTATGGCGCCAGCTCCCGACACCACCTGCAAGGCACATGAGTGTCAGCAATCCGTAGACACAGCAGGACTTCGCCATCAATGGAAACACAGAACATGTGGCTGGAACATTGGGTGACAAAATGTGGTAATACCACCTTGTATCCTCGAACATCAGGATAGCATATGAGCTACATTCAATACATCCATTGGCACCAAGCGACCAAGCAATTGATACAGGTGGGTTAGACTGATGCAGGCTAGAAACAAGCGTGGTATTGTGGATGGGCCTACCATGCGGGGAGCGGTGTAGTGAGTGGCAATGTAGTCTGCAAGATCCCCTCGGGTCAGGGTCTTGATGTTGTCAGCAGGCCCCAGAATGGTGCGCCCCAAAGGTGTGTGCTGGAAGGCTGTTGCATGCAGATGGTCAAAGACAACCTCCTCTGGCACGCCCTCAACCTGCCATCATAATAAGCAAATCAGGATATGCCCATGCAAGGGGAGATGTGCGTTTTTCTGATGCCATGCATTCCAGGTCATTTCGCATGTTCCATGAAGGCACAAAAACAAGCATACCTCCTGCATTTCCCTCAGGATGACATTGCGCTCCCGCTCAATGGCCTGCTCATCCAGGTCTGAGTTCTGGAGGATGTCACTCAGGATCTCAACAGCCTTGGGCACATCCCCTTTCAGCACCTTTGCGTAATAGCAGGTTATTTCCCTGCTTGTGTATGCATTCAGGTGCCCGCCCATGTTCTCGATTTCCACCTCCAGCTGCTGAGTCGTCCGAGACTGTCACAGGCAAATGAAAAGTCAACACGGTTGAAGAGCAAATAATGCTGTACAGTGTGCTCCGCAGCTCTGCAGTACCTTCTGTAGTTGCTCTGGCCTATGCAGTCGCTTGGCCTGGGCAGGGAGTCAGGATCCAGAGCAGTATGAGCATTGTGCCAGAAGTATGAATCGAAGTACCACAAGTTTACCTTTGTGCCCTTGAAGGCCATGTGCTCCAGGAAGTGGGCTGTCCCATTGTTTGCCGCATTCTCGTATCTGCTGCCAGCATCGATCCAAACTCCCACGGTTGCGGTCTCCGCAAATGGTGTTGTCTCAGATGCCACTCGCAATCCGCTAGACAGAGTCGTCACCTGGTGGCAACAGAAGAAGTGATGAGAAGAGCATATAAGGTCTGTTTGCGAACAAGTGGCCAGCATATTCCTCATACTGGCAACGCAAAAAAAATATCTTTGTGTTGTTCTTGTGTTCTGGACCACATACGCAGCACCTTGAATGCTAAGAGGATTAGGTTTCAGAGATGCCACTGTGGATCTTCAGGTGGAGCATGAAGCATACCGATGTGTCTGGAATAGAACTAAGCAAAGGCGCATAGGTTGTTGGCTGGGGAACAGGAGATGCAAATCTAAGAAAAGGTGATTCGTCTGCCACCGCCAGCTCCCCAGGGGTCAGCTGGCCAGTTGGCTGGCTGAACGCCCGCTGGCCAGCAGGCCACAGCGAACTCTGGCGCCGTGCCAGTCTCAGCAAAGACCGCTGCATGGCTGCTGCTGTCTTTCACACTGCTGGAGAAGCATAATGATCGTGTGAAAGGCACACCAACGGAGGGAACGCCCAGACTGTGTCGTAACCGGCAAAGGCCCAGATCAGCATGGCACAATCATGCAGATCTCTCTGAGAGACTTTCACGTAAGGTAGTACACGCCTCTGAACACGATTCATGCAAGCATTCAATTCTGAAGCTTTCTAAGTTATTATACGCATTGAAACAGGCCCTGTAGAAAGTAAAGTAATCGTGATGGTGACACATCACATCAATTTCGTGCTGTAAGACAGATGCTATTTATCCTATAGTCGCACAGCTGGTCGATATATATTTTTAGGAATCATCTTCTGGCATCTCTTTGCGAGTATCATAGCTCAGCCTCCCGACACCTGAGTACTGGGAAGGCACGGAGAAGCTGATAGATGACAGCGACCGAGACCGCGACTGTGGTTGATCCTTCGCCAGTTCAAACTGTCATTCCATCGTACTTTGACTCCAAGAGAAAGCCCAGCCTTTTTGCCCAAGAGCCGAAGTCAGAAGCTTTGGGACCGTCTGGTTTCCATGACTCCTTTGTTAATGGACAGGGGCTGCGCGTTGCGTCTTACTATTGGCCAGTAAGTGACAGTCATGCAAGATTAAAATTATAGAGATTCCATCCTGGTGCTGCAACATTGATGGCCGTTTGTTCTTCTCAACCACCCTGTGCGTAGCCCCACCATACTGTGTGCTTGAGGATGTGAGACTCTGCAATCAGGCACAACAATCACCAAGGGCGGTGATGCTCTTTGTGCATGGTCATGGCGCCTACCTCATGCATGAGCTCCTAAATGTCCCGGTACGTCTGAGATTTTGTCCAATGTTTTGGCGCTTGTTTTGCTCACTGTCACTGCCAACCTGTACTTGATACTGGATGATGCCGGCGTGCAGAAAGCAGGAAAGCCTCCAAAGTACAAGGACTCCTGGGTTGAGAAACTGAACCAGGAGGGCTTTTCAGTCTGCGGCATAGACCAACAGGGCTGTGGCTTCTCTGAGGGACTGGAGTGCTATGTGGACCGTTTTGATCACTACATCGATGATGTCTTGCAGTTCGCCAGGTTGCTACCCATCGTCGGTTCCTTGTATGCGATTGGTTTCCATGGCATATGTCTTGCATTGTGGTTGTGCAGGGAGTGTCAAGGACTCGAGCTTACTGTTTTTGTTCCAGGTCGCTGGCGAGATGCAGCACACCTGGCTTCAATGATGTCCCGATTTTCATAGCGGGCTGCTCGCTGGGTGGTTGCATATCAGTCAATGCCATCCACAGAGAGGTGCAGTTCTCTGTTGCAGTTGCATGTTCGAGAGGCGTCACATGTTTTCACTGAGTGTGATACAAGTGTTTTTGGCATTTATTGCAGGCCCAGTTGTTTGTGGGGGCGATTCTCTTCGCCCCGATGCTCTCCCTGGAGCGCGCCTCAAAGCACGGCCTCAATTATTACCTACGGTGAGTGCCTTGTTCGTCCCTGCATATAACAGCATACTGGTCCCTTCTTTTTTGTGCCCCTTCCGCCTTCTTACCATGCCTCCATCATGACCTGGAAATGATGCTGATTGTAATGTCCTGCGTAGACCTCTGGCAGCGCTTCTGAGCCGCATCTGGCCCACACTGCCGGCGGCATCCACCACGCGCAACCACCTGTACCCAGAGCTTCAGTCCTTATGGGATGCTGGTGAGAAGTCTGCACATCAGGAAATGCTTCCTCCTGCATCCATGTAAATGTATTCTTGTCGCTGGCGTTGAACTACTGTATCTGTCGAGCACTATTTGCTGTTGCAGATGGCTCACAGAATTGTGTGATGCAGACCCTCTCTGTTGGCACGGGGCGACGCGTGCTCGCGTTGCAAATGAATACCTGCTGGCGACAGAGGCAGGCTTGAAGGAGATGCCTTCCTACACATTCCCCTTCATAGTGTTCCACGGTGCAGATGACACACTTACGGACCCAGACGGCTCTCGTACGCTATATGAGAGGTCACAGGTGAGGAAATCATTTTGTGCTTGTCACTCACATGCAGTACTTTTGGATTGCTCTGTTTTGCTGTATTCTGGGAGCTTGGCTGCCCACTTTCATGATGCCTTGAAAGCTTTTAGAGATGGAGGTGGTGCTGTGCAGACCAAGGATAAGACATTCCGGCTCATAGAGAAGCGCTGGCATGTCCTCCTGAAGGAGCCTGGCAATGCAGAGATCCTGCAAGAGGTCATTGCATGGCTGAAAGCACGCACATGATGTGCAACTGCATAGCGCACTTTGGAACCGGCTGTTGTCCAGCAACCAACTCCGAACTTGAACAGATGTTGGTGGGTATTTTTCCCTGCAATGCACTGAGGACTATGGAGTGAGCCGGCATGTGCCGCACAGGCCCGACGCGCAGTGTTTAGAAATGAAGGATATATTTTAATTTCCTTGTAGGTACTATGGTACTATCAGTAACATCTGGGATGAATTTGCCTGCCAGTTTATCTTGTAGTATATGGCAGACAGCTGTAGATCATTCCCTACTCATGTCTTGAACCCACTTGATGAAGAACCCTTCGCATAATGTATTCTCGGTCTTGTTGGCCGCTCAACGTTGTAAGCCCAATTTTGATTCATGCAACAATCATGTATCGTTACACAAGTGATGAGAGACAGGCACAGGAACCTTCAGAGGCTATGCATGCAGTCATCAGCATGCAGACTGCGCAGTCATCATCACCACAGAATGTTTCTGCCTACAACTCTCTGCCAGTACACATAATAAACATATGAGACAATCTTCTGCTCTAGATCAAGGCTCAATTACTTGCATGCTGCCTCATTTCATTTAGCCTCATCACTACGCCGTTCATCGGAACAAAGAGAGCAGATTGCGCAAGCAGCTTTCCACAGAGCCATCGTCACATGACTATGTTTCCTTGAATGTACACAAATGGAACAATTTCTCTTGTGGTTTTCTTCAAAACAACACTCACAAAATCACTATGTCCCTCCAGAACAGTATAAAAGCAACCGCTCGCTCATGTCCGTTCCAGGGGTCACAAAGAATCTCCCCAACAATGGTACTACAAATGTACAGACTCCATCTGGCACTGAGATCAAGATTCCAGTCTACCATGCCCCTCAGATCATGGCATAACCGACGCCAGGCTCCAGGCACTCTTGCCGCTCATGCAAGGGATCAAAAGTCGCTGTTGTACACGCAGACGAGGCCCGAGGTGGTGAAGGGCGACCTGCAGAGAGGGCACTCCGGCTTCTGGTTGTGCCAATCGGCGATGCACTGCCAGCAGAAGACGTGACCACATGGGGTGGCGGTGGGGGAGGTACGCGCGCCCAGACAGAGCGCGCACTTCTTGTGCGGGGGGACCTCCCCCACGTCCCCCGCGGTGGCCATCGCTTCCATCGGCGCCATTTCCCCGTCGCCAAAGTCCTGGACGTTGGGCCAACACAGCATGCTTAATACACGTCCTCAATACTGCCGTCTGCGTGGCCCTTGAGCTTCAATAGAGGTGGTGAGTGCAGAGACGATTCCCCGGGGGGCCTTCTTGAGGTAGTATTTATATTTATATACAGCGACAGCAATGGCCTACACAGATGATTGAGGCACCAGGAAGTCTGCATGCAAGTTCTAGAAAGTTCAATTTCGACGCAGCCATTACTCATATCTCCTGCGCTACGCTCTGCATTGATGTCTGCATGCTTCATCCTCCACAACAGCGAGCTGGAGGGAACGCACACACCTGAAGCACCACGGCTGCTCGCATGGCTTTACTGGTGTGGGCGCCCACATCAGCATTGCGGTCCAGGCCGGCAGTCTGGCCCAGTGAAGCAGTCAAGTTGGACAGAGCCCATGAGCCGGCGCTGATGCCCAGCTGCACAAACAGCAGCACTCCCAGCAGATGGTATGACGGCCGTCGCTCAAACAGCTTGCCCACAAATATGTAACGAGTGCCTGAAAATGCATGAAGGATACTGTTAGGCGCAGCCATCGCTCATTTAATCAATGCACGTGCCACCGACAGCAGATCAATGTTATGGCTATTTGTCGCTGTGTTTGGAGGCATTCAGGGCAAAAACCTTCTAAGCGCTTGCCCTGCTGCAAATGGCACAGCCGCAAAAAGGACTCTACCTGACACATGCAGGTGTAAGACACAATTTAAAAGGGTGCAAAGTGAGGAGAGGGCACCTGTGGCTCGCTTGGCCCAGTGGTAGTACACGCCGTAGAAGTAGAAGAGGGCCAGGTGCAGGCGCACAGCCACAGGCGCATAGCTTGCAAGGACTGCCCAGGCAGGGCGCCACTTGAATGCAATCGACACCGCCTCCTGCCGCGCTGCAGCCGCCCACGCTCCCACCCTATTCCAGGATCCCTCGCCTTCTGGAACACCACATTGGACAGTTTAGCAGCAGTGCATGGCCACAAGGAATGTGAGAAAAGAGATTGCACGCAGAATGAGCTGCATAGAAAAGTGGGTTGAAATATGTACCTGCTGATGCTCCGGATGGGCGGGGGTCTTCCCTAGAGGGTGGGCTGTCTGTGGCAAAGCGGGGGGTTTCAGCAGACGAGGTGCCCAGTGCACCGTCAGTGCCGCCGATCGCAGCGTGAGACAGGTGCTCTGCCAGGTAGGGCGCCATCTTCTCCAGTAGCACCAGCAGAGTACGCCTGGCCACTGATGGCGCAACACCAACCGGACCTGCACAGATGTCCAACATGAGCTCTTCTAAATTTCTGAGAAACCTGACTTGTCTAGACCTCATGCCTGGCAACCTGGGGCTGGTCAGCGCTCGGGTGTGGATCGGTAGTGCTTCAGAATTAGCTGGACAGCGGGGACAGACCTGCCACTTGGATGATGTCACAGTACTCTTCGCCCAGCGTCTGCAGGCCTACGCCGGTGGTGAGCCCCGCGTACAGAAGCTCAGCCACCAGTTTCACCTCCCTGCAGCAATATACGGCATTCAGAAACATGACATTGTCAACAGAGTGGCGGCAGACAGGTGGGCTTCCCACAGCAGCTGGCCAAGTGGGTGGCCATAAACTTTTTGGCAGAAAGCATACCTGGAGTACTTCAGGGCTTGGCGGGGACCCAGCAGGCGACGTACAGCATCATGGCATGCATCTGTGAGGTGCTGCAGGTATGACTCATCCTGCAAGGCGCGAGGAAGCACAGGCCAGTCAAGCAAAAAGCGCTGGCCACCAACAAGGTTATAGCAGCAGATGATGCGCCAGCAAAATTGGAATTTCGAAGATGCTTCTGCAGCTCAAAGGAAAGAATATCAAGTGCTTCAGAAGAGCAAATTTTCTATTGCCTCACCTTCTGTGCTGCTCGGACGATATCAGGCTGGGCTGCAACAGGGAACAACCTCGGAACCCTGAAAGCAGAGCAAACCATAATTCATGCTTGCTAGTGAGACCCATAAAATACAGGCTAGAAATCTGGGCAAGTTGTGCAAAGTTGTGCAGGCTGGTGAGAGCCCTTGAGGATCAGTGTGCAGCTTCTCGGCTGCAAATGCAATGGCCAGGAGCATCCCAACCACTTTCTATATAAAAATTCCAGGCAATCAATTCACCTGCTTGTGCTGGCCTGGCCACCCCGATTTGTGGTGGGCTCAGCAACGCTGTCGTGATCCATCCTCGTTGCGTCTTCGTCCTGAGACGGTCGAACAACAACAGCCCCGAAGAACGAGGAGGCAGTGATTTTACAACCGAATGTTCCTGCCCTCCTAGCGGGCACAGCACAACGCCTAGAAGCCAGGCAGGAATAGCAGCCTTGCTCTCGGCACGGAAATTCTTGATGAAGATCTTGACACATTTCCCTTATTTTGAGGGTGCTGAATATAAGGGGTTTAGTTAGGGTTGGCACATTTGCGGATCAGCCCAGCAGGATGCAAAATGTCTTCTTCTTTCTGGTTCTATCATGCAATCTTTAGTGCAATAGCTACTGTTAAGCATCTGGCTCAATAGGCACACACATACTTGTCACCTGGGGATTATCGAAGCGCTTATTGGAGGCATGCAGACACTAGGCTTGGACAGGCCATGCTTGCATCACTCGGTTTCTTGCACTGCAAATTTTTCTTCTAAAAGAAATATATCTTCCGCTGCAGCCATCCAACACAAGCGGAGACGCCAACGATGTGCTGGGAGTGCAGAAGCAGGACGGCTGAACGTACAAGCGGTGAGCTGGGACCTTAGCAAACTTTATGCGTGACTATCTTGTTGAGTCATTGCATGTATAGGATCTTTCAAGACACTAGCTTGACAGATCGTTGCTGTTGCAGGTCATGCCTCAACTGCAAGGAGATGCTACAGAGCAGACACCTCCTGACCTGCCTTCCTATCTGTTCAAGGAGCGCATTGTCTACTTGGTGCGTTACTGAAGATTTCTAATTTGTCAGTGTGCGCAAGCTGCTCCTGCACGTTCATGACGATCGTCATCAGAGTCTTTAGCCAGCTGCTTAATGACCTGAACTGGACTCGCAGGGGATGTCTCTGGTGCCTGCTGTGACAGAGCTGCTACTCGCTGAGCTGTTGTACCTGCAATATGATAACCCGACACGGCCAATCTTCATGTACATTAACTCGGCAGGCGTCCAGGCAAGACATCTGTGCTTCCTGCTTGTTTCTTTGTTGCCTGCTGCACTGAGGTGCATCATGGATGTTCACATCTCTGCCTCTGCCTCTGCAGAAAGGAGGAGACAAGTTGGGCTACGAGTCAGAGGCGTTCGCCATCTATGACACCATGAAGTACATAAAGCCAGAAGTGCACACGCTTTGTGTTGGTAATGCCTTTGGGGAATCTGCTATGCTTCTAGCAGCTGGAACACCGGTGCGCCATGCGATTTTCCACTTGCCCTCTTTCTACATACCATTGTGAACTTGACGTCTTTTCTCCAGCGTGTCTTGTATGAGGATTGGAGCTCTTACGATGGAAACTGTTCATGATCAGGGCAAGCGCGGCGCTCTCCCCTCCTCAACCATCATGCTTCGGCAGCCCATGCAGAGATTTGCGCAGATGCAGGCCTCTGACATTGACATCTACAGGAATGAGCTTCGCAAGACGAAGAATGAGATCGTGCGTGCTTCCCTAGACTCCCGTCCTGTCCTGCAAGAGACAATGGTTCCCGGCACCTACCATGAGCATGATCGCAAGAAGATGACTCCTTGATTACTTTACCCGCAGGTGCATCTCCTGGGGAAGCACATCGGGAAGGATGCTGATGAGATCGAGCGTGTCATTGCACGCCCAACATACTTCAACCCATATGAGGCTGTTGACTTTGGCATCATTGACTCGGTAAGTTTCCAGCCTGCCTGGCAGCTCTGTTCGTGACATTTGAAATAGACGCTTTTGTTTCTTCAATATCCTGCAGAGATCTTGTGAGCTGCACAAGACATGATTATACTGAGTGATGATCTTGCCATGTCGTGTGTTAAGGTCCTGGAGCCAAATGAAGAGGTAATTAGGCAAGTTGTCAGAGACAGCGCTCAGAGGAAGGCTCCCTTGTGAGAAAAGAGCCAGAGAAGGGCGCGCGCGTCGGCGTGCCAGCAGACATGCCTCATGCTTATCTTGACTCTCATCCACATGCAAATCTGCATGGCAAATGCCTTGTGTGCGCCTGTTTCCCAAATTTTCACCGCATCGCCTCCTGTTGGGAGATGCCCTGTCTTGCCGGTTGTCACGGCAGGACACACATCATTGGTGTAAGGACAATGCAGTGCATGCACTGAGAGCTCGTTTCCCAATGCATTCACGCTGGCAATTATTAGCATGATATAAGTCTTATTAGTGCATTCACCAGGTTCTTCAGAGAGCCCGTGGTTCGATACTCATGAGGTGATCAATTTACCATCTGTGAGACCGTCTGTAATGTCTTGTAATGTGACATTGCAAGACCCATTGCTACAGTCCTTGGTCGAATCACACTCAAAGTTTGATGAATACCTGGTGGTACACTAGAGCTACATCAAAGTTACAGAAAAGCAAAATTGGCAGCCTCGCATGCAAAACCTCCTTTGCATGTTGGCCGATATCAGGCTTTCTTCTTGCGCTTCCACTTAACCCTGTCCTGCTTTGCATCGCGCCCGTGAGCCATGCCATTGTGCGCTCCCATTTTCCTCACTTTCACCACCTGCTGCTGGCCATCGCCGCAGCTGAGCTTTACCAGCTTCTGCGCCCGCCCCAGGCTGTCCACTCCCTGAGTTCCCTGCCATCCAACACGGAAGGGAGTCAGGGATGTCGAATGCAAGACTTCCAGATACAGTAAAGGAGCGCCATGCAACCACGTTATCTGGCCAATTGAGCACCAAGCAAACGCTTCGAACAAAGGAATTTTGAGCAGCACGGGGAAATCACCTGCAGCTCCTTAAAGGCCAGGTTGGCATCCTGGGGGTTGTGGAAGACCAGCAACACTTTCTTCTCCGTGCTGCAGTCGCCCTCCACTCTCACCAGCGGCGGTGCTGAAGCCGGCAGCAGGCTGCACAGGTCAGCCTCCGTCACTCCTGGCGGCAGCCCATGCGCCAGCAACTTGCACAGCTGTTCCTTCGGGACCTGCAATGGATATTACCTCAGCCATCAACACAGTTCAATATAAACAGTGCATGCATGCACCCAGCCCAGAACCCCAGCCACACAGAGTCACACAAAATATGCCTTGTTAGAATTCAGGGCGAGTTCAGCTTGCGTTTACCTTGACGTTTGGAGGGTCGAGGACCAGGGTGGGCCCATGCTGCATGAGGTGCTTGGCCAGCTGGACAGCTGCCACAGCATCGTCCTTGCAGTCATGGGGCGACCCCTCCTGCCGCAGCACCCTCTTGAGCAGCTCCTTGGACAGATCCGCCAGGGAGGGCACGCAGCTGGACAGGTTCCTGCACCCAGCAAACCTCCTTCACATGCCAACTCGGTTGTGACTGATTGACAGCTTGCAGCAGTGCATTGTCAAGACCAAGCTATTGGAGGCCATCAGAAAAAGAGGTAGGGTAGAACGACAACTTACCTGTAGGATATGAGCAGGGAAGTGTCGATGACAGGTTGGTAGTCTATGCGCAGGGCGCTCAGATCATGGTGCAGTGCATGGCCCACAAGGATTACGTTGTCTTTGAGCAGATCTTTCAATGCCAATTGGGCATCCCTGCGCCTATGTGTCACGCCCTGCACAGAGCATCATAAAATCTAGATGAGCAAAGCGGAGAGACACCTGCAAGCATCTCCCCAGGAGTCCAGGACCTCCACTCCTCACATGGACAGGATTACTGACATACAGGGTTAATATGTGGCAGCACATGTTGCCATCAATGGATCTAGAAAGCACCTCAAAACTTGCAGCGGTCAAGCCAGTGATGTGCGTTCGGAAGTCCAGGATCCGCTTCTTGGGCTTCACCATCATCTGGCAAGAATTAAACCATCAGTCATGGATGACTCAAATACACAGAAGCAAGCACACTATGCATCTACCGTAAACATCCTCACTGCCGCGGGTGAAGTCAGCAAACAATGGTCCTGTAACACTAACTTCCAAGCAACGTACATCCAAAACGTCTTTTCCATTCTCGTCCACAACGCAGACTCGTACAAGGGCGCGCGAGTCGACAGCTGTCTCGCACATCTCGCAATCCAGACCGTAGATAATGGGTGCGCTGCTCTGCCCCTGCCTTCTACGCAAAGCATCACAGGAGAGTTTCGGGCAGTGTAGCCTTGTTTCGTGAGAAGAATGCTGCTTGCAAAAAAATCCTGGAAGCTTGTAGCCCGTCGGGGGTAGCAAATGCACCTGGGAATGCGACACCAGCACTTGTCGTAGGATGGCAGCGAGTACAGCTCCTTGAAACGGGGGTGCTTCGCTGTCTGGGTGACCAGATCATGGACCTGCGATATCCAATTATCTTCTTTTTTAGCAGACTGAAGACTCAAGGGCTCAAACAAATCTCAATTTCAATTCTGTTCTGAGATCAAATCAAGGGTGGGCCTCTCACCAATCCAGAGCTCTCTGCCGGGCCACCGCGATTCTCACTGGAGGACTTTGCAAGAGCCAGTCGCTCCGCCTGTATGAGCTTCTCCCACTCCCTGTGCCGGCTGACCATTTTCTGGTCGCTGCCCTTGTCCAATGAGTTCACAAACGCTGCCAGGACCTGAAGAGGTAGCCCACAACTGACAGTCTGGATGTCTTTCGAGCTACACTTTCATATACCACAAAGAGCATGCGCTGGGCACACAGCGAAGGCTACTGAAGAGTCTACGGATTCACACCTTCCAGTGGTGCTGTGAAGGGTCCTGAGAGCGAAACTTGGGGTACTTAATCTGCACATACAGCGCTTTTCAGATCGTGGATCTCAGGCAGTTCTGGCAAATATAATACAATACAAACAACAATACAGACAGCCAAATACCTTTAAAAATGTCTTCCAATCCCCAGAACTCCCCTCGCTCCCAAGCTTCTGGCACTGCTTGACTAAACGAATGAGGACATTGCGGTCCTTCTCGGTCCAGCACGATTCTTCACTGCTGTCCAAGTCTTTTCGTTTCCTCTTCTTTATTTCTGTCATTTTTACTTGTTGGGGTCCACGATGGTAATTAGAAATAACCTTCCCAAGAAGTGATATCAGTGCTTTACTATTTGAGCCTCTCAGTTGCCATGTAAAGTAAGAAACGGATGTTACGATACTTTTATAAATGCAAGTTTATTCCTTTCGAATAATCTACTACCTTGGAATGCAAATCACTTTGCTGACGGCTAAGTCGAGAAACCCTCCGTTTGCAATGTCAATCCCCCAATTAATTGGCTCCCCGGGGAGCGGATGAACCCTCTCTGCTTCGCGTTTGCAACGAACTTCGTGACTTTACAAAGCTCCTGGCACAGCCTGCAGTGCTCAATCAGCATGGAGGAGTCTTCAAGACAAGGACATATACATGCCGAGATGCACAACGCATTATGACAGTGGAGAGACTTTGTAGACAATCTCCCAAGACGTGCTGAAGGGGTGACAGTAGTTGGCTTAAAAATAGTGGGAAAACTGCTGCTCCGGAACACCTAGAATATAAAATGACGTTGTTAGGAGGGCCCTTACCAGCAGTGGTGGCTGGACTCTGTGGTTTTGCTGCGCTGGGGATTGCCATCTACCAGGTTAGAACCACCCCAGTCTCCATGAACAAGCTTGGATTTTACGACTGTGCTGGCACCATTCGAGTCAAGTTAGTGTTCTGTCTGCTTCCAGATCGTTCATTTGTCTTGCACGAGTTCATACTAACTTTCATGACTAGAGTAGTAAAAGTTTCCTTGGAATGAAAATGATTGCAAGAATTTGCGGAGTCCCAGTGTGAATTAGTCCCTCTCCATATGTACTGTTGTCGTGCAATTCTACCCTTTCTCAGTCTTTACCCTGGTGCCTGTATACAGCACCACTGCCAAGTCCCTTTGACCTGGGGTTCTGGGTGCTCTTTCTTGTCCAAGTACTGGCAATCTGACTATTTCCTGTTCTTGCAGATTGTGATGCACCTCAGGCACTACACAAGGCCTGTATTTCAGGTATGTGCTGTCCCCACACCTTTTGTGCTGTCAGACCGCTCCATACCAAACTGCTCAGGCAGACACTCTTGGCTTGACAAAAGCTCTTCCTGAGAGGTTGTTGTCATTGAGAGGATGTTGTGATGATTGAAAAAGTCCACCTTTTGCTTTGCAGAGGTACATCGTGCGGATCATCTTCTTGGTGCCACTGTATGCGCTCATGTCGTTTCTGTCCCTCCTCATGGAGGAGAATTCTGTGTACTTTGGCTCCATTCGGGATTGGTGAGTGCACATAAAAAAAATTTCATTTGCCAGTCTCGGTCAAGTGTGTATGCCACCAAAGATCATCCTTTGCAGGCACAGCAGAATTGTGTTTTGAAGTCTGGTGTTGCAATGCAGCTATGAAGCATGGGTGATCTACAACTTCCTTTCCCTCTGTCTTGCCTACGTTGGAGGTCCTGGCTCTGTGGAGGTGCGCACTCTGACCACGTCTTGCTCTGTCTGGCCATGTCATGATGTTGCCGTGCACCCTGTCATCCTCAGATACTCAACAAGTGGGTGGTGCCCAGTGTGTTTGGATCATGCTGGGTGCAGGTGAAGATGAATGGCTATGTGATGAACCCGTCCTGGCTCTACTGCACATGCTGCATGCCGCCGCTGCCAGTCAATGGAGCCTTTGTGCGCATGTGCAAGCGCGGCGCCCTGCAGTTTGTGTTCTTGAAGCCCGTGATAGCAGTCATCACAGTAGTGCTCTACACCCAGCATAAGTACACAGAGGGATACTGGGGCGCCAATGATGGGTAAAATTTCCGCCCCCCTTGGGCACATTGACCTGCGCATTGCTCCAACCATCCGCTTATGTTTTCTCTTCTTGAGTCATGTTTGATGGCCATAAGGAACTGAGATGCAGTTTGAGCTGTGCAGGTACTTGTGGATCACAATAATCTACAATGTGACATACACACTGGCGCTCTATGCCTTACTGCTCTTCTACATGGGCACGCATGAGCTGCTGGCGCCTTTCAATCCGCTCCTGAAGTTTGCAGTAGTCAAAGCTGTGGTCTTTCTCACTTTCTGGCAGGTGCATTCCATCCTCTAGGGACTATAAAGCACAGGCAACTTGCTGTACTTGAGCTTTGGCGCCATTTGTATGGTTCAATGCAGCAGCTTTGCAGGCAAGGACACGATCGGAAATGGAGGTTGTTGTGCTGTCTTGCAGGGGCTCTTTATTGCCATTCTTCAGGTGGCAGGCTCAATACAAACAGTGGAGGATGGCAAGAACTTGCAGAATTTGTTAATCTGCCTTGAGATGCTTCCAGCTGCCCTGGGCATGCTGTGGGCCTTCCCATACACAGAGTACAAAGGCACAGGTGCGCTAATTAGATCCCTGAATTGCAGCAGCCAGACATGGCATAGCTGGCATGCATGTAGTTCGAGTATGACTGGCATGCATCGTGCACTTCCAGACATGCACTGGCTCACATTCATGTGGACGGGGTCTCTTTTGCAGGGGCAAATACTGGGCTGGGCTTGGAGAACATGAGGCATGTGATCAGCATCCACGATGTGGTGTCCGACACAATGCACCAATTCGCTCCCACCTACCACAACTATGTGCTCTACTCCAATGGTGGCTCCAAGGAGGCTCCCAAAACGGTGAGCAGCTGCTTGACCTGGATCTCATTAAAAAACTTGAGTCAAATTTCATCGCATGCTGAGGACAGCATGCACTAGTAAGGGCCACTGCGTCAAGCTCAACTGGACTCTTGATGCAAGATCTTGATACACAGAGATATTGCAACCACTGCAAAAGCACATGTGAAATCTGGAGGTGTTGTTTTGATATCACGCCCCTGAGAGAGCCTGGAAGCTAATTTAGAGGACTTCGTCTCATACAATCGGTTGCATGGGGGCTCGAAAATTTCTCATCGTCAATATGCTGTGTTATTCGCACCTTACCATTCTGGTGTGGGGCGGCAGGTGAGGGCGAAGACGTTTGTGGCGGTGGGCCACGAGACGGCGAACAAGGGGGAGGCGGGGAAGAACTTGAGGAGGGACACCATGGACGCCAACCTGCTGGCCAACATGGAGCTGGGGGTCCACGGCGACGCTGCACCAGGCCGCCACACATCAGACATGGTGCGCCCGCCCCCTTCGCCTCTTTTCACTAATGACAAGATTGCATGTCCAATTTTAACGAGGGCCCACATGTTTTGAGAGCGCCATCAGCGCCAGGTGATGATGGCTGATTTGCCATCCCTTTAGTGTCGTTCTCTGCTGTCATCACCTACTGTCCTACTGCCCTCTTACCCCTCATTCCTCCCTCATCACAGGCCCGAGAGCCTCTTCTCAACCTCGCATGCCTTGGCCTGCTGTTCTACACCCACCTGCCATGCATAGAAGGGGTGTGCAGAGTGTTGAGCGTGTGTCAGTACCACAGGCGACTGCTCATCATGACTCTATTGATCAGGTGAAGTATTGTCCCCTGCTGGCAGGGGGCCGTCTAAATTTTGAGCACCGTGCCTACAGTTGGTTGGGTCATGCATGCATCTGGCGAGTCATGTAGGATTTGTGGTAGCCGGCACCTGCAGCTTGGCACCTTTCCTGCGGCAGGATAAGCGTGTAAAAGGAATAGAAATATTGGATTTCCTGCCCCGCTGTAGGATGGATCGGTGAACGGCGTGGCCGGCGGCGTGCAGCGGAGCACGACGGATGACGAGGCGTTCTACCGGACGACGCGGGACGCTCTGGAGGTGGACGAGGAGGGCATCGAGATGTCGTCCGCGCCCGTCACCTACTCCGAGGCCGACCGCAAGGGCAAGGGCGTCGTGCGCAAGGTCGAGTCAGACGACGCCGAGGGGCCCGGTGAGCTGCGCTGCTACCTGATCTGGACCGGGGACAGGTTGACCAGAGCATTGACACACGTTACAGTGGGCTGCTCGGTATAAGAAAGCGGGGTGCCCGTGACTCCCCTGGTGTGCGCTGAAGTGGACCCTAGCGCGTTTGTAGATGCATGCAGAATTGGAAGATCTGTGAAGGAGAAGTTTTGAGGGGAGTGTGTTGATCAGGTCCGTCGACATCAATAGACATCCACGACGAGGACTATGTGCCAAGCGCGGTGCCCCCGGCCGCAGTGATGGAGGCCAACAAGCCCAAGAAGCCGGCCAAGGAGGGCAAGCTCGCGCGCCAAAAGGCCAAGGCGGCCGCAGTCGTCCCCCACGGCGCGAGTGCGCTGGTGCACGGTCAGGACGACCTTGAGTTTGTGCCGGCGGCTGCCTTGCCGCAGCCACTGCCAAAGAAGGCCCCGGCCAAGGCCGCAGATGCGCCGCCGCCAAAGGCCGGCAAGGAGTGGGATGATATAGATCTGAGCTCGCCGCAGCCCTGAGGGGCGGCCTGGGTTCTGACATCATCGTCGCAGGCTGGTGTGGCAGGCTAGGGGTCAATGCACGTGAGTAATGATTTTAATGCTTTGTGAAAGATCACTTGCATTGATTTTGGGGGGCTGCATAAGTCTGTGCAAGGAACGGCTTGTACAACTTGAAGTGGGGAAATGTAACATGGAATGATGCTTTATACCATTTGGGATTTAGAATTTATACCAGTGAGCTTTTTCGAACACAATCCGAATAGCATGCATGCATATGCCATCTCTGGCTTTGTCTGCTTTTGAGGTGATCACGATCGCCAACTTGGTGCACATATATTCAAAGGTTCTGCAACGCGTTCCCTGTGTACATTGTTTAGATATTCCAGTTGCATGCGTTGGGGGTTGGTCAATGATCTCTTCAGCCATATGTAAACTCATTAAGTCCTTCATCTGGCACTTACGACATACTTCATGGTCTCTCTGCTCATGATCATCTACTATTGACACAGCTCACAGCTCCTCAATTGTAACATCCTGGTCAATTCCTGTATCTTCCGTTGCTCCACTGTCAGAGAGAAATAGTTGAGCAATCCTCTCCATGGATGCACACACTTCAGGATCTTCTTCCATCTCATACCTGTGCACACACATATGATATCTCTGCATGCCTCTAAATGTAATGATACGGACAAAATACAATAGCTGCAGGACTTAGTTCTGCAGCGTTCAGATGGCCAACCCTCACCCTTTACGTAGCATTTCTGGAGCTTTCAGGTCCCAGAGCACCTGACCCCCTTGCTCTGTGCTAACCTGCAGATTAGCAAAGCTCCTTCAAGAACTGCAACAAGATGACAGCATCGCCAGGCAAATTCTGCTGTGTGTGTTTGTGAGTTCACTCACCAGCATCTCAACGGACTCTGCCAGGCTGTTCCTCACTGCAGCATCGCCCTCTTTTTTGCGTGTGACCCCGCACAGTAGATCTAGTAAATTCTCCAAGGACGCCCTGTCTGCAAGCAGGTCCCCAAGCGTCTTATCCTCCTGCAAAAGACCAAAGCTGCTCACCTCAACATCTCCTACCTTAGCAGTAACCGGAGAGACACAGGCCGAGAAAAATGTGACACATTTAGCATGCATGGTGTGCCTGAGGTGGTTACCTGCGATACACATACTGATCCAAGGTGTGCCGAGGTGGGTATCTGTGATCCTAACACCGGACTATTGCAAGGTGCGCCGATGTAAGTATGACTGCACCCACCTCTGCACAGAAGCAGCAGTTGCGGATGGCGTTGGCGCAGCCAGACCTGCGCATCTGGCTGGGGCTGTCCAGTTGGGACACCAGCGCCTGCAGCGTGCCCCTGCCAGGTTCCAGCAGCAGCTGGCGCCCCTGCTGCAGGCGCGTTATGTTGGTCAGCACCAGCGCTGTGTGCTCGTGGGCGTCCGGCTGCCGCCCAGCGCTGTCCAGGAACCTCTTTAGCAGCACCGCCCTGCGTCATGCATTTTGCCCTCTCTATAATAGACCCAGGTGCCATTGATCTGAGGGGTGCATCTGGAATCTGCCTCACTTGAGGAGGCTATGCATGTTGTTTGGAAGACAGAACCGATGCAGGGAGCATACACATTGAAGCCAGCCAGGGAAGTGCTGTCCAGCTGGAGAAGGCGCAGGCAGCCGCTGTCAGATGTGGTCACATTGGCCAGGAGCATGATCAGCAGGCCCACGTTCTCGTTGTTGTCCTCCCTCAAGTAGTCCATAATGCGCCCCACCACTTTCAACTTCACCAGCGCGGCAACCGCCTCCTCTTTCTGCGTTTCCGGCAGATGCATGTCAGGACAGGATGAGCAGTCTGCAAGATCAGGACAGAGTCTAGACATGTACATGACCTCTTGAAATGCACAACATGCCATTAAAAATGGAATGCCTGCCTGTGAGAGATTAATGAGGCTCGTAAGAGCTCCTTTGGACAGGTCCTTGTCAGCTCCAATAAGCCTGAGTAGAGCTGGCAGCAATTTGTCTGACTCCATTAGGAGCTTTTCGATGCCCTCCAATGAACCTGCCAGCCCCTCTACAAGACCAATGGCCGCCTTTTGTACCTGTGTGAAGCACCACCAAGAATGCATTTTTGACAATGTATATCCCCAGTAGAAGATGTGCACGTATGCTCCAGATACAAGGCGAAAAGCATGATAACTTCGATCACCTCACGACGTGGGCTATTCAAGAATTCGATCAAATCAAGAAGCTCCTGACGGTCATTTGAGTCAGTCATCGTTGAAAATCTGGAGTTGGCTAGACTCTTATGGTAGTTTCGATGCTAGACGTCTCAGATCATCACATTAGGTCTCAACGATCGTGTCGAGTTGCATTTCACGAAGAGTTTGCACCTTACGACATGCATCTGATGATCCCGGAAGCACCGTCTCGGAAGGGTAAATGTGATAAATATGGCTGCGCTTTCAGATGAGGCCAGGATGACTTGCAATTCCTTGCTTTCTAAAGTTTATAAAAATTGAGGATACCTGCACCAGGATCTGCCAGAAGTATGGCAGCTATGGGCATGGTGATGCACACAGCAGGTCACCTGCCCGCCCAGAGAACTGCGACTATCCCACTTGCAAACCGTAGTCCAGTTGGCAGGTGGTGCTGCGCACAGCCTGTGCCCGTTGCACGTCTCCCTCTTAGGATCTCACAGAGGGATGCCTCGTACGTCTGCAGCGCAGCTGCTGTGGACGTAGAGGCCTTGGAGGCCCAGGTGCAAGGTGTGCATGATACACCTCCTATCTTCTACCAAAAATTTGGCCTGTTGCAGGAACCTTGTGAGAGCTTGCACGGGTATTTGATAATGGGCACGAAGATTCGAGCTTTCATCAGTGGGTGCACCAAGCTTTGTATACTCAGCAAGGTCCTGAACCCTCCTCAATATCAAGCATACGCGTTGCACAAACAGCAGGATCAGCTGTCAACGAGGACGAGTACGTGGTCCCAAAGAACCTGGCCCCTGTGAACAAGAAGAGGTCGCGGCGCTTCAAGGAGCAGCAGCAGAAGGTGCCCCAACGCGCAGAGGCCCTTGAGCCTCTGGACGCGCTGAAGGCCGCCCTGTCGACTGCGTCCCTGAAGTTCACAGAGACCGTGGAGTTCCACGCCCGCCTCAATATCGACCCCAAGTACACCGACCAGCAGCTGCGTGCAACTGTCAGGCTGCCCAAGGGCACAGGTGTGGGGGCCCACACCTCGTGACTGCGCTCCTGCAGCCAATTCTCTGATCTATCCAATTCAGAGTGTGCCCAAGAGGCTGTCCCTGCTGATGATCTCCTAGAAGAGTACGCTTGAATATACAGTTGCAAGGAATCCACATTTTATATTCCCAAGGACCCTTATATAACCCAGAGAATTCCTATGCTTTTTAGATTACCAGCCATAGGGATGCAGTGCCTTTGTTGCCATTCCCTGATGTGTGAGCTGCTGTGTGCGCAGGCAAGGAGCTGCGGGTGGCGGTGCTGTGCAAGGCCGACCTGGAGGCTGCAGCGAGGGAGGCCGGCGCAGACTTCGTGGGCGCAGAGGACCTGATCGAGGAGATTGCGGGGGGCATGATGGACTTTGACAAGCTGGTGGCCACGCCCGACATGATGCCCAAGGCTGCCAAGCTGGGCCGGGTGCTGGGCCCACGCGGCCTCATGCCCAATCCCAAGGCCGGCACCGTCACCACCGACATCGCTGCGGTGCGCCCTGCAGGCGCCCCACTGCTGGAATTAAATCAGGAGAGAATGCATGCATGATGAAAGTCAGTGTGAGCGTCAGTGTAGGGATGAAAGGCTGCCTCGCTATGTGTTTATGATTCTCATTGTTGTTGCACACACTCGTCCTGCCTAGACAGGCTCGGTGCTTCTGCAGAAATGCTACTGGTTTTGAACGCCTGTCATTGCCTGCCGTGCTTTGGATGGCGCGTCCATGCTTGGCGGAAGCAGAGTTTGTGTCTTAGAGCAGGGTTTTTATTAGACATGTGTGTCAAAGCTTCTGATTTGTCAAAGGGCGTGTTGCACTGGCTAGAGTAAAGTGGCATGGGTGGCTGGCCGATGATGAGGTTTTACAGAAAATCCTTATCTACATTGTACGAGTGTGCGCTCGCGCACGTGGGTACTACTTCTGATCTGAGGTCACTCTCCCAGGCTGTCACATTAGGTCACATTGCTTGAGTTTAATTTAAGCCTGCCTGACTGCTCCTCTCATGCATGGCGACAGGCGGTGAAGGACTTCAAGGGAGGCAAGGTGGAGTACAGGGCGGACAAGGCAGGCAACGTGCACGTGGGCATGGGCAAGGCTGACTTCTCTGCCGATGCCCTCCTGGAAAACTTGAAGGCTGTTCAGGTACACCATCCGAGGGCTTACCCCAAGTACAGCCTGTTGCAAACGCCTGTTGCTGTGAGATGCGCTCTTCGGACTCTGGATTTTGTGGCAAGCCATGATCTACTTGTGGTAAGCCATGATCTGTTGTGTGCACAGGAATCCATCGATGCCAACAGGCCCTCAGGAGCCAAGGGGCAGTTCTGGAAGAGCATCACTCTGTGCACAACCATGGGCCCAGGGATCCGCGTGAGCTACCCAATCCTGCGTGACATGGCTGGAGCTCCTTCATAGCTCTGTCCACAGTACTGCAAATTGGTTGCTTGTTGTCTGCCATGGCTTCTATGTAGTGCTGCAAAGCGGCTTCATTGCAGCTTTCAACTACTGCCCTTCATGATGTTGCAATGTTTTGTTTCTTCTCCCACACTTGGAATATGCGCCTTTAGCTTCTTAAGCCGCTCACCGGAGTGTGACGTTGGACTTGATGAGCTTGATTGTGGGCTTTCATATATGATGACGAGGATTGCCACTGGGTTGAGTAAATGCATGCAAAATGTAATCATATGTTCAAATTACCGACATAAACTTGCATATGCTCTATTTGGATCGACAGCAACTTGCATTCAAGTTGAATGGAATGCCAAACAAGATTGAAAGCCAGCAGTGCCGCACAAAGGGGCCGCACTAGCGGCTTACACTGTACACTGGCAGTGATGTGCGACTTTGCATGCCATTCCAAACAGAGTCAGAAGTACTGGATGTTGCAGGCTTGCCAGAAACTGCATGCACGCTGAGACTCTGAGCTGGCAAAGCGACTGCCAATGGTACTTTCCAGCCTCCATACATTTCTCAAACATTCCATTGCCATGCACACGTCATGCCATGATGGAACTGGATGGAGTTACTAGCCTGCTGAGGTAGGCTGGGAGCACACCTGAATCCTCTCAAAGACTAACTTGCAGGAATCTAATGGTCTCTTTGGTGCCCATAAGCTTGAAAGAAATGAAATGATGGGTTGTTGGTCACGGCAATGCTGCCTGTCGTGCTGCCAACGAGAGGCTTGCCAGTCGTTCATCCTTGTTGTCACAGCATATCAACTTTCAGAAGCTTAAGAGGAGTCCCTCGATGGACTTTTATACACACAATTGCACGGAATATTGCAAGCTCACGAAATTCGCACAGATCACTTCTGATCTGCAGAAGTCAGCAGGTACAGAAAAAAGCAAATTCATGCTTTCTGGCTATTGTGGTGAATGCGTTTAAGCTTCAAATAATACAGTGCAGTATGTAATCCCCACCACCTGCAAGACCCAGCATTGACTGAAGCTCATATGGTCCATGGATGCCCACAATCAGGTGGCCCCAGATGAGGAATTTGATTGGGCTGCACGCTATCAAGGCGCTTTGAGGACAGTGCCATTAGCTACTGGAGCTCTGGGTATTGTCGGAGTATTGGTCAACAGGCTTGTGTCAGGGGTGAGCACCATACTCCATACTGTTGCATTTGTTGCTCAGCGCTGCAGAAGTGGGATCAGAAATATACCTGGTGGTTGCAGATAGCCCCAGTTGTGGACGCATCCTCAGCCCAGTCTCGCGCAGATGTGCTCGTGATCGGGCTGTCGGCAGTCCTTGTGCTCACAGGCCTCCAGTGGCTCTCCCTGAAGCCAAGGCCCCTGACTGCTGTGAGCGCCCTCGCCTTTGGCTAGAACAAGACTTATGCTTTTATACAGTGAACCCCTGCTTGGACAGCCCTCTGTTGATCTTTAATTTACACTCAACTGGCCCAGTTGTTGCTGGTTCATCAGGTGGAGCCAATTGCAGATTATGTTTCCTTCATTGACTCCCAGCTCTCAGATGAGGCAAAGGCAGAGCTCAGATGGTATACACTTCCACCACTACTCTCAGGGAACCTCCCAGTGCTGGATTCCAACCTCACTGTGCACCTGCCATAAGAGAAAAGGGTGCTTGCAGGCTGTGGCGTGCTTTGCGCTTTTCAAGCAGGTGCAGAGGCGTGGTGGTCATTCACAAGGGCAGGTGCATCATGCACTGTGGCATGGCTGCCCCTGGAACTGTGCCTGGCAGCGCATCTGCGGGGCCCATTGGGGCTGTAGCAATGAAGAGCGGCTCTGGCAGTTACTTGGCCAACCTCATTCTTTTTCCAGGCACGCTCCATGTGTACACTTCTTCCATTGTGCAGGAGTACTTTGATCTGAAGCAACCAGCCAAGCTATCTCCCGTGCATTTGCTCTCCATCGGGCAATTTTGTGTGGAACTACAAGGCAGATTAATGCATGGCCAAGGATGCAGGTGTTTGCACAGCAGCCTCTCATGTTCTGTGGGCTAGCACAGGTCGCGTGGAGTTCACAGAGTACTTTCCAGAGAACACGCAAGGGGTCTTGGTGCAGCCGATTGGTGAGGAGGGCCTGCTCGTGTGTGGCACTGACACACAGAGGGGCTTTGGCCGTCTAGATCAGGTGCGCCTCATAAATTTGCTGGCCCAGCGGATGCCTATGAATGTTGAGTGTACGTGCAGACTCTTATCATGGGAAGTCATGCTGTGTTTGGTGGCTTCATTTTAAGATGTGCTGAGGTGTTTCACGCATGGGGTAGGCATGGATTGCTGCCATCGCCGAGAAGCTGGACATCGCACTGAGGGAACCCGAGGAAGCTCTGCAGGCCGTAAGTACAGATTAGCAAGGAGGCGTGGAGTGCAATAGCTGGCAATAAATCGTGAGGTGAAATTGGACAGTCTGGAAAGATCTCCAGCACATTACAAGTCAAGCCTTCCATGCAATGGTGTAAGTGTCATCTCATGTATCACGATTTTAATAAAGGTTATACTCGTACTCTCCCATAAGCAAAGAGATCTCAGCATGTGCATGTGAGGAGGGCAATAGGATTGTCTCTTCACTGCACGCTGAAATCAGCGTCTGGCTTGTGCCCTGTGTTTCTTCCTCAGCGGATGATCCTCTGGGTCCGCAAACCCTGTCCCTTCACCATCATCATCCTGCTGAGCAATTGCGCTCTCGCCGAGCCCCAGGGCAACCTTCCCTTTTGCATTCTTTGTAGTATCTCTCGCACCCTTCTTGCCGCCACCACCACTGCGCCCCTTTCCTCGGCCCTCTACTCCCCCAGCCAGCTCAGCCGCTGCACCTCTATCTACTGCCCCTCCTGCATGCTCTTCTTCCTCCTCGTTCCTCTCACATTGGCCGCCACTCCTCTCGCCATTCCCGCTGCCAGGCTCTGCAGCCGTCTCCCCAGCAGCGACATGCGCTGCTTCGGAAGCGTCCGCGCCGGAGCCCGTCTCTCGCGGCGTATGGCCGGCCGGGGCGGCACCGTCCGCCGGGGCGGCCGGGCGCAGGAATCGGCCTCCGGAGCCGCGTGGCGCGGTGGGCTGCTTGTGAGTGCCGCGCTCCTTGGCGGCAAGCGTCTTGCTGCGCCGCCAGCATGAGTTGTCCGTGCGGCCTGGCAGCTGGGCGCCCACCTTCGCCCACCTGGGCATCCACACCACATCACAAATGCTTCTTGTGTCACGTTGACTGCATGCTGAGGTCATCCCAAGCCGCATATGCCTCAGGCAGACTAGTAATGAAGTATGTGCACCCTGGGAATGTAAGGTAAGGTGTAAGGTGGGATACCTTACGATGTAATTTACCCTACGGTATATACTTCCATTGAATTGCATGATGCAACAGCTGAATCTAGGCAAAGAGGCTGCTTGGCTCTGTCTGTTCAACCTACGGAATCAAGTAGTAGATCACATTGCTAGGCGGCTGTCTGCTTGACTGAGTTATGCTTCAGGCAGCCCAATCCCCGCGCGTAGAATCGAGCCTGACCGGCTCGGCATTTACGTACAGGCGCACGCACCTGACTTTGCCGTCGGGCTGGGTGTGCTGCGCGATGGCTGCGCGCAGTGCGGCGTCCTCCTCGGGCGCCCACTCGTCCTCGCGCTTGAGCCCCGGGTCCAGCACGTTGCAGAAGCGCTCGCGGCACTGCTTGTCGCTGCGACGCGGCACCAGCTTGGACACCTCCCGCCACCGCCGCCCGCACGTCTCCACCGCCTGCGCCCGTATTCCCCTTTACGGAATGCTGGCTTCCCAAGCAGTCCCTCATGCAACAAAGCAGTAGAATGGCATCATGATGCTGACTTGCAAACGAATAGGCCAAGTCATCAAGCCTGCACCCACGACGCATTACGACCCAGTCTGTCTGCTGGTGTCTGCGGTGTTGCTGGCACTTTGGCAGTGGCCCGTGAATGTAGGTGCGGGCAGATGGAGGCATGCGCACCTTGAGGAGGGCTGCGTCCTCGTCTGCCGCCCAGGGGCCTTTCTTGAGGGCCTGCACGTTGTCGCGGTAGTAGTGCTGCACCTGCTGCGGCGTCCGGTTGCCCATCTCAGCCGCCACTGCCTGGCCACCACGATCAGCACATCACCCTCAGCTGTGCCCTTGGTGCTGGAGCAAACCAGCATTATTCGGCGAGAGCTCCCATGGGGCTTGCACAATTGAGAATAAAATATCTCCTGATTGATGTGCATAGTCAGTGCACCGCTTCTGAGCTGCTCACATTTCTGCAGTCTAGAAGAGAGGTCTGCTCGTGTCTAAACATAGTGTTGGATTTGCTGATAGCACAGACATCTGGGAGAGACCGCGCACCACCCAGTTGGCAGTACCCAGTCTTGCCACGAGAGCGGCCAGCCTTGCAGCGTCCTCTGGGGTCCACTTAGATTCCAGCAGGACAGGATTGTGGCAGCGCTGGAAGCGGGACAGGCACGCGGCAGCCGTGCGACCCGTCCCAAGCTTTTGCGCCACCACTTCCCACTGCACAAAGTGAAACCATGGAGCAATCAGCTGTTATTGCAGGATTCTCTGGGGTAACAGTGCTTTGGGTGCTTGCAGGCAACATACATGAAGGATTTGCATGTATTACATGAGGAAAACCTTTGCAGAGGCCCTATCATAACAGGCAATGGGAGTCAGGCCTGGTGTGAAGCATCTGAGCATGTACTTGCAGCAGCATGACACCCCGGGAGAGACGGTGAGCGCTCACTCTGTGCATGCCGTGCCGTGCCTGCAGCTTCACCAGTTTGGCGTCCTCCTGCTGCGACCAGGGGCTTAGGTTGAGGGAGGGCCGCAGCCGGTGCCCCCACTGCGTGGCGCACTCGTGCCCGCTGCGCCCGCTGCTGCCCAGCCGGGCAACCTCCTCCCACTGCTCCGGCCCAAACGCGTCCACCTCAGCATCCACACCTGTCCGCACGTGCCGCCATGTGATGGCCGATCCCAGAACAGTGCAAGTACTGTTCTTAGGTTACTCACCCCATTACTTATCCCAGAGCGGGTTAAGGACCATGTTGGGACGTAGCATCTTCAAGCACACTGGTTTTCACCCACTCAACGCCCTTCTGATACAGCTGACGCTCTCTCTTGAAACAAGAACAAGCTTGGGCACCGCGCCAGGGCAACACAAGACCACTTGCTGCGTAAGAGTTGGATTCTGCAGCTCACCTGGGCTGTCCAGCTTGAGCAGCTGCTCCTCAGGGCCTCTGTCGCCTTCACTGTGACCGTGCAGCCCCGCATCCGCCAGCTCTCTTGCCGAACGCGCTCTCTGCACCGGTGCAAGCCGTTACTACCACCATGCACGGTCCACCAAAGTGTAGGCTGCTCCATCAAATCATAACCGTCACAGGGCAAGGCGGCTGTCATGCTATGCCAAGATGCCCTGACAAAGCCAATGCACTGCAACAAGGCAGCACCCCTTCATAACAATTCCAGGACATGTCCCGAAGCCTGTGAAGTCCAACCCCTTGTCCTCCAAGCTTCAATTCTGCGGTTGGGCTGCGCACATTGACGGCCTGCAGGATGGCGCGCTGCAGGCGCTCGTGCTCGTCTGGCGTCCAGCTGGCGTCCCTGAAGGTGTGTGGCAGGTACTCGAATGCCGGAGCGGTCCTCATGGCGTCCGCGTTCGGCTCCGGCACTTTCCGGTCCGCCACCCAGAAGCGGCTGGGGCCAATCACGCGCGTCTCAGCGTTGCCCCACACCGTGTTCGAGGTCTCTGCGCCACCGCAGGCCAGCCGTCAGCCTCTGCAGTGCCCGCACAGAGTGCGCCAAGGGCCTCCCTGAAGATACAGAATTGCCAAGGAACAGCGGCCCTATTGCTGTCTGTTACGTCAGTAGTCACGAGAATCTGTCTAAATTAGGTGCTTGAGCATGCACTCAGGAACACCGCTGCAATGAGGAGCAAAAATTGAGTGTGCTGGTCGGGCGCTCAGCACAAAAGGTGAGTCTTCAGGCGCATCACCTCGCATTCCCCTGTACCGGCCGGCTCTCGGCCAGGCCTCTGCGTTGTGCATCAGCTTGGCCTGGGTCTCTGCATTCCTCCATATCGTCCTGTCCACTGCTGCTAGGATGTTGGTCAAGCGCGACTGCAGCCGCCGGTTGGCTGCGAGCGCCTTTGCAATGACTGCCTTCGGACCGTGCTGCTGCAGCAATGCATATTAAGATGTTGAAGATGGCTGTGTCTCCTGGCATTGTCCAAGGCATAGCACTGCATAAAAACCAGAGCTCACCTCCTGTAACCCAGCGGCATGCTCTGCTTCTGCGGTGTCCTCGTGTCCATCTGCTTGGTCTTCATTCTCTTGTAAAGTAGCCCCAATGCCTGCGATCTCTGCCTGCAGTGTTGCATAAGGTAGACCTTCTGCATCCTCCCAGTCCACATCCTCATCGTCTCCTGATTGGTGGTCGTCATCAGTTTGTTCGTCTTCCTCAAAATCAGCTAGCGATACCATCTGGCGTTCTGAATTTTGCTGTCTTTCTGCTTCCTGCAGTTCAGTGTAACAAGAGTTGGCAGAAACTCCCAGACGCCAATTCAAGGGGACGACATTTTCATCAAGCTTCTATGTAATAAAATTTACTGACTTTGCAACATACCACTTCCATCGTTGGACCAAGGGCTCAGTGCAAGGAGGTCAGATCATCCTCCTCATGATTCTGCAGTGTCCCTCGACAAGGATTTGTAGGACGTCGTGTGTATTGATATCTTAAAGAAAATGTTCTTTGATCTGCTTATGAAATTGTAAGTTTAGCGGATCTCTGTGGCGCACCCTCTACTGTTGATGCAATCGTGTCATAGATGAGCAGTGGTCTCAGAAAGATGTGCAGCCTCAGAACCATGCACAAACATAACACAAAAGAAATTTGACTGGCTGACACGAGTGCTCATCTGCTCCTCTGCTACATCGAGAAAAACATGGAAATGGGAGCGAGCTCCCGCGTGCCGGCAGGTGAGGGTCCAGGGGTCGGTACGGTGCACAAGGGGGATGATCGACTACAGCTTTCCTCCAGAACCCACTCAAGGTCTTGGGGCAAACCTGCCTAGGGTCCCAAGAACCTGAATCTTTGAAACAATCTTTGAAACGTAGCCGAACGGCATGGCGGGGAAGGCTGAGCAATGGGTGCTGGAGTTTCTTCTGGACCGCGACTCGCTCAGCGAGACGGTGGTCCGGGAACTGTATGAGCACCTGGGTATGGGGGCGGATGCCCTCTCAAAGACGATCCAGGTCCGGTTGCTCCTGCGCGTGCTACGTGAGCACGCTGCCAGCATCTCGGATGGCACGCTCAATGCGCTCAACTGCCTGGCCGCCAACAGCACTGACAACAAAGCGGACTACTCACCGTTCGCAGACCTGTCCAAGCTCGTGCCCAGCCTCGATCTTTACCTCCAGGTGAGCCTGCGATTTGCGTTCCAGCCGTGGCCGGGTAATCAAGATGCACCAAGACTACCACGGCACCTTCCTGACCTGCCCCGCCTGCTTGCCACAGGTCAAGACCGAGCTGGTGCTGCAAAGCTTGCGAGGAGGGTCTCTTGATACCCTCCTCCACTCAGGAAACCCTAAGGAGATGCTTGACCGCTACTTCCCACCTCCACCAGAGGGCCTCCAGAATGCTCCAGAGGGACAGAGGTGTGTCACGCTGGGCATCTGCCCCCAGCCCTGCCTGGGGCACCTGTACCTGCACAGGCGGCCTCAAGCACACTCGGCCTGTCTCTCCCCACTGTTTCTTACGTCCTTCACGTCGTATGGTGCTGTTGTGTGACCAAAAGGGCGCTTACACCCAGGCGGGACGAGCTGGCCATTGGGCTGCAGTCAGCGGCAGGCACGCAAGTGCTGCTGGAGAAGTACCCTCCGGGGCATGTGGAGGCGACCATGCTCAAGTACGTGGCAGAGGGCCGTGCCGCAATGGGCCAGCCAATCCTCAAGGTGAACAGCCCTGCCGCCATAGTGCACCCAGTATATCAAGTAGCGGTAAAAAGTTATCTGGCCAGGACCCACTTAAATCTGCGCAATGTTGTTGGGCGTGCACATTGGGTGACGTTGAAGGTCTCTGTTGCACAGGTGATGGAGGCTCAGTATGCTCAGGGGCTGCTGCACCCCACAATCTCATCGGCACATCCACAAGGTGAGACCCGCTTCACTCTACCAGACGTTCAAGACGTGTGATGACAAGCAAATGCAGAAGGTACCCACTGTGTCGGCTGACAAGATTGCTTTCCCTGGGTGCAGGAGCCTTTGGGAACTTTTCTATTGCCCCAAAGAAGCGCCAGAGGCACAGGTACGTCTGCGTATGCCATCCTGCACTGCCCCCTGATTCTTTAGCTCCTGGTGCTATTTAAACACAGCATGAATTTTCATCTTCTTTTGGTATATTTCCACTTGGAGGGGGGGCTCAAGGAGAGTATGCATGGGGTGCAGCGCTGCGAGCAACGCTGATGTAGCGGCAGCCACTACCATCGCCGACCTGCAGGCAGCCAGCAAGGGCCTGCAGAACAAGGGCGGCCCCGACCCCTTCCCAGCCGCCATGCAGGTGAGCCACGCTGCGCCTTTCCCCCAACAACAGTAATCTTTCTGGCACCTGCAGTGCAGGCTCCACGTGCGCTCTCCGACATTGCCATTAGCCATGCAACGAGCGTGCTAATAATGGGCATCAAAAGACAAGACCATGCCCATTAGACCCATATGCCTAGTTGGGTGCATGCCAGAATATCTTCCTAATCAAGTTGTAATTTTCTCAGGCTGCGGGCGGCCAGGGAAGCTTTGCTGCGGCACTGAATGCGGTGGACCACGGCGCGGGGCCGTCCATGACTCCCGGTATGCCTGACGGCAGCGGCCGCACCGTCGGCTGGGACAGCCCCGATCCCAACCAGGTAACTCACCAGCCCCAGCTGCATGCCCGATCCCGCACAGCCCAGGACATTTTTGGGCTTTGGAGCACAATATTTCTTCGCTGTGCCGCTTGTAACCAAGCTTTGCACAGGCTTCTTTTGATGCTTGCTTCTGGCTACCCGCTTGGCTACCGGCTAGCACATCGCTGCTGCTCATTTCTGGTTGAAGAGTGTCTTTAAGTGACTTCTACGTGCCATCGATGCAGGTGACTCCCGGCGCAAACATCGGGGGCATGCTGGGGCCCAACGGGGAGCCCCTGACGGACGGCAGCATGGGCAAGTCGCCCAAGAACCGCACAGGCGGAGGCAAGCGGCGGCGCAACGGGCGCTGGGCCGAGCACGAGACCAACACACTGATCGAGCTGGTGCGGCAGTGGGGCAAGGGCAAGTGGAAGAAGATCCTGGAGGAGGGCGCCGCCGCCTTCAACAACCGCTCCCAGGTACCTACACTCTGTCCCCTTCCCCTCATAAAAAGGCGGGAGACCCTCCCATTTGGCCCTTTTTTTTGCATCGTGTCAATTTTGAGGGCAGCACCTCTGCTGCTTATTTTTGAGCTGTCATATCTAATGGGAGGAGGGTCACCTCTGGAGATGTGCATGCGGTTTGTGTCGAAGGGTGGGGCCTGACACATGCGGGGTGGTATGCGCAGGTGGACCTGAAGGACAAGTGGCGCAATCTGGAGAGGCAGGGCGTGGTGCAGGCGTCCGACGGCGTGCTTCCCGGGTCCGCCGGCGTGCTGTCCCCGGAGCAGCAGCAGGCGCAGCAGCAACAGCAGCAGCAGCAGCCGATGGTGGATGCCGCGGCCCTCATGGCCCCGGACGGCGGCGCAATGATGCAGGTGCAGGACCCGGCGGCGGCTGCAGCTGCGGCAGCCGCCGCGCATGCGCAGGCCGTGGGGCAGCAGGAGCAGATGATGCACCACGTGGAGGGCGGCATGCCTGCCCAGATGTGAGAGCTGTGCCAGAGAACGCCTCTGCATGCTGTGTCCAGTAGCAGATGTGGCGCACTAGTTGGCGTGGGCAGGGTTGCAAGCCAGAATAAGGTAATGCTGATGTGGGTGCCTGGGTGAGGTCTGACGATTGTGCCTTTGTGGTGGGCTCAAGGAGCAAGATATAAGTATGCGTCATTGCTGTCTTCGAGGTCGCCTGCTCGTTGAACAAGTAGTCATGGAGGATGGGTCCTGTACTGTTTTGGCCAGTGTATATGCTCCGTTTTTCCAGTTCTACGTAGCATCCTGAAAATCACTACTAAGGGCAGGATTGCAGCAAAATTCTATGTTGTGACTGGTGAGGAAGCACAGGCCTGAATACTTCTTCAGTTCTTCATTTCTACTCAAACTTGTTGTATATTTTTGATTGTGTCAAGGTTTTCCAGAGTGTTCTCAATTTCTGTGTCCATGGTAGAGTATAATCAGTGCGTGCCACTTACAGTTAGAATATGACACATCGTGCCCATTTGAAAAAAGAGAGTTGCAAGCGATTGTGCCTGTGTCTTATGCCAGTGGTGGATGGACACATTTTGGCAAAGCTTGCGTACTCAGATACACAGTGTGTGATTGTAATAAAGCACGATTTCAGCCTCAACTTGAAAAGTTCCATCACATGCTGCGGCTTCATTCACCGTCAAGAAGACGCACATGTCACTTGCAGGAATTTGTCCGCCTGAGCAGCAACTCAGTCCAGGTTCAACACCGCCACCAGGTTCATGCATTCCATAGAGTTCAGGCTTCAATGTTTCTTCCAGCACCAAGAGGTTTTCACACGCTGTTCTGCTCGCGCTAATTTGCCAGAGACCATCTGCAGCTACAGCTAGCTAGGGCGCACACAGCTGAGCATGCCACCTTTTGCATTGAACGAGGGGATACAGCGTTGGCAATGTAATAGCCCATCACAGGCTGGTCTTCCCTAAGCTCGGCAAGATCACGCAAACTTGCCTTACCTCTAGTCCCCCCAGAACAGCCTATTGCCACCCACTCCAACCGCCTGGCTCTGGCTCGGGCTCCGGAGCCATCGGAGGTTCCTGCTTGACCTGTGGCATTGGTGCCAGCCCCGGCGCGGCTGCCGTGCCAAGCTCAGGTGCTGGTGCTGCCGGCGCGGCTGACCCTGTTGCTCCTGCTGCTTCTGGCTGCGGCTGCTGCTGCCCTGAAGCCTGTGCTGGAAGGCTCTGCTCAGCGCCGGGCTCCTGCACGGGGCCGGCAACGCCACTCGCCTGCGCTTGCTCAGCCTTCATCCTGCACATGCGATATATCGCTGTGAGCTTTACAGAGGGTCCAGTGCGATGGGCAAAGCCGCGTGTGGATCACATGTCTCAAAGTGTCAATGGAAAGTTTCTGGCAGTGCGTGTAGGGGGCATTGCTCCAAACTGACTAGGTGACAGCAGCGGACGTGTGCTGCGCACCTTTCATTGGCCTCTTTCAGGACTCGCTCCGCCTCCAAGTTCCTCTGCCGTATGGCTTCCAGCTGCTCTGCTGCCTTCCGCTGAGCCTGCAAGCACAGCGGTACATTCAAGTCCAAGCAGCACCATTTGCAATGCACTTGTGAGGCACCAGGTTCGAATGCAGCCATGCAGAGGGCAACCTGCCGTGCCATTCCCCAACAATCTGTAGCAGCGCTGTGACATTTGCTTGTCATCATTGGGACTGGCGCACCTCTGCCCTGATGCCGTCAGACACAGCCTTGTCTGCCTCCGCCGACAATTTGCTAAGGTATATTTCCTCTTCCGGACGAGGGTGCCCCGGCAGTCGGCGCTGCTCCACAATCTCTTGCAGCTTTTTTCCAAGGCTATTGAGCTGCCATCCCCGACAAACTTGATAAGCTCCGCAAAAGAGGACACTGCACTGCGCAGAGCAGAGGAATCGGATCGATGGTCTGTCCTACCGTGGCTTGTATGTGAAATCCGCACCTCATCAGCATACTGCATGGATTTCTGAAGGCACAGCTCCTGCCATGCTTCATGTCTACTTAGCAGCAGGCCCCCAGTTGACAAAGTCTCAGCCTCCTCGAAATCTGCTCTTTCTGTTTCCTCTGCTCCAAGCATCTGTTCCCAGCACAACCAGGTCACTCACAGGCCTCTCTGAGAAGGATGAAAGATGGCAATAACTGACTGACACACCCTGGGATCTATACATCAGTTTGATCAAAGAGAAGCAGAACATGCTTGTCCATGTGGCGAGGCTCACATGGAACGGAAGCAGGCGGTCGACTGCATCTTCGAAGCTTGAAAATGCCCGATTGCAGTCTGGATTCAGCAATCGGAAGATATCCTCGTGAATATAGTCCTGTTGGCGCTTGGTGCTCACAGGCGCAGTCTGCTGGTATTGAAAAGTGGGCGCAGTCCTGCGATACAGAAACAAAACATGTTCTTATTGTATGACTTGTTCTGAATCAAGGCAAACGTCTGACGTCCTCTACAAACACGCTGCATGCACTGATGTGATCTTCCACCGTACCCTTGTGAGCTGGTTGGGAGGTTAGAATTGGTGACGGTCAGTTGCGTCATGAGTTCGTTTTCTGAATTTTGATGAGCGAGTATTGCTGAAAGTGAAAATTGCTCCAAGCTTTGCATGGGTCTTGTATGAGTCATCATGATGTGGGATCACATGCCTCCCATTGGCCTCCACATCCACAACTTCCGGTATCCATCAGAATTGCAACGGAACTCCTAGATGGCTTTGCGTGGTAGCTTGGCCTCCGCGCCTGTGTGCGCGGCTGCGCCATCTAGGATTTGCAGACATGCTCCCAGCGGTGTTCTTAAAGTGCGCAGCCAGGCATCTGCGCTCAAGGCAAGTGACGCAGTTAGAGTGGCAGGCAGGTGCCAGGTTACTTCGTTGAAAATCTCGCGCAGCCAGGTGGCCGAGAGGCGGTCTCCACTCTGTGTCTCGGCGAGCGCTTCTGCGGCTGTCAGTACCTCTCCTCCCGCGGAGCCACCATTCAAATGGGGCGCCGACATGAAGAACCTGGGCATCTGTGTGGCTGTGGCAGTGGCTGTGTGGTTCTGCCCTCCACCAGCGGGCGTCACGATTCAGGCGTGGCACCTGCTGGCCATATTTTTGGGCACCATCGTCGGCATCATCACCCAGCCTCTGCCCCTTGGCGCCGTGGCGATGCTTGGTTTGGGCGCCACCATGCTGACCAAAGTGCTCACATTCTCCGCAGCCTTCTCAGCTTTCTCCAGCGAGATCCCGTGAGCCCCACTCTCCCCCTGCTTGAGTAACCTCTGGAGTGATAATCCATGAACAGCCTGATCCAAACAGCTAAATATACACCTTTTCATTAGTAGCAAACGCCATCAGTTCAATTTCAACAATGGGTAGCCTTGTCACCTCCACCGGATGTACTGTAACATGGGCCTGCTTATGCTCCCTCAGGTGGCTCATCGCCATTGCCTTTTGGCTGTCAGGCGGCTTCATCAAGTCGGGCCTGGGCAACCGTGTGGCGTACGCGATCGTGTCCGTCTTTGGCAAGACCACGCTCGGCCTTGCGTACAGCCTGGTGTTCGCTGAGGCGCTGCTGGCCCCCGCCATCCCTTCAGTGGCCGCCCGTGCCGGCGGCATCTTCTTCCCCCTGGTCAAAGCGCTCTGCCTTGCCTGTGGCTCCGACCCGGTGAGTCACCTGGCAATATTGGGGCCAGATGCATGCATCTCCACCTTTTCTACCGGGCACACTCCTGCCATGCATTCTGCTGCTGGGCATGATGGGAGTGCACTTTCCATCTGTGCTAATTTCTTTCCATCTGCAACAGTAAGCCGCGTTTTTAGACCAATCAGGAATGCCTTGGCACGCAACAAAGGGGGTCAATAGAAAGAATAAGAGGCAGTTCGGTGCATCATGACTTGATAAAAGTTCATCTATTTTTTACCTTTTCCCTGCCATGCTCGCAACAGAGGGAACTGTGAAAGCAAAACCGAGGCACCCCGGTGCATCATGACTTGACGAGAGATTTTCCGCAAGATCCTTCCGCCGTGCGCGCAGGCGAACGGCACCGAGAAGAAGCTGGGCGCATACCTGATGAAGACCTGCTTCCAGACGTCCACCATCTCCTCTGCCATGTTCATCACAGCCATGGCTGCCAACCCGCTGGCAGTGGACCTGGCCAGGGACACCCTGGGCACCACCATCAGCTGGGGAACCTGGGCGCTGGCTGGCCTCGTGCCTGGGCTCATTTGCCTCATCGCGACGCCCCTCATCCTCTACGTGCTCTACCCTCCCCAGGTCAAGGACACCCCCGACGCCCCCGCCAAGGCCAGGTGACCCACTTGCGCCCTCACCAACCTGCTTGTCTACCCCTATCAGCTCGCTTCACTGCTACCCTCCAGTCATATCTGCCTGCCAGGGGAGCTGCAAGAGAAGAGCAGGGCCCTGATGACCGGTGCGCTGCTAGCGCCGAGCGCCTGTGCGGGTTGCGGAGGTTGCCATTAGCATGTCCAGCACTTAGTTGAAATGGCAGGATGCCAAATGAATTATAGAGAGCGATGCTCTCAGTGGACTGGGTTGCTTGTGACTGCAGGGAGGAGCTTGAGAAGCTGGGCCCGCTGTCGCGCAACGAGAAGATCACTGCGGGCGGCCTGGGCCTGACAGTGGCGCTGTGGATCTTTGGCGGTCAGCTGGGAGTCAACGCCGTCGCTGCCGCGCTCCTCGGCCTTGGCATCCTCCTCATCACCAATGTGGTGCGTGCTCGTCATGACCGCTGACGCTGTACAAGGATCTGCTATCCCTGTGATATTCTGTGTCAGCTGTTGACTTCAAGAGGTGTGCTCACCCCACTTTGGCAAATTGACAGATGCGCTTAGTGAAGGGGAATGTTCATTTGCACTTCTGCAGTGCAGCGCACCGCTCTCCCGTGTGAGATTTTACGGTCACAAAGAATTTTTGACACATGGCAGTGGCGCGTTGTACTGCAGAAGATTAAAAAAGCCGTGGTGACTCTTGCCCCATATATTTAGATGGATCCTGCGGCAAGCAGGTGACGTGGAAGGACTGCCTGGCCAATGGCGCTGCCTGGGACACGCTGACGTGGTTTGCCGCCCTCATCGGCATGGCCTCCTACCTCAACAAGTACGGCTTCATCAAATGGTTCTCCAACCAGGTGCGCCCCTCCCCTTCATTTTCAACCCTTCTATTTTGTCACGACAACCTTTCCTGATGAGTTCTCATAAATTGCTGCATGCAGCCGTCAGGCATCCTTGGGGCTCTCCTGTGACGTTGGTAAAAATAGCCTGGCATGCTGGCGTGCCATCAAATGTCTCGCATGGTTGGACATGTCTGATGTTGTGTATTGCTGAACTCGAGAGTGGCGGTGCCATGCAGGTGGTGAATGTGGTGTCCAACTTTGGCCTGGCATGGCAGCAGTCCTTTGGCATCATTGTCATCCTCTACTTCTACTCCCATTACCTTTTTGCCTCGGGCGCCGCCCACATCGGAGCCATGTACACCGCATTCCTGTCGGTCGCCATCGCCTGCGGCACCCCTGGCCTCCTCGCAGCCATCGCCCTCGGACAGGTGACTCGTTTGCTTGAATGACTCGTATGATAAAACAGCAACCTCTGACTGACTTTGTGATGTCAGAGTCTGTCATGTTTGTATTGTTGATGCACTCCTGTGTACAAAGCAAAGCAGCCCTTCCTCCCCATTTTGGCGCTCGCACTGACTTTCATGTATGCGTTCCCCTGGTTTGATGTGAGTTTTACAGGATTCTGACCAACTTCGCCTTGTAAAGGTGCAATGAATGGATACATCAAGGTGGAAGGAAGCAAAATTTCTAGGCCTGCAGCTCGGTTCCAATGGAGTTCTGTGGTGTGTGCGCAGCTGTCCAACATAATGGGCTGCCTCACAACATACGGCATTGGCTCTGCACCTCCGTACTTTGGCGCTGGCTACGTGCCGCAGGCCAAGTGGTACCAGCTGGGCTTCATCATGTCCATCTTCTACATTGCTGTCTGGCTTGGCATTGGCGGTGCCTGGTGGAAGGTCATTGGCCTCTGGTAGATGCAGTGCCCAACTGTGGCAGTGGTCCCCTTGTGATTGAGTCTCCCATCTGTTAGACACTCCTTGCAATGCACAGCGGACAGCCTTTAACGGTTGAAACGGCCAGTCTTGCCAGAGGCCAGTTCAGGCTGTGATTGCTGCTGAATGGTCACAGTGCGAGGGAGTGTCAGCATTTGAGAGGGGTACATGAAAGGCAGTTGAGCCTGGGTGCAAGCGTGCCTGTGGATGAGTTATGTGGGTGGGATATCATGGGAGTGTGTGTGGGCTCTACAGCGACTGTCTTTGAGAAGATTACATGTCCCAATAAATTGCTGGCCAGCCGTGCTGGCAGTCTGTCTCATTTCCCATTGACCAAAGATCCCTGTCATTATTTTGAGGAATGTGATGGATTGTGTTTCATTCGATACCTCTGCTGTCCTATATCATGTAAAGCAAACATCTCCTTCCAATCCAATTCTTCAAATTGGATTTATTATCGTTTTTTCATTAGCAGTAATGCAATAATATGAATCTAGAAATGAAATGTATGCGGCTACCCAATAATTCTACCCATATGGGTGCAGCCCTCTCCTGCACACATCCAAGAAAGAGTGTCAGAAGAATCCTGAGCATGCATATGGTCAGCTCCTGTGCAGCAGTGGGCCTACTCTACTTCATGAGGCAGAGATGCTTAAGAACAAAGGGTCTGAACACACACCTCACATGCTCCAAATTGTCATGCTTCCTGCTCCACTACGGCGCCTCAGGAGGATTGCACTGGTACGCTTCTTGTCAGGGCGTCCTCCTAGGCCTGCTCTGACCTTTGGGCCTGCGAACCTTCCCCTTCTTGCCGCGCTGCTTTCCTTCCCCTGCCCGACCCCCTGCCTTGACTGCAGCATCCGCGCTGTTGGCCCCTCTCTTTCTAGCATGTCTCCCTCCTGCTCTCCTGGGCCCCTCACCTCTCCCTTTCCTCCTCCTTTTCCCTGATCTTGCACGCTTGTTACTGCTCCTGCCACCCTCTGCCAACTCCCTCTGGCCATCCTTTGCTGTCTCCCGGCTGAGCACGGCTGCATCCCTCCCGCTGTCCTCATCGGCAGCGCTCAGCAGACCCTCCTCAAAATTGTCACTGTCCCCCGGGTCAGAAACCGCGTTCTGCTGCTCGGCTTGCCTCTCGGCGCGGCTGACATCCGTCATGACTATGTCCCTGTCATCCTCCTCCTCACCGTCCCCAATTTCCTGCCGTAATTCACCCGGCCACTTCAGCCCAGCAGCAGCTGCCTCCTCCTGCTCTGCTGGCAGGACCTCATCCGGTAAGCTCCTGCTGACAGACCCCGGCACGTCCTCTGGATTCAGCGGCTTCCTCCGCCGCTTCCCCTTCTTCTTGGGGCTCTGCAGCAGCCGGCGGCGGCGGCTATCTTCATCTTCTCCCTCGTCGTAGAAAGACCCCTGCTCCTGCCCTGCCACAATCTCAGACTCCTCGTCTGCGTCCTCGTCAGCATCGGCCTGTCGGCTCGCCGCAGCGGCGGACTGCACCCGCGGCCGGTCGCGCGCATTTGCGGCAGCGCTCTCGTGCATCTCGACGGCCTGCTTCCCTGCGTCGTCCATGAGCAAGTCCGGCTCGGCTGCGCTGCCGCGCGACAGCTCCTCCACTTTGGCGGCCTCTGCCAGGATGCCCATCTGGGCGTCGTAGGCTGCCAGCCTGTCGTCGGCCCCCTGGTCGGCCCCATCCTCTAGGGGAAGGTCCTTCACAACGATGGCCGAGTCTCCTGCATAAGCACAGTATCCAACTTTGAGACAACCTTAAATAACTCAAGAAACTTTTGCAACATACTGGATGTCAAAGACAAAATTCTGAGGAGGTCGGCTCTTTAGAGTCCTTAGGAAAAGGTGCTGTGTATCGGGTGGCGAGTGCTCCCCAAGGCTGGATGTGTGAACCACATGCATAAACTCACCGCTCTGCATGACATCGGCGCCATTGCCAGTACCCACGTCCTCCCTATCATCCCGTGCCAGCTGCACGATCTGTCCCACACACCACATCACAGTGTCAGCAGGCATCAGTGGGCTGTCAGCGTAAGCAAGGATCATGAAGGGCTTGCTTGAAGTTTTCAGCAGACAGTGCTTTCAACGCACCTCCACGTTCTTGTGCAGGGTCTTGGCCTTCTTCTTTGCATTCCTGGACAGCTTTTTGTCGACAGCTCCTTCATCAGTCCCTGTCTGCTCCTGCTCCTGCAACCTTTTGCGCACCCACCAGGGCAGCAGGCCCCCTTTTGTTCTGCGTACTCCTTTCGCAGGCACATTGGGATCCTTTCGCCGTACAACGACTCCTGAAGCCCGAATATATGTCAAAGTTCGCACACTTTTGGAAACCCCAACTGCATCGATAAGGACATAAGGATATGGCTTTCCTCGAGACATGAGAGAAGAAACGGCACCTGCACGCTGCCCACCTGCGATGGGTTCGACAACTCCACCATCAGCCGCTAGAGAGGGTATTTTTTTCGGTTGTGCTCCTCGGAATCTCGCTTTGACGCTGTGGATGATTGTGGTGTCCAAGATCAGAAAACAAAGCAGCAGAAGGGCTATGATCCTGATCGCCCCCATTTTGATTTTGATATATGATCGGTGGCACTTAAAATTTTTCATTTCTTATTATCTGTGCAAGTGTAGACTTCCACTGTCTTACTAATCTAATATTCTAAGGAGATAGATCAACTGCTACTTGTGTCAGGTAGTGGATTCACTTTGTCTTTGCTCTAAGTCGAAATGTTTCGTTAATCTCGACAAGCTTCCATCAAACCCCGACCGGGTTCGTCCAACGAAGAGAAATGTGACGAAACCCAAGTCCCGAACAGCAACAAGTGCCGGAAAAATGCATGCCACGTGGCAAAGCTCGCGTTTCATGATGGCTTGCACGCACGGTGCACCCCGATTTGGATGTGAATATTGACTCGAACCAAACAATATCTTGTGCAGGGTGATGTTGTGACAGGTTCTTTCTCTGTCCCGATCTCACTCTATTAACAAGCAGTCTCAGCACCATCCAAGGTCATGCTGTTGATCGCTGAATATTTGCACCTTGTTGATGGGTGTCACAGGGCATGTATTGAATGCTTGTAAGAACCGGTTTTCGTAGGACGCAAGTTCTGCCAGGAATTTGGGCAAGAAGACCACGGCTTTCCGTAGACAGGGTATCAAGGTCAGTAGACTTATTCCTATTTAATAGCGTAGCAATGCAGAGAAGCTAGAAAAATTTATGTAAGTATTGCAGTGATGCCTGATGATAGATTGGCTGACCACATGCGTGAGGGTACAGGCTGACTATAAACAAAGGTTGTGAAGGGAAGCTTTTTACCAGGCTTTTCACTAGCAGAATGGATGTTGGAAATCAAACTGTTGATCTGACAGCCTCCAGCGCCGATGACTCTCCTCCTCAGCCATCAAAACCAGGTGCCCTCCTATTCAATCAAGGTGGTTCGTTGGGTGCATCAATCCCCCATGGGTTGTCCCGCACGTTTGAGGTGAGGGTGCTCAATCCAGTGAAGTGGCTGCCAGCAGGTGCAGGGAAACGAAAACGCGATTTTAACAATGGAGGAGAAGAGGTGCGCCAGTCTGGTGTATTCTCCAGCTTTTTCATGATGTTGCTGCACTGGCCAGAGAGACCAGCACTGTGTTGTGTATGCTAGGATCTCCAGCAGAGAGGTCCAGTCTAAGCAATGCAAGGCATCCTGGTCAGTGCCATTTGTTTCATCAACCTGCAGGATGCAGCAAGGAATCGGATCATGGCCTTTGCCAAGAACGCTGCAAGTCCCTTGAAGCCTTTTGTACCCGTAGCATCTGAGCAGGCAGCAGCGCTTACACAGAGCTCACCACGCACTTTGACAGCAGCAAATAGAAATTGCATCATGGAGCACGCCCAGCAGGTGTGCCTCTGTCATCACCCTCAGGCCGCACCTGGATCCATGTTGTGCCAAGGTAGCAGGAAGGATGATTGGAGACCCAACTTGAGGTTGGATCTGCTCGGGCACAGGTGAATGCCCGGAAGAACACCGCCCTCTTGGCAGAGCTGCATGCTGCGCGCGTTGCCAGGCAGACAGCCCACAAAGGCTCTGAGCACCCAGAGGCCACTGCAAGTGGTGCATGCAGTCTGCCCACACCACCCATCAGTGTGCTGACCTACAATGTCTGGTAGGTCCCCTTTGATGCACATTGCCACGAGACTCTAACTTAGTACAGAGCCCCCTGACATTGATTTCCTCCTCTGTAGTTCATTTCCCTTATCAGTCTGCTGAGAACTTTTCAACGAGCGAACAGGTTTGAAGAGGAGGTGGCACTGGAGGAGCGGATGGCATCTATTGGGGATGTCATAGTGGAGACCGGCTTTCCCACTGTCATATGCTTGCAGGTCCGCTCCAGCGCCAGTCTCTGCCCGGCAGACCTCCCGCATATTTGAGCAAAGAGCAGGATCCAGCCTCTTTCATGCGCAACTGCATGTGTGACATGTCCTTGGCACACGTCTGAGCAGAGCATGCTGGATGTGCAGGAGGTGACTGACAGCATCTTTGCGCTGCTGAGGTCAGCGCCATGGATGAGGCAGTATGAGGCGATGCCTGCCGGGGGCCAGGCATACTACACGGCCCTGCTCTATAAGAAGAGTGCTGTCACTGGCGCGCAACCCTGCCGCCTGCATCGCTTCCCAGGCAGCATGATGGGTGCGAGCCTTGGACAATTGCTGCCTAAAGCATTGATGAAGCAGCAGTGCTCAAAGAAAAACACAGAACTGTTCTAGATACTGTGTCGATGCCTCTCTTACCACTTGAGACGCTTGAATGATGCATCATTGTGAAAGGGAATGCTTCAAATTTACAGGTCGTGGACGGCAGGAAGTGACTCTGTCCTTTGGGAACAAGTCTTGTCGCTTTGTGACCAGCCACCTGGAGAGCCCCTGTGGCTGGAAGCAGCCCATGACAGAGCAGCGCTCGCGGCAGTGCCAGACGGTGGGCTCTTATAACCCCTTCAACCCACCTTGGAGTGCCATGTGTTCCTCAGCTGTAGCGCTGAATTGGCAAAATATTTGTATTGAAGCGCTGGTGCTGCAGACAATAGCAGCGCTGGATGAAAGTGGGGAAGGGAATGTGATCTTTGCCGGCGACCTCAACTGGATCCCTGCCAACGGGCCCCTGCCGCTCACTGATGGCTGGTATGCGTTTGCATGCTTTCCGTCCTTGGCTTCAAGCTGAGACATTACTGCACCTGTCAAACCTCCGTAAAAGAATAGTTGTGGCCTGGTTTTGGTGCTCCTGTGCGCGATGTTGCTTGATTGCTCCCCTCAAGTCGTAGTTCTTAGTCGATGAAATACGTAGAGGAGGTTGACTCTGCCTGTTGCAGGGTGGATGCATGGGCAGAACTGCGTCCAGATGATGCGGGGTATACCTATGATGGGACCAAGAACCCCATGCTGACCACCAAGCACCGGACGCGCCTGGACCGAGTCCTAGCAAAGCTGAAGGATTGGAAGCCGGGCAGCATAGAGATGGTTGGCCTGGAGGCAATCCCAGGCGTGACCCGGGCAGTCAAGGTCAGGGGCGTGCCCAAGAAGTTGCCTGTGCTGCCCAGCGACCATTTTGGCCTCTTCTTCGAGATGATGCCCTGCTGATGGGTGAGCGATTGCCGGGCACGAGTGATTGATGACCGGCCCTTTGCTGCTTGTACCGTAAGTTGAATCAACTGTTGAATGTTGGATTTTAGACCTCACCAGCAAATGAGAGATGTGGCCTGTCTAGCTGATGTCAGATACAAGGGGTCTTTGAATGGATGCCTTACATCGGCTTTGATGATGCATTTCACGGTTGGTGCAATTTCTTGGAATTGTAATATAGCCAGTCTTGCATGCACAAAGACACCTTCTGCTGGACTCGAATTGCAACTCACACTGAAAGATGTTCAATGCACCAACAGACAGGTATATTGATGGCATTTGCATCAAGATCTCAGCTTTGTACCTGCTCTGTTGTCCTTCAACAATTGCAATGTTTTTCAATCATGTTCCTGGACATTCAGCACACATTCCCAAAATGACTAGAGGACATGCGGGTTCCGAAAATATGTACTGGTAATCAGATCTGTTCTCGAGTAATGCACAACATTATCCTACATGCACATTTTGTGCTTTTCTGAACCAGCTCACTGGAAGCTCTTCAGGGCCTCCTTCACATAAGTATCTCCAGTGGCGTCCACAAACTTGGCTTTGGCGTGCTGCTCCACGAATGCAGAAGTCTGGTAGCGCAGGTGCGGGTGGGGGTCCTCGATGACCTTCTTGAGCACATCTGCAATATCCTCAGAGGTCTGCTGGACGCCCGGGGTGTCTGCAAACCCCTTGACCATGGTTGCAAAAAAGCTCTCCGACATGGCCCTGCACGAGCAGTCCTGCAGGCTTAGTGATGAGTCTCTTGACACTTGCAAGCGACATATTGGAATGGCAACTGTTTGTGTCAGACCCGGGTCTGTCAGGGCCGTGTCAGCTTCTCAAAACTGCCCTCACTGCGCCGCGGAGGAGCTAAAGGTTCCAGGCACTTGCTTTACGTGGGCGATGCTTGCGTTGCAGAATGCAGCTCGAGGCACAAGAGGCCATGAATCTCGCTAGCGATGGTTGAGGGGAAAACCAATCGTGGGCAGTATCAGGGCACGGAAGCAGTGCTCACGTGTAGGCGTCATCCTTGGGTTTGCCTGTGGCTGCCATGTCCTGCTGCACCCGGGCAGAGAAGTTGGTCGCCACTGGGCCGGGCTCCACTATGGACACTGAGATGCCAAACTTTGACAGGGTTGGCGCCATCGCCTCTGACAGACCCTCCACCTGCCATAACACACACTCGGTGACTCAGCACAGGCTTCAAAACAGGACCACATGACATAGGCATGCTCAAAAGGCAGCTCTTGTCTGATACACTGGTGAGGGCTGAGGGGTGCATTTACCGCAAACTTGGAGGCTGAGTAGGCGTCACAGAAAGGTATAGCGGAGAAGCCGACAAGCGATGTGATGTTGATGATCTGGCCGCTCTGCGCTGCGCGCATGTGGGGCAGCACTGCCTGGATCATGCGCACCTGCATCCACGGCGAGACGCTAAATATCCCATTGAATACTCTTGCTCTGCAGGAAAGCATCCCATCAAATGCAGCACAGCAGTGATCTCTGTGGAATCGACTTACCATGCCAAAGTAATTCGTGTCAAACAACGCTTGATGCGATGCGAGGTCTTGCTGCTCAACAGTAAGACGGGTCCCGAAACCTGCGTTGTTTATCAGGACGTCCAACTTTCCGTGTTCTTTAATGACAGACTCGACGACGTCCTTGACCAATGCATCGTCCGTGACGTCCAGTTTCTTCACGTCAAACTTGCTCCCTGTACAATGACGTGCTCTATGATTCAGCTCCGGAAGAAACTAGAGCATGAAGACTAAAATCCCCAAAGAGCCCCGTTTTTTACCTGAAGCGACCTCTTGGATTGCGGAAGGCTTCCGAGCTGTAGCAATAACTTTATACTTGTCAGGATGCTGGGCGAGCAGCACTGCTGTGGCAAGTCCTATACCACCCGAAGCTCCTGTGACAAGAACGATTTTCGGTGAAGTCGGTGCCATCGTTGTCAGTTCTTGGTCAATAGTCACAAATGCAATCTCGAAACGGAAAGAAGTTGTGTATAGACACAGTGCAAGAACTGCTTTGTGGACTGACCGAAACTTTATCCCCACGTCTGAGCGTAAGGTTTTTAGCTTCAGTATTTGAGGAAGCTACTTATGACTAATCAAAACTCTTGTTCGTTGTTTCTGGTTCGTCTCCTGTGAGGCACGCCGCCTCCGAGCGAGTTATAGCAGCGCTGTGCAAACACAATGTCACACGGTAGCAAGGGACTGAGTGAGCCGGGCCGGGTCGGGTCACACGCACTACCGCAGTGGTCCTGATGCCATCATGTTCTGATCATGATCCGTGATCACTGGCATGCCTGCAGTGATACACGCATGCATTCACTCACAGCAGCTGCTATAGCTACTCAGTGAGGTTCAAGCAATATAGTGCATGTAATGTTGACTGTTGTGTCGCAAGTTATATCGGACACAATCGTTGAAGTGAGCTTCAAGTTTCTCACACATCATGCATGATGCTGCATTCGGGTACCCGGTAGTCATGGACTCATATCTCCCGGCATTGCACTGAGTAGCAGGCTGTTCAGGCAGTCAAGATCAAAAGCCTTCGATTGCACAGCAACTCTGCTAGGACGCTGTCAGTTGATTGCATGCGTATGCAGCACTTTCGTAGCACAACTTGTGCATCGCGTCTGCATCATGATCTGTTCTCACTGGTAAATTTCCCTCCACATTTCCATCCCACCATTTTTTGCAGTGAAAAAAAAATCTGCACAGCAAGGGGGGCCCAATTCCGCACAGTACATTCATGGATCAAGGTGATCAAGTCCTTGAAGGGTCCACCAATTTTCCTAGTGTACAACGGCCTGCCATTCGGGCTCCTGGGTAGTTCACGCATTATCTGGATTTAACAGGGGCTGAGCACCAATTCCTTTGGCCGTGGTGAGCTCGGCACTGCCATCAGGCGCACGCAGGCATTCAGCGGACATTGCCAGTCTTGTTGCCACCAGGGACTGACACAGGACACAAAAGAATTTCACCTGCCATGGAGTCTGATCCAAAGCTTGCCCTGAAGGGGCAGCCTCTTGGCTAATCTACACAGACGTCTGCACTGTGCATCGTTGTGCACACTGCAGCTCCTGGTCTCCTTCCAGACAAACCTCACGATGCATCATATCTCATGTTCTGGTCCACATCGCGCTGTATGCATGCGGCCAGCAGATCCAACCCCTGCGCGTTGGGGTGGATTCCATCGTACAGCAGCGCCGAATTTATGCCATAACCAAATGCGTACGGCTGCCCGCAGTAAAGGTACTCAATCTTCGAGTCCGACTCTGCCAATTTCTGCACGGAGAACCAGGCACCCCATCAAAATTGAACTGCCTTCGTGCATCTTGAGCTCACCGCACACAGTAGCAGCTGCATGTGGACACCCAAGTGGATGTTCAAGACACTTGGCAGGCCGGAGGTGCAGGGAGAAGTACATGAGAGCAAGTGTCACCCTCAAAACAATTGTCAAAGTGAATCACACACTGAATATGTTTGTTGCATCAACGAGCTGTGCAGCAGGAGGTGCCTCACGTAGTATCCCTCGTTGACGGCTGCAATGGCTGCCTGGTATCTGTTGGGCCAGATGTAGGCCTGCTCCGGGTCCCAGTACTGGGCACCCCTCGGCAGCAGCCCCAGCAGCACAATCCTTGTGTTGGGAGAGTTGGTGCGGATGTACCGTGTGATCTGCGACACCCTGCGCATGCAAATACACCATCTTGAACTCTGCTCACATACACCCCATGACCTTTTATCATTGACCCCTGACCTGTCCTAGACACATGCGCCAGCCGGAAATGAATGCACCAAGCCTGCAGCAACAATGCACTACACAAAGAGGCACAGAAGACTGGCAGTCTCAACAAGAGTGACATCAGGTGCCCTACACACCTGTCAATGATGCCAGGGGCAGCATTGAGGATCTCTTGCTGGTCCTCATGGCAGTCCGAGTAAGTGAGGTCATTTGTGCCGATCAATATGACTACCGTCTTGGGCATGTGGATGGTGGGGAACTCCCCTCCAGTCATGATGCGCCACATCAGATTGGCCGACTGGTCACCTGCAGATCAGCCACCCACATTCGCTGCATTGGTCAGTAGTGCACTGCAAAGTTCTTTCAGCCCTCGGATCCTCTGCCCCTCTGGCCCACTATACTGCCCAACTGCATCCGTGGGACAGTTGTCTGCCTGAGATTGGGCTTCCTTTGTAAGCTTTAGAACAACTTGAGGGCATGGAGGTGCCCACACCTGGGATGGCCATGATCTTTGACCGGAAGCGGCCGAAGTGGCGCTGAAATACAGCAGAGCGCTCCCTGTCCTGGGCAGTCACCACGCCAGAGGGGTTCTGCCCAGTGAAGCACCATGTGATGGAGTCCCCATAAAATATTAGCTCGGCCCCCTGCACGCCATCCCCTCGCGCTGTCAACCACCCATGCAGTGCCAGCAGCCTCTCAGACCTCTTCGGCATCAGTGGTGGTGGTTTGCATCATAGTAAAGGCAGACACATCAGATGTGTACATGGGCAGTGAAAGACTGCCTGCAAGACCAATGAGCCTCAGGTGGCGCCCAACAGGTGCCTGAGATGTAGCAGCGATAACAATAACAATGTAACAAGGACGACTGGTCACCCTGGCTTGGTCCATGTCATGCAGCTCATTGGCGAGCCTGGTCTGGTTGGCCGGCCAGTTGAGGTCGGAGCGGGGGATAGGTGCTTGCGCGGCGCCGTTGCACATCGCCGGCATGGGCATCCCTGGCAGCTGGGCCAACGCAGAATGAGCCACGCATGCAGTCAGCAGCACAGCCAGGAGCATGTGCACCATCTTGTCCCCTCAGCTGCGGTGCCCTGGGCATAGCAGGAGCAAGATATGGGTCACAGTGTGTGGATTGCATAATTGCACGATGTTTGAGCTTGCGATAATAAATCTCCTCGATCTTAATACGTCGTGGGCTTGTGCTTGTCGTAGTTAAAGATGGGGTGCCCACAGGTGGAAACAGTACATGACAAACACCTTCCTGGCTCTCAGTTGCCAAGTTGGAATTCAATACGCGATCTGGTCGGTGCAAAAGAGCGATGAATTACTTTGTGGTAGACTGGATGAGAGAAAGACGATGATACCGCGTAGATAAGAAGGGAAAGACAGAGACTCAGAATGATGAACCTACTACCCACTCTGCCCTCTCCCTTGGCTTGCAAACATTCGATGGTAGCAAACTCTCATGAGATGTACATTACTCTCACTTTTCAAAAATCATACTGAAAATGGTGAGTTCTGTACCGTTCGACAGTGGATTTGTCGGCTGGCGATGGGGATGACGCCCCAGTTCAATCGAGCCTCCCCAGGGAGTCCCGGCCAATTGGGTCCGGTGTGATGTGATCGGATGGTCAAAGCATACCCGTTCAATCTGATAATGTTTGGCAAGTAAACTCTGGGGATCTGGTACTATGTCCGAGCCTGTGTACCGGGCATGCACAGACACGCGTTACAAGTTGCAAACTCGAAAATTGTCGAATCTATAGACTGCAGTTAGAGTACTCGACCATTGAACACCTTAAAGCGTTCGTGTTTGCCTGCGTTTCTGGTCTTCGAGTTTAGTTATTGGTTCGAAACCCAGAACCGCAGGCACTGTCATCTCGGAGCGGGGGGCCGAAAAGTCTGCGGTCCTCCCCATTCCATCGTCACGTGCTCTAATTCGGTGCTTTGTCAAGGAAATCGTTGCGTGCGACACAGGAACAGCGATTAAATTTGATTCGATGGAGATCACGATGTTGCTGAGGTGTACAGTACTGGCTGTGTTGGCTAGATGTGCCTTGGGACTGAATTTAGAGTTGCCGATCACCGTGCGCACGAGGTCACCTGCTCCACCTGCTTGGGCCGCGCAATACAAGGTGTGTAAACGGTAGCTCGATTGTATGACTGGAATTTTCGTGACATGCACCCGTCGAGTTCTGCGTAATCCATAGACGACCAGCGTCTGTGACAACCCGCTTCCAAGATGCGCTAGTTCTGGCTTACCAGAAGGTTTAACATTGATTCGGCACTGTTCCTCTCTGCAGAGATAACTATTTATATGGTCTACTCCGCTACCATGAGGATCACATCAAGAGCCTGTCTCTCATATACTTCGTAAACGCTGCAGGTTTCCTGGGAGCTGGCCGTCCCATACGTCTCAGAATTGCAGTCAACACCCCTGAAGTGAGTCTACTTTTGCCTTACTGACAAACATTTCTGGCCCTAATGATTCGAGGAGCATGTTACAGACGCCTAAAGCAAGTTTCTTTCAGTCAGAGCACACCAGAACAGGCTGAGCTCTGGTGCAGGTACCGCTATGATGCATGGCAGGACACAGAGAACGGCCGGCAGAAATTTACCAGGGATGGTGTTGAGACAACCATTGAGAAGCTCGGACAGAAGGGGGTGAGAAACTGCCTGAATAGGTCAAATTCCTTACAGTCTGCCCTAGCGTTCCCTAGCAATGGCGCACCAGCTACTTGATGCTGCATCAGTGATGCATGTGGGAGTTCTGCGCAGGAGGACAGCCTGCAGTACCAGATCTACCCTCGCATTGACAAGCTGGACTGCCGCACTGATGACATCGGCGGAGGCGCCGGCCCCACGGCCCAGGTACAGCGCCGCCTGCTGCAGGCGCCCTCCTCAAATGCTGCAAAGCTGGGCCTGGTGCGCTTGCACTCAATCCCCAGTGGTGCAACTGACACTTGGATTACATTGCTTCTTCGGTGCTGTGCCATCAAATGATGCAGGGGGCTTCTTCTGTAGCAAGCGCTCAAGTCCCCATGAAGGGGTTGTGAACAAAATTCTATGAGGATTGCACTCGTGAGGAACAAATTCTTAATGTCTCCTTTTTCAAATTGCCACAATGCACAACGTGCTCGCTGGGATGTTTGCTGGTGTCAAATTTGATGTCAGCTGGTCACCCCACATCAGTGGCTGCCTAATTCATTTCCTATGCTTTGCCTTGAGTGCTTTTGAAGGGGTTTGACTGACATGCATGACTGTGATGCTGATGTTTGTGGGTTGCATGCAGATCATGCCGGACCTGACGGAGTCCAGGTGGCTGTACAATGGCAGCACACTGCTGCAGGAGGGTCGCCACGCAAACAAGGTGGCCGACTCCTGGGTCTGGCGTGTCACCAACGATGAGGGATATGGGGAGTACCACAACACATACACCTTCTATGTGGACAAGGTCCGCCTTTGGTCGTTATGACCTTATTTTTTGCTCCACTCTCAGCTGAGGAAACTCTTCTCAAATACTCAAGTCTCGGCGTCATGGTAAAGTCCCACATTGTGTCCTTTTGGGCACACTTCACTCAGACCATTTAATGCTGCGGTTGAAGCCTCCTGCTGTGTCCAGGCTGGGGCACCGCTGCGGCTGAACATGTGGGGCGTGAACCTGTACACTGGCGGCCACTTTGACCTGTATGTTGCTGACTACTTTGACTACCAGGTGAGCTGCTCATTTGCTTGATTAGCCATCCGGCCATTTCTGCTGTCAATACCATGAACGAAGCAAAAGCAAGCAATTGAAGGTGTTTGCATGGCTGCCTGCAGCCAGGAGAGATTGAAGAGCAGGAGTTTGATGTGCCCAGCTTCTGCCCGGAGAAGCCCGAGCCGGACAGCAGCAACAGCGGCCGCTTCCACAAGAACATGGGCGGCCTCGCTCGCATGCGCTCCCTGCTCCCAAACGCCCACTACGGTGCGCTGCAACCCCCTGTCAATTCCCCACCCCGAGCAACGCCTGGCATGCTTGCATGCTTTGTCCCATCTGGACATCACGACTTACCTACCCCTGCTTTGGCCTGAGCATGCACATGTTGAAGGAAGGATTGAGGGGAAAAGGATGAACTCGTTGGAGTTGCTGCACTGAATGTCCCCTGACTTGAGAGATGCTGTAGCGCCTGTATGACCTAAAAGGAAGTGGCAGGGAGGCAACGGCAATAAATCTTGATTTATGGCGCAGGTGATGAGGAGTATGATGTGTTTGTGCTGCGCCACGGGCGGCGGCACCGCAGCGCGGAGGAGTACGAGGGCCGGCGGCAGGTCTACCAGGAAAACAAAGCCAAGGTGGCCCAGTGGAACGACCGCAGCGATGCCCACAAGTGCGCTCATCTTCTCAACCCCAATCACTATCGTTCCCCCTTGCACAGCCATAATTGTGCTTGCCTGCTGCTCATAGTCTGGCTGATTTATGCACAATCTAACTCTGACAGTTGATGGCTTTTGAGGCTATTGAGAGGGCTGCAATTGGCATCCTGCCACCATAAAGGAGGAAAAAGGATTGTTGCAGGTAGTATGTCAGTTTCCTCTGTTGCGAGCTAAGGTTTGACTGAGGTGTGCACGTGTGGCTGCCAGGCTGGACGTCAACCACTTTGCGGACTGGACTCAGGAGGAGTTTGAGGCGGTCATGCTGCCCACCAAGGGCAGGAAGGAGCGGCCCAGCCTGGGCAACATGCCGTTTGACAACGCACGCGTGAAGCTGCACAAGCCCACGCTCGCCAAGCACCTCCTGCCCTCCACCGTGGACTGGAGAGGAACGCCTGCTGACAGCCCTGTCAAGGACCAGGCCGCCTGCGGCTCCTGCTGGGTAGGTTACTCCCCATTGTTTCACTTTGCTTGTATGATAGACACGGTATTTTCCCGGTAAGATGGATGGTCTTACTTGATTGGAATGGGATTCTGCAGCATATGTTTGGCCCCAGCCTGCCAGGAGGGACCCTGCCGCAGTGCCCTTTCCTGCGAAGCCATAATGACATGCAGCATGATGATGACACTTCCAGGCAGATGGTTGAAGACCTCTTTCAGCGCTTGCACCGTCCCTTTGCCACTGGTGCCTAGCATAGTGCTGAACACTGTGTAGTGCTCATTGCTGGTGATTGTTTCCCTGCGCAGGCGTTTGGGTCGGTGGCGTCGGTGGAGGCGGCGTACTACAGGGAAACGGGGAACCAGCTTCTGCTGTCGGAGCAGCACTTCATCGACTGCGCATGGGACGCCGGAAACACCGGCTGCCTTGGCGGATTCCAGCCCCTCGCCTTCAACTGGATGGCCGACGTCCTCGAGCTGGCCACTGAAGAGGTGCGCGCAATTGTTGCCATGTCTTCCAATTGATTGACTGCTACACTCCAGACTCGAAGATACACAGCATTATTATGCAGGTCATGTAAGGGTGCTGGTTGAGAGTTGTCCCAGTTTGATGCAGGTGGATGCAGTTGTACATTTGCTTGATGACGTTAGGGATGCTGAGGGGTTTCTGTGTGCATGCAGGCATACCCGTACGAGGGGGTGACCAACTTCTGCAAGAAGACCATCACCGACAAGGTCACCTTCAAGAAGGTGGGCAGCACAGCCACGTCCCTTTCTGTTTTGCCCCCCACTCATCCACTGTTACTCCATAGCAAAGCACCAGCGCAACATGTCTGCCCCAAGCTTTCCTGCTCTGGACCTTACTCATGCGCTGTCTCTCCATGCGCAAACCACCACTGTGATATCAAGATTTTGTGGGGCGAGCATGAATGAAGGGCAAGCACTGACCAGGTTGCTGTGTGCTGCGCTGCAGTTTTCGCAGGTGTGGGTCAATGCAACGGATGAGCTGAGCCAGGAGGAGGCGGTGATGGAGGCAATTTACACCAAGGGACCCATGACGGTGTCAGTGAATGCCGAGGGGGAGGACTGGCGCTTCTACAAGTCCGGCGTGTACAACAACACCCGGTGCTCCCCCAAGCTCAAAGCACTCGACCACGCCGTCGTCGTGAGCGGGTGAGTGCAATTTCCTCTTGTCTCTCCTGCAGGATATGTGCTTCTGACTTCCTCCCCTGTCTTCTTGACTCCTAAATATCTGCCTTTACGTTGTCTTGCAAGAAGTTCTCTCGGTGTTCTGGACTTCTGCCCTCGAGCAGTCTTGCAAGGTCTTCTTGCCTGGTGCATGCTACTTCCTCCATTCCTACCCTTCAGGAGTATGGAAGGAAGCAACCCCCGGGTGTGAATGCTACCTTGTTTTTGGCTCTTGATGGGAGTGCCAATGCTGTGTCATGAGGTGGTGAGTATGGCCTGTTCTGGCATGCAGGTATGGGGAGACAGAGGGAGGGGAGAAGTACTGGATAGTGAAGAACACGTGGTCAGCTAATTGGGGGGAGAAGGGATACATCCGCATCTCCAGGGACCCGGCCTATGACTGCGGCATTGCCACGCAGGCCATCTACAATGAGATCGAGCTTGCAAAGTGATGTCCTGTTCTGAAATTCTGCGCACGCCTATTCAGCACAGCACTCCGTGGGATTTCTTCGTTGATTGAATGCTGACTTGGGAGAGCCGCTGTGAGATTGGACACAAAAAGTTATGACATGGTTGAGGCAATTTTGGCGAGCCCCAATATTTTTCGATAGTTCCAGTATTCTTTTGACGGGGACTTGTTCATTGCTTATGCTCTTTGCGCTGGTTTGATTGCAATTAAACGCAAGACTGTTTGCAGCAGGCGGCGTGCACTGCTGTCATGGCTTGAATGACGCGTATGACTCTGACATCAAACTATTGTGGGAATGCTGGAATGATGTTAACCAGGAGTTTGGTGTAACAGCTGTGATGGGATTACAGGGCAACCACCGTCACCTGGATAAACATGCATTCGTTCGTCTTGGAACATCAAATTATTGAGAGTCAAGTCATAATGCTTGCATACGTGCTAAGAAACATTGATATTGCAGTCTCTGCAAAAGCAAGCACTCGTCAACCCTCCAGAAAAGCAAAGCATCTTGAGAACCCCCTGAAACGCTCCTTAGTCAATCTGAAAAGCACGGCTGATCACTCCAAGGCAGGACACATGAAAACATTGCAGCAATATCAGGACTGCAGTCAGCTGACAGCCAAAAGTATCATTGTCGCAATATGTCCTCAGCCACAGCTGCAGCTACAGTCGTTCTCTGTCATGTGAATTATTCCGATCGCCAGTGAAGCCCTTGTAATTGTATGCATGGTTGCCAAGCACAAACTCTGAAGGGGCATTGAAAGGACAGGATCGCCTTCTGAGCTGGACAGAGCTAGCCACCGGCACAGCGCCGCCGCCAACAAAATTTTCAGGCATTCACAAATGATAAAACTGTGATGCACTTCACCTCTGTTCGCAGCCTAGAAACAACATCTGGGCGCCAAAAAGACTGCCAAAATTCCCTCTTGCGCATCTGTAAGAAAGCATGCTCTTTGTCCCTAAATATGTCTCTTGCGCATCTGTGAAAAAGCATGCTCTTTGTCCCTAAATATGTCTCTTGCGCATCCTTCAGAAAGCTGCTCTCCACATGAGTCGAGTGTCTTCAGGTGTCTACCAGCCAGCAACGTGCTGCTGAGTGATGCAGTGGATGTTGCCGGCGTTGAGCAGCACCTCGCGAGACTTCACTCCCACAACCTTATAGTCAGGGCCGTATGCCTGCACACACACATATCACTCATCCCTTTAGAGACAATGCGCAGCACTAAATGGCCCCTAGCTGTCACCGCCACTAAATACACGCGTTTACGGTTGGTCCACACACAGCAGACGAGCTTGAGCAGAGATCTGCCAAGCAAATAAAGATGACAAGCAGGCAAAGAACTAGTCCTGCCCGCATGTATGTGACATTAGGATAGCATCGAGCTAGTCAGAACCAATGGAAGCTTCTCTTTGTGCTTCTTACACATAGAGTGGGTTAAAGCGGCACCTTCTGCAGGGTCTCGATGGCGAGGCGGTCGGTCTCTGCAGCGGTGCCGCCGAACTGGGGCACAACGACGCCTCCGTTGGCCGCGTAGTGGTTGATGTAGGTGGCCGGCATCCTCACGCCCGGCAGGCGCGGGCAGTAGCCCTTGGTGATGTGCTCGGGCTGCAACACGATAGCACAGCAGGAGTCAGGACATGCTCAGCATCTCAGATATTTCTAAAGGAAGCAGCGCAGCAGAGTCAGGATATGCTGCCCTTTAGAGACAGGCAGAAATCAAGCAGGACTGCCGAAATATGGCATGGTGAGTCTCCCACTGCTTAAGAAGGAAGCCTTGGCTGCAGCTCGGCTGACATGCAAGCAATGTCTGCACACTGCTGGAGCTTCTATATGCACAGAGGAACAGGACAACTAGAAGGCCAGACTGGATACAAGGTTTACATGGGGCAGGAGAGAGGGAGCAGGGCCTCACGTCGACGCCGGCAGCTTCCTTGTAGGTGCGGAACAGCGGCGGCGGGCAGTGCACCTTGACAACCTCCAGCTTGCGGCCGCGCGCGTCAGTCGTGGAGTTCAGGATCTCCAGGTTCCTCACGCCCACCTCGTGCTGCAATACACCACACCACAGCCTCAGCGCTCTGAAATTTCATCAGCACTTTGCACCACGCCTTCTTCTAGGTAATTTGCATCATGCGCCACAACCCCACAAGACCCACAATTGTGAGCGCAGGAGAGCGCAACCAGGACAGAAAGTCCAGTAGGCACATATCTCTCAACGAAACATGCCCGAAAACAGGAGGTGCCTTCAATGCTTCCATGCATGCCTGTCTCTTTGAGAGCTAGCCAATCTACAAAGCAGTGCAGAAGCACGCGGAGATGCACAGAACAAGCCTGGACTCGAGAAAAGAACATGTCAATTGTACGAAGTAGCTGATGCACACCTGGGGGTCGTCCACGTTGTCGCTCCAGGCGAGGGCCACGACGCCCGGGCGGATGAAGCAGCACATGTTGTCCACGTGGCCGTTGACGACCTCCGTGTCACCCTCCATGCCCCTCCACAGCCAGATGATCTTCTCCAAGCCCAGGTACTCCTTCAGGATCTGCATGTCCCACAGAGTATTCATCAGCCCCATTTGCACCGTACAACATACCCAGCATGTGAAGCAGTACCGATCAAAGAAAGGTAGCAGCACACTCACTTCACTCTGCTCCAAATGCAGTGAGCTGCTTGTCAGAACTTCCAGGCAAGGGGCCACTTCTGGGGGAGAACAGCATCTGAATCTCAGCAACAGTGCAGCAATGAGCAATTTTGCAGCTGCAGCAGTACAGGGTGCACATTGAATAATAATTGCAGAGAGACGCTGAACGATTTTGAATAACATACAAAGAATGGTATCAGCAGGGACAATGAAAATAGCGGCGCACGTTCTCGATGCCGGCCTTGTCGAGGTGGGGGTTGCGGCTGGGGTCCAGCAGGCACTCCTCGGTCACCACCATCGTGCCCTGCCCGTCGCTGTGGATGGAGCCGCCCTCCAGGTGCAGCGGAGCCTCGAACACCGGCAGCCCGTTGGTCGTCAGGAGCGCGCGGCCGGCGGCGACGTCCTTGTCCCAGTTGGGCATCATGGCGGGGCGGCCCTGCGCGATCTTGCCGGGGGCGCCGTAGCAGTCATAGTCCCAGTGCACGCCCGCCACCTCGCGCTTGCCATCCACGTCGCGCGCGATGCACTGCGCAGCATTGCACCATGTCAGTCAGTGAATTCCTGGTTCTGACTCAAAGCGCGAGAGCGGGCAGCGATGGAGTGCAGCTCAGGAAGTCACAGTTTACATCATGTGTGCGACTAGTCAGAGCATAAGAAGGACCGGCTCTGGAGTCTGTGCTGTGATCAAGCACCTATGTTTGGACAGGGCACACTTTTTTGCAATGCCAGGGTCCGCTGGGGTCCATAAATAGTGAAGCATGGCTTGTCACAAGCCTAATCATGTGAGGTGGGTTGAAGCAGGGATGGCACTGACCGAGGGGCCCCAGTCGCGGGTCCAGCCGTCGTTGATGGGGATCTCCACCACGGTCACGTTGGGGCTTTCCGCAAAGACCTTGCGCGCGTTGGCGGCCGGCTCGCCCGGGTTGGCGATCATGAACAGCGGCTCAAACTGTGAGATGGCCTTGGCCACGTTGGCGTAAGCCTGGCGAGCTGGCTCTCCGCCCTCCCGCCAGAGGTACTTGGAGTCGTCGCTCTCGGGCCAACCCATCCAGCAGCCCACGTGCGGCTCAAACTCGCCTGCAGCGCACACCAGCAGATTCTTGGATCAGAACGCCCTCTCAGGAAGATATTTGATTGCGTACAGAGACAAGGGTAAAGACAGCACCTGCCTTCAGTCACGGCGCGGCTTGAGACTAGATGTGGGGCTGGAGGGTGGGGTTGACACAGAAAGGCGGTGCATGGAGAGGGGCAACAAAATGGCACAGCAAGGCATGGCAAAGCAAAGACATGTGATCTCAAGAAGAAGGGATGGAGGCGTGCCTGGCATGGTGAAGCCGAGCTGCTTGGGGGTCTTTGTGGTGTCGATGGCGGCTGGGTTTGCGGTGGTAGGGCGCTCTGCCACAGCCGCTGCATTCACCGAGGTCGATAGTGACGCGCAGATGGCCTTGCCTGCAGTGCAATCACGCACACGTGGCAGATGAGCCACTTGTGGAGAACTAGCATTATGGGCACAGCATGCACTGGGTCTTGGCTGCTGGGTGCTGATGCCGAGCAGGCAAAAAGATTGAAATGACAGTCCTTGAGGAATTCAGGCTTTTGCTGTGCCTGAGCAGTTGGGGTTGCCCAAGACGGGGCGGATCCTCACCTTCAAACCGAGCAGGCTGCACAGGGCGGGCGCTCTTCAGCAGAGGGTTGGATGGCTTCCGAAGGATCGCGCCTGCAAGCAGCACGAGAGTACGTATACGTATTGTGCAGAAAGGAGGAGGTGAGAAGTCTCTCGGCAAGCAAGCGCTGCAAGCCGTCCCGGCCAAGCAAGTAAGTGCTGCTTAGAAGTTCCCATTAACTGCCTGTGCCATTCGATTAAGTTGGGAAAGCAGGACTGGCTCTCACCTGTGGGAGCGGCCAGGTTTGCTGCAAGATTGTGACGGGCGATGGTTGTCTCCATTTTTGTGCGTTCGCCGGATAAGATCGCAAAGTGCTGTCCTGTGCATCGTACAGTGGCCATCAGATCCAACTTCTGCCACGCGCAGCGCATCAACGCAGGCGCTAGGTTATCGAAACGCATCGTTGCAAACCACGCAGGGACGCAGACAGAGTCGTTGCAAGCACCAACTCACGCTGAAAGGTGTCTAAATGGAACAGGCAAACACCTGAAAACAAGAGATGGGAGAGGCAGACCAGGAAAGACGAAGGTTGACACAGTCGCACAGCTGTCAGAAGAGCCGGTGGTGTCGGTGATCAGGTATTCGGCAGGGAGAGGTTGCAAATTTTGCGAAATGTGTGGGCGTCGAGGCTTTAAGTATCTGCAGAGACCAAATGTTTGGGTGTGCCGTAACGTTATGCTTGATATAGATGGCCAATTGGCCAGCGGCCGAACAAGCTGCCTGGCCGCAAAAAAATTGGCCGAAACAAGCAATGATTTGAAGCTGTTCTCGATAACTGTCGACCCTTCAGGGCTTGAAGTCTCGAGGTTTCGGAGCGACAGCCAAACTTACGATCCAGCCGAGATCCTACCTCTATACCTAGTGGTCAATATTGATTCATCATCGCTTGACCGTTCTGAGTGGTTGCAAGTCTTTAACGCGCTGTTTGCTTCAGAGATCAATATTGATCTGTGATCTCAAGTGCAACTCCTCTTAGTCCCAAGGTTGAGACAGTGTTTGTGGGATGAGGTCAAATGCAAACTTGAAGATCACAGGAAGATCGGTCGCCCTTGTGCCGTACAGAGAGGAGCACGTCCAGAAATACCATGCATGGATGGTGAGCCCCAGCTTCCCTGATACTACCGAAGGTCCAATGCACCAGGGATGATGAGGCCAGCATTAGCTTATCAATCACTCTGTGACTCAAGCCTCTGCCCTGCACAGGAAGATCCTGCATTGCAGGAAGCTACCGCCTCGGAGCGTTTGAGCCTTGAGGTCCGCCCCGGGCTTAGGACTGTGAACCTTTCTGAGGAGTCTTGCTTGATTTCTATGCATCATGACCAGTGGTTACCTTTGTGTGCAGGAAGAGTACGAAATGCAGAGGAGCTGGGCTGAAGATGATAAGAGTACGGCCCCTGCATGGTTCCTTAACATGAGCGGGAATTCTCTGACGGAGTCTCTGTGTGCACACGTTGAATCCGGGTATTGTTGCTGCAGAGTGCACATTTATACTGCTCGACAGGCAGAAGGATAGGCAAGAAGGTACTGAATATTCGCCCCCTCCTCCTGGTGTCGTAGCTGCCGTGAACTGCAGAGTTATACGCCTGTGCCTATTGAGCAGGCATGTGCGGCGATGTGAACCTGTATAAAAATGATCTGGATGATCACAGCGCAGCAGAAGTAGAGGTGAGGAGTCTGTTGACGCTCATCTGGCCTGCTCTCATTCCATGGGCACGATCTCTGTCAGCAACATCTCAGAGGCAGAATTGTTTGCTGACAATATTAACAGCGGTGGTGGGCAGATCATGGTGGCAGAAGCAGGCAGCCGCAGAAAGGGCATTGCCAAAGAAGCTTTGATGATAATGCTGCTCTATGGAATGGAGCAGCTGGTGAGTCATCTTACCATTTGGGCGGATGTTGAGGATTTTTGCTTTTCTTTCCTTTGATGCAGGATAATGAGGGCTCATCATAACGGTGGCTTTGCCCTGCGGCAGGGATTGCGCAAGTTTGTAGCCAAGATAGGTGACAAGAATGAGGCTTCACAAAAGCTGTTCACACAGCTGGGCTTTAAGGAAGTTGGGCGGAGCTCAGTTTTCAGGGAAATAACTTTCAGTGTGCATGTCAGCAGTTTACAACAGGAGCTTCTCGCGCTCAAAGAAAAGCTCATATACAGTGAATATGACACAACCTGTAAGTAATTGCTTGGAAGCTGCAAAGAATTGTGGCTCGTTCGGAACGCACTGACACCTACTCAGGTCCCTCCGACATAGTTGTAGAGCCAAACATTTGATTGCAATGTGCAACTCCAGCAAGATGGGAACTCTATGCCTGAAAATAATGCTAAGTCAGTGCTGTCCTGTGTTTCCGCAACTGATCACAACCTCACTGTGACAACTTCGTGTCCGCTCGCCAGCCACTCACACACAATCCCCCGCGCAGTTATCGGCTTGCTGCTCTCAGCGAGGAGCCTCTCAATGCCATCACATCCTAACCTAGACGGCGGCAGAGGATGGCTGTGGCCATTTGATGCCGGCTGCACAGATGCACTCTGGAGCCCACCCCTTCCTAGCGTGCCCATGCTTGCTGCCTGCTCTGGCAAGCTGCTGACAGCGCTCAACTTCAATGCATCTGCTGTGCTGACACTCATCAGGCGGGCATCACCACTGCTTCCAGGCTCTGGAGGCTGGGCCATGCCATTGCTGCGCTCCTGTGCTGCACTTTGCAGCTGCTGATTGTGCTCTGAACACTGCTCTAGTGCTGTGTGACCAATTTCGGGCGCTGCAGAGCTCCCTGCCTGTCCACCTCTGTCCGGCCACTGTGCCTCATCATCCGAGGGACCCTGTGATACAATAAGCCTATCCTCCCCTGGCCCCTCCCTGTACACCCCCAACACCTCGCCCCCAGCTGTTTCCAGGCCAACTGCCTGGGACTGCGGGTCGACAGCGGATGCACGCAGCGCCAGTGCGGCTGCCTCCTCGGCAGATGCCTCTGCAAGGACTGCCAATCCATTGCCAGATGCATCTATTAGCCTCACATCCACGCCGGCATCGGGCATCAAGATCAGGGCATCATCCGCTGCCCTGCTTTCCAAGCCATCCAGGGGCGGAGGTGGCATCTCTGCTGCATCTGCAAGGGGCACTGCAGCAGCGGCTGGTGGGCGAGTTGGAGTGCCGGCAAGTCCCCAGCCCAGAGGTAGAGGGTTGCTGGGCCAGGTGGCGCGCTGACTCAGCCGGCCCCACTGCATGCTCATGTGCAGCTCCTGTGCAATGCCAAAATAGACAACATCAGGTCAAAGTAACTGGGCCCAGCATTGATCGAAGAATCTACACCTCACGGGACACCGCACATGCCGAGCATCTCAGAAGGGGTTGTGCTCACCTTTATGTGGGAGGTAAGATGGACGACCACTGCCGCGTTTTGGAAACAAGGCAGCTGGCTCAGCAGCACCCGATCCGCATGCAAGACTGTGTCTAGAACCTGCAATGCCCACAAAAATGGGTCAGTCTCAATGCTGGGGTTTGTGATCATCACGATAGACCACGGCAATCTATTCCACGCATGATGGCTTGCAATCTCTGTTCAGCTGGAAGAGGAGCTCACCAGAGGCATTTCGCGCTGGAATATGTAGTTACGCAGCGCTGGAGGGGCCAGCCACCGCTCCTCGCCGCTCACATGGCAGTGCACGTGCAGGCTCGCCTGGCCCTCCCCATCAAAGATCCACTCTGCCAGTACCTCATCCCTGTTGCCAGTGCACACTGCCAGATCAGCAATCTTGCAATCCTGCTCAATCCCATAGCATGCACAGCCATGCATAGCGCCGTGCAGAGGGAAAAATGTCTGTACCTGATGAGCCGTGTGTACCAGCCGGAGACTTGTGCCCGATTGTAGGCACTCCCAATGGACAGGCGCAGCTGCCCTGTCAGGTCATTGTGGGTCAGGGTGTAGCGGCGTGGCGCCGGGGGCAGGGGCCCTGACTCTGTGGAGCCTGGAAGAAAAGTGGTGGACAGCTTCCTAGGGTCGAACACTGGTGGCCCCAACAGCTGCGCTGTCACCTGTGGGAAACAGGCAACCTCTTCGATTCGAGGCAATCCAAGTAAGGCCTACAAGGACGACAATCATAACCAGTCACTCAGGAAATAGAGATCTCTTTTGATGCCTCCTCCAGAGGATTCTGGAGAAGAGATAGACGGTACCTGGAGGCGGGCACAGCTTGTTTTACAAGCATTTAAAATTCGTCCAGACGGACCAGAGTGCGCATGGCTGGCAATTCGCTCGTCAAGAGGCTGTGCAATACAGTGTCTCTTGAAGCCAGGCCTACATCCTCTGGGAGGGGTGCCAATATGCCCACCGATACTTCCATGACATCTTTGCAGAGGCATATCACACCGCTCTCCTTAGCAATGCGGCAACAACGCAAGCAGAAGGGTGGATCCCATCCACCACCCTTCAGCTGTGTGGTGTCACAAGTGAGTGTGCCAGGAAAGAACTACATCAGATCCTGCGAAAATGATGTTCAAAGAAGCATTCCCAGCTACCCTGTGGAGCACCAGTCTGCCTGAAAGAAGAAAGGTTTGATGATCGGATGATGTCGCCACGTCACTGCCAAATCTTCTACCTGGACAACCCGCGCTTATCATGCAGAAGGCAATCCAGATATAGCAGCCATTTCCAACTTGATTATACTCTCTTAATATAGCACAATCTACAGTGATTAGATTTTCCGCGCAGAGCATTCAAATACTGTTGATTGGCTGATCTGAACTTCAGTGAAGTAAACACCCAATGTAAGCGCTAATTCTGTGAATGTGATACGTGTTGATCTACATAGTAAATCGCGCTTAGAAAATCTCAATTTATCGCATCTAGTTTTTGGACTTGATTTGGCCATCTACATTACAAGCGGAAGTCTGCATGGGGCAGCATGCTTCCCCTCATGCAGTTGCTGAGCAAGATCTGAGAGGCATCGGACTGTATTCGTCATCTCTACAAGTATGCAAACACCGGCGGGCTGTGTTCCTGTGAGCGCTGGTATCCTCCCTGCGCCGCTGAGGCCTCAGATCCTGCTTGGTCACAACTTCAGCTCCAGGGCCACTAGTAACAAACAGAGAGCCCTCGAGGATCCTGATTATGCGGTCCCAAAGCCTGCACCTCTCAGAGCTGGTCAGGACGAGGCACTGTCCAGGCGCTCAGCGCTGCTCGCGTTGGCCGCGGCGACAGCCATGTGCCCGGAGCTTGTGCCTGCTGCACATGCATCAGAGCAGCAGCAGAGCACACAGGGCGGGGTGCTGGCGAGCAGCGTTGTGGACTACAGTGAGCCGGGGCCCCTGACTGCGGCGATGCTGCCAGAGCTTGAGCACACATGCACCCGATGCTTCCCCGCCTGCCTAGGGAACCGCTGCATGCTCAGCCTAAATGTTGTCTATCCGAGGGACGGCAAGGCGCACGGTGAATTTCCCTGCACCTAAGGTTTCTGCCAGACAATAAGAGACAATATTAACTGGATGAAGCTCCACTCAAAGCAATACGTTGTGTTGCTTCATCTGGACAGCATTGATCGCATACAAACGCTGTGATGTGCAGGCCTGCAACCGCCGTATCCTCTTGCGGTCATCAGCAGTGGCTTCCTAACATCAGCCTCTAGTTACCTCTCGTATGCTCGGCGGCTTGCATCCTGGGGGTACACAGTAGTGATGTACGACAAAGGTGGGAGTTCCTGCTCTGGTCACTTTCATTGTGATTGTCGCTGTTGTCTGTGATCCTCATGCTCAAAGCGCACTTCAGTCCAACACAGCTGTGTGGGTGCCTGTAGTTGAGAGTGCGACGGAGCCGTTGGACGATAGGTTGTGCGTGGAGCTGATACGGGAGATCATAGACTGGGCCAGAATCGACCCCATTGTGTCGCAACTCGCGGACACTGACACCACGTACCTTTGTGGCCATTCCAGGGTGCGTGCATGCCAGCAAGCCCCTTTCTCAATCTCATAGTACTCACCGTAGCCTGCTGCATGCTGCTGCTCTGGTCTACCCTTTTCATACCTTGCTGGAATCCGGCAAGTCATGCCGTGCATCACAAAAAAGGACCGCCTGACCCAGCAGTGCTCATATTATCAGTGCTGTGGTACCAGGGCGGGAAGGTGAGTGCGCTGGCGGCTGTTGTGGATCCGCGCGTGAAGGCTGTGTGCCTGCTGGACCCAGTGGATGTCACGGTATGCGCGCCTCAGGGGCCGGACTTCCCCTCAGCGGTGGCGGCCGTCAGGCACATGTCCCGAGGCGTTCCTCTTGCCGTCGTCGGCAGCGGCCGCGCCGGTGACTGCGTGCCCAAGGACTCCAACTATAGGTGACTAACTTTCCGCACTTGTGGCCACTGCCGCCAAGCTGATCAATCTTGACTGCAAGCTGTTGCTCAGTATACTCAATTATTCGATTCCTGAGATGGGTCTTTTTCAATATTGCAATGGGAAGTTTAGCGACTGACAAAATTTTGCATGGGCGTGATTGGGCAGGCGCTACTTCAATGCGTGCCAAGGACCTGCTTGGGAGGTCGTGCTGGCGTCTGCCGGTCATTTCCAGTTTCTGGACGAGCAGTCCATGCTGCAGCGGGCGGTGTGCGCAGTCGGGCCAGTAGACGATCAGTCTGTGCGCAGAGTGGCGCAGGTGAGACGGCATCCTGACAGCAACAAGATGATAATGCTGCATAGGGAGCGTAAGCATGGCAAGGCACCTTCCATGACACGACCCTGACCTATCCTGATCACTTTCTGACTGTGAAATAATGCTGTGCCCAACAAATGACAAGGCAAGGGTTGGGTCTGGTGTGCAGACGGTGATGGTGGCCTGGGGAGAGATAATGGTGAAAAGGAGGCCCCCAAGCGGCTGGTTACCAGCCTCATCAAATTCCCTGACAGTTGGAGACCTTGTAGCCAGTGTGCCCGAAGAGAGTGCAGCTACGCGCCAGGCTGTGCTGGCCGCGCAAGAAACAATTGTGAGGGATGGGAGCAGAGTGGCACTCACAACAAGAAGCAAAAACATCTGAACTCGCCGTGCTGATTTTTAAATAGAGATCCGTTGTGGTTGGTGCTATGCTTTGCCACACCTCATAGCAGCATTGCAGAGCTGGCATGCTTGCACCCATATTCCAATAAACCAAGAGGTGAAATGATTTGCAGGTCAGATTCCATGCCACCAGTACTGGGCTGTTGACCTTTCCAGTGGAGTCTTGTGCGGTTGATTTTTTGTTGTCACAGACTAGTGTGATAGGCATTCACAAGCTCTTTACCTGATATTGTGAGCCAGTCAGGGCCCTACGAGACTTTTTCATCATGCCTAGTAATTTTGACAGGCAAGTAAAATCTTTGGAGAGTTGCAGTGCATTTGCCACCATATGGGCCACCATGCATGCACGGCGCCGGTGTGGCCGGCCATATCCGGAATTCACCTGTCCCATGTGTCGCATGTGCCCTGCTTACACTATGACGTTTAGAGCTAAAACATGCGAAATAGCATTTAGAATTGTGATGCTTCAAAGCGTCCAGGATTCATGGAAGGTTCAGGAGAATCTGCCCACATGCCCACACCTGGCCATCATGCCAGATTTGGACTCGAGCTCGAGGAGTTGGCGGGGCGTCTGGGAAGTTGTTCCCAACGATGCGTGCATAATCTGGCGTAACTGTGCATTGAAAAGCATCCGGTTGTAGGAAGAGAGGGGGCACAATATTTCGTTTAGCCACCAGCCGTTGAAGCTTGCCGGATTTACGAGATGGAAAGTGTCCTCGAACCTCTCAAGGAGTTTTCAAAGAACAGTGTGCGTCTTGTCAAGCGGTGTACGAAGCCTGACAGGAAAGGTGAGCTGCATGACTTTCACGATGAATACGGCACGGTGATCTTTGGGTCTTACTGACACTTGGAACACAAACAATCAACAAACAATCTTCACCATCACACACTTTGCTTCAGTAATATGACTGGAACCTGTGGTCGCAGAATTCAACAAAATCTGCCTACAGACCGCATTGGGATTCATCGTCATGGGCTTCATTGGCTTCTTTGTGAAGCTGGTGTTCATTGTAAGTACCTCCAACACACTTTCATCTGTGTTTTTTGGAGCATAAAATCTGGTATCTGTCAGCTTCATCAAATCAGTGCAAAAATTGTACATACAATTATCTATATTGAAAGACATATGGCGAAACTAGCTGATGGCTCCTTTTCTGCTATGCAGCCCATAAACCAGATCATTGTGGGCGGAAGCGCGGCCTCATAGACTACCACTGACTGCAGATCCTGAGGTGACCTTCTGAGACGTTTAAATGAGGGCTCCTGATCTGCATCACAGCACACTGAGAGATGATGCCTGTTTGACTTTGAAAATGCCATACTGCATCTCAAAGAGCTCGTCAGATCTTACTGTTTTCGCTGCGCAGATTTGATAACTTGCATGTGTCCATGTAGGATCTTGGGGCGGACTGAGCAAAGTGCTTGGAAAATCTGTGGCGCTCCCACAGCAGCGTTCAGACCTCTGAAGTGTGTACCGGACGCCAAAGGCCTGTGCTGCTTTCCATGAAGCACATGGTTCCTCAATAAAGAGTTGTATGCCGTGCTTGGTGAGCTGGGCGCAGACATATTTGTGGTCTGCACATCTTGGTTATGCCGGCCTGCGCATCCCAGAAGATTGCTGCTGTGGTTGCTTTACAACTTCAGCAAATTGTTCTGGGCTGATTGGTTGCTGTCATTCGTGACATGCTGTCATATATTCAGGAATTCTAAAAACAAAGCAATTCGTCAAGGGAGTCCCCCTGGGCAAGGGTTCCTTTTTTTTGAGGTCCGCAAATCAACATAAGAAGACATCTGTAGAGTTGCTAGAGGGCATGCTGAGAGAGTGCAAAGAAGCTGCATCCATGCTGCGCAAAGCCCAACTTGGTTGGATTGAATCCCGTTCTTATCTTCTTATCGAAAGCAGAGTCGGACTTGTGGATGCGCAAATACTCTTGAGGGCCAGCATGGGCTGAAAGACTGCAGCTGCCAATCAATGGCAGAATTCATCGTGGCAATGTGACAGCAGGGGTTGCAGACAATCGTAAAGCACTCCAAAACAGTGGGTTTGCAACCAGGAGCTGGCATGGGCTGTTGCTACTCCCTGGATTCGCAGCCCTGGATGCCCAGCAGCTCTGAGGTGTCAAATCAAGCTGCATGTATTCAGCTACCACTCCCAAATTTAACTGTACGAATGACAACTTGCAATTGCACAGGCGCCTCTGCTAGTATACTACGTTGCCGCACTGCACTCAACCAGCGCACTATCAGAGGTAGCTGTATCAAGCCCAGCTGCTGATACATGGGATATACCGAAAATGTTCATATGAGGCATTCCGATCAAGAATCCATCAAATGAGAAGCTAGTCAGCGAGCCCCAACGAGGCCCCATAGATCAAGATGTTATTTAGCGGTGCGCCTGAGTCCAATGCTGTGTGAAGGAGGCCAAGGTTATATTCGTGCCTTTTTAACTTCTGGTTTTTTTTCTTATGTGCTCTTGACGGGGCTTGCTCCTGTACTCGGGAGAGGGTTAGTCCAGATCTCCAGGATCAGGCTGGTTTCTGGCGTTTATCCATATGTCTTGAAATGGCAGTGAACCGGAGGCGCCGTCAACATAACCTGAACATCTAGACCGCAAGCAAGCGGCACGATTGAACTCCATATGAGCCTGGCTCGCTGCTTGGACATCCAAATTAGATGGGGTGGGAGGCGGGTTAATCGCTAGGGTCTTCAGCGACTAGACTTTGAGGCTTGCCCATCGAGCTGTCGAAAGCGACTCGAGGAGCGCAGCGCTGCACGGGAGTGATGGAGGAGGAGAGCCTATCTCCAGAGCTGCCGAGGCTCAGGATTAATAAGCATATCCAGGTTGCCAAGGTAGATTGCCCACATGGCCACTGTTTCGGACTCAGGATCTATGTTGTCTTGTTGGGCGAGCAGCCAGATGCGGTCTTGTAGCCGTTGTATGATTAACAGCAATAGCATCAATCCATCGGACGACTTAAAGGTCCCCAGATGGTGCCGCAGTCCACGACCAGGGAACATGTAGGGGCAGTCTCGGGGTTTGCTAGGATGTTGCACACTCTGAGGAGTCACACCATCGGCATGCAATGTTCTCACATTCTAGCTATTGCAGGAGACGGAGTTTGCAGTATCTCCATCCACTCCACTCCTATCAACTGCTATCGACGAAAATGGCTGGGTTTGTGGTAAGTCCCATCTGGACTGTACTAATTTACTATACGAGAGCCCACCTCCCAACCTATCACCTTGATTGCACATGAATCGTATGGATTCAAAGCTACGATCGTTGTGCTTCATCAAAGAAGGCCTTTGGTGGGCACCAGCGCTTAGTAAGCAGCAGCCTGCAGCGCCCAGACTCTCAAAGTTATGCAAAGGCAGCCAGTGATTAGCGTAGCAAGGGCTTGATGCATGGGGTGCAACGCTTGGAGGGGCCACTTGTTGTCTTGGGAAAGTGAGCACAATCACAGTCCCCTGAATCAGGACAGACAGGGAGCCCTGGAGCCCTCGCCGCAGCAGACACATCAGGGCAGGATGATACAAAAGGGAGATTCTTTGGGTCTTCACGAGACACCCAAATTATATGCACTACTCAGGCATCTGTGTGGCATGCGTAGGCCGCAACCACAATGGGCAGCTGGGCGTCGGCGGCACTGCAGACGTCCAGGAGCCCCAAGTCATGCAGGTGACTCACCAGATTCAGCCATCGCCAGTGTGCTGCACATGTGGCAATGCACAGAACACGTCCTCACCAGAAGTCTTATGTGCTATCCCTGCCACCCCTCCTGGTTGCACAGCCACTTTGACGGCGCTCCACCGCGTATGCGTCGGGCAAAGGACCTGTGATGCTCAAATGGTCCCCATTAGCGGTGTCAGCCACGAGACTCTGCTGCTTTGGAAGTCCTTGGGTGGAAGAGAACATGAGAACACGAGGGCCCAAGTCATGGAGGATGCGCTGCTGTGCAGGTGGTGCGGCGGTGGGCAGCGCTGAGCATCGGGGAGACGCATGCAGCAGGGGTGAGCGGGGACAACCAGACCTACACCTGGGGCTGCAATGAGCACGGCCAGCTGGGCGTGGCAGCAGGGGAGCCCAGCGATGTGCCCCGGAAAATGAACATTCTGCGCGGCTGGGACGTGCGCGCCATTGCATGCGGGTGATGTGCCGCCCCGCTTGTTGGCTGGCAAAGTGCACTGCTCGTGGACTCTTCTCTGCGCAAGCTTCTCCATGGCAATATCAAGATGTGCTGTTCTTGCACATCTGGCGGTGACAGTAATCAGACAAGGAGCAAGGGATGTTGATCTGCTCCAGCTCGCGTGATGAGTGATGAGTGACGTATGTTGACAGCTGCCGGTGATGTGTAGGGCGGAGCACACGGTGGCGATAACGCCGGACGATGTGATAACGTGGGGCAGCAACAGCATGGGGCAGTGCGGCCAGGGGGACCGCGCAGAGACGGACTGGGTCAAGCCGCGCTCCATCAAGCCGCTGCAGTCCATGTTTGTCTGCCAGATCGTGTGCGGCCGCCACCACACCCTCTGCGTCACAGCCACCTCCCAGGCGCGCACCTGCCCTTCTTGCTGGCACTGCGGCCATCAGTCAGTCGTTGGGGGCATGTGCCCTGCCTCTTGCATCGTCTTTTGCAAGTATGCATCAGTGCCAAGAGGTTGATGTGTCTCTTTCGGTTTGTGTTGCATACTCGCTGCCCATTGCAAGTTGTTGAAGCAAGAGTCATGCTCATTTGTATTGATTCGTTCATGTCTGCATGCTCCTGCCCGCTGCATGCTGTGAATGCGAGCGACAAATCTATGCAATCCCCTGTGTGATGGCCCGCTCACTGAGACAGCGCTGCATGGGCCGCAGGTGTTTGCGTTCGGCAGCAATTCGTCCGGGCAGCTGGGACTGGGGGACTTTCAGGACCGGCGGGCCCCCTGCGAGGTGGCCGGCCTGTGGGCGCTGCCGGTGGTGTCGCTGTCGGCAGGGGACGAGCACAGCACCGCGCTCACGGCCAATGGCTTCCTCTTCGCCTGGGGCGCCAACGACCGCGGCCAGCTCGGCCTGCCCAAGAACGCCGATGCCGCCGAACGGGTGTGCCCCTCGGCAGTTCTTTGCCAGTGCTTGTCACTCCTGCAATGAAGGAAGGGGGTCCATCGCTGCGCACAAATATTGTTGCTGGCGGTGATTCAGATTGTGGGAACCTGACGAAGCAGAATGCAAGGCCGACATGTGGTCAAACATGGTGCCCTGGCTGTACTAGTGCATGTGGATCAACGCTTTGTCCCACCAAGGAATGCAAGCACGGCAGATGGGTTGCTGTTGGATACTACTGGATTAGCAAAGGATTAGGATCAACGTAGGCCGGTGCGGCTGCGCAGGTGCAGCGGACGGCGAGCGAGCGGCGGCGGGCGCGGAGAAAGGTGAATCAGCGCTTCCTCAGCGCCATGCTGGACATGGGCATCCCCTCCGACAAGGCCGAGCTCGCCCTGTCAGAGACCGGCGATGTTGGCGTCGAGGCGCGTTCCCTCCCTTGTCCCCCACTTGCACCAGGCCCCCCTGAGACACCTCCAAACAGCATGAAGTCTTCACAAACCTTTTAGATGAGAGCTTGGGATTCCTGCATACAGTGAAGCAGCTGTACAATCATGTTATTAATGTTGATTATAGAGTATCTACCAATCTCCTTGACCCTTGAGAGTCCTGCACACAATGAGTTAGCTACTTATTGTCACAAACAGGAAAAATAGGAATGGTGTCATGCCCTCTTGGGCTTTTAGAATATATGAGGTGGACCAGAATCATCAGAATTGGATCAGATACCTGAAGTAAAAGAAAGGGTGGTGGGTGCTGCAGGTGGCGACGGAGTGGCTGTTCAGCGTTCCGGAGCATGTGCTGGAGAAGCACCTGGCGTCGGACCCCAGCACGCCCACTGGGGAAACAGACGCCGCTGGAGACCACCGCGTCTCCCTACCCCGCAGAGTGCCCCTCCAGGTCTGGCCTTGGATCCTTATTTTTGGACCCACTTTTGAAGCTTTGGAGAATGAAAAATTTGGCAAGTTGGGCAGTACCTGTCCTGGCAGTGCAATCTGCATCAAGACCACCTGCTCAGAGATGCGTCGTTATATGTCTACAAGCAAGCGCTGGCATCGAAAGGGCTGATGTCTGGAAAGGGAGGTGAAGTCGTGCGGTACCATGCATGTTTTTTGTGATCAGCAGTCTGATCAAGGCCGGTTGCGAGGGACTTGGCAGGGAAGTTTCACACCAAACGTGCGGCTGACATGTGCGGGCACATGCGCACAGGGCGTGAGGGCGGTGGCGGCGGGCGGGCAGCACACGGTGGCTGTGACAGAGACGAGCGTCTACTCCTGGGGCTGCAACAGCGCCGGCCAGCTGGGCACGCGCACCTTCCGAGACAAGGCGACACCCACGCTCGTGCGCGACCTGGAATCCGCGGGAGTGTGCCAGGTCGCCTGCGGCCGCCAGCACACCCTCTTCCTCTGCAGGTACGGGGAATGCAGTGCTTCAGTTCTTGTGGACTGAGAGCAGATAAAGAAGGCATGCTTGGACAAGGATCTGATGCACCTCCCCTGTTGCGTGATGCAACAGTTCCAGCTTTGTGCGCTTAGAGCAGACAAGGAAAGGCTTGCTTGGACGAGCATCTAATGCATCCCTCCAGACGACTGTCGTGCCAATGCTGTGATGCAAGGATCAATCAGTCGCATGTGCGTCTAGAGTGGCACAAGCTCTTCCAATAGGGTTTTGATTGGTGAGGTGGAGTTTTTCCTCCCGCACAAAGCCGAGTGGTTTGATCAAGCGAGGAATTTTGCGGGTATGCAGGGACGGGACTGTGTATGGGTGCGGATCCACCGAGCACGGGCAGCTGCCCTACCTGAAGTTTGCGGGCGGCCAGGAGGGCAGCGCCAGCGAGGATGAGGGTGATGTCAGCGCGGATGTGGGCGCTGAGGTGAACGCGCTGCAGCCGCGTAACGAGGTCACCATTCCCACGCAGCTGCGCCTGCCCTTCCTGCAGGTGTGCCCATGTGCCGCCACATGCCCCCACCTGCCTTTTATCGTTTCATGCCCAACAGAACCACTGATGCTAGGACCCTCCTCAGCGCATCCTTGCAAGCTGCCTTCAGCTTCTCTACACTGGCTGCCGCTGCCTTGTACAAACATCAAATATACACTTGCGAGGCTGTCCTTGAAGGTAAGAAGGGTTAGGGAATGGTATGGAAGAAAATGGAGTCTGATGTGTGGGTGTGTCGGCTGGGTGCAGGCTCGAGGGGGCAGGGCACCGGTGGTGAGCGGGATTGTGGCGGGCGGCTTCAGCAGCGCCTTCCTCACCAGCGCCCCCGATGAGTTCCCCGAGCAGCAGCAGCCACAACTGCTCGACAGGTGCCTTCCTTCACCCATTAGCCCTCCACACTGCACCTTTGCATGTCCCAGTGCGCTCTTCTGTACCTCTCTGCAGGGCAGAGCAGTCAGGCCTGTGCTGCACTGCAATGCCCAGCATCCCACCAGTCCATGTGTCAGGCACCCAGCACTGAATTGCGGCACTGTACTGCAAACTATACTGGAAAGTCACTTGAAGATACTGCTCCTCAGGGCCTGACTCGGTGTAGGTGCCTGCCGGCTGAAGAAAGCCACAGAGATGAGAATGTGCGTCAGTGTGGATGTGTGCATGCATGCAGGCTGCTGAGCGCCATAGAGGCGGCGGCTGTGCCGCAGGCTGAGGACATGGTTGCGCAGCTGGACGTGAGCGACAGGCAGCACCCGGAAGTCATGCCCCATCTCAAACCGCTCTGCACCGCCATCGACATGGTCTTTGGATCCGCCGCCGCCCTCAGCGCCACCTTTGGCTTCAAGGTGCCGGATACTCCTGCTTCGTCGTTTCTAGACAGCCTGGGCAGGATAGTATGAAAGATCCTATTGTAATCAGGGCTGATGGTGTAGAGAAGCCTAGGCAGGAGAGTGTCAATTGGCACTGTTTGGTCGGGGTTTCTAGTGCAGAGCGCAGATCAGGAGCAGTCACGACGCAATCCAAGGGTTTTAATTGGACAGTGCAAACGGCGCTGGACTTAGCACATTGTGCCCGACAGAAATGCTGTCAAAAGTGCTTATATCTAAGCAAGCCAGAGGGATTAAGGTGCACAGGTATGGCCACATGCATGCACTGCAAGCCGAATCAGAGCTTGGCAATGAGATTGGGCCTGATCAAAAGATGCGTCCCTGGTGTGCACAGGACGCTGTGGGCATGGACATGCGGCTGCTGGACGCTGTGCAGTCCAAGATAGTGTCGCTGTATGCGCCGGTGGCGGAGGCATTGCCCCCGCAGCCGGGCGCGCAGCGTCCCCTGGCGGAGGTGTTTGCGCGCTGCGTGGAGAGCTGCATGTACAAGGCCACCAACGAGCTCCTGGACGACCTCCACCGCAACTACCGGCTTCTGGGCACCCCCGAACGGTGCTCCCTCCTCCCTTCACTTTTCTGGTGGAGATGACATGTGGGCATTGGTTTCTGGCAACCATGTTAAACCTATGGGTGGGGAAGCATTGCAGACTGAATGAAAGGTAGACAATAGGGGTCAATTGGCCGGTGCCCAAATGGGTGCCCATGTTGATGTGCAGGCATGTCATTGGGCTGGGTATACACATGGACATTTTTCAATTGCCAGGCCTGGCCGTGAGGAGGTTACGGCATCAATGCGCGGGCTGAGTGATGTGTCGTCTGGGTGCGCAGGGCTCAGGTGGTGCTGGCGGCGTGCCAGAGCCCGCTGCTGTGCGAGCGGCGCAGCGCGAGCGTGCTCATCCCCCGCCTCTGCAGCTCCATCCTGCAGGCACCCTCCTCCTGCAGACACGTGCGCCCACACACAGCCCCTCAACTCAAATTAATCCCTACATTGCAGTCAGATACATCACCATCTGCACACTTGATCCTGCACTGCTCCTCCGTCAGATATGGTCTTTGTTGAATTCATACACTACCATCCTCCCTAGAAAGTCTACATGCAACCGTGCAGCCTCATGATTGAACAAGTTGTCAGACACCGTGCGAGTTCGAGTTGCACACCCAGTAAGCGAGGGGGGAAATGCTGAATACTCATGGGGTGGATGGCTGCGCAGATGCTCGTGAAGTGGTGGGCGGAGTACCCAGAGGAGCTGTTGGAGCAGCGAGTGGTGCGGCCGCTGCAGGACTACCTGACCAGCGAGCTGATGGTGACTAAGAAGCTGACGGTGTCGGTCATGAACGTGATCAAGGTGCTGGCCAAGGTGGAGGAGGCCAACCAGCTCGGCCGCAAGCTGCCCCCAGATGCCTTTTACAACGAGCTCATCAGGTGCTGTCTTGTTCTGCTCTCGCTCTGCTCTTGTCTGTGCATGTCTGGTTGTCATTTGACTGTCCATCTCTGCATGCGCTGGCCGAATTTGGTGTTGGTAGGTCCTTCTTGTGGGGCCTATCTTAGCTGTTACCTCCACTGTCACCCGTTCACAGAGCTTGATCTATGCAAAACACTAGCATTCAATGGGGACAGAGCTGGTCTTGCTCTGCTTTTATCTGGAGAATGCTGCACATGAGTGCATGTGACAGTCTTTATGTGCATGCTGTTATGCAATGCAACAAGTGGAAAGGGGTGCTCCTAAGTTTGTTGAGAACCATGTGGACTGAATGTGCTGAGTATCTTCTCGCTGCAGTAGCTAGGAGATTCCCTTCAACAAGCTTGCATTGTTTCTTTCGCATCTCGAGGCATTGTGAGCTGCAATGTTACCTTGTGTCTGATTGCTGTGTGGGTGTGTGCAGTGAGAAGCTTGACGTGGAGGACCACTATGTGGCCTGGCGGCAGACGCACGATTCGCCGCAGCATGCGATGGGAGTTGACGGGCCCTTTTCATTCTGCTCCTATCCCTTCCTGCTCAACCCCCGTGCCAAGTCCAAGCTTCTCCAGACAGAGGCCCGCTTCCTCATGAGCCAGGTGAGCGCCCTTTGCCATGCCATTTTGTTCCTTTTGCTTTCAATCCTGTCCTTGCATTGAAATGCCAGTGACACTTTGCTATCCTGACGGGATGCGCATGACCATCTTTATGTCGCAATCATGATGACTCTGCACCTGCGGGGAGGCATGTGCTGATGGAAATTGCCGTTTTGAGCCGAACCTTTCCAGGTAATGCTTGTGGAAGAAGGCAGGATGGCTACAAGGCCTAGAAATGCGCGTGTCTGATGTGGTGAGCGGTGCTGGTGCAGACGGTGCACCAGGCAAGGTATGAGCACGCGCACGGGTCACGGCTGGGCAAGCCGGCGGAGGACCGCGTGCTGCTGGACACCAAGGCGGCCAAGCGCAGCGCAGCGGGGGAAGCTTCCACCTCCGGCAGGGACACCCCTGCAGACAAGGCACGCCCTCTGCGTGTGTGACTAATGGGGTCAATGAAAATGCTGTAAGATACATGCTGTGCTGGTGAGGACGTCTCCCCTCTAGGGCGCGAGAGTCCTCAGAGCGTAGTTGATGGGGCTCTGCATCAATGTGCAAGTGGCGGAATGTTGGCCTGCTCCCCTGCAGCCTTCTTGTTTCTGCGCAAGGGGGGTCCTTCACTGCAAAGGAGTGAGCGCTGGTTTGCGCACAATCCAACATGGATTGCAAGGCCTGAACCGTTGACACGTTGTACTTTTGATGACCAGGACCGGAGGGACCGCCGGCGGAGGGACAGGCAGCACGGCCTGCGAGGCCTGTGGCAGCACATGTGGCGCGCAGGAAACGAGGGAGCCGCAAATGGCATCAGTAACAACGCCGGAGCAGCACCCCACGCCATGTCTGCTGCTTTGCCCGTCCCTGCCGCCGCAGCCAATCTTGACACCTACCAGGTATCTTGCCTCACCAGCCTTAATATGGCTACCCTGAAACATGCATTCCTCCCTTTCTGAGTGAGTTGATGCCTAGCCAAGTTAGCGAATGCAGGAATGCTGAATTGCATTGCCAGGATGTCTGATTTATCATCGCATTCTTTTGTTTGATCTGAAGGCCTTTGTTGAGACATATGGACCACACTGAGACAGCTCAGTGAACACTTGTCTACACCTCCAGTGGCTGAGCCATCCAGTCCTGACACAATAGTGGCATGCCTTCCCAATGTGCCTTCCCTTACCTGCAGCAACACGTTGCCTCTGCACTCCCCCAAAGTGTCCCCATCACCAGATGCATCTTGGGAGATCTTGGGTTACGCACATCTCAACAACCTGTAGATATTCCTTGTATAGATCTTATTAACAGGATTTTGGTGGCGTAAAAGGTGGACGAGCGGGCGATGGCGGCTCGGGAGGTGACGGCGCTGCGCTCGGCGGGATCGCCGTCGAACAGCGGCCACAACAGCCCCACCGCCGCCGGCTTGCTGGCGTCGGGTGGCAGCCGCGAATTTGCCGAGATGCTCTTAGCGGGGGGCTCCGGCGGCGGGGGCCTGGTGCGGCAGGACAGCATGAATCTGCCCAAACCTGAGGACAGCAATGCGCCCGCCACCCACCCTGACATGTGCATCGTGCGCATCCGCCGCCAGCACCTGCTTGAGGTGCTTCTCTTCTCCTCTCCTCTTCTTTTATCCTGTCATGAAATCTGCATGCCCCAGGTAATTACTTTGTTAGAGACAAGTGGTATCACACGCTGACCCACAGACAGAGACTTGACAACTTCACCGTTCGTTCCATTGATGGGTGGCCCCCCGGGACTGCAGCCTTTCTGATCTCCACGGAAGCTGCAACTTGGCTGCCCCGTTGACATTAAGAAGAGCGCCCAGGTCCCACACTCGGCCATCTCCGTGGTCAAGTGTGGTTTTAAAGTTCAAGCCATGCACAAGGCCAGACCTGAGGGTGTAGCCACCGCTACAGGACGCGCTGAACGAGGTGGCGCGGCAGCGGCCAAAGGATCTGTTCAAGCCGCTGCGCGTGCACTTCATCGGCGAGGACGGCATCGACGCGGGCGGCGTCAAGAAGGAGTTCTTTCAACTGCTCGTCACCGAACTGCTGTGCCCGGATTACGGCATGCTCGTCTTCCAGCCGGTGCGTGCCCCCTGATGGGTTTCAGGATCTGAGGGACAGCGAGGATTAAGGGCGGCTTGCTCTTTCATGAGACATGTGTCCTGGTGTATCTAATTTTGGTGCAATGGCATGCCATTGCATGCTTCAGCCCATGTGACACCCTCAGCAAGGGCTGAACCTCCGGTGTGCCAGTCAACAGCGCTAGATTCTTCTCACTGTTCATCTTGGCATTGGCAGTCAAAGTCTGTCATCGCAGGGCAGGGCTTGCCGTGCGACTTGTGTATGCATTGCACAGACACATCTATCCACACTTTGCTGAGAGAGACGCTGCTACAATGTATGCAGGAGTCGCGCACGTACTGGTTCAACCCCAGCACGTTGGAGGCGGAGGACGAGTTCATGTTGATAGGCCTAGTGCTGGGCCTCGCGATATACAATGGGGTGTTGCTAGATTTTCCGCTGCCGCTGGCGCTGTACCGGAAGCTGCTGGGGCAGCCGGCGGGCATGCGCGACCTGGCCGACATGGACCCCACCCTTGGCAAATCCCTCGCGCAGCTTCTGGAGGTCGAGGGTGCGCGCACTATCTATTGCATGTCTTGCGCAGAACATAAAGGGCACTCTGTGAAGCGTGCTGACGCTCCAGCTGCGGCTGTCTCTGTGTGAGCTCTGCCAAGACCAGCATAGCAATATATGCGCCTTTGTTGTCCCTCGTTGCTCATGGGGAGCAGTGCTGTTGATTTATCAGCCTGGTTGCACGCCAACGGGGGAGCGGAATGAGGTGGCCTGTGCGGGATTGTGTGATGCAAGCCATGCTGACAGAGGAGGGAACTTCAGCAATGCGAAGAATTCGCCAATTATGGTCCCTTGTGCTGCCATTCAGATATACATTTACCCTCAGGGAAGTCTATTCTGACTACCCATCCTTCTGACATGGTGGATGTGTGGGGCGGCAGACGCGGGCGGCGTGATAGAGAGCTTCTGCCTGACTTTCACGGCGGGGCTGCCGGGCATCGGCGAACCGGTGTCGGCGCCGCTGTGCGATGACGGCGATGATGTGGCGGTGACGGCCGACAATCGGCGCGAGTACGTGGACGCCTACGTGGACTGCATCCTCAACACATCCATCGAGAAGCAGGTGCGCATGCTCTGCCTGTTGCAGTGCTGTGTCAGGGGCGGAAAACTTTTACTGTTTCTCTACTGTCCCTAGCTGCGTGCATGACAGAACCTGCATGCTCTGACCTTGATGTGGGATGCCTCCTGTGCGACGCGTGTGCATGGCAAGGTCAGAAAGGACCAAAGGTGCAGAGTAGATCTGTAAGGAAAGGTGTTGAGCAGCTAGGTAGCTGCTTGGGACTGTAGCTGGGAACTTCTACAAAAATGGCTTGAAGCCCCTCGCAATGGCAAAAGCGGGTTGGGAACGAGAGAAGCCCCTTTGAGCGCCTTTAGCAAGGTTGCTGAGAGGGGGGTCATGCGCGCAGTTTGAGGCGTTTGCGCGGGGCTTCATGATGCTGTGCGGCGGCCCGGCCATCCACCTGTTCAGCGCGACAGAGCTGGAGCGCCTCGTCTGCGGCAACCCCCTGCTCGACTTTGCGGCGCTGCAGGCAAACTCTCGCTACGACGGCGGCTACTCTGCAGAGCACCGGGTGAGGCTTCATCGGATGCTGAGGATACCTGACCGGAGTGCGGTTGTCAAGGATCTGCTGCACTCATTAAGGGGCACATGCACAGTGTACATACAAGGCCAGATGCATGCAGGGTGTCTTTTCCTGCGACAGCTCATCGTAGTTGGCCGAGGTTGGAAGGCTGCAGACTTGTTGAATGAGGTTGGGATCTCTGAAACCACACCCGCATTCAATTTGGTACAGGCTCTCATCAGGTGCTTAGTCTGTGCTGGGTGCGCAGGCCGTGAAGTGGCTGTGGGAGATAGTGGGCGAGTTGGACGACGAGGAGAAGCGCCGCTTCCTCAAGTTCTTTACCGGCTCCGACCGGGCGCCCATTGGCGGCCTCGGCAACCTCAGGCAAGCTCCCCTCATGCCTCTAGTGCCTGCGCCTCTGGCTGCAGTGCAGTGCTGACCCCACCACACATCCAAGTGAATTTCCCCGAGGTGTGCCCCAGCTCAGTGCATTGCAGCAGCTGAGGTGCAAGGGGATAGCAGGAGCACTTTCTCAGGCCAGCCTTTGATGCTGGTGGTGAATGGGAGATGCAATCATGTCACCATGTGTCACAACAGCCTTGCAGAGCAAGTGTAGTGGGCGTGCAGGTGCATCATCCAGAGGGACGGCACGGATTCGCAGAAGCTGCCGACGGCGCACACGTGCTTCAACACACTGCTGCTGCCCTCCTACCGCTCGCGCGAAGTCATGAGCGAGCGACTGCGCCTGGCTATCATGAACTCTGAGGGCTTCGGCCTGGAGTGAACCATTCGCAGCGCTCTTGTGCCAACACCCTGAAACGCAAGAGGATGTTGCAGCAGCACTCTGAAACGCTAGAGGAATCTGCAAGACATCGCCCCAGTCCTGCAGCTAGGGCTCAGTCTTATGCAGGCATCCCTGTTGAGGCGAGGCCTGCCTCTACCAGAGCGCGAACATGTTGTAGAATTGAGACATCCGGTTGAAATGTAGACGCCTGTGACACAGCCAGCAAGCGGACCACCAGTTTGTCAGGTGCTTCCTCAGGAGGTGGTGTGGGCACAGAACACCCATAGCATCCCAGGAACTTCTGGCAGCAACATTGCCCAGTAACCTGAAGGGCTGCTAATGCTACAGAAGCATTGGTGCTGCACGAATTTTGCCAGGACAGATCTGCATTGAAGTGGCTTTAACCACTGCAGTGCAGGCAAGCTCGCCAGGCATCTTGTTGCTGGAACGTACCCATGAGGAATCAAACCTTTGAAACAACATTTTCTTGTTGCAGTTGGTGAATGCCTGCAGAACCCAACCGATCAGCAAAATGAGCTGAATCAGTTGCCCCGGGAACCCTATGAACAGACATGGAAGATATAAGTGCAGCACTGCACCGACTTGGTAAATAAATGCAATTACAGTTGGAGGAATTGTAGAGCGCATTATGCTCTAGCAGGAAATGTCTCGCTGTTAATTTTTTTGTATAACTAGACTTGAGCTTTGGGGAGTGAGCTTCTCAATGCAATGCATTGAAAATGTAATATGATGGACCGTAACAGAAGTATTGTTCTCTTATGCTAAATACTGTGGGCACAGCGATATGCCGCATATCACATTCCTGGTCAAATGCAGAACTCATAAAATGGCAGGCCTCGTGCATATGCATTGGCCGAATCAAGCGGTGGCCGCCACACCCGGCCTTAGGCAGACACAGCCGTCACTGCCGCAGCATCACACGCAGGAAGCATGAGGTTCACAGCTTAGTTTCTTACGCCTAGCCATTATTGGTCGACTTTCAGAGAAGCCGGCAGTTCAAGTGCGCACGAAGCTCAGTTTTTATACCGCCCCCTGCCAGCCGGGGCCAAGTATTGGGTCAGCATATACCTCAGTGTATGTATTCTAAATATGCCTTGAAACAAGGGCAGGTGGCACATCAACGGCTTTTTCTCTCCTGCTGCGCCTTGACCTTGGCCATCATGTCATCAATGAGCTTGATATAGGCCTTGCAGTCGAATTTGCGCTGGCACCCCTTGGCGTTCATGTAGCGGATCTTGCCAAACACCGGCCTCTCTCCCCAGCCCTGCATGCCCATCTCCTCTCAGATTCTACTGTAAAAGATCGCAAATGTCTATCGGGAAGCACTGGCCAATTGGCACGTTACATCTACATGCTAGCCTAAAAAAGGCAAAACTTAGCTCAAATATGCTTCCTTGGAGGAATTCCAGCCTGGGGCAATTTCATCCACTGCAGGCAGCACAAAAGCACATGCAATGCGCAAAGGAAGACCATGAAAGAGCCGCTTTGTGATGCTTGCCTGATCATGGATGCCTCCAATGCTCCACATGCAGCCCACATAGCCGTTTGGGTCGCGCCCGTCGATCTCATACTTGTCATTCAGCACAATAGCAATCTCAAGCGCCTCCTCGGGGCTGTTGGTCCATTCCAAGATCTGCACCCAATCAGCAGGTGTCCTTATCACCCTCTCACCAACTTTTCATATGTCCAGTAGATGCTCTCTGCAACACCTGGCACTTTACTGCCATTATTTTACTTTTGTCTACCTTCTTACAAAGAGGGGAAGCCTGTCATTACAGGGAGCACTCAGATGCATGCGGACTGACTGACTGTGGCCAGTGCGCAAGATACAGTCAGGCAGGAGGCGGGTGCTGGCACCTTCTTGGCCCAGTACATGCGCATGAAGCCGTGCATTTTGCCGTGATGCACCATCTCCAGCTGCGCCGCATTCCACAGCAGGTCATGTGTCTTGCCCTCCTCTAATTCCTCCCTGCATACGCACACAGCCCCAGGTCAGTCATAAATCGCCTCATCTGTGCCCCCTCATAAGGCTGTCCTGGCCGGCACGTGAAAAGTCACACATCTCAAAACCCTGGGTAAATTCTGAAATGCAGACAACAAGGAGCGCCCTCAGCATTGGCAGTGCAATCTGGGGACCTTTCCCCGGCCCAGTCGCAGTCAGTCACAAATTTGGTGGAGGAGCGGTCACCGTACATAGGTTGGTGTAATTGTGGTCTGGGTGCTTTTGCCTTGTACAGAATGTGATGGGTTCCCAGACATTCTGGCAGGCACCATGCTCACCGGGTGTAGATGAATTCTCGCTTGTCTGCGGTGTGCTTCTGCAGAGTCTCCCTGGCCCAGGGGTAGCAGGCGTCCAGGGTGTCATAGTTGGGCGTGTAGAAGCAGTAGTTGTCAGACAGCTCCCGCCGCACCACGCACTCCTCATTGAATGCCTCCACACCCTCCTGCAGCAAGACTAACTTTTCATTGATTGGATCTCTTTTTACTGAACGGCTGCCAACGATCAAGCACTCTTCACAGTGAGGCAGTTGTTCATCCGTTCAATTTCTATGATATCCTTCATGGACTGTGTCCAGTCAGCAATGCAGCTGGGAGGGGCATCTTGACTTCAGTAGGCAGTAGAGTGGCTGTCCTGATCTGCTATAGCACAATCAAAAGGAGGGGCCAGAAGATATATGGAAAGGGTAGGCACTGGCGCACCTTGAACTTGCTGCGGAGCTTGGAAGCTTCCAGTGCAGCGCGCTGGGCGGACAGGTGGCCAAAGTGCAGGAACGGGGACAGCTGAGACAGTGCTTTGGGGAAGTTGGGATTGTTGCGCTTGGTGTTGTAGATGGACAGCCGCTCCTTTGACAAGAACCCCTTCTCCCCAAGAAGCGCCTACGGCCAGCACAGCAAACAGCTGAAATAATGGACATGAGCAATTGCTCTCACCCAGCGCTAGACACCTATCCCGCCGGTGGGCACTGATGCTGTAAAGGGGTGCACCAAGCGAAGCCTGGAATGTGAGAATTGAAAATGGGCCACAGCTTTGGGTTATAGGTGATGAATCACCTCCATGGCAGCATCTTCGCCGGGTTTGACCCAGTCAACCTCTGGGACATCTTTTCCCCTCTCCACCACAGCTGCGATCTCTGCATCCCAGTCCACTGCATCCGGCTTCACGTCCAGCTCCCACTTGGGCTGCTTGCCCAAGTCTGGGTACGGCTGCACACACAAAATAAAAAATTTATCACCCAAGCGCTTTTGACTCATTGCCACAGCAGCCGCCGCGCGCTTCCCCACTACCCCATGACATCCAAGCCTACAAAGGACTTTCGCAGGATATACAAAGACTGAAATTCTGTGTAGCCATGGTTTCTGTTTGATGGCATGCCTTGCATGGTCCCAGAGAGAACAGTAAGGCGTGCAGCACCTGCAGGAATTCTGGCAGCTGCCTGTGGATTTTGGGGCGGATTGTGCGCGCCCCATACTCCCGCTTGTCGCTGGCTTCCCAGCAGGGCACCACGTTGTGTGCGTCCACCTCGTGGAAGGGAACGCTCAATTTCTCCGCCACCTGCGCGACAGGCCACCTGCTTGACGCAGCGCTGATGTGGCGTTCCAGTAGTCTTCCAATGCCGCCATCCACAGAAAGAACGTGATGGAGTCCTTGAGCAGTGCTGTACTTTTTACAGGGCGCAGGACAAGGCAGCATGTTGCGAATCCAGGAATCTGCAGCAACAGGAGCAGTGGTGCAGCCCGTTGTTAAAAGCCACAGACGCTTGCCTGGTCGCGCCACTGCCTGCCAAGGCGGAGGGGAGCAAAGTCGGTGACAAGCAGGCTGGCACCGGTCCTCTGTACGAGCTCTGGCACCGTCTGCACAGGGTCCCCCTTGAGGAGGAAGAAGGGGATGTTGAGGGCCTCCAGCTTGGGCTGCATCAGCTTCAGGCCCCGCAGCATGAAGCCGAACTGGCGGGCACCGGCGTTCAGGTACGATGGGACCTGCAGAGATTGGCGCAAGCCATGCTCAGCAGTGTGTGGTGCACAAACACCGTGCAGGGCATCTATGCTGTTTCTCATCGTCGTTAGCAAGTGGAAAGCTCTTATGAAAGAAGGAGGAAGGGGCTCACAAGGTTGAAGACCACAGCGACCGGGGCATGACTCTTGGCAGCAACTTCTGCTGCATGCAGGAGTGCCCAGTTGTCCTGCACACGTTGATCACGCGACATCCTGCAAGTCGATATTGATTATTTCAATTTACGTCTGCATTATACGACAGCAGGTGGTGCTCAAAGCGGTTGTTGATGGCTTGCAACCACGTTGCATTGGTCACACAGGCACCTACCAGTATAGCACAGGTCCAGCGCCGACATCTCCGTCCTTTAATGTGCGTACACGCTTTGAATTTACAAGGGCACCTAAATCTGATGCCACTGCAGCTTTCTTGGACGTGCCAGCGCTGCTTTGACCTGTATCCGCCTTGCGTTTTGGAGCCATCACTGTGGTTGTTCTTGTCCGCTTCGATATCAGTTGGGAATCAGGACGTTGCACGTAGGATAGAAGGAATCTGCAGAGACGATGGTGCTCGGATGATCTGAACAAAAGGCTGTGAGTTGGGGTTACAATCCTCCCCGAGCACCAAAGCATGCGACCCGAAAAGACACAGTTTTTGCAAGCGCATGTTGGACTTGCAACCCAGATGCATCTCTCAAGGTGAAAGGGATGAGTTCTGAAGGTGCCACGGGGCCACGGGGTCTGACCTGGCAGCATGGAGGACATGCAGGCAATTGCAATGCACTGCAGAATACAAGTCAGGCATACAAAATCGACATAACTGTGAGATCACAGCAGTCATGCAGGCTTCGATGCGTTCATTGTCATGCCTCAAACGCTTGATGCCGTTTCAGGGAATGGCAGGAGTGCATTTTGATGCCATCCTGACGTCCCCACCCAGGATCCCTGATATTGCATCTTGCAGAGCCATCTCATCAATTAGTTTCGAAGGTGTTGTGACTCCTGACCAAGAATATCGAGCGTTCCGGGAATCAAGGCTGGGCTTTAGTACAGACACAGGTATTCCCCAAGACAGCTCGTCCTCAGGGGGTGACACTCAGTTTCAAAGGATTCTGCAGCATCCAAGCACGGAATTTGGATCAGAGGCTAGCGCGAGCAGCATTCCAGAGGAAGACCCAGAGGATGCAGAGGGTGATGCCGAGGGCGACGACGCTCAAGAATTGAGAGAGCGCCTGCTGAAAGCAGCTTTGGCACACGTGGTACAGAGATTTTTTATTCACATGATTGCTTGGCGTTTTTTCTGTGATGAAGCAGCACATTTTGATTTACAAGAATAAGGCATTGTGTGTATTGTGTACCCCTTGCAGAAGAACAAGGGCTGGTCTGTTGCTGCACTGCAGAGCGGTGCAGAGGATCTGCAGTTGTCCAGATCAGTATCAGGTATTGTTTCAAATGGTGCTGCTGGGCTGGTTGAGGTGGGTCCATGCGCCGTCACCCCCCCTGGCTCACCTCAGGACTCGCATCTGCCTCATCCCCTCACACTGTGAGCATTCACGGTCGTGGAACTTCTTCAGACACAGTCTTTGACTCTTTTCTCTGTGCTCTTCCATAGTACTTTGTGGACGACTGCAATCAGCGCCTTGCAGCTGAGCTGGACAGCCGGGAGAAAGAACTGGCGGGGACGAGAGTGCCTGAACGCGTCCGCATGGCAGTGCGCATGCGCTTGGAGATGCTCATACCATACATTGGTGCGCCCCTGTCGTGCCCATGCTTTCTTGCTGTTCCAGCTTCTCAGATGCTTACAAATAGTCATGTTGTATTCACGCTCGATGCAGCTCTCTTGCAGCCTCTGCTTGCAAGTTCTGACATGCTCTTTGTGACTGGCGTGCCTGTGCAGACACCTGGCCGCAGGCCTTGGGCATCCAGGCGCACCCTGGCCATGTGGCGACAGCTGTGCGGCAGCGCGCTGAGCTGGCGGACGACATATGGCACGCCTGCGGAGACACATCCACAGACTACAACTGGTACACCAAGCGCGGCCTGCTGGCGGCAGTCTACGCGGCCACGGAGCTGTATATGCTCACCGATTACTCACCCGGCTACGCCGACACGTGGCGTTCCCTCGACCGCCGGCTTGCCGATGTGAAGCGGCTGGGGGGCGCCGCCGCGGAGGTGAGTCATAAATCACCAAACGGGGCAGTCACCAAATGCAGACGATCAGGGGCTGCAAGCGCCAGAAATTAAGACACTGGATGGCTTGTGGGATACCCAGGATGGAACATTATGGCAAGCTTTGCAGCGCGGTGCTGAGTGTCTAATGACTCAAATGCAGGGGAGCAGGACGGAGAGACTGAAAGCGTGTCAAGATCGTGTATTTGAAGCTCTAGCTGACATTTTTGGGGTGTTTGTGGCAGGCTCGGCAGGCCATGAGCAGCGTGTTAGCAAGTGTTGGGTCGATGGCGGAGTGGGCTCAGGAGGCTGTCATCCAAGCTCAGAGGCGCCGCCAGCAACAATAATGCAAAGGAATGAAGCCTGCACGTAACGATGAGCCCTGAATCAGCCTGACTCAGGGGCCTCTGAGTCGGAGGGCTTGGATGAAGTTCAACATTTGATGATAATTAGATACTGCAGACCTTGATGTAAGCAGCTGCTGCATCACTAAGGAGTCCTTGTGACAACTCTTCATGCACTTGGCCAAAAGGCTTCATCATGATGCTGACTTATAAGAGGAACGTTCCTGAAGGGCCTAGGCCTTCATCTTGATCAAGCTTCAAACGCATGCGCGTAAGCATATATGCAGCAAAGCTACAGCAGCATAAAATTGTAGATCTTCCTGCTGCTGTAAAATTTTGCAACCCACATACACACCCATTTTCGGAGAGTTTCTGACGAGGCAGGCCTGGAATCTCCCAAGCCAAGAAACTTAGGAGGCCGCTGTAGACCGTGGCTCCATTCTAGCGCCCAATTTCCTGGTCTCCACCAAGGCACAAACACTAGACGCCAAAGACATCAACGAAGGTTTTGGTGTATACTCTGTATTTTTTGAGACGCTTCTCTTCTTTTTACGTGCGCTGAAGCAGGGACTTGGAGATTGCAGTGCATCTTGGCAGGTGTTTCAGCCTCAGACAGTATGGCTCCACAGAGGCAGCATGATCCCACCCTTCCCAGGCCTTGGGAGGCTCTCTTTGATCCAGCAAGCGGTCTTCGTTACTACTGGAACCCCGACACGAATGTCACACAGTATGAACGACCCGTCGGCGGCCCCCCACCATCACTTCCTCCACCAGCAGGATATGTGAGATATCTTTCCTGTGACATGGTTTAGGCACCAGTTATTCTCTGGATCTCACCCAGCACAATTTCGACTTGGATGCTAAATTTTTTTGCCGGCAGTAAAAGTTTGTGGTGATTGTTGCAGGTTCCCAGCAGCAACGGGCACAGCAATGGTGTTGCTGCGCCTGCCAATGGGCATGCAAAGCACGTAATACCTGCTGCCGGACAGAATTTTACCATGAGCATGGAGCAGTATCGAGCAGAGCATGGGTTAGTGGTGCAAGGAGACAGAGTGCCAGACCCCCTGCAGACCTTTGAGTCTGTCGGTTTCACCAGCAACATCATGGATGAGGTATTGTATCACCGCCTGCCATATGCACGGCCGGCAGCCGTTGCGTGACCACACTCCACGCAGCGGCGAAGGTCGTCCTATTTGTCGGGCTCGAAGCGAAGGCGCGATTCCCTCTGTGACGGGGGCGATCGCTCTTGCTCTCTGGTCGGGAGCGCATCCAAGCCCGTCACACTGGAAAGATGCGCTGGAGTGGAGAGCCTCTGTTGTTGTGCCTGCCTATCAACGGCTCCCGAGGGTTGCTGCTGCTGCCACCTGGCTGCTGCACCAGGAGCTTGTTCTTTGGCGCAAAGCTGTGCGAGCCCAGTCCTCGCTCGCTCGAGCGGCCCATCCTCTCCTTTTTTGGAGCGTTGGGGCTGAGGCAGCACAGCTGGCGCGCACTGCAAGTTGTGGGCAGCTGACATCCTGCCGCTGCCAACCAACTGATCCCCTTCTCGCGCTCGCTTGGAACAGATCAGACGCGCTGGCTACAAGGCGCCCACGCCCATTCAGGCGCAGGCCTGGCCCGTAGCGTTGCAGGGCAGGGATTTGGTGGCCATTGCCAAGACTGGCAGTGGCAAGACCTGCGGTTTCCTGCTGCCTGGCTTCCTGCACGTCAATGCCGTCCGCCCCGACCCGCGCCAGGGGCCGAGCATGCTGGTCCTGGCGCCCACGCGCGAGCTGGCCGTCCAGATCAAGGAGGAAGCCGACAAGTTTGGCCGCTCTGCTGGCATCAGGAACACGTGAGCCCGTGCCCCAACATGCTACGTGGACACCAAATTGCTTGCTGGAATGGCTTCTGCTGTGTCATGAATCTTGGCCCACGATTTTGGTCCTTGTTTCTGGGCACACAACAAGGGCTGCCATGTGTTAATGGACCGCGCAGGCCGTATTTCTGTGCAGTTCTTATACTTGGTGATTTTGCAGGTGCACATATGGAGGAGCTCCCAAGGGGCCCCAGCTGCGTGACATCCAGTATGGTGTCCACCTGATCATTGCCACCCCTGGGCGCCTGAACGACTTTTTGGAAGGCGGCCAAGTCAGGCTCGGTCAGGTAAATCTGACCTTTTACAGCTGGCTGTCTTTGATTTTGTTGGCTGGGACGCGAAACATGTCACATTCTGTGCTGTGTTCCTGACTGGGAGGGTGTGACCTGTACAGGTTTCCTACCTTGTGCTGGATGAGGCTGACAGGATGCTGGACATGGGATTCGAGCCCCAGATCCAGCGGATTGTGCGCTCAATCCCCACCAACCGCCAGACGCTATTCTTCTCAGCCACATGGCCTCGGGAAGTGAAGGCCATTGCCTCGCAGTTTGTGACCAACAAGACGGTGAGCCTTGGTGTAATCCAAGAATTTGAATTTCCATCCTATTGATCTGCTCCTGCGGGTCAAAAGCGTGCTTGAAAGGTATTACAGATAGCAGTGGTTCAAGGCTGTTGGTTTTTTGGCTTCTGCCTGAGCTGCCTCTGCTTTTCCCCTTGCAGACTTCCAGTGCTAAGCATTGGCATGTCTTTTGCAGGTGCATGTGTTTGTGGGCGGAGTGGAGGAGAACCTGGTGGCCAACAAGGCCATCACGCAGTTTGTGCATGTAATGAAGCCCTACGACAACAAGCAGCAGAAGCTGCGCGAGATCCTGCACTCCAAGCCGACCGGCACGCGCATCATCATCTTCTGCTCCACCAAGCGCATGTGCGACCAGCTGTCGCGCGACCTCAGCCGCGAATTCCGCGCGGCTGCCATCCACGGAGACAAGAAGCAGCAGGAGCGCGACTGGGTCATCAGCTCCTTCAAGCAGGGCACCACCCCCGTCATGGTCGCCACCGACGTGGCCGCCCGCGGACTGGATGTGCGCTCCTGTTCCTCGTCTGCCTTCATCAGACGTTTGCTCGGACAGCGCGCTTGCAGCTGTGATCCCATGCTGATACTGTAACTATGATAAGCTTGTTCAAGTCATCCCTGCGGTCCGCAGTCTTGCCTCCAGCAGGTGTTGGGTCCGCAGTGTCACTTGCGGGCACCATCTGTGAATGTCCAGAATGCATGGAAGCTGCCACACAAAAGAGGGTGGTTCTTGATCTGTTGTTGATCGCTGCCGTGCAGGTGCCGAACGTCGGTGCAGTCGTCAACTACGACTTCCCCAACGGAGTGGAGGACTACATTCACCGCATCGGACGCACTGGCCGCGCCGGCGCCTCGGGCGAGGCGTATACCTTCTTCACGCCGCAGGACTCCAAGTATGCGCGCGAGCTGTCGCGCGTGCTGCGGGAGGCGAACCAGGTCGTGCCGCCCGAGCTGGAGAGCATGCAGAGCTTTGGTGCGCGCCCCTTCTGCCCCTGTTTTGTTTGACGCCATTGGCTCAGCGAGGTAATGCTGCAGATCAGCTGCATGCAGATGCGCGTGTTATTCTCCCAAGTGCTACCACATTGTGTTGAGCGCGTCTTGCACCATTCAAAATCTTTACAGTCTTACAGTCTCGGATATTATATAGGAGAGGGCATGGTCCTGTACAGTGGCTTCCGCCAATTTGTACCTGAAATTGCTGTTGGTGATTTGATTGAAGGTGGTGGAGGCCGCGGGTACTCCAGCTCCCGTTACGGTGCGCCGGGCGGCGGCGGCGGTGGCTTTGGCGGCAGCCGCGGCGGAGGCTTTGGGGGCGGCGGCGGTGGTTTTGGCGGCGGTGGCGGCGGCGGATATGGTGGCGGCGGCAGCAGCTATGGTGGCGCATCTGGTGGCAGCTACGGCGGCGGCGGTGGTGGCGGCGCTGGTTATGGCGGTGGTGCCGCTGCCGCCGCTCCCCAGTACCCGCCCGGCATGGGTGCATCTGCGTCCTTCTATGGTGTCGACAGGTGCCGCTCCTCTGCTCCTTCAGACAGCCCCAATCCGTTGTCAAGGGGATAGTAGTTGCATTTGGCTTGTCCAATGTCGTTTTTGCTTGCAAGGTGCTGGAGGTTCGCAGATTTATCACAGCTTATTGATACGGTGCGCGAGACTGATTGCCTGTTTGCTGCAGGTCTCCGGTGCGCGCTCGCTCCCCGGCTCGTAGGCGGTCGAAGTCTCCGCGCCGCGAGCGCGACCGCAGCGACAGGCGCGACCGGTCCCCTCGCAGTTCCCACCGCTCCTCGCGCCGCGATCGCAGCCGCTCCCGCTCGCGCACCGGCCGCCGCTCCACCCGCGACAGCCCCGACTACTCCTGAGCGCCTGATGAACCCCCCCGCTCTTTGAGCAGTCTTGGGTGGCAGCGGAAGACCAGTTGTTTTACGATGGGCAGGCTTGGGTTGCGTTTGGGTGTGTGAGATGGGGAGGGGCTGATTAGGAAAGCAGCTGAAGACGCTGTATGATGCAGCTGCCTGCTCACCAGATTGGCACAGGAGGCCACCAAAAGCCACAAATTAGTCACCATTGTTTGGCCAGCTGAGAACTGCAGGCATCTTGGAGAGGGACTGCTCTTGTTTGTGAGGCATGATTTCGGCATTCTGACGTGGAAGTCCTTTTGGAGCAAGACTGTAGCTCTGGAGCGCCTGAAACAGGTGCCTGTTGTGTCTCTTGTTGCACCATGCGTTGTGACAGCTGTTACTTTGCGCCTGAGCTAGCTACGCATGAAGAGTCAGAATTGGAGGCACATTGTCTCCCAGTCCTTACCACATATAAGTAATTTATTTGGAGAAGCTATTCTACACCTTTAGTAAGAATTGCTTCATAGCTGTGTTTGGGGTTTGGTCTGTGCTTGCAACTGATTATAGCTGTCTTGCTTACTAAGCGATAGATGTTGTATGGCGACTGTTTCTTGGCTGACGCTGAATGCATGTGTGATCTGGAAGCCTGAATGGGGCCGCCCTAGACTCTAGGGACCTTGGATCATCCGATGAGGCATCCCCTTGGAGCATGATGCCCTAGGGTGCCCATTAGGGTGTATTGCAGCTGGCACTGCTCGACTTGAATTTGTAATTTGTGGCTTGATTGACTTGATTGTACATGAGTCATACACACACATTGTGGAGTGTCCGATAGGTTGGCGCTTAAATGCTGGCCTACTCAAGTCCATGCCCAGGTTCAATCCCCTTTTCCATCAACCCTACACGAGGGTCATCTCATAATATGATAACATTGGACAAGATGATCAAGGTCCTTGATTCAGGGACTTTTCGCGGAAGTTGAGACCGTACTTGAGACCTTGTAGGCAAGCAGACTTCGTGTAATGTGCAGCAGTCAAGATCAGCGAAGGCTTCGACTGCGAAGGAAATTGACACGAGTGGCATGAAGTCACAATATGCAAAATTGAACCTTGGCACCGTGGACAACACTAATTTGGCATGATTCAAGATGGGAACTAGGATAGTTGGTGAAGAGTACGATGGAAATCGTCTAGTGCGATCTTGGGTTTTAGATCAGAAAGCGGGGGCTGTAGAATCCCTCGGAGTGGACGCATCAAACGAGTCCTCCGTTCTTTTGTGGTTAAAGAAAGGCTTTCTGCCGGATGGATATCCCGATGCTGTCACTTCGGACTATGTTGGTGCGTTGTCACCAGCGAATAAAGCGCCCTGAGCAAGGAGGTATCGCAGCTGTGTCAGATGCATGACTGTGAAAACCACCCTGGTCATGCTGCAGGTTTCCAGATCTGGGACTCGATACAGGCGCTGTGCTCATATGTGAGAGGCATGATATGCAGCAATGCAATTCTGACTGGGATTGGCGTTGGTAAACAGGCAAGTAGAGTGCAAGATGGTGCTCACCTCTGATCCTGCCTTGATGGATGCCGATCGTGAGATCACTGGTCTGCTCGCAGGCAGCCAGCCCCCTTGTTGCAGTGTTCCAGTTCTTTGTGCGCGATCTTGCTGGAATGTGTGGTGGTGTCCTTTTTGCCTTCACCCAAGTAAGGACAATTTTCCACGTCTGCTCAATGTTCTACGCTTGTGATACCGGGCCTTTCTGATCTGTGTATTAATGGCTGCAAACACTGAATTCTTTTCTGCTCTGCAGGGCTCGCAGCTTGATGCCTATGCCAAACAGTGGAGGCTGTTTGCAGACATCTTCAACAACGTAGGTGTGCTTCTCCTCAACCACAAGCCATGAAACCCACGTGTGCACATTGCTATCTGTCCACCGCCCTGAGTGCTTTAAATCCCTTTCCTTTTAGAGATCATATTTCCGGACGGCATTGTTGCAGGATACGCGTTGGACCTGGCAAGCCCACTCTTTCCCGACCAATTCCTTCTCCTCGCATGTCTGGGATCCCTTGCTCGAGCAGTCACAGGTGTGCAGTTCCATGTGCACTCTTGATGCATTTTTACTGTGAAGGCTCCTGTTGTTTGAACGGAAGTGCAGCTGTGCATTTTTCAACAGGTTTTGCTGTGATTTGCAATAACAATGCAGGTGTTGCTGGTGGTGCCACAAGAGCAGCTCTCACTCAGCACTTTTCCAGAGCAGACAATGCCGGTGACATTTCTGCCAAAGAAGGTTCACAGGTGCTTATTCTCCTTCACTTGTGTGCTCATTTTGCATTGTTTCCACACTGTTGTTACTTGCCCATGTTGATGAGCCTTTGCTGTGGCCATGTTCAGGAAACTGCGACAACACTGATTGGAATGATCCTTGGAATGGCATTTCTGCAGGCTGCGTCAGGTGAATAGCTAATCTTGCTGTGGTCACATGTAATCTGGTGTCATCTGCTGCACAGGGCATTAGCTGCAACTTAAAGAGTTCCATGCCAATGCAGACTCTCCTGTGGCAGTGTGGGCTGTCTTTCTTCTCCTCACATTCCTGCACATCTATGCAAACGTCAGGGCGGTGCGCGCCTTGCAGCTTACATCGCTCAATTGCTCACGATTGGACATTCTGTTGAAGCACTCCTCAGCCAGCAAGGTGACTCCTGACCCATCTCCACAGATTTGCTTCTGACCAGGCTGTGACACTGTCAGTCGACCATATTCCATTACAGCACTGTGGCCTGCGAATGCAAGAATAATTTGTCTGGGTTTCCTGTTTTTCAACATCTGCTATTTGATAGAACACAAATGGAACACAACTGGTGATCTTGTCTCTGCATTGCGCATGTGCAGAACGGCAATGGGACAGCACTGACTCCACGAGAAGTTGCCAGGATAGAACCTCTGCTACCTCCAGCTGTGTTGGAGTTGCTCAAGTGGCTTCTCTGCATACACCTGTGGAAACCTACCAAACGCCTGATCATGGGAGCCAAGTTGTCTGCCTTGGTGCGTATTCTTTTTGTGTTCTTCTATACTTATGCTCTTGCCGGTAATGCATGTCGTTGCACCTTGCAACACTGTGACAGAGCTACAAGAGCTGATCTGTACAATGCGGATGCAGCCATTGGAGGGGCCCCTGGCCAGAATGGACAGCGATGCAGATGTGAAGCTGATCATTGCGATGGATAAGGGCGGCTGCGAAGCAAATGTGGTGCTACGGCGGGATGCGCAGCAGGAGGACATCCTGAAGGCATACGTGCAGGGATACATGCTCCTACATTCCAACGCACCGATGGTTTGTACCTGTCTTAGAACTTGTAAGTGCCAGAAAATTTGCTTCGAAGAAGGAGAAGATACTGTATGCAAAATCTCATGCATGCTGCAGAGAGGCCTCAATCTGCTCCAATGTGTGCAGGAGCTGAGGCACAGACAAGTAGAGAGCTGGATGGAAGAGGATTGGCCGGCCTTCCGAGGGATGCTGGAGAGAAGCGGATGGTCCCTGAACAAAACAGCATTGTGCTCAAGTTCCTGGAGGGGGGCATGGGGTGACGCACTGCATGCCCATACCAACTGAATCAAAGCACTGCTGGCAGCCTGCACTGAGTACAAACAAACAATTACCTGCCAAGAACATGTGCAGCAAATGGGGATCAGCAGAATGCCCACCAGCTGTGCGAGCTGGCACTTGTCATGCAGCAAAAATGCAGATGAGACACTAATGACCTTGCAAGTGGAAACTGATTCATCGCTGGTGGCTAGCAGCAAGTTGAGGAACTTATGTTGCACGTTATATCGGTATAATCATGCCTTTTGTGTGCACGTGTGTACAGCAGCATGCCGATTGCATTCTCACCACCATGACAGGGCCAGCAGCCGCAGCGGCTGCCTCCCGGCACTGCAAAGCTGGTGCATTGCTCCCGAGCTTGCAAGCTCCCAGTCAGTAGTTTACTGAAGTAGAACTAAAACTGTACTTCAACATGCAGTAACATATGTTGCACACAGGATTGACCTGCATGCACTTGTACTTGTCAGATTGCAAATTGCCTGCTGCAGCAAAGACTGCGCATTCCTGAGCAGAGCGCAAATTTCCAAATGTAAGTAAATCTCTGAATGAGAAGCTCACTCCTAGGTTGAGGCCAATTGCCAATGCAATCGCCCGACATTTCTGCAGATTCGCCAATCTGGCAAATCAGAATCCTTCCATCAACCGCAGATCCCTGGCAGGGACACAGAAAACTGATGGCATGAGATCCTGCTCCCTTGAGAGGACCTGTGACCTTGATCATCATACATGTGAATTATTGTAGGCTTGTGAGCTTGTCTGTGTCTTTCGCCCCTTACCTGCCAGTTGAATGTATCGTACACGGCTGACCTGACTTCAGTACATGGGGCAGGGGTGGCCCCAGGAACCTCTGCCTCTGGCATTCGGTTAGGACATCTGTGAGTTTGCTGGATAATGCTTTGAAATGATGGAGTAATCACGGCGGCGCATCGACGATAGGTCAGAAGAGTTGGGTGTGCATTAGCTTAATAGTGTATTTTTCTGAGGTGCAGCGGGGGTTCCCCTAATAAATAGCAACCACGGATCTTACTATGGAACCCGCCGGGCAGCCTGCCCAGAGCCTTAGCCCGGACAATCCGAGATTTCCCCAAAAAGTCAGGGACATCCTTCACAAGGCTCAGAGCGCATGGCTTAAGAACACGGAGGTTTGCGATCTACTCCTGCATTACGCGGAGTACAACCTTCCAGTGGCACGCGATCCCCCAAATCTGCCACCAGGTGAGCGCGCCTGCCCTGTCTGACACTCGCCCTTGCCTCCCTGTACTACAAAACCTGTGAGAAAGGTCCTGTCAGCAATCTTCGGATGCTGCTCCTGCTAAATGTCTGGCTATCATACAGGGGGCTCGCTATTCCTGTTTGATCGCCGAGCTGTGCGCTTCTTCCGCAAGGATGGGCACAACTGGCGCAAGAAGGCGGACGGCAAGACTGTCAGGGAGACGCATGAGAAGCTCAAGGTGCGCATGCATCCTGCAACTGCATTCCTGTCCTTGACGCTCTCACCATGACTGATCATGCATGTGACTGCGACTGCATGCGCGCAGGTCGGAAATGTGGAGATGCTGAACTGCTACTATGCTCATGCAGACACTGAGGAAGGCGCGCAGGTGAAGCCCTTCTCTCATTCAGAGGGGTATCTGCCCCTCAGGCAAGGGCTGTGCTGGCTTGTTGATGTCGAGAGACGTTTGCAGCAGTGATGGACTCCCATCATGCATGCAAGGCAGGCTGCTGACTCATCGCCCCTGTCTGTGTGCCTGCAGCAAGCCACGCGCTTGCAGCGGCGGTGCTACTGGCTGCTGGAGTCTGAGGACGACATCGTGCTGGTGCACTACCTGAACATCGACAAGGCCAAGGGCAAGACTGAGGACTCGTGGGCCCCGTCTGACCCAGAGATGGGCCGCCGGCCGGGCTTCACCGTCACATCCGGCGGCGTGCATGGCATGCCGGTGAGGCACCCGCCACTTTACTATGAGTACCTGCAGCATTTGTCAGGACCATGTTGCTATTCCATGATGAACTGCAGATACCTCATGGACTTGGCCTTCGTTCTGTTTCTACTGTTGCGTAAAGAAAGAGCACAATTCTGTCCTTCCTTTTACACTTGCTGCTGCTAACGATTAAGTCTCTGAAGTCTGTCAGCTTGTCATTTGGCTTTGTCGTGTAGCACGGATGTGATGATTGCTATATTGGCTGTGCAGGGGCTGGGCATTCAGGGGCTGGCTGGGCACCCGGCGCACCAGCTGCTGCAACAGCACCACCACCAGCAGCACCCGGTGGACCCCTACATCCCCCTCATGCCCTCCCTGTCCCTGGACTCCTTCTTTGGTGCCTACGACGATCGCGATGCCGCCCAGAGGGCGCAGGCGCCGCCCCCCATGATGGAGAACGTGCTGCCGGCCTGGGAGGACCTCAGCAACGGCCCCTCCAACTCCTTGCAAGCAGCTGCCGACTGGCGGGTGCGCCCCCAATCAACCCCTGACCATCTGCCAATTCCCCGGGTCCTTGTGCTTCTGGGTCTTAGGAGCACATGCTTGTCCAATGTCTGGTCACATTTTGACTATGATGCGGGAGGAGTCGATGAGGTAAAGCATATCATTACCCCACCTGTGTTGTTGGATCTGGCATGCATAAGGAGTTGGGTTCCGCCCTTGAGTCTACATAAGTGAGGCCTGAGTTGATGGGAAGTTGGGGTTCGGCAGTCGATGCTGCGGGGCGATTCGCTGAGCATGGGGCTGAGCGAGGGGCCGACGGCCGCGCTGGTGGAACATGGCGCCAACATGATGATGATTGAGCAGGGCGCTCAGCAACCAGAGACCTGGGCCCAGGACATCCCCGTCGCCATGCGCACACCCTCGCTAGAAGCCCGCCAGGTGGGCCAACCCCGCTTTACTTACTCATTCATCACTGCTGGCCATTCCTCAACATCTGGTAGTAGATGCACACATTGTTGAGCGACATGGGCGAGCGAATGTTGACTGGACATGCATGCGCAGCTGGCAGGGGCAATCCTTTCAGCAAGCGGCGGCTGGCATTGTCGGCGCCTTGCTCATGTCCAAGCTGACCTTTCGCATCAATATGTCAGCCTCCTTTGCAGTCCACTGACATTCAATGATTGTACTCATTACATCCGTTTGTTGACATGTGTGCCTGCCGGCGCAGGCGCGGGCAGCGGCGGTGATGCGGCAGAACGCGGAGCTTCAACAGCGGCAGTCCTCCCTGGAGCGCAGGGCCGCCTACCAGAAGTCGCTGCTCGCCGCCAACCGCGACCAAATGCAGGCGCGGCCCCAGTCCCCACTCCTTTTTCGTCAGCATGTCTGCTGAGGCCAAAGCCATGCAAGATCGTGACCTGATGTACAGTGTGTATGAAGACAATGGACGCGGAATTTGGCGTTGTACTGCATGTTCCTTTCATACAAGGTCGAGCTTTTACTGGGCTCGCTGAGAGATGTGTGCTCTGTTTGTGAGCAGCAGGCGGCAGCTGCCGCAATGCTTCAGCAGGCGCAGCAGGGAGGCCAGGCCAATGGCATGCCCTACAATCTCAACGCCTTCCAACAGAGGCTCTTGGCGGCTGCGCGGCAGGGCCCGCCCGGCGCCGGTGGCGGCCCCATGCATGGTCAGATGCCAGGCATAGGCTTCCGGCCGCAGGAGCCGCAGGCCGCCGCGCAGGCGGCCGCGCTTGCCGGGCTGGCCGGGCAGATGCAGCCCCCGCACTACAACCAACAGGTGCTCCCTATTACTCTTCACGTCAACAAGTAATTCGTGCAATACTGACTGCACTGCTGGAGGGCTTTGTTTGCATGACCTCCGTGAGAGATGGTTACTTGAAGCGGCACAGGATGCCTGATGATAGCTTGAGGCATCCATTGGTTGTTGTACTTTAGTGGGAGCATCTTGTTGTGCTGTGGCTACCATGCCTAGCACTCTTGTGACACCACATTGTTTGGTTGCAGATGCCTCCGCCGCCACCGCCGCAGAGGCCCTTCATGGCAGCCAACACATCGGGCGCGTCTGCTGCGCCGGGAGTTGGGATGCCTCAGGCGCGGCTGCCACCGCTGCAGCAGGGCGCGTACCAGGGCGGCCCCGCCGCGGGGCCGGTGCCAGCAGACTGGGCGCGCGCCTACCGAGAGCAGCAGCACAAGGCCGCTCAGGTGCGCCATAGTTTCACTCGGGGGTGTGGTATTCCCACCATGCCATTAGGAAACGGTCATTGCTGACGGGTTCTGGGGGGTAAATCATACTTGCAGTCTCCCAGAGAAGGCTAGCTTATGACGCTAGGAGCACGAGACTGCGCTTAGTGGTGCAAGGTATTGCATACCTTCTATGCATACAAGTCATGTTGCCTGTGACCACCCTGGAAGGTTTGGTCTAAATATTGTTGTGCCTCCACTTAATCATCATTTGCACCCCGTGCTGATGTCAATTATCTGGCCCATGCAGGCTGCAATTGCGCGCAGTGCCAAGTGGGGCACGACGGATCCGCCGCTGCGGCCGGTGCCTCTGCGGCAGGGCTCTGCCCCCGGGCCCCTGGACATCAGCCCGAGCGGCTCTGCAGGCCCCTCGCCCGGCAAGCCTCCGCTGGCCGCCACAGAGGGCTTCCCCAAGATGAGCAAGCTGGACGCCCTGCTCATGCAGCAGCAGCAACAGCAGCAGCAGCACAGCGGCTCATCCAGCGGTGAAGGGAAGCAGACGATGTCGTCCCCAGGAGCTCTCGGCGCCCATGCCAGCGCCAGCGGCGACCAGATCCTGCACCATGCCAGCTCAGCCGGCCAGCTCGGCGCCATCGGGACACAGGTCTGCCGCCGTCTGCCTTTCGTGTGTTTGTCTGCATGTGGAGGTGCTCTCCTGTTGAGCAGTCCCTTACCCCCTGCAATACCAGCACGGGGGTGGAAGGGGAAGTGGGAGAAGGAGGTCATCTTCACGGCAGACAAATAAGCAGATGCCACAAGGCTCTACCTACATGCAGAAAATAGAGAACGTAAGTTATGACGATCAAATTTTGCCCTGGGCACAGGTGAAGATGGATGAGACAGCGAGCGAGGGGACCGTGACGGGAACGCCCCTGGGCCGCGCGGAGAGGCCGGCGTCCAAGGTGGCAAAGGCGCTGGCGCTGGAGGCGCAGCTGCGCAGCGTGGACGGCGCAGTCATGGAGCAGCTGCAGACCGCGCGCGCCGAGTCCGGCTGCTCTGCCTCCCTCGACAGCAAGGTGCCTCCATCTTTCGCACGCTTCACTCCACAAGTCCTTCTGGCGTTCAGGGCTCCTGACTTGTGTGAGTTTCTGGTGGCCGAGTTGGGTGGCCAACTTTTTCATTAGTATTGATTTTCTGCTCTGTGGGCTGGGGCTTAAAAGGGCGTGTTGCGCAACAGGTACAGAAATTGGAGGAGGATTTGGATCACCTGGAAGCCAGCTCTCGTCAGCTGCTGCAGGACAGCGTGCAGGGGCCGGTGAGTCTGCATGCTTGAATGTACTCAGGGGCCAAAACTGTGCGTGATTTTATAGTTTGGTATAGATCATCGCAGATGACCTCACTACTGGGCAGAAAAAACGTTCATTTGGGAATGTACTCGAGAGTTGGACTCTTTGTCGATACTGAGGGTTACCAATGTGCTCCTGCAGGGAATGGAAGCGGCAGGCGTTGCTATGCAGGAACCTGCCACATCAGGTGATCGCGGAGTGTCCATTCACCAACTTTCCCAAAGATACCCTTTTCTGCTTGAGCTTCCACAGATGTGCATTGCCCTGAACTTGTGAAAACGGCTTTATTTTGGCACTGCAGGCACGCACACTTCATCGCTTAGCCATGCCCCCAGCGCCAGCCTGGAGCTGCTGGACTTCTCACCCGAGTGGGACTTCACTCTGGGCGGCACAAAGGTCATCGTCACCTGCCGAGAGGTGGACGGCGACATCACATCAAACTGCCCCGTCTGCGTCATGTTTGACAAGGAGCAGGTGAGCTTCACATTCTCCAACACACCTTGCCCTGTCTGCATTTGGTTCCTCACGGCGCCTATGCCAACTCATTTGGGAAGAAATCCCACTGAAGAGCGTGTGGTCAGCATGTGGGGGCGTGGTGCGAGCAGGTGCCGGCGGCGCGGCTGCAGGCGGGAGTGTACCGCTGCCACGCGCCACCGCACGAGGCCGGCACGGTCGGCCTGTGCGTCACCTACGGGGACGGCCGCCCGCGCAGCAACGTGCAGCCCTTCACCTACCGCGGCACACCCCTCACTGCCCGCGCCCAGGATGACCTGTGCGTGGCTCTTGTCGTACTCCCTGTCCTAATTGTGTCTCCCTCAACGAAACAGAACTTCTGCTACAGCCTAGCTGCAGGCCTGGCGCTATCTGGGGACGTCTGTCCTATCACTCCTGTTTCGCTGCCAGTAAACTTGCTGCATGAATTATAATCATACAAGCGCATGCAGAGAGAATGATGGATTAATCTGGGTCGTTAAAACTTGCATGCAGGGCACGGGCGGCGATCCCGGACAGGGACCTGCAGCTTCGGCTGATCCACATGCTGATGAGCAGCAGCAAGGGCGCCACCTCCAGCAGCACGGTGTCCCCAGCCTCGCCCTCCAACTCCTCCGACTCCAACACCCACAAGCAGCACGCCAGCCCGTCCCGCACAGCCGCCCCCACGGCAGGCTCTGCCACCGTAGAAGTGGTGCGCAGGACTCCCAAGGCTTAAAGCTATTGTACTTGGCGTGCAGGCACTCGGCGGTACAGCTGTCCTGCTTGCTCATTGTGTATACCCTGGAACGAAGGTATTGCAGGGTCACAGCGGCTTGCACTCAACAGAAACATGAACTGTTAGAAATTGTTGCCAGGGATTGTTGCCTTCACAGCAGACACAATGTTAAAGGCCGACATTGTTTGAATGAGCATAGATCTTCATCAGTTAGTATGATTGAGAGCAATGGCGGCTGAGGTGGTCAAGGCAATGCGTGTTCAGGCACTGGAGGACAATCCTAATGCGCTGCAATATCTGTCGGATGATCTGCGGGAGAAGCTGCTGCAGACGCTGCTGGAGCGCCGCCTAAAGCAGTTCACCTCAGACGTGCGCACCCCCTGTCTTATAGATTTCCTCCCCGTTCCCATGGGGAAACAACATTGGCTCCGTTCTGTGGCTATGTAGTGGCTGGTTGCCTGAAAGCAGCTGGGTGCCTGGCACTGGCCAACATACTAGAGAATTGCTGTGTCTCTACATGCTGTGTGACGGCACACAGGCTTATGTTGCTCCTTGAGCACTTCCAAACTGTGAAATTTCCCCTGGCACTGACATGTCGGATGTGCGCGTGAGTGCAGGTGAGGGAGGGCAAGGCACAGCAGGGCTCCGGGTGGTCGCCCAGTTTCGCGGTGAACCGGCGGGCGCAGTCGGGGCTGGCTCTCGTCCACATCCTGGCAGCGCTCGGCTACGACTGGGGCCTGCAGCTGCTGATTCCCCTGGGCGCGCTGCTTGACCTGCAGGTACCCATTTGCACCTTCCATCCAGGCTTGGTCTGGAGTTTTGGCCGGGAAGGCAGACCCAGGGGATTTGGTGTTATGGTCGCAACGGCTGGACATCTGTATGATAGAAAGGGAGGCGCAATGTTTCCAGTGGACTTTGACATCTGCATCCGCTGCAGGACGCGTGGGGCCGCACAGCGCTGCACTGGGCTGCGACATACGCGTGCGAGGCCACAGTGGTACTCCTGTTGGTGCGTTGCGCGCACCCGGCCCCTCTGTCGCACGGCGGAGAGGCGCAGCCGCGCGCGACGCCCGCCGACATGGCTGCCGGCAACGGCCACGCCGGTATCGCGGCGTTCCTGTCTGAGCAGGCCCTGCTGCGCCTCGCCAAGGACAACAACGTGTCCCTGGACGAACCTGCCGACTCTCGTGCGCGCCTCCTTACATCAATTTGATAGCGCATGTGGGGCTTGTTGGAACCGCCCACCACACTTCTTCCTTCTTGAGCACGTGCAACGAAGCCGAGGCAGCGGCACACAGAGGGGTTGGTGCAGTGGGAATTACATTATTCAAGTTGTTAACTGGTGAAGGGACTGGCGCAGGCACGGGAGACCAGAGCATGTCTGCGCTGCGCAAGAGGGCGCGCAGCCTGCGGCGGGCCGACTCCGCCTCGGAGCTGCCGCTGCTGCGGGAAGCCATGGCCGCGCCCGATGGGGCCTCCAAATTCCCAGAGGAAGAAGGCGACGAGGGTGAGCATGTTCCTCAGGCTTGCAAATCCGTCGTAATGAGCAAGTTCTTGTCCATGGGAACCCTACAGTCAGCTCGGCCGGGGCGCTCTGCATGTAGACTCACCCAAACTTTGTATGATGTGTAGCAAAGCGTGCTTGTATTATTCAAATACAGGAGGTGCTTCATTGCATTGATGAAGCTGGTTAAACTCAATTGTTGTCCTGCTTGGGCGCTCTGACATGGCATGTGCGGTGGCAGGAACGAGCCCCAAGGAGGTGCTTGCGCGCGTCAAGAAGCTGGCCGAGCGCGTGCGGCAGGCGCTCACCCGCGCAGCCTGTCGCCGGGCAGCCATGGAGCAGCAGAGCCTCCGCCGCCATAAGAAGTGCGCCCACTGCTTCTTCCTCTGACATTTGTCCCCTGGATGGACTTGCTGCAGTTTCTGTTCTCCTGGACAACAGCTGAAGCAACATTCTTAGAGGAATCAGTGTCACGCACGCCTGGTTTCTCTGCATGTGTGAACAAGCGCATTTGGATGGAAGAGGCTGAGGGGTGGCGTGTGGGTGCAGGGAGGGGGACGCAGTGGCGCGCATAGAGAGCAGTCTGCAGGCGTGGCAGGCGGTGCAGCAGGCGGTGCAACGCGGCATTGCGCAGAGCGACTCGGACGCGGCCGCCCGCCGCCTCGTGCGCCTCGGCGAGCGCATCTCCTGCATCAACGCCTGCCTCAGGTCAGCACCAGCTGTCACTTGGCCGCTTCCACTTCTTCCTTCTGTGGTGGTTGTTGCACGGTGCCTGTCAATGCAGGGTGACGCTCCCCTGCAGCATCTGTGGCAAGAATGTGGCAGCAAGGGATCGTTGTTTAGGGCCGCGGTACGAGGTGGCTCTCCATTTGCATGATATCTAGGTCTGCAGAGCGCCAGAGGAAACACTTTGGCCGAGCGTTGCAGGACATTGAGCTGACGTGACTGCTTCTTGCTGTGCAGGGACGCCATCAAACGCAGCTTGGGCTGCGGCGGAGCCTCTTCGGCGTTGGCGCCTGTTGACGAGGCTGCGGCGCTGCCGATCACTGGAAATTCCATGGTGTTGGATTACGGGTCAGACTCGGACGCGCATGCGATGGCGGGCGACTCGCTCCTCCGACGGCGTTCCCTGATCCGCCTCCGCGAGTCGCGCCGCCGCGACAGCATCACCAAAATGTGCGCTGCTGCATTGTGATTTCATTGGGTGCTTTGGTATCTTATTCATAGTGTGTCTACAAAAGCTTCCATGAATATTGAGTGTGTGAATCTCCTCTGCCATGCATGATGAAATTAATGTCCCAGTGTGCACTTTCCGGGGGCCATGCACCTTAATGAAGACTTCCAGCCAGATGTTCTTTTATTACCTTTGAAAGAGAACAGAGGTTGTATGATGTGAGGACTGTGTATATACGGTGGGAGCATTCGAGACATGGATGAATCTTGCATATGTGTTTGCAGCAAGGGGTTTGAGAGCGACACAAGCATCCGGCAGTTTCTAGCGCGCGGGCGTGAGGGCAGCAAGGCGGACGAGGGCGGCCCCAGCCAGCTGGACATCCGTGACCTGCGTTCCCTCTCCCTCTCATTCCCCTCCTTCTCCGTGGTGGGGCCCCCCATCGGCGTCTCCCTGCCGGACTGCGACCTCCGCGAGCTGCGCAACTTCATCGCCGGTGCCTCTGCCAAGGTGAGAGAGCTTCCACGTGTTGCATAGGAGTGGCCAGAGTAACGTGCATCAAAAGGACGCCTGGTGCTCTGTAAGTCATTATTTCACAGTATCAGCATTGCCATGCTGCACATGCAGCCAATATCCTCTCCTGTGGTGCAATCTGGTACTTTCCTTCCAGGCAGGTGTTCAGATTTGTTGGGCACAGTCCTCCCCAATTCCTGTAAAAGGATTTGGGAATGCATCTTGGCTGTTGTCTGAGAAGAAGCGATCTGAGTGATCGGTTGGTTCGCAAAAGGTCCATCGGTCGGCGTTCGGCACCTTGGCATCTGCGAGCAATGCGAAAGCTGCCGCTGCGCCCGCGCGCGCTGGGGCGGCGCCAGAAGCCTCCGCTGAGATGGCCCTCGTACAGAAAGTGAGTGCTCCCCTCTTCCGCACAAATTGCATTCTCACCCTGCAAATTGTGCAATTTGTCCTGCTCTGGGTGCACTGTACAAATACCTGATGTGAATATTGGATAAATGTTTCTTTGCTTTGAATACCTGGGCATCTGTGTGCCTTGCGCCAGATGAAAGTTGCATACAGATGTCAACGTCGCCGGCTGTGATTGCAGGCTGTGGCGCACATAGAGGCTCTGCAAGAGGAGGGGCCAGGGCATGCTCAGTACTTGCGCCTCTGCCAGGCATACACCCAACTGACCACCACTCAGCCCTGGGGCACCTTCAAGCAGGCCCGCCGTGGCAGCCTCAGCAACGCCGTCTGATGCAGTTCCCGCTCAGCGTGCGGGAGTGTTAGGCAGGGAGCGCAAAGGCCGGATGCAAGCCAGGCAGGCTGAAGTTTGACTCCCCGCGCATAATGGAGGGGGCCTGCATCCTGGGCGATGCTGGAATCTGGTGTGGCATGAGCGCAGGCATGGTTTCTCTAGCAGAACTGCGGAGGCAGTAACGGCACCAGATCTTAAGGGTGCGCTGAATGGGGGCAAGCAGGGGTTCTGTTGGGCCTCTGACCTTCCCTGTACCCCTCATGCGGCCCTGTTATTATGCACCATCCTTTCCATTGCATTCCTGCTGTTGAGCAGCTCGGATGTGCAGAGATTGAAAATGGGATTGCTGTACACTTTTTTAACACACACTGCGCGCACCGCCGCAGTGAGTTGGATGATGGGTTCTTTGCCAGCAGTTGCCATGTGGAGCGCGCCTGTGCCTGTGGCATGCATGACATGACAGCCAGCTTGGCTTGATGATGATCTGTGTTGCTTGCTACCCATGGAGTGTCCACTCCCTGTGGCTTGCCCCAATCCCTGTGCATGCTGTTGCATGGGGCTGTGCCAGGACCTGCAGTACTTTTTCTTTTTTGTGTGATGCGTGACCATCTGGAGTTTGCAGCGCCATGTTGCCTTTTGTTGCAAACGCCTGGACACCCTATTGCATGGGTGCCTGTTGCACACTCCTGGAGGACAGCTCGCCCATTTTGTTGTGGAAGTAATGTTGTCAGGTGAGTGTAAAGAGTCTTCATTCTGTTGGTGGATCAACGTGTGGGGTACATATATGTGGAGAGTACACTAGCTCTGTTGGACGTGCCACAAAATGATCGCATTCTATCGGAACAGATGCTACCAATGTATTGTGATGATCGCTAACATAGCAAGCCAGAAGCACTTCGAAAGCGAAACAAAATATGCATTCGTCAGATGCCACCAGTTGCCCAGTGCTCAGTGCCCGATGAGCAATGCTACATGTCTAACGAACTTGCATACCTACAAGAAGTCCCCATGCTGTAATCTCGTGGTCTGTCCAGAGCCAACGTTGCCGGAATTTGCGCCCTGTCCCCCGCAAAGTTTGAGGGGACCCGCAGAGTCTGCCCCCTGGGAGGCCTCCTAGTGTGCCTGTCGCGTCACAGCCTCTAACATTGAAATATGCTTCAAACGGAAGAAGGAGTTCGCCAGTTGAGGGCGACGGAGCAGTCTTGGATCAGATCTTAGCAGTATTACGGAAGAGCACGGCGAGGGGCAGCGTGGCAAAGGTGGGAAGCGAGATGCGCCCGTCAGTGTTTTGTGTCTGGCAACTCTTGTAGGCCATCGATATGCAGAGGATCATTTAGAATTCATCAGTGCATAGCAATCAATTTTTTAGATCATTTCTACTGGCAAATGATCTCCTTTGACCAAGCCAAGGCTTTTCCGAGGCCACCAATACACCTAGTACTGCGGATGGCCGCGGACCCACCTCCTCGCCGGGTGATGCCGACGGAATTCTGTCGCTGCAACAATTCGTGAGGTGGCTGAATTCGTTTGAGATCAGTCATGAGGGGGGATGAAAATCCAGCTCGGGGGCGGTCTTTATTCCAGCTTGACAGGTGGAGAGATCTGAGGGTGATGGTAGCGCAAATTTTGCCCAGAAATTTTTGGAATGCATGGGCTGATTGCATCTCTGTGTACCATTCAAAATTGGATCACGGTTTCGTCGCCTCTTCACATCGATTATCTCTCTTCTGGTCCTGCCAAGACGGTTTGGTGGACCCTACTCATGTAGAGAAACTTAGGCAGGCAGCAGTGCACTAAAGAATGCCTGCTGATCATGTGGCCATCTGGCATGCTTTATCTTGACGACAAAGCCCCACAACGCGCGGCACATGGCAGAAAGAGTGGTTTCCCTTGCCTGCAGGACCTGCACGCACACTGGACTCTGCCGCACAGCCTGAGTGTCTGGCCAGGTTGACAGGCCGGTAGAGTAGGCAGGTGCCAGCAGCAGCAATGCTGCCTGTCAAAATTTCGCCCTCCAAGGAGACCAGGAGACGCAACGGCGCCAACGGGTCAGATGCAGGGGACATCGAGTATGCCAACCCCCACCACTCCAACGAGGGCTCGCCCCAGAAGGCCCTCCTCTCGCACTCACACTACCCCTCCTCCGACAAACCCATGGTGAGCTGCGCTGCCTCTCTGTCTCTTTCTTATAATTGGCCTCATGCCTGGGCTCATGAACGTCTGTTGCGGTGGCATTTGAACAGCGCCTGTGCCACTGTCACCTCACACCCAACCGCCAGCGCCTGCAAATTGTAGACCTAATGGCGGCGTGTGCGGCCCATTCGTACAGCAGCCATGGTTGGGGCAAGTGACGAGCACACCACGGCGATGATACCTAAAGCGCGCGCACCATAACCCAGGTCAACACCCCTGGAGAGGCAAACCCTGAGGGGCGCTGTGGTGCGCAGGACTTCTACACGCAGTCGGACTCGGTGAAGGCAGCCAAGGCGCATCTGGCTGGGCCCCCCGCGGAGCTCCCCCCCAGCCTGGCAGCGGCGGTGCGCAGCGGCAAGCGCTCCCTGGCCCTGGCGGGCGGCCTGCTGCTGGGCTGCCTGGTGCTGTACGTGATGTGGCCACGCAGTGGGTACGGCTACGGCTACGACGGCGTCGAGGAGACTGAGCACTTTGTGTCCGTGAGCGGCACACAGGTGGGTTCCTACGTGACTGACGGCTGTGAAATTTAACTGAGGCTGCAGTGCTGTGCATGGGCAATTTTTGGGTTCAAAGCACAGTTAATACTTTCTGCATTTCATGCGGGAGACATCTAAATGCTGAGGATTGGAGGGATGCAGGGTAAAAGGCAGCCAAGCTTTGTCTCGAGTGGTGTGTGTGGGCGCCGGTTATTGCATGCAATGGGGGGTGTCGATTGGAATTTGGGTTGCTGATAAGATCGCGGTTGTGTTGTGGCAGTTTGTGCTGGAGTGCCGGCCGTTCTATGTGGCGGGCTTCAACGCGCATGACCTTGTACCCAAGTCTCTGGCCAACCCAGCAGAGCACAAAACTGAAGGTGCGATTCCATGAGCATGTCCCTTGCCTTGCCATATACATTGTTGCATGGCACCGAGCAGCACCAATGTCATCCATGTCTCCTTCTGCAAGGAATCCTTGACACAGTGCTCATATTTATCTCATGTCCAAGATGCGCAAGGGCCTGATAGGGGCATGCTTGTGCTGGGGAACAGGCAACAAGATGGGGATTGACTTGGTGCGCGACATGTTTGCCAACGCGACCAAGTGGAAGCTGAACACTGTGCGCCTCTACGCGCACACCACCGACCCAGACCACCCCTTCATGGTGCCTCCCCCCTCCCACTCTTATCCATTGAATACCTGCTTTCATTGTGAATCCCAGGCTCATGCCAAAGCAACTGCTCTGAAGGCCGTGATACAGCAGCCGTAGCAAGCCATTTTGCCGGTAGCACCGTGGGCTCATGATACCCTGGTGTGCGTTTTCTTGGTGTGCATTTTTGCTCTGTTGAAGCCTGGGGCCCTAAGCTACTGTAGAACAGAGAGCAGATCAGGAAGTTCAGCCGGCAGTCTCTCCACTTTACCATTAAACGAACAGTGAGCCTGAAACGAGCGTTTCAAACGAAAGATGTGTTTGTGTTGGGAGCAGGACGGCCCTGGCAAGTACAACGAGGAGGCGTGGGAGGCGCTGGACCGCGTTCTGGACGAGGCACGCCGCGCTGGGCTCAAGGTCATGCTGTCCTTCCTGGACAACTGGAAGTACGCAGGTGGGCTTCTCTGTACACTCCCCCCTCCTTGATCTGATGTATTGTTGTCCTTAGTTGTCTGGCCGTGCCAAGCCACCTGTATGCCCCGCAGTCTCTGAGGTGAGGGATGGGCATGGCATCTGGAGGACTGCAGTGCCTTCAGCTGCCTGATCACAACTGGCCATGCGAGCTTTACAGCAGAGCAGGCATGAAGCACAATCTGGCGATGTGCAAAGTAGGCCTTTATAGGATGTGTGCCATGAATAGTTCCAGTGCGGTAAGATGTGTTCATGAGAGGTGAGCGCATCGCATGCGCAGGCGGCGTGGATGAGATCGTGGACTGGAGCAAGACTGCCCCAAAGCGCAAGCAGAAGCGCCCAGCCGACAGCGCCGGCGACTTCGATGACAAGGTTGGTCACCTGCACTATCTCTAGTAAAGGACTAATTTCCCTTGCATCACTCAGTACAGCACCAGACAAAGGATTGAATATAATGCTTAGAAAAGGCTCTCACCTGCGGGCAAGCAAAATCAATGAAGTACCACAATGAACTGAGAAGGAATGTGTTTTGGCGCCTGTAGAACGTGGCGAACAAGGTGAAGGAGTACGAGGTGGAGAGGCACGCGCTGTTCTTCACGGACGCGGACTCCAAGCGCATATACAAGGAGAACGTCAAGTTTGTCGTCACGCGCAAGAACTCGGTCAACGGCCGTGCCTACAAGGACGACCCCACCATCTTTGCCTGGGGGCTCCTCAACGAGCCCCGCTGCGAAACCTGGAAGGTGTGCCCGGTTCTCCTTCTTGCATGGACCAAAGCATAGGAGTGCCCATGATTTGTCGTTTGGGCGATCTCAAGCTCGGCGCAGATCTGAGTTGTGAGCAGGTGGCGCAGCCTTCTGGGTGCATGCAATTGCATGCGACTATTGTAGAGCATGATGATAAGCCCGCCTGGTGCGATGACACAGGTGAAGGAGTGCCCCGGGAACTTCCGTGCGTGGGTGGATGAGATGGCTGCATATGTGAAGCACCTGGACCCCAGCCACCTGGTGACCATCGGCGAGGAGGGCTTCTTCGGCGAGGACCGGCCTGAGGCGGTGCACAACCCGCAGGGCTGGGGCGGCCAGATTGGGCAGGACTTCGTGCTCGACCACGCCTCCCCCTCCATCGACTTCGCCACCACCCACGTCTGGCCCGACAACTGGCAGCGGTGCGCTTGAAAGTATAATTTCAATTGTGAAAGGACTGTTCTTACTCATCCGTACTTCTCGGAAGATGCTTCCTTGTTCCATTGCATACGCGAGAATTGCTCTTCTGCAAAGTGGAAGCTACTCCTACAACCAAAGGGACCGTCAAATCTGCAGGCATCAGGTGAGCCTCTAGCTGCCTTTTAAAAATAAGCTGTATTTTGCTTGCCTCTGCGTAGGGTACTGATTCAAGGTTTCGCCTGCATCAGGACTGAGGCGGCGTACCAGAAGGAGTGGCTGGAGGCGCACATGGTGGACGCGGAGGCTGCTCTGGGCAAGCCGGTGCTGCTGGAGGAGTTTGGCAAGCGCCTGATCAAGGGCAGCGACGTGCAGCTCTTCGCGGACGCCATCGACCACCTGCGCAACCCAGTCTTCGAAACCACCTACTCCCTCGTCACAGCCGCCATCCAGTCGTGCGCCCCCTGTCTTCTCCTTTGCTGTCCCAGCCTTGACAGACCTGCTACTTCTACGCGTGCTTGATATGCAGTCATAATTTGGCAAGCCATTGGCAAGGAGGGATTGTTTGCATAGACTTGACGGGGCATTCGGCCCCTACCCGACCGCTACCCGGCCAGGATTTTCTATGAGGCATCCTCCTTGTATTGTTGCAGCCTTGTGCAAGGCATGCGCCAAAAATGCGGCAGATTTCGTCGATGCACCTGCATTGAGCTGTTGCGGGGTGTGTGCGCACAGGGGTCGGCCGCTGCGTGGGGTGCTGTTCTGGCGGTGGGACCTGCAGGTGTACGCAGGCATGGCGCCGGCCGACTACGGCGTGCAGGTGGCCGACACCACATTCGACCTCATCCGCGACAACGCCTCCAAGGTGAAGATGCTGGCCGCGCAGCAGCCGCCCGACTCCTCCTGCAAGGTCGGCTGCTGGGTGCCCGATGTCCACTCTGGCACCTTCTCCACCGTCAACCGGTGCGCAGCCACTCTGCCTCACAGGACATGCTGCCTGATGCCCTGAAGCCTTTTCTTGCACAGCTGGTGCAAATCATCTCCTAAGGGTCTTGATGTCATGGGATTCTCGAAAGGTCCTGTGATGAAACGATCCGTGAGGGCTGGCCAGTGATGCTGCGGATTAACATCTCACATGCAGCGGTGGTTGAATCCATCCTTGAAATCTCTTGCGCACCCCAAATATGACGTGATCAATTAAGGAAGAATAAGATCCATGTATGTCTGGGTGCGGTCCTGATTGCGATGTATATGATTGGGCGCAGGTGCGTGAACAAGCCGGCGGTGTGCCAGAGCGCGGCCAAGGCGCTGCAGAAGTCGCCCCTGCTGTCCCTGGCCGCCACCAACAACGCCCCTGTGGAGGTCTACTCCAGCCAGGCCTCCTGCTGCCGCCCCGGCCTCGGCGCGTTCGACAACGGCTGCTCCTTCGACGCCTGAAAACATAAAAATCAAAACTGAAACAAAACACAACGTTGCAAGAGCCGAGCTCGAACCCGGGACCCTGTCACTAGCCCTGGACGTGCCCAGTGCATACAGGATCTATTTCTCACTACAGCCTTACTTGAGCTCTACGCAGTGCATGCAGCCGACCTCAGCTGTCCTGCACTGGGCTCTACGATACGCTGCCTCTTAAGCCAAGCTGGATGGCCGTTGGGGATCGGAGAGGACTTAGAAGGGATTCTTGGCAGACGCGCGCCCTGTGTTTCAGGGTTGCGCCGACCATTTTGCGATGCTGGTGCAGTGCTTGTTTTGGTCAACAGGCAATGGAATGGCACATGGCTTGTGACTGTTGGATCTTGCCTAGGGGCACAGGTTGTCTGCATGCCTGGTCCTGTTGACTGCGTAGGTGCCCCTGTTCCTGTTGTGCATATGCTGTTGCAGTGCGGTAAATAGCTTGCCCTGCCTGACACATGTCCTTTCTGAGGACATGGCGCCACGAGGCATTAGACAGGTCCGATATTTTTCCGTGTTGGAGGTCACACTGTGTGTGCCGGAAGCAATTGCTTCTGTGCAGGCCCACAATAACAACCTTGTTAGCAGCAGGAAGAACAGAAGTACGCTTGGAAAGTGTTGATGCTGGTGTGGAGCAGGGCAGAGCGTTCCGCTGTCCCTCTCTGAGGTTCAGAGAGTGACTTTGCTGTGGCTGATGAACACACCCTTGTAGAACTCGAATTGCAGCACTGATGACTGTAGGGCAGATTTTCTTGATGGCTGGTGATGTAAGGGACACCATGTCTGTGAACAGGTGAAAGGGTGTGCATGCAGTGTTTGCCTGCTTGATATATTCGTGAGCGTTGCTTTGCGTGAGGGCTGCTTTTTGACTGCAATTTGGCATTCCTTGTAAGACTGACATGACTCAAGTTCTCCCATAACAACTCTCTATTGTGTCCCATTACTACTCTGTTTTCTCTTACTTTAAACACATGCAATGTGCGAAGCTTCATCAGGAGCAGAAAGAAAATTGTATCCAGAAAGGAATTTTAAAATGTCAAATGCTTTGTAATGTACACTCGTGCAGCATTGCCACATGAAATTATGCGATGCGCAGACTTCTAGACCATCATCAAAAGATTGTTCATGCACTCAACACTACAATTGAACCAACTAACAAGACCAGGTCACATCTGCGCTGCGAAGCCGGCCACAACACAAATTACATGGATGGCGCCCAGGACAGGAACGGTCGCTGCAGGTCGTGCACCACGGTGGCCAATTGCTGCATTTTCAGCGCCGACGCCTTTTTCTGCCGCTCCATTGCGTTTAACAATGTCCGCATCTCTTTCTCAACTTCGGCCACACGCTTGGTGGCCTGCGCCGCCTCCTCTCTGTGCTGCGCTGCTGAATCCTCTGCCGCCCTCGCCTGTGCCTGCGCTGCCTGCAAGTCCAATGGGGTTTGGGTCACAAGCCAAACAAGAAGCTGAACAAGCACGACAAGAACAAGTTCAAAGGGAAAAACAAGCTGCTTTTGACATTGCCACAAAGGCGCCAGGGGATTTTTGGAAAAGTGCAGCCCTTGTTCCTGATCCTCCTACACATTCAAGCATTCTCACGTGTTGGCACGCTTGCACCGTTAACAAACATCTTGGTGAAGGGCCGTTGTCACCGCAGCCTGAATCAAGTGCTTTTGAAAAATGGCCGCCAACGGTTGCGCACAGAGAGGGAACAGCGCACCTCGAGCTGCTGGGGTTGTGTGCCCAGGCGAGCCTCCAAATCGGCGGCCCTGGCATTGGCTGCCAAAGCCTCGCCCTGCAGCACTGCTACGCGCGCGGCCGCATCCCTTTGGGTCTGCAGCGCCTCGTCGCGCTGGCTGGTCAGGCGGCGTTCCTCGTCCTCAAACATTGCCTTCACCCTGTCCACCTCCTCCGCCACATACTTGAGCATCTCATCCTTCTCCTGCACACATTTCCAGACACAGCATGTCACTGGTGGTCCCAGGACATTGAATATAGCGCTCCGATTCTCTGAACCCAGTGAATTGGTTTAGCACCGGCACGTGTGCTTGCTAGGACACTGGGTGTGTAATGATGGGGAGACCATCCATGAAGAGGTGTCCTTTGCTTCAATTGAGGTTTGGTGCCCTCTGGCCTTGTTCTTGTGGCCAAAAGGGTATCCGCAGCTCCCCATTGACAATAGAATGGGATGGCATCAGAGGTGTCATTGTCAGTATGCCTTGCCTTCAACTCCTTGCTGGCGACGGTGGCCCTCTGCTCAGCGGTGTGCGCGTGCGACAGTGCCTCCTCAAGCGCCCCTTCCAAGGCCTCCAGCTCCTGCCTGCACCATGCATGCACCGTGGTAAGCCTCTAGTTCGGTGTATGTGGCTCACAGCTGCACCAAAATAATGTGCGAACAAAAGTTCCTCAACAAGCCAGGCAACCCAAAAGGAGCATAATCGAGTAGGGCCTCATTATTTTCAGGGGTCTTCCAGCACAGGAAGATGGTTCCTGGACGTTTGCTGAGGACGTAGAACTTCTACAATGTGCACAAACCAGAAAGATTTTAGATGGAGGCAAGGCCGGGCGATGGAAACGCACACACAAACTAAAAAGGACACACAGCCCCACGCACCTGAGGACGCGCTGGCGGGAGGCGGCCTCGGACTGGCGTGCGGCCGCGTCCTTGTCAGTGCGCGCGGCGGCTGCGGCCGCGTTGCAGGCGTCCCTCTGCGCATCCTCCAGCGCGGCCGTCAGCTGAACCATGCTCTCGTTCGCACTCCTCAGCATTGCCTCCTTCACCTGCCATTTGACATTTTGAGTTGCTTACAGGTAAAGCTGCATCACTTCATCTTCTAGTATACTGTATATGTGCAGCATGCCCACCAATAGGGCATGGGGCGGGAAGGATGCTTTCTGCAAGATCTCCTGCTCATGCAATCCATGACTGTAGCACGTAAGGTCTCAAGACATGAAGCCAACATCTTCTTGGGATTCTGAAATTTGCAATGATGCGGTCTGTCTGGAATCTGGCTGTCTGCCGACAGATGGATTGCAGAGCAAGGCAGCACCTTTGTGGCGCTGCGAGCGTCGTCCACGTCCTTGGACAGCGCCGCCGCCTTCTCCTCAGCTGCCTGCAGGGCCCTGCGCGTGTCGGCCAGCCTGGCCTCGGCCTCCGCCGCCTGCTGCTCTGCCCTCGCCTTGTGCTGCTGCAGCTCCCCTTGCACCCGCCTCAGCTCCGCCTCAACACCCTCCCTCAGCTTCTGCTCCTCGGCAGCGCAATTCTGCATTTGCGGCAGAACTCAATGCCTTCAGCATTGTGCACATTATTTCAAGCTTCCAGAATGACACTCCCTTGCCTTGCATGTCCAATACAAGGATGTTGTCGGCTTCCAGTAGGACTCCCAATAAGCTTGTTGCTGTATGCGGTACGCGCCGTGCTGTATGCCAGATGTATGCCGAAGGTTCAGAAAGTGACACATTATCGGTGAGTCACCGGCGACTCACCTTGAGGGCGGTGAAGCTGCGCAGGCGCTCGTGAAGCTGGGCAGCCTCGGAGCGGAGGGCCGCCACCTGTGCGGGATCCGCTGACCTGGCTGCCAGCTCAGCGCGCTCCTTGTTCAAGGCCATGATGCATGACTTCTGCCCCTGCGCCATCTCAGTCACCTCTGACAGCGCAGCCTCCTGCTCCTGCACCATCCATGCTGCTAATTACCAAAACCACGAAGCGGTCTAATTCATGGCGGAGAGGTCCACACACATGAGTATGAAGCAGGAAGCATATCGAGCGTTTGCTAAGGAAAAAACTGCATGAAGCTCGGACAACATGGAAGGGACGCTCAAAAGATGCTAACGTGAGGGGGGCATTCCTGGGATCTAACCTTGAGCCTGGCGGTTGATGTCTGCAAGGCATGGCGCAGGTTCACTGCCTCTGCAGCAGCGGCTTGAGCCTTTTCGCGCAGCGCTTCGGCTTCCTTATTGCCCTCCTGCACAGTGGCCCATCTTCCAATCTCAGCCAGTATGCAGCTGCTGCTCCATCGCCGCAATGCAGATGCAGAGGACGGCTACAGCTTCAAAGGTCAGATGTGACACAGTGTCTCTGTCAACATAAGGGGAAAGGGCTGTTCAAGCCATATTATTCATGGGTCAGGTGACTTGTCCAGCGGCCATATTATTTCCAATACCCCTTGTTAGGTCACATCAATGTTCCACAGTGCCAGGGTATCCAATTGAACTTGTCAGGCACCATCACCTGCAAGGCAATGCGGAAGTCGGCCTCGGTGGCGGCGAGCGCCTTCTGCGCGGCAGCCTGCGCCTCGGAAGCCGCCCGCAGCTGCGCTGCGCTGTCGGCCAGGCACCGGTCGCGTTCCCTCTTGCACTCCTCCAGCTGCGCCTGCGCGCTCCTGCAAGCCTCCTCCACACCCTGCATGCCATATTATGCTTGAGGGTTGTGATGCGCACTGGATACAACACTGATGCCCACCACAAGCATTGTTAATGCCAGTTGTAATAAATCTGCTCCTTCAAGTTGCATGCAAGGGCACACCCGCAGTCATTGTCACTGCTCTCACAGTCATACGCCAATGAGAGCCACTTGTCCACACTCTGCTCCTCTATCATGCACGCAACTGTGGCGTCTGGCAGTCAATGCCACTGTAGTGTAACAAGACGGTGAGGAACCAGAGCGGATGTAATGCACCTTCATCTTGGCCTGGGATTCAAGCAGTGAGTCAGAGAGTTCCTGGGCTCTATGCATGGCCTGCCGCTCTGATCTCCGCAGCTCCTCCCTCTCCACCGCAGCCACCTCCAGCTTCTCGCAGACCTCAGTGTACCGTTGCTCCGCCTGCACCACCTGTCATGCCACAGGGCATCAGTGATGTTTAGGTGTTCATAGTGGCCCTTGTATGCCTTGTAGAATTTGGAACAGTGGCTCAAGATTTCCGTTCTTCCCTAAGGCTGCGCTTGGGCTTGTGTTGTTGCCAAAGATGATAGGCTGCTGCGTTGCCAGTCGCTTCTCTGCAGTGAATGTGAGCGCACCTGCTGGCGAGCCAGCTCCATAGCTGCATCCATCTTGGAGGCTGCTTGAGCCGAACTGCTGCCGCGATCTTCTTCCATGCGCTCCACCTGCTGCTTCGCCACGTGCAGAGCTTCCTGCACAGCACACTTGCCAACTCGCATATCCTTGCTGAATGTACTATTTCCATTTGGTCGCTGTCTTGCGTCGTATTTACAGAGCACCAAGGGTAATTTGTCGGCACAGGATAGACAAGCACCTTGCTTCTGCCCAGCTCGTCATTGAGCCGCTGCCTTTCCCGGAGCCATGCCAGCTCAGCTTCCTGCAGCCGCCACTGAACGCCTGCAGCCCCTGCAGTGGCCGCATCTGCGGAGTCGCTCCTGGCCCGCAGCAACTCTGCTTCCAGCACAGCCACCCTGCTCTGCAACCCCTCTGCCCGCTGCAGCGCCAACTCTTCTCTATCCAATGAACCTCTGGCCTGCAATGCCAGATCCAGAATGATTCACGCTTCTGTAAATATAAATATACACTGTCATCTCAACCGTTTATCTGTCCAGGTAATAATTTCAGACATGTGCATGCAACGCCGTGCGCATATGCAATTGTGAAGCAATGAGAGACATGCTTACCTGTGCTTGCAGCTCAGCTTTGCATTGCTTTGCATCAAGTATCTCATGCTGCATCTGCTTCAGTGCCTTATTTGCATGCTGCTTGATGTCCGCAACCTGCCACAGGTCCTGGCCATGAAATCTCCAGCTGATAAAAAAGGGAACGTGATGCTATCTTGAGCAGGCCCCTAGCATTGTGCTAAATCAGCAAGTCGTCCTCACCTTTGCCTTGCACTCTGCTTGCGCAGCTTGCAACTCCTTCTCAGCAGATTTCCGCTGCTCTTTGATCTCGTTGGTCGTCTGCTGCAATTCTGCCAGCGTCCTCTCCGAGTCTCTTCGTAATCTGTCCATTTCTTTCTGCACAGTACAGTGCTACACATTAAACGCTGTGCAAAGAATCTCTTCGCCATGTAGATTGATGTGCGGAGGGCAGCTACGGTCCACCTTCAATTACCGTACCTGTAGCTTCTCAGTCCCCGGAAGCTCCTCCACAGTCTGTGCGCCAGACTCCCGGGCAGGCACGATCCCTGACCTCTCCGCCGCGGCGCGCTTCCTTCTGGGGCCCTCCTGCTCGCTGTTCGCGCGGCCCCTGACATCGATCGGCTCCAACGGCGGCCGCAGCCGCTCGTCGAGCAGCGCTGCCAGGCGCGACTCCAGGGAAGCCATGCGGCCCTCCCGGGCAGCCGCGCCCTGCCCGCCGGCGGGCAGCTGGTCCCCCCACAGGTTCTGCAGCGCACCCGACTGCGCCAGCCGCTGCACCAGCCGGTCTGCTATGCTCTCCGCCGGATCCTGCCCTGCCGCCATGTGGTGCACAATGATGGGCATGTGCGGCACGCCGTGCTCTGGCACGGCCTCGGGGATCTGAGGAGCCGGCAGCGGAATCGCGGCCTGGGCCGGCTGCGCCGGCGGCGGCTGGAAGGCTTGCAGCTGGAGGAAGGCCATGTGCTGCGCGGCGGCTGCCGGCTGCATGCCGGGCTGCTGGAGGCGCTCTGCTTCCAGCGGCTGGCCGTCCAGGAGCTCCAGTGTTGGCAGCGCGGCTGCGACGGCGGCTCTGTAGCTGGGTATCGCGCAGACGCTGTTGCCTGGGCTGCCCCCGGCCAGCGCCAGCTCGCGCAGGCTGGGCAGGCCTGCCAGCACGGCCAGCTCTTGCAGCGAGCCGATCAGATTGTCCCGCAGGTCCAGTCTGGTCAGCTGGCCGCCCTGCGCAAGCCCAATGCATTGTTTCGCGCCTGTCTGATGGTCTGACACATGAATTGCACATGCAGTGGCTGCGGCAGGCGTGGCACAGCATAAGAGAAGGTGGCGAGGGAGAGGGAGGCACCTGGAGGGCAGTCAGGCCTGACAAGGAACAGATGAAGTTGTGGGCCAAGTTGAGGGACTGCAACCTGTCCAGTCCTTGCAAGCCTTGGATGGTTTGGATGCGATTGCTCGCAAGGTTCAAAATTCTCAGATTGCGCAGGTTCTGAAGCCCCTCCATCACCACCACTGCATTGGCTGACAGGTTCAGGTCCCTTAGAGCCTCAAGCTGGTTGAGGCGTTCGATCCTGGAGATATCATTGCCGTGCAAGCATAAAGAGTGCACATTTTCTGGCACGAGAGAAGGGATGAACTCCTGCAACGTCTGCAAGCCTGCTCCCACTTGAGAGATGTGTCCTTCCTCCATGACCTAGAACCTCTTTATTGATCAATCTCACAACCACAGAGGGTACGAAAATCAGATCGCTACATTATGTATTACTCTTGAGGACATCAGTCTCACTGCGTGCTGCAAGCATATATTGCAAGATGTTCACATCCAGCGCTGTGCAACCTCCTCTTTCAAGCATCAAGCCTCTGCTGGATGCACTTTTGTAAATTAACTAGCAAGATTGGCTGCATTTTATTGTCCGGTCTGCAGAGACATAGAGTTTGTTGCGACCGTTCATGGTTCTGGCACAGAAAGTGGGCAGGCCACAACATGAACAATGGTGCAGCGATCTTCATGCAGGCGTATCTTTTTCTTGCTCTCTTTGCGAGAGCTGAGGGTGAGCAGCCAGATGCATGATACCTGTAAAAGGTGGTCATTTTGAAAAGATGAAGTGATTGAGGTGGTCGTTCAGAATTGTATTTTTATATGGTACTTGCAATACATCAATATTTCTGAAGCAACCTGAATTCCTAATCATGTTTGAGCCCTGTACTGCCAGTGCTACCCAGCAATAATGGCAGCCATCATGACACCCATATTTTCTCATTCTCTACCCCATGACAAGGCATAAAGGGAAGCCCGTCCCACGCACAGAAATTTCTATTCTTTGGCTTCCTAGCAACGCATTTCCGTACACCCATCAAAAATGTATCTATACAAGCGACAAACCCATCAATTTGAACACCACTGCTGGTTTGTCAAATGCTGGAACGGATCACACTCCAATCTGAAGAAACATTCTGAAAGTACTCTCTGACGTCCCACAATGCCCAAGACACACAAGATCTCGGACCTTCAGAAGAACCCATAACCTGACCTAAGACAATCCACACGCTGATCTCGAAGAGGCCATGCCCTGCCGTCACAGGCAAAATTACTTACTGTCACAATCTCGACTCCTAAAACAGGTGGCTCAGGAAGGCTGACACAGAGGCTGCAAGGGATCCGAGGCCCAAGCTGCGCTCAAGTGGACTGGATGCACCCATGACAGAGCTCTGCCCCATGCTAGGCAGCTGCATGCCCGACAACCCCTCTGCTCTGGCATGCGCATCCGTCCGCTGCAGGATCTCTGCTGTGGACATCATCTGGGGCGGCGGGAGGTCAGCAGTGGAGACATAGCTCCTGCTGACATCTGGCAGCGAGTCTGTCACGGCAGGCGCAGACAGCGCCCCAGCGTGGTACGACTCATCGGACCTGTGAGCTTCGGGTCCCGGCAGTGCTGCCTTCGACAAGGCATCTGGCAGCCCAGCCAGATCCTGCTGAGCTGACCTGGCTGGGGACTGCAGCCAGCGCACAACCATGTACGCTGCGAATGCTCCAGCGCCGACGCACCCGACCTGCAGTGTGCAAAATATCTACCTCAACAGGTGGAAAAGGGTAGAGTGACAGAATCAGATTTCATGCTAGCACAGGGGAAAAACGGCTACCATCTGGCATCCAAGCCATGTTTGTCAAAGCACCACCCAAGGCAGCAGCTCATGAGACAAGGTGTCGCAATGGGGGACACAGCATTCATGGAGAGGGACTGCACACAAGAAGGGGTGTAGTGCGCACCGCCAGAGCGCCGCGCAGCAGCCGTCGCTGCAGCGTCTCCCTGGCCGCGCGCTCGCGCTGGCACTGCCGCTCGATGGCCTCCTCCATGCGCCCCATGCGCGCCATCCTCCTCTGCAGCAGCTCCACCTCGCCCTGCCACTGCCTGTCCACTGTACATGCCCCCACAACCTCCTTCAGGCCTCCAGTCCTTTGCTAGACGAAATGTGCAGGCTGGGACCGGCATTCACAAGGATGGCCAGTGCGAAGGGCCCACCTTTGTCAGCAGCGATCACACGTGCAAAGATGGATGCGACGGTTCTGGCAACGGTGACTTCCTCGGCCCTGTCCAGGGTAGCATCAGGTGGAGGCACCTCCTTCGCTTTGGCTTCCGCTCGCGCCTGCCGTGAGAGCAGCCATGCTCATGAATGTGCATCATGCAAAGCCCAGCATTTTTATTTGATCATGAAGTCCACAAAGCAGGCTGTAGGAGCATGCAGATTAATCAGAAGTGCTGGAAAGCTCACCTGCTGTTTCATGAGCTGCAGCTCAAGCTCCAGCTGCGCGTGCTCCTGGCGCAACTTTGCAGCAGCTCTTTCGGCCGCCTTCCTCTTCTCCTGTTCTTCTTCGAGTTTCTGCGCCCTGTACACCAGGTGGTGCGCACATCAGAAGGCAGGCAAAGCTTAAAAGAGACTGAAACATGCATCATGATATGCTGATGGATTTGTAAAATGCACTACCATGGAATCCTCCTGCAAAATTAGACCATTTCAGAGGCCGGCACTGGCACTTACCATGGGCTTGCACTCGACTTCCCATTTGCAAGGGCACTGAGTTTCTTGAGGCCCTCCTCCATCTCATCTTCTTGGCTCGATGTCAGGCTGTTAACTGCACCAGAACACACCGGGTCAAAACCTGCAAATATCACGGCAGAACATTGGCTGGAGGTAAGCTTTGCAACGTAAACAACCAGGTGCACACCACCAGGTCGCACCTTCGCTGTCACAATCTGCAAAGTCGGATGTGTCGGATGAGTATGATGGAGAGGCGAAGCTGCTGCTGCTGGCTGGATCCTGGTAGTCCTCAAGGTCACTGACCTCACCAGAGAAGGTGCTTTCATCTCCAGCTCCGGTCTGAGAAGGGCGCAGATCCAGATCTAAAGGTCTTCTGCCGCCTGTGTTTCCATCGATGCCTTGTTTCGCGGTCCTGCTTTCCCTAAGTGACGTTGTTAAACTGGAAGAACCTGGCTGCGCTGCCACGACCCTGTCCTTGCTCTCTCGCATCCTCCAAGCACTTGTAGGAGCATCTCGAGGCTGGGATTGATAATGCGAGGTTTGCTGTGCATCCTGATTCCTCGTGGTATCAAGACGGCCAGAGGAAAAGGAGCTGAAGGGTTGCGAGAGGTTTTCTGCAGGCAAATAAAACGTGGTGTGCTCATGAGCCCTGTCAAGCGACGGGCGCGACATATCAACCGACGCCATGACACCGTGCGGTTTTCAAGCCAGCCGTCTCTTGAAGAGTGGCAGCCCTGACATGGCAGGAGCAAAAAACCTAATATAGTTCAGGCGAGGTTTCTCGCTCCTTCGTAGTACTGTAAAGCAAATAGCGATCTTTTAAAGCAATTCCAAGAACTTTTCTTCACACACGAAATGAGTTCTTCCCACAGGTCGGGAGAAATCCACGCCGAGAAAGGCAGGTGGAGGCAGGTGCCCACACCACGTGATTGCCAGGTCACTTCACACTTTGCCAAGTGGAACTCTGCTGGTGCCAGGTGCTACACTGTTGGACAAAACATGAGAGCTTCAAATCCATACTCCATTTATATTAGAGGTCTAGACACACATGTGTTACCGCGCCGCGCCGTGGCGGTCACATGCACCGGCAGCATCATCATGATGCATGCATATGATAATATCATCGATGTGCGCGCGGCCGGCATGCCGCACTACTGTACTCTTTTATTTTCCGGGGTGCATCCACTCGACATTCTCGGAGTCTCCCACTGGCAACCTACTGAGTAGCAGTGTCCAGGATTATGAACTTCTCGACTTAACTGGCTCGCTGCCCAAGTCCTAACACAACACCATGGTATATGCCTAGGCAGCTGCATTACAACAGGATGTCATGCTGCTTTGATGTCTCCATTCCACCTCTAGTTGGATCTCAACGAATCTACCGTGTCACTGCTCTCTGCACACCACCCAAGCACTGTGCAAAAGCTCCGAACGCCATCTTCATCACAAACTTCACTCCATTTGTTCCGCCTGGGAAGTAGGAAATTGTGTAGTACAGCAGTGCCACAACCTGCATTCATAGTCAATTGAATATTCAGCCATGGTGTTGGCATGCAAGCATCAGTGGCTCTCATTACAGAACAAGCTGTCACCACAGCAGGAATATATCAACTCTCAGATGGCAGTATGCCCTCAGGGATGATGGTGGTGATCCGACCTGCAGGCAGCAGCAAACCAGCGACAAGATGTAGCTGTGCAGCGCCAGTGCTGCATACAAAGTCCCCGCCATGCTACCAACATATCCTGAGCAGACAGCACAAAAACATTTATGACAGATGCCCAAAGAAGGACAACCTTCAAGCCATTGTGCCATTGTCTGCCTGGCACAGAAAGGCAGAAGTGGCACAAGTATTAATGGATAAAGCCGCACCAATTGTGAAAGGCAGCCGTTCTGCTGAGAACATGTGCAGGAGCTGGCTCTTCCAGCCGCGCAGAGACACAAAGGCGCCCATGATGAGTGCAGAGCCAAACGTGAAGCAGATGGCAAATTTTGATGGCGCCAGGATGATGACGGGTAAAAAGAGGGAGAACGCCAAAATCAGGAACACGATTCCAGAAGCCAGGAATGCCAGGAACCATGTGAAATGGCTTGTGGAGGGCAGTGTGGACTGAGCGCTGCAGTGCACAGCATGCACTCATTGCACACACGCACAATCAGAGTTGGTTGGAGAAACCATGGCAAATCACGCTGGGGGTATGTACAAGGAGATTTGATGATCTGGAACCATGATGCACCTTTGGATCCCAGATCCCACAGACTGGCCCACACCCTGCACCCCAGTGCTGACACGGGAGAAGGTATTGACCAGGAAATGTTGCACATTAGCACTGCCCTCCTCCATTTTACTGGCAAGAGTGTCTGAAGAGGAAGCGCCTGCAACAGCATGACAGCCTTCTTGAGCTGGGTTCACTGATACAGCATCAAGGCTGAAATAAGGAACAATATGCATGTTGAGGTCTGCATTCTACACCATGGAGGAGCTTTAGCCACATTCTACGTATAGTGCAGCCAACGATGGCAGAACTGACCTTGATCATCACCGGCGTACTTATTCCATTCTGCAAGAACTGATGCAGGTGGCTCGTCAGACCCAGCTCGCTGACCAAAGACGCTGCTGAAAAAATTGCTTGCCATTCTTGTTCTATAGACGGTCACAGGAGCCCGCTTGGGACAAGGCAAAAACAGTTGCTTATTTAGTCAATTACAAGTTCAACTCATCAATTATCTGCAAGCAGTCCAAGGAAGCGTGCCAAGCCCAGGGCAATCCATCATCTTGTAGAGTGATTTAATGATGGATTCCGAGATAGATTGTTTGCCTTGTCAACATGCCTCAGAGTGATACAGATAATCGTAAATAATCAATTGACGAACACGGAGGTGTCGCATTGACTTTCAATTGCTCAAGATCCTGCTCTGAACTTCCATCGAGGCATGCATGCTGCAGCTGCCCAGTCATCAATTGATGCAACCTCCGAAAGCTCGTTCCGGAAAGTTTGGCCACTGCTCAGCCTTCCCGCAAGGTGCTCTTTAATACTTTAATTGTCCGTCTCACGATCAATAACGTATGCTTTAAGTTACACAGATGATCCTGCTGGAAATGGCCAGCTTTGCTTGGAAGAGATCTTCCCATGATGTGAGCCAGTGACGGCCATAGGTGCACAGTTCTGTCACGCGGCGCCAAGGACAGCAAAGCTACTCAGATAAGCGATCTGAAGAGTTTCGAGCTGCAATGAGGAGCAAGCGAGAGCGAAAGCAGAAGGGAAACGCAACTAAGACCCTCAAGCGCAAAGCCACAGCTGTGGAAGGATCGCAATCCTTGGATGTTGACAACACCGATGCAGAACAGGATGCGAGGTAAGCTTTGACTTAACACCCCCTCCACCATATTCCTCAGCAGATCTCGTCAGAGGCCTGGTGCGGTGCTGCTGGTCTTCAGTACTGTGGTGTTTGTTGCAGGTTGGGCAGCACACCAGACGACAGCAATGCCGTTTTTTTGATGCCAAAGCCAAAGAAGGAGGACACTGGAGCCGCAGAAGATGCAGCCGTTGCGCGCGAGCTGAGCAAAGCTCAAAAGCGCAAGTTGAAGAAGGTCCAAGAGGAGAAGGAAAAGCGGGTAGAGCGCAGGAAGGTGAGCAACAGAGATTCTGGATCTGTTGGCCTGACCATAGATCATTATGCACCGGTCACATGGGCAGTGGAAGGCGTGCCTGGCTTGAAGTATGACTGTTGCAGGTTTTGGCGTCCCTTGCGGAACATGAGCTGCCCAGCGAGCACCTAGCACTCATGCAGTCGACAGCACGGCGTGGACAGGTATGGCGTGCATGCAAAATGACTTGCGACGCTTGTTATTTACAGTATGTGAAGCTACAGAATTCTTGTGAACAACATGCAGGGCCTGTCCCTAGATGGCCCCTGTCTGGTCAGCTGAATGTATGACGGTGGTATGTGCAGAGGATAACCAAGCGGCAGAAGCTGAAGAATGCACTGGCGTATCAGCGGCTTGGCCTGGAGGCACCCTCAGACTCCCTGCTCCTTGTGGAGCGCCCAGAAGCTGATGGTGGGCCATCTTCCCATCCCATATTTGCAGTGGCCATGCTGTCTTCAGAAAGCTCAGCTGGATTTGCTGCTTTCCCGCCTGATCATCACTGCATCCGCAGATGCTGAAACGAGCGATGAGGATGGCGATGATGCACCACGTGCGCGGACAATGACAGTGCCTAATGCAAAGACAAAGGCACGGGGTGCCGAAGGCCTCAGGCGTCCTCTTAGTCCCTCTGATGAGGACAGCGAAGAGGTGACCTCCCAGAATAATATAGTCCTGTTCACTAACCTGGAATTCAATGAAGTTTTTGTCAGACGCTCACAGATCTGATCGGCCTGAGGGAGCTTTGAGATCATCTCGGGTGGGGCCATGTGCAGGCGGTTGAAGATGGGGAAACTGATGCTGGAGCTGCACCGGCAGGCATGTCTCTTGAGGAGCAGCGCAGTGCAGCCCAGGCCATTCGGCAGGAGCTGGGCCTGGCAGAGGACGCCGCTGCAACGGAGGTACAATCTGACAAGCACTAGCACAACTTTGATAATTTCTGATCTAGTCCCCGGTCAGACACACTGGAGGATGGTGCTCTGTGATGACACTCAAAGAGAGAGTATTCTGGAGGCGCCCGTAGATGGTGGCAACCATAATTTGTGGTGTGTCTCTGCAGGAGCGGCGGGGTTCGCATGCGCATGCCGGGCCGGCGCCGTTTGTGCGCGTGGTGCGGTCTCAGGCGATGCAGGACGCGCGCAGCGGCCTGCCCATCCTGGGCATGGAGCAGGAGATCATGGAGGCCGTGGCTGAGAACGATGTCATCCTGCTCTGCGGAGAGACAGGCTCCGGCAAAACAACGCAGGTGGGTGCTCCTTACATCCATGCTCGTGGCTATTCAAGACAATGGCGAGGAGCATCCTTTCTCAGAAGATGTCTGAAGCAACAATGAACAGAGGGTTGATTGATGTCTGAAGCAAGAATGAACAGAGGGTTAATTCTCATAGCATGCAGATCCAGTGTCAAGGGTAGTTTTTGTGCTATGCTGCAGGTTCCGCAGTTTTTGTACGAGGCGGGCTATGGCAGCAGTCAGTTCCTGGACAGGGCTGGGCGCATTGGCGTGACCCAGCCGCGCAGAGTAGCGGCCATTGCTGCTGCACAGCGCGTGGCGCAGGAGCTGAGCACTCCCATCGGCGCCACTGTTGGCTACCAGGTGCGTCTTACCATCTTCACTCCTGCTGAGAGTGCCATGCAAGCTGCTGTGACGTCTGTGGGGTGCCTATATGAAGACCATTGAAGTACAGGTAGGGTTCCTCCTTGTGGTTTGTATGTTTGTTGTGGTCATGTTGAGGGCACTGTGCCTGTGGTGCCATGCAGGTGAGGTACGACAAGAAGGTGGGCCCGGGGACAGCCGTGAAGTTCATGACGGATGGTATCCTGATGCGGGAGCTGCAGGCTGACTTCCTGCTGCGCGACTACAGCGTCCTCGTTCTTGATGAAGCCCACGAGCGCAGCCTAAATACCGACCTGCTCCTTGGTAGGCTGCTGCTCTCTATGTGCGCTTGATGCTCTGTATAGCACTGCTATCCAGATTCCTTCCATGGCTTGGGCAGAAGTTTTCACTCTGTTGTGCTTATCAGATAAGTTGCAATATGCGTTGGGTTTGGGAAACATCATCAGAGCGGGCTTGCGTGCAGGGTTATTGTCGCGAATGTTGCCACTGCGCAACAAGCTTGCCGCCGAGAAGCCAGACATTCTGCCGCTCAAGCTGATCATCATGAGTGCCACGCTGCGCGTGGAGGACTTTGCCGCCAACTCTGACCTGTTCAAAACCCCGCCCCCTATCGTGCGGGTGCCAGCGCGACAGTACCCGGTTACAATCCACTTTGCGCGCCGGACAGAGCTGCATGATTATGTCGGAAACGCCTTTGGCAAGGTGAAGGCTGCTACGGCTGGAACCTTCTGGAAAGAGACATTGTGTGCTTTGCCTCAAGGGGTGATAAGGGTGGGTTGAGGTGGTGCTCAGAAGTAAAGAGTGAGGTCTTGACGCAGGTGTGTCAGATTCATGAGCGCTTGCCGCCAGGAGGGATCCTGGTGTTCCTCACTGGGCAGAGGGAGGTGGAATACCTCTGCCGCAGGCTGCGGTCGAAATATGATCCGAAGCACAGTGCGGCTCAGCCAGCAGGTGACCCTCAAGCTTTGCTTCATGTTGTTCACCTACATGTGCAAATCCCTCTGCCATGCCGTCCTCGATTGCCCTCGAAGAGAAAGGAAATCTCCTGCCATGAGCTGATGTAGATGGTCCTTGCAGGGCGCCATGATGCTGGACCAGGGACAGATGCCAGGCAGGCTGCAGATGCCTTTGGTGCTGACGAAGCAGAGGAGCAAGGTGCTTCACACATACATCCTTGGAAAGGCATTGTTTTGCATGCACACGCGTGCTGGTATCCCCCTTAAGGGATACGAGGGACCAAGCAATGCAAGAATGCTAAACATGCTTCAATTGATTTGCCCTTGACATGCAGGAGATGTTGACTTTGAGGGGAGGGATGCGGTGCATGACGATTTTGAGATGGAGGAAGCTCTGGAAGATGAGGAGGATGTGGTGATAATGGGTGGGGACGGCTTCACTCCCGAGCAGATTGCAGCCGCGGAAGCGCGCTTGAATGCTCAGCTGGTCTGTCCTCCAACCCATTGCTTTGCTGGGAAATATACGCTTCACACCAAACGCATTTTTGAGTACAGAAAGGGCATCCCGCAGAATCAGTGTAGTCAAAGTTGCAATGGAGAGTGTGCTAAACACAGGGGACCAAACTGGGGGCGTTGAAAGGAGCGGAGGAGTCAGATGGTCCCGGGAAGGTGCATGTGCTGCCGCTATATGCCATGCTGCCTCGGTCGGCCCAGGCTGCGGTCTTTGGGGCAGTGCCGGAGGGTGCCCGCTTGATAGTCGTTGCCACCAATGTGGCTGAGACATCGCTCACCATCCCAGGTCTGTCTGATGGCCATCCTGATACAATGCAATGGAGCCTAGCACACAACTGATGCACCTTGGATAGACTCTGCAATATTTCCGCTCGGCTCACCTGACATTTGAGGGTTTATTCTCGGTCGCCAATTGAAAGTGCTACCCATTGCGCAGGTGTGCGGTATGTGGTGGATGCCGGTAGGGCCAAGGAGAAGGTGATGGACTCACATGGGGCAGCATCAAAGTATGAGGTTAGCTGGATCAGCAAGGCATCCGCAGAGCAGCGGACCGGCCGCGCTGGCCGCACTGGGCCCGGCCACTCCTACAGGTTTACCCCTTTATCTTGCCATTTAGTTTTTGTCAGGTTTCTCGTTCCATGATTGCTAGTTTTGTCTCCTTTTCTCATGCAAAGCTAGCATGCAAGTGCAGGATTTGGTGCAGCCACTCCTCACTTTTTGTGATGTTTTGTTGGTCAGGCTGTACTCGTCAGCGCATTTCCACGACAATTTCCCACAGCATGGAGACCCTGAGGTGCTGAGGACGCCGCTTGAGGGAGTCGCCCTGGTCATGAAGGCCATGGGCATCGACAAGGTCTGCCAATTTCTCGCCCCCATCACTCCAGCCTGATCATGTCCACAAAAACTGCTCCACCCTGATGACCTGATACCGAGGTACATGCAACAAAGAGGCTCTGCGTATCTTTAGAGGGCTGGTCTGTGGCTGCAATGAGACTGCAAACTGGTGTGGCTGTGATGAGACTGTGCATGCACGCGCGCAGGTCACGAACTTCCCCTTTCCCACGCCGCCAGACAGGGCTGCCCTGGCTGCCGCGCAGACTTGCCTGCAGGCTCTGGGAGCCTTGGACTCGCAAGGAGCGCTCACAGACCTGGGCAAGGCCATGGCTGTGCTGCCCCTCAACCCCCGCCCATCTCGCATGATCCTGCAGGCAAGCACCTCACCTGTCCTAACCTGCACTTGCTAACTTCTCAATCACAGTCTTGATAAGGCTCAACATGATGAATTCCATGATCAAGTGAAATCTTAATCTGGTTGTGAATGACTTCAACAAACATATCAGAACAGACTTGTTTCTGCTGCAGGTGGCAAAGGAAACATCAGCTTCCAAGAAGCGCTCTGGGGGTGCACTTACCTACGCTGTGGCTCTGGCAGCTATCATCAGCGTTGAGAGCCCTTTTGTCCACATTGATGGTATTGCGGTGAGGGATCCACTTGTGTTTGTTTATTATACTCAAATCAAGGTGACTTTGGCTTGGCTGAGAAATTTGCCAAAAAGGTGTGTGGCTCTTGACTGCTCTGTATTGGCCTGCAGGCGCAGGAGGGAGAGAGTGAAGACAGCATGAAAAGGAGACGGCAATCAGCAAAGTCTGCTCACAACCGCCTGCGCGTGGCGCGGAGCGATGTTCTGAGTGCGCTGGCAGCCTTCTGTGCATATGTGAATGCGCCCGACAGGGAGGGCTTCTGCAGGTGAGTGAACAACGTCCCACCCATATATCCTGCGGAGTCTTCGTTCTTACGTTCTTATAAGAACTATCTAATAAGTCTGCCACTAGCATCTAGCAGAATTGCACGAGGCAGTGAATGAGCTGGGTTGCTGCCGTTCATGACAAGCATGCAAACTTGTGGTGTGCATGCAGGGATACATACCTGCACTCGCGCAACCTGCGCGAAGCCTGCGCCCTGCACAGGCAGCTGGTCCACTTGCTGCAGCAGATGGGCGACAAGATTGGCGCCTTCTGTGCCGGTACGGCGATGCAGGACCTTCTCAGGAGTGCGGACACCCTCGACAAGCCGTCCCCCACAGTCCTCATGCAGCTGCAGCGCGCCATCGCGGCAGGCTGGGCCGACCAGGTATCCTGCTCCCCTTCAATTCTTGAGCAGGGCGCTGAACAGGGCATGGATATCAGGCCTGACAGAGATGAGGGAGTGTGCATGCCATCGAAGAGTGGCAGTGTCTTAATTTTGACAGCAAGTGGGATTAGATTCCAGTCTGCATGTCTTGAATTGTGTCGCTGCTGCTGGGCGCCAGTACGGAGATCAGAGTACCATGTTTGCGGCAGGAGTGACCTGAAAATGTGCTGTGTGCAGATTTCCCGCCGCGTGCACTCCATTGAGTATGTGCAGGAGCACTCGACCAGCAACAAGGGCCGCGGCCGTGCCGTGCGGTACACCCCAAATGCGCTGGACGAGCAAGTGTTCATGCACCCACAGTCAGCAATGGCCAAGGCTGCTCCCGAGTTCGTGGCCTACACACAGATCGTGCGGACGGAGAAGCGCCCCTACATGACTGGTGAGACAAGCGCAACCCATCCTCATAGTGAGAATTATATTGGAAACGTTATGGCCTGCGATTTGCTGCAGAGACACAATTGCCGGGAAAGCGGCTTACTTTCTGTTTCATGACTGTGCAGGAGTAACCGAGGTGGAGGCTGGCTGGCTATCAACCGTTGCAGAGCCATTGGTTCAGCTGTCTGCGCCACAAGATGATCCAGCACCTCACTACAGCCGGGCAGCAGACGCTGTGGTTGCCACACATGCAATCACCTTTGGGCGCCACGGCTGGCCGCTGCCTTCTGTAGAGAAGCCGCTGTTGGACAAGACACTGCAGGCCAGATTCTTTGCTGCTGCCCTGCTGGCTGGGAGGGTGCTGCCCGCTCTTGAAGGTTGGTCCACATTCCAAATTTAGCTGCAATATCTTCCTTTCACCACAGGTCGTCCGCATCTGTGAAGCAAGAAGTGCGTCTGTCACCTGCTGCGCTGTCTCGGCACTGCTTGAAGCAGTCCAAATAAAATCTACTCCCAGCGACTCTGCTGACGCTGCGTTGGCTCTTGAGCTGTGCAGAGCTGCGGGATGTGCTGGCGGCGTCTCCGGCCAAGGCGGCGGCAGCTGAGAGCCAGGGTGAGCGGCGGGTGGGTGAATTGGTTGGAGCACTGGCGAGGCGGCAGGTTTGTAGCAGACGGCAGCTGGCAGCGCAGTGGAGCGAAGACGCTGACTTCCTGCGGCCTGAATTGGGGGCCTGGCTGCGAAAGGTGTGGTCCCATGAGCTGCACACTACTATTGTGGTGTGAGGCATATTTGCTGTGCTGAGTGGTGTTGAAAGCACTCTAGGTCGGTATCATACAGAGAAGGTTTGTAACTGATATCTGTGTGTTCCGCCAGGGGCAGACGGGCCGCTTGGACAACATTTGGGCGCGCCTGCATGAAGAGGTTCTGCAGGAAAGGAATAAGTGACAAATTATGCATTGTACTTTGTATGTGTCTGTTGCGCGCGGCCTGTATGCCACCTGAGAGGGGCACACAGGTGGCAAGGTGGCACATGAGGGCCCAGCAGCGATGCCTGCACTTGTAGTGCTCTTCCCTGGCATCAAATTTTGCTACAGTGACTGTGTGGACTCCAACTTGGAATGTGATTGATCTGAAGAAGGCAGCGCGCTGGCCATGGCTGGAAGTCAGCCAAGCTCAAGCAGTGTTGCAAGTTGCACACTGCATCTGGCCTGTAATAAGAGAATATTGTCATTTTTGATGGAAACTGCTTGCATCAATGTTGTCTTGCTAATGTTGCCTGGCATCAATGGACTTCGACTGCGAATGTCAAGAATTTTTCAAGATTGACTTCATATGCCTGCACCTGACTAGGCACTCAGCAAGGTGCGCTCAAGACTGGCAGCAAATGGCAGGCTCAGAAGGTGCTGGAGGGCATTTCCATCTTTCTGGCAGCGTATGGTAGGAAGCGACGGTTTGTAGGACGTTCAGGCCCGTGATCCTTCGATAAATCCTGTAGGGCTTCAGCATCGTTTGTTCTTATCCATGTCGGAAGGGCAGGAAGAAATTATTATGCTCGATAGGATGTTCTTGTAGATACCTTGACCCAATCAATTTGGCTTTCCCCGTCGCCTTGAAATGCGTTGCGCCTACTGACGCCCACGGAAGGAATCCAGTCGACACGATCCTTGGGGTTGTGCAGTCTCATATGTAGACATCACTAGTGTGGTAGGTTGAGGAAAAACATCAGTATATTCGGCTGCTTCGCATTGCTCCATAGCTTTGATGTTCTTCGACCTCACTTTTCCTGACCAAAACCAATCAGCTAGATCGTACTTGCTGCGACTCTAAGAGGATTAAGGGACCGCGACCTATGGCTGAGGTCTTCAGCATTATCAAGTATTTATGCGCAGCTGCTGCTGGCGCTATAACAGCGTTCAGCACTGTGTACGTCTACTCATCTGTATACAGTGCTCAGCCTTCACCTCTTCGGACACCCCTTCGCATTCTCATCACAGGAGCTGCAGGTAATCTGCAATATCAACGTATGCAGGGGAAACAAAGACCTTCGCGCTTGTCTCAGATGTACTTGTCAAGCTGGAGAGGTGCAGGAAAAGCTCCCATTTGCTGCTGCACCTTGTCACTCGTATATAAGCTGTCTCTTGTTTCCTCAGGTCAAATCGGATATGCTTTGGCGCCACTTATTGCAAGAGGGCTCATGTGCGGCTTTGAGAGGCCTGTGTTCTTGCACATGCATGACTCAGAGGCAGCTCAGCAGAACCTTCATGCAGTGCAGATGGAACTTATGGATGCAGCATCTAGCCTTCTGAGAGGTGACCTTCCTGCTGTGATGCTACATTTTCTTGCATGCTGGCCACAATGATGGTGTCGCTGTCATCACACCGCTGCTTGGGTGTATCTATATGTTATGGTGAGCATTCTCATCGCATCTCCAGGAGTAGACATCTTTGAGGATCTGGAGGAGGCCTGCAAAGGCGTGGATGTGGCTATCTTGCTGAGTGGAGTGCGGCCGGGCGGTGGCCGTGAACAGGTCATGGCTCGCACTGTTGACCTGTATCGCTCGATAGGCGCAGCGCTTGAGCAGCATGCCAACAGGGATGTGAAAGTGAGTAGTCCTGTAGGCAAATTGGCAAACTGCAGATTTGTAACCGACTCGATACCTGAATCTGCTTGTCTTCCCGACGTTTTGTGCACGACAGCTGAATGCCAATTGAGCACGAGATGAATATGCGCATTGAATCTGCAGGTGGTCATTGTTCCCTCGCCAGCACACACCAGTGCAGCAATTCTGCGGAGAGAGGCTCCAAGCATTGACCCAAAGAACATCACAGCACTTTCCAGGCTGGCTCACAACAGGACGCTCGCACAGGTGCGCTGCCATGCATTCCTGCCACCTTACAGGACGCGATTGGATATCCTGATACTCTTACTGATGGTGGCATGCATGCATGTTACAGGTGGCCGAGCAGCTGGCCATACCCGTGAGCGAGGTGAAGAATGTGGTTGTGTGGGGCAATGCCAGCTCGCTGCAAGTGCCTGATGCGCAGCATGGGACTGTGAGGAGTGTGCCCATGGACAAAGTGCTGGATCCTGAGTTCATGGATGAGCTGGCAGCCTCTGTGCAGCAGCGCGGCAATGCCATCTTGCTGGTACTGAGAGCAACTCGTTCTGTTTCAAGTTGAAATTTTCAACCATCGACTTGCTTAAGGATATTGGCACGAGCAAGGTTATAAATCATAAGCTCAATGTCTGTGGTCAAGCCAGCGTATGTGTGGCTGACGCAGGCAAGGAACCTGACGCCTGCGCTGTCAGCCTCAGCAGCAATTTGTGACCATATGCACAACTGGCTGCTGGGCACGCCACATGGGGAGTGGGTGTCGATGGGCGTGTCATCCGATGGCTCCTACGACATTCCTGAGGGCCTCACTTTCTCCTTCCCTGTCACATGCCAGGACGGCGAGTGGCACATCGTGCAGGTACACAACAGCTGTGAACCTCTTCACTACCCTATTTTCTGAGCACAACTTTTTGCACCTTCTCAATCTCTTGGCATGCTTTGATTGCCAGCTATCAGCTTTCCTGGAGAGCAGGGCTGCCATTTACACAGTGGGATGCGCGCACAGCTAAAATTGCTCTTGAAATTGCAGGGCTTGGACATTGACGAGCACCTGCAGCACGAGCTGCAGAGGTGTGTGATCGAGCTGCAGGAGGAGTGTGAGCTGGCGGAGCAGTTCTTCTAATGAGGCCCTGGATCAGGGACTATATTTGAGACAAAAATCTTCACATGTATGTGTTAGCCACACAGTTACCATGTACAAGAGGATCACAGCTATTGATATCATATAATGGACCCTGGGTCGTGGGCTATCATAGACGATCTCGCTTCATCCAGCGCGGGCGCCGCGCCATGGGCACAGCTGTGATCATGATGAAGGATAAAATTCTGTGTGCTATGTTCCAAGTGTACCTGTGAAGTACACTGAGTGTCCATGATTGCTTACGCTTCCAGTCAGATTCAAAATGTCAAGGTTCTGCACAACTTGAAGCACGCTGACAAGTTTTGTAAGCTTATATAATATAGCATATCATATAAGCTGCAGACTAATGAAGGCCCCGCAGATGTGGCTGCAGACGCCCTGCGTGTATGCCCTATGGCCTCTGGCTTTGGGTTTGCCGACCTGTAATAATAATAATCATATAGCATTATGATATGCTTATTGGCTAAAGCCTAAGAGGCCAGGCAGCCTGTGCAGCGGCTATCATAAGGATAATCCTGGTGAATAGGGCATGGTCCATCGTATGGCGTGCATTAACATGCCTGCCAGTTGTATTCTTCGATGTTTCATCTGCATGTAGGAGTGTTTGGTACAGAATTCTGGGCAATTTTTGGGCAGCTTGGGCAGGGCCGCGTCAGACTGTGTTCACGTGGGTTCCAACCAGAGTCCAAGTCTTGGTTGACGCTCCAGCAACGTGTGATTACACAGATAGGGTCGATGGACATCGTAATTGGCAACAGAGTGCACCTCGGGGCCACATCTCGGCGCCTGTAGTATTGCAAAGCCAGACATCATGAAGGACCGCAGTGGTTCGACTGCGCTGACAATTGTGCGCCCATTCCCTCATCATGGTAGTCCTGGATGCTTAAAGTGCACAATTTCCACACTGCGAAGGGTAGATGAGGAGTGAGCTTACATGGCCACTGCAGTTCGGAACCCAACCACTCGATGGCTACTGTGGTATCCTTGGATTAATGCGCTTTGAAGCCGCGTACAAAGATCTCGTAGACTTCAGTAAATTGTAGCACAAGGCTGTGCAGTCCCATATATTGGTTGTATCACTTGGGTTCAGGCTGGCAGCCGCAAAATCCCATTGGGCTTCTTGGGCTGCAGGTGATCAAAGTGGGCACCTCTAGCCTGGTGCGCCCGGAGCAGAACACCCTCAACCTCAGCAATCTCGCACGCCTTTGCGAGGTGGTACGCGACCTGCATGCAGACGGCCACAAAGTGGTCATCGTCAGCAGCGGTGCTGTGGGGGTGGGCGCACAGCGCCTGGGCCTCTCTGCCCGCCCCAAGGAGCTGTCGCAGAAGCAGGCTCTCGCCGCCGTGGGCCAAGTCCACCTCATGCGCTTCTATGATGACTTCTTCTCTGCGCTGGGCCTGGTGAGAGCGACCTGCCAGATGTCCGGTTGGCTATGAATGCTCCCGTGCATTTGGCTGCTGCATCTGATTTGACGCTGCAGTGTAGGCAGTTCCACTGTGCTTATGTTGAACCGGTGTGAAGAACGAAGGTGGCAAGAGGTCATGGCTGACATCATTTGTGGGTGTGGGGCAGACATGTGCACAGGTGCTGCTGTCGCTGGGCAACCTGGCCAACCGGGGGCAGTATCTGAACGCCAGCAACACCTTCACGGAGCTCTTCAACTATGGCACTGTGCCCGTTGTCAATGAGAATGACACAGTGGCTGTTGAGGAACTGCGAATTGGCGACAATGACACACTCTCTGCCCAGGTAAGCAATTGCGTGCGTGCATATTTATTGCAGGAAGTTTGCGTGCAGGGAGTCTCAGTGGTCTGCAGAGAACCCTACATATTGTGTTTGTGGGCTCATGTGTTTGTGTTTTGTGCCAGGTTGCAACGCTGGTGCGGGCGGACTGGCTGTTCCTCCTGACAGACGTGCCCAGCCTGTTCACGGCCAATCCATCCACAGACCCCTCCGCGAAACCCATCCATGAAGTGCATGACATCGCCGCCCTACAGGTCAGCACACACCTCCCCGCTTGCTGTATCCCCACTCTTACTGGAACCCTGCACCCCAAGCCATACCTGTCTTTCATCATGCCACAAGCGCCTGCTCTTCTCTGGCAAGCTGCTGCAATCTGCAGAGTCACATCCGACAGTTGCACACCAGTGGGAATGGCATGTCCCGAGGCTGTGGCACCAGCAGATGCGTGGGATGTGCAGGTGGACACGAGCGTACCAGGGACACAATGGGGCACAGGGGGAATGGCGACTAAGCTGACGGCGGCGCGGCTGGCCACTGCGGCTGGCTGCCACATGGTCATCTGCCAGGGGTCGCTCCCCGAGCACATCCCTGCCATCCTGCGCGGCGAAAAGTCCGGCACCGTCTTCTACCCACACCTCCAAGCCCTCAAGTGCGCAGCCCTGCACTACGTCCTGAACTTTCCCGAAATAGCTTCCCACTCCAAGTGGTCTCGTGGATCTTGCATTTCCTTTCAGACCGCCTGACAGCTGTGCATGTACCTCACACCGTGCATGAGTCAAGGGCCGGAACAGTCAAAACTCCACCGCACTGCTGCTCTCATTGAGTAGAAGCATGTTGTGATATGCATCCAAATTCATCACCCGACAGAACACCTTGTGGCTGTTTGCGCAGGGGCCGCAAGCGCTGGATACTGAGCGTGCCGGTGAAGGGCGCGGTGCGGCTGGACGCCGGTGCGGTGCGGGCGGTGTGCGAGCGCTCCAAGTCCCTGTTCTCGGCCGGCATCGTGGCCGTAGCGGGCGACTTCAACGCGCAGGACGCCGTGCAGCTGTGCGACGCCGACGGCCGCGAGCTCGGCCGCGGCCTCTGCAACTACTCCGCCGCTGAGGTTGATCAAATCAAGGTGCTTGTTGAGGCCCTGTTCCCTATGTGGCTCTCCCAGCTCTGTGTCCTCTGAATGCTTTTGGAATTGTCCTTGGCATGCCAGATTTCCTAGCTGCACGACTTGCCTTTCAGGATTGACATTTCCGTGTGGCATGACATTTGCTAAAACAATATATGTATTGTGGGGGTGGTGCAGGGCAAGTCGTCCAAGGAATTTGTCAGCGAGCTGGGCTATCTGGGAGAGGAGGAGATTGTGCACAGGGACAACATCTGCCTGCTGTCCCAGCGCCGCTTCCAGGCCAACTTCTCGGAGGCCACCCTGCCAGAGCAAGGGGGAGCGGAGGAGGAGGAACAAGGTACCTTGTCCACAACTCTGCATGCTCCTGTTTTGCATAGTGCTGCATTATACCTGAGACTCCAACATTCAGCATGCGGCGTTGAGGATGTGAGATGGCACTTGTATAATGGATCAGCAAGGTATGTATACCACACTGGGCATGTTTCGGCACCTTTTGGGGTCTAAATAAGTAGCATTGGTGCTGATCTGCGATGATATGTGCAGAGGATGATGAGGAAGGAAGCGAGGAGGCGGACCTTCAGGAGAGGCAGGCCTCCATAGACAATTCTACAGGCATCGCGGCAGCCGACGCCGAGGGCAGCAGGGCCAGCATCAACGACAGCTTTGGGCGGGACCCCGAGCAGGAGGAGGGCAGCAGCCACTTCAGCTTCATACCCCGGCCGCTGCCCCTGCACGGCAGGCCAGGATCCGACGATCTTGGCGCCAGGCTAGCCATCCTGCGGTGCGCGCCAGTGCTTCCACTTGGTTTCTTGAAAGTTTCTTGAAGGAAACCCCGCAAGCTTCCTGTGCGTGGACTATTACGATGCTGTCTGTGGAATGTATTGGCTGCCCATTGTTACTTTTGAAGGTTACATATGTTCTTCAGTGTCATATGACTGAGGGGTTGGGGTCTGATGACAGGGACAGGGAGCGCAAGGCTGACGGTGGCAGCGGTGCGCTGTGGTCTGGCGAGAGTGCTTCTGTGCCGAGCCGCGTGCATGTGCTGCCAAGGATTGATGACAACGTCGTCTTTGACGCTGGTGAGATCCACACTCCCTCCGGTGTCACACGCCCATGCTCCACTGTGCTGAGACCCTGGTGTTGGTTCAGTGCTGATTTTGCCAGGAGTTTAGGCATTGTCAAGGAGCCATGATTACTAGTGCACGGGCCTCAAAAGTGTGCCATTGTGCTGCCTGTCAGGGCCATTCAGCCCTGGAAAACTGATCCCAGGGAGTTGGCAGGGCAACAGCACACTGGGAGGCGAGGGGGATGTGCTGCAGCGGCTGAGGGAACTGCAGGAGCGTGACGCCAAGGCGGCAGGTTCGCACACGCGTAGGCACATGCATGCAATCAAGCTTTTGAAGCCACATGTCCTACCTTGCAGATTCTTCTGTGCATTTTATTGTTGCCAGTTGAGAAGGCAAATAAGCGGCACCTGTCAGAGGCATCCACGCGTTGTGGAAGCCACTTCAGCAGATGTTTCGTACTACAGTATTATCTTTGGCGGTGCAACTGCATTTTAAGATGTGTGGAATGTGGTGCAGCAGGGCCGGGGGATGAAGAGTTCCAGGATTGGAAGGCGCAGCTTTCCAAAGCTGCTGCCCTGGAGCGTGACGGTGAACCAGCCGGTGTGAACATTCCCTTCAGCAACAGGTACAATGCATCCGCTCCTGCAGTCCCCGTTCCATGCTGGTCACACCTTGAGTGCCCCTTTTAGTCTGGCCAGCATGCCTACTGTTCCAGAGGTGCAGGGCGTGTACATTACATGCACATCTCTCGCTGAAAACTAAAAATGTTTGTGCATGTCAGGCGGGATAGCAGCAGCAGCGCAGGGAGCCTGGCCATGAGTGGATCGTGGAGGCCCTCGATGGGGCGAGACATCCCCGTCAAGGTTGTCCGGGGCCGCCAGCACGGATCCAGCAATGCCCTCAACCTGATGCATGCGCTCAGTCCAGCCTCATGCGACATAAGTGATGGCGGCTGGCTGCCCAGATGAGCTTCTGAGCACTATGGCTCCCAGCATGTTTGGCAGGGAGTTGGGTGCAGGGCAAGAGGTGCATGCCATTCCTCAATATGCCTTGAAGCAGTATGCTTGTCTTAGAAGGCAAACAAAAAAAAGGGCGCCTTGAACGATTCCTTGCTCAGATCATTGCTTTGTTTTCCTGAAGTACAAGATTCATTCGTGCTGTTGAGGCCCATCTTATTGAGCGTGATTGTGTTCTGTGCGAGACTGTAGAATAATCAGAGGGTCCTGTGCTTATCCTGGTAATAGTACTTCACGTTCAGGATCGGATTTTGAGGTAGGTCTTCTGGATGGGCAAGCTTGAAATGTAGGACACGTTCATTACAGAAAATTGTTGCAGTCTTAGCATCGTCAATTGCGCTTGAACAAGCTGCGGAAAACTTGTCCGCTTTCCTGCAATGTGTGAATCTCCCGCTCGGTAGGAACACCCTGCATGCAGACTGTGACTTAGTGGGAGAGGGATAAGCTTCTCTTTAGCTTTGTGTATTTACATGCAGGCTTTGAGCGTCAGAGTGTCAGAATTGCTGTCAAATGATTTGTAACGCAACCAGAAACACATGTAGGTGGGCGCACCAAGGAATTTACAGGTTGCCACTCAATGGGTTCCATGGTCATCTGCTCGGGATCTGCTTCCTCGTGGAGTTCCATATCTGTCGCTGAAATGCTGGCAGATGCATGAGCTTCACTGCTTCTATGATGCTGAGGATCAGCATCGGACTGTGCATCTGCGGGTTGATGATCTGATGACTGGGTTATGCTAGACGTCCCTGTCGGCTCAGCACCTTCTTGCGAGCTGAAGTCAGATGTATTGCCTGCAGAGGAGGCACAATCAAGCCCACTGTTGCTGATCTCTGTTGCTGATGCGCATGAGGCGCAGGTGCTGATGTCAATTTCTTGCAGCAGGCTCTCCTCACTAATCACAGAACCGCTCAAATCCACATCAAACTCTGCCCTCCCATGCTGCCTGAACATGTGGTGCATGGCTGCAACCGCCTCCTCCACATCTGACTGCAGAAACACGCGCCCTGCACACAAGACACCTCTTCAACTGGCTGCATCCTCACAAATTTGTAAATATTGATAGCAAGGAGACAGCAATGTTGCCAGTTGAGCTCATTGCAGGGCAGATTGGATAGGTACAGGGCGCGCACCTCCCGTGGGCATCATGCGTGCAATGGCGCGCACCAACTGCGGCTGCACCACTCGTCGCTTCTTGTGTCGCGTCTTGAAATGAGGATCCGGAAACTGCAGCGATGCGGTGACATCATTAGGAAAGACTGGGTGGATGCAGAGCAGATGGCATCTTCCAAGATAAAAGATGAGTACGTAATGCCATGTGTGAATCTGCAGCTGCTGGCTCAGTGTCAAAAAGGGTCCCACACCTGTATACTGACAAGGCTGAGGGGCCCTGGATACGTGGCCAGCATGCTCTCCAGGGACACTGTGGCGTTGGCCATCATGAAATGCACGCTGTTTTGCAGCTCCAAAATCCTGGCCCATTCATTCGCCCTCTCCATCAGCTGGACGCAGGCCTTTGCTCCTCAACAGATTATTACAGCTCTATGAGTACTTGCACATAGAGAGTTTTCCCTGAGCCGGTAGCACACAGGCCTTGTCAACGGAAAGTGATCATCACAAAGCACATGTACAGGCGCGGACCTTGGCTCTGATGTCCAGGCCCAGCAGATTGTGACGCTGGAATCTGCGAGAGAGCGCCAGGACAAAGCGCCCGCTGCCGCACCCCACATCCACGATGAGGGGCCGGGCTGTGTCCGGGTAGATGGCACCCCAGTCCGGAGGTGCAAGCGGCACTTGCAGCTCCTTCTTGAGTGGGTTGACATGCTGGCGGCAGCGCACTCCCTCTGTCTGGTAAACACACCAGAAGAAGTCAGGTCCATTTGACTGATACACCTCTTGATCAAGTGGTGATTCATTCAACGGTTTTGAGTAAGTGAATGAGAGGCAACAGCCAACAGGTGGAGTGAGTGCACTCTCGGCCCAAGTACCTTCCCGTAGACTGCCTCGTGCAGTGGAAGTTCTGGCCACGCCTCTGCTTCCTGCAGAAGCTTGCTGCCTTGCAGCGACGCTGAGGCAGATAAATTTCTAGTGTGCCCCTGGTGGAAGCGAAGCGGGTGCATCAGAAAAGGGGGATATGGAGGTACATGCCATTTTTTGTTGAAGTGTCAGAAACGGATCTAAATTTGTTCAGATTGAATAGCTGATGGCAAGCACAATTCCATTCTCACCTGAGGATATCGAATGCGATGTGGCAATCTTGAGCTAAAACACACTGTATTGTTGCAGGCTGAACGCCACATTACTTCTTTGCTTTCTGTCAATCAATAAAGAGATTTACACTTCCTCTGACAATCCCATCTTCTACTTCTCTGTAGTTTAAAAATACATTGAAGTTGGTGGGCGCAGCTTCCGCCGCTGGCGGTGCAGCTTCCGCAGCCGGTCGTCTGCTCCAAAGGTGAATCCTCGTTTCATCGAATTCCTTTCCAAGTTTGCAAAGCCATGAAGTTAGTTCTGGAAAGGAAGCTTCATTGTGTTCGCCTCGACAAATAGCAGATTCTGCTAGCATCAAACAGGGTGGCGAGGTTTCCTCCAATAGGAAGCCATGTCGAGGGTGTTGGTTGCCGCAACTTTCTTCGCGCTCGCTTGTGCAACGGTTTCCAATGGACAATCAACATTTCTAGATGCCACTTCAGGAAGCAATGAAATCCTTAAAGTCATAATGGACGGTGCACTCCTCGTTTCCTTTCCGAACGACATGGATTCAATTGCTGCACGCACACTCCACAAGCTATTGTCGAGCCTTGAACGAGCCACAATGGTGTTTGGGCAGGGTTGTCTGGAGCTAGCCCCAATGTGGAAAAGATTGCCTCGGGCCTCATGGACAACTACCAGAAGACATTGCAGGTTCGCTCTCCTCACGACCATGTCCTTTTGGTGGTCCAGCATTCGACGCCTTCTGTTGTATCACTACCATGTGACTAACTGTTTGTCTGCACAGGACGTCCTCTCGACCTTCACAGACACCGTCAACTCTGCAGGAGCCTTGAAAGCAAAGGCCAACACTGATATCACATCGACCGCAGCAGAGGTTGTGGGCAGCACAGAGAGCACAATCAAGGCGGCTTTGGATGCAGCTAACACCGTGTACGCCAAGATCACAGACTCCTCAATGCCGGTCATCGGCCAGGTCGCAAACGGTGCCAAATATATCCAGCAGTCGGCACAGGACGCAGTGGCTCAGGTGAAGTCACTGTATGGAACATACGAGGACGCATACTGCACCCCAGCCGAGTACACACCCCCTGCCAAGGTCCCTGCAAACCTCACAGGTGCTATAACATTCCTCTAACAACAATATGCATTTTAAAACAAATGCGCTGGAAAGCACTTTGTACAGCAAGTCACATTGCCATGCATTCTTACAGGGCTAAGGGCAGCTCAGCCCTCAAGAGTTGCAACCTGATCTATTGCACTGCAGGTCCTGGCTTCACACTGACATTTGAGCTGGGCAACTGCACCTTTGATGGCAAGGAGCTGCTGAGCAAGGATGGGGCCATCCACTGTGTCGGCCCATCCGTGACCCTGGACAGGACACCAGCCACTTTCACATCTGCATACATCTCAGCCGCCAAATTTGTCGGCCAGGTGAGCATCCACTGCATTCCCTGAATCTCTATGTTCCTTCCTGCTCAACAGTTTGCTCACTGTTATGCACTACTGACAGCAATGCAGGGCACGCTGAGTGCAACATTTGCGTGTTGAGGGGCTCAGAACCTGATGTACAAATGCTTCATGTGGGGTGTGCGCGCAGGAGTGCGAGATCAGCAAGAGCTTTGGCGAGACCAAGACGGAGGTCCTGTACGTGTTCGACCCCAAGGAGCTGGCCAAGGAAAAGACCCCCCTTTCCGACATCCCGCACTACCTCGAACAAGAACTGTCCGATGTCCTCAGCCGCATCGGCATCAGCCCCCTCACTGCCGGACCGACCACCACCCCTGAAGCGCCCCTCACCCCGGTCGTAGTCGCCAAGCCCCCCGAGACGCTCATCGCCGACGCTCTCGCCAGAGCCCCCCAGATTCTCAGGGATGTTGTGGTGGCGAAAGCCCCTGAGACCCCTGTGGCAGAGGCTGTCGCAGCCGCCAGCCCAGCTGCTGGGCCTGTCAGTGTGGTCGCAGCGTCTCCTTCCACTGATGTGGTGTCCCCGGCTGCTGGAGAAGTCGCCACAGTGCCTGCCTCGCCCGCAACAGCGGTTGCCGCCCCCCCGCCAGGCACGGAAGTCATCACTGTGCCGGCCTCGTCAGGCTCTGGATCCGCTCCGCCTCCGGATGTGAGGGTCATCCGGGTGCCTGCCTCTGGCGGCCGCTGACCACGTATATGCATGGTAGCATGATGTATCGACCGGCGCACTTTTGCTCAGCACTGTGCTCAGCTGCCTGCAGGGGCTCGTTGTCCAGTTGTGATGGATTGTGCCGACTCTTGTCAAGTGGGAAAATTGGTGGTTTGCATGCAAGGCATTGAGAGAGTTGGAATCTTAGGATTCTTCTGGATTTTATGAAGTAGTGCCCATAAAATGGATGTCACGAGCATTCTGTAGATTGTGCCATGAACTCTCATTGCAAATGTGAGGGTCAACTGATACAGATCTAGAAGAACTCAGTAACGGGAATCGATGTATTCTGCTATATCTTTGCTGATGCGGAAAGTTGCGCAACTTACAACTTATCAACAAGATAACTTCAATTGGAAAGTGTCAGATACTTATAGCACTGATGCTCGCTAATCAAGCAATCTGTAAGCTATCTGCACATGCCACCACCAACTAGTACTATACTACGGTATATAGTTGTCAAGCAGACCACGATGGGAGATCTCAAGACTCTAACAGACTATCTTTCTCAACAATCTTTTGCATCCTCAGCAATCAGTTGGCCTTCATGACTGTGCCTCCATATCCAGAGTCTACTGTGCTATCAATTGGAAGGAATGCGCACGGCGTGGCACACTCATCTCTGCTAAGGTGTAGTCGAGGGAACCAACCCTCCACAGGGGCGGCATGGTCAGTGCAGCTATTGACACCAGGCGGTGAGGGCGATGCGTTGGGACAGGTTGGGCAGCACAGCGTGTTCCACAGCCCCGCTCAGGAACAAGACCAGGCGCCCGGCCAGGGGCGCCACATCCACCACCGGCTCCGTGCCCACCTCTGTGCTCTTGGCACCCGGCTCCTCTGCTTCCCTGTTTGCAGACGCAGACCCACTGGTCAAAAAGCGCTCACAGTAGACAGCAATCAACCGCGAATTGGCTCCTCACTCAAAAAGACGATATGTGTTCCAAAGAAATGCGCTTCCACCCTCGAACCAGACAGTCCCGCACGCCTGCTTTGCTGAATGATCCTTTATTTTCTTTAAAGCCCACACCTCGTCAGATCAGCAGCCCGCAATGGAAGCTGCGGCTTTTCTGGGGCATAGAGATGCGCTTAGCACAACAAGTGCGCACCTGATTTCCCGTATCCCGTCTGCGAACGAGCCTTCGTCCACGCTGCTTGCGCCGTCGGCCAGACTGTCGAGCGCGCTGGCCTCAGTGGCCTCTGCAAGCATGCTGCTGGCGATGCTGCCCGGCGGCCGCGGCGGGTGCGGCGGCGTCCGCAGGCTCGGGGGCTCTGACTGCACCGAGGCTGTGTCTGAGCCCGCGTCGCTGTACGCTGCTCGTCCATTCTCAGCCGCATGTCCGTGGTAGCCTGCGCAGTTCTGCAAGCGTCAGCAGGTGCAGATGCTTGTACCACTGGGAGGTTCACTGACACACACAGAGCCGTCACAGGTCCCTCAACATGTTGTAGCCAGTTGCCCTTGATTTGGCACCGCCGAAAAAGAGAGTCAAGCAAGATAGTATATCTAGGACGAGGGAGCTACCATTTCTGTTTGCCAGGCCCCCATGGTGGTGTCCGTTGAGCATAGGTGGCGGCTGATCCAGCAGGTTTCCACTCGCTGTGGGCTTGCCATCTGGCGACAGGCCATTTTGCGTGAGCCCGTTCTGCATCAGCCGGCCGCTGCCAGACGGGCTGCCAACACCCTGTGTAGTGCCATTGGCCAGGTCGCCGTTATTGCTGCGGGGAGAGGCGCTCAGGCGCAGGCTCGCACGCGGAGAAAGGCCTGCCATCGCCACACACGGAAGTGCGTTAAGATTCATGTCATACTGTATTTCCATGAAATAATTGCTTCCTTTGCCATGCATGCCATTGCATGCCATTGCCCCGCCATCTCACTGCTCACCAGCATGAGTCTGCAGGTCAAGCTTCCAGAGATATAGTCCAGTACAAGCAACTGTGGGGTCTGCACCTGCGGGAGCGCCGGCCCTGGCAGAGGACTGGGATGGCGAGGGCTCCAGGGCCCGGGGCGGCCACAGGCGCAGCTTGCCCCCATCGGCCGGGCACCAGGTTGGGTTGGCGTACAAGATAGCTGTCACCTGCGCGGCCACCCAAGCAATCGAATGGCGAATGGTGGCCATTGACGGCGGAGATTGCGAACTTCTACAGCTCTCTGCACTGGTCAAAGTGCAGCCTCGGCAGATCATGTTGGGCAGGGCGCATACCCGTCGCTGTTGCTCTTCGCTGCCATCATCGGGAAAGGCGTCGCGGTGGCGCACATACTGTGCACCGTTGGGCGCGTAGTGCGACAGCTGGTACTCTGCACTGCGCTGCCTCAGGTGCATGACCCGCCGCAGGTCCGCCTGCAGCTCCTGTAGTGGACCACGGGTCCAGGTCAGGTGAGCTGCAAGGGCCTTTGGGCGTAAATGTTAGGTGCAGGGATGTGGTTCAGGCCGGTTGAGAGGGTGCAGTGCATGCCTGCAATGCGTTGATGTAGGCTGTGAGGGCTGGGGATGTGGCGGGGGCCTTTCCAGGGTGCAGCCACATGATGTGATCACCGCGCGCTGTCCGATCTGCATCAAGGGCATCAAGATATTACACATGCGTCCCTCACAAAGCATAGCTGGCGGCAAAAGGTATTTGAGTGCGAAAGTGAGAAAGGGAGTCTGCACCTGTAAATTCTCTGCCGTGGCCTACTCCGATTCGCGATGCCTCCTGGAAGCGGCCTGCGTTGTGCAAGGGCCAACATCGTTCTCTGTTTCTTACCGGCAGGTCCCCTCCTTTGAGATTCTAGGTGCACCAGACAGCAGTAGGAGGCACATGATCGGCCGCACCTTGTCGGAGGAGGGAGAGAGCTTCGCTGTGAGCTCTAGCTGCAACGTCCCTCCCAATGAAATTGTCAAGGATGATATACCTGCAGCACTGATCACCTCAAAATCTGCATGCCTGAAGAACAGCTCATGCAGTCTGAAGTATGCAGAGGGTGGTTCCTTGCTTGTGTGGGAAGGCAAATGCATGAATCACACCCTTTCTGTTGGAACTCATCTACTTCGCTCCACGTCAACCGCTTCAAGGCTGGTGTCTCCCCTCCCAGGTCTCGGAAAAGTCTTGAGCAGACCTGCATCAACATCACGTGAGTAACTAAGCACAACCTATATCATGTGAGTATTTTGAACACTGACAGTACACACAGCTTAAGGATACTGGGTTTGCCAAGGGAGCACCTGGAGGGAGGGTTCCATGCTGTCAAGCTCTTGCATCAGCTGGTCTTCAGTGATTTCAATGGCTTCCTCCTCGCTCTCAGTGCCTTCCTCTCCCTCAGAGACGGGAGGAAAGTCTGCAGGATCATGGTGCGCATGGCGGAACTTGTCCTCGAAGTCTAGCGCTAGACATGCAATCCTTGACGAAAGAGAAGTGGTCGATGCAATAGTAGAACATACAGATCCTCTATCAACCTCTGAACCCTCCTCTGAGACATTACTTCTGGGCATCGCTGCTCGTACGGATGAAGTATAACACCTTGGAGATCAAAATCGTCGTTGAGATGTGTCAGGCGTACTTCTAATTCCTTCGAAATGCACTCTTTTTCTCGTTGTTGCACCTTGCAACGCTATCGTTTTCACAGCCTACACAACCTGTCTTCAGCTACTTGGGTTTCTTATGTAGGAGTCCAGTCAGTGATATCTATTCCTGACGAACGGTACTGTGTTCTATGGATTTAACTATCTCTTTCTTCTCGAGTTCTGAGCCAATGTTCTAGGGAGTGAAGATGTGACCCTTGCCTATCTTGGATGCAGTATCCTTGACTGCCATCGATGATATCAAGCTGCCATCATGCATGCCACTAAAATGCTGAGAATTGAGCCCATGCACGCATCCCAATGTAAAGGGAGATGGTTATCAGGTGCCCTGGAGGAACCTATTCAGCGACGCGTCACCGGGCTATATATCCGCAGCTAGCAGCCTGCCGCAGGCCTAGGCCAAATGGCAAATCATTTGCCGCAAATGGCAGTGTTGGAGGAGTGACCGGCTCACATGCATACACATGCAACCAAAAAGCATATTAATCAACACTTAAACGCCAACGGGTCAGTGCTGAACAGTTGGCTGGTGTTGCAAACAGATACCGGTATGCCTGCCCTCATAAGCTACAGTGCAGAGTAAGCAATGACAGCTCAGCTGCTGGCCTCTTCACAGATCCTACGTCTACAACGTAGCAGGTACTTCCCTTAAGCAGATTCCTTTCAAACACTTCAACAGAGATACAGAGACATCATGTCGATTGCAGAATTTCCTCGCCAGTCTTTCCATGATCTACGTTTCCATGGGAACCCTAATGGCGGCCCACGACTCTCTACATGTACTAGTCCATGGCGCAATCTCCAGGTTATTGTGAAGGCACTGGCCGCTCTGAAGGTCAAGTGGACCCGCGCCAAATACTGGAAAACAAAGCACTACATTACTACAGCTTCATGGGCGCCACATCAACGGTGGCAGCCCTTGCAACAAAAATAGACAGACAGATACAACTGTGCACTGATGTGCATGCCACCAGGGCAGGTATTGTTCAAGCCCTGTTCTGGAGGTATCAGCCGAACGATGCGGACGCTGCCTGCATCATCTGCAGAGCCTCGGAGGTGCCCAGTCCCAGCATGGCTCCCACCTCTTCCGCGCGCTCCGCCTCCTCTGTCAGCACTGCAAATCGCGTCAGTGCGCGCCCCTCCGCATCTACCGCCTTTCGCACAACAATGTGGTGCTCCGCCTGCGCTGCCACCTGCCAACACAACCGCGCACACATCAGCTTGCACCACTGCAGTATATGGTATGTCAAGATGTCAGTGACGGCTCAGGGCAATGATCACATCTACCCCGTCTCTGTAATCAGCACCAACGGTGAATGAGGTGGTACCTGAGGTAGATGGGAGACGCATATGATCTGGGATGCGGCGCTCGTGCCGCTAGAGTCCGACATGCGCCGCAGCATCTGCCCGACCGGGCCGCCCAGCCGGCTTCCTACGCCCGAGTCCAACTCATCCAAGATCATCACAGACGCCCCGTCTGTCCCAAAATCACCTGCAGACATCCACAACTCACATGTTTTAGGAAGAAATCAGTTTGCAGATTGATGTCCAACCCTTAGCAGCAGCAAGCTAGGAGCAGGACTGACCCACTACTAGAAGCAAGAACTTCACCCAAAGAGCGCTCTGCACTCAGCTGGAAACATCAGTGCGGACCTTCTGATTGAAGCCCTGCGCCTGCACCCCGCTCCTGTGCAGGACTGCTATCGTCGCTTTCGGAAGCAGCCGCAATGGCGGGCGCGGCTTTGAGCGCAAACATGACTCGCGCACTCTCTCCGCCCGACGCCACTGCGCCCAGCGGCCTCAGCGGCTCGGCCGGCCCGGCAGCCAGCAGGAACTCGACCGCGTCCAGGCCGCTGCGCCGCACCCTGTACCCCTGGTTGCCCGCCTCGTACACCTCCCCTGCCAGCTCCACGGGCACGTGCAAGCCCTGCGCCGAGCACATGCAGCCGCCACTTTCAGACACATCCAAGATTGGTTCTCCAACAGCAGGAATTCACATGCCGCAATGCAGACATGACTAAAATCCATGATTAGAGACACAGCTCTTGACGAAGGTATCGCAGACACTCAGGGGCCTGGTGGCGCACCTTGGCGTAAGGCTCCCAGCCGATGCGCACATCAAAGCGCGATCCGGCCATGGCCAGGTCTGCTAGGCAGCTCTCCACGGCGACGCGCAGCTGCCCGGCGGCTGCCCGCCGCCGTTTGCTGAGCACTGTGCCCTCTGCAGCCAGCTCCTGCTTCATCCGTCGTAGTGTTCTCTCAATCTCCTCCCGCTTCCCTGCGCATGGGAACAGTTGCTGTTAAAAAGGGCCAAGGTGTGCCCAAGGGAATAAAAGCATGAACTCTTTTATCCCAGATGATGTCACTGTAATTACTTGTATAGAATTTCGAGGAACAATAGAACTGAGAGGAGTCCTCCAGTGACAGGCTTGGTAAAGGTGCTTGTAGGGCAGTGTTGAGATGGCACCTTCCATCTGAAACCAGCGGTCCAGGTCGGCCTCTGCTTTGGCGGCAACTTCCAACAGCGCATCAGAGGAGGAGCAGTCATGTTGCTTGAACAGGCGGTCCAGCACTGCCAGACGCTGGCTCACCTCGTTGTGCTCCAGCTGCAGGAAGCGGAAGCGCATCGCATAGTCGCCCACCTACCAGGACCTCACAAAATCCCTTCATTAAGAGCGCCTTCTTGCCCGAGCCAGGCCTGTCTTTCACACAACCCTGCTATGCATGCTGTGTAAGGGTGCCCCATCCAGGGATCATCTGGTTCCTGCTGACCAGAGGAACACAAAAAGAGCATTAATTATGGCGACGGCGCTCGTTAGGATCAATCACAGCCTTGACCATAACTGGAGGCAAGCGCCCCACCATCTGTTTGTGTCTATTCAGGGGTGGCCAACAGAATGTTCATTTGCTGGGCGCTCATAGCTTCCCAGAATGTCAGATCAATTGCAGCAGCTTTGCAATCGCGCACCTTCTGCTCCATGGAGGCCAGCAGGTCGCGGGCCTGCTCCAGCTCTTCCAGAGCGCCCTCCATCAGCGCCACCCCCTCCCTCGCATCCTCCTCCTCGTCGATAGACCCGCTCCCCTCATCCTTGCTGTCTGCACCATACATACGCTACTCGTGACAACTCTTGATGCTATGCAAAGTGAAGAAAGAACGAATCTGACCATTACAGTGAAACTTGACAAGGGAGTGGTACCGGCGCGGACGGCGGCGTAGGCTTCCTCGTCGGCCAGGACGGCATTGAGCTGCGTCTGCACGGAGCGCAGCCCCTCCTGCACGCCCCCGGAGCCGTCGTCGCCCAGGAGGCCCGTGCGCACGATGCCGCAGCGCTGCACGCTCGCCTGCCGCGCCTCCATCTGTCGCAGCCGCTGCCGCAACACCGCCTCCTCTCCCGTCTCCACCTCAGCCTCCCTCACCTGCGCGCAGGCAGCTCCTCACTTCCTTTGAACGCAACGGCTTATCCAGGCGCACGCAAACACATGCAGTGGCCTGCAGGACTTGGCAAGAGCCCTGCCAGATGCTAGCAGAGTGTACTACAACGTGGTGGGCCTGCAGGGGGTGCTGGGGATGTGTACCTGGTCCATAAGGTCCTGCAGCTGCTCGCGCTGCTCCTTAGTGCCCAGCGCATCAATGGCCGTCACCTGCTGCGCGAGGCCCCGTAGCTCCTCCAGCTTCTGCCCGTACCGCGCCACGGCCGCACCCGTGCTTGCAATGCGGTCCAGCAGCGCTAGCTGCGTGTCAGGATCCCTGCAAAATGCACATTACCAATTGACGCTTGCTGATGAGAATGGGGATGTCCTGCTCATGCCGCATATCCAAGGAAGACAGCTTCTGTGCCAGTGGCGCCTTTTATGCTGCTCACACTGTTCTCCAAACATCTGTTGGTGTCAGGTAGGTTAGGAGGGTGGGTGTACCGCAGCGTCTGGGCAGCATGCTGGCCATTGACATCCACCAAGGCCGCACCCAACTCCCTAAGCACGCGCAGTGAAGTGGACACGCCATTCACAGAACACCTGCAGCAAAACAAATAACACGGCTGCCTTCAGCCCCAGCGGCTGTCTAGTGGAACTCAGCAGCACAGTGTGGCGCATGTCACAGGAGAGCACCAGATGGTGGATATGAAGTCAGCACACCTGCTTCGCACTCCTTTGTCCGCATGGACAACCTCACGTTTCAATATCAGCTCCTGAGCGCTGTCCCCTCCACTGTCCAGAATGCGCGAGGGAAGACCCATCCTAGTGAGCAACGACTGTACAGACCTCTGCGCAAACGCAAGCCCATGTGCAATAGCAATCTGTGCCCTCACAATTATGCAATCCTGTAATCTGCAGCCTGGTATCCTGGGAAATTTTCTGAAACGTGCAGTACAAAGGCTGTGCAAAGCACAGAATACATGTCGATATACCAGCCTCGGTGCGCACCACGGAAGAAGCAGGGAGGTGCACGCTGCCCTCCACTGAGGCACAGGACGCAGGCGGCCGGATGCAGTTGTCAACGGCAGGGAAACCCAGCAGCTGCCCCAGCGCTGTCACCAGGACCGACTTGCCTGCTCCACTCTCCCCAGTCACCACATTCAGGCCCGGCCTCAGCTCCACTGTCTCCTCCGCCACCAGCGCAAAATTCCTGCAAAACGAGAGGCCACACTTTGGCAGGTATACTAATATGACAGAACATATTGGACACGCGCACACCTGTGTAATTTGGCAGTGTGAAGACAGTGACTTGCTTTGCGGAGGTCACCTGATTTTGAGCCTTGTGATGTAAGGTCTTGCCGAGGTGGGACGGCCAGAAATGGATGCAGTGGGTTCCCCTCCTGGAGTACCATCAGTTGCTGGCCTTTCAGCATTCAAAGACTCTGGTGAGCTTTTCACGCGAGGTGAAGGTGATAAGCTTCCCTCTGCTTCTCTCGGTATTATCCCTCTGTACGCCCATGTGCAGGTGGCGTGCCACCTTGCTTTTACCTGCAAGTTAGGCAACGGTCTGTCAGGCTTTCATGACTGGCTAATCAAGCATGCCTGAGAGTTGCGCAGCATTGCAACTTACCCGTTCTTGAGGAAGGGCAAAGACTTTGCTCCCTGGCGAAAGAGCCGGGAGGGATGCATATCTGCAGACGTGCTGTGTACAAGCGTGGTTTTTCTGTCTCACTGCCGAAGCAGGAGATGCATGGACGCGCGGAAGCATAATTGCTTTCTTGTGCACCCTAAAGAGATCCTGGCCCACTACAGCAGAAGTGCGCAGCAGTGCTGCGCGCATCTACTCCTCCCTGAACAACAGAGAAGCTGAAGTCAGTAAGCAGCAAGGAAGAATAAAACAGTAACAAATACCGGTGTTGATCATACTTCCTGTTACAATATTGCTAGATGTCAGGACTCAAGAGATGCCAAGAAGTACAAGGCCTGATGTCACATGTAGAGTGGATGTTTTCCGATCGTTCCAGTCGAGGTATGATTTCTGTACCACATGTTGGCACAGAAGTAAAGTTTCGAAACAACGCATTTTAAACTGACTTCCAACCTTTAGAGTTTTCGTCTGCAGTGGGGACTGCAAGGGTTGAGCAGCTTCGTATCGAAGAAGGACTAGACAGCCTGCATGAAGACACTGCACCTTGCGGATAGAACTCCGGAAGAGAGTGTACAATCATACACACAGTTCGTGTCTACTTCGAATACTTTTTGACCCAGATCGGCAGTTTTTGCCTGAATTCAGTTGATCTGGCATGCATGGCCAAAACAGGACCTTGTCCAAGAAGCAAGCTTGGGGACGATTATCGGCGGATCTCCGCGATACAACTGCACTCTATACCTATATGTGTGGCATTGGAGCTATTGTGCTCCCTTTCAATCCTTTATGTGATGGCAGATAGACTGTGAGGGAAAGTGGCATATCTCCACCCTTTTTCAGTCTCTGAGTTTGCTGGCAGGAATCCTGCAAGCTCGATGATAATGTTTTTGCATGGTAAAGCAAATTATTGTCTGCCACAATCTAGAATAAGCGGATCTGCGAGTTTTCGTGGGTTTGTGCCTCTCATTCGGCACTCGAAGGTGTCAAGCCACCGATATCAGCACTGCAAAGCTTCCATAGATGACTCAGATAAGAGTCAGGATTCGGATGAGGGTGATGGAAAGGTGTTTGGTGATTGGAAGGCGTTCAGAGCGTCTCTCATCAGTGCAGAGCAGGGTGAGCCTCGATGCTGATATGACAAGAGTTCATTGATGGGGTGCAGGATCGATGCAGACAAGAATGTAGCGAGGACATCCGTTTGACTTCAATTCAAATGACTGGCACTTTCTGACACATTCTGGTTCCTCATGCAGCCGGTGAAGGACAAGACATCTGGTCAACTCGATGGGTGCAAGAAAATTTGCACCTTCTGCAGGAGCAGGTGCTGCAGCTTGTTACTTTCATGAATACTGAGCCAGATTGCACCTTATTTTGCATTGCCTATCGAAGCAGGTGGTCTGACTGCACTAATGGCCCATGCACAGTAAAGCGCACCTGTGTGCCTCAAGTAGGACCGGAAGCTAGCTCAAGAGAGCATATGGGCACACGAGACCGAGCTACCAGAGATTGGGGGCCTTTTAATTGCTCAACCTCACATACCGGAAAAGACCGGAGACGGCCGACTGTGGCAGCTAGTAATTTTCCTGGTGGAGCACGGCCCCTCGGGCAGTGTAGGGCTGATCCTCAACAGACCGGCATCTGCCACAGTGGGCGATCTGCTCTCCTGGGGCTACTCTTCCGTACAGGCATGCACTCAGTTTCTTGCGAATCTCCTGCGCAGCCAGTGCGCCATGCCAACTGTGGTTGTTCAGTATGGATCTACATTATCGATTACAAGGTAGTCAAAGAGATGGCATTGGTGAGGTTCCTGTGCATGCCCGCAGATGGATGACAGCAGTGCAAAGCTGATACAAGGGGCATTTGCTGACTGCCAAGTGTATCTGGGAGCCTTCTATCCTCCAAATCGAATTGCGCGGCAACCGGTCACTCTAATCCATGGCCAGGGCCATCTGGAAGGGAGCAAAGAGATCACTCCTGGCATTTACACTGGTGGTGCGTGGCAGATCTTGTCAACATCTCGCGCAAGTATCTACGCAATTGTTGAAGAAATCCATACAAAGTGCCTGTCTCTTTCTCTCTCACAGAAGAGGTTCTCCGATTTGAAGTTCAGTTTATTCTAATCAGGTCTGCAACAGGCCAGCCGGGAAATCCTGGAAGGCAGCTTGGACAAGGGCAAGTTCCGCTTCTTCTCTGGCCAGATGCAGTGGAAGCCAGGGCAGCTAGCGCAAGAGATCGAGCAAGGTTACTGGTGAGATTTTGCTGCTCCTGCAGCACTTCAGAGCAGACACCCTGCCATGCAATAACAAACATTGCATGCACCTCCTGACAGTAAACGCGAAGCACCAGTGATGGACTTGCTGCGCAGGTACACTGCTGCATGCTCAAGATCCCTTGTGCTCAAGCAGTGTCTGAAGCTGCCAGTGCCCCTTTGGAAGGAGATTCTGCTCTTGATGGGTGGGGAGTACGCACAGATTGCAAGCAAGAGGTATCGGTGATCTAAAGCTTGCAAGCTCAAGCATTTGCAGTCGCAGCTGTATGATGCAGGTGCACAGTTGAAGTTGGTGCTGTGGCGGCCCAAATGATTTGTTTCCATGAAGACGTGTTATGTGAAGATTAATTGCAACTCTTTGGGAGGCGCACGGTGACGTCATGGGATTGATCGTGCTGATATTAATAGCTGTAGTGCTTACATGGCATCAGGCTGGAACTCAGCCAGAAAATGGGTGCCTAATCAGCTAGCATGAACATGGGCCCATGACATAACTGCATAAATGTAAGAAAATTCAATGGGTCACAGCATCCTAGGATCCTCACATAGTGCCCTCATGTAAATTACAGTTGCAGTAAGAAGCTAGCAAATTTCACAAGATTTCTCACATGATCAAAACTGCTGTGCACCCCATCAAACATCGGCAAATGTCCCTATTGTTCAAGAAAGTCAGTAGTGGCTGGCCGCCTGTCCCACTGGCCAGCTCTCAACATCTCTATTGACCTCCTCACCAGGAAGACCTGCTGACACCATTGCAATTTGCCTCGCTATATACACCCCTCCTTATTCCTACGCAGGTCTCCTCGATAACAGACATCCAGGTAATATACAACATAAGAGCACTTGTCACAGGGTTTTCTTCCCCGATGTATTCATCTGTGAAATACCACAACTTGTGACGACCACATCCCTTGAAGGACAGTCAGCAGCTACGCACGGCAGGCAGATTGGTTGTGTTTGGTATTGTAGAAGCTGTGAGTCAGTGATGCCAGAGCGCCAACTTGGGCAGCTTCGCCGGACTTGGATCCTGTTGCTATGTAATGTACAGCCTGCGCACAAACCCCAAATAATGTGAATTGTCCTGTAGACCCACTACTCCAATGCCTGGCCACGGCTACAGTATGTAATCAGGCCAGGGACTGACTTTCCTGTTGTGCAACACAGAAAGTGGGCGAGGCAATGCAAGGGGGTGAGCACACCTGCAGGAAGCTACAGAAGCACAGTGCTTGCCACAACCACACGGACTCAAACAGGTGCCTGCCATGCTGGTCTTCGCCATCGTCCCAGTCCCCGCCCCCTGAGTCCCCCCCAAAACCCCCGTTCCCATCATTGCTGCCACCATCACCGTAGTCGTCATCCTGCTCATCGTTATCCCCAGAGCCGGGTCGCCTGCGGCCGCGCCGCGCCTTTGACAGGCAGTGTGTGGGAGCAAGTACGCGCCGCGTGCTCACAAATGTCCTGCACGCCAGCATAAGGCTCCTTGGTAAGGTTGTGCAAGATGCAAGCAATAGCTGTACCAACCGAAGGTGCTGGCGATCTGGGGAGGGAGGAGGGGTTTACCTGGGTGGGCTGCTGGCCAGTCCAGTGACAGGCCCAGCAATGGCCTCTACGGGTCCCAAGCATCCAACCTCTAGAGCGCCCGTGTTCAAGGATCCCACCACTGGCCCTGACGTCCTGCGCACTCTTTCCTGCTGTGGCCTGCACAAATAGCAGGCAAATTGGTGAGAGGATGAGAAGGTTTTGGCAATGGCATTCGCATCAAACAGGTGAATGCTGGATAGATAAAGCAACATGTAAGTGGTCCAGCCAGACCTGGTGGTGAGCAGGCTTGCGCTCGTCATAAATGCTCCTTGGCTTGGCAGGAGAGAGCCAAGGCCAACAAGCGCTGTGCCAAGCGTCGCATTCAGCACCGTGGATGCCATGGTTGTCTGGTGCAGCACTTGCGTGACAAGAGTTATCACACGAACAGCACTTCTGGGCACCTGGGTGTACACAACATGATATGTGCCGTGCGCCAATGTAAGCCAGCAAAGGGCGCTGGCGTACAGCAAGTTAAGACGCCCTATAACGACTCTTCTTATGCGCAAGCGTGCAGAAGCTGCAAAGTTGCATAAACACTGCAACCTCTGGGTTATAATTTGGGACCGAGGATTCCTTGGAGCTCACATTGCAGTGACACCATGAAGAACGTGAAACTGCTGATAATGGAGGTCTACGAAGAAACTTGAACAGCAAAAGAGGTAATGTGCATACCTGCAGACCAGAAGAAGGCTCAGAGCGAAGCGCACAGCAGGAGCTCAGCAGGTTTCAATCTGTGACACCCTGCTGCCCTTGCGGGACGATAAACGGCGCAGGAGCAAACGCCACTGCAAGCTTTGAAGGACAGGAACACCTTTCTTTCCCGCTTTACAGCTCTTTCACGCCAATCGTGACATATTATAAGCGTGGCAGGCCCTAATCAAAGCAGATGACTGGACATCTTCTTCAGGGGCCTCTCCCCGATTATATTACGTTCTTCTTCTCATGTTTCAATCCTGACATTCGCGTACGATCTCAGATCTTGTCACAGTGATGATATTAGGTGCCAGTGGTGACTCCTTGAAGCACCATTCTGGGGAACAGGTGTAACGCAAGGCATGCATTGGTTGCAGACACGCTGCCGCATTTGAGATGCGAATTTTACATTTGCATCGATTTCTGATCGATTGAGACAGGATGTTTTTGAAGGGATGTGTAGCGAGGGTCGTCCGCCAGCTCAACCAACGCGATTCCCACCTGTTGCCAAACATTGGACAGCGGTTCATTTCTACCCGGCCAATCCAGTGGAGACCTCCAAGCAAGTGAGTCCGATGCTGACCCCGTACATTTGATTGGATCGCAAATCTGCTGTCAAGATCTGCATCAAAACGTTTCCTTCCTCACAGGATATGTGGAGGAAGCAGGGTGAACTTCTGGGGACCCCTGATCACCTGCACAGGAACATCTGCTGGAATATTTACAGCATTTGCGCTGCTCGACCTCAAGCAGAGAAAGGAAGCTCGAAGGCCGAGGACCAGGAAGCGTGGAGCGCCATCCTGGGTACCGGATAGCTTGGTGCCCACATATCTCGAAGTGAGGCAGCGCTGGGAATCTCTGCCAGACACCAAAAGGGTGCTGTACTCAATCATTGCCGCAAATGTGGGCGTGTCGCTCTTGTGGAGAATACCCGCCCTGCAGGTGCGCTGTGCCGTAACCTGAAGGTCACCTGAGCTCAGCTGATAATGTCTGCTGCAGTCCTACACCGCGCAAATGCTAATGGCAGGGATGTGGTGTGTGGCTTGCAGGGATTCATGCTCAGGAATGCCGTTCTGCAGCTGCCCCCCCTAAGAACCCGTCCGTGGACATTCCTGACATCCAATTTCAGCCATGCTGGCACGCTGCACTTGGCCGTCAATATGCTGGCGCTCTCCAGCTTTGGCTCTGTTGTTGCAGAGGTATGATGATGTCAGCATGCGCCTGAACAACTAAGCCCTGACAGGAAATGTACAGACTAAGCAGAACAATTTTTCTGCGGGCAATGGGTTGACGTGGGTGCATCCCATGCACGAGCAGGATTTTGGCGCATACCACTTTGCGGCATTCTACCTGTCGGCCGGTTTGGCCTCTTCAATGACGGCGTACTTGGCACGCCTGAGGCGTGGCTCCGGTGGACGCAGCCTGGGGGCCTCCGGAGCGGTCTATGCCTGCTTTGCTGCCACAGCCCTCATGCATCCAGGTCCCGACTTCCTTCGTCTTTGTCGACTTATCAGCTCTGCATTACGCTCTGAAGCTCTCGTAGGATTGCTTGTCAGCTGAGACGCTGTTTGCTGCTGCAGATGCCCAAGGGGCCTTCATCTTCCTGCCAGGCATCCCCATCCGGCTGGGGGACCTGCTCCCACTGCTCATGTGCTTTGATGCGGCTGGAGTGTTGCTGGGTTGGAGATACCTGGATCACTTTGGCCACCTTGGTGGCGCTCTGTTTGGCATCTTTTACACAAAGTATGGCCACCGTCTCTGGGAGAAGCGGGATGTTATCTTGACAAGAACAGGCCTCGCAAAGCTGGTAGCATAATTGGCAATGTGGTCACTCCTGGGCATGATACTCATGCATGCATTTGCTGCGTACTTTGACATTGTTCTTGTTCTTAATCGCTGTGTTTGCCATACTTTTTCATTCTCGACTTGATCTGCACGTGCACTTCACCCTAGGCTAGTGCCTAATCACAATGTGACTTACTGCCTGAACTTGGTTGAATCTGGTTGAACCTGCCAGAATGCAACACGTTAATTAATTGCGGCAGGTCATATCCTCCTACGCAGTGCCATCAGTTATGATCACGGTAATCATGATCATGCCATTGATCAATGGCATGGCTTCTGGCACATGCCAACTGCCAACTTGGAGACAGGCAACAGCGCTGTCTGTAGACTGCGCGAGCGCCACTGGCATTCGGCCAGCTGCAGCTGGCCTGCAGGCTCATTAGGGGGCCCTAATGATCCTGAGGCTTGGGGTGCCAGAGTCAAGCTTTACTACATAGGAGGTCACCTTCATCATTCACAGAACATGTAAGTTTAAACCGGAACCCCGCCTCATTCAGAAATGGCCCCCCCATGCAAAATTTTGGGCAGTCCATAACTCGCCTAGGCATGGAAGATCATGCACCTGTCTCACTGCCGGTCTTTATTTCTTTGATGTAGAGTCTAATTTTCCCCTATTCCTGAATACGTAAAATCTTTGAAGTGGCTAATCCTGATTGGTAAAACAGCTAGGATGATGGCTCTCAACAGCGCAGCAGCTCGACAGGGAGCTTGCAGCATATCTGGGCGGCTTGCCTTCGGGCCCGCTGGTGCTTTTCCTAGTCAGATAATTCCAGCAATACAAAGATTGCAGAAAGGTATGTAATTTCCAAGGTTGATCAGTTCTGCTTTGTTCAAAAAGGAATGAAGCGCATCTCTTTTGAGCAAGGTTGTCGAGTTCCTTCACCTGCCATCCTACATTTCTACACTCCAAAACGTTCTTTGAAAACTTGTCATAACGTTCCCAGATCTGTCCCTGCAGGTCTTCAGCTGTGCAGGGTTACAAACGTGGGGAAGGAGATGGCCGATGAAGAACTAGACAAATTTAATAAGGAGTTCATCAATCTGGGGCCTCAATGGCAGATACCAGATCCAGAGTTAGGTCCTCTAGAGCAACGCGTGCAGACCACGTTTGTTGAAGGACTGCTGTCAGGAGAAATTAGTCCTGAGGATAGCTTGTACTGGTTCACAGAGCCAGAGGGTAGGCACTGACCCCTTCTGAGAGCCAAGCTTTGCAAGCGCTGCTCCTTATGCTCTGCACATAGGCACTGTTGCGAAGCGTGTGTGTCTGTCCACTGTTGGCACAGCGTGTAGCAGTCCTCAATGAGTGTGATACTGTGCAGGTGGGTGGAATCAAGCTGACAAGATACTGAGGAAGGCTAGGGAGGTGGCACCAACGTATGCATTTGCAAATCATGAGGGTCCTGGCAGGGTGTGATTCTTCATCCTTCTTTCACCGCACTACCTTCTGAGAGGAGGCCTGTCTTGATATTGATAAGGTCAGTGGTAATCTGTCTGACTCCCATGCTGTGCCTTGCAGCGTCCCTTGAATGACTATCGCGTGGGCATGGAACTTTCGGGGACCGTCTGTGCTCTCTACTTCAATCATGGAATCAAAGTGGACCTTGGGGGCCAGTATGACGGGTGAGGCCACCTGGGAACTTGAATCATCAACTGATTTCAGACAGGCGGCGCCAATCTGCCAGGAGACTGAAAGCCATCTCTTGCCACGCCCTCTTAAAATATGTCTGGCATCCTGCAGGATGTTGCCTGTCATCAACACAGATGATGCTTGGGCAGCCCTGAGAGGACATTTTGAGCTAGATTCACCTGTGAAAGTGCGGGTCCATAAGGTGATGCATACACCTCCCCCTGAATCTAGAGTGCCTGGACGAGAAACATGTGAGCAGTGGTGCATGGTGTGAGGTGGTCTACTACTGCAATGTGTGCCGCAGATATTCTATGGGCCACGTTGCCGATTTCCCATTCAGCTGGAGCTTTTGGAGCCTGCCGAACTCATTGACCAAATGTGCGCAATGCCAGTTGCTTGTGCCAGTCTTGACATTTTTATGCGCCAGTTTCAAACAAGTCAGTGACTGTTGGACTAGAAACTCTGCTCCGAGTACAACCAGGGGCCACGAAGCAATTGTGTTCTTTGTGCAGGATGCCAAGCGATGATTACTTCCCCTCGTTTGACCTGCGCGATCTGTCGACTGTGGAGGAATTGGAGTGGGCCACTGGGGGCCTGGACGTGACTGCCGGCAAAGAGGTGGAGCTCAATGTGTTCAGCCGCGACAGGCTTGAAGACCTCAAGGTGAGCTCAAGTGGTCTCTTTTTATGAAGTCTATCATACCATTGCGCTGCAAGGACAATTAGGAGGTTGCCTGACAGGTCAATGGAAGCAGAGGCGGCTGGCAGACAGTGCCACGTAATCATTGTGCCGCAGAGTAAACCTTCGGAGGGCGATCATTGCGTACTGCAGTTTTTATGGCAGCGCACGGAATATTCATGTAATTGCTGTCGCTATATGCATATCATAAACTCCGCAAAGGTGGCCAGTCCTATCTGAAGCCTCTGCTATGCACTTGGTGCAGGCGCAAGTGGCCAGCGTTTCAGCAGTGGAGAGTTGGCCTGAGCGGCTGCAGAAAGGCACTCCGCCCCCTCCCCTGCCCCAGTACATGCCGCCATCCGCCATGGAAGAGTACATGGCATCGTCATTCTTGTGAGAGCCTTTTGCGAGGGCTTGTGTATCATACCTCGCGGCAAGCTGCCAGCTTTCGCAAGCAGGTGCCCTGAGGTTGGCTGGAGATTCATCTGCCTCCCCAGTGCCTGGCATTGTGTTCAAGGGCATGGTTGGCTCCATATGCGGCATTGCTTGGCAGCTTGTTCCAGAAGGACCCAGGACGTGCGGGGTATGCAGAAAGTGGTCTGCCAGCAGTCTTGCCCAAGACTGCTGGCAGTGATCAGTGATCACTGCGGCAGCTGGCAGCTCATGATAATGACCTTGCAACTCTGAACTGTTCAACCATAGATTGCCGCGTGTGGTCTGTGGGTATTGTTTTTGTGGGGTGCTCCGGAGGATCCTGCAATGTCATTCCTGCATCAACACAATACCTGCTAATAAGCCTGAGGTTTCATCTGGACCAGAGCATACATATTCTATATTCTGAGCTCAACTAATTACAAAACTGTACAGACGGTCTGCGCTTGAAATACTGCAAGTAGATGTTGGACTTCTGCAGTTTCCAGGAGGCCTCAATTTTGAAGTGACTTCACTGAAGACAACAGCGACCGACGGCGTCGCGAGCGGGCCCGTTTGGGCTTTGGCTCTAGCGCTATGTATACAGCTGTTAACAACGTTGGGCTGCGGGACTCCGCAGATGACTGAACCTGAAAATTTAGCGCAAGCGCAATTGCATCGTCCATGACGCCAAGATCTGAATACTGTACAAGCTGACATTCCCCCTTCTGTGCATGCCAACGAGGACAGATAGACCTGCTCGGATTTTAAAACGACAGCTGGCAATGGAGGCCGCATGTCACAGCTTCGCAGCAGCTTGCAGTGATACCGTCAACCGTTCCTCCAACTTGATAACCCAATTTGCTCCCCAATCACTCCTTAAGTCACGTAGAGCTTCATTGGGAATTTGCACTAAGGAAATTTGCAAACGGGTTGGTGTCCACTGAGCGAAGTGTATTCGTCCTGAAAAGGTGCGGCATCGAACACTCAAGCGTCCGGTTTCCCTATCTTCACAATCCCCATCCTTTCATTCTCCCTTTTAGCATCCTTCGGCATTTGGGTGCCTGAGGCTGTGCTGCACGAATGTGCGGCGATATCACACAAGCCCTGAAAATTAATCCCTGGATCTCTTGTGGCCTTGCAGGCAGAGCGGGAAAGCGCGCCGTTTCACAAGGGAGCACGATTAATCTAGAGAATTCACAGGTACTTGTTGCCTTGGTAATTTTACTGTCGAGAGTAAGGTCGCTTCTTGGCTGGTATACACGAGTGGCACCACTTTTCGCAAGGTGTCGATGTGTACCGGATATAGTCTTGGCTCAGCTGGAGCAGTATTGTCCAATACACTGACCTGTGGTTCCGTCAATCATCGAATGATCGTATCTTTACCTATTCGGAATGTCTGGCTTGGAAGCTCCCGTCGAGATCCAGTGACATTAATGGAGTCCCAAGCATGAGCGCACCAGAGAATCCTCCTCCGATTCAAATCAAGCTTTCTTGAACAACCTTGTACATCGATGCAGCAGTACTTATCCAGGTGTTATTTGCAGTCTCTGAGATCTGGGCTTTGTATGCAGATGGCCAGCTACGGGCGTCTCCTGGTGATCGTAGGCCTGCTCACATTGGTTGTGAGCAATGGAATTGCTGTTGAGGGAGTGTCCATGGCGCAAACACGAAAGCTGCAGCAGCTGCTGGCTCCGGTTACAAACGCAGTTGTAGGTGAGGGGTTGTAATGCCATTCTGCTTACGGAGTAACAGTTGGATTAGCGCTGTAGGCTGATGTCACAACACATACTAGCATGCACCAATGCTGGTGCCATACATGCCTGTGTTCAGTCGCCGCATTGCTAGAAATGCACAGAAGTCAGTGCATTTCTAGCACAGAAGTCCCAAGGCACCTTCAGTGCAAACGCTGTTCCGTTTGACGAATGATGTCATGTCCCGTGCAGGTGGGAGCTTGGCAAACACCCAAAACAACAACAATAACAATAACAACAACAACAATGGTGGCAACGGATATGGCTCAAACAACAACAATAACAACAACAATGGCGGTGGCTGCGGCGGTTTGCTGTCTCCTGTCACCGGCTGCGGCCTGTTGGTGAACAGTCAGAACACCAACAACAATAACAACAACAACGGCCGCAAGCTACTTGCCTAGAGTGGCGCCTTTATGAACTCAGTCTGACTAACAGAGTTATTTTGCCCCGCTGCACTGATGATGTCTGGTGTGGCGGCTTGTCCCAATGTGGCTCACGCATCCCTAAGCACTGCAGGCGTGGTGCATAATGAGCACCCATGCAGTCGCAAGGATGCTGCGAGCATTTGGAGATCTTGCTGCTGTGCTCAGTTCTGTCTTAATTTGCAGCAGGTGTTCATGGGCGAAACAAGTCATTTTCTTCTTGGTTGCTGCACTTCCTTATAAGATCAGAAATATGATCGTTCCAAATTCTGAGTCAGTCAAGACGTTCAACAGTAACCTACTGATCAGGTTGCGCAAGGAAACACATTTCATTGATGTGTTAAAATTTATTCAGAGGCGGATTACCTCAGGCAGTGCATTAGTGGCCCATTTTGGGGGGCATATGCATGGACGGCGTCTGACTTGCACTCATGAGATCTAGAGATCGTCACCAACATGCAAGCTTTTCAATGTTATTGCAATTGAAGGTTGTTAATCATGGGATGAATGGTGGCGCCACCGATTGACATTCCTGACTACTGATGTGGGGGATTTCAAGTTCCAGGACTAGATAGCAAATATGATTCTGGGCGCTGGTAAATTGTTTGCTTGTAAACAGCGTGTCACAACCCAGTCAGTCCTGAACAATGTACATGTAAAGAGTCACATTCTGTTCATTTGTTTGAGCAAACACACTGGACCCTGAGCATGGCTAATCCAAGTTTGATCTTTATAGAAACATTGTATGATATGCCAAAGTGATCCAGAGGTGGCGCCTGCGGGGCACAGCTCTTGAGGGATGTTCCAAACCACAAGCCTCTCTTTCGTCTTGGTGCCAATCAAACACAATGTACACAGCACAACAAGTGACCCCAATCTGCTCGATGCAACGGCAACTGCCCGCCAAACACACAGCACTGCCCGGTACACCGTCAGCAGCAACTCCCAACTCCATCAACAGGAGTGGAGCTCCAACAGTGCGCCAGGCTTGCAAGCACTGCTCAACTAAGAGCACGCGCCTACTCGTCTCCCCCAGGGGGCGGAGTGGGTGTGGCGGCCGCAGAGACGCCCCCGGCAGCCGAGCGTTTCTTGGTGGCGGGGCCTCCGGCGGCGCCTGAGGCGCGGCGCTTGCGCACGGGGGCGCTGCCGGAGACGTCGGTGGCAGCGCGCGACGCAGCGCTCTTGCGGCCGGGGCCGCCTGTCTTCTTGCGCTCCTCGCGCTCGGCCGCCTCGTTCTCCTCATTCTCCTTTTCCACCAGACGGATCAGCGTGTCGCACCGCCGCGCCAGCTCCTGCAAGACACCCGATACACATGATGTTGAGCTGCTTGAACTTTTTTGTGCTAGCCTCTGCTGGCATCTTACAGCAGCACTCTGGGATTCAGCAATAGTACTGTGGTAAAGTATTATCTGAGCGAGACAAGGTTCCCGGCAGGAAGCTTCACGCGTCACTGATCAGGAGGAAAATTCTGGCAGGCTGAGATCGGAACCTGGGGCATGCGGGACTTGAAGAACCAGTCGAAGCGGAATCGCCAGGAGCGCCTGATCTCAGCCTTGAGCTCGTCCCAGGCGCCATAGCCCAGCTTGTGCACCATGCACAGGATGAAGCGGTCCTCCTCCTCTGCACAGCGCGCACCACTCAGATCAGTCCAAATTGTGACCAAGAAGAGCCCTAGTATTAGAACACCTGCAATGTGGGCAGTTGTAGCACATGGCTGCTGGATCCCACGTCAAGACGCCTGTGCCGCACCTGTGTAGGCCTTGCCCTTGTTGGCGCCGTACTGCAGCTTGAGCTCCTGCCAGGGGTTCTTGTAGCGCTCCATCTTGGCCGCGATGGCCGTCATGATGTCCTGCTGCCTCTGGATGCGCTGCTCTCCACGCTCTGCCAGTGCAACATGTGTGCTTCAGCTCACTCCTCCCCACTCAGAGACTGGCAAACAGTGTGTAAGTAAAGCATGACTGGCTGCAAAGGCACAAGCACAGTGAGCTGCAACGCGCACCGATGTTCTTGATGACACGCTCCCAGTCGGACAGCTCCTTGTAGCGCTTCCAGAAGGTCTTGCTGTAGGTGCTGACCTCCTCCTCGGTCTTGCCGTCCACCTCCCGCGTGATCTCCGCCAGCGAATTCCGCCCGTACTGCAGCAACATACACGTTCGTATTCAGAGCCATGCAATCATGCAAGCCTCCACAGAAGGCAGAGATACTCACTTTCACCATCACAAGCCTTCAAGCAGTGTGCTCCTCATCTCACAAGTGATGAAGGCCAGGGCAGCACGGAGGAGCACCTTCTCGCAGGCGCGCACAAAGGCGTTGAAGTCGCGGCGGTTCCAGTTGGAGAAGCCCTCGGACAGCAGCTGCTCCTTCTCCTCGATCTCCTCCTCGCCCAGCGGCTGCGGATCGTCCGGCGCGGGCGCTATCTGCGCCTGCACCACATCTTCCGACGCTCCCTGCACCAGTGCATGACAATGCGTTTCACAACTATGCACGCCCAATGGCGTTGCAACAAGCTGTCGATTCAAGCTAGACTGCTCAGAAAGACCCCAGCAGACACACCTGCGCTCGAGCAGCGGTCTCCTTCTGGGACTGCGCGTGCTTGAACAGCTCGTATGCCTGCTCCTTGTCAAAGATCTCTGTCAGACGCGGCACGTTGAAGAACTGGAAGTCCTGCAGCAGTGCAAACTGGTGTCAGCAGACCCACCTGCTGGAAGCACGATTTGCATGTGCAAGTGAGGGCATGGCATGCAGTGAAGGCGCGCAGACACATGTCAGGACCGCGCCTGCAGCTGGGGCATCTTCGGCAGGCGCAGGCCTGATGCGCGCGGCCCGGTGCCGGATTTCATGGCCTGCCGGAAGTACTCATTCTCCGCGTAGTTGACCACGCGCTTGCGCTCGCGCTTGGGCGGGTCGATCCAGTTGGAGCCTGCCCGCCGAGCAACCACAGATCTTAGCTCCCAATCCCGCAATGCAAGACGAAGATCTGCCAGACTTGGTGACTGTCCAGCACTATACTAGTTGGCATTATGAGAATCAAAAGGAGCGCGCGGAGATACCGGCAAGCTGCTTGAAGTTGGGGAGCTCTTCAGGGACGTCATCCTCGTCCTTGTACTCGTAGGCGTTGAAGCCGCCGTCCAGCGTGAAGGCCTTTGCGTTTTCCGTGTACTGCTTCATCTTCTCGTTCAGCTCATTCGTAGCGCGCATACCCTTCTGGATGATGGCGTCGATGTCCTGGTCCGTGATGTTGGCCGCCTGTGCGCGCACATGCACCCTGGTGTCAGATGCTGACAAATCCCATCACCGCAGTGCAATTGTCAAAAGCGCCCCTTTACTGAGTCAGCATGCCCATGAAGTCCTGACGCACAACGCTGCATGTTGTGGGCAAGCCGGACCGACACATCCACTACAGGGGACATCTGCGCATGAGGAATGGGGAGCGGTTGCAGGGAGGCTAAAATGTTGTTGGGAAGCAGCAGCACACCTCGGAGGAGAAGACCATTTCAGCGCCGTAGCGGACCATGGAGAGGAGGTCATCCTTGTTGACAGTCTTGGTGTTCTCGGTGAGGCGCCCCTGCTGGATGACCAGCGCGTCCAGGCGCAGCTTTTTGTAGGCCTTCTCGATCACCTTCTCCTCGATGCTGTTCTCCACGCAGAACCGGAACACCTGCACCTCCTTCTTCTGCCCGATGCGATGCGCGCGGTCCATGGCCTGCAGATCCATCTGCGGGTTCCAGTCCGAGTCGAACAGCACCTGCGCAGCAGTCCCCGTGTCTCACCCAGGCGTCTTTCAGGAGGACCCTGCGTGTGATAGGACGCGCTCGACAAGACATCAATCGATGACATGACAACTGAACTTGAAATTAAAGTCAGGTCAACTGCGCACCACAATGTCTGCGGTGTAGAGGTTGATGCCGAGGCCTCCGGCACGCGTGGACAGCAGGAAGATGAACTTCTCGCTGCCCTCTGCGTTGAAGCCATCGATCTGCGACTCGCGGTCCTCTCCAGAGGTGTTACCTGTGCATGCATGCATCCTCAGTGCGCTTGCAGAGGCTTTGGAAGACAGCTGGCCTGATGGGCAACCACAAAATATGACAGGTGGTTGCCCTGAGATGTGTTCTGCACAGAATATCTGGCTTCAGCACAGGAGGAGTGACAAGCAGAGGTAATGTACCATCGATGCGGCAGTACTTGTAGCCGCGGTAGAGGCAGTAGTCCTCCAGGATGTCCAGCAGACGCGTCATCTGGCTGAAGATCAGCACACGCGAGTCGCGCGACTGCAGCTTCGGCAGCAGCTTGTCCAGCAGCACCAGCTTCCCTGCTCGCGCACAAGCGATATATTATACCAGGACAACCCTCCAGCCTACAGTAAATAGAAGTGCAGAAGTGGCTGCTGGCATCGCAACACACTCAGAAGAGAGTCTGTTGATATGCAGCACCCACAGTGGAAAGGAGGAGAGATCTGCACCTGAGTTTTCGACAAGGTGCTCGCCCGTTGTGTAGGGCGGCCCTGGTTCGGCACCCTGGAACAGGTAGGGGTGATTGCAGCACTTGCGCAGCTGCATCACGATGTTGAGCAGCCGAGACCTGTCCGCGCCTCCGTTGATGGCGTCAATGTCCTGCGGTGATATGAATTGCTAGTGAACACACGCCATTGCTCACATGCAGGAGCCATGAGATTAGGAAGAACTTACTCCATGTTTTATTGTCATACATTGTAGATTACATCATGCATGGTGCAATAGAAGAGCAGCACGGAAGCAGACCTTCTGCAGGAGTGCAGCGTAGAACTTCTTCTGCATCTCGCTCATGCCAATCTTGAGGATGGTCTCCTTCTTGGGCGGCAGGCCCTTCTCCACATCACTCTTCAGCCGCCGCAGCAGGAAGGGCCGCAGCACCTGTCATTGAACACCACGCAGTCTGCTCATCCACCCAACACCTAAGTTTTCCAAAAGCTTCTTCATGCGCGGTCAAACACTCATGCACGACGGGTGAGTAACGCGTAAGAACCTGCCCCTGGGAGAGGGATACCAACTGGAAACGGTTGTTAAGATGTTCTTGATGGAGTACTGCTGCTCACCTTGTGCAGCTGGCTGACCACCTCGGCCTCGGAGTCCTTGTCCTGAACGTTGAACCACTCGTCGAACTTCTCAGCGCTGGAGAACACCTCCGGCAGCAGGAAGTTGAGCAGCGCCCATAGCTCGTGCAGGTTGTTCTGCAGAGGCGTCCCTGTGCAAAGCCTTGCTCTCAGCATCCTTCGGACATAGCGTAAGCACGGAGAAAGTGCATCCGGCCTTTGTTCTCATTTAAAATTTTAAACTGTTATTTACCTGTGATGAGCAGCCTGTAGTTCGTCTTGAACGTCCTCACCACCTGCAGAGGTGGCCACATGCAATGAGTACACGAGATGCGGGTGGCAAAGGTACCGGAGCAATAGGAAAGCAGAAAATCTGTCACCATGCCAGAATTGCGCTCACCCGGGATAGGATGGAGTTCTCGTTCTTGATGCGGTGGGCCTCATCAATGATGATGTAGCGCCAGTGGAACTTCTTGAAGTGGTTCTTCTCCTTGATCACCATCTCGTAGCTGGTCACCACCACATCAAACTTGCCCACTGCAACAGTCTGCTCCCTCTGGTACGCCTGGCAGGGGTCAGCAACAGCGTCAGCAGGGAGGGCAGGGAAAGCCTGCAGCCGGTGTCCTACTGACACAGGAATCTCATTTACAGTAGTCAAATATCTGGTACCAGCAAAATCAGTGCAGGAAGAGTGGTCGCACCCTCTCCTCCTGGTTGCCATGGAACTTGACGGCGCGGATGGAGGGGCACCACTTGCGGAACTCGTTGATCCAGTTGTGCAGCGTGGACTTGGGCACGATCACCATGTGAGGCCCGTGGATGCCGCGGTACTCTTGCAGGTATCCCAGCAGCGAGATGGTCTGCAGCGTCTTGCCCAGCCCCTGCAGCCATGAAAGCAGTCTCACCCACAGCACCATGCAGTCTGATGAACTTGCGCAAGCTGTGAAGGATGTTTCAAGGGGTTATGGTAGGTTCCTACTAGAGCAGACTTACACCAAGCACAGATGGGCGCCTACCATTTCGTCGGCCAGGATGCCGTTGATGCCGTTGTCGTACAGGTGGATGAGCCAGTTGAGGCCCTGCATCTGGTACTCGCGCATGATGCCGTGCTTGATGACGCTGGGCTGCTGCATGAGGCGGTGGGCCACATGTTCGCTGCCACCCACCTCATCCTTGAGCAGATCTGCATCCTCCATCTCCTCTGTGTACTTGGCGCCATGCCTGCCCCTCCCCTTCCTGCAGGAGGGGAAGGAATTGTCAAGCAGTCAACGCATTCTTACCATACAGACACAGAGGAAGTGCAACAATAAAGAAAGCAGCACAGGTCTTCGGAGAGCTGGAGGGCCACACTTCTTCTCTTTCTCGCTGGCAGCTGGTGCAAAATGCTGGAAGACCTCTGCCTGTTTCAGGAGGAATTGAAGCCGCTTTCTGCCCCTTTCTTCCTGTTCAAGCATGGCAACAGGCAGGGCGTTAAAGAAGGCGATGAAACAACTGATTAACAGGAACATAACGTCGTTATAAAAGTGCTGGAAAAAGAAAAGTGTGGCAAAACACCCGTTAAGAGAAAAGCAGCTTACCTCTCCGATGGCTGTGTCCTGATTCTGCAGATCCCTGACCTTCTCGAGCTGATCCTTCTTATGCTTCGCTTGCGAGCGCAGGCGCTCACGTTCTTTGCGTGCTATCTCTGCTTTCTCGGCATCCGTCTCACCCAGCTGCAATAGATCAACCCAAGCACTTAGGTTGCTGTATACAGTGATGGGCCCTGCTCCAGAACCCGCAAAAGCGCTGACATGCACTGCGCAACACTTGTGGATGGCGCCATTGATTGTACAAATAATCAAGGAGGCCATCAAGTCTATGGCCCACAAAGGTTACTTCTGGCGCTAAGGAATTTTCCAGAAGACTCACATCATCATCTGGAAGAGGATCCTCGTCTTCGGTGTCATAACTCTCGAGATCCCCATCATCTTCTTCCGTTCCTGTCGCTCCATCCGCATTTGCTGCATCCCAGTCCTCTTCGGGAATATCGTCGCCCAGAGGTGGCACACTGCCCTCGAACTCCTCAGAGCCAGACATCCCGTGTTCAAACAGGAGTCCTCCTGATAAATCCTTTTCTACCTTTCGTCACAATCTTCCAGTCCTTCAGCATGCTCTCTTGCGCCAAGCACCTTCAAATGTTCTAGAAATCCTTCAAGAAAATAGCGGTTTGAAGACCACGAGGGAACGTTCTGCATTGCAGTGTGCAACGGTTATAGCCGCCCAAAAAAGGACTGTTTGTACCGTCGGGTCCCGATGGAGTGGCTCGTGTAACTCAGTGGATAGAGTGTCTGTTTCCTAAGCAGAACGTCAGAGGTTCGAACCCTCTCTCGAGCGATTTTTTTATATATTTTTTGATCTCAATTGTCTTTACCAGCCCATCAAAGCTTGCATTTGGTGACAAACTTCGGTCGACAGAGAGCTTTGTTCAGTCCTGGCCTCAGGGCCCTGCAGGAGAGTTCATGCACCATATATGCATGCAAGCTGAAGCCAGAATAGGTGGCAGATGCAAAGATCCATCCTGAATTCGAGATTTCTACTGAGACCTCCTCTGGCTGTCAGATTGTGTGACGTTCACGTCAAATAAAATGATTTGTTCTTCACATAATTGATATGTAAATCTACAGTGTGTGAAAGCAAAGCTAGCACCATCCGCTGTGCCAGGTTTTTCTGAAAGTGACAAGAACGTGTTGAAGAGTTCCCCTTCTTGGTGCTTTACTTGATCATTGGAGTGAGAGTATGGACAGGCTCCCTGTGAGTCAAGTTAGCAATTCTCTTTTCACTCTTGGGGATGAGGATGACGAATTGCAAGCAGAGGACATCGGCATTCCTCCTGCTGGCATTGGCCTTAAAGATGCACGTGAACGTAAGGAACAGGAGGGGAATGGAGTTGATTCGACGAACGGTTCTCTTCATGGAGATTTTGCGAGGAACGCCACAGCTGATGCCTTGAAGACAGAGACAATGAAGCAGCCCAATGCAGAGACACTGTCCTCAACACGTCCTGTACAGCAGCACAGCAACGGCAATGGCAAGCTGCATTCTAATCTGGCAAGTCCTGAGGAAGCAGCACCACACCACAATGGTCACCTTGATGATTGGCACTCTTCAGAAAGCACATCAGCGGCAGTGCGTGAATCTCCGGTTGACAGAAAGGCAGAGGAGGACAGCATGCAGGCAGCCATACCACCCACAGCATCGCAGCATGACGAGGCAATCGATGCAACAGTTGAAGGGGCCACTCCCCTGCCAAGCAGTCTTCTGTCAGCTGAACATGGGCACGATGCAGCAGGCTTGCCTGAGCAAGCACAACCATCAGAAAAACAGACTGTGTCAGCACAGGCTGAAGTGCAGCGCATTGCAGACGTAAGCAAGTGCCCATTGATTGAGCAGGCACCAATAAAGAAGACTGGTGTTGCTCACAATCCTGGTTGTAGGTAAGCTGTGATACAAAGGATGCTGGTGGCATGCAGGAGCTTGCAGCACTGGAGGCGGAAGCAGAGGCGCTGGCTTTGCAGGAACAGAATCAGTCAGGCAGCCGCAATACAGACGCTGGAGTGGATCTCAGCCGCTACTCGGTGTCCTTGGCGGATGATTCACGCTCTGCAGATAGGGCCATGGTACTTACCTATCTCCTTTATATGCCGTATGGATCGTAATCCTTGCGCATTGCACCCAATATGCGCAAATTCGGATGAAGATGTCAAGCGAGATTGGATGCCTCCAACAGGCACAGGCGCACCAGTGGGCGGAGCAGGTTTCCTCGGGGGCTTCGGCGATGCAGAGTGCGCTGGACAGCTATGAGCCCGGCGCTCGGCCGTTCTCACCCCCGCCCGGCTCGGCGCCTCTCCAGCGCTTCTCGCCCATCGGGGTGCTCCACTTGCCTCCTGCACTTCCTCGCCCCTGTGACCCGCCCTGTTGCCCCATACCAGCGTGCTTGAGAGCCTGCCTGGTAAACTTTGGTGCTGTGTCAGGAGTTTGTGGAGCCGCCAGAGTTTCAGGGGCTGCTGTACTATGACGGCCTGGATTCGCTGGGCCGCCCAGTGGTGGTCATAAACGCGGATGCTGTGGCTGAGGAGAAACCTGCGCGCAAGGCTGCCTTTAACTACCTGCTGCACCAGCTGGAGCCTGTTGTCAGCCAGGTAGCTCCCTGGCTTCCTGATATTTGCATGCATGGCCGACCCAAACCTGAGCAGTGTCTACGAGGACGCGAAGGGGCTGAGGATTTGCAGATATGCCCAGCGGTGAGGCATGGCATCATTCTTTGAGGGCTGTGGGACTGACCACGCTCTGGCTGTGCTACAGGGGCCGTACGTGCTGGTCATGGTGAACACGGGGCGCAGCCACAAGAGCAACCGCCTGCAGGCCAGCTGGCTTGTGTCGGCCTACCGCGGCCTGTCGAGGCCCTTCCGCAAGAATGTCAAGTTCATCATCCTCGTGAGGCCCAGCAAGCCGCTCAAGGCCTTTCTGACAATGCTGCGCCCCTTCCTCTCGCGCAAAGCTCACCGCAAGGTCATCAAGGTGTGCTCTTCTTTTCGCGCTTGAAGCGCCAAACGACACCTGCGTGCCATGCCTGTTCTATCCCTCAGTGTATGCGCTGGCTGGGGTGGCCAGTTGCATGCTTGAAGCTGGATGGTGGAAGTGTGGTGTGCCTGCATGCGCAGGTGGAAAGTCTGTCAGGCATTGCAGAAGCCACAGGCAACGAGGTGGCGCTGCAGCATCTAGGCGCCCGGTTCGCTGCTGCCGCCGGCCGCTCAGTCTCAGACGACCTGTCACTGACTTCGCCCACACTGCGGGGCGGGTCAAGTCCAATGTTCTCTGCTTCGCCACACTGACTCCCCTCCATGGTTCAGTGCACATGAAGCAAGCTTGCATTGGTAGGGGGATCTTATAGCTTGATGCGCAAGCAGTATGATGTTGAGGTGGGACCTCATCCAGCCCGTTTTTGTGTTTTTGAGCTGATTTGTATCAAAAAAATTAATTCCGTCCTTCCTTGGAGATGAGTGCCTCTTGGCCAACCCACTGATTGGTACAATCCGCGCACCTGTGGCACTTGGCAACCTGATCCAGGATCTGACAGCTACACCAATTTATAGAACTGTACTACAGGTTCTTCAAGTGGGAGCTGCTTTCGAAATCGATTTCCTGTGCTGAGAAGATGATTTTGGTCATGGTCATGAAGGTCACAGGTCGCCCATATTAGAGTCCTTGTGTCCACGCTTGTTCATAGCTGGGTCCTCAATTTTGTTGCCAATACAGGGTCAGAAGCATCCCATACGGGGATTTGATAACAAGGAAATGGCAGGTACCAACAGGATGGGTGTGGTCATGTCCTTGTGCAAAGGAAGTCCAGAAGGGAACAGTTTTCTGCTGATTTGCATACCTGCAGGATTGCTCAAGAGTCTTATATGGATGTCCTTTGATATGTTGATATGCATTGCAGCTGCCATTGCAACGAGTACTGCATACTATACCGTATGACTATGCATGGCACCAGACATTCTTGCCCGAGCTCGGCTTTGTATGTAAACTTACATGCAACATGTGTTCAATGGCACCATGCAGTGACATTCATGCCATGATGGTTGTGCATGGGTGGAGGGGGTGGAGGGCTCTTAGTGCACTTCAAATTCCAAAGTTCTGCCAGAATCACGTGATCACGAGTGCACTCGCCACGGTACTACGTAGTATACCGGTAGTAGCTGTGGTGTATATATATGGCTGATCCTGTTTAATTGTTCCAGCCATTCCAAAGCTTTGAGTTTGGTCAGGCAACTTCCAGCATGACTCACTCTCAGCTCAATATGGGCCCAGGACCTTGCCAAAATTGGCTGCATCTGAGTCTTTCAGAGCAGGATGCAGAGGCACAGTCGGAAAGTCAGGAAAGCAATGCAAGAGATGCAGGGTTTCAAGTGATAGTCTGATTATAGATCAGGATGGCAACTCCTGCTCGTCAAGCAAAGGGGCCCAAGCTGGACCCCAAACCAGACTTGATTGAGGAGGCGCTATCAGTGAAGAAAAATGGCGATGGACCGCTCTCTGCATATGCCCAGATTGCCAGTGGGGCAGCTTTGATGGCAATATGTGTAATGGCATTCAGCCTGCGCCTCTTCTCTGTCGTCAAGTATGAGAGTGTGATCCACGAGTTCGATCCTTACTTCAACTTCAGAGTGACAATATACTTGACGAAGGAGGGGTTCTACAATTTGTGGAATTGGTTCGATGACAGAACATGGTACCCTCTGGGTAGAGTCGTGGGCGGCACTGTGTACCCGGTGCGCTCTCACGTAGCCAATCTGATCGTCAATGAAGCGAAAGGTTATATTGTGATGTCGACGTGACTAAAGTGTGTTGTGCTGGCACAGGGTCTGATATGGACTGCAGGAGTGATATTCAAAGTCCTGCATGCACTGAATATTCCCATCAATGTGCAAGAGGTCGGGCCTTGCTTCTGCTTTGCTGTGATCAATCACAAAGCTGCAACATGTCCCCTTCCTGTCTTCTTCACTGAGTGTGTTGTCTGCTTTTTATCCTTCCTTTGAGCGTCTAAATTAATGAGCCTTACAGTTAAAGCACCTGAGGGCCCATTTCTGCTGTCCTGCAGGTCTGCGTGTTCACAGCCCCTTTGTTCTCAGCGTTCTGCTCCTTGGCGGCATATCTGCTCGTCAAGGAGATCCGCGGGCAAGGAGCAGGCCTGACAGCTGCAGCATTTATGGCCATGGTGCCATCATACATTTCACGCTCAGTGGCTGGATCTTTTGACAACGAAGGAGTGGCTATCTTTGCGCTCGTATTTGTCTTCTTCCTGTATGTGAAGGTGGGTGTCTGGACCAATGTCAATTACAAGTATCAGCCTGGGGAAATATCATACATGTCAGGTCTATGATTTTGCTATTTTGTGACAGGCACTCAACACGGGCTCACTCGCGTGGTCATCGGCAGCTGCTCTGGCCTACCTGTACATGGTGAGCAAGTATTCCTATAGTAGTCCTTGTGACGTATGGACTGAATTTAGCGTCAGTGCGAGAAAGCTTACAAGCTTGACAGTTTTGCATTGTGATCAGGTTGCTTCATGGGGAGGCTATTCCTTCATCATCAACCTTCTGCCCATCCACTGCCTTGCTTCCATCTTCACGGGGCGCCTCACTGCAAAGCTGTACATTGCATATGCCCCGCTGATTGTCTTGGGCACGCTGGAAGCTGGTGGGTATTCCTTTTAATGAAGGCACTGTCTGATGCATGTAAAGTATCACTGGGTTCATTGTACGCCCTGCCGAAAGTGATATCAAGAGACTGACTGGCGTGCCGCTTCTGTGTCACAGCCAGCATCCCTGTTGTGGGCTTCAATGCTGTGCTGATGTCGGAGCACTTCGGGGCTTTCTTTGCTTTTGGCATCCTTCACGCTGCCTTGGCCATCCGTTACATCAAGGTGATCTGTCCCACCTGCGATACCTGCAGTCTCTGCTATGGCTCTTGAACCTTTTAGGCAGCAGCATCACGGTAGTTTGACAAAACAAAGTGATGAATTGCAGGACATACTCCCAGTGAAAGCCTACAACGCTGCAAAGACTTTGGTCCTGACCTGTGGAGTGTTACTGATGAGCGGAATCCTCCTTCTTGTCCTTTTCTATGTGATGAGCTCGCCAACATTTGGATGGACAGGTGAGGCTCAGACCAGGGGATCTACCCCAGGTGTCCTGCTAATTACTTTTTAATATTTATAGTTTGCTTTGAGCGGGATCCAAACGCTCCGCATGTACCCAGGCCGGAGTCTCAGCCTCCTGGATCCAACATACGCCTCCAAGTACATCCCCATCATCGCGTCAGTCAGTGAGCATCAGCCCCCGGCATGGCCTTCGTACTTCACTGACCTGCAAGCCGCCAGCATCTTGATGCCTGCTGGCCTCATCGCCCTCTTCTGGCCCCTGACTCCGGCATCCCTGTTCCTCATCCTGTATGCCTGCACTGCAGTCTACTTTTCAGGAGTCATGGTGCGCCCCATCTTCACGGAATAGTAAAATATCCACATATTGCCGATGAAGCGCAACAAGTCATGTCTCACCAACTTCGGGGTTGCTTGAAGTCAAGGCTAGTACACGATGGATTGCCGGCTGCCCTGCAGGTGCGTCTCATGCTAGTTCTGGCCCCAGCAGCTTGCTGCTTGGCGGGAGTCGCACTGCATGAGGCTCTGGCCGCTCTCTTCAAGGGCGTGCATGCCTCTCCGAAAGAGCAGGAGAGCAAGCCGTCAAAAGAGGATGCCAAGGCAAAGAAGCCCTCGAAGCCCACAAAGGTGCGCAATCATCGCTGCATTTGTTGAACAATGCATGCAGTTGTAACAAGGGCTGTTATCCTTACAAACCCAGATGAGATTGTCACAGAGTTGCCCGCTCGTGCAGGCAAGCTTCTGGTCCATCGTGCCTGGGTTCTCGGAGACTGGCCGGCCCATCCCGAGGGACGCAGCCTGGGTAGGACTGGCTGGCCTGGCGTTTGTGGCGGTCTTCTACACATGGCACAGCATCTGGGTCAGCGCAGAAATGTATTCTGCCCCCTCCATTGTGATGCAGACCCGTGGGGGCGACGGCAGCATCCACATCTTTGACGACTTCAGGGAGGGGTACTCGTGGCTGCGCTACAACACCCCCGAGGACGCCATCGTTGCCAGCTGGTGAGAGCAGACACACCTTCATGCAGGCACACACCCAGTGTCATCTGTGTGCAAGCTGGCGATGCTTTCGAGGGTGCGGATTAGCAGAGGTCTGATTTAAATATGGAAATTTTGTTGCATTCAATATCCTGAGCCCATGCTGGCATGCGCAGGTGGGACTATGGGTATCAGACAACAGCCATGGCAAACCGCACTGTTCTGGTGGACAACAACACTTGGAACAACACCCACATTGCCACAGTTGGCAGGGCGATGGCGTCGCCGGAGAAGCAGGCTTGGGAGATCTATCGGGCGCTGGATGTGACGCATGTGCTGGTCATCTTTGGAGGCTTCATTGGGTGGGCACCCGTGTGCAGTTGAATGTCGCACATTCATGGATTCATTGGCTTACAAGAGCTCTGCAGCTTATGGTGTGCATCAATGACCCAGGTTGGAAATGAAAATATGATGTTCTCAAAAAATTCACTGTTGCCGGACAGGTATCCGAGTGATGACATCAACAAGTTTCTTTGGATGGTCCGCATTGGCGGTGGTGTGTTCCCTGACATCAAGGAGAAGGACTTTCTGGGAGAGGGTGGCTACCGTGTGGATTCAAAGGCAGGGAAGGTGAATATTATCTCCCTCCCTAGTGGTAGAATCCCTGTCCACTTGCGTTTGTGCAAATTCATGCCGGCCACAAACTTGCAGATGAGTGCGCAGGTCCTAGAAATTGAGGGAGAACACAATTTTGCAACGTGAGCAGGATGTTCTGCACGTGGTGAAGAAGATTGGCTCAAATGAATTGCTTGGTGTGAATTGTAGGCGTTGTTGGACTGCCTCATGTACAAGCTGTCTTACTACCGGTATGCAGAGGCTTCACTGATGACCACCGGTCAACTGGGCTTTGACCGCGTGCGGAATGTTCAGATTGGCAAGATGGACGTCTCTTTGGAGTACTTTGAGGAGGTGTGCCGCTGGGCTGAGGACTTGTGCAGGGCTGTGCATGGGCTGTGCCATGACATGCGATTGCCCAAGCTCAAATGCACCTATTGTGATAAGTCTATCCAGTTGCAGGGTCTTGAACGCATTTGTCCGGCTGGTGAAACAACCCTGTTGTACGTGCAGGTGTTCACATCTGAGCACTGGATGGTCCGCATCTACAGAGTCCTTGACAAGTGAGCGGCATTGCTCCTATGTCTAGATAACATTATCTGTTCTGCTGCCATGCATGCAAATCAGAAAACGTTGCTTTCATTTTTAGCCAGTTTGTACAGGTTATGACCTCCATAAATGCCTTGCACGCAGGCCCGCCAGGGATGGCAAGCTGCCCAACCCTCGAAGCACACGAGGCAAGCCACGGAAAAGCAGTCCTTCATGAGTTTTGATTTGGTATATTGTCTTGACAGTATCAGTGTGGTTCTTTGCATTGACCGTCAATGTCGGACATAGGGGGCTGGCAGTCATGTGACCTGGTCTCTTCTGGTAGGCACTCTGGCAAGGGCGTTCCCTGCAGATACACGGCAGGAGGACAAGCACACTACCTGCTTATAAATTGCATCTGGCAGAATGTAAGCCATCATCACTGGGCAGTGAGATCAGCAAATAAATTCGCAGGAAACTCGTACGTCAGAACAGTTCTACTGGATAATGGTACCATCACTCACTGTGCATGCTGTCTTTGAATGCTTCTTTGGAAAAAATGCATATGACTGGATGTGGTCACAATGATTTCCACAGCAACAATCAACTGCTTTCGTGGAATACTGATGCTCCTGTACAAGAATACAATTGTGGCTTGGCCACTGACTCTGTTCCATTGCAGTCGTCATTACATGTGTAGCTCCATGTGCTGAAGCACGTGCCATCAGGATCGAACATTTGGGAACCTTGAACAGTGCTCATGTGTGCACGGAATTGTGTGGCTGCTGCAACGTTGTTTGCCTCAATCGCTGCACAAGCAGGTCCACTGCGCTGCAGCTCAGAATGAGGTTGTCACGCTGCAGGATGCTGTACACATTGGCCCCAGCCTGGGGCAGTACATCTGTCCACGGCAAGTTTGATGCAGCTTTCCGCAGCTTCTCCCTAATGACAAACAAGTCCCCAATCAAACCATATTAAAAACAGTCAATGACTGATGGCCTGTTATAGTAGACAGAACCCAGTCACAGTCATCCTCTACCACCGAGCAGGGAGAAGAGTCGCACCCGCCATCTGCGCCATCTTTGGCGCAGTCTATCATCAGAATTGAACGCCGGGGGACATCTGGAAGAAGAGCGCTCAGCTGCTCATCCAGGTATTTCTGCGCAGAGCATCAGACCGGCACATCACGCCAAAGTTCCAAAAGGAAAACTTTGATCAGGGCAGCTCGCAACTGAGCAAGATCCTACCGTCTTTGGCGGGTCAATGGCCAGAGAGTCCAGCACCATCAGACGGCCTTCAGAAGCTTTGGCCTGCAGGGTTACGGCACCAGCATTCAACCACGGACTTGTGAAGGCATCAATGCAGAGTATTCAGAGGTGTGTCCACTGTATCGAGCTGCATCCTCCACGCAACACAGACATCCCATAGATTGTCTGGGGCACAAACAGAGGGTATGAATCTCACCGAAAGTGCACACTTCAATCCAAGCTTCCGAACCTTTTTCTGCAGTCCATGCTCATGGGATCGCACAACTGGCCCAAATATAATACCACCCCCGCGTCGCTGCAGGTCAGACATTCAAGCTCTCAACGCCAACAATTGACTTGCTCGCTACATTGATATGGTCTATAAGGCTCTCCTCCTTGAATTGCGAATGGGCCTCAGCTTCTGATGCACAATTGATGTGCACAAGCAGAAAAAGCTGTATTCAAACCTGCGCAGCCCTGATGCTACCAAAGCGTGCGCGTCCACTGCCTTTTTGACTGTGTGGCTTGCGCCCTCCGCCTCTGACTTCACTGCGCGTCTTGGTTTTGTGTGTTCCCTGCACACATGGCAAAAAGTAAAATTGAAAAAGATGCACAATTTCTGAAAGGGCAGGAATTTGTAGAGATGGGGATCCTGTCTCTCTCCTTGGATAGGGAGCTAAACACCCATGTCATAGAAGGAAATTCCAGGACCAGGGCAAATCAACTAACCTGCTGTCGCTTTGCCAGTTGCCACCGCACCACGCGGTGGAGGACGTCCTTTCTGATGGGCACATTGAACACATCCCCAGGCAAAGTGTACTCTCCCACCACCTCCCGCCTCCAGTTGAAGAGTGGAACGCGCAGGTTAGAACCTACTGTGCCAAGAAAAGGGGCTGAACTTGGTGCCAAGAGTCTGGTCTTACCTACAGACACTGTTTGTGATGCTACAGATTGATGATATAAAAGGTGGAACGTACTCTGTGAACTACTAGCACTCCCTGCCGAATCAGCTGCAGAAGTGGTGTGGATCCCCACAGCAACCAGTCTCCGATAGCCGAGATGCCAGTCCTGAAAAGGCACATTCCAATCATCAAAGAATCACGCACCGACCAATATATTCCCGGCTTTGCTACACAGCACAGACTTCCGAGATTGAACTTTGTAGGAACGAGTCGCTCAGGAGTTTGCCTCACCTGAGGATAATTTGGCCTGCTCTGAGTGCAAAGAAATGCTCTACTCAATAGCGATCGCGCCTGGCCTCTAAGCGAGTTCATGCGACTATCCTTCCCACTGATGGTGGGCAGAATTCAGTTTGCGTAACAAAACAGACTCGGGATATGTTGATGCAAACTTATTATACAGCTGAAACTACAATACTTCCATGATCAATCTATTGTTTAGTCCAACTTCTGCTGGATCGAGCCAACTTGGGAGGCTCGACATGAGTCATCGGTGACTGATCACCACCTCAGCAAGTCCTGTTCAGGCGTCGGCGAGCCTGAACACCACAGAGCCGCCTTCCTTTGAAGGAACATAGGCTTCTTGAATCGATCGCCATCATGGGTGAGCGTTCTCCTCCATATCTGGACTTGCAATTGTGCTGGCTTGCCGGAGCGACTGCCCAGGCTTCTTCGAGTTAGCTGGCAATCAAGCCCTGAAGCGATTCTTAGATTTCTGATTGTACCGCACGATTGCGTAGTGGAGGACACATGCACTTTATAACCTTGGTTTTTATTCTTCTGCAGGTAAGGTGCACGGGTCTTTGGCACGCGCTGGAAAGGTGCGTGGACAAACACCAAAGGTGCAGAAGCAGGACAAGAAGAAGCAGCCCAAGGGTCGCGCTATGAAGCGCATCAAGTACAACCGGAGATTCGTCAACGTTGGTACGTGACCCAGAGCTGAGTCGCTTGGGGAGCCTTCACTTTCTGCGCACCTTTGTGCACCTAGGTGTATCAGGAATAGTGCTTCAGTTGAGGAGAACAGTTGGTGTGTTGCCGTGATGAAAGCAATGACTGGATCGCCTTGCCAAAACCGGATCGGTATCAGGATCTTGGCAGTGCAGTGCATGTCCTGCTGATTCTCTCCTCAAGCGCAAACTCTCCCGCTTTTGCCAAAAACCTTGCGTGTCATGTTTTGATGGCTGACGTGGTCTTCTTGAACATCGCAGTTGTCGGCTTTGGAAAGAAGAAGGGACCGAACTCTCAATAAGTGATAGGAGGAGGAAGGAGACCGCAAGGGTGAGTGATCAGTGGGAATGTCGCTTTTGTGTTGGCTTGTTATCTTTCCTGCAATCACCACATCTTTAATTTGGCCCACCAATTTGAACTTGAACTTCAATGTGATAGATAAGAGGAGGGATGAATGACGCGATTATGCACAGGTGGACAGCTGTGGTGCTACTTTGGTCTCCTCAGCTCCCCTGAAGCCTGGCGTGGGTTGGCTTCAGCAGTGTACCTTCATCGTCCTCAAGATGGGTTTCCAGGCTTGCAATCTGGGCATGTAGGATTTGCAGCACAGAGAAAGGATTTGTAGCACAGAGAAGGCAGATCAGCCCAATCCTTGCAGATGAATGTGTGCGGACTCTGAATTGATGTGGTCTAGACCAGTTCCCGGATGTCCAAGGAATGTCTATTTCTTGATGTCCGTGATGGCCGGACGAAGCCATGGCCGCCAGTAATAGAGCACTTGGACTGCCCAGGGTCTGATGCATAATGCAGCTGGTGGTTGCTGCTATGTAAGAGAGAGCTTTGCATCTGCCTACTCATCACTGTCTGGGATCTTGCAAAAAGACTGTGGGCTGGTGAGCATGCCACTGTCAGCTGGACATCTCCACAGGTCACTCCTTGATCACCTTATTGAAGGTGTGGAAACTGTCGCATGACTCGTGCTGTCGCATGTGGGTAAGGCTGAGACTGCAGTGGGACTGCCGCAGCCATCGCAAGTGCCATGGTGGCAGTCTGTGAGTCTGATTCCAAGGGACTCAATCAGTGCGCTGAAGATCTAGCAGTGGGTCAAATCGTCTGGTATCTCTGATGTTCATGGTGCAGCTCTGGCCAGGGGACCTGACACTGCCTGCAGCGGCTACGGCGTCCGTCGATACGGTATTAAAGAACATACATTAAATTTAGTTGGCGGTTGTCACCAGATTGTCAGGCACTTCGTCCACATGGTCATATGCAATAAATGGAAGACTATAAGGTCTGTCCGCATGCATTGATGAGAATTTTTAAGGTAGTTTCCCTACCCATGCGCCCGGCAACCTGAGGTAGTAGCCGGAATGGGCCACTGGCATCAAATGATATGGCCAACATGTGTACACGCGTGCGTACGCTTCGAGCCTTACAAGGCCCTACAGGGTAGCTGCTTGGGTGCATGCTGTGCACACAGCAGAATTGTGCCTGAAATTTCACAGTAAGTAGTCGCCACGATCGTCCAGCCTTTAAAAAGGTGTAGCTTGGCATTAATGCAGGTCGAGAGCATCCCAATTGAGCAGCATCTTGGCTGCATCAAGCATGATGCCCAGAAGCGCGCGCCTAATTAAGGAACCGCTGTTGCTGCTTCAGTGATTCCTAGGACAAACTCCCTCCGAAATCTCAGCAAAGGGGCATATTCGTGCCTTGTTTGAGGTATCTTGTAAGATGGCGGGTCCAAATTCGGTCGTAGGTAATTCTTTGTGTCATAAGGTTGTTTAGAGCTGTGCCTTCCATGAGACTGTGGACACCTGGCTCAGATTTTGGTCACCCTGTCTGCATTCTGAAAACCTATATGTGCATCTTCGCAGTGCCGCGGAACTTCAGGCTCCTGGAAGAGCTTGAGAAGGGCGAGAAGGGCATAGGGGATGGCACAGTAAGCTATGGAATGGAAGACGGTGACGACGTGTACATGAGGAACTGGACAGGCACCATCATTGGCCCAAGCAATGTACGGCTCCTGATGTGATCGCAGTAGTCTAAACGCTCCTGCTCACCCTGTTGCTTGGGCCTTGATGAACTTTGCAGCTGTTTCTAGGATTTAGATTTCTCTTCGCGTCTTTGAGATGCCCATGCTGAGACTTTAGAAATCAGTAAATCCACCGATACATCACGGGAGAGGAAGTTTTGTACATTGGTTGCACATCGCACCTTTCATGAGGGGCCTTTCTAACCCAGATGGTGACTGACCCGTGCTGTCTCAGACTGTTCACGATGGAAGGATCTACAATCTCAAACTTACATGCGGTCCAGATTACCCTGAGAAGGTGATCCCCCCTCCTGAAAATACTCAAGGTGCTGCAGTTCTGCAAGATTTGCCTGACGATCCAGACTTGGCATCGGTGCAAATGAGCATGTTCTTAGCATTGCAGGCACCAAAGGTGAGATTTTCCACTAGGATCAACATGAGCTGCGTCGCATCAGATGGATCGGTGAGTGCTTCTGCCACCTCCTTTTGCTAAACATGAAGAGATTGCTGCAGCTACAAGTAAGGAGATGACTTGACACCAAGTCTGTCAGAGATTGGCACTGTGCTTTACTTGGAGCACTCATCAGCATGTTCACATGTGCATGCAGATTGATCCCAGGCACTTCCCCGCCTTGGGGCACTGGAACCGATCGCACACAATGGAGACCGTCCTCACAGAGCTGCGAAGAGAGATGACGGCGCCGCACAATAGGAAGCTGCACCAACCACCAGAGGGGAGCCATTACTAATAGTATTACTAGTTAAGAATGCGGGTGGGATGGTGTCTAGTTGTAAAGGTATTCCCCAAAGCAGTATCGGAACCTGGGATCTGCCAGAGTTATGCTGAAATTTTCACCTGTACATGTACAGGAACAAGAGGACCATCTGGATCCTGCTGGTATGAGGTCATATTAGGTATGATTTACTGAGATGTTCGATTGGAGCAGCAATGCGTCCTGGCGGAACTTGAAATGTTTGCACGGTGTGCCAAGGTGGATGTGTGTACTATCTGCACGGAAGCAAGTGTGAACAGTGCAATGAAGGAGGTCAGAGGACAGTTGGACTAGCATTGACACAGCTCAAGAACCTTTGCCGCAGACATATCTGCCGTAGACCGGCAGATGATTGGTTTGTGCCCAAGACACGGTCGGCATGCAAAAGCTCAAGCAGAACTTCAAGCAGCAGAGCGCAGCCCTCCTCTGATGCATCTGCATATCCGCAATTGATGGATATACATCTCTGTTGTTCAAAGTCCAAGCCTGAGGAGCCTCCAGGACCTGTACAATTCATTGGCGATCTTTGCATTCAAGGCTTCTACCTGTACATTGACATCATGATGCACGTTACTACAAGAGCCAGCTAGGCACTCACTTGGCATATTCACAAATACAGTCTTTGTGCAGTCACAACCTCAATCACCAATACAATTACATGGTCCGCTGCGGCACAGAGGCAGCTAGATGGCAACTAAATGTTTAGAGTTGATGACTTCTTGAAGTGCTGCTGGCACAAAATTTGCAATACAAGCTTTTCAGCCAGCGAGTTTCAGCCAGCCAGCCAGAGAGTCAGAGAAAACGTCTTTATGACCAAATCCCTAAGATCATGATGACGGGGCATGAAGTGCACACAAGTCCAATTGTGTGAACACAGTTAATTCAGAGAAGCTGCATTGTCCCCTGCATAAAGTGTGAGACCTGCAAGAAGTCTTCCTGACCGGATGTGGACATGCGGAAAAATATGATGAATTGCCTCAGCTCACAAGATCCCAAGTTGCAAACCTATTCTGCTTTAACAGCTGGACTCTGTGCTCTTCTCAGCAGCAGCATCCAGCCCAACCTTGATCCATCGCTCGAACTCCACGCTGTTCTCAAGCAGATTTGCTGAAGCCGCGCCATCTGCTTGCAGGACCTTCTAATCATACCCATACACACTCGCTCAATTTGAATCTTGCAGGAGCAGGATTCGAGAGAGCGCTGCACAAGCATTTTCAAGGATGACCTGAAGGATTAAAGGGCATCTGCTCAAGGCCGACTCATCAGATATGAGATTAGGAGTAAAATCCAGGAGGGCGTCCAATCAGAAGCCAAACCTGTTGCATCTTGTGGTAGTCAGCAAGATCGTTGCGGTAGTCAGAAAGCGCAAAGTTGGTAGCAGCTGCTGTTCCGCGGAGGCGGACTAGAGCACGGTCGTATGCCTGCGTGACAAGGTCTCATCGACACCAGCACCATTTGTAGCAGCTCAGGTGACATCAATGGCACTAGTCATGAGTGTGAACCGATGCTAGCCTGATTCTTTAGGATGACACACCTTTGCAGCCTCGCGTTCGCCAGTGAAAAGGCCTAGGTAGATGTGCTTGCTGCCAGGCACCCCAATTCGAGCCTCCCATCGACCTGAGGTCAGAGCCCAGCCGCTGTCAGAAGGCCAGCTATGCTGCCATGATGCATACGCAGAAGCACGCGAGCGCGGAATGCCAAATACCTGAAGGGTGATGTGTGACGCCTCGGAATGCAGAGGTCCCGCGCGAGAAGCCTTGGCTCTGCCTTCGCACTGCCATGATGAGCTCCTCCACAGAGATGCCACCCATGCACTCCGTCAGGTCTGAGTACCTGCAACAGAAGGCAAGTATCTGCTGAAGCCCAGTCTTGCCAAGCCCTGAGCAGAGTCTGCTCTGGCAGGTCTTTTGTCCTTCATGAGGCCAAACAAAAGTGTTGCCAGATGACTGAAACCCACCGTGAGAGTGGGAAGTTGGTGCGAACGCGAGGCCCTTTGCATTTGAGGGCGGCCACATCATATGCTTCAGCCGCATGCTCTTCATTCTCATATCCACCCAGATACACCTGCCGGCCCAGCTCTTTCACCCACAAATGCGCCTCCCACCTGCACAACACCCGTGAAGGAAGACATGGCATTGTATGTTTGCTGCTGACCATTCTCACGCATACTTCTTTTCTGCAAAGGTAACTGCAGATCCAGTTGGGCTAGCAGATCTCACCTCCCACTCCGACGATGCTTGGTGACGCCCCTGAACTGAGAGGATCTGTCCTTCACGACTTTTGCGCTCTTGCCTGATCGCCCTCGGGCTGTGGACTTTCCAGGACCACTGTCAGCTCCAGCATTGACAGATGTGCCGCTCTTTGGGCTCTCCTTGCTGGAGCCCTGGTACACAATGATACAGCACCAACCATTCATTCAATGCAAAATACTGAAAAGAGTCATTCACCGCTGTGCATGCTGTAGCAAGAACGCAGTGATGTACACATCAAGGATGGCGTCACCTCCTGCAGCGCGGTCTGTGCTGATCTCGCAGTAGGTCTCACTGCACTCTCGCTTGGTGTCTCTTTAGGAGACTGTGCTCTTGGCGAGGGTTGAGTGTTGAGTTTGCTCCTTTTCCTCGCATCGCCAGGGCTGCCGCTGCCGACCTGCGCGGCATGATGCGCTATGCATATGTGCAGGTATTGTAGAGGAGCAAAGGTGCATCTTGATCTCTATAAAAAAACCCCTTGAAACTTTTGTGCTTGAGGCTCCTGCCGCCGCCAGCATGCTGTTCCCCTATTCGCTTGATAAACTGTGCAGTGCCAGGGTTGACTTGCATCCAGCAGGTGTGCACCTGGTTTTGTACCTTGGAGTTCACACCAGCGCGCGGATGCACCTGCGAGAATCACACAAGGTAATCACTGCCATGCTCTCTGCTTCTGAAATTAGCGCTGGGCATTCAACCTGAAGCGCTACAGCTCATCAGAAGCTGTTTGCTTTCATGGGCAATGATTTTCCACGAGGGTTGTCATCTGGAAAAGCTCGCACCCTGGCGCCGCCACTGGGCAGGCTTGGCAGGGCGATGACTGTAGATATCAGTGGCATTGAGCTGAACGCGTCCTGATTTGCCGGTTGACCAATCTCGGCGGGCAAAACGCTCTGTTGTGATTGTCCAAATTTCAGCAGAAAAGGCTTGGTACTACTGGGCATTGATCCCGCAGCGGCTGTCATTTGGGGGAGGTGCCTCAGTGCCAGCGGCCATTGTGCATGACGCCCTGCAGGTGCATTCAAAGCTTTTGATCAGGCCATAGTTGCAGTGACAAAAGTGCAGAAGCACAGCTACCCTGCCCAGCACTCTTGACTGGCGCACCTTCCCCCATGGCCGTCATCTCCTCCTCAGTGATGCCAAAGTCTGCCATGATGGACTGCATCAGCAGCTCACTCGTCTTTTCCATCCTGGAATCCTAGTTGCGTCGAATTATTGGGCTTCTGCACAGCCAAGCTCTGATGCCACAGGAACGTATGTGCAGCGTTGGATACAGTCCTTTGAAGCAGTCTAAACTTGCTTCACGATGAGACTCGCCTCGACAGTAGTCGAGCAGGCCCACACCGTCGCTAAGAGACCTGCGCAGCCGACGTGCAAGTAATTTTCATACCCAGGTGCTCAATCAATCAGTTTAGCATGAGAAGCTGCTAGTCTTATTCTTCACGCTAGTAAAGGAGCGGAGGTCCCACCGTCTTCTTCTCGGAGCTCAGAAACACTAGTACACGTTGAAGCTAAGTGTCCCTCGCAGCCGTTCCCTCGGACGGACATCCCTTATTGCAAGCACTAAAAGCCTGCAACATGACTCCAATCGACGACGATTGAAGCTGGTGCCGTCATGTGCAAGGACGCCGAGGATTTGGGGACAGGGCCGTCATGAGGTAAAGGCTGAGGTTCGACTTGCATGAAGATGAGTCAGCAGCATTGCCACCATGCCAAATGCATATGCCTGCAAGCTCTTTTTACATCATGCATACCATGATGGCTGGAGCAACAATGGCAGACTCATGTCGCGCTGCATTGGGAGTGCCGCAATATGTATGCAAGAAGATGCAATCATATGGTATTTCTCAAGCCCACTCAGCTTCCAGAGCTGCATGTCAGCCGCTCTCAAGATGCGCAGCATCATGCAGCATGCATACTTTGGGCATGGCAAGAGAGGGTGCGCGACACCAGCATCGCACACATGCGGCATGATGCTAGGAGCTAGCTCGCTCTGCTGCTGCAGCGACTGCTCATCGCCGTTTGTGGTGTGAATGCTCCCGATCTATCTGCAAGGGCTTCGTACGTTACATTTGGGGCTGACAAATGTCATCGATGATCTCCGAGACTACACGATGACATCTCAACGCAATTGCAAGGGTATGGTTCTTATAGTCCAGTAACTTAGCTGTACACTGGCAGCAGGACATGTCAATGACCAACAGAGCTCCTCACTTGCCGACACTCCATCTATTAAAGTAGCTCGGTCGCATCATGTCTGAAAATAACTGTTGTATATCTGCGTGAATTGGAACTCGGCTACGACTTGTCGCCCAGCAAACCAGCGTCCATGGAGGGCCTTCTGAGCTGCAGCTGACCCTTCAACAGTTACAAACTTCAGGTACACAAAGCCCTGCACAGCAATATTAGTCCTTGAGGGAGAGAACCAAAAGCATTAAAGTTTCAGCTCTGCAGAATGTTCGCCATCCATTCAGCCATCTTACAAGATCAAATTATATCGGAGCTCAGAACAAGCGCAAGCAAATTCAGAGTCTGCAGACACATTCCAACACATACTGAGGGATGTTTGCTGACCTTGCTATTCTTGTCCACATGTGTGTGGGACACTGGTCCATACTTGCTGCATTCCTCTGTCACATCCGTTGCTATCTCCTGGTCCCAGTCCGGCTCCGTCTCCCTGCATTGAAAATTTGCAAGATGTTATCAGCAACAACTTCAAGCTCCCAATGCAGCACTGTGACCCACTTATAGGACTTTGCAGGCCAACAGATGGAGCAAGCAGGACTCACTCTTTCGGATCGAACATGTTCTTTAGCAAGAGGCACTGAGTGGGGATGGGCGAGGAAGGCCCCAAGATGCCCTGCTCCATTGCCAGGGCCTGAGCACCTGCTGACATGACCACTGTGCCTGCTGGAACCATCGCTGGAGGCCCAGGCAGCGGACCCAAAGCATCTGCAATGAGCACACCTAAATCAGTCGGCTCAATGGGATGAAGATGAAGGGCGGGGATCAATGGTAAGAGCGGCTGAATGCACATTCTTGCTCTGGAAGCGCACTGACCTGGCATGCCCAGGCCCGGAGCACCCAGTGGAGTGGTGTTGGCGCCCGATCCTGCAACACCTGACAACCTCTGCATGAGCGCTGCTCGAGCATTTGCTGTCAGCTTCAGCCCACCATGTTCACCTGCATGAAAGCCCAACCCTTTCAGCGCCCCCTCTGTGCACTGAAGTCCAGGCCGCTGCGCACTTGCTTGTGATAAAAACTGCATGAACTCGTCAGCAGGCATGAGAAGGATGAACGTTGCTGGCCATGAGATGCACACCCTCAGCGTCATCTAGGTCCAGGCCGGCAGCAGCAGCGGCCGCGGCGGCCGTCTCTGCTGGTGTCAAGGGGGCAATCTTCACAGAGATCTGGCTCCCGGCAATGTCCAGCCCATCAAGCTGCTGCATCGCCTTTGTGGCGTCTGGTGTGGTCTGATACCTGCATGACAGGGACACCCATCAGTGGTGCAGCAATCAAAGCCTCTTCAGGATCTGCGAAGGAAAACTGGACGACACGGCAGTAGCTGCATGGCCATTCAAGAGCAGTCATTCCTTTCAAAGCAAAATCCTGCAGCGACCAGCTTTCAGACTTGCATCATGCAAAGGAAATGGCACATACTGCACAAAGCCATATCCCTGCGAACGTCCAGTAGGGTCCTTCTGCAGAGTGATGTATTCCACAGCTCCAAAAGCCTCAAACACCTGCTTCAGGTCTTGCTCCTGCATATGCATAGTAAAACCCACTGGACGCAGTTCTCAACAAAGCAACGCAGTTGTTGTTGTTGTTGTTGTCAACATGCACTAAAGATATTCATATGACTGCTCAGAGGCGTCGACTCGTCACCGTCCAGTGTTGCCCTCAATCTATTTACCTGAATGTTGGGGTGCAAGTTCCCAATATACAATTTGCACGGTCCTGTGCCAGCATTGCCGATGGTGCTCATCTGCAGCATGGAAGCGTTTTGGGCTTGGGCGGCCTCCCATGCCAAATTCTTCTCCGCCTGCGAGTACAGCAGATGAGCGTTTGCACACCTCTGCAAGGGGTAGGATTGTTCTTACTACAGCATGGCGGGGTCTCGTCTTGAGGGTGCTGCCCAGATGGATATAGCACATCAAGCCAAATGGAAAAGGTACATACCTCTGAGCTTTTCACCATCACGGCCTGACCCATGAGTATTTGGCCAGTCAGCGCCATAGCAGTCACAATGTCCGCCTGCAATGCATGCACAAGCTTAGTCAGGAAAGACCCTGGGAACTGCTAAAAAGATGTCGCCGCTCTTTAACCTTTTGGCCGATCTGGGACACTGAGAGCGAACAGAAGATGTGACATGGTTGCGGGAACACAGCTTGACGGGCCCTCACCTTGTTCGTGTACTCAATGTATGCAAATCCCTTGGACTTTCTTGTGTTGCGGTCCATGATTATTTTCACATCTTCAATCGGGCCTGCCTTTGAGAAGAACTCAAACAAGTCTCGCTCCTCTGCCTTGAGTGGCAGGTTGTAAGCAAAGACTGTGCGGATGTCACGATCAAGCTCCTTGAGCTCGCGCTCCTTTTCCCGCTGCTCTCTCACCTCTGGGGGAGTGCGTTCCCTCCTGCACAGCACATTTCTTCCGATTCATGCCGCTCACACCACATACGCACGCACCTCAGTGCGACATCTCTCAAGAATGACCTGCGCATGTAGGAATGCCCTGTGCAAGTGGAGCAACAGCAGCAATATCAGAGGAAGATTGCACGCAATGCATTATGCCTAGGACCAATAAGCTCCCACGTTCACTGGTACCAACTGAAAGAGTGCTCAGTTGCTCAGGCAATGCAGAATATATTCCAGAGGATACCAGATGATGGTGCCGAAGTTGGAAGATGCGCTGTGTGAAAGGCTCCTCCCAAAGCTTTGTACTGTGAGAAGGTGCCTCACTCATCTCCCTCTCGGACACCGGCAATTTCTCTTTCACGATGGCGCCAACAGACTTGGTGGAGGTATGACTTGTGGGGTTTGACAGGCTCAAGTGGCATGATGCTCATCTGGCACACAAGTGGTGCACACCTCTTCTCCAAACTGCGCGGCCGACTGCTGTGCTTCCTGTCGCGCTCAGATCGATGGTGATCATGTGAGGAATGGTGACGTTTGCGCTCCCTGTCGGGTGACTTGTCCCTGTGCTCACGCTTTGAAGATTTCCTGTCCCGGTCTTGGTCCCTGGTTCTCTCCCTTTCGCTGTCCCTGTCTCTAGTCCTGTCCTTCTTCTCCCTCTTCTCACGTTTGTGAGTTCCGTCGTCCTTGTGGCCATTTGCGTCCTTTGCTTCTAATTGCTTCTCCAAGTATGCATACCTGCATTCCACAATCATCCCTCGAGACAAGATCACTGATACAGGTGTTAAGAACATTGAACAACAAAACAAGCAGAGATCAGATTCATATATGGCACGTTCTCTGGTTGTGAGGTTCTGTTGCTGCAGGACCCAAGAAGGAATGGCAACCACAAGAAGCTAGGCCTGAATGTATTGCCACTGAAGAAAACACGCAGGACTACCACAGCACAGCAAGTATAACTTGCAGGCAGACACACACGACGAGAAAAATGTGCACTGATCTAAGTCGACAGGGGCTGCCACAGAGCTGGCAGAAGGCACGGTGGTCCACATACACACATGTGTCGTATGTCCAAATCATGGCACATAATGATAGGGCACAGGTAAGGCTAGATAGAAGAGTACTCACTCATCAAACTCTGCCATGAAGGAAAACGACCTCCACACTCAATTTGATGGGTACTTGTAACAATGGAGTATTACATGCAGACTGATCAATATTTGATACAACGAGGAGTTCTGTAAGGAAAAGGAATGAAAAAGTCAGGAGGCGGTCAGGGCTTGGGGCTGGGCTTGGGATTATGGTCTGCCATGTTGGCCTTCATCTTTCTTTTTGGCTGCCTGGGGTATTCCGATAGAGTACAGGACATAGAGTTGCCATCATCATCAACCTCGAGAATCTGAGCATCATGGCGGTGAGTCTCTCTGTGGAGTCGCTAGCAGGAGCTCCTGGGAATCTCGCCTTCATCTTCTGCATCTCGTAAATGAAAAGTGCTCCATGTGTACAGTTCATGATTCTATATTTATATTATACCCGTGCTTACTCTCACACTGTAAATGTCACAGGAGGAGGACGGTGACGCGGCTGTCGCAGACAAGCTCTCGGACTTGCAAGGTGGATACTTCACCTTGCCTGATAATCTGAGGATTCTATGCTCATGTTCAGTAACATATTCCTGCCGTTCTTCACACTGATGGCTTGTACATACGATTTGCAAGGAATGTGACGCTCTTTTGAGGTTCAGTTGTTGTTCAGTGAGCGGTGATGGAGACCTGGGCGAGCTCAACCTGGACAAGAAGAAGAAGAAGAAGAAGAAAGCAGCAGTAGTTGACATGGTGTGCCTCCTCGTCAGGTGCCTTGCGTTGACATGTGGTTCATTTGGAAAGTGCTGACTGTCAGGGATGCCTCATAGGAGGCTGTGAACGGAGAGGACGAGGGAGCAGAGGAGGATGCTGATGCAGCAGCAGGCCTGGATTTGTCACTTGGCAAAAAGAAAAAGAAAAGAAAGCCTAAGGCTCGCACGGATGAGGAGTTTGGTGCGCTTGTGGAGGACACAGAAGCTGCACCAGATGGTGAGAAGGAGAACGACGACGATGGATTGCCAGGCCAGCCCAAGCTGCCCTGGGATGGCACAGATCGCGATTATACTTACCAAGAGCTTTTGGGTAGGTCCTCTCGTTTGCTTGTACATTCTCTTCATGTTTATTGCCCCCAAATAATCGAGAGGCCTATGCTAAATTGGGTCACGACATGCATGCAGATCGTGTGTTTGGCATCCTGCGGGAGAACAACCCAGAGCTCACAGGAGAAAAGCGCCGAACCATCATGAAGCCACCACAGGTTCTCCTCCATTCATGGCGTTTGATGGCCAGTGTGTTCTGTATGCAGTTTAAAGTGCAGCTCCTTTTTGAAAGAGTGCTGCTTTGAATTATCAGCTGCGCATGCTGCAACAGGTGGCGCGTGAAGGCACCAAGAAGACTGTGTTCACCAATTTCCTGGAGTTGTGCAAGGCCATGAACAGGCAGCTAGAGCACGTGCAGGCCTTCCTGCTGGCCGAGCTAGGAACGAGTGGCAATCTGGATGGCCAGTCACGGCTGGTTGTCAAAGGCCGCTTCCTGCCAAAGGCATTCGAGGGAGTGTTGCGACGATATGTCAATGAGTGCGCACTGACCCTGCTGGGAAATTTCTTCAAAGGCATTGGGAATTTTCTGTCCGTTGCCACAATTGCCTGGATTCACTGCGGCTCATGTCTTGTATGCTGCGCAGATATGTCTTGTGCAACAGCTGCAAGAGCCCTGACACCCTCCTGGATCGTGACTCTGCCACCCGCATCATGTTCTTACGCTGCCAGCAGGTTTGCCCTAGTTCTCTGGATTTCGTGTTTGTGACCGGACACCATTGCATGGTGGACGTTGCGTGCTTTGCCATGGCCCTCACATGTGTTATGTAGCGCTGACTTTACGCTTGCCTTTCTCTCACCAGTGCGGAGCTTCAAGAACCGTGGCACCAATCAAGGCTGGATTTGTGGCGCGGACATCTCGCAGAATCAAGACTTAAGTTGAGCTTAGCAGGATTCAATTACCAAGTTATTGGAATCGGGATCATTGTGCTTGCTAGGAATGCCTGCCATCTAGCTGCACTTTCCCTGCAGTGGATAAAGGCAATCTTGTCATGTCTCTGAAAGAACGCAGGTGAAGCATGCATGGCTGTTAAAGGTGTAGACATTTCCATTGAAATGACATCTCTCAATCTAAGACCTCGGAAGGATTCCTCCAGTCATGATGCACCCTTTGAAACACCTCCCGAGTGCATAATAAATCTGCAATTGATTGTGTGGCATAAGTGCCGATTAAAATATATTTTTTCATCGCTGAGCGCTTTGCTAGCTCTCTTGACATGTGCTGCCCATCTGAGCTGCAAGGATCATATTCTGAAGGAGGCTTTGTTGAAGTTCAACGCATCGCGTCCAAGCATCATGACTTTCTTTCGCAAGATGATGCTGCATGAATCATCCAGTAATTACAAAATTAATGCAGGTTTCCACTTGCAATGATTGCCACTGGCCGCAAATATAGTCCTATCCTGTTGGACCCAGTACTTCTCAGAACTTCTAAAATTCCTTGAAAAGCATGCTAGCAGAAGCATTTCTTGAAATCACGACTGAAACATTCGCACAAGCCCAGTGTTACAATGAAGATTGTCCACTTCAACCCTCAACCGCTTGGGTCACCTATTCAATTCCACCTGCTGATGTCACTATCACATCCGGTGATCATGTGGTGCTTGCTGCTCTATTACGTGCTACTCACCTTTGCAAGAATGCTTGTGCCGCAGAAAATGTCTAGGTGCTGCCTCATGCGGATGCAATCCTCAACACTCATCGCAGAACTCTCTGCCGCCTGGTGATTCTCCAGCGGCTGTAATGACAGAGCAGACAATGCGGTACGCATTGAGATCGATCTCTGTGTCCTACAGGCCTGCTCAAGCAGCCTTCAGCTCCGCCTTTGCCATCCTCTGGGAGTAACTCTCCAGCCGCGTCATGGGTGCCATCAGCAGCAGGACAATGCCGCATGCACCTATCAAGGACATGAAGTAGGCGTTCCAGCCATACGTCTGCACGATCTTGGCCAGTGGCACACCAGCGTTGGCGGCACCTGCAGAACCAGGATCCCATTTGGACATGCCCATACTCAAGCACAGGGGCTGCATGCATCTAGTCCACCCAATGCAACAGCAACGCAGAGTCCTGACTGGGTGACCTGTACGCAAAAGAAGTCAGAGCAAGAAAGAAGGGAGATCACAGCCATCAAGTGGACATAGTGAGAAGCGCACCAAGGTAGGAAATCCAGCCGAGGAATCCCTGAGCAGCGGAGACAGCGGGCTTGCGCACAACCTCAGCGCCACACAGGCCGATCAGCATCTGAGGCCCGTACAGAGCAAAGCCGACGGCAGCAACAATGATCCACTGGATCCATGCCACGTTGGGCGACACCCAGAACACGCCCAGCAGTGCGGCAGTGGCAAATGCATACGCCATGACCACCTGCACCAAATATTGGCCCCTCTGAATGTCCGCACTTTCCATGAGCACTCAAAACTTGAAGGCAGCCACACAATGAGCAGTCACACACTTCACACCATTGCTCCTACTCTTGACAGGCGCAGCAAGAGCCAAGGGGCCCAGCACCTGGACGCGCAGGCCGACGTTTCCCTTGGTGCCATCGTTGTTGCGCACGAGGTAGTCGGAGATGGCGCCTGAGGATAGGCTGCCCAGCAGACCGCCCAGCTCAAGCCCAGACACCTGGACTGCGGCGTTCTGCACGCCCTTGTCCTGCACGCACCCAGCAAGCATCATCTCAGCAGGCTCCACATTGAGCACAGTTCAGAGTTTGTTTCTCATGTGGCACAGCTGCTTATCGTTAAAATACAGAAGAGTGCACAAATATGGCTGTCACCTTGAGGTAGAAGATGAACCAGGAAGTGACGCCCTGCCGGACGACGTACACGAAGAAGTAGGAGATGGCAAACAGCCACACGTACGGGTTCTTCAGGCAGTCCTCCACCAGCAGCGTCAGCAGGCCTGGCTTGTCCTCCTTGTCTGCAAACCCCACACCATAAGTATTATTCTTTGCAAGCAATCTATACTCTTGGCCGGAGGCACCTTTGCAAAATTGGCGAGCATGTCAAATAGTCTTTTGCAAACTTCATGGTGATGTCCCAGTCCAAGCTCAATATGATCACACACCAGATGCCAACCTGCTGAGGGCTTCTCCTCCGCGACCTTCTTCTTGGGTGCACCCTCGTCAATGGGCGGGAAGCCCTCCTTCTCGGGCGAGTCCTTCATGAAGAGCAGAACCAGCACTGACACGGCCAGAGCCACGGCGCCAGGGGCAAACATGCCATACCTGAGGCACACACCCACTCGTTGCAATCCCTGCAGGCATGCCTCCCGTCTGCGCTGTGGGCAGGAGCAAGCCAACTGTGAAAGTGACCGGCCTTGTGGTACTCACCGCCAGCCGTACATGGTGGCAGCTGTGCCCGCCAGGATGGGCGCTGCAAAGCCGCCAATGTTGTTGGAGGCCGTCCAGAAGCCCCAGAAGGTGCCGCGCTCCTTGTCCGGGTACCAGAGGGTCAAGATGCGCGCGCATGCTGGAGCTCCCAAGCCCTGCAGGGAGACATGTGTAGGTGTGGGGGCCGCAACATGTGACATTCACCGGCGAAATAGGGAGAGAAGGCATCGTCTTCAGGGTGATGCACGTAGGCGGCAATGATTCTCGCCTGCAGCAGGCCGTTGAGTCCCCACAGCGCCAGCAGAACGGGGTACGAGCTTGACATTCCGAACGCGATGTTCACCAAGGCGGTTGCTGCAAGGCCCCCTGTCCAACCACAAAGTAATACCTGTGAGCACTGCTGACAACCAAATACTTGTAAGCTGAAGACGCATGGCACTAATGCCGTGTTATGTCTGCTAGCAAGTGAATCGCATGTCAGGAAATGCACGCTGTCAGTGGAGGAGCCGAGGCGGGAACCACACCGGACAGGAGGATGGTGGGTGATGTGCGCGCGCCCAGCACGCCGCTCAGGAACTTGGAGAAGCCGTAGGCGACCGGCAGCATGGAGGTGAGGCCCCCCACTGAGGTCATGTCCAGGCCCAGACTTGGGTCCTCAATCATGGTGGGCGCTGTGAATGCCAGGCTGTTACGGGTGAGGTAGAAGCTGGCGTAACTGCACCGACCAAAGCTCTTGCCAGGTCAGTGATTGCTAGCTGCTGATGACATGTCACTCTGTGTTGGGTCTTTACTTATCGGCAATCAAGCGTCTGTCCTTGCACAAGCGGGAAAACTGCTTACCCTGTGAACATGGCCATGAAAGTGATCCACCGGGTGCGCGTGAACTTGGCAGAACTGTGAGCCGAGGCCTGGTCAAGATGCAGAGGCCGTCAGTCCATTACTCGGGTCACTAATGGCAGCTAATTAGATTAATCCTCCACACAATGTATCTACTGTGTAACAGGCCTTCCTAAACACCCATTTTCGATAGTGCATACAGCCTTACCGCAGAAGAGGCATCATCAGCATCACTGCCACCTGCTGCTGCACTAGCCGCAGCACAAGTGACATCAGCGCGTCCCCGCTTGGGTGCTCCTCCTCTAGCATCAGCTGAATTAGGGCTTGAAGGCAGAGAACACCGCGTACGCGGTGGATTGATACGCCTGCACAATGAGACTATGATTTATATCGATAATAAGAAAGCGAGGGCAAAGAATGAAGCCCGGGGGTATCATTTTGCAACCACGCACTCACGTCATGCGTCAGCTCCCAGGTCAATTCTCCAAACAATGTAACAGCGAAACTGACGCAACAGCCCTTGATGCGAACTTTCCAGGGATGCGAGTACTTCACAAAATCTTTAAAGCTAAGGACATACACCTCCGTTCCCAGCTCAACAATCAGCATGTGTCAACATCATAAGCTTGCAAACTCCAAAGTACCTTGATGTCCAGAGGCCCGGAAGCCTAGAGATGTACAGTACGCTTACCCACACATGATGAAAACCTGGAAACTGTGACCTGCTCATGTGAGCAGTTGATCTCTGCAATGCCGCAAATTTCCCTTGTTTTCTGTTCACCTTGTAGCTGCGACAAAATGGGGCACGCACCTAGCGCGCAAGCTTTTCAATGGAAGTGTGGCCACCCTTAGCGCTGCCACGCCCCTTTGCCTGTCGCGGAGCAAGGCGCTGGCAACCCCAAGATGGGGGCCGCAGACAAGAGGTTGGCCGCCTTTTATCATTGCAGGTGCCCCCATCGGTCAACGGATCCTCTGCGGCCGCAAGGAACCGCGAAAGCGCGATTTGATGCTCTCCACGGTTTGGCGGTGCAATTGTGGATCATGATTTCCGCAGTACACAGTACATCGCTAATGAGGCGTATCCTCCTATAGCGCCTCGCCTAAAACAGGGGTATATAGGAAAATATAGCTATACTTCAGAGATCAAGTCGCACCAGATCTTCATGGCATCCTCAATCGCATGGACAAGAACTGTTTCATTGTAGCGAAGAAGTTTAGAGAAAGTGGTGATTGCTGCTCTATTCTTACACACAGTATTCGTGCTGTTACCTCATTTACTAGGAGACCAAAGTCACAAAGTACACGCACATTGGTTTCGAATGCTTCCCAAGATCGACCTAGCGCATCATAATCCTCTTTTGCGCGTTGGTTACCAGGTCACCTGTCACAGTTGCATCGTCTATCGTTCCAGAAGCCAACAACTTCACAGGCTTGGCAATGTACAGCAACGAGATAGGAGGTGCATAGACTGGAGTGTAACAGCAATACAAGTTCACGAACGCAGGAGCAACACCAACTCAGAAGCAGCCCCAAAGCATGAAACAGAAGCAGACCTCCCAAGCACCAGCGCTTCACGGCGAGTTGCAGTACTCAAAGCTCAGAAATCAGCAGCGCTAGCACTCAGAGAAGGCCCAAGACCACTGGGTAATGCTTCAAAGCCGCTGTCTGCAATGATTCTAACTGTCACCAAATCTGCTGTCGATGTGATCCTCTCAGCCACACGCCTTTCCTTCACTTGACTCTGGGTCGTTCTCGTTTGCCTGCAGCTGAATACATGGCACTGCCAGCCTCACAGTACTCCGTCTTGGATGCCAAGCGGATTGAGCGCATTGACGATGCCACATTTCGCTGCTACGTGGGTGGATTGAAGCTCTTCAATTTTTCAATAGATCCAGTCCTTACTGTCTCAGTTACTGTCACGGAGAGAGGGCCGACAGTCAAGCTCTTATCCACCAAGGTGAGCATCGTGGCCAATGCACGCTTTTCCAGTCTGTCTGGGAGAAAGTGCTCCAAAAGCAGACGTCATTATTCTTTCTTACGGTGCCATATGTTCCTCCAGCTTGAAGGCTCCCCGGCAGTTGTGGCAGCAAATGACAAATTCACTGCCACAATGAAAAATGACGTGCGGTGGAGTTCTGGGCCTGCTCCAGACCTGCTAGAGCTGGGAAGCGACACTTCCATTCAGGTCTGCTGGAGAATTGGTTTTCCATCATGGCCCAGCTGTGCAGTGTGACACACAACTGTGCTCAAATGACAACAAAGCACTGTGCGTCCCTGAAGGCAATACCTGGTGGGAATGTTTGACAGGTGGCCTTGGAGGTGCCAGGCTGGTTTCGAATGGTGCCAGTGAGTGCCATTGAGCGCACAGGCTGCAGCGTGATGCAAAGAGTGCTCGATAAGATGGTGCCGAGATTTCTGAATCAGCTGCAGGCAGATTATGAGCTGTGGGCGTCTGGAGATGGCTCTCGCAAGCCGATAGGGACTGGGCAGCTCTAGGTCATTCCAGTTGGTTATTCCGCAAGCCGCAGGAAAGTCAATCCTAACATTCTATTCATGTAACATGGCTTTGTGCAACTCCAAGGCGATGTGGCCAATCAGCGGTTTCGCAAAACCGCTGGACCTCTTGGTGCTGAAACACACCTGACTCTGCAAGGTACCTTAAATTGAGGTTTTGTGCCATCAGGAGTTGCTGATTGCCTTGGTGTCAGCTGAGGGTGCATCGCATGGCATGCTGCACTTTGCATGATAACCTCACGTACTTTACACCCCAAGCAGCCTTCTACCCACTCAGGCTTGCAATCAATTGAAACTGCATTTACACGAATTGCACCTCACTCATTTATGTCTGAGCTGCTGACAAAGCAACCTGCAAGTTACAATTGCAGATTCACCATATGCTCTACATATCTACTATTTGAGGACCCCTATATATGCGGGTGGGTCCTCAGGGTCCGTAGGGTTTTCCTAGGGAAGGGTCCTCAAGCCGCTATATGTGCCCGTGAATGTGGCTGTAATCAAATCCACTTTCTGGCGTGATCCCGCACCGTTTCCCAGTCTTGTCCGGGCTACCGTGATAGTAGGTGATGCTTGCTTGTCTCCTGGAGCTTCAGCCGTGGACGCACATGTATGGCCCCGAAACGAACCCGACAACCTGCGCAGGTGTGATGCGAGATCAGAAGCCCCGCCTGCCCCGCCTTGGGCCCTAGCACGGATGCCAGCGCGTAATCTAGTGCTAGCGCATGAATGTGTGATCGAGTATGCTCGTTGGTTGGAGTTTCGTGAGGGCTGAACCTGATTATGGGGTGTCTGATCATGTGCTGTGCGGTATGCAGGCTGATAATTTATTAGAATCTCTTGTGAGTTTGAGAAGGGCAGCAAGCGGATTAGAACCGGTAGGCAGGTTACTCCGGAGCCAGGCGTTGGCAACCCGAAACCATTTGAGAAGTCCTGATGTTGTGCCTCATGCAGTCGGCACAGTGTCTGCCGAAACTGGTGAGCTCCGCATTTTGCTTGCTGATATGTCAATTAAACCAGGTTCCAAACATTGCTTTCAGTTATCAACTATTTCGGTTCACATTGCTTTCAGTTATCAACTATTTCGGTTCGTTGGGATTGGTCTGCAGGTCTTGCTTCAGGTGAGCAATCAGCGAGTCAAACAGCGCAGTCAGAGGTACCGAACAGTTCCGATGAGCAGCCCATCCCTCGTAGAAGGCGAAGAGTGGCTGCTGCAGCTGCTCCGACTTCCGAATCCGACCTTGAGCAGGAGTCAGATCCAGAGTCGGGTTTGGCAGATGATAGTGATTCAGGGGCAGAGTCACAGCCAGACGCTGCTATACGACCAGCAAAGAGGCCCAAAAAGAAGCCCAAGAAGTCCACTGCACGGTGAGGTGGTCTTCTAAGCGCAGAGAAAGAGAAAGGGTGTTCAGATCACGGGTTCAACCACCTGGTACTTGGAAGTCTTGCAGCAGTGATGTTTTTTGCTGCTTGTGAGTGCAGGCTGTCCGCCAGTGAACTGCAAAAGATTGGCCAGGAGAGGCGAGCTTCTGGCAGGGAGAATACAATCAAAAAGTATGACAGCATTATCAAGAGATTTGAGGTGAAGCACTATCTCATTTCGATTCAATTTGTTGGAGCCCTGGCCTGCACTGGTTATGGATCTCAGAATAAATGCATTGCTTTTGCAGTGGTTTTTGCTCCACGATGAGGAGGGCAGGAAGCGTGCTCAGCCCTATGATGGCAACATGGTGCGGGCGGGTGTGGATGTGGCAGTGCGCTTCCTTCACTGGGTCGGCAAGAACTGGCCAGGGTTGGACTGGCCACAGAAGGCCTCCGAGCTGGTAATCTCAATTGCCTCTATCGCACTCTCTGTGAAGTTGCCTTTCTTTTGTTCACACAGGAAACCTCTGAGAACGGCAGATGTGTTGTGGCTCACAGAGGCTTAAAGTCCTGGAAGGGGCTCACAGCGCCTTGCAGAGCAGATATGCTGCGGAGCTGGCGGCCCTGCCTGCTGAGAAACGCAGAAAGGTGGGTTGACTGCACATTCTTTTTGGGTGCTGCAATGTGGCCTGTGGAAATATGACAGCCAGACCTGAGCTTCAGAATGAATTTTCTTGCATGCAGGTGTCGCTTTCCTCCTTGAAGGATGACACAACATATGGGGCAGTCTATGATACTCTCAAAAACAACATGGCAGCGAAGGGCATGCGTCCATCTGGGGGCGTGGACCCCCAGGACAATACAGTGGAGGACACTCTGACCATTGGCCAATACACGAAGTTGATGAAGCTTCTGCTAGCCTCGCCGAGTGCAACTGCTCTCAGGGACAGGTCTTCCTTTGCCTACCTGTACGCCAGCGTTGGGCGAGCAGATGATGGCAGGATGATTTTTCTGGCGGATATGATGAGCCCGCGGGAGATCAAATGCATTGGTGAGTTCCTGTGTTCTCATAAATTGTGTGCACACTTGCTTGAAGCTGAAAGAGCACTTGCCGTTCTGGATCAATCTCATCAGGCAGAATTGACAGCTGTGCAGCACCAGCTCCTGTCCAATGTTGGGCACTGAAACCCAGTGAAGTTGCAAAGTTGAATCTCTCCTGGTGCTTGCAGGGCCCTGCCCAGCATTTATGCTAGCTTTCGTGCAGAAGGGTGGCAAGACCCTGGAAAATGGGAAGGTGTCCTTCTCTGGCAGCCTGCGCCACAGAGAACCTGCCCTCTGCCCCCATGGCAGCTTGGGGCAGCATCTTGTGAATCGCTTCACTATCATGGCGGAACCCTTTCCAGACCCGCATGACTTTGACAAGTGGGTGAAGACCCCCATGTGGCCTGCCAACAACCCGAGAGAGAATCTGTCTTACACAACACAGGCAATGGCCATCAAGCGCTATGTGCGGGACGAGATGGGCGTCCATGTTAGGAAAGTCACACATATTCTCCGGGTACTGGCAACGAGGAATCTGGACGAGGAGGGCATCGATGAAAGGGTAGGCTGAGTCTCATGCCAGCAAACTACATTGCGCAGCATCTACTATTGTGATTGGTCAGTGCATTGAGTTTGTGCCCCAGTCTATGGGCTCTTGCTTGGCTCCATCGTCTCACGGACCTTTCTTTTGCAGATCATTGCACGAATGGGCAAGTGGAATTATGAGGCCATGACAAAGAGTTACCTCATGTACTTTAAGCCCGCTGGTCTTCTCGGTTCTGCTGGCTGGCCTGGCGCTGCGACCAACGACTATGAGCAGTACTGGCACCCGCGCTTCTGCGTGCAAGTGCCACAGGGGCTGGTGGATCTGCTGTTCCCTTTCCTTCCAAAGCTGCGGCAGGTGCGCGCACAGTCCTGTGTGAATGTGGGGAGGCTCTAATAAGCTACCGAGGCTCTGGAAAAATTCTGGTACCATCTTGCCAAGCCTTTGCTAACCTTGTTTTACAATTTCTGTCCCTGAAACATGCAGACTGTCAAGGAGCTTGAGAGCACGATCGCTGTGAAGAACTCCATGAAGAGCGTTCCCGCCGCCCTAGACTATCTGGCATTGGTTGTGGTGCAAGATGCTCTTGAGGATGCTGAGCGATACCCAGAGAATCCAGTGCATGCGCTGCTGCTGGGCTCGCCGCTATTCAGGTGAATTTGTTGCAGTGCAGGGCACAGAGAGTAGAATTGCCTTGTGCCAAGAGAGCAAGAAGCTTGAAGCTATGTGGCCTTGAGGCATGGACTTAGATATCCGATTTTGATAACAATTATGGTGACTGCAGGAAATTGTTGGAGCAGTATGAGGAGGACAAGGCAGCCCACAGCTTTGACAGCATGCGGCCAATGACAGCTGCCAGGCACATGCTGGAAGTGCGTGCATTCATGATGCAATTCAGGGAGTTCATCTCACAGCCCACCACTGCCAGCGGAGCATTGGCAGTGGCTGCCTACTCCCCGGTCAGGGCGGTGCAGGGACGCGGCGCTGCTCGCACCAGCTATGCCTCAGAGCTAGCCAGCCAGCAGCGCTCCTTCCAGCATCTGGAAGCCACTGTTGCGCGCATGGAGCCGAGCGCGCAGCCTGAAGGTGTGCAGTTTCTACAAGAAGTGCAAGAAGTCTCATTTCTGATCACTCCCACCACTTCCAAGCCATGCACTGTAAGTCATGCTATTGAATGATTTTCTATATGTGCTTCATGCCCTCAGGCGGATGTCTGCCTGGTCTGTACTTGCCTGATAGAGGATGCCTTGTTCCATAATTTATTGCAATGCTGCGTGAAATTCTTGACTGTGCTTCCTGTATCAGAACTAGGTTAAGTGGCTTCTCTCTTCTAGTTTGCTGCTCTCGATGGAATTTTCTAAATACATGAAGATCCGTAAAGGCATTCATTTTGATTGTTGCAGACATGGTGGAGGCGATGGAGGAGGCTTTGCTTCCAGAGCTGGGGGAGCCAGGGGATGAAGCACCCCTGCTGCAGCTATCAGCTTCATCAGGCAGCAGTCCACAAAGGACTGAGGCAGTGGCACCCATTGAAGCTGCACCCTCAGCCCATGTGGCAGCAGTGGCAGCGGCAGCGCCACCGGCAGCGGCTGAAGCTGATGTGGACAGACCGTGGGCAGCGCCTATGGTGCCCCCTGCAAGGCCGCCAGCGGCGCGTGCAGGGCCGGTGCTGGGCTCGTCCAATGTCCTCTCCAGGCCATTCGCCAGGCTGCTGGGCACTCCAGAGCAGAGGGAACAGCGCGAGCACAGCGAGATTGTGGCGAACAGCAAGTTCGTGCTTGTGCCTGGATACGGCGTTCTGCCAGTGGTGTCTATCAATGACATGATGTTGCAGCCCCAGCATGCTGCAGCGGGCGCATCAGCCCAACCAGCAGCCTTGCACAACTCAATGCTGCCTGGAGCGGCACGCGCGGCAGTAGCACCGACCGCAGGCCTGCAGAGTGGGAGCACAGGTCCTGCACAGCGTTTGCAGCGCGCAATTCCGCAGCTGAGGCACTTGGACTCCATGCAGCAGTTCTGGCAGCTCTGGGAACATGGTGACAGCCTCAGCGGCAGTGCTGCCATTAGCTGCCTGCCGCTGGAGGTGCGCAGCCAAAAGAATGTGAAGCAGCGTTTCTTTGAGTGGAAGGAGGCTGCCCTGGAAGTGCAGAGGTTGGCAGCTCAGATGCCTGCCACCCGCGCGGGGCCCACAGCAGTGCAGCGCGTGCTCACTCAGTTGGAAAATGATCGCAACGCAGCTGGGCTGTCCATGCCTGCCTTCATCAAGTCGCTTGGGAAGAAGAAGGGCAAGGCGCAGGAGGAGGGGGGATGAGTATTTTGTGCTCCATGTGCATACCGAATCTTATGAACGAAAAATGGTGGAACAGAGGAATGCCTTTTTTATGTAGGGGTTGCTTAATGGTCTACAAACAGCCAATACATGAATAAGCCAGCATGAGCAGCTTAGAGATCAAGATTAGCTTAAGAGATCAAGTCCGTGTGTGACAAATTCTGGTTCAGTGTTGTGCAGGTTACTGATATCAATGATATCATCATGTTCTATCAGTCAATATGTTATAAAGCATGCAGAAATAGCTATTGTACTGATTTTCAGTCATCAACTTTATACAGTGCAACATGCACATTGTGACTCAATGCAAGCTGGCTGCCCTCTAATGAGCAAATTTCAGCAAGTGCACAAAAGCTTCTTGTGTGAAAGCTTCCCCACTGATTTCAAACCAAAGCATCCAGCAGAAATTCTTCATGTCTGTCAGTCTTGCATGCTTGTCAAAATCCTCCACAGGCATGCCAAGCTTCACAGTCAGGCTGCTAAAATCCGCATGAGGCGTGAGCGCTTGCGAGCATTCCACAAAGTTCCATGAAACCTGTAGCAGAACGATATTCTACTTGCAGAAGTAGCAGTTAGTAACAAACACAAGGAGGGACCACATGCAATCGAGTACTTCATCAAAAGCATTCAAGAAAAGACAGGACGGGGACAGAAACTTACCAGAAACTGTAACGTTATCCAAAGATGTTTCGTCTCGTAGAAAGATGGTTGTAGCAGAATCGGAGCCAAGGAAACAGGTCCACCGTCTTGTAGCTCGTGCAGGATCGCGAGCGCATACTTCTTGACGGAACGCCAGGCTTCATTTTCCTGCGCCCTTTGTCTCGCTGCCTGCAGATCAAAGAGTTTCAAACTTACATTTGTTTCTGAAGCAAGGCAGATTCGCTGTCAGTGCACAATCTGTTCCGGAATCTGTTCCGGACTACTTGAAGACGTTAATTCTCGAGTTGCAGGAGACGTTGAGAATCAACACAGCAGTTTTTGGTGTCTAAGACTAGTAGTAGATTCGACCTCACCTTCGCAGGCGAGTGACGACGATCGTGCAGCGTCTTGCATATTCCGGATGGACTCATCGACACGGGTGCGGGTCGCAATTGCTTGCAATCAGGATCGGGCGGCCTGATCAACAGTTGTAGGAGCTTATTAAAATTTTTAAAATCAGGTTTGACGGGACGTATAACTGAAAAGGACCCTCGTCTGGTGAGAAACACAAGTTTCCGTCGAAATTCGGGATTATTGGACCACGTGCGCCTATTCTGGGCACTTTGGGGTGCCCGCTGCTTTGGGTACTCGTTGCAAGTTGATTTTTGTCCCTAATGATATGGTCCTCAGGCAGTCCTCAAAGCGGTCCTCAAACTCAGGATATGCATGCATATGACTGGTGGAGTAAGTGCAAAAATCAGGAAGACTGGAAAGCAAAAATCCCAAGTGTTGCGTGATGTAGTAGTCCTCAAGGAGTGAAGAAAAGAGTCAAAATGCATATAACTGAACATTGCATGCAAAGCGCTGATCTTGGAATTTAAAGTATATTTACAAGAAGCTGGCGACCTACTCCTTACGCCTAAGATACACTCCACACTCTATGTGATCAGTGTATGGAAATTGATCAAAAATTGCAAAACGTAGAACTTTGTGGGAGCCTTTCAGCTCCAACAGATTGTTGTGCAGGGTCCCCGGGTTGCAGGAGATGTACAGCACATTTTGGAATTCCTTCAGCAATGTAGCAGTGTCTGCGTCACAGCCTGCGAACAGACAAAGAGAGCAGCTTTCAAATATCAATGGAGAGTTACTGGGAGAGTTTGGAGTTGAAGAGTCAATGCAGGTTAGACTTTGTTGATAGTCACCTGCTCTTGGAGGATCTACAAGGATGGTCTGCAGGTCGTGTGCTTTCAGGTCCAGGCTCTTTGCTCGCTCAAATTCCCTGACGCCCTTCCAAGCAGCCGTAAACTCTTCAGCTGTCAAACGTGCAATGCTTGTGTTGGAAATGCCATTTTCCTGCAGATTGAATTCTGCAGCTGCCACAGATGCCTTGGACATCTCGGTGGCCACCACTCTCCTGCAGGATGGCAACACCGTTATGTTCATGTCGATTGGCCCACTGGCACTGGTCTCAAGTAATCATTGCTGTGTTGCCCATGAAGCCTGCAGGAGAAAAGTGACTACACCTGAAGTTGGATGCTAAAGCTACTGTGAAGTTGCCATTGCCGCAGTAAAGCTCCAGGAGGTCATGATCATTGCTGCCTCTGGTCACATCCTTTGCCCAGGTCAGCATCTTCTCGCACATCCTGCCATTGGGCTGGCTGAAGGCACCTTCCACCTGCAACCACATGGCGCATAGATCAGCGCTGTAGAGTCTATTGCACTTGCATCAGTCCCACACTTGCTTGTCAAGCTGCAGCAATTAGATATAATTTATCTCACCTGCTTGTAGATGAGGGACTGCCCATCAACCGCCAAAGTTTCGCAGACATATCCCGCATCCAGCTCTATTTTCTGCTTGTGGCTGCGCCCAATGATGTCCACATGTGGCCGTGTGCTGGACGGGCAGCTGCCCAGGATGGGCCGCAGCTTCTTTGCCGCTTCCTGCCAGTCTGGCCCCAGCTTCTTATGGTAGATCATGGTGACCATTGCATGGCCAGTCAAAGTCGTATGGAAGTTCACCTGCAAGAGCCAAGGAGCAGCGGTGCAGGTGCCATCTCAAAGGAAGTCATCCGGATGACATCCAGAAGGAAACCCCGGTGGCTGCGCACCTGGTACAGCTTTGTCTTCAAGATGGGCTGTTCCAGGACTTCCTCCATGAGCTTTGTCATAAGTTCATTGATAAGCAAAGACCCCACTGGGAATTGATCAATGCGCACTCTCTCATGCCGCTTCTCGGCGTCATCGGCAGGCTGCAACAGACATGACAACTTTGGTGAAGCTCAGCAGTCGCCTTGCAGAGCAGGAAAGCGACGCAGAGTACGTTGATCACCTTTTGAAACATGATGTAGTATGCATCGATTCCATCATGCCAGACTCTGAATTCAGCCCTGCAAAGAACAGCACAGCATGAATTCTATGCTTCCCATTCACCAAATATGCGCTTGTTACTGCGAGCAACTATACTCAAGGTGCTTACCTCATTCTATAGTGCTCACTCTGAGACTCCAACACCTCCACCTCAGGCATGCTGAAGTCTGCAAATCTGGCTTTGACACGCTCAACTTTAGCACACAACTGTTCTCCATAGCGTGCTTGATCAACTCGGGCTATCGACATGCTGGGTTTCTGATCTGCATTAGTTGGGGAGACAACCCGGGTGACAGTGCTCAAGGGACGCAAGATCGCCTGTCTTGATTGCACCCTGAAGTGCGAGCCAAGGGAGCCTAGCAATCGCATCAATGCATCGACATCATACTGCTAGGAGATACTCATACTCAGCTCTTAACATTGACCAGAAGAAGAGCATTCTGAAGTCGGCCAACTCCATCACCAAGAGTTCCGAAAGGTTCCGGAACTGGCCCAAAAGGGCAGTTGGGCTGCCCAGAAGAAGCCTAATTGGTGAACTTATAACTTAGAAATTGGGTTCATGCAGTGGTAGGAGACTTCTTGACTTGTACAAATGCAGAGAGTGCACGCGTGCCTTTGGACAACCTCGGCGCGCACAGGGCAGGCCGAAGCGCCTCTAGTTGACAAGGTCACCTGCAGGTCAGCTGAGACTCTGGATTCAAAGTTTAGGAAGTTGCCGAGCTTCAAGTTTGCGTGCCACAAGTTTGCGTGCCACAATGTGATAGGTGATCAGATCAGAAGAAAACCCAGTGAAAATGCCATACCATTGACTGCCAGTGCGCCAGTACTTTTCCAGTTGACACCACATGTATTACACAGTACTCTCGTATCGGAGGCGTCTAGACCTCATGTTGTAGACTACGAGTCTATCTGCCACATGCTATCTGGTAGTACCTTCAAATTGGGGGCAGGATCTGTGCGCGTCATGGTGCATGAACTTGACAGGTGTACCTAGCCACAGGTCACCTGAACAGGTACAGTACCTGTTCTGATGCATCTGATCCATATGGGACAACCATGGTCAATTCTAGAATCGAGATCTAGCAACTCGCCAGCCCGACTTCACAACTCGCAGCCTCCTCAGAGAGGGTGCAATGGCTGCCTCTGGATACAAACGCCATCAGGTCCGGGTGTGGATGAAGTAACTCCCCTGCACATCCTCAAATGTCAGCAATAGGGAAGCCGCCTAGTACATGTCAGAGATGGAACTTGCAGCTGCATTCTCAACATGAGGCAATACTGGCAAGGCTGAACACTTGTTTTACCCCGGAGCCGCTCACCTTGTTGCCTCGCGTTATGCGCAGGTTCTCGTCTAAGTAAAGCCACTCTATGTATCCAGGTTGTACATTGTTGAAGGGCAATGGTATCCTGCAGATGGAAGGCTCGTTATCTGCTCATTTGGGGAACCTGTTTGACTATCATGGCTGAATCTGCACAGTCAATAACACCGCAGTAAATATGTACACATTCACTGGAGCAGGGGATGCACTGCTTGCCTGGCGTTGAAAATCTCCACTCTGGCATAGTTGATGGTCACGGTGGTGCGGTCCCGGCCAGAAGCTGTCTGGTCTGCCTCACAGGTTGCACCGGCGCGTACTTTCAAGAAGGGGGCCAGCTCAACGACGTTCTGCAGCGCCCCAGGCCCTGCCTCATCCTCCAGCAGCTGGTAGTTGCCCACTTTGTTAGCCAGTAGCTTCTGCAGCGGATTCGCATCCTTGGCCTGCACCCAATAAACACAGCGATGTTCAAAGAGCTGGAGGCCTGCAAGATGCCCAACATGACTGCTGCAAATTAGCCCTGGTTACGGCACTTGCCATGGTGCCTGTTGTGCCCGGGGGTTTCTACATGTGCGAGCATGGGTGAAGATGTAAGGGCACCTGGGCAGACCATCGCAAGCGCCATCGACCAGGGGCACGCGGCGATAGGGCTGGCATTTGCTCGCCGTCTCCCGAGCTAATCACCTCATCGATGAGTCGCATCACCTAACCCAGCAGACTCTACAGTTGAGCTGCATTGACAACATGATGGAAGCACCTATGTCCACAGACTGGAATGAGAAAATTGTCCCAAGTCATGAGAGGCACCTAGGTGTCCCAAGCACATCGTGGTGTCTTTGCTCACCTCCGAATCACTATTGCCATTCTGCACAGCTGCAAGAAGGCGATCCTTTGCTGGTGTGTCTTTTATCAGGATGAATAATGTCCCTTTGTTCCCTCTTGACAACCTGAAATCACCATCAGGTGAAAGATATGTGATGTCTATCCAGCCCTGCGGTCAGGAAAAGCTAATCTGGGCATGTGCAGATGGAAAATGCGTGTATTGTTCCAACATCAGATCAATCAATTGCCTCATGTCTTTGGTCTAGCATGAGCTGGCTGTTAACAATGCATGCCTTTGTCTCGTCGCCCAAGAGCTTGAATGGAACAGGGTAGGGCACTTTGAATGGCAGCACTTTTAAGTCGAAGGCTGCTCTGTCAAATTGGAAGTCAATTCGTATGTCCTGCAGACATGCACTTTTGGGTATTAGTCAAACTTGCAATGATATCCACATCAAAAGTCTAAGCTGGGCAATGCGCACAACAGTACACCTTGTTGCAAGATCCTACGTACCTTCTTGGCAGGCGGCTCTGTCTTGCTCTTTCCAAATATTGGAAGACCCTTGCCCTTGCGGGGTGTGAAACCTGGCAACGGCCGGGAATCGGTGTTGGCTTCTGCTTCCACCTGCAGTCATGCAGTGATTGAGTGGAGACAGAGTGGCCGCAAGTGACACAAAACAAGCCAAATGATCGACTGGAGCCTCTCAAACTGGAGGGGCAAGACAACTGCTGCATACAAGGTTGAAGAACCAACGATACACCTTGAGCTGGCCAATATTGTTGCCAAAGCTGACAATATTGTTCACGCGCACACCGCTGTCTCCAACCAGTACTTCTTGATATACTGAGAATGCCTGGACACCGACAAATGTCTGCTGGATTGGTGATGCGGTGCCTGGCCGGGATGTGTAGAGGAGTTTCCAGCGACCTTCCAGAAGTGGAGATGTTGTTGGAGCCTGGACACAACACAAGCATCTCTGCCCCTGTTCATATGAATAGCATCCCAATGTGCGAGACTCATCAACCCTTTTCACAAGTGTAGGGGGGGCCTACTCTGACGCCACCACTTGTTTCGAGCTCGTCCACCGCTGCATCAAGCGCTTCCAGCTGTGTTGCATCGAGCCCACTTTTACCTCTGCCCTGCAAAGCATCTTTTCCATGCACATCATGCTGGCGCTGGGTCTGCAGAGTACAGAGTACAAGGGAGCTTGCCTCAGCTTGCATGTGATACCTGGACGCCACTTAAACAACCAATAATAATATTCCTTGCGTCCTCGGGACCTCTTTTCTGCGCATCACACACAGCTGGTCATACAATGACTGGAGACTATGGGACTATGGGTCATTGCATTGCCAAGCCTGCAGCGAATAAAGCTTACCCTCGCAAGGACCTCTGTATCAGACCTGAGGAATACTGCTGCGGTGGCTATTTTCAAAGTCCTACATTCTCTGCATGAGGACTTCTGCTGCGGATTGCCCTTAGTTCTGAAGTCCAAGGAAAAGTAATCTGGTCGGTATCCACCCGAGGAAAGCAAGGAAGGAGCTGAGAGCATCAGGTATTACTTGCAAATAAATTGTCAAGGTAATGGACTTTACAGATCAATGTGCATTGTGTGGAAGTCCTCGTCATTATCCACCACAAATATCCTTCCTTCTCGAGACCACGTGCCCCACTTGACTACGCGGGGAGAGACAAATTGCTTTTTCAGGGCGTCGAGATCAAACGACCACACCAATCTATAAGACAGTGTCTCTGCAGAAAGTAACTCTGCCGCGTCCGTTGTTGCCTCTCGCCCCCAAAGTCGCTAGCCCTGATCTGGATCACGTTAACAGATGCCGTCGCTACCGCGCATCGATCATATCATCATTGGTGCAAAGGATCTGAAAGCGGCAGCTGATTATTTCTATGAGACGTATGGGCTGGCGTCATACGTGGGTGGAAAGCACCAGGGCTGGGGAACCGAAAACATTATAGTGCCTCTTGGAGAAGGGTACCTAGAAATTGCGGCCGTTTTCGACGATGAACTGGCGGAGCAGATCGACTGGGGCCAGTAGGAACTCTGCTTCATGTCTTTGATGCTAGCGATGCACAATGCTCGAGGGCACTCCAGCGATGCCGATGTCTGACACACACTGGCACATATGTCGGGCAACCCATGAATTGACTGGAGAGGTCTACGTCACAGGCTTGTACTGGAGACTCCACTGACGGACAAATCCTGGGCACTCCTCACCTACTGCGTTGAGACAGAAGAGGGGGCCTTAGCAACTTCACACAGGCTGGGAGCAATGACCAAACCCATGCTGCGGGTGCGGCCAGATGGATGTGAGCTCACCTGGCGTGTGGCGGCCATGTCCCGCTTCAAAGAGGAGGGAAGGGCGTCCAAACCCTTCTTCATCACCTGGGATGACCCATCAGTCCGACCAGACAAGGTGCGAGCTGCAGCACAACGGAGGAACATTGCCAAGATTTCATTCATGAGTCAAATGCAGTGAGAAGACATTGCCTACTGAAGCTGCTGGCACAGTGTTGGCTGGCGCAATTACTTTGTGGTGTTTGAGTGAACGAGGGGAATTGTCTTCTCCTCTCCTGCTGAGTCCTGCAAAATTGTTGTGCTGACCCTAAATTTACGTGCATGTGAACCACAGCTTTCGGCGCCACACAAAGTGCAGCCACAAGGGATCGAGTACATTGAGCTTGCTGGGGACAAGAAGGCAACAGAAGAGTGGATTGGCACAGACAAGCTACCGCTCCGATGGGTGAAGGGTACCCCAGGCATCAAAGCTGTCGGTATCAAGACTGCATCAGGAATGGTAGAGCTTCGGTGAGATGTGTACTTTGCTTAAATGATAAACCGAAAGACAACACATCCTTGCACCGTTGGTGGCGTGTTCTGTCCAGAGGAGCTTGAGACTACGGCACTGTACTGCGAGTTTTAGAGCTGCTCATGGAGTACTGTCAGTGGGCACTTTTGGCATGTGCACATGTGGTTTGCATGTTAAAAGACGCAATGTTTGCTAGCAAAGTGCTGAATACGACATCACAGTTCCCAGCACACATCTTATTATGTCCACAAAGCATGCATATGCACATGCGCATGTAGAGCCTGGAACAGATGATGCCGCTCCTTTGCTCCAGATCCTTCTCGTTTCATCATGATGATCTGTAACTGGGATCTTCAATGTGACGCGCCTTGGCCAAGGAAAGCTCCATACGGGGGTCAAGTTTGCCTTGCATTTTCTACACAATCAGAACAGTACGCACACCTCAACAGTCAAAGCTCAGATTTGTCAGACACTGCAGCGCTGCTGGGGCCTGACAATTGCGCAATCGTCAGAGCCAACACTTGAACACCGCGAGCCAAATCCTTTGGAGCAGTGTGCTCGTCGGGGTGGTGACTCAGGCCATTCTTGCTGGGAACAAAAATCATAGCCGTGGGTGCAATCTGAGCCATGAATGCAGCATCATGGTATGCGCGGCTGATCATGCGCTTGCTCTTTGCGCCCACCAAGTCGGCCGCAGTTTGGATCGCATTGAGGACCTGCGCACAGAGAATTTGAGAAAGCCATCAGAAAGGGAAATTAACAAGATCAAAGCAAATGATGTTTGGTGTAGCTTGAGCCTCACCTTTTCATCACATGTTGCGACAGGGTACTCAAACTTGAGCTCCTTCGTGTGGCCACACTTGCGCTTCTCAGCTATCTCCTCTGCTGCGTCAAGAGTCTTCTTGATGACCCCATCTCTCCTTGCCTTGTCAGAGTCTCGGATATCGATGTCAAGGAGCACACTTCTGGGGACTGCATTATAGATGTTCGGCTGTTGGTCCCACAGCCCAACTGTTGCAACGGTTTCTGCAGCACCTACGGCATGAAATTACATTCAGTGTCTTGAGTGGGTACTGTCACGACAGCTGTGCGGCCATTTTGCATGCACGACACATCAAGCAGGATGCTGTGAAGCTTAGAACCTGTCGCCAGTGCTGCCTCCTCAATCCGCAGAGCCAACTCTGAAGCCGCCAAGCTTGGGTCGTTCCTGTGATTGGCAATTGACACAGCCTTTAAAGCAGCTCTAGCCAGTGTATTACCAGTGATGCGAGCCCGACTGATTGCAATAAATCTGATATTGGTACCTGTAAGACATGGGCATGCCGCCACCATGGCCGCCCTTCCCGGTGAACTTGATGCGGACAAGAGACGGCGCCATGATGGCCTCCACAATCCCAATATCTTTGCCTTCGGCCTCTAGTGCGGGGCCCTGCTCAATGTGCAGCTCCACAAAGGCAGCTATGTCACCCGGATTCTTTAGCAGGGCCTTGTCCGCATATTCCTGTGCCAGAGAGCCATGAACAACAGTCACATCAGGCTCACAGCAAAGGTAAATATACAGCTGACTTTTGAATGGGGTGCGAAACCTGAGCAGTCTTTGCAGAATAGCCCACTGCGTTGGCAGCCTCCACAAAGCTGGTCCCATTCTCATCCTTGAAGGTGTCCAGCACTTCTGGCTCCAGGAAACCAGTCATCCCCTGACTGCAGCACACAGGCAGGTTAACCTTGCTCAACCTTCACAGCAGGTGTGCAAAATAGAGTCAGACAAGCGGAGCTAGCTGCCAACCACTACCTGCCAAGGCAGGGAATGCTGAACCGCGAAGCCTCCTCAGTGGTGAACATAATGGCTTCTATAGACTTAACAGGCTTGAAACCAAGCTTCTGCAGAGCGCCGACAGCAGCAATTGCGCCAAGGGTCCCCAGTGCACCATCATATGGACCTCCCAGGACAACAGTGTCACTGTGCGATCCCGTCATAACAATTCCTGCACATCACATCACCAGGTGTTATGTGTGTTTGAGAGCCAGTTTGACACCTTGAGGGTCACGAAAAGCACCAGGAGCAGGATGATAATGGCCCACCAGCAGTGCTGTCAGAACCCTCCCAACGACCAAATGTGTTTCCCATCACATCTTCTCTCACAGACAAGCCTGCCTCTCTCATCCACTTCTTAATAACATCCCTTGCCTCCACATCTCGCTCTGAAAAGACGAGTCGCGTCACACCAGGTCGTGAACAATCGCTGTGTGTCGCCAGGTGATCGAACTGGAGGAACCAAGCACCCGTTTCAAGTCGTCTAGGGTTTAAGGTAAAGAACGGGAACAATGTAAACTTTCACATCTCGAGAGCATATGATAGTGCGTGATCGGATGTCTGCTACTCCCAGTACTCAGTATGCCTAGGGCTAGGAACCCCTGCTTAGGTGCAGTACAGCGCACCTGCGAGATCAGTTTCTCTCCGGTGATTTCGGCCACAAGAGCAGCACTCAAGTCTTCCAACGCCACTTCAGTTCCAGAAGCCATCCACGTGAAAAGCAGGCACAGTTTCAGAAGCATCGAGTGGTAAGAGCAAGTTTTTCTCCCCGTCGATGATATCATCAGGCAATACCTTGTCAACCCCAACTAAAGGCCCATTTAAATTGCCTATTTGAAGGTGTATGCAGGGGCGCTCGCCTCCAAATCTTGCGAATTCTTGGAGCACGTGGTCCAGCACGTGGTCCCAAATCTGCTTCTCGACACAGAATTTAGCCGAACTAGAGAGTACTATTATGTCTCCTGTTATGCGTTCCATTCTTCTTCTTCTTCTTAGAGAGTACTATTGTCTTTGAGAGTAAGTATGGTCATGTCAGCGGCAATTGCAGCTACCGTAGGTGGAATAGCGGTTGGTGTCGTTGGTATTGCTTGGCCATTCGTCTCCTGGTGAGTTTGGTGATATTCCGGTGTAGCCATGTCAATCTTCCTCAAGGAGAGGATTTATGTGTAAACTAACAGATATATTCCAACAGGAGGGCTGTTGCGACTCTTGAAAAGCCAAAGTACGTTGTCCTGAAGGCACTTGGGCAGGAAAAAAGGTGAGTTCTTCACAGCGTATTGAGCAAATGGCAACAAGTAACGGGCTGTCCAAACCATTTTTTATCGTAATTCAGGAATAGTACTGGATTCTTCTGACTCCCAGACGTAGCTTTCAGGTCCTTCTATGACCGTGAGCCAGCCATCACTGTCCGGCAGTATGCCCCCTACCTTGTTGCAGAGGTCACTGCTGAGGGAAAGGACATGCGAGAGGCTATTTCAGATGGCTTCCGCCAGGCGCGCGCAGCTGCCCATCCTAGTCTGCCCTGAGCAACTACCTCTTGCAAAGAAAGGGCTGTCCTTAGTTCAACTCGAGAGCTGGCTAAGATCCTGCGCAGGTGGCCAATTACATCTTTGGCAACAATACAGCCAGCGGATCTGAGGAAACAAGCGAGAAGATTGCCATGACATCGCCAGTGTCTGCCGAAGAGGACTTCCGGAGTATGAAAGGAGGGTCAGGAGAGAAGATCGCCATGACATCACCTGTCACAACAGACATGGATGGAACCAAGTGCGATCAACTGGATGGATCGCTGGGGCAAAGCCTGACTTGAATGCCTGCTCTTGCATGCATTGCAAAAGCTGTAGAAGGGATGCCCTGTAGAAGAAATGGCATGAAGACTATCCAACTAGTTGACCTGAGACACATGACAGCTGTGCGGTGTCTCTTGCAGGTATGTGGTGTCTTTTCTGATGCCTACCAAGTATAGGACCAAAGAGGATCTGCCCAAGCCCAAAAATCCCAACCTGCGCCTGCGGGAAGTTCCAGCCAGCAAGATGGCTGCCATATCATGGAGGTAAGAGGGCTCCAAGGTTGTACAAAAAAAGTATTTGTGTCCTGACTTTATGCTGACCTTCCCGAAAAAAGAGAGCGTTGCTTTGCAAACTGGCTGACCTGCTATTATGGAGCTCTGCACATGTTTTCTCTAGGGGAGGTGCGCGGCCAACGGAGCGCATTGTGGAGTCCAAGAAACAGGAGCTGCTGTCAGCGCTCAAGGAGGCTGGCATAGAAGTGGAGGATGCCAGCCCCAAGCTCGCACAATACTACCCGCCCTTTGCTCCACGATTCATTCGTTTGCAGGATTTGCTGTTGCCAATTAAAGACTAACTGGTGACAGTTGAAGACGATGTCTTTTTACTCCCAGGTGCTGAAACGAACAATTGTACAGTGTGGTAAGTCTAAGCCAGATTCATTTTGGGGTGGGTGGCAAGCTACAGCTTGCAATCAAGCAAGTAATTGCAATTGACAGCTTGAATGTGCCCATTCCCTTCTCATCCACTGCTTCTCAGATGGGCTACAAAAGACAAAGTAAGCATGCTAGCATATCCTGAGTTTGAGGACCGCTTTGAGGACTGCCTGAGGACCATATCATTAGGGACAAAAATCAACTTGCAACGAGTACCCAAAGCAGCGGGCACCCCAAAGTGCCCAGAATAGGCGCACGTGGTCCAATAATCCCGAATTTCGACGGAAACTTGTGTTTCTCACCAGACGAGGGTCCTTTTCAGTTATACGTCCCGTCAAACCTGATTTTAAAAATTTTAATAAGCTCCTACAACTGTTGATCAGGCCGCCCGATCCTGATTGCAAGCAATTGCGACCCGCACCCGTGTCGATGAGTCCATCCGGAATATGCAAGACGCTGCACGATCGTCGTCACTCGCCTGCGAAGGTGAGGTCGAATCTACTACTAGTCTTAGACACCAAAAACTGCTGTGTTGATTCTCAACGTCTCCTGCAACTCGAGAATTAACGTCTTCAAGTAGTCCGGAACAGATTCCGGAACAGATTGTGCACTGACAGCGAATCTGCCTTGCTTCAGAAACAAATGTAAGTTTGAAACTCTTTGATCTGCAGGCAGCGAGACAAAGGGCGCAGGAAAATGAAGCCTGGCGTTCCGTCAAGAAGTATGCGCTCGCGATCCTGCACGAGCTACAAGACGGTGGACCTGTTTCCTTGGCTCCGATTCTGCTACAACCATCTTTCTACGAGACGAAACATCTTTGGATAACGTTACAGTTTCTGGTAAGTTTCTGTCCCCGTCCTGTCTTTTCTTGAATGCTTTTGATGAAGTACTCGATTGCATGTGGTCCCTCCTTGTGTTTGTTACTAACTGCTACTTCTGCAAGTAGAATATCGTTCTGCTACAGGTTTCATGGAACTTTGTGGAATGCTCGCAAGCGCTCACGCCTCATGCGGATTTTAGCAGCCTGACTGTGAAGCTTGGCATGCCTGTGGAGGATTTTGACAAGCATGCAAGACTGACAGACATGAAGAATTTCTGCTGGATGCTTTGGTTTGAAATCAGTGGGGAAGCTTTCACACAAGAAGCTTTTGTGCACTTGCTGAAATTTGCTCATTAGAGGGCAGCCAGCTTGCATTGAGTCACAATGTGCATGTTGCACTGTATAAAGTTGATGACTGAAAATCAGTACAATAGCTATTTCTGCATGCTTTATAACATATTGACTGATAGAACATGATGATATCATTGATATCAGTAACCTGCACAACACTGAACCAGAATTTGTCACACACGGACTTGATCTCTTAAGCTAATCTTGATCTCTAAGCTGCTCATGCTGGCTTATTCATGTATTGGCTGTTTGTAGACCATTAAGCAACCCCTACATAAAAAAGGCATTCCTCTGTTCCACCATTTTTCGTTCATAAGATTCGGTATGCACATGGAGCACAAAATACTCATCCCCCCTCCTCCTGCGCCTTGCCCTTCTTCTTCCCAAGCGACTTGATGAAGGCAGGCATGGACAGCCCAGCTGCGTTGCGATCATTTTCCAACTGAGTGAGCACGCGCTGCACTGCTGTGGGCCCCGCGCGGGTGGCAGGCATCTGAGCTGCCAACCTCTGCACTTCCAGGGCAGCCTCCTTCCACTCAAAGAAACGCTGCTTCACATTCTTTTGGCTGCGCACCTCCAGCGGCAGGCAGCTAATGGCAGCACTGCCGCTGAGGCTGTCACCATGTTCCCAGAGCTGCCAGAACTGCTGCATGGAGTCCAAGTGCCTCAGCTGCGGAATTGCGCGCTGCAAACGCTGTGCAGGACCTGTGCTCCCACTCTGCAGGCCTGCGGTCGGTGCTACTGCCGCGCGTGCCGCTCCAGGCAGCATTGAGTTGTGCAAGGCTGCTGGTTGGGCTGATGCGCCCGCTGCAGCATGCTGGGGCTGCAACATCATGTCATTGATAGACACCACTGGCAGAACGCCGTATCCAGGCACAAGCACGAACTTGCTGTTCGCCACAATCTCGCTGTGCTCGCGCTGTTCCCTCTGCTCTGGAGTGCCCAGCAGCCTGGCGAATGGCCTGGAGAGGACATTGGACGAGCCCAGCACCGGCCCTGCACGCGCCGCTGGCGGCCTTGCAGGGGGCACCATAGGCGCTGCCCACGGTCTGTCCACATCAGCTTCAGCCGCTGCCGGTGGCGCTGCCGCTGCCACTGCTGCCACATGGGCTGAGGGTGCAGCTTCAATGGGTGCCACTGCCTCAGTCCTTTGTGGACTGCTGCCTGATGAAGCTGATAGCTGCAGCAGGGGTGCTTCATCCCCTGGCTCCCCCAGCTCTGGAAGCAAAGCCTCCTCCATCGCCTCCACCATGTCTGCAACAATCAAAATGAATGCCTTTACGGATCTTCATGTATTTAGAAAATTCCATCGAGAGCAGCAAACTAGAAGAGAGAAGCCACTTAACCTAGTTCTGATACAGGAAGCACAGTCAAGAATTTCACGCAGCATTGCAATAAATTATGGAACAAGGCATCCTCTATCAGGCAAGTACAGACCAGGCAGACATCCGCCTGAGGGCATGAAGCACATATAGAAAATCATTCAATAGCATGACTTACAGTGCATGGCTTGGAAGTGGTGGGAGTGATCAGAAATGAGACTTCTTGCACTTCTTGTAGAAACTGCACACCTTCAGGCTGCGCGCTCGGCTCCATGCGCGCAACAGTGGCTTCCAGATGCTGGAAGGAGCGCTGCTGGCTGGCTAGCTCTGAGGCATAGCTGGTGCGAGCAGCGCCGCGTCCCTGCACCGCCCTGACCGGGGAGTAGGCAGCCACTGCCAATGCTCCGCTGGCAGTGGTGGGCTGTGAGATGAACTCCCTGAATTGCATCATGAATGCACGCACTTCCAGCATGTGCCTGGCAGCTGTCATTGGCCGCATGCTGTCAAAGCTGTGGGCTGCCTTGTCCTCCTCATACTGCTCCAACAATTTCCTGCAGTCACCATAATTGTTATCAAAATCGGATATCTAAGTCCATGCCTCAAGGCCACATAGCTTCAAGCTTCTTGCTCTCTTGGCACAAGGCAATTCTACTCTCTGTGCCCTGCACTGCAACAAATTCACCTGAATAGCGGCGAGCCCAGCAGCAGCGCATGCACTGGATTCTCTGGGTATCGCTCAGCATCCTCAAGAGCATCTTGCACCACAACCAATGCCAGATAGTCTAGGGCGGCGGGAACGCTCTTCATGGAGTTCTTCACAGCGATCGTGCTCTCAAGCTCCTTGACAGTCTGCATGTTTCAGGGACAGAAATTGTAAAACAAGGTTAGCAAAGGCTTGGCAAGATGGTACCAGAATTTTTCCAGAGCCTCGGTAGCTTATTAGAGCCTCCCCACATTCACACAGGACTGTGCGCGCACCTGCCGCAGCTTTGGAAGGAAAGGGAACAGCAGATCCACCAGCCCCTGTGGCACTTGCACGCAGAAGCGCGGGTGCCAGTACTGCTCATAGTCGTTGGTCGCAGCGCCAGGCCAGCCAGCAGAACCGAGAAGACCAGCGGGCTTAAAGTACATGAGGTAACTCTTTGTCATGGCCTCATAATTCCACTTGCCCATTCGTGCAATGATCTGCAAAAGAAAGGTCCGTGAGACGATGGAGCCAAGCAAGAGCCCATAGACTGGGGCACAAACTCAATGCACTGACCAATCACAATAGTAGATGCTGCGCAATGTAGTTTGCTGGCATGAGACTCAGCCTACCCTTTCATCGATGCCCTCCTCGTCCAGATTCCTCGTTGCCAGTACCCGGAGAATATGTGTGACTTTCCTAACATGGACGCCCATCTCGTCCCGCACATAGCGCTTGATGGCCATTGCCTGTGTTGTGTAAGACAGATTCTCTCTCGGGTTGTTGGCAGGCCACATGGGGGTCTTCACCCACTTGTCAAAGTCATGCGGGTCTGGAAAGGGTTCCGCCATGATAGTGAAGCGATTCACAAGATGCTGCCCCAAGCTGCCATGGGGGCAGAGGGCAGGTTCTCTGTGGCGCAGGCTGCCAGAGAAGGACACCTTCCCATTTTCCAGGGTCTTGCCACCCTTCTGCACGAAAGCTAGCATAAATGCTGGGCAGGGCCCTGCAAGCACCAGGAGAGATTCAACTTTGCAACTTCACTGGGTTTCAGTGCCCAACATTGGACAGGAGCTGGTGCTGCACAGCTGTCAATTCTGCCTGATGAGATTGATCCAGAACGGCAAGTGCTCTTTCAGCTTCAAGCAAGTGTGCACACAATTTATGAGAACACAGGAACTCACCAATGCATTTGATCTCCCGCGGGCTCATCATATCCGCCAGAAAAATCATCCTGCCATCATCTGCTCGCCCAACGCTGGCGTACAGGTAGGCAAAGGAAGACCTGTCCCTGAGAGCAGTTGCACTCGGCGAGGCTAGCAGAAGCTTCATCAACTTCGTGTATTGGCCAATGGTCAGAGTGTCCTCCACTGTATTGTCCTGGGGGTCCACGCCCCCAGATGGACGCATGCCCTTCGCTGCCATGTTGTTTTTGAGAGTATCATAGACTGCCCCATATGTTGTGTCATCCTTCAAGGAGGAAAGCGACACCTGCATGCAAGAAAATTCATTCTGAAGCTCAGGTCTGGCTGTCATATTTCCACAGGCCACATTGCAGCACCCAAAAAGAATGTGCAGTCAACCCACCTTTCTGCGTTTCTCAGCAGGCAGGGCCGCCAGCTCCGCAGCATATCTGCTCTGCAAGGCGCTGTGAGCCCCTTCCAGGACTTTAAGCCTCTGTGAGCCACAACACATCTGCCGTTCTCAGAGGTTTCCTGTGTGAACAAAAGAAAGGCAACTTCACAGAGAGTGCGATAGAGGCAATTGAGATTACCAGCTCGGAGGCCTTCTGTGGCCAGTCCAACCCTGGCCAGTTCTTGCCGACCCAGTGAAGGAAGCGCACTGCCACATCCACACCCGCCCGCACCATGTTGCCATCATAGGGCT